ACAGAGCGTACCGCGGTATTCTGTAGTATACTCCTGTACTGGATACAGCGGTATATACGAAACATAGTACAAGCCTTATGATGTGTTGTACGCCACGTAGAAGCGGTGAGTTAGTAGCGAGTCTGTGTGAATGATTATTCATATTTTGTAGCATATGTTTATGATACATATCATTCACTGGTATAGTAGCTCGAATACCTACTCTGGGATCGCATAATGTGGGCATGATCATTGTAATAGTATTAGACGCTAGCAGAGAGGAAGTCAACTACATGCTTCCCCAATATGAGAAATCTCTAAATTGTGGAGGTGGCCGAGGCTTCCTTAACAGTCAGCTTGAATTTGGGGAATCCATACTTACGTATTATCTGGAATCATAGTGGAGGTCAGTTGCCCGCACAGATTACAGTTCAGCCAGGACTGCCCGAGCGGTCGTCAAGGGTGGGCCGGGCCACATACTTTTTTCAAAGTACCTTCGATCCCGTGATCGAAGCAGAACCTCTTTCATACTGCAACATACTAACAGGGTACGGTCGCATTTCAGTATCGGGGACAGTAACATCATGGAGATTTTCCCTTTAAAATCGCCATTCAATATCAGACGCCTAATCCTTTAGGACTATAATTAGGAGTCTCTTTTAGTAATTAGGGTTATATTCAGATACAAAGTGTATCAGCCTCAGATGTTCATCATCCAATGAGTTACCAGATTTTACTTGGATGAAGAATGAAGAAAGAGAGACTGAATGTGTGTAGTTTGGCCAAATGAACAGCTTCGTATCACGTGATGGGGTAGTTACGGGACTGAAATTTCTCAACGTTATAAACTTCGATTGGGTACGGTTGGTTACGTACGATAATTTACCGAGGACCTGGAAAAAAAGGATGTGGGTCCGGCCCACCCATGACGACCGCTCGGGCAGTCCTGGCTGAACTGTGTTCACTTGCCCGCACCCGTGCGCACGTCAAGGGCTCACAAGCCTCTGTCGGTCTCTACTACCACCAATCATATCAACTTGGTGCAGCACGGCTGGCACTGTGTGAGTGTGCTGTGTGTTGTGCAGTTGTCCACTGTCCATGATGTCCATGGCAGGGCAACAACAGCCACACCCTCCAAATATACAATAGGCTGACTGCTACGCAGTAATATTTCTTTTTCGAGAGCTGTCGTCATTTGATCCCCCTTCATATGGGCTAGATTGGTTCAATCATAATCTCTCTGATCTCTCAGCATCACCTGCAGAGGATTGTTGACTCCATGAAATCCGGTTGATCAACATCACTCAACATCGCTATGGCTCAGATGATGTTACAAGGGGAAGCGATGATACTACTAGCTACCGAGAAGTATACTCATTAGCCACTATGTGCCTCCATGTAGCTAGCAGCCACTATCTTAATTGGGGGAAACAGCAACCTTACTACCCACGACCTATCACTACTGAGTACTGACCGTGCCACAGGCTGTGGCGGACGAACCGAGTGAGTACTACGGGGATCATCGACTCCTATCAAGGTCGTCCCCTTTGGATTCGGGGAAAGGGATGTTTGGGCGGGTACAGACGCTTGCGTATTTTCCTCCAGTCTCTTATCATCCTGTACCGAGTCCCTTGACCAGTGCCGTAAAAGAAGCGGTGACAGCTCATTTTCCCTTCTCTCGTCACACGTATGATTGAGTCGGCACCAGTGATTTGGTTTTTTGGTTTTTTTTTTTTGGTTTTCATCTACAGCAGATATGCTCCCCTGTGGATGTGCTCGGGTTATTCATCAACATTCACGACGCCCATGACCCGACTGTTGACATCATATCCCGGACAGCCTCAGGCGCGGCCGTTGGCAAGGTGTGGCGAGAGTGGGGAGGGCAGGTGAAGGGAGGGTCTCTGTGGAATCCAGCAGACTGGTTCGGTCGGAGTGCATCCGTCTGGTTCAAGTCGGCCCTGAGATCTCCGGGGAGCCCAAACAGATTAATCAGAAACAGTACCTTTTTCCGATGAACGCGGGAAGAAATAAACCTCTGAGCGTAGGTCCATCCAACTTCACGCCCCGATGCTCACGGTATTGGATCATACACAGTGCATGTTTATTCCTCATTTCCTAGTAACACTGTTGAGTGTTGACGCCTTGACTATAGTAATGTATGTCTGTTTTATTGTGTGATTTGTGTCTGGGCGACTTTCACCTCCATCCTCATAAGCAGAGATGGGTCAACATAGATCAATCCCTCCGGATCTCCGGGCAGCAGATGGTGTGTGATCTCCCCCCATCAGATCTAAGGATCAGCTAGATCGTAGAATACAGATGTTACCGTACATGTTTTGTTGGACACAGAAGGGATGAGGTCCTGGCGCTGGGAGTCTGTGAGTCCGGGAAATACTGTACCAAGTACAAGTAGGGTCAGACAGCAGCGCACCGATAACGTCGTACCTCCTAAACGCTCGTTCTCGGATTGGGAGACCCACCGCCAAGCTGTAATAGACGTATGTAAAGTTACCACGGCCCCCGTCTGCCTTTTCCTTTTCTTCCCGTTTAGGAATCTCCGGTTGTCCCATTCTCTGACATTTCTCTCTTCTTCTTATTTTTTTTTTTTTGCTCTCGAGAGCTCATCCATGTTCATCTCCTCGAATGAATAACCACAGTAGACAACTAGACATTCGTTGACCCTTTTTTATTGCTGTCCGATTGCTGAGTGCTGAACTGTCCTTTCTGAGCCGGCAGCATGGCCGGGTCTCATGCATGTGCACAAAGCATTCAAACTGTCTCTTTGTGGCTGGTGGGATATCTTGAGTCCATCGACCCCTACCCAATCAGACTGGAAAGGTCATCCGATTCATTGATTTTCTACTGCACCCCGGAATGAGATAGCCGCAGCTGCAACCTCCAGTCTCCCTTGTCGTCACCTGACATGCTTTCCGGTTCAATTTTGGCAAGCTCTTATTTTGAAATGTCTCTTTCAGGTCAAGTATCATCTATCTCGACCTCTGCACCAGCTGTCGGATGGTGTGAAGGATGGTCGGACTATCATGGTCTCTATGAGTGTATGAGTCTATAAAGTGTTGAATAACCGTGCTGTGTGTCCCTATTCCTAATCTCCATATACATATGTAGTCTGTGCTCTGTGACGGTGTCTGAACATTACACAATACATGAGGGAATCAGTAATATACCGTGCATAGCTGTAAGTGTACATCATGTCCTGTATCATAACGGGTATCTGTGCCAGATACAGTAATATATCATCTGCGGGCCCTGTAATCTGTCTCCGCCGGCGACTCGAGCGCTCCCGGGGCCCCTGTTACAGTGAATTGAATGGATCTCACTATTGATCTGAACCAACGAGGGAAATCTTCCGAAGACAGATCTCGCCCTGACTAGTCGTGTGTACTGGAGAAAAAAGAAAATCGAAAAAAAAAAGGGTGCACATTGGGATGATGGGTTCGATTATGGTTCTATTGGGGAGATCATTGTGATTCCATATCCCATCTTCCATTCCGATTTTCCGATTTCCTCTTTTTTCTCCTCTTTCTCGTTCCCACGATTCCCTTCCATCTTTCCAGTGCCGGGTGTGCCCTTGTCGTGAAAGGCTGATGCTCCCTCTCCATTCGTTCCCTCGACTCGTTCCAATCTCCATCCTCTTCTCCATTCTCCGTGCCTCCTCCGGTCCACTTGTCCACTTTGGACGGCATACGCACCTTACCCTTTCATCAGCTCTCCCATTGATATCCCCATTTATTGCATTTTCGGTTTTCTCATCTGCCGTGGTATCTTATTATTTATTCCGATTATTGTCACATCCTCACCCGGACATCCATCTCTTCCTCCACCGTGAAACCCCCCTCTTCCTCACCTTTTCCCACCGCTGACCATACCCTCTTGCTCTGCTCTGCTCTGCTGGTCAACCGTCGGCCAATTTGGACCTCACCTACTCCATTCAGAGCAAATCCATCTGGGACCCAGACTGATCCAACCACAATCCACCGACTCTGCCCCCGAACCATTTTCAGTCTTTTATACCTTCTTACACCACCTTGGGACTACCTTCGAACCCCCCCCCCCCTCTCTCCTCCCTTCGTGCGCGCTTTCTGTCTCTCGCTCTCTCGTCTGATCGTCCCTCCCCACGTCTACAGTGTCCGTGGCTCGGTTGATGTCGGCTGGTTCCTTACCACAGAACTGCACCAGAGTGACCGGACCATCATTGGAGGGCTGTACAGACCGTACCGTTTCTCCCGCACTGGCTGCATTATTCGCCTTTTTCCCAATATCATCGCTTTTTCCTAACCTGGTCGTCATATGTCCCCACCCCTCCCCCCACCCCTCGCCTCTTCAGCATTTCTCACGCCTTAAATAAAAAAGGGGCCCTTAAGTCACAGTCTCGCTCAAGCATCAAATTTTCTTGAGACTGGGTCCTCGCTCTGGAACAAGAAAGGTCGACCTCCCCTTCCCAAGACTCAACCTCACCATCCTCGTGAACCAAAACGGCTCATCCGAATCTTAACGTGCACAAAGGCTGTGGACAACACATCGCTTCCACTCCGAACCTTATCGCCGTTCTTCTTTTGAGCCTCGCCGAGAATCAAATCACGCACCCGCGCTCGACGGGACCTCAAAAGAATTGACGCTACCACTCTCCAAACGGGATCTATCGTCTTTTGTGCATCGCCGCAAATAGAAAACTCAGTACACCATTGATTGACTCGAGGACGTCGAGCTGTGACATCTTGAGATCGAGCCACACGCCTGCGCATTAGTCCGGAGATCCGCCTCTCCACTCAAGCACTCAGCACCGCGTCGATCACGCCTCCTGCGACTCTTCCCTGAAAAAGAAAGAAAATTCGGACTCCAGATGGGATAATATTTGATCGCCTTTCTCCTCTTTTCTTAACGCTTATCTTCCTCGGAGTGGTGCATCTTCTAGCGCAGCACATTCTGTAGATACCTTTCTCACATCATGTTCCGCAATCGGTGGGTCTCCTACCATTCTTCACTTCCCGCCACCGCCGGAGATGGCTTGTTCTGAATCGGTTACCGCGATATTCCTCGTCTCCGGCGTGGAATTGGGCGCGGGACAAAGCCGTCACGATTCACAACCGCCAACGTCAAATCAGTGGCTAACAGACTCTTTTCTCACCTCTAGCAATAACACGCAGAAGCCGGATGATGAGTTCATCAGCCGCTTCCAAAGCACGTTCGCCGATATTGTGCCCCGACGGGCCAGCCAAACCAATGCATCGCACGGCAACTTCCCTCTCGGGCCAGGAGATCCCATGGTCTCGGACAGGTACGCAGCCCAGTGTTATGCCAGTCCGAGGCTCGAAACTGATCCAGCAAACTACGACGCCAGACCGATGGAGCACCATCAGATGAAAATGGAAGAACACGAGCTTAAATTCCCCAGCGAGAGAACACCGCGCAATTTGCACGATCTGAACTACACCCCATCGTGGATCGATCCTACCTCGATGAATATAATGTCCTTAGCCGGACAACACCCCGGGTTCTTCACTCCCAACTCGGGTGGCATGGGCGCCATCTTTCATAGCCAAGCAGGGGATCTCCACACGCCGACCGCGGGATTGAACATGATCACCCCCCTCTCCCTCTCCCACTCGATGCCCATGAACCACAACCACGGACCTCCCACAATAAATCACTTTAACCAGCAATACCTCGCTCAGCATGTGCCCGAAATGCATCCGTATGTTCAGCAACAAACCTTTGCGCCCAGCGCGTTTATGCATCGAGATTCCTTTGAAGCAATGGACGAGTCCGTGGACAGCACGTCGATCCACAGCTTACCGATTGATCAAACCTCCATCATTTCCGCCTCGACGGATTTTTCCGGTGCATTAAACGTTAGCTACGCAGATGGTGAAAAGTAGGTTTCTCTCTCTCTCTCTCACTCTCTCTCTCCTTTTTATTACCCCATTTCCCCAATACCGTATTTCACCGTTCTAACAAGAATTCCTCCTGTGACAGGTTCCGCTTCAATGTGTCTCTACGAGCCCCCACCGCTATGGTGAAGCACCCGAGAGAAGTTCCCATCTCGTACTTGAACAAGGGCCAAGCATATAACCTGACAGTGATGGACTCTAATCCCCCGATGATGGGCTCGGAACCTCTTCAATACCGAACTTACGTGCGAGTCTCATTTGAGGAAGAAGAGCAGCGTTCGAAGCCTGCCGCCTGCTGGCAACTTTGGAAAGAGGGTCGCGGTATGAGCGAGTCGCACCAACGCGGAGGAAAATTGTTGGCGGTGGAGTACGTCGATCCGCATCAAGGAGGGGATGAGCACAAACACCGCCAGATCTCGGTTGAACACACATCATTCGACGGATTCTGCGTGACCTGGACTGCCAACCCCACCACCGGAACACCCGACTGCTCAATTCCAGTCCGCTTCAACTTCTTGTCTACGGACTTCAGTCATTCCAAGGGAGTCAAGGGCATTCCGGTGAGACTTTGCGCCAAGACCGAGCTCTTGACACCAACCGACGAATCCGACAGCCCCCGGGAGGCCGAAGTCTCCTACTGCAAAGTGAAACTTTTCCGTGACCACGGCGCGGAGCGCAAGCTATCTAATGATGTCGCTCACGTGAAGAAGACCATCGAGAAATTGAAGCAGCAGATTGCCCAAGCTGAGATGGGCGGAGGATTTGGCAAGCGCAAGCGCGGAAGCAATGCCACTGCCAATGTCAAGATGTCCGATCGCCCAAAGACCATGAAGCACAAGCGTACCTGGTCCATGAGCTCCCAGGACGGCCAGTCGGAGAAGCTTTCCCTCGAAGACGATCTGCAAGCGAAGTTGGTCATGCTGCAGGATATGTTCTCGTCAACTCGAACCATGAGTATCCTCGCACTTCGGGGCGACGAGGAAGACGACCCTGATTTGTTCCCGGTGCGACTGCCCACGGAGGGCGAAACGGTCAAGTTGGAGACCCTTAGTCGACAGAACACCGGTGCCTCGCAATCCATGGAGTCATTGATTCTATCTCCAACGAGCAGCAACATCTCTGTCAGCTCACCCCAAGTCCACGAGAGCAAGATGGCCACCTGGAAAGAGACCAAGACCCCGACCACAGTACCGCGCGTGACGAATGGTACCAACTCTATCTCCACCGGATTCATCGAGGCGGTCGACATTGACCCGACCTACCGTCCACCCGCGGAACGCCCGCCCAAGCCTAGTAAGTCTCATCCGCTCACCTTTCCAGATCTTGTTACCATCTTTTCACACCCAGCTAACCCACCACTTTCAGTTGCATGCTTCTATGTGCGCTTCTCCAGCAATGACGAGCAGCCAGACTACTATCGTGCAATTTATCTCTCTGAGCGTACGGTTCGGGATTTGATGAAGAAGATCTCCGAAAAGAATCACCTTGATCCGTCCAGGATTGTACGGATCTTGCACGTCAACCAGAACGGATTGAGAATCATGGTTGATGACGACGTTGTGCGGGAGTTGCCTGAGGGACAAGACATGATTGTCGACATTTCTGAATCTCCTGCTGCGGGCAATGGGGCCAGCAATTGGTCTCCTGATACCCCTGTGGAGATCAAATTGACATATTGAGGTTGCCTTCGGCTTCCATGCATCGTTATGAATTCCCAGTCACCTAGTCCTCTCCACTTTGGCTTCCTTCCCGCCGAGTGTTCCTCTGTCCCTCTTGTGCTCTCGGGCATCAAGAGATGAATTTTCTTCGATAACCTCCCTACCATTTGCATCTGTGTGTGCGACTCCTCTCCTCATGGCCCCCGAAATGCACCTCGTGTGCCTTAACTTTGGCACATACATTCTCATCATATGCCATTGTCCTACCCATTCAATCTTCCTGCACTTTGATCCTTCCGACGATTTTGGGCTTGATGGATTCTCATCCTTTACAGGTAATTGTCTAGGGAGGTAATACACGAGCCCCCGACCAACGATACCCTGTCGCGATATTGCTGCCATATATTTTCATTCCTTGAATTTGCGGTACATCTCATTCTTTTTTTCTCTCATCTTGAAGGTGTTGGCGTTTTTATATTCCTTGTCATTTGACGCCTGTGCTTCCCGCCGAAGTGCCTTGATCCTTCTCCTGGTGGGCGTCGTGGGAGGTTAACCATGCACGTGGACCTGGTCGATGTTCTTGACACAAATTGTATCATAACATCTTTCCCTGACCGTGTCCGCTTCCTTTCGCTACGTTCTTGTTCGATTGATTCCCGCTCGATGCACGATGGTGATACCCTGTTCCAAATGTCTTTTTTGTTGAAATTTTGGTAAATCGCCACTACAAATATCCACTTGCGTGGCTCTTTTGCAACTCTGTTTTCAAGTATTCACGGTATCTCTTGGGTTCAGCGAATGCGTGTTCTTTCTTATTTTTATCTCAATTTTGACATCTGACGCTTGGTTCATATTCCACGTTTCGCATGGTGCTTGTTCTCTCCTCTCCACATTGCTGGGACGAATCTCTTGCTGGGGCGCATATAAACGGTTTGTGAACCTCTTGTTGTTTCTTTTTAACCTCGATAATCTACACAATCTTGATACTCGAAATGGTGAAATGAAGATGTGAGGATGAAGCCAGTACATCGATCTTGGAAATACCCTTCTAGAACAAGCTCGGCTGAATTAGACAATCAATTTCCGGCGGACCACGTCTTTTTGCGATCTAGACCCTGGCTTTTTTACGGTCTTGGTTCCGTCTCGGACACAAGCGACAGAAGACTCAAAAGGCCCTTGACGGAATTCTACCGTTACTCCCGTCCCATTCTAGTGTCCACCTTTGTATCCGGTCCCAGCAACCGGGGTTGAAGCAAGGCTGCAGGATGGTAGTTGTAAATGAGGAGAGGTCCACTGGGAGGACCAAGCAGCCAGACCGTAAAAACAGACTGGATCAATCTGCGTCCTTGGGCTCTCCGAGAATGAGCAAAGAAAGTTTATTCGCACGGTGGGTTCCATCATCTTCGACGGCAATCTAGGTCCGACATGCTTATTTGGCTTTTGGGGATTTCCTTTCGTCCAGAAGGGGGGTTGGGATCCCAAGGTCGCGGTAGCCTCGGAAAGCTGAATGGGGAATCTGATGCAGTGGTAGTGGATGTGCGACTGTTTGTGGATGACCATGTACGTGGAAAGGTTCAACCCGGTACAGCGAATATGTATGAGTGATACGGTCTGTACAATAACTCTGTATAATGTACTGTACTGTACGACCATACATGGAGGCTTGGAGATATGCACACTTGTACAGCGGGACGCCCTCATGCATGTGGGATTAGGGATCACTTTGTGGCTTCGGCACCCGCTCTGGTCCATTGTTGACATCCTTCCCAAAAGGGCTAGATGAACCGTCGATGCGTCTTACATGATTGGTCGGATGCTGGGACCGACCAAATGCTTGGCATCAGAGGAACCGATCTCCGTCCCGGAAAATTGTTCATGCGTGCAGAACGCCAATTGAAGCCCGATCCCTCTCTTCTCCCTCTCGCTCGCTGTCTGTGTCTGGGACTCCGTGTTCAGTGGTCCACTGTCTAGTGTCTCTTACCTAGATTGGATATCAAGCTCTCCCCCATCTTGACGAAGGGATGGCGTTTCCTTCATTCGCCTGTTTCTCGCTGGGATACTCTGCTTAGCACCGACCTCGTTGCGCCTTGTCTTCTTTCGGTCATGGCGGACAGATCATGTGCTCTCGTGCAATGAGATCCCCATCTCTGGACGATGAATTCGGCCGACTCCCGTGTCGCTCTGTTGCACGTTCAAAGTTTATTTCCATCGACAGTCTCTCTTCCATGCTCGTGGGTCTCCGGCGTACCAGCGAACAATCTCACAGCACAAGTGAAAGCGTTTCAACCTTGCTTCCCGGACAGGCAGTTGCCCGTTCAGCACTCGGGTCGATTCCCGTTGACCCAGCTCAGCAAAATGTCGGAGGTAGACCGTAGTTTGATTTCCTTCCAGGCTCTGAGACGGCGATTGAAACGCCAATTGGCGTAATAAGAGTGTTCAGACTCCACAGAGTCCGGACTTTTACTTATTCTGGGGGTACAGGTCTGTCCGTCTTGGGGTAGAATTCCAATGCTTTTTCTGCACCTCGGCTTGATCAGTAAACTTCCATGATACTCTGCAATTGTTACCTTATTACTACTCGCTCAAAATGAGTCCTTGGCTCGTGGCGCCTTCATCATTTCGGGGATTTTTTCATCCAGCCCTTGCTTGAGGGATAGATCTCGCTTTAGAAAGAAGACACTTTCCCTGTAGATCGTACGTGCATGCCGTGGTCGGAGTCTGTCAGATTGTCAACATGCACGGTCTGCGCGTTGCTTCACAGACCCTACCTAACATGCAGAGGGGGTACCTTACTGCCCAGGTTACTACCTAGTACCTACCGCATGACTGGATCTTTTGGACCCCCGTCTTGGTCGGGTGCAGTCGCCTCTGTACGAATTCTTTGCCGCATCCGATATCATATTCAAGGTGGTGCAACAGCACAGGTGTTTTTCACCTCGTTGGTGTATGTCTCGCAATTATGCCTGTGTTTGGCTGTTTATCGAGGGACTCGATTTAAATTTTCCTTTCTTTGATTTCAGAGAGCCCGTGGATGTAAACAGCTAAACATATGTTTATATGGTATATGCCATATGTCAGGTCACGGCCGTACGGTTGACTGTCTGTGCTGAACCCAGCCTCCACCCCGAGGCAAGTCTACCCGCGACGCCGCGCACGCTCAGGCTCCAACTTGAAGGTGAACGGTACCAAGTCATCAAACTCCCTTAAGTCCGGGCTTCTGTCCAGACTCCAGAGTCACGAGCCTCGCCCGAGACACCGCATTACTTGGGGACCCACCTCCGTCTGGAACCCGCCCCATCAACCTGTCTGCAGTCTGCAGTCTGCAGTCTGCACATGACGTCCATGACATCATGATCTGAAACTTATTCCCTTCCAAGCACTAGAGTCTGTGCCTTTGCTACCTTTGACAACATGCCATCGCCTCTATATTCGTAGCTCTCGTCGTTGGGTACGTCCCCGAGCGTTGTACCGAGCATATAGAGCAAATCCTTGACATATACTGCACCGCTACACCGGTATCCATCGCTAGGCCGTATCAGAAACGCCCCAATGATCTAGAACCTTCGCCCATCTCTCTCGTACCTGCCGATCAAGGCCACTGCGTCCATCGCATGCGGTCCCCTTTGAACCTAGTTTCCTGGACGGCCAAGGGCCCTGACTCGCTTAGCCAATGAGGCTGGCCCTTGGAACTGGATACCATTGAGGGAGAGGGAAATAATTGATGATCATATCATCAATATTGAAGGGGTACCGTCCATACAGTCCGCGAGTTTGAATATTACTTCCACCCCCCCACACCGTATCCTCTGGATCTGAGAATTTCATGCGTGATGTTCAGCAACGGGAAGAAACTCCAGTAGTCGAGCTTACACTGACGTACTCTGTCTGTACGGGGGGTAAGAATTCCGTCCTCATGCGATCGAAGTGAATCGCACATTTCCACCCTTCCCGCTAGTTTGGTGGACCCATTGCGATACTTGAGCCTCTTCCGGACAGTCTCCCGGCCACAACCCACTCCCACGTTTGACCTGTATGCTTCACATGTCATACGAGTGAGAGTATCTCCCCACCCCTTCTTCATCCCTTTTTTGAGACGTCAATTAAGTTACGGCGAAGCTGAGCTTCGGAAGAGAAGCCAGCAAATCCAACCCCCGCCCCATTCCCGTTCCACCTCAACATGGATGACATCACCGTCTTGTACTTGGGGCATGCGGTGGGTCCCTCGTTACACGACCTAATGGGCTATGGGGAGGGGAGGGGAAAAGGGAGGCTTACGGACCTGGATTGAGCGTGGAGTCCACTCATCAATAGGAGCTCCACTCCCCACCGCCCATCCTCCATGCCTTGTTTGGGGTAGGAACGTCTAGAGTCCCTGAAACAGTGGAAAGCCATGTAATTTCCATCCGCGAGCATTCCAGGCTCCAGCTGTTTTCCTTACTTACCATACATCCTGTAATGTCAGCCTCCCGGTCACAGATGATCATGCCCATGGTATGATGGTACACCTGAACAGATCGTATCTGTATACCTAATACGCCAAGGAAAAGCCATGTACCCCGCTTTTGTCTTTTTCGGGGACCTGATTCTGCTCCACACCGCCAGATCTGTTCACACGGGACGAGCCGCGACTGAGATAAGCCAATGATGCCTGTCTGGCCAGGTAGGCTGCACGTCGTTTGCTCTGTGTTTTCTGTATTGCCGTTTTGGCACCTCATCAGGGCCAGGCGGTATACTGGTAGTCTGGTACAGTTATAACAGTGTGACGGTGACTACATTATGCCCATACTGTAAGACTTCCTAACGCGGTAAGGTCACCAAGCCGTTTAGCTAAGGTGGTGCTGGGCGCAGGAGTTATATCCAGAGCTAGGTAGAATACCTAGTTAATGGTCGGAGACTCTGTGTGGTGTATGAGTCTATGAGTCTATATATTATATAACTACATTATACACTACACAATAAGCGTGCGTGCCAGCGTGGTAGGCACGTAAAGTACATTCCCTAAGTGGTTCTGGGCCAGGACTCTAGTAGACCTCCAAGTCATCCCCTCCGTACACAATTGCCCATCGCCCTCGCTCTCGTACTTACTCTCCGAGCTTTCCCAATCTCTTGGCGGGGAAATAATCTCCCACGCACAGCAGCCTCTAGCTCTATCTCGCTTTATTGTACAGCTTCGCTACGCTTCATCACACTGTCTCACTTGGGAATCTCCACCTCCAGACAATCCTAGAGCTGCCATCCAGCCTCCTCAGAGCATGCTAGCGTCTAGAGTATGGACACTGGACAGAAGAGCGACCGTGCATCCATGTCTTCGTAATCCATTCTTGCCATTGGCGACGAACGGATAGCACGACACGGACCCTGGACAACTTTGCGGGATTTGATTTTGGCATGTTTACCAGGTTTTCGACTTCCGGACGACAAGTACAAAGTGTTTGGATGAGCAGACGGCGGTGAGATGGATCACGGTCCACTTCCAAAAACGAAGGAAGAAAAAAATGGCCCGTCGACTGGACCTTCCATCTAATCTCCCCCCCCCCCCCCCCCCTCCTAACTCAATGATGAATTTGGAGTATAAAAGCAAAGGAAGATGGAATGCAGGAAGGCGAAAAAAAAAACAAAATCCAGAAAAGAGTTTTTATCTTTTCGGGATTGAATCACAAGTACCAACGATTTCAGCTAAAAACAGATGCATCTGGCCTACGACCATGTTTCTAAAGACTAGCGGGCCTGCATAAGCGATTAGGTTGTCTTTTCCGTGCGTTCCGGACCCTCTTGGTAAAAGTCTCTGCTTCTTCCATCGGAGTTTTCTTACGGAGAATTTCTTTTTGATAATATGTTTGTCCTCGTCGCCTATGAAGCGAGAAATCTATTGATAGGGCTGGTTTTTCTGCGCTATCGTTGCCGTGATGAAAAAGCCCTATGTCCTTATCCCATCCCGAAGTTTAGGGATTTCCTTTCGACCTGGGTTCAATCTTCTCAACAGCTACCATAGTTGCCGTGTAGGACTAATGTAGGGCGCGTGACAAGTACATGTGGTTATGCCACCAGAATGTATCTCGGTATACAGTTGCTGACGCATAGAGGGACATCTCATCCATCTCCCAATGGTTTGAAAGGGAAAGAAAGGGTAAAATCGCGAATGGTAGGGTTACTCCTCCCCCTTGCAGTTGGGAACCGGATACACTAGGATCATCAGATCTGATCTCTTGAATCATGCAGCTCCAGTAAGCTGGTGATCTGACATGGGTGGCTGGGACTTCTGGGGATCCTGACTGCGGTAAACCCATAGCTTCGGGACCGTAGACTCCTTCATTTGGGTCGTATGAAGCTCTTGGCTTAGACATGGCTGAACGCCCCCTCCAGGACAGCCTCGTGGAAGTACCTTCTGGATCGACAGGTTTAGATCCGGATTCGGTTGAATTCGGTAATAATTGTCCGACCGGGCAGAGGGAAGAACTCTCTTCCGAGCCGTGTCCATGTTGGGCCCTGGTGTGTCGAGAGTTCTGCCTCAGGAATCCCCGCATGTAACGGTGTTCTTGACAGATGATATTGCATCAGTCAAGAGACGAGGGACATTGGCAGACAGATATCATGAGGTTCTTATATTAGTGTATGGCCATAATTTTGTACGAAGGATGAGGGCTCACAATTGCCGTATGTACCGGAGTAAATAGAAAACGCCTTGATGAGCCGACGCTCGTGCTCAGGTTTCTTTGTATCAAGCCCTTCATTCTGTAGCTGTGAGCGTCTCAATATAGGTACCTAGAGTATTTCTTACTTCCAGAATGTCTGGATATCCATAAAACAACCGTCATCTTCGAATAGATACTAGAATAACGGCTGAGTTTAACCTATGAATTCCCGTGCAAGGACAACAAATGTCATCTTCTGTGTGAACTTCGATTGCCGCGACTGGCATCTATGTACAGGCAACTTTTCAGACCAATTCACTGACTTGATGTCATAGCTCTGTCGGCTGAATGAGGGTCTCCTATCACTGATCCTTATACACTGAGGTACTCAGTTGTGTTCATGGCCCAAGTCAACGCATCCAAAAGTCACTGGGGCTGAGTCTCTTGGGTGACATTCGCTTGTTCCTCATGGAATCACAACTCGAGTTGGTCCCACTCATCAACGAGCCCTTGATCTTTTTTTATACACCAGAAAGAATCTAACGAAGCTCTGGGTAACTCTGCAAAAGTAGCAAGGCCAAATCATGGAGGAGATAGGGAAGACTTAAAAAGCAAGAGAAGGACAAGACAAATCATCATTGTGATAGTGACGCGGTACGGATGTTTGCTTCGCTCCTTCTTCTCGCTTCTCTACCGGGCTATCAGGTTGTTCTCCTGCCGATTTACTAATCCCTCCTGTCAGGTCGCCAAAGCCTGTGAGCTGTTCCACCTTCCCTTCTCATCAGTCATTCACGGTCTTACGAATCATTTATATACCGTTCTCTTTCAGCTAGAATCGAAACAGTGCTGGCTACTGCCAAGTTAATGACCGTTTCATGACTTACTACGCTCAGTCAGTATCATTTGCACATCCAGACTCTAAAAAAGTGTCCTATATCTTAGGTATGGGCTACGTAAATTATTTATAGTATCCAGGTTACATACTAGCACCTTAGCTAGGTATGAGCCTGGCATGAAAACGGCTCCTATCTAACGAGTGCTGTCTTTCATGTCTAAACAATATCAAATCCAGGTAAATTCTGACGTGCCCATAAACCAGCTAGAGCATTTGAAATCGAGCAAGAGAAGACCGATGAGCATTACTGCGCCTTCATCACAGTCGTTCCTGATTCCAGATATCCAAAGCTCATCCAGTCAATTGGAACTCATGGTGCATGGTACCACTCGTCAACCTGAATTGAAAATCACACAAGCTCTCTCGGTTCATTTTGTCCCCTGAACTGTGTTCCCTGGGATGTAACATCAGTGTATCCTCATCTCATCTACCCTTGCTATATACGGAAATCTTGCTCAATACTCGATGCACCCACCCGAAAATGAAAATGACTGAAGGCAAATGTCTCAGTTCGGTCAGTTTCGTCAGTGCCTCGGCCTCTGTCGCCCTGTTTCCCAGGTTTGCTCGAACATGACGCCCTGGGAATAGGATCGCTCCTGCCTCACCAAGCTGCCAACATGTCAAGCAATCCCGTGACTTTGATCCTCGATACACTCAAAGGTCCGGGGTCATCCTCTCCAGCTTTGCCTCTTCTTCCTTCATAAATCATTCCCCCCTCGCATTTCTCATCACAAACACACTCGTTTCATCAATTTCAATATCTACGCTCGTTCAAGTACCTGAGCCATTCTTCAAAATGTTCCCTTTGACTGCTCAACTAGTAGTTCTCAGTTTTATGCTGGCAGTTGCGGAGTTCTTCTATGAAAATGGTGAACATCCGCGTGAGACACGGTATCGAAGGTCATATGTGCCCGCTGACGTGGTCCATCCCAGGTGTTGACGCCTTTGCCCAAATCGCACATGCAGCTGCCAATGACCCTGACAGTAAGTTCGCATTGGTCGCCTGCTGCTGATATTGCCCGTTTCATTGACAATCAGCCCTTAGTGGAGCGTATTGCTACCCTGGGAATTGGACTAGCCATTCGTGAAATTTGGGGTAGGTCATGACCAGCATCACCTCAAGTTAGCAATCCTCCCAAGCGTCTACTGACATCTCCCCAGGAGTTGAAGATGCATACTTTGGCCTTTCTGGATCTCCTACTACCGCAAAAGAGGTCACCAGTGTCATCGTTTCGGTCGATCCAACCGTTTCCACCACTAAGATATCAGCTGCTCCCACCGAAACTTCCAGCGAGACCTCGACTAATACTTCAGCCACCGTTACTCAAGTCACATCCTCCGTGGAATCTGCTCAAACTTCCCATGGCTCCTCTACCGAGGTCGTGGTGACTCGTGTCACCTTTACCACTGAGTCCAGGGGCACATCCAAAGTCTTCATCACCGAGACATTGACTGAAACAGAACCTTGCAGTGAGGGGGCCACGAGTACTCCGAATGACTCTATTGCGACCTCCACTTCAACCTCGGCCCCTGTTAGAGAGACACTTACGAAGATTGAAACTGAGACTTTGCCATGCTCGTCTCAATGTGCTTCTACCCATACGATTGTGGATTCCACCACTACGGAGGCGCTGAAGACAGGCACTGCTCCGGTTTCAACATCAAGCCCTTTTATCGCCGTTTCTCCAGTCGGAACTGAAACTCTGGTGAAGGCAGGTTCTTGTGAGGACTCAGACCTGTGTACTTCCAAGAAGACGACCTCCATCAAGGTCACGTCTTCCTTGACTCTGGTACATACAGCTATTGGCACACAGACATCTTCCGGCGCAGGCTTCTTGCTCACTTCTGGACCCGCGTCCTCAAAAGGGTCAGTGGAAAGCCCCCAGACTGGCACACACACTGCTACCGCTAGTTCAAACCACCCTGGTGTTGGCGAACATCAGCCTTCCAGTGCCAGCTCTGCAACTGTCGTGCCTCCTACACCCAACAAGGCGGGCGTCACTTCGACTAGCACGGCTGCTTTCAACGCTGGCAACGAGCTCGAAATGTCGAATGAGCTCAAAAATCTCATCCTGGTGGTGCTTGCAGGCTTTGACATGCTGCTGTGAGATATTCAGTCCACATGTCACCATTTCTGCGTAGGCTTGTCATCTGAGCTTTTCTAAAGAGGTCATTTGACCTGCCACGAATCGAATTGGGATTTCTCTTTTAACAGATTAGTATTGACTTTGTATTTCTGACCGGATTGAGATGCAATATTCCTCCAAATGGGGTATCTCGATAATACGGTTGGTGTTATGACGCTGTAGTTCTAGCCTGCGCTGTTAAAATCAAAACAATTACAGCCAGAGGGCAAATACTTCGCGTAGTCACTCTCGTACAGTCCTGGAAAAATGTCGCTACTCCGCCAACGCTCATCCAGCTATAGTAGTATTGTTCTTCTACTCGTAGGAAATATACAAGGCAAAATATTCTCGTCTGCATTGTGCAGATATGGTCATTAGAATATGCTATGTACTTTTCATCAATGATAAATGTGCCTTGCCACTATGACTCCGCCGGGGCGACATCAGCAGCAGCAGCAGCAGCAGCAGCAGCCTGTTTGGCAGCAAATCGCTCGCGTGCCAATTCCAACTTGGACTTGGGCCGTTCTCCACTCCCTCCAGTGGTGGCCGGGTCTTGTTCAATACCCTTGGCCCGAGCTTTCCACTCGCCACGACGACGCTTGTAGAGATCCATCGACCAGTTGCGCCAAACCGCGCGGCCGAGGAAGGAGTCACGGAGAGTCATTTCGTGCTCCGCGAGTTCCTGAGCCAATCGTTCCTTGACAAAGTAGACATCTTTGGAGGCGGGCCAAAGGGCGTCAACCACGTGTGACCCAGAGTTATCCTGCGCCAGCTCCGCGAGGTGACCCTGGAAGCGAGGGATGAATTGTCGTCGGAACTGAAGTGTGGAGGTTGGGAGAGTCAAGGCTTGTTGTAGAACACGGGATGAGGTCGCCTCCTTGGCAAGCTGGACGATTGTTTCGGGGGACTGCGCTAGAAGACTGGAATAGACGAGATCACTGAGTGGGCCCGGGGCTGTGAGCATCACTTGCGTCAACAGTGACCCGTGCAATTTCTCTGCAGCAGAAACGGACGACCCGGGGCCTGATTGTTGATTCTGGCGTTGCTTGTGAGAATCTCCATCGGCATCGTGCATTTCCTCATCTTCAAATGATCGTGTGCCGGCGTCGGAAGCCGAGTCGAGTCGAAGCATTTGTCCAAGGCGGACTGTTGGATCGGCGTCATATGCGTTTTGAAGCGCCTTGGCAAAAGGTATAGTATCGACGTTACGAACCAAGCAACGCTCAATCAGCACCTTAGGAACGATCAAGCGGGAGCGTTCGATAAGTCCGGGAACCTCTGGGATGATCAGCTCCATGGCATTTTGCAGGTCGTCTTTGCCAAGTCGCTCTAGTGTTCGTAGGACCACGTATCCGGCAGTGCTGTTGCGAGAAAGGGATCCGATTCGATCACGGATATTGTTCTTGTACAGGTTCTTGAAGACCTTGCCCGGCGTGTATCGGACCATGGTTTCCACCAGCCGAGAGCCCACGGGATCGTATAGCAGACCACGAATGAAGGTTGCACTATCTGTGCCTTCCTCGAAAGACTCATCCGGAACTAATCGGCGGAGGATGGATTTGGGATCTTTGGCGCTGGACTTGCCAAAGTGGGAGAGTTCCAAGAAGAGAAGGACCTGAAGAACAGGGTTTCCAATGGGTTGCGTCGCCAAAGCCCTCAAGTAAGTGTCATCCACTCCAGCAACCATCTCGCTCATCATTTTCTTGAGAGCGGACTCGAAAGATTCGGGGACGCCACGCTTCTGAGTGGGCGCTTGATCTTTATCCTCTTGCGCGCCAGCGGCCGGCAGACCCAACCTTTCCTTCTTGCGACTTGCAACCACGGAATCTTTAGACGTAACGTCGACCGGCTCTCCAGCGAGTACCAGCAACAAGACGCGAATCGTATGCGAGGCAAATCGCTCCGTCAGAAGATAGCCCCAGTTCTCTTTCAATTCCTCAATCACGCGCAGGAACATGTCTGCAAGCGACAGGTCCGACTCCTCTCCCTCCTCGCCGCCCTCTGATTTCTTCGCACGAGATTTCGACGTCTTCTGCATGACTGCAGGTGCAGCGTGGATGAATAGTGTTTCGCAGCAGTGGCTCGCAAATCGATGCTGTACAAGATGAAGGAAATGACCGAGGAATTTTCCAAAAATGCGTCGAATCTGTCGAGCGTCTGACATGGAGATCAACTTTTCCATCAGTCTCGAGCAGCCCTGACTACACGCAATCTTCAATTCCTTGCCATTGGCTTCCTGATATACACTCTCTATGAATATATTGCGCTCCTCGGCGTCGTGGAACTGGTTGGCTTCGAGCATTTCGTTTGCACGAGAGAAATACTCGGCCTCATCGCTGTCCAGCAATCCGTAAAACGGTGTATCGCCATTTCCTTCGTCTCCGTTCTCAAATGCTTCTTGTTGTTCGGCTTGATCATCGTCGAAGGGAATATAATCCGCACCCTCTGTGAACGCAGGCTCGATGGTGTCGTCGGCATCGTTCGAAGGTTTCATGCGTTTTGCGGAGGGGGCTTCGATGGTGTCGTCGTACTCGCGCTTTGAGTCTTCTTTCTGGGCTTTCTGCTCGGCCCGACGGCCTCTCTTTTGCTTTTCACGAGGCATGGTGAATATTGAGATTGATGGGTGAACCAATGTCGGAGCGTCGCAATCATGCGCTGGGAATTTTTTTGGATAAGCAGTGGTCCAAGCGTCACCGCGGCGAATGTTTGCATGATTTGCAGCGCCTCTTCCGGCCGTCGGCAACGAAAACGAGGGATCTACACCTCTACCACACGAAGTTTGACGTCGCTGCATGGACACATTCTACTGAAAGACTAGAAGACTTACCCAGTACTAGCCTATCAAACGAGTAAAAATAGCTCGCCAGAGCTATTGCCTGAATCACTGTATGAATGAATGTACAATACGTTCGCCCCTGGCTGCTCTTGTCTGCCGCCGTAACAGCCGTTCAGCGCCTTCGCAGACCCAAGTATAGAACGCATCGCTATTCTAATCACTTCATGCCTACAGCATATTATCCTCTAATCTCACCAAGCCACGTGAAACCTGTAGAAGGTATCATCATAACTGTGTCCTGGTTGTCTCTGTATGTCTCCGAGCTATTTGACTCTTATCTCTGTGTTGATTACAGCCCAAGGATTTCCAACAAACCTTTATCCCGCAAATGAAGCTCCTTATCCAATTCCATCCACACGGCAGATCTTGCTTCTGCGTCATAACAAATCGGTCGTGCTGGCGCATCCCAGATGCGATTGATGTATCTACCGCCCCCTCGTCCACTAGGCGCACCTACACCCTGCGTGTCTGGGTGTGGTCCACACTCCGGTGAAGTAGCCGCATAAGTGATCGCCAAGCTACCCTGCTGCGGGGTGATGGCAAAGAAGCGTAAAAGTAGTTTCAATACTCGAGTGGGCAGATCGGTGGCTGTTGTCACTGGCACCCAAATACTCGAACCCACAAACCCCGGATTCACTCCGTTCACGGTGACGTGCTTGTATTCGGAGTGTCGCAGAAGCCGGGACTGTAGCTCGGTGACCCAGGTCTGATAGTAGAGCTTGTTGTCTTGATAGTCATTGCCTCTTTTCCAAGGTCCACCTTGAAAATGGTCTAGATCAAACAGACCGAGGTGGTGGATACAAGATGTCGTGCAAACAATTCGAGGCTCTGCACTTCGAGCCAACGATGGGAGCAAACGGAGGGTTATTAGCACCTGAGATAGTAGATTTACCTGCCATCAAATTATTAGAATGGCTCACTGTGATAGAAAGGGCACAATGTACCACAACGCACTGCGGAGCATCAAGACATACCTGGTGAGCCATTTGGAAGCCATCTTTGGTCATGATGTCCTGGGCTGGAGGCGCAAGTCCAGCATTGTTGCAAAGGACATCCAGAGGCCGGTCGCATCCTAACCACCGCGCGCAGAACTTCTCCACGCTGTCAAAATCTGCTAAATCAACCTGCCACCACTCGATTGAGGCTGAATGGCCGTGTGCTTGAGAAATCTGCTGGCACTCTTCAACCGCGGCTGTGGGATGAATTTCCCATGAAGGCGGTTCTCGACAGGCTAGAATGATGTGGGCTCCCATCGCGGCCATGGACTTTGCGGCCTCTAAGCCGATTCCATTGTTGGATCCGGTGACGATGATCCATTTGCCGGTCAGATCGGCGCCCGGAACGTGTTTCTCTGTGAGAAAGGTGCTATTCACACCTCGAAAGGCTTGGATGAAATCATAGATGCGTGGCCAAGACGGCGCGATCATTGCGATACCAGCGTATGACCTGGTCAGAAGCACTTTAGGTTTTGTTGGGTTTCGTAGGGATGGGCGAGACAATGGGTAAGCTGATGGAGCCCTCAGGGGCTGTGTGTCTGAGTCGGGGTATCCGATCCAAGTTGGTACCAGACCCATTCTGGAAGTCCCGGGTCAATGGATCAGCTACATACAAGAGTACGTCAGCTTATCCATAGAGTCGATTTAACACCCGACGGAACCTCGTGGCTCGTTGACGCCGACTCCAAAAATAGCAAAGACGAGCCCAGGCAGATGCTGATTGCGGGTTGTTGGTTGTTGGACGGAAGAGCCTTCCGTGTCAAGATCCGTTAATCACTAACCTCTCGTTTAATATCTGCGTGCTGCTAAGCAAGCTTCTCATAGCATATCAACGATCAGGTCACGTCTGACTACCTACCGGCTTCAAAACATGGACCAGGAAATTCACGGTGCTCACTAGACTAGGAATCTATTCGGTGGACACTCATTAATGCATCCGAAGGATCGGGAATACATCGCCAAGTGGTGGTCGTAGAGCACAAGAAGCACAGGGAATCCGATGAAGGAGAAGTGGGAGAGGCATTAATGGAGCACTAGCTCAATAAAAATACAGGGACGGGCTCATTCTTCGTCCGTTTTGTTTCTCATCGCGACTTTATTCCGTCAAACTGTCGCGGCATAGATGGCAGTTACGTGGCGACCACATTCGACTCTTTGCTCCATCTTGACAGATCGCTTATCTACCTTACCCTTGTGCTGCGGCATGATCTGTAGGCGTGCATCGGGTTCGTCCTTCTTTGAAACCTCTGATGGTGCCTTGATATAGCTTGGTCGGGAGAAGTTTACCCGCTTTCCCGTACCCAGCTGGAAATGCTCGTTGCCTCCCCAGAAGAGCACGTCGTAGCCAAAGTCACGCGACTTATCAAGAGATTCGGTTGTTTTGGTCGTGATGGCACTCTTGTTGTCCATGACAGCAGCGACATGTGTCGTCCCCACGGAGATGTCGCGAAGACGGATAGGTGTCAATTGCTTCTTGACTTCATCGTATTCTGCAAGTCCGCTCAGATCCTTCACCTTGGCGGGTGAATCCTGGAGATGAACCCACCGGCCTGTACCCAATTGACCCCAAATGCCTTTGCCACAGGACCATGTATCAGCAGTGACGTGGCCCAGATCTCGAACCAATTTAGGATTCTCCTCGGGGCCCAGGACGCGCTGGGCATCAACTGTGAAAAAGCTGCCAGCACCACCAGCAGCAATATTGGTCGCCTGCACGGCATACAATCCTCGGCGATAAAGCTTTTGCAGGGAAAGAGCGAAGGGGGTGTCTCTGAAAGTTTGTTCTGAGTCATAGTCGACGCCAAGTTGACCAAACGAGTTGTCACCCCAGGCAAAGACGCGGCCGTCCTTGGTCAGCGCAAGCGAGTGGTAGTCGCCAGCGCTGATCTTGGATACTGGAGAGCCCACAAGAGCAGTGACCTCATGGCACAGGTCTACAGGGCCCTTGGGACGGGTCGACCATGTCAACCCAGGCACACCGAGCTGGCCGTGGGAAGGGTAATGTTCAGTTGACGCGGCAGCAGTAAAGACGCGGCCAGAGCTTGTTAGAAGAACCACGTGCTCCTGGCCTGCCGAGATAGAGGTCACCTTCTCACCAAAGCCCAGCGTCGGCTTCAAGGTGCGATAACTCAGAGGTGACTGAGTGGTCCAAAAAGGTATCCAGGAGCCCTCTTGTGTCTTAGGCCCAGTCTGCTGCTCCTCCTTGGCAATTGGCAATGAATAAACCGTGCCATCCGACGACAGAGCAACAACCCGGTTCTCGGACAAGGCGAGAGACTTGAGATCCTTGCCAACCAAAGTCTTCGTTGGCTTGAATTCCTTCTCAGAGAAGCCCTTGCCCCACTGTACCAGATCGCCATTTTCCGTGATCGCAGCACCAGCTTTCTCACCAGCTTTCAGATCGCGGAGCACCTGGCCATTGAAGTACTTGAGCCGACGGGGTGTTTTCACATTGGTGTCTTTGGAACCTGGATCCACCACTTTGTAGACATTAGAGCCACACATGTAGACTCCGGGGCTCCTCAAGCTTCGCTTTTCCTGGACGAGCTGTTCTTGCGAGTCTTGGAGGTTGATCATCTGCTTCTCTGCAGCAGCCTTGATCTCATGAGGTACATCCTCAAAGTCTCCTTTCATGAAGGAATATCCAATATAGACTGCAGCTCCGGCGACTGCCGCGCCTAGGCCACGCACGACCATATTCGGAGCCCCATTGGGCTGTTGCGCATTCTGGCTAGCAAGCCCACGCCGGGATGTTCGAAGGGGAACACGGACAGCAGAGACCGATGGGCGAATGATCGAACGCATGGAAGGGGTCGCAGAGCCCCATACCCGTGTAGCCATCATTGAATATTCGAAAGTTTTGCGGCCCTGGCGATGCAAAAACTATGCACTTTCTGGGGAAGAAGATCGGGGTAGCTCATCTTCATTGCGTCAGTATCGGGCGGGATCCCGAGGCAGAATAAGCTCCGGCGGGTTGCTGATTGTGATATGGCCTCGGATCACCGCCGAACGTCTTGGTGAGTATATACTTCTGCCTGCTTGCGACGCACAAAAGGATTATCGCCAAATGATCTCATGAAGGTCACTTGCCTCAGGGCCTCTTTCTACTTTTGATATGTCGTCAGCAAAGACGCGAGCACGTCGCCAGACAGCACCCTCAGGGCCCCCGCGGAAGGTTGCTGTGAGGGACTCCCAGCCGCATCTTGATGGTCTGTCCGAGCAACCTGAGGAGAAAGACGACAAGCCAACCATTCCTCAATGGCAAAATGAGCTTGAATTCTCAGAATGGTACAGTAAGGTGAAAGGAGATCTGGTAGAAGAGAGCTACGAGCAATACCAGTAAGTTCCATTATGTGCGAGAATCATGAGGAAAAGGAGGAGATCCCCCATCAACCGCTGTTGCTAATCATGCTTCTTCTCAAACTTCAGAAATTGTCTAGATGACTTGCAACAGTCGCGCGAGCATATCGACGATATATTAGTCAACACTCTAGTCTTACTCGACTCTCTTACACATCTTGCCAAGGAGTTCAACGCCGTCGAGTCGCAGACGTCCAATTTCGAAAAACAATGCGAAGGCTTGCTGACTGCTCAAGAGCGGGATACAAAGCTTGCGAATGGAATACAAACCAATCTTCATTACTATGAATTCCTAGATCCGGCTTCGAGAAGACTCAATGCCCCGGGCGCTGGCAACACAGTACGAGATGAGGATTTCTCCGACATGTTACGGCGCTTGGACGTCTGTTTGGATTACATGGAAACACACGTAAGTGAATTAAAGCCTTGGATGCGCTCCCATTGAGAAAACATGAACTGAAAGACCTGGCAGCCGGAGCAAAAAGAGGCCGAGGTCTATCGCGCGAGGTACCGCTTGCTTCTGACTCGAGCTCTCACCCTGATTCGAGGTAACTTTGTCTCATCTCTGCGCGAAATCTATTCAAATGTCTCGAAGAAAATCGCAGATCAATCTTTGAATGAGGCTGCCCTATCTGCCTTACTTTATGCAAAATTCAGGGTTGGCGCGCCGGAGCTCAAGCAGATCGGTGTGGAAATTCAAAAGAGAGCAGTGCCCCCCTTAAACTCCGAGCAGAACAATGAGGCAGAATATCAGAGCTTGATGAACGAACTGCACAGCAATTATGCAGCAACGCGAGTACGACTCGTTGTGCCTCTTGCTCGTAAGAAGCTCAATGAGATCTCACAGACACCCAGCTCTTCAAAGGACTTGGTCGCTTTTGCCCGCGCGAGCATCAGTTATATCCGCGGCTTATGTTTGGACGAGTATGACTTGTGGGGGGAGTGGTTCCATGGTCAGACCGGCCTGTACGACTTCCTTGAAACAATCTGCGAGCCGCTCTACGATCATCTTCGCCCACGAATCATCCACGAAACCGACATGGGTACTTTGTGTCAACTGTGCACTCTCCTGCAAACACGGTATTTCCTCGATCCCGAAGAAGAAATGGAGCAAGGCGAGGCGAACCAGCTCGACTTCTCTGTTCTCATTCAGCCGGCTCTTCAAGATATTCAGACACGGCTTGTGTTCCGAGCTCAGGCCGTGCTGCGCGATGAAATTGAGCGCTACAAACCCCGACCTGAGGACATTGACTATCCCATGCGCAGCAAACAGGTGTCATTAAGCGTGACCGATACGCAGATCTCGGACACAAAGGATATGCTGGTAAGGACCATGCTTGAAACCAAGGCGTCCGTTGAAGGAGGCAGTGAGCGTGCGGCAGCTCAAGATCAAGACGAGAAATGGGACTTTGAGACCCAGACCGCGCTCAAGGGCTGGTACCCCACACTGCGAAGGGCAATATGGCTCTTGAGTCGAATTTATCGGCTAGTCAATGTACATCTTCCTTTCAAAACCCAGCTACATCTATCGCGACCACTCGCTGACCCGCAAAAAACTAGTCTACCGTTTTCGACGATCTCGCCCATCAGATTGTGCACCAAACCACCTTATCGCTTCAAAGTGCCAGCACACTCATTGCGAACAAATCGTCTCCTGCCGACGGCCAACTGTTCCTGATGAGTCATCTTCTCATTCTAAAACAGCAAATTGTCGCCTTTGACATTGAGTTTGTGGCTCCAGAGGTCTCGCTCGATTTCTCAGGCGTGACAAATACCTTCTGGGAGCTTCGCGAGAGAGGCGGGCTTTTCAATCCACGTAATCTGATGCGCCTCGTTGGACACGGGCTCATTCCTCGCGTAGTCGAGAATATGCTCGATGCCAAACTGGAATTAGACGGCCAATTGCGAACCGTGATCAACGACTTCATCAATGCCTTTGCAGCTCGTATGACAGCATCCCTGCCGACAAAATTCGTCGATACGCGCAATCTGCAACACGGAGAGCTTGTTTATCCGACCTGTCGCACCATTGAGAAGGAAGTGCCTGCCCTTCGAAAAATACTCAACGCGTATATTGACGACACACGGATGAAGGAAACCCTTGTAGGCGCGGTTCAAGATCGTACGATTCAGATTTACGAGGACTTCTTCGACAAATTCATCACATCCGGGAAAGGAAAGGACCAGAGCCAAGCCGCATGGGAAGTTGACACGTTCGCTTCGTGGTGCGAGAACATCTTCAAAGTTGGTGTTGCTGGTCTTCAGTCTGAGCGCGAAAACGATTTTGTGGATGATGATGATGATGATGGCGTCTCGAAGGGAAGCTCTTAGCATTTCCCTTTGGTGGCCTTTCCCTTGAGCATATTCGAATTATTTCAAGATACCAATTGCATGCGTCATTTGACAAGAAGTAACCATTTACCGCAGAGTAAAAGGTATAATTGTTCAATCACCAGCGTCTTGTTTGGAACGAAAGTTTCGCTCGCTTATGATTTATGCAGAAGATTGCACAATGTAGCAAAATGTATTTGTTTTGGTGAAGAAGCATAGGTATGCATAGTAAACGAACGCTCCGCTATAAACCGCCTGGCCTCGCTTGACAAAATGCACAAAAGAATAGTAACATGAGCAAGGTTTTTGCGAAAGTGGCGGGCAAAGGTCTCGTATGTGTACAGGATTGGAGTGAATGCACTTGAAAACATCGAAATTTATGAGCTCATGACCCAAGGTGGGAAGCCACTCATAGCACATGTCGAATTTTCGCATAAAGTTCCGTGTCAAGGAAATTGTAGCTTGGATCCGGTTCGCAGAAGGGATGACGAGTGAGCAGGGTCCCGGCAGTGGGACGCTCGGAAGAATTTCTGTGTCAGGAAGATGGTCAGTAATGGGTCCTAGAGGGCCACGCAACGTGACTCTGGGCGGTCTAACTCACACAGTGAAACAGTCGTACATGAAAGCAAGCGCTGCGGGACTGATGCTCATGGAAACGTCGTCTGGAATAGGTGGGGCCTGGTTGAGACTGCCAAGCTTGAAGATGGCCCCAATAGCTTCTTCTTTGCTCCAAGGTCGGCGACCAGCAAACATCTCCAAGACGACACAGCCAAGTGACCAGATATCAACCTTGGCGCTGTAACCTTGACCCTGTGATTGAATGACTTCAGGTGCCATCCAGAAGACCGAGCCTTGCATGGAATTGGAAGAATCATTTCCATAAATGTCATCGGTCTTCTTGGATATACCAAAATCGGAGATTTTGCAGGTTCCATCCAGATCAAGCAAGATGTTGTCGGCCTTCAGATCACGATGCAAAATTCCCATGTCATGAAGATAGGCGAGACCATCGAGAGTCTGCCGTGTCAAGGATTTCACTACACTTTCTTCGAATTTGCCATGCTTGCGTAGACAACTTCCCACAGACCCACCAGAGATGTACTCAAGGTAGATAGAGATGGACGTCTCTCCCCGCTCACAACCGAGATACTGCACAATATTTGGGTGCTCGAGATGTTGCATCGTGTCAATCTCTTGGTCTAAGGCAGCCACCATCTCCTTGATGCGGTCTCGATCGGTGCCTGCTAACCTCGCATTGATCTCCACCTGCTTTACGGCCAAAACCTCACCATTGTCTGCATTCATGCCCAGGTAAACTCGACCATAGGTACCCTTTCCGATGAGCTGACCGCGAATAATGCGAAAGGTAGGCTGGCGTTGCGGGACAGTCCCACTTGTCTCTGGAGAGGTAGGCGCGTTTTGAGGAATGGGGTCAAGTTGACGAAGTCTCTTACCGGGTTTGGGGCTAATTTGCATGATCTTAGCGCCAAACATCTTGGTGCTCTTTCGTCGTAACAAGTTGCCGGACTGCTGAGGGCCAGCAGAGCTGACGCTCTTAGTTCGGTGCGCGGCACCTCTGGCCACTTCACGAATTGATTTCTTTCGTGATAAGCCACCGCTGCGGTCCAGATTTCGCCTGGCCACGATAGATCCGCCTTGTGAACCCGGTGGAGGACGCATGGTCGACGCATCCGATGACATGTTGTTCATGTCCGTGGCAGACTGTGACATCGGCAACGAAGGATCCTGTCTGGCTCTAATGGTTGCGCTGGCGTCTGGATCTCCCTTTGCCGCATTAGGCGAAGGTGGCTCCTCGAGATAAGGAGCATCGAGATCGACATTCGGGAAGAAGCTGTCAAGGTTATCGATGACACCCTCGACAGCAGGTCTGCTAGCCCAAACATCGCCATTGACAAACGAGTCCCTGCGATTGGGCTCATCATCATCCGACGAATCTGATCCATAGAACGTGCCGGAGAACTTCCTTGGCTGGGCGGAAAATTCACCTCCTTTCCTTTCTCCGCTGACTGGCGTGGCAAAGCCCTTCCCTGAGGATGTGTTAGGTGAGATGAAGCTCACAACTCGACGCGGCTTGGCATTATCAGTATCCAAGCTCAATGAGGGTTTTCGTCTTTTCTCAAGTTCCGGTGCAGGTTTCGGGGCTCCGCCCTTGATGGCCGAATTGCGAAAAGCCCGTCGTCAGAAGAGTTGTCGTCGTCTGCTTCTTCGACTGGTTGCTGTGGAGTTTTGAAGAACGACACCTCGGATTCCTCGAAGTCAAATTCTGGGCCGAATGATTTTCGGGACTGCGCGGTGGGCTTCTCCGAAGTTGTATTTTGAGGGGAAGTTTCATTTGGTGTAGAGCGAGAGGCGAATGGAGGAACAGTGTCCAGGCTGTACTCGCCACCGAAAGCAGTTACATTGCTGCCTGAATCTGGAGGGAAAAAAAGCTTAGCAGTAGTTCAGACTTCCCCTCAGAAAGCAATGTGAAACAAGACTCTAACTTACCTAGCGTCGTTCTGCTTGACCCAGTTGCGATGGAGCCAACAGTGCTCGTCCGATCAGAATCAGAGCTCACGCTGTCCTGACTGTGCAACGACGAATTGGGGGGATTGGAACTGAGGGTGATGGAGTACCGATAGCGCCCGAGATTCGCCCGACGGTTGCCAGCACCGCCCCAAGACCGTGCGATTGCCCTGTAGCTTGCGTCTGTTGACGGTGGCGTTCTCCTCGCTCGCCTGGCACTTTTCTCAACGAGTTGACTTTGGTGAGTGTGTTCGACTCATTGGGTGCCACAGGAGGTTTTCGCAAAGGAACCAAAGTTTCGGATTTCTCGACCTTCTTTTCCTCGTATGGAGACAGCCGTGGAGAATCAAAGTCAATAACACCTTCACGCCGATACCCTGTGTCTCCATATGTGTCCTTCCGTGTTTGTTGCGAAGTTGGCGGAGGCAAACGAGAAATGCGGTTTTCCTTCTGTTTGCGTTCGACCTCCCGCATGTGCGCCTCATGACGGGCGAGCAAATCCATCTTGTCAGGATCTTGAATCAAGCCAGGGTCGGGAGATCCATCAGGGAGGGATTTCGCCGGCGTGGCTTTGAGGGTATTTTGCCGAGAGCCTAGCAAGTCACTATATGGCTTTCCTTGGGTTTTGGGGGATATCCTATTCAGCGCGGCTTCCTCCAAGGGCTTTCGATGGATCGAACCGTGGGCAGCCGTGGGAGACAGTGCTGGCTTTTCGGAAGGTATCGAAACTCCCAGGCCATCAAACCGCGGTGTTTGATTTGCTGAGTGAGAATTTAGCACACCCTTGACGAAGACCTTTAACGACCCATAAGCGTCCGATTTCGTTCTCCGGCTCACTGCCAAGATCGAGTCGCTCATGGGGTCCTCGTGCTCTGTCTGTCCAGGTTGAGTGAGGAATATCTGGGCACCGCTCCAGTCGGATATTCCTAGAGCATGACAGATTCCAGCCCGAAGCGTCTCCACGGAGTCCCAGTCGGTTATGTCAATCAAGCGGTAGTTGACACCGTCCATGGTACCAAACATCCATTTCTTGGTTTTGGTCGGAATGACTGAGGATGATCGCTCCCCTAAGGACATGTCACTCGAGTTGAATGCGGGCTGATAGGGAAGATAGCCGTTCGTTCGCGCCTCGGGGCTTGGCGGAGACTCCAAGTCTTCGGAAGAAGGATGGCTGGGCACATCGGTTTTGTGTCCTTTCTTTCTTGAGAACAGGTTCAAAATGCTCTTGCTGTGTTCGCGAGGAATTGAGGAAGAGAGCTCTGGGCCATGAGCTTTGCTTGGCTCCTGAGCCTGGTTTGAAGGGCGAGATACATCAGTACCTTGTCTGCGGCTTTCATAATATCTGCCCGTTGAGGCGGATCCCCGTGCAGCTCCAGGGGTCGATTCGGTACTGTTGACACGGGAATGCTCATACCGGAGCGGCAGATCCCCAGTAGAGGAAGAGGTGAGCCCAGAATATGAGGGGGACACATAATGCGCCGCTGGACTTCCACTCTTTGGACTGTCCTGTGCTCTCAACGACGCAGGCAGGGCGCCACTTTCACTCGAGACCGAGGGACTCTGTCGCCGATGGTCATTCACTGCGGCCAAAGCATTTCTGGAGTAATCAGAGCGAAGCCAACTGGGTGAGTCTCGTGACGGGGACTCGTGCGCTGGGCCATCGAAGCCAGACGGAATCGGAAGAGTCACAGAACGCATCTGAGGGATCTTTTGTTGCGAAGTGGCCGCACTTTGGATGGTTGCTAACTGTTCTGGAGTGATATCATTGATACCGCCCGTCGGTCCAGCCGAACGGGGTTCAGTCAACGGGGGCTCGAGTAGAAGCCAGTTCCATTTTCAACTGTTGCGGTAGCCCAACCAGGCGGGTCACCTCGCATCGGAGTCGAGATGGAGGAATCTGATTCGTTCTCGTGTATCTGGCGTATCAATTTGCGCATTCGCAACCCTTCTTCTCGCTCGCGTGTCGAATCCCAGCCAGTGCCGCTCCGAGCACATTCTTTTGCAAGTTGAGGATAGACGACTTTATGCATTTTCCCCAAATTTCCACGCCCTCCGGATGCAAGACCAAGCTCCAAGAAGTCAGCACCTTGCAACTCTAAGGCCTTGAATGTTTCTTGCCAATCCTTGGAGAACCCATTCCGAGCAAGCCAGAGCAGGACCCGATCAAGTGGCCACTGGATTGCAGCTTCACTTGGTGACATGCCTCCAAGAGAAGCTCCGCTTGTCTGGTGCCGATGAGTCGGCGATTTCGCAAGGTCGCCGTGTTGGGGACCTTGCGAAGGGTTATCATTGGTGACCAGCTCATGGATATTGTTGTGCAAGGTAAAGGGGGGTGTGAGCCGCGTACCCGGCGTCTGTGGATTGAACGGGCCATCCGGTCCCGGATGATATGTCTGACTACTGGTTTGGCGCTGTTGCGCATAGGGGTCGTAGGTTTGCCCACTGGGCTCAAAAAGAGGTGGGATTCCGACTCCAAGGGTGTCGTTGCCGGGTATATAAGTCGCCGATGTAAGCGGCTGGTTGTCGTGTGAAGTGACAAGAGACAAGGGCGCGGATGGGCGGTATGCGGCGATATGTTGATTCTGAGGCAGTGGTGGTGGCGGTGGTGGAAATCCACCAGGAAGGGGAGGTCTACCCCAACTTGGTGGTTTCTGCTGCTGCTGTGTTTGTTGCCAACCACCAGGTGTTCCGTATCCTGAAGCTAGCGGTGGACCTGGCGGCGGCCCTGGCGGCGGCGGAGGGACTCCAGTCTGTAGCTGCTGGTGAGGGTGTCGCGGCGGCGGCGGAGGCAGGTTCATAGGATGCTGGGGCGGGGGAGGGCCCGGGATGTATTGTCTTTGGCCATCCATGGTTGAAGTCGTATTGAGCGAACGCAGTCGCGCGTCTAGGGCGCAGCGGTACGCTGTTGCAAATCTCGAAGTCGCTGAGCACGCTTGGCGCAATCAATGCATGGCATGGGTAGTTCGGGAATCAAGAAGGGAGTGGACTTGTCGACATGGCTATTATCTGTGCCTCGGTCTTGATTCGCTCAGGGTTCAGAAATACTGGTGGTCAAGGCCCAGAGCCAGCCAGCCATGTGGTGTTTGAGAAGGCGGCTCTGCTTTGAAAAGATATTATTGTTAGTCCCAAAAAGAATGTTGCCGCAACAGCAGCAGCGACCCCCCCTCGTCCGATCGCCCGTCACTACCTCGAGAGCTTAAGGGATCGAAGCGCGTCACGATCAGGCTGTCTGCTGTGCTGCCCTTTCCCTGGAAGCGTTTAGAGTGATCGCATGCGATCAGTCATCACTTACTTGTTCAACCGCAAGATATCAAGCTAAATAGTGAAAGTTCGAATATCAGCAAGCCCGACGAATGCCTAATGCCTAAAGATTAGCAACGCCTAGAATCATCACGTGGTGGGCCCGCAATGCTTCAAGTGTGGAGACCTCGAGCTTTGATGTCGGGCAAGCGCGGAGTTTGAATGAGTTGGGCACTCGACCGCCCGTCCACATTCCATTCCCGATCAAGCAATTTTCTGGATACTGCTTCGTTTCAACTACCAACACCCCTATCGTGAATTTCATATCAGTAAGATCCTAAGATGTGCACCAGCGACCCGGTGATGAATTATGACTTAAGCGAGTCAAAGCACCTTAACTTATCGGACAGCGACCAAGTATCTCGAGAATCCGGCGACAGTCTATCCAGCTACCGAAACTACTACTGTAAAGTTGTGAACAGCGAGATCCATTTCCCCTGAATCCTAAAGTCTCGGCCCCGGAAGACATCCCGTCGAGCATTGGCCACAGACGGTATATTTCGCGCAAACGGGAGGATCCTTGGAGTCTAAAGCGGTCTGCGTGGACATCTCGCCCCTCGCGCAGTAGTTTACTAGCTTGGTAGTTAGTAACTTAGTAGTAGTAGTAGTAGTAGTAACTAGTTACTAGTTACTAGTTTACTAGTCCGTCCCGCTATCTTTGATCCTGCTTGTTCCCTAGCAAATGGCCGTTCTTTGGATGATCCTTCGGCTACTGTAAGTATCACGATCAGTCCATGGAAGGATCACACAGTGGAATAACTCAAGGCAGTAGCAATTGCGGTGGCTTCTAATCATACTCGCACATAGCTACGAGGGCCCGCGTGTCCTGGTTCGCAAAAGAACCTGGTCTCGTGGCCAGCATGTTTCAGAGATCATGCGATTGGGCTCGATGCCATCCATGCATCAGATACAGAGCCTTTGTGTTTACTTGAGTGGTACATAGACTAGTAACATAGTACATGCTTACATAGATGGTTCCAACTTGTAACTACCCGGTAAGTTATATCACGTTTGAGAGATAAAGCATTGTCTGGCTGCTGGAATGCACATGCCGATCACCAAAGTGATATGGAAGACCTTGACGGTCATGGATGATGAGAAGGCCCATACTCCATTTGAGAACATTAGAATGGAGTGGATGGCATCTCGAGGGCCGGGATGGTTTTTATCAATTGAAAAATAAGACGGCGCCTGAAGCGAAGAGTGGCTCTTGAATGAATATGAGATATGTTGCTAACCATAAGTCGTAAAGTGGGAAATTCAACTGGCGATTAGTGAGGATTCCCTCGTGTCTCGGAGTATGACCCTTGTGTCTCGGAGTATGAGAAGTCGCCAGCAACAACTTTTGAGGTAGGCACAGACGATGAAGGTGTGGTCGCTGGAACAATCCCACACGAGACAAAGCAAGGGGTAATTTCCTCCCCGGAGTACAATGATTTGCGTCAGGCTCCGAGTCGACCAACACCCCGGCAGGCGGTGACAAGGAAGCAGAAGAGGAGTAGCTCTCCAATGCTTATTTGTTGCGCGCAGCTGCGGCGTCAGCAGTCAGTTTCAGTGCGGCGGGCGCATCATCACGAGGCATGTACAGTTCCACAAGCTACGCGATTTTCCCCACGTGTTAGCCGTCGTCATTCTCGTAAAAACAGAAAACCATCTTGGGGTTAATGTAAGAACCTCACCTGCAAACTTGTTGGGTTGTTGAATTCCTGATCAGCGAAGAGTGCGTTCAACTCGTCACGAGTCTTGATGCGACGGGCCTGATAGCCTGCGTCCGCGCCGAACACCTTGGGAATAGCGGCATAGTCCCAGGTCTGAATGTCATTGTAGGTAGCATCCCAGCCGTGGATGTATCGCTCGATAGTGTAGCCCTCATTGCAGATGACGAACCTGTATAGACGGAATCATCAGATGGTGTACTTCGCGAGCCTCGTTCAGGGATCTCGAAACACTTACACAATGGGATTGAGCTTGTTGCGAAGCATCGTGCTGAGCTCTTGAATGGTAAGTTGGGCACTTCCATCTCCAATGAACAGAATGGTCCGACGGTTCTTTTGCTCTTTGGCCGCGAGAGCAGCACCTTGGCACGCGCCCATGGAGTAACCAATGCTTCCCCAGAGCACCTGGCTGATGGCAGTCACATGTGCGGGGAATCGGGTATCCCAGATACCAAAGTTGGCAGTGCCAGTTTCGGTGATGACAATATCCCGCTCCTTGAGCCACTGACCGACCGTAGGCCACAGCCAGGCGTGGGTAATGGTCTGACTCGATGAATTCTGCTCACTGGCCGGGAGTTTGTTGTTGATGGGGGGGCTGGAAGTGACGTTGAGCTTGCCCATGCGCTCTACCACCTTGCGAAGGACTCCCTTCATGTTGACATCGGGATACTCGGAGTATCGCACGCGCACGTAGTTGCTGTGGAAGTCGATGGTGTTCAGCTGGCCAATTCGATAGGTGAATCCGGCGGTGTTGAAATCAGATTTAATGGCGCCAATGCTCAGGATCAAATCGGAGGACTCGACTACCTCTCTCACACCCGGGTTGGATCCGTCTCCAGCATAGACACCTCCAAAGTTGGGGTATGTTTCATTCACAGCGCCCTTGCCCATGGGGGCAACAAAAGTGGGAAGGCCAGATGCCTCGACAAGCTTTTGCACTTCTTCCATGGCCCGGTGGCGAATAGTACAGGCGTCGACCAGAATGACAGGGTTCTTCGCTGCCTGCAAGTATTTCAGGACCACATCCACAACGTAATCCTCCTTCTCTGGGTCGTTCTTGGGGATGGACAAGTCGATTGGCTGCTTCAGACGATCGCCGTTCACCTTGGCCTTGATCATGTCTGTGGGAAGAGTGATGTAGACTGGCCGACTGCGGATCCAGCACTCACGAATGGCGCTGTCGATAAGCGTGGCTGCATCACGAGGGTCCTTCAGGTGGGCAACGTAGCAGGAGATTTCCGCATTCATCTTATTGAAGACATTGAAATCGCCATTACCGAGCGTGTGGTGCAGCAACATGCCATCTTTCTGTGATCGAGTGTTGGGCTGACCCACGATGTGGACGATAGGAACATATTCCGAGTATGCGCCGGCAAGGGCATTCATGGCCGAGAGCTCTCCCACTCCGAAGGTGGTGATCAGAGCGCTGATTCCCTTCACACGAGCGTATCCATCGGCGGCGTAGCCTACCAGAGGAACCTTGGTGAGCTAGGTGTCCCTTGTGATGGGGGTTTGGGATTAAGACTTACCAGCATTGAGCTCGTTGCAGTTTCCAACCCAGTCTAGACCACACTTTGGCAGGTAGTCGAGCGCGGCAAGATTGTAATCGCCCGGAACGCCATGTACAGCTCGAATGCCGACCTCGTACAAACGACGAAACAGGTACTCGCTGAGGTCCATGGGGTTCTCCAGCTCCTGGGTAGCAATGTCCGTGGAAGTCATCGTGAAGGTGATGTTGGCACGGTGTAGTTGGGGAAAGAAAGAGCAAAGTTGAGCCACAGAGTGTTGGAAGCTGAATTAAGTAGCGGAGGGTTGGGCGACATCTAAACCAGGTGGGGTGAGCAAACTGCCTATTTCCTTCTCTTGCAGCAGAGTGACACCGGGCAATCGGAATAACGGCCGAAGACAAAGTAGGACAAACAAGATCCCCGGTCGATTGGATGATGTGTAAGTTACTTCTTTGCTACTAGTGACGGTACCTTGCTACCTACTGTGCTTGTCTTCGCCAGATGCTCTGATGCGGCAGAGTCGGACAACGTGATCTACGTCATTCTACGGCACGGTTGATGTCATGCCACACTGTACTTACCTGTGCGTGTCATCGTCTGATTTTCACTCTTCAACAAAGAATGATAAATGTGGACTGGGCTGAAAGCAAGAATAGATCGCAGATCTGATGAGACTATGAGCCGACAACCTCTCGGATCAGCTCGGGTCGTGAATCATCGAGCAGCGAGTGAGGGTGGCTCCAGGCCGGCCGGTTCCAAGCGTGTTCGGTATCGGGTCAACCTCTCCGTGAAATTGTGAATACCTATTCAGCCCATGGAAGTACGATATCCATCTCCCAGCCACACTGCGATCGGTCAGTGAGACACGACCTTATGGTGTATATCATCATCCCCAGTGGATGAGCTTTAAACCCAATTGCTCGACACACAAGCGGCTGCGGGCTTATTGGCGACCTTGGTAGCACTCTTTTCAAGTCAATAAATTCTCGTCGATAACAGACTTAGGTGGAAACCGTACCCGCATTTGGGCAGGGGAATTTGGCAAAGGAAAGAATCGATCGCAAGTCTAGATCGAAACCACGATCCCAAGCATTCAGTGGCACATCAGGGGAGAGCCATCTATCACCGAATAAGCACCTGACTTCGTGGACAGACCCGAGACGGAAGATCGACCTGCTGCGACCGATGGGACTCCAATGAGCGCCTCACGCCACGAGCTACGGAAGGAGCAGTGGCTCACGGCCAGGAACGGCAGTGAGCTTTCTCTTATCAGGTGACTTAAGGCCGGTCATTGTCAATGAGGCTCGGAAGACAGGGAGCAAATATCTCCAGCGACAACTTAGACAGTGCGACTAATTACTAGATTCGACTAGACCTAAGCTCATTCGTTGTCGCTGGAAAGTATCAAAAGTCAATCACAATATTTTAACACCTGCATCAAGAGGATTGAGACATGTAAATGCTACACAAAGTCTCTCCTCCCAGCTTGGTATGCTGTAGCCGTAGGTTGCGTAGCCTCAGGAACCGTGACTATCCAAGACTCCAATGTGTCCATAAGTAGTAAGTAGTAAGTAGTAAGTAGTAAGTAGTAAGTAGTAAGTAGTAGTAGCCAGCCTGTCGCTTGACTCATTGTGGCCGCAATCGCTCGTCGTACGGGATCGCCGACTCCACCCCACCTTTACCCTCCCCGCCTATCAGGGTATCGCGGAAATTGAGTTTTGAACGTCAAGAGGAAACCGATCAAAGCTCTCCCACCGACTGCTCTTCACATTCGCTCCATGTCCGGAGAAAAGCGTAGTATGTCTGATAATGCCAACTCGTCTGCCAAGCGCCAGAAAGGCCAAAAGGCACGTGTCATCTTGGTTCCATGAACTTCTGGTCATGTGCCACTAGCTCCAGGAGGCTGTCAAGGAATAAGCATGCAAGTGACAAGTATCGACGAGGCTAACTGGATCATTGAACAGAGCGGGAAACCCGCATGGCAAAATTCGGGTCGCAAAGTCAACATTGAAACCGGCGATGTCGGTGTAATTGTGACTTGCGATATGGGCAGAGAGGGAAAGTGTATTGCAGAGACTTTGGATCTTTTCTCACAGGTTGGTCTGCCTTGCGCCCTTTATGCCCAGTCAAAGGGGCCGTGACCAGGGAAACAGAATCCAATGCTCACCTCACAATGCTGTTCCACAGGCCCTGGAGAAGTCCGGGCAGCTCAAAGATACAACGGGAGATGACGATGAAGAGGAGGATGATGAAGACATTGAAGCTCAGATCAAAAGAGAGCTGGCTGGCTTGAAGCCCAACAAGGACAAGAAAAAGCCTTTTGAAGCAGTGCGTCTGGAGATGCCCTGCGGTACGTGTCTTTGGCGAACCTGTCGTCCATCCATATTCAAAGCATACAGTGCAACGTCTCAGCTAACGTCACAACAGTCATCTTTGTGCGACTGGACAAGTCCATCGACCCAGTAAAGCTTGTCCACCGGCTTTGTACCGAAGCACAAGCGAGTCCAGATCTGAAAAAGAGCCGATATGTGAAGCGAATGACCCCGGTGACTGAGGTCCGAAAGACCTTGAGTGTGGATGTCGAAGCCTTTGCCCGGCAGATTCTCAAGCCAGTCTTCCACTCTGGAGGACCACCCAAGACGGTGAGTCGTGGTGGCTCAACTTGCCAGTTTGATGGAGACGGAGATGGAGCCTCCCTTATGACAGCAAGATGAGTTTGTTGGAACTCTTCTGGAAAGCCGATCAAATTAATACTAATACAGTCTGTCGCACGCAGTATGCTATCCGACCCTCTGTGCGGGGCAATAACAAATTCCACCGGGACAGTATCATCAAGACTGTCGCCGATGTGGTTGGAAAAGAACATCCGGTGAACTTGACAAATTACGACCACATGATCTTAGTTGACGTCTGCCAGGTTAGTCTAGCACAAGAACTCGCCGGAGCCTGAACTGGAGGTTAATTTGCTGACTTCCACATAGAATATCATTGGTATGAGCGTTGTGGACGGCGACTATGATCGGTTGAAGCGGTTCAATTTGGCCGAGATTTACGATCCAGGTCCGAAAGCAGGATCTGCGGGCGAGGTCAAGACTGATGCCAAAGCACCGGCCGCATAGATCACCTGCAGACTTGAAGTGATCAGAGGTTGGCCAAGTGAATGCGAGATGAATATTCTAACTGTTTCTCCACGGCCTCTCATCTGCATTCCTTCATAAGCAAACCGTGAGTATGTTTTCGTCTTAATTTTGAAGCGCTTCCGGTTGGTAGGGACCCCGTAAGCTCGGTATGAGTCGCTGCTATACCTTCTATTGGCTCGTTGACCAGAGACAAAGCCGTGAGACTCTGCAAAGTGCCTCATTTCCTCCGCTAACTCTGCATTATACGTGCATGGCACTTGTGTGCTACTATTCGCTCTGGAAAGTAAACAGGTCCAAACTCACTTAAACCTGATGGAACTCAGACGGGGGCACATGCGACATCATCAGTCTAATACCCCTACTCTCCAAATAAGCACAGAATTAAATGAGTCCCCGGATATCTGCTTGCCGCCCGTCTGTCATCAATGGCCTACACTGCTGTCATTTTAATCCATGTGTAAGAACAGAGTCCCGAGTGTGAGGCTGGCTGTGGAGCGTCTTCGTCAGTTTTGATAACACCATGGGGCCCGCACCATCAAAAGGGTACACCACCACAGTACGGTGGTAAGTAGGAGGTACCTGAGTATCAAAAGATAGTACGCTCGGGGAGTCCTGCCTATTACGGAAAAGGGACATCCACTAGGGGATCAAGAGGGGAGCAGTACTAACTCACGGTGACGGTAGTAGTAGTGTTCATTTGGAGTGCTGAAGCTGCCTGGCCATTGGCGCCAGACCAAGGGATTACTGACTACTGAGTACTGACTCACTACTACTTGATCTCACTTGAATCCAATGCATGGAATTCAGTTAGTGGAAGCTCAGCTACCTGTTACTGATGCCCAGCACTCACAAATCATGTGACATCCGACTCGGTAGTGGCTGGATCTTTCCAGTCACCATGAAGGAAGCGAACATCTGCCTGTTTCGTTGATCATCAGGCCAGGTCACAAGTAAAGAACATTCTGTCCGTGACTCTCTCGGTAGTGAAAGGGCCTTACCCTCATGTAGTGACCAAATACTCAATCTCACTTCTACTATACTTGGAAGTTTGAGGGGAACTGGGGGGATCTCCACTGCGAGAGCTGGAATCTCGGCAAGCGCCCCGTTTCATTGGCGGCCAAAAGCTCGGATACCGAGAGTGTCTTTAAGCGGGATCCTTAGGCGAAAGACTATCACGGACCGTCACGCCGCGTCCCCCGTCCCGCTATACTCTTCCAAGTCAGTCGAGAAGCATCTTCGAAAATGATGATTCACGGCTCATTGGTCTCTCGGCATCTGTCAGATCAAGCTCCCAGATATGGTCGTCCTAGCGTCTGTGTACGCCGAGGTGTAGCCTCGTGGAGGCGTTGATGCAGAGCTGGCCAAGCATGATGATCACTCATCTCTGTGAGGAAGCATGTGGAGAGAGACAAGGCGACAGGGCGGAGCCCTCTACAGTCAAATGCCTCTGTGACGCTATCAGTTGCCAATTTGAAAGGCTACAAGCTACCGGGCTTCACTGACCTGTCACGAGCCATCAAACCGGGCGGAAATGGACCCTACCTATGGTCTTAGACCGCGATCGACTACACACGATGTGACCCGAAATCGACGTGAGAGAAGACACAGGGCATGCCCCCACCGAATCTCGCGTAAGACAACCTACAGTAGGTCCATGTCATGGTCCACCTGGGGCCTGCAACCACAGACTTGGTCCGGCGAAACATCCTTGCGCTGTCAATCCGGCATCGACTGGGCACTTATGCGATTCGAAGACTTCGATTAGACATGGAAGCCTTCGCTTGCCTGTCTGGCACTTCTGGAAGCTCGCTTACCATGTGTCTATGCTTGCGCCTCTGTTATCCTATTTCGTCGAATCAGACTGTGGACAAGCTTTGCAGCTGTCCCAGCCATTCGCTCGGGGGCCATGTAGCCGTGTCAGTATTTCCCGCTTAAAGGGCGGCAACCCTGGGATGATCGACCTCGATATAACCCCTGTTGAAATGCTCAGCCATGAGTAGTCACGTCTTGTCTGTCCAGAATCAGCACTAAATGTTGTGCTCACCATCATGGGCCAGTCCGCTGTGACGAGATGCTCTTCACGCCCATGTTCGAAGACTTTGAGCATGTCTCCTTTACTTGACGGTGTCTTGAATACGCAGACATACGAGAGCGCTCAGTTGAATGCTGTCATATCGTCCCTTTTCCCTTCAAGTGTGCGAGTGCAACAATCCGAAAATATCAACGGCCACCTCCACGGTTTGCGCCGCCTCACGCTCACCAACGGTCTCCGTCTCTTTTTGAAGAGCTCCCCGTATCCAGGAACCCCGCTGCTGCGACATGAGCGCTTGTGTCTGGAGACGGAAGCGCGTGTTCTCGCTCTTCTGGGCCAAAGTGCCAATCCGTGTATCCCCCGGCTCTATCATTATCGCCCCAGCGGCAGTACTCTTGGCCCATCTCTCTTGCTCCGTCAATACATGGAGGGATCCAGTCTTTTGGACATTGAAGGCCTGTTGAATACCCGTGAACGCAGCGAGGTGGACCGTCACTTAGGATTTCTCGCTATGACCATCGGCCAGAATGTGGCACCAAGATTTGGTTCTTTGCAGCAGGTTGCTCAGGGAGCAGGCAAAACATCATGGCGGGACGCATTCTGTGCGCTACTGGAGGGTGTATTACGAGACGCTGAGGACGTGTTCATCAATCTACCTTATGCCGAGCTTCGTCATGAAATACTTCGACAGGCGCCCGCCCTGGATGAGGTCATTCTGCCTCGGCTCACAATTGTCAGCTTGGGGCGGCCAGCCCATGTTCTGTTGAATGAACAGTCCAATCAAATATCTGGAGTGGTGGATTTGAGCAGCGCCTGCTGGGGGGACATGCTCATGGCAGAGATATTCGAGAGGCCGACTTTTGCCGTCGTCGAAGGCGCGGGATTACCTTTGGTTCGAACGAAAAGAGAGAGCATTCGTGTGTTACTGTAAGAATTTCACCTTCTCCAGCGCAAACGGATCGTTTCTTGGACTGGCCAGTTCCTTTTCCGTCGCGAGGAGCTAATAGTTCCAATTTTTCTAATACAATCGCAGATATTCATGCTATCGACTTGTTTGCCAAGTCACAACACAGTATTATCGAAACCGGGACGAAGTAGCAGAGTTCAATGCCCGGCGACACTTGACCTCAACTCTCATGGACTTGGCCGCGGTGGATTTTGTTTGACTGAAATCACGATCTCCTTTGAACATCGGACCATGGCCGCAAGCTGCTTTTGGGTCCGTAACAGAACGTAGCTCGGTTGAAGCTCGGTTGAAGCTCGATATGATTCGCTTGCTACAAATCTCATCCTCGCATACATAAGGCAATGATCGACCTCGCCGTTTTCTACATATAGAAACCAGAATATTGGCATTAGATTAGAAGTCACTTAAGATTTCCTGGAGTTTGTGTCGTATTAGCGAGGAGCAGTGCCGAATCTGCCGATCCATACTTGTATAGCCTTCGTTATAGCTCGCAGATCCATTAGCAGGCGTGGGCAATCAGGGTCCTACCCTCTCACAGTAGGTGACTACGGTGTCACATTAGATATCTGGGTGCGTACCTACTCTCCTAGTAGTATAGTACCGGTCATGGTAATCATAACGTTTATAGAAGAGAGTGTGCGAATACAGTCTCCTAGTTTATCCTATCGCATACGATCAACTACAGCCGTTTTCGTCGGCCGGGAGTCAGACCACGTGCCGCAAGCCACGGGAGCTCACTTGGGTTTCGAATAATGCGATATGCAGTTCTCACGGCTCGATAGGATCTGCGCCGCTGTGGTCAGACAAAGCAAGAAGCGTCCTTAGTCTTACTGACGGGGCCTTCGTCGGGGATATGCCGATAGGGCGGGAAGCGGGGCAACCCCATTTAGCCTCTCCGCCATGTCGTCAGCCCTGAACGATCCACTTCCGCGGATACTTCGACAGCTTCTTTAGATTCTTTTTCCCCCCTATATGTCAGGACACACTGTCATCTGCTCCCACTAGCCCAGTGATGGCGCACTTACTGAGAGGTAAACAGGCTGGGATTCAGCGAGACTTGTCTGAGGGCTTGTCCCCTGAGCTTTTCGGAATTGACGACGTATGTTCTTGGCGCTCTAGGCATCCATGTGACGAAGAACAAGGCGACAGGGGAAAATTTCTGACAGTTGGCCTTTTCAGTTTGCACGATGTGGGATTAACTCGCAAATCAGTGCGATTGCATACGACCCGGTACAATCCTTACTGGCGGTGGGCACCAGCGATACTTCCTTTGGAAGCGGGCAGATCTATGTTTTCGGGCAACGACGGGTTTTTGTGGTCTTCAGCTTCCCCCGCAAAGCATCGGCGAAGTACATCCAGTTCTGCGCCGACAAGCTCATCAGTGTGGATTCAAAGAATGAAGTCTGCATTTTCTCTTTAGAGTCCAAAACTTTGGTCACCTCTTATGCGCCGCCAGGCCAACCCACTGCGCTAGCGACGGACCCGAGTCTCGAGTATGCTTTCATTGGATTGTCTAATGGTCAGTTTCCCTCGCCCGGGCTGGTCAGGTACTACCTAGAGAAAGCTGCATGTTGACTGTGTCTCAGGTGAAACTATTGCCTATGACCTTGACAGAGAGTCCTTGACGCCGTTCAAAATTCCGAATCTCTGGTTGGAACAAAATCCCCGTTCACGTTTCAATCCAGTTGTTTCCTTGGCCTTCTCAACACGCGACATCGGCAAAATCCTGATTGGATATCCGGAGGGTGCGGTGACGTTCTCTTTCAAACAGAATGTCAAGCAGAAAGTATTCGTGTATGAGGTTCCAGTTGGGGCCCCTGGAGGAGACTCTGAAATGCCGGCTGCGGGAGTACGTCGACCAAGACTGACCAATGCGATCTGGCATCCGAACGGCATATTCGTTTTGACCGTCCATGAAGATACTAGCCTCGTGTTATGGGACTCAAAGGATGGCCGAAAACTTCATGCGCGCAGCGTCGACACTGCGAATGTCGATCAAGCTGGCACGTCTGGACGGCCTAGCTCGGTTGACGGCTTTTCTGGACCGAAGGAGCCCATCACAAAAGTGATATGGTGCGCGAAAGAAAATCCCGATGATACTGGACTTCTCATCGCAGGTGGAAAATCGATGGCCGACCCAAACAAGGGCTTGACGTTCTTGGATATGGGACCAACGCCAAATTACGCGACTTCATCGTGGCAAATACTGGCAAGCTATTTCGAACGACCTCGCCGTATTGTTAACATTCCCATTCCGCCTGCTGCTCAAGCCGTAAACATTTGCCTCATTCCTCGCTCCTCGCCATACTTCGCTGGTGCTCACGATCCCATCGCCCTGCTCGTCGTCCTCTCTTCTGGCGAATTGGCTACGATGAGCTTTCCTTCTGGGCATGCTATCACGCCCACAAACATGCTTCATCCTTTCCTGTCCTTCGTGCATCCATTTGTGAACAAAGTAACCCTCACGCCTGTCGACCGGAGTGCGTGGCTCGGGCTTAAAGAACGCCGGGCTCAAGGGCCAAAGTTTGTCCTGGGAGGAGCGGAAGCGAAAAATCCACTGAAGCGTTTCGAGAATCGAAATATTCTTTCCACCGCACATGCAGATGGAACCGTTCGACTGTGGGATGCTGGTCACGACGATGAAATCGAAAATGGCGAGGCAATTCAAGTCGACCTTGCGCGGGCAGTCGGCCGTGTTGGCAATGTGGAAGTCACCGAAATGTCCCTTGCTAGTACGACAGGCGAGTTTTCTGTTGGTCTTCGCAGTGGCGAAATTGTGGTTTTCAGATGGGGCAACAGCGCGTCTATCGGCAATGAGCAGCCTCCCGGTGTCAATCAGGGTCCAGGAACTTTGACTCCCATCAAACACAGAGTCGACCCAGGCTTGAAGACCGGCATGCTCCCTCTGACCTTGCTGAATATGCAGCAAGGACCGGTGACTGCTTTGAAGCACAGTCAGGTTGGCTTTGTTGCGGCAGGCTTCGAAGCAGGCAGTGTAGTAATCATTGATCTTCGCGGTCCCGCAATTATCCATACTGCGCATCTGTCTGAGCTCCTCAAAGCGCCCAAACGCGGCAGCTTCCTGAAATCACGAGCTACGGAAGAGACCCCGGCAGAGTGGCCGACCAGTATCGAATTTGGTGTGATGACTCTGGAAGGAGAAGGTATGGACCTAAAAAGGCCCCTTAGTTCTGCACTATCAGCCCACTTCAACTTTACTGACCGTCAAATCGCAGACTACTCTAGCATATGCTGCTTTGTGGGAACCAATAGAGGCAACATGGCCACCTTCAAGATTCTCCCCGCATCGAATGGTGCCTACTCAGCTACGTTTGCCGGGTCTACCGCAATCGATGACAAGATCATCAAGATTATCCCTATCGACGCGGCATCTGGAGGCCAGGCCATTGCCACTCCAAATGCAGTCGCTGGGCTGCGGACCAGCGAAAGAATCAGCGGCGTTGTTGTTGCTGTGACACCCTCGAGTTGTCGGGTCTTTAGGCCCGCGACAGCCAAGGGGGCTCACAAGACCTGGGATGACTATCTTTGCGACACCGCCGCCGTGGTCAAAGTAGAAGGCCGTGGTTACAGCTTGGTTGGCCTGTTCGGAGATGGCAATGCACGCGCGTTCTCTTTGCCGGGATTAAAAGAAATAGGATCTGCTCGAATTGACTACATCGCTGACATGAGACGGCTCTCTGAGGCTTGCATCACACCAAGTGGTAACGTACTGGCATGGGTTGGACCTTCAGAGGTTGGCCTGTTTAACGTTTGGGGATCTGGGCACAAACTGTACGCCGAAACCAGTGTCATTGCTCATCCGTGGATTCCGATGTTGACCGATTTCGCAGAGCCAAGTCGCAAGATCGTCTCTATGATCGAGAGAAAGTTGTCCCCCCGCGTCCCACCATTACGAATATTCAGTGGATTTCTGGAACACAATATGTATCGCCAGCGGACATGGACCTGCTCAGTACGTAAACTCAAACGCCCCCAGCCTGGCACGAACAGGCCGCATCAATGGTGCTCTGATCTAACCTTTCCCACTAGTCGGTGGTCCCGATCGTCCACCATCCAAAAGAATGATTGAGCAGATGCGTCTCGAAGAACAACAACGCCGTCAAGCCCTCCGCGAAGGTCGTGCAGCACCCTCAGAGCCCCAAGGGAATCAAGAGGGTTACCTAGCATACATGTCACGTCAAGTGCAGGAGCGAACTGAGCGACTTGGGCTTGCAGGCGACTCGATGGACCGATTGGAAGAAAACAGCAGTAACTTTGCAAGCGACGTGGGCAAGTATATCCAGAACCAGAAACGGAAAGCTGTCTTTGGAGGTAAGTCATCTGTCCAACTAGGGTGAGTCGGGAGACCTAGACTCTCCCCGGCTCCCCCTTGCGTCCCTGGACGAGGTACGTAAGATTGATCAGCGTATTGACTTTTCCATCCTTTCACAGCCCTTGGTTCCAAGTTTGGCTTTTAGATCTCTCGCTTAATGGAGCAATCGCTGGATAGGTATTTCGCGCTGCCCTAGCATGCACTTTTCAGTCTGTGCGGGCAGGCACGAAGAAACCCGGACGTGGAAAAAAAAATATGACATGCATCTCCTTACATTCAGACCATTTCGACAGACTGCTGCCATTAGTGGAAGGCATCTGTCTGCCTGGCCTTAGTGTGATATGATCAGAATTGAACAAAGTTGCGGAGACTTGTTCAGGATAGCCCAGAACACATGTGTGGCAAGCCTTTGTTTGATAACATTCACTTCATGGCATGATAGGGTAATCAGTGTCAAGTCAGGTAAACGCCGACACTGTGGCTTATGAGAAGCTCTGTCTCGACGCTTGGGAACACCTGCGCACCAATAATACATGGCCCAATCTTGAGAATTCCAAAGTGCCCGGGAGGATGCATAACGAGGCTTATCTATGAGCAGGACATATTCGAAATCGCCATCCAGGCCTCTGCAGGGGGCAATGAACCGATAGATTATATTGTAAGCACGTGATTTAAATGAAAAAGTCATAAGCGTAGCGTTGGACTGGTCGTCAGGGATATGGGGACAGAGGAGAAAGGCACGACGTGGCTGTGAGAGTAAGAGGGAGGAGGGATGAGGAGAGGACAACCAGCTTGGTGTATGGGGACAAGATGCGCACACGACTAGTGCACCATCACCTCAGGCTGAGCCTGGTGAGGCTTGCCCGAGTCGTCCTTTTGTTCCGCGTCATCCCCCATCTCAACATCCTCGTCACCCTCGCCAGCTTCCTCATCGTCGAGGTCGTCATCATCATCATCACTCTCCTCCTCGAGATCCTCGCTCTCGGCATCAGAGACATCGTCGTCGTCATTACCGGCGGTGGCTTCACCACCCTCCATCTCCTGATCCTCGCCCTGTTTGTTGGCCTCTTCAAGCTCCTTCACAAGGGCGGCCTCGAGCTCAGCCTCCTCGGCACCGTAGGTGTTGCTGTCGTCATCAAGGCGGTCGGCCTCGGGCTGATCAGGAGGATATTCGGCAGGGGCAGACTCCTCAGAATCCCTGTTATGATGCTAGTTAGTGTCTGTGCAGTGTGCAATAGAACGATCAATTGGTCACGGAATAAAAAACACAGATCGTACCATTTGATGGCGAAGCGAGTAACACGAGGCTTCTCGGCGAGAACATTGCGGCGGATGCGCTCGATCACGGGCTTGGCAGGAGGCTCAGCAGCCAGCTCTTCCGAGTCGTATTCGTTGTTCACGTAGTAGCCCACCCGAACAAACTCTCGTCCATCATAGCTGCAGGTCAAGAGGATGACGGTGACACCCAGAATTTCGGAGGAAGGAATTCGTTGCAAGTCGGGGGCATCAGCCTCAAAGATGAACTTGTTCACGCCGACGGGAATGGGGCCGACCAGGAGGGAGTCGAGTTCCTGATCATATTCAGAGCTAGAATCAAAGATTTAGGTCCAAATACTCAGTGAGGGGCACAGCAGCACAGTGAAGCGGGTGGACATACGAAGTGGCAGATCCAACGTAGGTTAATTTCCACTCAAGGTCTGAAGGCATATGCAAGTTAGAACCGGTCAAGTTGAGAGGGCTTGCACTCCCATAAGGGCTATCTTACCTTTTTGGAGCTGCTCCAAGCATTCAAATGTGATCTCAAATTGGTATGATGCCGTGAAAGGAGCGGGATTGTTGAGAATTTTGACTCCCAGCAGCGACACGACCGACATGGTGGGCTAGTACTGAATGGAGTCCAAGAGATGCGAATATGTGCGGAAGTGAATTGAAGTCAAGTGTCGGTGAAAAAGGAAGGAAAAGGAAGGATTTATGGACAGAAGAGATCTTTAAAAGCGTGGGCCACGCTATGAGAGGAAAGGGAAAATAAACAACGGCAGTCTCACCGCAAGGAATGCCAGAAGCAACGGGCGAGGGGCTCACGGCAGAAGAGACGGTCTCTAATATAAAAAGCACCGGCAACGAGGATCGGTGCAAAACAGCCCGCCCAACGCGAAGGGAGGGGGAGAGCGCGTCCCTTGCGCGCTGACCGCCCACGTGATCTGCAGTCTGGAACGGCTTGGTTCCTCTGCAGTCTCGGAGGAGCCTCCGAGTGAGCTGGTTTCACAGATGCATAGTGATTAGCTTCCTTCAACTTCGCTTCTCTGGCATCATTACCCGCTTACTTTTTTCTCGACGCCTCCTGAGCTTCATTAGGATAGCGTTGTGTGTTTCAATATCCGAAGATCAAAGACCCCCCTACATTCATCCGTGGCTCCTCGACGATCGCGATTTGCAGCACCAGCTACGCCTCTTTCACAGAGTTTATCCCGCCGCGTTCCTTCGCGCAGGAAAGAACGCAAGAAATCGCCAGCTATGGCGGACCATCAGGAGATGAAATCGCACCCTCAGGCGCAAGCTACTGAGATAGAGTTGACTGTCTCCACAGACCCGGAGGAGCTTGCTGGTGATGATATGGATGAGGAGGAAGAATACGACCCCTCCAGGACATTTGGTGACGAGGAATACCCAAGCTCTGAGCCTGAACAGACTTCAGATCTCACAGAGACTCCTCAGCCGCCACCACACCACGCCAATGAAGCTGACCAACAGGAACCCGAAGCTGAACACGACGACATCAAATCGAGTGTGACATCGAACGAGGCGAGTGGAGACGTCGCGAGTACCTCAGATGCGCTGGAGGTAGCTGAAAACACGCCTCAAGACGAGACACAAAATCCTCAATCAAGCGCCTCCGCAGGAGGTCCCGGGCAGCCTCAAGTTCGCACAATCGGGGGATTTGATGTCGATGACGAGGAAGAGGACGAGCCCGAGGTTGAAACGCAGGACGGATACAATCAAGAAGAGCAGGAAGAAGATGGAGAAGAAGCAGACTATGAGCCTCCAGCTGTGCTCGGGATGGATGATTCCAATGCCATGCCTATGATCATGTCTGAAGATTCAAGTTCAGAAAATCAAAATCATACCACTTCCCCCGATGCTTCTTCGCACTCAGTGCAGCATTCTGTGTCTGGTCTAGATGGTGCCACTAGCTCTTATTCTCCTGCTCCCCTTTCCACTCCGGATCCTTCTGCTTCGGCTTCCCAGCAGTGGACAGTGACACAAGACCCAAACATGAACAACAGTACTGCTGAGACCCCTGTGCCCGACTCTCCTTCCACGGCAAAGGGTCGCATGGCACATGACCGGGTTGGCATCTTGCAGGACCGCGTTGACGAGGACCCCAAGGGAGATATCTCTGCCTGGCTGGAGTTGATTGCAGAGCACAAGGCTCGTAATCGATTGGACAGCGCACGAGAGGTCTACGAGCGGTTCCTGAAAGAATTCCCAATGGCAGTAAGTTCAAGCGTGACGTTCGTCATGATTTTGAGCCCAGGTTACTTACAAGATTGGACAGGCGGATCAATGGGTCGCATACGCTGTTATGGAGTCGGAACTCAACGAGCTCTTCCGGCTTGAGCAGATCTTCAACCGAACACTGCTCACTATTCCCAATGTCCAGCTGTGGTCAGTCTACTTGGACTATGTCCGTCGTCGTAACCCCTTGAGCACAGATACTTCAGGGCAGGCAAGAAAGACCATTTCTTCGGCTTACGATCTGGCCATTCAATACGTTGGGATGGATAAGGACAGCGGCAATATCTGGACTGACTACGTGGAATTTATTCGATCGGGTCCGGGCACGGTAGGAGGCTCGGGCTGGCAGGACCAGCAAAAGATGGACCTCCTCCGCAAAGCCTATCACAAAGCACTCTGTGTGCCCACACAGGCAGTAAACACCCTCTGGAAAGAATATGACCAATTCGAGATGGGCCTCAACAAGGTCACGGTATGTCTGCCAGTGTGCATGTATTTCATGGCGACATCTCAAGAACTAACTTACCTCTCTAGGGTCGCAAATTCCTACAGGAGCAATCCCCGTCATACATGACTGCTCGTAGTTCATACACTGAGCTGCAAAACTTCACGCGCGACCTGATCCGAACATCCCTGCCCCGGTTGCCTCCCGTTCCTGGTTCCGAAGGCGATGTCGAATTTGCTCAGCAAGTTGACATTTGGAAGCGCTGGATTGCTTGGGAGAAAGAGGATCCCTTAGTGCTCAAGGATGATGATGCCCCTGCTTACAAGAGTCGCGTTCTCTATGTCTATAAGCAGGCCCTCATGGCGTTGCGATTTGTGCCGGAAATGTGGTTCGACGCCGCGGAGTTCTGCTTTTTGAATGCAATGGACAACGAGGGCCACGACATGTTGAAGCAAGGCATGGAGGCGAACCCTGAAAGTTGCCTCCTCGCTTTCAAGATGGCCGATCGGCTCGAGGTTATCTCGGATTCAGAGCAAGATTCTTCCAAGCGAGCGGCAAAGGTTCGAGAGCCCTATGACAAGCTTCTTGATTCTCTCTACGACCTGTTGAACAAAGCACGTAACCGTGAGTCTCAGGACGTGACGCGAATTGAGGAGGCATTTGGCCAGGATATTACTGGCGGCCGAGGTGTGCAAGATGACGACGACGATGACGATGCCGTCTCAAGCGAAGCGAAGGAGCGTGAAGCCGCGAAGCAAGCGCAGATTGATGCTGTGCGAAAGGCTCATTCAATTCAGATCAATCTGTTGTCAAAGACAATCTCCTATGCATGGATTGCGCTCATGCGAGCAATGCGCCGCCTTCAGGGCAAGGGCAAGCCGGGTGAACTTGCGGGCTCCCGACAAGTCTTCGCCGAAGCTCGAAAGCGAGGCCGGATCACTAGTGACGTGTACATCGCCAGTGCTCTCATGGAGTATCATTGCTACAAAGATCCCGCCGCTACTAAGATTTTCGAGCGAGGCGCGAAGCTCTTCCCTGAAGATGAGAACTTTGCCTTGGAATACCTGAAACATCTGATCGACATCAATGACGTTATCAGTAAGCGCAATTGCTGACTTGTTCAGTCTAGACACTGTTGCTAATTTTTGATGCCAGACGCCCGTGCTGTCTTTGAGACCACCGTTCGCAGATTAGCCGCTACTCCCGAAAATGCACACAAGGCGAAGCCAATTTTCGCTTTCCTCCACGAATACGAGTCACGCTATGGCGATTTGGGCCAGGTGATCAGCCTGGAAAGTCGTATGCGTGAGCTCTACCCCGAGGATCCTTCTTTGGAGCAATTTTCACACCGGTTCACCACATCGACCTTCAATCCCATGACAGTTCGCCACATTCTCTCATCCTCGCAGACTCGCCCCAAAACAAAGCATCAACCAATTGCTTCTGAGTATCGAGCAACGCCTGCGCCCTACCAGGAAGGACCTTTGGATTCACCGAAACGAGCCTATCCTGGGGATGATAAGGAATATGACTCCGACCGACCACGTAAATTTGCCCGTGCAGATTCTCCCCTCAGAGGCGGGCAAAACCGACAGATTGGTATGCAAAAGCGTGTCACTCAATTGAATGGACAAAACACTTCGTCGTACAAGCCTCAAGGGTCTCCCGCTCCCCTTCCGCGAGATGTGGTGCATTTACTCAGCATTATCCCACCTGCTTCATCCTACAATATCTCCCGCCTCCTACCTGAGAAGATGGTCGAGCTTCTTCGACACGTTGATATTCCTGCGAGCACTGCACATATTCCGCTCCCAGCCAATGTCGCAAGTCAGTACGGTGGTGAGTTACAGGCAAGCCCAATATCTGGTGGTTGGACCAGACAATGCATCATTGTCAATATGCTGACCAAAGTCGGAACATACAGGAGCCTATCGCTAATGCCTTGATGAAATCGGCACGACTTTCCAAGCGACTTCTCCTTTTGGCGAGGTTTCCACACATGCTTTCTTCTGACTACACCTTATAGGATCTGAACGTGCTTTTCCCTAATTGCCTCCCGAAGGTGGCTGGATGTCTTCTTTGATCTTGCGATACTCCTTTGCATCTACTGGCGTGGGTTGGCTTGGACTGGTTTTTTTCCCTGGGCATCGATGTTCCATGAAATGTGCTCCTGATCTTCACAGTTCATCATAACTTCCAACAGGGATGGTGGTTGTTGCATTCCCTACCATAAGTTTTCAGCGAACAGTGCGCAATCTGAACCTTTAAATTTTCCTCCGTTCTTTAGGAAAATAACTCGCCACGTTTCTCGCAAAATCAAGTCATCTTGCAAGATGTGAATGTAGGATCCACACTTTGACCTCGCAGCGCCGTCTCGACCCAAATGGCCCGTCGTTCAATGATCAGGTGTTCAGACTTACACACTGACATGCCGGACGTCAATTGAGGACTGCGACTTGAGACAACATATCCGACAATCAAGTTGTCAGCATCCATGGGCCATTGATCTTCTTGGCACGCAGTAACAAGCGGTATTTGCCCTTCTGATAATCGCTCGGTAGATTCCTCTGAAAGCTCATGATTGAAGGGATTCTCCGTCATCATAGGTGGAGAGTATATATTTTGTGGAAGCAGTCCCAGATCTCGTGCTTCTTCCTTTCTCGTCACTCTCCACGGGCAGCGTCTCCGAAATTCATTTGCTGGACTATCCACGTCCGTCAGGAGCTGTGCGGTTTTTGTTTGTAGTATTGACTATTTATCGACCACATTGAAAGGCGCGAGACGCCAAGTCATTAGCACAGCAGGCTCAGGTATGTAGCTTTGCTAGCTCTTCTGCGAACTGCGCACAAAACCTCACTCATCGATATGTGTATCCTCGTAACAACATCCATTTCCCCTTCGGAGATTGAGTATGCACTGGCCTTGATGTACTATGGTCTGCTGGCTTCTGTATCAACGGAGAATGGGTCGACTTCCGCTTACATTGATGTGGTCTAGAGCATTCATCAATTGACCAAAATTGTGCACGCCTTATCCGGATAAAAGCTGGGAGCTGGACACAGACCAATATGAGCAGCTCTCAAGTGACTAGTCAGACGGGCGATGCCTCTGACACCGAAACCAAAGCCACCAGCGTTGAGGATCTCAGTCGCGAGGTGGATAAAGCCACAGTCACAGACATCAAAGAGAGCTCCTTGGCCGAGGTTGATACCTACAAGAACTGCGTGGTGGTTCCTCTGCCTGAGGTCAACAACCAAAAGTCGAGCAAGTACAGCACATCCGGTAAAGAGATCGAACTTACCGTAAACGGCTATGCAATCCAAAAGCATCCAACCAAGCCTGTCTATATGTATGAGGTGAGCACATGCCTCTGAAAGGACCTCGTCCTTCGAACCTACTGCGGGTCATTCTGGCTGTCACTTACTGAGACCACTTCAGCTTCAAGTGATTGCGGAGATCCAGGCTCAGGAGGACAAGAGACTCCTTCCCACACTCGATCAGAAGCTCATGCGAAGATGCTTCAGAGAAAGCAAGGAACGGCAGAGATTGCTCCCCGACGCAATTCACGATGGGGCACATATCGTTTGGTGAGTCTTGCTGATTCCTGAACCGGGATCTCTAGTGTTCATCACAATACGCAGGTCTTTGCATAAACTCGAAGCTGGAGGCATTCGCGAAAAGATTTCCCTCGACCCACCTTTTCGGCATTATGAAGGGCCTAAAAGAATCGGCGGGCTAGAGGCCAAGAATCCGCACTCTCGTGAATTTCTTACACTGCTGTCGGAGGTTCAGTTGCGGGTCATTCCAAAGCACATGCTTATGCTCAAAGTGATTGAAGAATGGCTCAACAAGAAAAGAGGATTCGATGAGCTGGTCATCCAATCATTCAGTAAGAATCTTCAAGATCTATTGACTCGTTGTAGGAGGCTAAGTCTTGCCAACAGCTTTCCTCGACCATCTGATTCGGCATGGTCCCCAATCGAGGTTCTTTGAGCACAAGCGCTCATACTTCTTTGAGAACATTCAAGACATGGGTCCGGAGCTTGCAAAAATCGCCCATCAGTTCCATTGTCAGTTGCCACAATCTGCAACGGTCTATCGCGGGGCTTTTCAAACCATTCGAGCTTGTCCGGTCAGTATTTTCAACTCTCGGAGATGCTATTGGCTTTCTTGCTTGTTTACTGATCAAAATTGCATATTAGCGGGGACTGATGCTCAATCTGGACACTGCGTATGGCGTATTCTTTTCGCGAATTGGCTTGATGGGAGTGATGAGAGGACTCCTCAATATCTCTCACGTAGACGATCTTGTCAAGAGATGCATGCCTATCCACAGGCCTCGAATCAAGACCGATTTTTATGAGTCCTCCGGGGATCATGTGGAACTGGGAAAGATGATCTCAGGGCTCTTGGTCAATCCCGAATTCAAGGGATGTCCCAACCCTAATCGGGTCTTCAAGATTCGGAAGTTGCTGCCATCCAACGCCAGAAATCACATGCTTGACATCAAAGACAGGGCCACCGGGGCAGTCACAAACATGAGCGTGCAGGAGTACTTTCGATCGAGATACAACGTACAGCTCGAATATCCAGACATGCTCCTGGTGGAGATGCAAGATCGCGAGGTCGTCTATCCCCCTGAGCTGCTGACCCTCAAAGGGCTACAACGGTACAACAGAAAGCTCAGTGCTCGAATGACTGCGCTCATGATTAAATACACTGCTCAAAAGCCGAGAGACAGAGTGGAGCACATCAAAAGCTGCAAAAGCATCTTTGCCCATGAAAATGATCCAAATCTTCGGCTCTACGGCCTGGAGATTGGGAAAAGCCTGCTGAGGACCAAGGCGCGACTTCTCCCTAGTCCTGAAATCCAGTTTGGAAACTCACGACACAATCCCGGCATCAGTGGCCGGTGGGATCTCCGGGGCAAAAGGTTTTACAAGCCTCACACGAAGCCCCTGACTTGCTGGGCGATTGGCTACTATCCGAATGATAGACGTGGCTTTGATCAGCGACTCATTGATGAATGGCAAATGAACTTCGTCAAGTCGTTCAAACAGCATGGCGGTACTGTTCGCAATCCTCCAGTGTCGCTTCTGATGACCGACGATATTGGAACCTCGGTGACCAAATTGCACGATACAGCCAAAAGTGCATACAACCAACCTCCGCAGCTGATCATCATGATCACTGGCAGCCAGGATGTTGCTCAATATGCTCGCCTCAAGAAGTCCTGTGACTGTCGCTATGGGGTGCCTTCCCAGGTCCTCCAAGCTGAAAGATGTCGCAACGGAGGGAAGCCCCAACTTCATTCCAATGTTGCGATGAAGATCAATGCCAAGCTGGGAGGTGTCACGGCACATGCTCGATCAGTGTCTGGCGGAGCCGGTCTGGGTCCCAGTTCCATGATCATCGGAGCGGACGTCACCCACCCAATGATGGGCGTATGGACCCCCTCTCTGGCAGCAATGTCCGTGTCCAAGGACCTGCAAGGAATTGGCTACTGGGGCGGGCGCGAGGTGAACGGTATCCGCAAGGAGATCATCGCCGAGTCGAATATTCGAACGATCCTTTTGCCTTTCTTTAAGGAATGGATCCGGACGGTTGGAAAGAAGAGCCCACCCGCAATCATCTACTACTTCCGCGACGGTGTCTCCGAGACAGAGTGCAGTGAAGTCCTCAAGGTCGAAGTGAAAGCGATCCGTACCACCATGTCCAAAGCCGCGGGCAAGGAATGGCAAGGCAAAGTGTGCGTGATCATCGCTAACAAGCGTCACCACATTCGAGCGTTCCCCGCCTCAACAAGGCCTACTGACTCTGATAAAAACGGCAATCCTCTTCCCGGCACCTTGATTGACCGCGAAGTTACTAGCCCTCACGGCTGGGACTTCTTCCTCTACTCACATATCGCTCTACAGGGTACCGCTCGCCCGGTTCATTACACTATCCTTCTGGACGAAGTCAAGCATGAACCGAATCATTTGGTCAACATGATCTACGAGCAATGTTATCAATACGTCCGTTCAACTACTTCTGTCTCCGTGCATCCGGCAATCTACTACGCCCACTTGATCTCGGTCCGCGCTCGTCATCACGAGAATGTGACGCTCAAGGGCAAGCCAGCCCAGTACGGACGCGGTGTCAAGGTGAGTCGTGGTATGCCAGAGGCCATGCAGGCGAACCCAACAGAGTCCAACCGCGCCCATATCCCATTGCTGCCCATTGATGACAGCAATGACAATCATCTGCCTCTGGGCATGTGGTACGTTTAGAGACCTTTTCGAGGTCAAGCACCAATGGCAGAAAGAACGTTTTGACTCCTGCAGAATGGCTTCCGAGTCAAGTTCTCTTCTCTCTTTGTAAGACTTCCGGACTCAAATTTGCTTCTCTTTTGTGGATTGAGGTGTTTCTCCATGTATGTTGTAATCTGAGTGCTCTTGCTTTCAAGCGCAGCTACAGAGATGGCCGTGGAGCAAATTGCTGGCTACATTTCCCAGAAGATTCACCGTTGAATTGGCAGGGCCTAGATAATCTCCTAGGAAATCAGCCTGAAACATATTTCTAAGTTGATCAAAATCGTCTGTTCAATCTACTAGGCGAGAAGAGACTGTACGAGGCCGACAAGGACGAATGAATTCGAGCCCCTGTTGCCGCATTCAAAGTAGTGATCTCGGTCTAATAGTAAGAAGAAATTCTTGGTTGGAAGGACGAAGAAACCTTCGATCGTGCAATTGAATCAAGAACGATGAAGGAGCGGGAGATTGTCCCGAGGTCCACGGATATCGCTATATCATGCAGAATAGGCCAAAAACAAACATATCATACCGTACATGATAAACCAAACCTAATATGCCGGGGGTCCAAGATCCAAAGCTGACTTGGACGCGAAACGTCGAACCCCATATCAATGAATAGAGTGAAAAGAAATCAGAGCAAGATAACTCGAAACGTGCATGATGAGACGTTAATTCATGACGCTTCGGACCAGAATAGAAACGTGAACAGGGGGTAGTTAGAATAGTGAAGACGTTGAAGAAGTTAGAAGAACTGCCAAAGTCATCTGACCCTGGACCACAGTCGTTAAGCAAGCCCCAGTGGAAATTGTGAACGTGCCGATGAGTGAGATCAGGAGGTTGTGCCAAATCGTCCAGCGGCAGGAGAAGAGTATTGTCGTGAGACCGGAGGCGCATGAGCACCAAAGCCGCCGAAGACAGCAGGATGGCTGTGCGTAGGGACTGGGCTACCGATGTCACCGGGAACAATGCTGCCTCGATGTCCACCACTGGTGCTGTTCGTGTCAGGCTCAAATTTGACAAGCTGGCCTGTCTCCCCATTCTTGATCAAGAAAGATCCGCCGCCGTTCTGTGAATTACCTTCCGTATCACAGATCTCCAGCATTTCGTCGAGTGTGATCGTGGGCTCGCTGGGCGCCCGCAGCCGCTCAGCCTGGTCGAGGACGAGATTTACATCATGGTAACCGTCCGATCCGACACGAGGGCTCAGCGTGTTCAAATACTTGCAAGCCTGGATCGCTAGCAGACGAACGGTGACCGGGCGGGACGTGTGTGGTCGATGATGAGCACTCGAGGCAAAGGCGTTATGCGACCAACCGCTTCCTGTAGCTTCGTTAGTCAAGACTCACAGCAATTCATTCTGCACGTTTGAAGGTCGGCTTACCAGTTGTAGCTCCCCAGGTAGAGGCGGCGGGGAACCCGGACCCTCCGAAAGGCGCCGGAGCAGCCCAACTTGAGCCGCCTGCAAATGGAATGTGCTGAGATCCTATAGAAAGCGTGAGTCAGTACTCATTTGCCAGCGCACAATAGCACTGCTGTTCTTACCAAGAGGTTCTGTGAACAAAGACCCTTGAAAGCTGGCTCTGGCGGGCGATGCGAAAGAACCGGGAGCAGCAGCGCCGGGAAGCGATTGAGACAGATTGGATGAAAAGGGAATGTCCGTGTCGTCCAGCAAAGCACTGCTGCCAAGCTGGGTGCTCAAATCGTCAATGTCACGGCGGGATCGGTGGTGAATGTGAGCGTGACCACGGGGACGTCGAGGCTGATCTTGATTAACACTTGGAGGACGGTTGATGGCGTTCTGCCAGACGACCGGGTAGGGATTGGGGCCGGGTTCGAGGGGTGGCCGTTCGAACGAGGCCGACAACTGCATGGTCTGAGTCTGTTGCAATCCAGGTTGCGGCATCGCGAACGATCCAGTAAGACCTTGTTGACTCGTGAAGGACATTCCATGGCCGTTCTCAGTGAATGGGAATGCCGGTCCTGCTGGTGTTGAGCGTATTCCACTGATGCCAGGAGGCGGAGGGATGCTTCCAGAGCTACCAAATCCTCGAAGAGGACTCATTGCAGCCAAATTCGGGGAATACAACGGCATCTCCGGAGCATGAAGGGGCCGCCCACCCATGCCAGGAAGACCAGGAGGGTTCCCAGGTAGAGCGCCAAGGCTGGAAAAGCCAGGAGGATTGCTGCGGCCAAGAGGCGATAGCGGAGCAGAAGGTTGAGGATGGTGCAGGGGAGGTTGAGGTTGCTGCACGGGGCGGGTGTGGCCTGACATGATGGACTGCGACTGCGACTGTGCCAGAGACCGTGGAGAGATCGACGGCTGAAAAGGGGACTCTGAATTTGTCGTCTGCGAATGGGGAGACGAAGAATGAGAATCTTGCTGAGACGATGGCCGAGGCCTGCTTGGTGTGGCGGATTTGGGAGCCATGGGACTAGCCACGGAGTAGTGTGTTGAGGAGGAGTTTGGCATAGCCTGCGTCTGAAGCGCCGAGGACAGAGGAATTGACCCCACGTGCGAAAGAGGCCTAGTTTGCATGTACGGTTTGGCTGCATGCTCTGCGCGCACAGCGATCTCACGATCTCGGTCAGTTGGTAGGTCTCTTGACTTGCGCTCGTTCTCTTCCTTGGCTTTCTTGTCACGCTCTTCCTTCTCCTTGCGCTTAGCTTCATCACGCCTCCTTTTCTCCTCTTTCTGCTCACGCTGTTTTCGCTCCGCTTCGGCCTGTCTTTCACGCTCTTCTCTAGCTCGGCGCTGCTTCTCGGCTTCCTTCCGCGCACGCTCATCCTCTTGCGCTTTGCGCTCGGCCTCACGCTTCTTGCGCTGCTCCTCGCGCTTGATTCGCTGCTCCTCGAGCTTCTTCTCATGAGCTGCCTTCGCTGCAGCCTCCTCCGCGGCCTTCTCTGCCTCGCGGCGGGCCTTTTCTTCCTCTTTGGCCTGTTTCTGCAGACGTTTCTTGTCCTTCTTTTTCTGCGCTTCACGGGCCTTCTTCGCATTACGCTGTTCGTTACGATTCTCCTCCTCCAACAGCTCCTCTATTAGCTGCTTTTGTCGTTGCTCGGCCACCTTTTCTCGATACGCCGTCATCACTCGTTGCTCGAACATCCGTGCCGCGAAAATCTGGAACATCCGTCGACCTTCCTGCATTCGCTGCTCTTCGGTCATCGCATCCTGATTATGGATGTCAGTATGAATCATATCTCAGTCTCGACGTTTCCACAGTGTTCCACGAACCATCTCGTCCTCGTCGAACTCCTCCTCTTCTTGGCTATCATAATCATCGTCTTCTTCTTCGTCGTCGTATTCTTCGTCGTCGAGCGGACCATGGTTGTGACCAGCGTGAAAAGATTGATGAGCTGCAGCAATGTTGTACTGGGTGTCTTCTTCTCTCTGCATACGGCGTTCAGCCAGTTGTTCCATCATGTCGATGAAGTGTTTCCCGTCGTTTTTGAGAAGATCATCGGCCACCGTTAGAATGCCATCTACCGACACAAGGACGTGGTTAATTTTGCTTTGCTCTCCTCGAGAAACCGGACAAAGGGCAGACCCAAAAGAGGAAAAAATGCGTGACCTACCTTTCACTGTTAAGCTGTTTCCAAAGGCAAAAAAGTCAGCGCGGGCTGCGCGTGCTTCGTCATCCTCGTACTCCTCGTCGCTGTACAGCTCGTCGTCATCCTCATCCTCCTCTTCGTCCTCGTCGTATTCATCTTCATAATCCTCATCCTCATCCTCCGGCAGTTCTTGGACTCGGCCGCGTGAAGGATGATATTGACCGTGTGTACGAGTATGTTGACCGGGCGATCGAAGTGGAGGCTGATACAGCCGAGGTGGTGGAATGATTGGAGCGCCCTCGTCAAAGGAGCCCTGGTTATTGTTGGCGTATTGTTCCAATTCCTCATAGTACGCATCGTACAGCACCTCCAGCTCTTCCTCGATTGCGGTCCGCTTTCGGCCACATACGGTGCAACTGCAGGAATGCTTTTGTTGTTCCTTCATTTTCTTCAACACCGCATCCTTCTCCACCTTGACGAGTTGACGACGCTCTTCCTCTCCTAATTCGAACCAAAATGTACGAATATTCTCCCGCTCTTCCAGCGACGATTGATTCCAGATGCTATTCTCTTTGCTCGACCGCGCTGGGAAGCGATGGCCATAGGGCAATGAGTGGGAGTGGGAGTGGGAGTGGGAGTGGGAGTGGGAGTGCGAATGCGAATGCGAATGGAGATGCTGGTGCGAGTGGGAATAGGTCGCCGAGGGCGTAGAGAGAGGTGTGGAGCTGCCATCGGGGTGAGCATGTGAGCCAGACCGGCCCTTCTTGTTCTTCTTCTTTTTTGGCTTGTGCTCATGTTGGTCAGGATGGTGGTCCGCCACGTTGTTCGATGTAAAAGGTCCATCGAGATCGTATTGATTCTCCACCTCCCCATTACCGTCGCCAAGGTCATGGTCCTCGCCGTTGAAGTCTAGGGAGCCGGGTGCACCCTGCTCGGCGTCCTCGTTATGGGTATGGTGGTTGTGCAGTTGATCCGTCGGTTGGTCCATGAATCGAGCCTCGGGGGCCTCCGCTGCAAGGCGAGCAGCTTGCTTCTGTCGCCGTTTTTGCTTCTTGCGATTCACATTGGTGGTGGTGTTTGGTGTGAGCATGTTTCCGGCGGTCGAGGTCTGCGAAGGTCCTCGCGCATCGCCGTTTGAGTTTGACGTTGTTGGATTCGCTGATCTTTGGGCCGCCATGGTCATGCTGTCGAGCTTTGGACAACTGCAATTGCAGCAATCTAAGGGCAGCAGGAAGATCAGAAATCAAGGTAGTGAGAAGGAGGGTATGAGGGGAGGAAGTATGAAGTGAGGGACCAGACCCAGTCGGTCAATGCAGGTCAAAAGCGGAGAGCGGGAAGGCCAAAGAAACCTACCAACAAAGCTCCGGTTCGATCCACGTTGAACCGCCCTCACCAGTCATCCGAGGAGAGACACACAATCGGAGTCGCGCGCGCAGTCTTTATGAGTTGGCCGTGAGGGAGGCACTTCCTTTGGTGACAAACGGGAGGGGAAGGTGCGGGAATCAGGCTCAAAGAGAGGGGTGGAAGGCCAATGAATCCACGGCGGGTCAGCTGTGCTTTGTTGATGTCAAGAAAGAAATGTGTGCGGATCAGATCAGCGCCGAGCTGGGAAAAAGGCCTACTCAATCTCCCAAAAAGATCTTCTGCCTTGACCGGTGCTATCCTCGAGTCCTGATAGAGCGTCGGGTCGGGCGGTTGCAAGATCGGTCGGCGGGCGATAGGATGAGGCACTGGGCTTTCCTGCGTTCTGGCTGGTCATCTTGGCGCCGCAACGGGATAGCCGCTACAAGCGAGCTCATGCCTCGATTATCAGGCACTACTTTGAGATAAAGAAGGTCAAGGGCAGGGCAAAAGTGACACTACGGAGTGAGTCTAAGCTAACAATTATCACACATAAATTGGCCCGCTCCATGAAGTACGGTAAACGCCAAGGTACTGTACAGTGTACACCCTACACACTACCTTACACACTACAGTGACTAAGTACACAGTGTACTCTAAGGAAATGTCCTGTCTGTATATCAATCACGTGGGATCTGTGTTTCACCGCCTATGCTCATGTTGCCTGCTCTGTTCTATTCACCAAACTGTGATCATGTAATTATTACTCCTACTACTGTAAGGTGCCTCAGTACTACTAGACTACCAGTAGTACCTACTACCTAGTACCTTCTAGTGTAGGCTGTGAGTACTGAATAGTAGTCTTGGTATATCCACCTCGACAGCCTCCTCTAGGATCATACTAGAGCCTCAGGCAACCAGATTCACGGACGTTGGGTACTGTAACGCCGTTTGAGTTGGGCTCCACCTCCCAGTAGTGGGTGAAACACGACCAGCTTCACATCAATGACAAACCTGAAACCCTTCTTGTGAAGGTGATCATGGCGACCTGACAGGTCGAGCGCTCCAAGTTCTCTCCAAATATAACGTGTCGTCCTGGACTCCATATGGCGCTTGTTTTGTCCAGTGGTCCACACCACCAAATGAGGTATGTAGGCATAATTGTACGAAGTCTCGTTTGATGCCTTTGACCAGTATTACCTCTGCACCTGTACTGATGTGGTTCTGTCAGTCGGGTAACGAGTCGATACTGAATCACCAATAGTGATGCTCATGAGTCATGCGTAGTTGCGTACTCATACATCCGAGTCTACTAGGGCCCTAAACGAGGAAAAAGATTACATTGGATGCATCAATGCTCTGTCGCACTCACAGTCCCTTATAAACAGTGCAAGACCGGCATTGGAAGATCAGCATATTCACCCCGTCAGCAGGTGAGCGTAGATGGGGACTTGAGGTTCATCAGGACCGTCCCTTCACCTTGCAAGACCAGTCTGAAGGGCGCTCCCATGTTCCAACTCCTGGATGAAGCTGGTATCGACAATCGATTCAAGCTGTCACCTCGACAACGGAGATTGCTCGAGGGAGCCGACCCGAGGACTCGGCACCGTTGCTCAATTGGATTGTGTTACGGTGGAGATTCTCGGTTTCATCGTGAAGATCGTGCCTGTGCCTGCCAGTCTGGGCCTTGCCCACATCTCCCAGGACGAGGTTTCTCGGTAAGACTGACCGACAAATGCAGTACTGTGGCGTCCACAAACCTACCGTAATAGTAGCAGCAGCAGCAGTAGTAATAGAAGTAGTAGTGAATCTGGTAATGGTAATAGTAATAGTAGTAGTCGTCGTCGTAATAGTCGTATTAGTGCCCTTTCTATTTCCATCTCTATTTCCCTTCTCGGCGGAAGTCTCACCCGTGCCTCTCCCCACTGCCTGTGCTACTTTTAGCCCTCCTCCAACTTCGTCAGCCGCTCACGAAGAACCTAAAAGAAGAACCTTGAGGCGATCGGGAGCTGAAAATCCAACTTACTTCCTGATCCCGTCTTACTTGTGCCGCATCGCCGAAACAACCGCCCTGAAGCGCTCAACTTCTCCCGTTCGCGTAGAACCTGTCCCTCTCAACGTCACACTGTTGTGGTGGTGCATCTTTGGGCCTCCCTTCTTCACCTGCCCTCAGCAACGCATTGATCCACACGAGTCTTATCAACTCGCCGTCCTCATCATCGGTCAATTGTTGACGAGATAGGCCTGACCAGCTCGTTGCGCTAAGGTAGCACAACCCGCACAGACTCGAGTGTCTCTCCTCTCCCTCTCTCTCTCTTCCTCTCACACCCATCCACATCCACATTGACATCCACACTTGCCCCCCCCCCCCCCCCCCCCCTTTGCTTACGCCCGTATCGCGATCTTGGCTCCTAAAGTTCCCGCATCCCGGACCTCCAGCTCTCTACTCCCTCTCTCTCTCTTCTTTCTCTCTCTCTCTCTCTCTCTCTTGCTACCGGGAACTTGTGATCGGCGCCCTCCCCGTATTCGCTCGCTCGCTTTTCCTTTGTAGCCATCACCCAGGCTCGGCCACCCTTGTCCTTGACGACTGACCATGGCCCAACAACAAAATGACAATGTGATGAGGAGGTCAGTCATGCACTTCCCCCCCTCCTCCTCACTCGAGCCACTCCGTCCTGCCCGGCGGTCTCTATCCTCTACCGCTGCTTGCACCTTGTCTCTGAAGCGCTTCCTTGCGCCCCCCTCATTCTGCACCTCCTTCGCCGTTGTGAAGCGGACCAACACAGCGGCGACAAGAAGATGAGACTCGGCGCTGGATAGTCTGGTATCAAGCCTGCGGTCAAGATTCGCTGGCTCGGAGACTAGTGGCCATTCAACAAAAACCGCATCTAACGTGGTGGCTTTGCGCACGCTGACGGTCTATTTCGCATCACACAGGAAACTCGTCATCATTGGCGACGGTGCTTGCGGAAAGACTAGTCTTCTGAGTGTTTTCACCCTCGGCTACTTTCCTACAGTGAGTTCTCTTCTAATGGCAGAACAAGGACGATGGACTGTGAGCTAATCGGGAAATTGTGTACGCGCAGCATTATGTCAGTCGAAACCCATGCCGCACGCCGCCTTGACGATCGCTCCAGACCGTTTCCTCTAATCATCTCGATTCCTTTAGGTGCCGACGGTGTTCGAGAATTATGTGACCGACTGTCGAGTTGATGGCCGGTCGGTACAACTGGCTCTGTGGGATACGGCAGGTCAGGAAGACTACGAGCGTCTGCGACCGCTGGCATATTCCAAAGCGCACGTCCTCTTGATTGGATTTGCGGTCGACTCGCCAGATTCGTTGGAGAACGTCAAACACAAGGTATGTCCGGTCATCGACTGGCTGCAGAACCTCAAGACAAACGAAGCGGTCAATTACTCACCCTTTGACCATAGTGGATCGAAGAGGCCAACGAACGATGTCCTGATGTACCCATCATCCTCGTCGGACTGAAGAAGGATCTTCGCGAAGATCCATTGGCCATTGAGGAGATGCGCAAGAAGTCCCTGAAATTTGTGACATCCAAAGAAGGAACGGAGACGGGAGCGCAAGTTGGTGCGCGTAAGTATTTGGAATGTTCCTCCCTCACGGGCGAGGGTGTCGACGACGTCTTCGAGGCCGCGACCCGAGCAGCGCTGCTGTCCTTTGATAAGCGCAAAAGCTCATGCTGCATTGTTCTATGATGGGTTAAAAACGATGCGACGATCGATTAACCGCTGAACGTTGCAATTTCTGCGCTTTTCATGCAGACGGGTCTTACGAGTCACTTGGTTTGGACCATGGTTGTGGTTCAACCTTGGTGCCTACGTCAATCCCCATTTTCTTTAAAACAGTTGCCCCTACATCTTGCATCATTGGCGTTATGGAGGCTTTCTTCTTGTTCTGGGTCAAAATTCCTCGAGGCGATAGGTCCAGGCACAAGGACAACGGCCTGTGACCACCCTTTTTTCTGCTCGTCTCTCTTCGCCCGGTCTCTTCTTCTTTGTTTTTATACGGGACACATATTCCATCCGTCCCTTTTGCATGTCCCTCCTGACTCTCCTTTCCTTTCTCGGGTGTTCCCTATCTCTCACGCACGTGCAACTCCGGATTCCCATCTCTTGTTATTATTTGCCCTCCCCCAGAAGTGCATGGCGGTCTCGTTCCCTTGACAAAACGTTCCTTCAGTTCTCCTCTTGTCTTTGATAGGCTCAGGCCTCCCATCATTTGGTATATTATGCGAGCTGTTTGATCATCACAGCGCTTCCCTTGGCATAGTTCCATTCCATCAAATCAATTCTCAGACGGGAAGAAACAAACAATTTGGGTCTTCTCTTCTTTACTTCTCATGGAGCACATGCCGCAGGTGACAGTATCTCAGGGAGAAGGGATCAGCCAAAATGGTGCAGGACGGCGCCAGTTCAGCAAGGTCACAGGGCAAGGCTGGAAGTCATCATTGGGGGCAAAAAAAAGAGTCCTAGAAGACTCTGGCTTTTTAGACTCTATATCCAACAAAAAGCCTGGCTCCGACGAGGGGAAATAACCGGCCCCGAAAGACAGATTTCCCGACAAGAGTAGACCCCAAAATGAGAGACGAACAGAGACAACGTTGTGAATGCGTATTGTACACGGCGCCAAAACGATATATATCAAAGACAAGAGTCCCAAGAAAGCACATCATCCGTGGCCTCAAGCAAGTAGTCAGCCATCCCGAGTGGAATGAAGCCTTGTCCACTGGCAACAGAACCGAGAAGATCCAAAAAAAGACAATTAAATTGAAAGCGATTACCGCTCCTTCTTCTCCGGACGCTTCCAGTCATGATTCCACCCCTCCGCCGACGGATACTCCGTCTGCATACGACCGTACTCGATCGGGAAAAGATCCGTAAAAATGCCCTTTTTAATCATCGACTTGCGGAACAAACGTCCGCCGTCCCCGGCACCGGTGCGCAGCTCTTCGCATGCCGCTTGCATGCTCTGATACTGGCGCTCTAGCTCGAGTTCGTGCGCCCGACGCTGCTTCGCTTGCAGGAGTTGCCAGGCCCGGTGGATGGTCCAGTGACGGAGGAAGCGGTTGCGAGAGAAGCGGAGGGGACGGGGGGTGAGAGGGTGGTAGAGGAAGTATCGGATCAGAGCTGCAGGTGTTTGATGTTAGCTTTCTGGTTTAGATCCAGCGGTGAGTGGGTAGTCCGGTGGAATATGTATGTCGGAGATGGTAATGAGCGACTCGAGGAGAGCTGCGCGGGAGGCCGACTCTATGAAGAGGGGAGTGGGACCCCCAGTCGCGAAGAAGGAGAGAGGAATTCCAGATCGAATTGGAAAGACACATACTGATTCGTTTGTCCACGTTGGGACCGGCTTTTTTCCGGGCCTCGAGCGTGCGAGTCGACGAGAATGGCGCGGATTGCACGGCGGACAGGACCGGTCCAGGCTGTGGTGTCCGTCTAGCGAGGACTTCCTGACATATGCGAGACGCACTCGGGCGCACGGGGGCCAGCGTCATCTGAATGCGAAAGACATTGGCGAGGGACGCAAGCGTGGGTGATAGGGACCGCATTGTGAGGTGTTGTGTGGTGGGTGTTTGGTCGTTTTGGAGAGATGCGCTCAATACATGGGGGAATATTTCCATGGTGGCAGAATATTGTCCGCCCTTCTGGTTAGCCGCGCGCTTGTCTCGTATCGAACGACCCTTTTCGAGCCGCATGGCCCTGGTTTGCCTATCTTGAACTATCGGCCCCGGCCGAGAGCCCAAATTATTAATGATCCAACAAACGTTCGTGCTGGGGCATTCCTGGTTTTTGATCAGCTTCTTATTCCTGATGATCCCTGTTCATTGGATGCCCGACTCTTATATATCGCGATTCGTTTGATTCACCTATCAAGGATCGATCTGGAATAGACTAAACCGTAAATAAATCTATTGTTTTAAAAAAAAAAAAAAAAAAAAAAAAAAAACAAAAAAACAAAAAACAAAAAAATCGCATATAGTACGAGATATGACACGCCGGTGGGAAAAAAAGAACAGTCACATGCATTGAAATGTAAATTGGTCTCGCCCTTGACCCGGTCAACGCTCTCGTGAAACGCCGTGGTATGCAGCCATAGGAGGGGAATTCATCATGAGGAAAAGAACATGGAAACACAGCCAATGCGGACGTCAAATATGGCACAGATCCAATCACCTCTTTCGGCCGTGGTGCAGTTTTTTGCTTCGGTCGTAATCTTGCACCTTGCGTCGTCGATGTGTCTGTGCAAGTTTCCAGCGGCAGTACAGGACCAGCGCATCCTTGAGGAGAACAAACATACAGCCACCGACGACGCTGCGGCCCCACCGAGTCTGCAGCAGATTTGGACGGCCCTTTTCAAGGACCGATGACGGCGTCGTCCACGCCTTGGGCAGAGCATATTTCAACAACCCACCCATGGACGCCGAGATCGCCGGGAACACCAGCGCTCCAAGGACGGTGTCGGCAAGACTGCTGGTGTCGGCAATTATCTCATTCCGCCGACGCCCAACGCCTCCTCCGTTGTGTTGACCAGCATCCTGCCCTTGCGCCTGGCCATCCTGGGCATCGAGGTCAGCGCCATCTTGGTTTTGTTGAGCTGGTATCGGTTGGTCGACCAGCGGCTCGTCGTCGCCACCCATTCCTACCTGCAATTCAAGATCAATCTCCATCAAGATTTGACCGTTCATATTATCACCGAAACGATTGAGCCCTTCTGCCTGGTCTTGCTGCTGGACTTCATCCATGGTCTCCTCCGTGGCTCGGGGTTGGACTTCAGCGATCCATTTCTTTTCAAGGCCGCCGAATACGCGATCATAAACCGCCCCATAGAAGCTCTTCACATATGGGAGGGCAGCAAACGTCATTGCTGAGGTGGGGGGCCATAGATCAAAGCTGGGCTCGTGTCCGGGGCTGTGCGCCGCGAAGAACAAGACTGGAATGGCCGGAAGGAGACCCTCGGCATACCGGGTACGCGAGAAGATCAGAACTAGCGGGATAAGAGGTAGGCCGAGGTTCATTCCCGGGTTCCACGGACCATCGACGCTGTCCTCGAGGATCTGCTTTGCCTCCTCCGTGCCAAAGACGAGATACATGGAGTAAATGCCATGCGCACAGCATCCAGCCCACATTGTCCCTGCAACCGTGAATACCATCCCAGGAAGAACAAGTCGGCCAGCGATCCTCTCCATGAGGCGCAAAGCATCGACCACGTAGCTCCTGGGCCGAGTCACCACGATCTCTGATTTGCATTGCGGACATGACATCTTTGCGCCGCTCCCTGTGCGCTTGCGCGATGTAGGGTTTTCCATATCAGCGAGCCAGTCCAGTAGGCATGCCTCGTGAGCCGTCAGGGCGCACGGGCAGGGTGATCGCCACTCAGAGTTGAGTGGTGAGTCTTCCGTCTCGTCTGTGTAGCAAATCCAGCACTTGCGAGGTTCATCTTGGGTATCGGTGGGTCCAGGGCTGCTTGTAGATTTGGCGAGTGCTTGTTCGGTGGAAACCGGCGCTTTCGTCTCTGGGGAGCCGGTGGTGGCAGCAGTTCGGTCCAGAATGATGGTCTCGGTATCTTCATCCTCGGTGGACTCGACCGGGTCTTGCGCGCTCACGATGTGCTGCTCCGATGCGGGACTGGAATGTGCGATTTCATCTGCAGAGGTCCTCCGGCCCGTAGTGGGCACGCTGGGTAAGGAAGTCATAAGGAGCAAGTGAGGAGTCGTCTGATCGCCGGAGAGGGGGGGGGGGGGGGAGAAAGACGCGAATAGTAAGTCTAGGTAGACTCGGACGGCAAAGTCCTGGTGTTGGAATGCTGAATGATCCTCTTCACACTTGCTGTCCCCAGGGTGATATGCTAATAGGACTTCAATGAGAATGCATAGAAGGGGGGAAGGGTGGAGACTCGCGCTGGAAGAAAGAGTACAAGTCCGTCTTGACATGACGGGGTCTCCAGCGCAGATGGCCGTGTCGGCTGTGGCCCGCGGCTGTCATTGTTGATCACGTGTGCCACCGATACGTCATTTTGCCCGCGAGCGACCGTTCCAGATGTGGATCCATTTTGAGTTGACGTTGGTCGAGATCTACAGGTTGGTAAACAACTGCATCGCACTGAGCCAAGCCACTGTAGGTGAGTGGATTTAGTAGTTCAATTTTTACTTAGATGAAAGATCTTCTTTTCCTGTTGAAGACGAGTATTGAAGGTGAAACAAGTGTAGTCTTCTGCTTTTCTGCTGGTCAATTCTCGGTCAGGTGAAGGCGACTAATCATTCACAACCGACATTGAACCATCATTGAACCATCATGGATCTAGTCAAACGCTGAATACTTTTTTCACTCGTACTCTGGATGAACCCCTGTGGCGATCCTAAGTGAGTTGCGTAGATATGATGGATCTTGGTGGAAGCTTACCTCCATTGGAAGTTGAACACCCTTCACATGTTGGTTCCATCCGTCGCATTACCCGTGTGCCGTTCCAGGATATATCTGGCACCGCCATGTAGCCGTCATGTAACTGATACCTACCTAACCTTAGGTCCATCCATATTCAAGTAGTACCTATCTCGAACCAGGACGAAAGCACATTGAGTTATTCTCCCCGCCGAATTTAACGAGGTGTTCGTAGCCAGCTCGGTGGAGTTACCTCGGTAGGCACCTCGAGTAACTTAGCTTGCTTACTTGCATTCTAGACCCTGTCAGAAGCCTCGGTGAGTCAAGGATGCTAGGTAGGTCACACGACATCTCTACACCTCTCGTGCAGCCTCCCAGCAATAATCTGCGTGCCTCTGGATATCGAAGATTTTAGAACAACAAAAAATATTCCTCCAAGCGAGCAGAACTGGAGCAATGCAAAAAACAAAAGAAATCATGACAAGAGTGGGATTCGAACCCACGCCCCTTTCGAGACACGGAAGTTTGGACCAGGTGAACCTGAACCGTGCGCCATAGACCAACTCGGCCATCTTGCCTTATTTGATGCAAACGTCACAAGTCTTTGAATAGATGAAGCTTTTGAATATTCGGGCTGTACATTGATACTAAAAAGTAACTTAGTACCGCTACTCTGCTACCTTATTCATTACATGTGTCGTGTAAGAACAGAATCACTCGGTGACACTATAAGTGTACAAATTCTAGCATTCCTCACGACTGAAACAAGACAAGAGTGATGGAGGATTGACTGTTCTATCAAGAACCGCGGTAGGTTGAATAATTCCAAGGACCCAACAGCACAGGCACATGGTAATGGCGCCAACCTTCCTCGCCCTCTCGGCCTCGCCCTTTGACCGTAAACTTGACCTCGACCTCAGGCCAAAAGCTCTCCACTCCCTGTGCCTCATACCAGGGGCCCACCTCGAAGCGCACTGCCCAATTGGACTTGCTGTCCGCCGCAGGGAGCGCGGCCAGCACCTCTGCAACCGAGGACGCAGTGCTGGCCGTGGCCTCGGTCGGCGTCCACTTTGCGACACGCCCGTCGGCGTTGGTGGAGGCGTGGAAGGTGAGCGGGCTGGCGGTGCGGGCGGATGAGTCGGACGCCGTGAGCAGAGTCAAGGTGACGGGGAGATTGGCTGCCGGAGTGCCCGTGAGGGTGTTCAGACAGTGGCAGGTAATGGGATCGCGCGACATGGTGGATGGTGGTTGCGGGTGGGCGACGGGGCAATGAGAAGTTGCGGTGGATGATGGGTGGGAGGATGCAAGCTGGTGCTGGACGAGGGCGAGGCGGTTGGAGATGCGGCCTTGGATAGGGTTGCGCGAGTCCATGAAATGAAGGTTCAATGGTCGCCGAGGATATGACTGGAGACCAAGAGAGGAGAGAGAGAGAGGAGAGAGAGAGAGGGAGGGAGAGAGGAAAGGTGGCAGAGGGAGATTGACAGAATAGAAATATGAGAAGGAAAGAGAGGCAGTTCAAAGAATGGAATTAAAATGATCAATTGCGCTGCTATCGGCAATACTCTCTTTTTGGGTTTCCTCGAGGATTATCGGAGAGCACCGACAGCCTTGCGGAGGATTCCACATGGCGGGGCATATGCGGGCAAAGCATTTGAGACGGAGAGATGGGAGGCCATGGGGAGAGAATAGCAAGAACGAGGACTACATTGAAGGAATAAGTCAAATCTCCAAAGCTAACATGGATCTGAGTATGCAATTGCAATTGCATACTCGCTTTTGGGGGGACCGCGATTTGGACCTGTATCCCGATGAACGATAACAGGTAACTATACTATACCCACGTCAAGACGATCGAGTAAGTAACACTCGTGCTCGTTCATGCGACCGCGGCTAACTGGTGTGTTCCAGGTCTGCATGCGAGTATGCAGCGCCATCAAACTGGCCATGAGCTGCAAACTACGACGTTGACCACTCCAGGAAGTTGAGAATCTGATCCAGTACCACACGATTTTCCATAATCGACAATCCAAAGATATCGTACGTTGAACAATGATCGGTTAGTGTTTTCTTTCTCTCAAGTCAACGACTTGCACTTGCAGAGCTCGCCATAGGGAACCGCCATCGAACTACTGCGTTTCTCTCCCAAGCGCCCGCTTGAGCGGCGGCGGGGCCAGTTGATTTGGACTGTGCCAACGTTCTTTTTTCCCCGCGATAGCACCGGCGACATTCTCCATTTCCATCGCCGCTTGTCATTCTCATCCTATCTCCTCCTTCCTCCCTCCTCCCTCCTCTCCTCCTTTCTCCCTCTCGTGCCGCTATAGCATCCCCGCGCGTCGACATTCCTCATTTCAAAATGTCCTCTGCCGTGGTACACAACGATGATCTCGACATGGAGCCCACCCTCCAGTCGATCCTCAACCAGAAGACCCTTCGCTGGATCTTCGTCGGTGGAAAAGGTGGTGTCGGCAAGACCACCACCTCCTGCTCCCTCGCCATCCAGCTGGCCAAGGTTCGCAAATCAGTGCTGCTCATCTCCACTGATCCCGCGCACAACTTGAGTGATGCCTTTGGCCAAAAGTTTGGAAAGGAGGCCCGCCTCGTCGATGGATATACCAACCTGAGCGCCATGGAGATCGACCCCAACGGCAGTATTCAGGATCTTCTGGCCAACGGCGATGGCCAGGGTGAAGACCCTTTGGCTGGGTTGGGCATGGGCAACATGATGCAAGACTTGGCCTTTAGCGTAAGAGACAATAATCAACCGCCCCCTCTTCCCCCCCTTTCATCATGGCCGCACCTGCGATGCGCCACTAGAAGACAGGAGCAACGATCGCTGACATGTGCGTTTTTTTTTTTGGACGTGATAGATTCCCGGTGTGGATGAGGCCATGTCCTTTGCCGAAGTCCTCAAGCAGGTCAAGTCGCTTTCCTACGAGACCATTGTATTCGACACCGCTCCGACCGGCCACACTCTGCGTTTCCTACAATTCCCCACCGTCCTCGAGAAGGCACTTGCCAAGCTCTCCCAGCTGTCGTCTCAGTTCGGCCCCATGCTCAACTCCATCCTCGGCGCCCGTGGTGGCCTACCCGGCGGTCAAAACATGGACGAGCTATTGCAGAAGATGGAATCGTTGCGTGAGACGATCAGTGAAGTCAACTCTCAATTCAAGGATCCTGACATGACCACCTTTGTCTGTGTCTGCATTGCCGAGTTCCTGTCGCTGTATGAGACGGAACGTATGATCCAGGAGCTCACCAGCTACGGCATCGATACTCACTCGATCGTGGTCAACCAGTTGCTGTTCCCCAAGGATGGGAGCAACTGCGACCAGTGCAACGCCCGGAGAAAGATGCAAAAGAAGTATCTGGAGCAGATTGAGGAGCTCTACGAGGACTTTAACGTCGTTCGCATGCCTCTTTTGACGGAAGAAGTCCGTGGGAAGGAGAAGCTTGAAAAGTGAGTGACCTAACCTGCCCTCTTCCCCCCCCTCTGCCTTTAAAGAGGGTTCAAATCACCGTAACGAGTTGACCACGAACATGCTAATTAACGCCTCTTTCTCCTCTCAGATTCAGCGACATGTTGGTACACCCATATGTGCCCCCGCAGTAAAGGTCACATAGCCAGAATAGGGCGTGAAACTGTAAAGGTATTGGATATTCTTCCTTGAACGAATTATGAAGCGATTAGAGCAATTTTGTTTCAAGCCACGTTTGCTGCTTCACTACGACCCGAACCGATACCGAGTATAATTGCATCTCAGGCGTAACTGTCATATGCAAGCACACTGAATACTAGACAGTAGACACTGGGCAGGTTTCACTGTCTACAGTCGGCGAAAACCGAGCATACATACATAGCTGGGTCGAGATGCCGTCAAGCATGGCGAGTGACAGTGATCCGGTCCCTCGCACCGGGTTCGGGGTATTATCTACCCTTTCGCAGTATGGAAATTATGAAAGTTGGGCCCGTGTAATCTATAACGAAGTTGGGATGTAAATCTATTTCTGAGCTGCTCCTGCTTCGCGTTCCCAACCCAAGTGTACAGAGAGTTGTTCGTTTCTCATTGTCTAGTCTAAAGATGACAGTCCTAAGATGCCTGTTCCGAATTACAATCTCTTGGTCCTTTTCTTTCTTTCTTTCTTTTTTTTTTCTCCAATCCCCCCCCCGGCTGTTTTTTGCAGATACTCAAAACTCAACCTCATGACTGATAATGAGCCCATTTCGGCTGAAGCACGGGTGGCTTTCTCGGAGCAGTGGATGTCTCCCATGCACTTTGCAGTTGAATCAGTAGAGCATCTTGATGCGGTCCCGCGATAGCTGCCAGTCCATGCGGCCGTCCGTTGAAGTCGAGATAGCCCAGTGGAAGTGTAGCAATCGGGTATCCTACATTATCACAGACGTGAGCTTTGTCGTTTTCCAAGCTCACGGATGAGATTCCCAAGGGGAAGATGGAGGTGGTATCATACCTGTCGCCGACGCAAATCCCGTCAGGCCACTCTCGGCTGGGCCCACGATGATATTGACATTGAAGTCTGCGAAGATCTTGTCGATTCCGCGAGTTCGGCCAACGTCCCGGACGTGATGAATGAGAGAGTCTACCTCATTCTTGCTGAGATTCATCTTCACGGCGTCTTCAATGAGGTCCTGTTTTGGGTTCTCTGGAGTGGTGGATCACGTCTTTCGCGTTAGCGGTTGCAAAATGTCATTGATGATGGTGAGGTTGCAAGACGTGATCCCGTGGAGACATGACTTACTGGGCGGTAATTCTACATCTGCGTGAGCCCTGTTGTACTCGATCAGGTCCTCAAGTGTTGAGATAGAGCTGTCGGTGACTGTGGACATGTACTCTGCGAATTCTGAAGGGATGAAGTGGCCTGTACTGGCGAATTAGCAAATGAAGTTCAAGCATCGAAAACCAGCGCAAAGCTAGGGAAGTACTTACTCAGAAGGGTGAAAATTGCATTTTTGCCATCGACATTGAAAGCATCCTCTGTAATCAGAGGCACATGGTGATGGTAGCTTTCAGCTAAACCATGAAGCTTCTCGTATGCAAGTCGTGTTTCTTCTAGCTGTCGGAAGCAGTCAGTGACATGACCCTGTACAGATGATGCTCTACAGAGAGAAGCCCACCATTTGCTCTTCCGCGCCGGGCTGTGGTTTGCGAGCATCTGCCTCGTACCCCCAGACTTCTGGGTCGACAGTTCCAATTCGCAACCCGTTCCATTGCCCCGTCACAGCAGAGACGTAGCCACCCTTGGGGATTTGAGTGAGCTCTGGGTTTACCAGAACATCCATGAGCAAAGCAACGTCGCGGGCGTTCTTGGTCATTGGACCAACCGAGTCGAACAACTTTGCAATTGGTATGACCCCGGCCTGAGGTACAATAGACATGGTCGGTTTCAAGGTGTACAGTGCTGCTCTGTTCGATGGTGAAATGAGAGAGCCTTCGGTTTCGCTGCCCAAGGAGAAGGGAGCAAATCCAGCGGCAACGGCCACTGCAGACCCCGAGGATGACCCGGATGTATTCTGAAATTGACTCGGTCAGCAATGGGTTCTGCTGATGTGCCCTGTGTCATTGCGCATGTTCCAAACTCACGCTGTGTCCGACGAAGGAGTCATCATCTCGGAACCCCCCACGAACGTAGGCAGACTGAGTTTGACCACCCACAGGAGACCAGCCGCAAGCCAGACCAGTGCCCCTAAGGAAGGTAGGTAGGTAGTATTAGTGAACCGATACTCCGACTCAGCGAAAAAGTGGGAAGCTTTGCCGGGAAACTCACTTGTAGTAGCTGAGTTCCTAAATGCGGAAAATCCCATAAACAAATCGTCAGCTCACAAACTTTCACAATCACTCGAACCGGCTGCTACAGTAAGTAGACAGATCATACCGAAAGGTTGGCCTTGCCTATAATGATAGCTCCAGCCCGCAACAGCTACAACATGGGATACATTAGATGTCACCGATCGTCATCATCCCGAATATGTCAAAGTGTGTTTCGAACCTGCTCAACGACGGGCGCGTTATTGCGAGGCTTGGACCCCTTGAGAGCACGACTTCCTGCTGTCGTATCCATACCCAGATCGGGATGTGTTGCGATATTGTCCTGGCATCTCCTTCAGCATGTGACACTGGAGGGGCTCTCATAGTCTCGTGTAGGTTGCAGCCCAAGAATGTCTCGCTCGCAGACCTACCTTGACCAGAATTGGGATGCCATGCAGTGGCCCGCGTAGTTTTCCCTCCTGCCGCTCCTGGTCCATGGCCGCGGCTCTAGACATGACCACGTCGAGGGGAGCTTGTTGCAGGACTGCGTGCAGATAGCCATTGTACGTGTCGATCTGTTGACGATATTTTTCTACCAGGTCGACGCTGCGCAGCTGCTGCGAGGTGAGCAACTCCTGGAGATCGGACGCAGTAGCTGTCAAGGGATCGAACATGGCGATGGATATACTGCTGCAGGATTCAACCTTGACAATTGACGCGGGCGAAATGGGTTCGCCAGATGACCTCCGCAGCGGAAGAAGAGAAGTGAATGAAACACGCGGCGATCATGTGAGGCCGATCACGGTGAGTATAGTGAGCGGCCTTTAGCGAGGGTCAGGTAACGGTAGCCCTCCGGTCGTACCGTGCCTTGTCATCGGCCGATCTCACAGTCATCTTTGAGGATGGAAAGTGGTTGTATCTCCATTATTGGTCGGTACCCCGACGGACTTGACTTGCCAAACTCCGATCTCCAAATGTCCCGTTGGGGCCGCATCGAGACGCTCATGAATGTCGACGACGGTCAGAATCGTGGCAGAACTCATTGACCACGGCAATGAAATCAAGTGTGTCCACACGCGGACTGTGCTCCAACTTTCAAGAATTGCTGCTTCGATCTGGATGAGAATGGACAGCTCTCGTCAACCTTGGTTCGTTCGGCTCAACAAGAGGTGCTTTTTCCTTGTCGCGGCCAATGGACTCCACAAGGGTTCAGCAGTAGCACAGGCCACGGGCTGCAGGGCACGTTGCAAAACTGCGATGTGGGGGCGTCTGAGGGTCTACAATATTCAGGCTCAAGAACCTGGAGTCTTGCAAGATTCCACCGCAGAACTATACTACTTGTTCGCCGGCAACCCTAAATCACGAAACCCCTGACGATTTCCGGAATGAGTAATGCGGGACTGTCCCATGGGGGTAAGCGCTGCTCCGAAACGTACCGTGGGAGAGCACAAGAACACAAGCTGACGTGACGATCTTGCCAGCTCGCAGTGAACAGTCACTCCCTGTCACTATGAAGAATGGTTGCTCCCACGTTCCAACTACGTTCTGTATACCCGCCCGAGACACGGCGGGAGTCATCATCTGGTTGTGTCGATTGTCCAGTCCGTGGCTACATGCTCCTCACTCTGCACGTAGTACCCACCTACCATAGGTAAAGTCAGTTTGTGGGTAAGAGGCACCTATTAGGTAGTTAGTAGGCAGTGAGGCACTCTCGCAAGCGCGCAAACATGGGGTTGGCCGGGCCGAGCCACTTACTGCGTGGTGCGCAGTACGTGCTGCGTAGAGCCATAGACTCAAGACTGTCGAGTGCATGGGCGTAGAGCTCATGATTCAGTAATCAGTACTGCCCAGTATCTAGTGTCTACAGTCTAGTGTCTACAGTCTACGGTCTACATAGTAGTGTCCATTGCCTAGTACCTACAATACGACTACAGCACCTCGCCACCCACTACCCAGTCTACTGACGACGATAGTCTGGCAGCGTCTATACTCGGTAGTCCCTTCCTGAATCATTCCAACTGGACATCTCATGCGCAGCATTCCTTTTCTGATTCAAGTATCCATTACTCCGTCCCGATCGCACTGGCTTGGGTGCAGGAAATGACAAGTTCTCCTGGTTCATGATGCATCAACGGGTCAAGGAGGACGGAGATCCATGGCCAGCAGAGATGAACGCCCCGGACGCCATCGCGTTTCGATTGGGGTCAATAGTTCAACCCTTCACAGTCCGCTTGGCCGAGTCGCCGGATTTCCTAATACGACGGGTTGCAGCAAGCCTTGCAGCATTTCTCAACGTTTCCATCAATTTCAAACCCTTTGCCGACGAAAAACGTGGGAATCTCCCCCGTCGAGCCAAGCTCACGGTGCTCACTCTCGAGTGCCACGACATCCGACATTGTTGGCTCACATGTTGAGCAGCGCAAGGCCTAATCTGGCGTGGTGGAGATGCGGTGAGCGAACCGCCCGAGGTAAACCTGGTCAATACCTCTCGATCTTCTCTCGATCTTATCGTTGGTCTTTGTCAAAGTATGGACAGTAGATCTTTACACACACATACACATTCTTTACAGTAGATCTTTATACACACATACACATTCTTTATATTCATGTTGAGATCTTTCTTCTTCTTCTTCTTTTCTTACTCTTGCTCTTGCTCTTGCTCTCTCTCGGCATCATTCTTCAACTCTTCAATGCCTTCCCCCCCGTCAGTAAATCCTCTGACTGGACAGAAGAAGATGAAGAAGAAATGGGAAGTGTTCTATTGGCATTGGCATCATAATATGCTTAGCATACTTTTAGCATCTTTCTGTTGCCAATTGATCAAATTCTACTTTCACCTCTTATTCGGACTACCATCTTCAAAAATGCCCCCCCCCCCCCCCGGCAATTATGCTGTTTGATGACATGACGTGTGACACGTCACGGTCAAAGTGAACCACTAGTCTAGAGTCCAGACGGCTTTCCTTGCCCAATCTATTGCGCTATCTCACAAGCAGACCTGCGATGCCAGATCCTTCCGCACCCGTTTCTTCGACGGTGCCGCCATGGCGTTTGACCTGCAGATGCGTTGTTCATCTCGAGACGAACAGACAAGACACTAACCCGAGAACGGATTGTCCTACACAAGCCTCACTATGAACAACAATCAGCCGCCCCGCTTCTTGCTTCCTGCACTCGCTTTTCCCACGAAGTATATGGCTGGTCTCCGAGGTGGACTCCTGTCGTTACAGAACCTGGCGATTTCTTTCTCAATGATCTTGAGACTCCGGAGTCTCTGCGCATGGATACAGACCTGAAAATTGTCCAGCAATGATCTGGCTCCTAAGCTAGTTCATCAATTAATGCTAACCACATCCATCTATCCTACTAGTGGGCCTCGCAAAATGACTTTTTCTGTTTTTCTCAGAGCGAGATTCCTCGAAAGTATTGCATTGCTCTCAATTGCGCTAACAATAGCGTTTTTTCATTGTCCTTTTTTTTAATTTAAAAAAAAGAAGACAAACAAGAAAGCGTTGGATACCGTCGTCTCTTCAAAGTGAGGCGCCAAAGCCCCTGCCTTGTTGTTAGTTGATCCCGATGAGCTCCGCGTCGGCTTCAGATCTTGTCCACGGTTGGATTCGAGGTCGAACAAGTCATCTTCTCACTGCTTTCGATTATGCGATTCATTGAGAATACAAGAATCGATAATGTAGGATGAACTCCAGTGATGCATGACTCCTTCTCATTGTAAATTCGACGTTCTGCCCCCAGGCTCTATAGATGATGGGATGGAATGGTGGCGCTCTCGAGATCTAGTTCCTCCAAGCTCACCATCGATCCCGATGTGGTTCAATGAAGATTTGCCGAATTCCAATTGACTTGGACGTATACTTTCCAAATGACTGCGGATACAGTCAAGTCCAATTAGACGGTGTGAGATGGATGCGTGTGCGGCACCCGCTCCCGAGGACTGGTAAATGTTGTCTTCCTCTATCTTTCCTGGATAGCTTGGAGTTCATGTTTCGGTGGGTAGGTCTGATGCAGGGAAGGGCGCTTCCAGTGGTCTTATCCCATTTTGGGTCCATTCTTCATCATGCTTGATGACTCTGACCCGTTCTTGACCGCATATTGTGGAGATGAAAGCGTGCATTCCAGTCCTCATGGCCCACGGTGGTAGGTCTCGACCAGCAAGTAGTATTTATACCCCCCGGATGATACGCGACTCACCAGACCCTGTTCGATTCACGCTGGGACTTTGTTGTTTCAAAGAGGAAAGTATGCGCTGAGGAACGATAGCTCTCCAGGATCTCCATCAAGCTTCGCACTTCTGACGGTGCTCGCTGGCAAGCATCGTCCACCCCACCGCTCGTCCTTCCACCGTCCCCAGGAAGCCCTCGTGGTAGAGTTCTCTCCGGCCTTCCAGTACCGATTCGAGCAACACAGCTTCTTGCTTGTCGATTCTGATGGTCCCAGAACCTTAACAATCCCAGGAAAACTGTCATTGCCTCGTCGTTCTCTCGGCAACAGAAACAACGATAGCACGTACCCTCGCAACCTCAGGTGCAATGTCTCCAGGGCACCAGCAGTACTGGCTTCCGGGCTATGGACTGTCCCGACACATCGTCCTCGGACAGATTCATTGCTTTCTAGGCCCATCCGCCTCGGCCAGGCCGTATAGTTATCAGGTACCCATGGCTCTTCTTTCTCTGCTGGACTCTGTCGACAAAGGCAAGCATGCTTGGGAGGGTCAATCTAACCAAGGTCTCACTTTGCTGTTCAACTCTAGGGACGTGAAGGGTATCTTATCACAGGCATGCCTCTTACTCGGGTCCGTTCTTCATGTCCAGCGTGAAATGATTTCGAAGAGTTCGCCGGTCACCGGACACGACTCGACTCATGATCCGGAATCGTGTTTCGGATCTTATTTGTCTCTGATTTGGTCTTGTTCTAACCATTGCAAGCAAGTTCAGGACCAGATTGACGACTTGGCAGCCATGTCGCGAGAATATGAGAAACAAGAAGCCCTACGGATGACCACTCATTCGTCCAGCGCTTCCATCCAGATCAGTCCCGGTGCCGGTGGAGATGGATCATCCAGAAGATCCTCGGAGCCCTACATCAACGAAATCATTCCAGTGGATTTTCAAAGGACTCGTAGACGACCCGTGGAGCAGACTTCTTCCCGGACCAGCCATTGATGCTTTGAGGCCTTGTGATCATTCTAGACTTTTACCTCTTTCTTCTTCTTCGTCCTCGGGATTGTCTTCTTTCTCTCTCTCTCTCTCTCTCTCTCTCTCTCTCTCTCTCTCTCCTTTTTTTTTACGTTTCCCCCCCAACTTGACCCGCACCTTGGAATCCATAACATCTGCTATCCTCACTCGCCGCACATTTGCTCATCAAAGTGTGTTCGGGTTGCCATTGATCAAGGACACGAGACTCAAGACTGTCTTCCCAGAACCATGACCGACGGTCGTCTCTTTTGAAACACACCTGCATGGACCATCACCATCAATCCAGGCCAAGCCTGCTTCTACCACGTCGATGAAGGAATTCTGTCCTCCTCGCTCTGCCTGACTGCAGCAGTGACTCCAGCCATGGCCAGGGTCTGTCTTCTCTGCCTCGGCCCCCGTGACGCATGAGACACCATCACAACACGCGGGGATGGCCGGCCAGAAGGGGGGAAATGATGCTTGACAGAAATACACTATCGCCGGATACCCATCCTGCCAGACTTTGAGGGCAAACTTTTCGAGGAAATCTCCTGGCTTTTCACAGGGTGCTATCGGGTCGGGAGGGGGGGGGGGGGGTTGTTTTTCCCACCATCTGTCCGATGATTGCGTTTGATACCTGGGTTCGGCGTACCTATATAGGTGATGACTATTCTGGTTGTGCATTTCTTGTATCTGGGAGACGCTTTCGATTCGGTTTACCGTGTCTCTCTGCGGTGCGTATATGGATACTGTTAGCGCAGGACATCTCGATGGAATATGCTCTTTTGTCCGGTTCCGAGTCCATAATCTACACCCTCCTGCATACATGGAGCATAATCATCGTTCTCGCATTCAAGGCAGCTCCAGTGTGGGACCATGGCACAAAGATTTTAGACATCAGATGTTTCACTCTTCTCGGTAGACCGTTCATCATGGCATAGATCCGTTGAATCCCAACCCGGATTCACAAAAAAAAAACATCTACGTGGTTTCCTCTTCTATCCCGCTGCAAAGATTTTTGTCAAAACAGGGGACTCGTCATCTGGACTTCATCCAACAGGCCAAGCTCCAAGACGTGTCCCATCTCTTCCCGCATCGACGGGCCACGCATACATCCATCTCATCTTTCCTCTTTGCGAAACCACCGGGGTCCCGGATTGTCTCTCAGAAATATCCTAGAGGGAAGAACAAAAGAAGAAAGAAAACATAACTCGACAATACAAAGCCGCGAGAGTGGAAATATAGGTGATCGAGAGGTCGAGGGACTTTCAGATTTGGACATGGGCATAAAGAAAAAGAAAACACATTTCAGGAAAGGTTGACCACCTATAAACGCCAGCCGGATGCCACTTCTGCACAAAGTTCCCCATCTCTCACACAAAGCCGTGTTGTGACATACATGGGAGGATCATTAAAATGGGTGGGGCAGAATTGAGAGAAAGGAGAAAAACGAAGATGGGTTGATAGAAAAAGGGTAGAGAAAATCGAGTTTTGGGGCATCAGCTCATGAAGGTATATCTCATTTGGCGACGGCGGAGCTAGAAAGAGATGGGGATTAGTAACTGACTCAAGAAACTGCACCCCGACGATCAAAATGCCCGTTGTCAAGGGGGAATGGTCTTTAGCTTACCTCAGGACTTGTGTCCGGAAAAAGGCACCCTTCGTCCTCTCGATGACTTGCTGGTACACCGATTGAGGAGGGTGGTTCATGATGACGGTACCCTCCTTGTAGTCGATCTTGGCGTCGACGCGGGTGTCACGGATGAGGTTGACAATCCACTTCTCACCCTCATCTTGGTTCAGACCCAGACGAGTGGACAGGTCCCTGAGAGCAAAGAGAGAACACGTCAGAACCCCTGAGTGATATGTTGCGCTCGAAATTAGCGAGTCTTTTTCCATGTAGAACTTACTTGATGTCGATACGCTGATGGATCTTGCAGTAGCTCTCGGAGATGAGGTGACGGGCAGCCTCGACGAATGCATCGGCAGCAGAGACGAGGAAGAAGTCGCTGCGCAAAACCTCCTCGGCCTCGCCGAGCTTGCGCTGAGCCTCCTCAAAGTCAAAGTCGACGTACAGAGCCTTGATGAAGTCGGTGATGGGATCGGTGTATTCGTAGTTTTCTTGGCGAACGACACGGATCAAGTCCTTCAGTTGCTTCTGGTAGGCACCGTGGTGCTTGTGGGGGCGGCTACGGTTGGTAATGACCGCAGCGGCAAGGTAACGAAGGATCCAGGGGCAGCTGGTCTGGATGGTGTTGATGTAGGCGGGAGAGAAGAAGAGGTCGGTCAGGACATCGCGGGCGGGGTCGTGGTTGAAGAAGGGGAAAAGTGACCAGTGAATGAGCCAAGAACGGTTGGTGAGCTGGGCCAGAGGGTTGTTGAAAAGACGAGTCTCGATTGAGTCCTTGGCCTTCTGAACCTCCTCCATCGCGCCCTCCCAGTTCGTGGTGAGGATCTCGGATGCGAGTTTACCCCAGGTGGCAGCCGCAACCTTGTCATTATCCGTCGACAGGACTCGGAATTGGTAGAGTAGTTCAGCGGCATTACCGTAACTGCCACAGCTGTACTGGAACCGACCGTAGTCGTAAAGACTATTGACCATCTCAGTCGTCACACCATGCTGCTCCTCGAGGAACCGCAGGTTAGCGGCCTTGTCGCTTCGCAGGTTACCAACGACCTCCTCATCCTGCAAGAGCTCGGTGATCTTTTCGCTCTCAACCTGGTAGTGCTCCAGCTTGGCCAGAACCTCCTCACGCTTCTTCACGAATTCCTCGGGGATCTCGTCGGAGTCGTTGATCTCCTTCCACAGATTGGCGACATAGTCGGTCATGTTGGTGTGCTTGAGCAACTCATATTTGGCGCGAATAATTTCTTTGTCCTCCTCGTCGGTGCCGGCGCTGAATTCGAGCAGAGGGAAAACCAGGTGCCGGTCGAGATAGGGGATCAGACGAGGCAAAAGATCATACTCGGAAGAGGCATCGGTTGGCTGGGCGCCGCTGAGCTTTTCAGCGGAGGAGGGAGCGTTGTCTGCCATACTGAATGACTTGTGTGAGTTGATCAAAGACCGAGGACGAGGCACAATGCACTTTGCACTTGGAATTTGTGTGCGGGAGGGTGTGTGGGCGCTAAACCAATTTTGGGATTCAGTTGAGCAGATGGGCGGTGGCAGAAAACCACCGCGAAAAGAACCTGCTTCATTATTCGTGCCGTCGAAGGCTGTGATGAGCTCACCGTGTTGCATTTGAGGTGCTTGTCGTCAACCTTCTTTTTCCCGCCACCAGGTTGTCTAGACTGCTTCTTTTGCCGGCCAACTCAAAGACCCTCGATGGCATCTTTTCGACAGTCGGCCTCGGTCGCCTCCTCTAATTTCCGTTTGGCTCAATCCGTCGCTTCCGTACAGACATGTAGCCGATTCTCTCCAGTCTATTCCTGTACGTTCCCCATTTGCTCGTCTTTGCGGTTTCAAGGTTGCGCGAGTCATTTCGACTATCAAATTTGGCTTCCCAAGTGCGCCATTCGTTGGACAATGCATTTGTTGCATCCCGAGCCTCCGACTGAAGCTGCACCAGTCTCCAATGTGTTTTCTCTTTTGCTGAGAAGTTATAATGCTAACGTCTTCATGCCCGATTACAGTTTCTCATCTTCGCGCCTCATATCGTTCATCCACACCTCAAATTTCCCCGCCTGCTCAGCAAAGTCGGGGCTTTCTCACCCAACTCCGTCGCGAGGCGCAAGCGCTTAAGGAGCAGCCCATTTCACAGACCGCGCCACTGCCCAAGAATGGCAAGCAATTAACGCCAAATTTATCACTCACAAACCTCCCTTACTTTGTTCGGCGGACCGGGTCCAACCAACTTCCCGTCTATCTCGTCACAAAAGCTGGTGGCACAAAGCAGCTTACCAAGATTCAGAAAACCGAGGGTGACCTGGATGCATTCCGTAACGACTTGGCCATTTCCCTCGGTATTGACACTCGGAGCACCGATGTCTCCGTCAACAGACTCACTGGTCACATTATTGTCAAGGTAAATCCTTGCGTGGCATAAGCGGACGATAGCGAGTAGGGTACTGATTTGTCTCCTACTAGGGCTGGCGGAAACCCGAGATTGTCAGATTTCTCCAGGAACGGAACTTCTAAGACAATCGTCTCAATTCAGACACCTGGCGGCGAACTGCTATCATCTACGAAAGAGCCGAAACACCTACGCGTCTGAACATTCGACGGTGCTACCGGGCTTGCGAAGACGACAAGCAATAACATGGAAGACCAGCAAGAGTAGGACCTGCGAGGTGACCGCAAAAGGCTTCATGTCAGCGCATGTGTGGTAATCATTTCCATTTCCCCTTACCCTCTCGACTCCTTAGGTACCCTTTGGTGTGTATTATTAGTCCCAGGTCATGGGAAGTTGATCTTCGTTTTCTCGGCGGGTGTTTTGCTATGGCTTCTGGCGCTTGTGTACTCTTTTCATAGGCTTGTCTTCCCGGCTACCTCCAATTCTATTTCCCGTTAATCTGGAAAAGTGGGCACTGTGTTTCTGGAGTAGCGTTCAAGTCTGCGGGGCAAGCGGCTTCTTACTTGCGAGACACAGCCGGTCTCGAGATCGACGTAAAGCGAGAATGGTGCAGAGCTCGGCCAAGTCATGAGGATCGAGTCAAGCAAATTTTTTTCATTCTCTAAGCACCTACATTGATCAATGGTACTCGTCCAGCTAGAGATACATTGCGTTGTCCATGTTCCCCCCATCTGGATAGCTTCCAGTACCTGAAGAGGCAGTCGGTGGTCTGATCAAGACTACCTACTCTCTAGGTACTGTAGCAGCTGCGGTGCTCTGAAAAGGTACATCTAGAGAAGTACCGAGCTCGGGATTGACCTCACCCCCCATACTCTGATCGGCTCGATGGCCCGTGCCCGTACCTCCGGTGCCGCGCAATTGAATTGCTGCATAAGCATGTCATTGGCTTCCGCGCAAATGTCCAGGTTCTGGGTTCTTCAACCTGCATAAATTCTTCATCCAATTGACATATCTCCGCAGTAGGCTGCCATGTCCTACCCAAATAAAACGGCGCCAGCAGAGATCGTTGCCGCTGCAGTGGAGGACGGCAAGAAACACCTACTGCTAGCCGCGTAAGGATTCATGGAAGCAGGAACATTGCGTGGGTGTGTCAGGCCATACTGACACGAAAGCTGATTGAAATCTTGCAGAAGCGGGTCCGTCGCGACGATTAAACTAGTCCATATCATCAAGGCCTTGGCCAAACACCCAAATCTATCTATCAGAGTGATTTTGACGAGCTCCGCGGCGAACTTTTTGAACGGAACATCTCAAGAGCAACCGTCTATTGAGTCACTAGCCTCACTTCCTAGTGTCGATGGTGTTTATCAGGACCAAGACGAATTGAGAGAATCTTGGACCCGCGGTGCTGGGATTTTACATATCAACTTACGCAAATGGGCGCATATTCTCGTCATCGCGCCACTCAGTGCGAATACAATGGCGAAAATAGTCAACGGGATGTCTGATAATCTCCTTACAGATACTGTCCGCGCGTGGGACACGACTGGCTTGGAGGGTATGGAGAAGCGTATCGTCGCATTCCCGGCCATGAATGTCGCGATGTGGGTGCATCCTGTTACCGCCCAACAATTACGCGTTCTACGGCAAGATTGGGGGGTCAAGCTCGATCAACAAGGAAAGAAGACTGGTGATGGCTGGTTTGAGGTCTTTGAGCCGATCGATGTATGTGAGATGAAAGTCATCCCTTTTCCACATCTCTCGCTCTCGAGCCCACTGTTTACTGATTCATATCGACAGAAGAGACTTGCCTGTGGAGACCTTGGTATCGGGGGCATGCGAGAATGGACCGAGATTGTGTCAATTATAGAGGCGAGGCTGGACCTCGCTACCCACGGTTCATCTTGAATGCTTTGTTCTGGCATTGACGCAGATTTGGATCTGAACGTCCTGTCATGACACAGTCGAATGGGGCAGTAGCGCTGACGACTTATGCATGATACTATACCTCGGATGATCATTTGGTCCCACGATGAATTGACACACATGATACCCTGACACGCCATGGTTGATCGACGGTCATCGTACACACAAGGCCGCATTCGAACGCGGGCGCCTCAGTCATAGCCTTGATGGTATCGCTGGCCCTCGTGCCTCCAGCAGGCTACCTTCGAGCTGTATCTTCCACTCCGGGTTCTACCAAGCCCTGTGGCCGCGGCTTCACTGGGAATGTCAGCGTTGGGAAGGGCGAGTCAGGGACGGACAAACATCCGCTCAGAGAGCCCAATTATGGTAGGGTTCAACAATACCTCACTCTCTTCATTCCCGTAAGGTTCAATTTGCCCATACCGAAATGAGAAGCCATCTCGACGTCAAGCACTCTGCACTCAGCGCCGAGATTCAATAGCAGAACAATCATCTTTCCCTGGCCGTCTCGCACATCAAGAAAAACTTTCTCGTTCAGCTCCATTCCTGTTGGGAAAATTTATCCTCAGATGCGTGGTCAGTGATTGAGCCCGTAATCCGTCAATTCTGTTTCTTGTCGTATCGTCATTTTTCCAAACCTGTACCACCATCCGCATTTAATCTGTTGTAGTCCGACTCGGCCGTCGTTCTTTGGCACCTACTTCTCGGAGAGGTTGCCCTCGACTGGTGTACCATTTTGTATCTCATTCCATTCGTCTCAAGACCATAGCATGATTCTAGATATGACTAGATGGTAGAAGCACTGCACCTCAAAAACCTCCACGAGCGGCGAGTCGAGAGGATATACCCATCTCCGGACCACTATGTCACTATCATGCTCGAGAGGCAGCTACTATGTATCGTCAAACATAAGACTTCCTGCAGGTTGTCTTGGTGACTCCTGCGTACGTTCCGGAGCTCTAGATGTGGCGATCTGGCGACAAGGCAGACTTGGAGGGCCAATTACGACTGTACAAAATCGAGAATAGTGATAAGGCTCTGACAGTATCCATCACAAACCGGGTAGTGGATCTCTAACACTCAGTAGAGGGTATATTGAGCATTGTACATAATAATTGCACACAGGACAGCGCTATATCACAACACAAGAGAGCCAGAAAAAAAAGAAAAAGACAAAGCCATAGGCAGAGGGCAAAGTAGAGATATCGGAGACTTGAAGCCCTCTCAATAACCCGCTGGCGCCAACTAGAGTAAAGAGGCAAAGGTTCGGAAGAGCCCCGTCCGATTGATCTCCAAAGACATGGGCCCAAAGTTGAGGCAGACCAGGTTTGGGGTGACAAAGTAGGAGCCAGCAAATTCTGGCCGGTGTTGCTGACCAGTGGAAAAGAGAATAAAAATGACATGATAGAAATTCAAGTGTTGCTGTATGCACGCTTACGTGCGCGGCAAATAAAATCCATTTCGGAGTATCGCGCCTGAAGAAACCAGCCTTCATCACCCCGTACGCGTATACGAACAATCGCTTCGAACATGACAACGCCGTAAGACAGCAAGATTGCACAAAGTATCACTTTTCTTCTTACTCGGCCAAATTGGCGTAAGTGAGAAGCTGGCGGATAATGGCTGGGTCCATGTTCGCCAGCAGCAATGCCCCAAGTAAGCTTTCTTTGCTGGGGAGTATGCCTGAGGGAAGTCGAAGCGGCGAGGAGCCATCAACTTGCTTGGACTTCTCGGCAAGTCGCCTCAGAATACCGAGTCCGCGGTGAATAATCGAGCTGTATGCGAATGCTTCCGTCTCAGCCTGCCTGTTTTGACGTGGATTGATAGTCGAGAGACGCTCCGTACACAACAAGCAGGACACCCGCAAAAGATGGGCGGCAAAACCGTCAACAGAATTGAGCCATTGCTTGGCGAGGACCCCGTCAGCAAACGTCGTTAGGACATCAGCTGCCAGGAGACCTTGCATGAGAAAGACGAGGCGAGCGTCTGCAACTGCTAGGGGTCGCCGATCTGGGATGGCGCAAATTGCGAGGCCGAATGCCCGGGTCAGGAGGTCTTTTTGGGAAGCCGCAGAGCCGTCGCCCAAAAAGATAGCCCCAAAGAAGAGCCGATTTGGGTCGTCTCTTGCCAGCAATTTTGCGAGTCCGTCTACAGCGGCAGGTGTATAACGATGAACCGAGGGATTGAAAGCTGCAAATAGGATCTGGCCTGGCTTGATTTCACAGGGGCCTGGGGAAGGTGAAAACGCCAGCAGAAAGTGCAATAGGCTCAAGGCCTCCTCCTTGCCCGGAACCTGCATCATATGCGCCAGATTGCTCATAAATATCACAGCATCTTTCATGAAATCCAGAAGGTTTTGATCGGTGCGCAAATAGCGATCGCGGGTACCGATATTCCTGAAAATATTCGCAAGGCACTGCGTGACAGCTGGTATACCAAGAGATTCGAAGTTGGACTCGCTGAATGACAGATTCCGAAGAATCGTGGTGATGCAAATCAAGCGGTCTATGGCGCTGTTTAACTCATATTCAATGCTCCCGAATTCATAGACGTTTCCAAGTGCAGTATGCTCAAACTGGCAGCCGCGAGTGACATCTTCGTACGAACGCAGACAGATTTGTTCGCTCACTTCTTCGATGTGCTCGGACAAGAAGTCGGCTTGTTCATCAGCACAGTCCACCAGACTCTCTATTAAATCCTCGGTGTTGTCGAGGGAGATTTGAATGCTAGGCTGGCTTGAGATCGTGATGAGAGTGTCAAGAGCTAGCCGGATTTCCGCATGAATGCCGGACTTCAGGCTCATGGTCAATGCGTGAATGTCCACGATACCCAACTCGGCAAAACTTGGGACTGTCGGCCGCAGTGCTGATATTTCCTCGCCGATGTGGAAGAAATCATCGACCTGAATAGGGCCATGTAACCGCTGTTCATTGACAATCATGGGTCTGAAGGGGTCTTCGATCGGTCGCTTGAATACTTGCTCCGGAACAGGTTCTGGCGGCTGTACCGGCTGTGGCACCGGGGTCACGGAGGCTTTGCTCTGCTGAGACGGAGATGGTGCAGCAAATTGGGCTGTAGCATCAGGCGGGGGTGCTGGTGGAAGTGACTGCCGTGACACACTCAATCGGTGTCCAGGTTGAGGTGGCTTACTCTGGCCTCTGGGCTGAGTTGGTGTGGCGAAGCCATTGCTCGGCGTCGCATGGGCGCTCGTGGAGATGGGAGTGTTTGTTTGAGGGGTATTCGCAATCGGCGCGTGAGAAGGTTCAAAGCTCGGTCCTTGCTTAGGTTGAGGTGATTGGAACTGCATCAATGAGGGATCACTTGGCTGACGTTGAACTCCCACATGATGTGGCGGGGCATGTGGATGTTGTGGCTGCTGCTGCTGCTGCTGCTGCTGGTGAAGGTGCTGCTGAGGATGGGGAAGAGGCGGCTGGTGTTGCGGCTGATGAGGCTGCTGCTGCTGCTGCTGCTGGTGTTGCTGTTGCTGCTGTTGCTGTTGTTGCTGGTGTTGCATCTCGGCATACTGTTTAGACTGAGATTGGAAATACGCCTGCTCATATGGAGCAAGGTTCCTTTGGTGATACTCTCGGAGCTCCTGTGGAGCCATCGGGAACTGCCCTGGAGGAAACTGCAGTTGCTGCGCGACCATGGGCCACATGTTCATAGCAGTTATCTTTTTTGAACCTCCCATCTTCATCACTGTTCCGTACAGTTGCATTACGGCAATTGGGCGACCGCTGACAATCGGGTTAGGGTCGAATGGCAAATTTCGTGACATCATGAATTTCTGTAACGTTCGCGTGAACATCTCCGGGTTGTTCGGCTTGCCCATGTTCTGCTGGTGCTGGTGCTGGTGCTGGTGCTGCTGTTGCAGCTGGCGAATTGCAGCCATTTGCTGGGAGTTGGAGGCCATGGGATTCATGCCACTCGGAACAGCGGGGCGACCACCCATTTGAGGATTCAAATTTGGATTCATCTGTTGGTTCTGCTGCATCTGCATCTGTCGGAGTCGCTGCTGTTGTTGCGCGATGGCTTGGTGGTAATTTTGGGGTACATGAGACATTCCGCCAAATTGCTGAGCTTGCATCTGAGATTGCTGCGCCGCAGAAGGCATACCAGGCCCTTGCTGGAATTGCGGGTTCATGGACTGGGGATAGGGTTGCCCAGCCATGAATTGCCCATTCTGCGGCGTGTTGACACGACTCGCGTCCGGCTGCGAAGGCGACATCTGCGAATTTCCTACGTGCGGACCGGCAGGAGAGTAAGGACTTGGCGAGGCCGTTCCCATGCGTGCGCTCTGTTGGTCGAAATCTTGTAAGATGGGCGACTGCGTTACGCTGGGGGAGGCGCCCTGTTGCAAATGCTGATAAGGTGTGGGATGCTGCGGAAACTGGGTACCGTTCGCAGGACCCTGGTAGCCCGGGAAGGGAACTTGATGAGGAGTCTGTGATCGGGACCCGGTCACGCCCGTGCCTGGGCCAGGCCGCGGCGACATGGGCATTCCATCTTCGGGCCGGGCTCGCTTGGATGGGATCACCTGGTTGGGGTTGTGGAAGACGGGCGAAGCGTTGTGTGGCACGCCATTGAACATGCGCTGGTACTGATTAGGGTCTGGAGGATTGGACGAGGCATGGAAGAAAGCATTCGCAGAGTCTATGTTGGGAGGGATGAATGCGCCATTATTCTGGCCAGGAATATTCGAGGCGTCGGCTGGCCAATCGTTCATGTCGTGTGATTTTTCCAACCCATCTATGGTAGTCGCAAGTCGATTAGCAAGCCGGTTTGCAGAGACGCGTCTTCATCAACGGCATGACCTTGATCAAGCAGAACCATCCATTTCAGGCGATAGCATTGATACTGATGACATCCAACGCTCAGAAGCTATGTAAACGCGTCTCGATTGGTCATGGAAAGAGACCGCGCGCTTGGTCGCGACACGCTTCTGAGGCAATTGGCCTCCCACGAAATCAAATACTCGACACCTGATATCACATCGAAAGTTTGATGGAGTATAACGTGTTCAAAAAGGAAGAAAGGGAAGGACGCAAAAAGAATGGAACATACCGACAAGGCTGGACTTTTCAAATTCCCGGTTCGCGATCAACTTGGCTGAAGCCGAATCCCGCAATTAGCAGTCGGACAGAAGGACGGAGGTTGGGGACTGGTAGCTTGTGGTCACGTGGTTATAGAACCTGAGGCGCCAACATAGTCACGGGCTCGGTGGGAAGGGGAAACAGCAGGGAAAGAGAGCGTCCGGGAAGGGAGGCGGGAACAAAAATAGAAGGGCAAAGGGATGCTCTAGATCGCCTTCTCGATGTCACCACTGGCCAGAGACACAATAATAGGAATGGTCCAGAATTGGGAAGACTGCTGGCCAAATGAGGTCTGGGCATGAGCAGTTGGTGGACTGCCCGAACGAAGGGAGGGGCGCGGCAAAGGGGGTTCACGGTGGTGCGTGGCCACAGGATACGGAGACGGGGAATTTAGGCGGGGGCAGGAATAAATGGAGCACAACGGGGAAGATCGGGGGGTCCCATTAACATACTCTTGATAAGGCACTCCCAGGAAAAGGAAACAGTTGGCGTCCCTACCGTATAGTTTTGATGGCAGCACGCAGAGGCAGTTAGGGATGGAAGGGCGAAGTGGAGAGAGGGAGGGAGAAAAATACAAAATTACACCAGGGCATGATCACGCCCATTGCCCAGGCCCCCAGCCCGCGTCATGCCCATGGTGTATGCCTGTACGCGCCGAACGGTACTGTCCACATCGTATGTGTATTACGGCAATACGGCCTCCACGGCGCTAAGCCGCTCGGCCGCTGCCCGCTCGCGGCTCGTGTACAGTTGCACGCCTCTGCTCACCGCCTACTGTTTCTAACCTTATAACAGGCAAAATCTTTGAAGGGTCTAATTCTTCTCGCGTCTGTGCTCGCCATTGGGTGTGGACGTCAAGCTTCATCAAAACTGATGCGATGAGCCAGAATTTGAGTCCCTGGTCAATGATTCTAGCCGGGGTTCCCGGTTGATGCAGTGATTTGCGGAGACAGGGTAAGGGCGGACAAGAAAAAGCCTACTTGATCAAGCATTACTAGGTAGCTACTAGCCACTGAGCCAGTAGTTAACGTTGGCATATGCTTATCAAGTCCAACTTACTGTACTCAACCGAAGCACCACTTGCCGTAAAGATGGAAGCAAACCTTAGCCTTCGAAGCATACGAGTCCTTGCTAGTCTACTACGGGCTCTTCATCCTGGATCAAATTGGATAATTGAATAATTGACAGAAGCCACCTGCTTACGCCTACGAGACTTATTCTCAGTATCGCCTAGATATGTGTAGATAACTCGTGATGCCCTGTCCAACTGGAGCGTTTCGGAAGATGAACAACTCCGTTTCAGAAAAGCTCCGGGTGCGAGCTCAACTAGTCACTCAAGTAACTCGGATCACTGAAAGTCGAGTTCCCATAAGCTTCGCCGATCTCAAAAGGTCACAATTTCGCCGCTCGGTCACCGGACCGCTGACGGGTGGACGGTCAAGGTCACGTGATTGATCATAAGCTCCGTGTTGCCCGATGCAAGCTATCCAGGTTCATCCAACATCATTTCCCATTCGACGCGCTACGCCTTTAACTCTGCTACCAACAACAATTTGATCAGTCCTCCATCAACAGAAGGGCCTCAAGACTCGTTGAAATCCTCGCTCAAGGCCGAAACCGCCATCATGGGTGACGTCGCCGTGGAGAATCCGGCCAACAACGTCACGCCTCTCCCCAAGCCAGGCGCCCTTGATGCCCTCGCCAACTTGGTTTCCTTGGAGGGTACCGGTGCAGACGGAAATGACGAATATGCCACACTCAAGCGGCTACAGAGACACTTGGAGTCAGTCACCCCACTTGAACATAAGCACTTGCTGTGGTACTGACGTCGATGACAAGATACATTCAGCTGCAGGAAGAATACATTAAGGATGAGCAAAGGTAACTTCCATCCTATAGTGTGCCGTTACGTGATATGGCAGACTCATCAGGACTAATGGGGGTATAGGAGCTTGAAGCGCGAACTTGTCCGGGCACAAGAAGAAATCAAACGGATACAGAGCGTGCCCTTGGTGATTGGACAATTTATGGAGGCTATTGACCAAAAGTACTATGCCTCCCTCTTGAATTCTATATCATGAAGAAAACAAATCCATGCTGACGAGCTTCAAATAATCTAGCACCGGCATCGTGCAAAGCTCCACTGGCTCCAACTACGTTGTTCGCATCCTCTCCACCCTCGACCGCGAGAAGTTGAAACCCTCGTCATCGGTCGCGCTCCACCGTCACTCCAATGCCCTCGTTGATATTCTTCCTCCCGAGGCAGACTCTTCAATTGCCATGCTCGGGGAGAATGAAAAGCCAGATGTGACCTATGCGGATGTGGGTGGTTTGGACATGCAGAAGCAGGAGATTCGGGAGGCGGTTGAATTGCCCTTGACACATTTCGACCTCTACCGCCAGATCGGTAAATATTTTCCTGCCGCCCTGCATGAAAGTAAAGAAAGCTAAATCGATGGTCACAGGTATCGATCCGCCCCGTGGTGTGCTGTTGTACGGGCCTCCTGGTACCGGCAAGACCATGTTGGTCAAGGCTGTGGCCAACAGCACCACCGCTAGCTTCATTCGTGTGAATGGCTCCGAGTTCGTGCAAAAGTATCTGGGAGAAGGTCCGCGTATGGTCCGCGACGTGTTCCGCATGGCGCGAGAGAACTCACCTGCTATTATTTTCATTGACGAGATTGACGCCATTGCCACCAAGCGTTTCGATGCTCAGACTGGTGCCGATCGTGAGGTGCAGCGTATTCTCTTGGAGCTGCTGAACCAAATGGATGGATTCGAGCAGACTAGCAACGTCAAGGTGATCATGGCCACCAACCGCGCTGACACCCTGGACCCGGCTCTTCTGCGTCCCGGCCGTCTGGATCGCAAGATCGAGTTCCCGTCTCTGCGCGATCGTCGCGAACGTCGTCTGATCTTTTCGACCATTGCTTCAAAAATGTCTCTTTCTCCCGAGGTCGATCTGGACTCGCTGATTGTTCGTAATGAGCCGCTGTCGGGTGCTGTCATCGCCGCCATCATGCAAGAGGCTGGACTTCGAGCGGTGCGTAAGAACCGATACAATATCATCCAGAGCGATCTAGAGGATGCGTATGCGGCCCAGGTGAAGAGTGGCCATGAGGATGACCGGTACGTCTCCCTCCCCGTTGATTTGCGCTCTTACTCATATCTGATGCCTTGTACCACTGACACCTGCATAGTCTCGATTTCTACCGTTAAAGACACCTTGTCTGTTTGGTGCGAGGAGCCCAGAATGTTATATTACTTATTTATCATAGTCATTCATCGGCGATAGCACTTCGGAAATTAAAGAGAGGTTCACCCGTGAAAGTGTGTCTCGTGATCGCCTTGGAGCATAAGTACTGCACAGTGCACTCTGTCGCAGAACTATGACGGCTCAGAGAATTTTGGTGCAGTTCGAGTCGTACAGCGTTGTGATCACGCGGAGCAGAATTCTACATGGGGTATTCCTCACCAAATGCGGTCAATTCAACTTAGAGTGAAGACTTTCTGCACTGTGCTGGAAGCATGTCAATAAGAAGCGAAAAAACGCTCGTAAGGACTGGTGTTTAGAAGGTCTCTCGTGAGTCGTGACTACCCTATCCATCTAAGCAGTAAGCACCGAGACCGTAACGTCTCCAGTTACCATGCTGCCTCGGCATGGACTTGTTGTCTTTTTAGAAAGCAAGTCCGTAGTACTCATTCGTGGTCGCCATAGCATCCGCTGCATTGACCTTGCTTCCCGCACTAGGAGCAAGTAGCCGCTCTTCGCTTTTCTCAGAGGTACTAGCTCATGATTGGGGTAGAGAAGCTACCACTAGCTGCGGAGAGGCACTCGTCAGGCTTGTGATCGTTCTGCAGCATGCCAGGCATATGTACGGTGGCGCTGCAGCGAGATAAAACAAGCCGTGACGATTACAGCGCAAAACACTGAAGCTGCAGGAAGTGACTACGACTACTTTGTACTCTGCAGTAGTATAGGTAGCTATAGCCACGCAAATCGACTGCTCATAGTTTTGCCAACTTCCAAGAGGCTGAGTCTTGTTTTCCTGGTCAGATCAAGCGCCACTCAGGCAAAGTGGTGTAAACACCCAGCCACCTCCACGGTTCGCCTGTGCCCAAAACGGCCGATTTTCTCCACTTATCAGGACGTGGCCGTGTGGCAGAGCGAGAACGACGACTAGAGGGTGCAAGATCCATTGTTCACGTTCTGGGGTTCATTAGTATGAGCAAAACGTATAAAGTACTATATATGTGGCAATAGAGAGTGTCAAAATGACGGAACATATTTACAGAATTACCTAGACCTGTCCAATTTTGTCCAGGTTGAGCTGGCTCGAGTAGCCAAGTCGTACAGTAGAGGTGTCATGCATTCATGCATCGTCGAAGCTCACAGTCTGATCATGACCATCGCCTAATCAGGTTAGGCTCAGGTCGACATCCGTTCGTTTCTGGGCCCGGCTTTTTTTGTGTAACGGGTAACCAACCTTGGAAGCTGGCACAGCTGTAAATTACGGTACAATTACCAGCGGCCAAACTTGAAACCTCAAGTGTGGAATGCTTCTTTACAGTATTGTGCCAACTGCCAAGGATATACTGCATGTATTGCATGTCTGTGGTCTTTCTAAAGTTTCTAAGATTCTACATGTCTGGCATTTCCATAAGCCATTGTATTTCATTCACTGTGCAGAGTGAGTATCTAAGGGAATCAATCATTGGAGCACCTGGCTGCCTAGGGAATGCGGAGACTCGTGTGGACGGCGGTGGCAGGCCTTGAGAGGGCTGGACTGGACTGGAGCTTGGGCGCTTGAATGGTCGTTTGTCAGGTGTTCGGTCAGCTACCTCCAATACTGATTGCTCCAATATGATAACACGTACATTAGCATATTACTATAACTACTACCATACTAATTATTCTTGAATTCCTTACCGCACCTCAACCTCAGGAATCTGATAAGCTGTCTGCTCGAAATCTCGAGCACACAGCACCGTTCGAGTAGACAATGTAGCGCCAACCAGGCGACTCAATTTGCCCATCGTGTCGAAAGCCCTCCTCATCACAACATATTAGTCCGAGATTGTGGAGTGTCTAATAGTGTGATCAATATGGGTAGGATTATGTGTTACTATGCTGTACACTTCTAGCATCTCATCCAGAACAGGTTATCGTGTACAATTACACAAGACTACAAGGCTACAAGGCATAAGCAGCATCCTATGTATTATTAGTTTCATAACATTACAGTATTGCTGCGGCTGCCCATGACTAGAGAAAGCTCGATTGGGTTGCGCAGGAACGGGACCAGCTGATTCCGGGTCAATCGGACGATGACGCACTCCCCTTCGGGGTCTGGTTCTCACTCCGACGCCTGCCCCCCCCCCCCCCCCAGGATCCATCACGTTATCACGCTATGCCGATCCTATCTGTCTGCCTCCAGGCTCCCCCAGTCCATCCTTATCTTCTCCATCCCTCGCTCTTCCCTTCTTCTTTCTCCATCATCCGTCCCATCCAACTATGAAGTCTCTTACCTTGCTCACAGCCTCGGCGCTGCTGGGCGCTGCCTCTGCGGAGGTTCACAAGCTCAAGCTGAACAAGGTCCCCCTGGACGAGCAGCTGGTAAGTTGAAGCACCCGACCGCCCGGAAACGGCCGTGTTGGAGTCCCCAATGCTAATCATCCACCCTCGTCATCACAGAACGCAGCCAACATCGACCGACATGTTCAGTCTCTCGGTCAGAAATATTTGGGCTATCGTCCTGCATCTTCCTACCAGGACACCTCCATCAAGCCCGAAGGTGGTCACAATGTCCTGGTTGACAACTTCTTGAACGCTCAGTGTAAGTACACTCCCCATCAGCACGGCCGGTGCCGACTTCCCTTTGAACAACCGAAGTCGTCCGCCATTCACGATAACTTTGTTTGCTTGACGTATCCATTTCTTGAGGATCATTAACTGACCAGACTCTCCACAGACTTCTCCGAGATCAGCCTGGGTACCCCTCCCCAGACCTTCAAGGTCGTCCTGGACACCGGTAGCTCCAACCTGTGGGTCCCCTCTTCGCAGTGCACCTCCATTGCCTGCTTCCTTCACAGCAAGTATGACTCGTCCTCGTCGAGCACCTACAAGAAGAACGGCACCGACTTCGCCATTCGCTACGGATCCGGTAGCCTGAGCGGTTTCGTTTCTCAGGACACTTTGAAGATCGGTGACTTGGAGATCAAGCACCAGGACTTCGCCGAGGCCACTGAGGAGCCTGGTCTGGCTTTTGCTTTTGGCCGCTTTGACGGTATCTTGGGCTTGGGCTTCGACACCATCTCTGTCGACAAGATGGTCCCTCCCTTCTACAATGCTCTGGACCAGGGTCTCCTGGATGAGCCCGTCTTTGCCTTCTACCTGGGCGACACCAACAAGGAAGGTGATGACTCTGTGGCCACCTTTGGTGGTGTTGATAAGAGCCACTACACTGGCGAGATGATCAACATCCCTCTTCGCCGCAAGGCGTACTGGGAGGTGGACTTTGATGCCATCACGCTTGGCCATAACACCGCTGAGCTTGAGAACACGGGTGTCATTCTGGACACCGGCACTTCGCTCATCGCCCTCCCCTCTACAATGGCGGAGCTCCTTAACAAGGAGATCGGTGCCAAGAAGGGCTTCACTGGCCAGTACACCGTCGAGTGTGAGAAGCGTGACAGTCTGCCCGATCTCACCTTCACTCTGGCTGGACACAACTTCACCATTACTCCTTATGATTACATCCTCGAGGTTCAGGGCTCCTGCATCAGCAGCTTCATGGGTATGGACTTCCCCGAGCCCGTTGGCCCCCTGGCCATCCTGGGTGACGCGTTCCTGCGCAAATGGTACAGCGTGTACGACCAAGGAAAGGGTTCCGTTGGCCTGGCCAAGGCCAAGTCCTCGTAAGCAATGCTTTACGAAGTGATGCCCCGTTGATTGTATTTTCCCCCTCTGGATCTCCACAGCTCGAACTTCGAGGACAATATCTTCCAATGAGCTGTACTCAACACCTGATTCTCCCCGTTGGTAGCGAGGATGTGTATGTTGAAGTCGCTCTTTTCTTAGTATTGGCCACGCATTAGCTACAGATGTGAAGTGTAATCAGTATACCAAGTTTTCTTTCCTCTCCGTATGTCATTCTTCATTCAAAAGAAGTCCTCAAGTAGCTTTGAAATCACCATTATATTCGTCAAGTGCTTCTCACCTGAATGAGGTGTTCAACTCCTAGACGCATTTTTAACACTGACCTATGACAGTCGTCTACCTCAGGTATCTCACTCGACTTTGAAGGTTCTACGTTCATTGCCTGTAAAACAATATGGCAACTCCTCAGGTAGCAATAGGAATAGTGTATTTCGTATCTGATTCAGTAGGTAGCCTATTCACTCTCCTCATTTTCAGTTCTTTATTCATTCCATATCATGAACTTCTTCGAACTTATCTTCCCCAAAGGTGTTCTCCATTGTCTAGCTCAAAATCCCCCTCGCTTCAGTTGACTGGTTAGAATTCAGAGAGATGAAAGCGGACCCTCTCACGATAGATTGAACATCTCTCGTGACAAGAGTATAGGGTATGGTCCGACGCAGAGCTGCACTTCAGGACTTCAGGATGATCAAGCTCCGAATCCTATCCTCGCAGCAAGCCGAGGTATCACCTGGGGAGAAGCCCCAAAACCCGAACACCGTCCGTGGCACGCCTGGATGTTGACATAAGCGGAGCGTGGCGGAGCGTGGCGGAACCGCCGAAGCTGCAGTGGTCTGAGTTGGAGTTGGTTGAGGAATTGGAAGCAACCGGCAGAGGCGAACCTGGACCTGGACCTGCTCCTGGTCCCCGTCCCCGTCCCCGTCTCCGCAGAGTCCGGGAGGAGCCTAACAGGAGCTTGTAATTGCCCCCCCCAGCTTGTGTTGTTTCAAAGCCCCCACGACTCGACCACGTCCTGTGACTTCCTCCGAGTCTCCGACCTTGTGCTTCCCTTCCTGCAAACCCGCCCAACCCGCCCAAGCCGTCCTGCATACCGCAACATCGGCCTCGACCATATCCTTCCACGCACTCTCTCGGCCAAAGCACACACCGCACGGCCCTTTGTGGTAATTCCACGCCCGTGAGTACCGACCTCTGATCCACTTCACTCATGCTGGCTTACATACCTTGCCACACTCGAGACAATGCGCTGATGGAATTTGTTTCATCAAAGGAGCATCCTCCTTTAGTCTGGAAACCTTCCCCCGGTACTTTCGATCACTCAAGCTTTGAGGTGAGCAATGACTTCCCTCTGTCTGTTGAGCTCCGATGCATTCCTCGTGATGTCACCCATGGTGCTGTCGCCAAACGCGCACGCGATCAAGATCATATCATGGCCCGCGCAGCTGCGCGAGACATCTAACGGACACGCTACGGTTCAGCCGAGGCGCATATTTGATCGGTCGCTGACTAGCTGGACAGGATCATTGAGCTTCCAGAGGACTCTTCATCGTGTGAAGGGGCCAACTCGGAGCCAAAATGCAGCTCCGGTTGCCCCCCAGCCTGCACTATCCCATCACGGTGACCTCTCTGCTGAAGAAAGAGGGAGACACGGTGGAGCGGGATGAGGCCATCTTCTGGTACAAGTACCAGACCGTTGTGGAGGAGGGCGATGGCATGGGAGGTACGGCCTATGTGACACGCGACTTTCCGACTCGTTTCGAATCGCCCGTGGATGGAACGGTTGAGAAATGGAATATCGCAAAGGGCGACGTCATTGAAGAGCCGTAAGTTTGGGAGGAACAATGGCTAGCAAATTATCAGCCCATCAAGATCTTCTTGTCGCGCTAACAGTCTTCCTTCTGCGGTGCAGTACCGACATCGTTCTGATCGAAGAGCCATGTGCCCACGAGGTCCAGTTCGGTGGAATGTGCGCTGAATGTGGAAAGGATATGACCGAGTGAGTTCGACCTGTCGCGTGTTGAATGAGGGACCACCGGGTCAGGAGGCTGTCTTTGTCACTGCAGTACTAACCTCGTATACTTGTCGCGTGGTCTACAGAGCAACCTACAATACCGAGATATCCGAAACATACCGTGCGCCTATTCAGATGACTCATGACAACACCACCCTGACAGTCAGTGCGAGAGAAGCCACCCGGGTCGAAGAAGATGCAAAGCGTCGTCTATTGGCCTCCCGGCGCCTATCGCTTGTGGTAGATTTGGACCAGACTATCATTCATGCGACAGTTGATCCCACTGTCGGTGAATGGATGAGTGATCAGGACAATCCTAATTTTGAGGCGCTCAAGGATGTACGGTCCTTTCAGCTGGTGGATGATACCCCTGGCGCGCGCGGATGCTGGTACTACATCAAGCTTCGACCGGGTCTGGAAGAATTCCTCGAGAATGTGTCCGAGCTCTACGAACTGCATATCTACACCATGGGAACTCGAGCGTACGCTCAAAGCATTGCCGATCTCATCGACCCTGCTCGTAAACTCTTTGGGGATCGCATCTTGAGCCGAGACGAGAGTGGAAGCTTAACCGCGAAAAACCTGCAGCGCTTGTTCCCCGTTGATACCAGTATGGTGGTCATCATCGATGATCGCGGTGATGTGTGGCGATGGGTTGCCAATTTGATCAGGGTCGTTCCTTACGATTTCTTCGTCGGCATTGGCGACATCAACTCCAGCTTCCTACCCAAGAAGCAGGAGATCCCTACACCAAGCAAACCGAAAGCAGTGATGGAAAAAGAATCTGCGTCAGAAGTGCCTGGCTCGAACGGTTTGGCAGAAAAGACTGGACCGTCTGAGGAGGTCTCGGCGCTGGAACAGTTGGTGACTATGGGAGGTGGGGACGACCCGCGACTGCTCCAGGAGCAAACCGATGCGCAGGAAGAGACCATTATGCATCAGGTCGAAGATCGCCCTCTTTTACAGAAGCAGAAAGAACTGGACGCAGATGAAGAAAGCTCCAGTGAAAGCAACGACCTGTCACTCAGCCCAGATGAGGGGCATGACACCACTAGACCTCGCCACCACCTTTTGGTTGATTATGACACCGAGCTTTATCAACTTCAGGACCGTCTTGAGGAGGTACACAGACGCTTCTTCGAAGAGTATGACCGGCTCCGAGCAAGTTCCTTGGGTACTCGTGTCTCAGCTCTTCGTGGCGAGAAGGCCGCGTCCAAGGACAAGGACGTGGACCTACGGCTAGTGCCTGATATCAAGAATATCATGCCCGCGTACAAGTCGGGAGTGCTAGGTGGTGTTGTAATTGTCTTCTCTGGCGTCATTCCTCTAGGGCAAGACTTACAGAACGCAGAGATGTCGCTCTGGGCGAAGAGTTTCGGTGCGGTGATCCAGAAAAACATTAACAAACGAGTGACTCATCTTGTTGCTGGCCGGAATCGGACTGCCAAAGTGCGGGAGGCTACGCGCTGGCCGAATATCAAAATTGTCACCACGCAGTGGCTTAACGAGTGTCTCATTAAATGGAAACATCTGGATGAAGAACCATACCTGCTCCAAGTTCACCCCAACGATCGTGCGGAAGTCCTGTCTCCTGGATCTCGGGAGATGATGGAGAAGTCCTGGCCATCGTCAGAAGACGAGGCGCTCGATGGTTCCGAAGAGGAAGATTTGACGGGAGAGGCAGCTGGACTCTTTGAATCAACACCCCTGAGCTATGACCTGGATGATCAGGCTGCAGTGCATGACGAGTTGAAGGAGTTCCTCGGTAGCGACGATGAGAGCGAAAGTGATACCGAAGTATGGTCCGAGGACAATCCCGACTCGAGCCGGAAGCGCAAGCGCGGCGAAGGCAACGCTACGGACGAAGAGTCCGGCGACGATCAGGATAGCGAACAGGAGAACGAGGGCTCTCGTCTTTCCCAGCGGATTAAACGATCGTACGCGCGGACCACCGGTCTGAAGGAGGTTGCAATTGCTGAGAATCCAAGTGAAGAAACCGTGGAAACGCGATTTGAGGAAGGCTCATTCCCCGCTCCGGATGACGATGACGACGGTGCAGACGTGACGGATACCGGGGACGGCACACCTGGGGCTGAGGCTGGCCAACTAGAAGTTCGTTCTGATATTGTTGCTGACGAGTCCGATGTGGATGACTTTGAACGAGAGATGATGGCTGCATTCGACGAACCAGATGAGCCTGGCAGCAGCCAGAGCTGATACGAACTGCCCTGGCTCGCAGTCTATTTAGACCAACTTGTCGAGCAGCATTGTGTTTTGAGATCTCCGTTTGATCTCCTCCACCTTTGCCATGTATCCCGCCCTCATTCACATTTTCACACCGTTTCATGAGCGAGTCGAAAATCTGTGAGCGTCCTCTAGCCTGTTCGGTGAAGAAGTGATGAAGTTACTACGCCTCTGCATCTCTGAATTCTTATTGTGTGTGTGTGTGTGTCTGTGTGCTTTCCCTGGCGTCTGGATTACAAAGCCTACCCTCCCTCAAACTCATCTGACATGCACAACGGGTGGTATGCGCCTCTAGCATAGCGGCGGCGTTTTGAATGGGCAAAGTCCTTCCATCTTGTCATCACCTTCTTGACTCCCACTTTTCAGGATCGAGAAGATTTTGTGATCTGTGTTTGGAATGAAACAATCTTTTGTAAGAAACAATGACTTGCACGCTTTATTTCTTTTTCCTGTTTTTTTTTTTTTCAGGATTTTCTTCAAACCCCCAACAGTTAGAGAGACCTGGAAAGGCAGTTCGAGGTCATTGTCTTTACTGTTTCCGCTTCTCTCGTACTAAGTTGTATCTGATCGGGTTCGGGGACATGTTGCCAAGACTGCATTGGCAGGCGGGTATCCACCGAATAAGAATGGCCCGCTAGCCCTAACAACCTGAATGCCAAGCAAGGATTGTTCAGGTCTTTATTGAATATGATTTCCGATATGCTTGTGCATGAGCACGTGTGTCTGTGTGTGGTTGTTAGCGAGCAAGTCCATCAAGTTGCAAGCTAGTACATTGCTCTGTCTTATCATGACCAGATGGTTGAAGGGCCAACGCGTGAGACTGCCAAGGTAAAACACTGAAGGAAACGACACGTTAGCATGACGCACCGAACCCGATGCACTCACTACTGTTCTACGAGATTGCATCAAGTCTAGTGTATCTGAATAAAGGAAAATAAAACTTGTTGAAGACAATTTGTTTGTAATGGAAGAAACATACAAAACCAAGACATGTGTTTGAGAATTTGTAAGAAGGAAAAAAGAAACAAAATAACAGCCGAACGTGGGTTGGGGGGGGGGGGGGGGTATTCATAAATAGAAATAATCATAAAAACAGAAACAGACAAAGCAAATGAAGTTGAAATGAGTGCTTGAAACAAAAGACACAAAATGAGTGACAGTAGATCGAAATTGAAAATATACGAAGGAGTGGAAGTAGGCAAAGCCCAAAACCAAAAAAAAAAAAAAAGAAGAAACGAGAAGGAGTGAAGATCAGTTAGTAAACATGAAAACAGAAATGAACTAAAGCAAGAAAAGGAAAGAAAGAGGTATCAAAAGGAAGGATGCCAGTCAAGGTGGGACTGGGATCCAACACAAGCCCACATCGAGACCCGCAACGTTCTAAAGGTTGGGCATCCGATAGAGAATGTGGGGAGGAGGAAGGGGGGAAGCGTTTGGTGGGCTGGGGGCCGCAGGGAACCGGCGAGCGAAGGTCGGCCAGGGGTTTCTGTACAACAGCTGTTGACATATGAGGCGTCAGTGAGTTGGTGATCATGTTGAAAGTGAGGAAATGGGTAAGATATACTAACCTCTATGGGGGACCGAATCACGTAGTGCCGTTGAATTTCCTCGAACTCGGTCCGGCTCACGATGGCCAAGAGCTGCTCTCTGCGCGTCGGCCAGCCGATAAGTTCCGACTTCTTCTTCTTGCGGGTGGCCCGGACCTCGGGCACGGAGAAGTCGAGTTGGCCCCAGGTGTCCATCGACGGGGCGACAGGGAATTCCATCTGCGAGGCGTCCTTCACGGCGAGGGCGTCAGTCGCCTGCTCCCCGTTGTCTTCTGGGGCAGCAGCAAGAAGGGTCGTGGCAGGGGCGGCGGCGGAGGGAGAAGCGGGAGAAGCAGGAGCTGCAGGGAGGGAGACAGAAGAGGAAGCAGCAGGAGCCGCGGTGGTGGTGCTAGTGTTGTTGTCCGACATGATGGACAACAACAAAGACGAAGAGAAAGAGAAAGAAGAGGAGAGGGAGGAAGACCGAGAAGGCGAGCACGAACAGAGCCAAAGAGGCAAGAGCAAGAGGGCCGAAGAGGCGAGGAACAGACGAAGAAGAAGTGAAAGTGAAGGTTGAGTGGAGATGAATCCACCAAAGATTTGTAACTAAGTGTTACGAGGCGCGGAGATGATAGAAAGGGTCGGAGAGGGAAGAGGGAGAAAGAAGAAGAAGCTTCTGGGGGCAGGATGGGGGTTTAAATAGTTGAGCAAATCGCACTAGCGAGCTAGCGAATCATCCAAATTTGGCGACGCGAATGTTTGCTTCGCTTGTGTGTGCGTGTGGCACATGACTCCAAGATCATGCGTGGGATAGGAAGCAAACATCCAGACAACCCTCACTAGTTGGTCCCTATCCCACTCAGTGATGTGAGCGAGCCCTGCCCTGAGTGTTCCAGGGTCGATACCCTAACCCCCAAAAGGCATGAGTGAGCTGCCTCAGTCCTTTCATCGGGCAGCACACAAATGCGAAGCGTATGTATCTCATTATGGCGTTTCTGTTGACATGTCAGATGATCTGGAAGGGGGATGGAAAGATTTGGTTGAATGCATTCGACGAGCATATAGCATGATTAGGAAAGTAGTCAATAACTTGATCACCACAGAGGTTGTCATTTGAAATGAGACCATGGAAGGATGTTCATTTTGACAGTATCAGACGGACTCTGGTAGAGACTAGGTAGACAGCTCGGGTAAAATGCTCGTGAACGCCAAGAGGTATGCAAAACAGGGATTTGATATCACACTGAGGAAGTTGAGTACATGGATTTTTCATCAAAGGAAAGAGAGCGAGAAAAAGGGTCATCAAGAGAGTAGAAAGCATTAAACGTTACATATGAGCATCAATGATAATAGTTTCGGTGAACCTGCCACGACATGAAGATCATCCACAGGTAGAATAGTGTGTTGACTAGTTCAAACGCAAAAGCAGTCTTCCAACAGTTGCCTTATGACGAACAAGTTAGCAACGGGGTCTCCAGTGGGCTTGAATGAGCTACAAAGAGAATTTGAACTCACAGATTGTACTTTGAGTCAGCCACGCCAACGTGTTGATGTTGTTTCCACGAGACTCGTTTTCCACAACCCAGATCTGGCAGTTGTCATTGACATTGCCCGACACTCCGTACAGTTGGAGAGAGGTCTCGATCAATCCAGTCAACCAGAGAACAAAGAGAATGAAGCTTCCCACCAGAAGAATTCCTGGCAGCAGCGGCCCTCGAGCCACAAGGACCTGGACGATGAAGAAGAACGTCACGCCCAAGGCGCTGACAACAACCATGTATGGAAAGAGCCTATGAGGAGAAGGTTTGATTTGTGAGCAAGACATCCATGGCATGTAAAAGAACATCGTCGTCTGCTACAGCAGACATGAAAGATAATACAGCAGGCCACAGTTGACTTACCATGGTGTCCCTAGGTCCATTTGCGATTGCACGATCATAAACCATGAGAAGATGCCCAGGCATGTTGCGGAGGCGGATAGTACCACGATTAGCCAGATATTGAGCTGGATCTCGGGCCAGTGGTGGAGACGCCGGGTCTGGCGACGAACGCGAACCTCTTTCATTCCGACGAAGAGAGAATGTCGACCGCGAAAGATGGAAGGTCCCTGGGTAGTTGTCACCTCAGGAGAGGAGTGTCTATCTCAATGGCAGCACAGTGGTGTCGTGTGGGAGGCGGAAAGATCGGAACGCGGTTTATATAAAAGGTGTAACAACCGGTCAGAATGCGCCTCTGCCCGACTCACACCGTCAAGGTATCTTTTTCTCGACGTCTGCAACTGCCCTGTTGCCCCGCCGCAACCCGAAAGTGGGTAAAGATCAGAGTCAGGCAATCGAATAGTCAAATCGATCAATTCGGACTACTCAAGTCTCGACGACGTTCGAGTGGTCTGGTGTGAGGGTGGTGGTTTCGCGAGAAATTTGGCAGATCACGGCGTCAATTGTCATGAGCGATAAGGTGGAGTGACAGCGCATTGGGCGCCCGGGTCCACGCAGCTTCGAGGAATGGACTCGAAAGAGAAACGTTCGGGTTGGAGATCTGCCGACTGCAGGACAAGAGATCGAGAGAGCGACCGAATCCATGCACAAGATCGTGAGGAGGAAAATGTCTGTTCCTGCCTCAAGTGAATGCTTGGCCTGCGCAATCAGAAAATTCCAAGCATCAGCTGGAATTATTCCAGGCCGAGAGGGGCCGTCGCCTTTGTTGACGCTGTTGATCCGCGGGAATCGCCAGAAACTCGGTGGCAGGGGCGCTAGTACGTAGTAGGCAATGCTGTAGAGGAGTAACGTCAGGTACCCAGGCCAGATCCACCCTCGTCCACCGCATGTGGAGAGCCGAGTCCAGCCATCTTTTTAAAGTCTGGTCTGGGGGATGAGACCAGTCACTGACCGTCTCCTTGGGCTCTCATGCGGTTAAGAACAATTAGTCATGGGGTCACCGCAACACTAGGAAGTGACCCGCAGAGAAGAGACCTAGCTCCGTGCATTCATCTTTTAGTCGCCCCCAGAACGACAATGTTCATTAAGCACACAACTTGCTGCAATTATTTCGAAAGGAACAATGACTGAGCTGCCAGGATGATTGAGATTGGAGTCTTATTAAAGGTACCTTCATGTGGTTGAGGCCAGCAGGTGAAACGCAAACACGGAAGCCGCTTGTGCATTGTGCTTGATCCTGGGAGGCGTGCATCCACTCGGGCACAGTCTCAGGCAGTGGATGCCGGGGGCAGACCACCCCCCTATTGAACATACTCGGTTGAATCTTGAACTGGGTGATAGACTTTGCGTGAGACAAGGAATTAGACACAATCTATCACTTCATGAAGGGTGTTGAAACGCATGCAAGTTTGATGCCACTCTATGTGTGGTAACAGTACAGCGACTTGATCAGCAGGTCTATCTTGGCGGGCATACTCAGCCTTGCCACATTTTGAAAGAGAGAGAAACACAAAAGGCAAGTCATCGATATCATTACACAAGGGTATCACCGAGCGCACTGCGGACCAGAGAGCATCCGGCACGAATGGTCTCGGCAGCGCCCACAGCCTCCAAGCTCGGGTTCACTTCGACCAAGTCCATGGCCACCAGGTTTCCCGTCTCATGCACGCACTCGCAAATGAAATCACCCTCACGCAGAGTCAATCCTCCCCGGACGGGAGTGCCAGTGCTGGGGGCCCATTGCGGGTCCAGGGCGTCAACGTCGAAGGACAGATGGATGGGTGTATCGTTGCCAATGTGGGCAAGGGCCATCTCAACAACGCGGCCGATGCCGTGACTATCGAACAACAAGAGTCAGTTTGGATGGAGAGATGTGGGATAAGAGATTACAAAAAAATGAGAACGCATAGCAGAGAGAGAGAGAGAGAGAGCGAAAGAGTGTGTGAAAAGTACGAGGAAGGATTTGAACATACCGGTCAATATCATGCATGCTAAAGGCCTTGATGCCGTGCTCCCGGAGAATCTTCTTCTCGCCGCGATCCACATCACGCAAACCAATGTAGACGAGCTTGCGCGTGCTGACAATGTGCTCATCCTTCAACCAGCCGAAAATATCGGGCCGGTCTTCCCGAGCCAATCGAGTGAGGAACGCCATGGGCATGCCGTGAATGTTACCACTGGGGCTCATCTCGGGCAAGTTGATATCGGCGTGCGCATCGACCCAGATCACCGCCATCTCACGGCCCAGGCGCTCACGGATGGCCTTGGCTGTGCCGGAGACGGTGCCGATGGCGATGGAGTGGTCTCCTCCGAGGGTCAGCACGAACTTGCCCTCCTTGGCATACTCGTAGACCTGCGAGCTGAGACGCTCGGTGACGGCACTGACCGCACGAGGCTTCTTCATGTTGCGGTGGTCAGGATCCTCCTCGGGGATATCTTGCTCGTAGTAGTGGATAATGTTGTCATGGTGGATCTCATAGTCGAGGTCCTCGTGCAATTGAGTGAGCAGTCCAGACTCGATCAAGGCCATGGGGGCGGCCTCGACGCCCTTCTTCATCTGTATATGGCAGAATGTTAGCTTATATTCAGCGCATCAAGACCTTCGTAGTGTCCCAGTCCAGTATTTTGGCTCTCACCTGTCCACCATTGAAGCCAACAGCCACAACACCGAGCTGGTTGGGGTGTGAGAGAAACCGAGAAGGGAAAGTAGGTGGCTGCGTCATTGTGGACGGTTTTGGTCTGGATCAAGTGATTGATCTTTCTCGCGCGATCAAAATGGCTGAGCTGTCTGAGCAGAGCACCCAGGGAGATGATCACAAGAAAAGAGGTCTCAGAAATCGAGCGTGACCCAGAAAATGACTCTCAGATTACGCAGTTTTTTTTGATCTGCGATAAGATAAAGAGGTGTGGAGCGCAAGGGAGACACGAGTGGAACAGAAGAAGTGTGCCGTACTATACACGGAAACTTGGGGTATGTCGCGACGATGCCCACGAACCGGAAGTGAAACCCGTTGTGACACAAGCGAGGACAATGAGGAGAAAAAGAAAGAAGAGAGAGAGCAGTCGAAGATGAAATCAGGTTCCTTTATACACCTCCCCTCCAATTCCTCCCTCCGAGGAACGCGGTTCATGTTTTCATTCCGGGGACCGTCAAGTCGCTAAAAACTGCTTTTAGGGATCAAGGTACTCCGCTGGGTGCTCCATCACTTCCGTTAAGTACAGGTTGAGGAGAGCGGCCCCGTTTAGGGTGCTTTGCCCGTGCCATAGCGTTGCAATCTGCCGGTCTGACTGGGCAAAGGGGCGGAAGCAGGGTGAGACGTTGCGATTATCGCGCCGAGCAATTTCGAGGGGCTGAAATGGCAGCGCGGACATAAGATGCGTTGATGGATCGGGGAAGAGGCCCGTTCTACGTTGGCCCACGGTCAACTCCGACTGACTGACCAGTAACTACCAACTTGGAAGTGAGTTCAACCGCTTGGAGAAACCACGGTAATGCTATTGTGTTTACTGTTTTTCCTGTGTATCGGAAGCTGAGATCGATCGAGGTTTTTCTCTCGTTTTGTTCGTACTCTTCTCTTTGGAAGCATGAAGCAATTCAGGGCATTCCAGCCAATGTTCGTTGCAACGGGTATCTTTCAAACAAAGGGACGACATTGTACACGTATTCATACACTCGGACGGGGCCTGCATGTCGCAACGGCCTCAGATGCCTCATCTGTTATTGTTTTCCCAAAATGAGCTCGTGCAACACCTCCTGGGCCTTGGACGCCTCGACTCGACCCTTCTCACCAAGACGCATCATCTGCCCTAGGAACCAACCGATTTTCCCCACCTGATTCTTGCGACGGATTTGCTCGACCATCTCCGGTCGTTGCGCGAGAACCTCCTCGGCGAGGGCCACATACTCCTCGCGCGACATGGGCCGCAGCAGGAGGTTCTCTTCTTCCAGCAGTCGGGACACGGGTCGCGAATCGCCCTCGAAGATCGCAGCAAGGACCTGCTTTGCGACCGAGCCAGTAATGCGCTTCTCATTCAAGGACTGCACCAGATCCGCCAACGCTTGTGCCGGGACGACCTGGGCACTCCATGAGTGGTCCGTCTTGGTCAAAAGACCTCCGAGCTCGTGGAGGACCCAGTTGGCCGCCATCCGCGCAAGAGCCACGTGGGCCTCAGGGTCACGGTCGGGTTTCTGAGAGCGCAGAATCTCCACCACATCCAGGTAGTACTCCAGGCGAGCTCCATCGTCGAGTTCGATCAGCGGCTTTGCATCGTCAATCGACAATCCAAACCCGGGGCCCGTCAATTGTGCGACTAGTGAATCTGGGGCAGTTGGCAAGGATGCCTTTAAGGACGATAGGAGATCTTCGCCCAGAATCAACGGAGGAATATCGGGATCGGGCATGTAGCGGTAGTCGACTGCCCCCTCTTTTCCACGTAGTCGGCGAGTCTCTGTGCTGCCAATCGTCCATCCTCGAGTCTCCCCTTCAATTACACCGCCGCTCTCGAGAACTGCAATCTGGCGATTCTTCTCAGCAATAATGGCGTCTTCCACGGCCTTGAAACTGCTCAGGTTTTTGATTTCCGTTCGCTGGCCCAACCCGCTGACTCCATCGTACCGACACTGTCCTGGAGCCTCGCCACGACGGCGAATGGACACATTGACATCGGCGCGCAGTCCACCCAATTCCATCCCCGTTGTCACGGCACCGCATGAGAGGAGAATAGCCTGCAGCTTGCGGACACAGGCAGCCGCTGTGGCAGGAGTATGGATTTGTGGCATGGTGATGATCTCAATCAGTGGGTGCGACACGCGGTTGAAGTCAAGCAGCTGGGACGCGGGCGGATACTCTTGGGATTTGGCAGTGTCCTGTTCGAGCTGCACCTGCTTGATATCCACGCGAATGTGATCGCCATCTTCTGGAGCAATGCCATCGTAGTCGTATAGATCGACGAAGCCATGTCGAGCAAACGGTTCTGTGAGATTCGTGTTAATAAGCCATCGCGTGCAACGGGAAGGTGGGAACAAGGATCCACGAGGACAATTGTCGACACGCACCATAGTACTGTGTGATTTGGTACCCGGCCGGTTGGTCCTGGTAGAAGTAGTGCTTGCGATCGAAGCGACTCACGGTCTGAACTTGACAATTCAAGGCGAGCGCAGCACGAAGGGCCGGAAGCAGCGTGGCGACTTGAAATTCCTGCCTCGAATGAGCCTTTTCTCTTCTGTTCACCGTCTCCTGTCGTCCTGCGTCCATCCTATCCAATACGCACCGGCTGGCTACCCGGAAAGGCGAGGTCAAATAGAGCAACATTGGAATTTGGGGCATGACTCGTCGAGGTGGGTGCGCCTGTATCCGAGATCAGGAAGAACCAAAAGGTTAGATGTTGTAAAAGGGAGGACAGCGTTTGGACCTGTCACCACTTGTGGAAGCCCATCGCAGGACGAGCTGTCCCATGCGTTGCCCGAGTCACTCACGAGAAAACAATTTGGCTTCGGTGTCGAGCTGAGCATGGATCTCAATGCCCACAGTCAACTCCCATGCCTGTCTGGAAGCCTCCTCCGACTCTTTGCGTAGTCTCTTTTGCTCTCGAATAGCTTTGGCCTCTTGCTTGAGTTGCTTGCGAAGCGGCACGCGGTCTGCGGCGGCGGAGGCAGCGCTCTGTATCTGTACCGAGCGGCGAGTAGCATCGGATGTGATCACTCGGGGGCGCAGTGAAACCGGACGACTCGTCCGGGAGAGAGCGCTATACGCGCCCTTGGACCATGACCGAAGCATAGGGACAGGTGAATCCGGGACGCTGCAAGAAGCGTGGGAACCAAAGCGGAGAAAGCTCTCCAGGAAGAAAAGTATGAAGAGACGAAAGTTGATCGGCGGGACGACGCCCCCGGCGCGAATGGAGCGCTAAGATCTGCCGGCCGGAGTCCTCAACTCTCCCTTCACGTTTTCCAATTTCAGCGGAGCACAGCTACGGTCATTGACTAATCCCTGCATACTAAACTAGACTTCTTGGAACCACATCTGAGACGTGAGCGTTGTCACATCTCGCTCCGACTGGGTTTGAAAGGAGATCGAACTTGACCTCCGTAAGAGTCGCGCCTCCGTTTTCATGGGGTCGGGGTTTGCGCATGCTGAGGCGAACATTGCGAGAAGAGGTCAATTCAGGTGGGATCAGACGAAGTCAACTAACAGCCTTTCTCATATGCTTGATTTCAGTCGGTCACTGTGGTGAGATGAGAGTGCCTTGCTGCTGCAACTCAACCAGTCTACTTCTACCACCAACTTGGACTTCGTTGGTGGTGTATCTATACCGAGAGTCATCTGTTTGACTCCTTGGACTCCATCGATGTATCTGGCGACTATCTACGTAGTAAATACTCTGGTGATGTAATTTTCTGGATGTTAGGGGTGCGGTTGCGTAACTTGACTTCGTTCGAGGGATTTTCTAGTAACCAGTAGTTACTAACTAGTAGTTTGTACTTTGTAGCGAGTGAGTTAGTTAGTAGTAGTCACTAGTAACGACTGACTAGTAGTAGAGGGCCTAGAGGCACTTGCTGTTCCCCGGACCCTAACCGTGTTTCCACTCGATGAAATGCATGAAATCAAGACAATTCTATTCTGCACAACATCGACAGCATGCAAAGTCATTGAGCTCCAGGAATTATCAGATCGCCGAGCAGCGCCGGGAATTCTGTTCTTCTAGAAAAGCGACCGAGCAGGTCCTCCGTCCTCCATCGACGAGGGCAAAAGAGGCGAGGCGAGACGAGACTTGACCGCCAGATTTGATGGGCCCGAACGAGCCAAGCGGAGGAAGAAAGACGCAAGGAAGAGACGATCGACGCATTGCCAGCACACGCAAATGGCCTGACGGGATTCATACATCTGCATCTCTCGTCTCCTCCAATCTCAATGCAGACTCCGGGCGGTTGATGATCGGTTGGCCTAGCTCGTGCTCCATCTGAATGTCCACTGCCTCCACTACGAACTGTCAGGCTGCATCTGGAGGCCCAGCGAATACATGCAGCCCTCGTCATAGTGGTCGCGACAGGCAGCCCTCATGGAGCTCCGCGCCCCGGCAACTCGCCGTGACTCTTTGCCTGCTTTGCATTCTGTATCATTCTGGCGGACGAGAGCGGAGTGTGGGCGATGTTCGAGAGTCCGCTCGATGCTTACAGTATATTCCGGGGGATGCCTCGCTCGCAAGGTCAGAACGTGAAGTACAAGCACAGTTATGTGGCTGTATAACGTGCATACACTCATACAGTATGTGAGTATACAACTTGACCCCATGCCAATCGCTCCCCTTCATTGGCTCAGCGGTCTGAAGCCGTCGGCGCCTCGAATTTGCTTCAAGTTGTCCGAGAGACTGGGGTTGACCCAGATCTGACGAATGGTCATTCTCTCTCCGACAGCGACTCGCCTCCCTTCCTCTCATCTTCTCAGCATCTCAAACAACCAAAACCTGGGAACTTGGGGCCGTGCTATCTCTGCCCTGCGGCTAACAATAACAACACTCCCTCTGTCGATCGGGGGCCTTGGGGTTTTCGCAGCCCGGGACGATCATTATCTATATAGATCGTCTCCCGTGGAGTCCTTGTTCTCCCAACCTTGAACAAGATCGGCCAAACGCGGGGAGACGTGAGACATCACATCCGCTCGTCCTGCGCCAAAATACCGACTCATACATGGAGATGGGACCATAAATTTATCTCCATATCTTTAACGACTCAGCTGGTTTGATCTTTTTGACTTTGGCCAATGCGCTTCAGCAGACATCCCTAGATTCCAGTGGACAATTCTGATCTGATCGGAATCCCCGCCCCAGCCCTTCTCTCTAATGCTCGGCCAAGAGGCCTGTACTCTACCGGCCGGGGTCTGAAGCTGTTCGACAGCACATTATCAACTGGTCTGTGATTTCAAAACAACGATTCGACAACCAGCGACGGTAGCTCACAAGGAGAAAACCATCTGCGTACAACTTTTTCTGTTGTTGATCCGCATCGGGCCAAGAAATGAGCAAGACAGCGTCTCCGACTCTCGCTCATCATCATGGCGCTCCACACCGGGTCTCATACTCATACTAGTCTGCGCCCCAACAAGTCTACGAAAGAAACCAAGAGGAGACCTTCACCCACCGTCTCTCAGACGCCAAATACCGCCGAGGCTGGCCCTCGGGTGATCGCTCAACACTCTGTACAATCAGCAGCGACCGAACGTCCCAAGGCGACCAGTCGCGATGGGAGATTGCCAGTAGCCGCCACGGCCTCAGTGGCCAAGCCTTGCGAACCGCAAAGGAAAATCCCTAACGTCTTTGAGTTTCTGGAAAAGGACAGTGAGGATTCAGAGGCTTCATCGTTCTCCGCATCATCGTCGTCAGAGTCCGAATCGGAGGAATCCTCTGATGAAGAGGAACAAGCGGCCAGGGCAGATCCTCAGGCGGTTGCGAAGATCCAGTCGCCAACACCTCAATCACATCCCCCTCCGCACCCAATACTCGACTCTTCACGATCTTTAGTGAAAGCTTCATTACAACCGGCAGCATCGAGACGTGTTGGTGGTACAACCGTCCCTCCCCCAGCACCGACAGCACCAGCACCCGTCAATAAACAGGTCCTGCCCCGTCGCAGACAACCACCGTCACCAAAAGCATTGCCCACAGAATCCCGGTGTCCCACTGCACGATTTCCAGATGTATCAAGGGTAGATAACATCCACTCAGCACGAGATGCATCATGGGTGCATCGTGGCGCATTCCCACCCTCTCCGCCAAGCAGCCCCGAAGAAAGCACGCGGGTCCAACTTGCATCAAGACCACAACATTCCGATGCACCGAGAGTGTCGTCGGGATACGGCTTGATTGCCTCACAGCTCACTCGGTCGGCCGCCCAGGACCAGGCCGCTTTCCCCCCGCTTTATCGACGCTTCGAAAGTGTGAATCACCGAGTCTTGTTACATCTACAGGATGAAATCGCCCAGATGGAGGAAGATCTGAACACACTTGACGAGTACGAGGAGATTCATCGAGTGGCCACCGCGGAGCAACAGGGCACCAAGCCGCCCCCTGCATCACGCAGAATAGACGTTCAAGCGCAAGCATATTCGTCACTTCACTATCGTCGTATGGATCTGATGGCAGCCCTGATCCAGAAAACCGAGCAATATAGTATGTCATAACTCGTTCGCCTCGAAGAAAAAAAAATAGACTTGAGCACAAAAGAGCATCCTGCTTACAATCCGTACAGATACAGCCCTGAGTGCCTATAGCAAGGTCCTCCAAACCCTGCCCGGTGCATCTGAAGAAGCCATCATCAACTATCGTTCATGGATGAAATCGCACGGGCCCATCGACCCCATAGAAGCCCGCTTCCTGGACCAGACTTCGGATCTCGTGGCCCTGACACCTCGCTTGGCAGCATCTGCCGCCGCTGCACCGGTGTACATGGCTATCATCATCGCCTCTGGCGCTCTCCTGATGCCTCTTCTCGCATTCAGCATGATTCGCGAATTCTCCGGCCGTCTCGTCGTCGTCGCGGTGATTGCCGGCGCTGCAGCAGCCGTTGCCGCAAACTACTCTTCTGGTATTGAAGCTCTTGTGGATTCCCGAGATGGATGGAGATGTGCTGCATTGTAAGTTCACCTCCTCTACCGGTCTATTGCCGGGGGCCCTTGTATGAACATTCAAGCTAACTCCGTTTGATAAAGCTACTTTGGCTTTATGGCCTTTGCTGCTATGCTCATTCCTTGAGAGACAGCTATGTTACTGGGCACCGGCTAAACAGCCGTGCAATGTCTTTTCGTACTTCCATCGGACAAGTCATGAAAGTGCAATTCTCCTGGCCCCCTGCAACTTGCCATATTGAATACAATAAAACCTTGGACCGCGTCGAGTAATCACCTAGCACGCCAAAGCCCAGGACGGTCAGCACTCAAATCAAACTGTTCACTCATGCTTCCAAGAACTTGGTCGCTTGTTTATCGATATCCCTTCCTGTTCCTTCCCAGAAAATCTTGTTCCACCGGGTGTATATGATGATGTAATTTGTTGTTATTCTAACACCTAGGTACCTAACTCTTCCTGCGAAAAGAAAACATGTGTGGTACGAGTTTGGTGCATCGTTTCTCCTTACCATGGACGAGATGGATCATGCATGGTCATTTTCAAGCCCGACCTACTTGGGTCATTGTGTCTTCTCGAGGACGTGGGTTCCTCCATCTCGCGCCCTTGATGTACAGAATCAATAAAAATATTTATGAGTCTCAATGAATTGCTAAGGACGACCCGACCCGTCGAAGCTCAAATGAACTAAAATTTCCCCTTAGGTCTAAGGTTGTTGTGGTGAGTATCTAAGAAAGTAAAAGACAACCAGTCATACGTGGGACTTCCGTGGAACCTTGAAAGCTTGGAATATTCATCTCAATGGATGGATAATATTGATTTCATCTACAATGAGGATGTCTACCTCCGAGATAAAAACTACAAAGTCTGTAGTTATCTCTGGCAGAGAGGAACGGAAGATGTTTCTCCCGCAAGAGGGTATTATCAATCGCTTCTCATTTAGAAACAATCCACGTCCACCGCCGACACTCAAAGTTTACACTTCCATTGGAAGAAAAGGGAAAACGAATAGGTGGTGAATTCGCACATCCAAGAATAAAACAAACATAGGAACCACCACTCCGTCAATAATCTAGACTAGGTCTTACTGTATTGCCTGTCTTGAATCCTGCACCAAGGCGCCTGAAGAAGTTCACCGCCCATCCATCTCAATCAAGACACCAGAGTACAGCCAGTGAGCATTAACAACACAAAGTGGGAAAATTAGAAAAGGAAAAGAAAAGAGGTGGCAAGAACTAGAAGAACTGAGGGTGAATGGGAAAAGGGCATGAAGAAGGAGAACAAAGATGTCGTGGCAAGCTGTAGCTCATAAGAGAAGTGATTGGGGAACCTTGAGTCAATGAGTCGAATCGTACTTAGATTTGTTGAAGAACGAGGTCAATACCCTGATCTAGCGGAAGGCTTTCGTTCTTCCAATGCATCATAATGAAAGAGGGCCCAGAAGGATGGTGCGACCTTCTAGCTTGTTTGCTGCTGAGGCATTGGGGTGCCATTTTGCTTGCCTGGGGTCATACTGCCTTCTTGTGAGGGGCGAGCGTCAGGATTATGCGGTTGCGGAGTTGATGGACTCTGCCTCGACTGAGTGGCAAGCTGAGCAGCAAGTTGGGCCTTAGCAGCCTGGTGCTTGTCGGCAGCATTGCGAGCATACATTGCCGAGGCTGCAGAGTTCATCGCGGGAGGCGGCGCACGATTTGCGCTTGGGAATGGCTGAGGGACGCCCGCATTGGCATAAGGAGTGCGCTGTTGCGGCGCGGCGTGGTAGGCAGGAGGAGCCTGTCCTGGCTGGGGAGTGTATGGCTGCGGAGATTGCGCATAGCCGTTTGAGGGGGCCCGTTGGAATTGCGGCGTGTTGCCGACTTGGTTGTATTGAGGGTTGGGTTGAGAGTACTGCGGAGGCATGTAACCTGGTCTCTGAGACGGCGTAGTTGGGGCACGATGAGCCGTCTGAGCAACATTGAAGGAGCCCCCGACGGAGCCTTGCCGAACCTGCTGTGTGATTTGATGATATCTTGGCTGTGTTTGAGACATTTGGGAATTCGCGGGCATGGCACGTTGAGCATAGGAAGCCTGGGTGTTTTGCTGGTATCCAGCTCGAGCTGAGGAAGGTGTCGAATGTCGATTCATAGAATTAGATGCCGCTGCCGCTGCATTCGTGGCTGCCGCAGCTGCGATTGCTGCCGCACGCTCTTGATTCAGCGTGTAGTCATCCTTCTCCATCGTTCCACTGTAGTCAGGATTCTCAATGACAATTTTCTGGCTAATGTTGAGCTCGTCCAGCTGATTTCCATTGAGCTTTGCCACTGCAAAAGGTGGAAGATTTGCGATTATGGCGACAAGTGCCGCCTTGAGGGTTTCGTAGACAGTCTGCTCGGCTTCTGAGGGAATCTCAACAGAATTCTTGGGGGCAGCAGTAGTTCCCTCATTTGTCGCTGTCATTTCATCTTTCGAAGGGGGTGGTTGGAGATTTCGAATCTTCTGGTATGAGCTCAGCGTGTCCAGCATTTCAGAAATTTCTTGCAGAACTTCATCAACCTCGCGGTCTTCCACTTGCTCTTTGCTGGGTTCGTCTTGAGTGCGATCGTAAACAAAGTCTTCCGGGTTGAACTGCTTGACCATTTCCTCGAGTGTGCTCTCGTCAAGATCACCAATGCTGCCGGGTTGGACCGTCGGCGTGATGACTTCCTCATCGTTGGTGGAAAGCATGGTTCGCAAGCGATTTGCGCCGCGCGTCCCCCACCACATCAGATCTTTGGCGTCATTTTGAAGCACAGCGCCTGAGCTGTCATAGGATGGTGCAAATGATGAGTAAACACCCTGCAACGTAGTAGAATCTCCGCCTGTCCAAATGGCAGGATCACCATGTCCTGGACTGCTTCTCGCCTCGGCATGAGACTTCTCAACCCGCGCCCAATAGGAAGGTGAAGACACGACACCACCATACTGCAGCCAATGACCCGCCGGAAGAGGTGTCAGGCAGTAACTGCTCCGGTCTCCTATGAAGTTTCGAGTATCGAACACTGCATCGAAAGGGTCGATCCAGGAAAGGGTCGAGCTTTGGTGACTTCGTGCTTGTGGAGGTTGCAAAGCTGGCAGTCCAGCCCGAGGGACAAAAACCTCGCCAAATGTTCTCTTCTTTGGGACCGCACAGTCAAGATTGCGCGGCACCACTTTGGTGCACATGACCCCAGCAGGCAGCGCAGCTTCACGAAGACTTTCCTGAGCCTCGGCAAATTTCTCGGCTTCGAGTTCGGAGGCCTTTGGGGATAACTTGACCGATTTCTGAAGGCTGGAGAAGAGCTGCTTCGGGTGACCTGGTTGTGAAGGGAGAGAGCCAAAGAAAGTCAGTGCTTGTCGATCTTCGCGAACATTTGGAATCGACGCGAGGTTTTCGGCGGATTGCTCGGCATCGTCTTCCGATTGCTCTGCCTTGACCTCCGCGTGATTGACAAACGATTGACCGATCAGGCCGTTCATGTGCTTCTTGAACGCTGCAATGCGACTCACAACCTCTGTCAAGGTTGTGCCATCAGGTTTGCTGCCGTTTGACTGAGCTTGGTTCTGGGCGCGATCAATGATAGCCCCGGTAGCCTTTTCAATGTCGGCTAGAAATTCTTGTAGAGTATTATAGCGGTCAGATTCAACACGCAGCTTCACATTCGTTGTCTCTGGTTCATTCGAGGTCTTGGCGCGCTTCGTGCGTTGCTTGGATCCGGATGAAGGGAAGGGGTAGGAGAGTACATGAAGCTCATCGTCGTGTCTGGAAAATACGGTTAGAGTGATTCAGCAAAAGTTGCGATTAGTATCTACTAACGCGATCAGCAGGCCTACAAGACCTCTGAGATTCTCGTGAAGTGAAGCCTTCTCATGCGAAGGAATCGAGACATGGGATTCAACGCCTAGGTTCTCGTCCTGGGCAGATCGCTTTCTTTTGGCCGTAGTCGCACCCACTAAAGATTCAAGTTGAGTCTCGCCATTAGTCTTTGAGATGACTTGGGCACTTTCATTCTCGTTTGCGCTCATCTTGGCGCAAGATTCGCCGCGGCGAAAGGAACAGCGGTGCGTCTATTGGTTCGACGCCCTGGGACGACGGATGATCACGTTTTGGCACCGAAGACAATTCGATGAACCAAGAGTGTTCACGAGCCTGAGGTTCCAGAGCGACAGCGCGATGGCTGGTAAAGGTGGTGTTGGCGTGGAAATTACTTATTTTCTTCGTCCAGCAGTGGATTTCGATGACCGGGGCCAGGAAGGAGACCGGGCGAATAACGAGATCGCGACGAGCGGGACCAAACAAGCAGCGGATTGCCTGTCCGGCTCCTAGAGGGCCGAGATTCAAAGACTTTAGTAACGGTGATCGAGATCCAGACTATGAATCGTCTATACGATTGCTCAGGACTGGCGACGAGAGAGCAGAGTAAATAATTTGTGGACTTCGAAAAGTGAAGGCAGCGTTTATGGACTGTCAGATGCGTAGAATGCGCGCCCATCCCAAAAATCGCAGCTCGTGACGATCTAGCACGTGACTATGTCCCGGGCTCTTTCGCGTCCCCGAAGCGCCGCAATAATTTTTGCGAATGCTGGAATTCATCGACTTGACTCTCCCATCGCTAATGATCGAGTAACGCGCTATCCGAGCTGCGTGTCTCCCCCTCTTTATCGTGTCGCGACGTTATCGGCTTGTCAATGCCATGCTTCATGCATGTCATTGGCTTTCAATCATGTCCGCGGCCTCTCGGGGGTACCTCTAAAAAGGGCACAGCTGGCGTGCTCTTCATGTTGCATCGTAAGGCACAACCCCAGCTCCAAACCATTTCATATTCTAAAAAAACTAATCCGAACCCGCTTGTCTTCAGTTACGCCATAATGGCAAGCATGTTGTAGCAATTCGTGCTGGCCTGCTGCAAAGTACCCCCGTAGGTCTCCGCCGCCTACTCAGCTCCCGGTCCAACGCCGAATCTCTGCAGCCATTGCAGATCGATGGTGGAAACGATGTTCACACTTACACGAGCGGCACGGACCGAGAGAGCTTCGAGCCCGATTCATGGAATCTCAGTGATCTCCATGCGTCGACTATCAGCACTTCACTGTCCCGACAACGCACAGGAAACCCAAGCGGTTCGCACATTCCAACACCTTCAGAACATCTTGCGCGGTCACTTCGACAATCTGGGCACTCACTCGGCTCTCATCTGAACACGTCAAGAGACCTTGAGACACTTTCTCATTCGGCTCCGCCCGCGCTACAGACCATGCTTGGCAATTACATCCGTCAGGTCGATCCGCTACTGCCATCCGAACGAGAGGGAGAGGGCTCAATAAATGAACTCAATATGGCACTTAATGATGTCTTTGGACATGACGCCGTGAAATACTTGGATTCACGAGGATACGACATTGGCGATGTGGTGGCATGGGCGTGGATCATGAAAAGCAAGGATGCCGAGCAAGCGATTTCTCGCTTGTTTATTTATTCCACCCAATGTTCGTTAGGCACAAATCATCCTACACCACCGGCACCTCCGTTCATCATTCTGTATTTACTGAAGCAGAAACATGTGACGGCACGGTCTCTTCGATTGCTCCTGATTTATGCTCTGCACTTGGTCAGTGGCCGGCCCCTTCCAATGCAGATAAACAACACGAAGATCGCAGAGGATTATGCGATATCATCATTGGAGGAGTTTTCCCCTCAGATAGACCTCTCGACAGGCATGCTTCTGTTCATTCGACTCGTCCATCACTCTCGAAGAGTCTGGCCCCATGCCATGCCTACAATCGCCAGCGCTTTCTCGCGATTCATGATGGCTACGGATATCGCGAGACCGGAGGCTCTTGGTCTGGATAAATGCAACGCGGACCGTCTGAAGACCAAGAACTTCAATATCTTCCTCCACATTCTGTGCCTACCGGCCAAGATTCAGCCTTTTCAATCCGTCACCTACCAGCAACAGGCGCAATTTGAGCTCCTTCGAGCAATGGCAAATCACAAACCAGTATTGCCTCTCACACGGAAAGGTTATAGAGCCGTCGCAACCGTTCAGTTAGCGCACAAAAAGACCCCAGACGAACGACAATCTGCCGTTCTAAAGGCACCGTCATGGCCACCTTGGAAGGAGGCAAGGCTGGGCATAGACAAACTTCGAGGCAACGAGGGCATGTACAGTCGCACTATGAATGTTTTGGCGCAGATGCGAGAAGCGGGCTACTCCCGCAAGCTTTGGGAAGATGTCTGCTCAATTTTGGCAGGTTGGGATACCGATCAAAGTCCAACGATCCAGACGCGGAGTTTCATGCCCTGGTCTAAGTCCCTGGGGCGGGCATCTCATACAAATCCTGACCATCCGGCTATCTGGACCGCCCGTATCCGTGCCACAAGGACGGTTCGCGAAGCATGGGCCTGCTTCCTATCATACCAAGATCGCAATCTACCGTTGAATAAGGGTGTTTATACTGCAATGGCCGAAAAGCTTATCAATCGGCAATCAGCGATTCAGAGAAGATTCGATGAGTCTGATCACGCATTGCCAGGCGATGGGCGTGAAGTCTACGCTGAGCCTGCATCTGCACGAGATTTGATATACGTTCACACTGAGCCACCTGCCCTTCAAGATTTCCTTGAGCAAATGATTGGCCAAGGCATCAGCATCCCCAGTCATCTGCTGGCTCTGCTACTTCAGACAACCCCAGACTTTCGTGCTGGCTTGCAATACTTGAGTGCAAGCGATCTTCCTAAGGAGCAAGTGGAAGTTCTCACCACGATATTAGGTCACCCTTCCAACTATGAGGAGGCCAAGGCACCCCTACGAGCAATATCTGACGATGTTTTTGGCGCCTTTGTTGGATTTCTCTGCAGATCTTCAAGCTCTGTGATATGCGCTGGGCCTAAGTCTGTAGACCCTGCGCGGCTGCCTATACTTGCCGTGTGCAGCCAGTGGCACCTTCCACGAAGCAAATTGACTGATTTCGAGATCCGTTCACGCCAAAAATGTCACCCAGCAGCTCTGTGGCATGCTGTTCAATTGGCCAAAGCGCGCCTAGTGCCGTGCACTGTTTGTTGGACTCACATTCTAGGCGCACTCCACAAGGCCGGTGACAGATATGTGAAGGAACATCGAGCATGGAGACGCATTTTGGCCTGGCACGAAGCTCTTCTTGCACTAAAGTGGATGAAAGAACGCGATACTGGCTTAAGCCTGGATGGATTTTATGCCTTATGCAAAGTCTTCAATGGGGCTGTCTACGCGGGTTTGAAGCATCCGGACGAGGCCGGACAGGCCTTTACGATCATCCAGACAATCAGTCATAGCGATGGGTATTATGACACCACTGGGCACGATCAATTTGACGCAATGATTGAGAATGGGCTGCTTGTTTTGAAGTCGGAATTCGATTCCCTTGTACTTCCGTTCTCCGCGACATCGAAGCTTGCAGAGCAAAGCATCTTCGCCGAGATGGACGCTGCAGACTCACAACTACGAGTGCCAACAATTCTACACATACCATCTTTCGCCGTCTTGCACCGTTTTGTGCGCGTGCTAGGGGCAGTCGGTGACGACGAAGGCGTATTGCATCTGTTGCAATGGATGAGTCGGTCCGCGAGTTCATTAAACGCCGCTGCTGATGAGCGTTTGAACGGTGACCGAATGCGACGGTTGACTCTGACTGCGATCCGTCTCATCTTGCAGGGCATGAATACTGACCATCTTAAGATCGGTCATGCATCGTCAAATACTGTCAAAGTGCAAGAAGCGCACGACATCATCAGGCAGACTGCTGGCTGGGACTGGCCGAGTGACGAAGAAGTTGAAGATTATTATCAGCGATACAAGTCTGAGCACCAGATGTAAATATCCAAGTGTACTTCTAGACCTTGTCTTCCCACACATTTTGTACCACCAATTATGATACCCTTCTAGTATAGCAGAAAGCTTGTTATACCCCCATGACCGCTACATAAACATCAGGTCACAAGGTCGGCAACCTTGCAGATCACCAGCCACCCTTGACTCTGACTTTCACAAGCGATTCTCATCTGACAACTTGAAGTTACCATGTCTTGGCCAGCGTCAATCACCTTCTTCTTGGAAAGGATAGGTCTCTCTGGTCATCTGGTCTGCTGCTGCCAATAAGACGGTCGAGGCCCTGACATGACACCATTGGACTCTTTCCAAGCTCCAACAGATACACACAGATGGTGCAGATCGCATGAATTGATACAGTGCCCGATCAGGTATGGGCACTTGAAAGGTACATCACACTACAGATATTGAGAATCGACATAGATACTTCCATATTTGATTTTGAATGTCTTCCTACCAAACAGACCATACGGCATACAGCAGTCTGAGGTGAATGAATGGAGCTCCGCACGGCTCGGCAAGCGTCGGCGTCTCGCGAGAAGCTTTCCCCACACCCGCCCGAGCTTCGAGCATGTCGCAGCATCCAACGTTTTGTTTCACTACTATTCGACTTCCCTGACAGAGAAGTCTCGACCTGCCCACAGTTTGCACAAAGCATTCCATATCAGACTTCAGGTCTTTTAACTCGCGATGGCGACGGCGACCCTTTCCCCGCGGCTCATCCGTCTCACAGGCCTCGGTCATCTTTCTCGGCCGACCGTCTTGTCCTCTCGTGCATTTGCTGCCCGATACAGCACGAGTTCTGAAGACGAGATCATCAAGACACAGCAGATTCCGGCGCCGGGCTCAGGACATGTGCGCGTCTTACTGCTGAATCGACCCAAAGCCCGAAATGCCATCTCGCGACAATTGCTGGAGACACTTGCAAAGCAAGTCGACTCGATTGCCGCAGAGAACGGCAATGGACCGACACGGGCACTGGTTGTCGCCAGTAATGTCGATGCCTCATTCTGTGCCGGCGCTGACCTCAAAGAGCGCGCCAAGATGACTCCAGCGGAGTAAGACAGCGCTCGTTTCTTTACTTCACGAGAGAATGACACCTGTTGCTAACACTAGAACCGTTGCTTATAGGATCGAACAATTCCTCGAGAAACTCCGCGCTACCTTTAAGGGTCTTGCCAATCTTCAGATCCCTACCATTTCCGCCATATCCTCTATGGCACTGGGTGGCGGTCTCGAACTCGCGCTGTGCACGCACCTGCGCGTATTCGGCTCCAGCTGCACCGTCGGCCTCCCAGAGACACGACTGGCTATTATCCCAGGCGCAGGAGGAACTTACCGCCTTCCAGCATTGATTGGGCCGACGCGAGCGCGCGATCTCATTCTCACAGGCCGTCGAGTGTCTGGTCCCGAGTCATATTTCATTGGGCTTTGTGATCGCCTAGTAGAGGTCACGCCGGAGGAGGGACAGCAGGAGGGCGTTGCACGCGAGAAGGTGCTTCGAGAGAGTATCAAGCTGGCTCTGGATATTTGCGAAGGTGGCCCAATTGCTCTTAAGCAGGCCTTGTTGGCCGTACAGGGTTCCACCCTGGGTGAGGTGTCTGAAAATCGGGCCTATGAGGGGGTCATCGAGACCGAGGATCGATATGAGGCTCTGCGCGCCTTTGCCGAGAAGCGCAAGCCCGTCTTCCGGGGCCGGTGAAAGGAAGCTACCTACTCTTGAGTCCTCAGTTCACATGATGCATTGTAAACTTAACCAGTTGAACCAATTTGAAGACACATATCGTCTGCTCCCGTTAATGTGGCCGTGTTGTCCGCTCATCAAGTGAGTTCTTGGTAGAAGGAGCCTCTTTCCAAGGTTTAGGACTGCCCTCTTAGTGTTTTAATGACAGATGCACTGTGCCGGGCATACGGCAAAGTGGTCTCGGTCACATGGCCATGTATGTGTGTTCATCCGGGAGTGGGTATGTAGCTTCATGTATCTTTGGTGACCCTGAGCTTTGAGGCCTTTTGAGTCATACGTTGTTCACCCATGGTTGTTACAGGCACATTCTCAGCATCCGTGGGACAAGGATGACCAGGTTTCAATCGACACAGAGCTTCTAGGTGCCTCTTGGAAGCTTACTTCTATCGACGAGGCACCGACCGCTGTGACGGGTCCAAAGTCTACAAACGCACCGAAATGTCCGTGTCAAGTCTTAAAAGGTCCAAGAAAATCGCGTTCAGCCTGGAACCCTGAAGTCACCCGTTAGTGACAATCCCTCGACTGAATCGAAATGGAAGTTCCTGCCTGGGACCATATTGTAGAGCAGCTTTGCGTCATGATCACCTCAACCTTTTCGCTTTTGAGCCTCGAAGGCTGAGCGATTTGTTGCCCGCACGTCTGATCGGGCCAAGGCGATCTCCAGAACTTGCCCATCGAGCGGCGCTGATTGCAGGATTCGTGGGGACAGTCCTCCTGAACGGCTCTTCTACCCCGAGAAAGGGTCAGGTCTCGGGACCTGGGTCACGTTGCCCTGCTGCATGTCCATGCAGGCATGCACAGTCTCGGAAGCTCGTTCCTCTAAGACTCTTTGTGATGGGTCTCTGATCAACAGCCAAGCCAGAGAGACAAGACAAGAATGAAGATCGAGACATTTTCCACTCTCCGGAATCTCGACTTATGAGTCACGACCGGGAAATGGCCGACATTGCACTCATCCTGTGGTTCAGCTCAACTTGGGGCCGAAACCCGCCCTGTTTGGACTTTTGTCTTGGGAGCCTGGGTTCCTGCATGCGACCAGGGCTATAACACTCTCTGTGGCGCAGAGCTCCCATCCTGAACCATGGGCCCACCGGTCACTCTGTCAGCCTTGGGCACGGCTCACTGACCTTGACAATGTTTTTCCCGACCATTCGACGAGACCAGTGACCAGCTGGGCGCACGATTCATCGAGTAATCTGCAACGGGCCGAACTCCACCCAGCCAGTGACGGTGCCCGTGCCCAAGTGCCGCAGCCGTGAGGCCCGTGACGTGCGTCGGGGCATTCTGAGGTCTGTGGCATTGAGAGTTGAATGGATAAGAAGAAGAAGAGGAAGAGGAAGAAGGAAAAGCTCACAGGGGGATAGTTTCTTGGTGGACCTCTCCATTTTGAGTGGTATAGACAGGCGCTGATCGATCAGCGGTCGAATGAGGTCTATGAGATTGAACTTTGAAGTATACAAGGCTGTGTCTCGTATTTGGGACAAACTTGGCAAGCACGACTTGCACCAGGGATTGATAACCGCCGCATGAGTACAACGTACAGACCTACTACTGGTAGTGGAAGTACTTCCAAGTAACTAAGGTAGGTAGTAGCTGCCTCATGCAAGTAAAAAGTAGAAGATACTTTGGTTGTATTATACGCCCTACGGGGCGGTTGGTACCTGATAGTCCCTATCAGATTCCCAGATACAACACTCGTGCAATCGAGGCATCATGGTGTTCGTAGTACTCCCTGTCATCTGGATAGGTCAGGAGAACAAGCTATGGATCCAGGACCCAGGAAAATAGATTTCCTGAGAGAGTCATAAAACAAGAAACTCAGAAAAGGCAGTAACTAGTACATGATGTTCCTGTTCCAATAAACCTGTCCATCAGCCGGGGCAATCACCCCGAAGGGTCCGCCCTAAGCATGCATCACCTGCAGCCACCACCCTCTCCCCTCGTGTGAAATCCGCCTTCCTCCCTATAAAGACGATGCGACGCTCGCACCCTTCTTCATTGCTTCAACTCTCTCTCCGCCTTTCTCTCCGCCTTCTCAACACCATGCTGCTGTGAGAAAAAGCTTGTCCCGCCTTTCTCATAATGAGCCACCATCCATCCGTCAAGCAGTACGGCTTGACGCAGATCTATGCGCCCCCACGCGGAGAAATCCCCACTGTGGATATCGTTTTGGTCCACGGTTTGAATGGCCACCCAGAAAGCTCCTGGACCAGCAAGACTACCGGCTGTTTTTGGCCAGTCGATCTGCTACCTGATGTCCTTGGGCCTCTGCGACCACGCATTCTCACGTATGGATACAACGCGAACGTCGTCGCCTTTACAGATGGCGCATCCCGAGACTCAGTCGTGAGCCACGCAGAAACGTTGGCATCCTCTCTCGCTGCGAATCGAAATGTAGGTCACCTGCCGTCTGGTGGTAAGAGGGTTGGTTGTCTTTCGGCAACCTTTGATGCGAGACCGAAGACTGATCCTTTTTTTTTCTGTTTTCTAATTACAGCTTCGAAGTTGCCCTAATCGTCCCATCATCTTCATTTGCCACTCTCTTGGAGGCCTTGTGGTAAAACGCGCTCTGATCTACTCCCGCAGCGTTTCAAATGAGAAAACCGAGCACCTCCGCTCCGTGTATGTCTCAACCTTTGGCATTCTCTTCCTCGGCACCCCGCACAATGGCTCAGACATGGCCAAATGGGGTCTGCTTCTGCAGAAAATCTGTACTGCAGTGTTGCCAAAGAAGTTCATGGAAGGTTCGCCCCAATTGATTAAGTCGCTGCAGACCAACAATGAGACGCTGCAACACATCAACAGTCTTTTTGCGGACATCATGAGCCGATTCCACATCTACTTCTTCCACGAGACTCGCTCCATGGACGTCAAAGGAACGCGCGAGGTGATAGTTGACGAGTCTTCAGCCGCGCCATACTTTGAGGGCGTGGAACGAGGTGGAATCGAGGCGGATCACAGTCATATGTGCAAATTTGATGACGAGAATTCCCCGGGTTATGAAGTGGTTGCCGAGGCCATTCTTCGCTATTCTCGTGAGGCCCCATCGGTGATTGCTGATCGTTGGATCGAAGAACGCAAAACCCGCTCCCAAGAGAGACAGGCCAAGGCACGAGAGCTTTGCGGTCCGACAGACGACCCCCTTGGTCAGAGTACGTCAGAATTGAACACACGAGCTACCGGTAGGAACACCCATCTGCTTCCCGCCCCGGAAGAGTCTGTTACTTTGAAGGATTATGAGATTGAGGAGCCCGCTACTTGATATATCCTTGCCCAACAGACCATTTGCTCTAGTGACAGCCTTTATGGTTATCGCAAGGCCACGTTGCTTTACGCTGTGTCTGGGAGCTCCATCCTCCTGCAGTTCCTGCTCTTTCGAGCTCCTACTGCTCCGAGCATGTCATCCCTTGAAATTGTCATCTGTATCTAAGTCACTTTCTGTTTTGGGTGAACGTAGCGGGCCCCATCACATCAATCCCTTTTGAATGAGTCCATCGCAGTCAATATGCATATTCACTTCCTTGAACATATATCTTCTCTCCTTGGTAGTCTGATACTGACTGCCCTCCATAGGCCATCATTCTGTGCCGAACCTTGTCCGCGGAGCTGCCACCGATGGCCGAGATCCAACGGTATCTGGGGTTGGCCAAAGCGATGCCTGCCATCCACTCTCTCGGTCTCTGATTCGTAAGTCTGCCTTTCGTAAGATCGCGAGAAGATTATGATGCTCTGAGACTCACTTTTAATGCGAATCAGACTTTCCGTCTCAACGAGAGCCCGCACTATTCGTCGTTCCGCCAGGTTTTCATCCCAATGCAACATTTGTTGGTATGGAAAAGGCACTCGAGGAACTCCATAAGCGATTATACAAAGCCAAAGCCCGTGCGAAGGGTACGATGGCTGTTTTGATCACTGGTGTTCCCGGCTCGGGAAAGACACATCTTGCAAGACAATATGTGTTCACCCAGTGTGAGTGCTATCCAGGCGGAATATTCTGGGTGGACGCAAAATCTCGGGAGTCTATCTACAAATGCTTCTGGGAGATCGCTCAAGCAGCTACCCTCATTGACCCCAAAGAGGCTGATGAGCCAAAGTACCAAAAGCCCCAGACATACGTCGATGCCGTCCGCAACTGGCTTCAAGCGCGCCATGACTGGCTTTTGATCTTTGACGGCATGTTGTTCGACACCGACAAAGACATTAATGAATTCCGCTCGTTCCTGCCATGGAGCACGCGCTGCAGTGTCATCTACACTTCTATCAATGCCAATCTGCGCAAGAAACAGCGATTGTTCGAACCTTATCGCCTTTGTGTGCCTCGTTTGGAGGTCGAAGACGCTTGCCGGCTTCTCTATCGAGACCTGAGTATCAGAAGGCCGACAATCGAGCAGTCCGCCAAGGCCGCTCAAATAGCAAAGTATCATGACTGCTTACCTCTGGCTATCCATGCAGTCGGACACCGCCTGAATGCGACTGGAATGAGAATAGAGAAATATCGACTCAAAGGTCAGGTCACCGACGAAAAGCTCGCGGAGCCTTTTCTAAACATCATGAATGACCTGTATCGCCTCGAGCAGCGTGAAGCTTTGAATCTTATCAATTTACTTTCCTTCCTGGGTCATCAAGTCCCTGTTGGCCTGCTCGTTTTGGGAAAATCCATAATGACGACTGAGAACGCCGAAATCCTGTCCAGTGCTCAGTCTGGAGAGGAGCCCAATATTGACACCACATTGGGCACACTGATCAGTTATGGACTGGTGGAGCGAACATCGGATCTGGACATCCATTCCCAATTAATAACCTCATCTCAGTACTCAGGCGACGAGATACAGACCGACCCCAGACCAACCCCACCATTGACAGATTCCTTCACCGAGAGCAGTCAAGAGGAATTCTTTTCCCTGTATCGAAACAATTCTGAGGGTGACGTCGTCAAGATTCACAGCGTCGTGCAGACCTTTTGTCGGAATGAACTCAGATCGAAGGACGATGATCACTCGGAGGTTATCAAAAGGACACCCGGGTTTTACGACTCATGGCTCATTGTCGCGACACGCTTTCTATGCAGATCGTACGAGATGGCCCGGGAAAAAATGAGCCATTATAACGACTGTGGGCTTGTACGTGACTACCGAGAATATGAGACTCATGCGTCCCGCCTTGTCGAGCTTTATCCTCGAAGATCTGTGATAGATAGCCACCCAGCGGTGCTTCGTGAGGCGCGTGAAACGTTGAAACAGTTGATGCGGAGCCTCAGTAATGAGATTGAGCGTATGTCTCCCAGCTCCTCGCAAGAATCAACTCGTAATCAGAAATCAGTGTTCGACCGAAGCAGCAGCTCATCCTCCTCGTTTCCTGAGTCTTCCCCCGAGGAAGGCTTTTCCTCGCGCCAGTCGACCTTGAACTGGACGGAACCTGGGCTGATTCGAGCAGCATCACCCGAGGAGATGGCGCGGGTCCCTCAATTCAGGTTGGAGCTGTTTCCGCCCCGTCTCTATCACCATGTGGAATCTGGTTCCGATGATGGCTACGAGACGGATGGCGATGATGCAAAAGCAGGGCGTCTGAGATCTCCCGCGTTGTCGCTCCTGAGTCAAAACACTGAACTTCCACCAGACTTGTCCGCTTCTCAGAGCCCACCAATCTCACACGATGGGTCCCAGGAATGGCAAACTGTTCAACATCACTCAACGGTCCGCCCGTCAGAGCATCTGCGGCAGGGTCAGAGATCAGGCGGGCCTCGGCAATTTCGAAGTCCACAATTGGATGCTCCGTTAGTCCAAATTTCACCAGTCGAGGGCAGAGGATCATCAAGTCGCACATCATCTGGGCAGAGCGGAAGTAGCTCCAGTGTTTCTACACTCACTGCCGAGTCTGCCCTGAGTGCCATGAAGAGAATCAATCAAAGACAGGCTTCGTCAGGAAAGAGAAGCATGTCTGAATCCAGCGTTTCATCGGCAAGCATCGAAAACATGCCTCCATACGACAACAGGGCTACTACACGGATGCCGGTTGCCGACGAGATATCATTAAGGCGTCCAGCATCCATGCCTATTTCCACCACTGCAGACGCACCGTCGAATGCCCGGACGATTGCATCTGCAGAGCTTGATGGTCACACGGGCCGCATGTTTGGATCCCCGCTCGCCCATGAATTGATGTCTCACGATATTGTGGCCGATGAGATGAGCCAATCCGCCTACCGAGAAGCTGGTCATGAGGAGCTCACTCAGTCTTTGACGGCACTGGATGTCCATGGCGGAGAAACCACTCTTACAGACTACCGGAGCTCTTCTTTGCAGGCTACTGAAGAAATGTCTGTCAGTACGCCGACCCTCATTCCCCAAGCGATTGCTGTCAGCAATATTTCCGCAAGCACGCCGTCTCTCTTCCAATACGCTCCTTCAATCTTGCCATTGGACCATAACGTATCAATCTCTGTCTCGCCTAATCGCCCCTTTCTGCAGCAAAATGCCGCGGCAGGGATCCCAACGAATTCCGCAAAGGCTCCCAACCCCCTAAGAGTCGCCCATCCGTCCGCTATTCTGCCTGGATCTGTACCCTTATCCAGTGCTGCGTCTGACTCGATGCTGATGGGAGAGCGTGAGCGAGTAGGCTCTGAGCCTTTGTCTCGTCTGTCCTCGACCATGTCCACCCAGTCCTACGCGACTGAACCTGTCCGCTCGCCGCCTCAGTTCTCACCGCCGTTCGTCTTTGGTAGCCCGTCTGAGGTGAGCTCACCTCTTCCGATGGCGTATCAGGGATCGCTTACAGCGCCTGGTTTTGGTGGCAATAGCAGTGCCGTTCAGTCACAGCAGATTTACGCACTGCCTGTGACAACGCACGGAAGGATAGGCTCGGTTGACGAACGACTCGGAGGGATGAGTCAGATGGCGAACTCAGGGTCGGAGGTTGCAGCGTTCCTTCCTTTTGCGGGACATCGCATCGACGTTCGGGACCCACGGGTGAGACTTCAAGAAGTGGGAAGATTTCAGACGCCGAGGAATATCCCCTCTTACCGTCTTTATCATCCCAATGTTTCGGGCCCACTTGCTTTGGGGCATGAACAAGTGTATGTGCCGGTGCGGACGGCTGCCATGCCTTTCGTGCGTCCAAGGAGTGGGAGTTCTCCTGCAAACCCCAACCGTACCTCCTTGGACCGAGGGTTTTGAACCAACAATGTTGGGTTTTCCCTTTTTTGTTCATTGTTTTTCATTCCGTCTTTATAGCGTCCTATAGGGGCAATTGCATTAGCGTGGGTGTCGTTTTTTTTTGGCTCTCTTCGTCATCTTCCGTCAGGGCTGATCAGCTCTTACCCAAGACTCAGGGCCGTGTCGAGAATCGGGATGACACAATCGTGCTCAAAGAGAGATACCATATAGATATAGAGAAACTATGATGCGTCTAAGGGCTATGAAGGAGACACTTCTTCCTCCTCCACGTAATCAAAGATGTAATTTCAAAATGAACTCTGCTTTGGAAGGTATTGAGGGCCCCCGTGAAACCTTGTGTTGACTCCTTCAAGATGTCTTTTCCTGTCTTTCACACTAAGAAGGAAGCTTTTAAGGTAGCCATTGGCCGACGGCGGTGTCATGTTTGCATTGGAATAGCGAACCAGAAAGATTTCATATCATAATATGCTGGACCAATACTAGGTATCGCGAACCATGAAGTACGTTACTCTCTTGTCAACGACTTTTGCTCACCCATCAATCGGCTTGCGAGGTTCGGAGTATCTTGACGACCTTCTCTCATTATGAGCATAACAACCTTGCTCACATCGATTCTATGCAGGGCACGGTATAGTTCAATACCTCCATTGCTCTAACAGGAGGTCCCCTTAATGTTGAAGGCCTAGAGGCCGTAGGCTGTGAGAGAGGGAGAGCTTCATGGATCAGGTCTAGGCCATTGCTATTATTATTATGACACACGGACCAAGCGTCGTTCCGATCGGTGGGGGCCTCAATCATAGCCGATTGCCAATATCGTGGACCAAGATATTTGCATGACATGTTCAGTCAGTGTCCGCTGTCCAGTGAGTAGTAGTACACCACTCAGCGCTGTGATTGTCACCATTACGCAGGTCACCAATGCAGGGCGTGGTCATGTCAAGGAATGGAGGAGCAATTGTGGAGAAGAAGGGTAAGGGGCTGTCTTGCCGTCGTGATGGTGGTGGTGGTATTCGTGACTTGGTCTTGATGCGGATGGTGGGTGGTGGGTGAAGCTTGACGTCAGAGCGCAGATGATGCCGAATGACGTCGGACATTATTTGCACTGGGAAGAGGAAATCTCCACACGAAGTATTAGAAGGCTTTGTTGCAGCTATTTGACAACGACTCTTCTGCTTCTCACATCACCTCAAATTTCAAACCGTTCAACCCTCTCTGAGGCTATCTGCAGCTGTAACCAACAATTCTATTACTTCTCTCAATCAACCACATCACCACCACAACCCAGCAATTCATCATGTCTGCTACTCGCTTCGTTCCCGCCGTTCGGGCCCGCATGGCCACCATGGCCCCCAGCTCTATCACTATGCGTTCCATCTCCTCTAGTGTCCGTCTGGAGAAGGGACCCATCGATGCTACCAAGGATACCCTCAAGCAGGCCGACCGTGTGGTCTCGGATGCTGCCGTCAAGGGCATTGACCTCGGAAGTACGTTTCAAGAAGGACAGCTAGCATGCGCTGAAAGATTTTGGATATAAGACTGGACCGCTAACCTGTGGCTCTTCGAACACAAACAGAGGAGGCTTCGCAGAAGGTGAAGGAGAGCGTTGGTGTGTCAAGTGCTGAGGCCGAGGCCAAGGCCAAGGAGGTCAAGGGAGAGGCTGAGGAGACCATGGGCAAAGCCAAGGGCTCTGCGCAAGAGCTCGCCGGACAGGCCAAGGGAAAGATGGCCGAGGTGGAGGGTCAAGCCAAGCAGGCTAAGCGTGAGCACCTCGGTTAAGTACGCTGTGCGTCTTTTCTCGAGTCCACGATGGTCTTTCGTTTATCGCCATAATGTAATATACATCACAAGCCATGATATCCAGTTCCAATTCATTCTATGAAGACACGGTCACAAAAGCCCCTCTACTAGTCTCCGTAGGTGCAAGGGAACTCCGCTGGCGCACACGGTTCGATTCAGGTTGGTAGCATAAGCACATATTCACGAGTGCTCAGGCCGAATTTGATCACATCCTTGTCCATGACTTCCACAAAACGACCAGCAGGGATTGCTTCGCCGTTGACATGGGAGCCGTTTGCACTTTCCAGGTCGATCAGGTACGGCTTGACTTTGCCGATGCGATCTCCATACTCGTTGCGCTTCTCAACATAACGAAACTGCAACGCGGCATGCTGCTTCGAGCAACTCGGATGCTCGAGAGGGAAGTCCACCACTTGGAGCTCACGACCAATCAGCCAGCAGCTTCTACCACCAAGTTCGACCACGTCGAGGAGATCCTCTCCTTTGAATATGTAAAGTCGCCAGGCTTCCTTCGCAGGCGGCTTGCGAGCCTCTGGAGGCTCGTGATATTTGAGAACAATCTTCTCACCAGTCTGGCCTTGGACAGTGTTGCTCTCGGCGGCAAGTCGGCCAGTCTGATTGTAGTTGGGCTTGATCTTTTCAACTGGCGGAGCGTCCCCCGACTGGGCGACTTCTCCTGTGAAGGCATCGGCTTGTGAGGGGAGGGGTCCGCGACGTTGAATTGCTTGCGACGAATTGTGGGATTGACGCGGGGATGTTGAGCGCGATCGTCGGTGGGGGCTGCGATGTCTTCGCGATGGTCGTCCGGAATCGCGATCTCGCTCGTCGCGATGTCGGTGGCTGCGATGTCGGTGACCTTGACGACTGTCTTCTATAGAATCTCGGGAGTGTCCGCGACGCTTTCGAGACTCGTGCTCGAGGTCTCGTCTCGACGATTTCACGTCTGAAGGGCTTCGAGAGCTTCTACGTCGCGAAACACCTCGATGCGAGCTTCGCCGGTCGTAATCGCGCCGCCGTGGGCTCCTGGGGTCCTCCCGTGAGGCTCGTCGATGTTCACGATCGCGGCCAGGAGAACCGGATAGGGATCGGCGTCGCTGGTGCCTGTGGCTGTCGTCCAAGCTAGCCATTGCGCCTGTGCTAGAGATAGAGAGAATGACTCAAAAAGGAATGCCACAGGCGCTAAAATCAAATGGCAGGATTCCCGATCGAAGACCATCTCCGATTTCTCCAGCGAATCATGCACGAGCCCCACGTGATCCTCCCCGCCCTTCCTCTGAGGTGAGGTCAGGCACTCGACCTTCTTTCCTTTCACATCTATTCTTATGTTCCTGTGGGAGTGACCGGATATCAGACGGTGCTCTCTTGCCAGAAACCATGCGGCCATGTTCAAGAAGGCCAGTCCTTGTAATAATGGCGGCATGAAGCTTTTCAGCCCGTCTGTCTCGGCTTTGCCACCCGCTCGATCGAGCTTCCAAGCTTCACGTTTCATCAGGTCGTCATTGCGCTTTGAACAAGGCTATGCAACAGCCTCGGAACCCTCGGCAAGCCGGTATCAGTGGCCTTCAAGCTCGTCCTTCACTCCCTACGATGTTCTCAATATCCATCGCAATGCCCCGTATACCAAGGCTCAGTATTACGATCTTGTAAAAATCTACCATCCCGATCGGTCCTGTGATGAGCATCCTCTTTGCCGAAATATCAGTCCTGAAATTCGTCTTCAGCGATATCGCATTGTGGTGACTGCACACGAAATTCTCTCGGATCCTGAACGGCGGGCCGCGTACGACCAAACCGGTGCCGGTTGGAGTCATCACCCTCAACGTTATCGCACTGCCGCAGAGGCTGCGCAGGCCTGGGGGCCTTACGGATCTACAATCTATGCCAATGCGACCTGGGAAGATTGGGAACGATACAACAACCGCCATTATGGCAAGCAGCAACACGTCGTGGATCAACGGACCTTTACCCGGCTCGTTGTCCTTCTTGTCCTTTTTGGAGGCGCTGTCCAAGCCTCGTGGATTGGACAAATGAACTCTGGGTATGAGAAGCGGCTCCGCGAAGTGAGCGAAGACTCCATGCGTTTCTTGTCCGGCCGACGCCAGCAGACGGTCACTCAAATGCCTCACAACGACGCTCGTGTGCAGACGTTCTTGATTCGTAGGGACCCGACTGGCTCTGGTCTCAAGGACGAAGAGGCCGAAGTGTATAAGCAAGAACTGCATTCCCTTCGACGACCCGCACCCGATCAATCGAACGCCCATGAGCTAGACAGCTCAAAATCTGCGGCCCACCTGACAAATGTCTCTCCCCCATAAACCGAGCAGATCTGGCACTCATACAACCCATTTGTGGCCGCGCTAGCTGCGAGTCCGTTTGCTCTGGTGTGTCTTCTGTATCCCTCGTGTTTCTGTGCTCTCATGGCGTTCTTGGTCTCTGGGGCTTCACTGGCGGAAAGTGATGGGTGTTCCGGAGTAGATACTGACGAAAAGGAGGCTCTGAAATTCGACATAGGTTGCTTTCTATACCGTGAAGAATCAAGCTCCACTTGGACATATCAGAAATCTTTATCTACAGTCTGAACTCATTACACGTCGATCGCCTTGAGGATTTAAAGTACATGCCTCACCTTCCAGTTTCGGACTAGCTGATAATCAGAGTGGACCCCGCAACGATTACTCAGTCCTACTAACCCAGTTAGACTTAGTAACGGGCTAGCAGTTACACACTTCTTGGGACGAACCTCGGCTGAGCGCCACTTCCAAGGAACCGGCTTGGCCTAAATCAATACGGCTTAGTTAGTTATGCGCGTGTTTCGCATATGACCTTGCAGATCTTCGGGTCTTCGATCTCTTAACCGTCAGTACATACTTTATATCTACAAAGGCCGCAACTTCCCCTCCAAAGAACTTTCGATCGTGATATAACCATCTCAACAGGCGTCGCCAAGCCTCGAGGGGCTCACGTGCTTTGCTCAATATGAGTGACTACAAGTATTCGGCTCACCTCCTGAAGGAGTTGATCATTCGGATCCCATTGGTTTTGAAGACCCTTCTTCTTCATGGCATACAAATGTCACCCGGAGCGGGGAAACAAGATCTTCGGACAGAAATCACGACAGCCATGATTCGATCCTTCATGACATTCAGCGCTCCTGTTGATAAGACGCAGAAGAACAGCATGCGTGATCCGGGTGTCAAGGGTCCAATGTGGGTTTCGAAAGTGACCTTATCGAGACCAGAGTTCGATGTACGCGACGCAGTGGTCCGCGCAATCGAGGATCTCAAGACAACTGGCAATGAGACATTCGCTTTACCTCCAGTCGCGGACGTGGAGGCTGAGTGGACAGGATTTCGCAGTGGTGTAGGCAAGAGAACACCTCAACCCGATCTCTCGGAGGAAGAGAAGTATCAAGAGCTTCGCAAAGAGTCTACCTCGGATATGACGATCCTCTATTTCCACGGCGGCGCTTACTTGTGAGTTGAAGCATTCAGGTAATTCCAGCAATTTTGATCTATCCCTAACATCATCCATTAGCTTGATGGATCCTTGCACGCATCGGGTGCCTGTGGCTCACCTCTCGCGTCTCACTGGCGCTCCGATCCTATCCGTGCGATACAGACTTGCGCCGCAAAATCCTTTTCCTGCGGCCCTAGTTGATGCTTTGACGGCGTACCTCTCATTGATCCATCCGCCTCCTGGCAGTCTTCACAAACCAGTCCCCGCGAACAAGATTATAATCGCAGGTGATTCGGCCGGCGGTAATCTGTCTCTCGTCCTGTTACAGACTCTACTTACGTTGAAGCGCGCGTCTCGACCTGTGCGCTTTCATGGACAAGACGTGGACATTGAGCTGCCAGGGGGAGTGGCTCTAATTTCGCCTTGGTGCGATTTGACGCATTCGATGCCCTCGATTGTCAACAATCTCAAGTTTGACTATTTAGACATGAAAGGCACGCCATCCGAGGACCCAGAAGAACCAACCGCCATATCTTCTGCACCATTTCCCCCCGGCTCCGTCTGGCCCGTCGATCCTCCTCGATTAAACATGTTCACAGATGCCAATATGATGCTTCATCCGCTTGTATCGCCAATGGCCGCAAAGCCTGAGCTGTGGGAAGGTGCACCCCCCGTGCTCATTTCCACAGGAGAAGAGCTGCTCACGGACGAAAGCTTTGTTGTGGCACGCCGCATGCATCGGGCCGGAGTGAATGTGGTGGTTGATCAATTTGAGGGGATGCCTCATTGTCATGCCATGATCATGATGTCCACGGCGACAGGGAAACAATTCTTCAAGAACGTCGCCGGGTTCTGCCTAGACGCTGCAGCTGGCCGTGTCAAGTCTACGGGGCAGGTTAATTGGTACGGTCAGGGTCTGAAGACTTCTCGTGAGATCCCACTTGCGGAAGTCGTGGACCTGGACGAAGATCGTGTCGATGCTCGAATGAGCAAGTCTGCTAGTTGGTTGGTGCGTGACGAGGAGGCGCTGCGGAAGGAGTGGCGGGCACAGGCAAAGCTTTGAACTGCTCGATTGTAAATAGCACATCTCCGGTCACACATTGAAGATACCGTCCATTTTACAAACTCAACCACTTGAAGAAATTGTCCCTGACTGCGGCGGAAAGTGCATGCCGAGGCCCCCAGGAAAAGAATCCTGAGATGGCAGGCTGGCCACAGCCACTGGATCCACCTCCTCGGGTCGGCCCGAACTCTGTGAGCATTTACTCATTCACACATGACTACATGTGCCGGGTTTCATTATTGGTCTAAGGAGGGCTCATGTCAAGTACTGCGAGCACTGATGAGAAGAAAGAGGGTGGTTTCCAGAATTATAGCTATCCATAACACTTTTGGTGCCACAAAGAAAACGTGATAATATAAATGCTTCACAACGCAGACCGCTAAATTCAGCCCTCAAAGATATTCATCTTCGTCCATCGAGACCTGGTCATCAAGCCAGGGAGCAGGTGTCTGACTGACTGGAGCTTCATTGCGCGGCGTCCACACTGACTCTACTGTCGTAGAAGTTGGGTGCGGCGCTACCGTCTGGCCGGGGGAAGTCAACCACGGAAAAGAAACTGGCGTCCCGTTCACACGGATTTCACCAACGATGTTGCTCAGCTGTGGCGGCTCCTCCACATAGCCATCCCATAGACCCATTAATTGTGCAAGGAGTTTGCAAAACGCTAGTGATATAGTGATGGTCGGTGTCAAGAGACTTTGCAGGTGAGACCACCGCCAGAGCATGGTTACCGTCACAAATGGGAAATCGGGCGCGTCTGGCCGAAGACAGTAGCCTTCGCATGTTTCGGCGATCAGTGGATGCGAATACCGATCCCACATCATAAGTTCAATGATGTACCACGAAAGGATGGAAATGATTGCCCAGCCCAGCTTGGTGAGTCGCCGACGCTCAGGATTGTGAAAACTCTTCCATAGCCGGGGTATCGGGAGTGATGCATATATTCGGCCATCCTCATGCGCGTATCGGTCAGGAACTTCAGTGAGATGCAAGGATGGTGGAAGCGACTCCGCTTTTTGAGAAGAATTCGAACGAGGCACCATGGCTGCATCCCGAGTGACGTGCTCTTCGAGACTATTCAATCCTTTCTTCACCTCATTGATGTTCTTTGCCAACGAATGCAGTTTGTCGTTCAAGCGCTCGATATCCACAGAGCCCTGACCGTTCTTATTCGCGACTTCAAGTCTCTTCAGAACTTCCTGTTCATAAGCAACTTCCTCGGCCTCTTCGCTTTTGAGCTCGGATTGATCTTCCATAATTGCTTGCAATGATTCCATGGTATCGTCTCCGAGGTCAAGGCCCTCTTTTCCAGAGTTCATTTCCTCGATGACTGTTTGAAGTCCACTTTTAGGCAGATTTGGGCGACTGACCAAGGCCTTGTCACCCCTTGATTTCTGCGATGTAGTATTGGACTCCAGCCGTGTTGAAACTGGTTGTTTGGGTGCTTCTGTTATGGGTTTGAGATCCTCCTTTTTCAATTGGGATTCTAGCGATGAATGTTGCTGCGTCGAATATTGTTCGGTTTCTCTTTGTTCAAGAGATGGGGATTGGGTAGTTTGTGTGGGCGCACTGAGGTCAGATGGTCGCACGATATCTTTCGTCAACTCGTGAGGTATTTCGGCCACCTTTTCGGCCACCGGTGTGTCAATCCAAGCACCTGTCACTCTGGGCGTCTTATCGTAAATTCGTCTTTCGAAAAGTTTAGGTGGCTCCGGTGTCTGTATCTGTTCCACCTTCGGGCTTTCTGTGCGTGCGAGCTTCCGGAGCAATGATTGTGAGTCTCTGCCACCCCGCGCCCCAGCATTTGACCCACCGAAGCTTGAGTTCTTGTAGACAACAATAGGCGTATTTGGCACATGTACACCTGCATCTTGTGACGCGTCTTGATAGTTATCGACTTGACTTTTCTCTCCCTCCTGAATCTCGTCTTGAGACAGGAGACTTGCCGTGCGCTTGCCGAGGGTGCTGCGGCTCGGAAAACTGGGTTTCGAAGCATTCTGCGAAATGAGTTGAGGGGGAGCGACATCGTCCTCAATATTGAAGCTTGTCCGTGAAATTGGCTCAGGGCGTCCTTCTGCCTCCTTGATCCATTGAGGGTCCGAGGTCGTGCTTGCGCTCACATTCCGTAACCACTCCGAGCGATGGCCAGCTCGACTTCCCCAGGTGCGTGGTAGGTTCAGCGACGGGCCGCCCTCACTCTCATTCTCAAAAGTTTCCAATTGTTCTTCATCTTCCCTGCGTTGAAGGTTGTCAGCCGTCAGAGCATTGCGGGCTCCAACCTTAGCTTTACTGAAGACCGGCATGTCCTGACCCGTCACTCGTCGTAGTCGTTGCTCATCTCTAGCAAAGTCAGAGGTCCTCCTACGAGGTGAATTCTCATTTCCAAAGCTTGCTTCTGAGAAGGCAGGACCATCCACATCATGTCCCCTCACTCGAGGAGACATTCGGCCCAGTCGGTCGATCGGGTGCGTGTCAAGATGAGTCTCCCAGTCGTCCAGCGGTGCGTAATCGGTCGCTGATCTATTATAGTCCGTCCTTTTATAGATATCGAGCGACTCATCAGGGAAGTTGAAATGATCAGACGGAGGGGAGCGCGCAGTTTTGTACTCGTGGTGACGCCGCGGACTGCTCATCAGTCCGAGTCCGGCACCATCGTCGGACATGCTGGCGCGTGAAGTAGCGCGGTAGGCCCCAGCCAGGGTTCCTGTGCGGAAAGCTGGTTTTATACGCGTTGCGTTGCGCTTTGACGGAGTAGGAAAGTTCGAATCGTCGAGGTCGAATTCATAACTGACTTCTCGAGCACGCCCAAGCGGCGACTGGGGTGGATTATGGCGCGCAAGAACATCGCGATCACGGCTGTGGGGAGAGGCCATCATAGCAGCGCGTTGATTGTGCAATACCCTCTCCCACTATCATGCGGAATAAAAAGAGCTGTATAGTTGGTATGTCGTCAGGAAAAGACCGCGCCCCTTTTGTTGCAAGATGGTTGGCATGTGTTGACTTTCTGTATGTAAGGTACGTACTGCGCAAAAACAAAGCTCCCGCATTCCCCGAAGGGGTTAGAGCGGCGGTGGACAAGCTTCACATGCTTGCATCAACTGATCGAGGGCAACATTCCTTCCCAATCTGTTGCGTTGTTTTTGCAGTTACTCACACATGTGTGTCCAAACTAATGTTTACTCACCTTTTGTGCTTCGGGGTCGTTAGGTGCCTGAACTCGCGAGTGATGCGATCAATACCTGCTTATTTTCAGCTGACTCGAGACGAGGCCATGTGACCCACTCGTTCGTCTCGATCGTCGTGGCTGGAATTTCCGAAACTTTTGATGGTTTATCCGTGAATCTTCTGGCGCAGTTACTGATTCACCTCCATTCATGAGCTGGTGGCTTGAAAGCTTAAAAATCTGCTGAAGTTCAGAACTTGGAAAGTTCTACCAACAACGCGTTCGTCGCAAGATCTCGGCGGTATTTACAAATCATGGCGAAGTCCTCTCGCCGAAAGACACCTCGGTCGACCGCAGCTTCATCAGGCTCATCAACCCCAAGTTCCACCTCGTCTGGCCCAGTCGCACCTTTCACCAAGGCACCAGCCATACTCAATCCTTTCCTCGAACACCTGTCGTCCGATCAAGTATATCTCGTTCACATCGACACAACGGGTACAGATCTGAAATGGCAAACATTCATCGTGCCCACGGTCGTCAATGTGATCGTTGCAGCGGTGATTGCTCTCCGTCTGTACTGGGGCGTTAGCACATATCCAGCATTGGTAGCTATTGCGTTTGGAATGAAAAGCTCGCTCAGCGTCGATGTATCATCCACCCCATGGACGGAGTTGGCACTGATCACCATGCGTCGTGTGGTCACCGTCCTCATCGATTACGTCCTCTTGACCAATTTCCTGTCTTGGCCTATCGGCTTCCTTCTCGGGCCCGTCAGATGGCGTCGCGCCATCGGATTCCGGGACCGAGAGGTGATTGTTCGTCGCAGCAATCGCAGCTGGAGTGAGACTCTTGTGCGCAATACGTGGATCCGTGACAATGATGCGATTCGCGACAAAATTGTAGCTGCCGTGACGCCTGAGCGAACTGGAAAGACAGGATACTTGCTGGTGGATGAAGACTGGGACCTGGAGTATCTGGCCATGATACGCGCGCATCAACTCGTTGACCTGACCCGTAAAGGCGAAGGGGTGCAACTGGATGAGTTTCGGACGGCAGTTCTGGTGCACACGGATGCGGATGGTTGGTTGATTTGGCGTGTCGCTGGGGAAGGAACTCCTGCGAAGGGCGCCGAGTCCTCTCAGCGAGATCAGATTCTAGCATTCAAGGAGCGATTGACCGCTATGGGCAAGGAAGACTTGTTCTTTCGCTGGGTGGAGCTGGTGCAGTGGGAAAGCTCTCAGCCCGGTGGATTCACGCCGGAGCGTCAGCGTTCAGCTATGGTGCAGGCTAAGCAAATGTTTGACAAAGAGAACGTTGACTTCACTGAGTTCTGGGACGATGAGCTAGCAGGGCTCACTAACGCCCAGGAAGTAGCAAAGTGAAATTGGCCCTTCTTTCGGTATACTTTCTTTTTGCACCCTTGTCTTGTCGTCAGACCTATTTCTACAACTTTCAATATGAGCCATATGGCGTATCTGAGAGTGAAAGAGAGCGAACATCAACGTCTCCAGCTCTGCTCCTTCAAAAGTTGACATCCAGTGGCTTTGACCGGTGATTCAATATCATCGCATAAATTACATGGAGATTATCTATAGAGCTATCGTGATGCATGGTCGCTAGCATAGAATCAGTCGTATGATCGATAAGATCATGTCCCATCCTCAAATCTATAATCAAGGGACCAAAGCTTTTCCCATGGTCGGCGACCACCATTCGAACGTCGAGAAGAGGTTGTTTGGGAAGAAGACGACTCCTGGGATGTGGTGGGAAGATGTTGACTGGTGAGCACATCAAGGTGAGTACGATTTTGATTCTATGGCACAGATTAGCTTCATTCGTTAGAGCAGGCCCGGGAAAAGACAGAGATGTGTCTCACTTTTCACGGGCCAAAGAGTAGATCGCGGCGCACCTCGTCGGATGCCCTTGCTGAATCACGAGGCTGGACGCTAGGCTCTGCTTCCGCGGAGCGCACGAGATTAGAACTCGAGTCATTCGCTGCCTGAGATGGTGTAGCAGAGCCTCGCTTAGAATTCGAACTATTGCGACGACTCTCGAGGCTCTTGGACAGGGTTTGCGCAACCGTGCTTTCTTCAGTAGTCCTCTTGAGACGGATGCTGCCCTTGGCATCGACGTTGGCGGCTGCAACAGTGCTTTTGGCGATGCCTGGTGTCGCTGGCGCGCCTGGCTTCTCTTCCATGGCATCGAGCAGATACCAACGAAGGCCGTCAGATAATTCAAATGGATTCTCGTCAGCTGAGGCACCGTCGCTTGCGTCGCCGAGTGACCGCCGATCGGGAGTCACGCTGCTAAGTGACTTGGATAGATCGACTACCCGTTCCTCTATCTTGCTGATGCGAGCGAGTAGCCAGTCTCGCGTCTGTAACTTGTGAGAGTCCTGTTCGCGAAGGAAGTAGTGTGGCGCCCCGACATTGAAAGCAGCCCATGAACGGATAGCCTGGTTACGGGTGGGTAGGAAAAGAGCGAGATCGCCCTCTTTAAATGATCTGTATGCGATTTTGTCGTGCGCTTCGCTTTGCACTCGATGGTACTTCTCACGATAGCCCTTGGCTTCTTTCTGCCATTTGCGTGCCAACGTCTCAATGTCTTTGACTCGTTTGACAACTACATCCCCAAAGACGGCGACGTCGAATTGCTTCAGACTATTCATGAACGCAGTGAAACGAGCGTGCTCGTCTTCAATGTTGTCTGCGTGCATCCAATGTAGCAAACTTGAGTCTGGCCTCGCCGTAACGATACCTGACTGAGCAATGCTTTCACTAAGAGTCGAGGACGTACTGAGCTTTGATGCACGCTGAACCACCAAGCGACCGTCCTGTTGAATGATTGCAAAGCCAAGCTGCTCAAGCATGCGCTCCAATTTCTCAACCTGTGAGTAGATCTCTTTGGATATTTCATGGGATTGAGTGCCCCGAGCATCCAGCCGTGATGTGACATTTTGATTCGTCTGCAGTGCTCCATCGAGTCTAGCTTCCCAGTCCTTTTCTTTCGACTCGAACTCTTGAGCATAAGATTCAGCGTCGACTAGTTTGCGCGTCAAGTCCGCGCAGAGACGTTCACCCTCGGCAATTTGCTCACGCAAGGCATCAGATCCATTCTCGCCGGCGGAAACCTGGGACTGCAACATGTTGAACCTGGAGCGCTCCTGGTCCAGTTCAGATTTGAAAAAGTCGAGATTCGATGCCTGTTCCTTTATTTGGTGCGTCAACCTGTTGAGTTCGGCCTCTCGGTCTTCGGCAACCTTGAGTCTCCCTTCAAGTTCGTAGGTAAGTTGTGAGATCTTTTCCTCAAATTCCTTATTCTCCTCCGTCAATTTCGACGCGTTGCCCTCGGCATTTCTAGCATGAATTGACAACCCCTCGGCTAGAACCTCGATAGCTTTGATCATGTCAGGCAATTCAGTCGGTGCCTTTCCTCCCGGTGACAGGATCCAGAATGCCGCTTGGAGGGCACTCCAGTATTCCCTTTCTTTCTCACTCAACTCGGCGCGCTGAGCCTCAAACCGGTCAAAATCGGCATGAAGTTCGGCTTCCTTCCGCTCTAAAGAGATAACTTGCTTGCTGAGGTCTTCGGCTCTACGGTCAACCTCGGCGTTCTGGGTACGAGCTGCCCGCAGCTCGGTCTCCAGTTGCTGGACTCGTTCTTCCATCTCTTGTCTTTCTTGGTCTCGGCTATCAACGAGCCGGTCAAGCTCCTCTTCCACCTCTTCAGCACGAAGTCTGTATTTCTTCAATTCTGCGTCGAGGTACCTTCGCTCGTCTTCAAATTCGCGTTGCCGCGCTTCAAGGTTTCCAATGAGATCTTGCTTCGTGGATTGAGCTTCTTGGTACTTATCAGAACTTGACTGTCTCTCAGCATGAGCCTCTTTGTGGAGCCTTTGGACCGTTTCTCTCTCTGAGCTGAGCTCAGCTTCTAAAGTGACAATGCGCTGAACCAGTGCTCTATCTTCGGGAGACTGGGTCATAGAGACTCGCCTCGATGAGACGGAAGAACGACGGGAAAGAGCGTCAGGGTGAGGAGATGCAGGTGAAACGGGAAAGTCGTTGCCAAAGTTTCCGCTGGAGGGCCGACTCAAGTGGCTTTGGCGATGAAGAAGGTCTTCCAATTTTCGAATACGACTGTCGGATCCTCTCAGTCTTTCTTCCAGCTTGGTTTTCTCGTCTTGTAGACTGCGAACCATCTCATCGCCTCGCAAGAGCATTGAGCTTCGGCCAAGGTCAAAGACACTACCGTTCTTGAAGGCCTTCGTCCGCCGCCTTTGCTGGCGCGTTGGCACGTCCAAGTCCTTCAACTGGTTGACCAGCTCGTCAGCAATCTCTGCAAGGGAGTGCTTGTTCCTCAAATCCTCGATATACGTCTCGACTTCCGCTCGAGTAACTTCTGGCCACTCAGAATCCTGCCTTTGAAGGCTGATTTCCATTGCTGGCGTTGTGGTGTCGTCCAAGGAAATGAAGTCACCCATGCTCTTCACCCACTTTTTCCGACGCCGATGTTCCTCGTCCCTTAGAACGCTCATCTCTTCTGCCAGGCTTTCTGAGTCGGCTCGTACCTTCTCATTCCACTCGCGCCTCCGGATAGCTTCAATGAGTACAGATCCATAAACGACCGGCATCTGAAACACAGCGTAGAGAGTGTCAAAGGACTTAGTGTCGAAGCCCAGATCAGCAAGTTGAGCATGAGCATCTGCCAGACGAGACTCGATGGATGAGATTGTCCGCATCTGGCGCAGAGCAACTTTCTCAGCGTCGCTTCGCTGGCGAAGTGCCAGCTCCAGGCCACGATGGATATCGCTGCTGAGTTCTAGTAAGGATGGCAATAAATTCTGAGTGTGATTGAAAGCAAGTCTGGAAACATTTGCCAGCGTCTTGGGATTGTTTTGCAAGCCAAGTACGTGTTCATAGTCGGACTCAATCTTCTTTGCGAGAGTCTCTACCTCTTCCAAAAGCCCATCATCCCTATCTGCTGAGTTGGCGAATGTCTGATCCACCAAGTCCTGCGTATCTGAAGCAATGTTACCAACAGCCTCTTCGAGCGCTCGAACCTGAGCAGCAAGCCGCGGACACAGGTTTGACGCATCTGCACCTGCGCGATAGACCTCATTGACGTCCACAAAGTCTCGTAGTGTTCCAGTTGACTTGCTTGCATTTTTCTTGGGCGTGGACGGTCGCCCAAGCATTGGAAGGTCTTTGCGTGCCACAATATTCTCGAGTGACCTGAGAGCACGCTGCCAATCATCCAACGCAGCCTGTTGCTCCTCCAGAAGATTGTTCGCCCATGTCTGTGCTTCCTGAAATCGATGCTCAAGGCTTCCCACGTGCGACTTGAGGTTCTCGAGCGCAACGCCTACAGCACGAGTGATGACATCGGTCCGTTCGCGATGCTCCTTGATCCTTCCGTCCGTGGATTCACATTGAGATGCCAGGCCTTGGGCCCAGTCCCGCCTTGTCTGAAACAGAGTCCGCCATGACTGCAAGTCATTCTGATCCGCCAACGAAGCGGGTGGACTTTGTGGTTTAAAGGTATCCGGAGATGGAAGATCAGGGAGCTCGAAATCGGCTGGTTCGCTGACGTACTGGCGATCGTAGACGAAGATCTCGGACTAAATTACGCAGAACTAAGGTGAGCGTTTGCTACACAAGCGGTGCGAATAACCGTTAACGCTTCCGTACCTCTGTGGCTAATGTTTGAGTCTTGACATTCCTGCCTCGCGCAGTCATTAGTATTTGCCGCGAGGATGGGATAGAGGTATGTCGAACGATCCACGTTCGAAGGGACTCCGGTCTATTCACAGCAGGGTAGATTTAGCTTCTGTATATATCGCATGCTAAGCCTGGAAGCTGACAACGCTTCCCCTCATCCATTGGGGTTTGCGACATACGAGGCAAACACCACTGGGTCCGCCAGCAAGTGCTCTCCGGAATGAGCGATATAAATATGCAGCGCCATTATCTCCCCTCCACACTCGTAGGTATGATAGCTCCGTGGGCTAGCGAAGTGGGAGGGGGTGGTTGATTTAAATGATCAAAGTCCACGGGAAGTTGAACTTGGTCGGGGGGAAGGCTGACAGGAGCTGTTCAGTTGATCGGGTGTCCACCGTCCACCGCCCTTGGATCATATCACAAGGCCCCAAACAAGCCCACCCGCCCACGAGATCTCCTCATGGCGTCTCAGCAGGGCTTGACCAGACTTCATTTGCTTCCGAATGAGCAAATTTTGCTGAGCTATGCGGCAGATGATGTGCAGGATATTGTGACCCTGTCCGAGACAGAGGAGTTGGTCTTGCAGTTGGCTAGGCGAGTCCAGGAACAACAGTTGGAGAAAGCTTTACTGGAGCAAGGTGAGGAGGCCCTCCCTATGCGGGGAGGCTACTGTTTCCCCGAAGGCTTGATGATTGCCAATTGATTCAACCACAACGATCTTCCTTGCTTCAATATACGACCCTGAAATCCCATTACCTTCCCTTCCAAATGATCTCCATCAACCGGACTGACCCTATTCTTCTTAGAGTTCGAAACGCTGTCTGGTGACGATGTTGAAGAGCAGCTTGCGACCGCGGAACGCGAGTTCCTGGAGGCGCGCGCTTCATTTACAGTCAGAAGCAAAGCTACCCGGACAGTCTTAATGACTGATCCTATACTCAAGGCTGTCCATTCAAAGGCAAATATTCCCCCTGAACGGTGAGTATTGGCTTAGTCTCCAAACCAAACAGCTGGCGGCCTTGGTGCTTATTCTGGACGCACCGCAGTGCCCTTTTCCGTTTGGTCAATCGACGTGACGTGCTTGCACTCGCTCAAGAGAACTTGTCGGGAATTCATGATCAAATTCTCAGGCAAATGGACGATCTGAAAATCGCCAATCTGACGATTAACCGAGAAAATCAAGAGCTGGTGCGAGAGCTCCTGGAGCTCACTAAACAAGATTCGTCTTGGCGAGAGCAGCTTGGGGACCCTGAGCTCGAATTGGAACTAACCCGATTTGAGGCTGAGTATCGAAGAAGCAAGGCGAAGTGGGACGCCATGAAGAACATAGCTAGTGCGATTGTAGTCGGCAGTGGCCTTGATTGGGCAAGTGACGATGCGCTTCGTGCACTAGTGCTAGACGAAAGTGATGATTGAATCGAACATTTCGACACAGAGTTATGTTCTTCTGCTTTGAGAATGACCGGGCCTGACCTTCTTAGATAGAAAGCTCACGAGAAGTTTCTGACCCGCAAGCCCAAGACTACCCCGTCGTGTTGTTTCTGTTTGGATTCCTGACATATCTATTGTAGTAGGGAATCCGGTTGCATGTACATAGAGCAGGTAGTCTGCTGAGGTGCGTGTGCCTGATGGTGGCCTTACGGTCGGGAGAGGCTGTTTGGACATGACGAGAGGGAGTCAATCAACTTGACCACCCAAGGAGGACAACCCAAGGTCAACAAGCAACCAGAGGATTGAACGGCTTCAAGGGAGTTCAGTACAGTCTTTACAGTCAGGCTCTCTTTACATTGCAATAACACACTCCTTTTAATCTTCATCTGTGCCTCTTCACATCCTACGGATAGGTGTTGTACGGTCGGGCTGGGAGATCTCTGGACGTGCGTGCTGGTGGTTGTGGTTTGGTTCCTCTATGACTCGACCTGTCTGGTGAGATCAGACTGCCTTGAGCATTCCCCTCTATACTATGTAGCAGCACTGGTGAGATCACCTACCCAACAACTCCAGTGCTCAGCAAGGGAAACTTCGCGATCACCCTCAGGTAATTTGCTATGCATTGTGACAACCGTACATAATAATAATAGCTTGACTGTCTTCCCGTCTCCATCTACGTGACATCAAATCCCCAGTTTTGCATTCATCACGTGTCGGCCTCTCCAGGTCAGGTTGGGTAGTACCTTACAAGGTTGTAACTCGTTCTGCTTCCATGAAATTGAGCCACAGGTACTCTCCATGTCTGGTTTGACTTACAAATCATGTTTACAGTCCTGGATTGTTATGGCAAGCGGTACACGATACCCTACAGCCTAAACGCTACACTCTACAGTATGTGCTGAATAGCTTGAGAATCTCAGACGTGGGGCCTTTTGTTATAGTTTCGTTGATGTACGGCGAAACAATGGAAGTCGTGAGTGGCAAATATACTCCATCAGTGTAGATTACGTGGGTGTTGTGAAAGTCGACATCATAACCCACTTGAGGTGACCTCGGCAAACGAGCCCAAAAATGAGATTTTCTAGGGACTGCGGGCAGGTGTCAGTCAGCTCATATCATAAACCGATCGAAATCTGAGATGAGATTGATGTTTTTGTCGGTAATCTTTCTGTAGATACCGGCACTTTGTCGATATATAAGTGGAAAGTAGCCTCGGTGCGAGAATAATGTGATGCCGTCTGGGTCGAGGAGCCCAGGATAGCCCGTGCAGCAACGTTAGTATATATAATTTAGAAGTCACTCGTTGAACATGAGTGATATGTGGTGGTAGGCTCGACATGGAGGTCTATGACTAGCACGCTTCTTATCAGTAGTATCTAGTACTATCTACTATCTACAAGATCTGTGGCGCTTGGCCCCAAACTTGCACTTGGGCCTTCGGAGAGAGGTCATTTGGCCTCGTGATAGCCGATAGTATTCATGGTCACGTTTAGTACGCTTATGACGATGAAAACTCCCCCTATTTGAGTCTTATATTTACAAAAATCTCTTGACCAAACGTGGATAACTATGGCACTCTTATGCTATGAATTAACGTTATATGTTGTATGGGAAGAATTAAGCGGTGTTGATAAGAAGGTACTGTCATAGAAGTTTATATCATTGGAATTGGTCTCAACCTGAATGCCCATGGATGGATGAATCATGAATGCGGAAGGCCCGAATGAATTAATGATTACAGTACAATACATATGTACACTGGTACAGACTACAGTATTATTTTACAAGAGTATTGCAGAACGAAGCCATATGGGACACCATAAATATTTCTGGTGGCCACCGACGCCGATGTTTCTTTGATTTTGAGATATGTGCAGAAGTTTACCTCAGTAGGTGTATACATTAAACAGTATCTACTAGGTGTCTACTAATCTAGTCATTCACTAGGTGAGGATTATTAATGTTATTACATCATTTGCGCGGCGGGGACGGAGGTCGGCCCCCAGCTGAATCACCAGTCCTCGACTGGTGAAGAGACTCGCCTAAGCGCTTACTTACTGCTAGGGAGCAGCAGGTACGCCGGCTGATTTAAGATACATTATCTCGACAGGTATTCACCAAGATTGAGTAGCAATACTGTTTGAGTGTAAATCTGTATATATGTACTTTATACTTATTGGCGTCCCTAATAAATCTGAGCTCTGGAAGATACTAGCCTAGTGAACTAAGTACAAGGCCAAAGGGTGTAGATCAGTTCGACGCATGACACGTAGAAAACGAAGTCGCCAGGGCGGCGTGTCCGAGTCCAAGAGGCCTCAGAAGCATTCTAATGCGTTCCATGCCCCGTGGAATTGCGTTTCGATTACAGTATACTGAAAGTGGAAACCAAGCAAGTGTGTGATGTGTATTGGACTTGTATTTCAATCGCTTCATACATATGTATGTTTCTTTGTAAATCTGTACAGTGTAACTGTACTGTAGTTCGCTTATTTTTAGACACAGTCTGCTACCCCAACGCTTAGAAGGGTCCGGAGATTGCTAGCGAGCGTCGAGAGGAGTATTGGCCGAGCCCCAAGTGCCGAATATTCGTTGCAATTACATTGATACAGTACAATCACATGTGTAATATCATTACAGACTCCCCAGAACCTTGTCTCCAATCAGATGGCCGCCGAGACTTGGTAGGTTACAGTACCACACGACGCGTCGCGGCGCTTCAGTACTCACTCGAGTACATTGGTACGTAGTTTAGTACATAAGTACAATACTTGCATACATACGGCATGTGTGCTGAATCTGCTGAATCTGCCAAAGATGTCAGACTAACGTAAGTGCCCGCTTCAATAGGTTGAATATGCACCCCCTTTAGATGGCGACGGATAAACCTACAATAGGCCCACTCTAGCGCTCACTAGGCTCTCCAACCTTCAGCTTGCGAGGCAGCATAACCTTTAAATGTAGGAAGCCAACTACGTAGATATTACATAGAAGCTTCCGGCACTTCATTTATCTACGATGCGACATTTGACTGAGAGACTTCTAACACATATTTAGCATGCCCTTCCACGCTAGTAATAGACAATAATTTATGCGGGCCATCTACCTTTAGCTCCTTGCCTAGGTAGGTAGGCACTTGCGCTCATACAATATGTCCTATCGCGTGCCGACCAAGCATTTCAAGACCTTGTGTGGACGATGGACTTTCAAGTCATGTGGAGATGACTAGGCAAACTTCGGAGTAGACGTGGGACGCTAGACACGGTCCAATGCACCCGTCTGCTCTCTACCTTACGTTCATCAGCTACGGCTTACCCGTGACTGTAATACTACCTATAGTAATAAGTATACTACTAGTACTTTATTGTACTTACTTTCGAATTTAGATATGATGATAGTAGTGATAATGATATACTCCTTGTAGATTTTATATCGAGATTCACCACGGATACTTTCTAAAGCAGGGAATGGAGAGTCTGTCAGCTGCTTAAAGGCTGTTGATCTGCCAGGGGCAGCATGCTAAGCGAATATACTAGTAGTGAGATGCCGCCGTCGGTACAGATGTCTATCATCCCAGCGCTGCACCTCATTTACAGTTCGGTACTAGAGGTAAGCCCTTACAGTAACTACATCAAGCAAAAACAGCCCGCGAACAGCTCGAGCGCCGGGTCATGCCCCAGGCTGACGCACGACCAGAAGCACTGGACCGAACGGAGTAATGGAAACGGCATTCAATCATTAATGATAGCAGGACTCGACCCATCAGAGTCCATACTCAACAATATTTGGGGTGGCACACGAGTGGATCAGTAAGACCCTCATCTGCAGAGCCTTCACCTCGTTCTCTAGTCTCTCAGGTACTCTCGGTCTCTAGTCTCTACTGGAGTAGGAGCGAGCTTTAATTAAAACAGTATGGTTTGACATCGCGCTGCCCAGCAACCCGTCCCACCTGAACATTTACTGCATAATAATTGGTAACATGCGGCTGTGGGCGCTGATTGAATTTTCTTATGGCCTGCCAGACTCCGATCTCCCTGACAAAGGTAGTTTTCGTCCCAGATTGCCCGTCCTCGGTCCATCTGTGATCTTGTACCACTGTTTGGTCTGTGGCCCCTCGCTGTATTCAGGTATTGTCGAGCTGCCGCAAGCCCGCGGCACATTGATGTTACAATACAGGCTGAGTACATTACTACTTTACACGATTCATTCTTTCCACCATAGTACGAGCCTACGAGGGCAACAAATCTTCGCATACCGGAGGCTTATGGAAATGTATGGACAATTGGACATATCTATGACCTATGTACAAAATCCAATGAAGAGCAAGTCTCGAGACGGAAGTTATGCCTGTGCTCTACTAAATCAACATGTAAGTATGTACCTAGGCTGAAGACCACATCCTCCATCTTGGTGTCCCTCTCAGCTTGCCTTCCTAGAATTTGACAGTAGAACTATCCTTTCGACCTGAGTATCAACAAGTCACCATGGTAGGGATTTCATCCATACTTATCGTGAAATAAAGCGTAGTGATGGATGTCTGTCGAATTTGATGCATTTCCCAACTTGAATCGTAATCCTCAGCGAACAGCTTTTGGCTGATAGGCTTTTCATCGCCAGGTCTTTTCTTTGGTCTTGACTGCATCGACACGTCCATGTAGAAATGGGGGAATGCTGTATTGCAGGTGGACTTGTCGAAGTCAAAGCCTAAGCCAAGAGCCAACCTTAGGAAGAATCTGGCGCTGTACTCACTACTGACTCGGTAATGTAGAAATGAAGAGTGTAGGCCTGATCTCTCGGGCAGTACACTACTATACTTGACTTACGGCAGCAAAACTGAGGCGGGAGGAATCGCGATTTCTAGAAGTAGAAACATGTTTGTGTGTACTAAGTATTAGGTTCTCAAGTAGTTAGTACTCAAAAATTTCTCGAGTTGTCACCTCGCCAATAGTAACCTTAACGCGCCCACAATGGCGGGCTGCAACCATTCATTTTGAGGTTGTGCCGAAAGCCCCTTCATGCTGACCAACGCAGTGTCGAACACCCAACTTGTTGGTACCTGACTCGCATTTGAAGGTGTTAACTTTGTACTTCAGAGCCGAGATGAGTCTTCGTCCTGTACATACGTACTACAGTACACTGAGTAGTTGTAGGAGTGACTGCAGTCTACGCCTCTTTGGATGTGACTTCTCTACTACCAGGTCCACACGTATTCCACTCTACTAATAGTACTGTACTAGATTGGCTTCCCAAAGTTCGAAGACACAGACCGAGGTCGATTCAAGAAGGAGGAAAATATACACCCGAGTCGTTCAAGATCAGACCAGTAGACGAAACTCTCAAGGCTGACAAGTATGACAGGTCAACACTAGTAGATCACGCTATACTTGGCGAGTCCATCTCAAGTATGTACAAGAGAGGTAAAAAAAGATTGAAACACAAAAGTAGTCAGGACTCAAGAGAAAAGAATCCACACGGTCCCAATTTATCCGTGGGAGGAATTTGGTGGTCCTTCACACTTCAGAGTACTAGAATAAAATAATGAAGGCATGTTAGGTAGAGTAGTAGACCAGTACGAGGTCTCTTACTCACCATTAAGAGTCAAGACCAAATAGTCAGCGGTAATGTATCCCAGCGACCGCTGCGTCCAGAGAGTCAACTTGGTCAAGACTCAAGAGTCCAGACTTCCGATACAATACATGAGGGGAAGTGTCGCCGTGCGTAATCAGCAGGCTGGTATTGATGTACTAGTATCCGGGCGGTACGTTACATTTTCCAGCAAAACAGCGGGTTGCCCTTGCTGTGCTGCCGTTCCCACAATAGTCTCTGTGACGGGACCACAGAGAGAGAGAGGAGGTCCGCCTTTCCCTACTACTACTGCCCTCCCCCCCTCTCTCACTCTCTCTCCCATTTCTCCTACACTACCAACCGCTCCCTACACTGTCTGCCCATACAATCTCAGGTACTGCATATCCTCCCAACCCCAAAGCAACTATATCCCGACGATACTGGCCCCGAACCTCAACACCACCACCACCACAATTCTCACCTCCTTTTTTTTCCCACTCTCGTCGGCCTAGATCTCGCTTGTCTACGCGTCGTCCATGCCCATTTTCCCACTGGCGCAACCGAGACCTCGTTCACGGTCGCGCAATGCAATCCATCACTAGCAATGCGCGAATCAACTGCTAACATGCGATGTTCGATATCAGATTTGCGCTGATCTCCTTTGTCTCAAAATCTCTCATCTTTTTCTCTGAATCAAGTAAGTACTCTGGTTTTTTTTTACCTCCTTCCTGTCCGTCCAAAGTGACTTGGGAGACTCGGGTTCACGAACGCGCTCGAGCAACCTCGCGTCGCGACATCCTATCATAAATAAATAATCACAACACCACACCCACGCTAAGAGTGCCATACTCGTGCTTGGTCGCGTCGCATCACTCACTTCACCTCGTTTGACTATCATTTCGCCTCGCGCTCCCCCAATTGCCTCTCGGCCTTTGTTCCCCTCCAGACACTAATATCAATCGCACAGTTCATCATGCCTAAGGCCACCGCCACCCGCAAGTCCGGCAAGGAGCGCGTCCAGCGCCGCAAGAAGGGTGAGTTTAACCGATCTAGCGGCGATGCTTGGAGCCTGTCTGACTCAGTATCTCAAATAGACCCCAACGCCCCTAAGCGTGGCCTGTCCGCCTACATGTTCTTCGCCAACGACAACCGTGACAAGGTTCGCGAGGAGAACCCCGGTATCACCTTCGGTAAGCATCAACCAGCGCCTTCCTGGATGGCTGTTTGCCCTAATTTTTGCTGACTCCTGCGACAGGCCAGGTTGGCAAGATGCTCGGTGACAAGTGGAAGGCCCTGTCCGAAACTGAGCGCAAGCCCTACGATGCCAAGGCTGCCGCTGACAAGAAGCGCTACGAGGAGGAGAAGGCCAAGTACAATGCCGTAAGTCGTCACACCTTGCACTGTCAATTTCAAAGTATTGCTCGCACCTGGATTGTGCCATACTGACTTTTTTCACAGGCTGCCGAAGAGGACGATGAGTCTTCCTAAGTGCCACGCTGCCCACAATGAATCGCGCAGCTAGTGGCGTTTGTATTTCTTCTCGCTAAATCTCTGGATGTTTTCCCCTTCATTCTATTTTCTCTATCTTTTTTTGCGTTTCATCACTCATGGGTCTTATGGAATGGTCTCTACGGTGGTTCTTACTTGCTTTTGGTGATTTGCCCCAGCCGGTGAGCTGGGTGGTTTTGGTAGAGGCATGGCTTTGTCGTTCAGCTCACGGTCCCCCATGCATTCTTCTTCTGAAAGACTTGGAACTTCCAATATAGCTCCTTGCTATATGAAGGCCAGGCATTCATCGTGACGGTAACCTCCAAACCGCCTGAACTGGGGAAGCCATGCGGGCGACGCCAGCATGGCTCCTGGTCTGACATACCTCAGCTTGATCAATGCCACAGTCTCATTGAAAGAACATGGTCTCTTCCATTGTCTCAATTAACTTCGTAACAGTGCCAAGACAGCGCTGCTGACCGTTGTCAGCTTCGGCTTTAGTATCTTCATTCATTTCAACTCTACCGAGTCTGCTTTGGTGTGCGTTTCGGATGATCGACTCGCGTCACGCGTCAGGACGGGAAACCGCGGTTCCGGAGGTGGCCCAAGCTCCGGGCTCCGGAGCTGGCCCCATCCCTTGATTTCGTTGGCTTTGAACGCGTCTGGGGGATCTCCGTTGATCGCCTGAGGCTGCCATATTAACATTCCTGGGGCCTGGATCTTAAGGCAACAATGACCTGGCAAACTGTACTATCTGAAATGACTATACTCGGTCCCTTCGCTTTTCCATCGATGAGCACGATCATCTCCCAAGTCCTTTTGTTGTATTTTTTTTTTTTTACAAGGACCGGCAAATTTGATTAAAAACTCGCTGCGCACACTTCTTTGAGGTGACAATGCCCATCGGAGGGTCGAGCGCTTGAGCTTTGTCCTCGCCTTCGAGATGTAACAGAGCCATAGACAACGCACTTAATATCCGCTCTTAAAAGCCTTCATCCCGGACTCCGACCCACATCTGATAGGACTCTAACAGATCCACTGGGATCCAAGGTACCAGGGCCCAGCAGTAGTGTCATCAGTCACCGACTGTACGCTACTCAAGAGATTCCGCTGGTATGAGTCGTGGTAGGAGCAGTACAATGATGCTGCATTAAGCCTTTGTCGAGCCCTGGGCAACACTGGTGGCAAAACTAAAGAGGCTCTTCTAATACGGTACCTCATGAGTGGCTGAGCCCTATAGGTAGAGAGAGGGTCTTGCAAGTTACGTTTCTTAGACTGGCCGGCCTAAACCACTAGGTGATTTGATGCTGGCAGTAGCTACCTAACAAGCTATAGTGGTACCCTGTAAATCATCACCATCCAACAGGAGCAGCGCAGCCTCCGCCCACCCAACAAAGGCTTGGTGACGAATTAGGAGCCCGAAGGCAGCAGTCAATTCAGCCTTCTATCAGGTGAGACAATTCCAGAAAATTGCGCCGGACGATTGACTCAAAAACTTATAAGGATCGCGTCCTCTGGGCCTGTTGTGGCTTCTGTCATTTCTTCCTCTGATGTCCTTCTCATATACGCACAAAGACAGTACACTGGTTCAGGGCTGAGCACAGTGCATGGATCCAGGTAGTGTGGACTCTGTCAAGGGCATCCCATGTCTGCTGTGTGTACGTGCGTGCTCCCACAGTTGACCGCTATTTTCAACCTCCGATATCTTGTTTCTTATACATTCATGCGAGCGGATTCGGTACCGTGCCAAGATGCAAAACCATTACTACTACTCAAATTATTACCTACTCCGTGACTATGACATACTTCGCTACTGGCACAGCGACGCTCCCAAAATCATCTCCAAACGTCTCTTCCTGCCCGAACTCCATCTCGACCTCTGACCCTGCGCAGGCCTTGGGAATCCCGCTCAAGCCCGTGCATGTTCCGCTTGATGATTCAAGCATCAAGCCAACTTAAACAGTTTGCACTGTTGCCGCGTGCGATAGCGTGTCCGACAGTTGCACTTCCCGCTGGGATTCCTTCTAGCGCAATGCACACTGCATCGACTCGGAGCAGAGGACGCGGTCAACTTCCCACCCGATACGTGTCTCGATGTGACTTGAGGTCGTTTACAGCACCCTCGATGTATGAAGGTGCATCACCTATTATCTCCCCACCCCGTCTTGGTCGCTGGCTTTAGAAAGGTAACACCAGCAGCCCGTCAAGTACGACGCAGAAGTACTCCCTACAGGAGATGATTTCTACACGCCTTACTACTTTCTCCCCCGCCTCGGACCCCACCAAAAGCCCCTCCAGTCCTGCACGACCACGTCGAGAACCGCCAGCAATCACGATGGAAGATTAGCAAACCTTGTGAAGCTAAGAAGAGCCGCATCAGACACGTGAGACAGTTCACTTCTTCTAATCCTCTTCACATTACGTCCCCACCGGCGGGATCTGCGAGCCAAGTGGGAGGGAAAAAGTTTGGACGTTCTTACTTTCCGTTTTTATCTTTTGGCCCCTCTTCTCTTCTTCCACTGTCTTTTGTCTCAGAAAGTGCGGTCATACACGCTTACCCGAATGGACTGACTCCACGTCAATTATGGCTTTGCGCTTGTCTGCTGAACAAGCTGCACGTGCCGCCGACGGCTTCAGTGTCCTCCGTGCGCCTTTGCCTCAACATGCGACTGAGATCACCAGCTTGATATCGGACTTTTACGGAATCAGCGCATCCCTTTCCAGTCTGGATGAGCTAGTCAAGGACTCTCGTTACCGCCGGAGTTGGCCCTTGGTGCAGGCGGACGTCGAGGTGCTGCGCTCGAGTCTAGGGTATACAATCGAGGATGCACTCGATTTCCTCAAGCGGTTAAACGGTGGTCAAGTGACAGCAGACACTTATCGACGGACATGGCAAACCATTGACCAGTTTTTCTGGAAAGAGGCTCAGTATTCTCTCAGTACCCGACTTGCTAAGTATAAAGGATTTCTGCGAGAAATTGCCGACCTCTTGAAAGAGTAAGCCAGCTTCCGTACGAGATTCCACCTCACCTTGGTGTCCAAATCACAGTCAGCGTCTTGTGAGGGGGCTAACTGACCGTCCTCTCAGTCCACGCCACGACGCTTTCCTTCTGGCAGCCTCACGAGATGGGATGAAGTCGCTTTTGGCCGTTCAAGAAAAGCGCATTACCCCACAATTAGGACGCATGTCCTTGGGTCGCAATCATGCCTCAACCGGCCACGTAAACACCAGTACAGATCAGACCAAGGCCCGAGAGGATCGACAGCCAGCTCGTCGGTATCACTCGTATGAGCCGGGTACTTCGTCGCAATTCCTCACAAAGCCCCGTCGACAAGCGTCATACGAGCGAACTCGTCCGTCACGACCCTCTCCGCAGTATCCACTATCACCATCTGACACCTCATTCTCCGATTTCCCTCCCGCGGTGCCGGAGGCGCCAAGCTCACCTCTTGGAACCGCCTCGGCAACGGGCACGAGCCGGTCCACGCGTTCGGACGCCGCTCGGTACCACTGGATCAAAGAAGTCTTTACCACATTTGAGACCGGGACCCCAATTCCTCCGGGTCGGGAAAGGCAAGACCACTGCCATAGGTCCCTCTGTCTGGGTGTCTGATGCTACATGACTGACCTGTTTCCTGTACCAGACCCGGGTGCTTCGGTGATCCGTGCCAGGATATGAAGTCATGGCTCCGAGAGAAAAAGTACGACTTCCTCCTTCAATTGTGAGTAGCCCTTCGATAACAGGTGATTGATACCATTCAAAAGCGCGGGACAAAGCAAGGAAGATGTGGCTGGGGAAGGCATTGTCCAATGTCCAGCAAAAAGAGTATGTGGTATGTTTGACGGTGAACATCCCTGAGCTAATACTCAAAGCTAGGGAATTTAAAGATGAGTCCAACATGACCGTTTACTTCTATATGCGAGAGCACGATCATCGAGCCCGCATATTATGCAAAATTCCCCACAGTTCACAGCCAAGCGAGTACTACTGTCTACCTCTTAACATGTTGGAAATCGTTCGAGAGGGCTCCTGTCTCCAATTGTGCCGCAGAAGACGTGGCGGGAGTGAACTTGTCTTGTGGGCCAGTATAAAATTTCCAGACATGGAAAGTGTGTCTACCCCGAGCAGTTTAGCTTGTGAAAGAAAAACTGTCGAATCACAGACTAACAGTCAGCACAGTGATGGTTGCGTTCTTCACCACATTTTTGGCTTTGCGCTCGCAGGACACCGGCTCCCCCATTGATCACATTCGAGATCATGAAATGGACGGAGAACGTGAATTATATGGAGGGTGAGTCACAAAGACCGGAGCCGGCTTTTGGCGTGCATAATCTAATAGAAGGCAGTCAAATCCTCGAGGACGACTATGTCTATGCTCTTCGGGTGTACCGTGACAGACTTAGCAAGGCTGTGAGAATCCAGACTTCCATTCACAAGGGCCAAATGGATCGGTAGGTGATCTGCCACAGACCAAAGTCATAATGATCTTGATACCTGAATTTAAGCACCAGATACTGATTTTGACCAAGCACTCCGGTTTGGACCGCATTCATAACCGAAAATTTGGCTCGACGCAACTGGCTTCGTCTGGAAGCTGATCATCGGACCGTGCTTGTCCGCGGTCTGAAACCGATTCTTCTCATGCCGGAAGAGAGTTATTCTTTCACGATGACAAGACGGGGCGAACATGTCCTGAGTTTCGCAACCGCTGAAGGTCAGCGCTCTTGGTCCAGTCATGCTACCCTGCAGAAAGTTCTGATTAACTAACGAAGTACTTGCCCAACAGATGCCGAGGATTTCTTGGACCAGATAGAAGACCTTTCCGTGAGCAAGTGAACAGGCACGACGGCCAAGTCTGGTTCAAGGACATTTGAACGGGGTCTGTCCCAAGTTCTAACACCTTCAAGTAATTTACGAATGACGAATTGACGGCGATACGAGATCAACGAGCAAAATTAATCTGATGGTCTTATCTCGGTCTTTATGTGTTCCAGATCTCCTGCTCGCTTTCCATCTTGATCTGTCTTGTGCGAACTATGTTGTCTGAGTACAATGCTCGATACGGTCATAGGTTTGTTTGTAAAATTTTCATTGCCGAATGGAGCGCTGCGCTTGATAGAGAGCGGCAGGCTTCAGGCGAATTCACCCATCTGAACGCAGTCAAGCAAACTGCTGGATACGCGCACCAAATACTCAATCTTTGGAAATCAATACGTATATAGTAAGCTGGATGCGAACTACTCGGCGGGTTTGCTGATATATTGCCAAGTTCGGCACAAGCCGCCCCCGCTCGGCACTACTGCTCCGCTCCTTCCAAGCTGTCTACTTCTCGAACCTGCACTCCTTTTCTTTCAATGATAGCGATTCGCACTCAGGTTGGTCGATAAAATTATCGGAGCAATTCAACGACTCGCCCCAGCTCCAGCACTGCTTCGGAGCTCTGGCGCGCCACCAGACGATCTAGAATCCTCCCAGCACCTGCACCGCCTCGTCCCCGCCTGGCGAGCTGTTTGAGCGCACCGGCCGATCTGAATTTCCCTCCACCTTTGTCGCAAGCATCGCGGGGGTAACTGGAGTTGCAAGCATTTGATTGATCCGAAATCTTCAATATAACACAGTACGTCTCAATCACTGGACGGCAATCGATGCGCAATCGTTCTCAAGGGTTGCATCTGTTTGCACTCCGCATCGACGGTTGTGTCACCCCGGATACTCAAGAGTGGGGAGCCTCGGAATCTCGAACCAACGTCATATACCGAGCTTGAAGCACTGGAGAGAACCCAAAACTTTGAGCAGCTAGGGTCTCCATTGCGCAAAAGAAATAAGGGCTCACACGAGAGGGTCCAACAAGCGACCCTTGGCCTCTTCTTGCTAGCAAAAGACATAAACATAATTGTTAACCAGGGCAAGGTTCCGAAACAATGGCATGGTATTCCATTCTCCCACCTCAGCTCATTCAATTTGAAAGCTGGGTGGTTCGCGTGTCAGTACGTCTTCGGTTCTCTTTGAGAATTATGATTTAAAGATGTTTGCGCTTAGGTGGTCTCAGTTTCTAGGCTAACCTTTTGCTTTTGTCGGTATAGCTTCTTCTTGCTCTCTTCACAATCGGCCCATGGGCAGCTTTGATTGCCTTTGACGCCTGTCTGTATCTATACCGGATGATCATTTGGGAAATGCCTGGAGTCGGAGGTCGTGCTCGCGGCCAGCAACGGCCGCGCGCTCCCAGCCTGCAGGAACGACCAGACGGCCAGCGAAGGGCCTTTGGAGTCTTTGGTTCCGAGACGGATATCGCAAACGGGGATTTAAAAAGAAGAGAGAATGGACGGTCAGAACGGCGTGAAAGCTTAGCAAAGACCGAGCCGAGTCCCATTGAAGACAAGACACCTTATAAGCTTGACAGTCTAGGAGACGTCGCGAAAAGACGGATGGCCTCACCCCAATGAATGCCTCGGTGAATACTGAAAATCTCGGTTGACCTGTCGCCGGCTGCTTTGCGCAATGCCTGTGCCATCATCTGATCGACTCGTGCTCATGCCTAGGGGTGGAAGACCTATTGTGTCGGGTCCGGCGCGTCCATTGAATCGCATGTTGTACTCGACCAAAACCATGATACTTTCCAGATTGATGATTTGCAATCGACCAGACCGATGTCGCCTTCTTGGTGACTTGGGTTCTCGGTGGAAAGGTTTCCCAGTCAAACCATGCATTGCTCGAAGCGCGTCCGTGCAAAAGTGAGAATCCGACAAGGTGAATGCTCTGAACCTTCACGTGCCCAACGGAGAACTAGGTTCCTTTTGTATTCCACATGGATGCATTGATTTTCTAGGTTGCTTCGCATATACGTGACAAAGTCCTGTTATATCTAAGGGCGGAGTCTATATCATAAAGCTTCTCTTCACGCTTTACTGCAAGCGTTGCACAACCTTGATAAGGTCAGACGAAACACCCATGGCCGTGACTTCACCGCCAGCGCCGGCACCCTGCACGATCAATGGGTTGGAGCCATATCGCTTGGTATAGAAGCTGATGATGTTGTCACTGCCCTTGAGGCCAGCAATGGCGCTGTCCTTTGAGAAGGACTGCAAACCAACCTTGACATCCTTGGAAGCAACATCGATGCTGCCAACATAGCGCACAACCTTACCCTCCTTCTCTGCGTTCTCCTTGATACTGGTCATCTGAGAATCAAATTCCGGGAGACGCTTCATGAACTCAGCAATGCCGTCCGCGGACGAAGGAAGCGTTGCGAGCTCAGAAGGGATGAGAGACTCGATAGGGAATGAGTCGGGCCGCGAGACCTCCAAGCCAGCAAGACGAGCCAAGATGGTCAGCTTACGGGCGACGTCCATGCCGTTCAAATCATCACGAGGATCAGGCTCTGTGTATCCCAACTCCTTGGCCTGCGCCACGACGTCGCTCCACTTGGCATCCGAAGAGCCAGAGGCCGGGGCAAAAGTGTTGAAGAGGAATGACAGAGTGCCGGAGAAAACACCCTCGATGCGAGTCACTTCGTCGCCAGTCGCGACCAGGTCCTTGAGAGTCGACAAGACGGGTAGACCGGCACCTACGGTGCTCTCGTGGTACACAAGAGCCTTGCCCTCACTGGCAGAGGCAAAGATGTCCTTCCATAGCGTGAGGTCGTCGGAGAAACCCTTCTTGTTTGGGGTCACGATTGAGATGCCCTTCTTCAAAAAGGTGGGGTATTGCCGGGCGAGGTTGATATCGGAAGTGTTGTCGACCAGGATTGCACGCCCGGGAGCAGAGGCGAGATATGCGGCGATCTCGTCAGCGGGCAGAGCGCCGGCCTTGGTCAACGAGGCACCTGCACCTGCGGAAGCGGTTGCCCAGTCGGCCGCGGGGATGGCCGGGGAGTAGGCCGGTGTCGGAGCGAGTAGAGTCTGAGAAGAACGAGCGAGAAGGACGAGCTTAGGGGCGTTGGGAAGACGAGCGAGTTGAGAAAGGAATGCGGTTCCAACACCACCGACGCCTGTATATCGATTGATGAATTAGTACAAGTTATCAGACCAAATTGTTCAAAGAAGGGGAGATTCAAAAAAACAAGGGCTTCGCATCGTACCAATAACGCCGAGATAGATGGGGCTAGCGGACATGATGACAATGAAGCCCAATTGACGACTGTAAATGGAGAATGAATAAGATGAAAAGTCACAAGGTCGGAAGAGATGCCAATCCAACAAAGGCGATCAAGAACCAATGTCTCAATGCTCGAAGATCAGTTTGAAAATAGGATTGAGTCAAAATAAAAAAGAGTGCCTCGATCTCATCCTCTCTACGCGGGGCTCTGCGGGGACGTCAGACTCGCGCCTGAATTCAAAGGCAGACAGATGAGTCAGCAGCCCGTGCCCGCCCAGCCCGCCGGGGGGGACCTCGTTCGTTCTCCGAGACTGGAACTCTTCCTTATCGGTGGGGACGCTTATCCCTTGTCCTTTATCGCCTTCGTACAGCGTCTTATCGCGACAAATAATAATAGCGCAGTTTCGCCCAACTTCAATCGAAGCATTGCAACTGACTTTCTTTGACAAACTTTCTTCCTCGCGCGATCCTCTCCAGCAACTTCGCCTCACTTCCGATCGCGGCTGTGATCATGTCTTCAGATCAATCCTCGCTCTACGGCAAATCTCGAAGCAAGACCACCAAGACTCAAGAAATCAGCTCCTCTTCCAATCTCGCCTTCACCAGCCAACTGTCATCCCTAATCAACAACAACTCAACAAAGATCGCACAAGGCCGACCTCGACCGTCGAAGGCCGCAAAGAGTGACATATTCAGCAAACACAACAAGGGGGCTTCGAAGCGCGCGGCTGCAGATCTCCAAGACGACGATCGCCATGTCTTCAATCAGGTGCACCGGCAGTCGGGGGATTTGGGAACGATCGATGAGGCGACGCTCAATCGGTCCAAGCAGCGGATGATAAAAAAGGCTCGTCTGTACGAGGATATGAAAAAAGGTGTGCATCTGGTGAACGGAGATAGTGACGACGATGAGGATGACGGAGGGGATGATTACATTTCACGACTGAGACGGAAAGAGAAGGCGGGACTCGTCGACTTTGACACGAAATGGGCCGACGAGCAACGCAAGAAAGCAGATCGGGACGGCGAAGAAGAAGAAGAAGAAGAAGAAGAAGAAGAAGAAGAAGGAGGAGGAGAGAACGACGGCGACGACGATGACGAAAACGCCTCAGTAATCTCATTCGAGGACGAATTCGGTCGCACAAGACACGGTACAAGAGCCGAAGCCGCACATGCAGCTCGCATCCGCGACGAAGAAGAAAACCGCGGCCGCGTCGCTAAAACAGAACGATGGCGTCCCTCACGACCAGATCATTTGATCTTCGGCGAGATCATCCAAACGCACGCGTTCAACCCGGACGCCACCATCGCCGCCGAAATGGCCCGGCTCGCTGCCCAGCGGGACCGGTCCCCGGAGATTGAAAACACGCACTACGATGCTGATGCCGAGGTTCGCAATCGCGGAACGGGCTTCTACGCCTTCTCGCAGGATGAAGAGGAGCGGAAAAAGCAGATGGCGCAGCTGGAGGAGTCACGCATGGAGACGCAGCGACGGCGCGATTTGCTGCTGCGTCGGGCGGCGGAGCGTGAAGCTGTGGTGCAGGAGCGTCGAAGACAGATTCAGGAATTAAGGGCGCGGAGGCTGTCGGAGATGACTTCTGCAGAGATGGCTTCTACAGAGTCGGCTGCTGGTGACGTGTGAGGTAGCGGATCGACTTGGAGGAGTTGACACGGCTGTTGCGCCCTTTTTTTCTCGAGAAGCCTTTCATTTGTTTGTTTTGTTCCCTTTGATCCTTTTGAAGATACCCGCCAATGCGCCAATCGTTCTACATGCCCTTTCCTCTCATCCCTACAGCGCTGACCGCCAAAGGTATGACCGTAGCCCTTAATGGGTAGAAAATTCTCACACTCGGACTCTCTAGACATGTTTCTTGTATAATGGCTGGGCAGAACCCAGAGATAGTGCCCAAAAAAAAAGAAAAAGAAAAAGCATACTCGCGTAAAGCCAATTGATCAGCCCTATCTACATGGGCAGCCCATATCCTCCAGACCTCCAGCTACTGACTTGCGACATGAGAGAGAAGCTACGCATGAGTGAGACTATCAAGTGTTGATTGATCCCGTTCCTGCGATATCGAACATGAGCGATACTTCAACGAATCAGGTCCAGTACCTCTTTATATCGGTATCATTCTAGGAGGAAAATCTCTTGAGATGGCGATGTTTTGTGAGTTGAAGTGGGAGATCATATTATCATTTCTAAGGTGGCTGGAGGCATCAAGGTAGGTAGCCTAGTACTTATGCATGTACCAAAACATAGGGGTCCATCAAAAACTTGCCGTCGTCATGAGAGGCGCAAAAAGACAACGTTATGGGGAAAAAAGACACAGAAAAAAGAAAAAAAAATACATATACAGTACTACAACAGACCCACCGCCCATTCCAAACCCCTGGAAATTCTCACAGTCATGATTTTGAGAAAGAGGAATATGCACGCCAAATTTAGGAAAAGATTTTCAAAAATAACACAAGGACTGGTAAGATCAAGTCAAGACCGAGGATGGCGGGGAAGCCAGCCCCCTCTCCTCTTTTTCTACCTGCTTGTCCGGTACGCCTCGTAAGAAGTTTGATATGGATCGTCTTCTTGATGGACTGGCCCGTACCCGCGGGTCCGCCAGCGGTCGAGGGGATTGATGTCCGCTTGTCCGGGCGTCTGTGCGTGACTGAGAAGATGACTTTCAATCTCATCGGGGGGATAGGGCTCAGCGCCGGTATTTGTCCGGGATAGAGGGACGCGGAAAGCGGGATGGATCAAGGACTGATCGCTGTCTGGGTGTCCTTCTGGTGCCCTGAGACCTGGTAATGAAGGTAGAGAGGGAACCGGTGAGGAAGCGCGAGATGACGAGGGGGACCATTCACCACCGAGCATGCTACGAGGTGTATGGGATCGCTCTGTCATCAAATCTTCTGGTCGACCGTAGATGCCACCGCCGAACTCGTCGCGGAAGTCGGCTCGATTCTTGTAGTAGGAGAAGTCCAGGTGGGACTCCGGGACGACTTCGAAGGGAGCCGATTCGGCTTCCTTGCCTGGTTGTGAAGGCAGCATGGGATTCATGGCCACATCGGAATATTCATTCTCCATGTCGCCGTGCTCAAGTCGACCCTGGTATATCTGCTTGAGGGCTTCGGCGGCCTTGGCATGAACCATGGGAGTCATCAGAGCTTTGTACAGAGCTGGGTGACCAAACTTGGAACGGAGGCGATCGCCAGCCTTTTTGCTGATCTTGGATGTGCCAACAGCCTCCGCGTCCGTGAGATTGCCGCGATTGATATACGCAATGTCGTCATCAAATGTCCTCATGCAGTAGACTTTGAAGGCCAGCATCAGGATGGGCAACGGGATGAGACAAAACACCATGGTCCAAGTTCCGCGAACCTTGACGACAATTCCAACGATGAAGTTGGCAAGGATACTCGCAAAGATGAGACGGTTAAACAAGGGCCGCCAGTAAGCCCCGACCGACTCGTTTTTGGTCACAAACACATACATCAAAAGGTATTTTCGAAGTATAGCGTCGACGCCAAAGTAGAGTGCGGTCACGGGAAGCACGATCGGCTGCAGAGTCGCGAAACACAAAGCAACTGTGGCGTAGAAAAGGAAGTAATTGTAGTAGCTCGCATAATCGAATGGCGGCGGCGCAGTCCATTCGATCGCCTGTCGAGGCGTCGGCGAGAGGAACGTTTTGGCAAACCAGACCCAGACCAAAGTGATTAATTGTACCAGATCGATCGTGGCTCCCAGATTGCGCTGCAGAATGTACGTCACCCAGAAGGGCGAGACTGTGCATAATGCGCTCATGATTTTGGCGTAGAATTGACTGTCGACGATCGCCTGCCAGGCATCTTCCTGGTCAGTCTTGGTCTTGTCGATCACGGTCGACACAAACGTCCAGGCTGCAGAGAAGAGCGAAAAGACCACCAGGTTGTTGAAGACAAAGAATGCATAAAGTTGACCCAAGACGTGTCGCTCTCGAGAAGTTTTGGTATGACTACCACTTTGAACAGACAATCGTCGGAAAATGATCGGCAGCACGAGGTAGACCAGCGAGGTAATTGCCGGCGAGGCGATACCCTGCACAGCAGCCCAGACCTTGGGGTCCGCCGAGAGGGAGGTTTGAAAGCGCGGCCAGACTGACCCCAAGTTGTTCAGGTTGGACAAGAAGACCGCAATCAGGGCGTTAGGCACGATCCACACAAGGGTCAGCGCGGTGACCCAGATCACGTTGAGGAATCGCTTCCATTTGCGAGCTTGCTTGGTGAGATGCAGATTCTCCCAGATGAGATCACTGGGCCGAGGAGCAAGGGCGATTGTCGTTCCCTTGGGGTGCTTCTTGCGGGCCGTCCATGCGACCGCGTGGGCGTGTTCGATGCTCTCCCAACTGGCAAATCCGTACGGCATCGCGTTTCGGCGGTCAATCGAGGCCCTTCCATGCTTGATCTCCTCTTCCAGAACGCGAATTCGCACGGTCAGGTAGTCAATGGCATCGACTTTGCCGTTGGGATGTTTGGCTCGCTGGCTCTTGGGTGGACGCATGGTCGGTCGCTTGGCCGGCAAGTTGCCGGGGCGCTTGAGGTACTTGGCGAGAACGGACTCCAGCTTTCGGACATTCTCCTCGTGTTCCTTGATAACCATGGGGAGGTCCCGTACGTTGCGACCGATCGCAGCGCGCGGTAATGTGGCGGTAGGGTTGACCTCGTCTGTAATGCGCAAGATGCCTTCATCGCTGCGATCCGGCGCAGGGATATCCGTGACCATCAACGTGCGGGCGTGGAGGCTTCGCTGGTATTCGGAACTCTGGAAGTATTGTCGGCGGAGATTTCTCACGGCCTTGTAGTTCCTCCACAAGAAGAATGCAAGGATGGCGTCGAAACAGTAGGCACACGCGACTTGACTCCAGATCGCCGGGACATTGGTCACGTAGAGAGGTGTCATCTTGGTCAAGGTAGACTGCGCGGCGGAATCGCCTTGGCTCTGGGACACATTGACGGGCACCAAGACCAAGCAGCCGATGATGCTGAAGAAGATGAAGATGTTGCGACACATCTTGGTGAAGCGCAAGAAGATCGCCGCATCCAAGCCCACCGTCTCAACCAGCTGGGGCTCTCGAGTATTGATGACGGGCTTCACCCATGAGAAGAAGCCTCTGCCCACTGGGGGCGGGGCATGCTTTTGGTCGGCATGCTTCACCTTGGGCGCATACACAAGGTTGTGTCGAGGTCGGAAGAGGGAGAAAAGTAGCGCGAGTAGGAAAGATAAGCCGACGGAAGTACCCAGTGACGCCCAAATGGCGCTTGTTTGGAACTACATCATTCACACAGGCGCGGAGATCAGTTCACTCTCCTCCTCTCGATATCGTCATCGTTTCTTTTTTTGGGGGGAGAAACCCCCGGAACAAGCCTACCTGAGAGACGAAAGGATTTGAAATGAGATAGAGGAATTGTTCAGTGCCCGACTCACTGGCCCGCGGCCATATATCACCGTGGTGCACAACCATAGCGGTCCGCACGATCGAGATCACAGCGGGTCCAAGTGGGCAGCCGACATTCAAAAGAGCGACTTATGTTATGAGGCTCGGAAGATTGAGAGCGACCGGCGGAACAGGAGGGCTTAGACCCAAGTCGACACGGGAAAGACAGAGGAAGAGGAAGAAGAGAGTGTCCTGTTGACCAGAGCTTGTGCGGAGAAGGACCAGGACGGGGAGCAAGAAGATTGAGCAATCGGTCGCACCGAGCGAAAGACCTTTTGTTGAAGAAACGCAGGATCATCGGATGAAAGAAAAAGTGGAGATCGGAGAGGGTCCAGAGCGCCAGACTGGGTTGGGTTCGTTTTATTATTAGAATCATGGAGAATTGTACTGAGAGCGAGACCAGAGAGCGATGCCACTTTCCTCGATCATGTGTCTCATCACATGGCCGACCGTCTAGTCGTAGTAGTAAGTATTGACTAAAGTTCCTGATCGACCTACAGTAAACCGTAACTGAACGCGTAGTAGTCATTTAGTAGACTCGGATCAACTGCGGTGTGCGAACGTTGGACTAGTTACGACTACGTCCCTAGTGCTTATTCGTCATTAAGATCGTGGCTACTGGCCAGTGTGGCTAGTGGCTACTAGCTAGTGCTCAGTCCCCCATACTTTAAAACAATCAGATCAATCTAGCGTAGAGCAGAGTGTAACCACAACATCTGATAATCACAATCAACAAAGCTATTGTCGGGACTCCTGTGGGCAATCATCGAAGCCATGGTTGCCATGCACGGCATAACCAGAGATCTCAACTCCTTCGCCACCGAGAGCGGCACCGTCAATGATCAGAGGCATGCATCATGCCTCTTAAAGCGGCCTGTATACAACAGCGTCCATGTTGTGCACATAGCAGAGTCGAACCTCACTCACAGTACCTACTAAATCTAACTCTCTCTGTTCCGTTATTTCAGCGATTCAGATTATACTATTGGTATATACTAGTATATAGTCAAGCAACACGCACTACTGCATCAGACATGGACACATGGATACATGGGGCCATATAAGTCATCATTCTTGAGGATCCATCAATAGCAAGAGTCTTTCAGTTGACCCCTCTCTCTCTCTCTCTCTCTGTGAGTGTCTCTCTCGCTCCACCACGTCGTCATTGGCAGACCAGCGGGTCAATTGATACATGGCTGTGGCTCCGATCAAATGCCGTATTTGGATGCAATTCCGGACCATCAGGAACCATTGACGAGCCACGTTCGGCATGCAGGTCACGGGACCCATCGGAGAGTTCCAGGTGTTCTAGTTCGGATGGGTGGTAGGATTGGACGTCAGGTAGATTCGATTCTTGAGCGATTGTTCATGGTGATGCAATTTACCAAATTTCATTAAGATGTACTAACTACACAGTACACAGCTTCGTGTCATACCTGAGACAATCTCGCGAGTACACGTTCATGCAAGTTTCTCCGAGAGCGAGTGTTTGACGGACTACGGGGATTATTGTGATCATGTGATGTAGGCGGCGAGGAGATTGCAAAGTCAACATGTAAACTACGATTATCTCGTGAATTGTTGAGCGATTCCCAACTAAATACGAGATTCTCTGGGAATAAATTTTTTTTTTTTGAAATTTCGGACGGGCTCTCGCTCGTCATCAGGACATGGCATTTCATTATCACGTATCGAAAGTACATCGCTACATACGAACAATTATCACCAACCACCCGGGAAGCGTGCAGACAGGAATTAGTTCTGCTTGGGTCTTGTATTGCCTGACTCTTTCAGAAGAGGCCTCCCGCGGTTACCAACCCACCTTGTCGACTCCATTTAAAGCTGGTTGGTGCAGTTGAAGTCCTCAAGGGCGACCTGGGTGCGCTTGTTCATGGTCTTCTCACCCTCACGGACCCAGACACGGGGGTCGAAGAACTTCTTGTTGGGCTTGTCCTCACCGTCGGGGTTGCCGACCATGCTCATGAGGTAGTCCTTCTTGTTCAGGACGTAGTCCCGGACACCGGACAGGTAGGCGTACTGCATGTCAGTGTCGACGTTGACCTTGACGACACCGTAGCTGATGGCCTCCTTGTACTCCTCCTTGGAAGAGCCGGAGCCGCCGTGGAAGACGAAGAAGACGGGCTTGTCCTTCTGGGACTTGACCTGCTCCTTGACGTAGGCCTGGTGCTTCTTGAGCAGCTCGGGGTGCAGACGGACATTGCCGGGCTTGTAGACACCGTGCACGTTACCGAAACCGGCGGCAATGGAGAAGTAGGGGGAGATGGCGGAGAGAGCGTTGTGGATGGCGAGAATATCCTCGGGCTGCGTGTAGAGGGAATTGTTGTCGACATCCTCGTTGTTGACACCGTCCTCCTCACCACCAGTGATACCAATCTCCTACACCAGACGAAAAAAAAGGCCATGGTCAGTGAAACTATCCCATACCAAACAGGAAGAACGAACAGAATAAAATCTCCCGCAGCCCACAGGGACAATGCTGGAGAGGAGACTTGACCCATGAAACTTACCATCTCGAGCCACTGCTTCATGGGGGCAGCACGCTTCAGATAGGCGGCGGTGGTGGAGATGTTCCAGTCAACGGGCTCCTCGGACAAATCGATCATGTGGGAAGAGAAGAGGGGCTCGCCGTGGAGCTTGAAGTAGCGTTCATCCTCATCCATCATGCCATCGAGCCAGGGAAGGAGCTTCTTGGCGCAGTGATCGGTGTGGAGGACGACGGGGATGCCGTAGGTGGGGGCAATGGCCCGGATGTAGTGAGCGGCGGCGATGGCACCGGCGATGGAGGCGGCCTGGCCATCGTTGCTGACACCCTTACCGGCGAAGAAGGCGGCACCACCCTGGGAAACCTGGAGGGCGATGGGGGACTTCTGGTCACGAGCAGCCTCGAGGGCGGCAACGACGGTGGAGGAAGAAGTAACGTTCTGTGCGTGGGATCAGTTGGGTCAGCGGCATATTCCGAGCGTCGTCCAGAGCGGGTGCGTGTGCATTGAAAAGTCGGGCCGTGGGCCGACTCGAGGGAGCACGGAAGCACGGGAGCACGGGAGCACGGGAGCACGGGAGTACTGGGGGGAGGGGGGGGATTACTGCTTCCAAGTACTTACAATGGCGGGGATGGCGAACTGCTTCTCCTGAGCGTACTCAAAGAGGCGGAGGACATCGTCACCGACGATGACACCGGCCTTGCGGCTAAGCTTCTCAATGACACCCATGTTGATTAATGTGTTGAGTTGGAGTTAGGAAGAGTGAAGGGGGACCAAGGTAGGATGAGATATGGAGGAGGAAGAAGAAGAAGAAGATGATGATGATGATGAGAGGAGACGGTTTTTACAGAGAGAGAAAAAGAAAGGAGAATTGCAGAATAGCGTTTGCCTATAAAACAGAGTTGCCAATGATACGAGCTCCTTTTGGGCTTTACCGAGCGACGAAAGCGGGCAGAAGACTCGCGATTACTTAATTGCTCGAGTGGTTCGGAAATTGGCGTTGGGAGGAGGTTGGCAGTCGGAGTCGGGAGCAGAGAGGAGGGGCAACCCAAGAGGGGCAAAACGGAGGATGTTGGACGGTTGGAGGGGCATCCCATCGTCATCGGTGAGGCACTTGGGTGACAGAACGATACAGTATGTCATGCCGTAGTTACAAGGTTGTACTTTTCCTACTGTAGTCCCAGATACACATGTATGGAGAAATACGGTAAACCCAAGACCGAGTGCAAAGGAGCCCCTCATGGACCAAAACCTTCCCACAGTCACGACGAAGTTCTACCTCACCGATGAAGTGGAGCTACGGTGGGAACGGGCAGCAGCACTGAGGTCACCATGATTTCAGGGTGTCGCTGGGTGATGATCTAATTCGTGCCTCAGGCCAGAGATTCGTTGCAGAATGATCACATGTACGGGTAGACCGTGGATTCATGATCTGTAGCTACTAGCTAGAACTCAAGGGTGTTGTTGGGTCACCAATCGAAGCCAACATGTCATTGCTATAACACTGAATCCCGAACTGAACACTCCATTGGAAATATGGAACAAGTGACTACCTTGAACAACCTGTATGAGACTTGCGATTGTCCCTGTCTAGCTGCTCAGTACCTGGTTGCTCTCGCCGAGTCCCGAATTTCCCCGTCATGGCCCGAGTCTCACAGCCGTCGGCTCTTCTCGTGATTCCTTTTCCAAAAGATACTTTACCGTCGGTACTATGGACTGTAGAGTACTAGAGTCACGAGTGTAGACTGTAGAATACTCACTCGAGTGGGTCAAACGAGACCCATCCTCGCATGGAGAAGCCATTGTGATCATCATCATTGACCTTCTGGTAGCTTCTTCCACCTCGAAGCTATATTGTGACCCCAGAAATATGCTTTCCAATGACCATAGACTTGATGGGTACATGATTCTACTGGAGACTGGAGAGAACTTGTAGTGTTTGTTTGTTGCTACATACTCTGTAGTTGTACTACCTACCTCTTACTCACTGTACCTATATTCAAAGAATAATCAGAGACTAGTATACCTGATATTCTATTTCCTTAATTTCAGGCTTTCGGCATACTACCTCACAGCGGCCATTACAGTTAATCTGTGTAGAGTGTAGACTACAGAGTACAGAGTGCAGAGTACAGACTAGACTACCTCACAGAGTACAGAGTACAGACTACTTACACTCAGTACACTATTGAGTGTTGACTGTACAGGTTACACTAGGTAGTAGGTACACACAGAAGTATGGACCTTTGCGAATGCTACCTATCCACCTTGTTCATCCAGACGTTTTTTCTGAGATAGAATAGCCTAGAATGTAAATTGACCCTTTCAACTGAGAATGCACTCAAGCCCCATTGAATCCTCCTCCAATCCAGTCAATCTTCCCACATTCCTTCCGTTTCCGCCAACCTTGCACGCGCCTGGATCTTCCCTGCCGTGCATCCGAGATTTGCTCGGTCACCCGTGGGGGTGCCGAGGAAGAAGATTGACTTGGAGGCTTGCATTTTTTTTTCCGCCGGAATTCGCTTTCTTGCGGATGGAGGGGGGGGGGGGGACTGCAGGGAAATACGTACTGGACCTACTTGGTGGTCCATGGGGAATGGGGCGCAGATCCTCCGATAGACGGTACTTTTCTTGCGAAGGTTAGTGGAAACTGAACGGGCCCAGTCCATGTTGCCTGCGACAGGAATCAATTTGTCCGTGCTACCACTGCAGGTTCAGGGAATTCCTCCGGCTTGATCTACTTCTTCCATTACGGTGACAACTTGTCAGGCTGTTACGACTCACTACTCAGCTGAAGCTGAAGAGGGTCACCACTCACGGATACTGGACTTGCGGATAGGAACCACGAGTGAAAATGCCTTGTTTGACATCGTAGGGGGGGGGGGGGCATACATCACTGATGATCACTCTACCGACACCAGTCTCCACTTCAAGGCCGCCCCCCAAAACCGGTTAGGACAAGAGGTTCGGAGATTCGAAAAGGCATGAGTTTACAATCGATGGATAGGAGGAGCAAAGCTGAGAAAGGACAAGGGGACTGGGAAATATGCTGTGTGCATTCGCGCGCGCGTGGTTCAATATATGTGGTGGGGCTTTTTTTTCCGTCCATATGTACAGAGCATGTGTGTTTCTTTAGCAAGCAACCGTCAAAGGCCCGTAGGTGGCCATCCATGTGAGATCGTCGAAAATGTTCAGAGTTAGTCCGCGGACCAGACTTTTGTCCCAATCACCCGTCGTTCAGGCAATCATAGGAAAATACAAAATGGTAGGAGTCGTGCTCTCGGTTTTCTCATTTCAATGTCCGTCCTCCGTTCGCTTGGGTGCGGGCAGCAAGGAAGCCTTCGCGATATTCTCGAACCTGATAACCGCTCACTTCCTCCATTGTAAGTCCCAAAACGACATTTCGTAGAGGGATGAGATGCTTCGAGTAGATCGAGCAGAAGTATGGAGATCGGAAGACAAGGCAGACGGGGCGGGGGTCTCTAGAACAAAAGAAAATTGAGAAGAGAAGATTCAAAGAGGGCTGGACTACAGACGCCCAGTGGCCGCCATCGGGCTACAATCAGCCCGATCCATCTCATAGAAGAGCAGATAGACCTCCTTCTGCATACCCAATACATCCGAGGTCTTGCACTCCTTGACTTTCTCGTCTGAAATGCGCCACCATCGGTCATTGGGCTTCCGTCGCCGGCGGAGCCGCGAGCTCACGCCTGAGATGGCCTCGCTCGATGACCGAGGAATCATTCGTGCTGCGCGCGAAGCAGACGAGGTGCTAGTCCGCCCTTGATCCGAGGCAGGACTGTTGTTGTCGTCCGAGCCGGATGCGACCTGGGGCGTAGAAGATCGTGACCGACTGCTCTGGAATGACCGTCGTGAATGAGAGGTGTTGAGGCGTGGTAAGGGTGGGCTCAGCTTGGAAGAAACGGGGGCGGGGTTGGAGAGGGAGGTGGATGACGTGGCCGGCGAGAGGTTGCTGCTATCGACATCCACCTCCGCATCGAGGGCACTCCGCGGGTTGAGCCGAGGACTAGGGGCTGCGGAGGGAGTCTCGCTCGCAACACGACTCTGCGCGTAGGAGCTAAAGGCCTCCGGGGTGGAAAAAGGTGCATAGAGATGGTTTCGGCGGAAGGACTCATAATGGCCGCTCTGGTGGCTCCCTTTATGGCACACAATGGCCAGTAATTTGTACCAGGTTTGACTGAGGATACCTCCGAGGGGAAGTCGCTCTGGGAACGATACCTTGGCTGCATTCTTGGAAGAGCTGTTGCGGTCGTAGATCGAGCGAGAGAGATGAATCGCGATCACTTTGGGGAATGTGACGATACGCATGTGACGGGCAATTTTGCGTTTGGGCGCAAGCTCTGCAGGAGGCATAACGATGCCCTCCAGCTCGTCCTCGGGATCATGCTCCATGGCGTGCTGGATACGCTTGATTTCCATACCCAATCGCTCCCGCGCCTTTTGCGTGTGAGCGATTGATCTCTCCTGCACCTTGACATCAATCGCATGCTGGAGGCGACATCGATCACATCGGAAATCATCAATGTATTCCGTCTTCAGTAGACCATCGAAGCACGAGTTCAGTGTGGTGGAACTTTTCTGCGGCACTTGAAGCGTCAAGTTGACAAACGCCGTTTGCTTGGGCTTGTACTCATATTGACAATGTTGGCAGACGATCTGTGATTCTAACTTGCCTTCAAAGGGAAACCCAGCTTCATTGTCCATCTCCTTCAGTTTGTTGTCAATAATTACGGGAAGACCGTCTGGCGAACCGTCGTCGATCCGCACCTCCACCTCTGCATCATTTTCGGCCCCTGAGCTGGTCTGTCCGGCTTCCACCGAAGAAGCTACTGGGCCGAGAGCCCGGCGTCGAGCATTGGCTCCCGCATGATATTCGTCGCACAGTCTCTCGAGAACGATCTGCAGGAATTCTTGCGCATCTTGTTGGTTGCGGCTGATGCGCGTTCGAAAGGCGAATTCCAAGGCCTGGATGAATTCACGTGCGGAGATGATTTTTTTGTAGATTGGACGCTCATTCAATCGGTCCAGCATGTCTTTCAATGCCCGTGTAATGATTCCTTGTTGTAACTCCCGCAATTTGTCCTCTCGTTGAGCCCGCGGCAGCTGCTCTGGACTCGGCACCGCGTCGTAAATCTCGGCTCCGTCCAGGTCGCGGCGATGCAGTTCTCGAATCAAGTACACCCGCAGGTCCCCGAGACCAGCCAGAGCCTGTAAGACGGAATTAATAAAGCAGTCATTGGCCATGTTAGACAAGCCCACAATGCTCTTCTTCCGGTTACTGTCGCTGGACTCGTCCCCGTCAATAGTGTAATTCGGCCCGAAGACATAGAAAAGAGCGACAGCGGCGAGCGAAGCCCCGGCCGCGTAGGCCGCGACCGTGGTGGGCTTCTCTTGCATCGGGAATGAGCGGTGATCGAGGCGCAGGTAGGGCGAGGTAGAAGAGGCGGGAGAGCGGAGTGGATTTTGTGCGAGAGAGGCAAAGTGTCGTTGAGGCGAGTCAGCTAGATTTGATCATCGTCTCGGCCTCTTCCGGGTAAGGTAGTCGCTGCAATGAGGGCGATGCGAATTCTTGCGACCATTCGAGTACGCAGCGCAAACAACACGACGATCTCAGTCTCCGCTCAATCTTTTCAGCGCTCCGCAAGCTTCTGTCATAGGAACCACGCCTGTTCGTGAAGAATTCTACGAGGCCAGAGCGGGTCTCGGCTGGGGAAGAGGGGAGGAGTGGATTGCAACGGACTCATGCGGAGAAAGGAAAACGGGGAGTGTCAAGCAGCCTGAAGAAACAGCATCCACGTCCTCGGTGGACTCATCAGATCAGCACGAACTGCATCAAACGTCTTTACAGGTCCACGGACGTATAGAACGGCTGAAACATTTCGGCTTTGCCCCTCGTTCCCGTAGAGTTGTTCCCTTCAGGCTGTGTCAACTGTCACGCTGCGATTGTTCACCCAATAGTAATGGTGCTGGTGGTCTTTTCGCGGGCCAAGACACCACTGCCGCAATCAGATTTCCGCCGCGCATTCTCCCCACATTGGTGAGAGACGGCACTGATGTCGTATCAGAGTCATCAACAGCATATTCGGTATTGTCCTCAAAAGAAAGCACTGGAGGATGTGAGGGAGGTTGTAGGGAGGGATACAATTCTGAATTGAATACAGACAAGCGTTGTGTCGGAAGCGACAGATGGCCGTTGTCTCCAGTGATGGTGTGGTCGTGCGGGCGCAAGTGACCTGTCTTGCGGCAAGTGGACAGCTCACTTTTTCCTGCGGGCGCTATTAACCGTGAAGCAGCAGTACTGAAGTCATGATTCAGATATTCTGAACGGCAGGTCTTTTTGATCAGAAAAGACGAGAGGGATCGTTTTCTTTTTCAATATTGAATCCCGCTAGAGCATGCAGTGCAACGATTCCGTTCTGTCTAGCATTGGAAAGACGCCCAAGGGGCGCCGATGCGTCCTCCTCTGGTGCAAGTGAGACCCCGAATTACAATTGAGGAGATCTCGTTATACAGGACTTGAATTGACGAGGCATGGAAATGGGGCATGTCGATACTAGCTCCACATCCTGTTGAGTCATCCAGGTTCGTTGCGTGTGTAGAGCCATGCAAAGTTATCGGATGCGTTTGATATTTCAACAGACTGATTTTGGTGGGTCTTCAGCGTTCGAAACTCTTCATCCTAAGTGAAAGGGTCGGCCTCCATGGTCTAACCGTCCATTCGGGCTCTGCTCCAGGTTACTCGCAAATAGATGAAAACGATATTTACTGTAGGCCCAGCAATCAAAACACCGTATCGGCGACAACATTATCCCGAATCACAAATGTCTATAAAATTTGGGTTCCCCATCGTGTCATGTGTGATAGCACATCCTGTCAAGTATCGTTTCATCGGTTCATGCCCAAATACCCATATCTAAGCCCGCATGGACGCTGGTAGAGTGGCAACCTTCTCATTGAAGAGTTCCTCGGCTTGTACCCACACACGCGCAGTGTGTCGGTCCTTCAGCTGAAGCAGGCTGGGGAGAAGTGCTTGACTGAATTGCTCCGAACTTTCACGAGGAAGCAAAGAGGGCAGATGGTCAATGCTAATGACACTCAAGGGAGGACCCTGAGTACCGGCTGGCAGGGTGACAGGTACCGTGGGCTTGTCGAAGGTGGTGGTGATGTCGTAGATAGGGATAGGGTTGTGGGGGTTGGTACTGTATCAATCGGGCGGTTAGAGACAAAATGTGAGGGGAGGTTTGGCGCTTTCACAAATGAAAGGAAAGGTAGAAAGACTTACGTGTCGGCGCTGACATCGCAAACGACGGAGAGTTTGCGAGAGGGAGATGAGAGAGTCTCAACGTTGACGAATGGCGGAATGGGAGAGCTGAGGTAGATGCAGCTGGAAAGGAGACATTAGTAAACAGGACACCAGAAGGAAAACGGGGCTGTGAAGCGACTCACTTGACGAAGATATCGCTCTGAATGATCTCGTTGAATGGTCCACCTGGAGAAGACTTGTCAGCAAGGAGACTGCTTTAAGGTGACCGTGTGATTCGGAACTACTCACCCTTGGCAGTCTCTGCCATATCCCATTGGATAATGTTGGACTCGGGAACACCAACGTCCTTTGCCAGTTGCACGGCACCCTTGCCGCAGCGACCCAGCTGTAGACCGATCAGCATGGGGACTCTATTCCAAGCTTGGCGTAAGGCACTTACCGCTCCAATGACAAGAATGCGAGGATAGTGACCCGCGATCTTCTTACCAGCCTCGACACTCTCCTTGACGGAAGCGATCAGGAGATCCTGGTTGGCATATGGAACTTCACCGGGAAGGACCTCGCCTTCAGGGTGAGTCAATTGCCAGGCCCAGTTCTTGATAGCGAGAGCCGCGCCGGCATAACCAGCGGAGAAGCCAAAGGCGGCCACACGGCGGCCAGACTCGTCTGTGAGGAACTCCAGATCCAGCAGGAGACCCTTGCCACGATGCCAGCGGCTCAGCACATTTTCCCAGCCACCTTGTTGCTTATAGCAGTGTGCAAATGTGACGTGCACATGTTCGAGAGGAAAGTCGTCCTCTGGCAGTTCCTTGAGACCCAGAATCACAGCATCCTTGGGGGCATCCTTGACCCATGAGCCTTCTTCAACGAGGGGGGCTCCAATCTGTAGAATTGGCAGTGAATCAGACCGCTGCCATTGCAAAAACCGTGCATCGGTGAGACGGGGAGGCAAACCTGGGCAAATTCATCATCTAATGACAATAGACTTAGCGATCAATGCACGAGATGAAAGATGAAAGATGTTGAATGGAGACCAACCGTCGAAAATTCTTTGCGTCGAACGCTCAACTGTGACATCGTAGCCTGCATCAATCAATGCTTTGCAAGTGGTCGGGGTCACTGCAGGTTACGAGATATGAGTCAATATTGACAATGGCTAGTAGCTAAGTACGTGGGGAGGCTGATAGCTCACAAGCAGAGCGGGCCTCAGCGGGCTTGGTCTCAGCGCGCAGCCAAATCTTCTGTCCAGCCATTGTGCTTCGGGGCAATTGAGTGATTTTGAGGAGAATATGCAGAAAGCAAAATCAATTGAGAAAGATTGGCATTTTCGAAAGCATATCTTCCACCACAAGCCTATGACACACACTCATTGCGGGGTGGGTTGTTCCGCTCCGCAAAGAAATGAGTCAGCCCGCCGATGATCGGCCCCGCCGGGGTCTCGCTAGAAACATCGAGGCGGCATTGTTGAAAGCATAGAACTGCATCCGACCGCAGAAATGGTGTCGATCCTCGACAATAGCATCAAGGGAGCACCTCTTTCTACTGAGGATTCTAATCAGGACTATCAAGAGTTCCAATTTAGTGGCTCATGACTGTACAAAAGCAGGGTTCTTCCCACCCTGCCACGAACGCCCTGAGTACATACTTCCAAGTTCCCCACAATGTCATCGAATTGACTAACAAAACGGTTCGCGCCACGCGCTCCGCAGCTGCTTAATTTCGACGCCGCCGGACATATACCTGGAGAATGTAGAATAAAGAAGCGTAAAGAGAAAATCGTCAATTCGCAACGAGGTACAAAGCCGAACAGAAGGTAAAAGCGACAGCTCCAACATCATATCTACCCCCCCCCCCCCCCCCAAAAGCCTCAAGAGTCCTTCGTGCGGCTACGCGTGCGGGTACCAGGTCCATCAGTCGGCAAGACTTTCTTAACGGCCTCTTTGACCTTCTCTTTCTTGGAGGAACTGCTATCCTTTGCCTTGTCTGGCGCCTCGGTAGCGCCGGTAATGTTGCTTGCGCCATTGGTCCCGTTGTTGGTCTTATGTTCAGTCTTTTGTTTCTTGCTGTCATGCTCCTCGCCTTGTTCCACACCAGAGTTGACTTTTGTTGAAGATTCGCCCCCAGCCAACGGAGTATCTGTCACTTCGAGATCACGTTTCTCGCCTGTCTTTGGACTTTGCGCGGCGGCAGTGCTGACCTCGTCGACGGGCTTGGATGGCTGTGCCGCGGGCTTGGGTGGCTCTGCCGCGGGCTTGGTCTCAAGAGAATCGCCTTGCGCAGGCTTGGTAGGTTCCGCAATGCTACTAGCAGTATCTGGCTTCACCTCAGTAGTCTCCGCACCTGCAGGTTCAGAAGCCGCGACTGAGGCGCCAAGAGGATCGTCTGAGGCCGATGCATCGGTCGTTTGCATACTTTCAACCGGCTTGGGAGCTTCAGGGTGCTCAATGGCTCCATTAGTTTTGGCGCCCTCACCAGACACTGATTCGCTGTCTGTTTGACAGGTGTTCAAGACATTGTGAACTGGCTGAGAAGATTCATTGCCTTTGGGTGCAGTACTGGTAGGCGCAACCTCGTCTAATTGCAAGTCAGCATCATTGTTTTCTTCTCCGTCTATTAAGCACAGTAACAGAAAGGCAACGAGGTACGAGGGCCTAGAGACTGAGACTGAATCTTCACCAGGCAGGGATCAATGCACCTAGCTTGGAATCCCTGTTGTGCTCGCGACGACGGAAGAAACATACTTAGCACTTCGGAAGCGGAAAGCTCAGAGGAAGCCTCTCGAGACATGACCTATTGATAGGATACACGAACTGCGCGCAAAATTGTGGTGCGTAGCCAAGTATGAGCTATGAATGAACTCCTCAGGTAGTCTTGGGCGGTGGAGGTAAGAAAAGATAAATTCTGGTTGCGAAAAGTGGAGAGAATGGAAGAAAGGCTGATTGTTATTGAGAGAATGGACGTCGCGCGGTGACGTTTACTTCCAGTTAACTACTAGTTATGTGACAATAGAAGCTGGATACTCCACCACAGGACGCTAACCGCATCGGGCCATAGACTCGGCTGACGACTTGCGCCCCCGCAACTATCCACCTGCTCTTCGTATTGGATTGACGATGCAACGAACATTTCAAAAATATCCGAGAGACAATTACTTGTGGCAAACACGCTTCATCGAGTGCAAACCGTCGAGCGACTAGCGCAGTACACCTGGAGTATATCAAGCGATATCTCCCACAATCGCTAGCGAAGGGGGAACCGTTGAGCGGTGCTTGTGATAGACGTTGGTTGGCGCACAGATCGCCGCAGCCCGAGTGGAGCATGGCGAAGTGGGCAACACAAGAAGCGTCATCGCGCCATGAAAGAGGCGCTGAGCGCCGCCCAGGCAGTCGGCAAGGGTTCCACAAGTTGAATTTGACTTTCCTCTCGAGATGAGGAAACGAGACCTAAGCTAGACTGAAGGTGCATGTGGTATTCACAGTCTGATAGACTGACAGTGACGCTCAATCTCCTTGAGCTGCATCCATGTGTCTGTGTCAAGCTTGCGGAAAGGCCAGTCAGAAGGGCACACGACCGGAGGCGGTCGTGGTACCTTGATAGGTGCCTTGTTGTGAGAACTTCCGTGATTGAAAGATGGTTGGTCCAGATGGAATCATGTCCAGCTCATGTTTAATCGTCGTAGTAGATAGTCCTCCTCCTCGGTCACGCGGGAGCGGGAGACCTCAACGCTTGCTGAGGCAGTCTCTTCGGGGAGCAACTCTTGAATTTGATGTCCCAAATTAGTCGCCAGCCGAATCTTTTTCCGATCGATCAGCGCGCGGAGAGCATCGCAACTGACCCTCAGAAAAGCATCCTGACGGGTATCACTCCATTTCTGGAACTTCTTGGGCGACAGGCTGTCCACATAATGAATGAACGGAGTGGGATCTGGATGACTTGGATGACAGAGGGCCACGGATGAATATAGCAATGATCGTGAAGATGATAAAGTCGAGATGATACCAGCAAATTCGTCGAATATATGGACCGATAGTTGAGCGGGGGATGGTTTCAGCTCTCCGAGAGCACGAGCTAACTGGGCACCGGGTGCAAGCAACAATGTCTTGGCGGCTTTGAGGTCCCCGTGGACATCAGCTGACAAAACTTGCAGGCTACGTGCACGCAAATAGTAGGTGATGGCAGAGCCCACCCCGGCTCCATACCGAATCTCGGCGTCAAGAAGATCTTGAAGCAGGTGGTTGAACATGAGTCGAGCCTGGTCCGGTGTCAAGCTGCCATTGAGCCCACCAAGGTCCCCCGTCAAAAGCATCTTTAACCACTCGAGCACCGTTTCTTGCAACCCTTCTGCGACCATAAATTTGGCTAAGGAGCCAGTGGAGGCTCTGTTCTGTAATAACGATCGCCTCGATGCGCCGTCAGAAGCCCAGAACCAGTTCGCCACTTTAGAGCCGGCTCGAGTGAGTTTCATGGCGGCTGGCAAACCTTCCTCCCCAGACGATCTTGCCAGAAGTAGCTGCGATTTCAGACAATCTGTGATGAAGACCGGCGTTGCGGTTCCGGCGGCAAAAGCTTGGTCAAACAGGACCATGGGATCCTGAGCGAGGGTGTCAGGACATCGAGTTGAAGGGGCACAGTTCTGGCTCCGAGCGATGATGGGAGTCTTTTGAGGCACAATCCGAAACAACGGGTTATCTAGAATACTGTGAAGATGCTGATCCGTTGCATGAGCGGAAGAAGTGCTATTCAAGGACGGGCGATCGCTTGTCGGACGTTCAGAAGGGCTCGGGGACGGATAGGTGCGGTCAAGTTGGCGGCGGAAGGATGACGTGAGAGCGTTCAGCAATTGCTGAGACTCACGAGGTGTTCGAGGCAACGGCTGATGGATCTTTGTCCATGATTTGAACGACAGTAATGAGGTACCCTTCATGGTTGCTGCGATGGGGTATTGGTGAGTCCCAACAAGCACAGTGGATATGATGCGGAGGGATGGGATCGTGAAGGGAGGGATCGCCGCGAGGGGTGGGCGGTGAAGCAAGACGAGTGCGCCCGAAATGGATGACGAGGAGACCGGGTGAGTAGGACAGACGAGTCACTCCCCCAGACGAGACCGGAAGTACGTGAATCAGAGTCGATAAGATTCAGTAAAAGCGTGAGACTAGCAGTATGCGAGTGAGCGACTGGATCCTCTCACGATCGCCAACTTGTAGTGCCAGGAAAGAAGAAAGATTGCGGGCAGGCAGTCGCGACCCAGCGCGACCCAATAGGCGCCACTCGCTAAAAGCCGGGCGGCGCCAAGACCAGCTGTGACTGCGAGCAACACATCAGAACCTTTAGCTTTTACCTTCTCCATACTATTGCTGTTCCTCTCCTCCCCTCCTTCTCTTCGCCAACAACCCCCAATTCCTCTTTCCAGATCTCTGATCTTGTCCGTTTCGGTGTCTTTGGACTCTTTTTGACCCGCCCTCCGTGGTCCTGGTGCTGTTCCTCTACTGCGAGGTTGCATCTCGACTCATCATCACTTCAGATCTTTCCCTCCTACCACGAATCCCTTGCGACAAGAACCTCCTCTCCCCCCATCGTCCTCCTTCCAATTCCACCATCTCACACATCCATTAGATACAATGTCTGAAGTTCAGAGCCGGTCGTCTGCCCGTGGCAGAGTATCCACCCGCGGTGGTCGTGGTGGTTATAGCTCCAGAGGTGGCCGTGGTGGAAGCAGCAGAGCCGCAAACAACGACAGCTCAGACCTGGCTTCATTTGACGAAGGCGAACTTGGTCAGATGAAAAAGAAGTATTCGGATGCTCTGCCCACTCTCAAGGAGTTGTTCCCCGACTGGAAAGACGAAGACCTTGTATTTGCTCTCGAGGACTCCAATGGCGAGATTGAGGAGGCCATCGAACGCATCACCGAAGGTAGAAACCACTCTTCACTTGTCCCCTTCCCTTGTCTCCTTTGCTGTGATAGTCGAGTATGGGACTGCAAGATGATTTTGAAAATTGCGTGCTGACGGGCTGTCTCTTTCCGCAATCGCAGGCAACGTGTCGCAGTGGGGTGAGGTCAAGAAGAAGACAGTCGACAGAACCCGACCGAAGCCCAAGGAAGTCCAGAACACCTCTGAGATCAACTCAACTTCAGTCCGTGGAGGCCGTGGTCGTGGTGGATTTGAAGGTCGCGGTCGTGCTCGTGGGGACCGTGGTCGCGGTGGTCGTGGAGGACGGGCTGGCGCCCAGGTCTCCAACGGACCCCACACTTCAGCTTCTGGTGCAACCACTGCCGCTCCTTCCTCAACTGAGACCTCCGCGGCGAACGCCTGGGCTGAGATTGAAACCGAGCCTACCGTGTCTGCACCTGAGCCTGTTGCGCCCAAGGCAAACGTCGCAGCAGAAGGCACTAAGAAGGGCTGGGCCAGCCTTTTCGCGAAACCTACCCCCCCTCCCGCGCAGCATAAGAAGGCACCCGAGCCTGTCCCTGCTCCCGCTTCCGCTCCCGCTCCTGAAGCCGCGCCTGAGCCTGAGCAAGCCGAAAAACCTCAAGTTGAGCAGCAAGAGGAAGCTGAGCCTGTCCCAGCAACTGCCAGTGCGCCCGCGCCTGCTGCTGCTCCCGCGCCTGTTCAAAAGACACCCGTCCCCAAGCCCGCCGAGATGACCGTTCCTGTCATCCCTCAGGCGCACTCAAAGCCTGCTAAGGATGATTTGACGGAGACCAACCTCGAGCAAATCCCTGATGTCTCTGCACCAGCACCTACTGCAACCGCTGCCAGCACTATCGGCAGCACCTTTGACCCAGCCGCCTCAGTGACTGCCACTCCATCCCGCGCCACCCCCAGCGCTCTTCCCGGCTCCGCTCTGAAGCACAGCACTCGTGCTCCAGGGTTCCAGCGCCGCGTTATGGAGCAGCAGCAGGCCGTTGTGATGCCGGGAAACCACGCAGTCGACCGTGCTGCTGTTCAATTCGGCAGTATGGGCCTAAATGGCGATGCTGTTGACATCGATGAGAACCGCGAGGAGGCCGAAACTCGCGCTCAGCCTCCTCAGCATTCACCAGTTGCACCCCGTGCATCTTTGCCCCCGGTCACCCAGGGCGCCCTCGAGACTCGTCCCGCCCCTGGCCTTCCCCCGTCCCTCAGGGATCTACTGATTCCTTCAACGACTTTGCTCGCTATTCCTCCGAGACCCAGAAGCCCTTCGATCCTTTCACTCACCAAATCGGCCAGCCCCAGCCGCAAATCCAAGAACCCTTCGCCAATCAGGCCCCCGTGCAGCCCGCTGCCACTAGCGGCAGCGAATACTCTCCTTTTTACGCTGTTGACCAGCAGCGCTTCCCCTACAACTACTACGGCAGCTATGGCCAGACTCAGGACGCTGGTGCTGGACCCCGCGGTGCTGCATTCGGTGGTGTCTCTGCTGCCGAATCCCAACCTCAGGTCCCCGCAACCCAGCCCGCTGGACGATACGGCCCTGTAGATGCCACCAACAGTGGTCACAACACCCCCAATCCTACCATGCCCGCTGCGACTCAGACCCCTGCTGCTCAGCACATGCCGGGTCAGCAAAGCGCTCACGGTTACGGCTACGGCTACCCGTATTACTCAAACCCCCACTATGCCTCTTACATGAACCAAATGGGTCAGCATGGTGGCGCCGCGTACGGCCGCTCTGGACGCCCTTACGACGATGCCCGCCGCTACGACGAGCAACAGCACTATGGCATGCCTCACACCTCTCAGTATGGCTACGGAAGCCAATACGGACCTTATGGCGGAGCCACTGCGGCCGCCGGTAAGGGCGGAATGTATGGCCAGCCTCACGGTTTCTCTTACGATCACGCCTCTTCTCCCGCCAACGCTGCTGCTGCCAGCTTCAATCAAAGCACTCCTGGCCGTGATTCTGTCTATGGTCGCGCTGGCTCTGCCCAGCCTGACAGCCAGCAGACTGCTGGCGGCGCCAACAGCTTCGGCAGCGGAATGTCTGATGTCTTTGGACGGTCCCAGGCTGGGTTCGGTCAGAACCCTCCTGTGTCTCAGCAGCCTCCTGTGACCGGTGAAGAGAGCAAGGCTTTCGACGCCTCCAAGACTGGTGGTCCTTCCCCGTCCCTTGCCCAGGCCAACCGCCCTGGCTCTGCCACCAACACCCCTGGTCAGACTCAGAGTCAGTCCGGTCTGCCCCCTCTGCAAGGCCAGCAAGGCCAGCAAGGCTTCGGTGGCTATCCTCAGCTGAACCCCCAATACGGAGGTCTTGGAGGTCTCAGTGGTCACCAGGGTGGTGCTTCCCAAACTCACCAGCAGCAAAATGCTTACGGTAACTACGGTGCCGGCTTCAGCAACTACTACGGTAACACTGGCCGCGGCAATGGTGGTTGGGGCGGCAACTACGGTCACTAAAAGCCACAGAAGGCCTACCTCTTTTTCTGAGAGATCTTTCCTTTTCTCCGGTTCTCTTACAACATACGAAACACAAATGGCGTTGCACCTGCAGATGAAGTGAAAAAGCAAACAAAGCAGTCTGGCGTTTCTTTCTGCTCTGCGGTTCGTTCCTCGAGGACAAGGATTGTGGGCCTTGGCACCCGATCCTGAGCCTTCGAGTCTGGTACGAGTGAATGATGGAAACGACCCTTGCAAAACTTTCTCATCACATTTTCCCTTTTCAACATCTGTGTAATCTCTTCTCGCTTTTTGGGAGCTTTTGGGTCGGATATGGGAATATTCAGTCTACGTGTGTTCTGGTTCTCCGTGCTCTCTACAACTCTTTTATCTTTCATCGTGTCTTGCTCCTTCGAACTAAGGTTTATCGGTCTCTTTATCCTGTCTCGATCTCCTTCTTTGGCTCCAACTACACTTGATGTAGCCTGTATTAAATCTATCAGTTCCACCCATCGAAACGATATTTGTTATGTGCCTTTCTTTCTAAAGCTCCGCTCATTTCATCTTCAGTAGTTGCCACAAAGGCGAGGACTACTGTGGTCTTGGCCGGGTTTCACTTCGTAGTGCGGCAGTAACCTTATCTGCTCAACGTCTTAATGACACACAGAGGTCTCGGCAGGGTAAGGTTACGTTTGCAGCTTGGGTTGATTCTTTAACGGGTACTTTCAAGCCCAACCAACGATAAAGATTGCCCTGCAGATCGAAAGGTGTTCCGATGCCAAACATGCTGAGGTTCATCGACAAGTTAAATACCTTATGTCCAGCCCTGGATTTGAAGTGGTCTAGTCTAGGTAGGATGGCTCCCATGGCCCGAGTCTACAGCTTCAATGTCAAAAGGAAACACCCTAGGTGATATTCCCGGTGTGGATGATGCTGGTGCGCACCGGGTGTCTTGTCACTTAGAAATTACAAGTCACGATTGGAAGGGAATGTCAATCCTTGCAGGGCTGCTGTAGGGAACAAGGGTGGGAATATGTCGCTGGCTTGTCGAGGTAGTTCGTAACGTGTTTGATGCTTGAGCTTGAACGATGATGCAGCCCGCTGGGGCAAGGAGACTCCAGGTTCCCTGCGTATTTATCATGGCATTGACAGAATACGGAGCACCCCGAGCCGGAGATGATTTGATGAAGTGTGGCAGCGGAGCCATTGTCACGGCAAGAAAGATATATAAAGCCACATGGCACATGCCGGAACAAAAGTATATACAAGGCAGAATCAAGATGCAATCAAAATACAATCACTGGACAGTAGCAGCAACATGAACCAAAGCTTCTCCCTCAATGTCAAAACGTGGAGGATGCGGCAGAGTCGTCTCTTTCAACAGAATATACAGCGTGCAAGGGCTTTGCCTTTTGATTTCAACACGCAGCAGAGAGCATTATATTTGCGGCTTCTTGCCAGAAATGAAGGAAACCTCTTTTTACTGAGTCAGTCCTAAGCCTTCGTTGCCGACCTTGTGGTAAGGTGGCTGTGCACCCGCGGCGCGGCTGGGGTCAAAGCGCCAAATTCCGCCAGTCTTGTCGGTCTCGAGCTGTCCAGAGAGATCGAGAGTGTTGGTCAACTGCTGGAACAAGGGGTCGTCGTCCTTCTCATCAATACGATTGAAGAAGCGACGCTCCCACTCGCGGCCCTCGGCCTTTTCGACCCGGCGTAACTCGCGTTGAGCGTTCTCGATACGGGACTTGTACCCGGAGACGGCATCCATGTCACCCTTCACAATGTTGTTGGCGACGTCGGCCCAGGCCCGACGGCTCTCCCACAGATCCTGCTGCTCAAGAGGGGCCAGTGTCAGGGGAGTGGTCGGATTCTCCTTCACGACCCAACGATCAACAACCTCCTTCGTGCGGGCATTCTTAATTGTAAAAGTATCGGACCACTGTCCCTCGACGATATACAGAGGTTTCTTCTCTCCCTCGCTGGCCTTGTACAGGCTGGCAGTGAAAGTGTTCTTCTTGCCGCTCAGCCAGCCCTTGCCCGAGTAATCGATCTTCGCGACATAGCCTGTGCTGCTGGCGATCTTGGTAGACTTTTCCAGCTCAACAAACGGAGTTCCGTAGATGAGAGACTCGATGTGTAGACTTGGGAGAGTGATCACATATTTCTCCTTCTCACTGGAGCCGGGAGGGGTGATGGTATATTGCGCATGGCCGATCTGCTTCACTTGAATGGTGCTTGAGAAGGACGCTTTCTGGGCGTTGTATCCTTGCAACTGTGCGTGGAAAATATCGATGAGCAAATTGTCATGGCATGCCACGTGGCAAGGATAAGGTAAAATTGAGAGAGTCTCTTCATGACTTACCTCGACACCGTGCTTCTCGTTCTGGATGGCGTACGCCGTGACAGGAGGATGGTGGCTAGAACCCAGAAATGGCATCAGTGGTTGCTCCCTTACGGTACTGGTATCGCGACTGTCAAGGGTGTTACACCTACCTGACCTGTTCACTGATCAATGTGGTCTCACCCACATCCGAGTTAGGGCTCGCCAGCCACTTTCCGATAAAGAGCTCACCCAAGAAGGGGTTCAGCGGCTTCTTCTCGCTTCCCAGCTTCTCACTTCGACTGCAGTATTGCTGGTGAAGAGTCGTGAGGAACCACTTGAGAACGAGCAAAGCCCGCTTCTCTGGGTCGGCCTCCTTGGCAGGGGCTACAAAGACGGAGGGATGTTCGGCCCAGTAGGCTGAGTACTCGGTCAGTGAGGTAGTGGAGAGAATGAAGGGTGGTGCGGTCAAGGAAGACAAGTCGCCGTTGAAAGAGGCGATGGACTGTCACAGATTACAGCATGTCAGTTTGCGCGATCGAGAAGCTCATCATGGCACATAACAACCATGATCCTCGTTCTACGATCTTCGTTGTTGCTCACATACCTTGAGGAAACTCGACCAGGAGCCCTTGCTCTGCGGCGGGACCTGGCTTTGGGGTTCTTTTTTGGACGACATGGTGTTGATAAGGACTTGGGGACCGTTGACGAGGGAGATTGACGAAAGATATGGAGTGAAAGGAAGGAGGGAGAGAAAACAGGAGCAGGTGGGTTTCAATGTGCTATCCACAATAGTGAGAACCGACCAAAAGAGGGAAATAAAAGGGACACCACTAATCGCAAAAGTGTAGGTTTAAGTTAGCGTCGTCACCAAATAGATTTGGTGGGGAGGGGGAAAGAGCGGGCGGTCAAAGTGGATCAGGTGGGATAACCGTATAACGTCATGCAAGGCGATCTGTGCGAGTACTGTAGTGTAGATTGTCGAGGGTAGAGTGTAGCCTGTAGTAGCCTGTAGTAGAGTATCTGCATACTACAACGTGTACTTGTAATATGTATGTTTGTACGTACCCCCTCTACAGAATCGTCTGTGTTTTCCTCGATGCGAGTCTGTAAACTGTACAGATGATCGACTTCGGTCTGAAGAGATCCATCGTCAGCGGCGATGCTGCTCACCTATGAACCCATGCATAGACGCAATGGGGGCCAAGCCTGAGCTTCACGGATATCCCTCGACTCTTTATCGCAATCTATGGGAGTCCAGCCTCCTGATATCTCTCAGAGAACGGCGCTGTACTGCTGGTACTTACGAGAGCACTTTGGGTTCGTGTAATTTCTACGCCCACCGAATTCCTAGGGACTCCCTACTACCAGTACCTAGTACCTACCACCTTACATACCTGACTCTCCAGTCTACAGTCTACAGTCTACAGTCGTCCTCTAGTACTTGGACCCTGGAGGCGCGAGTCTTGCATAATACAATTGACCCACTCACATCAAGGTCTTTCCACTAGCCGGGCTAGTAGTCCTGACGCCGTCATGGCCAGAGATCGGTCTTTGTGGCGGCGGATCTCCGGTTGTAGCTTAACATCAAGCGGGACTCGTTCTCGCATTGCACAGCCCCAAACGTGGCTGGAAAGGAGCTAACCTGATCTCGTCCGCGAGAAACACGTGCTCAAGGATCATCACAATCACATGAGTCTCAGGGAGCTCAACTGGACGCTGATCTTTTCTGTGTCCAAGGCATTCGTGTCAGATATGGAAAGCATTGCTCAAGGTGAGACAGCTCCACGCCGGTTGGAAAGGCACCCTTGATGAATACCCTCCAAATCGATGATACTTCAGTAGTCAGCACTAGTATCAGCTGGATATTGGAATGATGATTCGACATACTTGTTGCTTAACAACCGTTGCTATCAGTCGAGAGCTCTTGTACGGAGCAGAGTCTCTCAAACGCTGGCTAACCTACAGACTGCAAAGACGCTGCATCTGGCCCAGCAAGAAGATAATCAGCGGTAGCCGTTGAACCAGGGGGGCTATGCCGAGCATACTGACTGTGTCCCTTTCAGCGTTCAGGTTTGGCTGCCAACAATCTTGCCCTCGTCGAATTGCCAATATCAATGGACCCTCAAATGAAGAATCATCATCTAGAAGGGTCCAGATGCGTGGTGAAAAACAAGAATGATTTGACCGACTACGAAGGCCTCGCAGTGCCAAATGCACGCCCGGATTCTTTTCCGCTCAAATTACCGCATGTGGAAGAGGCGGCTGTGACTGTCACCGAGCCGAAGCCAGTTTCCTACGGACTTCTTTCCGAAGTCATGATAGCCATTGGTCACGATACCGAGGAAAACTCACTTGGGTCGAAGAACTGAATGGATCTGCAAATATGGAGCAAAGGAGGAGTCATGATTCTCGAGTGTGGTTAGTGCTGCCACCATATCTGTTATGTCATTTGCCGGGACGGTACACGGGTCCTGGTTGTTCTTGCTCTGGTTATGCACAGAAACAACGCCGAGCGCACCGATCCTCGGTCAACAATCATTTTCGCCGAAGTTGGGCTCTGATTCCTCGAGCTGGGTCAGTCATATTGAGTCGTGTGTTTTTGATCCTCATATTGCTTCTGTTCAAGTATTTCTTATCCGTGGACGTGACCTTGTCTTGACAGCGACTCGAGCAAGTCTTTCCTGGAGGTTGTATATGCTTCGGAATGATTCCGAAGTCAATCGATGATAACATTGAGCAGTCGATTATTTCCCGGTAAGTCGCCGTGAGATCGAAAGCAATCATGGCTTATATGCTGAAAGTCACAGATCAATCATATCCTCCCGTCGCTCTGCGATATTGTAAAACGTACACGCACAGCGATCATGTCGGTTTCACCGTCCCGTACTTCTCTCAACGAGAATCACAGAAGAAATTCAGCAAAGACGAACGAGACCGACCAAGGCGCGAAAGCTCAAAGTGACCCGATCACTCCCAATGAGCTTCACGTGGTACAGAGCCATATATCACATCATGACATGCCTATCAACAATGATGATTTCCACGAGGTAGACGCGGAGCAGTACTTGTGTTTCTCTCCCGCTCGCAAGAGAATCATCGTCTTCATTTTATCGTTCTGCTCATTCTTGGCACCAATATCTTCGACGTCAATTCTGTCGGGTATCCCCGAAGTGGCTGATACTTTTCACACCTCGGGGAGTGTGATTAACGCCAGCAATGCGCTCTATCTGGCTTTCATGGGCATCTCTGCCCCGTTTTGGGGCCCATTCAGTCAAGTTTATGGGCGACGACCAGTAGGTGAAACCCTTTGAACCCTTTGAACCCTTTGAACCCTCGAGACTCTTGACCGAATTTGTCAGAGGCGCGAATGCTGATCTCCTCGGCCTCGATTCTCGATCACAGATCTTTCTTGCGAGTGCTTTCCTCTTCTTCGCGTTTAGTATTGGCACGGCCGCAGCACCGAACTTGCCGGCCTACTTTATCTTCCGAGTCCTGACGGCCTTCCAAGGAACATCTTTCCTCGTCGTAGGAAGTTCTGCAATCGGCGATGTCTACGAGCCTCGTGCGCGAGCCACGGCCTTGGGATGGTTCCTGTCTGGTACCCTCATCGGGCCGGCTTTCGGTCCATTCATTGGTGTATGTTCTTTGTCTTTCATGTTTGTGATTTGATGGAACAGACTACCGAAAACCCCCGTTCTAGAAGCTGACGGTCTGACTTCGTTCTTTCCAGGGCGTCATCGTCACCTTTCGGTCGTGGCGGGTAGTCTTCTGGCTTCAAACCGCCCTCGGCGGATGTGGCACGCTACTTGTCTTCTTTTTCTTCCCCGAAACATACGGCCACCTGGACAAAACCAGTCTTGCGTCCAAGAGCTTCTCCGAGAAAGCAAAATATCTTTCTCATCGGGTAAACCCATTCCGAGTAGGCATTCTCCTCTTTTCATACCCGAATCTCTTCTTCGCGGGTCTGGCTGCGGGCGCTCTAGTGTGGAACCAGTATTCTCTCCTCACACCCATTCGATACGTTCTCAATCCGCGCTTCAATTTGACGAGCCCCATTCAGTCCGGACTATTCTACATCGCCCCAGGATGCGGCTATCTCATGGGCACCTTTGTAGGCGGCCGGTGGGCAGACCACGTGGTGAAGAAATGGATCCGCAAGCGCAGCGGAGCCCGAGTCCCCGAAGACCGTCTCAAATCCTGTCTCCTATTCATCACTCTGCTGATTCCAGGCTGCATCCTTGTCTACGGATGGACCGTGGAGAAAGCCGTCGGCGGGATTCCAGTGCCCGTCCTCGTGATGTTCCTCCAGGGCGTAGGCCAACTCTTCTGCTTCCCCAGTCTTAACACCTATTGTCTGGATGTGATGCAGTCCACAGGTCGGAGTGCCGAGGTGGTGGCGGGCAACTATATGTTCAGGTATGTCTTTGCGGCATTGGGTTCGGGGACGGTCCTTCCTGCTGTGCAGGCGATTGGAGTGGGATGGTTCAGTACGATTAGTGCTTGTTTCTTGGTCATTTCGGGTCTTTGCGTTTGGGCGACGACGATCTTTGGCTCGTCGTGGCGTGAGAAGGTCGATGAGCGGAGTCGACGAAAGAAGGAAGCCAGGGTGGTATCTGAGACTCCAGTATAGGGTCAGGAGAGGTGCTTCTTGTCGTGTTCCTCATTCTTGTGTTTCTTCGTTTGTTTCGAAAGTTTCGTCACCTGTGTTCTGGCTCTTCCGTCTGCATGCGGTCAAAACTGACAGGTGACGCTTGCATAAAAAAAGCATACAGAACTCTGTTAGAAGCTCCAATGGCCTTTGCAAGTTTAGCCTATTTCTTCTAGATGAGAGTCTCGATATCAGAATGAATTTCCATGTTCACAAAGTTCAATGATTTTCCATTGGACCTTAACGTGCGCGAATCTGCAACTCAATCCTCATCACCCTGATGCGTCATTACTCCTCGATCAACCCTCCTCACCGAACCCTTACCCTTATTCAACCGCTCCACATCGACGCCCGTATCTGCCGCGACACGATCAACCTGTCGTCTCTCAGTAAACTTCCGACAGTCCTCGCGACCCTTTTCCACATCCACGAAGCAAATCACAATCAGCGCGGCGGCACAGATCGCAAAGAGAAATGGGAACCCCATCCAATTATTCCGTGAGTCGTTGATGATAGCTTGAATCACGCTGGGCCCAATGATAGAGGACTTTGAGGAATGGAATGGGGGTTCGGAAGCGTCAGCAATGTCCCTTTGTTTTTCTCTTTCCATGACAGCGCTTGGGTGCATGTGGCTTTTGACTCACTGCGCGATTGGTTATGCCGAAGAGCGCGAAGAACATGTTATCGTAGCCGCGGGGAATCATTTCAGAGACCATGGTTTGGGCGTACTGATAATTTTTTTCTTTCCTTTTAGCTTGGCTGATCTCGATGCTCGGGGCGGTTCGGGTTCAAATAAGGAGGGGGACATCGTACCGCATAATATGGGGCCTGAAATAGACCGAATATCACGTTGTAGAAATAGAATTCCCACTGCAAGATAGCATTCGCCGGGTTAGTGTTTTGCAACATCGAGGTGTTCTATTCAATGTAGGTGCGTGGCTTGTCTTACTGTATTGTGATATCCAATACGCCTGGTCCAAAGTCCTAGCATCCCCCAAAAGGGAATCAACACGGTAAAGCAATTGGTGAATAAGAACATCGACTTTGTCTTGTATCGGAAGTACTTCTGGATGTACCAGAACCCGAAGGTTGACGTGATTGAACATGCTGCTTGGGTGATACCCAGGTAAGTCAATTGAAGAAAGGAGAACGAAATCTGATCGTTCTGAATGATGTTCACCAGAGTTCCTGAGAAGATGTTAGCATATACCGTTGGTGGAAACGATCTCTTTCGACAGACTCACCCGTTGTGTTCAGGCCATCGGCCAGAAGGAAATACGCGACAAAGTAAAGAAATGTCTGTGGAAGAGATCTGATCTCGCGCAATGCTAGCCATATCTGCTTGAAGCCTACAGTTGCGTAATTGGAACCTTTGGGGACAGGAGGACCAGGACGTTTCTGCTGAAATAGGAACCACCAGATTCCTAGAATGACCCAGTCTGACGTCGGCTATTGTTAGTATTCTTCTCACTTGCGGTTCACAATACCAGGATGTTCCCTACATGAATTGGTCAGGCAGAGTGCTAGATTATTGGAAAACGGATTGTTTTGCATCGGCAAAAGGACGCTCAAATTCAACACTAGCGTGAGCAAGTATCCGATGTTGCTGTGGGCTGTCGAGATATTGCTAGACTCTGTGTTTAGCAAGATATTTCACCGTGAATGACAAGCCCTCCGTAAAATACCTTATGTGGTTACGCTCGAGCGACTCAATCACATCGTACTCCTGTTGATCAATTTCGCCCTCTCGTAGTTCTTCTTCACGTGCCTTTCGCACATGAGGCATGTACCTTGCCAGTCGAGGGAACACGGCCGCGTAAAATACCAGCGTGGACCCATAGCAAATGTAAGCGACGATATACATTGCCATTGCAGCCGGCCATTGACTCGGCTCGCGAATAGCCATCATGCCGTACTGTAATGCCCAGCAAACCACGGTCAGAGCAAGAAGAAGCCATCGGCCAAAGGACCCGTAATCAGCGGCACTGCCAAGCCAGACGAATATAACTGTCATGAAGGTGAAGCAGAGACCGTTGGCAATTAGAACCACCGACGAGATTGACCGCGTGCTACCGGCCCAAGGCACCACACAGGCGGACGAGCTGGTGCATGGCAACGGGGGCTCTGTGTTTGGCTGGAATCCAGCTCCATTCAAGGCCCATTGAAATCTGTGTGAATGTGTATCAGTATCAGCATGCTTTCCCACTGCAATACGCGATTGCTCGGCTACAGATTCGTACAATGCCTGAGTATAAGAGCCGGGACCAACACCATTATCACCTGTATGGTGATTGATGGTCAGCAAAGGCCTGAAGACATCAGTAATCAATAGAGCAGATCTCACCATTGTAGTAAAGATAATAAGACCAGAGCTCTTTTCTTGTTGTGGTTGGCTGCGCATATGCATCCTCGTCCACTCCAAATAGCCGCGCGTACTCATCGACCGTGTGCTCAGACTCCTCCGGTGGCGTCGAACATGTCGGAGCCACTTCCACCGTCGCATCTGCTTTCACACTCTGTCCACTTTTGAACTTCATCCTCAAGTCATTGAGCACCGGCAATCGTTGAGATGAAGATAAAGAGAGAGGAAGGAAAGGGAGTCAAGAGGACGATCACAGACTTTGTGCCCGGAAAGAGTCACATTGACAATGCCGTTATCAAAAGGTCTACCCCGCATTTGAGGTATGTCGTCTTGATAGCCTGCCTGTCCTACGCTTCCTTGTCACTGGTAGTCAATGTTTGTCTCTCGCTGATTATATTTGTCTGAAATGAGATAGAAGCGAGGTAGAGTTAACCTGGAGAATCGAAGATGAGGCATACCCGTTGCGCAATGTAACCTTGCCTTGAAGAATCAGATCGGAATCCGCTCACGTGTCCATGCCACGTGCTTTTCTCGTATAGCACAATAAAATATGAGATTGCTTGCAGGGAAACAAGTCTGCAAGTAGCGGCTCCTCTGCCAAGGTAGGAGACGTGGAATCTACATGGGGCATCCTCTCAGTCGCATCCAGACATGTGGCCCAGCAGGAGCATCGCTCCAAACTCAAACTTCACAGGCGGTTTCGAAGATGTCTCGTTGAGATCGCTACAATGGCTGAGACTGAAGGCAGAGAGGGGCTTGTGTGACTGGAAGAGAAAGGTCGAGGGAAGGCGAGGAGACCTTCGATCGGGCAAATTAAGCTAAAAGGGTAGAGGTACACATTATCAGCCCAGGTCACAACGTCGGATTAGGCCATTCGATGGCATCACATAGACTGAGTGGGAGGAGATGTCATTGAATCATGGAAAGAGGTCTATCTACCGAATTAAAATAATATGAATATGCAAAAGGAACAAGTCCACCTGGTTCCCAAGAAAAGCGCCAGCCCTATGCAGAAATACAAATCAAAGCGCAGGAACAACCATTTCCCCCTTGTTTTCAGTCTTCTTGACGCTCTTCCACTCCAAGAACAGGCTCGCCACGAACGCGCACACGGCAAGGGCCAAACTGACGCGGTAAGCATCCCGCAAGCCACTCATGTAGGCCTTGATCACATTCGCCAACTGATCCAGCTGTCCCAAGTCGGTGAGCACTTGGCGGGTCGCCGTGGCACCCCCACCTACGATCGCCTCGGGGTTGACAGAGGGGGCGTACTGTTGTACGCCACTGATGAGACCGTTCTGGAAAACAGACTGGGCCACGGCAATGAAGAGAGCACCTCCAAGGGTCTGGGCGGCCATGACGATGGCGGTGCCGACGGGGATATCGGCGGCGGGCAGAACGGTCTGGACAGCCGTCATGGGCACCTGGAAGCCTGCACCGGTACCGGCACCAACGATGATCTGGTATCCGATCCACTTGGCGGACGAAATACCCACGTCGTAGGTGGTGATCATGCCGGTGCCGATGGCGGTAATGGCGGCACTGACGATGAGGAAGGGGGCGTAGTAGCCCACGGCGGTGATTGCGCCACCCATGACCACCGAGGAGACGACAGTGGCCAACATCATTGGCAGCAGCTGGATTCCAGACTTCTGAGCGCTGGAGCCTTCGACGCTTTGGAAGAAGATAGGGACGTAGTAGACCAGCAGGAAGAAGGCACCTCCGAAGAGCATGGCGAAGATGGCGGCGGCCAGAACACTGCGCTGCTTCAGGATGCGAGGGGGCAGGGTTGCTTTCTCGCCCATGTACACCTGGGAGATGGCGAAGAGGATGGCGAGGAGACCGAAGCCCACAAACAAGCCGATGATGCGCGAGTTGTTCCATGGGTACTGGTTACCACCCCATTGGAGGGCCAGCAGGAGACAGATGATGGCAGGAATGAGCAGACTGGCACCGAGCAGATCCAGCTGGTTAAGACGCTCCCGGAAGGGCTTTCCAGCGAATTCATTCTTGCCGGGTAAATGCAGGAAGAAGAAGATGACAACGATGGAGAGACCGCCAATGGGCAGATTGATATAGAAGCACCATCGCCAGGAGAGATTGTCGGTAAAGACTCCTCCGAGCAAGGGACCGGCAATGGAACTGACACCCCACACCAGACCGAACATGCCAAAGAGCAAGGGTCGCTTGGCCAGTGGGACGGTCATGGCGATAATCACCATTGCTCCGGAGAAGATACCAGCCACGCCGATACCCGCGATGGCTCGGCCCACAATCAAGGCCGTACTGGAGGGAGCCACTGCACAGATCAGAGAGCCGATTTCGAAGAGGGTGATGGCGACGAGGAACGCCCATTTAACCTAGAATCAGGCACGAAGCGCGAAAATGGTCAGCTGTGCTCATGGCCAGGGGTTCTGCTTCTTGCTGAGGGACCAGCATCATACGTCTCTCTGCTGTGAGAAGAGCAAGGCGATGGGAATCGAAACTCACATTGAAGATCTTGTAGATTCGTCCGTATGAGGGTTGGAGTGCAGTGGACGTCAGGAAATAGGCACTGCCATACCAGGCAATGTCCGAGATACTCTTGAACTGGTCCGTGATGCGGGGAATGGCAGTTCCGATGATCGTCTGGTCCAGAGCAACCAGGAAGACGGCGAGATACAAGGCGAGAATGATGGGGACCAGTTTTGCGAAGGAAGGGTATTCCGGCTCGGTGTCGGCGGTCTGGCTTGCGGCATCACCTTTTTCTGTGATGTCCGTCCTGTTGACCTTGCCGGCTGTAGCCTCCACGTCGGTCAGGCTACTAGCGGCCGTCATGGTGGAGATGAAGATGGATGTTTATCACGATATTTGGGTGCCGTGGTGATGCTGCGAAAGTGATTTGGTTCGAGATGTGAGATGTGAGATGTGAGATGTTCTGGTGTGGTGGTATCTCCTTGTCTGAGAGATGCTGAGTCAAAGCGGAAGCAATAGCCTCTGGTCAGGTGAGCAGGTGTGAATAGTCAGATCGGTCGTCTGGGTCTCCTTTTGAGGTAGAAAGAGGTGTGAAAGAGACTTCAATGCCTGATGAGTGAGATGTGAGAGAGAAGGGAGAGGACGGTGATAATAATATATCCACTGTCACGTTGAGTTGTTTGCTGTCATCCAGGGCCAATGGCAGCGCGGAGGAGCATGCCCTTTTTAAGGTGAGGCGGATATCATCGAACAATGACGATGCAAAGTCTGTGAAAATAGGGATTTTCCCTCGTCTTACTTTTCACCTCTTTCGGGAGCATTGCAACGAAGGAGATTTACAGTCTGGGATTAGGCCCTGTCGGTCATCGGCTGGTCTTAACGCCGATTTAGCTAGCGTCCCATGTGGCTGCGACCAGCGGTCCAGCCCACGGACAAAACATACGGGATTCTCCCTCCCAATGGTCCGTGAGAGAGCAATGTCAGAACCAGATCCAGTGCAAAAAGCTATCGAGATCAGCCAATCAGCGCAGTGAGACAGATTCGATTGGTCTTCTACGGTTCTACGCGGTGCTCCAGCCAGCGCATTTCCCCCAACTCTCGGGGAGGCCGAGCCAGAAAGGCAAGTGGAATCCTAGGAAGTACTACCTACTGGAGGCAATCTGCCAGTCTGCATGAGTCAGATAGTCGAGATTTGCCGGTACGTTCCAACTTCCCAGTAGTCTACCCGCTTCAGAGGTTGACCCGATTAGGGAAATGTAGGTGATCGAAGAACGGTACAGGGCCTCCTATGTGGGCCTGTTCGATCCTGTTGTGGATAATCTTTGTTCAAGCTTTGGACCCTAATTTGATTTCTTCTTCTTCTTGGGGGTCGGAATTTTACATTCACCACCACACTAATTCTTGAGGCTACTGGAGAGGTCCACATTACCAAGGACAGTCTTGTCCTGAATTCTGTGAAATGAGAAAAAAGAAGCTGTACCGGACTGTTGCAACGCTGACAGATTGACTGATGTGTCACAACTTTCTCATCACAAGGAGATCACTACCAAGTCCAATCCTGAAACCTCACCCGTCTTCTAGGTTCAACCAAGCGCAAAGGCCAATTCAGGAGTAGCGCGATCAGACGGAAGGGACCAACTGACTCAGCCTCGACCCTCGTGGCTCGGCCTTTACCAGGGCCGACCACCCGGCGTCAAGGCGGTTTCCGGAGCCAGCGGTTCTTCCCGATCGTGCTTGACTACATCTAGTCATACATGGTAAGCTGGAAAAGTGATGGACAGGGTTTCCAAGGGCGCAAATCTCAGGGACTCTGGTGACTCCTGAGCCTTTGACGGCCCACACTTGACTAGCTGGGTACCTAAGGTAGTATGCTGATTAACTTACAGGTAGTAATGTTAGTATAGTTAGCACTTAAGTCACTTGGTTACCAATGAGTACTTAGTAATTACCAGTTAATTAGTTACTACCTACTAGTTACTCAGTGCTCTACTACTCACTGACTCAGTACGGTAGGCTCCCGCCTCGTATGTCATCAGCGCCGTCTGTCGGGATCGGAGACCTGTTTCGGAAATCGTGTTTCGGATGAAATCGCCCGGAGAAAAGATTCAGCCGGGCGGACGGACGAAACATACGGACGGATGAACATGGATCGATGGAGCAGATGAACGAGACGGTAGAGTGGCCTGCCTAACTCAGTAAGGTATCGATGCGTCTATTAGTAAGCTTCTGGCCCTCTGGCATGCCAAGGTTGTTGTTGCTGTTTCTGTCCCCGTAGCACACCGGAAGCAGATTGACTGATTCGTGGGTCCGGTCAACTGACAAACGAAAGCTGAGTCAGGTCGCCTTTCGCTGGAGCTCAGTCTCACCTCGTGCTTTCAATATTATGCAACAGCATGGTAGCGGTCAGCGTCACAAACCCTAAGGAGATGTACGTGATGGTTTGATAATAACAATGACACCCGAATAGACTACGATCGAATACTTCGTATTTCTCTGGCATCGAAGCAAGGCCGCATAAATGACACGATACAACGATCATTACAAAAAGAGTGTTTGCATTCCCCGATCGGGATGATTAGTGCATGAATCGGTCTGGCTACTACCTTAGTACCTAAGGTTACTGGTTAGTAAGTTACCTAGTAGGTAAGTTACTCGCCAAGTTGCCAGACTAGTACGAGTACCGCCACTGCAGCGGCTTTAAGCCGGAAGCCAAGAGCCGCAGAACGCCAGGACTCCTAAGTCCGCTCAGAAAGTCCGCCAAAACCGTCGGGCCAAAACTCGGTCCGATCACACCCACGCCCAAACGGGACTGCATCAGCCTCAGCCTCAGCTTTGACAGGCGACGAAAGGAGAACGTTGAGCGGTTGACCCCGTTGATAAGAGCGTTTGCCTATTTTGGGAGTTCTTGGCCGGGTGTGTGCAGTGTATACGTCGAGTGCGGTCAGCATCGGACGAGCAAATTATTTATCCTGATGACGGTGCCTGCTGAGCTGTCAGGAGGCGTCAGATCAAATTCCATTGCACAGGTCTTCAGCGAGGCATTGAGGAGTTCATTCTGGGATACCTAGAGCTGAAAGTGGAAGGCTGAATTAGTGCTTGACTTCAGCAAGATATCGACAGTAAGTGAATCATGTCCAGCAAGACACAGACCGCGCGATGAGAGTGCATGTGGAGTTCATCCAAAGATTAGGTAGAGACTTTCGGAGATATTCATAAACATCAGTTCTGAGATCTGTTTAAGCACGCTCTTGCCGACAGTCAACAATTGATGGGCACCAAAGTTTTGAAAGATTGACCTCTCGAGTAATTTAAATCCGGCACAGTAGACACTGGGCAGTCTTATAATCGATCTTGACGCCTTGTGTAATCCCGAGTGGCCTCCCACGGAAGAGGGAATCATGGGATGTGGCCGATTTTCTGAATACAGAATGTGTACTCTTTATGCATCCCATGTCCCCGTTCCCTTTCTGCACTTCTGTCACCCTTGTCAGATCTCACCAGGTCGGTAGCTACGCCAAGTCCGGAACCCGACTTTCTCATACCAGCCATCCAAGGCCACCCAGTCGACAAAGACTCCCTCAATGCCTCTCTGCTTCATGTTCTCTACCGCGTGGCAGATCATGGCCAATCCAATGCCAGATTTGCGGTGTGATTCATCCACCCCTACGCATCCAATGAGCCCCGTGCGCGGACCGCAAATCTGCGGAAATGCCCAGACCTTATTTAATGCCGGGATAGGAGGAAGCATCAATGTCCATCCAACCTGCTGGCCCTCTGCGTCAAAAGCGGTCATAACACAGTCGGGATAATCCTTGGGATATAGTGTGACATATGCTTGGACCCAGTCCTGAAAAATGATGAAGGGAAACAAATTTCCATTAGCTCCAAATCAATCATCATGGTTGAGAGACCTTCTGGAAAATATAATCTTGCTGCTGACTTACATGTTTTTCCGCAAAGTTCCTGCGTTGGCCAGCCAAGCAGGCCTGGTACTCATCAGGCTGCAACGGTGCAAATCGCAATCCGGCAGCTCGCGCACGCGACATGTACTTCTCAGGTGACTGAAAATTGCGAATATCCTGATAAAGATCAACAGATCTCGCACTAGGCGGATTCAGTCGGAATCCGCGATGGACGAAGAATTCCTGAACCGAAGGAGGAAGATCCTGGGGGATACCCGGCCAGAATCGTGGGAATGAGCTGCCTAGCTTCACTTGGTTGATACCATATGCCGTACGAATGTACGCACGTGTCTCGGTGAGAAGCTTCGTTCCAATTCCCTGGCCTTGGAACGTTGGGGACACAGCCAAAACCGCTATGTGAAATTGCCCTGGTCCTTTGATGGCACTCCTATAGGCAAGGCAAAACCCGACGATTTGTGAATCCATGCGAGCGACATGGTGATGCCCATTTGGTTTGCCGATGAGGGCTCGAAGGCTTTCTGTGGGTATCAGATATGTGGGCAGTGCTTCCTCCCATACAGTAATGACGTCTTGCATGTCCCTTTCTGCGGCGAAAATATTGATCCGTAGCTCACTAGACGTTGGCTGGATTTGGCTAGATCTAACTGGAAGTGATCCTTTGGAAGATTTAGCGCCGAAGATGATGTCAGCTGCCACAGAGAGAGCTCCAGCGCTTGGCTCGTAGGTCGTGAGATATGTCTGCACTTCAGGTCTTTCGAGGAAGTCATAAGGTGTACCCACAGCAACAGCCACCAGAGACCGAGCCTTCTCTGGAAGTAATTTGCCCATCGAAGTTTGGAACGGAGATTCTCGAGCATTGACAGTGACGAAAACAACAGTGTCAGCTGAGACAACACTCGCCCATTCATCAGCGCTAAGGTCTGCTTGTCCGTACTTGATCTCCATGACTGAATCATTGTATCGTCGAAGCGCGTAGTGAAAGGACGTGCCCTCAAAAGACACCTCTCGTCCTTCGGCCTCGCCGTCAACTGCACCACCCGCCGGGATCTGGTCACCCGGGACGAGCAGGACAATCTTCCCTTGTCTGGATAGCGGAATGAGTGAGACCTTATCTCGCACAAGTGTGACAGATTTGTCGTAAGCTTCACTGGAAAGGGACAAAATTCTCTGGTTCAAGCTACCATGCTCCTCACTCTCCTCTCTGCAAAGGGCGTGATCCCAATTGAGAAACTTGTCTTTCAATGTTGCGACTCGCCGGTTGGCATCTGCTAAGCGAGAATACTGAATGTTTCCAGACGAGACCTCCTCGCAGATCTTCTGTATCGATGCCAGCTGCTTATGGAACGTATGGCAGACCATGATGCTATCACTGCCCGCTTTCAAAGCAAGTACAGAACCTCGCTCGGTGCCGAATATTGAGCGGATCCCGTCCATCTCCAGGCAGTCTGTAATGATCATCCCATCATATCTCATATCATCGCGCAAGATTCCCAGAGCTTTAGATGACAACGTAGCAGGGAATTCACTGTCAATCATCGGCAGAGAAATGTGCGCAGTCATGATACTTTCAACATGCTCCGCGACGGCCCGACGAAACGGGATCAACTCGCACCGCTCCATCTGGTCTCTTGATTTGGGGATCGTGGGTAGTCCATAATGCGAGTCAACAGCGGTATCGCCATGCCCAGGAAAATGTTTCACACAGGGTATGACATGCTGCTCTCGCAGCCCGCGCGCTGTAGCGCTCGTAAATCGCCCAACAACTTCAGGGTCGTCACTGGGACTGCGTACCCCAATGACTGGGTTCAATGGCTCCGAATTGACATCACAGACTGGCGCGTAGTTCATGTTGATCCCCAAACACGTCAAAAGCTCACCGGTAGCCCTGCCTGCCTTGTACGCCAGTTGAGGGTCACGCGTAGCTGCCAATGCCATTGGTCCTGGGAGTTGAGGTACAATGGGAGGCAATATACGAGTCACCAAGCCGTTCTCTTGATCAATCCCGATGAACAATGGCCGAACATGACCCGCAGATCGTGCTTCATTTTGCAGGGATAGTGTGAGTGCCTGTTCATAATAGAGTTAGTATGTAGTGGATCCATTACCTTGGAGACTCATTTCCCAAAGCTCACCTGTAATTGACCGGCATCTTTGATATTACGCGAGAATAGAATGACCCCGCCGATGTGGAAATCGTGAATGAGAGTCTTAATCTCCTGGCTGAGGGTGAAGCCGTGGAATCCAACGACAAATAGCTTCGATGTAAATTAGCCACCTGTTCTGGCTCTACCTGAGAGGAAATATAGGTGACGTGCCTGTCCAACTTCTTTTTGAAGATTCGTCATTGTAATGCTGTTGACAGCTCTCAGTTGGCGCGGGAAAATGGTCTGGGGGCGAAACCTACCTGGTACCGTGGAGGAGCCCAGTCCTCAGGTTCCCCACCTCCTCGAGTCGAGGTCGTTGGCGTCCACACCTAGAGGACCCACTTGCCGAAGCGGGTGTAACGTAACGTTTAACGTTTATCCATTGCATGCCGAGGTAGGAGCCTAACGATATCAAATCGAAGTCTACAACAAAAGTAGTAAAATCGACATTAACAACAGGTACGATATATAGCCATTGCAGCTTTACAATTTATATAGCTCGCTTGACCGGGTAAGCTAGTATGTGCTACCACGGCCAGGACATTGGATTCACCTTTGCAGCACTTTACTTCAGCTGAAATCCGCGTACCCTCATACTTGGCACACAAAAGTGAATGCAGTCACTCCGAGTATAGACCGATATAATCATCCAAACTCTTTTTTCTTCGCCCTTCATGAGATACCATGCCCACTCTAAGTACTCCAATAGCGTAGGAGCGTGGACTTTTCCATTCAACAATGACTCTGCGTTCTGACCATCGACTTACCTCGACCATACCATGATAGGCCGAGAAGACACGGCGGAACCTTGTCACCTTGCAAGAGAAGCAAACGACAGACATATAATGCAATGGTGGGGTCGACTCGTCACTCGGCGTGTCGAAGATCCTCCTTTTAACTGCTTGCTGTTCTCTGACGATCTCTCCTTCAACCGCGCTCCTTTTTCATCGGACCTTTCTTCGACGGCTGTTTCTCCTCTTCATCTTCTTTCTTCGTCCTCATCCTTAATACTCCTTCTTCCTCTTCGTCCACATTCATCTTCCTTTTTCGGTCCTCGACTTCGCTCTTTCCGCATCCTTCGACTTTCGCTCTTTTGGCTCACCTCAACTTCACTCTTTCAGCTTGCCTCGACTTTGTTCCTTCGACTTCCCCCTCCGGCTTTGCTTCTTTGGCATCGGGCTCTCATCTCTATCTCACTCGGACTCATCTCTCCTTCGGTCCGAGATGGAGCCTTTGTCATCCGAGCCTCACCTTGAAGAGGACTACGGGGACTTAGGGCTTGCGAGAGGTTAGGATAGCTCACTGAGTGAAAGGTGAGCTGATAGACAACATGACCTCCCTCTTGCGTAATGGTCCGGTAAGGGATCTGGCCCGGCTCTTCCACTAGTATACCTGGCCTGGTGATTAGCAGCACGTCCTGGACACGTTGGGTGTGTATCTGCAATCATACCATACTGGTGTGTACGAGGATGATGTCCATGAGCAAAGACTATGGGGCATAATTCGGTTTCGCTGAGAAGAGTGCCTTCTCGCAGACCAGAGCGTGGAATTGGCCGAATTGTCAACGCCCGGCAACACGGTCTGCGCCGTGTGGGACTTCCGGTGTGATAACGGGGATTTGCTCAGCCTTGATACTCCGGGTAGTTAATCAACTTATCATCCTTACATTTGAACATGACCAACATGAGTATGCAGCAGCCTAAGACTGGTAACATGCGGATTATCGTGTCGAAATTTGTCGACAAAGCAAAATTCTTTATCGGGGCTGCGAGAAGAGGCTGTTCGAGAATCACAAGCCGCCACCATCCGAACGGTCAGACACGAAGAGGTCATGGCTAACGACGATGGGGCGCACTACCACCAAAGTTGGAAGGACCGCCTCTCGGCCTTTGAGCAACAATTTGACGCCCAAAGCTCGAGCTTCATCGCGCAACTCGCCGCGCAGAACGAAAATCTTGCCGCGCAGGACGCAATAATTGCCGAGTTGCAGGCCCGGATCGCTGAACAAGAATCCAAGATAAGACAGCTCATGAAATGCCGGAAAATGTACTTCAACGTACGTGAGCGTTGCTGGCTCGGATTCCTGCGAGATTCCTGTGTAGGAGAAGGCGAAAAGCACAAGAACAGGATCAGACTGTTAAATTCGGCATTCGTGCATGGAGGCGATGTCACTTCGGACGCCCGCATGCTCTGCGAAAGACGTCCAGCAGAGGAGAATCACGCCTTCGAGAGCTTATATGGATTGCAGCCGCAGGAGATTCTTGGTCTACGTATGATTGCCTACGGATACTTCGAAAGATGGGAAAGACCCATGGTCTGCTGCAGAAGAGGCTGGTGGCCGTAAGGTGCTTCTACTTTTGAACTTCGTCGGTGACACCAGGCTTCAAGCTAAGTGGATTTTCAACCAAGCTGATGACGAAAGCTTGCGAGAAATTGTGAGGCTGGTAGGGGAGAACCGACTTGAAGAGGCGGGAGATCTTGCTGAAGCTTTTCCTGTTGAACAAAAGATTGAAATTACACGCCACGCTTTACCTTCAAGAAATTGGGGACTAGGCCAGATGCCTCTATATTGATACAGTCCTCAAAGTTGGTCAGATGACAGAAATGAAACATTGCAAAGCCGGCACCGATGAAGCGTATCGTTCGAACGAGGACCGACGGTGATGAGACCAGACAAAATGTAGGTATATGCAGCCAAGGGAGAAAGGAATGAAAGTTAGAAAAAATCAGTCTTGCGCATGTGTCCAATCGTACCACTTGAATATTTTCCAGACGACCTAGTTCAGAGTATAGTTGAATGGAAGCCGGAAATTGCCAGGGCACATGAGCATTTCATGGCTTGCCTTCCCTGGAGCAACGTGTGAGTGTGCCAGCGCGGCGACATCTTCTTGAGGGAGAGTGGGCTCGCCGGGGCTCGACGTTTGATCTTCTGGATTCCATGTCCACGAGCTCATATCGAAGGGGTTTTCAAGGTCAAGAGAAATTCCCCATGACAGTGGTGCGCAGTGACTTTGATTCTCAGCCCGACAGGGCCGTTGGCCGGTAGCAGCCACTTACTTTGTTTGTAGTTCGTTAGATCTTGATATTGTTGGGTATCCAAGTGTTTTGCGTTCACCACAGTGTTACGGTCGGCGTAGAATATGGAGAATTGCGCCCGCGGTCAAGGGAGTAATCATTGCAGTTCGCTTCGCACTTCCTTCCGAGGAGGACGAATTCTCAACCCTAGTATTCCAGGAATACTACCTTCCTACCTGTAACTTAGGTAGTAGTAGTTAATAGTAACGAGTGACTAGTAACTACTAACTTCACTATACTTACTATGTAGGGTGATGGAATCACCCGTGCCGTTGCTCACATGGTATTACCATTAGACCAAAAGGTCTATGCTAAACCACTCCAAACCATTCGATAGAATGGTTTTGCCATGCAACGGTATATATAGTCAGTTGATCCCGCATCCCGTATTACAGCATGCCTCTGGGATCACAGTGACACTCGATGACGCGGATTGAGCGTGGAGCAGCAAAGTACCGAATACTTCCGATAGCGTCCCACCAACTAAATAATTCCCATCAGTAACCTTATGCAATATGCACTACTCCGAGAGCGATACTCAGATTAAGGAAGAAATCCTCCCAAAACAGTCGGTGCCGTAATGGTAGACCATTTGATGAATCATGCACTGATGGAATCCAGGTATTGCCATACGCCCCTCGGTCCACCCCCAACTACGTCACTTCGCAATCATCTCGCCAGCAACTTGCGTCTTCCTTGCCTGACCAAACTCCCTTTGTCAACAATTGGCATCTGCTGGCAGTATTTAGTCAAAAGATACCTTTCCCCTTCAACCTTACCTCTTTGCTGCTCGTCGACACCGCTTAATTACTTCGTGGTAAGTTCCTATACCCTTGCTTTCCCAGACTGGATCACACCTCCAAGCTATTCGCTGATAACGAAGTTATTCTTACACCTCTTCCAGCTTTCCCTCTGAAATCATTCTCTACATTCCCAAAACCATCTCTCTGCCACCCCCGAAGCTTGAACCACAAAGATGAAGTTCAATTTGGCCACGGGCCTGTTATGCTTGCTTGCAACTTCTGAGGTCGTTGCAGCCACCAGCTGGTGGAACAAAGCTGGTAACTGCCCTGGCACGTTTTTCACGGTGCGAAGGTGTTTTGCAACCAATGTTAACGTCATCGGGACTTCTAGTTTACAACAAATGGCACGAGACCGAGCTGGAGCGATGGCTATCCGACCATGGTATGATAGCACCAACACCTTCCCTGATGTTGGAAGCGTGCCATAAACCAAAAGATTTTTCACACGCTAACGTCGCTTCTCCCAAATCAGATATTCCCTACCCTACCCCAGCTGACCGTCGCGATCTGGAGAACCTGGTCAAGACCAACTGGGAGGCCCGCGTTCAGAAACCTCTCGGTAATGCCGTAGATCGCGTCAGCGAAGAAGTTCATGATGCCAAGGAATGGGTCTTTGACACGTGAGTTGCCTAGTCCCAGCCACCCGGAAGCTTTGGTGATCGCCCACGGCTAACATCGTATCTCTAGCTGGACGGAGTCTCAGTTGAAGTCATTCCTCGACCGCCACGGTATCCCCGCACCTCAGCCCCGTCACCGCGACTCTCTGATCAAGGCCGCCCGTGAGAACTACGAGTCCATTGCCAAGAAGACTGGCGAGACCGCTGCCTACCCTGGCAATTGGCTGTATGAGAACTGGTCCGAATCCGACCTGAAGCAGTGGCTTGATGAGCGTGGTTGGCCCGCGCCCCAGCCCACCTCTCGTGACAAGCTGATCGCGTCTGTGCGCCGCAACTCCCGCCTGGCTAGTCTGCAAGCTCAGAGCATCTCGGCCTCTGCCAGCGCCTCGGCCGCGGCCGCCCAGGCCTCCTTGAGCGAGGAATTGTTCAATGCTTGGTCCGATTCCCAGCTGAAGAAGTTCCTCGATGAACATGACGTCAAGGTCCCCCAGGGCTCTAAGCGCAATGAGCTTGTTGCACTGGCTCGCAAGCACCGTGCTTACCTCGTCAACCAGGCCTCCAGTGCCGCCTCCAGTGCCTCCTCCACTGCTTCCGATGCTTTTGAGGCCGCCACCACCAAGGCCGGAAACGAGTTTGCCAAAGCCACCGATGACATCAAGCTGAAGGTTGACGATCAGTTCAACGATGCCATCAACACCTGGTCTGAGTCGCGCCTCAAGGCGTTCCTGGATGCTCGCGGCGTGCCCGTCCCTCAATCTGGCAAGCGGGACGAGTTGGTCGCCAAGGTGCGGTCCAGCGCGCACCGTGCTGCTGGTGGATGGACTGTCAACAACTTTGACACCTGGGATAAGGAGCACCTTATGTGAGTATTCACAAATTTCCTCCCCAGTAGTCGTCCGTATATTATTTTTGCATGTCTAACGAGGCCTTATGATTTAGCAAGTACCTGTCTGCCCAGGGTGAAAAGGTTGAGAAGAAGACTGAAGCTTCCCGGGATCAGCTCCTGAAGCAGGCTCGCAACTCGTACGCCAAGGCCTCTAAGGCTGGTGGCGAGCAATACGCGTCTGCGACCAAGAATATCGCCGAAGCTACCGGTACTGCCAAGCAAGCCACTTTTGACAACTGGTCGGAGTCTGACTTGAAGAGTTTCTTGGACTCCTATGGCATCCCCGTCTACCAGGGATCTAACATCAACGAGCTGCGTGCCGCTGCCCGTCGTCAGGCCACTTTCTTCTCTTATGGCACCACTACCCCCCAAGAGACCATCTACGCCAAGATGATGGAGAACGTGAACTGGATCCTCGAGAAGCTGAAGATGGGTGCTTCCAGTGGTCGTGCTCAGGGCCAAGAGGCTGCCGAGAAGGCCCGCGAAAAGGCTGCCGAGCAGACCGAGAAGGTTCGCAACGAGCTGTAAAAGGGATTTGGATCAAAGTGGACTCAATTGAGAAAAGGGGATGGATCACGTCTTGTCTGCTCAGTTTAGTGACAGCTTGTGCTGCGAGGAATGGCCAGAGTCTTGCTGGTGATCCTGCACCACATTCTATTTTGGGGAGGGGGGGGGAGGTACGATGCTTACGACTTTTTCTTTGAGAGTTTTTGAATCTCGTTCTATTCGGAAGGATACGGGAGTTTATTTAATATGATTAATTCAATCTTTCCCGGGAGCTTTGCGACTCTGCAACCGTATCGTATAGTAAAGTGCGCTTTGGCGTGGAGAACAACTTTCGGCCACTCTTGTAGGCTTACGAAACAGCTCTGGTCGGGTTGGTCGGGAATTACTGCTTTGTGACTCGTGTGTAATGCTTGAGCGATAGACACCTATTCTATATATACGCAGAGAGACCGTGTGTAGTTGGACTTCAACCAGAGACCCGCATTTTGACCTCGCCGAGCACAGCTATTGGAGGCACAATTTCACTCAGAATCTTGACAGGAGAGCAAAAGCTACACGGGTAGAACACCGAATACATATACAGCAGGTATGTATGTGTCGCCAAAGCCCGCTTCTCTCTCCGAATGGGACCCAAGTTCTCAGAACTCTCTACACCAACCACAGAAGGTCCGGGACGAGTTTCGAACTCATGAGTCATGACTTGGAAGCCTCGGGATCACCCTCAGCAACAAGCTTGCCAACAACAAGGTATTTTTCCAAAAATTTCTCCTCCCACGACTGCAGATTCTCCAACTGATCATCATCCAGATCTTTCAAATCATCCAACGGACCCGAAAGATCCTTTGTCAACATGTCCTCGTCGAAGCTCTGATGCGCCAGGCCCCGCGACGCATCGCGACCGGCAAAGTTCTCGTATGGTCCGCCCTATCATACACGGTTAGTTCCAGCTCTTCAATGTCCCAGCTTGTTGTTCCTTCAATGCATCGCGGCTCGGCGTGGTCCGCCCTCCATAAGCGAACAAGAAACACTTCAGAGACCCTCCACCCGACCCCTCCGAGTAATATCTCTGCACATACCGGACCATAGAAGTTACGCCCGGGACTCACGTCAAAGACGCGGCCGCGCACAGCCAGAAAGACGGGCTTGCCATCCTCGCCGTTGAATTCGCGGAGTGTTTTGGGCGTGTAGATGCGGAAGACTATTGGGGCCGGACCGCGCGGGAGAATGACGGGTTGTTTGGGGCGCAGATTCCAGTATATCAGGACGACGAAGAGGGAGAGGAGAATGAGGTTGATGGGGGAGGCGATTGACATGCTTGATTGGGGTGCGGATTGGCGTCAGCTACATGTTTTCAAGGTGGAAATGGTGGACGGGAGCGGCTAGGAGAAGAGAGCGAAGTGGAATGGAGGTGGGATGGTGGTGTAAGACGCAGGTTTTCGGTAACTTGGAGCTTACACTTCGGCTTGTGGCTCGGAGGATGAGTCTTGGTTGATCTCTTGTTAGCTTCTAGCGTGACGATGAGGGGGGATGGGAGCTTCGAGGGCTGAACTAACCGGCGATCGCCATGTTGTGTTGGATGTTGAGCTCTGAAGGTTGGAGATGTGCGTATATGGGTTGTTTCAAGAGTGGGGGATAGAAGAGCGCAGAGTAGCGGAATACTAAGAATCGGAGGTATGAATAAGATCGATTGTCCGAGAGTAGTGGAGCCGGCGGAGTGGAGAACCGAGAGTGACCTGTAGTGCTGTACTTGACTATGACATCGTCGGCCAGAATGATGTCCCCGTCCACTCACTTCGATGGCCAGGAGGGCTCTCCATTTCAGTCCAGAAAACACATTGCTGAAAGGCTGCATCATTGATGTGGAGGGTCAAGTAGGATGGACGATGTCTTGTTTTGGCAGTACTCGACACTCCTGTCTGGTTTGAATTCTAGCTTCACTTGTTAGAAGCCTAGCTTTACGAGCAACTGCAGACTCGCTGCTTCATATTGTCTTGATGAAGTCGAGTAGGTAATTCCTGCCACGTCTTCAGATGACCTGTTGGTCTCTTGCTGCTCTCTGTGCTTGTATATCGCCTCGAATTCCCTTATTCCTACGATGGTAGACCAATTCAACCAGTGTTCACTGTAGAATACAGCGACTCTAGTTGCAAGTTGCCACCAGCTTTGATGTCGGGCTAGCTTATTTTTCCGTGCAGTAACTGGTCCAATTTAGGTCTCGGAACTTGGGGCTTCCTGCTTCATGTAGCAGTCGACTGGACCAGTCCAGTCTGTCTGATTACTGTGCGACACGCTTGCGGACTTTACAAAGAGACCATATTGACTCTCGACTGACGCCCCGACAAAGGTAGGTAAAGCTTGTTTCTTACTAGAAGCCAGATCCTTTGTTGTATTCTGAGAAAGAAGGGGGAAGTATTTAGGTTGTAGATCGGTAGTAGAGTTTCTCAAGCAGCTCGTTCTGTCTTGCTTGTTATACTTACTAGAAAACGGTGTACAGGTTGGAATTGAATGAATTGGAAAGAATACCAAAGAAAGAGCAGGGCATCATTAGTCGGCAAGCAGCATTAACATAGCGAGTGACACCATGTCAGAACGCACACCTCCAGTGATGATCGTTTTCGATATACCCAATCTTGACGACGTCGATGATTCCGAGTCCCATTCCACGTCTTCCCTCCAGACTCCACTGCATTTGCCTACTCGGCAACATCATAGGGCTCATGATCTCGCCAGTATTGCAAGTACTCCTCGTCTGACTGGATAGGAACCGCTTGATATTTGGTCAGTGGTGCAAGAGGAATACCCAACTGGTCCATCTTATCGAGCTTCTTTTGGGATGCCTCGTGGGTCTTGTTCACACTGTATACGCGGATGCGATGAGCGGACGAGGTTACATGCAGACCCCAGTTCCACGCGGCGCAGACATTGAGTGGTTGCGTGTTCAGAGAGTTATCCCAACAGCGACACACAATCTCAATCCACCCTTCGACGTCACATGGCAGATCGATCTACCAGGTTCTCCAGGTCCAGCGGCCCTGCATGTCTATCTTCTGGGATATCTCTTGATTATTCTTACATGACTGCGTCCAGGCTCAGCCGCTACGCATGTCCCAGGTCATGAGCTGGGGCGTTTCTCCAGGCTGCAGATCCTTAGGTAGCTCTGGTCCATTTTCCTTTACACCACTATTACTTCGCGATGGTTACGCTCTGAAATGAATGTGTATGTGATTCCTCGAACAGGAAGATTGAGGTAATGAAGCCCATCTTCTGTACAATACTCCAAAGGGTACCATTTCCCAGCACCAGTGAGTCTCCCACTAAGCTCGCGTTAATTCAGCAATTCTCAATCCTTTAGCACCTACTGTCCAACCACAAATAGTTACTCTTGACTTGACCGACATTACCCATTCTTCTTATCAGCCATCAAAGCTTACCTGATCTCCACCGGAAGCTCTCGACCACGTTCCACGATCGGTCCACGGATCGCCTTAGACAGACATCTATGACCGACACAATCGAGTTATACTTTGTCAAGTATATGGCAACCCTGCATTCCACGATTACAGTGGAAACGCGGAGCAGCAGGCTGCTCTTTTTGCCCTTTTAACTCAGGAAGCTCGCGCAGGTCAAGTCGGAGCAATCATTGGTACAGGTGAATTCTCCATATGCACTGCAGGCATGACCGACGGCGTCCAGATCTCAAAATCAGTGAATGGCACAAATTTGACGCAGGCAAGCTGTCCTGGACTTACCCAGCAGCTTTGGCATGCACCACTCTTCAGAAACCAAACCGAGATGATAGGCGTCAGTTTCGTGATCTTTCCATTCAACAACTCGGGGCATTTGACGTACCGCTCTGGAATCCTCTCGCGGGCGAAATGAGCCAGGGTTTCAAGTAGTTGTGTGTCCGGCATCAAGACAAGGCCTTCCCTGCCACTTCGCAATTGTACGGCGCCAGCATTGCTGGCGTACGGGCATCCTGCCAGGCGCAGTTCAGCAACGAAGCTCCTAGTATTACTGGCGATAGTGAATTCTTCACCTACACTCTGCGAGGGTATAGTACTCGTCGGTCATGGTGCGGTGGAGTACAGGATGTCGGCTTGATAGTTGTTGATCTTTCACCACACGCACTACTACGACATAAGTGAGCTGAAACTAGATACTTGTACCTTCTTACAATTCATTGTACAATACTAATTGTGAGTGTACCTGAATAGGACAATCTCGACACCATCATGTAGGCCTGAGCACGGGTCTGTATTGCCGTGACCCGGCATGCCTGACAACGGAGTAGAGAATATAGACAAAATCGAGTGCGTCAGAGGCTTGCTCGGTATGAAAACCGTCCAACACACCAGTGTGTACCGAAGACACAGTATGATGACCACGGGCTCTTTTTTCAATTGCAACCCTTCCGACGCATCATTCACTTGTCCCGTCTCCTCGATCCTCGAGACCCGATCAATCAGACAAAAGGAAGAGAACGAGCAGCTGCGGGTCGAACAACCTCAATCCGCATTCCCGGTTTCACTTCACCTCCACACTTGACGATTCCCATCACTCCCGCCATCTTCTTGACTTGACTCCCATCCCGAAACGTGAAGTGAGGCAACAAGTTGGGTCGCACCTGGTCGATCCCGGGGCCAGGCGCCCGCAAGCCTGTCAAAACAACGACAGCCTTGGAACTGGGACCAACAAAATGAAGTTCAGTACCACATGGTAGAGAGACCAGGTCAAGGCCCTGAGTGGTGATGTTTTCGCCAATCATGCCCGCGGACAGCGGCGGAGTGATTTTGCCGCGCGAGGAGACGTCGCGGAGGGTCTCGATGGAGACGATGTGAACTTGGCGGTTGTTGGTGACGGAGGGAGTCTTTTGCTGGATGGCGCGGTGCTGAACCGTTTTCCCGGCGTGACAGTCTCCAGAGACCCCCAGGCCAGCGATCAGGGTGATTTCTCCCACGGGGCTTTTGGAGACACCGTGAGAGGTTGACTTGGAGACGGACAGTACTTGGGCTTGGCCACTGTTGGACCCTGTCCGGGTTTGAGTGACCGTCGCTGTTGTCGACATGATATGGGGTCGAACGGCGTAAAGTGTTGTGGAAAGTACGAGGTAAGATAGGGGATTATATTACCTTATTGAAAACGGTTGGTCTAGAGAAGGCAATCCCTCTGCTCTATATCTGGAATCTCTGACCCATCCGCCTCAAAGTAATGGATCTACATAGAGTCCTCTTGGGATCCATGTCTTCACCTGCAGCAGCTTCAATGTACTTTATCGGTTGAAAGGCGAGGGCCGACAAACCCCCTCCATTTCTGACGTGTCATGCACAGCTGTTATGTAGTGCCATCATCGTGGTGCCAGCACACGTTCGAAGCGCTGCACGGCCAGCTCAGACGGTCACAGTACATGCGTGCATATCGCATACAGTCAACGGATGGCTCAATAGCCATTCGTCAGCAGCAGCTTGAACCCGAGGGGCCATCTGATATGATTGTAGTGAGGAGCCTCTGGACATCATGGAACACCACGAGGGACTAGAGGAGTGGTCGGCAGTCCGCTTGTCCATTTGCCGTTCGAAAACTTACTGCCACGGACATGTCTCACGTGGTGATAGCGTTGCAATCACCAGCTGGGGGGTTTTTTCTTGGAGAACAAAAGACAAAGGGATTGTTGACGAAGCGGGGAGGTATGGTGAACCGGCTTTTCTCGACTGCTACTGAACACACAAAACTACAGGCATGATCAATCCAAGGACTTAGCGGTGAAGCCTGTGCAAAGCTCAGTCTATCGATTGCATGCAGACTAGTGCAGGCTCCAGTTGGCACCATTGGAGCGCAGAGTGGTCGCCCACATACCTACGCTGATCGTGATCAGAGGAGGGGAAATCTATTGGCATATACATCTACACACTCTCCGTCGGGTGCCAGTCAACTCCGATCATATAGTAGATCCCTTTCACGACTTTCCAGATTGGGATACATCGTATACAACTACCCCCTACTACTATCTACTCCTGGATCCTGATGGCATCTGCCTTCGAGTACTTGATTGCAGTGGAATAGTTTCAAATGTGAATAAGGTGCTTAGAACTTTCCAGAGCCACATGATTCTCACTTCACCCGGGAATTCTATCGCCTTGGAGAAAAGACTGAACCTACATCTTAATCGGTGAGGTGGACCCGACCACAACTGTCGGTTGCTTCCCAGACCAGTAAATCGCCAAAGTCAATTCCAACGGACGGCTTATCGTCCACGTCAAGACATTCAACCCATGTACGATGCATTCACTTCCGAAAAGGGATTCTGCTCGCCATATCTTTTGCTCTACAAGCGTCCAAGAGTGACCAGACTCAAACGAGTCGGATATTCTGTACATGTGAACTCGAGCGGGGTTTGATGGGATACGGCTACTGTAGGGGCAGCAGTATCGATGCGTGAGAGGGATGAGGAGTGAGATTGCTATGGGGGAGAGATTCTACCTAGACTATCGACTGTGGTGGGTGGCAGAATCACATTTCATACGAACAGGGTTCAGACAATCAGTTTACCTGCACTGGGTTAGGGGTGGGATAGACCGATAGAACGTCAGGCATGGTCAAAGTTCAGACACTCTGCCACTAATGCATGCTTCTACAATCGCTGAAGCCCTGATGTACCGGACCAGCAAAGTAATGGATCCAAATAGCCGCGGGGAGTATTTCGTCGGGACCCTTCGGTGACAAGGCAAGATCAGCTTTTGCACGGTATCATCGTTGCTTCCTCATCTGCCTGTCAGATTCATCATCTTTCACTGCGGTCACCATCATGTTCGTGAACGCACCCGCCGTGGTCGGCTGGGCCTTGTTTGTTGTGGCTGGCTTCAGCTCGGCGGAGACCACTTTGGGCATCTATATCTTCCAGCGTCATGGTGATCGAACTCCGAAAATCCTTCCTCCGGCTGAGTTGACCGACCTTGGCTATACCGAGATGGTTGCGACGGGGGACTTTTTCCGAAATTGCTACATCTCAACGGATGCCTCTCCCCAAATCCCCGGTATCAGTCCCAACACGGTCAAGCTCAGTCAAATCAACGCCGTCTCCCCCAAAGACGATGTGATTCAGCACTCGGGAATGGCTTTCCTACAAGGACTCTACCTATTTATTAGAGCTGGTGCCTCGACCGAGACGCTGCGCAATGGGTCCTCTGTGCAGGCTCCACTGAACGGCTATCAACTGATTCCCATTGTCACTACTGATGCCGGACAGAACAGCGAGAACAGTCCGTGGCTGCAGAGTACCACTTCATGTTCCCAGGCGGTCATTAGTAGCAATGACTTTTACTCATCGGCGGACTATCAGAATCTGCTAAAATCCACAAAGCCGCTATATTAATCTCTGGCGCCTTTGGTGAATGAAACCTTCCAGCCCGATCAATTGTCCTACAAGAATGCCTTTGTCATCTGGGATCTTCTGCGGGTTGCGTTGATTCACAATTCCACGTCAACCTTCCAGACCGACGGTATCCTCACTGATCGTGTGATGCAAGAACTCCTTGACCTGGCCAATTCCCACGAATATGGTCTCGCCTTTAATGCTACCGAGCCTGTCCGCGGTATTGCTGGCATGCAGCTAGCGGGCCAGGTTGTCTCCGCCCTCGAGAGCATCGTGGCCGGCAAGAAGAACGCGACCAGACTCAACGTTCAATTCGGATCATACGCCACTTTTCTCTCCTACTATGGTCTGGCCGATCTGCCAGCTGCAGACCCGAACTTCTATGGGATGCCCGACTATGCATCCTCCATGGTGTGGGAGCTGGTGACCAACTCCACCAACGCCACACCTTCTCCGTCCGATATCTCTGTGCGATTCTCCTTCCACAACGGCACAAGTTACACGGGCACCTCGACCCTCCAGACTTATCCCCTGTTTGGTGGTGAGGCGACAGAGCTCCCCTGGGAAGACTTTGTCTCGTTGACTCAGAAGTTTGCCGTGGGGAGCCAGCAGCAATGGTGTGAGGTCTGTGGAGATACTACTGGTGTCTGTTCGGCCGATGCGATTTCCTCTTCCAATCAAGGCTCCCATTCCTCCTCCTCCTCCTCCTCCTCCTCCTCCTCCTCCTCCTCCTCCTCCTCCCCATCTTCGTCATCTTCTGGCGGAATGTCTCTTGCTGTTGCCAGAGTCATCAGAGCAATGCTGACACTGGGAGTTGTTCTAGGCCTCCAATCAGTGATCATGTTGGTGTTTGGCATCATACCGACAAGAAAAGCCCATTCCACTCCTACCGATCAAGCAAACATTCAGGAGGTCAAGGGCCTCTCGAGTCAGGTCGCAAGGTCAGATGCTGTCTGAGTTTTTCACGCGGAAAGTTGTATTGCATCGCGGTCTGATCATTTCGAATAAGCCTCTGTTTGTACCACTGACAAGTCGCGTGAAAGATCTTCATACCTAATGACAATGACCCGTGGACGAGCCAAGTCTTGAATCAGTTTGCGATTGAATTCAACCTTTGGACTTGAGACTTTTCGATCCCAGACGAGTCATAACGGGTCATATACGCCAATTTATTATCCACAGTCTCGCACGGGTTGTGTTTCGAGTACATTAAATAGCTCTCTTTGTGATTTGATGGCCCCATTTGTCGACAAAGTAGAAGAAATAGAGGTTGTTGACCACCAAAGTCCCAGCTTGGCGCAAGGTGAAGAGGCTCACTCCCGAACTGTAACGGATGAACAACGAATCGTCCCCAGTAGAGATTGGATTATCCCTACATGAGAGTGAATACTACGTAGTTACATGCTTTATCAACAGCGCCGTCATACTAATTACTCTTGCCCATACTAAGATCCCTCCTCCTGCCTAAGGTCCCTTGGTCAGTACTCTCACTGACTCAGTAGTAGTAGTACTATACAATAGTTCACTAGTAGTAGCCTGGCTGCTGTGGCATGTTTGGGATCCACTTTTTTAGGTACTTGATCAGTACGCAGCTGTCGATCCTTTACTCCGAGGCAGGTCCGGTTCAACTCCACCGCAAGGCCCCGTTCGGAATCGTGGTTTGAGATGACCACGATGAAACACGATCTAATCTCTTCTTACCCGCTCGTCAAACATCGGGTCGCTCTCGCCCGCGGTCGACCTGGTCTTGGACTCCTGAGAAATCCAATAGTCGCTCTGTGGGGGCATCCTCTCTCTCACCTTACGCGCAGCTTTTGCTAGTACAGTCGTAGTACTACTAGTAAAGTTAACGACTAGTAGCTTGTAAGTTAGGTAGTCTAAGAAACGCTCGGTCATGTCACTCCACCGAGATCATCGCCCCCAAATCTCCGTTGCCGCTCGCTCATGGAAGCGTTGCCCGTTGACGCCGGCCAGGGTAGACGTAAAACTTAACGACCTTACTCAAGTGGTTTGCCGAGTGCTGCCCTGGAAATCCGTAGTGGAGCACTGGAGATGGGATGATTCTTTATTTAGCTTGCGGTCACTTGGGCTACATCTATTCCTCTCACTCTCGTTCATGTCTGACTTGTGAACCCGTTTTGTCATTCTCAGAGCGCCGCACCCCCCCCCCCCTCCCTTCTCCTTCGGTCGATTCGCCAAGTCGTTCGTGAGGTCGGTTTTCATTCACCTCGGTAGCGGTCACCGTGCCTGTCCTCCTGCTGAGGGTATTCGTGCGTGGTGTGTTGCACTGACGCTTGTTGGGCCTGCTTAGCCCTGCCCCGTCAAGTGACCTCGTTCTCTTTGTTCCACTGGAAGGACTGGGAGGGCCAAAACACCACATCATCTGATCAGTTAATCATATCGGCGACGGACTCAGTTGAAACTCTCTCCCTCGATCTGGACATATCTTCTGACTCCAACACGAAAATGTGGTCCAAAGCACCGTTCAGGTCGCGTCAACCAATCGACAACTCCACCGAGGCCGGAACAACGTCAGCGTACCAGATGCAGTCCTCGGCGAAAATCCCCTTGTCGAACCAGCCCGTGAAGAGGTTACCCAGATTGCCTCAGTATGTTATGCAAAGCTTGGTTCAGACTACTTGGAGATCACGTTGAGTGACTAATGTTATAATGCGATTCATCCTGTAGTGAGCCAACCGCCCCAGCAACTGGTCCATATGATGCGACGGCCGTACCGCCGTCGAGGAAGAGCTCCGTCGGCGAGGAAGATTCAAGTGTGTCTCCAGCAATTTCGCCCATGCTGAGTCTGCGCACCCGCGACAGTGAGGAAAGCTTCTGCGTCTCTTCCATGGGAGACGATGATGATCACAATCAAGAGTACTCGTATGAGACGCCAAGCGCTTTCAACCCTTTGAACCCAGGCCGCGGCGCCCCAGAGCCGTTCCTCGCAGTTCACTCGCGGCCCTCACGGGAAAGGCTCCAGCTGTCGCAAGGGACGCCTCAGCCCCCTCATCTCTCGTCCGCCGCACCCAAACAACCGGTGCCTGCTGGGTTGAATGCAGCAAATGACCCCTCTAGAGGCGTCGCAGGATGGCAAAATCAAGCACCGCCGCGTAGCGCAGCCTTCCACAAGTCCTCCGGTTCTCACACAACAAACCTCTTCAGTTGGGGTCGGGAGCAATTTCAGCCTAGAAACAAGCACGAGCGAGCCCGAGGCCGGATGCTCAGCCGCTCCAGAAATGAGATCGACTCATCCCCATACGGTCAACGGTCCATGTCGCAGAACAAACCTCCTGCACAGCATGCGCGACGGGATACAATTTCCCCACCACAGGATACGAATCTTGGGTTTGTGCCAACCGTGGTGACTACAATTACCGCTGGGGCCCCCGAACTCCTTCCAGGTCAGGCATGTTACCGAACCTGTCAATAAAGTTTCCCCTCGTTTAGAGCCCTTGCCTCCGATCAATACAGAAGAGGATTTTCTGTTTCCGACCGAACCACAGTCTACTCAACCTGCTGTTCCTGGGATCGCCATGAACCCCAGAAATGAGATTTATAACAACCTCAGCGATAGCTCTCATGAAGATCGTGCTGCCGAACCAGAAGCGACTGATGGTCGCACCTCTTCGATCATGTCCCGCCGGCGCCCTATCCCCATAGCTATGCCAACGTCGAAGAAGCCCGTCAGAAAGCCCATCCCTTCAAAGACTTCTCCAACCTCAACAATGGCCACCCAACTCCAACCGAGCGATGGCCCCAAGGACACTTTGAGCCGTATCGAGGCACTGGAGACACGTCGTGATGAGCTTGCCAAGCGCAGATTCAACCTGGAGACTGTGATTCACGAATTGACACGAGTAATTCAGCCGACCTCAACCATTTATGATCAGGCCGCCAAAGCTGAGGTCAAACGAAGTGTACAAAGCATCGAAAATGAGATTGCAGAGATCAAACGAGAAGAACATGAGCTGGGACTGAAGGCCACTCGCGCATGGAGAAAATTGGACGAGCGTGAGAATCATGGCGACGGGAGTAATCTGTGGGTCAAGCGAGTCACGAGTTAGATAACCTTGTACTCCGACGCGACACTGCTCGCGATATCCCTGATAATGTTTTTGTCTATCTTTCCTTCCTTTCAGCATTTCCAGCGAGCGATTCGAGTTTTCTTGAGTATCAGCAAAGTCAATCACCACGATACCCTCCCTAGCCTCATTTTTGCGCCACCCCCACGATGAGGTATCTTCTGTTCAATGAGCCGTTGATGATGAAGCAATAATCAAGACCCGCAAGATCGCTTTTGTTCGAGTCACAATGAAGGACTGTAGACTTGAACAGTGAGATGGCATTGACATAATACGTAAAAGAGACAGGACTCAGTTGTAAGGTAGTCAGTAGTCACTACTAGTTACTACTAACTAGTAGTTAGTAGTCCGTAGTCGAGTATGTCTTACATGGTTCACTGAATGAGGGTGGACCGGATAACAGGTAACGTCAGTTCGACTGATAGATCTCATACCGCCTGCCAAAGGTGGTAACAAGGCTCACAGTGCTTTTGGCCCGAGTCTTGCGATCGCAATTACAGCGTGCCATCTACTCCCATTTCATCTCCATAAAGCACGCACCCTCCCTTGGCGTTGCCCTTTTACATACATTTCTCTCCGGTTTTCACTCTTGGCCGAGTCACAAGTACCGTTCTTCATCGGTCGCAGGACTCGGGTGTGTGAAGGCAGGCGTTTTCAGCCGGTTGGACTTTCGCGTCTCCCCGCCGATTCTTATCGCAATTCCAAAGCTTGGGCTAACTGGGAACTTCTCACTCAAGCCTTCCCACCCAGAAGACGACTAGCAGCAACAGCAAAAAGCAGCTCATTTCAGGGAGGAGAAAAAGTGAAAGCTGCCTAGGCCGGAGGCCACTCTCTTCCGTCACAGATAAGGCTTGTACTAGACAGCGTTGCGGTTCGACCCAAAAGAAACATGGCGTCTCGCGATCACTCGAGGTCCCCATCGACGCTTTCTGAGGGTGAGATTATCGAATCAGGCTCAGAGATGAAGGCAACTACGTCAAAACCTCCTCTTAATGGCACCAGCGTTGACCGTCCCCCCAGAGATAGTTCTTCCTCGGCGCGGAGATCTCCCGGATCTTTGAGAGGCAGCAAATCGCCTCGACGACGCAGATCGTGGACAAGATCCAGATCCCGCTCACGCTCACGTTCGCCATACCGTGACAGCAAAGGCTCGAAGCGAAGACGCGATGACAACTATGACGGACCTCATGATCGCCGCCCTCGACACGAGCCCTCGTCGCGTCGATATGGGTCGCGATACGATGACAGACCCCATGATCGAAATGCGCCCCCTCGCCGGCTGAAATCATACCATGACTACGATCGTGAGGATAACTATGGCGAGAGCCTCCAGTACACTGATGACTACGACCGTCGCAGGGAAAAACAACCGCGCACCCGCAGTCGATCACCGTATCGCGACGTCAGAAAACCGAAACAGTATGACGATCCGATGCCGAGTGCGGGTGGTGCAAGAACTGCTGGAGACACGAGGTGGCGCTCGACTACTGACCAGGTTGTGAGCGAAAGAGGAAAGACCCCAACAGGCACTCGCGAACCAGTGGTTGGTGCTGAAACACACAAGACTCAGGTGCAGCAAGTCCCTCCGAGGCGTGCGCATTTTGCCGATGAGTATGTTTCTTCCCCCCAAAACTCTCCATTCAAGTTGAACGTATCTTTTGGGTAGCTAACATTCTTGGCTAGTGCGGATACCCACATGGCAGATTCGACAGCAGACGCACAGCCGGTCGAGCCGATGGATGAGGCGGCCGCTTTGGAAGCTCGTCGTAAACGGCGCGAGGCAATCAAAGCCAAGTACCGCAGCCAAGCCAGTCCGATGCACCTGAGGGCCCTGCAAGTTCCCGATGGCGAGACGGACTCATCCGCAACCGGGACCGAGCCTACGAATGCAAGCACACATGGGAGCCCCAGTAAGTCTCAATTGCCCTCGGCTCTTCGGAAGTTAGCCAGTCCTCAAACGCTGACGGATGCTTTACAATTTTTTCCAGGTTCCCCGCGACTTTCATCTGCACCCAATACTCCAAGCGAGCAAATTGGGGATGCCCTCTCTGACTTTACAATTAGCAAAGATGCAGATCTGGTCAACTCCACTGCTCCTACAGATGCGACCGAAACGGACGAGCCCTCTGCTGCGGATTATGATCCCATGCTAGATACCAAGCAGGAACGCGAAAAAGCCAGTGGAGCCAAATCAGCAAACGGCGACGTCCCATCGGCCGCCTACGACGAGACACAGACCACCAGGCAGGACATTCTTCTACCAGACACGGCCCCTCAACAAGCCCTGCCCTCGACGAAAGCCAAGGATCCATACGATATGTTTGCCGAAGATGACGACGACGACATGTTTGCCGAGGAAACCACTGGCGAACAGCCGGCCCACGCATCGGCCACCGCGGTGCCACAGCCTCAAGAGTTGGACATTAGCATGATGGACAACTGGGACGATCCCGAAGGCTACTATAATGTACGGCTTGGTGAGTTGATCAACGGGCGGTATCACATTACTCAAAATCTCGGGCGAGGAATGTTCTCTTCGGTCGTACGAGCGACCGATTCAGTTACCGAGACCGTGGTTGCGATCAAGATCATCCGCCAGAACGATACCATGCGCAAGGCCGGTATGAAGGAGATCGACATCCTTGAGCAGCTACGAGAGGCCGACCCGGAGGACAAGAAGCATGTCATCAAGTTCATCCGCTACTTTGACCACAAGGGACATCTTTGCATGGTATTTGAGAACCTGAGCATGAATTTGCGCGAAGTCCTTAAGAAGTTTGGACGTGATGTTGGGTTGAACTTGAGGGCGATCCGTGCCTACGCGCAGCAGATGTTCCTTGGGCTGAGCCTACTTCGCAAGTGTAACATCCTGCACGCGGATCTCAAGCCGGATAACTTGCTGGTCAACGAACAACGAAATGTCTTGAAGGTCTGCGATTTGGGATCTGCCTCCACCGCGTCGGAGAACGAGATCACACCATACCTTGTCAGTCGCTTTTACCGTGCGCCAGAGGTCATTCTTGGTATTCCTTACGACTTTGCCATTGACGTGTGGTCCATCGGCTGCACGCTCTTTGAGTTGTACACGGGCAAGATCCTTTTCACGGGTCGCAATAACAACCAAATGCTCAAATCAATCATGGAGTGTCGCGGCAAGTATCCACCGAAGCTGCTCAAGCGAGGCTCGCTTTCTCACATGCACTTTGACGATATGCTCAATTTCCACAGCGCCGAGGAAGACAAACTCACCGGCCGTCCGGTCACTCGAATCTTGGACTTTAAAAAGCCCACTCGGGATCTCAAGACGCGTCTGATGGGGAAAGGGACGAGGGGGATGTCGGACACGGACGCCAAGGATTTGACATTGTTCGTGGACTTTCTGGATCGTTGCCTGACTTTGAATCCGGAGAAGCGTTGCACGCCTGCCGAAGCGCTTAAGCATCCCTTTTTGAATCGGAAGTAGGGCTGGCAGGGATTATCGACGGGATCAACGGGGTGAGGTGCCAAGACGATACGATTGTTGGAGGAAGTTATCTATCAACAACTTGACAAGGAGAGAAAAGAGAGATTTGGGATGCCATGTATCTACACAAAAGATTTCATAGGGTTTCATATGACTTGCACGATCATTCGCAGCGGACTTGATTTGTTTACGTAGTCTACTGGGGTTGTAGTCTGAAGCACATGACTATCACTAAAATGACTAGGTAGTGGCACACCCCCTAGGTTTTTGTTCCACATGACACTGCAGTGAGACGGCAGGAGAATATAGCGGGATGAACATCCGGGCCGCATACCCTCAAGATAAGAAGAGGATGAGTGTAGATGACGATCGAGATCATCTCACGGAAAACGATTACCCCCCAACTCCGCACGGAACGTACAACCAAAGATTCAAATCTGGAACGCGAGACCCCATGGCCATCTTTCCCGTGCAAGTGTATAACTTAGCTACCTAGGAATGAGAACAGCTTGCGAGAACCGAACATGGCAGAAGAAGATTTCCCTGGTAGCCAATCCCATGGGTACGTCGAGATAGTGGATATTGAAGTGTTCGGGTCGTTGATCTTTGAATGTCTGGCGATTCGAGCGGAGAGAAACCTGATCTTAGGAGAGGATGGTGTTTGCATGGCATGTGATTCTGCCGACTCACCACAGTCCATAGATTAGGTAGAATCTCTCCCCTACAGCAATCTCACTCCTCGTCCCTCTCACATATTGATATAGCTACCCCTGGCGTAGCCGTATCCCATCAGATGGTTGTATGATTATACATTGGTTCATATGCTATTCTTATACAGTGTTCAGTATAGTACACACTGTATACTATACACTACAGTCTACACAGTAGTATAACAGCCAAGGGATTAGCAGGGATTTATCAACATTCAACGGTGAGCCTCGCTTAGGTCTTTGGCCCCAATGGGATATAGATCATCCAGGTATCTGTGGCCTCTGTAAGTACCGTCTCTAGCAAGGACAAATGGCAAGGTCCGTATTCTGTAGTCTGCGCTAAAGTCCCACACCAGCCCGCCGACGGCCGCTGTGCGTGAGCTCGAGACTATGTCAGTGGCGCTATCTACTACCTAATTAGGTAGTCCAATGGTTCTCTTCGTCGATAGTTCGTTTACCCCGCGCAACACCTAGTAGCCCGCAGTGAGGTCGTATACGTCGCCCGATTCCTGGGGTGCGTGATACATAGATACAGTATATCATAGCAACATGACACATGCGCGGCTTACTGTATTGTTCTCTGGTGAAAGATGTGATAAGGTAGGACAATCTGTTTCCGTGGTCGCGCAACCTGGCTAGAGTCGAGCTTGGAAGTGCATGACGACTGACGAACAATTCTACTTTTGTGTTTGGTGCAGAATGTCGCAGTTCTTATCTGTCATTCTGCTTGTTGAGTAGTGAGTAAGACTCGAGAGTGAGGGTAACTCCTCAGTACTAGTAGTACTGTAGGTAGGTGTACTGTGTATAAAGGCTGAGGGTAAGCGCCGGGGCCGTCAGGGGTTACAGAGAACCAAGGCTGGGCGGGAAATTTAGTACTTTACTGTACGTTGACGATTTCATCGTGGGATATCACGAATGGATGGACATGATTCAATACATAGAAGGCTGTGTTGGCATTGGTACGAGCGTACGGAATCCAAGTCAAGGACCGACGAATCTTGAGAGACAAAAGGAACTACATGCAGCCTGTACGTAGTTTGTAAATCTAGTTTAGCTGTTGTACAGTATCTTTCTGGAAAAACAGTCGAGGTTGCTTCAACCGACGCAGCAACTTTTGTGGAGAAAAAAAAGAACATAAAAAACAAAACTCTATTTTGGTCGAAGCCAAGGTGTTTGTCCGAGGGGTCGATATTGGGAGAAGCTTCCAGTCTGTAGCGACCCATCTGCGACCTATAGTCATCTACTTGTGCATGATAGCAAGTACCTGACTACATGTCGCTGAATGCAACAGTTGACCACCAGGTGGGCAGGTACCGTGTTAGACTTCAAACCCAGCATGCCATCGGAAAGGCTAAATAGACATGAGCATTGAGAAGCCAAGGCCAAGGCCGCAGGAAAACGCGGTTTCAAGTCGTTCGAACCACTGGGTTCGCATGGCGGTCTAGATCGGTGTATCTTGAGGGACGACTCGAGTTGCTCACCCATGGGATTGAGGTCCCCGCAACCGATGATCAGCTTGGAGAATATGATAGGATGAGTTGTTGTTGTTGGCCGAGGTCTGTAGTACTGTATAACTACAGTATCAACTACCTAACTTTATACAAGTATACATAGTTGGCATATTATCACATATCATCACATCCACATGAATTCGAGCTGCGTGCCAAGGATGACTCGGTGGAAATGTTGATGGTTCGAGGTCGGGGAAGCGAAGATTCGCAAGACTGGGTGGGTCTTCTGGAAGGATGTGGTCGACGTGTGTGACTGTGCCGTGGCTTGCTGGACGATCATTGCACAGGAGATCTCGAGCCGTGGATATATGGTGGCAACGTGGTATGAATCATTGATCGACTCGTTACTGTGGCCTCTTGATCGTTGACTGCGGAAAGATCAGGAGCGAGCCTTTCTGGAAGGATGCACGTACCACTCAATCTGGGGCCCGAGGGTTTCTATTCGATGGGCGAAGACACTTTTTGCCCTTGGATAGGATCAACGGGCTGAAGATCATAATCGAATCATCTTGCTTTTCAGCCGTGGATCCATTCTTCAAAGTATGATTCTCGAAGGGGTTGGCTCACGCTGTACGCCGTACAGTGTACAGCCTCGACTGAGAAGGAGCTATTATTAATTCTCCATGAAGGAGGTAAAGTTAGTCGTAGATCTCCCATGATTACGTCAAAGGGGGGCTCCACAGACTACAGTAATAGTAGGACTAGGGAGTCTAGGGACTCTCGGGACTGCCAAAGGACAAATCCACTCAGCCATGCAATGATTCTTTGCCACGAGCCGAGAAAGGAGTGGCAAATTCCCTCTCCATGCGCAAACATCGATAGAGGCCAACCCATGATGAGTAGTGTCGGCTGTCTGCGTGATGATGCCCGGGGCAGGGTGTCTTTTGTGGGGCATTTGCATCTGGGATAGGGTATAGACTAGGTATTGCTACGTTTGTTGGTGTTTGAAAAGTCTAGACGGGTTGATGAACCTCCTAGGAGGTGGTGATCTCTCTCGCCAAGGAAGAGGCTCATTCATACCGACCCAAGATGAACAGTACTGTCCATGTGCCGGAGTCCTGCTGGAAACCCCTCGGTTGATCCGTCCCATGGAGGAGGAGGTTCAATTGATGCAATTGCGAGGGGATATCCGATATCCCATCAGGTCTGCCCTCTGCGGCGAGCGTTGTGATCACTTACCTTGAGCCTTGTCTGGCTACTATAGAGATGAACGAAGAGAAAACCTACGAGCGCAAAGGACCACCAATTGTTGCTGTAGCAAAGGAAAAAAGAGATTTCTGGAATACAGGCGAACCACAAAGTAGCGGCGGTATCTACATACTACTAACTACCTATACCAACTACACTACTCATTCACGACATCGACCTTGTGCCCGTGGGGGGGGGGGTTCGTCACCAGATGTGATGCATCGTCCCAAGATCATGTGACACTTCACCGCTGTTCGCTGGCCGCCCTCGACATGGAAATCCAACCAAACAAACACTTCCAGTAGTCAAGTTTGGAACTTGGGTAGTAGTAGTTCCAGTGGCCCTGCGATAGTTCCAAAGTAGGTATGTGGGAAGGGTTCTCACAGGCAGCCGGAGCATGGGACCTTGGCCTTGGTCAGGTAGGACTCGGATGTTCCAAGTGGTCAGCGAAAAGGGGTACTGTTGGGCAAAGACCGCATCTCATCGTCATCGAGACACGACCTTCTCTCCTCTCGATAGACCAAGTCTTGCTAAAACTGCCCAGTACTCTCTATACAGTGGACTCTACTGGACGGTTGCACAGTCGTAGACCAAAGACCCTGCCGCGGTTGGAGCCAGCATGGCCGTTTGTCATGCACAACGCATGCCATGAGCCAGTCTCGACGCTCGACACCCTGGCCATCATCCGAGGTGATTTGGCGAGGAGTCCAGGTACACGACTATCCTTCTGTGACTGTAGTCATGCCGGTCTGATTCGAGCGCCTGCTTCATGGCCTCGCCTACTGTTTAATGTTTTCGTCCCCTGCCTCTCTGGTCTGTGGGGGCGAAGAACCCGCATTGGCCGGGCGGTTGGTTGGCTCGAGGGGGTTGTCGAGCTTGCCTCACTCTTTTCTTGCCCTCTCCTTCGTCTGTCGGAGGGGGGGGGGGAATTGTTCCAGCCGCCGACGTTTTTGTTTCTTTCGAAACGCATGAGGCTGGAAACGGGAGTCCCCAGTCTAGAGAGACTTTTCCGACCGGGTCAAGTGTCAACACTCCACAGGGGGAATGAGGATCAAGATTGCTCCTATTACTCCTGTTATAGTCGTACTGTACTTGGGTACTTCGGACTTGCTGTGCGAATCACTCCGTCTTTCCAGACTCGAGACCCCGAATCATCTCTAAAGCCCCAAAGTTTGAACAAGCAAAGTTGTACCACCGATCACGGGAGTGCAACCAGCCACTGATCGATACATGCCACCTGACCTGCTAGTGCCACTCCACGACGAGTCCTGTTGTCGAATCTCCAGAGTCTCTCTGCCCCGAACCGGAAATGGGTCCATGACCTGAAAGGCTGACAGTGACACCGTCCAGTCCCGTCCAGTCCCGCACGGTCCACCTGGAGTGACCATGCTTTCTGCTCCGTCACGATCCACATGGAACCTTGCCCGTTTGCTTTTGTTTCCCTTGGAACAATCCAGCCGAAGCCCCCGGGCAGACAGTCACTAGTGACACCTTCTAGCAGAGCTAGCAGAGTGTGTCCCCAATTCAAGGTTCTCGGACGAACTGGGCGTTGGGGCGTCATGGCCTGGTTTCCTGGTGCCTACCCTCTGACGGTGGATTGACTGATGGATCGAGAGAGAGAGAGAGAGAGAGAGAGAGAGAGAGAGAGAGAGAGAGAGAGAGAGAGACAAAGCGAGAGAAAGTCCAACTTGGATTCGAGTGCCTGAGTTTTCATAAGATGTAAGCTACCTCTCTCAGGCACCAGATGTGGAGCTCATCATGCAGACATGCACGTCTCCATATTTGAGACCAAATTACGGTGAGGAGGGCGTGCTTGGTGACCGCTTCGTTTGGGAGAGGTACTACTACTACTCTACTACTACTACTACTACTACTCCTACTACTCCTACTACTACTACTACTCCTACTACTCCTACAGCAGGTACTATTACGACAGTACTATCATACTATCATACTATCATACTATCATACTATCATACTATCATACTATCATACTATCATACTACCACTATCACTATCATTGATTCACTACGTGATCAACTGACGAGACATCACAGACACTCATTGTTATCGATAAGCTTGGGATCGTCTCTCCCCGGGATACAAACGCATTGTAGGCATCATCGTACACGACTACTGTCGATGGGTCCCAGTCAAACGAGCCACGGTGACGAATCCAGTCAGATGGACTCGGCGCTGCCCGTGGGACGGGACTTGGGACACATGGCTGGTGCGAATTCCTAACACGGCGAACTATCCACTACCTGACCACCGTGAAATTGGAAATTGGTACAGACTACAGTGTAAACTTAGAAGGACATTAGGAAGAGGAAAAGCGGAAAGCAGCAGTAGGACCAGGCGCTAGAGAGGGGCGAGTCGAAGTGGGCGTGGGCGTGGGCGTGGGCATTCCCAAACGCGGGAAATCAAAGTCTCCAAGGCTGGCCAGAATGGGCGGTCTCCAACCTTAAAAAGTCATCCCAGGCTCACCGGTGTTGAATTCCCAGGGAGACTTCTTTGGGAGTCATGGGTTCAGTTCGTTACTTCGTTCCATCGGTGCCTCACTGCCTTCTTTTTGGCGGCTGGGTTCCAAGGTGGAGAGGATTGGGCTTCGAGTGGGGAGGAGGAGCAATTGTGGACTCGAAGACTTGAGAGTGGAGCGGGTGCGCGGACGAGGGAGGACGAGGACGTGGAATGGGCGGTGATTTCAGTGGAAATACGAACAATGTATTCGATGCATGTGGCAGACTTCTACAAATCGGACCACGACGGATGAACGGGGGAGCACTTTCAGTGTTGCGGTCCCGAGGGTCAGACGGGCTGTGGCGGGAGGAGAGGACCTCGTGGTGATAATCCGATGGGATTGCGCTGGGCTGAGTCGAGGGGGTCATACGATCCCCACTCCCCAGTCCCCACCGAATACTAATACCCTCAGGGGCAAATGCCACGCTCAATGGACCATGTCTCCCGCGCGTTCACTGTTCACACATCTTGAAGATCTGGTCGACGAGACAGATGCAATCATCTATCTGGGGCATTGCTGAAACTGCATATTGTCGCGTATGGACTACATATGTAGTCTGTATTATGTACAGGATATGCCGCCGTCTATTCTGATTGTACATTATTGAAGTATGTCGACAGATCAGCCTGAATGGTTTCTAGATCGTGTCAAATCTATCTGTCTAGAGTTCATACTTGACCCGGTGTTTCTAGTGGAGGTCGGTTGTCTATACTCACTCAACACATCTATTTGTTGTCGGTGTTGCACAACTGAATTGATAGTATTTAACTAAGTATATCAACAACAGCAACATATTCATTGTGTATATGATCAGGGGTAATGCTGTAGGGTCCAGGCTGTAATCACTTTTCGCACGTCTCCTCATGGACTCAGGACTCAGGACTCAGGACACCAGCTACAGTACTTCAATATGATTCTGGCGCTGTCCCCCTTTCATCTCCACTCCTTGCTCTCCCATCGTGTCCAACTAGTCGATCGTGATATGTGACTGGCCCCATAGGGGTCACAACATCCAATGATGACCTGCAGGTGGCGTCGGCCGTGCTGCATCATCTGCGGCAGCCCTGCTCTGTCGGGGCATGATTGGTGGCGAGTGGTTGTCTCTCAAGGCTTTCAAGGCTCAAGGCAGGGAATGAGAAAAGCAAAAAAAAAAAAAAAAAAAAACCTGAGAGGAGGGAGAGAGTTTGGGCAAAAGTTCAAGTGGGCGATTACATGTTCGATTGTTTAGTGTTTACAAAGGGTTACCCTTTACACTTACCGTAGGGCGGGTTGCCCGTCCCCTTCTTGGTCCGAGGGTGAGTGCCTGAGAAGCCTAAGTATGGGTGGCCACTGGCCACTGGATCGAACAAGCAAGTCATGATGGCGGATCAGATACGATCTGTGCTGGAGGGCTTGTTTCCACTTTCCACCATGGAAGACCACCCATCATCTAATTTGGCACACCGCTACAATTCACGGTCCGTCCATCACCCGTTTGCCTGTTGCGCCCCGGGAGAGGATGCAATGTCGACATCAACCATTCATCTGATGGACGCCCATCTTAATCGATGAGTGGAGGAGAGTGAGACTGGATCTACTCCAGTACTGAGCACACTGAGTCCAGTACTTGGCTAGCCTTGTCTCCAGATGAGTCGAGACCTGACCCATCATCAACACCCAGTCATTACTTCAGTTGAGTGCTATCACTGATCCACTACTAACGGAGGCGATTACACCAGCCCCCAAATCGTACTGGGTAGTAGAATTAGGTACACTGGTACAGTACTGAGTCACTGACTGTGTCAGACACAGTAGCGCATACTCAACAGAGTCAACAAGGACCTGGTCTCACGCATGAACTATTTTGGTGGAAGGTGCATGAAATGTCGTGACTGTCGTCCGGTCGACTCGCAGTGCCGCTGTCATGATCACTGATCAGGATCCGCCTTCGAACCCTGGACAACCCAGGGGGGGGGGTGTTGACTGTTCAGTGCTGTACGGCGCTCGAGGCAGCCTAGTGATATGAGCAAATTAGGATTAGAACTGTGCACCGTGCAACAGCCACCGAGCATGGGAGACGACCGGACCCTGCGCTGAGGCAGTACCGGTACCACCGGTACTGCCAGAGGGGGCAGTCGCGCCCATAACGGGCCGTGTCAACCCGGAGGACTCGATGAGTCGGGCGTACCGGTACTTGGCAGTTGGCACTGGCAGGAGAACCGCGGGAACAGGCCAGACGGTCGTTGTCGGCACGGGAAGAGTACGAGAAAAGAGTTCCCGTCCACAAGTGCCACGCTATCGAAACTAGCCACGCCGCCACGGGGCCCGCACTCTCACGAGTCACGACCCTGCGCCCGCCCCACTCACCGTATCTCCACTCCCGCCTGCCGGTAGATCCACGCACTCCTCCACTTGTCCACTTGTCCGCTTGTCCGCATCATCGATCCCTGCGGTCGGACTCGATTCGTTCTTCCATCCACATCCACATCCACCCATCCCCCAATTTCCATTTTATTTTTATCCGACCAGACCAGCCGAACGAGAACCCAACCCAGAAACAGAAAAAATCAAAAAGACGGAAAATCAAAGGGCCCCCGTGTGTCTACCGTCTAAAGTCTACAGTCTACACCGTTGCCTCCGCCTCCCAAGTCAAACAGTGAATCGTTCCTACCGAGCGCAGTCCTCAGAATCGCCCCCCATCCCTTTTCGATGCCCATATTAACACCCGGCCAAGTCCACCGAGTTTCAACTCTTTATTATCATCCTCATCCTCACTTGCCCCCATCCCTCCTCTCTCCTCTCTCCTCTCTCCCGTCTCTCCTGTCAGCTCTCCCTCGATATCTTGACTCTCCAGTATCTCTCTCCTCTCCTCCACTTCCTTCCCCCCTCCAGCCTCTCCTTTACCCTCAACCTTGGGACCGGGCGATCTTCGTGTGACATCGACACCTCACACTACTGTCGCCGTCGCTGCGTACTTCCCTTTCGTGCTCCGCCTTCTTATATACCTTGTTAATATCTGCCCTCTCTCCTCCCCGGTCACTTCCGCGTTCTCCTTGTCTCTTTGGAATCTCGTGATCTCCCGGTGGGACTCTACGATTCCTCCTTGTTTTTCTTTTCTGGACTATCTGGATCTCACGCCCCGGGAATGGACCTTTAAACCACCCCGACAACTGGCCTTGGGAGTAAAACTCGCATCATTTTAATCAATTCCGTCCAGCCTTTCGTTCCGTTCCTTGGAGAGGACGGTGTAACTGCATCTCGGCCCCCAACTTTCAATCATTGCCACTGCCGACCTGGGTCCCTTTCCATCCTTGGGATACGGGCGGTTGGTTTGCATTCTTGCCACCCAGCAGCTGTCTCGGAGGGCCAATCCAGCTGGCCTCTCGTCCAAAGTAATATAAGTCGTCGCCGGGAGACTTGCCAAGACCGTTCCAGAGCATTCACCCACCGGCTTCCTTCCGCCAAGGAAATCTCAAGGCGCTTCTATCCTTCCACTTGGGAATTGACTGTCATCCCGAATCCTCCTTCTCTGGACCCATTGGACTCTTTATCCTGCTTGCTCTCCCTCCGGATCCCCACTGCATTAGGCCCTTTTCCATTGGATTTTGGGGAATACTTATACGTCGGTACATGATGTATCCCACCGACCTGCCGACACCACCCATGTCGCCCACTCCTCGCTGCCATGCCCCCGAGGATCGTCTAGGGTTCATTCTGGCGGGCTGGCTAGAGTTGGAGAGTGTTCTCGGCGTGGGGGCCTATGGAGTGGTCTATACCGCCGTCGACATCCACACTCGCAATCGCTATGCCGTCAAGGCGCTCAACAAGTCCGGGCTGGATTCCCGACAACTCCGCTACCAGCAGAGAGAGATTCAACTACATCACCAGGCGAGCGCGCACCCCAATGTGGTCTCCCTTGTGCGCATCATGGACTCCGTGGATTGCACTTACGTCGTGATGGAGTACTGTCCCGAAGGTGACCTGTTCTCCAACATCACGGAAAAGGGCCACTTCGTGGGAAATGACTTGCTTGCCAAGCGGATCTTCTTGCAACTCCTGGATGCCGTGCAATATTGTCATGCCCTGGGAATCTACCACCGGGATCTGAAGCCGGAAAATGTCCTGGTCACCGACCAAGGCGCCACGGTCAAGCTGGCGGATTTCGGTCTGGCAACCCAGGACTACTTCACCGCGGACTTTGGATGCGGCTCCACTTTCTACATGTCTCCTGGTAAGTTTCTGAGTCCCTGGTGAGATTGCTCAGACACGGATGTCCCGTGCCTTCGTGCCTCCGTGTCTGCTCCAACTCTTTGGGCTATCTGACGTCTGTCATTTGGACCTTTCCCTGACCCTTGCCGCCACGTTTATCCTTGAAACGCATTCAGCTAATATACCTGAAACGTGGCAGAATGTCAGCAGTCTCATCCACGGCCCATGTCATGTTATGTCTCACCTGCCAATGACGTCTGGAGTTTGGGGGTCATGCTGGTCAACCTCACCTGTGGTCGCAATCCCTGGAAGCGCGCTTCGCTCGAGGACTCCACATATCGGGCTTACCTGAAGGATCCGTTCTTCCTGAAATCGATCCTGCCCCTGTCCACGGACATGGTTCACATCTTGAACCGTGTGTTTGAACGCAGCCCGGAGAAAAGAATCTCCATCCCAGAGTTACGGCAGCTCGTGCTGGACTGCCCTCATCTCACCGAACCTGTGCCCAACCCGGTTCCCACGCCGTTGCCCACCCCCGCCGCCCAACTTCATAGCGTGGAGCATCCCATTTTCCCCGTGTGGGACCGCTTGCAGGCTCTCGCTGCATCTGCTCAGCAGGTCCCTTACACGACACCCGTCGATACGGCACATCTCCAGTTTCCCATGCATGCTCAACCTTCTGGATCTTCCTCCGACTCGTCATACTATTCGGACTTTTCCGATTCAGGATTCTCTGAGACTTCTGCCTTGACCGAGGATTATTCCGATTATGACGATTATGGATGCATGTCGCCGGATCTTGTGGACCCAGCCGCGTTCCCGGACTGCAAACTTGCTGGCATGCAACAACCACAATTGATGGATCCTTTTGTCTCGACGGTTCAGCTCCGCTGAGTTCCGTTGAACAAGGTGTCCGGGAGCTGTGCTTTGTGCCAGCGCGACTTCTTCAACCGGCCACACCCATCTACCCAAACTTCCACCATCTCTAATGCTTTCCGACGACGTTAACGTTCTGGCTCTATTTCATCCCTGGAGTTGTCATTTCCTCCCCCCATCATCACCGGTCGGAGTTCAAATTTCCCAAGGCGTTCTGGATTCGTCAATTTGCGTTCATTCTCGTATCTCGTCCAACTTTCCAAAAGCTGGCGCCTTTTTCTGCTTTGAACCTGGGGCCACAACCACCCCCCCCCCCCCCCCCCCCCCCACGATTCTTGCTTTGTCCGTGTGTTATATTTCCACACGCATTCCGCCGCTGCATTCAGGAGACCGGGCCTCCCAAGTCCTATCATTTGACTACAAGGATCTTTCAACCTCTGATCGATGACCGGTAGACTTTCTGGTCCACTGTGGCTTGATATGCTCAAACGCATGGCATTTTCCCTCTTTTTACTATATCACCCTTTGGCCTTCTGGGCTTTGGTCGGACGGAGTCTTTTTTCCTCTCATATTCGAGTCTGTGGAAGCTAAGCAAAACTTGGGGGTTATCTGCTTTTTGAGCTAAGACCTTTGAAAAAAAAGGCCTTGTTTTTCTTTATTGCTGGGAGACTTGGTGCCTGCATGCAGTTTTCTCCATGGAACTTTGTTGAATTGTTGTGCGCGACTTGTTTCGGTGTTTCCACACTGCTTTTTCGGTTTTCGGCATCTGCATCGGGATATCATGACATGCTCGGTGGATGATCAATCCTTGATCACAGTACCTTTTTATGGGGCGGTGGGCTAGTTTTTTTTCTCCCCTTTTGTTACCCATCTTATGTATATAGATAGATATTGCTTGCTCTTGTTGGCAGTATCTTCCGGTGATGGGATCAGGATCCTTCGACCGGTTCTTTTTATGCCCCTGATTCTCTTGCACATTCTTGGAGGGTCCAGGATTCGGGATTGGATATTTGAGTTTTATGGATATGATACGATACCTTGAATAGAAGACTCTACGGAGCACAATGATTACTTATTCGATCGAGATTTTCTCTATTATTGAGATTGTGTGTTGAGCCTATATAAGAGACTCGTGTTGAGCATGTTCTCTAACTATCAATGTACGAGACATTCGACCGGCTGCGTGGCGATCTATTTGGAATACTAGTTTGCTACGTTGGTGCGTCGGGAATAGCCCGAATGTCATGGAATTGCAAAAGGTGTATGAAATCAGGAATGGAGCATATCAAACATGCATGCCAGATAGGCTGATGGAGGGAATGATTCGAATACTGATCTCAACGTTGACCGAAGATCGATCCAAATTACAAGCCAGCTCCTCAGAGCAGTAGCGTCGATCTTGAGCTCAAGAAACGACAGCGTTGACCACGAGATTGAACTCTTTTGTTCAAAGGCAAGCCAACTATCGCAAAAAAAAAAAGAGACATGGAAAGAAATGACACAATCCCGTGTCAAAACCAATTACAACATTCGATCAATCCCATCCGCAGGACCTGCTCTTCAATCCCACTCCAGAACCGCAATCAATCCCGTCAGTCACTTAACTCGCTCACTCGCTCACCCAAGTCCACTCCCTCACATATTCCTCCCACCCGTAACACGAATCGTCTCCCCATTCACATAGGAGAACAACGGACTGGCCACCGCCAAGACCGCCCTCGCAGCCTCCTCGGGGCTAGCGGGCCGCCGAAGCGGAATGTCAGGATAGGACGCGGCTTCATCGCCCTTCTTGCCATCGAGCTGCTTTCCGGGAATGCCCAGGGCGACTTTTTCGCCGTCGGGCGTGGTGATGAAGGCGCCGGCCTCTTTGGCCGCGGTCAGCCGCGTCGTGACGAAGCCGAAGGCGATGGTGTTGGAGCGGACGCCAAAGGCCGGACCCCATTCTTTGGCGATGGTGCGTGTGAGACCGACGACGCCGGCTTTGGCAACGGCGTAATTTGCTTGGCCGCTGTGAGAGAGAGAGAGAGAGAGAGAGGGGGGGAATTCGTTAGCCTTTTGCTGATGTTGATCGGCGCGGACTTTGACAACTCACGCATTGCCGTGGATTCCACTCGTGCTGCTAATGTTGATAATCACACGGGGCTCCTGATCCTTGACTCGGAAGTATGGCGCGGCGGCACGCACAAGCCGGAATGGTGCGGTATTGTGCACGGCGAGCATAGTGTCCCATTGCTTATCCGTCATCTATGAAAAAAAAGAAGTCAACGGACTTGTTCATCGACAGGTCCATTTCGCTGACTATGTCTCCGAGTCATAGACGCCCAGTCTTTTGGACTCTCCTTCTTGTCGTGCCGGAGCTCAACGTTTCGATTTGGAAGCACAGAATCTGTTTGGAAAAAAAAAAGGCCAGGAAAATGATGAACCAACCTTGTGAATGACCCCGTCCCACGTAAAACCGGCATTGTTGATAATGATATGAATCTTACCCCCGCCGAATTCAGCCGCCTTCTTCACCAGCGTTTCGATATAGTTGGCGTCGAGGACATCGCCCACCACGGCCAGGGCCCGACCAGGAGAGGCCGCATTGATCGCGTCAGCCACAGCATTTGCCTTTTCTGCAAAACGAAAGTTGTCAGTCAAAAAAAAAAAAAAACAATTCCCCCGAGTCACAAGGTCCAGCAAGGATGAATTGTCGGTTTACAAAGAACAGGCAACTTGTCAAGCGCCATTCCACCAGTATGTACTGGTGACATTCCAGGAGACCGCAAGAGCTCGAGAAGACTCTGTCTGATACCCGAATATCGCCTGCTAGATATTGGGGGGGGGGGGAGCACCACACATACTGTTGTCAATGTCGGCGACCACCACTTTGGCGCCTTCATTGGCGAAAAGGCGAGCTGCCTCTGCACCAATTCCCTGACCTGCTCCCGTGATGATGGCTACTTGACCGGCGAGCATGCCGGCTGGGTAATTGAGGTGCTTGTTGACCTGGTCGAGACGGTCGGAGGGCGCCATGCTTGCGGATGTGATGGAATGAGCTTTCTCTTTGGTTTTTTTTTTGTGTGTTTCGTAGGATTAATTCCTGACTTTCGCTCCCTCTGATCGATTTGATCAATATTTTATTGTCGGTTCTCTCGTGGAACTCGGCGTTCCTTTTCGATCGGAAGAGTACGGTAGGTTGGAGCTCTAACGTAGGTTGGGGACTTGGGGTACAAGTCTTATACACGCCTGATCGTTCCCCGGCAGGCTAAGCTCGGCTTGGAAGTGCCGAGGCTTCTCCACGGACCGAAAATGTGGGGTAGAAGGGACTGCCGTTGACTACTTTGCGCTTACTGCAGGTAGTCCCTATACAAGATGCGCATTGAAATATGCATTCATATATGGTCATGGGCGTCACAGAGAGAATCCTTGAACAGTCTGTGGTTCTTGAACGTCTTCTTGAACAGTGTCTCAATTGAATGACATGGGTGTACGAGGGGATTGCAGAAGAAAGTCATTTCAAGTTCCGTACCAGCTGGAGCCAATCTGATAAGAAGAGTATTGCTGGTGGTCAGAACACGACAGTGCAATAGAAAAGGAAAGCTTGCCATCGGCTATATGAGGAATTTAAGGCAACAGACAAACAGAACAAAGCCACTCCGCAAGAACAACTTGGTCACAAAACAAAAAAAAAAAAAAAAACCATGACGCGACCGAGTCCCCATACTGCAGACATGAGCAACTATCATCAGTCCAAAATCGACGCAAAGTCGCAGACGCACTGCCCGAGAGAAATGGATTGAAGCAGCCTATCAAGGCTGACTTGGAAGCCTGCAAGAACAGAGATCAAGTGTTGCATTTCCGAACTCATGCCGCTCATCCACTCGATATCGGCCTCGTCTTCAACCTCGGCCTTGATAGCCGGCGGGAAACAATCGTCAGACGATATCCACGCTTCATCCATCTCTTGCGAAGCGTCCCAGTTGAGCATGAGCAAGCTGCTACGCGCCTGTAAATTGGCCTTGACAGCAGCCACTAGCATCGATAACACATCTTTGCACTGCTGGAGGGATCCGCGCAACAAAAACCCCTGTATTTGATTGGCTTCCCCTGGGTAGATCTCATAGCTACCATACTTAGTGTTGTCCTGTCCTGCTTGAGGCTCTCGCCTCGTTTCTCGTGAGGCAATACACTCGAATAGTTGTAAGACAGTGTTGAGACCAGATGTGAGTAGAAGAAGATTTGAATAATCTTTTGCACACAGTTGACATTGAAGGAAGACCCGTCCAACTTCAAGTGTCATCTTGATCATCTGCAAGGTCTGATCAAAACGTAGGGACTGAGGGCTGGCGAGCAGCTGGCCCAGTCGACTCAGATTGAGTAGCTGCATCTCCTTGCATTCACACAGTGAAAGCGGAGCATATGGAGAGGACACCGAGTCACTCTGCGGAGGACTTATCATGCAAAGCTCTGGCGGGTCGAATGTCATAAAGCTTGGCGTCACTGGAGACGCCAAGTCGTCCCGATCGATCAAAAGTGAGTCGCTCAATGCTAACATCAGTGAAGGGCTCATCAGCGAAGGGCTCATTGGAACAAGTGAAGGCCCGTTAGCCAGTCCCACTGGGCAGTCCCATATATCAGATGGGCCCGGTATCGGACAGCCCTGGAATGACCTCGAAAATTTTCTTACAGTCAGCTTGAACATGCAAGACACGTCAAGTCTCAAGACCCGAGCACTTACGTCGCTCTCCGAAGTTGCGAGGTTCACACTGGAATCCAGGATCCCTCGTGCCAAAAGGGGCTCGCGACGGATGGCAGAGCTTCCGCCTCGAGCAGTGGCACGGAATGCTCGAACGGGTCGCTTTTCATCAGGCAGCTCGCCCAATTTTCTCAACGTTGCTCGGTTCTTGCTCCCCTTGGGTTTGCCCGAACGATTGGCGAATCCATATTGACATTGCAAGCCATTGCGGAGGCAACGGGTGCACATGCTTTTGCCCGATATATTGCATTTCACCTTGGATTGTCTGCAGTTTTCACACGCCGTGCGCAGCTTGGGTACATCGCTTCCACTGCGCTGATTTTCAGCAGACTCGGCAAGCATTGGAATTGTTCAGAAGTACTGATTGACGGGTGTTGAGTGGCCGTACGGCTTTTGAGATAGGATGTTATGACGGCATCTGCATCAAACGAGGTTCAGGCGGGATCAACCTTTACAGGAACCTCAGAGTCAATTTGCCCGGGCGAGAGGAGCAGAGGCCTGACGATAATTTCAACCTCAATAATGACTTCAAATTCAAAAGCGTCGTTCAAGATGTTCTTGCCAATTTGGAATCAGTATTGCTTGGCGACCGTGACTCGTGGAGATACAGAAACAGGGAAAGAATGTAGTACCATGCGATAAGGTGCGATAAAAGGTCTCAGTCACATTACTCAGGCCCCAATGTGCGGCGTATGTTTTTTCACTGGATTATATAGACCTGCTCTTCAAGCTTGTTCCAGACCATGACCTTCAAAATGATCAGCAGAATGGCAGCGGATAGAACCGATTCGGCCGGCCTCAGGATGTGTCACATTCTTTCAGAAGAGTGAGGGTTGTGCCCATGCCAGCTGCATCAGCCGCTGTGACACCCTACAGATTGGCGTGTCTGATCAACCTCACATGCGGGTGCCGACCAAGCATCTTCGAGGGCATATTTGCGATTATCTCGATAGCCTTTGCCCCTTTCGCGATGCTTGGAGTATCAAATGCCAGCTTATCGCTGCACTGCACTGAGTGAAGAAGTCTGAATTTCCATCATGTGCCGATGTGGCTCTGAGCGATCATATTTTGTGCCGCGAGATTGAAGACGACACCGACTTCTCTCATTACTTTGCAGCAATGCTCGGAAACATGGTTCTGCTTCACTTTGTGGTTTCCATAACCCGTCTGTTCTATTCGACTCAATTGAAAAGGTTCCTGTGTTATACATATGAATGTAACTTGAGCGTTCGCCAAACATCAAGTTGAGGGTCTGAGTGGCTCAGATAGTTGTTGACCTGAATTCGATAATCTCAGGCTCACGGGCGTATCATTCCCATCGACTTGGCTGGCCATTGCCTCGTACCGTAGATCATCGACCACTGGTAGAGCCCAGACACCATGTCCCGGCGAGACGTCTCCAATGATCATGCAGAGACCACCGCCCCAGCGACAAGAGGATCGCGTGGATTGCACAATGACCGCAGACCCATCCCGATTCGGCTGGCCGGATGCACAGGACATGGTGGAGGGCACCACTCACCATAAGCATGTTCCGTTGTTGCACACCACCAAAACCAAGTGCTCGTCAGCTGGGAGCCGTGAAGGTTTTGCCCCCATGCCATCTCAAGAGGACCACAACATGGATAATTCCCTCAGGACCTCACTGCAAATGAATCCTCAGATGCAGGATGATCGATCGTCCCTACCTACTTCGCCATGAGCTTGACGTATCACCCCCATCCTTGGTGCCCCAAGCTTTCTGGCCGCTTCAAGTGACACCCGACCACTGCAATTGAATCGAGCATGACTCAGCCGCGAAGGGTTTGACAAGCCTCGGCAATCCCGCTATGACGATAGTCGAATGCCTTGAGTAAGCCGGTCAGATGGGCTACTGCGGCACAGACCACCAGCACATGAAAGATCTGATGCGAGTGGCCAAAGAGGTCGAATTGACCCGGTCGTAGCCGTTCCGGCACGCGTGCTGCATAGATTCCTGCGCCGAGAATGTATAGGAAGCCTTGGAGTAGTAACCATTCTAGACCAATTTGTTGACGCATGCGCTCATAGCCGAAAAGCCCCAGCCCGTGGAGGACGGGTAGAATAGCGGACAGACCCATGCCTACAAACATGGCTGCACGGAACGGTCGCCAGCGGGGAGTGCGGAACTGAGGGATAATCGAGACGCACATGCAAGCGAAACCGATGGTACAAATCATAGTCCAATATCGATGTTGGAGAGCGGGATTGCAGTAGAACCCGTAGAAGATGCTGGGGATAAAACTGCCCACAATAAGGCCCACGATGCCGATGTAATCAAGGGCATTGCCAATACGCGCAACTCGCGGAGAATGGTTCGAGATTGTGTGATAGGTGGCCGACATGCCTAGGCAAAAAGCTGCACCGGCGAAGAAGCAAGCAAAGGCAACAATGTCCGCTTCGTCTGCACTTTCATAACGAGGAGCAAGGGCTTGATACAGCTGGTAGCCAGCTGGAATAGCCGCTATGCTAGGGATCAAATGAGTGTAGATGTTCACAGACTCATTGTGCAGGTAGCTCAGAGAGTGAAATGACTTTTGAAAAGATGAAGAAGCCGGTCGATATCCCGTGTGAATATGCTGATTGTCACGCTGCCAATGCGGCAAGTCATTCCAATGGACTAGCCTGCTCATAGTTGCTGCGGCCGAGTCAAGAACCGAGTCGGCAGAAGTAGACCCCCGTGATTCCGAGTGTGACTCTGCTCCATGAGCGGCACGGCGTTGACGCGACATATCTCGATTTCTTCTTATCAATAACCTGAATGTCGAGCGACGTGAGAGTAAAAGTCTTCTGTCAGCTTCGGTGAAGGTGAGCCACAAGCTGTGTGTAGCAACAGGATGGCGAATGTAGACTTTGACTACACCTCTGTCGGTACGTGAAATAGTCTATACTTCTAGAGGTGAAAGTCTATGCTTCTAGAAGTGAAATTTCAAGAGGCATTAGGAAACAGGCAATTTAAACACTTCCACAGACATGGTGAATAGTTGGGGCAAGGCACAAGATCGGCGTTGTATCTATGTTGACTCTGTTGAGAACCTCGGTGCAAACGTGGCAAACACGCTATCAGCGCCGCTTACGAGCACGAGCGACCTAAAGGGTATTATGTGTATTCCAGTTGTCCGCTTAAAGAGAACAGCTATAGTGAGGCGTCCAATGAAAGGTGATAGAATCTCTAGAAGATCGCTTCTCTCACATCATGCATGTGTCAGAAATAGCACTCAAATACCGATGAAATTGGTGGGACTCAACATACTTAATCTGCCGCATCTTCACATGACGATTGACGGTACGATGTATTTGCGGGTGGCTAGCAGCTGCTCCTCCCCATCGTCAGTGGGCGCAAATAATCATGTGGCAGCCGCAGTCGAGCTTCTCCCCGCATCAATGTCCTCCATTCCCCCATCTGCGCAATGCAGCCCAAACCACCGGGCAGCCGGTTGAAACCGGTTGCTGATACGCTGGAGAGTGTCGGATTTGTGTCAAAGGGGGACAAGAAGTATGAAAGTAACTCTCTCCCCCCATGTGTGGGCACGTTATTGATTGACCTGATCACCACAGGCTGTTGAACCATCGAGCTCAAAATGAATACTTCAACAAGATCAAAGACCGCTACGTGAAATTCTGCGTCGATAACAAAAGCAACCTTGAAGCTGCATTAATATCAATGCCTACGAGCGCCTCGGGTGATGCAACCTCCAATCCGCCAGCTGCTCTGCCATCCGCGAAGCAAAGCACCGTCGAGCGAACCATTCCGTCGCCGTCGTCAGAGCTGTCAACTCTCCTACTCTCGTTGCGAAAGCTTCGTGAAGCTTTACTCGCTACAGCTAAAGAGACACCCGTGGATTTCATCCAACGCGTTTACGCCTTCTCAATCCAATTGGCAGTTCGCGCTCGGCACCCGCCGTCGTACTTCCCGTCCTTACGCTATAGTCTCGAGAAATTGCATACGCGATCCCATCCGCTGAATCAATCGGACTTGGAAGACGTGATCTCCTACTTGATACTCGACTATGCCTGCCGACAGGATGATATGCTGTCTGCCTTCGAGCTGCGCGCGCGTGCGCGCAGAGACTTTGCCTTCTCCGACCAAGACATTGATCAAGTTCTTGTCGCATTGATGCATGGTAACTGGGTCGTCTTCTGGCGAGTGCGAAACTCCGTCGACTGCTTCAGACAAGCCATCATGGACTGGGCCATGGCTCAAATGCGCCGGCGCGCCCTCAAAGCCGTTGGTAGTGCGTATCTCAGCGTGCCGGTTGATTGGGTATTGGGTGAATGCATAGGATTCGATGAGGGCTGGACATGGGAAAAGCTGGTCGAACACGAAAATCTCGGCTGGGAAAAGGACGGCGAGAATATCATCATCAGGCGCCCAAAGACACGAACTCGGTTGAATCCAGAGGCAGCGCCCGTCAATAAGGCCGAGTCTTAGCTTGCTATGTGTTCATTGCTTTATGGTTGGCGTTCCAAGTGTGATAGTCTAATTCGAGTAACACGGGGCATGGTATGGGACCTTGGGTGCATGTTCCGTTGGCGACGAGAACGGTGCTATTTTCTGTATTCTTACACAATCACAGCCTTTCATTGAAACGGAAAGATGACGCTTTGGAAAATCAAAATTCCTTCTGTATCATGTTTGATGGGGGCGCACCCGAGGGAGGACCAGGAACACCGTCAAGTATCGGCCGCGATTTGCTACAACTTGAAATCTGCGTTACACCGATCCCGATTCGATTGTCCGAAAACTGGCTGTTCTGCAACGGTAGCAGCTAGCTGCCGCTTCATGCTCACTGCGCTATCGGAGCACAGCTCGTATAACGTCGATAAGTTGAAAAGAAGACTTCCAAAAGAGTTGTTGGCGCGGACCTGTGTTTCAAGGAGTTCACGTGCCTGATCCCTCTGTCAGAAAGACGAACAAGATCACTCGGCGTGGTACAATCACTCAGCTTACCTCATTCAACCTACCGCAGTAAACAAGGCAGACAGCCAGGTTCTGTCCCGTAAGCGCATTGTCCGCTCTCTCCACATCTTCGTGAAGAGTTCGCCATTCACTTGCTGCATCCTCATAGCGGCCCTCTGACATGCTGAGCAGCGGCCGCAACAGCGCAGCGTCATCTGACTGGGCAGAATTTTCCCAAACCTGTTGAGCCGCGTCAACGTCTCCTATTCGCAGGAGGAGAAGCGCCTTTCTCAAAGTCATAGCCGCGGCAGGCTTGGCGGCGACCTGCAGCGTTTCCAGTGAACGTTTAGCTGCATCCAAGTCGCCCATCTCCACGAGCGCATTGGCACTTCGAATACCAAGATCACCGAGTCTTTCCCTCCAAATTGTCCTTTCATCCTCGCTAATGTCCTTTCTAAGAATTTCACGGCGTGCCTCCATTCCTAATTCATACAGCCCGCCGATAATTCTGCGCGAGTCTCCGAAGCCAATGCTCTGCAACCGCACGGCCAGAACGCGAAGTGGCCAGGGCACTATGTGGCGAAGGTGCCGCGAGTGGGAGGTGTCATTGTCGGTTGCGTTATCGGGACTTTCGAGGCTAGTGTCAAGGTAGTAGAACATCGAATTGAGATCCTCTAGAGCCTTGGATTCTTGTGCAGCGATTGCTGTGTTTCCTGACAGTTCCAAACAAGCAAGACGTGTGAAGAAAAGAGAGAAAACCAGCTTGATATCCGTTGGTGTAATCAAGGACGAAGTGAGTATTGAGCTGGCCATATGTGCCGCGACCAAAAAGTGACCTTCGGAGAGAAACTTTTCCAGGAGACCGAGAGACGAGGAAAGGGGCTCGATTGGGTCGAGGATCACAAATTCTGAGCGAAGAGGTGGAGGAATATCATTTTGCGACAACGGATGGTAAATTTCATGCCTCAAGAGAAAAGAGACATCCTTGCCTAGGGTCTCTGGCAGATCATCGGGGGCGAATTGATCTAATTCTGAAAATGAAGAGCCTGCAACATCGTCTTTCGGAGCGGATGAATGCGCATTGAAACCAGGGGATTTTGGTGTCGAGGATTCGGATAGTGGACTGTTGTAACACGTTCATCAGTAACACTGTTCTCGATACCACAATACGCTTGCACCATCTTACTCGTCCAGAATATCCAAAGGACCACGGGTGGAGCTGCGGGGCCGTGAAGCTGTGATTAATGGTCAAACATGCCATTGAATTGCGCCTGCATCTCGGACCGAGCATCAGTGAGTGGACTCACATCTTGATAGATTGCGCTGATGTAAGCCCGCAGATGCCATGATCAAGACTTGATGCGGGGAAGCGAATGCTTCAATGGGGTTGATATTGCGCGAATCGAAAGCTTGGGGAAGCTTGGGGCAATTCGGCGATAAGCTATCGGATTCTGCCGAAAGCGGTATGGTGGACTTGACAAGTTGGCGCATTTGGCTCCTGAGTATTGGAACCGCAAGCTGTCGCCGACTCACCAGCCATTCGCTCCTTATTCACCTTCTTGTCTTTCGTTTCAAAGCTGTCACTTTTGCCTTGGTGGTTACTATTTGCGAACACAAGACCTCCTGCTATACTTCAAAATGGCTGCCACCAAGAACAAGTACTCAGTCATCCTACCTACCTACAATGAGCGGCGCAATCTCCCCATTATAACTTGGCTCATCCAGAGGACCTTCACAGAGAAGTACGGTATCATAGAGGTATACAGAAGGAAGAGTTGAGACGCTGATTTCGAACATCTACATTAGTAAACTTGACTGGGAGATCATCATTGTTGACGATGGTTCCCCTGACGGTACTCTCGAGATCGGCAAGCAGCTCCAACGCCTTTATGGACCTGAGCACATTGTGCTGAAGCCCCGCCAAGGGAAACTTGGATTGGGTACCGCCTATGTTCACGGCCTTCAATATGCGACCGGCAACTTCGTCATCATCATGGACGCCGATTTCAGCCACCACCCCAAGTTTATTCCTGAGATGATTCGAATTCAAAAGGAGAGCGACGCAGACATTGTCACGGGTACCCGATATGCGAACCGTGGAGACATCAAGGGCGGCGTTTATGGCTGGGATCTCTTCCGCAAGTTCACCTCACGAACGGCTAATCTCATTGCCGATGTCATGTTGATGCCTGGTGTCAGCGATCTGACAGGAAGTTTCCGCCTGTACAAGAGACAGGTCTTGGAGAAGGTCATCACAAGCACGCAGAGCAAAGGCTACAGCTTCCAAATGGAGATGATGGTACGCGCTAAGGCGATGGGTTACAAGGTCCAGGAGTGTCCTATCACATTTGTGGATCGTCTCTATGGCGAGAGCAAGCTCGGAGGATCCGAGATTGTCGAATATCTCAAGGGTGTTTTCACGCTTTGGCTTAAGGTTTGAACCTTCCGCCAACCGGCCTTACTGCCTCCCAATCTGTCCCAAGAAAGCCTTCTTTTCTAATTGACCATCATTCATTGGCTCTTTTGGCATTCCGAAAAGATGCCTAGCTTGAGCCCTTCTATACCCCCATTGTGACATCTCCTCTACCACTAAAACCCTCGCAGTAGGCCCGGGTCCCCAAGAATCCAGCCTGATTGAATTCTTTTAAAGAACATTTAATGTCATTTATTGATCGAAGTTTCCTGTGCGGTCGTCTCAAAGGCCACTCAAATAGCGTAGAATGCGTTCAATCAAATCCTCCTGGCCTAAATCTTGAACGTTGTGGCTAGCACCAGGTACAATGCCACTAGCCTCTGTGTCCCATTCAATGCCGCCAGCCTCGGTTGCAGATTTCCAGCGTTCCATCAAAGCTTCTTTGTCGATCCAGCTCGGACAGAACTCATCGTTTGCCGACTGAAGAACGCAGAGCTTAGACCCCAAGAGTCCGCGAGTGCCAATCTTTCCAAAGGTCTGTTCCAAACGCTTGTCACTCAAGTCGGAACTAAACAGATCATCTTCTGATGGCGAATCTGGACTGTCGGGACTGGCCAGGCTGAGAAATCTTCGAGCGCTCAGGGGAGCGTCGCCTGGCAACCCGAGCACGGCGGTCAAGTCCATGGGAAGAATTGCGTCTTTTCCATTATGGGTCCATGGCATGGTCTTGGCGAGGTTTACCAATTGTTTATAGGCGCCTGTGACTTCACCCTGATGATTTGCCGACTTGAGTGCATCGAGAATAACTTCACGGTCTGACACAGCGGCCTGCATGATTGCGCCATCTATCTTCGGGCGGACGACATAATCGAGTCCGACGTCAAATTCGGGTTTGGAGAGCGGATTGGGCGCGTATAGATAGTGTAGAACATCTTGGCTGCCAGTCGAGTGTCCCATGACCGCTATCTTCCCAGCAATTTTAGATGGTCCGGCTACTTGATCAGCTTTCAGCTCTTTCACGAAGTGCACGCACTTGCTGATCTCTTCGACGTCCTTGTCCAGGCTGCTGGTACCAAAACCATTGTACGAGGATGTCAACAGAAGGGAGAACAGCGACCATTCGGTGTTCTCCAGAGCCTTCGCCAATTTGGAGACGTATGGAACGGTACAGAGACCATCCGTTAAGCCGCCAACAAATATAAGACTATGTGGTTTCTTGCTGTTGCTGGTGGGCGATGTGAACTCAAAAGCTACAAGCCTGGGCGCCTGAAGAAGCGGTCAGTCTAGAGACCTTCCCATTTCAACCGATTTCAATCGAGAATTAGATGACTTTAAGTACTGACATATTCGTGAAGCACGCCCGAATTAGAGCTTCCAAGGCTTGCGACTGTGGACATTTGGGGAGGAGGGGGGGGGTGGTGGCAGAAACTGTAAAGTTCAGGGACTCAATGGGTGCGTGATGGACCTGGATGTATGGTGGAGACCAAAAGTTGATGGAGCTTGGTATTTACGTATTTACGTAGTAGCGCGCAACTGCGCATATGGTACGACCTAGTCTGCTGCGGCCTGCCTGCAACTAGCAGCGCCTCCTTGTTGAGATCCCTCATCGGAACTGGGAATCCATCTTGCATACTCACGTGTGTTGACTCCAGCTATGTCATTATCAATATAGTAACTCTTTTGCAGGTCTCTCGTTAAAATGAGTAATATTCCCAATGCTCAAGTTCTTCAAGTCACCGGCATCATGCCGGTTCAATGTCTCACCGTCGCCCCGAATCTACAGCTAGTGTGCTTGAATCCCATCGAGCTCCTAAACGTAGCTTTCAATTTTTGATGTGAACTCGAGTAACGTTGCAGATTACTCGAAGCAGATGCACTCCGGTCCGCTGAAATTCAAAAGTACCATTTCTGTTCAAGTCAGTTGACTCTAAGCTAGGACAGTCTCGCCATTCAGGGATTGAGGTTTCAGGCAAAGAGACAAGGGTTCACCACCGCCAAGGCCGTACACTGCATCTATCCTGAATCCTCCTGGCGCTGATAAATGAGGCAAATCTCTCCATCCTTCAAGACTATATACCGTCAACAGTTGCCATGTTCTGTGGCCGTAGGCTCAGCCCAGTGATTCGGCGGCCCTGTCGCTAAACAGTCTCTTGAGCCAGTGGTGTAGGTGGTCGTGAGAACCAAAGGATGCAACTTCCGGACGGACGAACTCTTGGATTCGCTGAATATGGTAGATCTGATGATTATCCCTTGATATTCATCCACGGATTTCCCACTTCACGCCCTGAAACACTGGGCATTGATGAAATAGTCCTGCGCCAAAGGATTCGTGTGATCACGCCCGACCGCAATGGATTCGGCCTAACCACCTTTGACCCGAAGCATACAATTCTGCAGTGGCCACATGATATTCAGTCCTTGGGTCAAGACCTCGGTCTGAGTCGGTTTGCGATTCTGGGAGGCTCTGGTGGTGGCCCATTTGCGTTGGCTTGCGCAGATCGATTGTCTCCTGATATGCTCTCGGCAGTGGGGATTATGACTGGTGCAGGACCATGGGAAGCAGGGACTCACTACATGGCCTCACTATATCGGGCTTCTGCAAAGATGGCCGATCGATGGCCGATCGATGGCCGATCGATGGCCCTCGTCATATGCAGCTCTGCTCCAGTCGCTCTTTTGGACGCTGAAGAAAGTCTCGTCTTCACCCTCTGGAGCTCGGCAAATAGACAAACTCCTAGCCAGGACTGAGGTAGCTCAAGGATCAGAGGAGACCCCGGCAGTCTTGAGAGAAATCTTATCTCGCCAACTGCTCGAGGCCTTCCGTCAAGGTCCCAAGCCAGCTCTCCACAAAACGCGACTACTTACGTCAAATTGGGGCATCGAATTTGAAGATGTAACTTATGGCGAAATCAAATTTGGCACGGAACCAACGACATGAATGCGCCTATTCGAATGATACGCTACATGGCTGAAAGACTGCCTCACTACCATCTGAACGAGTTACCGGGTGATACGCATTTCACATTGCAACGTCATCTCGAGAGCATTTTCGCGGAACTGGTCCATGGTTCTCCCCCTGCTAACAAGTATGAATGAAACGTCCTGGCTCTTAGTCTGTACAGTTCTTTTTTTCTCCGTGTTTAATCTCGTGCAATACCCAATTATAGCCAGTCTCTATTCTTCAACGATGCCTTGGTGGAACAACGCTATGGCCCAGGACTATCTTGGATTCCCAACGGCTGCGTACATCACACCGTATCCCGTATCGATGCCGACACAAATATGTCAATCATTGTGGAACTTTCAACAGTCAGAACATGTGAGGGACCCTAAGCAATCTTGGATCGTAATCTTGAAGAAAGCAGACCTATCGCCGTTCGGAAATAATGCAACCAATGGAAGGATCATTTCACAGGTAGGAACTGCATATCGGTTGTAGGGGACCAGAACTGTATTGATTTCAGAACCTCCACTTAGGTGGTTGCAAACTTCAAGCATTCTCATTGGTTTTCTCTTGGCTCTCCAGACTTGCCGCGAATTTCATACCCTATGCGAGCAAACAAGAAGTCCGGTTGACCTCGATACCCACCTCGACTACCTAGCACCTACTAAGTATTGGTGTAGATAGAGGTGTCCTGATGGGCTTACTTTAGTACCTTGGTACTACTTACGCTGCCTCCCCGCGCCTCGTGCTACTAAGGTACCTTCAAGGCTATTTGTGGCACGCTGGTACCCATCACCCTTGTCTGAATCAGGTATAGCGCCATTCTGAGCTTATCGATACGAAAGATATTGTTTTTATAGCGAATTGCCTGAACTTCTCTTCCGATTCCACTATTGCGGTCCTCCCTCGCGACAGTCTCCTCTTACATTTCGGAAGCAGTTCCTTGTTACCGAACTGAAGTCGTTTCGAAGTGAGGACATGTGAACCTGAAGGGGAGAGACCCAATGCCACTGAGAATTTGTGGGGCTTCTTGCTATCACAGTCAGGATGTCCTCGGCCCGCAGATCCGGCCGTCTCAAAGGGCCACGGACAACTTATACAATTGACGCTTTTGAGTCGGCGGGAATTAGTGATGATTCAGGATCAGAAGAGCAACAAAAACCAAGTAAAAAGAGATCCCAGTCGCAGCTGAATGAGGCCTCTGCTTCAGACGATGATTTCAAAGCTGAAGAGATGGACGATAATGATGATCATGACGAGGATGACGAAGATGACGAAGAGGAAGAGGAAGAGGAAGTTTACACGGAAGAGGATTCGCCTCAGAGGCTGAGTGCAAAAGCTTCTAGGAAGTCGAGTGGTCTGAAACGCAGAGACGTGGACGATTCATTCGCTGTTTCCACGACACCGAGAACTTCAAGGGAGAACCCTCAATACAGTTCGCCAAGAAGTCAACAAAAAGTACTGGAAAGCAGCGGAGTCAACACCAAAAACAAAAGCCTAGCAGCCGAGACTCGTTCCAGGGGCTGCAATGATATTAAAGAGAATGAATCCAAGCCGATGCACTACATATCGACATTTGGCGATGATACAAGGGACCTCCTCGCAGCCGTCTATGCGCGCGACCGATGGGCTCGAGGAATTGACACCTGCCTACCCACCCGATATACCCTCGACCATCAGAGCTCATTGAATGACTATGAATTCGGTCCAACCTGGGGTGCTGATCCGCAAGACGTCGAGCAAGAGCGGACAGCTGGCTGGGACTGGTACTATGACGCCGCGGTTGGACGAAGATTTCATCGAGCTCAAGAGTCGAATATCAAGCTCAAGGAGGCTGAGGCTCGGCAGAAGTACTTGCCACAAGCCAAAAAGCGGAAGCACACCATCCTCTTAGGCCCTGCTAGCGACCAGAAATCATTTTCTTTGGGCTATCATGAATCCTTGAATTTTGGCAGAGCCTGGGTTGATTTCAAGGCCCAAAAGAGTGATCGAGTCAATGCCAATGTGCGTGAAGGCTGGCTGATCAATTTTGAACACAAGGTCCAGTGCTTGGCTTGGGCTCCTGGTCAAGACGGGTTGTCTCAGTATCTCGCTGTTGTCACCCCTATTGGACCTGCTCAGAAGGGTTCTCACTCTTCTCAGGATGAAGAGGGATTCTCTTCGTTCCGTGAAATGCCTTCATATCCTTGCGCGCTTCAGCTTTGGGAGTTCAAGGGAGAACCAGCAGGTCCCATCACCCGCACGCTTGATATGCAAACCAGCCCTCGGTTGCGGTTACTCTTATGTACTGAGTGGGGGGACTTGCGTCGCATCGCTTGGTGCCCTACGGATCGAGCAAAGCGGGCCACTGATGACAATGACGGAACTAAAAACATTGGTTTATTGGCTGGAATTTGGGGCGACGGAAAATTGAGAGTATTGGACGTCAAGTTGAGCAGCGGTGGAGCCACTGAATTTGGTAAGCTTCCCAAACGGGCTTGAGCGTCCGGAACTTATACTAATTCTTGACGCAGTCGCTGTACGAAAGCCTGCATTTGAGGCAAAAATTCCTTCTAGCGTTTCCACATGCATGACATGGCTCTCGCCGACTGACATTGCAGTGGGTTGCTCTGATGGCTTTGTGGCAATTTGGAGCATCTTGCCTATTGACGACTTGGAAGCTGTTCCTTATTTCCACAAACCCATTCATGCTTCATACGTGCTCAGCATTACTTCTGCATACCCTACCAATCCGCATCTGCTCGTTACCACGTCCATAGATGGTGAGACGCGATTGTGGTCCATGGTTGATCCCGAGAGCGATAACGCGGCCCCTGTGCGCCAACGGCAAGCTCCTGGGCAAATCAGCTACTCCCCAATCCTCCAAGCCGTGTGTACCTATGATGAGAATGACTTTGGGCGATACATGCCTCTTCGGCGCTTCTTTGCCACACACTCTGCTGGAAGGATGCCGAGCTCAGTAACCAGCATGGCGCCTTGCAGCTTCTTCCATCCTTCCCTTCTCTTTGGCACTGCAAGTGGTGAAGTCGTGGCGGCAAATCCTCTCCGTCGCCTGCTCTACAGCAAGGAGCAACATTGGCAGCAGACATGGTTTTCACATGATTGGTCTCCTGGCACTGACAAGAACAGGTCAGGGGCTAGTCGTTTCTTTGATGGGTTCCGTGCAGAGACTCAGAGCCTAGCACGGAATTTGTCCGGTGACAAGCGACCACAGATAGGGTCCTATCTTACTACGATACACGACGAACAAACTCATGTCACCGCACTGGCTTGGAACCCGAACCGCGCCACTGCTGGCTGGGCTTGTGCTGGAATGGGATGCGGCATTGTACGCGTGGAAGATCTTGCCATTTGATGGACGTGTTCAGCGCTACGGGCGCTGTCTAGACCCTCTGTCTGCTTATGAATGTAACATTGGCCAACTGCAGTTCCACATATTTTGGCCAGGTATCGTGCGGGCGATTATAGTCAATTTGAGTCAAGGTATTTGGCAAACATTTGACCATCGGCTGCCCTTCCAGTGATGGTGATGACACAATATTCTGGGGTAAAATACATCTGGATTGCAAAAAGCTCAAGGCATACACGCACATGTTTTCCTCAAGCAGAATTTCAAACTTACAGAATATCACCAGACTACGTGGATGAGTACCAGCCTATTGGGTCCCCGTAACATGGGGTTCGCCTGAACTAAAATCGTTCCCACAGGGTCAGTTGCTTTTCTAATAAGCTCAAGTAGGCTGGATGGAGCAAATTCTTAAAGATCTACGAACGTACTGTCTATAGTCTACACTCTATACTGCTACATGTATTTGTGTACCCAAATTATTGTACTTGGACTTTACACCACGTTCGACTACTTACTGAAAGTGCCCACTGCTCACCGCCCACAGCCCAGTAGCTGTGTGACTGGCACAGCGTGTAACTGAGGCTGCAGTCTCGTCATAGTGGGACCGTAGCCGCACGCCAAATAGGCCCACTCCCGCATTGTTGACCATTATCATCACGTCATCCCCATAGCAACGGACAGCCCTATCAATGTGTTGACTCCTCTCGAACTGCCAACTCTGGGATGTCCTCGACATGCATGTGGCGTGCAGAGGTGGAGCTTTGCCGACGCTAGTGCTGTTTATACTTTATTGTACTGTTTTAGTGGCGCGTTGGACATGTAGTCGATGAGCTGGAAATTGAGGTGGCTGGTATAATAGCATGTGGGGTCATTGCTCATTCCCAGCCACTGCAATATGGGTCCCAGCCTGGTGATTTTGTTAGAGTTGAACGTAGATTTGCCTTGTGAGGACGGGAGGCACGTGTGAGAGTATCAATCATGCATGTCGTGACCCGAACGAGGCAAATGGATTCTGCCATCTGAATACCACCATCATCCCCTCCTTACTCAATCCACCCTACGTGCTACCTTTCCCTCATCCCTGACAGCGCACCATACTCAGCAGCAACCGTTCGAAGCTAGCTCTTGATTGAGAAGTCTCGTGATCTACAGTACCTCAGATTCTACCCTGCGGTGTCACGATCTCTGTTTCCAAGTGACCGGCCGACCCACTGGTCGAAACATCCATCTCTCGAGTTTTTTTCCAGCACCAAATCATTATGCAGTTCACTGTCGTTGCAGCTCTAGCTTCACTCGCCGTGAACGCGGTCTTTGCCGCCCCTCTCGCCAGCTCTCAAGATCAGATTTCCCCTCGTAAAGCGACGTACGAGGTTGTCAACGTCGCAGGACCTCAAACCACATCCGTTGCCCCAGTCACAGAGACTTTGACACAAACAATCGAACTGGTCACCACTGCCACAAAGATTTCACCATCATCAGTGATGGTCACCGTGTACGCGACCAGCAAGCCCGCCTCAAGTCCGGTGCCAAGTTCACATGATACTCCTTCACCTGGCGCCTCTCCATCGCCTTGTCATCAAGCGAGTAGTGGCATGCTTCATCTGACCCCGATGCCCACAAGTGTACTTTTCTAACCCGAAAGATACACTTGTGGCCCCCCGTTCGTGGAATGAACCTCATCGCAGTGATGCTTGGACAATCACGTTGTGTGACGCGTCCTCGAACCTACTTCACGACTGCGCCTGTTTCCTTTTGCCTTTTTCACATTCCATCGAAGGACTGATTACCTGTTTGAAAACATCGACAGGCGAGCATTGAGACCACGCAATTTCTTGTTGATATGGGGCTTAATCGAGGCAACGGGTCGAGCATACATATCTGCAGGCTTCGTCTGCACATTGGGGGCGCATGCAGGGAAGAAAAGCCACATGAGAGAGCATGCTTTTATGATATTATGTTTACGTCTCCTCTGACGACCTTTATTTGATTTTGGCCAATCGCCTCAGACTCACAGCGCGGCGTTGATATCATGTCATATTACTCTTCGATTCACCGAGATTCTAGTCCAGACTACTCCTACTGAACTCAATACCACCACAAATTTTCTGTCTACTTACATTCAACGTTCGATCTACAATGCTTTTGCTTTCTACATCTTTCGCTCTTTCTTTCTATGTTTTGTCGGAATTGCGTTGTGTATGTAGCTGTTACAAGACCCATACGATGGATTCATCACTGAGCCCATATATGCCACCTTTTCGATTGAAAGCAAGCGTGGCCTCATTCCACCATCGGCCATAGCACCTTGCCCCTAGCTCTGCAGCCGGGAATCGTCTCATTCAGACTGCGCCCGGGCAGTCTCCGAAACCCATAAAGTCAATCGCAACACAAAGGTACACACTATCAGGACGTCGGGTTACGGAAGAGTAATTTCGAAGACGCCAGTCTGGTCCCTCCATATACAACTTTCGGACAGGCGTGGATACAAGACTGCCGACGAATATCGCTTAAAGAAGAGAACAGCCGTGTCTCTACGCTACCAGAACACATCGTCACAGCTCACGAATCGGAGCTGATAGTGCACGAGGCAAAAAGTCGACCAAATGAAACCGTCTGCGTGGACTGGCATCGTTCAAGGGAATAGTCAAGCATCAGACGTCCCTTCTCGGACACTGTCCACGACATCGCGCTGTCACGGCGAGTTTCCATTGCACCCATGGCTAGATCCCAGTCGTAGCTGGGTTTAGATTCTATCCTAAATTGGGTTCTGGCTGGGTTAGCTGCTACCTAATTGAATTGGACATAAGCTTCTCGTTCCACACGGAGCGTCAAGGGTCAAGAAGCAATGCAGAACCTGCTCCAACATTACTTATGACCAGGCATTTTCCATTGACATCGCGCTGGGTACATCTATACTTTCTATATAGTCACTAGGATCGACCTGGCAGGCACCTGACTATGGTGCATAAAAACCTGTTTTTGCACGTGGGAAGCGTATCATGCCTACCAGTGCTTCATAGTAAAGGTGGATTACCTTACATCTTGAGAATGTTAGTCACGGGGACCTGAAGGGAAGTACTCATGTACACCAGCTTGAAGAATGCAGTGCGAAAACGTCCTACACAAGGTGTCAACTATTGGAGGTTGAAGCTGGCACGAATCTAGAAACCAAGCTAAATTAGAGCCTGTCCTTGAATTTGATCATAGAAGTCCAGGAAGAGCACAATTGGCAAGTGTGTCTTCACATCTGGTATACACCATAGTCCATACACTATACACTGTAATGTAGTGGTATATATTCTCGGAGAAGTGACCTTCCGTCCGGTACTTCCAGGCCTAGCTAGTACGAACTTCGAAGTACGAACCACTGTACTGTATGTACATCGATTGCCTTCTACATGACATTAGTTCCGCGACCCGCTACATACATGTGTCATTATAGTGTTGGTACGGTGCCTCCTTGAGTCCTTACTTTAGTACTGGATCACAGAAGGTAAGTTAATTACCTACTACCTACGCGGTACTCCCGTAATGTTAGTAGATGGCAAGATGCGGGGGCGAGTGAGGTACCTAAAGGCGGTAAGACAAAGCACTACGTCGCTCCCCGCGCAGGGTCCCGCGAAACTCGGCAGCTGGGGTTCAGGCGCCGCGCAGTGCAGACAGGCGCTTCGAGATGGTTGCCCCGAGTGACGCGTAGTAAACATTCCAAGCTGCATCCCTCCCATCAACCACATGAACATTCTTCAACCGCAAACCTTTCCTGACACTGTCTCTTTCCCACACATACCGAGCTGTCAATCACTGGCAGATCTTCATAAATCTCCGCTCATTCATTGTTCTAATATTCTAAATCCTCTATATTGGAGCAGGCTGGCCGGAGTTCGATTCAGCAAAAATGCCAGGCACCGTGGCTGACGGACCAACGGTGTCCATGTCCTGTAAGAGTCAAGAACGACTCATGTTTTTGTCGCACATGAGATTTCTGATGCGTTCGATTTAGTCGCGAATAATTTCTGGGGCAAAGATGATGCAGGCCTCCAGCCGATGCTTGACCGGATGCATGCATCGAAGGTGACAAGCGACGAGTTGAAGGTCTTCTACAATTGTGAGTTGGCGCGATGTCAAGACCATTTCTTCCCCTTGTTTGGATGCTAAACATCTCGACAGTACGAGCTGCGATCGAAGATGAATACTCAAGAAAGCTCCAGGCCTTGTGCCGCAAATCCTTGGGTTCGGCGGAATCAGGGTCGCTTCGCTCCTCCCTCGACGTGGTGCGCGGGGAAACCGAGGCGATCGCAAAATCCCACGCTGCGATTGCGGGTCAAATGAAGACAGAGCTTGAGGAACCGTTGACGGCTTTCTCCAAGGGCATCAAGGAGAGACGCAAGATCATCCAAGATGGCATTGAACGACTTCACAAAACAAAAATGCAGCAAACACAGGTGGTCAACAAGGTGATTTCCGGCTCACAGGTCTAGACAAGGAGAATGATTGCTAACCTCATCATTCTATAGAGTCGCGACCGCTTCGAGCAGGACTGTCTTCGAATAAAAGGCTATCTGGCTCAAGGCCACATGGTGATGGGTCAGGAAGAACGCAAGAACAAAGCAAAGCTCGAAAAAGCCCAGATTCAGCTAGCCTCGAACAGCAGCGAGTACGAAGCTGCTGTCAAAGTGCTCGAAGAGACCACAGGTCGTTGGAACAAGGAATGGAAGGCCGCCTGTGATGTGAGAAACCCCGGACCCTCGACTACCGAACGTAGGGAAAATGCTGACTGTCGCAGAAATTCCAAGATCTCGAAGAAGAGCGGTTGGACTTCACAAAAAGCAGTCTCTGGACCTACGCTAATATTGCGTCGACTGTGTGCGTGAGCGACGATGCAGTAAGTCAAATGGCTGGTGCCTCGACTCTCAAATATCCAAATGCTGACCACTCTCAAAGTCATGCGAGAAAATCCGCCTCTCCCTAGAGGACTGTGAGGTCGAGAAAGATATCGTCACCTTCATCAAAGAGCGCGGCACTGGCCAAGAGATTCCGGATGCCCCGCGATTTATCAACTTTTGTAAAGAGGATGACGACGTGTCGGACATTGACGATGATGGTTATTCAGTAGCCCAATTCCAGCGAACAATGAACCCATCCTTCCGCACGTCATCGCCCCAGCCATCGACATTTGAGTCCCATCACGATCCCAATTCGGAGCTTGCTGCCCAGATGGGTCACCCGGCTCCTGAGCCTAACCATCCAGACCCTCTTCAGATGAGCCAACAAGTACCTCCTCAAATGGAACATCAGATGCCTCCGCAGATGGGTCATTCCGCACCTCCTCAACCAAGCTACTCTATGCCTCCGCAAATGAACCACCCAGCTCCTCAGCAACCTATGAACACGCAACCTCCAGCGCCGTTGGATCTGCGCCGTGGTGGCTACCTGCCACCAAACTATGATCCTGAGCAACACGGCGAGATCAACGCGGTTCCCCACAATGCTTATCCCACGGACGGGATGACAATGTTCTGTCGCACTGGACCCCCATCAGGTCGAAGCTCAACAAGTGCTTATCGGCCATCTAGTCGCGATTCTCATAGCGAAATTTCAAATCCAACTTCCATGTCCAGTGTCGAGGCTCCCGTCACGGCGCACAAGTCGCCTCCAAAGCCAACAAACAGCGCTCCGCTGCCAAGCCAGTCAGAGGACAAGTCGATCCAAAAGAAAAAGAGTGCTTTCTTCAGCAACAGCCCTTTCCGTCGCAAGAGTCGTCATGACAAGGAACGTCCGGTGATAGGGGGACAAACTACTACTCGCAGCCCTTGGGCCTCTCCTTCCAAGCCAGCGAGCCCTACCAAGCAAGCACCACCTGCTCAGGCCGAAAGCCAGAGTCCTGAGCCTGTTGATCCGCGAGCCAATTTCCAGCTCAATGTCGGCAATAACGTGTTTGACGTCGCCTCCCCTGACAAGACAGCCAAGGCTACAAACGAACCGAAGCCAGCCGAAGACGATATGGACCCTATTGCTCGTGCGCTCGCAGAATTGAAGACAGGTGGGAAGCAATCAACTCTGCGCGTGTCAGCGGATCGATATCACGGTATTCAGTCACCCACTCCATCTGCTCCTTCCTCTGCGTACGGGGGCAGCACTTCTGGCGCCCCGCCTGCCTACAATAACAACAGCAGCAGCAGCAGCAACAGCAGCAAGAACCCCCCTGTCAAAAGACTTGACGCACCCCAGCCTGCCTTTACGTCGAAGCAGATGCAGAAAACCACACAGAAATACACGGGCCAGACTCAGAGCATGCTGCGTGGAGCAAACAACGTCCCCAAGGCGGCCCCGCCTGCGAAGACCGAAGTCCCTCGAGCTCGCTCACCTGCTTCTCAACGGACTGCAGCTCCTAGAGCTCATTCTCCTGCACCCTCTCGTGGCACTGCTCCTCGAGCTCATTCCCCGGCTCCTCCGCGCGGAGGTGTCCCTCGGGCTCGTTCGCCGGCTCCCCCGCGTAGTGCCAGTCCGCTGGTATCAACGCCGCGCACCGATAGCCGCATGGGTGCTCAGTACAGTGGAGCTAATAGTCCAGCACAGAGTCCCGGGGGCTATCAGTCGAGCAGTATGCGCAGTCGTTACAGCCAGTCTCCCCAGCCCCAGCGTGTTCAGGAGCCACCATTCTCGCCCAGTGACTTTGCCCGCCGAGCCTCTCCAGCCATGTCCAGCCGCGCCGTATCTCCCCAGCCACAGTTTCGACAACAAGCACGTCCTTCGAGTTCCGGAGGCATGGAACTGCAGCTGTCCAATGCGCCGGTGGACATGTATGGCGTTGATAGCTATGGAAACGCACCCCGGCGTAGCGACAGCCGTCCCATGTCACATTTTGGGGACATTAATACACCCCCTCCTGTGGGGCGTTCTCGCAGTCGCACTCTTGCCGTTGCCGAGCCTGGCCGAAAGTTCAGCCGCGATGGTAGGCCCATACTTCACTTTGGTAAGTTTTGTCTGCTGAATTCTGACTTTGGTCCCTTGCCTAACATAATCTGCTTTTCCAGCGCGAGCCATGTACAGCTACAGTGCTGCCATTCCCGAAGAACTTGGTTTCACCAAGGGTGACGTCTTGGCCGTCATCCGCCTACAAGACGATGGGTGGTGGGAGGCTGAGATCACCAACGCTAGAGGCCACCCTGGTCTTGTACCGAGCAACTACCTGCAAATAATCTAAGTGCTCGATGCGCTACATTTTTACGAACTGTTACGACCCTTGTGACCAATCTTGTTGCTGCCAGACTGTCCAATTTGTTGCATTATTGTCCTTCACAGATACCAATTTTTTCGATGTACTTTGCCCTCACACGGTCCTTATCTCTAGCACCCTCGATTCTCATCTGTTTGGCGCGATTTGAGCGCATTTGTCATACTTTCTGCTTCAAAGCGCTCATGTCAACATTTTGTTAAATGCTGTGGTATTCTTGCAGGCACAGTGCATTACCAGTAATGTCCAATTGAGTTATTTAATTTGGACTTCCGGTCCTCTTGTGTTCTTTGTCGCGTTTGGTCTTTCAGGGCAGTCGATTCGGAGATATTGCATGTGAATGAGGCGCCCCGATGTTATCGATTCATGGATGTATCATTGTCTTAACCATGACCCTTGCAATCACTTATTAGGGGTCATGTCTACTTTCAATCAATGTTGTTCTCTTGCTTTTTGTAAATCGCGTTCCCCGTTTCTTTCCCTGTCAAAGATTCCTAAAGTCTGCAAGACCCTCATGACGAAACGTGTTGATCTCCAATATTTGGACAAAGCCCCGCAGTTCGATTCCGTTATTCGAAGTCATTTCCCTTCACGCTCTTATACGGCCAAGTAGAAGAAGCCCCTGCCCATGCATAATATAGGACCGCATCGAGACCACTCGGACAGGTACCACCCAACCCGGCCCAAAAACCTCCACTGGTTTTTCGGACGCGCGTGGTGTCAATAAAGAAGTTCACATCTATCTATTGTGCAGTGCATACATGATTTTGGCGCTGATCTCTACGCAGTAGCAGTTGTCGACAGGATATGGATGAACGGGAAGCTGGCTTATAATGTCTTCGTTCTCATCATTTCCACTTGCCAAGCTGAGCTATGAGCGGGTTCTACCTTTGCGTCAGTGCTCAGTAAGGTAAGATCTCAATGGCGATAGACAGACAAACTGAGGACGTCTGGAATACACTAGGGGCGCTCTGCCTGATGATTTGCGTAGGGTATACGATTGCGAATGCATGCGCTACACTGGATATTCTACATTTCAGGGGGGTTTCCACATATGATGCGCTAGCCTAAATGTGAAAATGTTGGTCGGCCACCGATACCATGATAGGTATCAAAACAAGCACCATAAAGTCGAAGTCATGTACATAAAATTCATTAGAAGCATGCATAGGTGAAAAGGTATTCCAAAGCAAGTAGGCTCCTCCACCGCATGCACAGCAAAGCATGATGTATTATTCACTGTCAACGAACGAATTGGCCCAATAGCCGATGAACGGTACTTCGAAATGATCGAGGGTGTCGACTAAAAGAAAGCGTGTCAGCGAGGTCGTGTATGACGAGGGTTTGCTAAGTCTGCAACTGTCGGGCAGTATATTACGGAGCACCTACCATCTCGATAAGCGCGCATACTCAAACCCGCCATCAGCATGAGATCAATAATGAATAGGGTCCAAGATAGGAATCCGCTCCAGCAGAAGATGAGATGAATGATCTATGTCAAAAATTTAGCCGGACGAAGACCTTGGAAAGGGCGGAGCACGGAACTCACAAACATGGCTGCAAATAACATGCTCGACTGCCAGGCATGGAATCTAACCATGCAAAATTTGAATGATTAGCGGCTCATTCTTACCCTTTACTCTAGCATGAGGCAAGAGGCATGATCTGTACGCACCGCACGTAGTCGCTCTTATGCTCCAGCAACAACAAAACGAGACCTCCCGCGGGGGTAGCAGCAGGTATGCCAACGCTGCTTCAATGTCCATGCGGATGGGAAGGCTCGTTTCAAATGCGCCGAAGCTGACATGGCCTCCCTCTACATCCCGACCAAAACTTGGGTTGCCATGTCCGCTCGCCGCGAATTGACTCGGTGAAGGTAGGTCGGTCGACGCCCGCGGCGACCGAAAAGCAGGAGATCGAATCCGGTTGTCCACCGTCGGCGGGGACAAAGCCCGCTCAATCTCTGGTGACTCGTCTTGATACGGTGCGAAATTCATGACCAGACGTGGAGCGAGTACTGACTCGACGAAAGCGAGACTTGCTTAGCGGAGAGTTTCATAAGCTGGGGAAAGCTCCTTATCCTCCTTATCGTTTTGGATGTTTACTCGGCCTTATCTTGTTCTTATCGGCCGCGTTTTCGGTTTAGCTTATTGCCAAGACGGGAATGTCATGACCATTCATCTAGTCATACTTCAGTCCCTCGGGAGGCCGCCTTTGGCTTTGGTTCTTATTAGAAACAGATAATTCTGGTTGACCATCACCATGGGTATCATTGTCGTTAAGCACACGATCTCTCCGTATCTCCACGTCCGTCCATCGTAATACATTCAGAGGTCATAACTTCAAGCCCTACCTCGGCCTCGTGCAATGCCACTTCCACGGGCGATGCCACTTGCCGGTCGTCTCGTTGCCGTGGTAGAAGCACCTCGCGCGGTCGCCGAGCGACTGGTACTAACACTTGGTGTTCTGCCAAGTCCAGTACTGCGCACAGTGCCTCGGGTTGTCCCACGGCTACTTCGTCCAGTAGCAAGTCGTCGTCTTTCCTCCTCCTCTGCTCTTCGCATCGCTGCTTCTCGCTGTTCTTGGAGGGCTTGCTCTCGTCTCTCGGCAGCCTGCTGTCGCTGAATTGCCTCCCTCTCCATATCAGCCACATCTTGTGTAGCCCCTTGCCAGTCTGGATTGAGGATGAGACGCTGGTTGTGCTCAGTTTGGGACAAGATGCGGGTCCAGGTGTTGAGTAGAGTAGAGGCAGATGTCACTGTATTGTGCACGGTCTGTGGAGGCAGGGATTATTAGCAGGGGAAATAATCTTCGCGAAAGAAGAGCGGTAGAAACGAGCCTCCATATTGCCTTGAGCCTTGTCGATACTGTTTAGAAGGCCCTCGATAACCTCGTTTATATTTCGAACGGTGTGTAGCTCATGCTGAAGTGCTGCTTCACGAGCTTCATGCCGATCAAAGAGTGTGTCGTCGGCCACCGGTACTTGTCTTGGACCTGGCGATGGTGCATTGTTCGGTGTAGGTACTTTAAATGGCCTCTGAGGGCCCCGTTTTGATGGAGAATTCCAGAGGTCTTCTGAGTCCTCGCCTGACAGCTGAATCTGTCGCATTTCATCGGCGGTGTTTCGAGCTGCCATTGCGGTAGCAGGGTGCTATGATGACTCAAATACTGGAATTACCAGTCGGGGTTTAGATGGAATTATCAAGGCGGCCTCGGAAAGAGAGTGTGGTACTTTGTTCGGTCTTTTGGCTGTGCGGGCGGGAGGGGGAGCAATCAATTCAGGAAGATTGTCAACAATTGATGGATCGATAAAGCCGTGCAGACTCGCGGGGCGGAAAGTCTAAATACTGCCATGGCGGCGGATTCAGGTAGAGGCGGTGAGCGCTCGAGGTGGCTGGGCGTCAACATGTCGCCCTGTCAAGGGATCCGCGCCCTTCATTCACGCATCTTCTTCTTTACATCACACTGCAACTATCGTTCCTCATAATTATCATACCTTTCTGATCAAACTACGTGTGATCTCTTTACGCGCGTGCGTCAGAATTGATTCTACCTACAGCGCTCCTTTCATTTTGATCACTTATCAGTCCGATTGAGCAACACGCATTCCCAGAGCCAATAGCGAAGTGAGCCTGTTGCGATTCCTTCACGGCGGAGCCTCCTCCTGGACGACAAGAAAAGGGCACCGCTTTCATCCCTAGCCTTTGATTGTTAGCATTCAAGGTTCATCAGTTCATCATGACCACAACACCTCCTCCGCCATCACCATCAAGCCTTCGGACTCCCTCAGCGCCGCTACACGGCGCTGGCTATGACCAATATGATCCATATCCTCCTCGGAAATCAACCAGACTAGCGAACCAACGCGCTGCCAAAGAGCTGGAAAAGCTCCCAGAACCGGCCGGCTCAAAAATGCCAAGCAAATTCTGGGCTAAGCGTGTGCCAAAGCAGTACCGAAAGTTTGACCTTGAGACCTCTTCGGATTCAGACGAATTTATCCCTGGTCAGCAGCTGGAGGATCCATTCTTGGATCGTGGATCAAGCCATGACGCTTTCATCTCGCCTCAGCGGCAATCCGCTTCAGCTCTTCGGGCCCGCGCAGAAGCCCCTCAGGGCCTTCTCACACCTGCTAAAACCCCGTCGAAGCGGAAGATCCAAGGGAATATGTCGTCAACATCTCGAACGCTGTTTCCCTCATCCGGAAGAGTGACGGCTAAGAAGCCGGCTCCATTTTCGCTTGAAAGCTTTGAGACTTCGTCTTCTGAGGAGATTCAAATCTTCACTGACTCCCGCGACCGTGTGCCAGTCGCACGTCCTTCTAGAGACAATCCCTTTGCTTCCCGATTGTCTGATGTTTCCAAGACCAAGAACCCCATCAAAGAACCCGCCAAGACAAACATCGAATCTCGCCCAACTCCGGAGACTACAGTGTCCGCTAGCATGTCGCGCACTCGCAGCGAAAGGTAAGTCTCCGAATCCAGGGTATCCGCCTCCGTTTCTTGATTTTCTTTCTCACACTCAAACTAGACACCGGTCAAACATGTCAGAGAATAAAGTCTTTTTGCCGCCTCGACGAGATGGAATGACGATGATGTTGTAAGTTACAGTTCCTGGGTACACCGTTTAGACCATGCCTGTTATCGTGAAGTAGCGCTAATTATATCCCTTCATTAGCCGTGGAAAGAGGGTATTTACCAAATTCGAAGACTCGGAGGATGAGGACGAGGATGATGATGATGACTTCCTGGGTCTTTTCGCCTCTCGCGCCGACCTGCTCGCAGCCGACCCAACTGCCTTGGATCGCAAGCCACTCAGCCGTCGCGAAATCAAACCGCGGCAATTGTTCCCTTCCGCCGCAACCGGCGTCTCTAAGGACGAAGAGGAGGCGGCCACCGATGACGAAGGTGTGCAGGAACCCGACACGAAGCAGCAATCTGTCGTGGATCATTCGGTCGATACAAAAGATGTCCCCGAGTCGCTCGAGTCACCCCAGGCCCCTGTCGCCACTCGTCTTCTTCGGTCCAGCGCGCGCTTTGCTTCTCAAACTGAGCAGGCTTCGAGTGGTAAAAGTGCTGTAGACACCAAGAGGAAACGAATCAGTCCCTTCGATCATTGGCTGCGTAAGAAGCAGGCAATTGAGGAAGTGTCTGCCTCTCTTCCACCTGCGAAGAGAGAGGCCGACTATTCAGGCGACCAGATAACTCCTCCAAGCGCCAAGAAGACACGCAGTACCCGAGGCAGTGCTTCGGTTGACCCTGCTGTTTAGGCTCGTCTCTTAACTTGAAATTGCCCCTCTTGTTCACGTTCTCGTCTTTCAGTGTCCCTCATCATTTTCTGTGCGTTCTGGCCAAGCTGATCTTTTGTTGATTGATTCTTTTTGGCTGTTGTTTTACTTGCTTTTGTCCGAGTCTTGAATGTTTAGTGATGGCTGTCGCGTTCACTCTTCGCTGCATAGCACTGTGTTAATCGCGGTGCTCCCCTGACCTCCCCATCCTGCTTCTCTATTACTCAACCCTTCAATTCGCTTTCTTGTTTCTTTTGTGCCTGCGTGATTTCCAAACGCGTGGGTGTCTGAATTCTGGTCTTTTTTTTGGGAACCCCTGTGACTCGGCGCTGGGAATGGAATACGGAGCAAATCGAGATACCTGGCACACCTTTTTTTTCGAGCAAATGGTCACATTGGAGTTGAAAAATGGTTCTTGGCGAGCTCCGACGGTCTGTTGTTTGTTTATGTTGTTGATTGCGTTTTTGTTATATTTGCCCATTCACTCTGCTGTTTTGCTCACCTAACAGTTGAGAGAGGATTCTGTCTACCGAGATGTGAATGGGCAGAAATGAATGGATCGAAGATGTGAGAGTGGGTGTTTAGCTAGATTCAATGAAATGAGATAATGTCTGAAACTATCTCCCTATAAGTTAGCCTCTTTTACCACGCAGTTGAAAGCCATGTCCCAACTGTCACTTCGCGGATGTGGTCCTGTCTTGCCTCCGGGACCTCATCTGCGGCCAAGGCCCGACGACGATTGTGGCAGTTACTGTATTTGCTAGCTCCTATTTGGGAGATATGTTGCGAACCTCTCATATTTGCACGAGAACGGATACCCACCTAGCACACTGGACGGGCAGTGCTGCCGAAGCCAGTCCACTAAGGCTGGAAAGCGTACGCACGGTAATCGCAATGGATCTGATAGTACGCCCCTGGTGATCTAGAATCTACGAAAGTACGTTCGATCTGTCAGTGTTCGGGTATATTCTTTTCTTTGCTGCTTGGGCGAATCTTATGTTTCGAGAGGACGAGATGACCAACTTCTTGGTCGGTGCTCGGGTCGCCTTGTATCAATTATTGTTGGTGGTCTCGACTCTCGAGGACATTCCTTTCGGTCGTGGAGACATACAAACACACAGAGCGCATGTGGCTCGGAGGGCCAAGAATTTTGATATTGTGGGATCGCGTCGTCATGTGTTTAGCTAAGCAGGTAATCAAACGAATTCCAGATCGTCATCTCCTTCGTCATCAGAGAGAACCCTTCGCACGGGAGTTGCATCGCCGCCTAAACTATCTCGACCAGCCTCCCGGATGCCTTTGGATGTGAGAAACCGCGTCTTTTTGACACCACTGCCGTGCGGCTTGTCGCCGTCATGAGCTCTCTTCATCGGGCTCAGGCGGACATTGTTCGCCCTGCCATATGTGACAAGATTCAAGCCCTGGCTTGGCCTGGTCGAATCTGGCGTTGAGGGAGCAGTTTGTTCCGCACCCTTCTTGCCCTGGTCCGTTTCGTTCGCTGTCCGAGTTCGAAGGTAATCTACACCCACTCCACCAGCGCGGCCTGATATCAGTTTCCGCGTGATCTCGAGTTCTCGCTGCTGGGCTACTAAGCGTCTCCTCATGCGCTCTTCCTTGTTCTCCATTCCTCGTTCCATCATTCCAGCGGCGATGAATGGATCGTCGCTGGCATCAAGTAAGCTCGCAGTTGAGTGAACTGCTGCAGGGTTGTAGGAAGTGCGGCTGGCTCCTCCATTCCTGGGGCCGGGAGCAACGTAGTAGACAGACTGTGTGCCCATATGGTACTGCGCACCTTCTGCCTTCAGTTTTCCATCAGATCTGTAGGACGGGGAGTCTACGGCTCCTGACCGTGACCCTCCTCGACTGTGTCCTCTTCCTTCCTGCCAGATGCCAGTACGAGAGCCAGATTTTCCTCCCCCGCCAAACATGCCCGTGCCACTGTTGACGCCAGAGCGCGAGCCCTGCGTCCGGCGGACTTGAAGGTCCACATGGAAGTCACAGAACTCCGTCTTACGACTGTCCACCCAGGCCTGGCAAATCTTTCCATCTTTTCTGACGGATTTGCAGAAGCCAATGTCTTGTGCCTTTCCTATCTCGAGCACCTTGTCATCGGAAGAAGAAAGACAGAGACTAAAGCGATTTGTGTCAAGCTTGTGTTTCGGAGGAGGCATGACCGTAGGGTTCAAAATCGCAACAACAGTTCCCTCGGAGATTTTGTAGTAGCGCGGGAATGCCGTGTCAAAAAGGAACAGGTCGATGGTCCACTGTAGATCAGTCAACGTCATCACCATGTAGCTGTTGGTGTTGTTCATCCCATCATCAAGTGGTTCGACGGACTTTGAGGTGGCTTTCCCTGAATCTTTGGTCTGTTTGGTATCCGACTTGGATGCGACGATGCCAAAAACAACAAAGTCCCCATCGATAGTTTCGGGTAGTTCAAAAGCAGGAGCTTTGACTGTTTTGAGAAGGTCGGGAATTTTCAGTGTATGCTTATCCGCCAAGCTGCGACTGAGAAATGAGTGTGGAAGGATGCGATTCGATAGGTGAAGTCCCGAATAGGATTCAAACTTGGAAGGATCCGGTTTGCTGTCAGTGCGAGTCGTGTCCTCAGTGGGCCTTCCCGTAAACGAATTCCTGTCATCGCTTCTCAAACTCGACGTTGTTTGACTGCGCTTCAAGACACCTGTCCGAGATGATGATACTGATTTCAGAATGTCCTCACGTGTGAAAGCCGGTGCTTGTGGTTCCCGTCGACCCATATTTGGACTTGATGCTGGTTCCTTCGCAGCAGCACTTTTAAATGCATCAATCTCTGCTTTGTCCAATTGGAATCCAGCACTTCGATTTGCCCTAATACGGTCAATTTTCTTGGCTTTCTCGGCGCGAAGCTTCTCCGCAGCACGACCTTCAGCCATCCGCTCGCTGAAGCTCTTGATCCTACTCAGGCCTCCAGTACTTGGAGATGACTGGGGTCTAGAAGAGAATACGTCGCCTGATCGAGCGGTAGCAGCGCTCCGGGTCTCGAGTTGACTTGTAGGTCGCGGCGCCCGTTTGAGCGAAACATCGGCAGCCGTCCAGCCTTTATCAATCCCCATTTTGCACCTTTGTGGAGACCACGGCGCCCGAGAAGGCTGTTCCCGCCTCGTGGGCGACAGTGGTACCTGGATATCATCGTGCGGCGTGTTTCGCGATAGCCCACGAGGGCTCTTGGGTGGTACAATCTGGCTGGCAATCTCCGAAGAGACAGTGGCAGACGAAGGGCGAGATGATCTGACTTCTCCATCTTCCGTACTTGAACTGGTGGTACCTGACCTGGCCCTGTTCTTCTGGAGTTGTTTCAGCTTGAGACGGGCCTGAATTTCAGCCAGCTTTAGTTGTAGAGTCTCTTCGTCCTCTTCGCTATCATCGTCTGCTGGGTCTTCGTCGAGAATCTGTTGTGCTTTCGTTCGTAGGCCAGGCGTTGTGTTCGATCGTTTGAGCGGCGACGAGAGCAATTTTCGGCGCTGGTGTAGGTCCTCGTATTTCCTCCGCCCTCCCGGGGAGCTCAGAAGGGCATCGCGGGGAGACTTTGGCGGCCATGCAGGGTCGGCCACTGTCGCTGTACTTAGATACCGTAACCCTTTGCATTGAAATGTACCTTGAAGCAAGACTTACTCGCAGGATAGGACATGGTCGTCGATTTTTCAAAAATCAAGGTCCGTCGCCGTGGGTCGGCGGCATTACCGACTGTTTGAGCCGCCCCCGCAGAGAGTACAGCGAGAAACGGTGAGTAGACAAGACGAGACCCGCAGCAGCAATGGCAATTCGAACAAATCGCAGCAGCTTGAGTCGTTCAAGACTTGCGTTCTCTTTCTCTGCAGCTTTCTGTTTTGAGGAATAGATGGACCTAGGTGTTTGAATGCTCCTCGGAGTGCAGGGAGCGAGTGAAATGTGAGAAATCACCTGCAGGGCTCGGCCCGCGCAGGACTCCGCCAGGCGCGCGTCTTCAGCGCGTCTCCGCGATTTCCCAATCTCTTTTCCACTTTGGCTACATTCAGAACCCTTCTGCGTTGCTGGGCACGCGATTCGCAAACATGCCCCGTACTCGCTCTGCGGCTCCCAGTCAGGCCAGCGAGCCGGTTGTCAGTCAACAAACACCTCAATTGAAGTCCGCCGAGAAGCCCAGCAGGACTTTTATCCTTCCGTCTAATACCAGCGCTGCTGCACGTCTGCTCTCCCTTCCGAATCCGCAGTCCAATGAGATATCACCATATTTCTTCTGTCCAGGTCGCGGGCTGTACGAGTTTACGACTGTCGTAGCGCCTCCATTCGCGCCTCGTAGCATTCTCTTTACCTCCAAGAAGCACAGCCTGCATGAACTCGAGGCGAAAGATACAGCTGCCTCGGCAACGGCATCAATTGCGAAAAAGGCCGAATTACTCGTCGCAACACCCATTGACGTCGCTTTTTTCTTGGTTGCGCTGCTTGCCCCGTCTTCCAAGTCCAAACAATCACTTTACCAACCCTTGGACGATATAATTGATTCTCATGACAATCTACCCTCGCATTTCCGCCATGTCCTTTCCAATGACTCGTTTCGCCGCACCCTCCTCGCGCGCGCCGAAGCTATTTGTGATTTTGTGGAGGCAGGCGACGAAAAGATGTTTCGCTTCAGCGAATCGAAGCTGCTCAAGGAGTTGCTGGTCAAGGCGGAACGTATGGCGGAACAAGGTCTCCCTGCCAGTCTTGAAGACCGGTTTGTCCGTCAGGCACTAGCAACTCCGCTCATGTCGGTGAAACGTGTTGATGATATGACGAATCAAGGTGACAAGAACTCTAGTCCGGGCACGGGAGAGGCTTCAGACACACCAGATTCGCCAGCTACACTTGCTACCACTACGACTCCTTCAATATCCACGCCGCCAGGTGAAACAACACCTGTGCCCGTTCCTTCGAACGATGACTCTGATGAGATCCGTCGGCTGCAGCGGATTTCTATCGCACTTTCGTTCATGAAGGAGTCCTACCTGTCCTCCGCCATGTCTTCAAGAATTGACGAACTGCTCATCTCCACAGATTCACCTCTGAATCTTGGACCATTGACTGATCGTCTGAAGGAACTGGCTGCGTTGCGGGCAGAGGCTGCGGCTTCTCGAGGTCTGTCTGATTTCAGTCGGAAGCGTGGTCTTGACGATGAAGAGGCAGAGGATCGGGCCGACAAGAAAAGAAAAAAGGAGGAAGAGGAAAAGAAAGCGAAGGCCTCCTTGTCTCGGGGAGTGCGTGACCTGCAAAAAGTCAACACGACCGGCATGAAGAAGATGAGTGACTTCTTTGGCAAGGCATCGGCCAAGAAGAAGACATGATCATGGATTTAACGTCTTGTTGTCCTGAAACCCAACTACAAAACATTGAAATCGCGCTACAATCTGTGCAGACTTGGCAAGGGTTCATCAACCCTCGCCTATCTGGGATCCATTGGGTTAGCTCGGCTCGATTCAGGTCGTGCAACCAATTCGTGCAACGGGGCTTGCGCTCGACTAGGACCAACCGAGGCCTTGTTTCAGCAAGCTGGGTTTGATTCCTAGATTCTTCTACCTACACCGTGAACATACGCATTCAATATGGGCATGGGAACCACCAATTACCGCAAAAGAGCTTGATACGCTTTGAATCCATATCCTGTATCTACCGACTTGCGGTGCTGGTAAACGGAGGGGGGCTGAGTCAGATACGGACAGGGATATGTGTGTATACTAGATTTCATCAAGTCATTCCAAATGAGAGATATGCATTTCATTACATCCCCAAGAAAATTAAAGGACAAGCTGGTCGATTGCAGCACCATAAATACTGTGTAGCCGTTAGTACTCATTCCAATCCGCAACAAACGCAACTCGAGAAGGGGGGGGGGGGGGGAGAAGCGGGTCCACATACACAAATGAGCCATTAGACGGCTTGCTGATGACCATGGCCTGCTTCAACTTTTCCTCACTGATACCAGGGAACTTCTTGAGATAGTACTCGTTCCGTAGAGCAGTAGTCACGGCCTCTACCTTTCCTTGAGGCAGCATGTGCACCGTGCAGCCGCCCCAGCCAGCTCCCGTCAACCGACTGCCCCACGTGCCCGCGCGGCGAGCGATCTCGCAGATCTCGTCGACCTCTGGAGCACTGCAATCGTAGGCAGTACGGCAAGACTCCTGGGACTCATTCAACAGCTGGCCGAGATAGCGAATGCGCTTGTCATCCAGCTCAGAAGCTTTGGCCAAGCAGGCCTTGAAGTCCAGCACCCGCCGGGCCTCCTTGAAGCAGTGCAGAGCCCGTTGACGCAGCAGGAAACGCTCAGCCTGGACGGGGAAGGCGGAAAGGAACTTTGACTCGAGCTCCTCTACGGTCATGTCGAGCAAGGTGGCCATTTCCTCACGGGTGTAGCCCTGCTCCTGAGTCAAGACGTCCTGCACGGCCTGAATGACCGAGTCGATCTGGTACTCCAAAGGATCGTGCAAACGCTCTTCCTTGGTCATCAGCTCCTGCTGGAAGTTGCGCAAGCTATAGCCCAATGAGCTGTTGTCCTTAGTCAAGGTGAGACCAAACTTCTTCGCGAGGATCACAGAGGCCAGGGTGCATTCGGCGACACGCAAGTTGTAGTGTCGAGGCGCAGTCTCGGCCTTGTTGGAGGTCACGAAGCTTTGGGCCATGAGGAAGGTGATCTCATCCGTCGCTTTGGGGATAGGGACGTGTTGGGCTTTAAATTGGGGAAAGAATTGAGTATAGAGCAGATATCCTCGCTTGGAGAAGATGGAGGCCGCTTGATCCATGCTGATTTTCGGCGCGAAGGAAGCGATGATTAGAAAGCTGCTTATTCAAGCGTCCGCGATTCCAGCGGCCATGTTGTGACAGACAGTGGAGGAACTTACCCGCCAGAGTACACACCAACCGCACGCTCCGAGACCACCGCAAGATCCAGCAGGTCCTGCTTGGAGATATTGTGGTCGTTGGCCTTCATCACCGCTAGAGCACTAGCGCAGACGAACGCGGCGCTGCTGGAGATGCCACCACCGGGAGGCACATTACCATCCACCAAAATTTCCATGCTGACCGGCACAAGCGCGCCGGTCTTCTCCTTGCGCAAGAATTTCAGGGCACCGAGCATTCCAGCCTTGAAGTAGTTCACCCATTCGTGCTTCTTAGGATCGACCTCAACGTCGGCACCTTGAGGGATACTGAACTCGCGCGAGGGGAACTTCTCCGGGGCAACATTGGCAATCTTGATTGTCGTACCAGATGAACCGGCGGGAACCACCTTCACAGCCATGATCACATCGACGCTCACGGCGGTGGGCAACACATCGTAGAGGTTATAGTCGATATGCTCACCAATAATGTTCACGCGACCTGGGCTGCGCGCCACAAAATCCGGCCGGTGCTCATACTGCTTGTTGAACTGAGAGATCAAGTTATTCCAGCGCTGCTGGTGCTCGGGCGCGACAGAGGTCACCGACGCATCGTCGGTCGCGTAGACCTCGGCGATTGACTCCGTTTGGGGGACGAGCTCTTGCGGGGCAGACATGGCGGGGTATTCGTGGGAGAAGTATCACGGGCGAGAAGCAGATGAAAGAGGAGCTTGGGATGGGAGGAAACGATGTAATACAAAGGTTTCGAGGAACCGTTCCGCGCAGAGATATTCAGGAGGTGAACACAATATCTGAGAATCGAGGTATGGCGAGAAAAGGAAAACTTGTCGGACATGGGACCGATTAGGAGAGCGACCTGAATTGCTTGTGCTCTTTCCCCTCCCCTCCTCAATGATCCATTCCATTGCACAATTCTCCCATCACTGATTTCCCACCTTCCACCGTTCCCCCTCCCATGCTCCACACTTTCCACCTTTCACCCCCGGGTAAACTGACCCCGTTGGGTTTCCTTCGGTGGGGAGAAAGAGGAACTCGGGGTCAGAGAGGCTCCATCACGGCTGGTTTCGGGGATGGTCGGCCCGTTTGAGACATCGAGACGGCCCACAGAACACACAGTCGTGAATACCGGACCGAATCACAGGAACGAGAAAGGGTCATACTACATACTACTACTGTATCTCGGTGCGGTCGCCAGCTCGGCGCAGTGGCGCACGCCTCAAATTCAATACCGATCTGAAGTGAGAGGCTTCTGCCCATGTATGCAAGCCCCCAGCATGCTCCGTAATGCATTGACTGCTCTACGAGGCACGTCTCCGCGCCTCCCGGTGAACTATTGCAGGCTGGTCTCCGTGGGGTAAATCCCACACAGCACCATCCATAACAAGTATCAACTTCGTCATCGTCAAGTGAACCCACATGCTGTGTATGATGGCATTTGTCAAGCCCCGTGGAGGCTCATGAGTATCTCCTCCAAATCTGCGGCCATCGATGGATCATGCTGGACGCCAATAGTCATGCCAGGGTGTGCATTGGTCTGTGGCGCGCTCGACATTGTGATCGGGTTGTTTTGATAACAGCCTTGGAGCCGCCTCAAGAGCGGGACAAGTCCAGTAGCCATTGAAGTGAAGACAGGAACCTCGGCGCGTCTGCGAGGAAACCCCGAACCTATTCTCGCGGACTTCTCCATAAGCTGTCATCCTTCGAGGTGACGGCTCGGACTGCAATCAGACGGCTGCTCGTCCAGGCATAGCAACCGAGACCACAACCACAGCACACACTCCATGACTCCTGTAGTCGTGTAGCGTCATACGGCATTGATTTTTCCGAAGAGACTTGACCCTCTCGGCAAATCACGGCACAAACACGGCCAGTCCATGTCGGCTTGTGCTACCCGGCCCATACAACGTCGGAGCTTGCTGTCGGACACTGCCTTACATGATTCAGGTGGGTTCCGCCCGTGCAGCATGGACAGAGTGACAGTAGTGTGCCGACGTACTCACTACTCGGAAATTGAGATGGACTCTTGTCGTCACATTGTTAGTAAGGAAGACACCCATTACTCCTGCAGAGCCTGCCGTGTAGTTATGTGCCGCAGAAATGCCAATATTTACATGTATGCCACACGTAAGATTCGGTCTCATGTTTGTTCAATGGAACAAAAATATGTAGTCAAGTAACTGGTTAGCGGTCGCATCAAACCTCAATTGGGCGACTACTAAGGTAGCCAGCAGTACCTAGGTAAGCACATGTGCATCTTTCGACCTGCGGCGGAGATTACGGGCCAAGCCATAAGCGCGGATACTAGTACTGTACAACATGTCAGCGAAGTACTACAGCTCTTAGTACCAGGCTAAGACCGAGGACTGCCTGAGAAGTAAGTCAAGTCGACATCTGGACCTCCAGTCCGGAGTCTCGCCTGTGCATCAGTCCTGCGAGGATGGGCCGTGCACTGCATTACCACAAATCGCAGAGCTGGCGGTGGTCAGCACTCAGCACTCGGCTCAGTCCCGCGCGCTCCCAATCACATGATCACTGCTGCTGACACAGAATCATGTGACCTGACTCTACCGCCGAGGTCGGAGAGCGCGAAGGCGATCGAGCCAATGAAAGACGCCGAATATTTGACTCAGAGCGGTCAATCCATTTCGGGTTACGGCGATTTTCGTCTCCCCCAGAGAGATCATAGCAAGGGCCCAGAAGATCTTAATTTTCCTTCCATATTTGCCTCCCTTCTCAATCATCAAGAGCTGTTGGGCTTCTGCCGGTCAATATGATGCCTCTCCGACCGTCAAGGACTGCTCTGCGCGCCATTCACCTCCAGAGGCATGCGGCCTCTGGTCGTCGGTCATTCACGCAGTCGTTCGTGGCTTCGGCTGCGTCGCCCCACCGCTCCTCGCCTCAGAAGCGTGCTCAGAGTACAGCGACAGCTACGGCGTAAGTTTGTGAGACAAGTTGAACTGACAACATCAAGTATCTAATGGATTGTTCATCAGTAGCGACTCAAGGCCGGCGCCCAGCCCGGCCTTCAACCAAGAGCCTCACCGCAATGAGATCTCGCCTCTCCAGAACCGCCAGGTTCCCGAGCTTGACGACTCGTAAGGGCTGCCCCTGGTCCCGTGGAGATCATTCCTCCAGTCCGGTCCTCGATGGTACTAATCACCGATTTGACAGAATGGTTGGCATGAGTGGTGGTGAAATCTTCCACGAGATGATGCTGCGTCTTGGAGTCAAGCAGATCTGTACGTGCCGTGCCAGTTTGTCTGCGTTCTATGCTGGACACTTGATTATCAAACCTTGCCATTGGAGATACTGAGCTCTAACTTGGGTCTTGTCACAACAGTCGGTTATCCTGGTGGCGCCATTCTGCCCGTCTTCGATGCCATCTACAACTCCAAGCATTTTGACTTCGTCCTGCCCAAGCACGAGCAGGGTGCTGGCCACATGGCTCAGGGCTATGCGCGTGCATCTGGTTTGCCCGGTGTGGTTCTGGTTACTTCGGGTCCCGGTGCCACCAATGTGATCACTCCCATGCAAGACGCCTTGTCTGACGGCACTCCCATGGTGGTCTTCTGTGGACAGGTGCCCACGAGCGCCATCGGTACCGATTCTTTCCAGGAGGCCGATGTCATTGGCATCTCACGTGCCTGTACTAAATGGAATGTCATGGTCAAGTCCGTTGGTGAACTGCCTCGCCGCATTCAGGAAGCTTTCGAGATTGCCACCAGCGGTCGCCCTGGCCCCGTCCTGGTTGACTTGCCTAAGGATGTGACCGCCGGTATCCTTCGCAACCCCATTCCTACCCACAGCACTATTCCTTCGCTTCCCAGTGCCGCCACCGTCGCTGCTCGTGAAATGGGCAAGAAGCAGCTCGAACAAACTATCGGTCGTGTGGCTCGTCTGGTGAACATGGCTGAGAAGCCCGTTCTCTACGTCGGCCAGGGTCTCCTTGCCCGCCCCGATGGTCCTGAGATTCTCAAGGAGTTCGCTGAAAAGGCCAAGATTCCTGTGACCACTACTCTCCAAGGTCTGGGTGGCTTCGACGAGCTGGACCCCAAGTCCCTGCACATGCTCGGCATGCACGGTTCCGCGTACGCCAACATGGCCATGCAGGAGGCTGACCTGGTCATCGCCGTTGGCGCCCGTTTCGACGACCGTGTGACTGGTAGCATCCCCAAATTCGCTCCCCAGGCCAAGGCTGCCGCTGCGGAGGGTCGCGGTGGCATTGTCCACTTCGAAATCATGCCCAAGAACATCAACAAGGTTGTTCAGGCCACCGAGGCCGTTGAGGGCGATTGTGCCGATAATCTGCGCATGCTTTTGCCTCACGTCAAGCCAGTTGCCGAGCGCCCCGAGTGGTTTGAACAGATCAACGACTGGAAGGCCCGTTTCCCGCTCTCTCTTTATGAGCGCCAAACCCCCGAGTCGACCATCAAGCCCCAGGCTGTGATTGAGAAATTGAGTGATCTCACCGCTCACATGAAGGACAAGACCATCATCACCACCGGTGTCGGTCAGCATCAGATGTGGGCTGCTCAGCACTTCCGCTGGCGCCACCCGCGTACCATGATCACTTCTGGTGGTCTGGGTACCATGGGCTTCGGTCTGCCATCTGCCATTGGTGCCAAGGTTGCTCGTCCCGACTGCCTGGTTGTCGATATTGATGGTGATGCTTCCTTCAACATGACCTTGACTGAGCTTTCTACTGCTGCCCAATTCGACATTGGTGTCAAGGTTCTCCTGCTGAACAACGAGGAGCAGGGTATGGTGACTCAGTGGCAGAATCTGTTCTACGAGGACCGCTACTCCCACACGCATCAGCAGAATCCTGATTTCGTTCCCCTCGCCCGGTCCATGCGCGTTGCTGCCGAGCGTGTCTCCAAGGCCTCTGAACTTGAGGCTAAGCTGAAGTGGCTGATCGAGCAGCCTGGCCCCGCCCTCCTGGAGGTCATCACTGCTCGCAAGGTGCCTGTCCTGCCTATGGTTCCTTCTGGTCGCGGTCTTCATGAGTTCCTGGTCTACGATGAAGGTAAGCTTTCCATGAATTCTGACTTTCTTCTTATCAATCGCGTGAATAAAATGCTGACTTTGAATTAAAGCCAAGGAAGTGGAGCGCAAGGAGATGATGAAGAAGCGCAATGCTCCCACCGAGGTTAACATGCGCGAGTAAATGCCTCTCCTCGGCAACCGCACCCGTTCCAAACCCCCAATTTCCCTGATGTTTACCAGTCATTTTGCTCTTTTGTTCTATCATTGATATCCATGGCGTTTCTTGCGGGTTCATCAAAAGCGATTCGGGAAATCATCAAAGTTCGAATCAAACGACCTCATTGTCACCAAAAAATCTGGTTTTGCTTCCCCCTTCCATCATGAGACAGGATCCGCGCAGAGAACTCTCGCTGCGTCGACTGTTGCTCCGTGATGCCCGACTTTGACCGGCTCTTCCCATCGAGTACATTGCTTGTGTCATCATTTTTTTGGGTTTCATTGTCGTCTCTGGTTATTCCTCGGCCTCTCACGTTATACTCCGTGTACATAATGTTTGTCCCGTGATCTTTAGTTGCTTGATCTGGGGGACCCTATCCCAGATACTACATGATCCTCAGATTGACAGGGATCGAAAAGCCTCATCCCATTTCCACAATTTCAGTTCTACTTTAGAATGCCTCCGTCTGAGCTCAGCATGCTGACATTGCACGTGGTGCTGACGATGCGTGGAATTTGCATTCGTAGAGGCCGGCTTCATAGTTGCACTAGGATTGAAGCTTATGCTGGACATCTGATGCCGGGGGCGGAGCATGATGACACTCTTTGCCGCTTTAGACTTAGGGTCACGTCGAGATGCGAGCTGAGAACTAGCGTGCGGGGAGTCATGGACGACTCTCAACAATCTTTCCACGTGGGATATATATGTGAGAACTGAGGACAACCTTAGTCCACTGCTTCAAGCATGTCTTACCCATGATCCTTCATAGGTAGTTATACGCATCCAGTCGGGAACGTCCAGTTGAGGGACATATCGGGCAAACACCTGTTCAGCGCTGCTCTCGGTACATCTTACGGGGTATTCCACCAAACTAAGCAGCAGGGAAACCTCTGTGTGACAGAGTTTTCAGCACATTAAAGGGGCATTTTAATCTCAATGCCCGTTCGCGTGAAATCTGTCGTCGGAAGCTGATGAACCGTGGAATATCGAGGTCGTCTCCCAGCTGAACGAATGCCCGGCAGGCTTGTTGAGCACAGCAAATTGGTCCCGTAGACATGGTGGTCTAATTATATCCAAAGTCTACCCATGTATCCAATGGAGCTAGTTCCACTCAGGATAAAAGTTGCTGAACCCTCGCTTCCTGATACCTCTGGGACCCAAAAGCTCGTATATCTGAACATCCCGACATTCCGCGTCCGGTCTACTCGGGTTCTGAGGGCGGCACTCGATCCGGTACTTCTTCCAAGCCTTGACACTTGACCCAAGTGAAATCAAATACGCTCGCAGAAGTCTAAGAGAAGAGTTCAAGCGAGACAGATGTGAAGTCATAGTCAAATTGACGGAGGCTCCAGTTCTGCGGCTAGGAAGCTCTCTCAGTGTCGATGTTCATACAAACAGGCGCCCATGAACCAGAGTGTTCGTAGAGCTTGGACAGCATGAGGCACATTGATCAGATTCAACTCCAGCCCGATCAATCAAAGCACATGGAGTGAATCCTTGCACACAACTAGCTTCATCCATGAACAACAGCATAGCTTGGCCCAGCCCACATAATTACCTATCCAGAATACCTAATAACCGAAGACAACAGTTAGTTTTGAGCATGTGTACACTGGACAACTGGACATCATTGGTAAACAGCTTCAATTAATGCAGAAATAATCGTTTATATCATAGCAGCATGACGTTCCAGCAAAGTGCTGGCCAAGAGATGAGGTATCCAGGTAATATACAATAGAATGGAGTCTTGCACTCTTTGTTGTTGTTGATTGCTGGCTGAAGGTCTTCGTTGACTTGGATGTTCTTGCGCGGATAGGCGGGAGGCCTCAGGCCAATGGCAGTGACGTTTTGGCGCCTCGTGCAGACCCAATGAGCTGCGCCTCTCTTGTCTCCGGACGGGCTTCGCAACATCGGAACCACATCAACCTCACGTTTCCCCAACCTCCTTACGGATCACGAAACTGGCTAGCGTCAAGATTCCTGTTTGAGGTTCTCATCTTCGCGACTCGGAATTGGGCCTCGTGAAAGCGCACACCACTGCTGGAATTGCTCCTGCAGTGCCCGCCGAACCGCTTGCTCTCTCACCTCCGGCTCCCCCTCACTCCGTCCACCATGGCGAGCCCACCGCCGGTCGCCGAGGACCAAAGCCGCCTCCTCGAAGAGGCATTGGGAGTTGTCCGACAACAGTCGGCCATGATGCGCAAATGCTTAGAAACACCCGGGAAACTTATGGATGCGCTCAAATGCGGGTAAGCAGCTAGCTCCGGGCTCGGGAAGCTTCAAGGCAGCAGCGGTCTTGAACATTCACGATATGGAGACCCACGTGCTGATCGCTGTCGACGCTGACCTTCAATGTCCACAGATCTACTCTTGTTTCTGAACTGCGTACCCCGAGTCTGGGTCCCAAACAGTATTACGAATTGTACATGGCCGTTTTCGACGCATTGCGACACCTGTCCGTGTACCTCAAGGAGAACCACCCCGTCAATCACCTTGCGGATTTGTACGAGCTGGTTCAATATGCCGGGAATATCGTGCCCCGTCTGTATCTCATGATTACGGTCGGCACCGTCTACATGTCAGTCGAAGATGCGCCGGTCAAGGAGATTATGAAAGATATGATGGAGATGAGCCGAGGCATTCAGCACCCGATTCGGGGCCTCTTTCTTCGATACTACCTCTCCGGTCAAGCACGCGACTACCTTCCCTCGGGAACCGGTGACGGCCCCGAAGGCAACCTCCAGGATTCAATCAATTTCGTTCTGACCAACTTCGTCGAGATGAATAAGCTCTGGGTCCGACTGCAACACCAAGGTCCATCCCGGGAACGAGATCGCCGGATACAAGAAAGACGCGAGCTGGAGCTTCTCGTCGGCAGCAACGTCGTACGTCTGAGTCAGTTGGTCGATCTGGAAGCATACAAGTCTGGGATCTTGCAGGCCCTTTTGGAACAAGTGGTTCAGTGCCGCGACGTTTTGGCCCAAGAATATCTCCTAGAAGGTCAAGATGAGCCCCTTTCCCCGGAGGTCATTGAGCAATTTCGATACTAACCAGCCGATAGTTATTACGAAAGTCTTCCCCGATGAATTCCATCTTCATACTCTCGACCACTTGCTCTCGGCAATTGCTCGACTCCATCCCCACGTTGACTTGAAGAAGATTGTGATCGGGCTGATGGATCGTTTGTCTACCTACGCGACAAAAGAGAACGACTCTCCCACAGAGCCCGAAGTGCGACGGGAACACGAAGAAGAAGCCGTTGTCCGACTATTGAAGAAGCTGGAGCTCGACAATGAGAAGAAGGAGAAGCAACAAACGGAGGCTGGAGAAAGTGGCGCGGACAAGGCCCAGGAGAATGGCGTTGCAGAGTCTGCGAAACCCGGGGAAGCCTCCGAGAGCGCAAAAGAAGAGGGCGAAGACCAAGGTACTGCTACAAATGGAGATAGCGGAAAATCCGTAGTTCCCGCTGAAGTGAAGCTCTACGACATCTTCTATGATCAAGTGGTGAACTTGATCAAGACGAGAGCACTCCCCATTCAGGACATCATGGCACTTCTCGTGTCTCTGGTGAATCTGGCTCTGAACATCTACCCGGACGAGCTGCATTATGTTGATCAGGTTCTCAATTTCGCTGCTGGAAAGACCGCGGAATATACCGATCATGCCGATCTTCATTCGGCTACTACCCAACAGCATATCCTCCATCTGCTCAGTGCTCCCCTACGCTCGTATATCTCGATTTTTACCGCTTTAGCACTTCCCAATTACCTACCTCTGCTGGCGTCACAATCTTATCCAACTCGCCGTGCAATTGCAGGTGAGATTGTGCGAAGCTTGTTGAAGAACAGGACTGTGATCAAAAACACCGAGAACCTCGATCGTGTGCTGCAGGCAGCTCGGGTTTTGATCAAAGAAGGACTCCAGCAGTCAAGTGGTTACCCTGGAGCACCATCGCAGCGGCGTGGCGGTGAGACCGATGATACCATTGAGGAGCAAGGGTGGCTCGCCCGATTGGTGCATCTCATTCAAGCGCCTGATAATGATACACAGCTCAAGGTCAGCCCTAGTATCAGTCTAGTGTTTGGGGAGAATGAAGGCTAATCATTTTTTACAGCTTCTTCAAACCACGCGAAAGGCCTATGCGGATGGCAATGAGCGCATCCGATACACGACACCCGCTCTTGTCACGGCGTCAATTCGTTTAGCTCGAAAGTTGAAAGCGCGCGAGCACTATGACGACAACTGGCAATCACAATCTTCTGCTCTCTATCGATTCCTTCACCAATGTGTCAATAGTCTTTACCAGCGGGTCAACCCCGGATCCGCGGATCTAGCACTTCGTCTGTTCGTCATGTGCGGTGAAGTCGCGGATCAAACAGGATTTGAGGAAGTCAGCTACGAATTCTTCGCTCAAGCTTTTACAATCTACGAGGATGCTATCAGCGACTCGCGCGCGCAGTTCCAAGCAGTCTGTATCATCGCAGGTGCCCTACATGGGAGTCGAGGGTTCTCAAAGGAGAACTATGACACATTGATCACAAAGGCTGCTCTACATGGAAGCAAGCTGCTTAAGAAGCCTGACCAATGTCGAGCAGTGTATCTGGCCAGTCATCTTTGGTGGGTTGTCGAGAACCCTCAGCGCGGCGAAGAAGATTCAAAAAATGTAAGTTTCGACGAATTTCTTATTTATAATTGGCTTTTCTGGGCTTTTGATGTCTAACTCTTCTATTAGCTCTATCGCGATGGTAAACGAGTGCTGGAATGCTTGCAGCGCGCTTTGCGAGTGGCCGATGCTTGTATGGACACGGCTGTCTCTGTGGAGCTCTTTGTTGAAATCCTGAACCGCTACGTCTACTACTTTGACCAGCAAAACGAGACCGTAACAACCAAATACCTGAATGGCCTGATCGAACTCATCCACTCAAATCTCCAGAGTACCGAAGACGAACCGAATCCTAGCCTCGAGGGCCCGAAACGTCACTTCGAACGAACACTGGACTACATCAGGTCTCGCGAATACGAAGGCGTCGTGACCGAGCGACAATGAAAAACAAAAAGACGAGGCTATGGTACTTATCATTTTTCGTTGCTCGATTCAGAGCGGATACCCACAGCAAATTTTGGATCTGGAAGAGAGTAAAACCTCTCTAACGGAAGCTTTTTGTTGCTGTCTTATGTACTCGAAAGCAGGGGTTTTTCTTGAGTCTCTGGCTCGGGTTGCCCAGTGCCATGTCCGTTTGATTTGTTCAATTCTGTGCCTTTGTGTTTCGTTCTTGCCGTCTGCCGTTGAGAGACCATATCCTCTGCGATAGTGCATCTACTTTTTTTCTTCCTGATTGGAAGCATATACAGATCTTAGCTTGTCTACAGACAACAATGGTAATTATATAACACTCTCGCTCTCGTCTCCGTCGAGCGTCCCGAGCGGACGCGACACACACCGAAACTATGTGGAGGGTCGGTCCTACGGCAACATTGGAAACAGAAAGGACTATGCTACCTATGTTGTTGACGTAGAAAGTGCGATTTCCCGAATAAGTCAGATCTCAGCACGAGGCTAGCGAGAGATAACCTATCTGTCTCACTTCGGTCGTCGACTTGGTCTTGATATGGGTTAGATCTAACCATCAACTCGAGGCCATGCAAGATAAAAGAATAGCTCATAATCATAAACTTCATTAATTCGATGCGTATAATTGGTCCAAACGCCGTAAATCATGTCGTCATGATGAACGCAGAAAAAGAACAAAGGTCAGGGTATACTTTGAAACAAGATAGACGGGCAATACATTCGAGACCTGTCCGACGGTTCTGGCAATGTGAAAGTGGCGAAACAGGGGATCGGGGCACCAGCATTTCATCGTCTCTATCACCCAGCAAATAGTATTCGAGTGCAATAGCTGTAATATGCAGACTGGACCCTGGCGTAAGCACCAAGGCTCAGGACAAAGTGGCGCGATCATAATGCCCATGGCAGATCAGCTTCTTCGACACGCGTACATGTGAGATAGGGCAAGCCAACGGTCGGAGTTTCCTCGCAGGAGCCAGACGTACTGTGGGCTTGATCAGAGCCCGTCTTCAGCTCCAACTCAAGAAAATTGCGTATTAGAGGCTTGACGATTTCACGAGCCAGACGCTTCAACTCGTCCAATTTGCGCTCGAATCGCTTGAGAGTTTCGCGTGTATAGAGTGGGTCAGACGATGGAGTAGGAGATAGCTTCAGAAATCGTTTGACTTCATCGTGCGCGAGGTATGCTTGTGTGGATGAGGATCCGATCAGTCTATACACGTGGGCCACTGGATCTGGTGGAGCAATGGGTCTGGTAGATGTCGTTTGAGAGCCGGCCACAGCAGGCGGTGGACGATTTGCACTGGTAGGGTGTGATGTCGTTTTAAGGATTGGAGCAGGTGGAGAGTTGGTATTCTCAATGAGCCACTGGCGAAAGAGCGATACGGCGAGCCAGTCGAGATACGCATTAGAAGGGCCAACTCGTTCACCGCGAGAGGTTGTGAGAGACAAGCGAAGGAGTTTGCCCTCGATGCGGGCTTTTAGGTCCTCGAGGTCCTCGTACTTGTCCTCTATCAAATCGAGGACGAAGTTGGGTAGCGGCGCATAGGAGTCGCTGCGTAGATTCGGTAGCGCGGCGGGCCATTGTCCCACGACATGGACAAGCGCTTCTGAGAAGATCACCCGACTTCGAGCCAAGTATCCTAGCTTGAGATAGCTAGGCGGATATTTGGCAATTTGCTTGAACAAGCGCGAGCCGAAACCCAGCAGATGGTGGTCAACTCGTGGACCCGTCACGGGAAGTGCATCGTACATGTCTGCAAGTGCCAGTAATGACTTGCACTCTGTATAAGCTGAAGCAATGTTGACACTGTTGAGAACAGGGGCATAGTTATAGAACAGGCGGAACAAGTTGTCATAGTCGCGAATTATAGAATGGACAGCGTCGCGCTCACTGTTCGATGGTGGCAAGTTCGTTACCGACTGCATTCCAGCTAGATTTGCCATGGACCGGAAGTACCCAGCTTGGACGTTGCACGGTTTCGCTGATGCCGGGGAGAAGACGCTGTGGTCGCTCCCAAACATGGGCGCGTAGGATGGTCGCTAATAAAATGAACTTGCATCAGCTTACTCCGTCCTCGTCTCGTCTCGAGGAACCAGAATACACTGGGATAGCGCCATCTTACCTTTTGTACCAAAATGGGTTCCTCATGTTCACCACGGTTTTCCCAGTCCAGCTCAAATCTCCATCTTCGGCTATCTTGCCCGCGTGCTGAAAGCTTCATCTGCTCCACTTGAACCAGGGTCGAACCATTCGACAAGGAGCCCTCACTTAAACGTGATGACGAGCTGTCCGATTTAGGGGGATTCTGCACCGTTGCGGTTTTCCCAGTCCAGTCCTCGCTGGTGCTAGCCTCGAAGAACCCTGAGCATTGGGTCAGGATCAAGCGGTGGAGAAGATAACGGCGTTCTTGCGCGCCAGCACGAATCACGATCTCGGTGTCCCCAGTGTAGGTGAAAATGGGAAAGTCGTTCGCAGACGGTTGCGCCGAGCCGCCATGATGTGAGCGCCCGGATCGATGGTTGCGGCGCGAGGAGTGCGACGGTCGCGACGCGATTGAGGGTGTGCTGTGGAGGGGTGTCCGGTCGAGAATATGCGCCGACGAGACCATTTCGCAAGCTTGTTGTATATGGAAGCGTGGCCGTTCACCCCGACACGATGCTACATACGCTTTCAGGGGAATCAAGAATTATCGCGCGCGAGAGGGACGGCGATCAACATCTGCTGTGGCACATCGCAGCGCACACAAGCTCCGGTGATTCAGGAACACCCGGAAGACTGGCGGGACTGTGCGACAACAAATGTCGACAGTAATCAGATTGTTCCGGACTTGGCCAGACACAATCCTCTATCAGAGAAAGTGGCGAGAGAGAAGGCCAACAAGGCAGGAGACCAAAAGAGAGAAAGGGAATCAGCAACAAGGGATTCCTAGTGGAGGTGCAACAATATTTCGCCTCGACTCTGAGGCGTGCACTCTTGGCCGAAGGCAAGATTGTAGTTGCCAAAAGACTAGCTTAGGTTGACTGCCAAGTACGTCTCTCATAAGAGGATGGGTGCCCTGTTTGAGGGCTGGTACTTAATCAGGAAACTTCCGGTTAAGCGCACCAGGACAATGACGCGAATGCTGAGAGGCCTGGAGATATCGATTTTGGTCCGGTGGGAGACAAGAACTGTCATCGATCCCACTCCTGCGCCACTTGAAGATAGCCGTCTTAATCATGGTCGTCCGTCTCTCTACTTTCTTGTCAGCCCTTTTGTCTGTTTAGATCAACGATTGTGGCACTGGCTTACTCCAAAGTAGTACTAGTCGGTACTCGGTAGTCACTGGTCAGAGACTCAGAGTAGTAGTACTGTTGTACCCCGAGAACCTCCCATTCGAGTGACAGCGCTGGACTAGTAGACCACTGGACTCAGCACTGCAGGACCCAGGACCGACTCGCCGCTCCGACTTGTCAGTTGTGTTGTGGATGTGGGTCACCACAAGCAGCTGAAGTCTGAACGTTTTGAGGGGAACTTGTTTTGAGTGGGAGTGGCAACGAGGCGGGCTGCAGGGCGCTGGCCAATTGACCCCCGCTATGAAGCGGGCCTGTAGACCCGGCATTCAGTCAATAAAGGGAACATTGCTCTCGGTGAAGTGTGATAGCTAGCAGTGATCCTAGACACAATACTATCCTTCTTGATTATATTGAGCTTATTGATTTGTGTCTTTATATATCAGAGACTCCTTTAGATCTTGGTGCTCTTCGGGTGGCAGGAGGAGGGGGTGCCATGCGATGGGAGAAGATGGACAGTGGCATCAGGTGACAGAGCCACAATGAGCGGATCACATGTGGCTGAGTTTGCAACACTCTACCACTCCTAACATATACAATAGCGCTATTACAGCAGGTAGTATCGTCATAAAGTAGCTTAAAGTCCACTAAAGGGCACCAGAGTATATTACACTGGACTTGCTCAAACACACTACTAAGCCACTCACCTGCTGTACCTGAGGTCGTAGGCAAGTGACCTTGGTCTGACCTGCCATTATAACCTCCGACCTTGACAACCTACAGGTGGCCTCGTTCAAACACCAGTCTACTCCCAAAATTTCGCTGTCATTTTCAATTTGGCCAGGATCATCGTCGCGCTTGTCTCCGTCGCTGAAAGACTTGCGTGTTGTGACTCATCATAAATGTACCTGTATAGGTAGCTGCTAAGTTATTGAATATCTAATGATGTAGGTTGGGTAGTAGATACGAGGCATGCACTGGTCGGGCCAAATTTGCAACCGTTTTCTTCTTCTGACGGACGCCCGCCCCTGATGATGCGGCGACTTCATTTCTTTTGTTGCAGCTCATTTCCGAGGCCAGTTCATCTGCGGTCTCTTGGGCCTACAAATCAATTCTGATCCCGGTCTTAGTTTTCCTCCCTAATCTGCTACATACAACCATCAACTCGACGCCGCGTTGCCCGCCAAGAGGCATCCATTCCGTTCTATTCTTTCATTAACCGCTTACTGAGTCCCCGTTCGGTTTTATTCCGATTTTCCTCATTGCGCTTTAATCCATATAGTACTTTACGTTGATTTACCCTTTCTGCCCTGGGGACTTTTGACCATCGCGACTGCTTCTTCTTGTTCTTTCTATCCTTTCCTTTCACCCCGCATATTCTCACTGAATTTCGCTCCGACTGCTCATCATCATCGGCGAAGAGAGACAATTACTCTTCACATCGCGTTCCGATCGAGAGCGGGCCTATCGCAAACGTACGCCGGTTGTGGACGAAAGTCACACGATTGGCTTTGAACATACTTGGTGACCCTCTCCTGGTCCAGTGCGAATGACGCCTTCAGCCCCTCCATCCTCTTGACGCCCACCTCCGACGACTAAGACCCCTCCTGCCGGGCTCGGGCTCGGGAAGTGCGCGCGCGTGCGATCCTGCCATCATTCATAATTCCCCACGTAAGAATAAGAGCGTCGGAAGAGGAAACTCAAAACCCCCGAACAAACGAGAGGGTCTTAGATCACCGGACGACAGAATCCTGGCCTGGGACACACCTTCCCGGGGCAGCTTCTACAGCTGTCCCGATCTGTCCTCGTTGCAGATATCGCAGGTCTCAGCCGCCGCATACGGTCTCGACCGTCTCGAGGTCACCACCGACCCTGAAGTCTCGCGATCCCCCTCTCCCGACTCCTCCACAGCGCCATCTAGCCTCAAGAAGCGGTCGCGAAGCCGAGTCGTCTCCAGAAAAGCCCGCGGCGTCATCGGCAAGGTCCGCGCTCTACAACGCATCGCTGCCGCCAAGATGGCGCATCCCTCGATCAAGATCAATACCAACGTCCAGGCGACAAAGCGCGGTCTGCCCAACGAAAGCGATGGCGGAGACGTGCCGGCGGACCTGGGAAATTGCCGGCTAGAGACTGGAAATACAGACAATGTCCCTCCATTCTTGTGTCAATCAGTTTCGGGTAAGTGACACAGCCAGGTGCAGGGCGTCAGCAGAGGGGCAAGAGTCCCGAAAATGACAGATACCAAGGGATAAATCTTCTTTCCATGGAAAGAAAGAACACGGGAAAAATATCCTCAGAGGCACCGAAAGCCGGCTTCGCAGATTCGGAGTCCTCGGTCATTCATACTGCGATCATTCATTTAAGAAACGAGCATGGGCTGACCCGTTGGCATGATCTTTTCTAGACATTCACGAAAAGTTTGACGACCTCGAATGGATTCAACGACAGCGACTGGCCGATGGAATGCTTTCCAACGATCCCGCCCATCCTTTTGCCCTCGAAGGCGATCCGCAGGTCAAAGCCCGCAATCGATACGTCAACGTGCAGGCCTTTGCCAACAGCCGTGTTCACCTGCAAGTGCCCGAGGGTGAATGTGACTTCATAAACGCCTCGCCCATTGTTCTGAAAGACTCCGTGACGCAGGAGGCCCGGACGTACATTGCGACTCAGGTATGTTTCACGCGGTTGAACAGATATGCCCGCTGCCCTCGTTCATCGAGGGGTCCTTACTCGATATGAAGGCTGAACTGACCCTCGCCTACCTTTTGTCATATAGGGTCCCAAACTTGGTCATTTGGCGCATTTCTGGCATATGGTACTCCAGGAGAGTAAGGACGAAGCAGTGATTGTCATGTTGACTCAAACCTTCGAAGGAGGCCGTGAAAAGTGTTCGCAATATTTCCCGCTAGACCTGGAGCAGGCCACGATGATTCTCTCGGACAATGAGTCGGATCCTTTTGTGGCGACCGAGGGCAGTCCGGATGAGACTCCTCCAAACGCCGGCCAAGTGACGCTTTTAGAATCGACCTTTGACAAAAAGTCACGCTCGGAAGTTCGTAAGCTGGAGCTGACCATGGGTTCCGAGTCCAAGATCGTTTGGCATTACCTCTTTGCTGGCTGGGCAGATTACTCGAAGCCGGAAGGCAGCGACCGTGCGGCTCTTTTGGAACTGATTCAGTCGTCTGCCGCGAAGGCAGGCCCCGACAACCCGCGCATCGTGCATTGCAGCGCAGGTGTGGGCCGCACCGGCACCTTCATTGCCCTCGATCACCTCCTCCAAGAACTCGAATCGGGCCAGCTGCTGCAGGTCGACGACCCCACCGTGGACCCCATTTTCGAGACCGTGAACCAGATGCGCCAACAGCGCATGATGATGGTCTACAACGAGATGCAGATGCAGTTCATCTACGAGGTTCTTCGGGAACAGGTTGACCTCAAATTAGGCAACCTCTCCGTTAGGGCCAAGGACTCTCCCGCTAGCAATTATGATGAGCCTCGCTCTGCCAAGCTGGCCAAGCTCAGCGCACACAACGACTATTTGCCTACTTCGAAGCCTGAACTGGAAGAAACGACACCAGCTCAGATTCCCAGTCCCAGCGAGACATCACAGTCTTCCTCTCACGAATAATGCCCGATCTCGAATTCATCATGCCTGCGCCCACCTTCCATTATTAATGCCCGTTTCTTGTAATCACCTGTGCCTGGAAATCTCGGCCAGGTCTCGTTTTGAGTCTCCCCTGCCCCATGCTGCCCTGATTGTTTGATTCCACTTGTCTTAACTCCTGGCTGGCGCGTCGCATCATGTCATGGTGCCCTGAGGTGTTTGGGAAGCCTCAGTGCAAGGACTCGAACGTCTTTATCCTCACATGTTTAATTTGCCTTCATGTATATCTTTAGTCCACCAGGATGGTTCGCTTAGATTCCTACCCTTTTTCCTTTACACTTACTGTGCCCTTCATATCATACCCGGACAGCACTCACGAGCCCTTGAATTTCACTGTCCCGCTTCAGCAGCAAGTACTCTCAGCATTTTGCCATTACAACGGCTCGCTCGAAACCTTCCAATTCGCTCCGATATTGTTCGAGTTTGCGGATTGCTGTATCATAGCATCATATTCATGTGTGTCCATCAGGGACTGAATTACCGCAAATCACCACACAATGTGGCCAGGCGCGAATACAATAAGATGGATTAATTAACTTTAACGGTTGTATACATGACAAGAACGCCAGATCTCCTAATCAGGTAGTATCAGTGACCAGAATTTGACCATATCCTCAGCAGGCCTGGTAAGAAGCGCACAGTCGCTCGAAAGATTACATCAGAAGAAACGGTAGACAACACATGCACGGGCGATCGATCAACGTATCAGCCCCTAAGCGTCTTCTTCTTCTTCTTCTTCTTCTTCATCATGATCATCATCATTGTTGTCGTCGTCAGTTTCGCCTCACACACACTATAAGCAGAGCCCAGTAGCTTTAACATGAAAGAGTCAAGTGCTCAGACGACTCAAATCGAAATTCTTTGAGTTTAGTCGCTTCGCTTCGCGGGGATCTCAACAGCCGAATGAGTCTCAGTATAGCTTGGAGGCGCAGGCCCGTGATCCGAAGGCTCTGGACCCTCCTCCGTGTCCCAGTTGTCAATGGCATTCTCATCCCAATTGTCCACTTCTTGCTCCAAGTTCGTCACGCCCGATTCTTGAGGACCGAGACCCTCTTCATCACGAGATCTACCAAGTCCAGTTCCAAGTTCAACGTCCTCGTCCTCTCCGCCTTCCATCAGACCGAATCGGCTCTGGCGACGGCGCTCTAGCATGCGGCGATGATACCAGCTGCAGAGACCCACTGCGCCGAGACTGCCGACAACGTTGGCGAGTATATCGAACGGATCAAAGTCGCGCCCATTGGGAAGAAATCCCTGCACAATCTCTGAGCCGAGGCCCAAGAAGAGAGTGCAGACCAAGAGGGTGATATGTAAGGTGCGCCGCCGTGATGTGTCCACAACCCAATAAAAGGCAGCGGTTAGCAGGAAGAAGGTGACGAGGTGTAGGAACTTGTCATTCGGTTGAAGATTCGAGGGAATTGACGAGGATGTACTGTGGGGGAGGAGACCAATATAGGCGGCGAGAATCAAAAGGAAAGCAAATGCTCCTAGATAAGTGTGAGTAGGACCAAGCTGAAACTCCAGGTTGCGCAGGCTACTACTGCACGATGCTACCTTTTTGATGGGGACATGACACGTACCTGCGAAAGGGTAGCGAATACGCATGGTGACACTCGTGAGAGATGCTCAAAATTATAGTGAGATCAAGGAGGGGCGGACGCAGCTGAACAGAATCTTCAGAGCTGTTCGTTCCGGTTGACGCTGCCTTCAGTTTAGGTAGGCTACGCAAGCGAGGTTGAGGTGAGAGCAGCTCCCGGCGATCGAAGTGGTCCCGGCGCCTGGCTGTGCGTCATATGTGGATTCTGGGCTTGTCAGGCTGGGGTCCTCAATATGGAGCAGTTGCGGCTACCAGATCATCACAATGAACTTTATTAGAAAGTAGTCTTGGTCAGTCGGTACGAGAGAATATATGAAATTCTATGCTAAAGTTCAATGGTCGATTGGGGGGTGGGGGATGCATCTGATATCGTGAAGTCTACCGCGATCAGCCGTTTCTGCAATCTGCCGCACTCCGCCGCCTTTTAGACTGGCGTACTCCATCCCCATCCAGAAGAACTTCCCTACAGGAGCTGTCATCTTCTCCATCAAACCACTCTCTTATTTCATCCCGAGCGACGGTTTCGGTGGTCTCTGCTGTCACCTCTAGCTCGGCCACACATTCTGATATACTTTTCGCTCAATCTGACCTACCGGTTGTCGACTCGCGGCCTGCCATTCAAATCGCGGAGAATCGAGTCTCGCCCGCCCCCATAGTCGGGGATTTGGAGCGAGCATGTCGCTCGGTCACCACGCCTGGCCTCCGGGCAATGTTCGCCCTCCGGACGAGCATCAGGATCTCCAGCGACCCGTCAATGGCTTTGTCAAAACCCTGTCAGGCTCGCGGACCCCTCAAACGCGCGGGTCCATCAGCGCCGAGGGACCCAACCCCGGCAGTATGACATCGGAACCTGATATGGCCGCGGATGAGGACCCGCGCATTGCTCAATTTCGTGAAATGTTTCGCATCAGTGAGGCGAAAATAAACGCGCTTTTCTTAGGCGGTCTTCCCAGGGAGGATGCTGTGGCCGCTGATCTAGACTTGGGCGAGCCTTCAAGCCGGACCGAACGCGTCGATGCGCCTGCGCCTCCACCCAAGGCACCCGCAAAGACCGCCCGCAAACTCGACGATGACTACGATGATTATGACGATGATGATGACGAAGAGGATACGGAAATGCGCGACGCGCCAGCTCCCCCCACCAAATCGAAGAGCAATCCTCCATCCCAAGGTACGGTCAGCGCCGCGCCCTCGGTACCACGATTTGGCAATAACGAGGGCGCCAAGGAGGTCAAGAAAGAAAGCGCAGAGGACATTCGCAAAAAGCTCGAGCAGGACAAGAAGGCTACGGAAGAAGCCGTCAAGCATAGCTTCCATACTATGTTCTATACTTTGGAAGACGATCGATACGCGATGCTGGATCAGAAAAGGCTAGAGGAATCCGAGCGTCAAGTAGAAGCCGAGATGGCGGGTCAGAACACTGGGAACAATACTGCGCCTGGCGACTCCAATGGACATGGCAGTCTAAGTCAAACCAATCTCGGTGCCTCCAGCCTGACCTTGAAGAATCTCCTGGCACGGATTGATCAAAAGCGCGACATGGTAGCGGCATCGGATGCAGAGCTTCGGAATTTGATTCGAGAGGTGCGCAAGAATCGTAGCAAATGGTACAACGAAGACCGAATCGGCCAGGAGGAGCTCTACGATGCCGCCGAGAAGGTCCTCAACGAGCTCAAAGCTATGACTGAGAATTCTGCTCCCTTTTTGAACAAAGTCAACAAGCGTGATGTGCCTGACTATCACTTGAGTAAGTCGATGATTATTTCAGCTTCGTGGAGAACTCGGTCTGATAGTCACTTTTCTCTCCCACAGTTATTCGACATCCAATGGATCTTGGAACGATGACCAAGAAGCTCAAGGCCATCACCTATAAGTCGAAGCAGGAATTTGTTGACGATATCAACCTCATCTGGGCAAACTGCCTCAAGTACAACACGGACCCCAACCATCAATTGCGAAGAAAGGCCCTGGTGATGAGGAAGGAGACCGACAAATTGGTACCCCTCATTCCAGACATTGTCATCAGAGATCGTGCTGAGGTCGAGGCTGAGGAACGTCGTGCGCAGCTCGCTGAATTGGAAGATGGTGGCGAGGAAAGTGACGACGAACCCATCATGTCGTCGCGAGGTCGCAAAGCCCCCGGCAAGAAGGCCTCTCAGAAAGGGACAGCTCCGTCTCGCAGCACCCCGAGTGGCTCGGAGGGCCCAGCGGGTACAGCTACGAGTCAGCCTGTTGGACCGGTCCGAGCTGACTCAGACACGGCTATGGAGGCAAGTCAGAATGGTCTCACTACACCACCTCATGGCTCGAATACACCTTCTGATCCAGCGGGGCCCGGCGCAGGCGCTGTCCCTAGCCAATTGGGTGATTCTATGGAGATCGATGGGCAGAACCCTGATCAGCCCGCTCTGAGTGCGCTGTCAGCGGCTGGAGGTGAATTCGAAGACCCTGAATATAAGGTGTGGAAGCAGGTCACCAAGAAGGACCGTGCTCTCATTGCCGCTGAGAGACATCGGCTGCTCAAAGGCGACAAGCTGAACCCAGATGAGCCGGCTTTGCTCAGGACAAAGGCCGGTATGCGTCGATGGCTTCGTCATGAGAAGCAAGCTGCAATCGAAGGCGAGAAGACGCAAGATGCAGGTCCCGAGGGACTTGAACCCGAAGCGACGGGCGCTTCACTCGCTGAAGGAATCGAGGTCGAGGAAGATAAGATGATTCCTTATTATTACGACGTCATGCACGGTGTACCGGACCTCCCAGCACGAACAGCGTGGAAGGAAGATGCCGACGGAAACATCATGGATACTTCCGAAGAGTATCTTCGTGTTCTTCCGCCGGGTAGCTTCACGCAACCCGACAGCAAACTGTCCCGAAAGATAGACTCCAACATGCGGCAGATGCAAGACACGCGCAAGATCTGTTCTAAAATTGGCATCGTCAAACAGATGCAGCTTCAAGCCCAGGTAAGACCTCCCTAACCTACAAACTTTTCTGTCGCTATAGAGAAGAATCGCGTGCTGACACAGTTATCTAGATGTACGCCAATCAGTTTCAAAAATATAATCCCGAGCCGTTCATCGAGCAGGATATTCCTCCTCACGTCATGAACGATGAAGGCCCTGTGATGACAACCGGCGTCTGTCGAGCTGCGCTACAGCGATCCGTCGCCAAAATCTTCTATCATGCTGGGTTCGAGGAGTATCAGCCATCAGCGATTGAGGTGGCCACGGACGTTGCCGCAGATTATTTCCACAAGCTTGGACAGACAATCAAGTCTTACATGGAAACCCCCAAAGTTCCTGTGAACGAGACCGAAGACCCTTCATCTACAACTGAGTGGAAGCGTGCATACAGCGAACCCGAGGTGGTTCTGCATACTCTTGCTGCTGTCGGAATGGATATCGAGGAACTGGAGCTTTATATCAAAGATGACGTGGAGAGGCTGGGCTCGAAGCTCACGTCTGCTCATGATCGCCTCAAGTATCTCTTCACTGAGCTTCTCCGTCCAGCTCTGACCGATGTGGGCGAAGACGGATCAAAAGCCTTTGCAGACGGCAGCGACCAGTTTGTCACGGGAACATTCGCCGACGATATCAACGACGACTTTCTCGGATTCAAGGAGCTCGGTCTGGACGTTGAATTTGGGATTGCGTTCAACAGCGTGCCACTGCACTTGCTACCGAGCCGCATGTTTAATGCTGCGCAGGCCCAAAACACAACAGCTATTCAAACAGAGGATCTGTTCCCGCCGCCTCCTCCCTATGCACGAATCACCACTGAGAATGTTGGTGAGCAGATTGGACTGGTCCAACAGTTCCTCAAGGGCAAGCTTGATGCCAATGGTGACGAACCGCTTGTCGAGGACCTGGAGCTTCCTCCCAAGCAACGACCTATGCCAGCTAAGACTCGTCTTCCCGCGTCCGGCAAGATCCCAGCCCCGACAGGTCTCTCTGGTAATACCTCGAGCCCTCAGAAGAGGCCTGCACCGCCGAATGCTCCCGTTTCCAAGATTGGTCCCGTGGAGCCCAGTAAGAAAAAGGCCAAGAAGAACAGTGGAGGTCCACTTGATATGCCAGGCTTCCCTGAAGGTGACGCCGATTCGGTGGAAGCGAGTGATCTGAAAGATCTCAATTCATCGATGGATGGCGCCGGCATGCCGGAGGGTGAGACAAGTGCTACTCAGGAAGATCCCACGACTGGACCCTTGACCAACGGTACCAGCGCCTGATGCCACGCGATGATTCTCTAAGCTACCTAACGAAGAATGTTGGTTTGTACTATTTGACACAGCGTCGCCTATGGAATTTCACTCTACAAAAATTCTCTGCCTCTTCCTCGAAAATCCCCTCCCCGTTTCCCCTTGTCAGGGCTTTCTTTTCGACTTTTCAATGAGAAATCATTCTTGTCCTTCCCAATCCCAGCGGACCACGCTATATACATGTCTCGGGGGCGTCAAACCTTTTCTTTGGAATTTGCGGTCACGCCACCAGAGATGAGGGACGGTCTTTTCTTTGAACCTTTTCTGCTCGAGCAATGATACCCAACGGCCCTAATTAATTGATCACACTCGCCAGGCATTCCATTCTGTTCTCCTGTTCCCTTCTTTTCCTTCTCCATGTACCATGAGTATGTACCACAAACCTTCTCTGCCTTGAGGCTTGGGGAAGCGTCCTGCATTGACCCCGAGAGGGTGGGTTATCGTGCGATGATCTAATTTGACCTGGATGAACTGTACGGGTCTTGCATCTTTCCAACATGTAATCTATTACAATCATTGTGGTGAGCGGCATTGAGAGAAATTCCGCTTCTAAATATCTTGAATGATAGGAATCCATTAAATTTTGAATCATCTTAATAAATCTTTTTATGAATGTCATTGGTGTAAAGTTCTTACTTTTGTGTCAGGAAGATCTATGATAAGTATTGTACAAGAAAAGATTAACGTAGATCAGACATCAGGCATCAGGCGCAAGTGATTTCTTTCCTCGCATCCTCAAGGCCGATCCCCATCTGAATCCAAGTCTATTTCCGAGAGCCAATTGACTCCATCCCATCCATCCAAGGCCTCAGCACCTCTGGTAAAACGACAACACCACGATCTGCATCCCAGCCGTTTTCCAGGATGGCCGCAATGATACGCGGCACAGCCATGGCAGTACCATTTACGGTATGTGGGAACCGCGACTCCTTGATCTCGCCGCCACGCACTCGCGTGCCGAGTCGTCGACTCTGGTAATCAGTGCAGATAGAAGCGGAAGTGACTTCTCCCCAGGCCGATTCAAGTTGCGACGCCGAGGGGTCCACGACGCTGGTAGAGTCGGCGGATGGTCTGTACCGGGAGGGGAAGAGTGCTTCGATGTCACGCTTGCGAGTGGCGCTGGCGCCGAGATCGCCGGTCGGCATTTCCAGCACGCGACAGGGTAGACCCAGGGAGGTCAGGATCTCGGTTTGAATGTCGAGGAGCTCTGCGAATAGGGTGTCGGAGGTAGGGGTGGGGGTGGAGGTGTCCTTTGCGCTTGAATCGGTGGCATCCAGAGGTAGATTGTCTGTCCAGGCGAACAATTCCACTTTGGTGAACTCGTGAACGCGGTAGAGGCCCTTGGTGTCGACGCCGCGCGAGCCTGCTTCAGCACGGTAGCAGCGGCTTACGCCGACGAGTTTGATGGGTAAGTCCGAGGCGTTGATGTCACGGCCGGCGTACATGGCTGCGAGTGGGATCTCGGCCGTACCGGTTAGGGAGCGAGGGGGTTTGGAGTCGCGGTCTCGTTCATTTTGCTCAATGGACCAGATTTGTTGCTCGTTGTGTTGATCTCGGGGCTGGAAGCCACATGCCTCGGCGATGTAGGAGTAGACAATGGAGGGAGGGGCGACGGTCTTCCAGCCGCGTCGACGGGCCACGCTCAGTGCGTATTGAATCAGAGCTTGTTCGAGCATTGCGCCCTCGTTGATGAGAAAGTACCAGCCCCATCCGGTTGTGGTCGCGGAGCTGGTGAAATCCAGCAGACCGAGCTCAGTACCGATCGTGACGTGTGATCGCGTTTGGATCTCCGTGGAAGACTGCTGCGTCCACGCCGGGGGATTGCCCTTGGGATCAAAGTTGAGGTAGTGCACAAGACGTGGGTCGTCGCCAATCGGGGTCTGCGAGGAGGACAAGTTCGGTAGAGCAAGCGCAAGTCGATTGAGTTCCTCCATGCAGTCGGCTTTCCGGACCGTCATCGCTTGCGACTCATCCTTGAGACGTTGTGCCTCTGCCTTCAACCTTTCGAGTTCTGCTCCGGTACTGGAGTTCGCGTCACTGCTTCCAGACTGTGCTTGTCGCGCCGCGATCGAGAGCTTTGCAATGGTCTTTTCGAGCTGCTTGATCTGCGAGCGCGGTGACTTGAGGTCGTGGTCGAGTGTTCGCGCCTCGTCCGCCAGTTTCTGTATCCTCGAGGGATATTCTGCATGAGCGGCGTAGTTTCGATCGATACAGTTCTGGGCGTAGATTTCGGCATGTTGGCGGATATGCTTGACATCTGGAGTGGCTTTGGGCGCGGTCGCGGGTCGTAGGATTTGCTGGTGCTGGTGCTTCCGACGGTGGGTGGTGGAGAACGGGCGCGATGGGTGCACTCGCGACCAGGTGCTCGAGGTTAAACATCTGCACTTGGAGCAGACGTAAGGGGATATGGAGAACGCCATGGTGGCGGACGGGTTGTGTTGGCAGCCACCAGAGTAGATAGGATGTCGAGGAGGACAGAGTCGGGTCAGTTGCAGGTTGAGGTACGTTGGGTGGTGCCCGTTGGAGAGAATACTGAAGGTCAATGTGAATGTATGGGTTGAGGAATTATGGAGTCGCGGTCACTGTGGAGCTCTCGGTGGTTCCGGTCTCTTTGGGGACGTTTGAAGACCCTCGCAATCATGTGGGCTGGATCTGGTAGAGATGGATGTTGAATGGTACACTCTACCTTTGTGACTCTCAGAATCGTACTATCTATCTCAAAGGGCACAGACAGCTCCCGGTTTTCTGAGGCTTGTTGAAAATTGTGGGATCAATACCGGACACAATCACATCATTGAGCTCAGGTGATTTACAAACTAAACAGTAAGCACTCTCCACCCTACTGTAGTGTGAGCATCGCCATCTCCAAGTTAATTCGACCATTGTAATTCGATCTGCCCTAGCGTACTTTACGACGGCTCATGTTCACTGGTCTTCATCATGATCATTCTCAGTGACGTCCTAGCAGCGAAATAGCGGATCAAATGGGACTAGAAAGAGGCACAGAACAATACCAGAGAGAAAGCAAAAGGAAACATCCTGTCACTTGAGCTCATTTTTCCACCTTCGAATCATTTCACTATACTTCAGACCCGCGCATCATCGTCGTCATAATCGCATGAATTTGTCACATCCGTCGTCGAAAGAACAAGTTGACTCGAGCAAGTTCAAGCATCGCCGAGTCCCAGCTTGCGCACCTTGATGCGAGCACCCACGCCCACCAGGACCAGAGCAACGGCGACGACCACAATCCAGGTCGGAATGTGGATTGCATTCACGTTAAAGCCGGTCTGGGTCGCCGCCAGGACCGTCGCAACCTCCAGCAGTAGTAGAACATATCCGGTCCAGCGATGATACTTGTAGATGCGCTTGCCGGCGTCCACACTGCCCAGGACCGTGACGGGGAAAAAGTACTGGATGACTCCCACAAGCGCCTGCAGCACCACAATGATGATGGTGATCAGACCGAGGATGCCGTGAGGGGAGGTGAAGTGGGGATGAGAGCCCTTGTTCAGCTCGATGACGATAAAGGCGGCCACAAAACACAAGACACTGAGAAGTTGGAGGATGTAATGGATGCGAGTGCCTTGTTGTTTCTGGGAGGAAGTCGCCGTAGGTTGAAGAATGAGTGCTGCCTGGACCTGCAGGAGAAGAGCGGAGCTGGCCAAGAGCTGGGGAGGGAAGAAAAGATAAGCGATGGTCAGGGACAGAAAGACTCGACTCAGATGGGAGAGTTTTATGGAAGGATTGCGTAGGGGAAGCCCTAAGGGAGTTTTTTTATGCTGGGTGTTCCATGCCTCCAGTCTTGAATTGTCTGACTGAAAGGGATGTGCAGAATGGTTCACTTACCGGATGGCCTGTAAAGAGCATCCATGGGATTGACAAGACGTTATACCAGACGAGAATGGCCAGCTATGAGAGGGGTATTAGCACGTATCTGCAGATGAGAGGCAGTTGATGGTTTGAATGCCTCCTCAAGGCGAGTGGTCGATGTTGATCAACAAGACTTACCACCCAAATGCCAATCTGCGCAACACTCGCAGTACCTAAAGACTCCGTTAGTCACGCCGTGCCGTGAGACAAACTTCCACCTTCTCTCCCGCTTGCGCTCTTCTCTCGCACACACACCATCACGGGTTGGCTGAATCTCAACTTTCAGCCTTGGACAAGCACTCACCGCTGATCAAATTCCACGCAATATTGGAGTCTGCTTGTTCCGGACTCGTCTGTGAGCCCGAGTTGAGCAATGGCTCTTGCTCGCGAGCATCTGGTGCGACCGACGACATGACGCTGAGTAGATGGCCCAAATTGACAGTTCTATTTGGGAAGAAGTACTGCAGCGATGGTCAATCCTTCAAGATCGTTGATATGTTTTGCTCGAGCAGGCGAAGAATGATCCCACTGCTGAATAATGCCACTGTCACGTCATGGCCGCCCCGCAACTCTCCACACAAGCTTGGACCTTGTGGATCGATCGATCGGATCTGAGGCGGATGAGAACGAGGACCAAGGATCGAACACTACGACTTCTCCCCTCCGATGACAAAAAAGACGAGGGAGGAAATCAGTGCGTAGTCCCAATCCCTGCAAGTGTGGGCTACTGTGAGATCTGCAGTCACCGCAATCGCGACAAAGCCTCGATCCAAAGCTGATCACAGGACAGACGCAGACGGAGGACGCGTGGGACGAAGTTCTTCGATCATCCTCATCGCCATCGTCACCATACACCTATAATCGTGACTGGCATGCAGCGTACCGCCGTCCGAGAAGACTCATTAGCAGAGTCAATCTCGAGTGCAAGCACCAATCCGCCGGTCACCAGGGCGCATCCAATCTCGTTTACTGCACAGACTCCTGCGGTTCATCTGCAGCTGGTCCGCATACGCAGATCGATCGTGCGCACGTACCTTGATTCGCACTCGGACCACGATAATGGTATCTATCGTCTTGGACAAATATGAGGAACCACTGGGCTAGGGAAGATTGGTGCATATTCACCGGCCAATAGTCAGCGATAGGTGCCTCCAAGACTAGTCCTGTGAGTCTGTGACGATTGTTTTACTTTGATCGTTATGCTGTAAACCCGATAGACAGATCTTCTGCGGGAGTCCTTCGGGAGTCCGAAAGCTACTGATCCACAGTTCCTCGCTCGTAGCCATTGCAGGTGGTCGTTCCTTGAATTGTCAGCGGTAATCCCAACAATCAAATCCCGAAATAGGATCTTACTACTCTCAGCTGGGCACCTATCGAAGACTCTTGAACTCTTCATGGCCGTGAATGCCTTGATTTTTTTTGACCGGAATAAGTTGCCGTTCAACTAATCACATGAGGCTGACGGATAGATAAGGTGGCGATGATCTGATCAGATAATCTATGCACAGGCCACAGGCCACAGGTACCAGGGTACAGTCCCCTACAGGTGGTACTGCAGGTGTAGTAGTTACTGATTTCGAGAGCGCTCTCTTTATTGAAGACAGAGGGTTTGATGTTACCCTAGCGAGTTTCCTCGCTCTTTTGAAGGGCCTGATGCAAACGTGGTGTCGGAGAAGAGTTCGCTCACCACCAGGGATGGCAGTGCGACATTGGAAATCTCACACTGTCCGAGGCCGAACATGACTCAGTTTCTTCCCTCTTCTACAGTACATGTAGAAGAAACACAAACGCCAGCAAACAGTATCTGTTGAAGCTACTGTGCCAGTGGACGTCCTTCGTTTGTGTACAAACCCGAACCTGGAGATCGCAAAGTCACCCTAGCTCAAATAACCTATCGTTGATTGTGCTCATGAGTTGGGTCGCAACCCCTTCGCCGGCCATAGGGGCGAGTCATGAAAAAACGAACACCAAGAAAAACAAATTGAGAGACCTAGAAAGTCTATAGGCACAGGAAGCAGCACGAGATCTGAACGGGTTGGGGAGAGGAAGAAGGGAAAACCTGCCTACGCAGGGGAAAACCTCCAAACCTCTTAATACTAGGCGATAGCTGGTCCTGATCACACACCACTCAGCACCAAGGGAGGAAACTCCATCATACCCCCCCCAGGACTAGCTATATAACTAACTAATTTTTTTTTAATATATATCTTTGCACGCAGTATAAATAAGAACGCCTAAGTATAATATCTAAGTTATTTTGGTAGACGTATTCTAAGTAATCTTTCACGATCGGCTTAGAATACGCTGTTCGGTTTAATTTTCGTGAAGATATTAGTAGCGTTATTTTTGCTCGGAATATTCACTAATTAAATAAGGTTCTTCTTTATAAGATCCTTAATTAAATAGTATCTTATAGAGATCTATATTAATTTCGGACTGATCTTAGGATAGTTTATATTCTTAATTATATTATCGGAATCACAAAATAACGTAATTAGTGTATTATTTTCGAAGTCCCCTTCTTGATTTAAAGGTTCTATTAAGTATAATTTAGTAGTAATTTTAGCTAGGTATAAGCCTTCCTTTATAGCGGTCGCTAATATATAATATTTAGCTATACTTAAGGATTATATAATAACTTCCTATCTTTTTAAGCTCTATAATATTAGACTTCTAGCGAAAAACCATATATATACCTCTGTTAATTTATCCTTCTTAGTATTAGTAAAAGAGGAATTAATAAAACCTTTAAGGCCTTTATTCGGTTTATAAGTAAAAGGGATTCTAAAGTCGATTATTCCTACGAAATACCTTAGTAGCGTTTTATAGGCTATTATATCTATATATCTCGGAGAGTTATTTCGTTATTATAATTTAGATATAGCGGCTACTATATTAGGTCTTATTTTAATCGATAACTAACCTACTCTTCTTATTATCTTTATATAAATCCCTTTATCGAATCCCTTATTATTTAGATTATTAGGATTATTATTAGGTTAAGGGATTTTCTAAGATAGGGATATTAGAATTAGTAATAGATTATAATTTTCGAGACCCTTATTATAAAGTAATTTAGTTAAATAGGCCTATTAATTTATAAAAATTATATAAGAACCTTTTTCTTTAATAATATTATATCTAAGAAACCGTTTAAATAGAAGGGTTTTTAACTTATATCTCTTAATTAATCCCGAACGAATTATTATAATATTTTTACTTAATCCTATCGCTAGAATATTATCTATATAAATTATAATAAAGGCTATTATATTAGAATTTTAGAAAATATAAGGTTCTAAGATTAAGGGAGTTAAGCTAAGTTAAGCTAGATTATTTTTAAAAAGTTTATACTATAAGTAACTAGCTTATCGTAGACTATATAAGGCTTAGTTTAAAATATATAAGTATTCCTCGCTATTTAGACTATAACTTTTATACCCTATTAGTTATTTTATAAAAATAACCCGGTTATTAATTATAGCGTTAAGATATACGCCGACGATATCCTATTATTCTATTTCCTATTTTCTAATAGTTACTAAGATTATAAATAATTTCATAGAAGTATCTTTCGTAATAGGAGTATATCTTTTATTAGGTTAGAAATCGATACTAGGAGTTTAGTAGTTCCTATAGATAACCTATCTCGCTCGAAATTCTAAGATAAAGCTATTAGAGTTATATTTAATATTATAGACCTATTTCTCTAGTAAGATTTTAGTATCTTTTAATAGTTTATTAATTAGGGTTATTATATTCGAGGCTTAAAACTTTTTTAACTAGGTCTTCTTAGCTTCGAACTATTATATAGTAAATTCTATTTTTATAGCTTTCCTATAGATTAAGGATATTTTTACTATTATAGATCGAATATTCTTAGATATAGTATATAAAATACTAGGCCTAATAAAGTTATCCGGTATTAAGGTAGTATAAAGAATACCTTTCCTAGTTTAAATTATAAGATATACTAAACCCTTATCCTTAGTTTCCTCGACTAGGCGTATTCTTCCTTTTTATATATAATAGACTATACCCTTATCTAGGATTCTTAGGATAGATTATCTTAAAGAATAGTATATAGGTAAAGTAGATCTTCGAACTATTCTGATCTAGTTAGTATAAAAAGTTAGTTGATTTATTAATATATTAATTAGGTTAATCGAGGAATAACGGGAATTTTATATATCTCGAATCCGATTTTTTGAGATTTATAGTAGTTCTATATCTTAATAAGCCGGTTAAGATAGTATATTTTTATAGGCCTTTTTTACTTTATTTATATTAATAGTCTTAGGGGTTAGTAGAAATATACTAGGAATTTTTTTAATACTTTAGATTAGAATATCGTATTATAAATAACTAATTTCCGAAGTTTATAAAGTTATTTATCGAGGTCTTTCGATCGTATTAATTAATATTATTAAGTTAGTCGAACCCCTTTTATATAGAATTTTTAGTGATTTATAGCGGTTATTTTAAGTTAACTAAGGGTAAAAGTTAATATAAGAGATATTACTAAAATTATTAAACTATTAACTTATAATATTTTAGTTATCCTATTTTATAAAAGAATTTATTTCCTAGGTCGTATTTATATTTTCTATATTTTAGGGTTATTTATATTATAGAGTATCTTAGCCTCTTTTCCTTAGTTAGATTAGAATAATTTTATTACTTTAGCTTAGTAGTAAAATTAGTATATTTTATAAAATTTAGCGTTATATCGGTTAGACTTATAGAATTAGGAGATTTTAGACCTTTATAACCGGGGATATTTAGCGTCTATAGGTAGGCCGAGTAGTTTAGGTAGGTTCGTCCTAAAATATTCCTATATTATATAGTTATAAGCTTTAGTTAATAATTCGTAAGTTATTAAGTTCTTTTTATAAAATATTTAACCTAATATTCTAGTTAATATTAATATTTTATTTTAGAAAATAGTAATTTATCGATAGTTCTTCCTAAAATATAATATCTCGATAGGTAGAAACTTAGTGTGTTTTCGGGTTATAGATTCTAAATTAATAGCCGTTCTCCTCTTTATAACTAATAAGAAAACTAATCTAGGCTCTCGGGGCTATTTTCTAGCTTTAGGTCCTTTTTTCTTTTAGGATATAGATATAGGCTTTAGAGTACTAAACCCTAAGAAAGCCTAAGTTAATCGGTTTAATCTATCTTATTCTATTCTTTTTATACTAAAAGTTATTCTATTTTTCTAAAGGTAATTTTAATTTATTTAGTCTTTTAATTCTATTTAAAATATAACTAGTTATAAGAACGGCTTTAGGCTATAAGAATATAGGAGTATTTAGTATCGTAACTATTAGAGTTCTTGTACCCTATATAATAATATAACTAGAGTTTTTAGAGACCCTATTTTATTTATATATATAAGGTACGCTAACTAAAAATATTATTCCTTTCTGTTCGGCCTAAGATTAAAATTTATAGAAGCTCCGGTTACTATCTATTCGAATTTCTATCGGCTAAATACTATATTTATTAAAAATAGTCGTATAGAATTTAATTAACTTATTAGATACTTATCCTTTTATTTTTAATAGTAAGCTCTATCTAAATCTAGTAGTATTATTAACTATAATTAAGATATTTATTAAGTTTCTGATATCTATAGGAGAGTAGGACTAGATATCGATATATAAAAATTCCTAAGGGATTTCTGATTTAACCTAGGTTATATAGGATATAATTCTCTTAGATTTTACTAATCTATATAGTTTATAATCGAAGGTTTTATTACTATAGATATTATTACTAATACGAGTCTAGTTAATTTTCGTAGTTAGTTACCTAATATAACTAAGTCGGGAATAAGTAATTTAAGATATAATAGTAGCTATCGCGTAGGCCTATTAAACTTAAGTTATTTTTAGGATCTAGTCGGTAGGTTAGAGTATTCTTATATATAAGAATAGGATACTACGTTTCCGATAGGTATAAGCTAAAGTAGTATTAGATTCTAGGTCGATAAATTTATTTTCCTAGTCTTTCTAATCTATTTTATATTCCTAGAATATTTAAGTTATTAATAATAGGTTATATACGCTATCTAGTATAAATTTATAGTTAATATCTAATAATTTTAAACTATTTAGGAAAAGTAATTTAATTCTTATAATTACTTTTCCTATAGACTTAATAGTTCGTCCTTTAGTAGTTTAGTATTAGTAAGATATATTATTATACTATTAAAATTTTATAATAGTATTTATATTAATATAAATAGATCGAGAAGTACCGGAATCTATAATCTATTTGTTTTTTAGTAGATCTCCTATTACTAATACTAATTTCGGAAAGGTATCCTTACGAGATTTATTATAGTATAATTTTAGGCGAGCTAAAAAATTATACTCTATATTTTAAATAGAATGAATAGGGTTAATTTAGGTAGTATTAGCTAAGGCTAGGGTACTATAGTAATATTCTAAAGAGTTAACGAAATATTCGAAGGAGTTAATAGTAGTATTTATATTAATATCCTTCTTACTTTTATTTAAAAAGGTATTAGTCGAAAGTATGTTAGTCGTTACGTTTATTATTTTATTTATTAATATAGTTTTAATAGTAGTAATTCTATCTTTCCGAATTTTGTTATTATAAATAGTCGATACGTTCTCGGGTCTTAGAGTATCTAGGTTATTTTTATTTTTCTAGGGATAATTAACCTAAATATCTTTAACTAGTTTCTAGGTTATAGGTCGTTCGGTAATAATAAGATATAGATATTTCTTTACCGGATAACTATAGATTCTATAAAATACGTAATTTCTATTTAGTATTAGTTAAGTAGGACTATCTATCTACTCTTTTATCTAAATCTAAATTAGTTTTCTATATAGTAGTACGTTTTTAAGAGGTAGGTATTTACTCTCCTTATTATTCTTATTATTCTTTTTCGAAATAGCTAAATTAATAATATCTAATATAGATAGATTTTTGAAATCGTTAATAATCTTATTAAAAATACTTAGTAGATTAGAGTTTATAATCTTACTCGGATTTAAGTACTTTTTGGCTAGTTTATTACTTTTATTAGTAGTAAGGATAGGTATATTAGTTAATACGCCTTTTAAAAAGATAGCTAAAATAACTCTAGGTTAGACTAGGTATTTTTAAGAGAGTTTAGTGTAAGATCGTCGTAATTCTTTAGCGAATTCTAAGCTAGATAAGAACTAGGACCGGTCTATTTAAATAAGCTTAATAATTTTCTTATTATAAGTTATAAAATTAGCTATATATAGGATATCCTTTAAAGTACTAATAAATTTATCCGTAAATTCGTATAATTTTCTAGAAACCGTAACTTAATCTTAAATATCCTAAGAAATAGTACTCTATAACTATCCTTAGATTCTATAGGAGTAATCGAACTATTTCTTCGTATATAGGTTCTTAGTATTAGGTCTTAGGATATTTACGTCTAGGAATCTATAAAGTTATATTTATCGTAAGGTAATAGTCGTAGTTAAAAGCTACTCGTTAAATTATTTAGTATTTATTAAAACCTTTAAGTTATTTAGCGTAAACTCTTTCGGAGTATTAGTAACTTAGGTTATAATACTATTTTACGGTATAGTAGCCGGATTAATAAAGTTACTATAGTCTACTAAGTAAACTACTATTTTTGCGATAAGGATTTAAGGATTCGATAATTTAAGAAAAGGAAGTTTTTATTATAAAGGATTTAGTCGTAAGTAAGACTTTAGTAGGTATTATTAAATTAAGCCCTTATTAATAAGGGTTCTTAAGTATAAAGGTAAATAATTTAGCTTATAATCCTATAACATAGTTTTTATAGGACTATATATAAATATAATAAGCGTGATCCTATAATATAGTTTTTATAGGACTACGTAGATATAATTTACGTGACCCCTTAGCGTGTCTACATAAATAAATTTCTAAATAATTCCGCCTAAACGTTCGAAGACGTTAAATCTTAAGCAGAACTAATATAATCAGAGCGTTATAAGCTATAATATTCCCGCTCGAAGGAATATAGGGTATCAAAATAAATTAAGAAAACGATCTTAAATACTAAGACAGTCGGGCTTATAACCTAAGAGACCTAGAAAGTCTATAGGTATAGGAAACAGCACGAGATCTGAACGGGTTGGGGAGAGGAAGAAGGGAAAACCTACCTACGTAGGGGAAAACCTCTAAACCTCTCAATACTAGGCGACAGCTGGTCCTGATCACACACTACTCAGCACCGAGGGAGGAAACTCTATCACAAATAATTCATGTCGGGGCTGTGGTGGATAAACGTCTTCAAGTAAGTCACATGTGTTTCCCCTCATAACTCCGCCGGAGAGTTGACCGATACCCACCGGCGGATGTCCTTCCCCCGCTTATCTCCAACTTTGTACGGAGTTCGGACCGAGGGTGAAAACCGAATCGATATACCAGTGATCATGTCCTGGGCAGGGTTGGGAGAGGATGACTTCATGGCTCGATGCCTGTTTGGCTATCCGCTTGAACTTTGAAGGAGGACGAGAGACTTGATCCAGTCACTCACTTTGAGGTCTTCTCGTTCGACTGTATGTACTTGGAGGAACATAATCGTACATACACCCATTGGCATGAGCCACATCATGCCTGCGACACAGTTATCCAGAATCACCCTGAGGGGAACTCCTCGCGAGGTATGCGGAGAGATTTGATGACATTCCCGCGCCCCATTGACATACTTCAATGAGAAATCAGTCCACGCAACAGCGCAAAGACCATACATCCCCAGATCACATATAGCAGCATCAGTCTTTTTCCCGTCCTTCGAGTGCGGAAGGCTAATGATTCTAATATAGATTGGCCTCGCTCATGGTGAAAATCTCAAACCCCAGATCCTCCGCCAACTGCACATCTACAAGAGCATGTTTGAATATACCTCCCGACTTTCTTGGTCACAAGTCCTGAAAGTAGCCGCCGAGTTTCAGTCCACCATACAAAAGCTCACGCCCGAGATTCATACCGAAATGATGGGCATCGCTGAAGGTGCTGGAGTACAGGCCCTCGAGATCGTGGCGCTGAATTGCCGAAGTGAAATCGCACTGGGCAAATTTTCGGATGGATGTACCTCGCTCTCGTGGAGGAAACATGACCATGCCCGGGTTCTGGCTCAGAATTGGGATTGGACAGCGAGCGTTGGGGAGAATCTTGCCATGGTTTCGATTGAGCAAAGTGGTAAGCCAACCATCTATATGGTGACCGAGGTATGAAGCCAATCAACAGGGTCTTCTCGTTTCATGACGAAGGGCAAAGTTCATCATCTTTGATTCCCCAACTATCGATCACCGCTGCCATGCTAACAGAGACTTTCATTGCAGGCAGGAATAGTAGGGAAAATCGGCTTCAATTCCGCCGCAGTAGGCACATGTCTAAACGCCATACGCGCAAGACCCATGGACCCCAGCAAACTCCCAATTCACGTCGCCCTGAGACTCTGTCTCGAGAGTCCCTCCGTCGCCGACGCCGTGAAAACACTACAAGACCTCGGCGGAGTCGCCTCAGCACAGCACATTCTAATTGCCGATTCCACATCCGCTCTCGGCCTGGAACTATCGCCCGTGGGCAACAAGTACCTTCCCGAGAACCCCTCGGGTCTGATAGGCCATACGAATCATTTCCTGGAGAACCGATACGTGGACGAACCTCCCTGGCTGTCTGATTCTCCTATTCGACTTTGGCGATTGAATGAGCTCACTGGGGAGTTGATTGCGTCAGGAGTCCATGGAGATGATATTGTGCCCGCGCTGCTGCGAAGGAAGGTCTTTTCTGATACGTTCAATGCTCCGCAGGCGATAGCGTGCCAGGAGGATGAATCGCGGCATGAAATCATAAGGAGTAGTACTCTGTTCAATATTGTCATGGATCTAGACCGGGGTAACCCGCGAGCTGAAATTTCCTTGGGTCGTCCTGGCTCGGATGACGAGGGTCCAATTATGACGATGCCTTGGTAAATTGTGGTCGTTTTTTTGATCATTCTATCTGCATCCTGATTACATATACGTAAGCTCTCAATCGATAGAAATGGAATTGAGAACCATGGGCTTGTGTCTCTGAAATCATGTACATGAATCAAAAGAGGCGTGCAAACTGCTGAGTGCTCTGACAAAGCCTAGGAAGTCTTTTCATCTACCGTCCTGTCTCTTCTGATCTGGGATCCATTGAGGTAGCAGAAACGACTCTTTCATAGGAATCTTACGCCTTGATCTAGCATGCAGATGACATTAGTCGTGAACCTCCGGGCCCTTTTCGGCCATCAATCTGGACAGATTCTGTCACAAATTCAAGAATTGGTGATACTTGAAAGCCTGAGATTTACCAATCTGCAGATGCCTCTATTCTTGTTGAATCAAATGCTTAAACAGCTTGTCCAAGTAAAACGCAGACTGTTTCGGATATCGAGTCTTTTTTTCGGATTCAAAATCGATGAATGTGCACCCAAATCGGTCCGAGTATCCGGCAGCCCATTCTGCAAAGTTGCCACAGAAGAGTCAGCTTCTGCTGTGTACGACTTGATCGGGAAACAGTAAAACTCACCCCAATTGTCGGTGAACGTCCATGCAAAATAAGACCGAATGTCCACACCGTCTTCTTTGACAGCTCGAGCAAGTGCCTGACCCACGTAGCCTTCGAAAAACTTGATGCGGAAGGTATCATTGAGCACCTCAGGTGTCGGTGCCACTTCTCCCTTGGCGGTGGTTCCATTTTCAGTGACATAGATGGGCATCTGATAACGTTTCCAGATCCAATTCAAAAGTTTACGGAATCCCGTCGGCGCGGCCCGAAGCCAAGGCGTGTCAGACTCTTCGCCGCGGGGAATACCTTGTTTGTTCTCGTCGAGACTTTCGATATTTCCCTTGTGGTCATTGATGTCGGGTGGTGTTGTCTTGTGCTTGACAAAGAAAGTCGTGTAGCTATTCATGCCGTAGAACTCCGAGCTGCCTAGCACGAGCCTGCTTTCTTCGGGCGTGAAGCGGGGCAAGCGATCCCCCAGCTGCGCTCGCATCGACGCGGGGTAATCCCCCGTTTTATAGAGGGGGTCGGCAAACCAGGCGATTTCAAATTCGCGCGCTCGTTCTGCCGCTTCCTGATCAAGAGGATCTTCTTCATCCCATGGCTCCGACCAGTTGCCATGCAGGGTGATTCCGATGGTCCCTTTTTGTTGCGGTTGAAACTCCTCGCGGTACAGTCGCGATGCATGACCATGCGAGACCAGCTCCGTGTGAGCCACAATGAATGGTTCGGTGGAGGAGTCGCCTTCGGCATTGCGTTCTCGAAAAGATGACCGACCTGGAGCATGAACGCCCGCAGCATAACCGGCCAGTGTATACACACCAGGCTCATTGTAAGTGATCCAGTGCTTGACGCGGTCACCAAACCGTTCGAAGCACACTCGGGCATATCGTACAAAGTCCCGCGTAAAGAGCTCCTGATCAAGCATGCCACCATACCGGTCTTCAAGCGCCTGGGGCGTGTCCCAGTGGAACAGGGTGACAAAAGGTGTGATGCCGTGACGGAGAAGCTCGTCGATCAAATTCGAATAGAACTCAACACCCTGTTCATTTACTGGATCGTCGTGACCGCCGAGCGGAATGATCCGTGACCAGGCCAGAGAGAATCGATAGGCATTCACACCGTATGACTTCATCAGAGCCACGTCTTCACGGTAAAAGTCATATGCTCGCGTTGCGTCATCCGCTGTACTTCCATCGGAGACCTTACCGGGAGTATGGCCGAAAGTGTCCCAGATGGAGAGTCCCTTTCCATCTTGATTCCATGCGCCTTCGATTTGGGCAGCGGCTGTTGCATAGCCATGAAAGAAATCAGGACGGAGAGTGCCTTTGAGATCTTCAACTGCTTTCAGGTTCATCTTGCAGAAGCTGGGTCTGACAGAGGGTTCAAGGCTCAACTGGGTCCTGAGATATTCTTTCTATTTACTCAAAGTCCCCCCTGGTCGAACAGAAGCTGCGTGGTATAGATTGGTAGCCGAGGATTGATGATGGACACAATCGATATGTCGGCGGTTCAAAGAGGAGAAACTGGAGACAGTCGAGTCGGAGCTGTTTATTGTCCTATTATGGGTCATTGGTGGAAATACCCTATTTACCCGCAAAAGCTGGGTTGGTCAACAAAAGACGGAGCTTGCATCCGCGGTCTTTGCGGCATCCAGTGAGCCGGTTTAAGAACACAGTCCCTTAGATCCAATTAGCCAGGAGCGAAAGCGGTCCGTTCAAGCAAAGCTCGTCTTACTGAGAACCACATTCAAGATAAATTACCCGTCAGCTGAGTCGTGCACAACATAGCTAACTGCGTTGCGGCTTTTGCAACTCTCAGAGATGTGCCCGGTCATTAGCGGGAGACGACAGAGCGCACTGCAACTATCGCGGGTAGTATTTTAGAGCTATACTCACTGAGAACTCATCATCCGGCCCTGAATGAGAGCAGAGTTTGCAAATGCCCTCGAGAACTGGAACGGTGGAAATAGCCTACGCGAAAAAGAAAAGCGGGCTCTAAATTGCTCTCTGTCTGTCATTTTCCCGTGTGCTCGGGCAGTCGCCCGACTCAAGACTCACACATCTCATTCAGTAAAATGTGCTGCCCTGGACTCATAATTTGAAACGACTTTGTCCCGGTCTGATGTGGACACAGTACAGTAACTTCAAGACCAGGGCCAGGTTGATTGATAGACAAGGAGTAGACTAAACCATCCCGCCAGCTGAACGCCAATTCTGCTCCGCCGCGAGCCCGGACCCCTCGAAGAGAGCCATTCCAGCTTCTAGGGCAAGCTGGGAGAAGACGAATTACCCCTCGCTCGTGTGATTGAATCAGCATCTCGATGATGCCAGCACCACCGCCAAAATTGCCATCTATCTGGAATGGTGGATGGTTGTCGAGAAGATTCGGGAGAGTGGACTGTGAAAGCAGCAAGTCCAGATGACGTTCAGCTTCGTCCACCTCGTGAAGACGAGCATGCAGATTGATGAGCCATGCCCTGCTCCATCCCGTGTGTCCGCCGCCGTTTTCGGCTCGTCGAGTCAGCACTGCTTTACAGGCTTGAGCTAGGTCAGGGTCGCGCTCGGGTAGAATCGTGCTGCCTGGATACAATGCCCACAGATGCGAAGTATGGCGATGTCCGGGCTCAACCTCGCCATAGTCAATTGCCCACTCTTGCAGATATCCATTTAGGCTGATCTTCATTGGTGGCAGTCGAGCTTTGGCTTTGCGAGCTATCGGTACCATTGGATCGGAGAGGTTCAGAACTTTGACACAGGACTCAAATGCACTGAGTAAAGCATCGACAATCTGAATGTCGACTGTGGATCCTTCACATAAGACGCCTTTCTGGCCATTGCGGTAAAGGAATGAGTTCTCAGGCGAGACAGACGGGTTGGTGACGAGAAATGTCCCTGAAGCGTCTTCAATCAGAAAGTCCAGTATGAATTCCACGCAGCCTCTCAAGACTGGAAACATTTTCTTGAGGAACGTGAGATCTTGTGTGAACAAGAAGTGCTCCCAAATGTGGTATGAGAGCCAAGCCCCTCCGAGAGGCCAGACGGTTGCCGGCATCCATCGATCAACAGGATCGGTATCAGCCCAGATGTCAGTACAAGAATGAGATGTCCATCCTCTGCAACCATACATGAGCTTGGCGGTGCGTTTACCTGACTCAGACATTCGCTCAAGCAACTCAAAGAGAGGCCGCTCGCATTCCGCAAGGTTGCAAACGCTGGACGACCAATAGTTCATTTGCAGATTGACATTAATGGTGAACTTGGAGCCCCATGCCGGGTGAAATGAAGGATTCCAGATGCCTTGCAGATTCGCTGGTAGCGACTTCTCTCCATCACGACTGGAGGAGATGAGCAAATATCGACTATAATTGTGGTACGTCGCTACCAAGCTGGTATCTCGTGCTCCGTTTGTCAATTTTTGCTGTGTGGGGAGATCAGGTAGATTTGACGCCAGTTGTAGACTCATGCGGTGGTACAGAGACTGATAGTCCTTAACGTGCCGATCCCAGAGCTGGCTAGCATCATATTCGGCAGCCTTCTGCAGATCATGAACCGCTGCACCCTCAGGGTCTGTGTGACGGAATTTCGTCTGTGCAGTAACAAAGATCAGGGCTTCTGAACCCTTGATGATGAGATTGTTCCCAATGCTTGTCACTGAGCCGTCGGGACAAGGCTGAACGTGAACCACGCAACAACCGCTACTGCTGTTTCGGCCCCCAGGGGTAAATCGCATTCTGATAGAACTCTCCGAGATATTCAGGTCGTCCAAGTACTCATTTGTTTCAAACTCCAGCTCGCTGAATCGTGTCAGACGCAAGACATATTCCATGTCCCGCGGACCACAAACCTTGACTGCCATGGCATTATCAGGATAGCTCGCTATCGCTTCTCTACGATAAATGGCTCCTCCAAACTCGTAGGTCACATTGACGGAAGCTCTCTCAAGATCCAGCTCACGACGGTAATTCGAAACTTGGTCGAGCGGGTGCCCGAAATCCATGAAAAGAGTACCCAAGGGCTCGTAATGCCGTTGACTGATTGGGTTGGCAAAGAACGCGAGTTTTGCGATCCTTTCGGCCTCCACATGGTTTTCCTCTCGAATGGCCTTGCGCAACTCCGGAAGAAATCTCAAAGCATCGCGAGGTGTCCTATTTTGAGGTCCGCCATACCATACTGAATCTTCATTGAGCGCAAGAAGTTCGTGGTCGGTGCGGCCGTAGATCATCGCGCCAAGGCGTCCGTTCCCAATGGGAAGCGCCTCATTCCAGTCGCTTGCGGGCTGAGTGTACCATAGTTTATCACTCATGTTGCCATGTGCTCATCGGACTGAAATGTCAAGAATCAGTTAGTCTCTCTTTGATATGCTGAATCTGCTAGAATCTTGAGAAATTCACCCAGCTGTTGAACAGTCACTCGCTCAAATGTCAAGAACGCAACTGAGCTCGCGCGTAGCTCATCCAGGGGGTGTCGGCTGTTTTGGAGGTTTCCAGCAGAAAGCTGAATGTGGCATCTGAAGACAAGCATATCTGATGACCATCACGATTGATCGGGTATATAGCGGGTAATTGAGGTCCGAAGCTGGCTGGGAAGGTAATGTGGCGTCGAACCATATGCAGAAGCGAGAGGGGCTCGTGTCACGGGGTAAACAGTTACCCCAGATTTGCATGAGGCGCCAGGCAGATTGCTTTCTCGCATAACCTTGTCAGTTGACCCCGCAAAGACGTATTGGAACCAGATTAGCTCGAAAGCGCTGGGCGGCTGCGCGTCCTGCATACCTTCCTTTCTCGTGACTGGTGGAGAAACTGCACGGGGACGTCTTAGCCAGGCGCTTTGAAAGTGTCAGTTCTTCGAAAGTTGGGCCCAGTCGGGTTCATGAGGGGGTCGCATCTTCGCCTTCAATTGACACTCCCAACATAGGTTCCGTGTTCGGTCAAGCTTTAAGTTCCGCGACTTGACATAGGAAGTCCCAGGTTGCGGATAATTCCTAGACCTCAAGAATGTGTTTCTCCCGTCCAGATGTTCCAGATCCGCCACCAGGCTCAGGCGGTTCCCAATTCGAGATCGCAAGTTTACATCCCCGTGGCGGATTGAGCTTGACCGAGATGTCACAAGACCATGCAAAATACTATTGTTCAGTTTGATTTCAATCTCGAGATGAGATTGACAGCAAAAGCGAGGTTTAAAAGGATGCCCTTGACCTGACTCCTGCGCCCTTGCCCCTTGCTTTCTGCCTTCGTGATCAATCTATCCTTACCATTGACGAACAGAATCGACACCGAGAAAAGTCACCACGACATTGCCTTACGATCAGTCGGTTGACAGGCCTATCTGTGAGGCGTCATGGCGAAACAAGGCTCCTTGGGCCTCACTGAGGCCGAAATCCTCAAAGAAAAAGGCGAGGACCATGTGGAAGAAGTTGTCCTCGCACGTCTGACAGAAGAAGATCTATGGAAACTATCTGAGGAATCATTGACTGTATGGTCCTGGACCGGGGTTCGCTTATGTCTCATCATGTTTGTGCACGGCTGCAATCAAGCCGGGTTCGGCATCGACTGGGGTGTGATCAGCGGCATCAATGCTCTACCAGCATGGCACAACTATTTCGGCTTCGACACGAGCGGAAGCACATATGGCTTGATTAACGCCCTGATGAGCATTGGTACTGTCTGCGGCGCGCCTTTCATGGGATTCGCGGATGTCATTGGGCGTCGCGGGATCAACTTCACGGGAAATGCAATCGTGATCTTCGCCGCCATTCTCCAAGGATGTGCACCGAACCTACCAGCTTTTATGGCGGGTCGGTTCTTCATGGGATTTGGCACGTCGTTGATGTCCAGCTCTCAGTACATTGGAGAAATCGCCCCCATTCATCTTCGAGGTCGGATGGTTGGCTTCTTCGGCGCTTGTTTCCAAGTAGGCAGTCTGGGTTGCCTGGGTGCCATGATTGGGTTGTCCAACTTGTCCGGGAACAACGGCTGGCGTGTGCCTCTGATCCTCGAAGCTCTTTTCCCAACAATTGTCTGCTCGACGATCTACTTCCTGACTCCCGAGTCCCCGCGGTATCACGTCATGAGAGGTAATCGTCAAAAGGCAAAAGAGATCGTGGCCAAGTACCACACAACCAGCACCGATATCAACGAGCCAGTCGTGGAGATCATCGTCTCGCAAATGGAAGAATCACTGGAAAATGACCGTACAGGTTTCCGAGACTTCTGGGATTATCGTGTCTTTTTCACCAAAATGGCTCGATATCGGCTTCTGGTGCTGACGCTGTACTCCCTGTTCCAGCAGTGGTCGGGGGGCTCAATTATTACCTACTATGTGAGTAGGAGACGATGAAGAGACAGGTCTACCATTACCTATCAAGGTCGGAGACTGTGTGCAATGCTGACTGCCCCTTTTTTCTACGTAGATGGTCGACGCATTGAAGACGGTTGGCATCACTGGAAGCAAGCAACAACTTGGGATTTCCATAGGCACAACAGCAGTCTATTTTGTCTTCACCGCTGTCGGATCTTTCTTGGTCGACAAGGTTCGCAGACGTACCCTCATTTTCACAGGCTTGATCAGCATGATCGTCTTCCAGACTGCAACAACAATTACTTCATGGCAGTACAGTATGCACGCTACCAATGCCGCTGCTGCACTAACCCTTCTCTGGATTTTCCTTTTCCAGACGTTCAGTGCCACATTCGTCGCGACTATGCACAATTTGTACCCTGTTGAAATCCTCTCGTTGAGTCTCCGTGCCCGAGGCATGGGTCTCTACAGTCTGATTCAGGGTGCAGCCAGCGCTGTGCAGACCTATGGAATAAGTGTCGGCATTGCCAAAGTAGGATATAAGATTTGGGTCGTCTTTATCGTCTACAACACAGCGCAGCTCATCCTCTCGTACTTCATCTTCCCCGAGACAGGCGGGCTGAGCTTGGAGGAAATTGATACGGTGTTTGAAACACCAGGTGTTCCGCCAGTCAAAATGTCGTTGGATATTCAACGTGCGAAAAGGGAGAGACTCAGAGCAGGGACGGGTGAGGAGGCTGGATAGATTGAGGTGGGCAAGTATTACGCTTTTGTCGAGAAAATTCATGCAGCATCGGAAAGATTGTTATAATGATTCAAGACATTCGGTGTAACCGAAGAACTGTAAGGTAGAATACCAATGCTTGATAGTACTACTTCTGTCTCCGGCCGGTCATAGAAAAGAGATGCCTATTATGAAACGGTGTGGGAAATGCTCAAGTAGATACAAAAGACGCCACATGTCCAATCGAACATATCAAACTGGTAGAAACCAAACAGAATCCATGGTCAGAAAGATACAAACGCCTGGGAAAGTCTATTGGTGTGCAGTTATGCAGGGTATCATTAAAGTGCGTGAAGTCATTTTGGTGGAGGAGTCGAGAGTGGCGGCTGGTTCAGAGTGTCATCCGAGCCGGAAGATGAGACACTCGTGGGGGTCCCTGCCTCGAGGCTATCACTGCTTCGAGATTTTGTCTGGCGGATCGCCAAACGCGTGCGTGGATGGGAGGGCACAGGTGCCAGGTATCTGTCCAGTAATTCGCTCAATATAGGGGAGCGCACTGGTTTAGGAAGGTAATTGTTCATGCCAGCCTCTAGACATTTCTCTCGATCGCCTTCGATAGCGCTAGCAGTCATAGCGATCACAAGGACCTCGTTAACGTTTGGATCGGGATCTCGTCGTATTTCGCGAGTAGCGTTGTACCCGTCGAGAGTGGGCATCATGACATCCATCAGAACTACATGGAAGGGATTTCCTTGCTTGGCATTGGCACGCAGCGCATCAACAGCCTGTTTGCCATCGCTGTAAGCCTCGCATTGAAGACCAAGGCTCGTGACAAATTTGACAGCGATTTTTTGGTTGATAGGATTATCTTCGGCGATGCAGACACGAATTTGATCCCGAGGAATTTGAGTGAGGTCCCGCGCTTTGGCCCGAGAAGGTTCCGCAATCTCTGCATGATGAAGATCCTGGTGCCAAGGTGTCTGCACATTTGACTTCTTCGGAGCCTTGTTGAAGACTAGATGGAATGTCACCGTTGTTCCTACTCCAAGGGTCGAATCTAGCCAAATCGCGCCGCCGAGAACGTCCTCGATGATCGCCTTGCAAATACTCAATCCCAACCCACTACCGCCATATGATCTCTCGGTGGATGGATCGGCTTGGGAGAATGGCCGGAACAGGCGTGCCTTTTGTTCCTCGGGAATACCAATACCAGTATCGGCAACAGAGCACTCCAACCGCACACGTCCTTTCGCTTCCCTCACGGCCTTTGCTCTCACGGTGACGGATCCTTTGGGTGTGAACTTGTAACTGTTGCTCAGCAAATTCATGAAAATCTGATGAAGACGGACCGGGTCACCGAGCACCACCAACTCGGGTGGAACACGTTCCAGATCTTCAATTGTCTGTAAACCACGTTCACGGTGGGTGTATCGAAGCGCGCGTATGACCTCACTGATCGTCTCTTTCAAATTCAGCGGAACCGTGGACATTTTCATTTTGCCAGCTTCCAACTTGGAGAAATCGAGTATGTCGTTAATGAGGGTGAGCAGAGTGTCAGCACAGACACGGATTGACTCAACGTAATCATCCTGTTCTTTATTGAGAGCGGTTGCCTTTAGCAACTCAGAAAGACCGATAACGCCATTCATCGGTGTGCGTAGGTCATGAGATATGTTGGCTAAGAAAATCGACTTGGCACGAGCGGCATCTTCTTTCAGCTTGACGTTGTGTTTTGCTTCGGCTTCTGCCACTTTGGCCTTCTGCTCTGCCTCGCGGGCTTGGGCAAGAGCTCTCTTTTGGGACTCGATCATGGAAACATTTTTTGCGCTGACCTTACGGATCTCTCGGAAGAGCAGCGCATTCGACAGAGAAATTCCAATCTGGTTGCACAGTAGATGAAGCACAACTACATTGCGTTGAGTGAACCAATTTGGCTTTCCCTCGAGGTGTATAATGCCGAGCAGCTGATCACTCTGGACGATAGGCAGAGCAATGACAGAACGACCAAGTGGGAAATTTGCATGGTAGACTTCGCTCACATTAGAGAATCGCTCATCTTCGAGCACGTTATGAACCAAGACCTCCTCCTTGGTGCGCATAACATAGAATATGATCTCCTGGGCCATGCGCCCTTCGAACTCTGCGAGTGGGAGCCCGTCTGGGAATGACTTTGGGTACTTTTCTGCGTCCGCAGCGGCCGCGATTGCGAAGCCTTGCTCCTCGAACTCGGTAGCAATGACGGCAAATTCAAAGCCATTGCATGAGTCCATTATCATTTCTAGCATCTTGGTGAAAAGCTTGTCAATCTGAAGTTCCGAGGACATCACTTGGCTGGATTCGAGTATGCTCGACAAGTCAATGATATCAAGGCCGACGCTCGAAATGTCCAGAGATTTTTGACCTAGGTCTACTCTGCTCTGCTCGATCCAGCGACGACGTCTGTCCTCTTCCTCTAGCTGTGATGGCAACGTGATCTCTTCCTGCGGAGTGACACGTGAAATCTCCACCAAGGCATCAACAGTTTGACATCCAATGTCCATGGTTCTCGATGAAGTCGCAGTCTTTAGCAGCCACTCGTGCTTCTCCGTAATAATCTGAGCTTTTCCACCTGCGCTTATGGCAGTCCATGCAGAGATGGCATCTTTCATCATTGCACGAGCCGCCCGCTTAGCTCCGCGTCGGACGAGGAATTCGCCTTGAAGTTCCAGAGCGAGCGCTTCCTCCAAGAGCCAGCCATGTACTTGGCAATGATCTACTGCTGATTCATATGATTGAATGGCAGTGCTGTAATCTTTCTGCACCTCGCTGATCAAAGCTTCCAAAAGCAAGGCCCACATGCCGTAATTCGCGTCAGAACAGCTCCGCGCGAAGTCAATCTCGGCTTTGTACAACAAGATCTTGTCCATATCGTCATCACTCAGGCCGAGGGACGGATTCTCGTTATGCAGTGTGAGAAGTGACAGCGAAAGATAGAAGTAAACCAGATAGGAGACGCGTGCAGACCACAGCCTGTGGGCGGTCTTCAGTAGCTTGGTACCCACTTGCACCGCCTTAGCATGATGACCGAACAAGAAAAGAGGGATCATAGCAAAGCCAAAGTACGTGTCCCGAGGCTTGTCCGCGTTGCTCGCATTTTCGCCCAGCCAAGTAATGTATTCCGAGGTCTGGTGCTCCTCGTCTGATAGCACGTTGTCTGCATCCCTGAATTCTGTCTTCCCTTGGAGTGCACGGGCAACTTGACGAATCGCGATGATACTTGCTCCGCCACGCGTATCTTCTTTCCAGTTTGGCACATCTTCAGGTGTCTCCTGGCAAAAAGCCTCGAGCTGACTCATGTCATGTCCAAGAGAAAGCCGGGTCACAGCCATCGAGGAGATGCTGACGAGAGAAATGTAGGGGTCGCCAATAGTAAATGATGTCTCCAGAGACGCCTCGATCGCAGGAAGAATCGATGACATGGGAACGCGCAGGTGACTGACATAGAGATTATGAACCAAGGAGCCTCGACTTTGAGTCCACACATCTGGGCACCTTTCTAACATAGAAATGGATGCATTGCTAAGCCTGAAGCCGAATGTAAGATCTTTGAAACGACTGAGTGCAATCATTGCAAGGTGAGAACAGCCAATGGAGGTCTGTGAAAACCCCCCCCTAAATATGTGAATATTCATCATCTCTATCGCCATTCGATAGAAGGTTTGAGAATCATCCCAATAAGTGACCGACATCGCCTCGGCCATCACTGCGCCAATGGTGATCACAACAGGGTCTTCACTCAACGGTCTTCGCACGATAGCTTCCAGATCAGCGGATTCGAGATATGCTTTGAGCTTCTGAAAAGCGACGTCACAGTCCTCGAAGGAGGTGGGAGTGCGGAGGTGGACGCCGAGCTCATCAAGACAGGTCAACAGGGCGTCCATCGACCGATGGTGATCCCGGCCTTGGGCATAAATTTTGGCCGAAATGATCCACGCCTTAGATTTGCTAATGGCATCCTTCGCGTTCGTAAAGACAGCTTGGATCAACGCTAGAGCTTCTTGAGTGTTACCCAGGGACCATGTCGTTTCAGCAGATGCAATGAATAAGCGCAGAGTCTCCTCGTAGTAGACATCAGATCGGCGGTCGTCCCAAGGGCAATCTTGGAGAAGCTCAATACAATGGCGGAAATACCAAAGTGCGGTGGGCCGAGCGCCTGATTGAGCCGCAGTCTGTCCAGCTTCCCACAAAATTTTCCGGTATTCAATGCGCCGCGCAAATCGTGATTTAAGAAGGCGCGACGAGAGTGCCACGTGATGAGCCATCGAATAGCGGCTGCGGTGGTCGTGATAGTACTTCATCAAGGCTTGAGAGATGATAAAGTGCATCTTTTCAACATTGCGACTCTCACTTAATAAGAGTGTGGCTTGAGAAAGGCGGTCATTGGCGAATCTAAATCACGACGTCAGCAAACCGGGAAAAGAAAACAAAGTGAAGGATGGATGTTTATCCCAGTCCTTACTTGAACTCGTCATCAGTTTTGCCTGGAACAAGAAGATTCGATTGAACCAAGTACTGCAACCCAATGACCGTATCACCTTCAGATTGTCGCAGCAATGTAATATTATGAGGACAGGTGAGATCCAGTCCTTCTGAGTGACCGTCAGTGAATGTTTCATTTTCACCTGATGAAAACAAAAACTCGCTGGTCAAAAGCTTTTGTACTAGCGAGAAAGAGAAAGGGCTTCCAATCAAAGCCCCCCATACTAGAATGGAGCGAGCAGCGATGGGAATCTCCTGAAGTCGCTTCGCAAGGAATCCTAGGCCAAGGCCCTCGCCATATACGGGAGCCACGAATTCGGTGAAGATTCGATCAAGGTCGAACATCCATTTCGAGTCCTTCCAGGAGTACCAAATGCAGTTTTTTCTGTAGCATGTCTCCAGCATGACTCTCAGATAGAAAGGATTTCCTTGGCTTTTCTCTTGAACGACAGCTGCCAGCGGGGTGAGTGTTGGATTCGGGGCCTGATGCATTGCCGCAGCAACGAAGTGCATGATTTCTGTCTCCCGTAGAGGATGGAGTTCAATTCGTGTGACGTTGGGGTTCTCAGACTCAAAGAGTGCTCGAACATTGTCAGGTGTTATCTCATCCTTGCGGCTTGTAAGAATGAGAACACAAGGCAGCTTGACGCGAATGATGTTCATGATAAGCTCGAGACTCTCGTCATCCGAATACTCCAGATCGTCGAGGCACACAACCATTAACTTGAATTGACACAATGTCCTGAGTATCTCCAGAAATATGTCCATCAGTCGCATGTTGTTTGAAGCTGCATTTGCCAAGAAGAACTCTGCCGATGTCTGGCCTTGATTAAGACTGGGTATCTGAATCCGATTGGCGAGTTCATTGGCTTGTCGGTCCGGCCCGGCCAGTGTTTGGGCTATCGATGTCTTCGGCGATACGGGATTATACTTGGACCCAGGAGAAAGCAATTGCTCAGGAAGGTCAAGAACTTTGTGGAGGGTCGGCCACATAGGCCGCAACGCGAGGCGCACACTTTCATGGTATTCTGTGGTGACATCTCGCTCGGAGAAGATTTGCCGAAGAAGGCTGGCGAGAACCTTGGCGAACGGCTCGAACGGCACCCGTTTGACACGATCCAGGCGTGTTATAGCAATATAACCAGACTTCCGGATGATCGGTTGAACTCGATTCAATAGATCAGTTTTGCCGATTCCCGCAGCACCGCTGATTGCAATGACTTCACATCGTCCTGTCCGTCGTGACTTGCCCCCAATCTTTTGCTTCGATAGAGCACCTATGGACTCCAACGAAGCGAATGGATGAGGATTCGGCAGGCTGCTGGAAGTTCCGCTAGGTGCAGAGCTTGTTTCACGCTCAGTGTACTGGGAAGAACGTGAGTGAGATGGGCTCTGCAACTTTTGCGTGCTTAACGTGGCTGAACCTTGCGGGGAAAAGTCGAAGTTCGGTGGGAGCTGGATTTGTTTAGGCGGCTGAAACCCGTTCTCACTATGCGCCGCGGAATCTTGTGTGCTGACATGAGATAAATGATGCCCAGTTGAAGTCGAAAGCGCCCGCGGTGGCAAGTGAAATGACCCCGAGTCGCTTGAGATTGATGCTAGATCAAAGCTGTCCACGCGACCTTCTGAAAAGGAAGAATTTGAGGCGAGAGCGTGACCGGTTGAGGGACTCTGAGTAAATGCCTTGGCGAAAGCAATCTCCTGGCGTCTATGGACCTTGTTGACCACATTCAAGATCGTGTCCAATTCTGTCTGGCGTCCAAACATCTGCGACGGAAGAGTGAAGAATGATGACACATCACTCTGCGCAATTTGAAATTTGCTGAGTGCTTCGCTCTCCCCATCTCCCAGCAACTGTGCTATTTGCATCAAGTCCCTTTTCACAGACGAGATAGTATTGTACCGATCATGAACAATCTTCTGTGTCATTTTCTGGACCACTGCCGAAAGACCATCAGGCACGTCTAGCCGTTTCGATGAGACCGGAGTCAACCTTTTTCCCAGCACATTCTGAACAACCTCCACCGGGTCGGCGCCATCGAAGGGCAATCTTCCTACCAGCATCGACCAGAATAATAAGCCAAGAGCATAGATATCGGTACGGCTGTCTGGTTCCGTAGGCATTCTGCCAGTTTGCTCGGGGGCAATAAACTGAAGCTTGTATTTCGCTCCGAGTTCACGGGAGACGGAAGACCAGCCTTCACTGAGAACATTGTCGAAGGATCTAGCACCGTTGCCGATATTCGCGAGCTTTACTGCCCCGGTTTCAGCGCTAAAATGAAACGCGTCGCCACGAATCTCTCCATGCACTGTCTTGACACCGTAGTGGAGAATTTCTAAGCAGTCGCAAGCGCCGATGGCAAAATCCAGAAATGCTGGCAATGGTATTTGCTCGCTGGGCGTGGTATTGTTGTCGCCTTTCATCCCGGCGGCAAATGACGCCGGGCCGAACGTGACCAGATCTCTTAATCGGTCATGACCAGGAGATTCGAAAATTGCCACGAGAAGTGTACCTGAATCCCCGGGCTCTGGGGAGAGACGTACCAGGTCGATTGGTCTGATTATATGATTGCAATCTGGGTCTGATGACTGCACAATCGATTTGATCATGTGGAACTCCCGCTCAAGTCTGATGACGTTCGTTGATACGCGTGCGACCACCGGGACCCAGATTTGCTCCTGCTCACCGCGCGCTAGAGAGATATCACTACTGGTTTCACTGATGCTGGTTGTTCGAGGGTTGCGCGCGGAGGAGGGACTTTCGATTTTGGGGGAGTAGCGTGTCAGGCTGGACGGACCCGAGGACGCTGGGGTGGAGGAGGTTGCAATCGGGGTTGAAATGTCTGTTTCTACCACATGACAGACACCATGAATATGCCAATGATTGTAAGTTGAATGGAACGGCTCTATGGAAGGATCCCATTTGTACCCAGGCAGATGACCAAGCCTTTCAAAAAGCCGCGTTGGCGGGAGCGGCAGGTCATCGCCGATCAGATGGCTTTCTTCCATCTCCTTGTCTGTGATCGAAGCTGTAGCCACTGCGGCACTCCACGGCTACCTGTCTCGATCAGGCGTCTCGACAGTTCGGTGGCGGGTGAGCGCTCAGCCTGTACAAGTTGGTGGCACGAGAGCAGTGAATTCGACATGGGACCGCCTGACGAAAGCGGCTTTGAGCGGGTTTCGTTATCGCGCGAGTGAAGATGCTCTCAGCAGCTCCGGGCCAGCCACACGACAGGACTGATTCTCTGTTGAAGCCCCTTCTTGGTTAATGATGATAGAGGCCTCACTTGACCAAGTCCAAAAAGGGATCTCGACCGAACAGCAAGAAGGTGGTGCAATGACCGCAGGTATACTGATTGTGACCGGCGGGCAGTTTCCAGACCAGGTGGGGATATAACGGAGAATTTGTTTTTGCGGCCGTTTGGTCTGGGCGGAGTCCCTGTGGGGTTTGAAGCTGGCATGCAAGACTTTGGGATGCCGGCACAGACCGTCGATCCCACCAAAGACATTTCTGCCCTTCAGGCCGAAATCCGAGATGTCGGTCAAGTGGAGTCGTCAACCCCTCGAGTCAAGAAGCTGTCGACGACCGGGATGCTTCAATTGCGATGGGTCCCTCACCGGAGATGGCCCGTACAATGCGCTCTTGAGCTTTCAAAGCGGCCCTGGGCCTCCGATGTTGTCATGAATGCCGAATCGCTTCCATAGGCAACCGCTTGGCCATCATTTATATCCACCAGATTGACATCAAACCCGATCCTTGTGCCACCCAAGGGAGGAAATCACACTAAGATGAAGGATTGCCTGGGCGTCATCACACAATAAATGGATGTATTCAAGGTACACTACTCGATCAAGGAGCGCCAAGAGACCGAATTGGCAATTCTACTAGAAGTCGCGCGTGCAAAGGAAGACCAGCGCGTACCATGCTTGGGCAGTTGTGTCAGAGTGAGACAAGTATTGGAGAAGACAAAAAACCGGTGGCTAACGTGTGCAGATTGATAAGAAGTTCCCTTCTCCGGGCCATATCTGCGGTTTTCTTGCTTTCATCTGGACAGCCGACTGATTCATCACGCCTTTACGACTAGCCCTAACCAGAATCGAGGCGACTCAGTTTTCGAAGCTAGACGCCCGGCTTGCTACCCCGTAACATATATACGGTAAGTGAAAGGTGCTTGGCTCACTGAAACATAATCGAGGAGAAAGCTTGCGTAGACAGCCACTCCAGCGTAATACATAAATATCAAGTTGTGTCGATGTACAAAGATCGAATCTGTGAAGTTAGGTCACTTTCAGCCTCATCCGCTGGTCTTAAGGTTGGTTTCGATAGACCAAAGATACACTTTCAAGAGCTGACCAGGTTCGGTAGGTCTTCATGGGAAAATTCGATCGTGTCAGGTCTCGGAGGTCCGGGCAATGAAATGAGTTTCTTTACCTGGCTCCATCAACCCAAGTATGTTGGAATTACTTCGGTGAAAATGTAGATATGTCGCATTTTGCCAGTGTCGCCTTTTATATTGAATCGACGTAGTGGAAAAGAATAACTGGGGGCGTGTGAGGCAGAAGAGAGCTCAGTAGGATCTCAGTAGGATCTCAGTAGGATCTCAGTAATCCTACTGAGCTGTAGTCACCTGTGTGAGACATGGACCCTAATGGTGCCGGGAAACGATGAGACCTTAAGAGAGCCGCGGCTCGGAAACATTGAATCTTTGGTAAAGCCGGACATACTTCGGAATTTCTATCGGCCTGCGCAGTGCGCACCATCTTGATCGACCACTGCACGGGCGGAGCTAATCTGGAAAGGTGGCATAGTAGTGGATGTGCTACGCTTAGTCTTACAACTAGTCGCCCTGGCCTTGATTCACAGGGTGAAAAACCAGGCGCCCAAGCTCAAGGCGCCCAATCAAACCCTCAACGGCGTACGGCAGACTCCTGGTGTTTAGAGCAACCGTGAAAAAGTCAACGATGGACCAGGGCTCAGCTGTCAATTCTGGGCCATCCTCGTGTTCCACCCTTTGTTGATCTAGTGAGGACGGTCAATTAAAATCTACATGTTGTCGCAGTGTCCACACCTCAGTTTGATGTCAATTCGTAATGCATCCCTGTCGGCGTGATGTTTCATAACTTCGTTGAATACTTGCAATGAATTGTACATGGCTAGGTACCTACTACCTAGCACAGCCGGCCGTTCCGCCAGAACCGGTGAAAGCCGCTGGCGAAGGATCATATTCGCTTGCGGGCATTTCAGCCTCGCAAGCATTGTGACGTACGTGTCTGGGGAAACTGAGAGAGTGACGGTAGAAGGCATAATTAATGGACCTCACCGAGTGCTCCTAGTCTACAGGATTTATCGAGCAGGAACGAGGGTCTGCCTGCTGTCAAGGCCACGACTCCCTTAGCTGATGGTCCCTGTTCTTGTTAACCTTATTCGTCACCGCGAGGGCTGGCCTTTGTCGAATCTTCACATATTGTGCCTCACGCGAGGTCCTTCATATACTAAAGGGTCGCCCTCGGCGAAGATCGCGTCCCACGTGATACTCGCCCTTTAGACGTGAGCATGTCGATCGCATGACTGAAAGTTTGGGCTGCACTGTATCTCTCGCACAAAGTCTTGAGCTAATCTGCGCCTGAGATTGACTCCGTCGCCTGGGCGGCATGGCGTCGGCAATTCTGGCCAGCCAAGCAAAGTGGGCTGTCAATTTTAGCCCACTTTGAGTGACGAAGGCCAGAAACCCCCCAGCCACAGTTGGGTGTCCACACTCCACAATAGCAAACCCGGGCTAAGAATAATCCAGGAACGCTTTGGCCGAGGGTCATTTCGGGGGGATTCTGACATGAATGCTGAACTTATTGTAGTCAATAGGATAGACTACTTTGGTACTTTGTTCGTTGCAGAACTTCATTGTTGCAAGTGCCAGTCTCTTCGGCGAGCTCCTGCTCGACACTTCGGCACGTGGGTCCAGATGTCCCGCCCCTTACAACACCCCACTGTAGCACGGCAGAGGGTTGAACTCTTCGTGTGTATCACTATCCATGATCCATGATCCATGATCCATGGCCCATGGACTATGGAGTATGGACTATGGAATTTTGGGGCATTCCGATATGGGACATGTTAAGCCACACTCGTTTCACCAGCCTGCCAGTGGCACCGTTTACTTCACTCATAAGTCCCGATTGGACAGTGTCTTTGAGGACTTCAGATTAGGTTAATGGGGAAAACTCAAACGAAAGCTGTAACAGAGTCAACCCTTGAGAGTCGAGGAAGCTGTGCATCTTCCAGCGCATGGATGAGCCATCGCCCTATGTATTTTGCATTCCGTGTGCTGCAGCTTATATTGCTACCGGCCAGAGGCATCTAGATCTGCCACCTTCACGGCGCATACTGGCTATTTCTGACCGCATCATCAAAACCATCCTCCCGCCAGTTGGCGTTGGTGACGGACTATGTACTTTTCACTAAATGGTTTAGTAATTTTACCGGCGCAAGGCGCCTGCAGTAGGTAGTAGGTGCTAGGTATTAGGTAGTCCTCAGGCCACCTAATCTATTTCTGACAGAGGCTGTTCATGCATGTGTATTCTCAAGACTCGCCTGGTTCCTCTTGCCTTGTCTTGCCTTCGACCTTCACCCCAGCTGGAGGTCAACTGGGCTCAAGCGATATTTCATCTGGAGAGGCCTCTGAGGTTCCAGGCGTACCTCATGATCTCTCATCCTCCGCTATCAACAGGTCTAGGCTACTTAGCTATGCATTATCTGAACTCCGAGGCGGTTGTACTATACATCTGTTCGAATTGGTAATGGGAAAGCCGATGACGATTTGGACTTCCTATAGTTACAGTTCGGACTCTCCGATATAAGAGAATGAGATCAGTTCGACCTTTAGATGCCGGTCTTACGGTGTACCGTGGGCAGTAGGACTATGGTAGTTGGGGATCTAGGGATTGGTCCATCGTCATTTCAGTGTCCGGGCAGGAAGCTAGAGTAAGGGCCTAGACATGATGATCGACGTGCTGGGAGTGTGAACATGACCCGCCTCCGGCCGGATTTACCGTAGTGCAGTGCTTACTTAATAAGTCAACAGTGCCTGAGTACTTAGGTACAGTACATAAACTACTACCTAACTACGTTACTGAGTAGTTAGTTGCTAACCAGTTACTAGTTACTAACTAGTAGTTAGTAACCTAGTAGTACTGTGCTACCCGACTGTAGTTAGTAGTAACACATAACGTACTACCATAGTACCGACTCACCGAGTACTGACGAGTTACTAACGACTGACCGCTGACTACTGACTACCGAAGATCTAATATCGGATGAGTCTTTCTCTTCTCCAGTTGAGCCAATGAAAATATTGAACACTTGCGTGGTGGACAAGATGTACGAATTTAGGATTTCTCCTGAGAGCCTGCAAGTTGCATCGCGAGAAGCTCCCGACGCTAGTCACCGTCACCCGGGCACTTCGGAAAGGTCACGTGGAATGACCAGCTGCGGTGTGCACCTCTCGGTCCATTTCCGTCGGTTCTGTCAAACTTCACCGATCAGATTCCGTCATTGGCAAATGCCACTTCTTCAGCCAGTCAATCGGCTGATTCAGGAAAGAGCATCGCATTACTAGAACTATCTATGAGATTGGTTTATTTATTTATTTTTTTCAAAACAAAACAGCCACTTCATGTGGTGATATCATTCCCACAGGCAAAAGTCTAGTCAGGTGGAGGAAGCACCGCAGGTGAGAAACGTCTGGCTCAGTATTGGCACTTAAATATATGTACCTGTTTGGTTCCCGCGACGCCACGGACAACATTCCATACTATGGAAGGTAAAGACCTCACTTCTACTGGAGGCATTCGACAGAGTAACAGCTACTAGGTACGGCCAGCTGGAGGACTCTGAGCCTCATTCCTGTCTGTCCAAGTCCTTCTTCTATCCCATCCATGCTCCCTTTGGGCTTCCATCGGTGCCCCGTCCCAGGAAGTCAGCTGATACCCTGGGGCCTGTTTGAGATCCACTACAGAGGCAAAGATGCCCCTTATTTATCGAATCATCAGGTGTACAGGTCCAACCACCACCTAACTCACACACACACATACATACACACACTGGGCCTGTAGGAGAGCTTCAAGTACTGCCGTCCATCTGAATGTATTCGGATGAGCTTGCCGTAGCACCCGTACCCGTACTCTTGTAACCAGGTTGGTGGCTTATGGGCTTGAAAGATGGGGGGGGAGACAATCAAGCCACTGTACCCAAGGCCATCTTTAATCCACTTTATTCTTCCCCTTCGAGATTGCCAGGGCCATGCGCTACGTCATTTCCCTCCCCCCGGAGACGGACCGTCGAACACCAACGAGTCCACTTTTTTGGCTTGTCATCCACTGGGCGATCTCGCAGTTCGGTCGGCGGGTACTGACGCCAACTCCCAGACTTCCACCCACCCCCCCGTTCGCTCAAAACCAAAAGAGGGTAACGAGACCAACGGTGAGAGGACCGCTCCGGGCAGCCACGGGCTCTGTATGCACATTCAACTGCGACTTCGATCACCAAGGCCTCTCATCACCTTCCTCCGTGCGCATCAGGCACCTCTTCCCATCCGTCAATCGCTCCTCTGGCCATCGATGGTCCTGCAACCCTCGGCTTCAAGGACCACACAATTCATCCTCTCCCGAACGCGCACCTCACAGCGACCGCGGGTGTCCTCGAGCGAGTTGGTCCAGGGCCGGTTCCTCGTCAACTCTGACAGCACAGACGTCTCTCACGTCTAAAGTCGCCGGTACAAGAAGTTCACGATTTCCCACTCGATCGGTCTGTCGGCCTCGCCTTGACATACCTTTTCGTTACCGAGTCAATTCTCTGTCATTCGGGTTTACGCTATCGGCTTGCACCAGCCGCCTTCGCTTGACTGGCGCCTTCTCCCTCGCCCTCGCCGACAAGGCCTCCTTTTGACGGACCTCCGTGGCCAAGAAATGATCGCCCGGCTCGGCCTTTGCGCTTCTCGTACTGTTCAAGAATCCTAAGTTGGTTGCTTTGTGATCAGATTGGTGGAGGCGCGAGAATGGGAGACGTGCGTAGTGGGAGTCATCCTTCTGGTCCTTTACAACCGGGAACAGTCTCGACCGACGCCCTGTCGCCCTCTCGTGTACGATCGGCAAAGTCCTCTACCGTGGAACAAGCAGTCCATGAGAACGAGGTGAGCACAGTGACTGCAGATGACAAAACAGGTCATCTGGCCCAATCTTCGGGCTCGGAACCGCAGCTGCCCCGATTTTCTCGTGGCGACTCTGGAGAGAACCTGCGAGGTCTCACACCCATCACCGAAGACACGCGATCCGAGAGCGAGCAGCTGGAGGAGCAAGGAAGAAGCTCGCAAACACTCAAGGAGCTGAAGAGGCAAATGGAAGAGCTGCTCGTATACCAACAAATGCAACAGCACCAGAACCAAGGCGGCGTCGCGAATCAGTTCGCGGGTGGCCTCTCGAATGACACACCCAAGAAACGTCGACTTTCTCATGTCAACACGGAGGTACCTTTGACGATACTGGGTCCCTCGTCAGGGTCGGTGGGGTCCGCAGGCACCATCAAGGCCGATGACAATTATGGCTCAGCCACGACAGATCACACCGTCTTCCAAACTCCTTCTTATCCCTTTCCACGTGTTCAAAATCATGGTTTCCATCCGGACCTCGACCAAACAGGGCGCTCCGGTCAATTTCGATTGAAGCTGCCATCTGAGAGGCTACGATCGTCGACTCCCGGCTCTCAAGGCTCTGACGACCATCATCCCTCTCCTCGATTGTCCGGCGCGCAACCCTCATTCCTCCCGCAAACCGGTGAACCTCTAGCAGACGACTCGGACTTCCCCACCCCAAATCTATACGACCTTTCACTTCGATTGAACGCCGAACCGGGACTGGACGCCTGGTGGGCCAACTTGACCGACATTTTTCAGGCACATTATGGAGCGGAGCGGGTCTCTCTCGCAGTCCCGGGAGACTTGACAGACTTGGAAAACGTGCCATGGGGCCAAAAGGCCGTCTTCAACCAGAACGTGCCTTCTACACATCAAGATACGCAATCATCAGCAGCCTCCGGTCGGAGGCCTTCAACTGTCAATTTGGGCGCACCATCGCAGTATGACGACTCATTTCATGGCAGCAATCCCGCGTCTACACCCGGACTTAAGAGTCCGATGTCTGCGCGGCCACCCTTGGAATCTCGTCATTCGTTTGCTGGGTTTGCGCATAGCAAGAGGGCTGCGCATACGTCCGAATGGGAAAAAAGCCAAGAAACACCAAAGGCCCCAACAAGAGCTGAGAGGAAGAATGCTCGTACCCCGGGGTCACTGCACCCGACAGAGGTCCCGCCAGGTCTCAGCGGTACCCGATTCACTACCGCTCCGCCTGAGTCCTACGATGTAGGCAATTCAGCTCCGTCTCAATTGCGAAACGCTGTCTTCACTGTTCCCCGACCATTAGAAGTGGAACCAGACCCTCTGGTGAAGCGAGCTGGAGTAGTCAAGCTATTCGGCCGAAGCACTCCCGTGATCCTGACTCGTGAATACACCGCCGATTCTATCGACGCTCTTGGGATGGACAATGGGATTCCAAGAAGTCCAAACGAGTCTATTCAAAGGACTCCCAATGCAGAGGGTCCTGATGCATCGACATCTGCTACCCACGGTCAAAAGGCGCCAACCACTCGTCGGATTGGCACTTTTAGGTCTGGAGACTATGAAGAGTACGAGCAAATACCCCAATCACCATGGTCACAATCCCCGGCTCCCTCACCGGCACCTCGAACCCATGCGGACCAGAACCCATTTTTCACATCGCATACCGTGGACGAAAGCGCGTTCTCCAAGAATCCGCCCCACCACGACTACTCTAATTCGCGGCCATTGGAAGCTATCGGAGTGGATTATTCCAAAACTGTCGTTCACATCCCCTTAATTCATGGGGCACATTCTGATTCCGGCTCATTCTCAACCTTGAGGTTTCCAGTCGCTGTTGTTTCAATACTCTCACCCATCGTTCCGTATCCCGTGAATCTCCGTCAATCGCTCGTACATTTTATGCCCCACCTTACGTCGTCATTTTGTCTTGCACAGCACTACAGCCAGCTGGAAAGACAACTGGCTTCGAAAGTGGAAACACCCCGCTTTGGTCACCTTCTTGGACTGGGTGGCACCTTCTCAGATGCAAGCAGTGAATTGGAACTTGTGGCGGGCTTGAGTGGCCACATGAACTACGCGACTAGCGATCATAGTTCAATGTCTGCACAAGCAAGCATCACGAGTCCCAGTGATCGATCGTCGAACAAGTTGAGCCCTGCTATCTCCGCACTGGGAACCCCCGGCTTCGATCTTGGTTATATGGGCCTGAATTCTGCCACCCAGTCCCCGGCTCTGTTCAGTCGTGGTGGAGAACACATTGACAGCTACTTTCACGTCCAGCATATGAGGTCATCTCGTGATACTGGGTCCACTCAGAAATCTCGCCTTTCAAAAACAAAGTCAGCACTATCAGCGTCGACGCCGACTTCGCCAGGAAGATTACCCTCCAAGACGTCTCATAACGAAGATGAAAACGCTGGCCAAGAGTCGGCCTCGAATGTAGCATCTCCAACCCAAGACTCGCGTCCGCAGCACGCGTTTCCGCCCAATCAACCTTCAAGGCAAGGATCGACAAATTCCTTCTATACTCAGCTGCAGCGAGAATTGCCGCGTCCATTTTCGGACACAATTGCTCAATTAATGTTGAACTCCGTACCCCTTCATCTTTTCTTGGCAAAGCCCCAGAGTGGCGAAGTCATCTGGACTAATGCCAAATTCGACGCGTATCGCCGAGGGAAACCCCAGGAGCAGCGATTGAGGGATCCATGGCAGAACATTCATAGCAGCGAACGAGAGCATGTGTCCAGCCAGTGGTTGAATGCTCTGCGTACGGGGTGCCAATTCACGGAACGGGTTCGTGTAAGACGCTTCAACGACGAGACTGCATACCGATGGTTCATCTTCCGCGCAAATCCGCTTCTATCATCAACGGGCGAAGTTCTATATTGGATTGGATCCTTCCTCGACATTCATGAACAACATATCGCAGAATTGAAAGCCGCCCAAGAAAGAGAGAAATTCGCAACTGATGCTAAGTATCGCGCCTTCTCGAACTCGATTCCACAGGTGGTGTTCGAGGCAACAGAGAACAAAGGTTTGATCTTTGTTAATGAGCAATGGAATCTCTACACTGGCCAAAGTCTCGACGAAGCATTGAATCTTGGCTTCGCCAAACATGTCCATCCAAATGACCTTGAAAAGTGTGGGGGACTAGCCACGCAAGCTAGTCAACCACTTGCGACAGACGAGGCGGAGTCCAAAGTCAATGGGGAGCCGGGCAATCTACACACCGAAAGTCATCGTGTCTCATCTGCTCTCGACGAGCTAGTAAGACGTGGCGTTGCCTCTTTACAGAAAGACGAAAACGGCCGTGTCTTTTATTCCACCGAGATTAGATTGCGATCAAGGGGCGGCGACTACCGATGGCACCTTGTCCGGCTTGTTCGTGTTGAAACAGGTAGTTTTGGAAAAGAAGAAGCGTCCTGGTACGGCACTTGCACTGACATCAACGACCGCAAAAACCTGGAGCGTGAACTCAACAAAGCTATGACTCAACTCAACAATCAAATGGAGTCGAAGACCAAGTTCTTCAGCAACATGTCTCATGAGATCCGGACGCCCCTCAATGGAATCTTGGGTACCATCCCTTTCATTTTGGACACGCAGCTAGACACAGACCAGCGGCGCATGCTCGATACTATTCAGAACACCTCTACCAACCTGCGAGAATTGGTAGACAATATCCTGGATGTCTCACGTGTCGAAGCTGGCAAAATGTCCATGGTCAACTCATGGTTCCATGTGAGGTCTATGATCGAAGACGTTATCGACACTGTTGCATCGCGGGCGATCGACAAAGGTCTGGAGATCAATTACCTGATGGAGGCCAATGTTGCATCCATGGTTATTGGCGATCGCTTCCGCATTCGCCAAGTGCTAATCAACTTAGTGGGCAACGCAGTCAAGTTCACCACGCAGGGAGAGGTTTACATTCGTTGCAATCTTGTTCGTGAGCCAGCAGCGAAGCTCAAGAACACAGAAGCCTTCTTAAGTTTCGATGTTGTCGACACTGGCAAAGGATTCAGTTCCCAAGATGCTGAACGTCTTATGCAGCGTTTTAGTCAGCTTGGTGAGAATGGCTCGCAACAACATGCGGGAAGCGGACTGGGCTTGTTCTTGTCCAAGCAACTCGTCGAAATGCACGGAGGTAAACTTATCCCGAGCAGCAAAGAAGGCCAAGGAGCCCAATTTTCCTTCAATGTCAAAGTTGATGCACCTCCGCCGCCATCTCCAGCTGAGCGTCCATCCCTATTCCGCCAGGCTTCGTCTGTTTCGAGGAGGCCAGCCACATCCAGGACGACTTCATACGACCAGAGTAATTTCCACCCGCCCAGAAACCAGGACCACATCCTCAATATGGCAAGTTTATCCCGCGGACTTGAGTCTCCGGGTTTCGAACTCGGCCCTTCAGGCTTGTACCCGACCTCCACTATGTCATCCGCGTTGCCTACACCAGACCTGCAGACACCCTCACCCCCCTTCTCTGCCACGAGTGCGCACTCTGCCAGCGAGACCCTGGATGTGGCATCAGGGACATCGGGTCGTCTCCCCACGTCGCCTTCGCAGGGCTCCATATCTGGGTTGCACCGCCCGTCGTCTCATGGACCCTTGTCGATTATGATCCTCTGTCCGCTCGACAACACTCGCAAGGCCACGAAACAGCACATTGAGCAGGTCGTGCCACATGAGATTCCGTTCAAGATCATCACTTTAGTGGATATCGACGAATGGAAGGACGCAATACATTCAGACCCCGGAGCAAACTGTACTCATCTGGTTCTCAATCTGCCTTCGAATGACGATATCTCCGAAGTCATTCAGTACGTGTCTCAACGTGAACCGGGGCATTCTCCCGTTATGGTGATCATTTCGGACTTGTATCAGAAGCGCCAAATTAGCGGAAGTGTCAAAGACTTGGCTGCCACGGGTAGAAGCGTCTACATTGTGCCCAAACCAGTGAAGCCTTCTTCCTTTTCGCCTATCTTCGACCCAGATAGCAAGCGTGAACTGAGCAAGGACCGCAATCAAGATATGGCACGCGAAATCAACAACAACTTCAAGACTGTATCAAAGATGGTGAAAGAGGTGCTTGGTAACAAGGGCTACCGGGTCCTGCTTGTCGAGGACGATGAGACTAATCGCGATGTAAGTTGTCAAGAGTTGACGCATGCAGGCTATACTTGTGTTGCTTCGGTCAATCAGACGCTAACCGTCCGTACATAGGTCATGCTCAAATACCTTGACAAGATCAAGCTGATGTCGGAAACCGCCTCGAACGGACAAGAATGCACGGACATGGTCCTCTCTAAGGAACCGGGATACTACTCCCTTATCATCGTGAGTGAATGTGACAATCTGAAGCAAGGCTCGTTTTATCTGACTTGAGGGACCCACTAGTGTGATATCCAAATGCCCATCAAGAATGGCTATGATACTTGTCGGGAGATTCGAGCCTGGGAACAGAAGAATCATTATCCTCAAATTCCGATTATGGCACTATCAGCCAACGCGATGACGGACCAAATCGAAAATGCCGCGCGAGCTGGTTTCAACGACTACGTCACCAAGCCTATCAAGCACAACGAACTCGGCAAAATGATGATGGGCCTGCTGGATCCGGGCAGGCCTCTATCACTGCTTCGAGATCGTCTCAATGGAGGGGGCGCAGATGCCGCCCAGCCCGACCGCCGATAGCCACCATCCTCCTCTCCTGGTTGCAATCTTTGAAGGTTTCCGCAAATCCCCTCTCAAGTCTTCTTTGTGACGCACACCAGCCGTAACCTCCTTCCGGCTGCGCGACACCTCGGCTCTCTCGACGCTTCGTGATTCCAATTTCGAACTGGATCTCGCTGCAGCATCGAACTCAAAGGCCTAATTGGCTGCTCGCTCCTCTCTCTCGTGATCTCTATCTGAGTCATTCAACTAAGGCTGCAAGGGGTGATGCGAGTGGGTCATGTGAATGACTTTATCTTTCACTGTGGATGCTCAGCGGCACGACGTCGTACAGTAGTGAGACTGTTCCGCATCTGGTCTACGATCGTCGATCTATATTGCATGCGCTTAGCTCTCAGGCTATGAATATACGTCTCCTTCGGCCGCGGATCATCCGCCTCGGCACACGTTACCGGCTGCACATCACTTGACTCGGGAGTTTGAGGGTCTTCTTCTCTTCTTGTATTATTCACTATAAGTGCTGTATTTATGTTGGCATCTTCTATGCGTGGTTTTGCAAGCCAAAATCACGTTGTTCCGTTTCTTGATTTTGCGTGCGCGAAGGTCCGTTTCTAATGATGTACTCCCTCTTCTCATCGTCATTTGGAGCCTCTTTTTTTTTTTTTTTTTTTCTTTGCTTTCGTCGTTCCTACCCTGATTCCTTTCTTGTGATACCAGATTATGAGCGCAACGACAATGGTCTTTCTTCATTCGATTCAGATTCTAGAGTTACATTATGTCGATAATCCTACATTCCTAAATGCTCTTCCACCTCATTCTTTTGCCATTGGAGTAACGCTGGAACCTTATGTTAATCAACTGCGCTCTTGAATGATCAGCTCGACTGAGTTAAGCACAGAGCAGCAGCAGAATCACAACCGAAATATCCTTCCGTCCCGTAGGTGTAGACTTGACCTGGAAGGTTGCAGGGGGTTAAATTTCCGAGCGACTTATCGCGAGTCTTCCATGATTTTACAATGCCTTGGTCTGTCCGTCACCTTCCGCAGTGAATAACCAGCTTGGGTTCGAGTTCACTTGTATAGCGCGGCTCACTCATCTGTCAAAACATGATATAGTGAGGGACCGAGAACAGCTTAAACCCGACGCTCGAAGTATATTAGGTGCACAAGGTGGCAGATTTAAATAACGTTCCATTGAGATAAGGTTGGTACGTCGTCGAGTCATGATAGAAGTTGTTAGTCTCGGTCTCGGAATGGGTGGATTGTCTGTGGCTCTGTGCACGTCTGTTTTGTCTTGTGGGTCATCTCTTCTAGTACCTACATTAGGTAGGGAGTGCATAGTGCGTGCTGATGGCTGTGTACGGCATATCGAGAATCTCATGGATGGTACCATGAGTATGCGTCGCAAACAGCTTTCCTAGGCAAGTTGGACTTCGATTGCGTGAATATGGAGGTGGTATCATCCCCGGTTAGCAAGTTCGATCTACTCAGGTCTGGTGCTGCTTACGGTGGCGGAACTGATGGGTTGGGACCATACTACAAAGCTTTCACCTCCATCACCTAGTCACGTACACGGTACAACCAATTCACTATTCATGCGTCTTGTCTTGCAGAGTAGCTAATACATATATGATCATGATCGCATTGCACTCACTCTCCAGCTGTGGCCACGCAATCAACACCTACCTACATTGGAAGTGGTTCGCTAGTTGAAGAGTCGTGAATCATGCGGAAATGTTCGATGAGAATTCACTCCCTCAAAAGCGAGCCATGCTGGAATAGGAATGGCAAAGGTGAGTTGGCCATGCCGGTCCTCCAGTCACGATGTTGCATGTGGCGGTGAAGGAGCCCCGAAATGGACGGGCGAAAAGCGAATTGGAAAAAAGTTCATCGTCCGTCTTTTTTCCCCGCCCTCAACCCCACTTGGGACTTGGGGAGAAATCTCTTACTTCTTCTTACTTGCGCTGGATGACGCGCCAAAGGTCGGCTCGTTTGGGGTTGGGGAGAAGGTCTCTCTCGGTGGAGAGGAGCAAGGCTGGCCTGGTATCAGGCCTCACACTCACGTGAGGATCAATAGCTTCGACATACCTTCGTTTCGAGGGCACAAGGCTAATTCCCACTTCTCTGATTCATTGTCATTAGCTGGTAATCCTCAACCAAGAAGGCGACGATCTGAGTGGGGTGTCCTTGGTTGGCCCCGATCTCCCGATCTCGTTCAAATTCACTCATGGCAAGGAGATTAGCATCGATGAGAATGCGAAGAAATTGAGAGGAAACTCGGTCAGATTGATTTCATTCCAAAACAAAAAGAGTCTTTGTTTGATTGATTCCGGGGCGTAGCCTCCCAGAGTACAGGGCGTCTTTGTAAAAGCCTTGAATTGGTCGTCATTTGAGACAACCAGGTGTGGACTGTGGAGAGGACATCCCAGACAAACCTGGTACAAACAGTTATCTGGCCAGTGTATATGTAGGCATAGCTTTGGTCGCAGAGCCAGCACACTTCGAAGTCGCAGGGCTGGCTTCTAGAATTGCGCCGCTCTGATTGATGGCCCTATCGGAGTGGCACAGAAAGCCGGAATGGAACGCTGGTAGTAGTACTGTCGTAAGCAATGAAGCATTCCCAGAACGAGAGGCGGGGCGGAAAACAAAGGGCCAGTCGCGATGATAGGGAAAGAGTATTCCGGGCGGCCGATGGCGAGACTGTTTTCGTGGCTAGCAGTGCACTCGGCAGTCTCCACGGGATGGAATAGCCAGATTGTCTGATCACAACTGCCTGAGCTTGCGTTGAGAGGAGCCGAGACAGGACATGACAAGTCTGGTGAGCACCTCCTTGCAGTGACTTGTCGTAGATTCGAAGATGAAAGACGACTAGGGCAAGTAGCCAGGCGCATCATACTCGGAAGAGACCTTCACTTCCGCTCCATGGTGTCATTTCACTGTCGTACGGCTGGTCAATGGTCCATATCAACCCTGGAAATGTCAGGCTGTAAGGCACGCATGATGCTCTTGCATTGGGCGCAAATTGACTGAGGAGGCCGTGGGCTCATTCATCTGAGGGACTGTTCAACTGGCCAGACTTCCCCCGGCAAGCTTGGGCATTGAGGCATCCCACAGACAAAGTACCAGGTACATGTGGTAAGGCAACAAAGGCCGGCAGCCATGGACTGGCCACTACGGGCTTGTCATGAGCAGCCGTGCGTTCTCGAATCAGCACCAGCGTTTGTCAACGTTGCTGATCTGCACTTGTTGGGCGTTTGAACTCTCCTCTGCCCGAGGTCTTGAAACCGGGCAACAGACATTCAATCTCGCGGCCAATTCGAATCGAAGGAATCGATGACGGGATGGCTGCCTCGGCAGATGTCTTGCACTGCGGATCAATTTTCCCCATGGTAATAGCACGAATGCTTACACGGCACAAAGAGAATCACTCTTGTAGAAAGGGTGACTCAGTAGATGGAATGCGCCCTGGCAGGCGCCTGAAGCGCTTGTTGATACTCTGATGCTTTTTTCCCACGGCACCTCGACCTTACTCGATCATGCGAGTGAGGCTTTTTGGTTTGCCGGCACTGGGGATCAGCCGCATGCGAGGCGGACAAACGGAGGGCCCAGGGATCCCCACGGCAAGGCATTTCTTCGCACGCGCATATTTTCTCGCTCTTGTGTCACCGAATCTGTCAGCAAGAAGCCATGCAGGTGCGGCTTTTCCCACTTTGTACTGCGCTGCCCGGACTGGGGTACCTCTCATCAGACCAATACTGACCCGATGAAAATAATCCCGGCAAGCGGTACCATGAGGTCGCACTAGAGCGTAGTCCGGGTTCCCCACGGTTCGTCAAGCCATGCATTGATGTCCGACGACGTGATCTTCAGGCTGTGCAACAAGGTCACTTTCAAAGGCCCCGTCTCGCAGGTATCTCTTCTCTGATGCCGTCTTGAAAGCGATTCAAAAGGGTTGAAGCCCATCTCCAATATTGAGTCGGCACATTTGCCTTTCAGCTTATGATGCCTCTCGCTGGACGAAACGATGTATCAAACCAAACCTTGGCAGGGTATCCGCCAACCGGCTTCATCGCAGAGACCTGGCCCATTGAGGGAGCTGGAAAGATTGCCCGAACCCAATGGAACTTCCAGCTCATGATAGGTCTCTCGCATGAAAACCGAAAGACAGAATACAGAATGGTCGAGAGTGGAAAGTTGTCGGTCCTGAATTCCCTCGACCCGGCCACATTGATCATCAGCGGTATGGGTGGTCCCTATCCACTCTTTCGCTGGATAGCAATTCAACACTGATGATGTGATCTGACTTCTAGTCTTCCCAGCCTCCCCAATTTTGAAGGCAGGGCATTTCCTCTGGTGGAGGTGGGATGTGAAATGAGACCACATAATCAAGGGGGCAAACACGGGAGTAAATCAGGAGGAGCGAAGATTTGGAGGAGTGGGCCTCTTTTTATACTTGCTCCGCGGGCCGAACTGCACCTCTCCTCATGTCGTTCGAGTTCTTTCGTTTGCTTTTCAGGCGATGTGAAGTAAGACCATCTTAGGCTCCAATTTTTGCGACCATTCCGTTTTATGGAAATGAAAGAGGGGCGACGTAGACCAAGATTGAGAGCGTCAGAGGGAGGAGTAGCCACCGGCAGCTGGGAATCCGAGTGGACAAGGTCAGACTCAACTCGTTCCGCGCAGACTTTCACATTCGGAGCGGGGGCCACGAGGTCCAAGAGACGAATCGGCGAACAGAAACAGAATAAAACTGCAGCCGAGACTCGGAGAATGGAGTTTTTCTGTCAATCGAAAGTGGAAAGAGGGAGGGGGTGAGTTCCAAGTGCTTTCGATCCTCCAATGGCTCTCCTCCAACGCCGCTCATCCTTGCCTTCCCAACCACGCCTCCTCATCACAAATGAACCATTGCGATGGATGTGATGAGTTTTGGACTTTCCGTCGGAGAGAAGACTCTCCGCTGGGGTCTATAAAAGCTTCCATTGGGACCGATGGTCAGTTGAGCCCTCCTTCTTCCCTAGTCCTCACTCTCAGTCAGTTCCTCATACTGTCCGGTCCAGGCACCTTCACTCATATAAGTCACCTTATTATACTGGCTTCTTTGGTCTATAATAAGAATTTCACATACCCATTGACCTCTATTTAGCAACTCGTCGGTGAGATTGCTGCCAGCTGGAAACATTCTATCCTTCTCTTGAACAATACCTCTGCATCCTTGCCCTATCAAAATGGCCACCCAGCGTCATCTCTATCAGCCCAGCGCTTATCACACCAGCCTGCCATCAAAGACCCCAGTATCGACACATCTGTATCCTATCTCACGAGTCCCTGGCTCGCCGCCAGAGTATTCAGACGCCAGCACCACTGGGGGCAGTCGCAGCTCCGGTGGTCTCACGTTCAGCTCTGCTGGTCGTAGTGTGGACTACGATTCCAGCTCGGCGTCGTACTCTGGTGTCGATATGGTTGATATCTTGAGCGACCGCATGCAGACTGCATTTGATCCAACTTCCCTGGACAAAGGTCTAGCCAAACAAGCGCAAACGTGAGAGCCTCTCCATTTTTGCAAAGATCTATCTTCTTGTCAAGACGAGCAGCCAAAATTCGCAGCACAGGCAAGGAGAGAACCCAGGAACGGGAATTCGTACCTTCTTGATATCTGAGAAAGCGAAGCTGATGAATCTGCTGCTTCTACAGTTCTGGTCATCTGAATGCCAAGCAGCGCGAGCTGCTTGAATTGCAAGCCCTAGCCCAGCGTCGGCTGAAGGGTGTGCGCTCAAACTTTGCAGAGGGTGTGAAAACCGCGCGGGAGACAAAGCGCGATTTGGAGTGGACTCAAAAGCGTGTCAGGTAAGATTGATACCAAGTTTTCTCTGCGAATGTCCTGAGACCCTTGAACGACGGACGTCAACCAGTTCCGCCCCGCTCCGCGCAGGGGTCAGGTTTGCTCCGCTCCGCCAGGGGAGTGCTTGGCACGTGCGTCTGGGGGAGGATCGACGCCGCATGAACGCACTGCATGTGAGTTGTAGAAGGAGGCTGACGGAGATTTTGTACCAATAGCGCGCTGAAGAGCAAGGCCGAGAAGTCCCACCCGGATGAATACCGCCGTTCGGCGAAGAAGTACACTTATGACGAGTACTGATTCAGCGACCTCGGGGACTGCGTGGCTGTCTCGATGGGGCTGAGGTAACTGTTTTTGGGTGAAAACCTTTCAATTTGAAGAAAAGCCGGCATGTAATGTGACGGACAGGTGATTCAGTATGAGGCTATCGGGCGTCTTGAAGAATGGGTTTGGCGTAATCGTGTTGGCAATTTTGTGTATCGTCTTGCAGGCGTCAATGTTTTGCAGATAATTTTACCTAGGCTCTATAGCCGAGGTCGTGTTTGATCACAAAGATGGAACGGTCATTCAGTCAAGGACATTTATAGCTTTCTTTAAAGACAATTTCCTCGGCTTGTGTATGGTTCATGCGCTGGATTAGGTAGTGTCCACTTGTGCTGATCTGCACGAAGAAGCTCCTGTTTTGAGTTGAGGATACGTTCCACGTCCAATGAAAGTTGCAGGAGGTAGCTTGCCTATTAATATCCACCCCGGGGTCACGAGATATGGGAGACTACAGGTTTCAGGTATAGCAGGTAGGTCCGTGTACAATTCATCTGTTATGAATGGCAGCTTGAGACCATGTCGTAAACAATAGCCCAGAAATGCCCATCTTGAATTCATTGTATATTGAAGGACCGCCTGGGGTCCGGCCGCTTGATCTGATGGTGAGTCCTGTTCTGGCTACCAATAATTCTGAAGTGACGCCATTACTAGGCAGGTTGTCATTCAGGTTACAGGGTAATAGAAACATGAGATGACGAAGCTTGAGTTGAAGGCGCCGCTGCATCGTCTCACACACGAAAGAAACAAGCCCTGCGAATAAATTGGCACATGTGGTGAAAGCTAGCTTCAATCTGCGGCTGTTGAAGAGACATCCGGTTTCCATCCACTACCTCTTGAGATTTCATCCCTGAACCTCGATGTGGACGACCGAAGCCACCAAAAAGGATAACGGCTACATATAGAGGATCATTCAAAAGGCGTTGCTAACAAGACGAAACAAGTGAGGCATTGCTATATCTGTAATTCTAGGCGAAGGTCTGCTCTTCTTGAATGGCGCGATTGATCACTCGGATAAATCGGCCGACTTTATCAACGTCTTGCTTCGCGGTCTCAATACCGAGAAGCACCTTCTTGATCCCAACACTGATTCGGCTGTCATCAGCCAAACCACCAATGCCCTCGAGGGCTCGAGAGATCTCCTGCGCATCGAATGCACCTGATTTCTCCATCACGTACCGCAGTTCTTCGAAAGAAAGGACATTAGGGACCATGATATCTGAGTTGAAAGAGTTAAAAACATCCAGCTGTTTCATCAAGGCACGCTCAGTGGTCGTGGCAAGGATCAATAGGCGACGACCTTGGGTGGGTGGCTTGCGGAGGAAGACCATCAGAGCCTGAAGCACGTTGTTGCTGAAACGGGGACCAATCGGTACCCAGTCAATGATGCGCTCGATATTGTCCACGACCACAATACTCGTGCGACTCTTATAAGCACTGTCGAAAATGCGGCTAATGTGAGAGATTTTGGCAGCTTCATTGAACCCAACCATATCTTCGGGGCTGATCAACTTGATGAAGGGGAATCCTGAGTCGATAGCCATACGAGCCGCCAATGCCGTCTTTCCGCTTCCAGGAGGTCCATGAAGCAAAACGGAAAATAGTGGAGTTGACTCGGCCTCTCCGACTTGCTTCACAAACAATTCACCCTCACGCAAGATCTCATTGATAGTGTTGGAGTAATGGATCACGCCATACTGAATTCGGCTAGAAAGTTCCTCCTCGGACACACCAAAGGCAGGTTTGACCTCATCGAGAGCATGATGGAAGTCAGAGCGATTGACCTTCATGTTCACAACGTCTTCACTGACACCAGCCATGGTCCCGACCTTGACATGCCGTGAGAAAGCGAAGGAGGATGCTGATTTGACTAATCCGGCGATTTCAGCACCGGAGAAGTTCTTTGTCAATTGAGCCAATTCTTCCAGGTTCACATCGGTATCCATCACGTTGTTGGTGCGCATCTTCTCGGTGTGGATTTTCAGGATTTGGCTTCGGCCCTTCTCATCCGGTAGTGAAATCTCCATGTGCACCTCCAGGCGGCCAGGACGAAGTAAAGCCTCGTCAATCATGTCTTTTCGATTGGTCATACCGATAAGCAAGATGTTGTTGAGCTGATCAACACCGTCCAATTTGGACAACAGCTGATTCACCACGCTATCTCCTACACCAGTACCGCCGCCTGCACCACTTCCACGCTGCTTGCATACAGCATCCAATTCGTCGAAAATGATGATGTGCAGACCACTCTCATCACCTTTCTCTTTATACTCCTTCTCCGCATCGGCGAACATCTTTCTGATGTTCTCTTCGGACTGGCCGACATACTTGTTGAGGACTTCCGGTCCATTGATGATTTTTGGCTCCCGTGCATTTAGCATTTTGCCGATCTGACGAGCAATCAATGTTTTACCAGTACCAGGCGGCCCATAGAGAAGAAGGCCTTTGACGTGCTGGATTCCCAATTTCTCGACGAGTCCCGGTGGGAAGATTCGTGAAGCAAAAGCACGACGGAAGATTGTGCTAAACTCGGAATCCAGACCACCAATGCCCATATCCTCGAATTTGAACCCCGGCTGGATGATAGAGTTTGCTGCTGGCCGGCGGTTGGATGGCTTGACATTGATACCAGTTTGAGTATCTTTGAAGAAATTCAGCTGAGTGTGGCGGGTGATGATGCCTCGAGCCGTGGGATTGGTCTCAGTGTCGCCAGCAGTCATGTTGGGCTTCTCGGATGTCAAGTCCACTCTTTGGACGGTCTTAACTAGGAGGAGGAGCGGAATACTCTTGTGGTCCATGAGGACCCGCTGGCCAGGAGCGAGTATTTGGTTCTCGAAATTCTGTTGTTGTCAGTAAAATGCCCAGTCTGAAAGCTTCCGGACCGAAACCTACCCTGATCACGGCGCTCGTAAGCTCCTCTTGGTCGTAAGGAATCTCCGTCCGCTTCTTGGTCGAAGCGAAGCTGACCTCAATATCCGCAGATCCCAGGTAAGCCTGACCTCCTTGGCTGAAAGGATCATACATCTGCACTTTTATAGCGTCTCGCATACCCACACCAGCCCATGTTCGTTGGGGATCCGACATGCTCATATAGCCGGGAGGGAAGCCCTCCAGTGGCCGGGCAGAAAGTACGTAGAAATCATTGATCAGGAGAGTCAGATCGGCCCCATCTGGTCGAGGTGGAATATCTTGAGGTGAAACAGCAACCCTATAACAATCAATATTGACCAAGTCGCAAGCATTTGGGTCTACTCACAGATTACCAAATGTGAAGTTGTCATTTGGACTCTTGCTTGGGTGAAGTGTCCACGTCCGATCTCCAGCTACACCACCCGGCCCTCCAGTAACGGGTGGGCGCGCTGACATCTGTGGTGAAGGTCCCCCATACGATCTTACTCCATCAAGCGCGTCAGTCATGGATACGTCGTCGTCGCGGGGCCAGCTGGTCCTGTTTGTTGGGGTCAAGCCGTAGGCATCACAATCATACCGTGGGGGTGCTTGGTTAGGGTTTGAATAACCCTGTTGTGAGGGGCGTCCCCCATCGGACCTGCCTCCGAAGGGATTTGGCACAGATGGGGTATTGTTCCGGTTGAACATTATGAGTGATTGAGGTGTCAAGTTGGCCACGAGGGCAGAATTGCGAGTATTCTTGGGGGAAGCTCCGTCACCTCGAGGGGGAACAGCCCCATGGACTGTGGAGCGTTATCGATAAGGCCACCTACAGCTTCCTAGCGTAACCATCCCAGGCCTTGGCAATCAGGCAGCAAAGACAATCCATGTTGCCCTTGCCTACCGTCTACAGTATTCTTTCGATGGAAGATCGTCTTGAACAACTGACAAAAATTGCAGCACTACTTTCTGAGCTATACCTAAGGTAGCTCAGGAGCAGTTCCCGCGTGTCGAAACAAATGATAGCGATGGGTACGCTGGATGTGATCACGATGTCATATATTATCCCGGGAGACTACTCGTGAGCTCTCGGATTTATGGTGTCTATGACTGCCCTCAGTATGGCGTGAGCGATCTGATGAATGATGTCGCCGTCGATGGAGGCTATCTCGACTTTTGTGTCGGTGCCGATCGTGATGATGCCTTCTAGACCTGTCTTTCTCCCGCGATGCGGAACTTCTTTCCGCAGGCGCATCAAGGCTGAAGCCGTCCAGTGTCCCCTCAGACCGGGCCAGTCTGTCTCGGCGATGTCTTGCTTGACGGCGTTCTTCAGTGTCGAATGCTTGCAGCTCTGCCTGTTTTTCTTCCCTCCATCTTTTGCGTTCCTGCTCGGTTGCTCTCAATTGTCGAACTCCCCGTTTCATTGCGGCCAAGGGGTCATTAGAACTCAAGCGCGCTTTCTCCCTTTCTTTGCGCCTGGGGTCTTCATTTCCCCAGACGTCCTTTCCAGATATCGAGTCTGGAGCGACCGCGGCCTGGCTGGCAGAGGAGTACCAAGGCCGACGACCAACTTGCTCTTTGAAGCCTGCCGCGTTGGAAAAGCGCATCGTGTATTGGTCCTCGAAGCGCTTTCTCTTGTCTGCAGCCTCAGCTTCGGCCTCCGGGTTCTTTTCTGTCTTTTGTACCCCAGTTTCCGCGGGAAACAAATTGATATGACCAGTTTTGTCCAACAACGGTGCTTCCGCATCTGTTCCAGCCCCATGAGAAACAATCGCAAGCCTATCCTCCGCATCCCTGGCTTCAGCTGCACGCTCTTTAGCTAGTCGAATATCCCGATCTGTATCGTCCTCCCCTGCAAGTCTTCTTCTTTTGCGAGGCTGCCCTGCGCTGTCAGCATACCTTCCGTGAGGCCCAAGTTTGGATCTCTGGCCAGGACGAGGCTGGGAAGGTGATGTAGGAGGAGGTGGTGGAGACAGCCTTTCTCCACGCAAGATCCGTATACGTCGTTCAGCATCAACTTCCTGCGTACGTCGCTCGGCTTCTTCTTCGCTAGCCTTGGCCCGCGCCTCATCCCGCTTGACGCGCTCGATGTTGTCCGGATTGTAGACATTCCATGATTTCTTTCCAAGAAGATGGCTGTTGACAGTGTCAGCACTACATATGATGGCCTTGAATGTAACTACTCACAGTGGCATTGTGGCGGGGGTTTCTAGAGGGGTAGATGAATTGAGGCAAATACATATCTTCCATGGTTGTTACAGGCCCGCAGGGCTCAGCTTATCGATAAACCTACCCCAGCCGCCCACAACTTTGAACCAACAACGCTCTAACTAATACCTCTTGCACATGTGGAATAAATGTGGGTCCATTGTGACGTTTGCGAGCAACGCCTTTCGACGTTTGACGACCTACTAGTATGAGTCCCTAGAAATGTATGCCCTTGCCGATAATGTCATGTAAAGTGATAGCGAAAGTGTGAGACATGGCCTTCATTTATATTTCATGAACCTCGAACATTTTGTGCAATATGTCGCTTACTGAAGAGACCAGCGCTGCACGCCCTTGATGGTCTCATTCGCCTGCCATTCAATGCTCAAATCCAGAAGGCGGGACCCTTGTTCTTTCTTCTGATATCCAATCTTACCCGTGATCACCTGACCCTTCTTGAGAGGTTGTGGTTCTTGCTTGCTGTAGTCAATCAGGCAGATTGTCTGCTGCCAATGTGTCTCGGTTCCAAATGGACCAGTCGTGAACGCAACGTATCCCTTCTTCTGCATATCAGCGGCAACCACGTTCTCAGGAACGGTTGAATCAGCAGAGGGCATGAAGAAAATGTCGAACCAGATGGCCCACCCATCAAGCGCATCGACGTCTTCACTGAGAGTCACCTTGAAATCCTTCAAGAAGGTCAATTCATCAACAGTGATGGTGTGCAATGGCAGAGAAAGGAAGACGGTCGAGTCCGCAGCAATGGAAGTGGTGGGAACATGGCGCACAAGCGCCTCGTCATGAATGTTCATTTTCATGGCGTCCATCTTGAAGCCGTAAACATTTTTCCAGAATGAGACGTGAGACGCAACAAAGTCCGGATCGGCATAGGGGGCGACACGGAGAGTAGCGTGTGATGGGACCATGAGTCCACCGGGGGCAAGGTACCGGTCACGAGCATAAATAACAGAGTCGAACATGGCTTCGAAGAGGAGAGCATATCCCATCCACTCAGAGATGATGATATCAACCTGCTCGACAGGAAGGGTGACTTCTTCAATCTTGCCGCGAATGCATCTGTGATATCATTAGCTTTCTGACCGAGGGGCAGATCACTGCGAAGGGACTTACGTGATCACATCGCCGAGACCGTTGTCGTACACAATCTCGCGAGCTCGATCGATGATATCAGAATTGTCAACGGAGATGACTTTCTTGGCACCAGCCTTGGCGCAGAACATGGACAAGATTCCTGTTCCACATCCCACATCCAGGACGACCTTATCCTTAAAGAGATGCTTGTTCTCGTACACAAAGTCGCGATAAGCATCAGTACGAATAGCGTCCTTGAGCATGGATTCGTGAATGGCTATCGCGCGCGACCAATGTTAGCGAGGACCGATCAATGGGCTCAATAGCAATACGACTTACTGTTGTAAGAGTAGGAGGTGAAATAGTCGGCATCGGCATCTTCCAGCCGATCCTTCACCGGGCGCTTCGAATTCTCTCCAGGCTCCAGCTTTTGATCCTCCTGATTCAATTGGTCGTCCAGGGACTTTTGCACGGCAAGTCTGTATTCAGAGAACTGAGTCTGTAGGCGTTCCAATTCCTCCTGCAGCTCCAGGACCTTGCGCTCAGCCTCAGTTCCCGGCAGAGTTTGCTCGTTTTGTTCCTCGGTAATATCATCCAAGCTGTAGAGAACAGCGTCATCCTCCAAAACAGGCTTCAGGTAGGCATCATCCGCAAACTTCTCTTTGGTGGAAACGTCAGGAGACAGATTGCCGGCCTTGGCCTCGGATCTAACGTAGTTGACCAGCTTGATGGTATCGAGGAAATCTAAGCCTGTAACACATGTTCAAGATTAGTATGATTTTCACAAAATCAGACCTATGTAAGCATGAAGACTGTCACGGTGGTCAAAAGAAGACTGATTCGTAAGGAAATACGCGAATGGCAGAGAAATTGCATACCAAGGTCTTTCTGAATCTTGACCAAGTCGAAACCATTCTTTTCTTTGCATTCTTTGAGCATGGCTCGCAGATCAGGGAAGATAGCGTTTGAGAATAAACCGACGACAGGCTGAGACTCGTCCTCGGGCTCAACGTCCTCCCATCCCTCTTCATTACTGCTGTCCGAATCGTCCGACACCGAGCGGACATCGGCGGGAAGGTCCCTGACAGGAAGATCAGTGGACTGCATAGAGGATGCCATTTCTGAGTCTCTGCAGCGCTGTATTTAGAAAAATCGTGGACAGTCACAACAGTCGCAAGGTCACTTTGAACTGGAGTTTGGCGGGGCAGGAGAAATTGACCGATAAAACGAAGAAAAAAAATCCGTTATCGCTGATTGCGGCCTGAGGCAAGTGGTTGCCCCGCTCCCGTTTGTTTATATCGCCTGCAAGGCGATCCATCGCTACATCATCCTCGGCAGACTACTGTCCATCGCATCGTGAATTCTTCCAGGCACCTTGACACTTCAGTGGGTGATCTTTTGACCACAATGTCATTTTTCTTCAATCGCGCTCGGTCGCGTCAACCGGCAGATGTTGTTCGCTCGACAAAGGAATTATTGCTAAGGGTGCAAGAAGCGCCTGGCAACCCCAAGGTACAGACAGGATTCTTGCGCTTCGATTAGACAAGAAATTTGTGCTGACTATCTGCTAGGCTGATGAGGAACTAGCGAAGCAGCTGGGGCAAATGAAGATCATTGTTCAAGGGACTCAGGGTTAGTTTAGCTCTGATTTGTTTTGCCCTCTCTCACTCGAACTTCCTCGGGGCTTTCGTCTCTGTCTAGATTGGGTCAACGTATGGAGCACAGCTAACCCGATTCAATTCTACCAGAAATCACAACATCGCCTGAACAGGTCCACGCACTTGTACAAGCAACACTTCAAGAGGATTTGCTCTTTGATCTCTCACGAACTATTCACCTACTTCCCTTCGAGGCTCGCAAAGACACCCAAACCATATTCTCTCACATCCTCCGCTTTCGCCCGGCGTCCTATGCGCCGGACAAAGATCCGCCTGTGATCTCATATATTGTGCATAACCGGCCGGAAATTCTTGTCGAACTATGTCGCGGCTACAACCAGAGCCAGAGTGCTATGCCTTGCGGAGTGATTCTGCGGGAAGCCCTGAAGTTTGACGTGGTCACGGCAGTGATCTTGTACGACCAATCGAGGGAAGACGAGCCTGCGGTACGACTGTCAGAGCTGAAACCTAGCCTTCCTCAGAGTGGAAATGGTGTCTTTTGGGACTTCTTTCACTGGATCGACAAGAGCAATTTTGAGGTCAGCGCGGATGCTTTCACGACATTCCGGGTATGACATCTTTCCGTCGAGCCAGCGAGCTGGATGAGCGCTAATTTTGTCGATGGCAGGAAATTCTCACACGCCATAAAAGCCTTGTGACAGCCTATCTCGCGACCAATTTTGACCTCTTCTTCAGCAGATTTAACAGTGTTCTCATCCAGTCAGAATCCTATGTTACGAAGCGCCAAAGCATCAAACTACTGGGTGAAATCTTGCTGGATCGGGCCAACTACAACGTCATGATGGCATATGTCGAGAGCGGAGATAATCTCAAGCTTTGTATGAAGCTCTTGCGCGATGATCGCAAGATGGTACAATACGAAGGATTCCATGTATTCAAGGTACGTTCACTGCAAACCCACTGCATCCTAACTCCCGGCATGATGAACATATTCGAAGAGGGTCAAGCTAAATGAGTCAGGTTTTTGTCGCCAATCCAAACAAATCGGTTGCAGTACAGCGGATACTCATCAACAACCGAGACCGACTACTTCGGTTTCTGCCCAAATTCCTCGAAGATCGGACAGATGATGACCAATTCACCGACGAGAAAAGTTTTTTGGTGCGCCAGATCGAACTTCTGCCACGGGAACCTGTTGATCGAGGCCGTCCCACCCGGGACGCCCAACCCGGGCACAACACGGCGGCAGCAGCTTGAGCCTAATTAGCATCCATGCGCAACGAGTGGAGAACCTCATCTCGTTTCTAAATGACTGCCCAATTTCTATTGCTCAATACTCAAGCCAAATGCGTGGCTGACAAAGACTGTCCGCCGGTCTACTGGTGTATCGAAGCGTTCATACCCTTGCATAAGGAGCTGATGGTGTTCCTCATACTAGCCTCAGCTGCCGGAGTTTCTGTTTCTGTCGTTTCTGGGTCTTTTCCAATCCATTCCTCCGATTTTAATACGGGGCATTGTTTTCTCCTGTACATGGCCCTACAAAGTACTAAGTACAATGAAGCCCTGAGAATGCACGACACGAGCTAGGCGATTTCCGCATATTGAGACCGTCCGGTGTCTCTCGGTTCAGTTCAATCTGCGCCTCATAGCCAGAATAGTCTCTCTAGATACTGCAAATTTCAATCTTACCTTGTAGTCCACGCGGTCGCCCTTCATTTTCCCGTCGCCTGACTCAAAACAAGTCAAGTCTTGTCTTAATCCACGTCATTCTCGGGCGCAACACAGTCACTGCGCTGCTGGCCACATGTGAAAGATCTTGCTTGTTTGGCAATCGCTGAGTTCCAGACTTCCGATACAAACCTAAGCACGCTTAGCGTGCTCCACTTCATCTCCTGGACCAAACTTTCGGCAGTCTCTCAGCGTTCTTTTGCTGAAGGCCCACCAGGTGCATACAAGCCCGGTGGGACCGGCCATCCGTTTCCTAACAAAAACAAGAAGGATGCCGCGTGCAGTACAGCATGCAGCCATGCTTGAATGTTGTATTCGCCTGCCTTGAATTGAACATGGGAGGGGGCGCTTGTACATTATCGAAGCCCTCTTTTGCATCTTATCTGCCAACATGTCCACTTTCATGCAACCTGGGGGCACGTAGGTCACATTGCTCTCATGCAAAGAAAATTCCGTGACGCACTAGCTTCGTACCTGGTACCTCCGCAGTGCATGCGCCTGGCCCCCCTTTCCAATGTTTCCACTGTACCTCGCAACTAGTAGTACGTACTCGGTGCCTGGAATGGAATGAGCTTGCTGCCAAGACTCCACATCTCCGGGCCCTCGCCAGGAGCCAAACTAATTTTGTTCAAAGCAAATGACCCTGACAAGACAGCGATCGTTGCTGAACCCCTGTGTCCTGAGCTGTGCAGGCAGTTGTCGCTGTGGTGACCATCCCGTTCACGTTTCACGCTCTTTGCCACTCCAGGGTTCCTAAGTCATGCTGGGATAATGACAGTCGAGGCAGCCTCGTCCCTATCGCCAGGCTCGCATTTGGCCTCGGCAACTCCAGCTCTGCGAAACGGCGAGACTGCAGTAGGACAGCGACCGTACACCACTCGATCTGTCTCTCTACCAACGCCGTCAGAGACACCGATTGAACCAAATGGCCGATCCTTCAGCACCAGCGCCGCCCCTCCAGATATCACTGATCGTCCTGTGACAGCGCGTTCGCTGCGCAGGATTAACCCGAATGAAGGAGAACCGACAACATTGTCACAGACAGGTCGGGACGATGGGAAACTGCTTCCAGGAGACAACAGCGAATGCGAGGCCCCATCCCTTCGCAGTGTGCCTAGCATCGTCATCAACGAGAGTGGCCGTCCGAGTTCGCGACCCGGGTCAAGATGGTCAGAGCGCAGATGGGGTGGATTGAAAAAGAGATCGATGGAGCTGGAACGCAAAATCAGCACAGGTGAACTGCCGCCGGTGCCCCGCATCGAGCCTGACTTCAACGGAATCAGTTTGGATATCCCGAATGCCTCACTCGGTGAAATTGAACAAGGACTGAAATTCTCCACTCGAGGCAGCCTGATCAGGGACCGATCAAAGCGCCCGTATCCCGCCATTGCAAAGAGCCTACATGCCCAGGAAGCATTAAAGGAGAATGCGCCGCGTCATCCAAGTGGTGTGACTGCTTTGCCTGCGATTGACCTGGTCCGAGATTCGGAAGATGCCCATGCGACTGGAAATCTCGATGTGAAAGAGACAAGTGAAAACTCAAGCCAGGAAAGTACAGGACTTACTGCACCTATAGCTATTCCTCGAGTCAGACCGCAGAGCTCTCTTCGTCCACGGCAATCGAGTCTCCAGAGCCGTGCAATATCCGCCGACGAAGACATGCTTTCGCGCCGTGTCCGGCTCATGTATGAGAAAGGCGATGACAACGTCACCGATTCTGAAGTTGCAAGAGCAATGGCCTCTGACAATGGAATCTTGTGGGAGGAGCCGGCAACTGTCGACATTGAGACTGCTTCTACGCCTGCGCCTGAAATCCATCACAATGACCACAAGGGACGAGCCTCGGAAGAGGTTGAGCGTCTCAGGATGAAACGCGAGACGAGGGAACTAGCTGGCGGCATCGAATACTGGCAGGACGTGGGTGTAGGACAAGTAGACCGCTACGGTTTCATTCACACATCAAGTGATGAACCACATCCCCTTCAACGAGTGACGACGAGCCTGCTCCTGGCGTCTGAAGCCCCGCGAAGAAAACGCTCGATTCGGCCGCCAACTGCCAGGGCCAGCACCCGCTCTTTCAGCGCTCGACCACCTACGCAAGATTCTTACAAGGAACCTACAGCTGGCCGCCCAGCCTCGTCAGCCAGCACGCGTAGTATGCCAGTCCGGCGGTCCACATCTCGCCTTCGTTCCGCCACCAATCATCTTCCCCATAATTGGGATCGGAAAGCCAAGGATGAGGCGGGAGACATGCTCACTTTACCTGGAGATGCTTTCGATGCTGGCCCCGACACACCCTCGGCACGTGCAATGCGCCGCAAAGAATGGCAACGTGAAGACAAATGGACCAAGATGGCCATTCCGGTCAAAAAGAGCCGCGATGGTGGCGGGATGAAGTTCGAATTCGACACTCGCAGCTCCAAATTGATTGAACGAACATGGAAAGGCATTCCTGACCGGTGGCGTTCGACCGCATGGTACTCTTTCCTCGAAACTAGCGCCAAGCGTCACCCAGATAGCCCTACTGAAGACACATTGATTGAGGCCTTTCGTGATTACCAATATGTATCGTCCCCGGACGATGTACAGATTGACATCGACGTCCCTCGCACTATCACGAGTCACATCATGTTTCGTCGGCGCTATCGAGGTGGCCAACGGCTGCTGTTCCGGGTGCTTCACGCGATGTCGTTATATTTCCCAGACACTGGCTATGTGCAAGGCATGGCTGCTCTCGCAGCTACTTTATTGGCATATTATGATGAAGAGCACGCTTTCGTTATGCTCGCCCGGCTGTGGGAGCTACGAGGCCTAGGAGAATTATACAAGTCAGGTTTTGCAGGGCTCATGGAAGCTCTGGATGATTTTGAGCGGGAGTGGCTCGCTGGTGGTGAGGTAGCCATAAAATTGGTTAGTATTGCCTTCTCCACAAATTACACCTAATATGACGGGCACTGACATGTTGGGGGGAACAGAACGAGGTTGGCATTCCACCGACAACTTACGGAACCAAATGGTACCTCACCCTTTTCAACTATTCCATTCCTTTCGCTGCTCAACTTCGTGTTTGGGACGTGTTCATGCTTCTTGGAGATGCGGAAGACCTCACCGCTGCCCCTCATACTGTTGCTTCACATGGCAAAGAGAAAGAGACATCGTCGCCGGCTCGCGCAAGCACATTCGGGCAAGGTCTCGACGTACTCCATGCGACATCTGCTGCCCTAATCGATGGCATGCGGGAGATAATTCTCGAGTCCGACTTTGAAAACAGCATGAAGGTTCTTACCAGCTGGGTCCCAATCAAAGACATTGAGATATTCATGCGTGTTGCCAAAGCCGAATGGAAAGTGCACCGTCGCAAGAAGCTGACTTGATCCCCTCTGATCACTCCGACATAATCACGTTGGGCTTTAATTATTTCATAATCGCTTTCACGGCCGTCTGATACCCTAATGACTGAAATCTACTTTCGAAGCCCTATACCTGATGTCTAATATCCTGATACCCGCTTTGTCTTCTTTCCGGTCTTCACATGATCTATACCAGAGGATAACCCTCGTTCTACGAGGGCCCATTTACTTTCATTTTGCAACTTTCTCCTTGCCTTCACACCAAAGTCATGTCACCTAATTATTCAAATCCCCTTGGTGTTTTCTAATCAGCAATTCCAAGCAGTTGCCATTATGACTTCTCGACTTCATTCTCTAGCTTTTGATTCTGCACCTTCCCACAGGTAGATTTCTCGCACGAATGTGTCTAAGTTGTCCGTGTTGATGTCTCTAGTTGGGCAAAGCCTTGTCACGCAAACCAATTGGAGGCAATGATGGGAAATACGTCAACAAAAACCTCATTCACTCGAACTCAACAATCGTGTTTGCATTAACAATCAAGGAAGGTCACTGAGCGGTTACTGATGTCGGCATAATATCAAGTGCAGGAACGAGCAATGGGCTCTCAGTGTTTTTCATTGTATCGACAAGCAGGCAAAAAAACCGATCAAACCATTGAAAGAGATCTGCAACCGCGCCTAGCCTAGCAGTCCTTTCCCAGTTTTGGCACCCAGATTGCCCTTGTCTACATACGCCGTCTTGAGCCAATCCTTTGGGCGAGGATCGGTGTGAAGTTCCTGGGAATAGACAGTCTCGATATTGTAAACTGTATCCAGGCCGACCATATCCATCATCTGACAAGGTCCCTTGTTCGCCTGGAACCACGACTTGAACATCTCGTCAATTGTTCCGCCATCGGTGATCCCTTCCGACAAGACCAAGAGACACTCGCGCTTGATCCCGGCCCAGATGCGATTAAACACCAGTCCGGTCGACTCCTTTCGCGCATGCACAGGCTTGAAACCTGCGGCGGCGGCTTTTTCCATCAAAAAGGGGAAGATATCTGGGTCCGTTTCTCCACACGACATCACCTCAAAGTAGAGTTGCTCGGGCGGCATGTAGTAATGACCGTTACAGATACGATAGTTTCGCTTTGTGTTGACGAGCATCTGGCTCGAGCGCAGAGACGACGAGTTTGACGCGATGATGCAATCTGGAGGTGCCAGATGATCAAGCTGACCGATGAGATCGATCTTGAGTTCCAGAATCTCCGGCACCGCCTCAATGACCATCCAAGCGCTTTCAATGGCCTCTTCCATCGAAGTTGTGAAGCGACCGGTGCCTGGCTTGGTGCCCAGCTTGGCGGCTTGCTTTTCCACGTTGTTCTTGATGTACTGGAGGGCTGGCTCGTGGTTGCTAGCTTGCTTTTCGCAGAGGATCACATTGTATCCAGCAGCAAGCCACATCATGGCAATCCGCCGGCCCATGATGCCGGCACCTATGATCGCAATTGGGCGATTTCGGGTGTCGGGCCTGCTCCAGGGAGTCGCCGAGGGCATGTTGAGATGTGTGGGTATTTTTTTTTCTGTGTTTGGAATGGGTGTCTTTCTTTGCCCTTTTGTGTCAAGTAGAAAAAGAGTGCTTCTGAGAGCCTATTCGAGTTGGACGAGACTCCAAATGACCCAAAGCTGGGACAGTGATGATGAGATGACATTGAATGACATCTCCTGTCCGCCAACACCATATGTGCTCATGATGATTCCAGGCCGGGAAGAGCTTTGGTTCGCTCAGTGGCGAAGCCATCGCTGCACCAGCTCAATTTCTCGGAGGGTTTCATCTGACCGCTAACAACAGTGAGGAAAGTCGAATGAAGATGTGGTGATAATTGAACCGTGGCCCAGACTGAAAAGTAGGCATCCCTCTTAGACGCGGAGCAGAAGCCCTAGAAGCCTTCAATCAATATGATAGAGACTGAGCGAAGAACATGAGTTGCAGTAGCTTGGTTAAGCCCAAGTCACGCGGTTCTTGGCTCTTCGGAGCCGTACAGCATCACATGACACCTTGAGCATTTCGCGTGCAATTCAAGCTCCTCGACTTCAATGCTGTTGGAGATATTTTGCCAGCTGGTTTTGCACTGCACAGAAGTCACCTGTCTTGGTCCTCGTTGAGTGGTCATGCTTTCCGGATCAGAACCGATTGCGACCGGATCAGAACCGCTGCGCTGCACGATCAGCCTCGGATCCGAGAAGTCTATTCAACCCACTCGTACTCTCCATCCAGAATGACTGATTGTCGTCGTCGAGCTGCCCAGCGGAAAGGTCATGAGTCCCCAGGATTCGGATCCTCGACGCCTTCCATACGACTTATTGTAACTTTGGCCAGACAATGAGCAAATAACTTCCAGGAATGATAGGTCAATGGTCCATCTGACAAATGCCGAAGCCAAGATTAAACATGCTTTTAGCGTCTCAGTCTGGCGTCAGTGCGGTGAATGATAGGATCCCCGGCCAGAGTGCGCCACCGTTACCGCAGCTACATTCCACGCGATTCCCGTGGAGCTGGAAGACGAAGAAGTACTGGAAGTTCGACGCGAAACGACCGAAATGGACATCTCGGGGAGGAGTGACGACCTTGTCCACTACTCCAAGATCCAGCCATGTGGATGAGTTAATTCCAAAAGATCTTGTTCCAGCTCTTTGAATCTTGCTGTGCACAAGCTCCGGCTTCGTTTCCAATTCCCCACAGTCCAGGCCCGTCGCCCCGAATTCGCTGTGGGGTAAAGCTTCCCCCGCAGAAATCGAACGTTAATTTAGGAGTACTCGAGACCGCCCTATATAAAAACCCCCTCGGAGTCCCAAAGCTGTCGTTGCTGATCTTCTGAGGATTTCCAAGCAAGAGTCTTTGTTAAACGGCTCATCTGTCCGCTATCTTGCCGCGGGTCCGCGACATAATGCCTGGCTCCACCGATGTATCGCTGGAGGGGAAGACCGCTGAGTACCGACTCGAAGATAAGCGGGTCTCATCCTACGATGAAAAGCATACCGATCGGGAGATGGCTATCGTGAGCCCTTCCTCATTTGAAGGAATTGACGAAGCCGCCGTCCTGCGCAAAATGGATCTCCGGTTGATTCCTATGCTGAGTATCTTGTATCTGCTCGCGTTCTTGGATCGAGGCAACATTGGAAATGCCAAGGTGGAGGGTCTGTTGGAGGATTTGCACATGACGGGACCACAATTCAACTGGACATGTACGTGATCGCCGACTGAACGCTACGAAGAGACTCGCGTATCCGAAACTCATTCTGAACCCTTTCATTTTTATAGTGACGGTGTTCTTTTTCACCTATTGCGCCTTTGAGCTGCCCAGCAACTTGATGTTGAAGAAATTGCGACCTTCGCGATGGCTCCCGTTGATCATGATTGCCTGGGGTATTGTCATGGTGAGCGAGTCCAAGCATTTGCAGGATAGATAAATTGTCTGGCAGCATGACAAGATACTGACCTTTCTCAATCAACAGACACTGATGGGAATTGTTCAAAGTTATGGTGGTCTACTTGCAACTCGTCTTGCGCTTGGCATTACTGGTAGGCGATACCTCCCCTTCAGGTTGATCAACTCGAAAACTAATCTGACCTCCGCTTAAAATATAGAGGCTGGACTGTACCCTGGTGTTGCCTACTACATCACATTGTGGTATCCTCGTCAACGGGCACAGTACCGCCAAGCCCTTTTTTTCAGCGCTGCTAGCGTCGCTGGAGCCTTCTCCGGACTGCTCGCTTTTGCTATTGCCGTGAGTCAAAAACAGCGCTCTGGCAAGTCGCAGATCACGTCACTGACCTTGTATGGCAGAAAATGGATGGTATTGCCGGCTTAGGAGGCTGGCGTTGGATCTTCATCCTGGAGGGTCTACTGACAGTCGCCGTGGCCCTTGTTGCCCCTTTTGCTATTCATGATTCTCCCGAGACCGCCACTTTCTTAACAGAGCAGGAAAGAGCCTGGGTTATCCACAAACTGCGTACTCAGAACTCGGTCGATGGTCGTGAGGTCATTCGCGATGAGTCCACCTTCAAGATGCAATATGTCGTTGACGCGTTCAAGGACTGGCAGATCTGGCTGGGATTATTGAGTGAGTACCTCTGTTCAAAATCGCCGTACTTGAAACGAGCAAGGGGGGGGGGGGGGGGGGGGAGAAAGAAAAGAAACTTTGTATCAATCATATGCTGACAATGCAATTCGCGACATAGTGTACTGGGGTATCACATGCCCTCTGTACGGCATCTCCTTCTTCCTACCATCCATCATCAAGGACTTGGGCTACAAGTCATCTACGGCTCAGCTCTTGACCGTAAGTCTTTCCGGCTTCTCGGCCTAGAGGGCAAGCGAACAGACTCTCTGACCAATCTGCACTAGGTGCCCATCTACATCACCGCCGCTATTGTTGCCGTCGGCGCGGCCTGGTTCTCTGATAAACGCAAGCAGCGCTCTCCATCTATTCTGTTCTTCATGTCTATGATCGCCATTGGTTTCATCATCGTCATTTCATCCATCGGACGCGGTGTTCCGGGAGTGGTTTACGCTGGCGTGTTCATTGCTGTCGTTGGTAAGTCTGCAACGTCAAGCAAATCCCGCAAGCGAATCTTATCTAACCCTGACTCGTCCATCACAGGAATCTATCCCGCCTTCCCCGGTAACGTCACTTGGCTCAGTGTCAACATGGCAGGCGATTACAAGCGTGCCGCCGGCATGGCCATTCACATTGGTCTGGGCAATCTCGCTGGAGGTATGTTTCTTCACGATCCTTTCTCTACTTTCTCTCTTTCCGTCCTTTTATTCTTTGGCCGCTCGCGAACCCATATGTGGTGTACTTCCCTCGCACATTCAACTCTAACAACGCCTTCCACTCCCAGCCATGTCCTCCAACTTCTACCGCGCCAAAGACGCCCCGAACTACTTCATGGGCCATGCCCTGGAGCTCGGCTTCGTAGTAGTCGGCATGATAGCCGTCGTCATCATGCGTTTCACCTACAAACGCATCAACACCAAGCGTGACCAGCTCGATCCCGCGCAGTATCCCGATGACCCTGATTCCCTGGGCGACCGGTCGCCTTTGTTCAGGTACATGCTCTAGTCTGGGTACTAGCCTTTGCAGTTGGGGACTGCGTTCGTTGCTACTAGGTCTGAGATGCTTGTTGGTTGCAGATCAGCTGGTGATTGATTAATATAATATTGGCCTTGCTTTGTGTATGTAACTATGTATATCAGTAAGGTTTCTTGTTGAATATAGCACTCAACGTAATGTACAGACTCTATCCCTAGTAGATCCATGCTGACTGGTTGTCTTTGGTTGTTCAAGCTTGACTGCCCCCCAAATGACATACTCAAATTGTAAAATCCAGGAATTGACGTCCTGCATCGTTTCACCCGTCCCCGGCTCTGTAGACGCTGACAAGTCTCGCCGCAGCCTGCCTTAGGCAAGCTCTCAAGTCACTTGACGGATGTTCGAATCCCATTTGTAAGCCACAGAATGAATAAGGTATTCCATGCATACAGACGCAGTACACTACGATATAGAGACTCATGAAGTCAATGCCCTGATCAGAATTGTTTCGATTGCTTGATTGACTTCTGATTCAGGTCTGTCACAAATGAATGTCAAAGCAACTCAAAGTCTGCAGTCAGCATCAAGTGCATTATGAGCAAGGAACGCAATAACTGAAACTCTTAGCATGACACAATCAGTGGAAAAGTGAATAAAGCAACTTGGAGCAAGTTCAAGTCCAAAGGCAAAAAAAAAAAGCAAGCGTCAACGTAACAGAAGGAAGAGTAAAACCAACAGGAAGTGACAACATCATGAAAATACTCAATAGCAATGAGTGAGCCGCGACTGTATCACAAGTTTCAGCAAGAGCAAAGCGAGAGAGTTGAGACACAAGTCGATAAAAGATCTTTGACAATAATGAATGACCACCTCAAACTCCACACTGAGAGAAAACAATCACGAGACACCGCAAAAGAAAAGAAAAGAATATTCAAGCGAGTTTTTCCATCGCATATCCCCGCGGTATGCTGTTTCGGCCTGCCAGAGCCATATCATCTCCTCTGGGGAGGTCATCCCTCACACATCACCCTCAGAACGCAGGCAGAGCTCTGCCAGTTTTCTGTCATGGACGGACTCTCAGTCTGTATCGTCGACGATCATGACATCGTCGTCCTGATTGCTGTGACTGCTGTTGTGAAGCGCTTCACGATCTTGATCGCTTTCGTACTCGCTGCCGGTGTGTGGATCGTCGTAGTAAGACTCGTAGTCTTCGGGATCAGTCGATTCCTCATCGCTTGCATCATAGGTGGTATCGATCATCATGTCCTCGATGGAGTGCTCCACCTTCTGTGCAGAGGGTGTCCAAACGATGATTGGAAAGCGGAAGCGACGCACTTGTCCAGGTGGGTTTGAAGCCGACAGGCGTGATCGGTGTTGAGCACGAGGCCTTGGAGCGCCGCGAGGAAAACAAGTGACAGCTTTCAGTGTCTCCCGACGGGAGATTTCATTTGCTGCGGATTGAGAGAACTCCGGAGACGAGGTTGGATTGTTGGAGAATCCGGACACGTCATTTCGCGAGTGCACCTGGAATGAGCCCTGCCAATTCTTCTGGGTTATCTCTGCAGGTTTCTGAGGCTGCTGATCTGCGCTTTTGTTGAAAGGATCTGATGCTTCGGGGGGCGGAGTCAGGATCGCCGGTACAGGCGGCTGGGTAGGCTGCTGATTCAGGACTGGTGAAATGGCTCGAAGGCGTCTGCGGATTGAAACAGGCAGGTCCTGTGGCAAGTTGTCCGGGTTGAGACGCCCATTGAATAGGCCGTTCATGCTGTCCATAAGAGCGGGACAAAGATCAGGACTCATTCCTGCACAGAGTGCGTCAACGAGAATCCCATGTTCGATCTTCCGCCGCTCCAGCTTCATGGCTTCCTGGCGGCTCTTCTCCAGTTCTTGACCGCGACGAGATTCTTCCCATGCAATTGCCCACTGCCAGGCTCTCAAATAGTGCCGCAGAGCCTCGGCATCAGTCTTTGGGAGGGGTGGTCTCGTGACCATGGCGATTTGGTGAGGATAGGGCATGTTCGCTTGCTTTTTAAGAAAATGATTGTTGGTATGAATGTCTTGTGGAGCCTGAAATGAATGATTGCGGTGGTTTGAGATGGAGGGTTGAGAATGCTGAAGGTGAAGGAGCGAGAGTTGCTCGAGATGGGAGGCCGTTGTTTATATTCCGTGGTGAGGAGAGCTTCGGAAGGCGCGATTGTAGGCACACGGATTGACCCCAGACCTACCGTAACTGCTTGTCGTGTGCCTCTCTCATGAAGCATTGGTCCACATTGCATAATTTGAGGCTGGCTTCTTTCTGATCTGTCGACGGTGTTCCCGGTCCAACCTGAAAGAGCGTTGAAGAGGTCCTTGGAAGTTGTTGCTGTGGTTGGACCTGTCGTGAGAACAGATGTCAATATTGGTTCAGACATGGCCGAATCTCATTCCATACACCGGAGCCCTTTTATGTCTTCCACCTTACAACCCAGACTTTTAAAAAGCGCCGACTACCCAGGCACTCATGAATGAGAATCTAGTGCCGGGCCTTCGTGTACATGTACATGGAAGCTTGGATGCAGAGTCTCGGCATCTGCTCATCGTCATTTGAGTACTGGTATGTTGTTAAGGAGAGCATCACGCTTGAATATTACAGGGCATTAGTTGCAAGAATAAACGCTGTCAATGCTTCGCAAGCCAATGAATACCTATACTGAACTGAACCGCCGCTCGAGGCCTTTTCCAGACGAAAAGAAAAAGAAGAAGAAGTCTTGATTCTGTCGTTCATCATTGTTTGATTGTTCCTGTATCTCCCGCACAGCGTCAAGCTCTGCAGCCTTTAGTAAACCTCTCGAGATTTAATGTTACCATCGGCGAGACCATCGCCGACAACAAGGCTGTGATGATCATTAGGGGGTTGCAACCCCCCAGTTTCCACAAGAAGATCCCCCAGTGCCCACAAGTTGATTTCGAATCCCCGGGCCCTGTTCCCTTGCAAGTCCTCCCATCGTCCCCTACCAAAGGCCGAGCCCCTTGTCGTCGGGGCGCCTCCCACCCACCGCCGGCCTCGTCGTTGTTGTCGTTGTCGTTCCTCGTCGTCATGGTCGTGCCCTCCCACCCACCTCAGTTGAAGTCGAAGTCGCGTTCCCCCCTGTCTTCTCGGTTCAGTCGATGGCTGAAGCAAGAGGGTAAACTTTAGATGTTGATAACGACGATAACTCTGGAAATGAAATCTGAAGGATGGGGTAGTGAGAGAGGGGGCGGATATAGAGGAACGTAGGATCTAGAGGAAGACTGAAGAGAGAAGAGAGAAGAGAGAAGAGAGAAGAGAGAAGAGAGAAGAGAGAAGAGAGAAGAGAGAAGAGAGAAGAGAGAAGAGAGAAGAGAGAAGAGGGAAGAGGGAAGAGGGAAGAGAGAAGAGAGAAGAGGGAAGAGAGAAGAGAGAAGAGAGAAGAGAGAAGAGTGAAGAGTAAGAGTGAAGAGTAAGAGTAAAGTAGAAGAGTAAAGAGGAAGAGTAAAGAGGAAGAGTGAAGAGTAAGAGTAAAGTAGAAGAGTAAAGAGGAAGAGTAAAGAGGAAGAGTAAAGAGGAAGAGTAAAGAGGAAGAGTAAAGAGGAAGAGTAAAGAGGAAGAGTAAAGAGGAAGAGTAAAGAGGAAGAGTAAAGAGGAAGAGTAAAGAGGGAGAGTAAAGAGGGAGAGTAAGGAGCAAGAGTAAGGAGCAAGAGTAAGGAGCAAGAGTAAGGAGAAAGAGTAATGGTAAAGCTTAGAGTAAAAAGGAAGAGCGGAATTCAAAAATACCTTATGAGGATATACCCAGCATTTGGGACTACTTTGCCCGTAGTCTTCTATCTAATGCGTTAATCACCTGTCTGCCAAGTCTATAGTGAGAAAAGGACAGGATATCATGGACGGAGGTTCTGGTCACAAGGCGAGCCGGAGTTGATAGTAGCCATATGCAATCAAACTTGGACTTGTGACCTCCACATATCATGGGTAGTAAGCGTGTAACTCTTCAAATCATAAAAGCATAGAAAGGACATACATGTTGATGGATAGATGACAGGGCTCTCCATTGCTCTTCTACATTGGATCAGATTCTGAAACGTCAGGAGCGTACAAGGACGCTGGACCAGGTACGCCCTTAAAGAAGACTACGTATCGTAAGCTATCTATGGCAGCAAAGTACAAGTCAGGTGAGAGGGTGTGAGAACGAGGGAAGTGAAAGGGCAGTGAGCTCGAGCGATAGACTCGTCATTGCTCATGGGTGATAAGGGACAGTGCATGGAGCAGGATCCAGGATAAAAGAGAAAGATGTAATGGGAGATGCAAGGGAATAAGATGCAGAGAAAGGACAGAGTCAAAGCTGAAAAGGTAAAGAGCAGAGTGGGATGTTAGCAAACCCTCAGAGCCAACAACGGTCTTGTATCTGATAGACTTCGTTGTAAGCTGTTTTCATCATCGGGTTGCAACCCCCCAGTGCCCGCAAGAAGATCCCCCAGTAGCCCACTGAAGCCCCCAGTGCCCACAAGTTTTTGTCGAATCCCCGGGCCCTGTTCCCTTGCAAGTCCTCCCATCGTCCCCTACCAAAGTCCGAGCCCCTTGTCGTCGGGGCGCCTCCCACCCACCGCCGGCCTCGTCGTCGTCGTTGTGCCCTCCCACCCACCTCAGTCGAAGTTGCAGTCGAAGTCGCAGTCGAAGTCGCAGTCGAAGTCGCAGTCGAAGTCGCAGTCGAAGTCGCAATCGAAGTCGAAGTGAAGTCGCGTCCCCCCTCTCTCTTCTCTGTCATTCCACCTCCCACCTTCCCTTCAAACAGCCCTCTCTCCTCCTCCAGTTCCAAAAAAAAAGGTTTGAAACCAACCAATGGATGCTTCAAAAAAAAACGCAGAGCCAAAGGTAAAGAAAACGACCGCTCACTGCCAGCTACCAAGTCCGGTGTAGAACAAGGCTTCCATTGGCAAATGAATAAGAAAAGAAACTCCGCTGGATACTTTCAATAAAAAAGAAAACCAAGCATAGCCAGAACGGAGAGAATACCCAAAAAAAAAAAAGAGACTGTTCACTACCTGCTACCAAGTCGGGTGTACGACAAGGCTTCCAAAGGCAAATGACAGTCGACCTGGTGGATGCCTCTTCTCTTCAAAGAAGAAAAGCAAGCAGAGCCACAACCAGACTCATCACTCTCCTCTCTGCCTCAGCTCTGATCCACTGAGGGGGAGCAGGACTTATAAGAGTTAAGTGCGAGTTGGATTGGGGGTTGCTTGAAAAAAAAAAAAAAGAAAACCAAGCAGAGCCCACACCCAGGTGATCCAAACCCACTACCTGCTGCTCAACCTTCGATGTGGTGAGGTGAGAACTCCAAAGGTAAATGGGAATGGGTTGGGGGAAAAAAGAAAGGAAAGAAGAAAAAGTGGGAGGATGGGAGATTTTATACCCTCGCTCTCCACGCCGGTAGAAAAGCAAACATTCGCGTGTCACGCTCGTGGGCAAACATCAACATCAACAATATCAACGACACCACCATGGCAGAATTAATCTGTTGATTTCTAGGCAAACGACTCTGGCTTGGTGTGGTCTCAGCCCACGGCAAGTTCCATGCTGGTATTGCCTGAAGGCCCAGTCTGCTCGTGTTGATTCGATTTCCTAATCGGGCCCAACTGGGACACACTCACGACAGAGACAGGATCTCAGCTCATATCCATAGCTCTCACGCAGAGTAATCACAAACATAGCAACCTCAACATAGCTGGGCAACTTCGACAGTGCATCATCACCTGGCCTTGGGACACGGTACGTTATTGACCAACCTCTCGAGATCTTCTATCATCACAATATTGATCTTGTCTCAGATGAACTCGGATTCTCAAGTCCGCGGAACGATCGATGAGATCTCATTTACCAAATCCTCTTCGGTCATGATCCAGATTTTCGCCTCTCTAATAACTTGCATACAAATCACGGACCCATTACTAGTCACGAGCATGCCCGGCACCGATCATGACTATTAAGAGAGTCGGCTCTACAACTGGCATAATATGACATTTGATGATGGAAGACGGAACCAAGCCCTAAGCACAGCTGGATTCGTACGTTGACCGGAGGAGGTGGAAACTCAGCCACTCCGGGCCCGCTATATGCAATGACTAAGCTTCCGCGCCACGATCCAACCGACTCAGCACTTCCGGAGGCACCGTCGGAATATACTTGCGCGCACGCTCGCGATTCGTCCCGCCCAAGCCGGCTCCATAGCTGATGAGCATGTCTGTACTGGTCGGCAGGGAAAAGGGTAAGAAGAAGGTGGTATCAAGGAAGACGTTGTCCCTGCCAGGCCGTTCGTCATTTCGCGACGGACCCGATATACTCCCCGGTCTGGAGGTTCCGGCGACGGAGCCGGGAGAGGTATGCCCCTGCCCCTGCCCGTGCTCGGGACTGGTGGGATTCGCTGGGGGGTCTCCCTGGGGGTTGTCTTGGGTCGGCGTCTTTGGTCGGTTGTCGATGGTGGTAGGGGCGATGGGGCCGGCGTCTGCGCGGGCTTTTTCCTCTTGGATCCGGAATTGTTCGCGGTACATCAGTTCCGGATCGCGTTGGACATCGAGCAGGAAGCGCATCGCTTGCTTGGTGAGTCCCTTTTCACCGACTTCGGCCCGATAGGATTTGACGGCATGCACCAGCTGGGTTGGGGTGAGTTGCTGGAGCTGCAATAGCGTGGTCACGAGAGATTCGTGGTCCTCGCCGAGAGAAGAGAAACACTGCAGCCACTGGAGGAGTTGAATGACCGGGGCCAGATGCCGGCGAGCAGCGTCCACGGTGGTCTCACCGGTGGTCGTTAACGATCCGTTTTCGTAGTGTTCAGGTTGGCGGTTGTTGGTTCGAGCCCAATCCTCCAGAACAGACACGTTCATCCGTATCTGCATCGCCTTGGTGCGTGCAAGATATCGTCGTGTGCTCATGATGCGGTTGAAGATCTCCGCACCGAGCCAGTAGAGAAGTTGGGAGATAATTTGTGTCGTGATGACCGAATGTACATCGTAGAGGTCTAGCACAAACAGCGTAGATGAGAGAAGCGAGGTGATGTTGCGGGGAGAGATCTGCGCTCGTCGGCGAGGTGAGGGTGGGCGGAACCGTTTCTCGGCAGGCTCTGGAGCTTCCGACTTCTTCTTGCGGAACAGCTTCCATTCGTTTTGAAAAGCGATATCTTCCATGCCCGGAATGGTCTCGTGGTCAAGCATCGCTGCATCGAGGACCTTGTTCATGCGACGCTCGGCATCGCGAATAATCAGAACAAAGATCTCATTGATCAGCTCTGCCAAGTGCAGCTGAAATTGTATCGTCGCCTGCACGAGACCAGCATCCTTCTTCAAATAGTGGAGTAGCAACGTCGCGTTTGACATCCAGAATGCCTGCATCGTCATGTCCCACTGATATCGTTCCACGACATCATTGATCTTATCAGTCGCTGAATGTAGCAGTATTGTAAGGAGCTCCGGGCTGGCGTGATAATGTGCATAGCGGGCCATGAGGAAAAGCAAGTTGGCCGGAACAGGTTTCTGAGACGGAGATCTTTGCGGAGTCATATTGGAAATGATCATGTCGAGAATGCGCTCGAGCTCATGGTCTTGAAAGACAAACATCTGATCGTTCAGGCACCGATCCCAGACAAACTCCTGCTGCTCATCGTCTAGATCTTCATCATCGGAGGGCTGGACTTTCCCATCAGCATTTACTACTGACGAATGCGACCTTGAACTTGCACTCACCTCGAGCTTTTCGTCCAAGCCCAGACTGGACAAATCCACTTCTAAATTGATGGCGCTTTCTTCCATCATCATTCGGCGTTTCATCTCATTCTCAGCGAGCTCTTCCTCAAAACGCCCATGGGCCAGCCCGGCGTCATAAAAGTCATCCACCACCCCCGCAGCGCCGAAATGATAGCCATTCTCGTGCAAGTACTCTGAGATCTCACTGCCTGGTTGCGCAAAGTCAAAAGCGGTACCTCCAGAAGATGATTTGATATCCGGTGAAGCCCCATGGTCGAGTAGAATCTTTGCGATGGTTTTGTGGCGGTTGGTCATGGCCCACATCAATGCGCTCCATTGATTGCGGTCCTGCTGATCGACAAAGGCTCCGGCGTCGAGGAGAGCTGAAACGACTTCTTGATGGCCCTATCCAGTCTCGTGTATTAGCGCAAGCAATCTTTCCCGCAGTCCGATCCGCATGCGATTCAAACCACCGTGCCCGTCAAGTCTTCACAAATGCCATGACCCAATCCCGGACATACTTACAAAACAGCTAGCATAGATAAGCGGCGCCGTCCCTTCTTCATCAGGCTTATTCACATCAATATAGTTCTTCGCCGGCCCACTGATCAATTTGCGCACGCGCTCCACATCACCATTGCTAGCAGCCATGTTGAGACTCTTCTGCAACATATCCCTCTTCTCCGCCACGGTCAGATTCTCATCTGCAGCAATCCTCTCCTCATTCGCGCCCAGCGAGTCAACCTCCCGGTGAGTGGCTTGCGCCGCAAGCATCTCAATCAGCCGGGCATCACTATCCTCCATGTCTCGTGCGCGCATATCGGTCTCGGAATCATGCATATGGTCGTCGAGAGCGAGACTAAAGCTAAGAGGTCTCGCAGCCACCGGAGTCGTCAAGAATTGCGATTGCCCTGTCGATCGGAATCCATTGTCTTAGCTCCAATTCTTCTTGTGAAACACTTTTTCCCCGCTTCCTGCTCTTTACCTGCAGCCGTACACAAGAACCACCCCCGAGGATCGAATTGGGGCAAAGCGCAATTGAGCAAGATTTTGGAAAGCACTCACCCTGCCATGCATCGTACATCTCAGTCTCCTGGTATACTGGGACCGTCCGGCGATCATCCAGTGATTTGGGCAGGTCATCGGGGAGTTCCTGCTGGGGTTCCGGGGACGCGGGGCTTGGGGCATGATCATGGTCATCTTCCTCTGACACCCCGCGCCGTGGCTCAGTCGTGTCCATCGTGGCGGGCAGGCAGTCGCTGAGTCAAAAGATAGCCCATGAACGAGTGGAAGAAATGCGCAGTGTACCGGGGGCGCAAATGTTCGAAACGTGTAGGGAGGTGAGAGGTACCTCTACAGCTGGTGACGGAGGTCGGTGATCGGGGGCGGAACTAGAAAAGGTGGTCGGGGCCTTATCCGGCGAGGCAGATCAACCGAACTCAAATGAACTCCGCGGCCTGATGACGCACCTTGGGGGTATTTTTGTGTTAGGCTGACTGGATACTTAACGAGCGTCGGATACGAAATGGCATGAGGAAAGTAAGGTAAGACTTCGCTTGCACAACATTAGGAACTCTGAAATCGATGTGTATACTATAGGTAATTAGATCGAAGCTGGTAGGGGAAAATAAACTACCTGGCGGATGTTGGTGACCAAGACACATGGCAGCTCAAATGCAAAAACAGTCGGGGGTATTCAGATACGCCGTGAAGTCATTCACGAAAATGATAGGGAAATAAAACAAAAACCGGTGCCTTCCTGCCGACCAAAAGGTGTCCCAAAGTTCCAGCCCCCATGATCTTATGCAGACGCTCGCTTCTAACGCAAATGGAAGGATAAATGAGGTGAATCGCGCCTACAGATACAAAACATATGATGAACAGCTGATCGAAAGGAATGCTGCAAGTGAAAGTGTTTGGCCAATTCGGTGAAGCGCAGCCAATGATAAATCGGGGTCAAGCGTGATTGATGTGAGGAACGATCGAGTTGTGGCCGGACGGCTTATTCAAGTGCCCTGCTTCGGCGGGAGATTTCTTCATCGGAGAGAGATGCGATCCATAGGCATCGTTCAATAATGCCATGGGTGGGTTCGAAGCGGTACTTGGTGCTCGCGTCGATGAGGCGAAGTAGGCTCTTGACAATGCGAGCTGCAGTGCGATAACGCTCAAAGTTCACCAAGAGAGTTCCGGTGTGACTGCGAACTTGCGCAGGCTTCTGCGCATTATAGGTCAAGTCGTGAATGTAGAGTCCTGTGATTTCGGTCGTTAGAAGGCGGAAGGAGGAAAAGAAAACCATTCGTAAAGACTCAGCGTAGACTTCACTTACCAATAAAGGGGATGCATCCCTCCTGCAAGTTGGCAGTCTCCATCTCGACACGAAGATCATGGAAATTGCGCACAGGCTGAATCAGACTTTCCATGTCCCTGAACAGCCGCTTATCTTCATGTGGCACCAGGTTCCACGTTCTCTCCAGTCGCGAAGAGTCAGATGAAGTGAGAGCGATTGCAATCTGCAGCATGGTGACGTAGTTGCACATACGCCGGGCATGTGCAGCGGTATGGATGAACTTGACAATGGTGCGGGCTCGCTCATGAATATCAAGTGTCAGAACGATCTCTGAGATAACCCATTTCACCATGAGGTTGAAGCGGCCGGCGACTATATCAATGCCTTTACGCTGTTCGGTCGAGAGGAATTCTACCCAGCTGGTGATTGATGGAGAGGCACTGCTCCATTTCATTTCGACCAAGTCACGCCAATCCACTTCACTCAGAGCGGCCATCTCAACGAGGGTCAATTGCTGAGCAAGCATTTGAGACTCACAGGCAAGGACGAAAGGAATATGATCCACTCCCCCTTGGTTCAGATCAAGATGGGGCGGGCGAGTTTTCTCCATGTTCGAGAGAACGTTGACTGACATTTGTGGGAGACTCCTTGCACTGGGATGAGTCTCGCCCTGCTCATCGTGCCGGGGAGATGTGTCTGGCGTCAAAGGCTGCGGTTGAAACTGGATTTTCTCCAAAGGGGAAATCGACGAGCCGAAGGAGTTGGGATGTTGAACAGTCATTGGAGGTGACGGCGGATGAGCGAGGGGATGGGGAGGTATTTCGACAGCTGATAGAGAGATGCTACGGAGATCGGTTGACATTCGGCTACCCGTCGACTCATTGGTGTCAACGAGGTCGAGGGATTGGTCCGAAGATAGGACAGATTGGCGCTTATCAATGACCAAGCTCGGAGGTGACCCCGGTTGTGTTGATCCGTGGGCAATGCGCTGAATGCTATCCGTCTTTTGAACGATCTGGATGGAAGGGTGAGACGAGACGAGCTCGGAGGTATCCCGGCTTGATACCAGACTGAGAGGAGATCCATAAGAGGTCTCTGGGTGATGATGTTGGCGACCAACGGGCCGCCTCATGGAATCGTCTGTGAGTCCTCGCTCAAGAAGAGGAATGGAGTTGTAAGATTCCTCCGAGTCTGCCACAGATTCCGAATAAGGTCGAGGGGGTGCAAGTCTACCTCCGACAGTGGAATATGCGGATCGTTCAGTCTGCCGACGCCTTGAGGTGACATCCCACCCTACCCTGACAGTGGTCTCCTTTCCAGCTGGAATACGCTCGTGGTCTTTCCCAGATGAGGGTCCCCTCCATTTGCCCTCGAGTTTGAGTAAGGTTGATTCGATGCCTCCGTCATCGTCATCGGGAATTCGAGCAAATTGGGCGATGGCTGCTTCAAAAGACCGTTGCATGTCGACGTTCGGGCCCACCGATATCAGAGAAAATCGGGACTTGGGGGGTTTCGGGGCCGTTCTCAAGGGTTCCGGGGCGTAGTTGATTGATGCTCCTGACTCTGCAAAAGAGTCCCCATACGAGCTTTCGGAGGCCATGGAACTGCGACCCACTCCAGACTCGGGTTCCTTGATAAACTGCATCTGACGCAAATTGCCCCCGGGCCGGCGACGAAGCGATGGACCCAGGGACATACCTGAGTGCTCCTGGGCAAACATGGAGCCGCCGTGAGACTTACTTGTCATGCTGGCCAGGGACAGTCGATGCTTGGAGATTCCGCTCTGGAAAGAGGCGTATTTCCGAAGACGCAGTGACAGAGACATTCGCTTGGTAGGAGTAGCTTGTCTTTCCACAGAGGACGACCGTCTCACAGATACCGGGCTGAGAGGGTTTGGCGAGGCAGGGCGGTGGCTGTTCGGTTCCACGCCATTGTCGTTGTAATAGACCGGCACGGTACATTTATCATCCTGTGGTATCGAGTCTCCAGATAACCTTGTGGGGGTACTTGGGAGGACGATCACGCCGTTCTCGACGTGATTTTCACTCTGAGATTCGCTATCTCCCAATGCTCCTGACATGGAAGGAAATTCAAACCCTGTGTCATCAACAATCACGATAGATCCGCTTCCAGTTGTAATCTCACTCTCGACTTTGGATTTTTCTGCTTCCGAGACCTCGAGGTGGTTTGCAGGCGCCTCCTCAGGGGACTGAACCTCGGCCACTCCATCCAGAGCACCCGACGTGGCCGGGCGTGGGGTCGCCTCCTCGTGATCGTCATGGAGTCTGAGGGCTCGACGATACTGCACTAGGGACTCCTCGCACAGGGTATCAACCCGAGCTGGTCGCTTCGGGCTAGCAGCCATCTTCTTCTCGCGATAGAAATCTGATCCGAGAGCGATGTGGTTCGGGATGGCGGAAATTCTTCCACGAGAAGGGAGCGAGATCGCATCAGCTGCATTTGTGACGCGGCCTGAGACACTCTGGCCACCGTTCCTCGTATGCAGAACTCGCTTGATTGATCCGATTATGGTTCGCACTCCAGAGTTGGACGAGCCCGTGCGAGCACCAGCATCTGGAATGCTTCGACGATCCTGATTCGAAGCATGAGATGGCGGCGCCAGGGGAGGCGAGTCAGGCGCCATCATGGTCATGTATGACTCAATCGGGGGGTAGAGGCCTCCGCGAATGAAGCTGACAGGGTCCAAGAGTTCTCTAGGCGCGTGATTGACAGACCCAGGTTCTGTGCCAAACACCGGGACACGATCGTCACGCACCGAATCAGAGAAGCTTCCGCTCCTTTTATGCGCATGGCCGTGGAACGGATGTCGTGGGACTTTTGGCGACGAGGGGGCATTTTCAGAGGGAGCGGTGGTATGCAGAGGTACCGGACGGGGAGCTTTGCTCTTTGAATAAGGGATCGACATGCGCCGGGGAGACTTGGGGGGCAATGAGCAAGACAGCGCGACGATGCTCGTTTCGCTTCTGGAGGAAAAAGGCACGCTCTGTGCGGTAGCTGCCGAGTGAGTTCTTTCGTGATGGGCAGAGCTAGGCAAACTATCGCGGAATTTTGTCTCGGAAGAAGGGTCAGAGTCAAGAGGCGGGACCGTCGCGTATAGCGAGCCCGCAGACTTGAGGTCAATCTCCACGCTGCCTGGGGCAATAGGAGTATCGGGGTCATTGTAGGCTCGACTGAGATCAGTGCCGGACCAGTAGACCGCGCATTTGCCATTCCAGCATCGTTTCAAATCGATGAGAATCTTCAAATCACTGGTGCCTCCGCTTTTTCTGGATCTGACGGTTGTGTAGAGCGCATTGATGGTGGCACAGAAGTGGCTGCGAAGATTGTAGTTGACGACAAAGTCATCGACAAAGTAGTTGAGGATCCAGTGACGAAGAGCGGCAAACGTTCGAATGCGAATGATACGCCCGTCCTCTTGCAGGCGGTTGATGGCCCATTCCAAACGGGCGAGTAAAAGCGCCAGCAAATGACATGGAGAAAGGTATGAACGGAAGGTGAGGAAGAAATCCGACACCAACTCGTAGTCCATGAACGACTCGGAAGATATTTGGGCAACGATGCGCGCCGGAGTTGCCGCGCTTATATCTTTCGTGCCGGGGACATAGCGCACCACCGCATCCGAGTCCATGTCCGTCACCAGGGTCTCATAGATCGCGGCATCGACGGGTCCCTGGAATTCGTGGACTATTGAGTTCCGGGGTGCGGGCGACGCTCGGCTGAGATCGATGGCCCCGGTCCCCGAGAAGAGGGAGACCGCGAAGGAGGGACGATGTTGTGAAAAGGATTCCCTCATATAACCGCTCCGGGCATGGGGAGGGATGACATCCGTCATGCCCCCCAAATGCGTGGAATTGCGGAAATTGTCGGACATGGAGGTGCGCGTGTAGAGGGAACTTTGCAGGATGGCACTGCCTTCGGCGTTGAAGCGTGGAGACCCCAGTCTATAATGAGGGATGGGCACTTCCAGCGCTGCGCTCCCCAGGTTTTCGCCGGCAGACCGAGGACGGTCTTCAGGCCGATCGATCACAATGCGAAATTCCCCCCGGTTTCCCGCGCCGGATAGCGACTGCTGTTCGGAGATGGTGGAGAAGGAGTTTGCGCGATGACGGTGAAAGCTGGCTGATTCCGGCCTGGGCTCCTGCGAGTAGACCGAGTCGCTTTCGTTACCGTGGCCGCGTGGACGAAGTTCAGACAGCTGCGAACTCGACCAGCGTGACGGGTCGTCTCGCTCTCGCGCGTGTGGTTGCGGCTGGGGACGCAGACTGGTCACTTGATCCAGAGACGACAAGGGCGATGCCGAGGGATCCTTCCGCGGTGGATTTGCAATCGGTCTGGCGGCGTGCAGATGGAGAGATTAGCAATTGACTTTCGGGCCATGGAGGACGAGGGCATGATCGATTGACGAGCCCACGCAATGCGATCCCAGGCCATGCAGAGGTTCAGTTCGTACCTGAGAAAGATTTTCCCATTCTGACCGACGCTTCCAACTGTGAAATGGCCCACCTTGCGCCCAGCAGCACGTCCCTCCCGTGGAGTCCGGTGAGCCTGCGTCTTGGACCGTTGTATTGCGGCATTGCGGAGGATTTCGTGACTATCTTTAGCACGGATTCCCGAGGCAATTGCGGTCTTCTCTCGTGTCGCCTTGAGCTCGAGGTTTCTTTTTAACGCATGCCCGGTCTGGGCTACAGTGTTGGCACGACGAAGGGGGGTGGTGGCCTTGTTGGCGAGGCTGCGCGAACGAACATGGTCTCCGCTGGGGAGCTCTTCGATGCGGATTTGCGATTCCGCGGATTTCGTTCGGGCATGGGCATGGGCATGGGCATGGGCATGGGCATGGGTGGGCGAAGCGATCATGGAGGGGAACGAGTCCATGACCATGTCTCTGGTGAACGACTCACCGCAACTCTCGGGGTGCAGTGAGTCGGGGCGTCGCGTCAGGCGCGAAGAGAACTCCCAAGGTTTACCCACGCGATCGGGGGGGGGGGGGGGTGCGGCGACGTTAGGGCGGAGAAGGCTGGGGGGGGGGGGGGGGACCAAGGAGGAGGATTGTTTCGAAGATCAGTATGGCTAGGAACGCATCAGCCCAGGTCGGGATCGGAGATGACGCCTGCACGACATGACCATCTGGGTCGATGTTTTGGAGCAGATGTTGTGATTATGGATTATGGATTATGGGTTACTGTGGACTGTGGACTGTGGACTGTGGACTGTGGACTGTGGACTGTGGACTGTGGCGGCTCTCGAGGCTGGAACGGGTAGGGAGACACGATGTCATGGGGATCAAGTTTTTTTGTTCTTTTTGGGGGACCTCGAAAGGGAGACTCGACATGCTCAACCGGGCGATGGAACCAAGTGGAGATTGGGGAACGGCGCCAGTACGGCGGGTGCGAACTGCGAACTGCAAACTGCAAAGTGCGAACGCTGGGGACGGTCATCGGGCGGTCATCGAGGTGCTTCTCCGTCGCTGGCCCAACCTTCGTGCCGGGATTGAGTCCCTAAGGTTTCAGGTACTTTGGAAGCCAGAAACGGGGCTCGTCGGTTCCGTGGTTCAATCACCACCTGACCGGTGGGACCGGCAGTCGGTGAGTCGACACTTTAAATGTCAGATCATATCACCGCGGCTACGAGTGTAGTTTTGTCGTCAGTGTTCCACTACCGTCCTACTCCTACAGGACTGCAGTAGTATGATCTGTCGAAGTAGACATGAAAAGATATGAAAGATCTACGACTACCCAACTCATCCCTCATCTCTCATCCCTCATCCCTCCGAGCATCTTCCTCGAAGATGGTTGCTTGCCGTCCCAGCCCAAAAGGGGACCAAATTAGAGATGCCGTATTAGGTTAAGTTCAAAGTTCGAAACAGGGGGGAGTGACGATGATGTCCCCTTGGGATCAGGTCAACGTCCACTGAAAAAAGGGGGGACCCTGGAATTGAGGCGAGTGTCAAATGTCACATTTTTAGGAAGGCCTCCATTCGCATATTTTTTCGATCTTCGTCTGCTTCGCTGCTATGCCGGATGTCCCGTACCGTACAACCCGACTTGCAAGTTCCCATCCCTTAACCGTCGTCAAGTACAGACACCTACGAGGGTCGTGGCTGGAGGTGCCGAGGTGGTGTACCGTGTACACAGTACCCAGGTACCTACTCACGACTGTAGTTGTCCAGAACAGGAATTCAACCCAAATCGACCACCCAACCCCCGACGGATCACCCCCCGTGATCCGGAATGCCAAGCAAGCCACAAGCTTCTCGAGTGACCCTCGGGCGGTGTCCAGCAACTGCGTCATTGCCGGCACATCCCATCTGATTCTGGCCCTCCATCATGTACGACGAAGAACCTCCTCATTCTGTTCAATTCGCCTGCGTTCTGAAATGAGCGAGGGTGACCATCAGCATGACTAGCCAGCAGTACTTGTTGCATTGTTCTATCTGAGATCGCTTTGCTCCTCAGATCTTGATCCATTCCGTCGATAGACTGAAGGACAAGGAAGACGACCAGTCCATGCTTGATGATGGTACCAGATTCTGCGTGGTGATTCGATTTATTCGAATACTGAATATCGAATCCAGATACAGTATTGATTAGTAAGTCATTGCGAGGATCCATCCATGGATGCTCCAAGTCACATACTGCGACTATGCCGACAGCCGATGAATGTGATGGACTCATGGGAGCTCCTATCTCCAGCAGCTACGTTATCTAGGTAATCTTCCTTGATCTTCCTGGATGTCATGCAGAATGTGAGGCACCATATAGTAGTATATAACATACGATATTGTATTACAATACTGTCCTATCTCCTATCCTCTACTGATTGGTAGGCAGTACTGTAGATTACTGGATATGATCACTCAATACCCGAATTCCACTAGCCCTCTACATACTTCCATATGTGGTTCCGTCCAAAGAGGATGTTTTGGCGCCTCAGGGGGACTCTCCATTGCTCGGTCGACCACAGGACATGACAATTATTTCTCCCCCTGGGACTTGGACTCGATCGATCGCGACACCAAAATTCCAGCCACTCTATCTGTCACGGCATGACATCCATGCCGCGTCGGATAAGGATTGAAGCCAACAAAAGTAAATCGAGAAGGGGACAAGGTCCCGATTCGCTCCTGTGGTCCATCCATTCAGCTTCGTCAGTAGTACCACACTACCTACCAACTACATAACTTCTACCTTGTAACTAACTGACTCCCACAACCAACTCCAAGTAACCTACTACACGTACTCCCAATCCTACTGTAGTACCTTCTGGGATGTGTGGTATTCAAATCTGCACGAAGCTTACACAGACACATCAATATCTAGCAGCGGTCTCCGCCGTCTACACTCCCGGGGCCCCTTCAGCCTTGAAAATCAACCGGTACTTTTGCTTTCGTGGATCCATCCATTAAGGCGCCCTTGAAGGGGGAGGAGAGGTCAACTCATTAGTCGGAACAACTGGCGCCGTTAAACAATAATCAGGTCTCCACTACATTATTTCAATCAAGCTGACGCTTTTCTCCCCAGCCACTAGGTTGCTACTATACTACCACTACCGATGGAAATATACATACGTGCAGGTATACCGTGCCAAAAGACCAAGGTCCAACCGGGGGAAAAAAAATTCCCACCTCTCCACCGCGACCAGGCAAAGATGACTTCCCCTACGGTTCAGTGAAATGAAGATGGATGCTACGCAGGAAAGGACTCGGTCATCTACTGTGCATCCACAGAATGTCAGATTAAGCAGCGTCTACTCAGATCCATGATTGAATGACTGATCGATCTTACTATCCTTCTAATGTTCAGACACATATCATACTACTCAGTACTCACTAGAGTGACTCTAGTAGAGTCACTACACTGTACTCAGTGCTCAGTGCTAACCGTCCTACTAAACCCCAGTCGACGTATCCCATCACTTCCCGTTCCAATTGATATGATCGATCCAAATCCCAAAGTACCGACGCGAACAAACCCTATCCATCCCGCTTGATTCCTCGCGAGGCGCATGCCATATGCATACCTCAAGATCCATCCCGAACGAATCATGTTGACACCCTGCACCGAGGCTACCCTCACCCCGGAGATGATCAATATCTCCCGACGACGCCTTGCCTAGCTATCGCGAAGCTTTGTACGACCTGTCCAGAAGCCGTACACCCCACGCGCACATCCACCACCCTTGAAGTGGAGGTTGTATTTCTTCTTCGCGACATGTGCTTCGAGTGCTGGCCCTGCTGGGGCCGGGCGCCACAGGAGAAAAGGAGGCGGGAGGTGTGCCCGATCAAGATTGCTGTCTCAAAGTAGCCTGGCGTTAATATTCTACATATGGGGTTCTGTGGAGCATCTTCGCGATCCGTTAAATTAGTGTCTTGCGATTACGGGCCCGCAATCTCCGCCCGGTGCCTTTTTTTTTTTTTCTCGATTCGCGATGGCTTACAGGATGGCGCCTTTCACGTGATAGTGTATATCCTACAACGTCCATATCTACCGTATGGCGTATCTACGCCGCTTGTGCTTATGTCGGCAAGGCTTGGAATTCAGTTCGTTATCGAAGCGCTTTTCCTTCTGGTGTGCAATTGCTAATTTTCCTCAAGGCCCGTTTTTAATGATCGGGGACTCGTACGATCTCTCACTGTTGGTTCAATGGGCGCAAGGATCTCCAAACAACCGTTTTAGATGGGCTCCTCCAGACAGTCGCCAAGGAGACCCGACGGCTGTATTTGATTCTCGATACTATCATGATAGGTAGTGGTACTGGGTGCTGGGTAGTAGGTCATAAAGTATCGGGACCTAGGCGGCAGTCTCTGCTAACCAGAAAATGACCACTTGCACAGAGCTAGAGAATCACCATCTGAGACCGTCATCAACAAGATCAAAGCGTGGGATCCAGCACATGAGCACAAGAGTACAATGGGCAGTTTTAGCAGAAACTTGACAAAAGATCAAGCTTGCAGCCGGCCCGTCAACATCCATTTCGACGGAACAAAAGTACAGTTATGATGAACTCGGATCATACGATGAAATGGTCCATTTGATTTACTACTTCTCTTGAAACCCAATTCGGGAGATCCTCGAGCTTTCTCCAGCAGCGGTGCAATATGCGCTGATGGCTCCAGTTCCATTCGAGGGGCCCTTGATCAGCCGCCTCAGACACTGGTGATCTCTCACATAGTGATGAAGCCTCGGTATGCAGGTCTCCTAATTCGGGAATCTCATCGGATCAGCACGCGTTCGGCCCAAAGACACTTGAGTTGTTGCTTAATTGTCAAGGCAAAAATCAACCGAGGTTAGCAAAACACCCCAGGTGGTATTGAGAGGACCTGATGAGTTAGGTCAGATAAGGACAGCGATGTAGAGCCCTACGATGAAGAAAATTGCGTTACACACCCCTTCTTACGGACTTCCACCCACACTTGGGCTACCAACCAGCGCCTCTAAGCTTGGAACCCATTATTCGGACGTAGAGAAAATGATCTTCTGGAAGCCATGAATTACCAAACGAAATAAAGACACAAGACTCCAAAATCAGAACCCTCGGCAGTATCGTCGACTGCAGTGGCGGCAAGACACGACATTCGAGAAACCAACAGGCTCATTCACACATCCTCCGCTACCAAATCTTGCAGACGGGCTTCTTGTCAGGGCAGCTGAAAGCGTCCTTGAATTCCCTTGAATTTGCCATGGTTTCCTATGTCTCGGCGATTAGTGATGGGGTCGTTGCTGGATAACGAGTGATCAAAACTCACAATAATGCGTGCCGATTTGGGCGCGTGGGGGTCGTTATAGATTGCCTGTTCAGCCGCCTGTTTGGTGGTTTTACCACACCACCAGTTGCTATAAGAAATGAAGAACAGCTGCTCCTTGCTGAAGCCGTCTAACCCCGGCAGAGCAGGATCGGGTTTCGAGCTGTCGCGCTTCTTCCAAGCATGGTAGGCGGCCGTGAGACCACCAGCATCGGCAATGTTCTCACCCAGGGTCAATCGACCATTGACATGGAGCACCTTGTCTCCAGGACCTTCGACTGTGAAAGCCGAATATTGGTCCACAAAGCATTGGGCGCGGTCCTCGAAGGCCTTGACGGTCTCATCGTCCCACCAGTTGGTATAGTTGCCTGTTTCGTCGTAGTGTCGACCAGTTGAGTCGAAAGCTGGTTTCAAGTCAGTAAAATATCATAAGAGACAGTTTAGGATCCGATCCTTGGATCATTAGAGTTCTTGACTGACCGTGGGAAAGCTCATGGCCACTAACAGCGCCGAACGCTCCGTATGCGAGGTACAACGGCGCATCCGGGCCAAAGAACACTGGCGGTTGCATGATGCCAGCTGGGAACACAATCTCATTTCCGGGAGGGTTGTAGTAGGCATTGACCGTGGGCGCACTCATATCCCATTCGTCTCGATCGGTGGGTTTGCCCAATTTGGACCACTCTCTCTCGAGATCAAATTGTGCCACGGCAAGTTCATTCTCAAAGAGGTTGTCGCGAGAGATCTTCAATGATTCGTAGTACTTCTCAACATCACCCGCATCTAAGACATTCGGGCTTTTGGTTGGGTATCCGATCTTCTGCACAATGTTCTGCACTTTCTCGATGCCCAGCTTTCGCACATCGGGTGACATCCATGGAGTTTGCGTCAGCGTAAAGGAAAATCTCTCCTTGATATCGGTTATGATCTGGTCCCCCAGTTGCTTCGACTCTTCCGAGAAAGAGTCGAGAACGTAGAATCGACTGATGCTCCATCCGAGAGAAGAATCTAAATGGTCGATGCACTTGCGCCATCTTTCCTCAGTCGCCTGAGGGTCCTTTCCGGCCAATTTATTGTTGAAGCGCCGAAGAGGGGCAATCGCTTCATCTTCGATAGAGTCCGAGTACGTTTGAATGAGCTTCCACTGCAGGAAGAATGAGACGGTCTCGCGCGAAGTGTCGTGCAGAATCGCAGACAACTTCTTCATATATGATGGAGAACCGACAATCAAGCGGTCAGTCTTGAAGTCACGAGGAGCAAAATTCTTGATGATGCTCTGAAAAGAGATCTCAGGAAGCATAGCCTCCGTCTCCTTAATGCTACGGGGGTTGTAATACTTGGTGATGTCTTCTTGTGCGGCAGTGTCTGGTGTGATGTCGGCAAGCTGTTTCTCAAGGGCGACAATCTCCTTGGCGATCTTGTTGTTGCCGCCGAAGTTTTTGAGAACGAGTTTCAGAGCATCGGTGTAGTCAGCTACCGTTTCCGTGTTGTTGTAGTATTCCCTGGCAGGAAGACCAATCCGTCGGGGCGGTGACACAAAGATCGTCACATTATCAGGGTCACGATCATCAGGCTGTGCCAGTCAGTTTTGTGCTCATCAAGGACCTGGTTTCAGGCATAGCTGTGTCGATGGAAAGACTTACAGAAACCCCAGGGGAGACGAAGGCCTCGGCACCGGATTTCATGAGGAAAATGATGGCATCAGTCAATTCGGCATGAGATGTCGGGTAATCAGTCTTTCCCACTGAATACACATCTTGCAGTTTGCCTAGCAGGTTAGTCAGAGGCTTGATGCCGCGGTCTCTGATTGCGGACTCGTTCAAGCAGGCCTCGTATCCAGCCTTCAACTTGCCGAAATTCTCGGCATCTTCTTTCGCAGGGGCATCTGAGCGCTCCAGGATATGGCGGAGTCTCGTCTGAGAGTTTTCAACCATGATCGTTCCGGCGAAGATTGAGCCCTGATCGGCGCGCATGTCATGGCGTTCCCGCCAACCTCCACAGACATACTGATCAAAGTTTGTGCAGGGATCAATGTCCTTATAATTCGGGTCAAGGCTGTATAGAATCTCCGAGGCCGCGTGAACGCACTCGGGGGTCTGGCAGATGGCTTGGGACGACTCTGGGGATCCGCTAGGTGTGCCATTGGCGACGTCGGGTGTACCTTTCCGATGGTGTCAACTTAATCATTTTCACTGGCGAGGTATGGGAAATTCTTCGCTTACCATAGAAGCTCTGGAGGAAAGCGTAGGCAAGAAGGCCAATACAGCCGATCGCGCCGACCCTCTTAGCCACGCGCAGCCGGGATCTTTGTTTGCAACAACGGCGAGGTGCACCCGCTCCTTGCACAAAGCCTTTGTCCACGAGATAGCCATCCTCATGGCCATACGCCTCTTCTCCCTCCAGCTCCACACTACCCATATAGTTCATTCCCTCCTTGGTTCCGTTGCTGCATGATTCGATGTTGGCCTCCAGGCCCTTTCAAGTGACCGTCGATGTGTCAGACAAACATACCTGTGAGGTGGCTGCACCATCATTGCCACGCAGCGCTTCGAATGTCAATTTGAAGTCTTATCTGGAATCAAGTATCGGTGATATACCAGATTGAGCCTCTCTGTGTCTTTGGTGTATGAGGAAGATGGTAAGATCAACCTCCTGGGATGCTACCTTCTCCGCACGACGAGGTGGAGTGGTCGTCACGGCGGGCACGCTACCTCCTGTGGGGAAAGAGCGACCTACCGTATCCGCTCCCGTCCGGTCCCCTTGCTGACATGCTCATGTCCTTGATTCAGGTCTGGTGCTTGCACCATACTGGAATGTATCAGCGATCGCTCACAGACCAAGGAGTAAGGATGCGACTAGATGGTGAATTTGTGCTTCGAACCCCAGCTCAAACACCCCATGATGTCAACGAAGGATCATGAAGGGCCTTGTTTAGAAGTTCTCTTCCATATTTCGGCCAATAGCATATCCGGCCAAGCACACCCCCGGGCTCGGCAGTGCAGATTCCAGTGTTCATTATCGGCTGGGGGAGATATGCAGGTGACAATGAACCATCTGTATAAGCTTGAACCTGGAGCCTGATGAACCGTGTGGGTTGCTCGCATAGCTATATATGGATCTAAGGTTGATATAGTTATCATCCATCCCATGTGAACTGTCACCTACCCACGTGGTTGGTGTCGCAAGAATATCTGCCCGTTGGTAGTCCAAAACAACTTCCTACTATTCATGCTTCGACAATCATTTACCGGGCGCCCATGCATTGATAAAATCCCTCTATTGCTTCTTACCAGGTTTATCTGGGCGACAATTCAAGCAAAAGTAGATGCACAGGATCTTACAGGTAGAGAAAGAAAGTCAATTGAGAGCGCAGTCCGGCTCTCCCACCTACCTAGGTAGTAGGCAATGGGCATTACTTCAATCCGTCGAGCACTTTCAACCCAAGACGAAGGCCTCCGTCAACGAGAGTCCGATGCTTCAACCATTCCACCAGCAACGCTCGAGTCAATCTTGATGCCCACAAAACAAATTCGCTCGTTATGATATCGGTGCAATGCTCTAAACAACAGGTGATAAGTCGATCAGGTATTCCGTATTCCCCGAGTACATTTCGATCATAAATATGCTCGATCTACAATGAGCTGTAAACCTACCTCCAGTAGGTGATTCTTGAATGATACAAGCTGGAATAAGATATCAGGGAGGCAGACCTGACCCCAGACATCTCGGGCGGAGCCAAGGTCAAAACTATATCCGTCAACGGATCGGGTCGAAGCTACTACATAGATGCCCACACCTACTACCTACTTAGATCAGACGAGTGACGCCCTCCACTGCAGATGCTTCTCAATCAGGGATGAATGAAAGTGTATCCGGGAATTTTGATCGAGTGATCGTTCTGTTAAGTCTTCCAGACAATGATGGAAGGCCTTCATCTAGACATGTGCCCGAGCATGTGACGAAAGACATATCGTGCAGAAACTTCCTCGCCACATGGGTAGTATATATCGATATGAGGCAAGCCACGTGAAATTTCACATACTCGAACTGACCAATGCATGTGGAATGGAAGCCGGAAAAACGCCTACCGCCTAGGTAGTAGCACTCACTACCTTAAGAAATTGACCTCGGCCTCGACTCCCTCGAGCGACGCCAGCCCAGACGATTGACTATGTATTGACATCCAGACAGATCAGCAAAAGCTACTACTACCATCACTTGGTGCATTGTTGAATACTCTGCTCCGCTTCCAGTCAACGGAAGTGGGTATGTACGGTGCAAGTCGGTCCCATCCTGAAAAGCGTTGACTACCTTATTTTCCAACTTCCAAATTACTTCGGCACAAGGGCATGGGCATCAAGCAGACACGTAACAATGGATTGCTTGCTCCTTATTTTGATTGCTCCACCCCCCGTGCGGTCAATGGTTGAAACCGGAAATGTTCAACCGACCAGCCCACCTGTCAAAAATCCTTTCGGAATGTATGCTCGTGGCAGTGCAAGCCTTCCGTCATGGTAAAGTTAACCTTTTCAACGGCTTTACTTTCGACGGACTGGAATATAGAGTCTCTGCTATCATGTTGGGAAAGACGGAAACAGGCGACGATCACGACACTCGTCGCTGAATATGAAGCTCATCCCTCTCGCACCTCTCCCGACGGACGAAGGATTTTCTACGGAAACACAACTCCACTTCAATGATGCCTCTGTCACCAGATCAGATAAGGTTTTTCCTCCATCAGGTGAAGAGTGAAGTCTTTGACTGTGTACAGTTGTACACTCAACACTGTAGGACTGTACAAATGTACAGTCAAGGGATGGGAAATTCCAGGTTCTTCCAACGATATGGAGGTCGTGTCAACCAATGAAAGTCCACGACAGCGAACTTCAGATCAGGTGTGAAATGAGCTGTCCACTCTCTCTGGCACATTCTGTTTTGACACGTCGTAAGCGAAGACGGACGATCCTGTCCCCTTAATAGTGGTAGTGCTATCCTCGGTCCACACTCCACGAGTCTACACTCCATATAGGCCGCGTCGGGAAATTTTGACAGGTCTTCTCCAGTTAGGTATCCTGCTCAGAACTCCACCGCGAGCGCTGACCCACGGACCACGAGGTTTTCCACGCCGGAAAGCGAAAAGCGAAAACAGAAAAAAAAAAAAAGAAAACAATCCAAGACAGAGTTCGGGACGGAGCTCGCTCCAGGCAGTAGTCATGTAGTTCCTCGTGAAAATATTGGGTTCCTTGGCATTTTTCGGCAATTCAGGTACTGCTGGAAATTGAGCCATAAGACCAATTTGAGGTGGTCGGGAAGTTACTCGTTGGATATTCCACCAGGTTCAAGGGAAGGAGAATCGAAACAAAAGTGCGCCCGGACCAAAAGTTGATTTCAAATCGGGCTCCAGTTGGCAGTGTGTATCATCGGAGTTGATGCCGCTTGCGGACAATTTTACTGTGATCGTGGTGGATAATTGAAGCCAGTCGGGCTTCCCTTGGATTCAGGATCGTCAACTTGGACTATATCTGAGAGACAGGGGGCGACTGTGAGACTGTGAGTGTGAGTTATCCGGTTACATCCGCCCATGTATTGCTTGCGAATTTTTGATAAGCTTCTTTTGAATGGTCAATGATTTATGTTGACCTATGTTTTGCGATTGTCCCTCGCTCGTGGTGGCGTCGTTGCTTATAAAGTCAGCTCCATTGCATCGTGCCCTCGTGGTACAGGCCAGTCAACACTCAACAGTGGACTGTGGACCACTGGACAATGGACATATGGTAGTGGTACTCTAGAGCGCAGGCCTCGCGAACTCACTTTTGAGCTCACAAGAGAAACCAGCTTTCGCGGACATTTTCCATCCACCAGCTGGGCCTATGGGCATCATCAGTCGGGGAGGCTGGCGCCTGCAGGTCTAGCCTGCATGTAGATTTTCTCCCCTCGATCCTCATTCCTGAAGGATCAGCTCCCACGGAGTACCCTGATTCAACTTCAAGGTCGATGATGATCAGTAGGCAGATTTCCATGATACTAATAGCCGTTGTCATCGACATGTCGCGTGGATTAAATTAGCCCGGCGTACCATATTGTATTCAGCAGAACTTCGATGCCGAGTCCAACCCCGTTCAAGCGATCTCGTGCCGATCGGTTCCCCTACCGACTTTCCAAATTCCCACTGTGGCTTGGCAGGGTTTACTTACACGAATGTTGAGGGTTTGAGATTCTCCAAGAATCTGACAAAGCGGGCGGCGCCACGGTCGACGTATCCACACAGGATGGAAGATATTCGTGGACCAGCAATGTGTAGAGACTCAGAGAGACCGAATGGCGCCTCTCGTCCCAGAAACAATGAATGTCGGGGATCATAGATGGAATTGGACAGGTATCAAACGCTCTGTGACCGGAACACGGACTGGTAACACTAACCACTCGTCTGTCAGGCTGTGGTTCTTTAACCACATGTCATCCACATCTGCGCCATGATGAGCTTTTTCATGTCACAGACAGGGGAGATGTGTCAGTATCATATTGAAGTCCCTAGCACAAAAGCACCCTTCTTGTAGCATGACATCCGACCGGCCACCAGGCCGCCATCCAAACAGACGATGACAAGAGGGTGCATGGTAACTTAGTGCATCATGCATATGCCATATAGTACTGTAGTAACCGTGATGGCGGAAGACGAGCCGAGTCGATCTCTCATCGAAAGTCCTGGGCCGTGCAAGGGTCTAAATCTAAAACGGCGGATGGGAAGTGATTGATCGTTCCGTCCCATGTCGCTGTTCCTGTCGGGAGTCGGGACAACAATGTCAAGATGAAACGCCCGAACCTCGTTGGGGAAATGCACGGTGCACGGAGGGCTTGCCTCGAGCAGGGGTTGAGCGTAGATTGGCAGAGGTGTATGCAGCTAAGATGCATGTCGACTGTTCAAGCGAGGGCGTCAGATTCCTTCGTGGGCTGTCTGTTCACGCTAGCCTGAATGACCGCCTGGCTGCTCCTGCTCCGTAATGCCACCGAGAAAGAGCAATCAATAAGTAATAGCGGACAATGGAGGTTTACTGCTACTGTCAACACAAGGTACGAGTCGCATTGCTGTCAGATTTGTCCGGTGACGATGGATGAGGATGATCCAACGGACACTCCTGTGAGGGTGTAGTACACTTATACACTAACGTAGTAGGAAGTCTGGTCAGGCACGCATTATGGTATGTCACTGGACCTGAACACGTGCTCGCACACAGGCACACAGATGTAGCGCTCCTCCTCACTCGTCTTTCCTCGGGCCTTTTCCAGCTCGACAACCAATGTGGCATATCAACAAGGTCTTAGTTCATCCTTGTAGTATCTGATCCCACATGAGCTTTTCAATCCTGTCGCCTCCCAGTCTCTGGGATCTCACTAGTAAGCCGCCCCGTGGTGGTAGACGTTCTGCAGCATCACACTCGATGAAGTTCCGGTGCACGACCGCCCCACGGGTTTCAAAGCCCGTCAACGAGTGGGAGAAGGATGATTCCATGATGGGTCGCACTACTGCCCCTGGGTGGAGCGACTGACCGTGCTCCCGTCGAGGAGTATGCAATTGCTGATGCATCTGCTTTTTCCTGATCCGCTCCGCTTTCCGCGAGGTAACCTTGACAATGATGCGCGTGGAAAGCATTTTCAGGGTATAGTGCAGGATTGTCGTACTTTTTTTTCTTTTTCTCTTTTCATTCATTTGCCCCTGCCACACATTGATGCATGATCACTGGAGTCCACTGCTGATTCTGCTATTATTTTCAGCCTCGTCACAAGCGAGCACTTCGGAAGGCGTGGCTGCGGGGACGACCCGAACTACGCAGTAAACTGATCGAGGCGTCGCATTCGGACGGGAGAACTTGAGAACAAGGCCCCGTTTCCTCTTCCGGAAATGCTTGAAACTTTTCTTCCGCTGGACCCAGGAAGATGGAGAATTCCCGATCATTATTCAGATGGAGAGAGGAAGCCTGATTTTCAGCTATTGATGTGAAGAGGCACCCTTGATGTTCAGAATGGATACTCTTCATGAATAGTGCGTCTGAAGGAGCATGAAGACTGGCCTCACAGAAGGACCTCGCAGATTTGTCTCCTGCGTTGAGGCTCGAGTGTGTAGTCTCTGTAACTGTTCATTTGTATTGAGCAGGGATTCTCTACACATTGATACCTCTGCAGACATGTGTATTTCTTCTCTTCGTCAAGAGCCCACTCCCTCAATTAGCCCGTGGCAGGTGAAGCTGGTGCTGGACTACAGGAATCTCAGCTCACCTCAAAATCTTCATCTTCTTCACGATGGCCACCTTTCCTCCCTATCGTGGTCGCACATATCTTCACTACACCTGGCAAAGCTCAAGGTTCCATAGTCGAAAGCATGGTTCATCCCCTAAAAACCCGCCCTGGTCCTCGGATCCTCCGCAATGGATCGAGCGGCTCGGTCATGGCTGGATACAACCATCGGCTGCCGAGGGAGACTAAACCAGAAGAGCGCCTGAAGACGAGAGACGGTCTAGCCATCTGCGCACCCTCTCGGGAGCTCCAAGTGGGCTTCTCGCTGATGATCTCAATCGACTGAAATATTCGTATCGTTTCACCATCTTGCCTGTTTCCTCTTTCCCCTCCCCTAAAGAAGCCCCTCCCCACTCCCATTATCTTCTGCTTCCCTTGCTCCTCCTGCTCTTTCTCTCTCCTTCTCTTCGCGGATACATCATCACCTCAGAGAAACTCCTCACAATCGCCCTCGCAACTAGTCTCCTGCGAAAGCTCGCCGGTTTACCATCAAGTGAAACTGCTGCAGTGGTGCCACAGCATCCACCCACCCTCACTTCCAAGTGTAATCTTGTTCGGATCACGATAAGGACGGATCATTGGAACTCGACGACGATTTCCGCTCGCCCACGATCACTTTGCTCGACCGCCTGCCCACCGTCGCAAATTGTGACTCGCAGCCGCGATCTACTCTGGCAGCAGATCGCCCAGTCCAATTGAGAATCCCGCGACCTGGACAAGAGATCCTCGAACGTGGCAGGACCGGGGTGCGGGGAATAGATCAACCAGAACTATCAATCGGCAGGCCGTCCAGTGCGACCGTAGTGGGAAGGGAGAAAAGATCGAAAACAAGAATCGCCGTGTGGAACGTGCTGGAGGTGCATTGTACGAGAGAACAATTCATTGGTATGCGCTCTTCCGAGGCAACAAGCGTGGGTAGGCTTGCAGCGAAATCTTCGCCTTCTGGCTGCCTCGTTGCGCCGAGTCCGTCCGGCACTCGGTGTCGCGGGTATGCGGGTCGAGACTCGGGAGCGCAATCTATTGCATCCCTGATTCAGAGCCCCGATGATTGCCAACCTACCCTAGTCCAATCCTCCTCCCCCAAAGCATGAACCATTGTCGGAGGACCCAGGACCCTGCTAATCTTTTGCTTTAGATACACTTCAATCACGGATCTTGTAAAATCAATCTCTATACACCATGGGCTGCGGAAGCTCAAAACCCGCCGAGGCGGACAAGGAAGCTCTGTCGCGGAATGCTCGGATCGAGCGGGTGATCAAAAATGATAAAAAGAACATGGATCGAACTATCAAAATTCTGCTACTAGGTGCGCTTGACTGTACCTGTCGCAAAGTGCCAACTACCGTAAACAGATTACTTACCAAGCGACAGGTGCTGGGGAATCGGGCAAGTCAACCATCATCAAACAAATGCGCATTATCCACAGTGGAGGTTTCCCCGAGGAAGAACGCTACCAAACGCGCGCGGTCATCTTCTCCAATCTGGTCGTTGCCTTTAAAGTACTGCTTGACATCATGGCGTCAGAAGGCATTTCTTTTGAGCATTCGGGCACGAAGGTAAGCGCGAAAATTCCACTCGGTCGGATCTATGTAGCAGTGAGCTGTACTGATAACTCCGTGCGCTTCAATCTAGGCCTCTGCGGATCTGTTGGAAGGAACTGAACCAGACGTGGGCGCAGATGAAGCTTTTTCAAACCTCAAGGTCCGCGACGCGATGCGAAACATGTGGAACGACTCGGGCGTCCAGAAGGCTGTCGCGCGTGGACACGAATTCGCTCTTCACGACAACCTTTACTAGTGAGTCATAATGTCCAAATTCGTGGTGGGCGAGTCCCTTTTCTGACATGTGTTTTGCCATCCAGTTATTACGAATCACTAGATCGTATCTTCAAGCCAAATTGGCTTCCAGACAATCAGGACATGCTGCAGGCCCGTCTTCGGACGACGGGTATCACAGAAACTTTGTTCGAATTAGGCCAGATGAACTTCCGCATGATGGATGTGGGAGGACAAAGATCGGAACGAAAGAAATGGATTCACTGCTTTGAAGGTGTGCAATGTTTGCTTTTCATGGTCGCCCTGTCAGGATACGACCAATGCCTGGTCGAAGATCAGAATGCGGTAAGTTTGTCAAGCCCAGATATAGAATTTTCTCGACGGTTTGCGGTCTTTTTGCCATTCTGTTATACTAATGAACTTTCCTTGGTAGAATCAAATGCATGAAGCAATGATGTTGTTCGAGTCACTCGTCAACGGCGAGTGGTTTAAGCGCAAGCCTATCATCCTCTTTTTGAACAAGATGGATCTGTTCCGAGGCAAACTCGATATTTCCTCGATCTCAAAGCACTTTCCCGATTATACCGGCTCAGACACGGACTTCGATGCCGCCGTGCGATACTTTTCTGATCGATTCCGTGGCATCAATCGGATACCTGATCGTGAAATTTATATCCATCACACCAACGCCACTGATACCACCCTGCTCAAGGCCACAATGGATTCAGTGCAAGACATGATCATCCAAAAGAACCTGCACACGCTTATCCTGTGAGGACTTGCAGCTTTATCCCTGGAATACTGGTTCCCTCTCTTCATCATGAATTCTCACGGTCTCGCTCTCAACATCAGAGCATAAGCCCTCCTCCTTACTTTTCATTGATCCTTGCTCCTCGCTCCTCCCTCTTGTTTCTGGCATGTGGGAAATGTGACGCATTTTCCCTCTTTCTTTGGCAACGAATTTCCGGCCACTTTCTTCCCCTTGAATGTTAGAGACCGTCGAATTCTCGGGACTTTGATATTAGGTGACCTCTGGCTTTGTTCGAGGCATCATATACAAGGCAGGAGGAGCCTCTATTGTTGACACGATTCCTACTTTGGGCTATACACTTTCGCAGTACAAAGCGCATTTGAAACTTTACCTGTGTTTCATAATCTGCCTACAGCGACTGCATGCCACTCACACACACACACACACACACACACAATCTCTCTCTCGCGCGCGCGCGCCTCACGCCACCAATCCGGTTATTTTTTCATTCGTTTTTTCTCGCGTTAATCTTGCAGGATGATACCACTTGCTTTATGCCCGCAGATGAAACAAAATGGTCACAGTGACTATTTCTGTACCATACTTTACAGCTAGATATACAGTTCTTGAAATAACTTTTACCTGACTTATCAAGGAATTCCCGGCGGCTACATGTACTACACTGATACCCATTTACGCTTTGGGACATTGCACACAGTTGGGACAATGCACACAAGCCGAGAAATGGAATTTCTTCTGACGCAGAATGAAGAGCTCTGCCTTCTGTTTCGACCCATGGAAGAGTAACGCATCGGATGGTTGTCGATTATGCTCGCATGTGTATCTAATACTACGTCTAACTACTAGAAGGATGGATAGTGATACTGATACCTGAGGCATACGTGGCTGACATAAGCTCAGATGATCATCCGACCTGCCGACTCCGAATCCCAACCCGACGGTTTCGCCTCTGATTAAGACTCATCTTCATCTTTGATACAACCGCGAGGTACGCTGCGACTAGCCATGATGTCGACGTCCTTGCGCCGAGCTGCGTGGGCGCCTCTATTCGGCTCCTCACGAGTCACACAGCAGCCGATTCCTTCCTCCGTGCTCGGCGCGTCCCGATCTTTGCACCAGCGTCAGTACTCCTCTTCCTCTTCAAAACCGCCGGTACCGCCCAGCGATGGCTCTCGCCGATTGGATACCTCGACCCCGGCGAAGGGTGTGAATGCGTCTGGCGAAAAGGGTAAATCTGCTCGCCGACGTGGGAAGGAGAATGGCACTCGGGGCGCCTCGTCAAAAGCTAACCAGCAAAATGCGGCGTTCTTGAAGCTCCCGAGTGTCCCCTCCACCCAGCACCGCCAGCCGCATGGTTAGTTCCTTGGAGCTTCTCTAGATTTCTCGCCCCCCCTTTTCAAGTCTTTTCATTCCAATTGTTTGTAAAGATCTATTGCGTTGGAATGCTTTTAGCTGACCTGTGGGCTGTAGACGTTCACGTTGCGTCCTTCTTCTCTATTCACCGTCCTATTTCCGTGACCACCACCGTCCCTCCAATCTCGACACCTGAAGCCTTCGAGGCCATCTTTACCAAGAAAGCCTTGAAGAACAACCCCGAAGATGTCATCTTCACTCTATCATCAACCGTCCAGAACATGGAAAACTCCACGCCTGCCATGGGCGAGTCGGAAGACCAGTTCGGTCAAATTCAGCAAAGCTTTACCGCTGACGTGAATGGAGAGCTTCGCATGCACGATGGCCATGAGATTGGTCTCAGCATTGAAGAATACACCCGCCGTCTGCAACCATTCAATCCTCCTCCTCCACCAGTGCCCATGGACATGAACACCAACTCCGCTTCCCACCTCAGCAACATCGCCGAGGAAGAGACTTCAACTTACTCCACCGTCCTGACCATTCGCGAACAACGCCACGCGGACGGACGCAAGACCTACGAGGCTTCCACGGGACCCTTTGTGCGCAGTGATGTTGAAGATCCGCAACATGGATTCACCATCGACGCTCCCACGGGCTCTACCTCGGGCATGACCTACATCGAGCGTGTCCACCACAATCGAACTATGCACACTCTCAGCACCAAGAGACGCCGCAAGATCAAGATGAAGAAGCACAAGTTCAAGAAGCTCATGCGGAGGACACGAACCCTTAGGCGGAAACTTGATAAGGCGTAGAAGAATCTCGCCTTTGTCTTTTCCTTCCACCGTCTCTATCCTGCAGTTCCTCTCCACCCCTCACCCTTCTCTCTCCTACCTCCTCGGATTTCTCACCGCTACACTCCCGAGAATGGTCACCCTATCTCCCCATTCTCTGTGTCTTTCTCCCATCCATCGTCCCCCCAGTGCTCCAGCCTGAATTGGTTCGCGTCGGTTGCATTCTGCATGTGAATTTTTGGCCTTCATCTTGCATTGTCCTGGGACAAAGGAATAATGATGGCTCAAGTTTGAAACGAGGCTTTGTAACTTAATTCTTGCTCGTCCATGGCTCAGTCTCAAGTCCACATCGCCCTCCTACTTGCTTTACCATGCCATGATATTGTGTTGGGTTACCTTCTCGTATAGAAATGCTTACTGTTTCTCGTTCTGAGAACCAAGAGCTGTTGTATGAATAGAGACTTTTATCGGCATTGGCGGCCTTCTGTGTTTGAGGGGGTATCGAAGCGCGTCGTTGAATACCCGTTTTCGTAAAGACCTAGTCGTACTTTGATCATTGGAATGAATGTCGAGAGTGAATGAGTACGTAATGGGACATTGCCACTACTATAGCAACTCGCTCGTCATGCTTACTGCAACCTACTCATGAAAGAAAGTGGAAACAAAATTAATTTTGGTTTCCAAACGAAGATAAAACTCGTATAAAGTACAATAGTCCAACGCGTGTTCATGCAGTATAAGAGAAACGAGGAGATAAAGAACAGAGCAAATATCTACCGAACAAGGTTAATTCCACCAAGAATTTGGCAAGCGGTTGTCAAGCATCCCGCTCCCAAGGTTTCTACAACACGACAGAGTTGCAAACACACTGCCACTCTCCCCTCCCCACATCGAGTCAGTTCATCGTAGCAGACCATACAGTTCTTATTGGCTTTTGCCACCGATCTTGAAAGTTGCCCGTCACAGGACGAGGGGCCCGTCGACTGAGAGGGTATCAGAAGCTTGGACCGGTCGACCTTTTCGCAAAGGTTTTGACCGATTCGAGTTTCGCTTTCCAGATGTGACGGCGGATACGTCATTTAGCAAGAAGCTTTAGAACGCGAGTTCATGAGCAGAGCCACGATAAGACCGTACAGACCTGAGAAAGAAAACCACTAGTTAGACCCATGCAATGTTGTTCACCGAGTTTCTGCAAACTTACCCAAAACTTCAGCGAAAATGAGAATAAGAATCATTCCGACGTAGAGACGAGGTTGCTGAGCTGTTCCGCGGACACCAGCATCACCGACAATACCAATAGCGAAACTGTAGCATGGGCGGCCGAGAGGTTAGCGATTGATCTCACCCCGTGGAAGTGTACCACTTCGGATATACGTACCCAGCGGCGAGACCAGCAAGACCGACGGCCAGACCGGCACCAAGTTGGATGAAACCAGTGTACAAGGGGAGCTCCTGGGTCAGGTCGTTTGCGACCAGGACGGACACGACCAAGCCGTAAATACCAATAATACCAGCCATGACGATGGGGACGATGTCTGCGAGTTCAAAGAATCAGCCGACATGTTATATAGCGGCCCATGAGGTGCTGAGATCAACACCGCTCGAACATACTCTTGACGATCAGGTCAGGGCGGAGGACACCCATGCTGCAAACACCGACACCAGCCTTGGCAGTGCCATAGGCAGCGCCGAAGCAGGTGAAGACGATGGCAGACGTGCAGCCAAGCGCACCGAAGAAGGGCTGAAAAGATACATTGTCAATATTCTGGTAAAGCTTCGCCGCGTGGATACGACAACCGGTGTGGGAAGAGTCCGGGGAAGCTATCGTAGAGCGGAGGTGTTTGATTGATTACGAGCACCTCAGCATGAGGGAAGCGGGCAGATGACTTGACGTACCGCATAGACGGGGCTGTAAAAGAAAAAACATCAGTAGGGGCTCTTCGAGAAGCGGGTGCTCGTTGGTGAGAGAGCGAGGCTGAGCTTCCAACTGTCCCACTTCCTAGGGGTTGGTTTGGTGGAACGGAGAGTCGGCTACGACTTACCAGAGTTCTGAGACCATTTTGGCGGTTTAGAAGCTCAAAGGAGATATATGAAATGGGTCGGTAGCCGTTGTTTGATGGCGGACGACTCGCGGTGTGCTTGGTCGAGCTGTGGATGATAGCGTTGCAGGTCCCGGAGAGGTTGGAGAGGTCAACGAGGTCAGAGGCACAGGCTGGTGGTATCATCACGTGATCTTGGCACTTCCCTGCCGGCAGATCACTCTGAACGTCTGAAGCAAGCCATCCTTGCGGAACCCATTGCAGGCTAGCGTGGAACACCTCTTTGGCCTCGCATCACTCAATATAGTCCATTTTTGCTGCACCCGATCTGGCTCGAAATGTTCTCAAATTCGAAGACGGTAAGCCCCTTAGTGTCTAATTATCTGTTCAAAATCTTATACTTCGGCTAGAAGCTAGATCGAAAGCTGTAAAGCTACAGCCCACTTGAACCCGCCGATACGACCAAGGAGTTCTACCTTGAATTCTTCAAGGCCCTTTCTCCTGCAGGCAAAGCGAATTTGGCAGTTGACGTCTCAGGTTGCAAAGAAGATGAAGAACTCCGGCAACTACTCCAAAGCATCAGAACCGGGATGTTGATTCCTCTCAAGTCGCAGGGTGGTAAATCACCTACTGAAATCACTCCCAACCCGCGCGCTGGTATTGAGGATTCAATCGAAAACCTTAGAAGCCTGAATATCGAACCTATCACAAGGGCTCTTCAATCTTCGCTCCGGTCTCACTGTTTAGAGAGGGATGGCTATCACTGTCTAATCACAAATTATTACAGTTCTGGTTATCGCGGTCCGGTAAACGCGAAGTATACCGATCTCGAAGCAGCGCATATTATTCCCTTTGCCCTCGGATCCTCCAAATCAACCCGTCGCGAGGAAGTAGACAGACACGCACAGATATTGGTCAACCTTAGTCGCTACTTTCTAGTTCTCCGTCAACTATCCTTCACCTCAGAGCAGATTAATTCTGAAATGAATATCATGATGCTAACTGACTTTGTTCATAAGGCATTTGGATGATTCCAGCTTATTCTTGGAGCAACTGATACCGCGCATCAATACCGCGTCAAGACACTTCAAGGCTGTTCTGACGTAGTCCTTCTTTTTACCTGAGAGTCGGCTTGTCACATTTCGGGTTCATCAAGGACGATGGGAGCTCCCGCATCCGAGACTTCTTGAGATACATGCTGCTATCGGGACCTTCCTCCATATGAGTGGCCAGGCAGAGTCGATTGACAGAACTCTCAGGAAGTTTGAAGATACTGGGAGACTTGCCTCTGATGGGAGTACCAATATCGAAGAACTTCTTGCAGCGTCCAAGCTTCCATTACAAGCCTCATATATCAACAATATATCTACTTCAACACAACCCACACAGGTACAACGTCCCACGCGGTAGGGTCCCCCATAGATAGCCTCGACCTCGAGTACAGACGGAAGGCCCCAGAAGCCGAAAGAAAAGTTACATTTGAAGAAGATGGAAGGACAAGGAAGCGGACAAGCGAGACTGTTTGGTACTGGGAACAATACATGGGGTTACTAGACAAGCCCTCAATTCCATTGTTAGGAAATTTGAAGATACTGGTAGACTTGCCTCTGATGGAAGTGCCAATATCGAAGAACTTCTTGCAGCGACCAAGCTTCCATTACAGGCCTCATATACCGACGACATGCCTCCCAGGTACTTCAACATAGCCGACACAGCTACGATGCCCCATGCGGTAGGGCCCCCTCATTGATAGCCTCGACCTCGAACACATTTAGACGAGAGGCCGCAGAAGTCGAAAGATAAGCTATAACCGAAGAAGATGCAAGGACACGGAAGCGGGCAAGCGAGACTGCCTATGGGTAATTGAAGATCCATGAGACACTGTTACAGACATCGCTGTCGTAAAGGAAAATCACAGTGATTTCGAATATCAAAATCATTTCAGGCACAAACCCCGTTGCGCCCGGCAGGTATTGATCGCAGTACTCTGATATAACTCAATCGTGGAGCATAAAGACAGTATCGAATTACTTCCCCGTGAGAGAGGATGATTGTTGTATTGTGAAATTCAAATGACATTATGGTACAAGGGCCCCCCGGTGAATTTACCACCCCAATCTCACCCGGCAGCCGGAGATATTGAGCTTAGTACTGGATTCAGACGATCCTTCGGCCGCCGCCACGGGCTGATTGAAGGAAATGGCTTTTTCGGAGAGCGCGCCAAAGACATTTGGCACAAACTCAAGATCCGTCTTCTCAGATGACGCATCTGCTGGAGAGGATTCCTCAAGATGTGATACCATACCAAAGGTGAAGGTGACATTGCTGGCCACGGACTGCAAGTCGAGAGAGCTTTCGTCGTGAATCTCCGAGGGATCTCTAGCGACGAAAAATTGGATATAATCACCGGATGTGGCAACCTGGGACAGCAAGGACAAATCGTCACCGACCAAGCTTTCTGCCGAAAGTGCTGCAATATTCGAGTTTGCGTTCTCACCTGGATTGAAGATCTCTTCAAGCCCAGGTAGAGTTCCTCGGTTGGCCGATCCGAAAAAGCAAACTTCGGGATCCAAAGAAAGAAGCCCCTGCTTCTTGCCCCAGCCACCTCCGCCGCTGACCACGCGATGGAGCTTGCCTCCTTGTCGTAGACTCTCAGCCAGGTACTCCCGCGTAGACAAGCTGGAGTCTGTCACTTTGACATGCGGCTTCCCGACCAGAGCCCACACCGAAACCCTATGGTCAGACACATTGTGATCCTTGATGTACTGAGGAAGGATCTTTTCCAGATCTGATGATGCTGGTATAGGGTCATTTGAAGCAGGATCGGTGGACTTGGAGATTTGTCGGAGAATGTTGCCCATACTAGCAAGGACCCTTTTGCGTTCTCCGATAGGGTGAAGAGGCAGCGTTACACGGGGCCTGATGCTGCCGGAGGCGTTCGGGGAGGTGATTGCGCAACTGGTCAAGTCTATGGTGCGATCAAGCGTAAACGAATCTGATGTCTTGTCAAATTGCCATTGCATGCCAAACAATGTAGACTCTTTCCCGTTCACGAAGATGGTATTCGCAAGGCGTAAGCCGACCTGATATGCTCCGTCCGCGGAGCCCCGGCTTGTCTGGTCCTTGCGAAATGAAAATGACAGATCAGTCTCCTCATCAGCAGGACCACCAAACCGGCGTGGGGGTACTGGCTTTCCCCTGATGTCCTGCTCGCCAATGACCAAGAGCGAAAGACCCTCTGACTCGGAAGCATTTCCAGCCGTGCTCTCTGTGCTGCCTCCCTCGATCGGCGTTGAAGGGGATGGGATTTTGTCGACTACAGCGGCCACGGCATAGATCCGATCGGCTCTGGAGGCACCGGTGTAGACATTTTGGACCAAGTGGCGGAGAAACTCATGGGGAGAGTTGAGCCAGTGCGCGAATTTGGGGGTGACGAGAAGTAATGGAACAGGATTGCTGGTGTATTGAAATGTCTGGAGGGAGGGAATCGACGAGAGGATATCATGCGGGTTCTGTTGGAAGTGTCTTAGTATCTTTTTGTCTGCGCTTCGTCACATGGATAGATTGGATAGAGCCAAGACTTACGACTGCTTCTGGCGATTTGGTGAGCCACGTGAAAGCAAAGGGAGGATGAGTGGCAGAGGCATATTGTCTTCTCGGAGAGCAGAAGCCGAGTCCACCCTGGGGGCAGCCGCCCCTGATTCGCAGGGCGCGCGGCTTGAGACTCAATCGAGTCGCCATGAAGAGGAAATGAGCTTGACAGTCGCAAGGAAGAAAAGCCAGTCACCGGGGCATATCCTGGTGGAATCAAATTGGAGCGGTGCTGTAGCGCGGGGAAGACCAGCTTCTCCAACTTCCGCAGTCTGAGCCGTAACGTACAGTATTTGCTGTATGCTGCTGTAAGGGGGCTGGTATTACGTATACGCTTCTGCAAGAAGTGCACCCGGGAAGCTAATAGTTCACACCTTCACGGAGGGTTTGTGTAGTTCCAGAAGAACCGCGCTAAGTGGGAAATCCTTTGGAATGGTTTCTGGGCACCCACAAGTTCTCAGCCCTACAGTCATACAATACCTGGTGATCTGGCGGGTCACGAGATCTCACTCGGTCGGGCGCTTGGCATTGATCTAGTGTACAACTGTACATCCATGGTTTTACCTCGATAGTGACGCCATTGGAAAGCCATCAGGAGCCTCCAGGTAAGATAGGGCCTGACATATCTGCTCTTTCAAAGAGGACAAGTGTGGATACTTTTACAGTGCTTCATGAATAAAGAGAGCGGCAAGGAACAAGCCTGCAATCCATGTCCACTAGGCCGTGGACACTGGACACTGGACACTGGACACTGGACAGGACACAAGCTTCCAAGTATATGACTACAACTTTGTCGTGTTAGTCCTTTCCTGGTAGGAGCTCTTTCAGAATCGAGCATGCTTCAGCAACCTTACGGCCAGCCATGTATATTGACATAATTAGGACACCGACAAGGTCACCCCCCGCATTTGGGCATTCATCGAATCAGTACAGGCTTTTCATGTGTAAGGGGCAGGGCTTAGCCACCTAAACTAGTTGGCTCTCCTCGAAAACACGAATCCGCAACCTCGTGGCGGTGCTACTGTTGATGACAAGTACTGTAGATCACGGGAGCTTTAACATGTGACGTAGGCCTAGGCCACAGACAATTAGACACAGGAGTACTGTCAGTTCCAGGACTTATGTAAGGCTGAGTCGTAGTTCTTAATAAAAATAGGGAGCTCCAACAACGAACTACTGAAGTCAAGAGTCATACTGATAGCCCTCTAAGACTCATATAGACTTTCTAGGGAAGCTATCAGGTCATAACTTTATACAATGAATATACATAGGAGAACGTTGCATTTCAATTTAACCAAGGGTAGGGGCGTTGTACTTGAATTGTAATACACAGACGTCATGCCAGGTCACCTAAAATGATGGTCAAAGACAACGCGATCATGCTCGTTACACGGGGTACGAAACCACTACTACCGGAGGCTACAGGGCGAGACTGGCCATTCACCTTACGACGGAGATCAGTGGTGCTGCACAGGCCCCGCCAAGCTTTGGAGAGGCAAAGAAGTGACGACGGTATATATCAGCCACTGTCCTGAGTATCCTCAACATCATCCCGTATAATCAGGGTGACAGGCGTTCAGTGAACTAAGGAGTCCCGGAGGCTAGGACACTCGGCCCGAAAGTGGCTGAGCTATGCACCATCAAGTGTACTTTACGCCATATGGCTAGGCGTATACTATGTAACAACGCACATGTTAGAGTTTGTGAGACTTGAATCGTACTATATCTGCCGGCTTAGGGTTTCATCATGTAGCAATCATACCTTTACTCGGTACCAAGAAGATATAAAAGGACTGAAACTTGAGGGAAGTGATGAAAATATGAACTGTCCTCCTGTATGGTACTGTAGATCATTTACTGTATCCATCATAGTTCTACACTGTCACAGTAGTCAGTACTGCAGTATCGAAGTGAACGGCCGAATGGAATGCCAAGCCCGATCTGCTAGGCAGCCAGCAAACGGAGGATGCGGACAGGATCGCTTGAAAATGGGACTAGGCGGAGTTCTTTACTTTCCGTAGGCATTTGCAGGAATGAAAGAAATCATTCTAAAAGAACAAGGTCAGAGTACTGTGTGCAGAATCATGATATACTGTTGAGTTGTTCAGGTGTTAACTATAGTATGTACTCAGTTACTCACTAGTACCATCATAAAAAGGTCCGAAACCTCGGTCATTTAATCATGAAGGGATACGAGACTTGCCAATCTTGGCACCGCTCAAGCTCTCGAGTGGACTCAGGAGGCTGACGCAGAATGGGTTCACATACGGTCGCCCCATATCATTGACAAATGTCACTGTACCTGTCCGAATGATTGGCCTGTATGAATTCACTGGCACCTCTGCCGACCGAGCCCAGGGTTGACCGTACCATGGCTATTATGATTACTGTTGCCTGGTAGAGGTTGAAGAGGTTGAAGAGGTTTCATATGTTCCCCCTATCCATTTCTTCATTTGGTGCAGGGTTGGGAAGACCAACGGGACACAAGATACCGTATGTAACAGCTCGGGAAACAAGGGGTATGTCGAGGCTCATGTGGCAGTATCAAAGTGGCTGTCATATCGAGTCATTGTGAGGTAGAGACAGGAACGATGACGAAGTTCTGTGGAGGATGTCACCATGTATAACTGTAAATAGTATGTACTGTGTACAGGGTGTAAGTACACCATCAGGGTGGTTCAGCCGTCTCCCAAGCAGTCACTTTGATGTACACCGGAGTACAGGTACTTTGACCAAGTCAACCGCTGCATGAGATTACCTCGAGGATCACTCCCGTCTGTCTGGGCGGAGAGCCCGACATGAGCGTCATGAAGACCGAGCCCAGCCACAACCGCGAGGCTAGTGGTGCTGTAGGCGAATGAACGTTTTTTCTGTTCAAGGTTGGATCCGGTGAGCCACACGTTATGGCGGATGCATGACGCAATGCAGACATCGAACTGAGAGCTGCTGGGACGGGTAAGGAAACCGGCCAGCGGTTACGCCTTTCTTTTTTTTTTCTCTTTTTTTTTTTTGCCTGGGACCCATTGGCTTTTGCGTGGTACTACTGCGTACGGAGAACTGACGCCTGACGGGCTGGCAGGAGTGCTGGGCAAGTGGGCAATAGGCATAGCAGTCGACCCGATCTTAAATACAGCCGTCTCCGCGTTTACGCCAGCCCGACTCTTTTCTTCATCTCCAACCTTTCAGACTCTGCCCCCTTCGTGAAGACCCTCTCGGCCACTTTTCTCGACACCACTTTTCAGAAAAATCTTTCGCCCAGCTCACCTACTGTCACCATGCCTTTCACTGCTTCGTAAGTCTCCTTTTACCATCTCCGACGAGGCCGGTTTCTGTGACAGGACCCCAATTACATGGAGACGTCAGCTTAGCGCTGCTCGTCCCGGTCCACTTCAGTTCACAGTTCACATCCACGCGTCCGCACTGTCAGCAGTCGCTAACCACAATTTGCGATCCCTCAATAGCGATATCTGCAAGATCATCTTTGCCATCATTCTGCCTCCCTTGGGTGTTTTCCTGGAGCGCGGATGCGGTGCTGATCTCCTGATCAACATCCTCCTGACCATTCTCGGTTGGCTTCCCGGAATCATCCACGCCCTGTATGTGTCAACACCTCTGCCGCTCGGTGGTGCTATGCGCCGTGACCTCATGCTCACACTGAATCCAGTTACATTATTTTCAAATATTGAGGCCGTTGATGACCTTCCCGTCCACCTACCGCGCTGTCTCGCCGGTCGCTCTCCTCCGAAAAAACTTCATGACTCCACACAACCTTATTATCGTCTACCTCACACTCTGAGGCTGAGCGATTTGTTGTTGCATTCATGACTGTGCTCCCTCGATCGAGTGCCCAGTTGCGTGTGGTGGTGCTGTGTTCCATTTACCTCGATAATCCTGCAGTCTCTCTCTCGGCCGGCGTGGCCGGAAAGCGGTTCCTTCCATAATTCCCCTAATAGTGGCATAGGCTTCAGCTCTTGCCGTTTACGATATCTCTTTCTCTTTTTTTGACGATCATGCCGACTTGCGTCTTTCGAGTTCTGTGCGATGTGTTCTTGCCTTTCAAATGATACCGCCCCCATATTGTATTACCATTGCGGGCTTGCGCTTCACCCGAATGTCAATTAGCTTTTTATGATTGAAGGAATGGCAACTGTTTGAAAGCTTTCTGAACCTGTGGAATTAGCTAGTTCTCCTTCCTTAACCTGGTCACTTGGATATGTAGATATCAGCGAAAGCCCTCTTTTGGCCCCTAGCGCGGGTGGAACCGCCAAGCATGACGTTCGTGATCGACATCATGTGATTACCATCATATGACACGAGCCTACTACTACTGAGTCTGTACGTTCCATGATGTCGCAGACTTGAGAGTGTCTGAAGAGAGATCAGCTAACGTTCCTCTGCTTATCGAGCATCGATCTCCTTCAAATGTACCGCAAGCACAGCAACCGGCCAGAAGAATGCTCCGAAGTTAGTTTTGAATCATGCAGTCAGCTCGCGAAGCAAAACAGCTGTTCGCGCCCCTGGAACATCATTGCATGTCATGTGATCTTCACTTGACTTACAACTACTACTTCTAGTGTGACGTTCTTGACTTCAAATCCATCATAGGAGGTTGCATGCTTCATGCTTATATGATCTTCACGAATAATATGGATCAATCTTCGAAGCCTCGAAAAGGACTGCTAATGTCATGTACTGTAGCGCCCGCGCCCGCGCCGCCCCCGGGCGCGTATATGAGGGCGCTAAAGTGATCATCATCCAATCAACGCCCGACGAGACCGACGTGCTGCCCTTGAGCCTCCCTCGCGGAAGTATACGACGATCGACAAATAGCCCCTCCGATGTCATTTTAGCTGGCAGGCTGGCGCTAATACTAGATCGACCATCCGGCCGTGTTTCAGAAGATGCATGAAGACGCCGAAGCACATCGGCGAGTATACGACTACTTTCCGAGCGCTAGCAATGATGACTTGGCTTCGCGCTTCGTGGTAATGATCCCTGATGTCGGGCCACGCTTCAACTGCGACAAGGCCCTGGGCTCTACGGAACTCGCAGACATGCCCTTGAATGTATACTTTGCCATTCCGCTCTTTTCCTCTTCAACCTCACACGACTCGTGGTCATCTGCCGCTTTCCGTCTGGCCTCACGCCGCCTGCTCCATTGTCCGATCATGGTAATCACAAGGATCACATAACGTCGAGGATTAGACAGTGAGACTCGACAATCTGTGACGGTCTGGTTGAAGATGATGAAGACCCCAGCATCATACGCCACTCCTTGTCAGATTAGCTCGATACCTGCAGCATGCTCGGCCATCTGATCCGCAGCATCCTCATCGCCCTCCTCTCCTTGATCGACTCTGGTTCGGCCGTCGATTCAAGTGACCCTTCGAACGCCGCTCTGTGGAGCGCTGTACCGGATTGTGCCAAGTTGTGTGTGCAGAATTTCATCGAGGGTCAATACAACTCGGCAGAATGCACCTCGGGATCCGATATCACTTGTCTTTGCAGGACGAAGACACCGAGCGGACTTACCTTGGGAGAAGCCGGACTCAGCTGCTTGTATGCGCTGTGCGCAGAGACGGATATCGCCAGCCAAGGGAGTAGAGTCTACCGTATGTGTAGTCCAGTGCAGGGCGCTATTGCGGAAACCCACTCGGTCATTATAGCCACCACTTTCGATCCTCCTCCAGGGTTGACCAAGACTACGGACTCGTCAGTCACGACGTATGCTCCATCAAATACGGCCTCGTCCCCGTCTGCGGGGCCGACGATTCCATTATCCTCCTCTTCATCGTCGCACTCTTCGTCCTTCCCTTCTCGAAACACACGGTCTACGAATACAGTCGCTCAGACCACAGCGTCAACTTCCGGGTCAATATCGACGTCAAGCGACGGTGGACGCAGCCTGCTCACAGCGACCATCACAGCGACGAACAGTCCTGCCTCATCATCGGCACAATCAAAGGGTGCTGTGTCTCCTGTAAGTTCCAGTACCGTCATTGGAATCTCCGTTGCATCAGGCGTCGCCGGTGTCTTCCTCATTGGAATGGCGGTTTTCTTGTGTTGCAAGCGACGGCGTCAGAGCAAAAACGATGCTGGTGCGAATCCTAGTCATTATGACTTTTTCGAAATTGGCGGTACAATGTCTGAGCCCCCGGATTTCTCCCGATCTCCCTCTCGTCTCTCACCCTCGGGGCCTCATGGCGGACCCGGTGGGCCGTTGACCAACGCATATGACCACGGGAGTGACGAGATGTCCGAGTTGCCTACTACTCGAACGCCGACGTGGCAGAGCCAACCCACGGTACCGACTGTGAGGCTGCTTCCAAGTGACCCAGTAGACACGGAGGACTTGCACGACAGGGAGCCTATTGGGGTTGCTGTAAGCTCGAGAGATGGCTGGGCCCATTCTCCGCGGAGTTTGACATCGCAAAAGATGCACGCCGAGTCTCCCTCGACGACAACGGCATCATTACATCCCAAGCCGTTGAAATGGAGTCATCGACCGGACAGTGGTGGCACTCTATTCGAAGAAGAAGACGACCCTCAGCAGATGAGACTTTCTCATCCATTCGGCGTGCCGGGTACACCTTCTGTGCGTGCATTGCCAGGGTTGCCGGCCAACCCTCGTGCCTTCAAGGATGGAAATAGACCATCACAATATCCCCGTGCCTTGCCGCAGCCGCACACTGGCCCCGCCCCACGAAATCGCTTGTCTCCGGGGGATGGTGTGTCAGATGGCAGAATGGTCGGACTGAACCTCTCTACAACGGCTTTCCGAGCTTCTCCAACGCCGAACCCCAGTAGCTCTTCAGACAACACTTCGGGATCATCATCTCGCGGGTCGGCGAGTATCCCAGTCGGGATCGCTCCAAACCAAGAGCAGGCACATCGTGGCCAGGAACGTAATACGAGCATGAGACACTTACACCCATCACGTCCATCTCTCCGCAGTGGTTTCGATGCCCGTGCAAGTTCCGCTCAGAACGGAGGAATGTCCAGGAGACCCTTGCAAACAATCAGGCCTTCACAGATGCAACGCGATCATACTCGGACCCCAAGCGCTCTCGGTCTCTCCACATGCACAGACGGGTCACCACAACCGCGCATCGTGTCCCCCGAGGAGATCAAGCACGTCCAAATCCGCAGTAGTCCACGTATTCCCGGGGAGGTCGTGGCCCCCTATTGTCCGGACGACCTGTGGCCCGAGCGAGGCCGAAGTCGAGCCCCCGCGCCCAACACGATGAAGGAACTGCCCTACCCGTCCGAGATGACCTCTGCAAAGGCCGTGTATCCGGAGAGTCCGCATAAGAGGCCGATGGACCTACGGGCGCAGAGATTATCGGCTACTGGACGGAGCCTGACTCCATCAAAGAGGGGGAACGATCTGATTCTTCGAGTCGATTAGAATTCAAAGCACCTGAGTTGAACAGCGGCAAAAGTTCCTTCTGTCGACAGAGAAATGTTTCTTTCTTGTACATTATCCTCATTGATGATGCTCTCAATGCTCTTTGACGAGGTGATCCCATCCATCTGTGCCGTGGAAAATGAATCACAAGATGGTCTCAGTGTATGGGGTCCGTATGTTGAGGTGAGAAGTCCAACCCGTAGATGTTCGACGGCGAGATGTGTATGTCTCATCATTTCTAGACAGGATCGCAGATAGAAGAAATTCGACGGCACATGATCTTGTGGAACCTCAATGTGGACGCTACTACTACTACTACTACTACTACTACTACTACTACTACTACTACTACTACTACTACTACTACTACTACTACTACTACTACTACTACTACTACTACTACTACTACTACTACTACTACTACTACTACTACTACTACTACTACTACTAGCCTATCCACCAACCCCGTCCAACGTGTTCTAGCCAGAAGAAAGTAATCCACTATGACATGTCTGATCAGCAACCTAACAACTTGTTACCCCATTCTGATGAGCCTCTATCGCCGATGAAAGCAACACCCAGTTCAATCCGGTAAGCAACGAGCGGAGAAGATACTGGGACAAAAACAGGAATTAAAAATCAGAGAAAAAGCCCATGAGCCAGAAACTCCCAAGTCTACTTCAAAGGATACACTTTTCACTAGGCAACATGCAATCAGGTATGACCCTGAACCCACAAACTATACATCTGACCCAGTCTAGAACTGGCAATCATCAGACCACCCACCTGTTTTCGGCAAAGTTTCCTTCCTCTCATCCTGATCTCGGATGACAGATCTTGGGTCCGGCTGGGCAGTTCACATGGAAAGCATACCGGAATCGGGCAATGATCTCAAAAATGGGTGGAGTCACGCTTCTTCCGTCAAACAAGGAACATCACGCCCCTCCGCGTCAGTCAGCGGCAGACGCTAGTGATGGGATACGCTTGACGTTTGAGTGGTTCATCCCTTGGAACAATATAGTTCCTTTTTCTGGAGGGGATATTTCCCACGGGTTTGGTCATTGCGTCTCGTCCTCGTCCTTGTCAAAGTAATAGCGGAATGAAGCTGGTGTGTGGAGTTCACTGTGTGGCGCCAGCTCTAGCTCTTTGGGGCGGAAGGCTCGGATAGTGAGGGGTATAGTGGTGTTTTATTTTTATTTTTTGATGATAATCGAGATTGCTCGGGTTACTTGCAGTTGATCGGTTTGAGTTCTGTGGTGTAGAATGTTCAAGTTGTGATACTGCAATGTCAACTGGTCATGCACGGCTGACTCAGGCTTTCCCGACTCTTGTGTCCGGCTTTTTCGTATTGGATAGCCGGACACACTCGGTTGGAATAGAACATTATACTATTGATGGATGCCAAATGGACTCGTTGAGTATCAATTACCATGAGCGTATGTGACTATCAGTGAAGCGAACAATCATCCTCCTCTTTTTTTTTTTTGGGGTGAGTCGTGCAGATTCAGTTGACTCGGCCCGAAGTATAGACAAGAAGATAACTACGATCATGAGCGCTTTGCTACCATGTGCATCAACATCCCTACGAACGTTACACCTCAGACCCTTCCACTTGCTACTTCAGTCATGTCTTGCATGCTTCCCCACATCCATACGCGAGTTTGCACCTGGAGACTCGTGTCGAGGGCCTGACACCCAACGATGTTGATCGAGTCTCGGGGATCATGCCGTGACTCTCTGTCTCCGCTGGGAATCTGGCCTTGTCAATTGAGAATATCTGCCAAATAGGAAGTAGTGTCCAACTGTCCGTGATGGTGATTTGCTCTTCCACATTTAGCGTAGCACTGCACGGTTGTTTGGACTTTGAAGACTCCACGCCCTACAGCATACAATAGCCCCAGATTAGCGGGGTTGCACCCACGGGCTCGCATACTCGTCGAGCAGTATGTGTAGTTGTGTACTTTACTGTCAACTGTGGGCGTGTTGAGCCTATACCAGACTGATGTCTCTCCTCCACAGCAGCTCTGGAGAGCCGGGTATGCATCATGCTTTTGAGGGGGGGAGGGGTTCCACTTGTCTGTCGGCTCAAGCGCTGCCGAGAGGCCTAAACGGAATGTGTCCGCGTTGACTTGCTAGGACATTGTCTGGCGGCGGCTGCGCATGGTAGCTGGTTGGTTTCTTCATCCTTGTTGATCTTGCAAAGACCCTTGGGTCTTGAGTTGAGAGAGATGCGACATCGTCTGCATCGAAATGGTGAGCCGGTAAACCCAAAAACATCCTGGCATGTGATCTTAAGCCCATGCGTTGGGTGTCGGATATGCTGCTGCACTGTAATTCCCCAGTCTTCTTTTCCGCAGATCTCCCAAATGATATCAATCAATGCCAGATTCTATCCGCGTCAGTGCGTCGCGGGTCAGATTGTCAACGTGACAGCTTAGACTCTTGAGCTTTGAAGACTCTCACATTCTGGTTTACCTCGTCACTCCCACGGCTCGCCAGTGCACATCCACCTGAAGCCGTGGATGTGTGCGGGCATATGGACGTCAATCATAGAAAGCGGTGTACACTCTTTGACTGGCAGATCGAATCAAGGTGTGGCGTCGGTTTGGACTTGGGGGACCCGATTTTGTGCTGCCTTGGGCATTTGGCGTGACGCAGGCTGTTTCTCTCTCTCTTTCTTTTTTTCTCCTGAGTGTTTTTTTTTGCTTTTGCGTCTGCATTGGCATTCTCGATTGCAGATGTACTGCGGTGGACCTAGGCCTGCAGTAGAGCTATGACGATGGAATTTGACGTTGTCGATCACAGACTACTTGACGTGTGGAGTAACGATGATCGTGCGATCATCGTGATTTCGGGCATGGCTTTGCCCGTTCATGGTATGGTTGTGATCACCATTGTCATTGTGAGACTTGATTGTGGAAGATATCGGACCCATCTGACCGCGGTCGAAGCCTAACCGTTCCAAGAGAATCGGAACTTTCTGGGAGTCTCAAGCTGATAGTTGCAGATGATCGTAGACCACTTCCCTACTACTCAAGTTTGTAGTATGCTGTAGTCTGTGCTCTGCAGTCTGTCTAGTCTTTCCTCCTGTTGACGGTCCGTCATGAGCGTAGGCGGGCTCCATATTTCTCTACTTCATGGCAGTGGGGCCGTCCGGCCTCCAGAAGACTAACAGGTTCACAGCCTCAGCTTCGTCATCGGAAGAAACCGAAAAAAGAAAAAGAAAAGTCTTTGTTTCAAAAATCTGACCCAGAGCGAGGAATCCGCTACTGCAAGATTGCACCTCTGCGCGCGCAACTGGAAATCACCAAGTGCCTCGAAGTTATCCCCAGATCGAAATTGTTCCCCTTCCCCCACCAGAGATGAGAGATAAGACGATTGACGACAGCTAACGCCAGCTGCTCTAGTGGCTTGCAGGTTGCATATCGCTGGATCTGGGCTTGCATGGAATACTGTATGACATGATGGATGAGCGAATGTCATTTGCATGCTGCGCTGCGGCTTTTTTTTTCTTTTCTTCTTCTCTTCTTTTCTTCTGCTTTTCTCCTTTGGTTTGGAGAGGGGCCGAGTGGAAATCGGATGGGTCCAAATCTCAATGCACAGTGACCGCATTTGCAGTCCGCAAAGGTATGGATGTGTTCTAGCATCAGGCTTGAGCAGGCAAGTGGGGGGAGTGGGAAATAGCACGGAGGGGCACAACGCATCTTGCCTCTCTAGTCAGTTTGTGTGGAGAGACTGGCAGAACACTGTAGTGTGCAAACTACAAAGTGTACAGAATATCAGTACAGAGTACAGATATGCGCTCACCACCCAAAACAAAAAGAGGTAACTCCCTGAATCATCAACATCATCAACAAGTAATGTCAAATGTGAATCCATACTCTACCGTGCCTGACATGTGGATCGATCGATGGGCGAGGATGTCTTTAGAACAAAAGCTTGCGCTATTCACACCTGTTTTGTCGTCCAGTATAGTCCAGTCATTGTGTCTCATGGCAGGCAGTAGTACTACTCACAGGTACCAGCAGTCCTTAGTCCTCACAGCCAACTGCAATGCTATCCTCCTTTTCGAGCATGACCCATCACTGCCGTACGTAGTACCTACTAGTAATCTACTAGTAGTAACCTACAAGTACTGCGCCCCCTTGCGCTCTTTCATGTCCGTGTCCTGTCAGTCAAGGATCCCATCGACGTGTTGGGAATAATATCAGCGCAGTTAAGCTACCACCATCGGACAGACCTCCCCCCGGGCAGCCCTTGGCACATCGGACATATTCAAGCTAAAGCATCCCACTATTCGGTGATATGCGTCAAAAAGGGTTTCCTCGGTCGGATGGCTGCAGTGGTGGCTGGACCCGCTTCGAGGACTTCGCATCAACGTCAACCCAACCCGCCTCCTTTGCCCTCGTCAACCATGAGTCCGTGAGTGTGTCGATGCGTGGGTGATTGGGTGATTGGGTGATTCGGTGATGCAGGAGACATGTGTCGGAATGGTTTCACTGGGAGGTACATTCTTACCGTCGCACTTTGTCAGCTCGTTCCTCGGAAAGATAGGGCGGCTGTCGTACAGCACGGTCGTATCCTCAACGTCCATGCGCGACGCCACATACCCCGAAAATGCCTTAGCGGGCATGCCTCGCATCCCCTTCAAGAAGAGAAAGCGCTGCTTATCGGGCCGCAGCGGAGGGGTTGAACCCGCCTCACCGCGTCCAAAACAACAGAACTCTACTGAATACTGTAAGATGCAGCAATTATTGCAATCCATGTACCTCCTACTAGGTAGTTGATACTATAACTGCTGTATGTACAAAAGAACCACGCCGTATGTACTGTTGACACACCGACCTTGCCTGAACATGCCCGGAGAGGGCGTAGTTTGTACAAGGAGAGCACGCTTCCTCGCGGGCTAATCCCCCAAGGAATGGAACGCAAAAGACTGAAGTTTGGAAAATCTGCCAACATGGTTGAGCCAATCCGATGTGATACGCATTGACCTGGGGGCCAATTTGATCAATTTGGGGATCAAAATTGAGGGGACGTGAACTCTGATCGAGCACCGATGTAAGTACACTTCTCTCTTGGCAGTTGACAAGTTGACAGGATTGTCTCGGTGTCCCGGCCTCCTGGCCGTTCCCTCGGCTCAAAGGCGGTTGTGAATGGGAGCTGAGCCTATGAGGCGGGGATTAGACACCATTCAGCTGGAGACATGCGCATGTTTGCAGGAGTGTACATCACCGTTGAAGTCAATAATAATGCCGCATCGAGTGTACTATATTGTACATTCCAGAGTCACCGAGGATGTACATTGTACAGTACATTTGATGAATCTTACAGAACAACAATTAGGTAGACTGTGTGATTGTCTGATATTCTATCAGTACAGTACTTCATAATCCGTGCCACTGCATACTGTATAGTGTATACTGTATGTTGAGGACTCCAGCTTCGATATGTTATTCCTTGAAGTGCCGCGAGAAGAACCACGGATTCAAGTGACAGTGTCGATGTGATGAGCGTCTCGAGTCTCAACCTCAAGTAGATCAAGATGGACTCAAGATTGAAGATTCAACAAGAATACTTGATTGTTGCAGTATAGGGTCTTACAGGTTTTGAGAAAAGTACATACTGTACTATACTATCTGCCATCTGCCATCTGGCATCTGAGTAAATCAGAGTTGACTGCACATTGAAAGTTACAAACTACCTACCAATTATACAAAGTGTACAAGAGTAACTCGGTATACGTTAGTAGTCAACTTACTGGGTCTTAGTACCAGTAGTACACTAGTAGTACGCTAGTCCCCAAATGGATTGACACGGAAATGTTGAGTTACTGGCTGACGTCATGTCCCGATGCGTCCCCGCGATGATGCGGGCCCAAGCACGTGAAAGGGCGATGATTCGACCCCCTCCGCCGCCCACGACGTACCGTCTCCGTCTCTCTTCGGAAATGGCTGATGGCTGACGGCGCGGCCAGGCCAGGGGAAACCCACGGGTGAAGTTGATCGAATCGGCAGTGCGGGAATATCATCGCAATTTCCTGGATGCGAGGACGACTGAGAAATGCGGCACACGCAGGGCCCGCTGAACGCCAGCCCGCCCGCCCCTCGACGCCAGGAAAAAAGCGAGGAGGCACAGCACAGGCGAACCCGAAGATGCCCTGGTGGCCCTGCCCTTAGGAGCAGGCCTCACGGTGCCGAATGAACGCCACACCGAGAATTCGCAAGGGCCGACCGACCCCCTCTTTCAGTGTCCATGAAGAAAAGGAAACATTCTTTGTGATGGAACACTACTGATCGCTTCCAGAAACCCGTTTGACCGCACAGAAACTCGAAGATTCGAGAGTCTGTTGATACCCCCGGTTTCCCTGGGCCTCTGTTCCCCTCCCTCGGCGGCAATTTCCACCTGTACAGCTCCTTCGCTTCTCGGCCAGGGGCGGAGAAAGTCGCAAAGAGGCCCATGTCATCATCGTCGGGAGACTAATCCTACGACATCTCCAAGACCACACAGAACGACAATCCACACTCCACAAGTCCACCCGAGGGGTGAAGTACATTCTGGGAAAAGAAAATGGAAACCAATTATTTCCAAATCGAAACCTCTTCACAGGTTGAGCCCCTCCCCGCGACGTCAATGGTCCACTCACACTCGGTAACGACAAGCCGGACGACTCCACTCCGCCAAACCTCGGAACCCTTGTCTTATGTATGTGGTGGACGAGGGTGGAAGATGGTCCCTCATGCAATCAATCAGCGCCAGCAGATAGACTCGTGGGTAATGGGTCATCGCGCCCAGGGCACGTTGCGGTGGAGCCCTGAGAACACACTAATCACGAAGGAGACGCCGAATGAGGATCGATCGAGCGTCACACCCGTGGAAAGCACGCAGGCATCCGGAATGATGACGAGGGGTTTTTTGCTTTTACGCAAGAGCAAAAGAAACATCCATCCCATGGAGAAAGAGAGCGCATGGAGAACCAACGCGAGAAACAGAAAAGTGGACCCGCCATGGATCGTAATCCGAGCGCGCAACCAGAAAGGAAGCATCCATCGATGTAGGCCACAGCGCCTGTGAATGAGGTCGAGGATGTCATATTAATGGCCTCGTCCTCCCCCACTTGCTCCAGTATTCTAGTCTGCTTTTCGATAAGAACTACAACATAATCCACTTCTTCCCATCTTGTTTCCCTTCCATTGATCGTCGTGGAATCAGAATCCATCCGTGACCAAACGCACGCATCCTCAAGTCGTCTATCCAAGTTTTGTGTACTTTGAACGTGCTCCATCTATATCCACCTGCACGTCCTCAAATCTTCTAAATACCTTTGCAATCGTCAACAGTCTCCAAAGGACTTGAGAAGCAATTCTTTGATCCATTTTGCCACTCTATCTTCACTTCCCCCTGTTGATCTTCTTTGGTCGTATCACCTCATCACCATGGCTACAACCCAAGGCTTCGGGACCCAAAAGGTCAACCGCCTCTCCAGCATGGACGCGGAGCGAGCAGATCTGTACGGCGGCCCAAGTGTATCGATGCCCCCCAAGCACTTGATGGCTTCTCCCTTGGACAAGGTCCCCGCCATGGATGTTGAATCAGACCGCAGCTCATCTGAAGATGATGTTCTTTCTTCAGAGGAGGAGGATGCCCTGGCCACTCCCATGACCATGCCCCAAATGACCGTGAGCGATGACTTTGCTTTGGCCTTTGATATCGACGGCGTCCTGATCAAAGGTGGCGAGGTCATCCCGGAGGCGGTGGAAGCTATCAAGTATATCAACGGTGAAAACCCATACGGCGTGCAAGTGTACGTTAACGTCCCCATTCTTGGTTACGACCGGTCACTAGTGAAAAGCGAGAGACTTTGTTTGCTGACATGTGATCACTAGGCCCTATATTTTCCTGACCAACGGCGGTGGCAAGACTGAAAAGGAGCGTTGCCAGGACCTCAGCCGTCAGCTAGACTATGAAGTCTGCCCTGGACAGTTCATCTGTGGCCACACTCCCATGCGGGAGATGGCTGAGCGCTACGAGACCGTTCTGGTCGTTGGTGGTGAAGGCGAGAAGTGCCGCATCGTTGCTGAGGAATACGGGTTCCAAAATGTCATCACACCCGGAGACATCATCAAGACGAGACATGACACCACTCCGTTCCGCAAGTTGACCGACGAGGAGTACCGAAACTCCCGTGAGTTGGACATGGAAAAGGTTCGCATTGACGCCATCTTTGTCTTTGCCGACAGCCGCGACTGGGCTGGTGATCAGCAGATCATTCTGGATTGCTTGATGTCGGTCAATGGCCAGTTGGGCACTCGCTCGGAGACCTTCGATCAGGGTCCTCCCATCTTCTTCTCGCACAACGACGTGGTCTGGGCCACTTCCCACGAACACTCTCGGATTGGCATGGGTGCTCTCCGAGCCTCGCTTGAGGCTCTGTACAAGGCTATCACCGGCAAGGAATTGAAGACCGTGGCCTTTGGCAAGCCCCAAATGGGCACTTTCGAATTTGCGACTCGCCTCCTGGGCCAGTGGCGCAAGGACTCTCACGGCATTGCCCACCCTCCCTCGACCGTCTACTTTGTCGGTGATACTCCCGAATCTGACATCCGAGGCACCAACGAGTTCAACGAGATTTCCGAGAATGAATGGTACTCCATTCTGGTCAGCACTGGTGTCTGGCAACAGGGCACCATCCCCCGCTTCCCTCCCAAGAAGATTGTGGGCAACATTCTCGATGCGGTCAAGTATGCGGTCGAGCGTGAGCAGCAGAAGATTCACTCCAAGAAGAACTCTGCCCTGCTTGGCCAGACCGATCAGCTCGTTAACTCTGAGGCGAAGGCTTAGTTGTTCAGATCACTTTGATTTGAGACGTTGATTTTTCCCGCCCTGCTTGTTCTCCCCGACGTCTTCTTCCCACGACCCTCTCTTTTACTTCTACACTGTCAACTGGTTGACATTTTTATCTCCTTTCCATTGGAGTCATCTCTTTTATTTTGATTTCCTCTTTTCTATTTGGATCATATGAGACCATGCGATTGATTTCCCCCCCCCCCCCCCCCCCCCCCCCCCCCCCCTTCCTCCTCCTCGGGGGTGTCGCGCCCTCTTTGATCCACTTTATCATGACCACTACTACCCTTATGACCTGCGTGCATTACTTCGTCTCTCTTTCCCTTTTTGACAACTTTGCAACCAAGGCGTCCGGCTTCTTGTTTGAATGAATGAATGCGCATCTATTGGAGTAAATATGGTATTAGAATGACAACGAGGAAGAATATGATCAATTCCTGCTCTACAATACTTCCTAAAGAGTAACTTCTACCCGCGTCTTCATCCAATTTGCACTATTGCCCAAGTTTCAGTTCGCTACCATTTTAGTCCTAATCCGTCCTGATCCCGTTTTGTTCCGAGGCACACACATGAACTCTTGTCCCCACATAGACGTCGCAATTTCCCCCGCAAACCTAACAGCGTCCGGAGCACATCTCCTGGGGAAAATCAGAATTAGTGGGGGTTACAGAGTACCGACTACAAACCGACGGCGACTAAAAATGGTCCCCCCGCCCCAAAAATATGAAATCCCTCAAAACACGACATGCGCATCCACGCGCCGGCATTCCCTCTTTGGGAGTCCGCGATACCTACCATATCTGCGGGACTAGCTAACTTCAAGCAGAGGTCAGTGCAGACTTAGTCGTTAGACTAAGCGTAGGATGATCTTTCTAGGACCCAATCACCATAAGCTTCCTCAAGGAGGTAATCAGATCAAACCTGTTAGTGTGGACATGGCATGTAAGCACGCGCATCGGCAGGTACAGTAATAGGCAGAGACTCGTTACATAGTGCTCCACCACTTCTTGGCTCGGTACCAGTAGTAGCACGTTTAGTAACTGGATGCCCCGCGGTGGACCCGATGGCCGAGTAGATACTCCATATTACTACCCCGCGTAATGATTACTACTTAGTCTTACTAGTGTATGAGCCATGCGCACTAGTTAGTTACTAGTTATTAGTCACCTCCTAGCAGTACGAGTCAAGAGTTGCTTGCTTTGCCTGGTGATAACGCGCGGGCGGATTGTATTCCCGTGTTATCCCGGCGAAAGAAGGAGCTAACCGGAACTATCCATGTTTGCCAATCGGAGGCTTGGCCGTCGACGTTTGAAAATATCCGGTACTGTCCTCGAGGGGCGGTGGAATTGTTTGCAACTGACTGGTCACTGTTCAGTGTATCCACAAGTCGTTTCTTGGGAAATGGTGCCATACATGATACAATTCCAGTGGCGCGGGCTTGAATACGGGGATCAGTTTGTGCGGTGGTGCACGGCGTCGGCGTCGGCGTCGAGCGGGTCAAATGCATGGAATAGATCCGCTTGTACAGGCGTTTACCATGTCCTGCTACCCAGCTCTATCAACAAGTTATAAGCGGGATCCCGAGTCTCGCGACTGTCAGCAGGGCAGTTTGCAAATGAGGAGAATTCCGGAGACGGTTGACAAGAACAACAACCTGAGTGTTGTCCTATGAGTGGACTTCGTAGTGACTCGCTTGGGGAAGTACATCCATGCCCGAGGATAAGGTCCGGTAGAAGACTAAGGCGAGTAGGGTAAACTGAGGTTAAGGCTGCAGAGTTTCAGTAAGACCGTGATAATGCGAGAGCCCTCGAATACGGAGCACACTGCGGGTCAATTCCAGCGTATACAACGGCGATTGCATCAAAACAGAAGTCATTCAGATGAGAAATCTTCAAAGCGTATCGTCAGATCCATAGGTATACACCAGGTATATATGTTTGTGCACACCTCGGCCGCCAGAGTGATAATGTATTGAACTTGATTTCTTAGCACCGGCTACAGTTTCTCGTCAACCATCTTTGTGTATGTCTGAATCCCTTCCTTGGGCTTCTTGCACATATCAAACACAGTGAATTGCTGCAAGTAGGCCTCCAAATTCACGAGCACGTTCAGGATGGCCTTATCAAGCCTTTTCCCCATATGATTATCGAGCCAGACAAATCAGTCAACTAAATTAGCTAGAATTTCCATATCTTCAAGACCTTTCCACTATACGGAGAGCTCATATACGGCCTGTTCGTGAGGCATGTGATACTGCCATCTCACCGCAGTCCATAGCCTAGATTGAATCTCTCCTACCTAGCTAGTTCATCTCACACTCATCCCTCTTTCATACTGTGATGCTGCTGCACCTACTGTCGCCACCTCCCGACAGATGATGAGCCCTGTCGAGTGCCAAAAGTGAGGAAATTAACACTTCCTTGCTGCCTATACAGCAACTTACAAAGTCAACACATTTTCAACTTCCTGCATACCCTGCAGCAGATTCGGCGCAAAGCCACCCCCCCCCCCCCCCCCCCCCCCTGCTGGGGCCACTCAAGGCCTTGGGCCTACAGGCCCCTGCGCCCCGGCGCACACAAGAATCCCAAATTCCTTACTGGCTTTTCAACGCCACTGGTCCGCAAAGGATTCATCAAAACTACGGTCGAATCAAACGCGTATTCAAGCCTTTCGATACGTATCAACCAAAATACAAACCACAAACCAACACAACATATTCGGGGATTTCGAGTGCAAATACAGCATATCAAATTCAACAAAATGGAGTTCATCGATGCCATCAAAGCCATTTCTGACCTATCCAAACAGATCCCTACCCTCAAGGGACAGGAGAACTACGAAAAATGGAAGAAAGGAGTCGCTCATGCAGCTCGTACCATAGACCCAGATCTATGGCCAGTCATGACTGGCATAAAGAAGTGTCCCATTAGGAGCCTTCGAGAAAAACCATCAATTCAAGTCATGTGCGAACAGCTGCAAGCCCAGCTCGACAGGGATCCTACTCCAGAAGAACTTCAGCAGTGGATCGCTGAGAACATTGAAGAACCTAACAAGAAATTCGAGTGGTTTGAAGCTAAACACCGAATTGGAAACCGTCTGATCTATGTCACGACCAATAAGGCAGCTAAAAACTTCATCGCCGAGCGCTCTAACTCATATGAGTGTATGGAAGTCCTTCACAATGCCTATGGCACCGCCACTCACACTGCCTGCACTAATAGGCTTATGGCTTTACAAGCGATCAAATACACCGGTGGTAATCCGCATACCTTCGTTCACAAGTGGCGTACAGCACTTGAGGAGCTCAACGCTAGTATGCCTGATCACCCGTGCAGCCATGAATTAGCCTTGGCCATGTTCAAGCTTGCAGTCCAAGGTCACCCAAGCGTCAAGGTTTTCATCAATACCTATGAGCCACCACAAAATCGTGAGAGCTTCCTTGATCATATCTACGGAAGGTTTATCGAATGGGTATCCAATGATAAAGCCATCAACGCAGCTATCGCTGCAACCTCTGCGACTCATGATACCGGAAAAGGCAGAGGTAGAGGTAGAGGTAGACGCAGATGAATACGGCATGTGATATTGCTGTCTTGTCGCAGTCCATAGCCGAGATAGAATCTCTCCTAGCTAGTCAATCTCACACTCATTCCTCTCTCATATTGTGACGCTGCACCTACTGTAGCCACCTCCCAACACGGCCCACTCGCTCATATCTATCTGCCCCTGAAATCAAAGAATCGAACTTGCGGGTCGAAGCAGTGTGCTCGTTCCATGTCGACTTGGCATCAAGGTTTCCAAGCACATCTAGGATGGACTGCTTGAAGAGGGCAAAATTAGCATCCTTGTCTGTGAATTTCGAGACTGAAGTAATTTTGGCAGATATCGGGCTTTTCAAGAATGTTCCCAAGCCATTTGAAACTCCCTACAATGTACTGGGTAGAATAAAGGTCTGTCCCGAAACTGGAAGGAGGGAGATGGAATTAGCATCGACACTCATAGACACTGGAGGTGAGTAACCTTTACTTCTACGGCTTACCTAATGTGTCCACACGGTACGTTGACGATGATATAAATCTCAAGTGATAATATACACAAATATTCCTGAAACTTCACAACTAATTCAGCTACGTTATTGCAAACACGGCGCAGGCAAGCATGTTTTGTGATTTCAAAACGGAAGGATCTTTGACTTCCGCAGCGGTGTCATTTGTTGACATTTATGTCTGCAGTCCAGCTTTCTCATCAATCATCTCTTCATAGACTTGAAACTCATTCTTCATATCGATGTTCATTATCCCCACGCTTGTCGCACGCAATCTGCTACTAAGTGCACAGAGCAGACTCACAAGTCCCTGATATGACCGTCAATACCATCGTCAGGCTATCAAAAGAGATTAGGTAAACTTACCGTGGCATGGGCGTTACGACTCTCGATCAAATCACGAAACACATTCAACGGAACAAAGCCTTCATTAAAGAGTGGCCCCTTCAAAGGCATGCTCGAGCCCTTCGCGAATGAAGCGCCATACCTTCAAATGGTCCAGTTATCAGTAGACATTTCCAATCTCACAGCCAGGGACGCGAGCTGCGCAACTCAGGACAACCTACCTTTGTGCTCCATGCCCTGGCAAGGACGGCAGAGTCATCAGGGCCTTCCACGGCCCTGGATAGCGAGGATCCTCCTATTGGAACTTCTTTCGCTGCCTCCGCCATCAAGGTGTTGAACTTGCGGGTCGCATCGATGACTTCGTCCTGTAGTAATTGAGCGTTAGGAAAAATCATGCTCAGTGGTACCAGTGTGGTCTCTTCGACACTTCAGACTAACAGCGTCATTTGTCCTTGACCACACAAGAACCTCCTTGTGGACATCCTCTCGGAGGAAGTTCTCAAGCTGTTCCCGATTCCACATTTTAATGGAGTGAAATGAAGATTCGTTTGGGCACGGGAGATGGCATCTGTTGCATAACGAAAATGTTTCGGAATTCCAGCGCCAGACGGTGTGTGTGTGTGTGTGTGTGACTGGGCTTGTAATCGAACAATCTGCAATTTTGCAAAGTGCGTTGACGATTGTGTAGTATAGGTTCCTCAGGCGATTAGCTGGAGATGGCCCATCCCCAACCCAAATCTGTAATTCATCACATCGGAGAAGGTTCGTCATTCGGATCAATGATCACTCCCCATTGCCGATGATGTCGAATCAAGGGGTATGTCGGGAAAATAGCCTCATGCGCATACATCATGGAAAGGCGATACGGACGAGCTGAAGCCTGGTCAAGTTAGGTCTACCAAGGCCACCCTTTCATATGCTTCCCAACGCAGTGGAGTGGACCGTGGATCATTTGCTGGCTTGGCCAGATGGCATGATTGTTGCCCGATCTGCCAGGCAACCAAGATGACCCCAATAGTCCCATAGCCTCAACAAACTCTACCCCCAAAGCTGTCACTGGACAAGTCGGCGATACAAAGTCCCTTTGGGTTCCGAGGCAAACAGAGAGGCGGAAGAGCTGTGCGGTTGGACTCAGTACATAGCCGTTTATCAGTCCGATCTGAGGAATCTAAGGAATCTGAGTTCGTTGACAGCGCCAGACAATGGTACGGTGGATATCTTTCATTACCTCGCCATCTATGAGAGGGCAAGCTCAATTGACTTTTCCACTTGCCAGGCCTCGTCTGAAACTGAAGCAGTGTATCTGCACGATGCATCACTAAGAACCCTGGCTACCGAGGTCATCTCTCACCAGCTCGTCTCAGCGCTGGAAGAACCTGAGAAGAGCTTGTACAAGGGTGCGACTGACCCAGAAATGTCGGTCGTCACCATGCGCCAGACAGTCCTCTATCCTCAAGGAGGAGGCCAGCCCAGCGACACGGGCTCTCTTGCAATAGTAGACGAAGAGCCCACTTTCACAGTGACTACGGTGCGCAAAGCACCCAGTGGTCGGATTCTCCACTTTGGCAAGACGAGTACACAGCCAGGTTCGCTGTTCCAGGAAGACCAGCGTGTGGTTCAGCGAGTGGATGGTGCCAAGCGCGACTATCACTCTCGTCTTCACACAGGAGGACATGTTGTTGGCTTGGCGATGCAGCTGCTGTATCCGGAGATGAAAAAGGTCAAGGCGAACCACTTCCCCGCGGAAGCGTGCATGGAGTACGAGGGTCTGCTCTATAATGAGCAGAAACCTGTGATTCAGGCCAAGGTGGATGAGCTGGTTCAGCAGGATTTACCCGTCTTGATCTCCTGGGTTGAAGATGGCTCTGATTTGGAGGGCAAGGGCGCAATGAGGGAAGGTCCTGTTCGCGTGGCCAGCATTGGTGGGCTGGATAGAAATCCTTGTGGTGGAACTCATGTGCCTTCTACACAAAAAGTTGGACCCATCACGATCCGGAAGATCAGTCGGCAAAAGGGTATCAGTCGGGTGTCCTATGACGTGCCGTTGGAGGTTTGACTCCAACTGCTATATTTCCTTTTCTGCGATATCATTTCAGGCGAGCAAATTTCATTTCTGTCCATTAATTATACACGGGAAGTTCTGGCTTGAGGAATGGCAATCCTCCGCTTTGAAAAACAGCAAAGAGCGCTCATGTCTTGGGAAAGAACACCATACGCCCTCCCAAACAAAGACCGCAGTCGAGGGCGATATAATATACAGGGTGACTCTATGGTTAAACCTCGAATTCATGATCAAGCCAGTGCTTCATAACCATCTTGCCCTCGTTAAAGCCATCTTTGCGCGACCGGACAATGATCGCCGCGTGGCTGTGCCGGTGATTATGAATGTAGACGCAGTATTTTCGGAACCCGACCTCGTTGAGCGAATCCACAATGCCGAACTGATCTTCAGTCAGTGCCAAAGTTGGTTGATGCCCAAGAAGATGTTTCCCCTCGTGCGCATCCCCTGACGACTCTTCATCCAGTGCTGAATCGGACCCGGAGCGGTCCTGACCTTCAAACTTAGTCTGTTGCTCTGGGACTGCCGACTTGGATCGCTCGTCCTCCTCGGTGGCGGAGAGGTAGTCCGGTTCTTGATGAGCACCCACAGTCTCGTAGGCTTCTTCCATCACATGCTGGACATTTTGTACCACGAGAGGGACTTTGTATCTTCCGAAACGCAGGCCGTTTTTACCCTCCGAATGTAGGCGGATACGCCGCTGGCTGCGGAATGTCTGCACCGCCGCGTTGGCGAAGAAGATCGTAATGGCAGGGGGCACCACCAGTGCGACAACAATCCAGAGAGGAACCTGGTAGGCGTTCTTCTTGATCCTTTTCCAGAATTGTGACGGTTCTGCGGCATCTGATTGTTTTGGTTTATCGGGCAGCAAATAGTTGTCCAGATCGATAATCACGTCATCGTACCCCTTAGCATAGTTGATACGGACCTTCTCCGGGTCCTCAAAGGGATTGGTCTTTGAGATTGCGGACGTGTAGAACAAGACTGTCCGGTCGTTGACGATGTTTGCGTATACGGAGCGATTCCGGAACCTCTTTAGCCCTTGGATGAAAATGCTCGATGGATCTGCCAAGAGGCTCAATAGAGGTCGACCTGTATCTCGGAATGTGTCGACCATGAACATCTGTTGACCCGACCTTGACACGGTCTTAGATCCCAGAGTGTTGTATATGTCGCCTAGGGTTCCCTTGAGCGGCGTGCGGGCGCCCACATGGGGTGTGGCGAATGTGGTGAAGTTCACTGGCTCGAGCTTGTCTAGCCATCCAGACGCGTGTAATAGGCCGATGGCATATCGAGACACCAGTCCACCAAACGAGTATCCGACAATGCTGAGCTTTTTGATCTGGTACCCCTTCTGATCTAACCGGTCTAGCGTCTCCTCGATTTCATGTACGAGGCGCTCGCCGCCCACCTCGACACCATCATACGTCCAGTGTCCACTGTTATTCTGTGCGCAGTGGACGTAGACGCTGTCTTCATCGTAGCGCTCTTTCACAGCTGACGCGACATAGTCCAGATGTGATGCATTTCCCCAAAGACTGAGGTCAGACAGCGGATCAGTTATGGGGTGTTCAGAGCCACGGGCGGGACTTTGGCGTCATCGGGCAGTTCTTGGCTGGAAGGAGGAAGATCACTCACCCATGCACGAGGACGCAGAGATGATCTGCTTTCTTCGGTTCTGTAGACATCGCGCTGTACGAAAGTAAGTGTGGTATTATTTGAGGTTTTGGTTCTTGTCTACATGGAAGAGAAGGATGTGTAGACTGTTTCAATCAATCTAGCTGAAAGGCCCCCCAGTCCCAACCTGGTCAGCTACAAACAGTCAAGCACTGCCCTTCGGAGATAAGCCCTGCAACCGCCGGGCTGATTGATGGCCCGGTTTCCGCTAAGCCCGGCGATAGACTTTCCTGACGTGAACACCTGACGATCCAGGCAGAGATTATACGACCGATCTGGGGATGAGGATTCAGTGGGTGTCGACCAGAGAGATTGAAGACAGGCCACCAGAAGCTATAGTATGCTTGCAACGAGTAGGCTGAATGGTACGTGCGCTGGAGGCAGGCGCTCAGTGCCGAGTACTTGTATGTAGTTGGACTCGTATCAGGTGGTTTGGTTTGCCATGTTTGCGAGTACCGACTCCGCCCAAACACCTTTAGGAGGCCCACTCTTGTTCAGGACTATCGAATTGCATCTATCACTGCTTCTCACCAAGACACGTTCTCGAATGACTAACATCCGCATTTGCCAATCCATATTGAGAACATCGACCTGCTTGAACATATCGATACAGTTTTTGAACTTTTCTGCGCTGATCGGCGTGCTCATCCGACGCTAGGTGGTCGCGATCAGACTGCGCAGCTTGGCAGCTGCATGTGTCTAGACTCTAGAGTCCAGACTTCGAAGAGCCTCGCTGTTCGACCCACTTACAGACAAGCAAACTCGCTCCATTTTGAGACTTCTGAGTCCAAGTATCAGCTTTCATTCATACCTCACACAGCAGTGAGCTCTCTCACGAGATCTATCAGGGTCTCAGCCGAAATCACAATTTCCTGACTGTGCATTCTTACCTTCATCATGTTTACGAGCCTCGGCCTCTTCATCCAGGTGGCTTGTCCCCAAGGCGAGGGCTGCTCTCTCCTGAACTGCCTATTCTCACACTCAAGTCGTCTCAAAGACGCCAATGATTCTCCTACGACCACAGTGGCAGTGCATCCTACAAGCCGAGCCCCAACACTGGAAGCCCATCCCCGGAAGAAGCTGAAACTCTCAGAGTCGATCAATATGATCGGTTCCTCGACCTCACTATCACCGGACCGGAAGGTATCAGTACGTACAAGTACTGCCTCTGCAAGCTCGAGCGCAAGCCCAAGTCAGCAGTCGCCTCCACGGACAGACGAGAAAAGCACATTGTCAGGCTCTTTACCTAAAGCTTCCCTTGCTCAAGGCGCATCGGCCTCACCGCCACTCTCGGCTACAAAGTCTCAGAAGATCATCACTACAGATAAGAAGGCTGCCTCCCAGCCGGGCCCATCCAGACTCCCACCCAGGAAGGCACCAAAGGAAACTCTCAACCCACGCATGCTGCCCAAGGCTCCCTCTTCCCATGCCACCCGCACTGCCATACTGAAGAAGTTGCACTCCGTCATCGTGACCAACAATCAGAATCTGTCTCAAAGCAAAGATCACTCAAGGGCATCCCTGGTCCTCACACCTGATGAGTTGATCACCATGGCCCTAGACGATGAAGAGGCCGTGGCGAAAAGCGACCCCGAGCTTTATTCGAACATTATCAAGCTTCGCATTGTGAAGCTGTCCAAAATGAGCGAGGAAGCATGGGCTGAAGAAGTAATGAAGCACCTCAACTCACGATACTACCATGTTCCCGTATCGTCTAAGACGACTTCTGATCCAACCAGAGCAATAGAGACGGGGCTGACACGCGAGCAAGAGATTGCGGTTCTTCAAAACTTGATAACCCCACTGAATGGCCTAGAGGAGTATGGCTATGTCACCGAGGCACCCACAGAGGCGGAGATAGAGACAGCCAAACAGGGCGTCGCGGACTCAAAGGGCTGGGAGAAGTGTGACCGTTGTGCAAGTCGCTTCCAGGTATTTCCAGGTCGGCGTGATGATGGTATTTTAACCACCGGCGGCCAGTGTGTCTATCACCCCAACCGACCTATCACCCCACCTCGCAAGAGAACTGATGGCTACACTGGATCATCAGAGTCCTACTTCCCGTGTTGCGGTGAATCCATCGGGGGTTCCGTTGGTTGCACCAAGGCCGCACACCATGTCTTCAAGATCTCAGAACCCAAACGACTGGCCTCAATTCTGCAATTCGAGACGACTCCTGCACAGCCAGAAAAGGGGCCCCTTGCTCCCGTGTGCTTTGACTGTGAGATGGGCTTCACAACTCAAGGTCTGGAGTTGATTCGCCTCACGGCTGTCAGCTGGCCCGAAGGCCGTGAACTTCTCGACATCCTGGTCAGACCCATGGGCGAGATCTTGGATCTCAACTCACGCTTCTCCGGAGTGTTCCCGGAGCATTTTGCCAACGCAATACCCTACGGGTCACGACCCGTCTCGCCTGCTGCCGCTGGGACTGCCGGAAACGAGAGACACCATCCAGGTCCGATGCTGGTGGTGGACTCACCAGCCGCCGCGCGATCTCTTCTTTTTGGCTTCCTTCAGCCTGAGACCCCGCTTATCGGTCACGCCATCGATAATGACCTAAATGTCTGCCGGATCATCCACCCCACGATCATCGACACGGTCATTCTGTACCCTGCGCCAAGGGGTGGTCTGCCCAGTCGCATGAGTCTGAAGACATTGACACGCAAGTATCTGTCTCGGGAAATCCAGACTGGCGGCGACAAGGGTCATGATTCGAAGGAGGATGCCATTGCTACGGGAGACTTGGTGCGACGTCTGATCGCAGACTCGTGGCGAAGTCACAAGCAGTATGGCTGGCGGTTTGAAGGGGATCGCCTTGTTGCTCCTCCGGACAAGGACAAGTTCACTCGAAGCAGGCACGGGCAGTGCATGGTCAAAGAGGGATGTTGATTCCGGAGTTAGGTGGGAAAGGGGCTTTTCGTGTTGGTGTTAGGTCTTGAGACATGAAAAGCAACGTACGGTGCAGGCTCCAACCCACAGGACATTGTCTCGCACGAGCATAGGTCGTAAATAGTCATTGAGAATAGAGTGAACCAGACGGGAGCATGTTCCCACATCATACATGTGGATCCCGTGATGAACGATCTAGTCACCGACAGACTGGTAGATTGATTAAGAGCGAGACAGCCATGTCGGATGCGGATCAACCTGTCTAGAATCTCATAATCGTGGGTCTCCAGTTGCAGTATGACCTGGTTCTTTTCTACGGGTGTAGGAATCTGATATAGCCACATTGGACGCAATACATACTCTACATAGCCAAATCACATTACAAAAGTATCAAATCTACTTGTGAAAAGAAGTCTCAGGATATAAACTTTTTTTTCATAGGCTACAGTGAAGTAGTCTAGTCTATTCCCACAAATCATCCGACGATGAGAACGTCGTGACCCTCACAATGTGACTCGGCGGTGATCCAACCAATTCAACATGCGCAAAAGATCCCCCACTTTATTCGTGCGAGTGATCGACAAAGTAGTTCAAAGGCCCGATGAGCTAATTTACTCCTCATCCTCCTCAGCCTCGTCGTTGACGACGTTGTAGAAGCGGAGCTCATAGACACCCTTGGAGGTGGAGACGACACGGAGCCAGTCACGGAGCTGCTGCTTCTTGAGGTACTTCTTGGTCCTGAGTGATTGAAAACACCAACGTCAGTGAATTGACTCTGGAGCCGTGGATGATGTGACTGGGCAGATGGTTGCGCGAGCACAGTCACTCGGAGCGATTGGAGACCTACAGGTACTTGAGGTAGCGACCGGAGAAGGGGATGTGAGCAACGACCTCGATCTTGCCCTCGCCGACCTGGGAGATGGTAACGGAGTCACCCAGGTTGCCGACGCGGCCCTCGACCTTGATGCGGTCGTGGAGGAACTTCTCGAAGGCGGAGACATCGAAGATCTTGTCAGAGGCGGGCTGAGAAGCGTTGATGATGAACTGTTGATCGCAACATATGATTAGTCTTCGATGTCCTCAACTTGCAATTCAACGGATCGGACCGAATCGACAGTCTTGAGAGCATACCTTCTGAGTAACCTTCTGAGCCTTGCGGCCACGGGTCTATTGCCAAAGGGAAAAATTGTTTGATTAGCCTACTGCTCCATTGTTTTTGGAAAGCCCCGAAAGCAGTGTCAGAGAGACTGAGGATCAGACCCAATGACGGCCGCTCGAATAGATTTTTCAATATCCAGCAGCCGACATTTTCGAGATCATTCGAGTTCGTCGACACTGACTTTCTTGAGGGGGGAACAGCAAAGCGGTTTGGGAGACTTCTTTCAACGTACAGCAGCGGGAGCCATTGTAAAGGATTTGGGGGGGGAGAGGGTGGATGGGTTGGGGAAAGTTGAAGTTGGTCGCAAAGAGGTGATTATCCTGCGCCGGCGAAAGGGATAGTTGAGAGAAGTTGGAATTTGCGATGGTGGAGCCCGTTTTGCAATCCAAATTCGCCAGTATCCGCCGGGATTTGGTGTGGACTAGGCCCAATTGAGTGATACGGAGGGCTTGGGGCTATTTCAGTCAGGTGATCAGGAGGTCTACGGTCGAAGATGGCAGTCACATGATGCCCATCACGAGAAGCTGGGCACGTGATGTGGCTCGATACTCCCTAGTCCCACATAGTAGCCCTGGATTGGTCCGCTTAAATGACGCTAGTGAACTTGCTAGCAGGGACCCACCTCTCCATGGGTATAAATATCTCTCCCCCCTCGCCATCCTTCCTCTTCTTCCTTTCTTCTCCAGCTCTCTTTGCCAATTGGCTTAGATCAAGTGTAGTATCTGTTCTTTTCAGTTTAATCTCTGAAAGTTTTCCAATGGAAAACAACATTGATTATTCTCATTTTTGGATCTCGCGACTTGGCCTCTGTGCTTGCGCATGCCTCGTCGCACGGTGTCATCGGGCTTACACTACCCCCGATCGACGCGAATCACCTTTTTCATCAATCGGTCGGCTTGTCCGGCTGCTTGGAGAAGAAGCTTAGCCCGCTGGTCTCAACTCTCCTTATTCCAGACAGAATTTTGATAGACTTGCGCGGAGTACCATGTTTTGGTGAGCCAACTCAGGTGAAATGTACTGCTACGCCATGTCACTGCTGAGTGGTTCATCCGAGAGATAGTGGCCTCCATACAGGCATGCGCTGATGCAGTTGATGCTCGATCCAACCCACGAAGCGCCAATAGCCATCAGCATGAAACACGGTATGTGGTGATCACGCCAAGGCAGACCGAAAGCCTCTAGTCAGTCTGCTATTGCATGGCAATATTGATGGCAAATGTAATTCTAACCCTTTATCATCCACTCCCTGGCTTTTGTGCTCTGGCTAGCGGGCATCCTCTATCTAGGGAGCATGTTCCTGTTGATCCATCAAGACTGTATAATCCCAGAGCGATCTTCCACGCACAGGTGGTCTGCATGTGATGAGTTCAACACTCGTTGGCATATCTTTGAACATCTCAGAGTCGCCTACCTGGATAGGTATCGGTTTCGATCGAATTTGGACAGTCAACTTTGTTTTATACGTGGAGCCGAACCTCGTAGTGGATTGACATATTCAACTCCAGGCCCATTTGGAGCTCTGCAGGCTGGCGGAAGTTGCGAACCTCAAGTCCCAATTGCCTATATGGAGCTTGTTACTTCACAGTGCCAGCTTCGCAAAACACCAAGTCAACCAGCCAACAGAGCGGAAATAGATGGAAATTGGTTGTTCACAAGTACGGACCTGTCCTCCAGCAGGATGACATAAGTGCAGCAAGGTACTGAATCCCCCCTCAAAGCCGTAGGAAGTCAGTAACGTGGCACTACGTAGACTACATACATCCAAGGACTTAAGGCGGCATTATTGCAGTTGAGCGTCCACAAACGGCAGGCAGGACGACCCCAAAGCGGTCAAGGTCCAGGCCTGGTGAGGCTACTTCAGGCTAGTGGGATGCGGGAGGAGATCTACAGCCTGTGAGCAGCAATGAGAGCGGTGTGCTGGCGGGTACCTGTACCACAGTACCACTAAGGTACCTGCACATGTCAAGGAGGTACACATGGCCTCCTACTATGCTTTCGAGTGGTTCGCCATACAATTGAAGTCTGCTTGGGAAACTGCAATAGAATGATGGAATCCACAAGACCAGGTAGAATCACTGGAATGGTACGAAGGAGTAATATTAGCGTGAGAGTGGTAGGAGTAGGAGTACGCCACTGGCAGGTTGTGATACACAGTCGGTACCTCAGACTACAACCTCTACACTTGCAGTCGGGTACCTGGTGGGTGGACTCAATCAAGCACAGCAGAACAGAGAACATCACCGAAGTACTACAACTACCATGTAGATCGTGGTCTTGATGCACATGACTGGAAATCATCCACGCTCTCACATCGAGGGCGAAAGCACAAGACCACTGGAACCGATCATCCTACGTCAAACATTTGGTCGCAGTACTGCAGACATTATCTCGCTCAGGGCATAGCCATAGTAGCTAAGCTACAACACCCGGGGCGTATTGCGAAAAATCGAAAAGTCAAAGTCCCTGAATTTAGGAATTCCAATGCCATTCGTCGCGTTCTAGCTTCAACTCTATTCACATAGATTGCTGAGACGGAGATCTTCTAATCTCTCTGTTCGGCCTAATGGAAGACCAGCCGTCCAGTCTCCTAATTTGGTCCACCGCCGCGTAAATGAAAAAAAAAAAGTGCAAGTGACTGATCGTACACTGTAGATCCGAGTACACAACAGTCTCCTTTTCGCGGCGGCACTACGATAGCACATGGTAGTTCTTGATTGAATTGTATAAAGCTTTCTAATCCCTCATTCACTCTTCCCTCTCAACTTTCATCTCCCCCTTATTTATCCTCTCCGCCTGTGTGGTGCCGGTTTCTTTTTCTCTCACGCCTTACAGCTTCCATACTCGCAGCCCCTCCCCCACATCATGTCTGCCCGTCCCCAGAACATCGGCATCAAGGCCATCGAGGTCTACTTCCCCTCTCAGGTGAGCTCATGGCTGTTCTCAAAACACTCCATTCAACTTGGGCAATCTGTCTGACTTGGTGATTCGCTCCCTTCCAGTGCGTCGACCAGGCCGAGCTCGAGCAGTACGATGGCGTCAGCGCTGGAAAATACACCATTGGTCTCGGCCAGACCAAGATGAGCTTCTGCGATGACCGCGAGGGTACGTACAATCTCCCGTGATAAAACGAGTTTTGTCGAGCTTGCTCTAGCAAGGATGACCGTGTGCACGAAAAGCATGCTGATGGTATTTCCGAATAGACATCTACTCCATGGCCCTGACCACCCTCTCCTCCCTGATGAAGAAGTACAACATCGACCCCAAGTCCATTGGCCGCCTGGAGGTCGGCACTGAGACTCTGCTGGACAAGTCCAAGTCCGTCAAGTCTGTTCTGATGCAGCTCTTCGCTCCCTCGGGCAACACCAACATTGAGGGTATCGACACCGTCAACGCCTGCTATGGTGGTACCAATGCCGTCTTCAACAGTCTCAACTGGCTCGAGTCTTCCGCCTGGGACGGCCGTAACGCCATCGTGGTCTGCGGTGATATTGCCCTCTACGCCGCCGGTGCTGCCCGTCCCACGGGAGGTGCTGGATGTGTTGCCATGCTCATTGGCCCCGACGCCCCCATTGTCTTCGAGCCCGGTCTCCGTGGCTCCTATCTCACCCACGCCTACGACTTCTACAAGCCCGACCTGACCAGTGAATATCCCGTTGTTGATGGTCACCACTCTCTTCGCTGCTACACCGAGGCCGTTGACGCCTGCTACAAGGCTTACCACGCTCGTGAGAAGGTCCTCAAGGCCGACCAGAACGGCACCAACGGTGCTGCGGATGAGTCTCAGACTGCCCTGGACCGCTTCGACTACATTCTCTACCACGCTCCTACCTGCAAGTTGGTCCAGAAGTCTTATGCCCGCATGCTCTACAATGACTTCCTGAACAACCCTTCTCATCCCGCCTTTGCAGAGGTCGCCCCCGAGCTGCGTGACCTTGATTACACCGCCTCCTTGACCGACAAGGCCGTCGAGAAGACCTTCATGGGTCTGACCAAGAAGCGCTTCGCTGAGCGTGTGCAGCCCGGTCTTCAGGTCGCCACTCTGTGCGGTAATATGTACACTGCCACCGTCTATGCCGGTCTTGCCAGTCTTCTGAGCCACGTCACCTTCTCCCCCAGCGAGCCCAAGCGCATCGCTCTCTTCTCCTACGGCAGTGGTCTGGCCTCGTCCATGTTCAGCGCCAAGATCGTCGGTGACGTTTCCGAGATGGTTGAGAAGCTCGACCTGAAGCACCGCCTGGAGGCCCGCACCGTCTTGACTCCCAAGGCTTACGATGAGATGTGCCAGCTGCGCGAGCATGCTCACTTGAAGAAGAACTTCAAGCCCTCCGGCCAGGTTGAGACGATCCAACAGGGTGTCTACTACCTGACTGAGGTTGATGACATGTTCCGCCGCCAGTACGCCATCAAGGAGTAAGATGGACCGCGACAACCTTGCCCTTTTTTTTTTCATCTTGCGCTGCAGCTGCAGCAGATGGATATGACCATTTTTAGACGGTTTCCGAAAAAGATTCCCCCCATTTAGCGTTCATTTTGATTTTTTTTTTTTTCTTCACGTGGGATCGCACTTGGCTATCGATCATGCGAAGTCTCAGAGTCTTTGCACATGGTGTTCATCTCCCCTTCCCTCTGTCCATGCTATGACTTGGACTCAGGGTTGCTTCTTCTTCAATTTACTGAGAACTATTTTATTTTAATCCAGGCTCGCCCTACTTTGCTTAGTCAGGGCGACAATGAATGTGATGAGCTAAGCAGATTATTTCCATTGAACCTTGAACTTCCAGCTGTCTATCGCGCAACCCCCAGATTTGACTTCTTTGACTGTTGTCCTCGCCACCAGACTTCTTCTTGAGCAGGGACTGTAAAGGACTGTCAGTGTACAGAAAACAACTTCCGTAGATTCAAAGTCTGAGCTGCCCATGTAAAGGACGCAAGGTCCGCTCACAGAAGACCCCAACTCTACTGTCACAGTGAGGAGGGCCGTTCTACACACTTGATGCCAAGACTCTGTCTGGATAGCAAGTTTTCTGTGATCACTACTAACAAATACGCTTCTTTTGTATACTCCGACTCTAGTCTCGTCAGTTCACAATTCGGAGCAGTTACTGCTAGTTACTGTGGGTGGTAACAAGGTATAGTCCTCCCCTCATCACGGGCCAGTTCTAGTCCGCAGGTGTTAATTTAGAGTAACTAGCCAACATTTCGTCCTGTTATTCTCTGCTATTGGACCAATCGATCAATCTTCAATCTTGAAACAACAAGCAAATCTTTGCTAATTATGGGACCGAAGAACATGCAGAGAAGACTTGCCAGCGTGATTGCGTTCTGTGCAAAACCATGTGCGTGACAAAGGAACCCTTCGGCGCGTATTTGAGACTCGCCATACAGCTGTAGCCGCCGGCCACTTCGTATCACACCTCCACATCTCTCTTCCTTCTGCACTCACCACTCAGACAAACACTTCGCGTCCACCGCCCGGATTCTCTGCCCACTCGAACCTGTTACAGAAAACTTCTACGCATGGAGTCCTTCCAAGGAGCTCTCCCATGCATTGTTGCAGCACACGCCGGGCTATTTTTAATCTGCCTTCTCCCCCATCGAGCCCTAGTAACCGCCGATCACCAGGCGATTCCTGAGGCATGGCACATTTCCCTTCTGGTCACTTGTGCTAGTCGGAGAGGCCGTTAATTAACCAAGAAATGGGACCTAATTGTTGCTGAATTTAGAAGTATTTGCTCACACTGCAGTCCGCTAAACCCAGCTCGGCATCTGAAGAAAGACATCGAAGCTGTAGCAAAATATAGCAACACTTAACGCGCGACTGTCCGCTGAAACACCACTATACCGAGACGAAGTCACCCCAAAAGAGGCCTTAGCCAGAGTTTCAGACCCGGATACTGGTCCCTATCGCGCGACCTCAGGTACCATGGTCGGCAGTTTCGCGTTTCATCGCCTGGAGAGCTGTCAGGATCTGAGCTAGGATCCCAAAAAAAGAATAGGAGCCTCTTTTGGCGTCATCATGGGTGCTTCTCCATGTTTCAGATTATCCAGGACCCGCATGGGTTCGTCAGTGAATCTTCTTCGTGAAGTTCGTTTATATTGAGCTGGCACGAACTTCATCGCTCTGAAACTTGCCTCACGGACAAAGCTTCGAACATCCAAAACGCTCTTTCTTTCCGGATCATGTTTCAGAGTCTGTCTTGATCATCAGTTTTCGATCTTGAACAGTATCTTTGCTTTGTCGACATTGGCTTCGATACACGTTCGTTGTTGTGCGATTTCACAGTCTTTGACTCGGACGATTGTGATACTCGATCGACCTTGCCATCTCAGGGCCGACGTCTTGACTTCCTTGAAAGTCATTCACGCTGCGCATCGTCACTTATCGCCAACATCGTATTATCCTTCCCATTGATATCGACATTCGAAACGGTTGATACAGTCATGTCTTTCGAGCTCGGTCATTTTCAGCCTACCACTCCCCCGACGTTGCCGCTTCAGTTGCAGATCGAGTTGGCCCAAAGTGGAAATTTGTCGACTTCGTCAATTTATTCCAACGATTCTTCTCCGTGGTCTACCATGACGGGCAACACTAGTCCCACCACCTCACCTACTCGACACCATCATGGGCCCGCTCTCCTTCCCAAGATCCGCCCTCAGGACATCATCATCGAGCCAATCTCTGTCGGAGGACCCATACGAAATCGCCGAGTGCTGTCAAACACTCGCAATCCACCTGGATTTGTGCCATATCCCAGTCGGCCACCAGTTCAGCGCCGCAGAGAATATGCGCCGGAGCAGCTTCCTTTGGCTTCTCCGATCTCCCCTATTGTCACCAGCGGCCATGGTAGCTACTCAGCTCTGTCTTCCCCGGTGACGGTCAATCCGTCTCAGAGGCGGAAAGTAGGTGGAGGACACTCCCGGTCTATGTCGACTTCCGGGATCGATGAGGCCACTTTGAATAGATACGGTTACCCAACCTACCGGCAGCTTCCCAAGTACGTACCTGCGCCGCAATCGCAGACGGTGCCCAACACACCTGCTACTCCAGTGACCCCAGTCACCCCCAACATCGTTGTTCATCCCTCTTACTCCCAACGTCACACAATCAAAGTACCTCAGCTTTCGCCGGTCCGAGCTCCCAACCCCTTGACTGTCCAGCCACCTCAGTACCGATTGCTCCACACATCCGAAAGTCAGCAGTCGCCTGTGGCGCTGCTGAGCCCCCAAGAGGACCTTACTCCGCCGTCGACAAACCTGATCTCGTATTTGACTTCCCCCACCCAAGCAATCAATCTGGTTCGCAATGTGAGTGTTGTGCCCACTAGGGGTATGCATGACTACTTCTGGTGGGATATTCGCAACCTGCGCAATTGGACTTCCTTCTCGATTCCAACTTTTGATTCTATTCGCGGTCTCACTCAACTACTGAAAACCGAGATTGCGAGCTCTCTTGTTCCACCCGTCAGTGTTCTTCCCAGTCGACTATCACCAGAGTCAGAGCCTGCTCTGGTCAGCCTGATCAGAGATCTCTATGCTCCGCGTGTGAACGCCGCACTTGCAGTGTCCCAGGGCTCGGAGCATCTGCGGCTTTACGCTGCTCCGGATATTCGACACACCGGTCATAAGAATCACGGTCACCCGCACTTTCTCGCCAATTACGCTTCGGACACGGAACACACTAGCGCTGGACTCCCACGCGGTCGGCTGGTGGGCATCGTCAAGAGCTTTGATCGGTGGAATTCCGGTATGCGCAACGAGGCTCCACACCGACGGGTCGAGTATCTCAACGGATTGGCACATCTCCAGCGCTGCATGCGCGAACACTCATGTCGATATGGCTTTATTATCACCGAGATTGAGCTCGTCTGCGTGCGAGCCGGCTGCGATGTCGGTGACGATATCCCTTACTTTGGCTATCTCGAGATAGCCACACCGATCCCTCTCAAAACAGCCGTGAACACCTCACACACTGGATCCTTAGAAGTTCCTCCCTTGGGAACGCCGATTAGCGCACGATCCTTCTCGTCTTCCTCATATGGATCTTCGCAATACCCGCGCCCGGATTCGCCCGGCCCTGAGAGTTCAGAGGAAGGTTTCGATACTCCCATGACGGCGAGCATGGCGTTGTACTTCCTTCTCATGCTGTCCAAATCCGTGCCCCTACCGCACCAACCATCTGCCCACCTCAACGTTGGTGGACCAGGCGCACTTACCCGGCAGCGAATTCTTTCTGAGCCCAAGGACAAATGGATTCCAGAGCCACAAATTGGTGAGCGCCGCGACGCGAAGCGGGTTCGAGGCTGGGTCTGGCCTACTGATGCATGGCATCGCCGGGAAGGTGGTGGTGTCCCACGGACAAGAGCCGCGAAGAAGTGGCAGCAGTGAAAATAATTTCGTATCATTTTTTCTATCACAGGAAGGCGTTGGTATCCTGGGGGCTTTTTTGTATGGGCAATACTCTATTCTATTCTTGACTTTATCATTCTTCGGGGAATCAGTCTGATCGCAGCTGGCAGAATAAGGGGCTATTTTTCTCTACTTTCTTGTCTTTCGTTCATCCATTTCTGGAGCGGTTTTGCTCGTCACTTATTGCGCTACACTAACGAGATTCCCAGGGTGATGAGAGGTCATTTGATATATTTATTTTTCCGATTCTATTCATTTCTTTCTATCTCTTGACATTATCAATTCTAATCAATTTCTTGACCCTAAGTATTGTTTCAACGCTCCAGGAGGGCATCGATCATCAGTCATAGACAAATATATCGAGAACCAAATCGAACAGCATTAGTTTTGCGCAAACAATAGCAGGCCCACAGACGCGATCCTTGCCCATCTCCGCCGCCCTATCGTCCCGTCATGTTCGACAACCTGCCCCTCCAACATCGCCCTCTATTCACACTGCTGCACTCTTTCCCCGACCAGAAAAAATGCAGATTATGAGTGTTGAGGACCAGGAGTCTACGAAAGTAACCAATGCCGGCTTGCTTGTGTCTGTCTTGAAAGTACTGCGAACAGCCACCGATCGACAAGCAGCTCATCCACACATGCACCCCAGGTCCTCAAAAAGCAAATGAAAGAGGATTTAATCTCAGCGCTCTAAGCTAATACCTCTCTTTGAGTCTCTGTGTAGTTGTCTGACTTCCACCCACCTGGATTGGAATCGGAGGTAAGGACCTTGGTGCACGAGTACCTCGATGGCCTCCAACCTTGCGGACGGAGGCAAGATGCTGGCTGCAGATGGTGGTGCTCTTCGAGTCACTATATTTGAAGGGGTTGATTCCCAGACCCGAGCGATGACTCTTGAATGATACTTGAACATCGAACCTCGGTCTGAAAAAGCTTTAAAGGACATCTCAAATCACAGAGGGAACTCAACTTGCACCTCCGATGTCGACCACATTGCCTACAATCCACGACGTGATCATCGTCGGTGCCGGACCGTGTGGACTTGCGGTCGCGGCACGAATTCACGAGCAAACGCCCTCGGCAGTTTTCACAGACGAAGAGCACCAGAGATATCACTGGATCAAAAAACATACAAGCAAGATGAAGCTCATTCAAGCTGGTCGCTGTAAAAAGAACGGTGTCCGAGCTGAGAAGTGGAATCGTGGAGAACAGCCGCCGTGTTCTTGCGAAGGTCCAGCAGCAGATGCTCCCCCATCACGGCGTCGATCGTCTGGATCAATCTCCTCGGTACCTTCGCTGTCATCAGACAGGTCCACCTTGCCTGAAAGCTCAACTTCTGTTCTCGTTCTCGACGGTACGAGTCAGCACTGGATGCAGCGGTGGAACAACGCGTTCTGTACCTTGGAGATTAAACAGTTGCGCAGCCCAATGTTCTTTCACGTGGACCCCGGTGATCGAGATGGGATGTTGGCTTATACGCAAGAAGTTGGGCGAGAGAATGACTTGTGGGAGATTTCCGGTTGTGTTGGGAAGGAAATGAGCAAGCATAAAAAGAAGAAGAGACGTCAAAGTGGAAAGCCTCAGTACGTTTCCCTGGAGCAGCATTGGAATCTATACCCGCCCACCACAGGTGTCCGGGGGCAGGCTTGCAAGGGAGGATTGACTTTCCAGTCCTAACAAAAACTGATCGCGGTCCTCTATTTGTTCGACGGGAATTGAGTGCTAATCAGGTGCTCGTCATGTCAATAGAACTATAGGTGTCGAAATTGACGAGCGCGATCGCAAAGATTACTACTCGCCCTCAACCGATCTCTTCGCCGAATACTGTGAATCCATCATCCGACGCTACGGTTTAGATCATCCAGATCAGATTCTCAAGTCCGAGGTGACCGACATTGCATACGACTATCTCCCTGACAATTTGGACATCACGCAGTCTAGTTGCAAGATTTTCACCTTAATTACGTCGACCGGTGAGAAAGTTTACAGTCGGGCTGCTGTACTCGCCATGGGTGCCGGTGGAGCAGGCATTCAGAAAATCTACCCATGGAAGCCATCAAACTCAGCTGAGGGCACCGATGCCTGTTGCCACAGCATGGATATCAAGACCTTTCCTAGTCCTCGCGTGCAAGCTAAGATTCAACATCGACAGGAAACACACATTGTCATTGTCGGTGGCGGACTCTCCTCCGCTCAGATCCTCGACATGGCTATCAAGAAAGGCATTACCAAAGTGTGGCTCCTGATGCGATCGGAATTTAAAGGTGAGATCCCACTGTACTTCGGACTTGATCCAAACGCGTAATGTGCCTTGCTAATGTGCCGTGAGTGGCCAGTCAAACACTTTGATATCAGCTTGCCTTGGATGGGAAAGTATAAAAATTGGGAGAAGGCGGCTTTTTGGTCAGCTGACACTGATGAAGGTACGTCTGCATACCATCAAGGAGAAAAAGGGTGTGGTCCCAAGGTCCACAGAGATAGGACGAGGCGTATACCCTGTTGAATCGAATCGAATCGAGCCTTCGAAAACAAGACCTATATTTCTAATGCCTTCCTTCGCAGAACGTCTCGAGATGATCATCAATGCTCGCAATGGCGGAAGCATCACACCACGTTACACCAAGATCGTGAAAGAGCATGTTTCTCGTCATCGAGCCTCCGTACACACTCACACAGAGATCACATCGCACTCCTTCAATCCTGATACACAACTGTGGACGCTCTCCACCGATCCACCGATCCCCAATTTGCCGCCCGTTGACTATGTCTACTTTGCGACAGGAGCTCGATCCGATATCCGTGAAATGCCGTTATTAAGTAACATGCACAAACAGTATCCTATAGAAACCATCGGAGGTCTGCCCTGCCTGACGGATGATCTCATGTGGCGTGATGATGTGCCATTATACATTACAGGGCGACTAGGAGGGCTGCGACTCGGTCCCGGAGCTCCCAATCTTGAAGGTGCCAGGCTTGGAGCGGAAAGGATCGCCTGGAGCTTAGAAGAGGTCCTTGGCCAAGATCGAGAAATTGGAGACCGGTGCGAGGGGTTTTGTGGACTGGGAAACAGGTATGCTTCGCTGATCGGGAGTGCGGAGGGAGGAGACGAGAGATAGTAGACTATGGAGCTAGGGCTGGCATAGCTCATAGCGAATTTTTTCATGATTCAATCACGATTCCACTTTTTCTTGTGACGCTTTTTCTATGTGCATCGCTAACCTTGGCTTATCTATCTATTTGATGCATTGACGATTTCCTCCTTACGGACCTACTTTCTCTCCCTTTGACCCTGATTCTGTCATTGCGATGGGTGGTGAACAACGATCGATGGTGGCCACTTGGATTCTCTTTTTTTGGATTATTTCCTCGCAATGATATGGTGTCATGCGCAGGCCAGCTCTATTCTTGGAGCTTACGACTACGCCAGTCATAGCATCATCAGGCTCATTGGATGATGGGCCTTCTGTACGGATGCTGTGTGGGTGAACCGACCTTGATTCATTCCCCCCTTCATTCTCGGCGCTTGTCCGTGGATCGTCGGTTGACCTCACATCCTGCGGAGAAGCAGACCTGTCCGGGGATATACTGGCAGGAATGTGGAGAGCTCCCTTGTTCCGCGGAATTTTTAGGAGGGTCACAGATTACGGAGCTGTGGATGTGAAAAGCTTGTTGGCAAAGCTAGAGATGATGATGTATAAGAGCTTCGACCAGCTCTTGATGAGACCAGGTCAATGTCTCGTGAGGGTGTGTGTGTGATAATTATACTAACTTTGCAGGCCAAACAAAGATGGCGCCATCCACGAATCTAAGCCCTCGCGTGGAGGAGTTGAAGGTTGGACCCAGCAAGAGACATCAGAACTGGCTCAAAGATCCGGGTCTGAGGAAGCTGAATCTGGGCATCTTCTGCATGTTCATGTCGTCGGCTGGCACGGGGTACAATGGAAGCCTTATGAATGGATTGCTCGTTCTACCAGAGTGTACGTCTTTGCTTTGCTCCGTCTTGCTTTTTGCTCTACCAGTGTTGAGCACACAAGAGACAGGAGAACTTCCTCAAAGTAGAGGCGACGTGCTGATTGTTTTGTTTCGATTCGAATAGTTACCATGATCACCGGTGGTTTGAGACCCAGCATTCTCGGACTACTCATTGCGGCGACCTCGTTAGGGGCCTTTTGCGCTTTCACTCCAGCATCGTACATTGCCGACAGACTCGGACGGAAATGGTGTGTTCGTGTGGGAGCTTCCCTCGTCATCCTATCCGCCTTCCTGCAAATATTCGTGAAGACACACTGGGCTTTCTTCGGCTGTCGGGTTCTGGCCGGAGCTGGTGTTGGCACCGCCCAGACTGCAGCACCATTGCTGGCCACGGAGATTGCGCATCACCGTCAACGACAGACGGCTACTGCCCTGTATAATGCCTGTTGGGCGCTGGGCTCCATCACATCGGCCTCCGTCTGTTTCGGAACTTTATCAATGTCCTCCCACTGGTCATGGCGAGCGGCGTGTGTGATTCAGGCCTTCTTCCCAATTGTCCAAATTATTGGCCTGGCTTTCGTACCAGAGAGTCCACGCTGGCTAATTTCCAAAGGGAGAAATGACGAGGCTTTGGCAATCCTGATCAAATATCACGCCAATGGAGATAAGGAGGATGAGATGGTTCAACATGAATTCCACCAGATATGCGAGACGATCAACATCGAGGCATTGGAGCCAAGAAGCTGGGGCTCGTTCTTCTCGTCCCGCGGCGACATGCACCGCCTGATCATCTGTATCATGTTGGGTCTGATGCAAGAATGGGCTGGAAACGGTAAGATCGCCTGCACTTGATGACTGTGACTGGCAATCATCGTGAATTTGTGGCTTTCGTATGCTGACTACCTATACTGCAGGCATCATCTCATACTATCTCGCACCGATCCTGGCCTCCGTTGGAGTGACCCGAGCTGCCGACCAAGCATCGGTGAATCTGGGCCTGCAATTTTGGAATCTGCTGCTCTCTTCGGCGGGAGCAATTGCCTCTGAGCGATACGGTCGCCGTCCACTATGGCTGGTTGGAACCATGATCATGCTTTTCTTCCTATGCATGATGACCATCGTGGCCGGCGTGTTCCAAGAAATGCACATCGCCGCCGCTGGTATGGCAATGATTCCTATGATCTTCCTCTTTTTCTCCGGTTTCAATATCGCCTATTCGCCTCTTTTCATTGCCTACGCTGCGGAAATTCTACCTTTTCCCCTTCGCGCCAAGGGAATGGCGATCGCCTTGACCACCGACGCGGTGGCCTGCTTCTTCAATCAATACGTGAACCCGGTCGCCTTCGCAGCGCTGCATTGGAGATATTACCTGGTCTATATTGGGTGTCTGACCTGGTTCCTTGTCACGGTCTACTTCCTGTTCCCTGAAACCAAAGGAAGGACTCTCGAGGAAATCTCCATGATCTTTGATCGCAAGGACATAGTCAGCGATGAATCTAGTGAGGTTTCCCAGGAGATCCACACCGCCACAGAGAAGGTTTAGTGTCTGCGTCGGACAGCACCAAACGGACACAACTGCCCCTTTCGACCGTCTCTCCAGAGCGTCTTCTTTGGTCACTCTGCTTATATTATGGGGAAAGGATGCGAAAGTCCGTATCGATCGTTTCCCTCGATCTCGATCACATTGCATTGAGGCGCATGTCTTGCACTCGCGCCTCACTTAACTCTAATCAAATCTCATTATTATGATATCGGTCATGACCTTCCCTCTCTTTTTATGTTATGATGATTGTCTCTTCTCTTTCTTGATGTTGTGGCTATTTTCCTGACTCTCACTGTTTGATTGCGAGCATTTGCATTGTTGAGTGCGTCTTCCTCGCTTTGGCCACACTCGGTGTAAGATGCACTGGGGCGCTTGATTGACTTGAGATGTCTACAAATTGACTTGTATAACATGAACATCGATTTCCTTTGACTTGGACTTGCGTGTGCTTGTAGTGAAATTCATCTCCAGGACCCATTTATAGCCTTGTGTCAGTCGCGAAACCCTGTCAGGTGTGGACTTTCTGCTCCACTGTGAGTATTCGACGAGCGATGTACCTTATGGTAGTGAGGATACTCGGCCTTCCAAAGATCGTAACTGAATCTCCAGTTCGGTTCGTACTTGATAATGATTCTTCTCACTTATCCTTTTTAATATTGGACTTTTCTATCAATAACGTCCGTTCTCATCCACTGAATATATAAATGAACAAGGGACCCCAATTCTCCGGCCAGTCAAGTGACTTTGGTCGCCCACGCTGTACCCTTTCCATCTGCCTCACCTTTTCCCCGCACGACTTGCTCGACGCATCATACGCAAGCCACGACACTGTGTTATCTTCTGCAGGTGCTTCTTTTGTAATAAACAACCCTATCCTTGTAACTTGCAGTGTGAGAAATTTGATTTCTCTTGGTTGCTCAGAATTCCTTCCAGATCTCTCTTTGTCGGGCAAATTCTCTCGAACCCGTCGATTTGTTTATCCCGCATAGCTACCTGGCGGGGAAAGCCTCTCAACCTAGGTACTTTCGAATATTCAAGTATCCCGTTGGCTTCTCTTAGCACTTTGTTCCAATCTTATAGCTCAAAAAGCCTCAATCTGCGCGACCGAAGACCTTGCAGAGCACACCGACATGTCGAGTGAAGTCCCAAAGGCTACCACTACTTCTCCATCTTCTGGCCAAAGAGCACCCCTCTTCATCGTCATTGGAGCTGGGTCCCGGGGAAATGCCTACGCACGCGCCGTGAAAACAACCACCGCAGGTGTTGTTCATGCTGTGGCTGAGCCTCATGAGTTCAAAAGGCGAGAATTCGGCCAGAAATTCATCTGGGGTGCGGGCAATTCTCCCCAAGAAGGTCAGGAATTCGCTGACTGGAGGGAGTGGCTTCGATGGGAAACGGAGCGCCGCAAAAGGGCTACAGCCCCCAATGCCCTCCGCGCCGATGACGAGGACATGAAGTCGCCGTCCGTGGAGGCTCAACGATCCAATCCAGGAGGAGTGGATGGTGTATTCATTTGCACCTTGGACGAGACACACGTGGAGATTATCCAAGCGATTGCCCCGCTGAACCTCCATATCCTATGCGAGAAGCCTCTTGCTCTATCCTTGAACGACTGTCTGACTGTGTATCGCACTCTCCAGCCTGCGTCGCCAACGCCTACAGCAGACAGTCAGAATCAACACTCCGCTGCGCCTCCGCCACAGACTATCTTCTCCATCGGCCACGTCCTTCGCTACAGTCCGCACAACACCACTCTCCGCAAACTTCTCCTCACAGACCGTGTCATTGGAGACATCGTCTCCCTAGAACACACCGAGCCCGTGGGCTGGTGGCACTTTGCCCACAGCTACGTGCGCGGGAACTGGCGACGCGCCACATCCCTCGGCGACGGATCCCTCCTGACCAAATCCTGCCATGACATCGACTTTATTCTCTGGCTTCTCTGCTCCCCTGCATCCCTGGAAGATGCGCGAGTCCATGGCCATCAGCCGCATTTCCCACGTTCCGTCTCCTCAGCCGGCTCGTTGACGCAGTTCCGTCGAGCTAGAAAACCTCCTGGCGCGGGCGACTCAACCACCAACTGTCTCTCCTGCCCCATTGAGCGCGAATGCAATTACAGCGCTGTCAAAATCTACCATGATCGACATCTGGCGCAGGGTCATCGCGCCTGGCCCGTCGACATCGTCTGTCCGGACATTGAAGACGTTCACCGTACCAAGGGCGCAGACGCCGCTCGCGAGAGCCTATTCTCGCGTCTCAGCGAAGATTACACCGTAGGCGAGCAACCGGATGCCGCGCTCGCCTCCAAACCATGGTACGGCCGGTGCGTCTACGAAGCCGACAACACCGTCTGCGACGACCAAGTCGTGACTCTTGCCTGGGATGATGAACAAGTTGCGCCGTGGCGACTAGCCAAAACGGCCACTTTCCATATGGTTGCGCCCACGGAGAGTCAATGTAAGCGACGGGGGCGGATCTACGGAACGCAGGGAGAGATCGAGTACGACAGTTGCAAGATATCCGTCTATGATTTTCAAACGGGAGAAAGGTCTGTCCTGGAAATTCCGCGTCCGTCGCCGGAGAGGGCGGAGTCGCATGGAGGTGGCGATTATGGTCTGGCTGGACAGTTTGTTCGTGCGGTGGATGCAGTGGTGAATGGGGAGTTGGATGTTGAGACAGCGCAGGCGCGCTTCATCGGGTGTACACTTGAGGAAGCGGTGCAGAGTCATGCCATGGTGTTTGCGGCAGAGGAGGCAAGACGCGAGGAACGAGTAGTCAGGTGGGATGAATGGTGGCAGAGCAAGTTGGAGGAATCATCCTGATTTTTGCAACCCGTAGGCTGGGAGAACATCCGTTCCTTGTGCAGGCGCCGATTGAGATTCAACTGAATTGAACTGCCTGTGTATACCAAGTTCCAAGGTACATGATCGTCTCGCTTGAGCTCCCTAAACGACACGTCATCTGCGAATCAATTCTTTTTTCTTTTCGTCAAAAAAACAAAAAAACCAAAATAGTGATTGTCTCAAGTCAGTTCCGAGAAACACACGTTTAAAGCCTTCAAAGTCATTTTGTATTAATCAAATAAGAGGTTTCTATCTCATACGGCCCCATCACAACACTCAGAAACAAGCGAAGCTGGAGTGGAGACCATCGGTTTATGGCACCCAAATTTCCCGTCTTCCAGGGTGCATCAGCTTATAGAGGATATTGGGCATGTGAATATAAAACAGACAAAAAGGTAAACAGACCATCGCGCTCCCCATCCAGCGGATCACGCAACGATTATCAGAAGAAAAGCGTTGCGCCGCTTAGGTCTTGACATCGGGCTCCTCACGGCCAACATACTCCTTGAACTTGAGCAGGCTTAGAGCAGAGGCGACGTTGTCGGCCAGATACTCCTGGGCGCTAAGGCCAAACTTGGAGGCATCATCCTCGTAGCGCTCGATGTAGAGACGGATGGTGGCGCCGCTGCTACCGGTACCGGACAGGCGAACGACAATGCGGCTACCATCATCGAACTTGGCGTACAGGCCCTGGTTCTTCGACACGCTACCGTCAAGGTCGGTGTAAGAGAAGTTGCCAGCATCCACCACCTTGCGGGAGCCGACCGAGGAGCCGACGAAGGAGCCGCTGTTGACCAGATCGGCCAGGGTACCGACCACCTTGTTGGCACCCTCGCTGTCGACGTTCTCGTAGTCGTAACGGGTGAAGAAGGTGCGGCCGTAGGTCTTCCAGAACTCGTTCTGAATGGAAGCGATGCTGGGGGTCTCCTCGGGCTTCTGCTTGGCGACACCAGCGATGATGTTCAGCCAGGCGACGACAGCCCAAACGCCGTCCTTCTCACGAATGTGGTTGCTACCGGTACCGAAGCTCTCTTCACCGCAGATGGAGATCTTCTTGTTGTCGAACAGGTTGCAGAAGAACTTCCAGCCGGTGGGGACCTCGTAGCTCTGCAGGCCTTGAGCCTTTGCCACACGGTCCACGGCGCCGGAAGTGGGCATGGAACGGGCGAGGCCGTAAACGCCCTGCTTCTGGAACCAGGGGATCAACTTGGCGTGGTGAGCGATGATGGCCAGACTGTCACCAGGGGAGACAAAGGTCTTGGCGCCGTAAATCATGTTTCGGTCACCGTCACCATCGCTAGCGGCTCCGAAGTGCACCCCGTTCTTGTCCACGGCCTCAACCAGCTCGTGGGCGTAGACCAGGTTGGGGTCGGGGTGACCGCCGCCAAAGTCCGGCTTGGGCTCGCAGTTCATGGTGCTGCTGGCGGGCAATCCGAGCTCCTTGACGAAGATGTCAACGCCGTAGGGGCCGGTGACACCGTGCATACCATCGAAGAGGACCTTGAAGTCCTTGTGGGTGCTGAGGAAGTCCTTAATCAAGTCAAAGTCAAAGATCTCCTTCATCATGGTCACGTAGTCGGCGGTCGAGTGAACGACCTCGACCTCTAGAGGACCGTAGGTCTTGCTGCCGATGGTGGAAAGGTCGACATCGGGGATGTCGGCATACTTGTAAGAGGTCAAGGACTTGGCGGTTTCGAAGATTTTGTTGGTGACACCTTCGGGGGCGGGGGCACCGTTGGCCAAGTTGTACTTGATACCAAAGTCGTTCTCGGGACCTGCAGCAGATTCACAACAAAGTCAGTTGAAGGGTGTCCTCGCTCCCATTTGTTTACGGTGGAATAGAAGGAAATGGGTCATTGCGTATCACTGAAAGATGACCGACACCAATGGTGGGGAGATTGTGGGATCTGTCATCGTCCACTTACCACCGGGGTTGTGACTGGCAGTCAGGAGGATGCCACCAGTAGCCTTGCGGACACGGATGAGGTTGCTGGCCGCAGGGGTACTCATGATACCATTTTGGCCGACCAGCAGCTTCTTGACACCGTAGGCGGCGGAGATCTTGGCGATCTTGTTGATGACCACGTCGTTGTAGTATCGGCCATCACCACCAATGACGAGGAATGAGTCCTCGACACCCTCGGGAATGGAGAGCAGGATACTTGTGACGAAGGACTCGGAGTAGTGAGGCTGTTCGAAGACCTTGACCTTCTTGCGGAGACCAGAACTGTACGTAGCCGGGAAAGGCAGGAAAGATTAGCTTCTCTCATGGTCTCATGTTTCAATTGTTTTGTTTTCCAATGCCCTCTTATCATGCCAATTGTTTTTTTTTTCATGCCCATTGGGTTCCTTGCCGAAGCTGCTGCAGCTCCAAGAGGGAGGGGCAGAAGAATGAAGGGAGCAGTTGAAGAGGGGCAGAGAGGGGGAGCTACTTACGTGCCCGGCTTCTGGTCGGCAAAGGGTTGAATTGAGACGGTCTGAACCGACATGATGCAATGGATTTGCGAAAAATGCAACGACGGCGAGAAATCAGAGGGAGAGAAGTAGTGAGAGTAGGAAATGAAGGTCGTCAACAAAAGGAGGAAGAGAAGGAAGTGGAGGTGGAGGAGGGGAGGGGAGGAGGGGGGAAGGGGGGAAGGGGGGGAAGAATCAATTTGGCGTCATGTGGTGATCATCCCACCAGTCTGGAGCCCGTACAGGTGCAGTGCTTGTAAGGTACCTGAGGTAAGTATATTGAGAGGTGAAAATTGTACAGACTACAGTCAACAGTGTACACTACAGCACTGCATGGAGCACGAACATTCAGTCGTCAAGTACCTGGAAAAGCCGTGAACAGAAACTACCTACTCCACCACTGCTACGAGAGAAGGAACCCCCCCTCCCCCTCGAGACTCGGTCTGGGTTGAAGAAAATGGAAAAAGACCCAGTTTGGCCCAGGCTCTTTCTTGGAAGGCTCAAGGAGTCAAGGTACTCGCGCGTACTGATCTGGTAGCGGTACTCTTGAAGCGGTAGTGTTTAGTGTTTACCGCCGAGCTCTTGTTTGATTTATTTTGGTCTGCCTTTTCCCCTTCAGGCTTAAGCAAGTTGGTCGACCCGCTAAAGGAGGGGCCAGGACCCGCCTGGACCTGGTCGACGGGAAAATCGCTCGGCGGTCAAGATCCCGCCGGTGGACGTGCCAGGTATAAACTCAGTCAACCTTGGGAAGAGACTGACTCCGTACCAAGTACTCACAAGTCACGACTACTAGACTACTCGTAGGTTGTAAGCTCTCGAAGGAGCGCATTGCTCCGTGGCAGGTCGCTTTGAGAATTCGACTGGCCTATGTTCGACTGTTGCAGGTGGGGACTCAATCGGCCCATCCAGCTTCTGTTCAAGTCTTGAGGCAGCACAGATCCACGTCGAGCAGTGGCGAGTCGGCGACAAGACTAATTGATTAGCAAGGATTGTACCTGGGGTATTGTACAGTGTACAATGCAAGTGCTTTCTCCATGAGGTGTGTGCGTGCTTGGCTTCGATGCGATCATGCATGGTACGGTAATGAGCAACTACAGCAGCAGCAGCAGCAGCAGCAGTAGTAGTAGTAGTAGTAGTAGTAGTAGTAGTAGTAGTAGTAGAAGTAGTAGTAGTAGTAGTAGTAGTAGTAGTAGTAGTAGTAGTAGTAGTAGTAGTAGTAGTAGTAGTAGTAGTAGTAGTAGTAGATCATTAAATAATGATACTAGATTAGTAGATTGAGTAGTAGATAGTGATACAAATACGGTACTTGAGATCTGCCTCCTCGATCCCTGCAAACAACCTCGGTCATGACAGTCCAAACAACTTCTCCCGATAGAATCGCATCTCCTGAATACTCTCCAGAATATCATCGCGCGCCAAATGAACCTCCCGCTTCGCAGGAACTTGCGCCAACAAATCCTCACTGCCCCATCGCCGCGCCGCCTCCTTCAGACTACTCACGTCCAACAGACGATAATGCAAGTGCTCCAGAACCTGTGCGTAGGGCGCCCGCGCCAGAAAGGCCTTGTCGGCGTGGACACTGTTGCCCGCCAGCAGCGCCGTGCGTGGGGCAGGAACGAAGCGACGAATATACGCCAGCAGCGAGTCGGCGGCCTCGGCGGCGCTGGTGGCCGACGCCCGGACGGCGGCCGTCAGGCCCGTGCGGCCGTGCATGTCGACGCACCAGGCCGACATGTTCTTCAGCACCGAGTCCGAGTGATGGATGACGGCGTCGAAGCCCTGCGGGTCGAGCACGTTCAGCTGGGCATCGGTGATGATGCAGCAGATTTGGAGGATGGTGTCGTGGTCTGGGTCAAGACCCGTCATCTGGATGGATAGGTGAGCTTAAGAAGGGAAAAGCATATTGCCGTGGCGCGATGATGAAGAGGAAAAAAGGGCCAAGCACACGTCGAGTGGATGAAGAGAGATGGGAATTTACAAAGGAGACAACAAGACCACTCACGTACCTCACAGTCTATCCAGACCAGAGGGTCGTTTGATCGAGCGAGTGGCATGGTGAGTCGAGTGTGAACGTGTCGAATCCAGGAAGACTAGGTCGAGGAAACAGGGACAAAAGCCAACGTCGTTAGCTGTCACACCATAGACGCGAGGTGGTCTTCTCGTTCTATTGTTTTCATTGCCTCTGGGCAGCGACACACCTTCTTCGCAAGAAACAAAATCTTGATATTGGGCCTGTGGCTCGTCGCGATGGAGGTGGTGGATAGGCGGGAGTCGCGGGACCTCTTCACCTGGTGGAGACAACCGCCGCGGCGGCTGAGCAGTCTTCGTGCCGCAACACATTGACGCGTGGGACCTGAGCCAGCACGTAACGTCCAGGGAAGAAGCATCGCATCCTTCGTCGCTTCCAGGTCTACAATGTTTGAGCCAGAGAACACAGCAGTCAGGGTATCTGTGGGACAGAGAGATGAAAAATGAGACAGTATTGAAGTCTTGTTGAATGGCGGCACGTATCGTCAGTTTAGGTCCTGGTAGGCGCCAGGCCTAAGGCCAAGTAATTCGGACTGGAGGCTCGGTAGCTGCATTCCTCAAGGTTTGATCGACTTACTTGCTCCCTGTCTCGCGACAGTTAGACGTTGGCTCAAGGATCATTCTACATCTTGGCGACTACGATCATCAAGAACTTCAAGACCGATTCCCCGGGGTACAATCGTTCATATAATCTCGTGACCATTTCGTAAAGATGCCGCCTTCAGGCAGCTCAACCTAATGTGTGTTCCGTCATCTACCCCGGACGGAAACCCCAGAGCATCGGACCATGACACCACCATATCAGCAGTGCCGAAACGCGAAAAAGCTACCAAAAATGTCCTCCCATCGACATCGGAGTTCCAATCTAGAGGAAATGGTATCTAAATATCCCTAAATATCCCAAGAAAGAAAAGAGAGAACAAAAAACCGTCCCTTCTCTCCCTGTCGGACCTGATATGCCTTGCCTTGAGACCAGACGCAACGGCAGATCCTCCGGATGGACGAGGTTTGTGCCCAGACGACCAACAAGACCAAGGATTGCAGAGGGAGGTGAGCGCCCTCGAGCCCTTTTTTTTGACGCGGCGATCAAAGGTATCCCAATCATTCGCGTGTGCTCTCTGACTCCGGTCATCAGAGTTCCTCATCCTCATTTGGGAGTGCGGTCATCATTGGTTCGGAGGCGACAGTGTTGTCACCAGTGACAGTCGACATCGTCTTGTCGCTGTTATCTCCCAGGACCTCATTAATCCGACCCGAGGATTCAGCAATCCGACGACGAAGTGCATTCTCGTCGGCACCCGACACACTGGCCCGTTGTTTCTTCAATGGGCTGCCAATGAAAGAGCCGGCCGTAGCATCCGCAGTGGCTGACGGGGCGGGTTCGGTGGGTTCTACCGGAGTGGACTTGGGCGGCGTGGTGGACAATCCTTCACTGACAGGAGGAAGGCTCCCAGAGGCAGACGCAGAAGTCTCCGTCATCGAAGCACTGTTGCTAGTGACGGGCTCGGCAGAGTGTTGGCGCTTGAGCTGTGGTCAAAGGTTAGCCCCGAACTCACACACTTATCTTTCACACGACCTTCACAAACAAAGATAATGCAAGCTTACACGAATCCTCTCAACGCCCTCGGCTAGTTCTCCCTGGCGCTTGATATCGTCAGGAGAAAGGAAGCGCCCATCATCCTTGGCCTCCTCATCATCCGCTTTGCCCAGGATAGGGTTGTCGGTATCCTCGTCATCACTCTCCATCTCATCGTCATCGCCCTTCTTGCCCTTGGCGCGAGTATCATGATCCCGGAAGTTCAAGAACCCAACTGTGCCTTCGTTTCTCAAGGGACCGAGACTAGCAAAGTCCGCCTGGAGGGACTTCCGCTTCACGGCAGGCGTATCCTGGACCTTGGGGTCTTGGAGGATCCCCATCTTCTGGAGCTGCCCTAGAAGTCGACCACACGTTTTAGCACCTGATGATGTCCTTCTGACTTCCCATCATTGAGTCACTATCGATCTGTCCTCCTCGCCAGGAAGAGCAGCGAAAGACCACCTTAGGAAGGGATTTGACAACGAGAAGAGATCCACTTACTTTCGCCTCGGTACATGAATGTGAACGTGGCATAGGGTTTGTCGGTAGGGTCGATTCCAGTGACGGTCTGAGTACTGATGGACTTGGGATCCAGAGTCTTAGGCTTCGCAAAACTGGTCGTGTGATCGACGTCAGCGTCGCCATTCCCGCTTCCGTTTCCTTGGCCACCTTCTTCGTCATCGTCATGAGCGTCAAATTGCGGGGAGTATTCACCCCGCTTGATCTCGCCCGAGGCCAAGACGCGGAACAATGCGACCTTGATCTGACCGGCCGTCTCAGGAATCGGATCATCGTCATCGGTATCCGAGGAGAGGTCGTCGTCGGAAATGGTCTCGAGCGGCGACTTCTCATCATTCCCGTAGCGCATGATGTCCTTGGGCTTAGAACTGCTAGCTTCCGTATCCATGCCGTTCGCGTCATCCAGCAGACGCTTAGCGCGGCGCTTCTCCATCTTTTGCCGCCGTCGCTCAATTTTGGCGGCGACATCTTTACCCTCTAGATCGAGGCCGTTGAGCCATCGCTCCAGTCCCACTTCACGGAACAGGAACTCGCGCTCGGCGATACCGCCGCCTTCGGACTCCGGGACGCTCACCCATCGTGAGTTGACCCAGGTCTCTTCCCCTCTTCGCAGCAGTGTGGCCACCTCTTCCTTTTGCCTGCCGTCAAAGTAAATGTAGGCGGCGACTGTCTCGCTGGGTGAATTGGTTAAGGACTGGTAGGGTGCGACCGAACCGGAATACTGTCCGCGCTCGCCGGTCTGGCCGGGCAAGCCTCCGACTACCTTGGGCTTAGGATCAGGACAATCCGCGGTCGGCTTGGGGGTCGAATATGGGACATCTTGTCCGGGATTCAAGAGTGTGATAGAGATGGCAAAGGTGGATTGTTCCGCTTTCCCTGTCGAGGAAGCGTCTGGAACCTTGGGAGGCGGAACGGGGATGAAGCATGCTATCCGCGAAGCTCGAGATTGGCGCTGGATGGAGTATTCGGAGATGGGGCCATCCGGCGTGTGGATGCTCACCGCGAGGCCCTTGAAGCACGGCATCACGAAGTCGTCGAGAAAAAATTGGGTTCAAAGGCTAAGACCGGTTGCTTCAGGATGTGGAGTGATCAGGAAAAATCTAGACAAGGCAAGGGGAGGAGGGGGGTACCACCCCACGCTCTTGATGAATTGTGTTATTACCCCTCGGCGGAGACAACGAGGCCACCAGAAAGGAGGGGAAGATAGAGAGAATCGAAGGCAAAGCAACTCGATCGCGAAGCAGAGAGAAGTCAGCGCACACCGTCGTCCAAGATGTTCAGATGGCAGCGACTTTGTGCCTTCCCTTTTTTTGCCCTTGTTCTCGGTCTGAGGCTCTCGACGAGGTGCGTCTGGGCTGTTTGGGTAAGAAGCGGTCAAAGTAGCGCTGCAAGATGGCGGACTTGGAGCACCCAGCAACCGATTGGGTCGGGACCCCACTGTAGGTCGATTGTTGCCGGGGTTGAAGACACGCAAGGCTCGGCGAAGCTGGTCGGGCGCATGAACTGTGAGGCAGTCGGCCTTGTTCGAGAAGGGATCTTGAACTTTGTCGGGTGAGATATGGGAAGCAGTTATCGAAATGATCTTGGCTCTGGGCCGATATCAGTGGAGATGCACCGCAGTGAAACGGAGACGAAAGCCGATCAAGATGCTGGAGATGCCCACACTGGAAGTGTGTTGTTGAATGACTTCTTCGGGGCGGGTGGAGGTGGACCCGGTGATGAGTGAACCAGCGGATCAGTAATGGGTGGCCAGCTCGTTCGTGCAGTGCACGATGGACTCATGGACTCGGCGAGTGATCGTCGGCGACAGGATGATTGCTACTGATAGGAATAAGTCATGAGCCAAAGCGTCGCCTGCAGATGAGATGTTCTTGAACCAATTGGTGTCGATCCTCCAGCAGGTTCGAAAGGCTCGAGACCGCTGATTCATGAAACGGTTCGTGACAGTCGGGAATGGCCCACTTGTCCCCGTTTCGGCTTCAGATGTACGCACCAAGTAGACACCATCATGAAGGCCTGTACAAGACGTTGATCCTCGACGGAATGGTCTGATAACTCGGAAATGGAGAAACATCTTTTCTCCAAAGGTTCCCTCTGATTGCCAAGGTCAGGCCGCCTTGTCTTTAGGCAGCGGATGTCACATGTTCTCATCCATGAGACCTCGTGATGACTTGAGCAACTTCGAGCTTCGAGGATATACTGATTCCTCTCATCACCTGACCCGAGTTGAAATTAGGTATACTACTGATAAATTGCCATGTAAGTACATTGGGAATCTGACCATGACGCATGATACCACATCGTCACCTTGTAGCCCTCCAGTAGCTGTGTGATGGGCGACTTTCGATGTACTAACGCTCACATGACACAAACACCATGCGATGTGCCCATACTGTAACTGTGACAGGTAGCTAGGTAGATATCTATCCATGACGGTATGGCTCGTCGCAGAGAGGTCCTGATATGTGAAGTGTTCCATGCGCTCAGAACAAGGTCTCCAGGGGCTTCTTCTCCCGCGGCTACTGAGTTGACCGCTGAATATTAGAGATACTCCAATTCAGGATTGTCTGTGTATAGGGAATGTATTTCCCACGTCTGCTAAGGCAAGTCACTCTTCATGCTATCAGCCTAGAGAAGCACAGGAGCCTGGCCAGTTCTCTTATGCAGTAAGGGGCCTGGACGCCACGTATAACAGTCTTTGTTCCGCTCCCGCAGAGATAGAGAACATTTCCGAATCGCTTCATAAAGACGGGGGTTTGCCCTCGAGTGTCGACAAGCTGGACTGTGCTCCCTGAGTCTGGATGATCAACCTTGGATGAGTAGCCCAGTACGAGACCTTTTCAACCTCATTCCAGTTTCCTTTCTGACCCTCGGCAAGCCATCCGAGTGGGACATGTCCAACTATATCGCGTATCTGCTTTTCCGACTGCGGACGGACGATATCCTCTTTCAAGAAACATGATCATCTGGTCGTTCGCTAGAGGTGATACAAGATACGAGAGCTCTGCAGCCTCGTGGCCGGGCACCTTCTCAGGTACTCGAGATCTTGGGGTCTAGGGTGCTCACTGTTGAGCCATGTATCCGCATAGGGGAAGTAAAAGGCCGTAAAATCGTGAAATAAAGGCCCTCGGTTCCTGTACCTGATCATCTCAGGGCTTATACGATCAGCAACATTGGACTCATTGTGATGTCTCAAGTCCCAGATGCCACTCTAGCCAAGGACTAGGTAGGCATGCCCCAGGAGACGGGGAGATCCTTTGTCTAACACTTAGGCGGTCTCATTCGACAGTGGCACCAGAGGGTAGGGCACTTCTTCAGTGCTGTCGACGGTAGTCTATGTGAGTATGTGCTTTTTCACTACCCATGGGAGCAAGCTTCTAGCGACCTGGGCCCTTCTCGACGAGGAAAAATTGTAATGAAGCGGTAGTCCAGGCGCTCTGATACTCTGGACCTAACGCACAGCTCACGGAGGGACTGGTTTTTGGTGTAAAGGGATCTCGTATCAGCTACCCTGGACAAGCCAAAGGTATTCACACATAGTGATTCGAACCCCTGCATAATCGTTGTAGATGGCAACCGTATCACGGGCATTATTGAATTTGATCCGCCAGGCTCTAGTGTTTCGGGAAGAGATCATTTCTGTCTGTGATGGTAGGCGTTGAACTCGGATTGGCAAAGTCTTATACTGACCGTTCTTGATACCGACGAGTCAGAGTGAGTTTTGGGCCAAAACCAACCGGTCCATGGTAGACGAATGAATACCGGTCTTTAAGATCAATGGGTGTCCGTGATGTTCTCTGGGCGGAGTAGATCCCGTGTTCTGCTTGAATCTTTTTTTCAAAAAAAATATTGTCTTGGATACCTCAGCAGGTCTGTAGACTGAGCCAAAGGGTCTATGGGAAGGGTCACCTGCGGGGTCACCTGTGCTCATTCTGAAAGTATCTGTATCCTAGAGATAAGGGTAAGCACTGATGTCAATATCGTCGCATGTGACATTATAACAGATTCACGGCATCACGTTCAGCAGGTCATAACATATCATAAGATAATAGGAGAAATTGTGGTCTGTCGCACTGGCGCTCATAGGAACGAAGGCCACTCTGTTTCTCAGTAACAGTTTTAGACTTTTGGACCTATCGAGAATATTTGCATTAATCTCTGTCGGAGCATATGATAGCCTGGTACATATGTAAGATAGGTTGGAATTGTGTATTGGTTGAGATGTGATTGTTGGCGTGTGGAAATGTGCTGGATTTCTCAGCATTAATGAAAATCAGGTTATAATGTCAAAAATTGAATGTATCCTCATGCAACAAGCAAGCTGGCGCATAGGAAGCGCGTCGGGCTCATAACCCGAAGGTACCTGGATCGAAACCAGGGTTTGCTATCTTTTTACATTCTTTTTTCCCTCTCCCGATCGGCCATCCCTCCCTCCCACACCTGTTCCCCAACATCATCCGTGACGTTTTGTGTGCAACGTTTTTCTTAATGTGGGAGCAAAAATCTTTCTTGATGCTTTTTTGGTCTTTTCTTGTCCCATCACTATTTAACAGTCCTGCCGATAGTCCTATAGTTAATGAGTGCCTGTGAGTGTGAACAAACATCCGTCATAACTTAAGGGCTGCCCCCGATGTGGAGCCGCCCGGCGCTCACGAAGCTTAACACTAGCAGAATTCTACATTCAATGCTACCAAAACAGCAGCGTCTGTTATTAATCCGTCGTGTATGGAGCTTTGTATGCCACATACTGCCCAAGAGATCTACACCACGGGTTATACACCCCATGAACTACTAGGTATAGACCGTGATTCTCATCCAGTGACCAATCACACCTGGCTGCCATGTAGCGGCAAGACACAAACTACACCACGAACCTACAGTGTGCTATCAGGTCGTACATAAAGATCGATACCCGCATAGGTACCTATTGTAGTAGGGAATCCGGTTGCATGTACATAGAGCGGATAGTCTGCTGAGGTGCGTGTGCCTGATGGTGGCCTTACAGTCGGGAAGAGGCTGTTTGGACATGACGAGAGGGAGTCAATCAACTTGACCACCCAAGGAAGACAACAAGCAACCAGAGGATTGAACGGCTTCATGGGAAGTGGGAGTTCAGTACAGTCTTTACAGTCGGGTTCCTTTTTCATTGCAATGACACACTCCTTTTGATCTTCACCTGTGCCTCTTGACATCCTACGGATAGGTGTTGTACGGTCGGGCTGGGAGATCTCTGGGCGTGCGTGCTGGTGGTTGTGGTTTGGTTCCTCTATGACTCGACCTGTCTGGTGAGATCAGACTGCCTTGAGCATTCCCCTCTATACTATGATTGCGGCTAAAATATCTGCGCGGTCACCAGTGGCTTGGTGGCTACACTTGATATAGGTATGGGGAACCAGAAAGGATGAATGTGATTTAATTATGATGAATAGGTCGAGCATAGGGATAGACTACTCTGATCAGCAAACCTAGGTAGTCACTAGTAGACCACTACCACGCCCGTCCACCCACTAGGTACCTCCGGATGTTACAATGATCGATCAGTGGCCCCTGTAGGCAACCGCGCATATAGGTACCTACATAGGTAGGTTGTGATGTACATATGACTACTAAATATATGACTACTGAATGTAAGATTACACAACAGGTACTTACCTACAAACTTGAAAAAGTACCTTGTCAAGAAACTGAACCCACATCGGAAGAATGACCTAGCTACAGGATGACATTTGGTTGGTAAGCCGGTCTTGTTGGAACAATATCCTAGAAGCCCTACCTACATGCGTCAATGTTAAGCCACGGCATGGAGAAGATCCACGGGCTCGGCCTCGGCTACCCGCAAAGTCAAAAATGCTGATAAATGACATCACTCGATCGCGGAGCGACCCCGATATGACCGTAGCATCAAGGCATTTGAACGTTGCGGATAGCTGGGGAAGCTGACAAATGGAACCATGGAGTGGGGAATTATGCATGCGGTACTTTAGTACATGAAGCTGCTCAAGCTTAAATTCTCTGGAATCTAACACCTCTTGATATGCTTTATCGTTACTTCACCACCAGCTCCCTCAAAGCTAGATCTCGACTACCTACGTCCAATTTATCTACGACTCTACGCGCCTCATACTCCGCCATGTCGTCCAACATTACACTTTACACATGGCCCACGCCCAATGGTATCAAAGCATCCATCACCTTGGAAGAGCTTGGTCTTCCCTACAAGACCGAGGGAATCGACATTACCTCCAATCGGCAAAAGGAAGAGTAAGAACCCACGACGTTGAATGAGCAGACTCAAGTGCGGTATTGCTCACAGTCTTCCATCAATTAGTTGGTTCCTGAAGATTAACCCGAATGGTCGTATTCCTGCAATGACGGATGGCTCCCAGCGTGTCTTTGAGAGTGGTTCAATCATGCTCTATCTTGCCGACAAATATGACACTGATCGCAAGATCAGCTACGCTCCCGGCACCCCCGAGTACATTGAGCAGGTATCCTGGTTGATGTTCCAGATGGGTGGACTGGGTCCCATGCAGGGTACGTGATTCCCGTGACCTGCCTGATGACGATAGCGAGAAAGATCCCGTGATTGACAGCAGATGTTCCTTAGGCCAAGCCAACCACTTCCGTCTCTTTGCTGGTGCACACTCTGATTACGGCATCAAGCGCTACATCGATGAGACCAAGCGTCTCTACTCTGTACTTGAATCCCGCCTGCAGGAAAGCCCATATCTGGCAGGTTCCAAATACACCATTGCCGATATTGCCAATTTCTCCTGGGTGCGCAGCGGTCCCGGTGCCCTTGAGATTAGTCTTTCTGAATTCCCAGCCCTGAAGAAGTGGGTCGATGAGATTGAGCAGCGACCCGCTGTGCAGAAGGGTGTGGATGTGCCTCACACCGGAACCACTGCTGAAGATCGCGAGAATTTCTTCAAGAAGGCACGTGCTAAGATTGACGGCATGACAAACTCCGACAAGCATTAAGTTACCCTGGGGTTTGCGAATCTGGAAATGACCTCTTTGAATAATATTTATATATATGCCACGTGATAACGTCGCACTAGGAATACTTACGGCGAACTGCGCCATGCGCTTCCACTTTCCTCCTCTCCCCCATGTAAGATGAATGTCAGATCCAACCAAAAGACATGAGCTGGACCGAAGTCTCAGACTTACCAGCCATCGCCCGAGTGCGAGGCAGCCTCAACGCACGACAGTACCATTGCCCCTCACTGGCGGGATTCGGCCAAGGGTTCGACGATGATGTTGTCTTGCCCGTTGCAGGCGGCGCCAGTCCCGGCGTAAGGCGAAGCCTTCTTACCCGGCTAGGGAAAGAGAAGAAATTTAGTCCAGTTCAACGAGTCGACTTCAGGAAAACTTGTATAATAGTACATAAATAGAGAACAGGTAAACAGAAATGGAATTGATTGATGAAATGATTAAGAAGCCAGGATGACACTAGACCAGTCTGTCTCTTTACCCTTTATCTCCCGGTCATGTTCCCTGGTAATCAGGTGATATGGCTGATCAGGTGCTTCCCACTCCATACCAACGACTCGGGAGACGTTGCGGTTTTGCGGTTGAGTCTAGGAGTCTACTGCTGCGAGTCTTGGGCATGATGGCAATGTGGTTGTGAGCCTGTGCAAAGAAATTGTGTTCTGAGTCTGAAGACGAAAACCAACTATGGGATAGCGAAGGTCTAGGGAAGATGGAAGATGGAAGATTGGAAATTGAAAATTGTCGCGTGTTTGGAACAACATTATGCGTTCCCTCCTCCTCTCTACATTAATTTAGAGGTGGTACCTTCTAGGTACCGGAGCCACCCCATTCTATGGTCTACGCCAATACTTGCGCCTATGGGCGTGACTTCGTCCCACCACTATGATTGCAAACAAAGGTCATTTGGACCGACGATTTCATTGCAGTGCCGGAGAGGAGCAGAGATTGTTCTTCAATTCCGAAGCCAATGGGTAGCCATGAGTTTGAGTTACGGGCACCGAACCGCCACCATCATCTGCATCAGACGCAAGGCTTATCTATGAATCTCTTCGCTCATGTCTTGTAACTAACGACTTCGGGGCCTTGGTAAGATAGCTTGGGAGCTACATGGTACCTGTGGCCTACGTAATCTGAGTAGTGGGAGGCCTCACCTCAACCGCCAATTCCACCAAAATCTGCACGACTTTAGTAACTTCAATCCCATCAACGAGATATCCAATTTGATATGATCATTATATACAGACCTGATTCGGCTACCAATCTAGCCTAGATCCATTCAAAATTCAAACCCCTCGGCGTTATCTAGGTCTTTGAATAGCTCACTGGCTATCTGGAGTGCCTTCAATAGTGTTGAATCAGGCAGCAGGCTCTAGAGGCTATATCGATTTTAATACCTTTTGCAGCTTTTTTTGCCTAGCTGATTCCTCCCGCTCTTTTATGGCCTAAATAATATCCGTTATATCGCATAGAGATATACCTTTATCATGGTTGATCATAGACTTAAGCTGGCGTCTAGAACTCTAGATGCCGGCTCGCGGAGTCGCGGAGCGGAGTTCTAGCCGTAGTCATTTCGCGCGGATTCACTACAGTCTTCCGGATCTGACCGGTAATGTGAAGAAATTGGTTCTTGCCAAGGGGCTTGCCTAGTTAAAAGGAATTGGTACTAATTTAATAGATAAAGTAGTATAGATTTGATGCGGTTGAATTTGATACAGCTCTATAGAGTTGAATGTTGATACAGCCGATGCAGCTCTATAGAGTTGATGCAGTTGATGTAATTGATTTGGATCCAGCGTATCGAGGCCTCTTCCAGATGAGGTAGTGGGGCCCTAGTAGTAGATTTTCGACCACTTCGAGGTCCTACACCAAGAATAACGCGATCACGTAGGGTAGTACGTGGTATACCATATCGCCGCGCAATCGCGCTTGTATTTGGCTTTTCATCTTGGTGGTAGGCTTAAATAGCTTCAGAGAGACGCCGCTCACTGATTTTCTTAGTCTTAGGCATGGTGGTTGGTGTAAGGGGGTAGTAGGTCTTAGAGATGGTGAGGATGGCGGTTAAGGTGAGGCAACCAGTGCCACCCACTACCTTCGGTAGTGGGTGGGTCGAAGTACTAAGAATACGTAGGCCATAGTAGCAGTAGACTAGGAGTAATCCCGCGTCCCGTGACGGGTAGTTCTTAGTGAGCCTCGAGGTGAAGATTTGGATTGCAAGTTGGAGTGTGACGAAAAGTTGACCACTACGAGTCTACGACTAACTTACTACTGTATATGATCGTCTACTGCTACAGTTAATCTAGACCCGGATGTGTCTGTGGTTTAGGTTTGCGGAGTTGCAAAACGTCATCTTATATGTGAGCCCAATCAGCGGCCTGAGACAACACGAGCTTGAATGTTTCGATCGTCTACAAGAAAACAGCATTCATAAATCAACTACTCTTCATGGTGTCATCAATCAGCACCAAGTGGTCGAGCAGTAACTCGGTCATCCTTTCTTCCTTGGTCTAGTGGTCATGATTTCCGCTTGTCATCTTGGCTGATAAGCGCGGGAGACCGGGGTTCGATTCCCCGAGGGAGAGGTTTTCTTTTGTGGAAGTTTTTACCAAATTCTCTCTCTCCAGAGTCCTCGCGCAATCGAGGTCGGCGATCAAATAGCTGTGACTATTTGAGGGCATCCTATCCGTCGCTATTTTCCATGATGGTTGTGTTTTCCGATGCACGATCGGCTCTAGCAGAGCCGATCTGGCCAATCGGAAGACGTGCCAGGGTTTTCATGTACAAGCAATCTCGACTTCGTGCAGCGCTACTAAGTGGTGGTGAGTACCCGTCCGCATCAATTCGCCATCTGTTGATGGTTGTAGTGAATATTGACCGAGACTTGTCTTTGATGGAGTGCATATTCCATCCAGGAATTGTAATGATTGAATGATCGGGGTAGAAACCTAGAAAGGGTATCACATGACCATCTCCATAAGAATGAGTAGGTACGGTTCCATGGCGACTTGGTTTACTTTCCCAATTCTCCAAAGGGAAGCCCGAGATTGTTGGACTTTTTCCATTCACGTGAGCGGATGTTGCTTCCTACTTTGGTAGTTACCTACCTCCGTCAAGTCTGTAGACTGAACGTCATTCATACTGAACCCTCCAGCCTACATTCGACTGCATGGGAGAAAGGTTGAAGCAGCTGCCACTGGTCTGCACTCTGCAGCGTCTGAGTCGGACGCAGGCGTCGACCTGGGCCTTCTTCTGTCAGGCCCAGGCCCAGGCCCCTTCGAGACGCATTCTTGCCTCAAGCTAGAGGATGATCGGGTAGCCACTCTAGAGTCTAGACTCACGTCACTGGGAACATGTTGACCGTAGAGGTCCACCATCCAGACGACAGCCTCCTTTCAGGGATCATAGAAATTACCCCGTCAGATCTCAATCTCATTATAAGCTGGTATAAGAATTAGACTAGTTAAGTAGCTATAACCGACCGCCAGACGGTAAGGCCTCATTCTACACATACATCCCCGTCTTAGGCTCCCAGCAGCCCTTTGATAGTGTCTTGGTCACATTCGTTCGAGGGGCCACCCGTGCAGAAGAAAATACTGTGCTCCAACTCACGGATCGACGATTCCAAGGCTGATATTGTCTGGTGATTGTTTCCGATGATCATGATGTACGTCCCTTTTCCAGCGAACAAAGAGTCCCATCATTGCTGTAACTGGAAATCCCCCCCCCAGATTTCAAGGAACCGGAACCCTTCACTCACCCACGTGAACCACCTTTGCCTCTGACGCTGGTAGGGTTGGCCTGACCGATTCTTCACTTTTGGCGATCTCAAACTGCCGACTCGATCGATCGAATATATCGGGTTAACCTGGACCTTCCACTGCATCCTGTGGTTCTCGTCTACCGTACACTTGCCAATTTCCAGCCCTCGCGTGGTCGCTGTGACCTGGTGCTCCAATACGACGTTCTTCAATCACCTACTACTACCACTACTTAGTATTCAGTGCTCACTTTTCCCTGGACTGTACAGAGTGCACTCCCATATTACTGACATGAACCATGCACGACAATTGACTGTGGAGTATTCCTAGTGTGTCGAAAAAGCGACTCGACCGTGTCTGAGCGCCGCAAGTCGTCAGGAACCCAAACCTGCTTAGTCCGTGGATCGGTGCGGAGAAAGACGTGGTTCACTGCACAACCCGACCTCTTGAATATCATCACTCCCCCAAATCAGGACGATCCGACACTCACTCGGGATTCCCAGACGTTGTATCCACTCCGGACAACCTAGACGCGCGAAACTACGGGACTGTGCATCACACATCATCTTAACGGGGTCTGCTTGGCCACCCTTTCTGGAAAGTTGGCACTCTCGACTCCAAACGTTATCCCTTTTGATCGTTGACCCTTGCGTGAGCAGGTCATTCTTGGGTTCTCGAAACCGTCCCCATTCCCATTCTAGTTTGGAGTTCTTTTTTCTACCTGGTGCTATCTCTTCTTCCTTCCCCATGCCCCTTTTCCTTTCGCCATTCCATTTCTCCTTGCAAAGTTGTTGAAATCGAGAGTCGTGCGGGTCACCGGATCACTTTCATCAGCTTTCCCATACCCATTTCCCCCATCTATCTGATCGACCGTTCCCGCCTCTCTCCCCACCCCCAAACGTTCAAGTCTTGCCGTCTTGATTATCGGGACCGGGCTGTGTCAAGGAGAGAGAGTGTGTGTCTTGTGTTGGAGTTCCCGGCTCCTCGTTGTATATCGACCATTGAACACTCGAGACCCCCTGCAAGTTCAAGACGGATCAAACCTGACCGCCACCCAACCACCTCCGGTTGCAAAGGTGAACGGTCTCCACGCCGACCATCTCCCTTGGTCCCTTATCGAGCGAGAATGGGTTCTTTATCTCCAACATGCGCGGACCTGGCCTATCCAGGCTGGGTCCAGCCATTGATCTCCGTGTGCGTATCTTTCAGCAGCCATTTCATGGCGGACGAAGAAGCAAAAAGGCGAATCGAAGGATTGAAAAGCCCAATTACTGACTGATTGATCAACCTCGCAGAATCATCATTGTCGGTATTCTCATTTCATACCTACCGCAACATATTCGTATCATTACTCGGGGAACGTCTTTCGGTATATCGCCGTGGTTTGTCCTCTTGGGCACCACATCCGGAACCTCTGCATTCGTCAACATCCTGAGCTTCCCCAAGACGGCCGTCGATGTCGGCTGTTGTCGAGAGGTGAGCGGCTTTGCCTGTTTCGCAGGCCTGCTCGGAGTGATTCAGCTGGGCATGCAATGGCTGTGCTTCTTTATCATGTAGGTGTTTGCTTGATGGTCTTGGCGGTCGAAGAGAAAGAGAGGTTGGGTGGATTCACATCCCTCCGGCCCCCTTTCTTCGAGGTACAGAGATCCCTCATCACTGACACCGGACATCCCAACTGCTTAGCTTGCTCCTCTACGTGATCTACTTCCCCCGCGCCACCTCATCCACAGACCCCACCCGGTCGGAAGACGCCGCCCCAGAAGGTCAAGGACCAACCTACCGCACCGCGCTGGCCGTCACCGCAACATGCGTCTTCTACACCCTGCTGACCGCCATCATCTCCGTCGCCCTGGCGATGCGCAGACCCTCTGCCCTGGAAGGATGGGCCAACTTCCTCGGGGTCTTTGCCGCAGTCCTCGCATCCATCCAGTATTTCCCCCAGATCTACACCACCTGGCGCATTCGCGGAGTGGGCAGTCTCAGTATCCCCATGATGTGCATCCAGACACCCGGCGGCTTGCTATGGGCCGGTAGTCTGGCCGCCCGAACGGGTATCAAGGGCTGGAGTATCTGGGGTGTGATTGTCGTCACGGCCGTGCTGCAGGGTGTTCTGCTGAGCATGGCTGTCTACTTCAAGTACTTTGGTGATTCCAAGAGTAAGCAGAAGGATTTGGATGAGGACGAGCAGGACGGCCAGGCCAATGGAGCTGGTGAGGATGCGTCTGCGGGCGATGTGTCCTCTACAAAACCCCTCCTCCAAGGCCACCAAGCGTCCGTCCGAGGAGACGCCCCTGCTCCAAGGGGAGTGATGCAAAGCAACACACTGTGTATGGGTGCGGACCCTTTGATTCTCCGTGGTCGATTGCTCATATATCGACTGACTCGTGTGCGAGGGCGGACCAGAACCGTGAGGACGGGGAGAATCAGACGCGAACACTTTCTGTCTTTTCATCCTCCCCTTTCTTTCGACAACGGTGTTCAGACAGACCCCCCTACCTTGAAAAAAAAGGCCGTGTACTAAATTGGGAATTATTGTCGGAACTCGTCTAGGGAGTAGAAAGTCCGGATTTGCGCTCTCTTTGTCCAAGCCAAAAACGATGGATGTCATGCAAATTGCCATTTCGGGAATACGAAGGAGAAAAATCCTCCCGCAAGCAGGCGAGGAAGAAGAAAAAGAACGAGAAGGGGAAAAAAGGAGGAAAAAGAAAATCAACAGAAATGACATCGTTGCCTCTATTTCAACCGAATGGGCATCATCGTCTCATAGCACTCATTGATTGGAGATCTGAATATTGAATGACAGTATTTAAGCAGCAGCGTAGATCAGGCGGAAGACGTCGTTGAGAACGAAGAAGGTTCCGTCCTGGGGCTTCAGTGTGAAGAGCTGGGTGTAGTTCATGGGCTTCTGCTCATCATCGACCTGTATTTGAACACCAAGGTTAACTTTTTCCCGCGCGAGTCATGCTGGTTTGTGTTTCCATTAGAAAAGGAAAAGTCCATCTACGTACCAAGAGAGCACCGGTAACAAGAACGATGATGTTCTCGCCTGACGGCTGGGCGTCGAGAGTGGCGAGCTGGTGGCGCACCTTCTGGAATGGAAGACCCTACATAGATGGAAAAGGAACCCGATGTCAGCAAGTCTCGTTCGCTCACCACTTCCAGACGGTCGGCTTGAAATCTCGTCAGGTTTCACGGGAGGGGTAAAGGGGGCGCATACGTTCAATTTCTCGACAATTTGCTCAGTACCCATCACAGAGGAGGTCTCGAAGGTGAGCATGGACTCGGGGCGCTGGTTTCATAGAAAGTAGATGAGGTTAGTTCGAGAGATCTATTTCGTAGCAACTGTTGCCCTACTCATCTTCTCGACAGTGAGCAAGAGGCGCATGGGAGCTCAACTTACGTAGAGGCTGGCAAGACCGCTTCGGTTGCTGTCGAAGGTGTTGTAGTAGAACTCAACGAATTGCTCTATGAAAGGGGCGTTGCATGGGTTAGGCCAAGGGGAACAGCATCTCTTATGAAGTTGGAAGTCGAGTGCAACTGTTTCGATGATCACCGCGAAGCTAGAAAGCTGCAGGAGGTGCGGGGCTGCCCCTCGAGGCAGCGTATCTGGGGAAGCGTGGGCGCGAAGAGGAAGAGAGAGGAGTCTGGCAACGTACGAGCGATTGTGTTGAAGTCTAAAACACCCAAGTTAGCCATCGAGCAATCGAAGAAACCTTGAAAGAAGCGTTTTCGATGCGCTTTGTGATCTTATTGATATGGCGCAATGCCGGCTCTATCACCCCGCCGAGCAATGGAAGACCAGCAGCGATCCATGGCGGAGAGTTTGAGAGACAAGGAGGCGGAGACGGAGCGGAATTTGACTTACCGGCCATTTTGTGTGGTTATAGAATGCAGGTTTGTATAGCAAAGAAAAGGGCTGAGACTGGAGGACCAAAGACACAGAGTACTTGATGATGCAGGTGAGGAAGAGTCGAGAGGAGACTGGTACTAGTGTGTGTAGTGGGGTGTTTGTGGGCGGGCTTGGCAAAAGTCTCAGGTACCAAGGCTCGAGTTTCAGGCCGTCAATTGCGGGTTGTCGGTCGAGACCGAGTTGATTGTCGAGGACCTTGATGAACTGATGATAGATATTGTGATACGGATCAGATCAGCCTCGTTTCCTCGACGGGATCGCGGTCTGTAGTGATTTAATATAGGGAAACCCGGCTGGTCAGTTCAGTCACTAGTCAGTTCTGTACACGCTGGATCTGTACAGACACCCAATCCTGTGCATGTTATCGTTATGATTGAACTCTGTCTAATGCTGTAGTCTAGATAGCACCATTTCAATACATAAAAGGAGTGATAAGAAGCCTTGGGCCACTCAGAATGATGTAGGCAGGTCTCTTGAAAAGAAATACAGCCTTCCTGAAAGTTTTTTTTACAACCTAACACGCACCACTTTGGACCTCAACGCCACATACACTTCACGCTACTGTCATGAATGCTAAAACCTCTTATTCAGAAGCCGGCTAGCATGGCTTGTCTCCCGACGCCAAGGGCGAAACGTGCATGCGCCTGACGAAGTGCTCTTCAATAGGAGAACATGCATAGAAGTCCACCCTTAAATTGAGGCTGGGACATAACTTTACTAATGTGGACAAATGCAAGTTGTTTCTGTGTATCGTCGGAACATGGCTCGTTCGAGTCGTTAAAATTTGGACCGCGGAGTCGCAATGTGGGTAGACGAATGCCCCGAGGGCTAGAATGATGTCAATCCGCCTGCTTATTTCTTGCCTGACTTCTTGATACCCTGCTGGCCGGTGTTGAGGGGTCCCTTCTTGCCCTTGGTGGATTCGAGGAGAGCCTTCTTGGCCGCAGCGTCTGCATTGGAAACGATGAGTATCAGCATACTCGGGCGACAGCGAGAGGAAAATGGGCAGCTCCACCAACTTACCGGCACGTTGCTTCTCCTTGAATGCAAGGTCATCCTCGTCCAGATCCTTCTTCTCCTTCTTGGGCGCCTTGAGGGGCTTAGCCTTGCCGCCTGCATGTGAACTGTCAGCGAAGCACATATCATGACGTGGATGCGATAGCGCGTGGTCGTCACTGACCTTCTCTGCTGGAACCGCCCATTTTGATGATTTTGATTGACTTGTGGCCACAAAAAGATGTCGAAACTGACCAGGTAGAATAACAGAACGCTAGAATTGATCTGTTCGGACGCAGTCACTAGCGACTTCGAGGTGGCGGCGAAACTCGAACAGGAAAAATTGTTGATCCTCAGGTGGGGTACAGAGGGCCAGGCCGCCAGAGGCACAAGAGGTAAGGTCGTTGCTGCCTTGGTGCCTTATCCACGATCATAGCGCCAACCAGACAGGAACAGCCTCGCGGTCGTGGTTGATCATGGTTAACTGCAGGAAGACATGACTAGCTTATGACCAGCGTGCAAAGATTGTCAGGTCTTTTCAAATCAACGCAATGGTTTCGGCAAAGTCCATGGCTAATAGCGCTAATTAGCCGACAACAGTATTCACTGACGGAACAGAAATCCTCCCAGCAGTCAGGTTCATCGGTCAGACTCAGCAGTATCTTCGACTAAACAAATCTAGACAACGATCACAGAGGAATACCCGGTGGGAAGTTTTTACTTCATTCACTCGTCAATTGTGTGTTTCTTTCAGCACGGCTAGACATATCACTCCGACTCGGATGCAAACATATCCTCAGCCTTTGGCCTTGGCTTGCGTTGCCCTCGCTGGATCTGCCCCTCAGGTCGATGCTGGTGCTGTTCTTGCTCTTGCTGCACAGCGTGTTGAGCACCAGCTTGATCATGTGATGGCGGATCTTCCTCCATCGGTTCACCATTATCCTCATCTTCATCATCGCCGTCATCGTCGTGCATCTCAAGATCGCTATCTTCCATTGGAACACCATCTAGATCGCTCACATCGTCGTCTTCCACAATCGGGAGTGTACTTGAAGGAGGGTTTTGGTTTTGCGCCGCGGAAGGCGAACCGTCTTTAGGTCCTTCGATTGGCGTATCATCGTCAACAGCTTTCCATCGACTTTTCGTCTTCAAAGCTTGCTGATTAGATCGATCCGTATTGGCTTTTTCTGATCCTCTCTGCAGTTCTTCATCGGTCAACGGCGGATGCTCAAGAACCTCGAGGAAGTGTTCCTGATTAGAGGGCTGGAAGATACTCCAACCCTCCCACAGATGCAGAAGAGCTCCCACACTGCGCTTCCACTTCTCAGCACGAAGTCTGCCCCAGTTCAAGTCTTTCTCCAAGCGGCCGAGGTGTTCAAAAACCTTGTGCGAGCGCAGAGCATTCTCAAACAAAGACCGATATCGCCACCCTTTAGGAACCCCACTGGTGGCCGACGAAGCGAGAATATCGGAAATTAAATACAATCCCACCAGCTTGGCCGAGGACATGTCAATTTTCGACCTGGATGTATGCTGGCCTTCGCCATCTTCCTCGTCTTGTCGAGCAGCATCCTTTTCTCCCTCCCGCCCTGGATTGGCTCCCGTGTATGCCAAGGGACGCAGGATATTCAGTATGATCATGTCAACAACCTCGCGAGCACCTGTCCCTGCATGTTTGATAGCAAAGGCTGTCACCCGAGCAACGTCACCACGCCGTAATTTGGCATGGGTTGTGGGTAGACGGGCAAGCAGATGTGTGAGCTTTGCTTTTTGTAAGGGGTTCATATAACCCGCACTGTCCTGATGAGACGCTGTTCCCTCTGATGGGGGGCCACCTCCAAGATTACGCCTCTCTTCCTCGCCGTCAGACATCTCTTCTTCTGACGAATTGTAATCATCCTCCGAAACAAATTCGTCCAGTCGTGTAGTGAATTCGAATCTGATACCTGTGTCGGGCGAGGTCCAGATGGGTCCACCATCGAAGACAGAGCATGATTGCCGACCGGCAGCTCTAGCACTACTGCGTGCTCGAGGATTGGTGATGATTTGCCATAACTTCCATCGATAGTAAACACCACCGGGACTTCGTGCATCCCATATCCAAGCCCATTTCTCTTCTTTCTGTACCTCCGGACGGCTCATCAGAAGGGCTTCAAATTCTGGTCCATGTTTCAGAAGCGTCTCCAGGGTTTTGTGAATCAATCGTAGTTGCTTGATGTCCCCCGGTGCTTGGACCTCAACTCTCGTGCGGCTTCCGGCTCTTCCTGCGATTGATCCATATGAGTCCGGAGGTGCAAATCCACGGTGGGGGCCTGGAGGCGGGGCACGGCTGAGGCTTTCACCGTAGTTCTGCTGAACAGCTTTTGCTCCAAATGGAAGTGACTTTGATGTTGTCGTGCCGATGGTTTGTGGCATCGTTGAATTGATCGCAGCCGAAGAATGACCCTTGTGTATGGATAGATAATGACCTCGGCCAAGGTACTTCTTGTCCAGGAGACTGATGGCAGAGTTGACATCTGAAAGCGGCGTTTCACTTGCGAGGGTAATGATGGCGGCTGCGGACTTTCGCTCGGTGGGCGATTGACTGGTTGGCCGTATGATATTGACACTGTCAACCGTGAGGAAGGAGGGAATCAAGGATTTGAGCACAGAAGGAGATGTACCCAACGGCAGCGATTCGAGACACAGGGTGTACCTTGAGGCCGCCTTCTCTGCCTCTCTTGCGTCGGCCCTGCGCTCATCTTCGTCGTCCGAGGTGCTTCGAAATGCGGATCGTGCGGCGGTTGGGACAGGAGAGGACGAGTCATTTCCCAAGACACCGGATGCTGGGTCCCGGCTGCGTGAAGATTGTCCGAACGGTCTCAGACCACCTCGCGATGCAAGACTTGAAGGCGGTGGTGGTAGTGTCCCAGGGCCGCTGTTTCGAGTCCCGGAGCTTGAGAAGTGTCTTGACGGCCGCGTTCCTCCCAGTCCACCGCCTCTGCCCCCAAAATGACCTTGTCGTCCGTCTGAGCCTCTAGTAGGTGCAGATGCATCCTCTTCGAAAGACTTCACGAAATCCTCGTACACGGCAGCAGTCTCGGCCTTTTCACGGGCGCGCTTGGCTTCGGCTTCGGCTTTCGCTTTCTCGAATGGGGATTTTTTGGTTAATGATGACGAGGTAGACTCCCTATCCGGGAAGCCCTTTCCTCTACGATCATCAGACATGCTTAAGAGGGCACATGCATTCACGAACCTCACTTCTTCCGATGTAATCGCTGTATCTATCCTTGAAGTTAGATAGCTTGGATTCGTTTCCTTTCCAAGATCAACATTCTGCACCCTACAGCGGGCGGTGGGCGAGGCGGTCTCTAGTCGCTCCCCGGGAAAGCGTCACCGGAGTGAAGTTGCTCTAATGTAAGCAGACCGAGCCAGTCAAAGAGGTGCCGAATACGGGTACCGTACTGTGGCGCTCAATGTGCTTGACAGATATTGAAAATCTGGCTGATGGCCTCTTCATTAATTCAGGCTCTTCTGCGCTTTCTCACTCAAGATGCCCAAGTTCCACTGGCTGTGGCGATAAACAAGACTCCAAAGCTAATTACAGAAAGCTCACATGTCTAGGTGAGCCCCGAGTGGATTTGTTACCATGCGCCCCATACTCCGCTTTCTCCGACTGACGGCCCGATCGCGCAGAAAGTGTAGCTATAGCCAACCTGCCGACTCTGGAGGAGATCCCCGGCGACGCAAAGCTTGCCAAGCAAGTACATAATAATAATGGCTACTAGCTAGTAACTCTAATTTGCAAGCCGTAGGATCGGGTATTTTAGTTGGAGAACTCTGGTGGCAAATAACGCTTTGCCGTGCTTCGACCCTAAAGATCCTACAGTACTAAGTACAGTGAATGACTACATGTCATGATGTCTGTACATGAGTACATGATACATGAGCTTCGGGTACTGTAGTCTGTAACTATGTCTCATCCAATGACGAAACTGAAAGTGTACATCACTTACATACCATGATACTACAGAAGTACAGGAGACAACACTGTACAGTACATACTGTAACTTACAGGACATGCCATAAACCTGGCGAGCTTCGTCTTGAACCAATCATTACGGGCTTTGAGTGATGTCCTCGATTCGTCAAGGCATAATACAGTGTAAGATACGGAGCTTACACCGTTACCGTTACACAGTGTCTCGGAGCATACCGTGTATCCACGTAACCATAGTCAAAATTCGTAATTATGTATACGCTATTACACTTATACAAATGTAAAGTACCACTCGCTAAGCGTATCAACATTTGTACCCGCCTACTCCGAGGCTTTGGTCCAACATGGTAAAACCCCGCGAGAAAGATTTCCCGTTTTCACTACAGTAGCATGTAACCCTCATAAACACCACTGGGCAGTGGGCAGTAAACACTTCAACAATGGAGTGGATACCTTAATATTGACATGATCACAAGGACAACTTTATATAGTGGCATCATGGCATGTGTATCACTTTACTGGTCATTGTATCGTATGGAATTGCAGCCCTTATCAGTTACATTACGTGACATCGAGTCGGGAGTCGGGACTCGGAACCTTTGTCGACTCAGGTAATCGACCGTGCGTTGACTGCGCTTAGTGCGCTCTCCTCCGATGTATTACCGCTGTCACACCAGTTGTCAAACAAACCTACCATTCATCCACCCCCAATTTCCAAGTCGCAGGGAACAAACCCCATCTCTCGATTTCCCGCTCTTCGCCCGCTCCGCCATCCAACTCCATCCTCAACAGATACCATATTCGATTCGACTTGCTTTTTTTCACTTCCCAGTCTCGGACGAACGCCCTACTCTGCTGTCTGTCGAGTCTGACAACAAGAAGGGTTTGGCCGTCATCATCGTGGAATAGCTTTTCTTCTGCCTCGATCAGTGATATAGTGAACCCGAACCAGGAGGTGGCCCGACAGGGCTGCCAGTCATAAGAGGAAAATGTCTGGGCACTTTTCATTTGACCATTCTCGCTCAGGCTCAAGATCCTCGCAAGATCCTCGGTCGTCTCGTGGTCAGACGTACGCCACGGATACTCGTCACTCCTTCGGTCGCGCTGCTCGTGTCTCCAACCCAAACGTGTTCTCCGATGAGTACTCCCTAGAACCTATCCAGGCGGACGACCGCATCGAACGGGTGCCTTCCTCTTCATCAATCTCATCCTCGACGACCCTTCGCTCTCTCCATCCCAACCAGAAAACAGGGAGTCAGGCGACCACCGAAAATGAGAATCCTTTCGGGGATGACGCCCGGCTCTCGACCGAGGAGCCCCATCGGTCAAGCCTCCCTCAGAAAGGTATGGCGGGCTTTTCTACCAATCGCGGGTCGATTGTTTCAGTCAACAATAGTCTCGCTGCTGTTCAGCGAACCCATAGTGTCTCTTCTCGCTTTTCGTTGCCTCGTGCCATGAGTCCATATACCGGAGCGACCGGACCGAGCCACCCCTACGCGATGTATCCTCAGGTTGGCGTTTCACGTTCGCCCAGCGTGGTCAGTACCTCCACAATTCGCCCGCACGATCGGCTGCCGGAGGGAACAGGCGGTCCCCAGCATCCGTACGCAATGTATTCGCAAAACGTTGTCGACGAGGGCATGGACGAGACCGTGATCCCGGTTGGCTTTCCCGGTCATAATCCGTCGTATCAGTCGCCATCGGGCCGTCGGGACAATGATGTCGGGGATATTATCGGAGCCGACGGGCATGCTGAGCCATTGCCTCCTTATTCACGATACCCTACCGGAGTAGTCCCCAAGCCCCCAGGGAGCGAGTCTGAGCCTGATGTGACCGCAGTCGCAGAGGCCGAGCATCTTCATCCAGTGTCTCCAGTTCAACATCATCATATCCCCGAAAACTCTGCGCATGCCTTGGCACCACATTCCTCAGGTAGCACAACGGCAGTGGAGAATGACTCCCAAGACGGCAGAGAATGCATCGCGCCGACCACGGGTATTATGGCATTCGAAGAGAAGCTCAAACACAAGGGCAAGAAGACTGTCTGCTGTGGATTACCAATCTGGACCATTGTCCTGGTCGCTACAGTTCTGTTAATTGGTGGATCAATCGGTGGTGCCATTGGAGGTATCATTGGGGGTAAAAAGGCTGCCGATCATCAGAGTGAATCAGCTGCTTCGCCTCATGGCCCTAAAATAGTCACGGTGACTGCAACGCCATCAATGGATTATTCGACAATGACAAGTTCTCCAACAAACTTCAAGCCATTGCCCACGGGAGAGTATCTCGTCCCAGCTCAATTACACAACTTCTCCCGCATGTGCATTGATGACAACAAATTTCGGCACGCTTGGAGTTGTATGGATCAACCCTCGAATTTCGACATCAGATTTGGTGGCGACAACGGCCATCATCACTCCGTTGTGTTCAACAATGCCGGTCCCACGTCTAGCCTCACTTACGGTGCCCAACCGCCGATTTTTCCTACCCCGACACAGTCCCTCAGCTTTGCGTTTGACACAAGTGAGACCGGGTTAGGTCCTGCCCTTTTCCTTTTTGCCAAGTTCGATAAGCTTGTCATAGTCCCTGAAACTCAATTCGAGTCGGCAGGCTCCGTTTCCGCACGGTCACTCAACGGTGACGGACATCTATTTGATCGAATCCATCGCATGCAAACAGCACAGCCTGGCGACAAGCCTTGGTTCTGCTATTGGAACCAGACAATGATGGAGATGTTCATCTATGTGGACCAGTTTACAGCGTCTGCAATCACGAACGGTGCCTCGGCCTCCACGGATATGACCCTTGTCACGGCGAGTCCATCCCCAACTCCAAGCGTGAATGGCCTTCTTGATCTTCCCAGGAAGATCAAGATCGAAGAGCGGCGTGATTTTGCAGGAATCCAGCAACCATACTGCGAGCAGATGCAAATTGGTCCTGATGGCCGTGTAAAGGGACCTATTCAGAGTCAGATCATTACGATCCAAGAACGAGAGCCTACTCCTACAACAACCTACACGAACGCGGACAACGGCGCTCGTCAAACATACACCGCCAAGGCGCAATTTGCGACTCCATGTTATTGTCTGTCGACGACTGATTAGTGTTTTCCATTATTTTGCTGGCGTTCAAGCGTGTTTGTCCTCAACATTTCAAAGTAAGCTTGGGTGTTTTTCCGGCGTTGGCTTGGCGTCGACCATCCATCAATGAGGTCTTCCGTTGTCTTCAGATCACGTGTCAATGATCATCATCATCTTCTTCTTCAGTTTCATCGATCATATCTTCCTGTCAGTCTCAAATACCAGCAAATTTGTCACAAATCTATTCCAAAAAGGATTAGGAATGTACGTGAATCTTCTTGAATTTGTATTGTCCCTAGATTTCCTCGGTTCCAGAAAAAGGCAACCTACTCCAGTAACTATGGTATACACTGTTGGCTGTACAGTCATGCAGTGTGCACTGCGCAGCACCAGTTCCATCTGGCCTCAGAAAGTGGTCCTAAGGTTCAAGTTATCGAGGCAGTAAATCTCAGGAAGCCATTGCTCAATATGGAATATCCTAGTTGAGCTTCATGCAGTGACACACCAAGACGAGTCAGATGCCCGCTGGTTCTAAGGTATTATCTCGAAAACATGTGAGAGACAAGGTGGGCATATACCCTGATGTTAAGGGCATCGATTAGGATCCCTACGATTGACCAGAGCTTCTGAATTAGTGGAATTCCCACGACACCTTACATTCGTGGAGTCAGTAGGTATGAGGTCCTGACATGGTTGAGTAACGAAGCATGCTGAAGCCCGCTTGTATACTGGTCTGCTCCAATGCCCAAATTTATCAACTTGACCGTAAGTATGTACGGGGACGTGACTGATCCCGTCTCTCTAGACCACAAACAACAAACAGCCTCATCGACCGAATAGGTTTGGAGGAACAATATTCTTCCTTTGGCGCTGACTACAGGATCACCCTTTTACTGTACGTACCTCTGCCCATTCAAGATAGGAAACAATTGAAATCGGGAAAGTGGATACGGAGGTTCAAAACCGAACTAGGTACCTCACGAAGCCTCTATTGTCCCAAGGTGTCGGTGGAGATGCTCCTTCGCTCGTCTCTTGACAAATTGAGTAGCTTTGCAGCAGACATCTGCTGCTCTCGTATTCAATAGCATCGGACAGAAAGACGACAGTGGAATGAAATGGAGATCAATTACGTCAAAGCTTGGATGTACATATGGAATGTAGTGTACCAACAGGAGTGTAGTGTACCAACATCTTTGGAGGACAGAATCTCAAAATGGTGAGACATCGAAGCGTAGTTGGTCAGTTCAAGAGCTTTTACCTGAAAGCTGTGAATGTTAGGATTCGATTGCACCCGTCTGAACCTGACAGCACTGTCACAGCAGTGTCAACTTGTCAAGACTGTTAGTTGACCCGACTCAACTCGACAGACCCTTCCGGTAAGACCCAAGAAACTCGATGATTGTCTCATAGTTCAATAGCAAGCATAAATACATGCAGCCACAAGGCTCAATGACTGGGCTGAAGGTGAAGGAAAGAGAGCGTTTACATAAGCATGCGCCGAATGTGTGATGCTGTGGTGATTTCCCTGAGTTGTGACCGACGCTAGCATAACCACACAAGCCACTAGTACTAATTCTGCCACCTTAAACGGCCATGCGTAAGCATCCACCCCCCGGCCGTCCGCCGCCCATGCTTGAGCTGCCCGAAGCCCACGCTCGTGAGGTAGAGCCTGAGGCACCCACACTTCCGACACCTCGCACACCACCTGCATCCCTCTATCCTCTCTTCATCGACATCCTCGTCTTCTTCTCAAACCCCCACTCAATATTCACTTGTTGCATTCGCACTCCGCTTCAATCACAGCTTCTTCATTGAAATCTCAGCACCTGAACTCGGAATCTTCCATCTCTTACATCCATCGATCATCTGTCCGTGGACCATCCAGATCAAATGATCGCGTCTCCTAGATGACCTTCCCTCCCCCTCACCCTTCCGCCCAATCGTCGATTGCTTCTGGCACCGATAAAACTTCTTCGACCAGGACCGATATTGGTGCCTGGGGCCGGTCCTCTTCTCAGTCTGGGACTCGTCGTGGATTGACTCCTCTCGCCACAAATCTTGCTTCATCTACAGCTCCGCCCGCTTCTGCCCGGGGGTTGGACGCAGGTCCGGGGGCATCAACTCCTTCCTCGTTCTCCGCTGTGCTGAGCGCTTCCAGAGGTCTATTCGGGGGAAGCCCAAAGCCCACCTCCTCCGCTTTCACTTCGCTGCAGTCGGGCTCACAGCAGCAAGCTCAATCTGTCGCTTCACCCAAATTCCGTGCCCACACACCTTCAGGCTCCCACTTTTCTGCCACCACAGGTTCCGTAACAGCCAGCGGAGGAACCGGACCCGGCGGTGGTCTAGGATCTTCTAGAAGTGCTGCGTTCTCACCTTTGTCGTCCGGCACAACCGTCAATTCTCCCACAGGCTTCGCTTCGGATAAGGCAGGCTCATCAGCCGCGCACTCGAGCCAATCTTCTCTCACGAAGATTTCGATCGCTCAGGTCTTCCTCCTGCTGGACTCAATATCAGAGAAAGAAGGCAAAGAGAAGTGGGAAACCAAAGCTGCTCAAATTCACAAAGTAGGTCAACTTGAAAGCAAGCATCTACGCCAGAACATCTCTATCCATTGCTAATTCTGGAACCTTCAAGCTTGTCTCGTCGAACGGAATGGAGGCCTTTTCGAAGTACTTCCGCCGTCTGTTGACTGGCAATGCCCCGCAGATCTTCCCTGGCGTAAACAAGTCTGTCGAGAATGCAAGCAATTATCCGCTCTTGGTGCAGGAAATGCAGAAAGTTGCCCTGGATATCGAGCAAGCTCAGAAAATTGCCGAGACCGTAGACACCTCAGAGGGCGATATCTTCCGCGACTTTGACCTGTCCACATTTTTGGACCATTTCCGCCTCGACCCTGTGGTGAAAGTCTCACTAGCGTTGGCCTTCAAGCTGACGAGCAAATCCGACCTTCGAGCCAAAGGTAGGTTGTCCTGATGTTGAGAGGCTTTACAGTCAACAGAGGTGGACCTTTCGCTAACTTGATTCTCCAACTCAGCTGATGCAATCCTCTCAAACTCCCTCACGCCCTTCCTCTCTAGCTTGGCGAATCCTTCAGATGCGACCAAGGATTTCCCGCACTCTTTCCTCGGAATGACCATCGAGCGGTTCATCCTCTATCCTCCTCGAAACTTCACCAACGAAATCAAGGCCAAGCTAGTATATGCTACCAATTTGAGGTTTCAAAAGCTCGCCTTGGATATGCCTTTCGAAGTTTCTTCAGCATTGCAGATGTTCCTCTTTGTTGACCCTGATTATGTCCTGGTGCGACAGCTTCATGCGAAGGGCCCTCGCGCGTCAGCTAGCACAGAGCTGCTGATAGACCTTATCAATGCCACGGGTCAGGATAGTTGGAACGAGCAGAACTTCGCTAGTGCTATGCTTTTCATGGTTCTGTCGCAGTACTGGCAGCAATTCTCACTTGAAAATCTTTTCAGTGCCTATATTGGAAAATCACCTAATTGGGAATTGGTTCTTCGGAACTTTGACCGTGAGGGGTTGCGATTGGACCCAAAGCAGTTTTCCAAGCTCTTCGACCTACTGGCTACGGCTGCCGCAAAGAACTCATCCTTGGACTTGCAGAAGCTGTTTGGCGGAGACTGGGAACATCGGGACGCGCAAATGTCTCTTTTGACTTCCTTCATTGTTTCGCGCGCGGACCCGTCACTCATACCCAATTTACGCCCTGCGTTCCCCGAAGATTTCTTTGAGAGTAGCTCAGAGACCGTCAAGGCGCTTTCTGAACGCGCTGCCAAGTCGCCGCTTCGATGCTTGGACGCAATCAAGGCAATCTTTGATGTTGCTTTGTTCTCACAGTCTTCGTGGGCTGCGGCAGAGAGCCAGCTTCTCATCAAGGCTGTGGTTCAATTTGACCTTCCCATCTTCCTGATTTCGGCTCTTGCTATGAAACAGCCTTGGACTGATGTTCAAACCACCTTCGTCGTTCGTACCTTTGTCGTTTTTCTTGGAAAGCAAGAAGAGGGTTACCAGCTCGCGCTTGATGGGGCGTGGCGTCAGGATAGGCAATGGGTTGCAGCGAAGCTTTTTGAAGCTTTCACTCAAGATCCTACAACCACGGCAATGATCTATGAGCATGCGGTTGAGTATGGATGGCTCGAATATCTCCTTACATTCTCAAATGGATTGGCTCTCGATCTGGCCTGCTACTGCCACCGAAAGAACAATCTTGACCTTGAGCACTGGGTTCGCAACGCCGCCCAGAAGGGCCACCACGTGAATATGGGTGATCTTCTTTCGAAGTTCCTTCGGATCAAAGCCGAAGATGAGCTTCACGTGCAGAGAAAAGAGCAGCCGGCCCCACAGATGGTCAGCCTCTCTGTGAAGACTGTCTACACGCTACTATCCGTCCTGGAGGAATATGTCGGAGATCGCGAGAACTTGACCCCTGTTCAACGGATCTGCATCCAGACCTACCCAAGATTGATCAATTATGGGGAAGGCTTTGATGATATAATCGATGCGAATGGCGAATCTGGCAATTCCCTCCCAGAGGCGATCGACAAGCAGATGCAAGAACTCTTCGGCAAGATGTACCACGAAGAGCTTTCATTGCGCGAGATGCTGGAACTCATGCGCCAGTATAAATCGTCGCGTAACCCCACCGAGCAAGATCTCTTTGCCTGCATGGTGCATGGCTTGATTGATGAATACCATTGCTACCATGAGTATCCACTCGAGGCATTGACCAAAACAGCTGTCATGTTCGGTGGTATCATTAACTTCAGACTCGTGGATGGGATAACACTCAAAGTTGGCCTTGGCATGATTCTCGAGGCTGTCCGGGAGCATGAAGTGCACGATCCGATGTTCAAGTTTGGCGTAGAAGCCATCGAGCAATTGATCAACCGACTGAGCGAGTGGGCTGGGTTCTGTCATCTTCTCCTGCAAATTCCAACCCTTCAAGGAACCCCCATTTTCCAAAAGGCTGAAGAGGTCCTGCGTGAACAAGGCTCACAGCCTGGGGATAGTGAAAGGCTCGATGAGTTCGGTTCCACGAATTTACCAAACGGCAACAATGACGAGTTGTCGGTGCCTGATGGTAGCATGAGGAAGTTCCGCTCAATCTCAATCGACCCCCCACTGCGCTCAGAGATTTATCGGGATCCTGATGAAGACATTCAGGACAAGATTCTGTTTGTTTTGAATAACGTCTCCGAGCAGAATATCGACGAAAAGCTTCGAGATCTGCGTGACGTCCTTCGAGACCACCATCATCAGTGGTTTGCCGCGTATCTCGTGGAGGAGCGGGCAAAGTTGCAGCCGAACTTCCAGCAACTCTACCTCGATCTTTTGGATAGAATTGGTGATCGTATTCTTTGGGCCGAGGTTCTGAGGGAGACCTACGTCAGCCTTTCTCGGCTTCTGAACTCTGAAGCTACCATGACCTCTTCCACTGATCGAAGCCATCTGAAGAACCTTGGAGCCTGGCTGGGGTCGCTGACGATTGCGAAGGACAAACCCATTAAGCACAAGAATGTCTACTTCAAAGGCCTTCTTCTTGAAGGATATGATACGCAGCGCTTGATGGTCACGATCCCGTTCACCTGCAAGGTCCTCGTGCAAGCGACAAAGTCCAAGGTCTTCAGGCCCCCAAATCCTTGGTTGATGGATATACTGGGTCTTCTTTTGGAATTATATCACTTTGCAGAGCTCAAACTGAACTTGAAGTTTGAAATCGAAGTCCTTTGCAAGGATCTCGACCTCGACCACAAGACTATTGCGCCTGCTATCATTATTCGTGATCGCAGCGCCCACGTTAGTGATGAAGGCGTGATTCCCGCCCCGGCCGGTATCGCAGATGGACTTGAGCCCTTCAATGATTTATCCATCGGTCCTCTCAGTCAAGGACTTCAAAATGAACGTCTGTCGCCCGCTGCGATTATGTCGAATTTGCCGAGCCTCGAGAAAATTCTTGTCCTTCCCCCTCCGCTAGCAGCATGGTTGATGCCAGCGTTCTCCGACAAATCGTCCACACCGCAGTGGAACGTGCCATTGCCGAGATCATCACACCAGTTGTGGAACGATCAGTCACCATCGCTTCCATTTCAACCGTTCAGCTGGTATCCAAAGACTTTGCCACAGAGCCCGACGAGGAGAAGGTCCGCCAGGCTGCTGGTATCATGGTTCGACAGCTGGCTGGGAGTCTTGCCCTTGTCACCTGCAAAGAGCCGCTAAAGGTCAGCATGACAAATTACATTCGCGTGATGCAGCAGGAATACTCTGACCAGCCAATGCCCGAGGGCCTCGTTCTCATGTGCGTGAACGACAACTTGGATGCTGCATGCGGTATCGTGGAGAAGGCCGCCGAAGAAAAGTCATTGCCGGAAATCGAGAAAGTTATTGAGCCACAACTTGAGGCCCGCCGTCGTCACCTTGCCACCCGACCCAATGAACCTTTCTTGGACCCGTCCATGAACAGGTGGGGTCTCTTCATTCCAGAACCATACCGTCAAATGCCAGGAGGATTGAACAAAGAACAACTCGCGATCTACGAGGAATTCGCGCGTCAGTCTCGTGGACCAGTTCCTGCTCATCCCCAAAACGTGTCCGCGGATTCTGGCCGCCAAATTCCAGATGTGCTTCAAGAGGCGTTCCCGCCCCCAATCCCCAATCTTTCGACACCAGCCGAGCAACCAGCTGTTCCTCACCGAACTCCACAGGCTCAGAATGCTGTGACCCAAATGGGTCTCCCTTCGAATGGGTTCCTCGAGGCTCAGAGCCCCCGCGAACGTGTGGATGCTATGATTTCCGAGCTGCAGATGTCCTGCAGGAATGCCTCTGAGCAGCACGTCAAAGACCTTGGCCGTGACAGCACTGTACTTCAGGAATACAACCAGATTTTGCGTGCTATTCTCACCTCACCAAATGGAGAGGAGCTTGCTCGTCTGACCTCGCTGAAGATCTGCACTACCCTGTACTCTCAATCTTCTAGCTCGTTGGAAATTGAAGTGCTTGTTCACTTGCTCGCCAAGCTGGGTGATATGTCGACTTTGATTTCAAGATACACTTGGGCATTGCTTTCGGAGGTTGATGATGAGCACATGTTCAACATTCCCGTGACCGTTGCTCTCATTGATGCCGGCCTCATGGATATCCGCCGAGTTGACATGGTCATAAATCGTCTAATCCTGCAGAAGAATATCAACGCCATTGAACTACTTGACAACCTGATGAGTCGCCTGCTGTTCAATGATGAGCCCACTGCGCTGCGATCTGACTTCGCTGGAAGTCTCGAGGCAATCAGCCAATGGCTGGCTGAGGATGGGAACGTTGCCCCCGCCCTTGATATTGTTCGCAAACTTCGCGATGCTGGTATCCCTGAAGTGGTCACTCCGTTGCTCACAGACCAGGCTCGATCCAAGCGTGACCAGATGGAGTACATTTTCAGTGAATGGATTGGTGTCTACCGGGGGTCAAACGCTAGCGAGCGTACTTACTTGTCCTTCCTCCAGGACATGCACAACCGCCAAGTGATGAATACTCAAGAAGACTCGGTCCTTTTCTTCCGCCTCAGCATTGATATTTCGGTCGTTATGTTTGAGAACGAGTCTCAGAACCCCAACGGAAGTCTTGACGAGGCTTTCCTCTACATTGATGCTCTTGCGAAGCTCGTTGTCCTTCTCATCAAGTATCAAGGCGAAGCTACTGGTGCTGTTAGGGCTGACAAACCGTCCTACTTCAACTCCATCCTCTCCGCACTAATCTTAGTGCTAAATAATCATCATGTTATGAGAGGCGAAGGTTTCAATCAGCGGGTTTTCTTCCGCTTGTTCTCCACCATTCTTTGCGAGTACTCGATCGCAGGCCTTCAAGATCATGAGCAGCACCAGGGCATGATCTTTGCCCTTGCCAACAAGTTCCTTAGCCTTCAGCCACTCTTTGTGCCTGGCTTTGTTTACGGATGGCTTTCTTTGATCTCTCATCGGGTGTTCATGTCTGACATGCTGAACATGCCAGACCGCAAGGGATGGGCTCCTTATTGCGAGATCATGCAAGCGCTTCTCTCCTACATCGGCGAGCAGCTCAAAGCTGCCGAGATTCACTATGTTGCCAAAGATCTTTACAAGGGTGTTCTCCGCATTCTGTTGATTCTTCACCACGACTTCCCCGAGTTCGTTGCGGAAAACCACTTTGAGTTTTGCAATGTGATCCCGGCGCATTGCGCACAGCTTCGCAATCTGGTCCTCAGCGCCTACCCATCCTCCTTCCAGAAGCTTCCGGATCCCTTCCGCGAAGGCTTGAAGGTCGAGCGGCTCGAAGAGATGCGAGAGATCCCCAGGATTGCTGGCGACATCATTTCGCCTTTGCAGAGTGTTGACATCAAGCACGTCATTGACGATGCTCTTCAAAGTGACAGCATTTCTGATGTCGCCGTGCAGCGGATTTGCGATGCTGTTCTCGTGGCTGAGCCGAAGGAGACTGCGCTCTTCTATGTTCCCATCAACGTGGATGTCGTTCTCATCAACGCGATGACTCTGTACATCGGTCAGCAGGGCGTCGAGCAGCACGCTATGAAAAGCAACGCGCGCCACGCTTTTGAGACTTCAGCCCACGCTGCACTCTTGGAGAAGATTGCTCAAGTGATGCAGCCCGAGGGTCGCTATTATTTGCTGAGTGCGATGGCCAACCAGCTTCGATACCCCAATAGCCACACATACTTCTTCACCCTCACAATCCTGCGCTTGTTTGGAGTGGACTTCTCCGACTCTGATGACTCCGCGATCCGACAGCAGATTATCCGTGTGCTTTTAGAGCGATTGATCGTCCATCGTCCCCACCCATGGGGCCTCATCATCACTCTGCAGGAGCTTCTCCAAAACCGAAGCTACTCTTTCTTCCGCCTCCCCTTCATTCAGGCGGCCCCCGAGGTACGATACTGTCTCCTTCCTTGGTTGCCTAGTCTAATCACTCACTGACTCATCTCCTATCTAGATCGGTCGCCTTTTTGATGCTCTTCTCCAGCACATCCAGCAGCAAAGCCCCCGTCCTGTCGCCTAGGCGCTGCTTCTCTTCAATCCCACCTTCCTACTCCTTCCTCCGCTGTCGACACTTCCCCAAAACCGTTCGGCAATCTCCTCTTCTCTTCTCGATGTACTTTTCACGGCGTTGGTCATCTTTTTTTTCACGTCCACTATTACGTCTCATTCTATTTACGGCCCGGATTTGCTGTGAATATGGCATGCATTTTTCTATACCTCTTTATTGAGTCGTCCTCTGATGACGGCATGACCCGAGATTACATGACATTTCCTTTCCTCCCCTTTTCGCTCCCGGTCCGCGACCTGTAATGATAAGATTGTAAAAGCTGGAGTTGATGGGCCTTGCTTTTTATTTCATTGATTCTATGCATCACCGGCGGGAAGGAATCACCCATGTCACGGGCGGGTTAGGTTTGCTTTAGCATGGTAATACTCAAACTTGACTTGAATATCCATTTTTCTGAACGTAGACCATTGGAACAATAAACAACCGAGGTAACAGAGGTGCGGTCAGACTGAAATAAACTCACTCTCGAGATAGGCCATGCCAGCAGACCATCTGTTGTCAATTTTGGCAGGGGGAAGGAAGCCCGTTATCAACCGCAAAGCTCCCCCAGCGGCCCCACGTCACACGCCGTCGACTATCATCCACCAGGTCCCGGGGAACGTCGGGCTTGCTTGACCGCGAACAAACCCCTCTGGCCTATCCTCTCGGAGAAAACGCTATGGCAGAATCAGAATACACCGATGACGAGACCGAATATGGTGGTGCTTCATACTCACAGATGGTGATCATGGTCAGGATGACCCTTTCTTCAAACATGTTCCGTCTAACATGTGATGATCCATAGGACGCGATCCTGACGCCATTCCGCGCGCTGGTGTCGAAGACCGCCTTACGCATATATTTGAACGTGATCCTGTTCTTGGGCGCTACTCTGCTTCTCCTGGGTGTTTCAGGTATCGCATACGCATTGTTCTACTTCAGATTTATTCCTGCAGTGGGAGTGGGCCGTGAAATCCACCTGCAATTTGGGTTAGTCCGCCGGCGTCACCTTTCCTGCATTGTTCCCGGACCATGAGCTGATGCGCATTATACAGTGATGGGAATCCCTGGGGCATCGCATCCTTTGAGTCGGAATTTGTCTCCTCTCAGCCGTACGATGTCGCAGTCACGCTCGATCTACCCTCTACGCCTACAAATCGCGGCGTGGGTAACTTCATGATTGACCTTACTCTCTATGGTCCTGAACCCTTGTCGGTCCTTCCTACCTCGGGTGAGGCACAGAACCGAATCATGCGGTCTCGTCGACCGGCGATTATGACGTACAATTCCGGACTCGTAGACATTGCGCGAAAGGTGCTTCGTCTGCCGCTTTACGTGTGTGGCTGGCGCCGTGAAGCCGAGGTGTTGGAGGTATCTATGATGGAGAGACTGGAGTTTTCGCGGGGCACTACAAATCGACCCCAGAGTTTGCGACTTGAGATCCAGAGTGATCAGGAAATGCAGATCTATTCGGCGCATGTCGAATTTCGTGCCAGATTATCCGGGCTTCGGTAGGTGTCTCCAGACCTGATCTGCGTGATTTGTGGGTGGAAATAGCGATCGCTTTGCTGACCGTTTCTTATCTAGGTGGGCTATGTATCGCTGGAGATTGACCTCCTTCGTGATATTCGGTACCCTTTTTTGGACCATCTCGGTAGCTTCGGCTAGCCTGACGTGGTTCATTTTGACTTGGGTCATGCAGTCCGAGCTGGTACAAGGCAAGACCAAAATTAAGGAAGAGATTGAGCGAACCGAGAGGATCAAAGATGAACCCGAGGACCGAAGCTACATGACTGAGTCCGTCAAGATCAAAAGGGAAGATCCAGAGCCCCAGTTGCTCCAAAGCCTTCCTCCCGAGGCTGATTATGCGGGCATAGGGTCTGGACGGGAAAAGGCTGAGGCATACGGGATACAGAAACGAAGAAGTCACTAGCCCGGCCAATATTCATTATTGGATGACTTTTGAATCATTCCATTGGGAAATTAGTGTTTGTCCCTACTCACTCCGTCTTCTCTCTGGGTGTTGTGGTTGCGGTGTCGTCAAAGAGCAAGTGGATGAGTCGATTACTGTAGGAATGGATGGCTGAACCGGGAGATGTCCCGACGTGCCCCGCACATCTCCAAATTCTCTCTCCTCTTCCCCCTCCATCATCGGGTTTCGTAGCACAGCTCAGCACAACATGCATATTCTGGTTAGTACAGCCTTGAGTTCCTTCGTTGGCCTGAATGTGTGTCTGATCTGCCTTAGGTCACAAATGACGACGGTCCACCATCGAACCAATCCTCGCCCTACGTGCACTCGTTGGTGCACTCGCTTCAAGCCGCGGGCCATATAGTCTCTGTGGTGCTTCCGCATCAGCAGCGATCATGGATTGGCAAGGCGCACATCGTGGGTGCATCCGTCAAGCCTACATACTTTCGCCCGGGCACCTTGCATCAGGAGGATGGAACCACACACCACTTGCCGAAGGGAAGCAACGGCGAGCCTGACGACGGCGGCGACGAGTGGATCTTGATTGATTCGACCCCGGCAAGCTGTGTGCAGATTGGTCTTTATCATTACTTCCAAGACAAGGGACCCATTGATGTTGTCGTGTCTGGTCCAAATTATGGCCGTAACACGACGGCGCTCTTCGCGCTGTCTAGCGGCACAATTGGTGGCGCCATGGAGGGTGCTGTGTGTGGGAAGCGCTCGATCGCCCTGTCGTATGCCTTCAGCTCTCGGAACCATGACCCTGTCATCATCTCAGAAGCCTCAGAACACTCCGTGAAGGTGATTGAGTATCTTTGCGCGAATTGGGTTGAGGGCGTCGACCTGTACAGTGTCAACGTTCCCCTGGAGCCTGGTGTGAGCAAGAACAAGGTGCTCTACACGGAAATGCTGGAGAACAAGTGGTCTTCCGGAAGCTGTTTCCAAGCAGCTGATCCAAACACTGGGAACGATCCAGAACTTGAGGAGCAGCGACTGCGTGACGAGGGTGAGATGACTGGAAACCAGCCGGCAGCAGCCGAGACTTCAGCGGACAAATCTGTTGGGAAACCCAGAATCAAACACAAGCACTTCAAGTGGGCGCCTAGCTTTCAAGACGTGTATAGAAGTGTCGAGGAAGGCCCTGCTGGCAATGATGGCTGGGTCGTGAAGGAGCAAATGACAAGGTTGGTTTCGTTCTCCCAAGGTTGGACATGAGGAATGCCGCTGACTATTGGATCTTAAAAAAAAGTGTGACCCCCCTCAAGGCGAGCTTCAAGCACATGCCCGGTCTGACGGGAGAGATCAAGCTGTGAGTAGCCCCTGGACGTGGTGATGAATAAAGTTTCTCTGCTGCGACAAGTACGACGTTTTGCATGACGTGTCTGGTCTAGCTGGATTGGATTTCATTGATGGCCCCATTTTTTCCCTTATGATCGTTGCTGGTTGAATTTCTTTTTTGAGCTATTGATTACTACTGTTTGCAAATTTACTGGCAATTCCTCGTGACGGTTCTGATAGGCAATGCCTTTGTAGATCTGATAAGCAGTCCACGGTCTTCTCCGTCGTCGACTGTGACGATCCCTATGTTCAAGCTCTGGTCGAGCGAGCTCTCAGTCGCCGTCTCGACGGTGATGTGCGCAGTCAGCGTATTGACAATCTATCTGAACTTGCCGATTCGAAAGCCCCGATTTTCCAGTACTGCGAATACGAACGCTTGGACTTCGATCATATGATGTCGCATCCTTCGACTTCTCTCGTTAACGCATACGTCATCCGCAAAGCACTTATTCGCAAGCATTACCTGTCCAACACGATTGCCAATTGGATTTCCAAGCACCCGAACAGCATCTTGCGCAAGCACTTCAAGCCCGCCTTTGACTTTGAACTTGATTACTCTGAATTCCTCGATGAAGCGCTTCTCGAGGCTTACGAATTGCGCGAAAGTCTAGAAAAAAACGAAGAGCGACCTGATTCTGAGAAAGAGTGGTGGATCTTGAAACCCGGAATGAGTGACCGCGGACAGGGCATTCGATTGTTCAGCACAGAGGATGAACTGCGTGCGATCTTTGAGGAATGGGACGAAGAATCAGATGTCGACGAGGAGAGTGATACCGAGGCCGATGGTCCTACACAAGTCTCCGCGTCCGCTCACGATGATGGCCTGGTCACCTCTCAATTGCGTCATTTCATGGCTCAGCCATACATCGATCCTCCGTTGCTCCTTCCGTCCTCCTCGCATCGCAAATTCCACATCCGCGCGTACGTCCTTGCGACGGGGTCGCTTAAAGTCTATGTGTTCAAAGAGATGCTCGCTCTCTTCGCTGCTAAGACGTATTGTGCACCTCACGAAGAAGAGGATGAGGTGAAAGATCTGGCCCGGCATTTGACCAATACTTGTTTCCAAGAGGGCGGCAGCTCCAACGAGGGTAGCGTACGTGCTTTCTGGGATCTGGATCACCACGTGCCCGGACTTTCCGAAGACTGGAAGGAGCAAATCTTCAGCCAGATCTGTGCTGTTACAGGAGAGGTCTTTGAGGCCGCTGCGCGGGGCATGATGGTGCATTTTCAGACCCTACCCAATGCTTTTGAGATTTTTGGCGTGGACTTCCTGGTGGATGCGACTGGCAATGCGTGGTTGCTTGAGTTCAACGCGTTCCCTGACTTCGGACAGACAGGTGAAGATCTGAAAGAGGTCGTTGTTGGGCGTTTATTCGAAGAAGTGGTCGACGTTGCTGTGAAACCATTCTTTGGCCTAGGGAAAGGTGCAGGCCAAGGGGGCATGAAACTCGTTGCTGACCTGGATTTGGGACGGCACGCATAGGCTTTGTCTGCAGAGACCTGTGTCTCCACCGTTGCATTTATGACGGCGTCTGGCGAGAGGATGGAAACAAAATGTACGAATAAGGTCCTTTGAAGCCGTATACTGTGTCGAACGTTAAGAACTTTGCAGGGCCCAAAAGGAAGAATCTACGCGGGCACCTTGGAAACTGAGGCTTTTCAGCAGTTCCCGGCCATAGAAAGAGAGAGGATCTGCAGTTTTTCATATAGAGGACTCGTTCTTCCAGAAGACTGTCCCTTGAAATAGCCGCCGGGCAGTGCGGAACACCGTAGCTGAGGTCAAGCAACCCTTCTCATCAAAATTAGCTCCCACCAGCAGGTTCCCGCTCGCATGTCCGATTATGAGGCCGGCGTCATCCACGCGTCGCTGATCCCCAACAATATCAGCAACCACACTCCCAGGGACCCTCGCCGCAGCCGCCAGCGCAAGAGCAACCGTGATGGGCACAGCCTTGTGCGGCTGGCCCACAGAGAGAGCACGAGCCAAGATATCCACCTGGCCACCGTCTTGTCCGAGCTGACTATCTCGAGCTCCAGCTGAAGTGGGTTTACCTACCAGACAGATCTTGGGAATGCTGCCTGGAACGTTGTCGACTGTCGAAGCAATACCCATCTTGACGCCGGACTGACGACGAATGGTATCTAACCGAGGCAGAAGCGTAGGATGCGTAGCAATCTCCTGGGGCGATAAATCACTATTCACGCCTAGAGCAGCCGCGTCAGCAAAGACACACGGGTTTCCTGCATCGAGACAGGTGACGATCGCGCCATCAATTTTGTCTGTGACGCTGCCTGTCGGCAGCAACATGCCCGTTACCGACCCTGCAGGATTGATGAAGTCGAGTCGAATTCGCGCCGATGTGCCAGCCACTCCATCGATTGAAAAGTCGCCCGTCGTTGCGGCCTCACCATCAACAACGGGAAAATGTGAGTGAATGATCTTGCCCGTGTTCGTATTGTGAATGCGCACCAAAACAGTCTCGTCAGTCTCTCCGACTTCTGATAGTGGAACTGGAATCAGTTCAGAATCCACCGCGAAGGGGCCCACCGCGCTGATCATGTTTCCGCAATTGCTGGAATAGTCCACATCCTTGTCTTTGATCCCCAATGAAACGAAAGTGTAGTCGACGTCTGCATCGGGATGAGTGGACTTGCCCACCACGCAGATCTTGGAGAGGCTGGAGATGCCGCCACCAAGACCGTCGAGCTGTCGACCGTAGGGGTCGGGGCTTCCAATGACTCCTCTGAAGATTGAAGACCATTCCCTGCGGTCGTGAGGCAGGTGCTCTTCCTTGAAGAAGACAGCTCGCGATGTACCGCCACGATAGTAGGCTGCTGGAAGAGCGTTCTGTTTGGTGCGTAGAGAGCGCCGCCCTGTTATTGGAGTCCGCAATTCTCTCAATGAGGTGCGCATAGCGTTTTGAATGACTAGCATTTCTGTATGTATTCACGCCCGTCTTTCCAACCCTTAAGAAAGATTCGCTTGCCTGCCGGTGGCATCCTTGCAGGTCCTTCGTCGGCCTTCAGCTCAGTAGTGCGCGGTACTCGGGGCCGAGGATCGGAATCTTGTTTGCGCCGTAAATCGGGCCAGAAGGTCACTGTTACGATTCAAAGGCTGAGCAAGCTATCGTTTGACTGAGCCTACTAGTCCCGAGGTATGTCTCCTAGCGATGCTAATCTTGACACGGTGGAACAACGAAGACCTCTCTTCTTGTCAATGGGATTCGACTCGATCACATGTTGGCGTGTCAGCGTTGCTCGTCAGTCGAACTGCAATTGGCGGGCTACGGGAGGGCACGCAATTATACGATCTTCAACTTCAACTTAGCGTGCTTGCCTAGTTGACTGTGAGTCATTACAGCCCACATTTGTGTCCGCTGGTCAACTTCCCTCTTATTTCACTTCATCGTACGAGATCGCGGATGGAAAGGACCAAATTGAGTGCTTTCACCTTTCCTCACTGCCCCAATCGCTTTCTTGTCACGAAGACCAGATAGTTACACCCTACGGCTGTGCCTTTCGACCATATTCAAGTCTCAGACAACTGTGCAAAGCTACATCCCGGCCACATGTCGTCGATTAAATCCCCCGTTGGACCACGAGTGGAAGTTAAACAGGCTCAGCCGCCGCCGTCGACAAAGATTGCGGGCCGCTCAGTCGAACTGGAACCGTTGGGGGTTCGACATATCGAACATTTGTATCCTCTGATCGGAACCCCGAACCAAGCTGCGCTATGGACATATATCTCCAAAGGACCATTCACAGACAAAACCAGCTTTACAAAATTCATGATCGCGAATGTGCAATCTGAAGATCCCTTTTACTACGCCGTCATCGATAAGAAGACCCAAACGCCCGTGGGTTTCTTCAGCCTTCTCCGTATTGATCGAACAAATCGCGTCATTGAGATCGGGTTCATTGTTTTCTCTCCGCTGCTGCAACGAACCACCGCAGCAACCGAGGCTGTGTATCTGCTTGCTCGTACCGTCTTTGAGGACCTTGGCTATCGTCGGTTCGAGTGGAAGTGCGATAATCACAATGCGCCATCCAAGAGGGCTGCAACTCGGTTTGGATTTAAGGCGGAAGGGGTCTTCCGCCAGCATCTTATCGTGAAGGGTCGGAACCGGGACACAGCGTGGTTCTCAATCTTGGATGGTGAATGGCCGCATGTGAAACTCGCATTTGAAACTTGGTTGGATCCAGGGAATTTCGATGCAGAAGGGAAGCAGTTGCACTCGCTTGTCGAGATTCGCGCTTCCGCGGAATCGTGACGGGAAAGGAAACATAACAAGACAAAATAGCCCTTCGACTCGGAAGATGCTAGACTGCTGAAAAGGACACATGGACCAGATGATTCAATTGAGTAGAGCATTTTCAGGAAACAGAAAAAGGTCCGATTCACACTGTTGCACTCGCAAGGAATCAGCTTCTTCTCACAGAGGCGCCATTTCGTCAAGTATAAACAAATTATGCACTTACGGACGTAGGCGCAATAAAAGCAGTCATGCGGTTTATTAGATCCTCATTATCAGCCAAATCGCTGCTTAGCTAAGGCTTGCAACCATCCGATAGTCTCTTGTTCCTTCTCTCGGTACTTCTGCACTCGTTCTTCACGCTCGGCAGCACGAGCACGCATAATCTCCTCGCGCCGAATCTCCCTCTCATTCTTCTTGCGTTGTTCCTTCTCCTTTTCTTTCTTGAAAGTTGACAGGTCACTGTCTCCCATAAGCTCTGCGTCAGGTGCTGCTTCAGGGGATCCCGCGCGCGCATCAGCGAATGCACGGTTGGCCGCAGCAGCTTCGCGACGCTTCTCCAGTTGCCTTTCTCGAGTGCCTGGTTCAGCTCGAGGGACAATTTCGTCTTCAACGTGACGAACTTCTTGCCGATGTGAGCGGAGCTCTGAGCGGTATTGCTGCCTTGAGTCTTCGCGTGCAGCAATAGCATCTTCGGCCGCGAGTTCTACATTTCCCAGTAATCAGATCCTTGTCTTGAACGGACCAAGTTCGGGGATGCTTGGCAGACTTACCACGCTTGAGCTCGAGGTCTTGCATATTGGGTATCGTTGGTCCCGGATGTGTGACGTTTTTGCTTAATCCCGAAATTGGCACTGTTGGTCCATATTCCTCTCCATCTTCATCGCCATCGTCCTCCTTCTCGGCTGTTGGGTGACCTGCGCTTGCAACTACCGTTGAGTCCTCGCGTTCGTAGGTTGGCGATGCCCTCTCTATCGGCGCAGAGGCGTATTCAGCAGCGTTCTGGCGGGCCCTTTCCAAAGTGTCTGGATCATACCATCCCTCGGCAAGCTCGCCGTGGTTCCTGTTCCATTAGCAACGTTTCTCCAACCGAGCCATACACAATCGGACACACCATTTTCGCACGAAGCTTTTCCACCGTCCCTTGACCTCCTCTGCGGATAGATCTTCAAGGATCTTCCCTTTCTGTATGTCCAGGTACATTGCAAACATGGGCTCGTATGTTTCTAGATCGCGTCGAGATAGCTCTCGTGCCTCGTAAGGGAGGACGATAGGTTGTCTGGGGGGCATCGGTCTTTGACTCCTTGTGCGCGTTGCGCTCCCCTCGTTCCGGTCGGCCATGGCGATCTCGGTCATGCGTGCGATGACGCTCAGAGCGATGGCGGTCTGATCGGCGAGGAGAACGTGAGCGTGAGTGACTGCGGTGCCGATGCCGACGTCGATGAGAATGTGAGTGTGAGTGTGTATGAGATTCATCGTTTCTTGGTTCATTTCGGCGATGTCGCCGCTCGGACTCGTGGACTCCCCGTGGAGAACGTTGCCTGTCCCTGTTCGAAGACGATTCCATTATGACCTGAATTTCGCGACGATTTGCTGCTTGCCCTTGACTCTTAAAAGTTGCAAACGTTTCGAGCAGAGGTTGGGTCTTACACTCCTTATCTTATCAGAAAAGATAAGCCGTCGGTCTTGGCCTGTTCGCCTTACTCCGTAGTTTGTACTCCGTACAATCATACAATGTACCTAGCTTGCCCGCCAAAATGCTGTGTCGACGAGAGTGACAACACGGCGAGGGTGGTGTAAAAGACTTTCGAGGCCAAGGCAATACTATAATACGCCGTACAGGACATCTTATTCCGTAGATTCACAGTGCAATCCGAAACTAGATCAATGCAGGGGAATCTCGCCGCAAGCATTGGCGAAGAGGTGATCAAGTTCAAGGCATCGGCGACTTCATCATTCCAGCAGGACACAGTCCCGCTAGTATCGAAGTGAAATATTATTCGTTGATAATTACAGTCAAGTCAAGAGACATACAGTCAAGAGTTGGTCCAATTTGAGCGAGAATCTAGCTGGATGGTGCGTTCTGCTCAACGTTGGAGGGCTGGTCAGTTGTCGTGGATGCGTTCGATTGCGACGAAGTCTTGGACCGGTTGGAAGCGGCCATTTGCCAAGCAGGGATTGAAGCAGAACGACCGAGTTTGGCAAGAGGGCTTTCAGCAGCGGGCGCAGGGGAAGACGTAGCGACCGTCGCCGACAGTGGCTCTTGTTCAGCCGGGGTCACTGTAGCTTGCAGACCACTGCTGGCCGACGGAGCAGAGCCAGAGGTCTCGCCACTCGCCTGAGATGGGGTGGCAGATGGAACAGTAGAGCTACTGAGGGTACGACCAACAGTGGGACCAGCAGTGCTCCCACCCAAGCGGTTTCCAAGTAAGACTTTTAGGCTCTTCAGCTCTGATCCGAGCTCCTTAAGGCGGTTCTCGTTGCCTTCACGAGCTCCCTCAAGAGCCTTAGGAATCGCATCTTTCAATGCCTTGACTTCATCACTGATCCTGCGGGTGTCATCATCTCTGCGTCGCGAGGCATTCTTCAAGTCTGCAACCAGGTTCTCCACATCTTTCAGCGCAGAGTCCAGGCGCTCAGTGCGGGCATCCTCAGCAGCTTTGAGGGCTGCAGTATCTGTCGAGAGCTGCTCGATCAAATCAAATGCACGTGAAAATTGCTCGTCGATGCTCTCTTTGTCTTTCTCGAGCTGGGGTGGGGTCGGAGGCGCGATCAATGGAGAAATATAGCGCTGGGGGACGGACGTCAGCTGGAGCGAAACCCAAATTGAGGAATTGTAGCCTAAAACTTTACCTTGCCAACAAAGTATAAACCATAGCCAACACCTCCCATCACAGTGGCCATAATGAACCAGTCACGCCAGTCTCTCTTGGGCGGCCTTGCATGGTATTAGCTTCGGGACAGTTCAGATTCAGATATGAAAAGCATGGAAATTTGGCACGCACTCTGGGGGCGGTTGCCATTGATTGTAGGCAGGGTAGCCGTATCCTTGAGGTGACTGGAGTGGTTGCCGATACGCGATCTGTTGCGAAGGGTAGGAGTTCTGTGGGGGCGCAGATACAGTTCCCGCAGCCGCGGCTGCAGCTGCTGGATCCTCGCCGACTCGCGATAATGCCAGATCGACTTCTTCTTGTGTGAGGTTTTTGGATTGAAGAAACGCAACCCTCTTCTCGATGGGTGACGAGGCTACCGAGGGATCCTGTAAGACTGTGACGGAAAGTCAGCGGATTGGTACTCCACACGAATGAGATCGCGGAAACGGGCGATGGGTCGTACAAGTTACCTAAAGAGCAACTGTTAGCAATCAAGAAAGTCCATTCAGGTATTCAACGTTCTCCAAGATTAGTTCTTACCGCTGAGGCAATCAGATCCTCTCGAGGCGCCATGATGCGTAAGCTGTATCGAGAACACTGAGAATGTAGAAGGTTGGAGAATGCCGAGATGGGAGAAATGGCCCGTCATCGGCATCGGCCGTGGACCTCGGGACATCGAAGGCCGCCAAGCCTCACTTCCCCGGACCCAAAAAGTCTCGTGATGCTACACGTACATTATCGGGTGTCTTCCGGAGCGACTGTTTTTCCCGTACGTGGTGACCGCTTTCCGCTTCCGGAAGCTGCTCAGCCTGGAGTCTTGTTTACATCCTCCCGCCCGATCGAGGCCAAAAAAACAGGCCTTCCCCTCATTGATTGTGTATGCGCCGCGTGTCTTCCGTTCACGAATCATCACCCGACATTTGAACACCTCTTGTCCTATACTGCTGAAATACACACACAAGCTTTACTGTACTTGGATTGAGTTCGCCACCATGTCGCAAGATACTGGCCTGTTCAGTATCAGGCGGCCTCGAGAGGTAGGACGAATGCTGGATTGACTGTCGCAAAGTCAAAATTGTTGTTAATTGCTGGCAAACAGACTCTCGGTAGCGTACAGAACTACTCGGCGATACCTCAGCCTGCCTCTGCCATGAAACGTGCGAGCTCGATCGGCTTCAACAATCCTCCTTACACCTCACAGCATGTGCGCTCAAACTCGCTACTCAATTCAACGAGCCGGCCCCAGCAGCCCAACTTCACTCGAATGTCGATGGCCGGCCCTGAAGCTGGGCTGTCTTCGGTGCGCCGATCTGTGTCCAGTAACATGTTTCATGGCGCAAATGCCGGGCGTCAAAGCTTTGCGCCCAACTCACTCTCGTCCAATTCCATGTCACAGCCGAATCTACAACGACGCAGCAGTGTCTTTTCGCGCCCTTCAGTCGGGGGTCCCATGGGACATCAGTCTTTCTTCAACTCGGTACCGGCTGTAGCAGGTGTGCCACGGGATCCGCGTCCTCTCCGCGACCGATCATTTCAAGCGCGCATCGGACAGGAATTACTGGAATACTTGACACACAACAATTTTGAGTTGGAAATGAAGCATTCCCTGGGACAGAATACTCTACGCTCGCCTACGCAAAAAGATTTCAACTACATCTTTCAATTTCTCTACCATCGTATCGATCCCGGCTACAAATTTCAAAAGTCCATGGACGCAGAAGTGCCGCCCATCTTGAAACAATTACGTTACCCATTCGAAAAGGGTATAACGAAATCGCAAATCTCCGCAGTCGGGGGTCAAAATTGGTCTACTTTCTTGGGAATGTTACACTGGCTCATGCAATTAGCGCAATTGATGCAGCGATTCGGCAATGGTGAGTACGACGAAGCATGCGCAGAGGCAGGTGTTGATGTGACTGGCGATCGAATCATCTTTCGCTTTCTCACGGGAGCATATCATGATTGGCTCCAGGGCGGCGAAGATGAGGACGATGACACCGCGGAGCAAAGATTGATTCCACACATTGAAGCAATGTCGCAGGAATTTGCGCGTGGGAATGAGAAATTTGTTCAGCAAATGGAGGCACTGGAATCAGAGAGTCAGGCGCTCCTGGAGCAGATCCAGGAAATTGAGAAGAACGCGCCGGACATGGCCAAGCTTGACCAGCATTTCCGGATCCTCGAGGACGACACGAGAAAGTTCGAGGACTACAACCAGAATGTGAAGGGCAAAATCGAGAAGTACGAGACACGCATTAAATTCTTGGAGGCTGAGATCCAAAAAGCCGACGGGGAGCTTCAAACGACCGAAAGCGAGCGTGCTGAACTTCAGGCGAGCGTCGACCGCCAAGGCATCACCATCCAAGATATTGACCGTATGAACACCGAGCGGGAGCGACTTCAGAAGAATCTTGAAGACAGCATGGCTCGCTTGGAGGAGACGCACGCCCGGGTCATGGACAAGGAGGCAGAAGCTAGTCAGAAGCTGGAAGACCTAGAGCAGATTGTGAAGGCCTACAATACGCTCGGGTACCAGACTAGCTTGATTCCTTCCTCTGCTGAGAATGCCAGGGGGCTCGACTTTGAACTCACGCTCAATGTCAACGAAAACGATTTCTCTTCTAGTCAGATCGGAAACGCCTCTACACGCATTTCATCAGAAGGTGACCGCCTTCTCGCTGAGCCATACACGGGCTACCACCCGGCGCATTTACTAAATCTCGACCTGCGGGGCTCTATTCGCAACAGTCTACAGTCACTGCGCAAGGATATCAATGAGCGGCGAAAGAAGGCCATTGATGATGACTTGGATCGCCGAAACCTACTCGACAACATCAAGGAGGCGATGGACGAAAAACGAAGTGAGGTTGAAGCCTTGGAACACCGACGTCGGGCAGCGGAGGAGGAATTCGAACGGACGAAAGAAATTACAACAACACAGAAAACTGCATCCGATGCTCAGATCGAGAAGATGGAGAAAGAGTTGGCCAAGATGCGGGCCACGCTGAGTGATAGCGTTCAGTTAATGGAACAGCGCGAGATGAATACTAACATTGAATACGAGCAATTGACTCTTCGGGCCAATGCCCTTCGAGAGGAACTCCATACAAATGTGGAAACTATGCTCAACGATGTCATTCGATTCAAAGTTCATGTACAGAAAGGTCTCGAAGATTACGAGAGCTTTGTGGTCGACGAGGTTGAACAGGAGTTGGGTGGAGAGTTGCCCGCAGACGAAGAAGAGCTTTGAGGCGTTCTCGGCAAAGTGAACATTTGCGTACGCTTTTGAACTTTACGAATTGATGACGGGTCCTGGCGTTGAAAGGGCTTTTTTTTCTTTGTGTTTCTGCTTGTTTAGTGCCTCTGGAGTTCTATCCTGTCCGTGTAACATACCCCGAGCCATATTTCGAACCTTTATTCCTGCGTCACAGGCACGCTTCAGCTCTCCCGAGCATTGCAATATCTGAGCTGGATGATCGAATTTTGAACGCACATTACCTAAGTGTTCCGAGGTAAATGGGCACACCGGCTGTCTGTCTATAGGTAGGTTCGACGAGTCGACCACCTGGGTGTGGTTCCGACACGACCATCTCTAGCTTCCCAGAAATTCGAGGTCATGCTATGTCTTGACTGCAGCTATAGAACAAGCTTCATAATAAGCCATGAGCGTGTGCGAGCGCGGTTGATTGTCCTTTTTGGTCGCCTGATCTACCTAGTCAATCCGTATCTATTCTGTGTAAGCACGTGCCAGATGCCACCCGTCACATCTCGCACTGGGGAACCTGAACTCAAGGCAAAGTCGGAAAATTTTGCGCTGAGCTATTCATTCAGACGAACGCGATCCCTGCTTTGAGCAGTAGGCATACAATTATACTGCCGATCAGCCACAGTGATAGCATGGGAATATCGCAGCATCCCTCAAGATGTTTCATGCTATCCGTTAGCGGTCCCTTGCCCCTTGGAAGCCCCTGGCCAGAGCAAGTCTCTTCATCATCGACAGGGCTTGAGTCCGGGTATTGAGGCCCGGCCACTGTTCATGATCAAGTGCTAGGGTCTGAATATCTTTCCAGCGAGTTCCAGCTCAAATCACGTTGTCCATGCGATCGACAGGCAACGGTCCCGCGATTCTGGGGGACGGTTTGGTCGGAACGAATCTTCGAGCAGGGCTTCTTCGGCCTTGTTTCACCTCTGGCTTCCTCACAGAACATCAAACGGCGGGGTCCCTGGATCAACGCCACAGAAGCCACTCACACGGTGCCTGGTATCTCTTTCTGGACCCTGTCCCGTGCTTCAGGTTGTCTTACAATTGCAGGCTGCAGAAGCCGTCACTTGAATGGTCGAGCTCATCCCATCCATGCGTCTCGCCTCGTCTTTGGAGGATTTAATCAAAGTCTTACAACGGCAACACGCTAGATGAAACCCAATTGCACCAATACTCTGTGGTTTCGACGGGTTTTCACGGTCATTGTTGACGGACCATGAGCTCCCACGCGTCGAATTGACAGGAGTTGGACCCTTTCGAGAGCTCAACGGCTGCTGGGTGCTACAGCTGTCTTTGGCATTTTGAAAGTTCGATGCATCATTCTGGAGATCGTCAACGATCTCGGCCTCGGATGCTATGGCGATGCCTTGAGAATCCTCACAACGCTTGAGCAATTCGGGTCTAGACCCGGAGGATCAATTCCACTTGGAAGTCGACGACACCTGGCAGAGGGCTATATAAACCCTCACAAAGCGCCTTCGAATCAACATTAGAATCACAGTGCTGTGCGCTTTTTCATTTCTTCCTGTACAACTGTGAGATCTAAAGTCATTGATTGACTTGGTCATCCATTCTTTTCGCACTACCAAGTTTATTCCTCGTCTTCACACTTCCTCTCGCCATCATGAAGTTCAACATTTCGTTCGGCCTGGCTGCCGGCATGATTCTGGCTCCTGTTGCTCATGCTCAAGATCCTGTAAGAAACAAAGATTCCCTGTAGGACTATTTCATCATGCGATAAATGATTCCTGACAAAACTTCCTACTGCAGTTCGGCAACCCGCAAGGTGCCACTCAAACGTATAATGCTGCACCCTCATATGCCACCCCGAGCAGTGCTGATGGCGGCATCGTCCAGTCGCTCGGCAGCCAGCTCTCCGGCATTTTCCCCTCCAGTACCCCTAGCAGCATGACTCCCAGTGGTGGCTATAGCTATGGAGGATACCCCTCCTCTAGTGCCTTGCCCTCAGCCAGTGCCCATCCCAAAGGCGGTCACCATGGTAAGGGTGGTCACCACGGCGGCCAAGGTGTTCAGGGTGGCCAGGGCGGTGCCTCTGCTGGAGGATTCCATCCTCCAGGCGGCTTTGGGGGCTTCGGAGGCTTCGGAGGCTCCGGTCAAGGTGGCCATGGCCATGCGTCTCCTCCTGTCCCTCCATTTGGGGCACCCGGAGGCTTCGGCCAGGGAGCTCAGGGTGGTGACAACGCTCCCTCTTTTGGCTCATCTGGAGGATTTGGCCAGGGTGGACCAGCTGGTCCAGCCCCGAGTGCTCCGCCTTTTCCTCCTTTTGGAGGTTTCGGCCAGGGATCTCAGGCTGGTGGCAATGCTCCCCCAAGTGGTCCATTCGGAGGTTTTGGCCAGGGTGGCCAGGGTGGTCCAGCTGGCCCAGCTTCTAGTGGCTCTCCTTCCGCTCCGTTCGGTGGTTTCGGTCAAGGTGGTGCAGGTGGTCCTCCTCCTTCTGCTCCTTCCTCTGGACCATCTGGAGGCTTTAGTCAGGGGGCCAACAATGATCCCGTTGCGATGGGCACTCCTTCTGGTACTTTTGGTGGCTTCGGTGGCCGGGAGCCTGGCGAGACCTCCCAAGGCATGCAGCAATTCAAGCGTTTGCACGCCCGCCAGATTCGGCCCTTCCAAGCCTAAATGGCGAGACTCGGGGATTTGATTCCTAACACCGTCCTTACAAGGTTTCGACAATATATGAATTGACCGCTGGCTCAGTCATCCATACAATAGACTTTTCTTACCGCAAATGGATGTCTTCCAAGTAAATTCCATAATTACCTAACTCGCAGACGAAGTTTGATTTAGTCAGCGGAAGTGGCCAAATACCAAGGAGAAACCTCTTCCTCTCTATTATTATGACCAGCAGGTGTCCTTGCTGTTTCCTGCTTCTGTCTATCAGTGTTTTCCAGCAGATTTATCATCAATATATCTTGTATTTTGAACGTGTCTCTCACTCGCGATCTGTAGATTGGAGACCAAAACGGAAGTAAATGAGCAGCTTTTGATTGGTGCTGTAAGTGCTGAGTCATCATTCTGACCCGCGGGTGACCAAATTTCCAGCTCCTTGACCATCTTTCCATCTGCTTTGGTGACATTTTCCGTAATTTTGAAGCGAAGACCAGTCGTGGTATTCAGCTGTGGCTAAAAACGCGTCGTGTGTCTGGTTGGAAGGATTACTGCGACATGCGGAAACCGTGAACGGCTTCGAAATGCGCCTTCAACTTTCACCTCCCTCGAGACCTTGTTTCTTCCGCAGGCGCCTTCCCCGAGGCTGATCGCCGTGCCATGAGAAGGTGCTTGCGCTCCGGCCAGCTTCTGCAAGTTGGTCGTGTACCATCCCTGCTACATTCGCCTGTCATTTCACTTCTGGGTCATCGATACAAACACCGCTTCGTCTCGACAGCGGAACGGAGAACGCTTACCGACGATGAATACCGGTTTCTCTACTCCTACAATGGGCCTCCATCCGTTCCTCTCGACCCGTCACAGAAATCAGTCCATGAGAATTGGATACCTATATTGCAGAAATGTGCTATAGTGCGGCCTCCGAAACCTCAAACCCATACAATCCATATCGAGTCCAAAGAGAAAGTGAAACCGCTCGTCGAGTATGAAAAGGAACTTCGCAGGTCCCATGCGCTGATGGGATATTTGTGGTTGGCGAGAACAAACTTCGAACTAGACTTACTGGGATATCTTGGTTTTGAACTTCAGCAGTGGTCTGCAGTACACGGATATTTGGGTCAACTCGTGGATGCGTTCGAAACTCTGACTCCATACATGGCCTCGAAAAATGCATTCGAGGGCTTCGATTGGAATGTTAGCGAATTGTCTCTGGATGAGCTCACCACCAGAGATTTTCAAAGGCCTTCTCAATCAATGAGGCCCCTTTCACCAACTGACATTGTACCCCTGGACCTTCTAACTGAACGGCCAATTGCGCGGGATTTGGGGGATCGCTTTCTAGGCGAAGTCCTTCTGAATCTTGGCCTGATCGTACTGAGGGCAGCCGACTCGTCCAGACAAGATTCGAATTTGGCTATGTCTCTGACTTTCCGAATCCTTGCGCGCTTGCACCACCTTGGCTTGATCTCCGACCGAGTGTACCAATATCCGAGAAATGATCCAAGTCAGGTATCGTTCAGACCTCCTGGTCTAAACTTGCTATCAAGCCATATCATGAGCGTTTTGTCGGATGCTGCTTGGCTTGAGCATGAGGCTGCTTTGGCAATGGCCGCTAAAGAAGCTGGGGAAGAACCCCCTTTCATTCCTTTCAAAGTGGGCGTTCGTGAGCTCGGTCCAGAGGTGTGGTTTGAGCTCATTCTTTGGTGTTGTGTTGAGCATGGATTTTCGAAGCAAGGTGCCTTGCTTCTCAGAGAAATGAAACAGCGGACCGGAGACCAGGCTTGGAAGATTGAGAGTTGGTCACCCCTTATCCGAGATCTTGATGCTGTACAAGAGACCAACATCAGCGTCGAATCTCTTTGGCGTCGTCCTGGTGATCCTTATCCGCCAAAATTACCCAAACGCACAGCAAAGCCCCCTTTCCATGGTCTCGGCAAAAGGACTATCAGTGCAGAAGTAGTCGCCAATTTACGCAGTGGCTTGGTTAACAAGGCATACAATGGCGTCGGCTTTCATGGTGCAACTCCATCCGACATTCTGCAAGCTTCTGCACCATTGAACGAGTTGCTTGAACCTACCACTGCCCCGGATGATCTTCTACCAACGAACAAGGCCATGAACTGGCATCTGATCAGGGTTCTCGAATCAGGATGCTTGCAACCTCACGAGGACCCTACTCTCTTCGAACGCCTGTTGCGGTCCACACAGCATGTCGTTCCGCCTTGGGCAGGGTATGGCGGGGCATCTGATCAAAAGTTGGGTGAAATGACAAGGGCGCAACTTTATGATGAAACTGCCGCGATAGCTGGGCTGGTAGAACACAACATAAAAGCTTACGCTTACAAACGCCAGGCTAGCCGTGCGTTTTATCAGTATGCGTGGTTACAAAACATTGTCGACGCGAGCAAGGCCTATCACATCCGAGCGTTTTTTGAACATCTCAGTCTTTCAACCTCGGAGAAACTCCCATTTTTCGACTCTCGACGATTCGATGCGCACGAGCGTGACACGTCATCCTTGCCCCAGGTGTCGAATGTTACATTGGCAGAACTTCTGGATCTGGCTGCTGCAAACCGAGCCTACGATTTTGGCAATTGGCTACTGTTCAATGATGGCATTGATGGGCCCGCAATCCCTTCGTCCGTCTACGGGGATCAGGTCATCGCGCCCTCGATTCTTCGTTTTGCCTCTGCCTCACAAAATACCACGCTTTGCGAAAAGGTCATCTCATCCCTCAGTATGCCACTTTCGGTCAACATGCTCAAGGCTTTGGTCAATTCATATATTGACATGGAAAATTGGGATCGCGCCATTGTCACATTGGAGTATCTTCGTGACTATAGATTAAAGTCGTGGGGGTTCAGCAATCTTACTGCCCTGGCAGCGAAAATCATTCGACTAGATGCTTTTATCAGTCATAAAAAGACCAAGGGAGCATCTGCGGACGAAGCACTTGTCCGAAGCCTGGAACGTGCAAACGATCTCTTTCTCCGGTTCTATCGCATGGAATTCAACACACCTCCCAGTAGAAATCGCCGCGTCACTGTGTTTCAACAGAACGTTCTCGTGCGACTCCTCTCCGTTTTCCGAACACTTCCCGGTCATATATCCCAACTCGCCAAACAGGCCGATCTCAAAGTGCCTCCGCCGAGCCATTTGAAGCTCAAATACATCCCCGCCGTCTCCTTTCACAGTATTCTGGCTGCCGTGGTGGACACGCACGGTAGTACATTTGGTTTGAAGATGTGGTTCAGATGGTGTATCCATCGTCCACCGCCGGACCGTGTTCGTCAGCGTGAGGGTGGTCTTATTCGCTTACCTGCTCGCAAGGAACTGACGTGGCTTCAAGGTGACCCAACTTTTAGCCCGTCGTGGCTCGAACATACACAAAAACGAGCCGTCATACCCAACTACAACACCATCCGCATCATCGCGCACGCCGCAATGCGTGAATTCGAAATGGAACAACATCCAGAGAAAATCGAAAGCGACCCGATACACTCATCCTTCCCTGTTCCTCAACACCAGGAACTCCCCTTCTTTGCGCGGGGTCGTGTATACAAACCACTCATCTCCCGCTTGGAATTCAACGGCCTCCCTGTCAGTGGCGGCAAACCCCCGGAAACGCCCGCCGAGGCCTCCCTCGACTTTGCAGTATGGATGTTCCTTCGAAAGGGCATGAGTCAGGACCAGATCGACCAAGAAATCCCAGGCTACATAGCCCGGATGCGGAATCGCGGGGTCTTTCACAACCCTGACAAGCGATTACGAGATCGCATTTGCGAGATCCAGCAGGATCCATTCATGAAGTCGGGTCCATCATGGAAAGTGAGCCGTTGGAAGCGGCAGCCTGGGAACGGGGACACTACAAAGGAGCTCAAGAAAACCCCGAATCCTTGAATCAGCTCGGGCATGTACATCATCTGTTTGACTTTTTCATGATTGTAATATAGGACGATATCCAAAGGATAGAACGGCGTCTCGGACTAAATGAATGCAGCAGACTTTGATATTTCCATTTCCGGACTCTTCACCCAAAGAAGGCTACTACTATGCGGAGCAGGATTGTGTAGAAGTGGAGAACAGTACTATACCTTTGTGTAAGTGCGTCGGGAAATCACAACTGAGATTGCCGGACTGAGGTCTAGTGTAGACGGTAATCAGAAGATTGGATAACATGTATTCGGCGAGAAAGCAAAGGTAGTAATCGTACTGGATTCTCAAATTTCCAACCATTGGGTTATAGAAAGAAATCAAAAGGACTGCAGCCAGGCACGCCCGTGATCAAAATCAAAGTCCGTGCATAATCAGACCAGCAAGCGCATAACAAAAGAATAGAAAAACTATACATGTAGTAGAAATGGCGCTAACGACGTGACGTGAACGAGCCAATCAACCTGGAGCAGAACAGGAAGAGCACCGAGAAACAGCTCAGAGGGCACTCGAAAAAAGCCTAAATGAGAAGGTGCGCGATGCCTCCGATTTGGATTGTTGACGGGTCTGGAACGCTTCCAAGGGCTCAGGGGGAATGGGTGAGTGGCCAGCATTGCCAGGGCACTCGTGTATCTTGCCTGGCAAGCTTTGGTATAAAACATGCTTCCGATTCACAGTAACAGAAAAAGAGAAGACGATAAGAGTACGCCCATCTCATTGCAATACACCCAGACTGTGAGGTGAGATAATTGCGCAGCGAAAAGCTGGACAAGTCGTTTCGAGAATTATAAACGTGCCGCGAATGAGCTCTGACGTGAGTGACCAATAACGTGCGTGTGCGACACAAGCGTGCAAAGCAGAGGTATGACATGGAAGGGGGTTTCAAATTATGCTCCCAAGAGAAGAACAATAATTGTTGAAATTCAGCAGTCAAAAATATACGCAAAGAATTTCAAATTGCGATATTAGTCAAATGAGCTCATTGTGGCTGCAATTACCATCGTTATAGTGTTGATTCAGAGAAAGATTTGGCTGGAGACTTGATGTGATCCGTAACCATCAAAATGAGTCGAGATAATTTGAGGTTTGTCAGTGGCTAGCACAGAAAGCTGGTCAACAAGAGGTAAGAGCGCACGGCCACATGTGGCTAACAGTGATGCCACAATCGGTGAAAAAAACGACAGAGTACAGGTTCTGCTTGGCCCGTCACAGTGCCAGTGACGCTTGCCGTGCGTTCCACTCATCCTTGTTATGGGTACTCAATGTCCTTGGACTTTCAATTAGGATCCCAGTTTCCGTCGCCGTAAGCGTGAGGGAAGAATGCACGGATGAATTCACCACTGATGGGGTCGTAGGGAAAGTAGAGATCCTCTGAATTTTCGTTGTTGGAATTCATGAATTCGTTGTTAGGCATATCAGAGAAGATCGAAAAGGCAGAGCCTGTGTAATGGGGATCACCAAGATTCAAGTCCTGATTTGGATGCGTACCGGAGGCAGCATTGCCTGACCATGAATTTTCGAAATTAGGTCCCCAGAAATTATTGGAGCCTTCCGTGGAATTTTGCTCCAGATACTGAGGCTCGGAAACAGAGAGATCGGAGGAGGTGATAGGATGGTATGGGTGATAAGGCATATCGCTGACGTCGTGCTTCATGCCAGCAGCGAGACGCCGCAGTCCAGTATCGCAAAGCTGCCACGCACGGCGTGAGGCAACACTGTGCTCAGACATTGCATGGAGCCAGCAGACAGCTTTTTTGGTTAATAAGAGGAATTGCTGCTCTGATTCTGGCATGTGGACACAACCAAAAGACAGCTCAAGGAGCAGAACCGTGGTGGCCTGCATCATATAATGAAGAATGCACCACCAGGGGGCAACTTCGTATAATTGCACTGCGTTGGGCTCATCGGGTATCAAATCCAGCATGCGCTCAGCTGACTCGAGTACGAGCACGGCGATTTCGTGGCTGAAGCTAGTCTTTTCGGGTGTGGTCTTTCTCGCATCTCGTCGGCAAAGGCAAGGACGACCTAGGGTAATTCGCGCGCTATAGTACTGAAAAGCGAGGGCGAGCTTGCATCGAAGCAAATCTGAACCTTCATCTTCCTTGCGCGTGAAGTCGAGATACGTCGGAAGACTTTGGAACCAACGGTCGATGCGTGTGCGCAGCTCGCCAATTCGATTCTCAATCTGTTTCCACGGAACCATGGCACAGTCAACAGAGTAGACCTTGTTGACAATCTCTTGGGCAATGACTGCCAGATCACAGTAGAATAGGTAGCATAGGCCCGTGTTAAAAGGGAGGCTCTTGACCCAGGTATTTTCGTTCGTGCGAGGGGTGTTGGCAGGGTTCTTGCTGTTGGCTGCATTGAGAGGCATGTGCCGTACCCAAGCACTCGACATGACTTCGTTGATCCGCTCGTCCCGGAGTTGAGAGTTATTCACGATTTCGGCGGCCGCGGCTTCTTGCAACTGCTCCTCCTCGAAAGGAACTGGAAGGGGCGTGGTGCAAACACCATCCAGAATGCAAGTCGCCCGACCCGTCATAACTCCAAGCATGTGCTCGAACGTGTACAAACACCACCAGACACGATATCGAGCTTCTTTCGAAATGTTCGGTGTCGTGGGACTGCTGTTTTTCATGTTGATTCCAAGGGTGACAGCGGAGCGAACCGCAAGCGCTGAAATCCGCCATGCCCGGTTGATCTGGTCGGAGGCAAGCAGATAAAACGCGATCATACCCTCCACCTGCACTTGTTGGAGATCAGGATGACTGAAGAGCACGTCTCCGTTCATGCTGAGTATCCTAGCCCGGGTCAAGTACACCAGATGGTCACGTTCCTCCCCCTTCCATGGGGCCTCTAGTAAGTGAGCGTGCTTCGCGGCGATTGCAAAGATCATGTTCAGAATTGCAAGCCATTTGTCTCCAGGCTGCGCATTACTATCGAAAAAGGTGCGGTATTGCGCTGTGAACAAGGGTCGATTGATGATTGGGAATAATGGATGAACGGTTCTCAGATAATCCTCAAAGAGTTGATCGGCCACGTTTCGGGACGGCATAGCGTAGAGTTCAACCGGTCCAGGCACAGAGATGTCAAGATCATCGAGGTGATAGCTTACGGCGTGAAGAGCCAGGTCATCGTCCTGTCTCTTGCTCTGGCCCGGCTCTAAGGAGCCTGGTAATCCCCTAGAGCGGTGCTCAGCTTCGCGCTGAAGTCGTTGCATCCATGTCACCTCCGAATTTTTACCCATGAACCCGGTGGCTCTGGAGTTCTCATTCCGGTTTAGATCTTCCTCGACTCGATCAATGGCTTCAAGAGAGCCGATTGACGAGGGTGAGGTGACCTCTTCCATATCTTCCTCGACGACCTCATCATTTGGCGTGACGGAATGCGACTGATTGCTGTTACTATTTGAAGAATTTTCGAGTTCCGTTCCGTGCTGTCGTTGAAAACGTGAATGTCAGTTCCCAGCATTACATGGAAAGGTGTCTCCCCCAAGATCGATCGAGATAGTCGAACCTTATCCAGCAGCGACTTGATACGTTCTGCAGTACGGCCTTCTACCACATGGCCAAGCTCCTTCAGTAGATTCTCGTAGTCGTGCGCTTTTTCGGAGAGATTGTCGACTTGTCTTTATCAAGTGCCGTAAGTTAGCGACCAGGTCATTGAAAGGCACACTCATGCAGCATTTTGAAAAATCAAAAGCACAGATAGAAGCGCTAAGGAGTAATTCGAATATGGCGCCGCTCACATTTTGGTTCTCTCTTTCCATCCGATTGGATAGTGACAAGTCACTCGTAATTCTCGACATTGGCGACAAACCGGTGTGTCACCGCTGCATTTTGTTTTCCGGGCGCGGCAGGACTCGCATGCGCGAGGAACTCGACGGTTGTATCTTGGGGCGATTCCCGCGCGAGATCGTGGAATGGCGACTTTGGCTTGATTCCTGGAGCCTTTGGAGTCTGCAACAGATGCAGGTTGAGATGGCGGCGGCGGTAGAATACTCTCCACGTCGGCTTTGGTGCCATTTTCGATGATGGGTTGATCCCCGGAGGACATCTGAAGCATCATGGTCATATTTGCGACGGATGACCCCGGCGGCGACGATGACTGTGGTTCAAAGTCGATGGAGATCGCCACAATGGGAAAACAAGCGGAGGGGCACGGTTATCTCGTAGGGGGGTGTACACGGTGTTCGCGGTCGGCGCAAAATCAAACAATAGCAGGCAAAAACTCGTCCTCGGCGCGATCGGGGGAAAGTGACCGGGATGGTCTAGCGTACGTCAATATCCATACAGATTCGACTGCAGAAGATAAGATCTTCCCAGTCGAGGCGCTTGGTGTGCGTGCGAATGAAATCGAAACACAGCATTGAAGGGAAGTGGCGGGGACGTGGAGAGCGAGCGAGCGCAAGAAATGGGCCCGGCTCGAGACCGCCCGATTGGAATTTTGCCTGAAGTAAGTGGCGCCCTGCAGCTGCCAAGACGATCGCAGCTATAAGTATAGGTCGATGAACCCATGAATTAATTGTCTGACAAGGCGACTATACAGCTGCAGCGTTGCAGAAACAGCGTTTACTGAGTGCAGCAGGCGCAAAGATGGAAGTGGTATTGAATATTTCAAAGGAAAAGTGGCAATGTGAATCGAACTCGATGAGGGACTTCATGTGCGTATGACGTCTAGAGCACAGGGTCACAGTCCGACTACATGTCATGCAGTTCAGTCGTCTGGGGATGTTATACCGATATCCATCATGGACGGGTGCGCCAGGCCGTCGCAACGAGGATACACGTTGCCTGCTTGGCTAAGTATCCATACATGACTTGACTCTTACCTTAAGTGGCAGAGGAATAGTACGAGCAGCGGGTCTCTTTATAACAAGCATCTGCAAATGCTTCATCGCGACTGGCATTTGATGAAAGTTTTTCAAACTTATTAATAAAAAGTCAGACCGCTTTTCCCAACAAAAAGAAATCAGTCATCAACTGGAGAGACTTCGGCCAGTGCCGAGAACCATTTTCTCAGGCCCGTCCAGGGCGAGCTCCAGATCAACAACAAACGGAGAATATATGTATATATACAAGAAGAGAGGGTTGACGAAGAAGCATCAAAAAGAACAAGCGACGTAAGAGATGATGGTCGACATATACAGGGTCCCAAGGACCAGATGGGGTATAACAAGGAGGGCGACACTCAACCCCGAAGGAGCGGAGAAAAGAAACGAGCGGTAAAAGGGCCATCGCGCGAGCAAAGACCAATATCGCATCGATGTCCCTGATCGGACAACGGAGGTGCAGAAACGGAGAGAAGGTTTAGATTTCGCCAAACATCTCATCCAGTTCATCAAACTCGACAGTCTCCGGATTCCGCAGCTCTCGCCAGGAATCAAAAGTGGAGTCACTGTTATGCGTGCCGTTGAGCGATCGGGGACCGAGGGTAAGCTTTTGATGCGACTCGGCCAGATCAGACATCTTCATGTCCACATCAGGAAGGCCGCTGTTCAACATGTCAAGGGAGCGCTTGAGAGTCGAGACAGGTGCCACATCAGGCAAGCTGATCTGGGGAGCCGCCGGAGGGGGAAAGTTTCTCGTCAACCAAGGCAGCATCGGCGCTCGTGCCAGACGAGACTGACGATGCCACAGATGTCAACGAGGGAGAGGGCGAGGTTCCGAACAAGGCGGCAGCGGCAACCTCGTCGTCAAGGTTCGCACTCGAGTTCATGTGGGAGAAGTAGTCACTGAACTCCTGTTCCGACATGCGATTGTTCGACGAAGGAAGAGAGTCACCATTGTCCGGAAGACTGGACATGCTCATCTCCTCATCGCCCGAGCTGAGGCGCTCAGACAGAACAGAGTGACCACGGGCCGACTGGCTGGCCTTTTCCTCGGACGCACGCTCACGGACCGCACTCGCCGTTTGGGTGAATTCCTTCTCATCACCCTCCAGGGGTGGGGAAGCAGCACGGTTGGAGTGCACCAAACGAGTGTGGCTCGAAGGGTCTGGATATTGGTCGCTGGCAGCCCGTCGACCAGCAGGATCATTGAGGTCGGTATGAGGGTGGTCCTCGAAATCCGGCGACGACAGATCGACTTCCGGACTGGGACTGCGCTGGCGTGCGGCCATCTCCTCCTCGTCTTGATCCATACTTGACACACTGGGCGTGATGGTTTTCCCATCGCCGCCAAGAAGCAGATCATCGGAGGAATCAGGTATCGTCTGACGAGGGTAAGTCGTCAGGTAATAGTAAACTTTGCGCGGATGAATCGGAATTAGCTCTTTGGCCATGGGGCATGGCGAGAGAGCCGTCCAAGGTCGTTTCATATAGGCCGCTAGACGCGACGACAGTAGCGCCGCGGGATTTGCGGAGCTGTGGCGAAAGAAGGTTAGCAAACACAAGCCAGAATGGGTGGTGAGAGAGGTGCTAAGGGTTGGGACATGGCGAACTCCAGAGGCGGCGTGAGTGGTGGCAAAGATCACGAGAGGGGGGTTGAACTCACTTTGCGACAGTCGTGTTCATCGTGACAAGGACCGCTGCCAGTTCTTTCACCAGATGAGGGCGGTTCCCCGTTTTCTCCAACTGTTCAATCACCCCAACAACAATATCGTCGTTAATACCGTCGGTGTCGATCTTGGGCGCCACGCTCCCGTCCATAGGCGAAGGAGGTGGTGTGTGTTCAATGGCCCGTCGGCCAGCGCGCCCAAGCGATTCCTTGCGATCCGTCGAGGGCTCGGGTGATAATGAGGGGTGCGATCGCTTCACTTTCTTCGCGGGCGGCACATCATCAGTCGCGGCGAGTTTTGAGATGGAGGGTGAGCGGCGTGAGGAATTTGGAAGCTGAATACCGAGGGAAGGCAGTGATAACGACTTGCGACGAGTGTTGTAGGGCATGATGGAAATTATTAGACCGTGAGGCGGCACGCGAACGTTGAGAGGCGGGAAGGGCAGTTGGAGTTGGAGTAGAGCAAAAGGAGAGACAGGATAAAAAGGTCAAAGTAATGGTCAGGCACACTAGTCTTTCCTGATACTGGAATGTGGAAAACTAAGATAGTAGAGATAAAGGCAATATCAAAACAAAGTACAGAGGGGAGGCGAGATCGATGATTTGATCTGGGAGAGGGACAGAGTTGGGAAATGAGGAAGATGAGATGGAACTTTTTAGTTGCGCTGATGAAAGTTGCAGGAAGATGTGAGGGTGTGAGGGAAGAAGGGGTCATTGACGATGCGACGAGCTCTGCGAGAGTTTCTGCTCCGTCCAACGGGGGCCTGAGGAACTTTCGACTAGAGTGGATTTGGGTCGCTCGGATTTGCAATTTTTCCTTTTTTCTGTTTCGCTTTTTCTTCTCGAGTGAGATGATCGTGTGTGGCTAATGTGAGTGCGATGTCCAATTTTCTGGATTTTCCATTATCATTATTTTTTTTTCCGTGTGCCTTTCCCTTCCCGTTTCCACCCTTTTGGTATTTCATCCTTTACCGTTCGGGAGACAAGTTACCGTTTCATTCTCTTCCGTCCCGTATTATGGAAGACTTCTTGACCGCCCGCCAGGCAGTGAGGCACTACTATCATCCAATAATTCATGTGCTCGATCGGGTTTCACAATTATTCTGCCGGCCCCATCGCGCATCGCTCAGCGCTCATCACTGATCAGTCATCGATGGCCTGACAGTACTGTAACAGACATTACAGATAATCTTTTTCGGATGGTCTCCATATTCTCGACGGGTCCTTCGAGTCCGGACAGTCGACTGGTCAACTCTTGATCCTCCTCATCCATGGCTCTGGCTCAAGACTCGACAGTTTCCGGCCGGCTTTCCGGACAACCCAGCAAAGTACTGTACCATTACGCCAAGCCCTGGCTGTCTCTGGCCACTTCTTATTCATGTACAACGGCGGCAAACCGCGGTTCCACGATCAACATATCTGGATCGTCTGAATGTGCACAGCGCCTGAGAGCACAACTGGCTCGATAAGTTCCAAAGTGGACGTCTGGAGGGGTCTCCTTGACCGCAATGGAGGATCATTTCTCTGGTCTGTGCTTGCTCGCAGGGTAGAAAAATTCTCAGGAAGATACTCATACTAACTAAGTTACTACTACTACTGTCTTAATCATGTACAACATCACTACGAATAAGTTTGCTAACGCCTCCAACACCAAACACCCAAATTCCAACTTTTACCCTGCTCCCGTTTCGCTCCCTCGCTTTTTTTGGGGGGGGGGGGATGGGTTCTAGCTGGTCAGTGGAGCTAGTCGCCTGCAGCTAGGAGGCAGGATTACCTAGGAGGCTAGGTTAATTCGTCATCTCCATATCATCAGTCTTCGACTAGTCTCCATCGGAGCCAAACAGACCACCGCAAGTGGCCCCATAAATGAAGATGCCGTCGCCCAGTCGTCGCTGCGCTCCACTCCTCCATTCCATCCTCGGCTGTAGTGCATACTGCATACTGTGTATAGTGCATCACTGCATACCAGCGGAAGGGAAGGAGACGATAGAGCAAGTGGACCTCGTCGAAGAAAAAAAAAAAGTACCAGGGCGGTCAAAGTGGGCCATACCATGTGTCCCATGTCCCAAACTGGCCGTTCCAGCTCCACTACGCTAGTTCTCCTGTTCGCGATGTTGACCGTGGTAGTGGCACCGACATGGCTAGGCGGAGCTAATCACCGTCGATGTCATGAATAAGAAGACTATGTTTGGCTGACCTGATTGGCGATGACTGCAGAGCCCTAGACAGTGGAGTTGGAGGTTGTGTTGGTTAGTCGGATTGTTGTTTCTTTTTTTCTTTCTTTTTCTTGCTTTTGATCTTGCCCTTACAGCCCTGTCTCTGCTCGCCTCTGTTTCGGCGCGTTTTCGACGAGGGAAAGCGCATCAGTCAAATTCAATGTTTTGCGCCGCAATGCTTCCGCAGGTCCTACCTTGTCTATCTAGTCACGAAAGGTCATGGTGACAAGATGTGTGGGTGCAATCCTGAAATTACCGGGGCAGTAATATGCAAACCTGCAACTATGCGCTGGATAAGCAAGCAATGATTGGCCTGCGCCTCGGGTCTTGATCGCAGCAAATGCGATCCGTCAATATTTATCTGAAGCGCCCCCGGTTGCCGGGTGACGAGTCGTCTCTCCTGCGTTGACCGCTGGTCCTGGGCACATCACTAAGCCAGAGACTCATTCACTGTACCAATCATCCTTGGCTCTCCCCCTCACAATAAAAATCCCCCCCCCCCCCCCCTAGATAGCAGGTATGCAACTCCCTATCGAGACTCCCATGATATGCGCGAATCAGATGTTCCGTTCCTGCGGCTGCGTACTTTCCCTCGCCACAATCCAATCTATGGCACATTTGGATTTGGAAAGCCTTCCGTTACTGAAATAAACCGTTCATGACTACAGCGCACGAGCGAGATCAGTTGGTGGTGTACTCACAGACTCAGTACTGTATGTGGTCTCTTGTGTCATTCTTGCTGGTGCGAGGTTGGTAAAGGTCAAAAAGACTAAGTTACCAATCCTATCGTAGTTGCATTCTGGGACTTTGCTTTATGATGAATTGAAAAAAGTAAGAGGTCCGGACCAAATGGTCGCGCTATCAATCAGATTTGACGCGTTAGATTCTAGAAGTGCTACAGAAAAAGTGTTGGAAGGAGGAAACATGGTTGATCCAGGATAAGAAATACGGTTGGGAGTCATCAATAGGCTCGCACCCAACGCGTCGCAGCAGACTCGGTCGGCGCCTCTCGATGCGGCTCTATCAAGAAGTACCCCGACGGCATGTTCAACAAAGCATTTCTCATGTCTATGGATGATGGCCGAGAAGTCATAGTCAAGGTGCCCAACCCAAATGCTGGCTTCACACACATTACCACGGCCAGTGAAGTCGCCACTATGGACTTCGAATGTTCATATTGATTTCCATCCACAACGAGTCTTGCTAACTGTTTGTATGGCATGTGATTCTGCCGTTCATCGCAGTCCATAGCCTAGACAGAATCTCTCCTCCCTTGCAATCTCACACCTCATCCCTCTCACCTATGGTGATGCTGCATCTATTGTAGCCACCTCCCAACACTAACACGACAGATTTGGGAGGCCAGAAAAATCCTTGAGACGTCGGCTCCACGCGTAGACTCATGGAACTCGCAGGCAAGATCGCATCCCGTGGGCGCCGAATTTGTCATCATGGATAAGATTGAGGGTGTTCCGCTGTCCCAAGTCCGGAATCCCTTGAAGCTACCCCAGAAGCTTCAAGTTCTTCTTGCCATGATGCGTCTCCAGAAGCAATGGCTTAGCGTCTCATTCTCGCATCATGGCAGCTTGGACTACACAGGAGATGTGCAGCAATTAGCAGACATTGACTACGTCAAGGATGGCAAAGCCATCAGAGATTCGGTTCGTGGTATCTAATCAGGCTGCTTATGCTCATGAGATAGCACTCGTGAATATATAGAGCAATCTCCTCGATTGCTTGACGCTTTTACGTATGAATAGAATCAATCTTACACGTCACATCTCAGGGATGACCACTTCCAGGTTGTCTCGCCACGAGAACAAGACTGCTCGCAATCGAGAACCAGAGAGCTCGGATGGTATGATATTCAAGCGGCCCCGGTAAGTCACAACATTTGTCTCTCGCATATCTTTGTAGCCTGGTACCTACTGTAGAAGGTAAAGTAGACTACTCACTTATCCAGTAGCGTGAACGCACACGCGACTTTCCCGATGGGTCGACCACCTACATCAACCTATGAAGCAACGTCGAGATGATGACAGATGCGTCAGGTCGTCGATACATCATTCCCGCATTCTTCGCCCATCTCGCTCTTAGCTTCAAAGGTCGCATACACTAATGCAGTGTGCACAACTTTAAATGATCATCTATTGGTTCTTTAGTCTTAGTGTTTTTTTTTTCTGCGATAGAAAGTCATCTCCTTCTTTTATGATGAGATACGGCTACTGTAGGGGCAGCAATATCGACGTGTGAGAGGGATGAGGAGTGAGATTGCTGAGGGGGAGATAATCTACCTAATCTATGGACTGTGGTGAGCGGCAGAATCACATGTCATACGAACATTTTAGACCTACAGTTGTTGGTGCTACTAGGCGCGGATACCCCGTTGGATTCTCCTTTCCAACTCCTCCTTGATCGAAGCTTGTGTACCAGGGCGCAAGTGAATTCCTACCAAAAGTCTAGATAAGCATAAGGTTTGGGAGAGGCTTCCCAGAAGCCTCCAATATCTCCTTGATGACGTCGTAGGATGTGTACGGAGTACCTCCTTATGGCGTGATAATGAACACGAAAGTGTGGTGCAGATGATATGTAGAAAGCCTTGCGAAACGTGAGACTGGAATGAACTCGGATCAAATCCGTACCCTTGGCAAAAAGTCAATTCCTCCAAAATCAGCAAAGTACACGCCGATCTTCTTCCCTGCTGGAGCTCATCTCATACAATTACGTGCTGTGCCCATGTTTCTATTGACAGTAGTACCCCTCAATGATCCTGAATCCCCGCCACTGCCCAGTGCCCACCCACATAGCCTAGCCGAAGCAGAGGGAGCTTTCATCAATCTTGCGCCTGTGGATCTACTGGACATGGTTGACCCGATCAATTGGTCCTCTGATGTCGTTTTCAATGAAGCACTCCGTCACGATGGGATACCATGCACATTGCACAGTTAGTAAACTTTGGGTGTATGACATCTTTCTCGAAGGATTCGACCCCGTTTCTGATAGGATCGACTCGTGCCGCCCGATTCTGGACCACGGGTACGCCACTGAGCCATCCGTCTCCGAGTTGAATACGATAGTAGTTGAGTTTTTGTTATAGGATTCTATTGTTTACAGTTAAACGGAACATGAGGTCTTTATTGCACATTCTGTCCATCCTCCAGTTTAATCAGTATCATGAAATCTTAAGTGTCCTATGATGTCGTTTGAATGACGGAACTTCCTCTGTCGTACTTAGATATAGTTCTTGCTGATGATGTTCCCCATTTAATCCTCAAAAGTGCCTGTCTTGAAAAGCCTAAAAAGGAATCACACAACCCTTGAGCCATTGATTCACTGGATCGTCTCTGTGATTACGTAGGTGACATGGAGCTAGTTAGTTGATAGCCTCTTTTAAGTTTAGGCTATCCATCGTGCAGTAGTCACGGAGTAGTGCATGACTGTGACTGGGACATGTGGTAGGTATTTCTCCGCATCCCCACAGAAGAACAAAGGGAGCCTCTTGGGCTACAGAAGTACCGTCAGCACAGCCGGGTAGTAGTACTGAATCATGTGGGCTAACTGGAAGATCCATGATGAAACATACAAGCGATCTTCGTCCGACTCCACTGTAACAATACATTGAAGATATCAAACTTCTGGCACTCATGAAGGTGCACATAATTCAGTAGTATTTATAGATAGTACCAAATCTCGACATAACCGTCATTCATACGTCCACGAGCACCTACAAATAAGTAACCACGCAGTGAGAAGGGTCTAGTGAACGGGCTCGACTCCTAAGTGTGGCACCGGTAACCGGCTATGAAGACTTGCAGACACACTCACTTGCGGAGTACGAAGACTCGGCAAAGAAAGTCTACATGAATGGTCTGTGCCACCGGCTGAAATTCAAGCATGTCAGAGTCCAATAATGAGGTCGAGGTAGAAGATGGGTCGAGCCGACTCCATCATGGAGGTTACCCATCGGAGTGACTGTTCAATGGCAGCGATGTACACGAGTCTCACCTCTCCCCTACGTTATCGACAGACACACCTTTCCAGCGAAGAAAAGCAGGTTGATGAGCAGCCGAGGATCCCAATTGAAACTCTTTTCAGGTCCGGTTTTCCTACTGACCCCGCATCGCATGATTCGCCAATACACTTTTGAAGTTTTGGGCCATCAGCCAGTAGTAGCGGCCAACCTTGGTGCAAGACATCGTCCAAAAATCCGGAATTTGGATCTCTGGGAAGACCAACCGTGCACTATGGATGCGATGCGCCTTGGAATCAGTCGGGGAAATGGAAGGACAGTCAATCGGGTTGTTCTCGGCCACGAAGTCCCGTCCTCGTTCGAGACGATCAGTCTAGAGTCTAGACACTAGATAGTGGGTGTTATCGATTCCTGTTCCATATAAAGTACGAAAGACCCATTGATTTCATGCTTTTTACCTTTGGTAAAAGTGGTCCATGTGGAAGCGCCAGTAGATACTTTCTCTTCCCAGAATTCAGCCAGAGCTTCATTTCTTAGATCCTCCTGGCCGAATCTACTAGTGTCTGATTTGATGAAGTGACCTGCATAACTTGATCTTCTGCTACTGGCGTGCTGATAAATTGGGTGAATCCAGCTTTTGACTCCTTGGGTTGATAGAGCGATTGATAGGTACCTGTTACCACCTCCACCTCCGGCACAGAGATACTCGCCTCAGGCCATAGTTATCCGATCCTTCATCTCCAGGTTCTCCATGGTAGCAGATGAGAGCATCCCTAATAGCAGTTACTCAATGCCAGGCGACCCGAGCTGAGATGGAACTTCAAAATTCTTCCATTTCCGCCTTCAATGAAAGCTAGCCTATAGGTGTCCATATCCAGGGCGATCCAGCATTTGCACTCCAACGGGCACACCGCAGGATAGCAGGGCCAGCACGGATGTAGAGACCGACTCATTTAGGGATCGACCTTTGCGAGGGATATATGAAGCATAGATGATTTCTGCGCGAAAACATCTAGCTTGCCACACCATGCTGAGGTAGCCCTGCCATGATAGTTCGGGTGATCTCAGAGAGGGATGCGGAGGAATTGGGAAAAAGATGTGGTCCGTGGAGACGATCAGCTTGAGCCAAAGAAACCCGGGGATAATTTTTGCTTCTTGTGTGTTCTTCCGCATCATATCGTACATTCCTTCAACAGGTGATTCTGGCTCGAAAGTCCCACCATGGTTAAACTCCGAGGCCATGTCTGCGCCCCCAACATGGAAAAGCTCTAGCCACTGACAACGCAAGCAGCCCTATCATTCCTTCTTTGCTTCCCTCGCTGAATGCTGCCGAGGTCTCAAGACATACTTCCACGTAGTGCCAAAGTGCCACCGTTTCTCTTCCACAACTTCCAACCCACTCTCTTTCACAATCGCGCCAATGTCCCGGTTCCACCAACACCCATGTCGATCTGCATGAGACGGCGCCAAGTTATCCAGTATCCGATTCAACCAGTCGTAGTGAGACCGTCCATGCTCGAGAAGCAGGATGCGACCGCGTTCCGGCTCCGTGATCGAACCCAAATGTCGAAGAGTGGCCGCTGGATCAGGCATGGAGCACAGTCCCATCGTCTGAACAATCGTATCGTAGTACCCATCCTGGCGTGTTGGACGGCCTAGCGCGCTTTGCCTCGTACTCGTTGACTCTACCCCCGATGGAAAGGTCGGCTTTTCAACTGTCACCGTTGCTGCATCCTGAGCACGGAACAACACCCGCGTGAACTCAGGTCTCAGACGCCGGAACTTGTCCTCGGCAATGCTGACCATCTGCGGGCTCAGATCGATCATGGTCAACGATCGACAGCCTCGAACAGTGCTCTTCCCCTCTGTATCCACGCCTCGACGCTCGCCAAGCTCGTAATACTCCAAATTGCGCCCCGTACCGCAGCTCACCTCCAAAACATCGCCGCGCGCCATCCGCACCAAGTCAGCCCGCTTACTCCCCATGCGCATGACCCTTTCGGACAATTCCACCTCAGCATCGAAGGTCCGAGCGGTGGAATTGTACCGATCCGAGACGTCGGTCGGCACGTCCAAGGACTGCGCTTTGGACACTTCTCGTTTATACGAAGCATAGAGGTAGCTGGTGTATGTGCTGATGACCAAGGCGGTGATGCCGAGGAAGGTCAGTGCACGCGGTGGAATCCCATGGGAAGATTTCCGTGGAGAGGCCGCGGCTGATTCGGCGCGCATGCGCTCCTGAAATTTTTGCAGCTCAGACTTGGGAGCTGCTTGCCTCGGTGACGGGCTTGTTCTGCTACTGTGGAAGTGTGAGCTTTCTCGACTTCAAGGTCAATATGATTCAAATGGAGAAGATGTCACAGAACTTACATTGTTGGCGATGTTCGACGCGTTTTGCTTTGAATGCCTCTGGTACAACAAGTAGGAGGGCATTGTCGCCCTATCTTTGCCGGACGTACTCTCGTCGCAAGCATGATGAATAGCGGGGGGAAGCCTGCAAGCTCTGTGCTTGCGCAAAGTCTCTCTATGTTATGCGTTTCAAGAGCACAGTGACTGGCCCAAGTCAATGGGCATCAAGGTGGCATCCGCGATTCTTGGATGATAACAATCACCGAGCTGGACGGGAACGAGGCGCTCGGCCCCAGTTAAGCCAACTAGTCCGAGTTCGAGTTGGGATAAAACAAGAACCCTGCGTATGCGGCACGGGAGCCTTCAATATTGTGGGGTACTCCGGGTTACCGATGCTAGTCTCCGTCGGCAGACGTGGTGCTGAGTCCAGTCGATCCTCAGTAGTTTAGAACGGACGGCCGAGAAGCGTACGCGATGGCAGAGAAACACACCTGAGGCCCGAGACTCGGTTCAGGTCGGCAACGTCCCGGTTTCCCGGCAGTAGACAACCGGCGCGTACGAAAAACGCTCCCCAAACAGTCACCAAGTGCGCCCGATGAAGAGGAGAAGCCGGTGGATCTCCGTTATCGGCTGTTGACTCAGGGTGCAGAGTCGGACAAATCACCTGCATTTACTTCATGTCGCCTGCGTCTATCCTCTGACTGCATTGGGACCTTCTCATCTCCCCCTCAACCAGAGACTAAACAATGACTCTACCAGAGAAGATTTTGATCGTCGGCGGAGGCGTCTTTGGCCGTAAGTCTTCGAGTTCATTCCCTTTCCACATCCAGCAGCAATAGTGTCCCCACCACATGTAGCTCAAGGAGCCGGGTAGTCGTGCACGCGCATCCTTTCCAGAATGTGAGCATTCGCTCAGCAAATTTCTATAGTATCTACGGCGCTCTCTCTCCGCGAGCGTCATCCGACGCTCCAAATCACCGTGGTCGAATCAGCACCAATCCCAAATCCCCATGGTTCTTCCGTGGACACCTCACGGATCGTGAGAGCCGACTATGCAAGCGCTGCATATAGTAAGCTTGCAAACGCCGCCATCCAACGCTGGCGCGCAACCGCATGGGGAGCAGAGGGCCGATACACACAGAATGGCCTTCTGCTGGTGTACCCTGAGAACAGCGCGAGCGCCCAGGCCTATGCACGCCAAAGCTATGCCAATGTTAGAGCTCTGGAGGGTGAGAATGTGGTTTTCCTGCCATCAAAAAGGGATGTTCTGGGCGTCGTGCCAGCGTACGGCGAGGACCTGGATGTGGCGGGTGGGTACGTGAACTGGGGATCTGGCTGGAGCGATGCTGCTGCCGGAGTTCGCTTTGCGAAACAGCGGCTCGATACAGATGGCCGGGTCCAATTCAAGAGGGGAGAGGTGGAATCGTTGCTCTACGATAGCTCGACGGCGAAGCCCAAAGTCAAGGGTGTCTCCCTGGTCGGTGGTGAAACACTCCATGCAGACTTGGTGATCCTGGCCACGGGAGCATGGACAGGCAGATTGGTCGACATGCGAGGCAAAGCCGTTGCCACAGGCCAAGCGATTGCATATATCAAGATCTCTGATGCGGAACAGAGAGAGTTGGAAAACCTGCCGACCATTCTCAATTTTGCAACGGGCATCTTCATCATCCCACCGCGGAACAATCTGCTCAAAATTGCGCGACATGCCTACGGATATCGAAACCCCGTCACACTGCCGGTTCCTGGCGCCAACCGTTCATCCGGTGAGAGTATGGAGGTCAGCATGCCCGATACACATGCACCTGTTCCTTTGGAGGGCCAAGAAGCCTTCCGCGATGCACTGAAGCAATTGCTGCCACGGTTCGTGGACCGACCATTTGTTACGACTCGCCTGTGCTGGTACACAGACACGTAAGTTCAAGTCCCTGTCCTGCGTTGCATCTTTTTCCCTTTTTTGGAGCGGGTTTTGTTTCTCCTCCATCCTGGCGGTAAGTCCCGGACTATACGGGAAGGGCATCTTCTCAATAGAACGGACTGCCAAGAAGAAGAAACGGGTCGCCCCTGCACTCTCCCATCCTTCTCAGTCCCACTGTTAACAGACCAGACAGTCCCAATGGCGATTTTATCATCTCTTATCATCCAGAGTACGACGGCCTCTTCCTTGCCACGGGCGGCAGTGGACACGGATACAAGTTCTTCCCAGTCATCGGAGACAAGATCGTGGATGCATTAGAGGGCACGCTAGAACCCGAGCTGCGAGACATGTGGACGTGGACTGAACCGGTCTCGACCGAGGCAGCCACGGATGTAATTCCCGATGGTGACGGCAGTCGGTCTGGCGCAAGGGACTCGATTCTGAAGGATGAGTTGGCCAAGACGGCGAAAGCAAGTCGGACGAGTGTATTGTAGGTGTCTTTCTGGTTGATGCTATGTATAGACAGAAAAGGGCTGGGCTGGAAACGCTCATCGACATAGATGCACAGGATATTCAGTTAAAATTCGAATTATTATCGCCGTGCCTTGATAGATAGTGGACTGCAGCTAGCTGTGTACCATCATCCTGATGGTTCGATCTACGTGTCTCACCCATGATTAGAGACTTGGAGCTGAGCGGGCAGAGGACACATCATGCAATAGGACATTATAGACTGTCAAGTAACCTGCTGACTTGGCTAGCACTCAAAGAAACGAGATGGCTTTCAAGGTGCAACTGTACGTTCCTAAGGGAGATTATTGTAAAGCAAAAAAAACTCTCGAGGAACATCTCATTATTTTTTTTGAGGCCCATGGCATGATGATGTGGTTGCATTCATCATGGGAACAGAAAAGCCAAAGGGCAGGAAGACAATGCTGTCCTGCCAGCGCATCAAAACACGCCCATATCTCCCTCTTGCATCACGCAGCAATCTAAGCTGTTCGGGGAGTGACGCGTAAACGAGTAAAAGAAAAAAAAAAAAGGACCCATAGTACCTGATTCGCTAAGACGCCGAATAATGCTTGCGTGAAAAAATCGTGAGGGAGCCACAACTCCAGTAAAAGATGGAAAAAAAAAACAAAGATAAAGTGAACAAAGCCGAATAAGCCCAAGTCAACGCAAGCACGCACCTCATCAGAGCAGGGAGAAGTGTGACGCCAGCTGACGATGTGCTTGTGACGCGCGCGAGAGAGAACAAGGGCAAGGAAGAGTAAAAGTGTTGGTACAAGGAAGTTAGATTGTTGGGGGGCGCGACGAGCTCCAGGTCAGGATGGACGTTGTGAGAACACCCTAGACCTTGCGGAAATCTAAGACATTGGGGTTAGACCCATACCAAAATGATCGGGACAGTGTAGCACCAGCATGCTGGACACTTACCAGACAGCACAGGGTAGATCAGCTCGAACGCCGAGTAGATCTCCTCGCGCACTTTAGCGCCAGTCAACACGATCTTACCACTGACGAAGATCAGGAGCACAATCTTGGGCTTCATCATACGGTAGATCAGACCAGGGAACAGCTCGGGCTCGTAAGAGCTGAAGTGGTGGTGACGAGAGGCCAACCCTTCCAGGCGGATGGGGAACTTGATATCGCAAGAACCGACGATGTTCTGGATCTTGAAATCCGTGAACTTGGCGTTGAACCCGAGCTTCTGGATGATACGAGCGTACTTGCGGGAAGCGAGCTTCGAATCATCCTCGGACTTGGCACCGGTAACCACCATCTTGCCCGAGGCGAAGATCAGAGCGGTGGTCTTGGGCTCTCGGATACGCATGATGACGGCAGCGAAACGCTATTGCAGACAAAGGAAAAGAACCAGTTCAGCCACACTGTACCCTGAATGTTTTACACAATTTCAGGGAAGGTGTGATATCTACCTTGGGATTGTATTCGGCGTTGCGCGCGTGCAGCGCAATAGTCTTGAGATCAAGGCGGCAGTCCAGGTTGACAGTGGCCACGATGTTCCTTTTTAGGGAGAGAAGACATCTCAGCCGGTGATTTCTTTGGAATGGAAACACAAAGAGACACAGGGCTTCAAAAAAAAAAAAACAATAGAGAATACTCACTGCAAGGTGGGAACGATGCCGCTTGGGTTGTTCTGGTTGGCCGCACCAGGAGTCGCAGCCGGAGTCGCGGGCGTCACCCCGTTGCCGTCAGTGGCATTTGCTCCGGCGTACTGCTGGCCCTGGGCGCCCTGGTTCTCTTTCTCCAACGAAGGTGGAGTGAGATCACCAGCTCCACCAGGGAAGGAGAGCGAAGAAGGCGAAGTGAAGGCACGGGCCTGCTGCGCGTTCGACGGATGGGTCGTCAGCGAGTCCATCTTGACAGATGTCTGCTGGTAAAGTCTCGAAAACCTGAGTTGACGATGATTTGGATCGCGTCTCAACTGAATGGGGGATGGCAGCGTCAGTAAGGAAGGTGATTATTGTTGAGAGCAGAGTGGACTCGCGGGAGGGGCGACCGTGACATGTCAACACCGAGTATCAACAAGGCGGTGGTGAAGGCGGTCGCAACAAGAAACTCGGGATGAATCAGGCAAAGGCTCACCAGCGATACTTGGGAGATGAACAAGTGAATGTGTCCCCCAGAAAGAGCAAGTCCGTCGAGACCAACAAGGATGACGACAACGATCACGTAAATTCAAAAATTCAGATGCACTGGCAATCGACCACGAAGGATGGGAGAATGGCAGAGTAGATCAAGAAAAGCACACTCAAGTGTTTTCTGTATGACGGGAAAGTGAGGTTCAGGGATCACAAAGTGAGAACAGCCAAAAGTGTTTTTTTTTGCGTGTTTCAAGGATTTGATGAGATGATGCCCTTTCTCATGCACTCTGGTATTTTTTTTCTTTTGAGAAGGAATGAGATCCTGTGTCTATCTGAATGAAAGTGGTGGATAGCAAGACCCTGTGGGTGAGCAGGGAGTTGACTTCCAGATTAGGTAAGCCTCCAATATCGGGTCACGACCCTTTGCAGTGGGAGACGGATAACCTCGGTGAACTGCCTGAGGTAGAGTGGGCTCGTTCTTCTGATTGATTTTTTTTCTTCCACAAGAAAAAAAAATAATCAAAGAAATATGAGCAGCTTCCCGAAAGACGATGAAGTTCTAAAATGAACTCAAGCGTCTAGATTGATCGGGGAGAGGAGGAAAGGGAAGCGTTGGGAGGTAGATGCAGTAGATGCCAAGACCGAGACGGAAATCCCAAAAATCGCCCAGGCAGACGGGCGCGGGAGGGAGGCCCTTTATATAGTGCTGACACACTGTCCGCGTCAGGGGAGGCTGGGGCCCGCCTGAGTGGCGGCAACAGCAGCGAGAGATGCCTTTCCGTTCCACCCATTTCCACCCATGGCCGCTAAGCACCACTCAGCATCCACTCCTCCGCCACTAGCTTACACACAACTCCACTCTATTGCCGGTCGCGGCGTGGAGACTGGTCAGCGACTCCAATGATACCGGGGAACCGGCCTACGAGTCGATGATTCGTGGTGACGAGACCCGCCTTGATTCATGCGGCGCGGTGACTGGTCGTGACGCCCTTGCGTGGCTCCCCTCTAGACCCTCGATGATTCTGACTCTCTCAGTCGTCTTGCGCGGTACCGCGGCTGCAGCCAGTCACTGGTTCGTGAGCCTCCTGCAGTTGATAGTGATACTCGGATCCTGTGTGAGTGCAGTTTGGGAGACTTTGGACCCGTCTCATCCTGTCTGGGGCCCCTGGTCCAATCAGCAGAGTCCACCACGACATGGCTGCTCCCTCTTGCTGCCTGAAGCCGATAACGAAGGTGCGAGCATGGTTACGTGCTTCCCCCTAGTCAACTTGGGGGGATCGACCGATCATTTTCATCCAAGTGCCAGCACCCCCAGGAATAGTGACTGTGCAAGCGTGAAATGTGCAAGTTGCACCAACACAGTATCACCATATCGGATGGATCGTGCTAATCATCCCAAGATGAATTTCTCTTCGTTCTCAAGCCACTGCTGAACAAGGTGCCTCCTGGGCAGCGAAGAGAGGTTGCTGGCACATACCTGGTGGATGAGTTGAGCCTTGGCTTGTAGCAGCACGCGTATGATGAGTCATGTCTCTCCGTGACACCCGTGACGGGCGCGCTGGTCGGTATTGTCAAACGAACCCGTGCGGCAGAAAGCCTCTGACATGGTATGTAGTCAAGCGATCACATTTTCACGGTGACCTCCATCCTTGCATCTTGACAGTCTTCGGGTTAGGTGGCTGCGCATCGTGTAAGCAGAGAGAAGTGAGGACTGAGGAGGGAGATCATTCTGGCTTTGGCTGTCAGGTCGAATGGTGTCCGGGGGGAGATTACAGGACGACTGTCGAGACTCGGGACTGATTGTCGCAGATCTTGATCCACTCGTTCGCCAAGAGCATCCCCTGGGTATCTTAGGCTTCTACGGTACATCTGTGATTCCCAAAAGGAAATACAAATAGAATGGAAATCACATATGCCCAACAATTGGACACATCAGCATGACCACATGCATGGGCGTTTCCAGACAGAATTTGTTGGCATGCAGATCATGGACCTCTCTACTGATGGAGTCACTAAAGTGGCTGCCTTTTGCCAGAATGTGACAGCCTCCGTCTGCTCGTCCTGCTGCGTGAGTGACCAACCCTCCCTCCATGATGGGCGATGACTCGATGAGTCGAGAGACGTGGTCTTGCAGGGATCATTCCATGATCTTGGCCAATAATACTGTCCTCACTGCTAGAAATATAGAGGGTAAGTGTAGCTCACTTATGTGTGTCAATTTGAGTCAAGGGCAGAGCCAGACTTTGTAGACACATAGCTGTTCTGTGTACTGCTAAAGTTAGGAGTGTTCGAACTATGCACTATTGCATTACGGTTTCCAGCGGCGATCACGGATGCCGAGCATTCCACTCTCTAGAATAATGCTCTGGTGGACCGGGGCGAATGCCATACCGGCATACCCGGCCTTGCCGCCAGGCAGCTGCAAGAGGTATGGAACTGTGGATTCATTAGATTGTATTTACTATGTACAGTACCGTCGCATTCCAACTCCGGCTCGAGTTATCTGATCAAATGTGCTGCTTGATACAAAGGCAACCGTTTACACCCGAACCGTCGTACATGTAGAAGGTGTAGCCAGGAGAGCACCTATGGAGCGAGCCGGGTATGATGGTGAAGGATACTACTGTTCATCAGAGATTCCCCGAGTCCTGTATAGAGCTAGGAGTTGGACGGTATGAGGGTAGGCCACTTGCTGCTGTGCTTTCAAGCCACAGCTTGATAACGTCGGGTTCCTTGTGTCCCTGTAAAGTACAAATGTTTCCGTATGTTTCCGATCCCATCATTTGATGTATGCCTCAGAGCATCTGTGCTCTTGATCGAATTCGGTATCTGCGTCTTGCTGCGTTCTCGTGAAGTACTCCAGAGCGGTCGAAAGTACATGGATACTAGAGGACCCGCTACTGTTGTACTGAAACATCACATCTAAATAAGCTTAATACGCGGGGACTGGACTCTGGGGATGGGGTCATGGGGTGGTAATTACTCGAATTAACTGGATTGTTACCGGTTTCTTTTAGTTTTTTAAAAACCTCAAACCTCATGGGATGGAGGTCATGGGGTGGTCAGATCGATTAAACTCGAATAGAATCGAAAATTGCTTAACTAGCTTGAGGTTGGATTATATATATAGTCAGGTAGGTACTTATCTCCATCGGAATATTCTCTAGTCTCCATACATTCCATGGATGTGATCTCCAACTAACGGGCATAGATAATAGGTACAGCAATGTATCTAACTACCTAGTACATACTCAATATATGTAGCAGGCATTGACCCTTTGAGGAGGGATTTCCTATACTCAATCTAAGATATAAGTTTGTCATCACATGCCTCAAGTGGCCGGTATGATTGAGCTCTCAGTATACTTCCACATGAACCAGCTGGAGTGGCATTTGATGATGTCAACATTCAACACCACCGACTAATGATCCGTACTTGACGGGGAATATTACCTCTCCCGCGTTGAGCCTTGCATGTGGTTCAAGGCTGATATCATTTCAAGCCGTCCCCATCAGATTCACCCTAGACACGTGGACTCAGATATAGCGTGAGTCCTCATGGGTAAAAGTCACCTCTTCTCGATCTTGATCCAGCAACTTACCCTCCAGACACCCATCGCTCGGGACCATTGCTGTAGTCTTCCTGCCACCTGGGGAGCTCTTGCAAATCTCCGAAGATCTCCGGCGGCCCGTGACTGGAAAAATGGAACGCGACCGTCGACGGCCGATTCGATTCACAAGCCCTGTGATTGGTAGCCGAGCCTCGGCCGGGCGGTTTTCGGCGCTCTGGAGCACCTGCCACCAGACTCGGCTATTCAAGGCTCAACCTCCATCTTACTACAACCCGCTGGAAGGCTTCCCCCTCACAAGACACCTCCAATTCCTAACGCGGCTATCCCGGCCAACAACTAGTTCGCTGAGAGGAGACCTCTATCTGTGCACCGACAATTCATCACTGGAAAATTCTTATCTGATCAGATCACGTTCGCCATGGCGTCAAGAGCCGGCGTCTTGCCGCTGCTGAGGCGGGAGATGCGATGCTCATCATCCCGTCTCGCGCGAGTAAATACGACCTTCACAGGTCCTGGTCGCGCTCCTTCCACATATACCGCGACAGCGCGTCCCCGCACTGCTCGCCGCTCGCCATCATTGGTCCCATCTACACAGATTCGCGCGTTTTCGCAGTCAGTAATCCGCCGACAAACTGAGGATGATGGCCAGTTTGACCCCCGTTCAATCGAACGGGAGTCCGATGAGGTGGATGTTTGTATCGTTGGCGGCGGTATGTCACCAGCAGTGTTCTCCTTGAGCTTCAATATTTGGCAATTTTTGGCCTGCTAATTGAGAGGACTTCCGGTATGCGTGTAGGTCCTGCTGGTCTGGCTGCTGCTATTCGGTTGAAGCAGCTTGCAAACGATGCTGGTAATGAGGAATTTCGAGTGATACTGTTGGAAAAGGCGGGTGAATTGGGCGCTCATATCGTTTCCGGCAACGTCCTTGAACCCACTGCCATGAATGAGCTCTTTCCCGACTGGCTTGCGGAGGATAACCCTTCTCGCTTCGAAGGTGCGACTCCGGCCAAAGGCGACAAAATGCGCTACCTGACCGAGAAATCGTCTTACCCTCTGCCTACGCCGCCCCAAATGCACAACCATGGCAACTACATCATTAGCTTGAACGAACTGACCAAGTGGCTTGGCGAGCGCGCCGAGGAGCTTGGCGTCGAGGTTTACCCCGGATTCGCCGCCAGCGAGGTGGTCTACAATAGCGATGGCTCAGTCAAGGGAGTTGCGACCAACGATCTCGGTCTGGGCCGCGACGGCCGTCCCAAGGACAACTTTGAACGTGGTATGGAGTTTCACGCCCGAGTCACCCTCCTCGGCGAAGGCTGTCACGGCAGCCTGACCAAGCAGGTGGTGAAGAAGTTTGACCTGCGACGGGATAGCCAGCCGCAAACATATGGCCTGGGAATCAAGGAAATCTGGGAGATTCAGCCGGAGAAGTTCAAGTCGGGTGAAATCACTCACTCGATGGGCTACCCGCTGCCCAAGGATACGTACGGAGGAGCCTGGATGTACCACTTTGGTGACAACATGGTCAGCATTGGACTAGTGGTTGGCTTGGACTATCCCAACCCATGGCTGTCGCCTTACGGGGAGTTCCAGAAGATGAAGCAACATCCCATGTTTCGGGAAGTGCTGGAGGGCGGCAAGTGCATCTCTTACGGTGCGCGTGCGTTGAACGAGGGCGGCTTCCAGTCAATTCCGAGATGCGCCTTCCCGGGGGTGCTTTGATCGGAGACACGGCAGGTTTCTTGAACGTGCCCAAGATCAAGGGTACTCACACCGCGATGAGGTCAGGCATGTTGGCCGCCGAAGCTACCTACTCTGCTCTTCAAAGTAAGGACGAGGGAACGGTGTTCCTCTTTGATTATGAAAAGGCTCTCCGTGAGTCCTCCATTTGGAAGGAATTGTACGAGGTGCGCAACATCCGGCCCTCGTTCAACAGCTGGCTCGGTTTCTGGGGTGGTCTGCTTTACTCTGGGCTGGAGGCGATGATCTTCCGCGGTCGTGTGCCCTGGACGCTCAAGCATCACGGCACCGATGCCGCTGCCACCAAGCCAGCCTCGGAGTGCAACAAGATCGAGTATCCCAAGCCCGATGGCAAGATCACATTCGACATTCTGACCAGCGTGAGCCGCACTGGTACCAACCACGAAGAGGACCAACCTGTTCATCTCCAGGTTAAGGATTGGGAGGCCCACAAGGATCTCGCCTGGCCGGTATACAAGGGTGTGGAAAATCGCTTCTGCCCAGCTGGTGTGTATGAGTACGTTGAAGATCCCAGCAAGCAGCATGGTGTCAGATTCCAGATCAACGCGCAAAAGTAAGTTTACTATCCATCGGTCTCACCATCCCTCTCTGGGCTGCTGGATCAAGCGAAATGTCCAGTACGTGCACTAACGCATGATTTTCTGCAGTTGTATTCATTGCAAGACCTGCGATATCAAGGTACCAACGCAGGATATCAACTGGCAAACTCCGCAGGGCGGCGAGGGTCCCAAGTACGTCATGACGTAAGCTATTTCGATTTTCACTCTTTGGGCAACGGGTCCAACAAGCCTGGGTTTAGATGATGACAGGCAGGGTGGTCCAAGCATTTGTACATAGTAGCCAGAATACCAAAAAGAGCAAGCGTTGTTTCTTTTCATGGCTCCCTTGCTCTTACATGTAGTTGGGCAGGCTCCTGTCATTCAGTTCATTCAACAGCAGAAGTAGACTCGAAAAAGAATGACACGCAAATAGCCTTATGTATATGTGCGCTTACAGCGACTCCTAGATGAGGTTCAATTTAATAATCATGATCAAAATATACTGTACTGACGACGATCCCCACGGGGAGGGTTTGCGGATATCGGAACCGTGGAATGCAAGTGGAGGACCACGAGGTCATTGCCCGTCAAGCCAAATTTATTGGTAACAGAAACAGCCCCTTAAAAGAACCTCGTGGCGTGCTGATGGTAGGTAAGACTTCGAAGTAGTATGGAGCGATCAACATCAAAGAAGAATATAACAAAGGTCACTTGAAAGGTCCGAAGATCAGGCCATGTTTCCAACGGTACTGTGCCCTGTACCTGTTTCAGCGTGTTTGTTCGGCGGTAAACCACGTGGATCATGGAACAGCAACACCAAAAGTGAGGCGCCTTGAGTCTCCAGCTGATGCTTCGCCCACCGCCATCTTTTGCTCTCTCCCCATCACATCCTCCTCCTCTCCCTTTCTCCTTTGCACTCCGTGCATCACTTTGATTCCTCTTTTCATCCTTGCCTGCAGTGCTCTGCAGAATCAGAGTGTGTCGGCCTAACGAGCGAAGCCCAGAAGCCTAATCTCAGTCCTCCTCTCCCCCTTTTCGTGTTCCGGATCTCCAGAGGCCCCCGGTCGGGTCTACCTGATTCGCAGGCATTCGGCTCTGGATCCATTCTGGTCACTTCTCTTGTAACCTTTCACTACTCTCACCATATCGTCTGACTGACCGCCATGGCGGCCATGGCGACGGAAGTCTCATCGACCCGTCTCTATTTGGGAAACCTTCCCCGAAATGGTAGGCTTACATCTTCCTAATTTCCCAAATGCACCATGATGGTCTTCACTCGCCTCCAAAGTCATGCCTGTGGCCTTGGTACTTCCTCTTGAGGTCCCTTCGTACAGTCCTTCGGGAGGCGCAGTTCATTCGGTGAAGTTGTGCCGGGACATCACGGACTAGGTTGGGCCACTTGAGCGGAAGAGAGGGAGTCTGTGAGCTATTGGTATCACTGGGGAAGCTACAACCCTCCTCCCTTAAAGGCTCGACTAAGCTAAGATGATTTATGATCGAAACCGCAGTTACAAAACAGGATATCGAAGAACATTTCGGTACCCATGGATCTGGAAAGATTACTGAAATCAAGCTGATGAATGGGTTCGGCTTTATCGAGTATGAGGACGCCATGGATGCCCGGGATGTTGTGCCAGGTAGGTTTGCCCTGGTTGAGCCACCCTGATCGTCATGCCTACATGAATGGGTTGACAACGTGGTGGCGGCCGAACCATTCTTTCATGTATGGACATGGTTAACTTTCGGATCTTCCCGTTCTAGCCTTCCGTACGTGATCCAGGTTCACTTCCATATCATGCTCGCCAGAATTGCCACTGGGCTTTACTCACCACTCAAACAGATGGCAGCGACTTCAAGGGCGAGCGACTGACTGTGCAGTTCGCTCGTGGTAAGACCCGCAAGGAAAACTTCCCTGGTCCAACAGATCGCCCGGCGGTGCCCCGACCCCGTCGCACCATGTTCCGGATGCAAATTTCCGGTCTTCCTGAAACTAGTTGGCAGGTTAGCAGCGCAAGTCCTTTTTATTCCTCGGATTATCTGGAACTTTCCCCCCCCCCTCTGGAACTTGGACTGGACGGCACTGTGTCTCGCCATCCCTTTGGTACATGTTTCGTGGCCCCTGGGACCTGAATGCCGTGATCTTGCGGGCGCTGGATCTTTTTTCTTCATGGCATACCGATGTGGAAGAGGCATTACGCAGTATTCTTTCGAGATCACTGCAAGATACCGAAGCCAGACCAGCATATCGGCTGTTGACCACCAAATTAGGCCCTTGGATCTCAGCCAGGCCCTTGCGGATCACGATGCCATTTCACCGGAGTTTGTCGCTTGCCATAGTGCCTCCTCGAGCTCACGTCTGCCCCTTGGGATGGGACTGGCCATCTCCTTTGCTTTGATTACAAGAGTGGGACTCACCATGCCTTTCTCTAGGACCTGAAAGACTTTGCTCGCCAATCGGGCCTGGACGTAGTCTATTCTGAGACCGGCCGTGAACAAGGAAGAGGGTAGGTTTTCCGTCACAAAGAGCAAAGACCCGCGCTCAGCCCCCGCGGGGTCTTCATCTTCGATTTCCACCTGGACATCCATTGACAAGGTAACCCAAGATTCGTCGAGTTTGAGACCGCCAACGACCTCAAAACTGCCGTGGAGAAACTGGACCAGAATGAGTTCAAGGGTTCTCGCGTAACATGTGTTGCCGATGTAAGATACTGACCCTCCATACCTCGACCGTCACATGCTCTGGTTGCTGGTCCGACAAAAGAAACCCGCATCTCATGCCTTCTTCCAGATTCAACCCTATGAGGACCGTCCTTACCGAGATCCCTACCGGTCCCGCTCTCCCCGCCGGCCCTACCCTCCTATGGACGACTATGACCGACGTTTTCCAGCACCTCGTGGATACAGCCCCCGAGACCACTACCGGGAGCGATCGCCTGTCCCAATGCGCCCAGGCTATTATGACCGCGATGGATACGGACGCCGGACCCCTCCTCGCCCTCGCATGGATGAATATGGACCCCCCCGCCGCCCCTATGAGGACCCTTATGATCCCCGGCCTCCACCTCCTCCCCGCCATTACGATGACCCTTACCTGGCTGCTCGGCCCTATGGTCGTCCTCGCTCCCCTCCACGAGGTGACTATGTCGCCTACGAGCGTGCCCCAAGATACTGGTAGATGCTCACCCGCCGGCTAGTCCTTTACGAGTCCCCTTCTGTTCCCGGTTCGACGTCTCTCCTATGTTAGCTGTACTGGTTTGAATTATGTTGAATACTTTCCCGACCTCAATTGTAGTAGCGTGAGCTTCTTTTTCTGCGTGAGGACTTCACGTCTCACTTTCAGCCGCGCGACCCAAGTTAGACTTGCATTGGTATGGCTGGGCTTGAGTCACTCCTGTGTCTCGAGACATGTGCTGGATTTTTACCAGATGGAGTAGTATGGAATTGTCTGCGTCTGGCGGAAGCAAAGCTCCATTCTGAATTTGTGGCAAGGAAACTCTGTGTTACATCTTCCAAGGATCAGATGGATCGCAGCAGGGCAGCGACAAGTGTTTAAGATCGGGCTTGCACTTTTTCGTCGATCGAGTTTGCTGTCTCAATTACCCCGAATTGAACTCAAATCTCAAGACACCCTCTTTCGAACGTATCCCATTCTTGGTTCCCCGTGGGCCGATGAGCTACCTTCTTATCAGCTTCCTATTTGATCCTCAGCTAAGATGATATCATGGAGACATCAATGGGGTGTTCGCGCCGCTGAGGGTTCTAGCTGTCTTCGTCAGAGCTCACCTGCCATACTAAATTGATCTTCTAGACTTTCTCGTCGAGAAAAGGTCAAACAGGTACTTCATGTCGACTCAGAACTGTCGTTTCACCTTCATGACACCAGAGTCCCTCACGGCTGGAGAAAAAGTTGGGTCATGATCTGATGAGCGGTTCCGCATCCTTTAAGATGTGGTCATACCAGTACTTACCGGGCCCCACCCCCGCTTCGACTTCGAATAGAGAAAAAAACCCCCCCGGGAGCTCTCTCAAAGAATCACCCCACATTACGCCCACACATCTCTTTTCCTTGTGGTAGCCGCAAGTCTTTCCCATTACTTCTTGTTCACACGACATCCTCTGCTTGCTTGGAAGGTGTCTTTGCAAGTATAGTCCGCAAAATTTCCTGGGCTCGCGCGTCCGGACACGCGGAAATCGACCCCGCAATCGGAGCTAAGCTCCCTCCAGCTTCTCGATCTACCCAGCAGTCGTTACTTCCGAAAACTTGACTCACAATGTCCCTCCGGTCCACGATGCACATCCCAGCTGTCCCAGCATTTCTTGATAGCGTCCGTCTTCGCGACATTCAGCTTCCACTTCCCGCTGCGCCTGACCCATGGCATCGACCAGGCAAGCCGCAACCCTGCACGGCAAGTCTGAAGCTCTCTTACTCCTCTGCCATCGCTGCTGCCGAGAAAGATGACGTCTCCCTATCAATTGACTACGGCAAGCTGTTCCGTCGCCTAGAAACGGATGTCCGCGAGATGGCTCAGCATACCAGCTCCCCGGAGCATCCCCATCACCGCATGGTCAGTGTTGAAGGCACACGACGCGAGGAGATGAAAGCGAGTGCAGTTGGACAGGATCCACGGGTGACTGCTGGTATTGTTGCAAACTGTGGCTTGAGCTTACTGGATGAGACTGCCGCTGGAGTGCGCCGTATGTCGCACCTTCGCCAGAGCCCTCGCAACAGCTTCTCCGGCTCGCAGGCGCCGCCTGCTCCACAGTCTGCAGATGCCGGTCCAGCTCCCATTACGGCAGAATACGGTCGGTGTGAAGTGTGGTTGCATCTGCCCAAGGCTTTGCTGCGCGCCGAAGAGGGGCTCAAGTATCGAAGTGTCACGGTATGGGGCTACAATGACGAGGCTGGTGCAGATGCTCTCGAATCGGAATCCCGATCTCCTGTGGTCTTGGAAGAAGAGTTCCGAATTGAGGGTATTCGATGTTACTGCATCCTCGGCGTGAATTCCCATGAGCGCGTTGAGAAGCAGGCTGTCATCATCTCTCTCGGCTTTGAGGGACCCGGTCAGCTGGCTTGGGGATCAACTGTGGTGAACACCTATGTTGCTCTCACGCGTGCTGTTGCAGAGGTATGTTGCCAATTTCCCACTCATGGCGGCTGGGTGATACCCTGCCTTGGCTGTGCTTCAAATCAGGGCATGCTCTAACAGACAGAAATAGAAAGTCGATGAGACGACATTCCAGACGGTCGAAGCACTTGCGACCTTTGTGGCACGCATCGTGACCGTCGACTTTGGCAATGAGCGTGTGACAGTGCGCGTTGAGAAACCGAGCGCTCTGGCCTTTGTCCAGCGTTCTGGCGTGGAAGTTACTCGCACCCAAGCATTCTTCCAAAGCCACGAGGTGGCGCACCGGTGAGGCTGGGGATCTGGAGTCTTAAGATCGATCGACAAATGCTGGCTGACTGGGCGCGGGTGCGCCCGCATAGCCGCGGCCGATGCGTAAATTTTTACTTCTTGAGCATCTCAGAAAACATGGTTGTGTAACAAGTATGACAGTGAGAATCCGTCAATTAGTGCAGCGGCATCCTTTTCGACTTTATGAGTTCTTCTTGCGCGTCTGTGCAAATTACGGATGAGCGATGACGTAGCTAGGCCACTCAGATCCAAGTTTGAGGCTCTTCGACAAGGCTTTCTCATACTACTTTAGCTGCTCGGGGAGAGGCTCGTAGCATTGATGTCCTCGTCGGTCCTGCTGACAGCCTGACTGTACACAGGTACCAGTTCGACAAGCCTTCTGAGAAAGACTGCAGGTGCCTACTTACAAGATCAGATTTCCAAAAAAGGCTGCACTTTATCCCCTTGAGGAACCATTCATCGTTCAAAGATAGCCCATGTTGTGCACGTGAAGTCCTAATTGGGCTTAGTCTAGGCCCCGGAGGTCCGCCCGGAAAGATGAGCGATTATTCCACTTCCCGCGCTCTCGGTTTCTCCAATTCTTTGATCTTCCCTCCACAACTCCGTTCATTGAGGAAACACTCGTGTTGGTTCCTCATTGTTTGACATCAAGATCAAAACAAGCGACGCAAGTAACTCTTTACAATCCAAGCTTCAGCCAACACGCGATTTCTCTATGTGCTTGCCTGCGCCAAATTTCCTCTCCGTTGCGACTCCTCTGACCAGCTCTCTGGCCAACCCTCCCTCCTCCCTCTCTCAGATTTGCGCCATTCGTGACTCCACCAAGTCAGCGCGCTCGACAGCATATCCTCGCTCGCTCGCGTCTGCCTTGCCAACTGACTTCGCCGCCAGCAAGGTGATTTGGCTAGGGGTCCCGAGTCCGTCCTGAATCAGGGCGGACACTTAACAAGGCTGACAACTCTGTGAAGTTGCTGGGCACCAGGCCGTAGGAGACTGTCACTCAGGTCTCACATCACAGTCAGTTCTCTTTTCTGCTTTGACCCTTACTTCGCGCTCTCACTCCCTGTCTCTCTTGTCTTCCGCGGCCTTGGCCTTGGCCTTGCTGAGTGGGGCAACTTCCTCAAAGCTAAGACTCTGCGTACCCCTCCACCGTATCAGTCCCCAAATTATTTTCGATTTGCGGCTCTCTGATGCTGATTGAACATCTCATGACAGGAAATCAACTCTACTCCCCAACACGTAGTGGTCGCTGTCACCACCGTGTCACTAGGGGATCACTTTCACTTCGCTTTGCTGTCGCGAATCTGGCCGACGCCCTGATTCGCAGCTCTTGTCCCGGACGTGCTCGAAAATCGCTGATCACCGCGCAGCAGCGACATGGCCACACCTACGATGCCTGACGATCTCGCTGTCGCAGACATCTTCACCCCCAGGCCGACAACGCGCAGCCTTCCCGCGCCGAGACACCAGCGGATCTGGTCACTGAACAAGCTCCCCAGGCAGACAAGATGATGCCCCCGCCGACTTTCCACCCGGATCTCTTGTCGGGCAAGCAGCGGCGCAAGGCCAAGAAGAAGAAGCAGTACGTGGCGGCGGACCCGGCACCGTCTACCGTCCGTGGGTTTACACCCTTGGCTTCTGCCGATGAGGACTCGGATTTTTCTGTGTCAAGCTCCCGAGCAGCTGAGTCGCACCCAATGGAAGCGATCGGTGGAGCGAGTCCACGCGCTCAGCCAAGCACCGCGCACGGGATTAGCGCGCTGAAGCTTCAACTGGATTCGCTGAGTCTCTCCGAGAAGCCAAAGTCACGGATCCAATTTGCTTGCTCCGCGACCCCGAGCAATGCCAGCGCGTGCTCTGACAGCGATCAAACTGAGATCCTTACGAGCTACGAAGTCCCGCTCGAACATGACTTTGTCAGTGCGGACGCAGGCCAAGATGAGCCTTCGGTCAGTGCGAGTCCTGTCGCCCAGACAAATGGACCTGACATGAAGAGTCAGCTCTGCCGAAAGATGAGTGCCGCGGATTTCGAAACGTTGCTCTGCCTAGGGAAGGGATCATTTGGAACTGTTTTGCTGGTTCGACACATTGTCACTGGCAAACTCTACGCCCAGAAGCAGTTCAAGAAGGCCTCGATAACTGTGCACAAGAAGCTTGTGGAGCAGACCAAGACTGAGCGCATGGTCTTGGAAAGTGTCAACCGGCATCCATTCGTGGTCAAGCTGTTCTACGCATTCCAGGATCACGAGAAGCTGTACTTGATCTTGGAATATGCCCAGGGCGGCGAGCTTTTCCACCATCTCGCCATGGAGCGCATGTTCGAAGAAGATGCTGCAGCCTTTTATATGGCAGAGATGGTCCTCGCCCTGGTGCACTTGCACCAGAATGTCGGTGTGCTGTACCGAGATCTCAAGCCCGAAAACTGTCTTCTGGACCACGAGGGTCACCTGCTTCTAACCGACTTTGGCCTGAGCAAAATCGCGCTCAACGACGATGACCGGTGCAATTCCTCGCTGGGCACGATTGACTACATGGCTCCAGAAGTGGTCCAGGGTAAACCATACGGCAAGGCATGCGACTGGTGGTCTCTGGGTGCGCTCGGCTTTGACCTCTTGACTGGATCGCCCCCTTTCCGCGCCAACAATCACGCGAAGATGCAAGAGAAGATCGTGAAGCAGAAGCTAGTGCTGCCCTATTACCTCGGGCCTGACGCCAAGGATCTGCTCACCCGACTTCTTCGCAAGGATCCCGCCAAGCGACTCGGCTACCACATGCCCAAGGATCTACAAACGATCAAGAAGCACCGCTTCTTCCGCAAGATTGATTGGGCAGCTCTTGAGCGCCGCGAGCTCAACCCGCCCATCCAACCTGTCGTTACCGATCCGGCTCTGGCAGAGAATTTTTCAGCCGACTTCACGCAGGTCCCGCTCAGCCCAACGGTTAACAGTGGATTTGACGATCTGTATGCCAGAGGCCAATCGTGCATGTCCTCGAGTCTCAACGCACACGCATCAGGCGAAGGCGATCCTTTTGGTGGCTTCAGCTACGTGGCTTCGAGCAGCTTCTTCGATCACGGGGCGGGGGCGATGACCGCGGGTTATTAGAGAATGGGTTTTAGCACGGCGTTGAAGTTGAAAATCAAGATCATGGTCCTGTTTGTGTTCGCGACTTTCAGCAAGGGCTGGTCATAACAGATTTGTTCCTTCCACTTATTCTACTTCTTTTCCGAGCAGGCTTGACTACAATAGGTTAGTAAGCCAGCTCGATGCTGGACATCATCTTTCTCAGTAGCCTGTTTCTGTTCCTTGAACACTAAACCAAAAAGCTTTCGCGCGCCTTCTAAGCCTTGTTAAATCTGTTGAATATTCATGTGATCAGAATATTTGAGCCAACTAGTATAAAGAAGAGCTAGTAGCTAGTAGCTACTGGCTACTAGCTACTGACCTGCCAGCCTACTAGGCAGGCTCATTCACATCATTATTAAGCAGCATCTGGTTTTCCAGCATTCATCAAGAGATGTTCATTGACGGTCATTGATAAAGTTACAGAATGAGAAGTGCATCTTCGGATGCGAACCTCTGCATTTAGATCTCACCCTCCTCGCTTCCCTCTCCTTCGCCGCTATTGACACCGTTGACCTCCGTTGGCGTCTTAACATCAGCTTTAGAGATACTTGGACGTGCGACTGTAGAAGTATCGGCGGTTTTGTCGTCTGAGACTTCGCCTTCTTCAGCGCTGGTCTCGTCAGGTCGAGATTGCGGAGGATTGTGGGAGAACGAAGGTGGAGGGGCGGGGTTCTGGTCCGAATTGTCCATTTGTGTTTGGTCGTTGGCCTTGTTTTGGTGCAGAATTTCTACAGCTCGAACAGGAATTCGTGGACGCGTTGTAACTGAGGGAGATGCAGCTGAGGCTGTGGCTGCGGCAGAGTGTGGAGAAACGGTGCGCTGACGTTTCGTCGAGCGATCTCCGTTCAAGGAAGAAGGGTCTTGCACTTGTGGAGTAGGTTGGCTGTGTTCGTCGGAGTGAGACTCGGGCTCTCTGGAACGCTTGCGACCATTTATCGCATTTGATGGATCGCCAGTCGTATCGAGCCTGGGAGTGAGGACAGGATCGGCAATGGGGTTATTGTTGAAAAGACGGGTAGGGTCATTAGCATCCGCGTCCGAGAATGTAAAGTCCGGATAACCCTTGCTCAGGTTTTGCTGCACGCGTTCGTAAATCTTGACGATCAATTTGCAGGCGCGAATGAGCTCGTCCACATTGACATCTAATTGTCGCCACCATGGACGTCCCTCTGCGTCATCTGGGAAAGCAACTTTGCAGTGACGAGCCGCGGCATACAAGGCGGCCGCCGCAATGACACGGGGCTGGAACTGCAGGCAGAGAACGGTGTACGTAGAGTCGTTCAGAAAGGCGTATGCGGCGTGACGGAGGGGTCGGTTGTCGCCCAAACCGAGGAAGAGGGAATAGTCCCAAAGGATGCGATAAGGTGATTCGAGCTGGAGGTCGAAACACAGGAATTCAAGCATCACACTCTCATTCTGAAGGATTAAATCACGCCATTTCCAGTAATCCTTGGACTGTTCGTCCACAACTAGCTCCGGTTGCTTCATGGCGACACGGCAGCAGGCCACCACAAAATCCTTCATGCGGCGCATGGTCTCGTCCACTTTGAACGCCACGAACAGCGCCACGGCTGCGATGACCTTGGGGTGCATAAGATCCGCGCCAACCTCTGGATATTGTCCCCGCAAGGAGTAGCGCATGAGAAAGCGATGCATGAGCACCGTCGCAGTCATTGATGTTTGTGGCGGCATCTTGAGCATCAGGCTAACCTGCCATATGAACTCCACGGCACGATGCCGGATGTAATCCTCCTTCTCACGGTCAATCTTGTCGATCCGCGATGGTGTCCGTTCGAGCTCTTCATCTGTGAAGAGCCATTTCTGCTGTGTCGCCGCAATCACCGGATTGGGAAGGCCGGGGATGCGGCGTTTGGTCGATGCTTGAGACGTGGAAGCTTCCATATGGTCGTCTGAAGCGAGAGAAGAACGAAGCGTCGGGAGGTGAGAAGAGGAGTTCGTGGGGTGAGAGATTGGTAATGTAGGAGGGATCGGAGTGGGTGGGTAGAGGAGTAGATCAGCAAAGAGATAGGCAGGTCAAGGTGAATCTCCTTGACGATTGGTCGCTAACTTTGTTTATTTTTGATTTCTCCTGCTTGCTTGTATCTTGGTCGCTGCGGCCTATCAAGGCTCAGCGCGCCAGCGCGCTCTTGCGGAATTGAATCTCAGTGGTTTCCAATCTCAGGCGGTTTAGTCCAGTCGGTTAGATGCGATTCAAAACACCTCACTCCACACTAAAAAGCCAGTGAAAGATGAGTATCGGCGTTTCTCAAATTTTCGTCAAAGGATGATGCACATATGATCGACCAACAATGACGAGAAAGCAAATGATCTATGTCCATACGAGGATCACGCTCGGCGAATGCGACAAAGTGGAAGGCTACATGCTCGGGGCGGATTAACTCTGACCCGGAATTGATGATTGCATCAGTGTAATGGCGACTGTCTTCAAGCCTTGTACCTCCTGTCAATAGTGAATGAGTCTCGACACTGTCTTCACAAGTGAGGACGTGATCTACTAAAGAATCTTTCCTGCTTACTGTATAGCTTACATCAAATGAATTTTTGTATTCGGGTCAGTGTTGATGGAGAATCTATGTCAAGCACTGGATGTCAGTACAGCAACTAGAAACCTCGCTGAGAAGAAAGTGTTATTCTTGCGGATGGCGGACACAAAATAGAAAAGTGAAGAACGAATTCTTAGTTCGACAGTGGAGTGGTATCTCGAGCCGTACACCAAAACGCCACGCTGATTAACAATAAGAGTTTCCATGACCGAAGAGGATATCAAATGAGGCCATCAAGCACTACTCCTCTTCACTGACTTCACTCTCATCGCTACCCATGCCCACGATGTAGTTGCCTTCTCCGTATCTGTGACCAAGGGCTTCTTCTTCCCGTGCGCTTGCCTCGAAAGCAGCTTCCATCTCCGCGGCCAATGCGTCATCATCGTCCTCCTCCATATCGTCTCCAGTCCCGACAGAGCCCGCAGGGGGGCAGGTTGAGTTTCCCGAGCTGGAGAGGGCAGTGCAAATGACTCAATATCCACCTCAGAGTCGTTCGCCTCTTGGTCGTCGCTAGGCGTGTTGTTCGAGGAAAAGAAAGAGGGATTGACTTTGAAAGCCCTTTTGGGAGGGGGCGAGCCCATATCAATGATGAGCTCGCCGTCGATGATGATATTTGAGCCGGGAGACTGGACAGACTGCTGCGAGCCGTTTGCCGTGCCGGCATCTGATTCTGACATCCGAGACTCATCTCGCTCGGTCGGTAGGTCTTTAGGAGGCACCGGCTCAGGAGCCTGGTCCGCGGGCTTCTCTCGAGCTACCTTCGGCTTCACAGGGGGTTTCTGAACACGCTTGACTTCCCGTAGCGGATTCGCTGGAGCCTTTGGCGCCCTCGGTTGCGGTGCCGTCTTTACTGTGGGTCGGCTCGGTGGGAGATTAGGTGTGCCGGTCTTGCTGGTATTACTTGGCTCCGGCGTTGAAGTTCTCGAAGGGACCTTGGGATCCTCTGCGCCTTCTTTAGGCAAAAAGTGCCGAAAGTCATAAGGATTGCTCTCGTCAGCCGGTCCTTCGTCCTCAGTCTCATTTCCCCCATTGTGATCCGCCGTGGATGTGTTGTCTCCCTCATGTGATATCCGCAGCTGTTCATACTGTTCCAGAACTTGCTTCTCCGTCTTCCCAGGAGCGGATCGTAGATTGAAATTCAGTTTGGTGGAAACCGGTTCCAACACAAACACCTTGCGCTCTGGGTCAAAGACCAGAACCAGCGACTGGTCCCCGGAGGGATCCTCACTTCCGACATACGAATATGTGATGGTGTGGTCGGCATTCGAGGGCTTATCGGTGACGGACAGGTCATAGAGGTCTCGCGAGAGGGTAGATCGAGTGATTTTAGATCGCTGCTGAGGTGTTGCAGACTTGGATTTGTAATTGTAGTTCACATTCACGAGACGACCTGAAGCGGTATTTTTGGCTAGTCTGTTCCCCAGGACGATGGGATATTCAGCCTGTTTGGTCGGGTCGATCATGGTGGACATCGTGGGGACGGCCAGCCCAAGGCTCCGCGCCGGGAAACAGACAGACAGCGGCAAGCACTTGTTGGCAAACGATCTTGCCAAAGGCGCAAGCCAGGAAGGGACACGCGAGGCCAAGCGTGGTAGTGTAGATTGAGAAGAGTGGTTACTTTGAGATCAAAAATTTGGCAGTTTGTTAGAATCGCTCAAAGGTCTGAGAGAGGGGGTGAGAGTAAAACAGAGTGGTGGAGTGAGGATTATCGCAAGTATGGGGAAAGGCGGAGAAGCTCAAGTGGAAATGACCTGCCGATGAGCGCCGATCAAAGAAAATGGGCCCAAACAAAGGTAGCACAACAATGTCGCTAGTGGTCATGCAAACAATAATTGGCAATTTGAGGTACAGCATCCCGAGGTGATTATTGCACTGCATTGCCCGTTGCAGAGTGGTTTTACAGTTAGTGCTCATATTGCGTGATTCGAGTACGCTGATCAGAATGTCTCATTATAGCCCTGTACTACCTGAGTCATTTTTGCAGTTGTCTATGGCATAGAAGATTATTTTGAGATCAGCTTGCGGTCTTAACATTACAAAAAGCTTCACGTGCTATGGGCTTTGTGCTCGTTTATATATGAAGAGCTGCGCTAGTGTACAGGTACCCGACTCGTCAGTTGTTCCAGACGACCAGCCAAAGCTCGATGCTTTCGCATTACGTCTTCCCATTCATATGCAATGCCTTCCTCTTCATCCAGCTCGGTCAGAATCATTCCAAAGTCACCTCCAAGTCGACCGAGGCTAGCGGCGCAGTACAGCAGCTGAGTGAGCAGGCTTTCCCTTGAGCTGCGGTCCCGGACATTGGGAAGGTATGTGCGCACTGTGTCCGTCAACAACTGCACCAGGTGCATTGGGAAGGTCGCCAGGGCCGAAGGAAGAGTCTGTAATGGGTCATCCGGTCGAGGTGTTTGATTTGAAATTTTGGAGATGTCTAGGCTTCGAATATTGGGAACCCCAGACTCAAGGTCAGATTGCTCAGAGTTGAAAATGTTTTTGTACAGCGAGATGATGGCAAAACTTTGTTCACGGAAGATCTCGATGTATCGTTTGAGATAGCGATCTGTCTGCTGACCACCCGACCAGCTTTCGGATGAATCTCCACTGCTTGTCCTCCGCTGTGACTCTTGATCGGCAAGCTCTCGCAATGGATCCAAGGCCTCCAGGGTAGATACCAGATGCGCCAAGCGACAGATCAAGAAAATAGCACCCAGTGCTCCTTCTCCCGAACCTATGGCTCCCTCACTTCGAAGAGTTTCAAGATCTGGTGCGACGCGCCGGAGCCAGCCCACGGTTCGCATACCGGCTGCTAGCCGGAGGTTCGGGGCTCGGAGACCTGCAATCAAGTTGGTCGTCATCTCTTTCATGGCATCTTCTGCCTGCGAGGCGACGTCCTGAACTAATGGTGAGCCCGGGTATATTGACTGAAGGCGCTTGATATGTGCGTGTAAATCAAGCGCTGAGGAATATGTTGTAGAGGCCACTGATGCGCCTGAGTTGGCAGACGCCGCAGAAACCGCGGCGGACAAAAGGGATGGCAGTTCAAGGATGTCTGACAATCGATCCACGTTGCGAGCTAGCTGCATGGCTTTCTTCCTCCTCTCTAGTGCTGCATTATCTGTGGTCTTGCTGTATTTTGTGGAGAACCTGACGGCTTCCTCATCGAGCTCTGGGACAGCATCGCGCAACTGATGCGCCTCCAGTTTCAATTGCGGTATTGATGCGCTTAGAGTGGAGAGATGATCGGCTGAGGCGACAAAAGATCGATGGGAGCGATTTGACAGCGCTTGAAGGGAAAGGAGCGACGAGTGGGAGGACTGTGCCAACGATTGCGGTTCGGTGGTTTGCAATGCATCCAAGGACAAAGTCGGCAGCCGATTCAGATATTGTGTCGTTGTGCTGTCGGATATTTGGGGCTTGTCGATGTCGAGTTTCGGAGCCAGGAGCTCCAGTAAAGAGTCAGCCATGATCGCTAGACGTCTGACCCCTAGAAATCGGCTGGTCGAGCTCTTAGGAGTGAGGAGTGTACCCACGTGGAGAACAGTTGCGGGCGTGGTCGCGGAGTAGAGCGTACGATAAGGAAGGCAGTACGGTGGCCTGTGCGGCCAGTTTGCGCATCTCCGCAGTGTGTTTCTGGAACCAGGCCCAGATCACCCATTTCTGTTTTTACATCTCCATCATTTCTGTTTTCGGACATATCCTTAGGGATCCCCAATCAAGGCTCTGCCTTGACCTTTGAGACTCAAAGGCCCTTCAAAGAGGTGTTTTTTTTCCCCCACAAACACTTGCCTTGCCTAAAACTTATACCCCGCATCTGCCTCATTAGCGGCCTTGTCCCACATGCGCTTCTAGCCATGGGGAAACCACGAGTAAGTCTGCGTAAATTGTGTAGAGTGATATTCTTTGGCAGACCCGAGACTGACCGAGTGATTCAGATGATCATTCTTGTTCGCCATGCGCAATCTGAAGGCAATAAGAATCGCGACATTCACCAAACAACACCCGACCATCGAGTGAAGCTTACTTCCGAAGGTCACCGACAAGCCCTAGAAGCTGGACAGCGGCTACGCAATATCCTTCGCCCTGATGATACCCTCCATTTCTTCACGTCTCCGTATCGTCGAACAAGAGAAACAACCGAAGGCATCCTGCAATCACTAACCTCCGACGACCCTTCCCCCTCTCCGTTTCCGAGACACGGAATCAAGGTTTACGAGGAACCCCGACTTCGAGAACAAGACTTTGGTAATTTCCAGCCATGCTCGACCGAAATGGAACGAATGTGGATGGAACGGGCAGACTACGGTCACTTCTTCTACCGAATACCCAACGGCGAATCCGCCGCGGATGCATATGACCGCGTCAGCGGGTTCAATGAGTCCCTGTGGCGACTTTTTGGAGAGGAAGATTTCGCCAGTGTATGTGTGCTCGTTACACACGGTCTTATGACCCGAGTCTTTCTCATGAAATGGTACCACTGGAGTGTGGAATACTTCGAGGACCTTCGGAACATCAACCACTGCGAGTTTGTGATCATGACCCTGAATCCCGATAACGGCAAATATACTCTTCAAAACAAACTGCGCACATGGTCGGACCTACGACAGGAGAGAGAACAAGAAGCGGAAAAGGAACGTGATAACAAGGGGCAAATTGTTACTCGTCAGAATTCCTCAGAACATGTCCCCCTCCGTCGAAAATGGGGTGGTTGTCCAGATGGGTGCACGCACGGGATGACTGGAGATGTCCAAAAGTCACTTCGTGCGCAATTAATGGAATCCATGCATCGGAGCAGTGGGCACATTCGGGGTAGCAGTGATACATACCCTGATCAACCATCACCACTGAAGCAGACCGCCTCGACAGCTGACAGCATAGAGGGGTCCTTCCCCTTCCCCAACGACAAAAGTATCGCGGCTCTTCATTCATCTTCCGCTGGGTCTCAACAGTCCCGTTTCTCTCCTGAGGAGATCAATGCAGTCAATATGGGGCAATCCTCCAGCTCCGATACTCGCAAGCGCCCTGTTCGGCCAAGTTTGGGCCTGCATCGCGATAGTGAGGACCATCTTCTACATCCTCCAGTCTCAGCTTCAGCGACAGCAAATCTCAAATTAGCTCTGCTTCATCTGGGCGGGCGAGACGGAGGTGGCTCATTGAGCGGCGCCAACAGTCTCGTCCCATCCGAGGATGAAGGCGATCACAACGAGGAGTCCCCGAAGCATCACCATCACCATCTTCACCACCATCACGGCCCTCATGGTCATCACCATCATCAAAATCAAAATCACCATCACCACCCGCATCACAGCAACGATGTCAGCAGCCCTGAATTGACCGCCACTCATAAAAAGGTTCTTCATTTACAAAAGGACGCCATCCCCAACGCAGTCTCCCTGCCCGCTTCATCCCAGGATGCCGAGGACGACGGCGACGACGAGTTGAGCTCCCATCAAAGGAAGGGACACAAGAAACGCTCCCATCATGTTCCAAGCCATACCCAGCAACAGAATCCCAGCCTTGATACCGGGAACTTCCCGCTTGAAAAAGACACAACATCCACTCCTTCCGTTGCTGCACGCCCAAGAGCGAACATGCTCGGTGACGCAGATGATGAGACCCCCAACTCGCATGAACAAAACGCGCATACTGCCGAGAATCCTACGCCACCAGTTCAGCAAGGCCAACCAGACCCTTCATCCGAGGACCAAGACCTGGAGACGCAACGCCGGGAGGATCAAAGCATACAAGGGAGTGTCTATTAAATCAAGATGCTTTTCGAATCAGGGAAGCGGTATAAGTTATACCCGTCTATCTCCTGTCAGATCTGCCAAAACGCCAGTGGAAGAAAGGGTCGGGACCTCAAATGCAGGATTGTGCTTGCATGTTGGAAAGAGAAGGCAAAAAGTCTGTAAAACAGGCGAGGGGTATTTTTGGCATTCAGTGGAGAATATCCAACTTTCACGGAGGATGTTATACGAGTACATGATTGAGAATGAGATCACGTCATTGATATAGAACGAAAGATGTTGAAAACCCGGTGGGTAACTGCAAGTGACGGTGTCTTATTGATATGCGATTAGAAATTGTCAAGAGACATTCCAGCATAGTGTCGTCCATCAGTCACGTAGTCTATGATCGACTGCCCGCACCCATGCCGTGTCCCTCGACTATTGCCCCAATCTACGGAGCCCGGAGCCATACGCCTGATTCGATTTAATGATCATCGCAATAAGCAATCACATATGATTTCCCAGACCCGATGTCTACTGGGCACCAAGAAGCAGCAGTAATCTACGATCAGTCAGGGGAAATCGCGCGTTGAGGGGTAGCCCAAGCACGGTGGCTTCAACCCACTTGGGCAGAACCGGCCTGTGCGGCAATTTTCTTCATGTTCCGGACAAGTCCAACGAAATAATGACAAAGGACGGTATGAAGAGCGACAGCGGCGGGAACCACGAGAACGAGGTTGCAGACCTCACCCCACGCCGCAATAACATCCGCCTCACTGCGCCTGATCTCGCCCAAGAAAGCAGAGATGTGGGAGAAAGAGAAACCAGAATACCCCTTGAGAAAAAATGGGAAGAGTGGTGTGAGAGTCAGAACAACTTCATACAGGTAAAATCAACATGTTTATTGCAAGTTTGGGGATATCAGATGGGTCAAAGAAGCGCAGTCGAAGAAGTTCGTCAGCGTTTGCAGGAAAAAGAGAGAAAGTGGTATTGAAAGCTGCAGTTGTTTTTGGTAGATTCATGGTGAATAAGGCGCAAGATCGTGGCAATAATAATAAGATTGGTCAAACGTCGATGATTGAAGAGAAGAGATTAGCGACAGACGCGCACGGGCTGGGTCTGCGTCACTGCAATTCGAGTGTGGAGGCATACGCGGTGATGCCATCGACGGAGGTACACATCCGAATGCTGGTGGTATATGATGAAGAAAACAAGGCAAGAAACAGAATCGATAAGAAGGAAGAACCGGACAATCCAGATGCAACAATACTCTATAGAATCCACCAAGGAGAGGAAAGCGAGGCGAAAAGACACAAAACGATGCGGTGGAAAGAAGAGCAGCCGAAGGTATAGACCGAATGGCATAGGTGGTGAAAGGATGGCAAATTTTGAAAAGTCGTGATCATCGTGACTGCAGTCCTGGCCAATTGCCTTTTGTTTAGACCTTGACGCCACAACGCTGGGGGAGCTTTCCCCAGCATGCGCAGGCCTAGGCCATTGGGTTGAGCGGTTCAAAATAAGCCAGGATCGCCGCGGATAGCATATTTTCCGAATTTTTTTTGGTGGAAATAGGTTTTTTTTGGAAAGATTGTTGCGCTAAGTCGACGAGGAAAGTGGAGGACGCGAGAAGAGAAAACAAAAAAGGGAAGTGTGTACTTTTCAATCACCGAAGACGGAGCGGCGGGACTGGACCTGAAAGAGTGGAGCAGCGCGTCCACGTGTAAGAGTATAGGTGAGAATTGCATGACGAAAGATGGCGTAAAATGTTGCGTCAAAGATAAGCGCAAAAAGATAGAACGGTATCATGGTGTCGAAAAAAAAGTTGCAGAAAGTTGACAAAGTAACAGACAGAACGAATCAAAAAGATGTGCTCTCAGGCGACCGGGGGGAAGCCATGATGAGCAGGGATCTGGGAGAGTGACTCTGAGAGAGGATTTAGGGAGGTGAAGAGTTACACCCAATCGGAGATAGTCAGAACTTGTGCCTGATCATCACACAAGGGAAGGATGTAATCTCCAATCTCTTGTGCCTCCAAGCCGAGAAATGAAGATGAGAAGAGAATGGCGCAAAAATGCAATGGGAATCAAACAAGCAGAGCGGCACGTCCGCACAATTTCATCCCGCGATGACAGGGTGCAGTGGGGGAAAGGCGCCGTGGGGCATGTAAAACTCCATGTGCTTCGCACAATACACACATCCACAGGAGGAGCCGTGACCAGTCCACACGCTCTGAGCAAATGGTAAACCATAAGCTGGAGTGTGGTGGTAGGATGGAGGCTGTGACCGAGGAGCGGATTGGGGAAGATAACGCGGAGGTGGTGGAATCCATGTCCCTTGCGAATAAGGGGGTGGTGGGTTCGCAAATCCCCAGGGACCGGCCGGATAGTAATCCGGGGTGTTGGGACCACTGTGGGGAGCCGACGGCGGGGAGTACTCAGAGGCAGCAGGGTTGAGCCATGAGCTCTCGGTATGCGAACCGCGTTGATATTGCGGGGGGATGGGACCTTCGGGAGACATGAGCGGCTTGGAGACGGTCTGGTGGTGGCGGGCAACGTTCGTGTCCAAGGGTGCGAGAGTCTGGCGAGTAGACTCGTGGGCTCTCGCATTGGCCTTGGCACTCCAGCTATCCCAGTGGCGACGCCAGGAGGCAAACCCATCCTGCTGGTCGTAAATGCGGTCATGGATCTTCCAGTCAAAGGCGAATAGCCACTCCAGCTCCATCTTGTTCAGTTCAGCCACGGGTATGTTGCTCACTTCTGCCCAGGACTTGTTTTGGAAGGTATTATCATCCAAGAACTTGCTGCCCAACAGCAGAGCCACCGTCAACATACGGTAAATCTGTCCACTGCTGGAGTGAAATGTTCGCTGGGCAGAGAGGATGCGCATACGGCTAGACATGTAGAACAGACCCAACAAGATGGTGGAGCTGGGGAGGCGGGTTGACGAGAGAATCTGGTAGACGTATTTTCGGAACTGCGGGGGGACGGAAGTTCCTGGGGAAATGCTTCGCGCGAAGTCAATATCTGAAAGGGTGATCTTGGTGTTGTACAAATCATACATTCCCTGAGTCATCTCTGCGACAAAATCGGACATTCGATCCATCTCATAGTCCAGGTGCGCAGCAACACCTCCAGTGGCCTTTTCTTCCTTGCGAGACTGCTGCTGCTGTCGCTGCGAAGGGTGTTGCTGGTGCTGGTGTTGGTGCGCGTGCTGGTGGGTCGAAGCCATATCGTGACGACGGTATTGTGATGAGATCGCGTTATCCATGGGCGGAAGCTGCATGTTGGCCCGGATTGGCGGCAGCGAGGTCGCGGCGGGGCCATACATGGGCTGCTGGTGGCCCATGGAGTGCATGTCCCGGACGCCATGCATGGCGTGTCCCGAGCCCGGATACACCCCCATGGCATGGGGCTTCGAGTAGATCAGCGATTGCGAATACTGTTCAATGAACTCAGAGCCGCTCTGGTGGTAGCGAGGGGGGAATGCGGTGTGACCAACCGGATAGAACGTAGGTTCATCCAGACGACCACCATTGTTGACATGAGGAGGCGTGGGCGGGAGGCCGTGGCCTGCAGCCAGCAAGGACGGCATCTTGCGAGGAGAGGGGGAAGGGAGGGATTCCAGTTCAGGTGGGAAGAGCAGACTTGATCCTGTTCGTCCCTGGAGAATCAGCATAATGCGCTTCACCTTGAGACGCGGCCAAAGGACAATCACTGGGTAAATGTATGCTGTTTGGCACCGCGACACGACCTGTAGAGTAAGGGGACAAGGCTGAGACACGCACCGTCTACGTCTTCACCAGGTCCTGAGCCTGGAAAGGGGGAGAGGGCGAAGAGAGGAGAGCGATGCTCTGGGAGCGTGCTGCTCTAGTGTCGATTCGAGGACGATCTCTAGTTGAATGACATTGAAAGAGGCTCTTCAACCGAGGGAGTCGAGAGAGATCAACAGAGTACTATCACAGACGACGTGGAGACGCGGTCGCGGATGAAGCCTTCGACGTGTGGGGGGGGGGGTTGACCTCGCGCTTCTCCCAGCAATCGTGGCGATGCAAGGATGACCCACAGAGGATGGACGAGGAGAGTTTCAAGGATGTGAAGCAACACCCGGCAGCGCGCACACAAAAACTGTATGATTAAGAAGATGGCTGATTGGTGATCATACGTGTTCGGCGCCAGAAAGGGAGACGTGAAGTCTTCAGTGGACGACTCAGAAGGCAGGACGCAGCGGAATTGTTCGAACCGGAGACCACGAGAACAATGTAGATCAACAAAAAGAGGAAGGAATTCCCTCACCCAAGGACAAACCTCACGATTGGAGATTTAGCAACGACACTTAGTGAAAAGCTCGTTGGAACAGGGAAGGGGAGAGGGTGACTGGTGCAACAGGAGAGGGATAGGAGAGGAAAATAGGTTGTGAGGTCGAGAAAGGAGTAGAGAGAGCGTGAGTGGTTCGAAGGGAGGAGGAGGAAGAGTGGGTGAGAGGGTTGCAGAAGAAGTGAGAGAGAGGGTTGGTGCCGGTGTAGAGAACCACTTTTTGGGGGGGGGGGGGGGGGTGGGACTCCTTTGGGCCTGCACTCTCTCTCTCGGTCGGACACTCTCCTCGCTCGCTATGAGAGCGTGTGTGTGACTTCCAGAGTGGGTGCGCTCAGCGTTGAGGATGGATAGCCTGACTAATACGTAACATCGATACCATACCATACTTTCCTCTTTTCCTCATTTTCTCGTGGCCCCGTTGGCCTCGACTCACCCCGTCGAAACATTCAGGCGGTGAATACCACCTGAGGTCTGCTGAGTGGCGGCTGATGGATTTTTCATTCCTTTTTGGCTGTGGTTCACCCGTTCTTTTCCTCCTTCTCGAATACAGAGTTCCGTCGTAATTCCACGAATCCGTCCCTCGCTCAGGGCTCTCACCGGGAGTTTCTGACACCCTGTCCATCTACCGTCTACTTTACAGTTTACACCCTATGACCCTACAGTCTCGGAGTCTACCCTGTTCACTATCTACTTTATAGTACTTCTACCACCGCTCATGATTGCTCTTTAGATACCTATGATTAGGAAGTCTAGTCGGATCCTCAGTCCTTAATTCTTGTTCTCATAGGATTTCCGTCTTTGTGATTATCAAGTACTACTCTCAGTACTCTGAGTACTCTCAGTATTACGGCTCAGGACTAGGAGTACTCAGAAGACCATCTCCGTTATGTACATTATTAATAATTAAAGTCGCTTCAGGTTGGTCTCTCTCGGATAGTGGGGACATCAGGTGATGCACCATTGGGTACAGCGGAATGAAGTGGGTACCAACATAGTGAGGTTCACCACCTAATCCACAGTGTCCAATAGGTATTACCGAGGAAACCCAAGTCACAACATGCGATACACAGATGCAGAAGCAGAGTTGACGGTGATGTCTGTGACCTACCATAAGTATATACTCCAGTCAAACTCACTGACATAGTAGTATAGCCCAGTAGGAAGTTTCCCACTCAAACAGGACTAGACTACTAGTACTAGTAGACCTCAAGACCGATCATGTAAGAATAGGGCAAGACCACAGTTCGAAGACAGCACGCGATGGCTTGTGGTAGAGATCCACATGAAGAGGGTCACTGGTGGCTGTGGGTGGTCACGCTCTATAATTTACCCTCTTTACAGTACCTTTACACTACGTTACCTCTTTCCTACCCTAATGCATGAATGCACCGACGCTCAATGCCCATGCGCAAGAGGCCTACCTGAGTAATCTGACGCCCTACAGTCAGTCCTACACAGGTAGCGATGATACCTACCACAGATCAACATTTCCGTATTTTGAACCGGCTGACCAGATAGGTAGATACACTGATACGATGGCAGATACTCCCGTCTATGTACAGTGGTACATATACATGCTTCATCCAAACGGAATCGCAGTCCAGCACTAGAGATTTCGGTACGCTTCAAGTGTAAGACTCAGCACTGAGGTTATCCGTGAGTATGAGATCAGTCTGACAGACAAAGAAGAATGATCAAGCCTGGTGCCATCGCCTCTCCTAGTCTGATCGAGAACAGATTGCGCACTCACGATGCCTTTCTGACTAAAAGTCCAGCCGAGGACATGGCCACGGCGTCAGCATGACCGGGGACAGCAAGGTTGGCGGAATTGACCCAAATAATACTACTAGTCTACTCCTCACTTAGTACTATGGGTGTGTAGGTAGGTACATGTGTAGGTATGTATGCAAAGTTACTAAAGTTACTAAGGTACTCATGCGCCTCTCCCGTACTCATGAAAAGGCCATAGTCAGTGTAGTAGTCATAGTGAGTCCTCAGAGACGATCTCGGCCCTTGTCAGTGACCATGGAGCCACACCAGCCTATGACATACTCTAGTGCCAGCTGCCGTGTGCTCAGTGCTGCCTGCGAAAGAGTTGTTAATGACACCGGCACTAGTGTGAGCGTGTGAAGACCCCGTAGTCGGACTGTATTATTCTGCCCGATGGAGCGGAAGTCATGAACGACCGGGTGGCCATACCCACAACACGAGCAACGCCGAGTCAGATAGCGTTTGTGAGTATATTCAAATATGATATATTGGATACCACACTATGACTATTCACTCACTTCCCTAGAGTGATTGACTGGTTTCCTATATTCACATGACATAGAACTTTGGGTTTCCCCTTCTCAGATGGGTCATTCACCCCCCCGCAGATCCTCCGTCAGTTGCCTCTTCCCTGCTAAAGTGGCCTCCTCCGGAAGGCGATCGGGGTCCAGAAAGCTGGTGATGCAACGTCTGTGTCACGGAGAACTAGCGTCGGAGGGGCGGCAGAAAAAGTAAAAAAAGAAAAAGGAGTCGAGAAGGTTAAATAAAGAACGGCTAGGGAAACTGGAAAATTTCGGAACCCCCCCCAAAAAAAAAAATTGAAAAATGAGAAAAAAATGAGCCCAAAGGGGACCGGGAACAGAAGCAGCACGAACGTAGTGCTTGAAGCGGACAAGCAGAGACTCGTGCAGGAGTTCCGCAACGCTCCACTTGGACTAAGCCATGCGCTGGCACCGGTCGGCCGGACAATCAGTGCTGCTGCTACAGTCGATGGAAGGTACAAGGATATACGTTAGTCGTAAGTTGGTTAAATGCCGCACAGAGGTAGCACAAAGTCACAGTAATGAGCAGTTTGACTAATTTTCAACTAGTTGAAGGTTATTGAGCGCGTCCGGGGAATACACTGCCGCAGTGTAGAACTATAGACTGCAGAGATTCAGGAATACCAAGGGGTTTCATTCCGTGGGGTCATATCTGCGCAAGTCTGGACAAAGTAAACACTAAACAGTCAGTAAAAGTATCCAATTGCTGGAATCAAAGGGTTATCCGATAGCTGATTTGATCTATATCCAGCTGTTGACTCCTACCATACTGTATGACTCGATTGTAACCCAACGCCCTTATATCCAGATCGGTGGTACAAGAGGTACAATCATCGACCCTCTCACACTCACAGTACCTGACTCTTCAGCAGTTCAGACCTGAGCCATTCCTGTCCTATCTGACAGGGTTAGTGAGAGTTCATCAGCAAGTCATTTCAACTTGGCCGACAGCATCCTGTGGGTATTAGGGTTGACCATCGATATCATCCAGTATCTCCCGGGCTACCCTATGGCACCTACAGACCCTTCAACTTCTGACTGCGACCTATTTTCATCATTGACATTCCGGGGCCGTCTAAGGTCCATTTTTACCATACAGATGATCCGGCCATTCGAAACTCTCTCATCACTCACTATAATGACCTTGACCTCGATCCATGTGGTTCCATTACTAATAACTACTCAGTGAGTCAGGACTAGTGAGTCCTGACTCATGACTTGACGTCCAACAGTAAGTAGATGGCATTGTACTCGCGCATCACTCATCACCCCGTACAACCACGCAAGGGCCGGTGCACCATACCCAGTCTAGTGGACCAGATGCTTGAAACTGGATCTCCCGTCTCGCCGGGCAGCCTGTCCGACTCACAACAAAACTCCCGCCAGTGCCCTGTGCATCTCTTTTTCCTCCTCCCCATTCCCGGAGACAACAAGTCCTGATGACAAATTCGACTCGGGTGGAAAAAGGTGCGCATCTCGGTTTGTAGGAGAGCGACTCGGACACACGCCCTACTATTGTACTGTAGACCTGCCCCTCATAGTGATCCCGGGCTCAGTCTCGGGCAAAGGAGCCCGGGAAGGGGAAATCTTTTACTCTTGGGAGAAGCGCCGAAGCCTCTCGTGAGTCACCAAGTCTAGAAGCTGCACTGGGCAGGAGAACATGGTTTTTCCTTCCTGCAGGGCGCATAGCGTCATGCCGCATGGCCACCCATGTCCCTCCCCTATGACCACTGCCCACTGCAGTGCCTACTAGATTGAGACCCCTGCAGTGTCCGGTGAGAGGAACAGAAGAAGACACCAAGGGGAATCCACCTATTGTTGGGGTAGGAGAAGGCGGAGAAGGCGGAGGACGGAGGACGCAGGACTAGGGGGGGCAAAAACCTACGTCGTACTACGCCTCGCATCGGGAGATGACGATGCGGCTGTGTACTTGTATGCTCAAGAGACGGCTGCCTTCCATCTGACAGGGCTCAGCAGGAGTGGTCATCGTGGTCGAACTTGGATGATAGAAAGCATGGATGGGGTTCTAGGGGGATGACGGGCCTTACTTGAAGCCATCATCATCCTATGTCAAAGACTCAATGGAAGTGAGTGAAACTATAGCAAGCACAGACCAGACTGATGAATATACCGTCGCACACGACAAACTATGAGAGGTAAGTAAATAGCTAAGTTACTTACAATAAGTATATACTTGTCGACGGGAGTCCCTTAAAGAACCTCCCTGTACAACATCGGGTTCTCTGTTCTTTGTGAGGTAACTATTACTCCCCTGAGTCCCCTCTAGTATATTCAAGATCATACACTACCGGCTAGGTAGGATATCTCTATCTCTATCTCTATGTCAACTTACATGACCCCTTCATTCCCGTTTGATGACCTCAAATAAGACGAACCCTCTTTATTTCCACCTTCAATCTCTAGAAGTCCATGCTTCCCAATGTCACAGCAGTCTCGTTTCAACTTCATGACCTCACACTCAACACTCACCTCCTGCAAGAGTACAAACTATACCCTCCACCCTCCACCCTCCACCTCATTCAACCCCCGCATATCCATCTCATCCGTCACCCGTCCCTGCCCAACCAGTGGAGCACATCGAGACACCTGCTCCCAGCATCGGCTAGTTTCGGCCCAAGTCCAAGTCACAAACTCTATTTCCCTTCGCCCGTTCCACATGCCCAAGTCACATTCAAAAGAGTGATTTGACACACAAGGCCCAGACTGTGAGCTTCCAGCGAAATACATGAACGTGGGCTGCCACGTACTGCGGAGTGCGGAGTACACGTTCATCGGCAGGAAACAGCTTACCTACACTGACCTACGCACTATCTCCCTTAAGCTACTTTCTAGGCTTCTACAGTGTTAGAAGTGGAGATCGACAGAGGCACATAGCAGGTTCTCCGTGAATGTCCAGGGACTATCCAAGGTTGACGGCATCCCCTTTACTAAACGTGTAAAGTCTTCGGCCGTGAGACCAGCCGTCGCCCCGCCTGCATGCAACTCATAAAGAGTCCTGCATCGGTATAGACTGGGCACGTATCGTAGTATTCACTACCTATAAGGTTGAGTACCCATGCTACACACGAAGACAGTTTCACACCGCTATAGGAGAGTACCTTATGCATCAAGGTACAGACTCCAGCATCGAAGAGGAAGGGAGCAGTCATCTGGAATGACCTTCTCCTACGTGAGAACATCCTGAGCCAGAAGAGCATGGCAGGGGACAGACAATTGAGGTCTCCATCTTGTATAGAGAGTGAGATTGGCTTGACGAGTCTACTGAAGTATGGAGAGCGCTGATTGTCTTCTGCTGGAGACGTGATGCTCCAAAACCGAGACCTTGCTGAGCTACGAGGCAAAAGCTACACTGCCACCGCAAGCCAGGCTTGACAATACAGCTCATTGGAAGAAGGACCCGTCCTTGTGAAGACTCGAACTTTGTGGCTGTCTATTCTAATCAGGCTTTTGTAGCTGGACCTTGGACGCGACCGGACTCAGATCCGGGATCAGGAAGGTGGAAGAAATGCTTCCCTTCAAGGAGAGCCGTATGCGAGAATGAGAAGAGATCAAACGAGAGACCAGCGTAGTCTCGAAAACCTCAGAAGAGCCCAAATCCAGCTTTTTCTATGGCGAATCTCAAATCAAGCAAGAGCCGGAACAGCCCTCAAACCGGATTCCCCGACAAAGGGGTAAAGAAGGCGAAAGGGTGATCAAGCTTGCTCTTGACATGATACAAACTAACCAGGACGGGAATTGGACGACAAAGAAATAAAATCCAGAAATCGGCTCGGGCATATGCCGGCCAGAACAGAGGGATATCATACGTGATTCAACAAATAATAAGTGCACAATGAAAAACAGATGGCAATAACAAGAGATAAGGCATACACTCGTGTACTCGGTGAAATCGTCATGTGAGGAGGCTGCGAGAGGCCAGATTCATGTCTGCCTTCTCTCGAGACCCGTCTCTCCTACCTGAGCCGTGTGGGTTCGAGAGAGCCAGCTTCTCTACTTTCCAGACGTAGCCTGCATCGAAGTATTCACCTCGTTGTCGGTATGACAGACAAAAAGATACTCAACAAGGGGCGACGACAGATACCCAGGTGAACCCCTTCAAATAGTCATGTTATTGGTCATTGAAGATGGAAGGGGTGGTCCAACCCCACTCCAGAGACACATCAGTCTCTTCCTTGCTCCTTCAGACTTCCCACCAGGTCGCGCAACACGTTCATGATGACAGCTTCATCTTTGGGCTCACCCCCAGGGAAAGAGCTCTCCGTCGCATTGCCCAGGACACGGGCACGAGCACTTCGAAGGACCTCACGGATGTAGTTCTTGTCCTCATAATCCTCCATAAGAACATTCTCAAAATCATCAATGGCTTTATTCGCCCGCTCAGTGAATGACGGCGAGTCAGGCTGAGCTGGTGGAGGCAGGCCGCCAGAAACAGCATGGTGCTGAGGCTGGTGCTGCGGAAGGGGCTGATGGTGATGATGATTGAGAGGTCCAGGCGGCGGGGGAGGAGGAGGGTGGTGGTGATGGGTTTGATGAGGCTGGTGATGCTGTGCCGGAACATGTTGGTGTGATGGAGATAGAGGGTGGGAGTTTTGCAGATGCTGCCGATTTGACGGATGCTGCATCTGCCCCGGTGGATGTGGAGTCTGGTACTGAGGCATATTTGGTGGAGGATATGCCTGAGGATGCGAGTTGTGGGGCGGTTGAGACGTATGTTGAGATTTGGGGGTGGGCGGGTATGGAGAACGGTGCTGCGACTGTTGCTGTTGTTGCTGCTGCTGTGGCTGTGATTGCTGCGGAAGCTGCTGTCCTGACATTCCTGGCGATGAGTGTGAGGGTGCTCGAGGGAATGCTGATTGCGGAGGCAGTTGTTGCTGCTGGGGAGCTTGTGGAGCAGGATTAGAGGCGTACGGGGATGTGTACGCCCGGGGAGTAGTCCGAGCAAATGCAGCGGGAAGATTGCCACGAAGGGCACTGGGAATAGGAAAAGAAGCAGGCACAGGCACAGGCGCAGGCACAGGTGCAGGCATAGGAGGAGGAACAGCAGCGGTGGTGGGTGGAGCTGATGATGACATCGGCGCCGCAGTTGGCGTGGATGCCACTACTGGAGCTGAGGTTGATGCCGATGCTGGCACAGATGCCGGCTGAACAGCAGGTCCAGGAGCAGGTACCGGAGCAGACGGAGTGACAGCGGCAGGAGCAGTAGTAGGAACGGCCGGGGCGGTCGTAGGAGTCGGAGCGGTCGTAGGAGTTGGAGTGGGCACAGAAGGCGCAGTCGGAGCCGGAGCAGTAGCCAAAGCATCAGAAGGCGGAGCGGCAGCCGAAGCTGGAGGCGCGGGATGAGGATGGGGTGGGTGTGGGCTAGGAGGAAGAGGAGGAGGAGGCGCGGACGACACGGTTGTAGAGGTGTAGGGACTAGAATGCTGTTGCTGGGGAGGCGCTGAAGATGCAGAAAATGAACTAGAGGCAGGAATAGAGGGGAATTGGAAGTGCTGTTGCTGTCGCGGCTGCTGCTGCTGAGTTTGCAATTGCGATTGCGGCTGCGATTGCGGCTGCGATTGCGGCTGCGATTGGGGTTGCGTTTGCTGCAGCTGATGTTGATGCTGAAATTGGTGCTGCTGATGTGGGTGGGGTTGTGCAAGAGATTGAGAATGCAAATGAGGGTGCTGATTCTGTAGTGAACCCGGTGTGCCCGACGGAGGGGGAGCATAAGGATGGGCCATTGGGTGCATGTACTGCTGCTGTGGAGGCACCGATGTTTGTGGCTGCGGCGGAGGAGGCGAGGGACGTCTCTTTTTCTCCTTCTCGACCGATGCTCCGGGTCGAAGTTGCCAGGACCAGCCCTTGCCATCTCGCTCGGCGTGCATGAACAAATGACTGTTACCATTCAGATTGTGCCGCACACTTGATGTCCAACCCTCTGTTTCACACTTGAAGCGGAAGTAAGGATACTTCAGCTTAAGCGCCCGATAGATCTGTTTCAGCGTCATCGGGTTGCCAGCTTCCGTCAGAGCATCAAAGATGAGCACTGCATAATTGTACGGCGGCTTAGCCAGGTCCTCCGGGCTGTAAGCAGACTCCGGAGGATAATTGGGAGATGGAGAACGCGACGGTTTGCGCTTCTTGACTGGAGGCGGCTTGACATATTCCTCAGGCCGTTGCTCGGTCGTGAAGTGGCCTCCTTCCGTGGATGGCAGTGGGAAATCCATCCCCTCACCTTTCTTCCTCTTCGTGTACTTGCGCTTCTCCGCTGGCTTGGCAGAAGACGGCGGCGACTCCGCTGTGACCGACTCTTTGATAGTCTTTCCTCCCTTGCCGCTGGTTTTCATAGGCATCGCCGGTGGGGGTGGAGTGATACCACCGTTGGCCTCACGCTTCGCGGCCATCTTCTGCTCTCGAGCCAGTTCTGCCCTCTCACGCTTCGACATGATGCCATCTTTGGGGGGTCGTCCTGGACCCCTCCGCCGCTGTGGCTGGCCACTTTCCCCGCCGGTCTCAACAGAGGGCAACGCTTTGGGAGATTCGGCCTCTTTTGTTTTAAGGATGAGCTTGGTCACCTTCGAGGGTGGCTCTTTGCTCTCACTGTCGCTGTTTGGCCGGTCAATATCATCAATCTCATGTTCAGCGTCAACGGATTCGCGATCCGCCTCGTCCTCTTCCACGACTGGCTCCTCAATGCGATCCGCACCAGTCTCCCCAATAGCGACATCGGGCAGCAGAAACCGGATACGAACACCGCCAACCTGGATGTAATCGCCGCTGTGCAGTGGTCTGACTTGGCCAGGAGAGAGCCAGTCAGCCCCGATGAACGCTCCGTTTCGGCCTATGATATGCATCTCGAAGAAATTGCGGTCGAAGTTGTACGTGATGAGGACGTGGCGGCGGGAGATACCTCGGTGGCCTGCTGCAAACCCGTCCATCGTCGCGGGAGGGTGGATCGGAATCGTGGGACAGGCGTAAGGAGACGGAAGCAACGTCAAGGCATCCACGGATCGAGGGTCAGGTCTTGGGTTCTCTAGGGACTGCATGGCGAGCAAATTGTAATTGATCGACGTCTGCAAATGTGCAGGGTTGGCGTGCAGCGCGGCCGTGGCGGTGGAAAAGGAAGTGCGCCTGGATGGAAGTTCGATTTGGGTCTCGCGACGCACAGTTCTGCCTGAGATATTCGGAGGTACGTCAGGATCGAAGCCCATGATGCCTCCACGGTCGCTGACCACACTCGTCGGTATCACGACACTTCCTTCCCGTCTGATCCGATTCGGCGTGTGGGAGTGGTAGCCGCCACTTGAGCTCTTTGCGCGAGAGCTTCGGCGCACGGCCTGCCGATACTGGAACTCTCGGTGGTGGGCAGCACGGGCTGCGCGGACATCACGGCCCAGAATGAAAGAATAGGTGTTGCAGTAGAAATGGCCGTCATCAAACTCCAGCTTGGCAAAGGCCTTGATCCGAGGCTCGGAACCAGCTACCGAGTCCGAACCATCCTGGTATCCCATGGCCGACAGATCTGGGCCTTGTGACAGGTAGGCCGCTGACAGCATATCGTTCTGTTGAAGGTTCGCCAAGGGATCCTTTGGAGTCGCATTGAAGTCGAAAGGAGGAAGTAGGGACGGCGGTTCCTCTACACCGGTTGTTTGGCCCATAGGCGGGTTCGATAGATGCATCACGTCAACATCTGGGTGGGCGATGGACTTGTCTGCTTGCGAAGTTGTGTCGAAGGGGGGAAAGATATCCTCGGAAGCTTTGTTTCCATTCAATTCGTTTGGCAACTCTGGCGCAGCCGAGGTCTGTTCTCCGTCGTTCGAGAGACTTGGGTTGGGTGGGGGGTTCGCAGTGATGTCCGGGTTCTGTTCCGGTGTACCGTTGTGATCATCCATTTGTACATCTGGATCTTGATGCGTCGAGTCGGCCGCCCCGGTCTCGACTGAGGGTTCAATCGACGATGGCGCTGGGTCAGATCCCGTGGTCGCAGGCTGGTTTTTGAGCAGTTGCGCTAGCAGCGCCCCTGCCGCAGCTTGTGTGCTGATGGTGTTTTGTGCCTCCGAGCCGACCATATCCTGATCGTCGACAGGTTCCTTCTTGATATCGATTGGAGAGGCGGCGACAACTTGAGATTGGGTATGAGAGACTGGGGCAGAATTATGCAGGTCGCGGACTGCGGAGTCGCTCCTAGGCTCGGTCGGAGTCGAGGCGTTGCTGGGTTGAGAGCCGCCAAAGTCGTACATGGGCGTATCGGGGCCTGGATCTGGCGGCCGATGGCCCACTGCTGGCGCCGTCATGGTCTGCGACGACATGGCTCTACAAGGGCGAGGAAAGGAAAGAGGAACAAAAGCTGAAGTTCTCTCACTATCGGAGACTGGGCGGTGACGGCTGATTGCCTGGCTGGTGGCTGCAGAATGCCGTACCAAGCAAAGGTGATGGGGCCAGTTTTTTTTTTTGTTTCCCTTTTGTTCTTCCTCTCAAATCACATCTGGGTTGCTTTTAGGTTCTACACCTGTGATTTATCAATAAATCAGCTGACTACATGAGGCTAAAGATCTCACCGCGCGAGTCAGTCGACAGGTGGACTTGAAGAGTCCTTGATGGATTGCATTGAATGAAAAGCCTCGATGATCTATCTCTTCGTCCTTTTTCCTGGCTCCGTACTTTGAGCAAGTACTCCCGTCTCGAAGTCCCTTGGAACCAGACGATCCTACAGGATAAATTTTCTCTTACCGCCCCGCTCGTCCCGATCCACTCGGGTGGTGTCTTTCACCGATTGGAGCTTAAGCACTACAGTACATCTGGCAAGGTAGATGAAGTAGTGTAGGTTGGGTGTGAGCATGGAACAATTCCAGTCATCGAGTTGGTCTCTCAGTGGTAGAGACTCTAGGGCGGTTGTAGGTGATCACATCTTGGATCTTGAGCGTCGAGTCCTTCCTGCCTCTTCTTCTCTTTCCACTGGTGCCAGTTGATCGATGCCGGACTTTGCATGTCGAAGCCGACATAGAGTGGAGTCGACCCCTCTTTGTCAGTCTCTACTCTCGAGTCGTTTTTCTCTCGCAAGTCCAGCGGCTGGCTTACGCTGCTGGGTTGGGAATTTTATGCATTGCCAGTTTTCTGGTGGTTTCAGGAACAGTCTGTACTCTGCAGTATGGCTAGGGCATTCAGTTGAGGGGAGCTGTTGCAGCCTAGGATGTCCGGGTAGAGTAGTAGGACCCTGGGCCAAACCTCCAAAGTGTTGCAGGCAATCGGAAAAGCAGAGAGCAGAGAGGAGAGAGCAAAGACGAGATGCTCGGGATTCGAGAACAGTAGTAGTACGACTACTGTACGCTTAAAGTAGTATAGTAGTATACTACCTACTCGGTAAGTTAGTACCTGGTAATTAGTCACCAGTGAGGGACTGTATACTCAGTAGTAACTTAGGTATAAAGACTAACTTAGTACTTGATTGATTACTTACACTCCCTCATCAATTGAATTGAACTAAAATATCGATAGCGACGCATGCTAGTATCACCCTGTTATCACCAGACTGATGGGTTCCCGATCAATTAGCCATGTCGTCTATACATTCGGTCGTAAAAGACCATTGCCCTCGACCCGTGACCGCCGAGGCTCATCACCATCAGTACCCGTGATCTGGGAACCCCTCCATAGTCGATAGACTCGATAGACTCGATACCGCTTCTCCCCCGCCATCCTCCGTATTTCTCACGCTTGGTCCCTGCACCCTTTGGATTTGGCCAGTCCATCCTTAGCCCCGAAGATTCCACGGCCCCCATCCCACCATCTGAATAGTCCGACAACGCGATGCCCAAGTTCAGAACAAAGGCCCAGACTCAGGCCCGGCCGTCAAACACCACCAACATCAACACCAGCACCAGCAACAAACCCCCCACGCCCAACTGGCCACCCCTCCGTCCGCTCCTCCCGGCCGCCGACCTTCACCTCACTCCCCTGGTCCAGGACCAGATCTACCTCATCCGTAACTTCTTACCGTCCAGTCTCTGCAAGACCTACGTGGCCTTTCTCTCCTCTTTACCGTTGACGACGACGCCCGGCCGACCGAAGAAAGATGAGGCGGTGCGGGTGAACGATCGCTTTCAGGTGGAAGATAAGCGGTTCGCAGAGACACTGTGGAATGGGACGGCGTTACGGGACTTGGTCACGGAGCGATTCGGGGAAGATGATGGTGTTGAGGGAGACGAAGAGCATGAGGATGGCCATGGAGAGGAGAGGGTCGTCGGCGAGGGTAAAGAGCAACGACTGCGGGAGACATGGGGGGGCGTACCACTTGGGTTGAACCCTAATATTCGTATCTATCGCTATTCCAAGGGTCAATTCTTTGCGCAACATTGTAGGTCTCGGCCCCGAGCTTCTCTCCTTTCCCTCATTCCAGTGTTCAGATGTGTGTCCATTCCTGAACATATAAGCAAACACATTCAAACATCCCCCCCCCCCCCCCCCCCGGGAACCAACACTTCCCACCATTCATTCCAGGTTCCAATCCAATATGACTATGAACCATGATCTAACATGTCATCCAACTCCTTCTCTTCTTCATCTTTCTCCTTCAGACGACGAATCCAACACTCTAACCTTCCTGCCCGCCTCCACCACAAAACCCCTCCCCGCACGCACCACCTGGACTCTCCTCATCTACCTCACCAGCTGCGACGGAGGCGAAACGGTCTTCTATCCGGATCCCTCACGCGCACATCCCCGGCCCTCGCCGATCGAAGTGGCCCCGCAGGCGGGCATGGCGCTCTTGCATCGACATGGGGATCGCTGTATGTTGCATGAGGGGAGGGAGGTGACCGGCGGGGAGAAGTGGGTGATTCGGAGCGATTTGGTCGTGGAGAGGTAGGACGTTATCGAAGAGGACTAGGGCAAGTGAAGGGGCAGTAAGTATCAAACCGAGGGGGTTGTTTTGAAGGACACGAGGATCATTTCCCCTATCTGAGTTCCATGGATTTTGACTCCCTTAGAGGGAGATCGGCGTCGCGTGGAAAAGGTACAATCACATCATGACGAGGGCATGGCTTAGGACAAGGAAGGCCGCTCAGCACAGCACAGTTGAACGGAGTGGCACATTCGAAGCGTGAGGCGTAAAGATAGCGAGCCACGTTGGCAGGGACGGGAGAGGGCTGTTAAGATTCCTGCCAGTCATTCCTTTTTTTTTATGCTGCCGCACTAGGTGGAAATGCTTTCCATGAGGTGACTCGAGCTTTATGAGTACAGTACCTACTAAGACAAGAGTCTAAACTGGAGAGGGCTCGTATACAGCTCTACACTCATCTAGTTATAGACGAGCTTCACGGCAGAGAGAGAGCGTAGCAATTCCACGTTTCTTAGAAGAGGATACATGTCTCTTGTACGTGTTCAAAATGTACGATGGGTGAACGGTGAACGGTGAACGTCTCGTGCAGGCTTACACTGTCAAGTTCTGAGTCATGAAAATACATTGAAATTCTACATGGATTATGGGAATCCTACCAACCGAGTATTGCAAGGAAGTCGTGGAATGGAATGATTCAGGTATCGGGTCGGCAAATCGCGAACCCCGCCAGTGACATCCCTGGGCAGTCAATCCGCCTCGGGCCTCAGGAAGTACTCCGCTTCGCACGGTGAATAAAGCCAAAAAAAAACCAAGGTCGAGCAAAATAAAACAAAAAGCATATTCAATAAGTACAACAACCGGCGGTGGGTGCTCCTTCCAGCAGAAGGCGGTGTACCTGACCAGTCCTCATGACAGGTACAGGGGGGATTGCACTGTCTGAGAGCCCGGATTGAGCTTCCAGCAGGGAGAAAGGTTGGTGAAACGATAATCATCTGGCAGGATAGATTCTGAAATTTAGAGACAATCATGGAACATATCATCAAAGTGAGAGCGCCCAAGTCAAGCGCATAGTATCACTCGTCGATCTCCCGTTCTCCTTCGATTTCCTCATCTCACAACACATGCTCGAGCTGGTTGACGGCCCGTGCTTATTTGGACACGGGAGATTTAACGTCCTCCACCTTGTAATCTGTTCGACGCATGATATCCTCGACCGGCCCCAAGAGCCGCTTGAATCCATCGCGACCCAAGCGGGCAACTTTCACATCGGTTTTCGTGACCACATTGGCCGCGCGTGGTTTGTCATCCAGCAGAGCCAGTTCACCGAAGTAGTCCCCTCGGTTGTATTGCTTGACGGTCACATCGTTCTTGACGGCCTCGGCTTCACCAGACTCGAGAAGATAGAAAGCGTCGCCGGGGTCACCCTCATTGATAATGGTCGATCCCGCGGGGAACTTGATGGGCTCCAATGCATCGGCAATCTTGGAACGCTCGTAGGGTTTGAGGGATGACAAGAGAGGCACTTCTTCCAGGAAGGCTTCGTACATGCGGCGGCGCTGGAAGGCCGAGTCCATGAGGATGCGGCGGAAGGTGATTCGATCCAACGCCCACAGGGTGCTTTTGGCATCGGTGGAGATGACCGTGGCGGCACGAGGGGCGTTATACATCAAGGCCAATTCACCAAAGGAGCCTCCAGGGCCGGTGGAGGCCACCTTATTGCCCATTCCATCGGGGCCCGGCTGTACCGAGCCAGCCGGGTGAATATAGATGTCGAAATGCCCGTTCTCAACGATGTAGAAGTAATCACCCGCATCTCCTTGCGAGATCACCTTGATATCCTTGGCGGGAATGGGCTTCTCTACCAGCGCATCGAGCACAGTCTTGAACTGGTCGTCATCTAAATGGGAGAAGAGGAAATTGCCACTGACTGCCGTCCTGAGACGGGCCAGCTGATCCTCCGTCTTGGGATGATGGGGAGGGCTCCAGCTGTCGGATCCCGCCGACGTGGGGTTCAGCGACTCTGCAGAGACGGAAGTTCGGCGGCCCAGAGCATAGTTGTTCGGGAAGCCCTGCTGCACCGTACCCGTAGGAAGCGCTGCAAGCTGCTCTGTGTCGGGGTTGTCTGCGCCTTCACTAGGACCGGTGTCAAAGGGACCTCGACCGAACAGCGAGGCTTCATTGCCCTCGCCCGATCCCGAGCCATGCTGTGCGAACGCGCTACCTCCAAAGATCGACGGACCGGCGGCATTTTTGAAGGTCAAGTCAGTTGGTGACGTCACCTCGAATTCATCCTCCTCTGCAATCTGGTCGACTGCGGTCGGCTTCTCTTTCAGAGTGGTGTTGATGAAGGGGTTCGTCCCCGGGAAAGAATTTTGTGACATTGCTGTTGAGGCTGAACAGGCCGGAGAGGCCGATACTCCGGCCACGGAAGGCGTATTGAAAACGGAGGGTGTAGGGTGGGGAAGAGACGACGAAGTCGATCGGAAACCACGCTGCGGGTAGTGGTTGTAAGAGAGAACAAAATAAGATTCTTGATTCTGAGGGAGAGACGGTGTAAGAAGATGAAATGTTGAACCTAGAGAGACAGTACGGCAATGGGTCAAATGCCAAGCGACAAGGTATGAGATTTGAGGAAGTTCAGGAAGTCCTGGGCGGGGGGGGGGGGGGAGAATTTCTGGGGAGGGGGAAAGAGATGGGCACGGAGGATGAGCAGTCGGCGTGGCGTTCAACCAAGGTTATAGCTTGCAGATGATGGAGGGGTAATCCGCAGCCTAGCTTGCAGTGAAGGACGGCTCATTGCAGCCTCTCATTGGAAACCAAGGCCACTCCAGCACGCTGTGCGGATCCCAGCATAGCTCGCTGACAGATTCTCTTTTCTATTGGAGTCGGACAGGTGCATCGCAAATGGTTCTCGCCCCAGAGACCGAGACCCTATACAGAAATCCCAACAGAGAAGGACAGAGTCTTGATTGGACTTACTAGGATGGTCTGAACGGGAATGGACGTCGAGCTTGTGCGACGGGCCGGGAAATGCAGGCCAGATTTCAGACGGAAGTGGCCACGAGCACCAAGGAGATGTAGGAACGGGGTCCGAGATATGGAAAGAAAGGGAGATGAAGAGACTACAACGCCAGACCAAATAACGAGACGAGAGAGGTGTGGAAGATGTGGTCAAAGGTCACGGTCACAAGAGTCACAGGACAGACGAAAGAGGAGGGGTAAGCCAAGGAGGAGTAAAGTTGGGGCCGGTTGGTCTGAGCTTCTTCTCTCGTCGATCATCCCTTTCTCCTCTCTCTCTCTCTCTCTCTCTCTCTCCTCTCATCGGCAATCAATAGTCCTCTTCAAGTGACCCATTGACCTCGGTTGCACTCCGATCAGATGGGCAGGGATGGACTCCATCGTCTGATAGTGCGAGGCGCCATGATTTGCGCATTTAATGGTTCTTTCTGACCGTCCTTTCTGTGGTTGTGATTCGGATAACCATACGTCTTTCTCGAAGACGGACAGTCTACTGGAGCTTCTCTCGCCCTACGGGTCTTCACTCCAGTACTGAGTACAGGGCTACCAGCCGCTTCCCTCTCCATTTCGACCATCGCTTTACAAGTCACCGTACAGGCGTACACACTGTACGATACTATGTAGTATACTCTGATGTTTGGTGCAGAAAAGGAGGCTCACACGCCACTTGGAGGATCGAGGCTGTCGTAGCGTAACGTACCTGCTCTTCTTAGCTTGGCTGCTCCGAAGGTAATTTGCACGTCGTCCAAATACAATATGGTGATGCGATGATCGACGTCACTGATTCCCACCTTCCCGACAACCTCGAGTGTCCCCATTACTGGGAAAAGTGGCCACTTCCAAAGTGACGGGTGCTCTCATCGTCCATCGTCATTAGAAGGACTTGATTATGAGTCTGTTTGATTCATCACAAGAATGACCGGGCGTAAAACTCTAACCGAGCTCGAAATGAGCCATTCGGGTGGCAGTAGTTGGCACGGGTGAATCACACGACCTTATCCTGTAACCTTGAGAGCTTCGAGACGAAAGGGGGAGGTTCCAGGCGTCTTCTAGAATACCCGCCGATGCCCAAGGAAGCTCACGGGTGGACGCGAAACGTGTGTGGTAGAAAGGGGGGCAATGTGACGGTGGCAAAGGTCCACCGAGACCCGCGTCTTCACTCTACGCTCTACGCTCGACCAGGACCGTAACCTCATGGAGGCCCGGGATGGAGGCCGAACGCCTCAGTGCATAAGGATTGAGCCTCAACCAGGCCACATTGAGAGGCTCTCTTGAGGTGAATTTCAACAAGAGGCTATCAGGGAAGGTGTAGTCCTACTAGACCAGTCACAGTATGTACGTACGGGTGCAGTCGTGACTCGAGAACCCTTCTATGCCGTACTGAGTCACGGACTGTAGGTACCTACTAGGTAGTAGGTACTACCTAGTAGTGGTTCGGTAGTTACTGGTAACTCATCGTCCTATGGAAGCTCAAGACTGCGCCAGCCCTCGCAGCGGTCATTCCAAAATGTGGTAATAGTGGTACGCTTACCCAGACGTGAGCAGAAGTCTCGTCAACTTCCGAACTCTTGAAGTCATCATGACTGTCGACCCGACCGAGCCGTTTTCGGCAAGCTGGGTCCACTGGACCCTCAGCCATCCATGTGCGAACTCTGAAAGCTATGGATGATAATCCACCTGAGCGGATCTGTGAGCGCACCGTTGTTGCAGCTGTGGTCGATCTCAGATCAATCCGTCCACCTACAGTCATCCGCAGACCAGGGAGAGATGGGGGACTGGGTCCTTCCAGACCACTTGTGGTGTAGGTGCATGTCTGGCTGTCTAGACTCTAAGAGACTTGCAGACCGCTCGGACCGAGAGTCGCTGCAGAGAGGGTCGAGTCCCGACCGTTCGAGTATCGAGCCTTCCCAGTCCCAGTAGTAGTAGTTGTGCGGTGTGATAGCTTTGCCATTTGGGAACAAGGTTGGGAACGTGCCCTGCGACCGGCTGTAGGAACTGAACTGGCACGACCTGCATGAGGAACGTCTGCCCAAGTTGCGAGAGAGCTGGACCCCTGATCGTCGTCTCCAACGTCTGCTTCATGCTTCCCCTGCCTGTTCGTCATCCCGTCGGCCTGTTTGGTCTCATGTCGCTCCATACAGAAATAGCAGCTACTCACGACTCAGTGTTGAGCGTAGTTGTGCGTAGCTGTGTCCTCCTGGACTTGTCGTGGGCGTTCGAGTCACCACAGGCCAAAAACATCACACCCGACCGCAGCAGCACTGATCACCAACCTCTCAGTGCGGTGGTATCGTCCCGAGAACTAGGGCGTAGTGTGTACGCCACATTCGCCATAGCCCGTGCCAGGGCGCCCGGAATTGAGGGACCCGAGCTCTCGAGGGATCTCGGCGATCATGGTTGCGCAGGATGAGCCCTAGGCTGATTGCCACATCAGGAAGGGTGCGTGAAGCGAAAAAAAAATCAAGCCCGGAGGAAGATCTTTCGGTGTGAAGATAGGACGAGCGAGGCCCGCGCATGATGATGCTCGTTCTGGGATAGTTCAAGAACAGGCTCAACAGTCAGCATCCATGCGCCATTGAGACAGGCGCCTACAGCGAACCTCATGTCCCATCCATGTCTTGTCGTGATTATGGCATCCTCCGATTCAACTTCAAGGTCGTCAGAGATCACCATGATTTTGTGAGAGAGTCCGAGCTTAGCCACGTAGGAAATGATGATTATCGCAAAATTTCGTCACTCCTGGTTCTGTGAGCGACTCAGACATCTTTGTGTAATCGGAGGCTGGTCCCGACAGTTGCCTCTCTGACATGCCCGATCTAGAAGAGTTGACCATCCACCCAAAAGAAAAAAAAAAAAGCTTTAACGACAGACAGAATAATAAGGGGCTGGTTGACGGGCATCGGGCCTGTGTCACGCTCCAACCCCTCCCCACCCGAACTAAGGCCCGAAGCGCCTGGAAACATCACCGCCGACGTCCACCCAACATAACCTCTTCTCCCCTCTTGTCTCTCCTCCTCCTCCTGTTCAACCTCTTCGCTCCGATTATCTCGCAAAGTACAACCCATCCTCTGTTGCAAGACAGCACACCCCCTCCCCATACAGTCATGATGGGGACTTTTACCTTCAAATGGTGCGTCCTACTGAGCAATTGGCGCGAGCGGGGCCATCGAGAGGGCTTGCTTGTCAGCTCTTCTAGCGCCTCAAGACAGTCAAGTCCTCTCGACGAAAAGGCCGTTCGCATGCAATAAACTCAACTCGGCTTGATTCCCTCTCCCGCCCCTCGACCACCCAGCGCGCAGCGCACACGCGAATAAAGACACTGACGAATCCTTTTTTCGCATTTGCATGTAGGCCTCATAGCGCCAGCGAGGTGTTCGTGACCGGCACTTTTGATGATTGGGGTAAAACGGTGAAATTGGACCGTGTGGGTGACGTCTTCATGAAGGAGGTCTCTCTGCCCGCAGATAAGAAAGTGCAATACAAGGTAAGCCTCTTCTTTCCTCCTAATCACTTCCTTTCATGTTTGTTGCCTCGCCATCCAATTGCCGCGCCTGTTCAAGAAATCTCAAAGGCTTGGGCGGTCACCCGGAAAGAGCCTCACGAGTCGGACCCGATTGTCATATCCTTTTCGCTGCTGGACCCAGTGTCCTTGCGGTGGCTTGTATGGATCCTCGGGTCCCCCTCCTCTGTCAATGCGGTGAACGGTCAATTTTGGTGGGAGCCTTGCGCTTTCAGGCCACCACATGAAATGAAACGGCCGGCGACCAGCTGAGCCAGGGCGATGACGCCTCCATAGGCTGAGCTTACCGCTGACGTCACCGACACCCCTTTTTTAATCTAATATTCCCCCCTCCGCCTTGGCCACGGTCGGAACGTATAAGAAGGATCGGCCAGGTATTACACGTGGGACATCGGAGCTTATTCAATCTCGCATTTTCTTCTGTTTTCCGACTCTTACCTGCCCTTTCTTCCCGCGCGGGTGATCTTTGCTGACCCAACCCCTGCAAAAGTTTGTTGTTGACGGCACTTGGACGACCGACAGCCACGCGCGAGAAGAAAACGACGGACACGACAACATCAACAACGTGCTCTTGCCTGAGGATATTCAGGCGCAAAGCTCGACCGAAAACCACACTCCGAAGGCTCTCGGCGACAACCTGAACTCCACCGCACCCGCCATTATGTCAGGTGTCACTCCCGATTCCACCACGGCTGCGCTTGCCGCCGAGGTTCCCAAGGAAGAGTCCAATAGTGGTCTCCCCGGTGCCTTCCCCGAGACCCCCGTTCAGGAGACTGAGAAATTGCTTTCCGTGAACCCCATTCCTGCCTCTGGTGGCCTGGGAAATCCCATCACATTGCAACCCGGCGAGAAGGTCCCGGAACCCAGCTCCATTCACACCAACACCGTGGACTCAACCGTGAAGCTGGACAAGGAATCCTACGAAAAGAGTGATAGTCTGCCCTTGGGTAGCTCCGGCCTTCCCGGTTCCAGCGCCGCCACTGAAACCTCTGCTCTGCCTGCTGATACGACTCACCTCATCCCCGAGTCGAGTCTCCCCATGGGTGGCCCCGCTCAACAGGCGGCCATGGCCGATTTGAATTACACCATGCAGTCAGCGGCACCAACCTCTACCACTGCTGCCTTGGCAGCGGAGGTCCCTCTTGAGGAGTCCAAGCTTTCCAATGGCACCGCCGCACCGGCCGCGGATGTGCCCGAGGTGGTGAAAGAATCGATTGGCGAATCGCACGAAAGCCCGGAGGCAGCCGCGAATGAGGAGGCTGTGCTGGAGAAGAAGAGACTGGAGGAGGAATTGCAGAAGCGTGTGTCAGTCGAGCAATCCACCGGCGCCCATGCACCGACCACTGTCGCCAAAGACGTCCCCGAGATCGTAAAGGAGTCGATCGCCCAATCCCATCAGCTTCCGGGAGCGGCTGGGGACGATGAAATTGTGAAGGAGAAGCTCACGATGGAGGATGAGTTGCATCAGCGCGTTTCCGTCGAACAATCCACCGGCGCTCCTGCACCAACCACTGCCGCGAAAGACGCCCCCGAGATTGTGAAGGAGTCGATCGCCGAATCCCACCAGCTCCCTGGGGCCGCAGGAAATGAGGAGGCCGTGAAGGAGAAACTGAGAATGGAGGATGAGTTGCAAAAGCGTGTGTCCGTTGAGCAGTCGGCTGGTGCTGCTGCACCTATTGTCACCGCGGCTGCTGCTTCTAGCGCTGCAGAGCCCGCCAAAGGTGTCCCCGAGGTTGTGAAGGAGTCTATTGCTGAATCCAGCCAGGGGCCCGAAGCCGCCGCCAACCGAGAGGCCGTGACTGAGAAGCAGGCCATGGAGAGCGAGCTGCGGAAGACTATCCCCGTCGAACAATCGACCGGTACTCCTGCACCAGCCATTGCAGCGACTACGGCTACGGCCACCAGCGCTACAGAGCCCGCCAAGGATGTCCCCGAGGTCGTGAAGGAGTCTATTGCTGAATCCAGCCAGGGGCCCGAAGCCGCCGCCAATCGAGAGGCCGTCGCCGAGAAGCAGGCCATGGAAAGCGAACTGCAGAAGACTGTCCCCGTTGTCGAGACTGCTGGTGCTCCTGCACCCGCCACTACCGCCGCGACCCAGGCTGTCGCTCCTGGCGCTGGCTCCCTGTCTGTTCCTCCAGTGGATTCCTCGAATGTCTCCCCCACCTCGACCCCTCCCCCTGGTCGCGCTGCTCCCACCTCGGCTGCGCCCGTCTCCGCTCCCCAGTCTACTCAAACACAGGAGGCCCCCATCGTGACCACTGGTGTGGAGTCATCTGAGGCCGCGGCCAAGTCTACTCCCAGCAAGCCCACGGATTCTGCGCAGCAGTCTGCCAAGACCTCTGGCTCTGGTGAACTTCACCCGAAGGATGACAAGAAAAAGAAGCGTCTCAGTGGGTTCTTCTCAAAGCTGAAGGAGAAGCTGAAGTAGACGGCTGGCTTCTGATGTTGGCTAGTCTACATGCGGCCTCGTCATCGGTTATTAGATTGTTGACTTGGGCGGTGCTTTGACATTTGCAGGGCCCATGTCTCCTCTGTCAATATTCAGTGGCCTGCGGTCCTCTGTTCTTACGAGGGCCAGTTCCCAATTCGAGTAGTCTCGAACTCGAAAGTATCCACGCCAACGCCAGTTCATTATTCCCCTTTGCTGTACTCCCTGCTGTTCCGCTCCTTGTCGGGACGGTATAATTCGCTATGCCCGGTTGAAGTCTTTTACGCGTGCGCTTGGAAAACTTTTCTCTGTGAGTTTGTGACACTTGATGATTTTTTTTTTTTTTTTTTGGTTTCGACCTGGATACCTCCTTTGCACTGCACTGCTGTCTCTCCGCGTTGTGTTCCAGCAGGCTCTCTTGTTTCATATTGGATTCGCACGCGACCATTCCAACGTACCTAATTACTTGTGGCTCCAGCGTGGTCCGCTTTGCCGATCATGACTCTATAGCTTAATCACACTGTAATGGAAATAGGGAATTATTCTTCCACGTGCATTGCAAGGCTGGCAGTCAGGCCCTGCTGAGACATTAGAAACTTTCGTTATTACCATGATGAAACTGAACTGTCTTTTACAAGAGACCAATGGTCCAAACTCCAACCCGCAAACAAACACCCGCAGGGGCTTAAAGTAGACCCAGGAGAAGTCGTCATAGAAGTCCATTCATCCGCTTCCATCTCCCATGGATTTCCATTCCTTCCAACCCGGGGTCAGAAAGGTATCGCATTGCTCACTTGCCCATTCAATTTCACCGGGTATCCCAACACACTAGACATCATCGAGGTATATCAGTCAGAAAAAGCAAAACAAAAAGGCACCATCATCAACGCGTGACATCTCACGCCTGGTTTGTCCTGTGAGATACTAGGATGGATAACTCCTCGGCGCGACTTACTCTTTGCCCGTTTGTGTACATCCGCAACCACAGAAGATCGATGCCGGCCAGCAGATGACCTAGAGGCCATTGGGGAAATTGTGTCAGTAGAGGGGGGGGGGGGGGGGGGGGTTAGATCTTTAGATCTTAATTGCGGTTGAGGTATGAAGAGGGGAGAGCATGATCTAGCACTGGAGTCTGAGCTGGAGGGAAGATGTCTTGGAGGTGTTCATTGTATCGAGGTACATCCGGTTCTTGAGGGACGAAGAGGGAGGGGGGGGGGGGGGGGGGGGGATGGTTTCATGCGACTCCAGGACTGTTGGGTTGGGGCTGTGGTGAGGTTTCTTCGACTTACAGCGGCGACAATAGTGCATAGGAATCCTGGATTCAGAAAGCGAGAGTTATCATTAGCTTTGACTCTAGGTTGATGAGAAGTGCTCGTGAAGTGTGCTTGTGTGTGTCATGGAGAGAGTTATTACTCCAGTTACGTACCGAGTGTAGGTCCGACGACTTTACACCGACAGGGATTCTGATCGGTGCCACATTGGATGCAGATGGGGAAAAAGAATGGAGCGTCACACATGGTGTAGAGTGTAGAGTATAGACTGCAGGTGAATGCTGCTAGCCAAAACCCCCCTCCCAAAAAACCCCAAAAAATAAACCTTCCCCCGAGGGATGAGTTCTCTTGTTGATGAGCTTTGGCAGGAATTCGCTTGCGGAGAACCGAGTCAGGCAGGGTGAATACAGTGGGTGGGAAGAGGACGGGTTTTAATGGTCTTGTTGGTAGAAAGGTTCAGGCTGTCTTCTCATGGCGCTGTGGGCTGGATCCTATATGGTCGCAAAGAGCGGTACCTCGTCTGCAGGTTTCCAAGACTCTCAGACTGAGGATCCCAGACGATTGGAGGTGGAACCGTCACTGCACAAGCATGTGCTGGTGGAGGAAAGATGACGATCGGATCATGATGACGCACTTGAATCGGGGTTGGGTTCTCTACCCGGAGGTCTGCCGGTGTGGAGAGCGGACGCCAAAGGCTTGATGTTTGATGCTTGATGTGCGATGTGCGATGTATGATGGACCCGACCCCTTCCACGGGATAAGGAGCGGTTTGCATGGAGATTATTTTGATTCAATTAAGGTGGGAGAAAAGCGGATGGCTCCGATCAGATGAGATCAGATCGAAGTGAGTAGATGAACCCTCAATTAGTTAGGTCCAATGTGGCTGTGAGACCGGCGGGAGTGAGTAGACAAGCCAGGGCAAGGCGGAACCACAGAGTCTGACTCGAGAAGGATTCTCGAATCGATTGAATTGCGGTGCAAACCGCGCCGGCGGTTGGACGGGCTATTGAAGAAGTTGAGCAGGAACTCAGCTCGGTCGCTACGAGATTGAACAGGGACGAGTGCTGAAACGTATGGTGAAGTTCTATCACGAGATCAAGCTGTCTTTGAAAGAGCAACGGCTAGCTGAGTCGTTGAAGGTACCTACCGAGAGACCTTGCGATTGAGGTCCAACGCCGTTGCTTTCGACCGAGCAAGACGCTAGTGTATTTGAACCATTGACTGTTTCAAGTCAATGGATAGGGGACTCATGTGAAGAGGGGCCAAAAGATACTACGAAACATGGAAAAAGAGGGCAAATCACCCTAGTCGCATTCAATTGTCCTTGGAGGCGGGACTGGAAAACCAGTCCGGTTGAGTTGATACCCTCAAGAGGCCCATCTTGATACCATCGACGTTGCCAGGGCATTTCATCATGCACTGGGAAGCTTCAAGAGGCACTCTATACAGCCGACCGACTGAGAGCTCGAGTTTCGAGACCCCGCGAATCTTGATTTATGGAAAGAGAGAAGGAGCAAAAGAAGCTATTGACATGGCAGAATAATCGGGCAAGCAAAAGAAACGCTGAATGCAATGGCAAACGGGTAGGGATCATGACTCTGAAATTCAACTCGGGATTGTCAGTCGATAAGTGCCTCGCGGTTCCAGCCAGTCGGCCATTCCAGGCGAGCCGACATTCCAGTGCAATTTGGAGAGAACGAAAAAGACATGGTATGCGGAACCGGCGCGAACGGGTCCGTTGACAGATAGAAATGCGATCCGATCGCAGAAATGAGTAAATGGAAATTCGAACCTTGTTTGTTCCATCGACTGCCTTCAGATGGTCGTTGCAGAGTCGAAATGAAGGAAACTTCCTCTGCATCCGACCCCATGCCAGATGGACGCAATCACATCGGCCCTGGTGGGTTGATTCTCCTTCACTGTCAAAATCACGACCTGCGCTTCGCGGCACTCTCAGACTCCTGGCCCGCATTACTCCACAGTCGACTCTTGTACGCGGGGAATTTCGTATGATTCCACATGTTGACCAGGACGCTGGACCGAATCCCAAACAGTCAGTCGAGAATGACCTCTCGAGCGGAGGTGCATAGATTTGCAAGCCAGATGGATCCTCACTGCGACAAGACAGGATCCTCCATATATTTGGAAAACTCACCTCTGCGTCTTGTCCTTGTACTGCTCGTCGCGAATCTCTCGGACTTGCACCTTCACGCCATCCTTGGTAATAGCGATGTTCTTCCGTTCCATCTTCGCGCGGGTGTTCTTGCCCACATCCTGCACAATGCTGTAGACGATATAGCCGACCACGGCAAGCACGGCGACGAAGATGAGGAGGAGGATGAGGGGGAGCAGGTTGCTGCCTTTGCTGTGGGACTTGACCATGGTTGCGGCTTTGTTGTTTCGATGTGGGGAAAGTGGTAGATAGGTTTGGAGTCGGAAAGGCGGACTGTTAGAACGAAGGTGAAGGTGAAGGGATAAAAACCGACCACGAGGATGATGCCAAAAGATGGGTCGATCCAATCGGTCAAAGGGTTGTCACAAAGAGGAGAAGTTGGCAGCGGGGGCGAGATCCGAATATGGCGTTCGAGTGTGAAGGAGGGTGAGCCTGTGAGGTAGGTACTAGAACCCGGGCACTCTTTTAGCAGGGTCTATACGGTGACTGTTGTCGATGATACGGGCGATGGCCCAGAGAAGGCAAAGTCGTGGAGACGTGAAGGAGGAGAGAAGAGAAGAGAAAAAGAGCGTGTTGAGAAGACCCCAGAAGTTCGAATTACCACAGGAGGTGCAAGTCAGCTGGGTTAAAAGTGAGTGGAGGGGGGATGATTCGCGATGGCCATGGTCACTCGATCCGATCAGGCTGTGCATCCAGTGCAGGCCTGTGGGCCGAGCGGATCAGCGGACGCTGTGCTTGGCATCCGTACTGAGCGGAGCAGCAGTTGGAATTCGACGTAGCAAAAATGGTGCTGCCTTGCGAAACGGCCGTCGGTGGAGAATTGACTTGAGGCATACTCATTTTCAAGTGAGCAGGAGACATAGGTGCCGGAGATGAGAGTCACTACTGAGTACCCGACTATAGTAGCTGCATTCTGGCGAACCGACAAACTGCGCCAAGGTTGGAAGGTACTCAAAATGCCAGAAGATGGGTTCAACACTACTACTCGGACCTAAACGAGGCCAAACCACGAGAGATGATGTACCGGTTCCATGGGTTGCGAGCAAGTCTCCGATTCCGCGCAACTCTGGTTCAGGGGACTCTCTTTGCAGCAATTACAGTGCAATGAAGGCGAAAGTCCTGCCGACTGTGGACGGTAGAGTCTACTGTAGACTCGACAGTGTAGAACGAGACTGTAGAGTGTGTCGACTCCCTGGAAGCAAAGCCATGTCCTGCTAATAAAATCTACTAGCAACGCGCTATGCACTCAGTACTGCGTACTGTCCACCGGGACCGTGAGAGAGCAAAATCAAAAGGTACCAGAATGTACCTCAAGAGTACTATCAGGCAGAAGATGGACATTTGCGTTGCGAGTACACTGTACACTTTTACAGTGTACTTTTAGCAGGCCCGGGGGGTCATGGAACCAGCGAAGTCTCCGGTCCGAGACCTCAAGACTGTGTGTATCAGGTATCCGCCAAGTCAAATCAAGTATCCTTCCCCCCCCTCCCCCCCCCCCTTGTCGGATGTACCCGTCGACTGCCGAGCGCAGGGAAGCCACTCCTGAAACCGTGGCTGTGGCTGTGGCTGTGCCGGCGCAGCGAGTCGTGGCTGGAATCGGCAATGAAAGAAATAAGATGCCGGGAAATTTACAGACAGCAATGACTCGTTCGGTGTGACGGGTCACTTAGTACGAGTGGACCGTCCCAGGTTGCTGGACAAAGCTGGTGACGGCACATTAAACAATGAGTGAAAAGATGATGCAAGAAGAAGATGATCATAATCTGAAAGCTCCGTCCAGGAGTCATGTATATTCAGCAAAGAACAATTACGCTCGGTGATATGTTCTCGTATCTATTATCCAAACATGGATCGATCCCAAATGTGGCTGGTGGCCAAGGTACAGAACGCCGATCAATGGAAAGACAAAAAGGTGCGCCATGAATGGAAGAAACGGACCCCCGATGGCACGGGATGATGGTCCGAGCTCAGTCCGAGCTCAGTCCGAGCTCAGTCCGAGCTCAGAAATGGTCATGGAACGCGTGATGGGACAAAGCATATGGATAGCTCCAGATCATTCCCAGTCACGCAGGACGCAAGAGTGCAATGGTCAATGAGGGGAGCAAATCGCAGAGGAGAACGGGGGAAAGGAGGAAGATACAGAGAGAGGGGGGAGAGAGAGAGAGTGAGAGAGAGAGACAGAGGGTATGTAAGACGTATACACTGAACTCGTACAACAGGGGGAAGAAAGAAAGGCAAGGGGGGGGGGGGGGGGGGGGGGGGGGCGCAGCCGAAGACGGACGACGCATATAAGACAAGAAGACTCTCCAGGCCTTTTCCCCAGGTCCGTGGTCCTGGAGAAGGGGGACCTTTTTTTAAGGCTTGGACAGCTGCTCCTTACGGAAGAAGAGCAAGAAGCCGGCACTAGAAAGAAATGATTAGTTGAAGACCATGGCGAGAAATCATGACAAGCTTGAGACTCACGGGATTAGCAATTGACAGAACAGGGCGACCCAGAACCAAGCATTGCCAAGAGAACTGGCGCCCTTGGTGATGTCAGGAGAGATGGGTCCTGGACCAGTGGCGTTGGGTCCAAAGGCACGAGCACAGATGGTCGCAATGGAACCGAGCACTTGCGAAGCAATCAGAGCAAACAGCATGTGAACTCGGGTCAAAGTTTGGAGCAGGATGACACCAATACCAAGACCTTGGATCGAATCCATTACACCGAGCCACAGCCAGAGACTACGCGAAGCAAGTGCACCGCTGGTGTAACCGCCCACCCAAGGGAGATAGTAGCCAGCGCCGGAGATGGCCCACCATATCTGGATAAATCGAGGCGCTCCCAGACCACAGGCGAAGACAGGAAGGAACCAACTGTGCGTCTTGGAGTATCGGCTAATGATGAATAAAAAGATGCACCAAACGAATCCGAAGAAGACGACGCAGAGAATGACAATCTGCCATGGATGGGTGTGAATCGAGTTCCACAAGACTATCAAGACACCAGATTAGTCATAACCGATTCTAGCTAGACCGCAGATGAGCAGGAAAAGGGGGGAGGGGGACTCACAGCTCCAGTTGCGACCATAGGGGGCACTGAGGAAGAAGTTCTGGAGAATGACGGCCACAAAGTTCCACAACACAATCTTTCGACGAAGGAGAGACTTGTAGAAGGAAGGAACCTTGCCAGGCTTCTGGCGGTAGTAGTTGGGCAGACCAAAGATCAAGAGAATGCCGACAGCCCAAAGGAAGGCCACAATGGGGTAACAGATTGCCCTATCACAGCAAAACATTTGTTAGTTACCTCAATACCATCTCATCAGGGGGTGCTTTCATTTCGAAGGGATACGTACGACATCTTCCAGGTGTTAGCGATGTTGTTGTCATTTGTCAAGAGACCCTCGCTGGAGGCCTTGCTGAGGGTTGAGCCCCAGTACCAAAGTGCAATCACGTAGGCTTGCTGAATACCCTGAATGACACAGGCGCGGAAGATCCAGGTTTCCACAGGGGCACCGCCTTCATCACCAAAGTTGGAGGCAAAGAAGATGGAACCACTAGAGGAGGCGGCAGCGTAACATCCGCTACCAACATTTTGAATCCATGCGCGGCTGAGCTGGCCTGCCTCAAAGTGGGCAGAGCCAATCAAAAGGAAGGCAAGGCCATACAGGAACCAGGGAACCGAGAGACACACAACAGATTTGAAGTACCGGAACATGAGCCACCAGAGGATTGATGTGATGGCGTACGTGGTCGCGATACCGTACAGCTTCTCCGCGGTTTGACCAACCTCGCCAGTCAACAGCGTAATCTGGTACGAGTTGGCAGCGATAATTTGGCCTAGGGCGAGGAAGAGCGAGTATACCGGCCAATCTCCAATCTTGATCTGCATCCACTTCTTGAGACCAGTCGGGGGAACGTAGTCCTTGCCCAGCAAGAACTCGTCATCTTCGGAGTCACGCTCGTCACTTAGAGCGATATGAGAAAGGGCGTCGTTGAATGACTCACCGGCCGGCGATGCATTGTGCTTTGCGCGATAGATAGAAGGTGTGGGAGACTTGAATCGACCCAACTTGGCGTCACGGAATCGGTCAAACCACTCTTGTTCACTCTTGACCAGAAATTCTTCGATACAAAGCTGATTCTCGGAGTTGGAACCATTGAGAGCCTGCAACTTCTGCTCGAAGTTGTGATAATACTCGCCAGTACCGTCGGTGAAGAATGGATCCACCTTCTGCAACTTGAAGTCCTTCTTGCCACCAACAACGGAATCCAGGGACAGCACCGATGCATTACTGTACCGGTGGCTGTCGCCGAGGGGGCGTGGAGGAAGGAGCAGAGAATCCGAGGGAGGTGGTGTGCCGGGACTGGCTGGTGTGTGAGTGAATTGAGGGCGAAGGGACTCGTCACTGGGACGACGTCGTGGAGAGGACAGAGGCGATGAGTAGGAGACCACTTCCTTGGAATTAGCCTGAGCGCGACGGCTCTCCTCCAGTTGTGCAGGAGTAAGTGTGTATTCATCTTCGCCATACACGCTGTGAGTGCGGAAGTCCTCGTCGTCAGACTCCTCCGCGCCACTGCTGTCACCAGACTCGGGAATGTCACTTTCAGTCTGTCCGTGACGACGAGCCCGGGCACGATGTCCAGGTCCAGAACGAACACCCAGAGAGAGAGATCGGCTCAGGCCAGACTTAGGTAATTCGGTTTCTGACGCATTGGCATCGCGGCTGTAGATGCGAGGCGAGCCAAGATCGTTGAACTGGCTGAAGCTCGAATAGCTGCTATCCCGGGAGTGAGGAAGACCAGAGTTCATTCCAGGCGGGGCGAGGGGGCTCATAGGAGGAGGAGCGCCCATGCCAATAGTTCGCATTGGTCCGTTGGGAGTGCTAGTGCCAGAAGCAGTCATGGGACGTCCGTGGCCCTTAGAGACTTCCTTCTCGTGGACAGTAATGGCCGTGGTCTGCAGGATTTCGAGGTCCTCCACCCACTGAGCGACAGGGAAACGTTGCTTAGCGGAACGGGCACGCATCATGGCACGGGTCTTGGTCTTGGAGTTCAGGGCAGCATCGATTGCGAGCTTGAATTGCATGAGCAAGTGGGATGTTGAGGTCGATTCCACGTTGTACCACCAGCCAGGCATTTGACCCAGACCCCCGACACGGGCTCCGATACCCAACGCACCCTTACGACCGAACTCGACGGCGACCAATCCGAAAGGCTCGTCACGAGATGGAATCAAGGCGAATTCGGCTCCAGAGAAGATAAACGGCGGGAGAGCAGTGAATTCGGGCTTCGAGAAGACACGGCCGGGGTAAATTTCCATACAGCGGCTGAGCTTCAGGGCGGCGAACTTTCCGTACAAATCAATCACCGGACCAACACAGATCAATTGCACATTGGGACGGGCTTCCAGTACAGCGGGCATGGCATCAGCAATCAGATCCACACCCTTTTGCATAGACCATCGACCGACAAATACGAGAAGATCAGCGTCCGGGTTTTGTTCCAGTCCAGCCCACTCTTGGGCCTGACGCTTCAGCTCGGCACGGCCAGCCTCGAAGTCAGGATCAACCTGCGCCTCGGCGTTGGGCTGCTTGGTCCACTCGCCAATATCAGAAGGATCCGGGTTCGGCAGATTGCCAACCTTGCGCAATCCCCAGAAAATGGGGTAACGAGCGTATGAACGTTTACCATACTTCTTTGAGACACCGACAGCACCGAATCCTTGTTGATTGACACGCAGATAACTGGCACCGGCGTGGAGCAAGTTGAAGACCTCACCGAATTGCACGTACTTTCGAGCAGTCTCTTCGTCCAAGTTGAAAACAGAGCAGACCTCTTGGCGCTCCTTTTGAGTGCGCATAGGCCAAAGACCTTGGAACTCAGCATTGTGAAGGGACAGGCAGGCGGGGATGGTCTGAGGAAGGAGATAGAGAGGGGCAAGGGATCCGTGATAGTCGTTGATATGGTAGAGATCGATCGGGAAACGCTTGATGGCTTCGGCGATACACTGGTTCCATGCAGAGTAGTACACAGCACTGTCCAAGTCATCCATACGAGCGGGATAAGGTTCGTTCTTTGATTGCTGACGGAAGACTGGTGCATCAAGAAGGACGTAGGTGATGTTGTTAAGACGATGGTACTGAACCTGAACCTGGAATGTGCTGCCAAGGATCGTGACCTCCATAGGGTCCGCCACCTCATCGACAGGGTAATCGATACCACCGACACAAGGCACAACCCAAATCAGGTCCTGGTGGCCCAACGTCTTCCCCATAAGCTGAGCCATGACACCAAGACCACCGATCTTAATCTTGATGGCCCAATCCTCAATATCGTACTCCATAGTGGCAATCAATACCATACGGCGCTTGCCAGTTGCACCCAGACCACCCAAGTTGGTGGTGCTTTGCATGAAACCGGCCTTGTTGGCAACACGCATCAAGGGGTTGGCAGACGGGTTGGGCGAACGACCAGACTTGAGTTTCTTCAAGAAGACCAAGGGGGATAGACTGTGTTTCTCGCTCACTCCGACTTCATTGAACTTGACCTTGTAGAAGGAGACCATGAAAATGTAGACACAAGCGGCACCAGTCAAGGCGGGAACAATCCAAAAGAGGACGAACATGACAATCTGGTAGATTTGGTTGCCAACAGGGAGAAGGCTGACGCGAAGAGTGCCGTCGTCAATCAGGAGTTTCCATGCCAGGTAAGGCGATGGCGGAGGCTCTGTGATGTTGAGCAACGTGCTTGAAAGCGAGGAAGGAGGCATGCGGTCCAGCACACTGTCATTATCCATATCACCAAGGACCCAGCTTTGGTCTGGAGTTCCGTCAGGATCGATACCCCAAATGTTGAACTGTCCAACAGCAGGCCATTCAGACGTGAAATGATAGTTCCACCGATCACTCTGAATGTCCAGATCGACGACATTATCGAGACCAGCATCGTAACCGTATTGGTTGTACGGTCCATTCCAGAAGACGTGAGGGAATCGACGCATTTTGTCCGTTTTCTCGACATTAGTGGCCCAGTTAACATCTCCCTCTTGCACGTAGTCGCTGCTACCGGTCCATCGATTCCAGTATTCAACACGGACGTGGTCGCCCTCCCACTCCTGCTTCTTGGTACCAGACCACTCTAAGCGGTCGATCGCGACATCGCCGCCGCCGTTATAGTCAATCCAGCTGGAGAAAGAGGATCCCCAGTTGGTAGAGTACCGCCATTTGTCGGCACCGGCTGCGTGATGTCTGATGAAGAGGGAGTTGTTGCCTTCATATTGGTGCAGCAAACTACTTGAATAGTTTGCGGTGAAGAAGACCATTGGGTTATCAAACTGGCCAATGCGAACCAAGAAATGATCCACGGCATTGGTGGAGGCATCGCCGTTCTCGTTGGTCGCGTTGTTCACAGTAATCCGGTGAATACCGTTGCGAACGCCAACAAGATCGCCCTCCCAGAGGAACTTGTTTGGAAGCTGACCGGTGAAATTGGCGGGGACAGGATCTTGAGCAGCGGTCACAGTTGAGCAATGCACGGAACCAGTGTCGATAGAGGCTCTCGCAGTCTTGTCTTCGACCGACGAGTTGACGTAGATGCTGTTGGTGATGGAGGCACAATTCATGCTTTCAGAGAAGTAGAATTTCAGATGCACGCTCTCGGTCCCGTTTGCCTGAACAGTGGAGTAAAGAGGGACGTCGTGACCCGGGTAGAAGTGGGTAATGGATGGCCGAGGTCCTTTGTGGTACTTCTTGGGCACATATGCACGGAAGCCGTATCGCTGGAAGTCCTTGATCTCAGGATAGCAACCAGCTTTGGCCGTGCTATTGGCCAAAGTGCTTTGTACCGGGCCATCCACCAACGTGATCTCATCAAATGGCGCGAAAAGATTCTTCACCGTAGTGCCCGAATCGAAGGGAGAGATCAAGGCGAGGTTTTTGTCGTTGCAATTGAATTTATAAGTGGTAGTGGCATTGGCATTGTGGTAGACAAGCCAGACTGGAGAGTTGTTCTCGGCGCTGCCGAAATCTTGTTTGTTCGACCCCTTAGGATCGGCCCAGGCTCTGCGCACGGCGGACCAAATTCCAGTCTCGGTCCCAGTTCCGTTCGAACCAGGATAGTAAATATATTGCGTCTGGTTTGACAATTGATCCAATACCCAGCCGTCATTGAGAACCGGGAAATTCTCTCGCATCTGGTACATGTGCTTGATGGTATTGCGGACAGGATGAGCCGGGTCTCTATGATCCTGGGTGACGTTGTTGTCTCTGCAGCCATGCAAAGCCTTCTCGAGAGGCCATTTATAGTACTGGGAGGACTGAAGCGAGAAACAGCCATGCGTGTGCCAGGCGGTGGCAGGGGACATGGCCTGACGGCCATAAATATAGTTCGAGGCAGTAGCATCGAGCACATAGAAGGATTGCTCTTCACCCCAAAGAAGGAGCGGAATACCGGGCATCACCAAAGTAGTGACGAACAAACCGAGCATCTGACGTTCAAGACCCCATCGAATGGCTGGCCATCGGAATACATCCTGGTTAGTCGCGCCGTACATGTGTCGAGGATCGAACACGCCAGTGTCAGCATTGACCAGGTCATTAGTGATCACCATCTCCTGCCACGCCTGAACCCAATTCACGGGTACGTCGAATCCTGCCTTTAATTGGCCGTCCATCCCAAGGAATCGGGTCAAGCCACGGTACGTAGAGTAATGGAAAGCAGCGCCATCGATTGCTTCCTTGCCCTGTTCACGGAGGAAATTCTGCGCCTCGGATGTGTTGGTTAATTGAACAGCAGCGTTAAAGGCCTCCGAGGTGTTCAGGCCGCTCCCCGGAGCTCCTGGGCCCTGATTTGGCTGTCGGCCTCGCCCGAGATAAACGGAACCGAAAGTGTTACCACCTGTGATTTCGCCGGAGATAAAGAAGTTGTTCTTTCCAAGTCTCCGGGCGCATTCTCGGTAAGCAGAGGACATGTCCCCGAGCGCGTCAACAGTAGCCTGGGTCGCCTTATCATATCGGAAAGCGTCGATATCCAAGGTCTGAATGACCATACAGGAATGCTGCATTAGTCTTTGACGAACGTAAGGCACCCATTCACGCAGACGATCCTGGACGGACGCGAATTTGGCCAACTGACGCTGCCAATCAGGGAAGACACCGAAGGCCTCGATATCACCATATTGATCGAAATCACTGTCGTAGCAGCCAACCAGGCCCTCTATGAGGGTCGCATTCACCGGGTATCCGTTTTCGTACCAGAAGCGAGGGTAATCACAGGTGGTATTATAGTTGTTGCCAATGTCGAAGTCTACGTAGCGACGAGACGTTTTCCATTCAGTCTTGTGTTCCTTGACCGAAAACGGGGTGGTCGAGTTGAGGTAGCCTTCAAATCCGATCAAGTCACCCATACTGCCCAAGCATAGAGAACGATGTTAGAGAAAGGATGATCATCGACACACGACATTGACATAGGGTTTTCGAGGGTTGTACTTACGTGGCGATTGTATTGTCAAACATGACATACATGTCCCGGGCGTGAATTTCGTTGATTGCGTTCTGCCACACCTTGATAGTGGCATAATGTCTGTCAAGAAGGGTGGTATCAAGACACGAATATCCGTCGAAACCCCACGGCTGATTCATGAATGAGGTTCCTGCGATATAGATACCCTATGATCTTGTTAACATGCTGCAACCATCCTACCAAGCCTCGGCCATCGGCGTACCTTGATACCCATGCCCTTCAAATAGTCCAACGTGTCAACCAAGCCAGCGACATCACCACCATGGCGCATTTGAGTCGAAGACAGATCGTGCTCGAAAAGAGTGCCGTTGATGTTGTCGTTGGTGGGATCTCCATTGACGTAGCGATCCAAAAATAATGTGTAGAACGGAAAACGCCAGTTATCCGGAGAAGGGTGGTAATCACCTGGGGCTTTCCCTTCCCATGTTCCGTTGTAGAATGCAGGGTCGATCGCAGTCTTGTTTTGGTTGAGGTTGAAGTCTTTCCATTGCTCCTCATACGGCCACGCGGTTACCGTTGGTGCCAAAAGGGCGAAAAGCCCACCGGGGAGCAGCCACCTCATGATGAGGGTTTTGGTGACTTGATGGCTCTCCGCAGCGTCTGTCGAGGGTATCGAAAGAGCTTTCAATAGGAACAATCAACAAGTGAAGGGAAAAAAAACAAATGATGAGGCCGCTCGTCAGATGTAGAGGAACATGCGCGGAGTCGATATAATGGCTGGTTGGGATTGCTGTCCAGTGATAACCCAACACCCTCCGACGATCCACGATCCACGATCCAGGTCGACAACGATAGACTGCAGGAAACGAAAGGACAACGCTCCAAAGAACGCAATGAGAGTCGAGTGGCGATGAGGTTTAGGGGATCGAAAACGAGAGATGATGGAAGATACAACAGAGAAAGGCCGACCGTAGTCGTGGGAAAGGGTCAGATCACGAAGCTAGACTAAGCTAAATGCGAGGCCATTATTTTAGTGGCGCACAGATTCAGAAAGGATAAAAATAAACACGAAAGACAGGAGGACGCAGTGTTCTGGAGCATATGAAACCTCTATGTAAAAAAGTAATGAGGCTGATTACGGTAATTGAGACCCAAATTCAACCCGCCTAAAAATCAAGAAAACTGGCGGGTGGTGGGCAATGTCCGTTTGCGGGTGGCCTGTGGATGCGTTCGATGGAATGATTGGATTCATCCAAGTCTACGCCGACAGTTGGCACTAGACCGCAAACCGCAATTATCTTCAAAATTTCATTCTGTTGTCCCGATAATTGAATTAGGGGACCACTGGCTCGCTGGATCCAGTACTGACTGGGAGGCTGGAGCATGGGCAAGACTGATTTCCTATCACACGATTCCGACACTGTGATGATTGTACTCTCTATTCACCGAATAGGAGATTCTTGTCGATACATTATCCATGTCCCAAGAGAAAAAAAAAAAAAAAAAAAAAAAAAAAAGAGTCAACCCGGTTGAGCCAGCAAGCCAGCAAACCACGAGCACCAGACCCGCTGCCAAGAGTCCACTCGTGGCTCGATGGATCAACGCCCAAAAGAGGCCTTTGCCCAAATAAGAGTAGTCTTCCTCGTATCACAATTAAGAAAGCTTCTTCGCCTCTTAATCCCTGACAGTCAATAGGGTTCCGTTGGATTGTGCTCCGCGATGCCGATTCCAGTACTGTAGAGCTGTCTAGATCTATCGATGCTGTAAGAGAAAAAAAGAATTAAATTGAACTCAGCTCCCGCAATCTCTATTGTACAAAACAGCAAAATCGCTTGGCTTGCTCCACTCGCGATAAAGTCCCTTCTGCTGGATGGGACAGCCGAGCCCACTTTGTGGCCCCCTGCTCGTACTGTACAAAGTTCCATGGGGTACAGTAAATTACATCTTTTCAGCAAATCTTGCCTTCCAAAAGACCCAACCTGAAGAACTTTGAGGGTGTTCAAAGTGAATTGCCTAGAAACAACGAATTGTATGTATTGCCCACGAGTCACTACTCAGTGTAGTACGGTACGCTTATCAAAATCGACCCGGTACTGTAGCAGTGTAGCTTGACAAGCTTATGCCGGCCGCTTTTACACCCCATTAGAGGCGTCAAGCCTCCCACTCAGCTCGTCTCGATCGAGACGGACTCCATCGGAGAAATCCGAGGTCCTGTACCACGTACAATGTACATACAGTACGAAAGTCGTGCGGTTGGTGCGGCGATGCAATTCATACCCCGTCCATGCTGTATGTAATATGTATAGCACAAGGAGGGCAGGGCGCTCGCCAGTGAGCCCAACCACTTACATCTCGCCGATAGCAGAAACATGGCTTCTCGGTACATGAGACCTAGCGCTTCGGTAGGCTGTGGAAGCGGATCCTTTTTCGCCTGGCCAGCGTGGGTCCGTGTTAGATCTCCGTGTATTATACAGTTCACTTCAGCTGCTTCAAGCTTGTTGGCAACTCGACGGTCCTTTAGCATGAAGCGCTGGTATCTCAATACAGTACAGGTATAGTACATACATCACGTTATTCAAATTCCATCGTACCATACAGTTTCAATTCACGGTATGGCGCTATGTAATGTACTTTGAAACTCAAACCAGTGACCATACCTGCTGCCCCCACAAGCACACACGACTTGGCCAAACTCGGCTGAAACAACGGATCTCGACCACGGGATTCTGGCTTTTTGCCGGTGCATACACGAGGTGACGAGTGTGCTGGGGTGATCAGAACACTTGTGATGCTCATGGAAGGCAAGACAATGTAATCTTACTTCATGTCCGTAGCTCAGCTGCCTTTACATACTGTGTGTATCTCCTGCGCAGAAGATCACGCCGCGTTCTCGATATCACACCCGTTCCAGATGGGCGATGCATGCATTTGTAAGATCAAAGTCAGCCCCGAGTCCGTTCGCAGACCTTCGTCAGAGTGAAGAGCCCTGCCCCCTGCCTGCGCCAGCATTAATGTGAGACACCTTCTCCCAAGTGATTGTGGTGTCTCAAATGTTTGGAGCCACGTACGTGAAAAACCCGGTACGTGACGAGTGGTCGTTGCTGTTCCGCTCGTTCTCCATTGGCGAGCCAGGAAAAGGGGGCGGGGTCTCTCCAGTTGATCGTTTTTTTTTTCCACGCTACAGAAGACTGTGTGTTGAAATGATCGGGATTAACTCTAGAGCACTGAGGCACTAAGGCACTGAGGCACTGAGGCACTGAGGGGTCTAGGGTCTGTGGGCTGTATAGACGTGACTGCTACACTGCTACTGCTGGGTGGAAGTGGATGGCTCTGGCTTTGGCGCTGTCGAGCTCGACTGATCTCTCATCATCTTTCAATCTGGTCCCGTGGGCTGATCGGGGGTGGAAATCGGGGGATCGTGCCATGTCCATCGGGCCCGCTGGGATGGTTGCACACGTGACCTCATCGAGCTCCTCGAAGGCTCGCACTGCAGTCCCAATTGTCATATTCCTCAGGCCTCGTGAGATCGCAATAGCGGCCATGTCAAGGCAGTTCGGTTGAATGACTATTGTCGGCAGCCTTTTTTGGTCGTTTGTAGTCTGGAGTGTGGATCATGATGCTCTACGTAAACAAGGACTCGTGCCTTTGTTCTGTTTTATGAAAATTTACTGCAGTACTCTTTCCATCTTCTCTCGCTGTGGACAGCACTCATCTCTCGTGCAGTGCCGATCACACCCCGGTCTTCAGTCTGCAGTTCTGCACTACTCTGCAGATGGGGGATGAAGAATTGAGATCGACGAGTTGGATTCTACCGATCTAATGGCGCAGGTTCTACTCGCCCATCTGGACTGTCTACTATCTACCAATCCAGTGGTACTACGACGATTGAGGGACCCTAGTTGCTCTAGTGGCCCTTGGTGTAGGCTTCTCAATCCTTCGAGCATAACGGGCAGATGTGAGCTCAATGCTGCGTACTCCATATGGGGCTGACCACGGATTTAGATCTCTAGTACTAGTATCACCAGTGTACGTACTACTGAGCGGCATGTAGCCATGTACAAACCCCACGAATCGCCAACCTTGAATAGTACTGAGTACGGAGTACTGAGTCTAGTTCTACTACTGACTACTGAATGATTTCTTCTCGGTTGTACAATTGAGTGAAGTGGAGCACACATCCAGCTCTCGGCCACCCCCGGTATTATTCATCGCGAGCGGAAGAATCTCTCACGATTGAATCATGTTCCCGAGAGCATTGATTATGGATAGCAATGATCGACCCTCGGTCCGGGAGAACCGGCACAACGAAAGATCAACATCACGGAGAAACGCTGATCCTCGAAATATACAGGAATAGAACCGGGAACACAATCACCCAAACAAACGATCAAAAGAGCGAGGAAAAAGGAAAAAACCGCAATAGGGCTGCTATGATGCCCCAGAAGTGACGATCATGGTGAACCAGATACACAGAGTTTTCGATGAATTAGCTTTGGCATTGCTTGCTGTCCTTGGATATGGATTCAGTCGGTGGTCATTCCATCGGGTGGTTGGTCTCCTTTGGCAGACGGATTTGCGGGTGTGTCTCGGAACCACCGGCTCAAGGTTCCTCCGATCGCGTGTCTTGCGATGGGTGGATGGATCATTCGACCACCGCCCACCGCCCGCTAGGTACTAATTATATCAAGATGGAACCACCATACCCGCACCTTGGAACTGGGCATGTCCGGTGTGATGGAGACATCAATTTGTTGAATTTAGAAACTCGAGCCACGACATATGTCTTATACTGCTTGCTCCATGTTGTGGATGTATTCAAGACGAGTGGCCATGTCCATGGGTGTGATTTGGAGGCTGAGGGTGTTATGGAAGGCGCTCGCGCAGTGAATATATGTCGCAATAACTTTGTCTAATTGACATGACTGCCTGGAAGTCGGGGTAAACAGACCAAGATAGTTCCATGCCTATCTGTATATTTGGGAGATGAAAAATGAGCTCGGGCTGTTGAATATTACGTTAGGCAAAGATATCCCCCCAATTTTCCTCGAGTGAGATCAATCCGTCGTAGCCTACAGGTGATGAGGTAGGTATCCTTCCATAATTCCATTACATCGATGTCGATAACCTTGTGGCTCGGTTAAGTATTCTGTTTGCTTAGGGGCCACGGCCAATGTTGACGTTACACTGCTTGACCTTGACCACGGATGTAGAAGCACAATATGGAAATACTGGTGGTGAATGAGTCGGTCATCGTCATCACCGTCATCCATTATTAAGGTATCCTCTTGCGCAACCTCCCGATTGCGTCCCGGCCGGGATGATAATTCCAGCAGCGAGTCCTCATGCTGTCGGGTGTAAGCCTTTTAGGCGCGCCGGACTGCATTTCAATGCGTGTCATTCGTATAGACTACAGTCTAGCCCCGTCGGTGCGGTTGGCATGATTCACGCACCGGCCGACTGGGAGGTTGTTCTTCAAGCATAAACGTAGGGGGATTCCCATGACTCGAGACGGGAGTTGAGTTCCACGGCGCAATCCAGGACTTCACCTCCGTCCTGGATCATCTGGATATACACCGTTACACAGTACACTGACTATGTACACTCAGGGCTACTGAGTCTACACAATACAGAATTACAGTATACAATAAGCCACGCGACACCGTCTTGATTATTGTACTCTATGGCCCGGGGTGATCCCCCTCTGACTTCGGTAGCATGGATTCATCCTCATTCCATTCTCGCGCATCCGTGAACTGCCGTTGGATCGCCTGCGCCATCAAGTTAGGGTTTGCAAGCACAGCGGCGCATCGGCACACGGGTTTAGCTCGACAGAGAAGCTTTTCCCCGCACCCTCGTGAGGACATCCTGGAAGTCCTCCCGTCCCAAACATGGAAGAGTACGGCAAGCGGGTTCGATGGCGCCCACTAGAGCCACGACTGCATTCCCCGCGCCCTCACCGCGATGAGGGGCGCACCTTCCGCACACCTGCCCATGTCTCGGCACCATCCATCTGCAGACGATCATACATGAAACTTGCCCTTTCAGCACTGAGTATCCTCTGGGTGCAGCGTCGAGAATACAAATCCAGGGGACGGGAAAGGGGATGGAAGAAAAGAGTACCTTCTTCCGGGAAGCAATGTGACCTTCTAACTTTGGCAGCCAACTTGCTCCCATCCTGACTAGCCATCCACTAGCCTCTCGACAACCAACGACGCTAGACCGCAACCGACTCTCTCGCGGGTGGGGTCCTGCAGGCACTAGTCCCGAATGGGGACTAGTGCCGACCCGCCGCTCGCGGGCATCAACCGACAACAATTTCCAGCTCGGTTGCGGTCCCGTGATTGGGCTGGTGCCTTGCCGGGAGGAGCAGCCAGGTGACGGATTCGAGGCTTTCATTTGCTGCGGTCCTGGGCGGTTCCTCTCGGGGAAACTCTGGGTACCTGAGCAGAACCGCAGAAGCGCAGGACTGCAGGCTGCAGTCCTGCAGCTCTCTGTTGTGCGGCTTCCAGCTTGGTTCCTGGGCAGACGGATCATGGTGATAGTCGGTCCTGGGCACCGCACTGGGCACCCGGGCACTGCCAGGGCCCGGTTTCTCCCATCTGGGATCTCTGGGATCTCTGTCTCTCGTGCCTTGCTTGCTATCCGCTCCACTTGGGGCGAGTCACTGGACCCCTCCGTCTTTGTGCGCCCTTCCAATCCCCAATCCCCAATCCCCAATCCCCAAGAGCATAGGAGCATAGGAGCACAGAGGCCCCAGAGCCACAGAGACACCGTCGACGCTCCCGGCACTCCTGAGGCCTCGCCGGCCTCGCCACTGGCACGCTTTTTGCTGACTCGCCCCGCCTCTCCGGGCCGTTTCCATTCATGGCGACCCAGAGTGGATGGGACAAGGTGGGCGAGGTGGACAAGGGTGGAACGACTCCCTTCGTACCTACTGGCAGTCCTAAGTCTTGATCCAGTCCTGAGAGACCGAGTGAGAACTCTCTCCCCCCCGAAATACACTAAGCTTGATTCCACCCTCTTCGCCTTTTCCGTCGCCCCCCCCCCCAAAGTTCGAACGCCCTCGCTGTCCACCCAATTCCCCCTTCTGACCTCAGTCCTTCCTTTTCCGTTCTTCCCCAGTCTTTCCGTTCCTTTGCAGACTTTCCTGGCCCGAACATCACGTCCACACACACTCTCTCTTTTCGTCCATGTGACTCGACTCCTCCATCCGTGGCCCGCTTTCTTCTGACTGCCCCCAATCCAGATTCACTCTTTTGACCTCGGGGATCTGCTCTTCGCGTGTGCTACTCTTCCATTCGTTTCCTCTCACTCTCTGCCCACCCCCTGTCTCTCGTTAATCGCTAGGTAAACGTTCGTGTGTGCCCGCGCACGTCTTCCGATCGTTGTTCCCTCTCGCGTGTTGTGTCGGTGACCTGGGTCAAGCGTCTCTCCCCTTCCCCCCCCCGTCGGCGTGTCTGGAAGGGCTTTTCCCTCGTCATGCTCCTCCAATCCTCCCTCGGCTGGGTGGCCGGGCTCACCACCCTGTCATGCCTCCTCGACCCCATCCTCGCCGCCGACATGGCCGCATGGAAGACCCGATCCGTGTATCAAACCATGACCGACCGATTCTCCCGGCCCGATGGCTCAGTAACGGCACCGTGTAACACAACAGCGGGTCTTTACTGCGGAGGAACATGGCAAGGAACGATCAAGGAACTGGACTACATCCAAGGCATGGGATTCGATGCGATCATGATTTCCCCCATCGTCAAAAACATCGGCGGCCGAGTGTCGTACGGTGAAGCCTACCACGGATATTGGCCCCTGGATCTGTACGCCCTCAACGATCACTTCGGCACAGAGCAGGATCTGCACGATCTGATCACGGAAGTCCACGCGCGCGGCATGTTCGTGCTCATGGATACCGTCATCAACAACATGGCCTACATGACCCACGGCCAGAATCCGGCGGACCACATTGACTACTCGGTCTTTACCCCCTTCAACAACCAGGATTTCTTCCACCCATACTGCAAGATCACGAACTGGAACAACTACACGGATGCCCAGCTCTGTCAGACTGGTGATAACCAGGTCGCCTTGCCCGATCTCTTCACCGAGCATGAGGACGTGCAGAAACTGTTGGAAGACTGGGCGACTGGCGTGATCAAAAAGTTCAACATCGATGGTCTCCGAATCGACGCCGTCAAGTCGGTGACCCCGTCCTTTGTCCGAAAATTCGGTGACACGGTGGGAGGCTTCATGACTGGAGAGGAGTATGAGCGGAACTCCAGCATCATCTGCCAATGGCAACACGACTATATTCGCAGCATGCCCAATTATCCCATGTATTTCTCCATGCTGGACGCCTTCACCCAAGGCAAAATCGCCAGCTTGGCCGACCAAATCGAAGAGATGAAGAACCTCTGCTCGGATGTCACGGAGATGGTCTCCTTCTCAGAGAATCACGATGTTGCTCGTATCGGCGGATTGACAAGTGACTTAGCCGTAAGCTGAACCCACTCCCTGGTCCATGGTTCCCCTCACTGACAGAATTGCTGCGGTAGATTGCCAAGACCATCCTCACGTTCACTCTGTTGTTCGACGGTATTCCCATGGTCTATCAAGGCCAAGAACAGCATTTGAAGGGAATCGCCACCCCCCTGAATCGTGAAGCCATCTGGCTCACCAAGTTCGACACCCAAGCCCCGCTGTACCAGCTCACCAAAGTTCTCAACGCCATTCGACGCCACGCCCTGACCCTGGATCCCAACTTTGTCAACATCCCAAGCTATCCCATCTATCGCGGCGGCAGTGAGATTGCCATCAGTAAGGGTGTGCAAGGTCGGCAGATTGTCACGGTTCTGACCAACCAGGGTGAGAAAGGCGGCGCGTACACGCTCCTGCTGCCCGCATCTTTCAATGCCATGACCGGTGTGACGGAGATCATAAGCTGCACAAACTACACCGTCTCCTTTGAGGGAGAGTTGGTGGTCAACATGAACAAGGGAGAGCCCCGGGTCTTCTTCCCGACCCAGTTGATGCCCGGCTCCGGGCTGTGTGGTTTCTCCGACAAAAATCAGTCCTACACGGAATTGAAGACGGGCCACAAGTCAACTACCATCTCGTCTGGATCCTCGTTGCGAACTGGATTCCTGCGCGACTCGTCTTCCACATCTGCTGTTCTGGTGGCCGTCATGCTGGGTGTGATGGCTCTGCTCAATTTGTAATTTTTCCTCCCTGACTGAAATGGCACCTGTCCCTGCGTCATTGCATCCAGCGCGAGTCCCCTTTATGATCCGTTTTCGTTCTTCCTGATACTCCCGACACTGTGATATCGTCCAGTCCCCCTCTCTCGCGTCTCGCTTGTCTTTCTTAGCCACACATACGGTCGCGCGCTGTCATTTGATTGCGCTTCTCTTTCTACCTTTGTTTTTTCCATCGACCGTGGACTATCGTACCGTCTGCGCCCTTGTCCAAATCATATTCGGTCTTCTTGTATATACTTGACATGAAATCATCCTTTGACTCTTTTTCTTTTTTTTTTGCCCCCCCCCTTCGTCCTTCGTTGCTCTCTTCCCTTTTTGCTTCTCCACGGAGGACTAGGGTACACGTCTCACTGTGAATCAAGCCCGATAGATCCGGACATTGCCCGATCATCGTTGCGTGTAACCTGTCCTTGAGCCTCACTGTCTCAAACTAGTTCATTCACTGGTGGATGCAGGTAATTTGTGCGGACCCCGGAACAATCCTGTGTGACCGAGCTAGAGAGTCCCGGTAATTCTGTACTGTACCACTTCCAAGGCTTGGACACCGAGGCGAAAGAGGACTCGTCCCTGCCGAGGGGGAGGGGGAATTGTCCCCACTTTGGTGGAAATTTTCCAGGCGTCGGGCGGCCCTGCATTTCTCCACTCCGCCGCCCCCGATCGCAGAGCTGTCTAATCCCGGTGGACAGTCTCCTAAAGTGGCTACCTTTGGTCATCGATATCAAATTGAGACTCCTGAACAGAACTGTCGATCGTCTCTGGACATCATCTCCGAGATTGTTGACAGATTGAGCATCCATTGTGGACAGCCACCCTGGCAGCAGTGCACCACTGTTGCCTCCTCGATCATCTTCATTCGAAACCAATCTGATCGGCAGCCTCACATGATCTGAATCTGATCATTGCTCTCGTCTGGTACAGGATTACTTCCGTGGCCAGTCCACTTGGGCTGCGTGCACCCAACCAAGTACATCCTATGATCCTACATCCCATCGCCGCCCCCGATGCTCTCCTTATTCTCGTGCTGGAGTCCGCTCCGCCGGCGGGGACAGCAAGTGTGGAAAGAGAAAGAAGGTCAATATGAACATCCTCCCGATTTCGCCTTTCCCTCTCAATTCTGGAACCTCCGATCCCCTCTTCTCCCGCCCCAGTATCAAACGGACCGCAGACTAACTTTCAAGTTGGTGTTTATTCCCCTGTTTGATATGCACAGAAGCCGCAGAGAATCTTGACCAGCTTCCCTCCTGGGACGCACCGGACGAGAACACGCTAATTCTGCAGGCGTTCGAGTGGCACGTCCCCGCGGACCGGTGCCATTGGAAGCGTTTAAAAGCGGCGCTGCCGGATTTTAAAACCATAGGCGTGGACCAGTTATGGATTCCCCCCGGCTGTAAGGGGATGGACCCGTTGGGCAATGGGTATGATATCTACGACCTTTGGGATCTGGGGGAGTTTGATCAAAAGGGAGCCGTTGCGACCAAGTGGGGCACCCGACAGGAGCTGGAGGATCTGATATGCGAGGCCGAAGCCTTGGAGATCAAAATCATCTGGGACGCCGTGCTCAACCATAAAGCCGGTGCTGATTTCCCAGAGGCATTTCCGGCTGTGGAAGTTGATTCAAAGAGTAAGTTTGAAGACGTTGATCGATCCCTACGATTATTTATTACCCTGCTGGGTTGTGCGAGGTCGCCCTCGGACAACTTGCCCTGCTAGGCTCGCTCCATGACTGGGTTGACTGAAATTCTTGATTGACCTTTTCTACCGTATCTCTAGGACGAGATGTTGCAGTCGCTGCGCCATTGGAGATCGAAGGCTGGGTCGGCTTTGACTTCCAAGGGCGAGGAGATGTGTACAGTGCGATGAAATATCGCTGGCAGCATTTCACCGGCGTCGATTGGGACCAGAAGCGTGAGAAGCAAGCCATTTACAAGGTTCACGCTCCGAACAAGGACTGGGCGACCGATGTCTCTCCAGAACTGGGCAACTACGACTATCTGATGTTCGCCAATCTGGATCTTTCCGACCGTGAAGTTCGTGATGATTTATTGAACTGGGGCACCTGGATCACACAGACCTTGTCGCTTGGTGGGATGAGGCTCGATGCAGCCAAGCACTTTTCGGCCAAATTTCAAAAAGACTTTGCGGACCACGTTCGCCGCACTGCGAATCCAGATCTTCTCGTGATCGGAGAATACTGGACGGGGGACGTCAAGGCCATTGAAAAGTACTTGGACCAATGTGAGAACACTGTCGTGGCTTATGATGTTCCCTTGGTGGAACGATTCTCCAGGATCTCGCATATCCGGCAAGCAGATCTTCGTGGAATTTTCCGAGATACTCTGGTTCAGCGTCGACCAGACCAGGCTGTGGTGAGTGTCTACCCCCCTCTTGTCTATGTGACCCTTACCGCGACCGACACACTCTGTCATTGCTTTTGCGGGTGAAATGAGCAAGATCACTGACTTTTGAGAATAGACAATCGTTTGCAACCATGACACGGTAAGTGGCGTTGTGCCAGACCCTTTCACCTTGTGTCTACACCAACAGCTTGATTTTTGAGGCGCTTACCCGCCTCGATTCTGATTGGATGGACCCGAACTGACTCCGTGACTCTTTGGGCGTAAACAGCAACCAGGACAAATGCTCGAGGTAAGCGATCTTCTCAAAGTCAATCAATGTCACCAGATTGGTTGGATTGCATTGTTATCTCTGTTGGCAAACACTCGTACTGACTTCTTAATGAGACCCCCGTCAAACCGGCTTTCAAATTGCTGGCTTACGCATTGACCCTTCTCCGCAAAGATGGCCGTCCGTGTGTCTTCTACGGCGACATTTACGGCATTCTAGGTGGAAACAACGCGAGTCCGATCGCGCCACCCTGCAATGTACAAATTCCCTTGTTGACTCGCGCTCGGAAATTATATGCATATGGCGAGCAAGAGGATTATTTTGACCAACCAAATTGCATAGGTGAGTGTCATCTATGCTTGCCTAATCTTTTTGTTTTCCATTGGGTCTCGCCCCCATATCCCCCCCCATCTCTATGCATTGACCTCGCAGTATACCCCTGAACCATTCCGTCTACGTCGATGGTTGACTGATCATCACCTGTATTACTCAGGATTTGTTCGATATGGCAATGCGCGTCACCGCTCCGGTCTCGCATGCATCATCAGCAATGCAGGTGCCTCGAAAAAGCGCATGTTTGTCGGTCGGCCGAAAACAGGTCAAGAGTGGGTTGACATTTTGGGGAATCAACCGGGCTTAGTGATCATTGACAAATGGGGTTATGGAATGTTCACGGTGGATGGAATGAGTGCCAGTGTCTGGGTCGAATCAGCCGCCGTCGTCTCCGGTGGGATGAACACCCGCGAAAAACTGTGAGTGTGTCCCGGAAAGTCAAGGAAGTATGAACGCTTCCTTTGACAATTTGCCTTTGCCTTTATTGCTCCCATCACGATCCTGACCCTGTTTATCTGCATGTATCGGGTTGGCCTTGGTCTCTAACACCTTTTTTTTTTTTTTCACTAGCAATCTGAACTTTTATGAATACTGATCCGGGGGGGGGGGGGGGGGGGGAAGGCGATGGGAACGACACACGAACTCGGAGGCCTAGTCCTTCATTGCCAGAGATATACAATTGAGAACGGAGAGGGACCCGAAGTCCCTCGCATGGAGTGAGAAAGAAATCAGTGACATCCGAACAATCTGTGAGCAACTTTCAGACACGCAGTACGTGCAGTCGTACACCATATAGACTTGTGCACACTCTACTCGAGTGAAAAAGAATATACAATGAAGGCATCCGCAGCCTTTAGTTCTCGAGACGTTCCATCATATCGAGCATTGAGCATTGAGCATTGAGCATTGAGCATTGAGCATTGAGCATTGAGCATTGAGCATTGAGCATTGAGCACTTTGCATCTTGCATCCTCGCCTAGTTCTACCTCCATCTATCCATGCCTTTCTTTCTTACTAAGAACCCGGTGTAGGAGCTGAGGTGTATTCAGCTCCCTTGTCCCGCGCTCAGCCCTATCTTAATAATCGACCAGCGGGTCTGAACCGTCCACATCCACCGTCTTTCAACGTCGAATATATCGTGAATCAAAGGTCGACCGCTACCGCCTTTGCCCCCCCAGGTTGTAGCATTTGACGACCCTATAGACTGTCCTGCGTTGATCAGTTCCAGCTCTTGCTCTACGGCCTCATCCAGTCCTTTCATATTCATAGAACCAAGCAGGAAGATCAGTGTAGTAACGACCTCGAACAGCCCTCTTATCGCGCCCAACAGCACCTGAACTAGAGATCGTCATACTGGAGACAGTTCTAATGGAGAGGATCAACTCAAAACTGGAATGTCAATCCAGTGATGCACTCTTGGAGGACTCCCTGAATGGGGAAATAGAAAGCCATCTCGCAAAGGATGAGACATTGTGCAAAGCAGCCACTAAGCGGGTGGACAGTGGATATAAAACCCCACGCTAGTCAGCTCGTCACATTAATCCTCATGGCACTGTGAAGTGTGAATGGTACCCTGATGATCATGAGCTCAGACTTGTACCGACTCCCGAGTCACCGACTACCGAGTGGTGAGTACTGAGTACTATACCGACCGGCGACTAGTACTGCTATATTTTCCAGCACGATTGTAACGAGGTCGACCACCACTCTTGTTGGTAGTTGGTAGTTGGTAGTTGGTAGTTGGTAGTTGGTACCTGCCAGGCTGCCACACCTGGTAGGCTGGTACTATTATACTACTGTACCTGACGCCGATCCTGCCCTGAACCAGTCCATCTTTTTGCCTTTCTTCCTCGGTGAGACATTGGCAGGGGGTGGAACCCATATGCAGCCCAGCCCACTTGATATCCTGATGAGTGTCAAATTGTCAATCGCTCAATCCTTCTGATTCCTGACTGGAAGCGCGAACCGAGCATTGAACAGATCGCGCGTCGAGGTACAGTGAGTCCACTTGACCTGGCCTTTCCATAGGTAAGGTTGTCTATGAACGAATGATGCATGGTTCCATAAATTCCACCACCGGTGCCACCGGACATGTCCATGGTTCATGTTTATACTGAGCGTTTCTTGAATGGGTCGGCCCTCTATGTATTCGGTTGCCGGTGCATGGATCCAGCTTTGGGCCGGAGAGAGCAAAAATAGAAATCGATTAGAATCATATGGAGTAACATGGCTCGATGTCTTGGATTGTACATAGCATCTCCACGATAGTCCCGCTATCAAATGATCAATATTAGAGGACATTTAACAGATACACGTTGATCACCTCATGAAAGAATTCTCCAGTCCGAACTACGAAGAGCTTCACCCAATGTGTTGCTATCAGTCGGATGGATGACTCCGCCCCGTTGAGTCGAGTCTCCATAGAACTTTCCCGAGGGTAACCTCACATAGAGAGTCTGTTGCTTCATTTGTAGATCTATTCAACTGGAGTCCAGGTTTACACGCTGTCTCTCACTCTCTATTGAATCTACAACCCACCAAACAGAATGGTGCACTACTGCACTGTTCAGGTCGATCTTAAAGCGCAAAAAGGCGAGACCCCCGTTAGACTCTTCACTCTCCTGTGTTTTCTATCGTCCATGGTTCACAATTCAGCCAAAAAGGCAATCGCAAACCTAGATGAGCACTGATATGCCAAGTAGTCTCCAGCCCCAGCTAGCTACCCAGCTTTGCTAGAATGTACCAGGTGGCAGGTACCGACTCCGATCCCACAGAGTTTCTGGGGGCTGATATTTGCTACATGAACTTACCGAGGATTCAGTAATCACTCGTAGTAATCAGTAATCTTCTCAGCAGTATCATTGTACCATATGTTCAATGTTGTACCGGTGTACCAGTGTCTTTTTTTTTTTTTTTCTTTCACAGTCTCACGCTCACTGCTGACTCGTTGAGTCTGCTGACAACTTGGCAGACCCTGATTGCCAAGACGAGCGTCTTTCGGCTGAATCCCTCGCTTTGGATGACCGTTTTCTGGAAAGTCTCCAACACGAGAGGTGGTCCACAATGTCGTCTGTGATGGAGCACGACTGTAAGACGGAAGTAAAAACGTGGATGGGTACTGCAGTATTTGTGAAAGTTAAAAACTCACACATCAGTGACATTACATAATGTAATACAGTACAGTTCCAGACTTGCAAGTTCCAGCAGGACCAGAACCACATCCTCGGGCTATTGTACGATCCCCATAATACAACATGTATTTGTTGAATAATATCACATTATCAGCCTTGGCCGCAGCAGGTGTCCCCCACGGCGCGACATTGAGGGTAACCTCGAAAGATCAAAAAAGTACTGACCAGTGACTACTGAGTACTGACCGACTAACTGAGATTCTCAGAGTCTCAGACTCTGAGACTCTGAGACAGAGACTGCACGTTACATGTCTCTATGTGTGACAGTGTCCACCGAATAAGCAATGGGCCAGCTCCGTTCCTGTCCCCTCCCCCTCCTGCAGGGCGTTGGCCGTTTGCGTCGCAGCCCTGACCGTCGCGATTCAAATGAGGTAATGGACACGCAACGGTAAAATAAAAGGGCCTGGGCATGCAGGGGAAGGGACCTGGGATCACTGGTCATTGGGCCTTGGGGCTATCAAATCTCATTTACCCCTGAAGGGAGGTGGTGGTCTTGGAAGACTAAGATGATGTGTCTGAACTCGGAAGGCAAATGGACCAAAGAACAGGGGGGGGGGGGGTATTGCAATTATTCAACTTCAGTGATGATCGTATCATCGGAGTGCTATGTGTAATTTTGCTCTCGATGATGGTGTGTATTGTGATAAGGTGATCAAGGAAAGTCTGCTGTAGCCTGTCACTACAGAAAAATAATATTTTTCCAGCATATCGTAAACTCTAGAAAATTATGTACTGTACATTGTATATACCGAGCTACTGCAGTTAGCAATATCGAATTTGGACGTGTGTGACTGTAAAGTGTAAACTCTATTGTATTAGTCGAAGTATGAATGACTGTATGTATGTACCTTGAATATTTTCGGACTGCAAATCAGTATAATACATCATGAATACATACCCTCACATTCCAACAATACATCTACAGTATCAATACCAAACCCTCGTCGAAGTCGTCAGGTAACATGCAACCACAGCCGGGGATCCCGAGTCCACGGCCACCACCCGCAGGATCCAATTGTGATCGATCTCCGCCCAAGCGACCAGCCCCACCGGGGCGTGTGCCGGTAGCGCATCCGCGGCTGAGTCCGACTGGCCCGATTGGTATCAATCAGGTGTTGAGATAGTCCGATATGGACTGCTGAGCGGCGCAAGTTCAAGACATGGATGATCACAGACCACATCGGGCTACTGCAACAGTGCAAACGGCAAACACCCTATCTTCCCGTCGAACTTCCTCTCAGGATAAGGCCGCCCGAGTGAGTCGCGGTTGTTGGGTAACTTACATGGAAATGATACGGCACGAAGGATACTGGCTGTGATACTTGGATGGAATTGAAGAAAAAAAACGAAACAGTAAAGGAAAAAAAACTGACAGAGCTACATATCTTCTCCATTGTTAGTCACAATAACACGAGGTCATGTAAAAAAATCTTGGAAGAGCCAAGAGGTTCCTTCTCTGGGCCATGAGCATAGAAGCGTCCAAGCTCACAGTCCAGCGTGAGGCTGGAAAACGAAAAGCTGGAAGCGGCACTCCCCTAAAACCAGGTGGGTCGTCCTTGTGCCGCTACACTTTCGCCGCCCCGAAGGGGTCTCCCAAGAGGTTCCCAAGTTCGGGCAAGGATCTGTCCGAGGCGAGACATCTTCCATGAATAGGCGAGAACAATGCCAATCACGGCTCTGAGTCCTTCGTTCCTGTGGATTCAATAGAGGCTGGCCCCAGGTGGGTAATTGGTATTGTCGGTCTCTTTTCCCTTTCGCGTTTGCCAAACAAATAACACCCCTTCCGAATGCGGATTATTCTTTGCTTTGTGAGTGCTTATGCAATGTCCTGTACAGATCACACCCCATAACAATAACTTGTACTGGTCCGACTGGAGCCCTGGGCCGCCAAAACCCTGAGAACCAACTCGGTATTTCCTCGGTACCCGATGGTAACTCACGCTCAACACTGGTACACCCAGGTACAGTAGTCCACAGATCAAGCTGTTTGTTGTGCCCGGTTCAGGGCGACGTGCCTGCAATCAGTAGAACTGTACAAGTGCCCTCCACTGGAGCGCGCGTTCCATGATTCGCGCCCCCCCCCCCCCCCCCCCCATATCATGGGGTCAAGATGGATATCTCTCCATTCCAAGGCTCGTGGAGGAGTCGCGCAGCCAAAACTCCTGCAATAGCAACACTTGCTTTTTGTCTTTGGCCCATGTCATAGGTCGCTGACAAGCAATCAGATGTCTTGGAATTTTTCTGGGAGGACTTTCCCGGTCAGGTTGGCACATAGTAGTATGACTACTCGTGCTGTACCCGGGTTGGGTCATCATTTGACTCGGATATTATTAGAATATGTTTTTTTTTTTGCCTTCCCATGTCTTAGCTGCGCTGCGCCGCCCGGTTGCGGAAAAGATGGTTGATTTTGGATCGTCATTGGGAGTTTGGGTTTCGAATCAGTTCTTCGTAGAGAATTTATATCTTTCAGGCAACTTCTTGCTCATCGCTCTTTTTTCTGTTCCTCACACACACTCTCTCTCTCTTCATCCCTAGACCGTTGTTTTCTCTCAGTGCTCCCTTTCCCCGTCTTTGCATCCTTTTCAAGTGTTCAATCACTCGTCACTCGCTACAGTCAACATGCGTTTCGCTACTCTGTCCATGATCCCTCTGGCCGGCCTCGCCGTTGGTATGTCTCCTCTCGCGTCGCGCTGTCGGGAGTTCAGCGCTGAACGGACAACCACCTCGTTCGCACATTGTCAGAACGTGGACTAATTTGGGTCTTTTTCAATCTCCAGCCCTGCAGGTCACCCAGCCCCAGAAGGGTGAGGAGTTCAAGACCTCCGACTCGATCACTGTCAAGTGGTCTTCCGTCAAGTGAGTATTCCACCCCATGTCGCACCCTTTGCGGGCGCTGCACACCCGACACGGGGTTATGATCATGTACTGACCAGAGTCACTTCTCAAACAGCACTGACGTGAGCTCCTTCAACATCTACCTTGTTGACAACACCGTCTACCCCCCCGTCAACAAGGAGATTGCCAAGAATGTCAAGACCTCGGACAACACCTACACCATCAAGGACCTGTCCGGCCTGACCGCTGGGTGAGTTCACATCTCAACTACCAAGACAGGCGACCCATTTCGCCATGTCCCCAGGAACCCCTTGAGCATCTCCGATACTAACAATTCTTTTTTTTGTAACCAGCCACGGCTACCAGGTCAACCTTGAGTCTGACTCGACCCAGAACACTGGTATCCTCGCCCAGTCTCAGCAGTTCAACGTGACCAGCTCTGCCCAGAGCTCCTCTTCCTCTTCGTCCTCTTCTGCCTCTTCTGCCTCTTCCACCTCCGCTTCCGCTTCCACCGACTCCTCCTCCACTGCCACCAGCACCCAGTACTCCATGACCACCGGCACCACCACCGGTACCTTCACCACCACCTCTGGCACCCAGACCCTGACCGGTACCACCACCGGTACCTTCACCAGCTCCGTTGCCACCGGCACCACCACCAACACCAAGGCCGCCGGCAGTGGTTCCTCCACTTCCGGTGCCAACGCCAGCGGCACCTCCGGCACTGCCGTCCCCACCGGTAACGCCGCCGCTGCTGTCCGCCCCGTTGCCGCCCTCGGCCTCGTTGCTGGTGCCCTCGCTTTCGCTCTGTAAATATTGAGATAACGAAAGTCTTCTTCAGTATGAATCATGATGCGCAAGTTGAGGTGGGAGGGCTTCGTTGTGCCTCGAGTGGATGTGGTCTGAAGTAGGGTGGTTGTTGCGGTTGTGGGTTGTGTACATGTGTGAAAGAGGTTGTTGATCTGTGTATCTTTTTGTTGGTGTGAGTAAATCAACGCCAAGGATCAATTGGCTCTCTTCCTTTCCTTTCTGGTTTCGTTTTTTGAGGAAAGGAGAGAGGTTTACATGAAATTCTTTTTAATGATAGATGGAAATACTGTTCTCGTTTTTTTTTTTTTTTTTTATCTTGGGACTACATTACTCTCTCATGAGGTCCGCTCCTTTTATCTTTTTTGGCTTATACAGTATTGCCTTCACTCCTTTCTCTATTGAACATCTTTGATTGTTCACGACGACATCCTGGTATTTCGAGGCTGAAACTCGTGAACATTTCTACCAATATATATACATAAAAAAAAAGTATAGAGCCTAGCTGAATTTGATTATGATGTGACGGTTCTACCCTGTTGCCAGCATGTGTTAGAAGAGGTCTAGGTACTCAGGGCGATCCTTGGAACAACGGGCACGTTTGCCGAAATAATGGGACCTAGCTAGGTAGGTCCTAGATACAGGACCTTCTTATCATGACATACGTCTTGGATAAATGAAGTAGATAAGATAATGAGAACCTTGTAGCTTGTCTTTCGGAAACCCTCCGTGTCATCTTCGTCGTATCACAAGACGCTCACGCAGTCGAGCCTTGGTCTGGTCCATTGCTTGGAGGTTTTTATCTGATATTGCCAGAACATGTGACTGCATGTCCCATGACGGCCTTTAACTTACTAGGAAAAACCTCTATCCCGCTCAGCCGTAGCAATCTCGCCATCTCTTTCTCCTTTATCGTGGCTGCTCTTACCTCGCACTACTTAAGAGCCATGATACAAGCCGAGGTTCATGAGCGTCTACACGAGACGAATCAAATGCGCCACTGTCTTCCAGTGAGCTATCCCGACTCCCGAACCCTAGTCCCTACACATGCAAGTGAGCTTAAATGGTGAGAATCTAGTTGATCGAGGTTGGAGAATGACCGAAAGTCCGATTCTCACATTCAATCAATCGCGGTGACTCTTTGGAGTCAAGCAACCACGATCAAAAGCGGGCACTTTTTTTTTTTGGAGCCACGCGACATACACCCCACGATGGACCTACAAGATCACCCTGATCCCCTGATCAATCCAGACTAGCATAGTAGCTGTAGTCCTGGTTCAACTTGTAAAAGGGCTTGGGCTCGGGCTGGTTGCTGCCTCCCTCCCAGCTAGGAGTCAACAACTTCTCAGGTGCATCATCCCGCTTATGATCCTTGAACACATGCTCGAAAGTCTTGGCCCACTGTACACGGTTGTTCAGACCTTCGAGACCCCAAAGCTCTTGGAGGAAGTGCAGAATCGAGCTGTGGGTGTAGGCGCTGTCGTCGGCGTAGGAGGTACCGTCGTGGTGAATCAATGTGTTGGCGGAGATGAAGGGGGAGATGAGGAAGGCGGGGACTCTGGAATTCTCTTCGTTAGAGTTTTGCTCCCTCTTGTTGATACTCTCGAGTCTTGAAATGAGGAGTATCTTACCGGACTCCCAGTCGAGTAAAATCGTATGTCACGGCACGGCCCTCGGATTTGCCGGTGAAGCTTATCTTGTCGTCGGGTTGCGGTACGTTGATTGGAGTGGGCACGTGGTCGGCGAAGCCACCGTGCTCATCGAAGTTGATGATGAGAAGACTTATGACGGAAGCAATTAGATATTCGAGGCGCCCAAATGTCATCGCTGGGGACGGGGCTTACTCACACATTATCCCAGTACTTGGACCGGCGAATCGCATCGTACAGGTGCTTCACCATCTGTTCACCGGGAGCCATGGAGCTAGTCGGGTGCATCGAGTCAACCGTGCAGCATTCAGGGTTGATGTAGGAGAATGTTGGCAGTGTGCCCTGTTCCAAGTCACGGTAGAACTCATCGGCATGGGCCAGATGATCCATTGCGTTGTCTTGAACCCACTATCAAAAAGTCAGCATGACTGCAAGAATGAATGGATGGAATGATGTAGAAGAGAACGATCATTTACCTTGTACATGAAGGCATCGACAATGTCTGTCTCGTAGTACTGCGAAACCATTCGTAAGCGGTTTTCTCATACACTACAACACATCTCGATATCTCTCACTCACATTTTTCCAGGAGACATTCTTCTTGCTCAACGACTCGAAGATGGAAGTGGCGCAAGTGGTGCCCGTGACATTGTTCCAGAATCCAGCAGACTGGTCAGTATTGTCAACAAAGCCGCAAGTTGACCCAGAGGTGGCAAATTGTCGGTTTGGGTTCGTTGGGCCTGGATGCTCCGCGAACTATCGCTCAAATCAGCACCAATTCTTGTCTCCGTTGAACTTGGATCTTGGCAGGGAGATTCATCCTCCACTCACATAAGCGTCGAAAAAGGCAAAGTTCTGCGCCAACTGGGCCAGCACGGCCGTCTTCTTCTGATCATACGCCTTGATCACAAAGGCAGCATCCCCCGGCGTCGACTTGTACTTCTCCGACTGCCGTTCGACGAAGCCAGCCATATTGGGAGCATCATCATTGGTGATGTTCCACTTGCGGAAGATCTGATAAGTCACTCCGGCAAAGTCGTGATCCGGATCGACCAGAGGAACCTCGGTCTCAAAGGGACCAGCGCAGATCTCGAGCGGCTCTCCCCATACAGTCCAGTTGGGGTTGGTGTACTGGTTACAATAGTCGATCTTGCGCAGGTTGTCAATGTGGGGGTTGAAGTCCCAGTAACCGGCAATGTTATCGAAGGAGTGATTTTCAAGGGTGAGGTAGACAACGTGCTTGATCTGTACGGGGAATTCTGCCGTATCAGTGGGCTGCAAGCAAATCTCTCATTGAGAGCTCTCTGGGCCATCTCTCAGCAGACTCTCGATACTGACATTGTTGCGCAGCTTTTCCCACGTGCGGCTGTTATGATCGGCAGGGAGCGCCGATGTGGCTGCCATGAGGCCCGACAGGGCCGCGAGTGTCACGATTGATTTCATTGTGCCTTGACAGGTCTATTCGTCTAATCGCAAGACGGATGTATGCAACATGCAACCTCACTGAGCTGACAACCTGGAATCGAAGCATTCAAGATGGGAGGGGGGCAACCGTTTAGCATTCTTATAGTCCCACGCGAATCTCGCGACAATCCTCCCGCTGGTCTACACGGGTTGGCTTCGCTCCTGTGCTGAAATTGATCCTGTCGGCACCTTCCAAATGGAGCTTCGATTGCAAGAATGCAGCTTTGAGTCTAATCATCTGGCTGCAAGTCCACTCGCGACGCTAAATCTGCAGGCGAAGGCGCAGATCGCATGCAACTGGTGGACTACTTGGCATGACTGTTGGATCCCAGCCCTATCAACGGCCTAGGAAGTCGCACGATCTTCTTCACCTTTATCGCCTCCTTCCTGTTCGTCTTCTTTACGACATTGCCGGAAGGCGTTTACGAAAATTCCTGGTTCGGACGCCAGCGATCGAGCCGTTGGACCTGCTAAAACTGACAAACTGATCTTTGGGCGGCGCCGTGACAAAGGCAAAAGATCGACACGACCAAGCTGCGAGACCCGGTGGGTATTTTACTATTGATGTGAGCTTTCAAGCGATCTGCTGAAGATCAAAAACAGAGAGCTGTTCTGCACCCTGCATTATCAAGCATCAACAGGAGCACCGAGGTGCGGGTGAAGCTGTCCGCCTGTTCTGGGAGATTGAGTGAGCAAGCCGAGATTATCGTCGGATCACACGGCAAGATGACCGAGACTAATGATATCGGCACGCGGACCAGTGCGGCTAATGGTAGAATCTATGAACGTGACTGGCTCCTCATTTGCACTCCATATCTGCAGGTGAAGGAATTTGTTGATCTCGGAAATTGGCCACTTAACTCTCTCTAACCATCAAGCCCAGAGTTGGAGTCTTCTCCATCTGAGCGGTTTGTGCCATCGGAATTGAGGCCAATGACTCTCTTTTAAAAAAAACAGTACGACCGTGCATCAATGCTATAGGGACTCAGGGAGTGAGATTATCTGGGAAGGGGATTTGATTTGGTACCTGGCCACAAGTTGGGAAGGTAAGTAGTTGTAGCAGTACGGTTGGTTATACGGTAGTTATCATAGTACAAGTACTACAAGTCTACAACTACTAGCACGGTACCAGGCAGTAGCACTGTCCTAGCTGGTCCACTGCTCCACAATCCTTGCACTCTTTCGTCCTGCTGCCTCCCACCAAGCCAAATCCGCCTACCGCTTTCGATACAAAAGCACAAGGTCGGCTGAATTCCTCCGTGCAGACCAAGCTGACTCGATCCTGTCGAGGCGAAATGCAATCAAGCCCCGCGGATTGGTGTCAACTGGGGAATTAAGCACTAACGAGCTCCATCGGGCGTCCCTCAGGACTCCACCGCCTTCCCCCGCCGACCCGCCCAGCTGACCCTCTGCGAATCAGAAGGACACGTGCCTGCTCACACCGGCATGGTTGCCAAGCACGTTGTGCCTTAACTGGCTGGGATGCACTGCGATCAGCGGGGGCACATGGGATTCCTGTTGGGCCAACGGCCCTCGGAGTGCAAGGATCTTGAATTTCTCCGCACCAGCGGCGAACACGAAGGGCATAAGTCGAGAAGAGAGACAGAGAGAAAGTTCGGAGACGAGAGACGATGATGTGACGCGGTCAAGCGAGAGGAGAAAAAGCACATGCTGCGCAGGTGGTCGCGCAGCTAATCTTAAGTGGCCTACAAGCATGTTCCATCCTTTTTATCTTCCTCGACTTGTCACTTTGCCCTGTCTTGAAGCTTTTGTTTGACAAGGGTCCGTGGCGCCGACGCTCAGCAAGGGATACGAACGTGCTTCTGTCAATTTAGATCTTACTCACCAACACATCTACTATCTCGGCTGTCTTTTCCAAGCCACCTTCTCCGACCACAATGTCAATCACCTCTGCCAGCGGCCTCATGTCGCGCTACTCTCGATTGTCAGACGGTCGCGCATCCACCGACGAGGAGAATGAAAAGAACATGGCTTATAAGCTGCCACGTGATGTCGAAGCAGCTGACAATCAGCAACGTCGGTCCGGTGCGACGGAGAAGAAGGCCTCGCGATGGATCGATGGCCGAACCGTCTCCGATGCCATCATCGGTCTCTCGGATGGCATGACCGTGCCCTTTGCCTTGACCGCAGGATTGTCCGCGCTGGGCGATACCAAGGTGGTCGTCTTTGGCGGCATGGCCGAGTTGATCGCCGGTGCCATCTCCATGGGCTTGGGCGGTTACCTCGGCGCCAAGAGTGAAGAGTGAGTGTCAACAGCACCGCCACCTCATTCGAAAGTGGACATTGACAGGAGCTAATCTTGCTTGGTGACGTTAGAGAGTCCTACAAGGCCACGCTCAAGGAGACGGAAAATCAGACCATGGTTGATCCCGACTCGGTCTCGACTACCATCGAGGATATCTTCGAGCCCTATGAGCTACCCGCCGAACTCGTGTCTCAACTCAAAACTCACCTGTCTGCCTCGCCAATGCTTCCATCATTCCTTATGAATTTCCACCACACTCTTCCCGAACCCTCAGACTCTCGGGCAGTGATGTGCGCTCTGACGATCGCTTTGGGTTACTTTATTGGCGGATTTGTACCTTTGCTACCCTACTTTTTCGTCGGCCCCGAGGACGCCTTCATCGCACTGCGTTGGTCAATTGCCACCATGGCGATTGCACTGTTCCTGTTCGGATATGGCAAGACCTGTTTTGTGAGCGGATGGGCTGGACGGCGGAACGTGCGCAAGGGAGTCATCGGTGGATTCCAAATGGTCTTGGTGGGTGGTGTGGCTGCCGGTTCTGCGATGGGACTTGTGAAAGTCTTCCAGTTGTGGGCCAATGGATCCGGTCACGCCAAGCAGGAGTGAAAAGGTCCTCCAGCTTCAGCTTGAGCACTGATTGACTTGCCATGGGTCATGTGTAAATACTTGATGTCTTTTCTTTTTCACCTTCTACGACGATTTTGGGGGGATCTTCATGCTTACGGCGTTGACGACACGGCGTTCTGATTAGGGTCATCTTGGGATATTCCGGCGTCTCGTCCTTTCTTCTGAACAGTTGTTGGCCAGCCCTTTACCCAATAGGTGAAATATCAGAGGGTACTGCTTTCTATTGCGCAATAGAGAAGTACAAGCCACTTGAACCATTCGATATTCGGACCACACCTCTTCTCATACAGTGGGCTTTTCAATCGCTCGGTCCTATGCTTATGTGTACGCCGTTTCTAAAATCGTGAAGAAATCCTCAGCCTCCTACCTTCACGGTGTGAGCATCTTGCACAGGACCTGCGGCTATTGTTATTGATACCTGGCTATCTTGGCTACAAGACGGATTGACTCTTGGAGGTAGACTTCATCTGAGCCATGACGTTGAGCGGGCTTCGAATAATCGCTGATAAAGACTCACGACTGAGAGAAGGCATACTGCCTGAAATACTGTAGCAGCCTAGGAGGTCCGAGGTAACGAACTTTTCGTACCGGTTGACTAAAGCCTAGGAAAACCACCTGGCTCAGTTCAATCCTTCAAGTTATTCCATCCTTTCATAGTCAGATTTGGTTCGATCAATTGTCATCGCATGATAGTCTGCCACGGCCGGGGATATTCGATACCCGAAATCATTCCGAGCGAGCCTCTCCCGTGAAACGCCATCCATACAGAAGCAGCTCAACGAGGCTACTCGATGAATGCTACTTGGTACCTGGCACATGATAGCATCATGTGATTCTGGCAACTCCAGCCGAGGTAGCTACTCTTCACCCACAATAATCTCACTATCCCATACTCCTCCTCTCTTTTGGGCTGCTCACGTTAAAGCATATCCTCTACCATCAAATCTCGCGGGCTGCAGGCCTTAAGATGTATGCATCATGAATCCTGCGACTGGATCAGGCTGAGAGGTATAGCTTGGATTGGATGCGAGATCTCTTCTTGACAGCATCGAGTTCGCGCCGGTACTATTTAACCCTCAGACCTTCAAGATCTATTGCCCAGTGCTGACCTCGTCACTGGCGAGCTTATCTCAGTCCCGTCGGTAATTGGTCGACAGTGACACAGCCCCTGCAAACATCGGCCTCCCCTCGGAAGGACGTTTCCGATTCCGCCCTTTTGCTGCCATCTTCGTCTTTGTCGACTGGCGCAAGCTTGACGTGCCTTAGTCTACCAAAGACACGGGATATTGGCATGCTTCAATATGCGTCCCGCCCATGAAGCTGCTGTGTCATCACTTTCAGAACCCGCCAGAAAACGTGCCAAATACACTCAGATCGCTTGGTTCGTCTATCCCCGCACGGTGGCCATCGAATACACATTCTATCTATACTGGCCCCTAACACTGAAAATTCCCAGCACTGAGTGCAAACGTCGCAAGATAAAATGTAGTGGCGGAAGCCCATGTACACGCTGTGCACAAGGCAAGGCTCTTTGCAGATACTCTACCGATCGGATTCCGATCCAGGATGCCGACTTTAAAGATGCACGGTATCACTTTTTCCTTGAACACAGCCGACGGTTCATTGGCAACCGACTGGTATCTGAAGCAGGTCACTGATAACCTACAGAGTCGGCCCCCGCTTCGATGCAATTGATCGACATCTTGAGTCTCTCCAGCAAGAAATGCGATCTATGTCGGCCCGTCTACGAGAGCTAGAGGCGTCGAGTCCAGCGTCTTCCATGCCAGCAAAGTCCAACACTCAAAAGGAACTCGATCGCATCCTGAATGCGCCTAAAACCCCAACATATGTAGGGCCTACAAGCGCTGAATTTGGTCTTCGGCAGCATCAATCCTCCCTGAACCCTCCAGAGAGTGCATATGACACGGATGAAGATGAGCCTGTGTCCAACTCAGCGGGAAGAAGCTCGATGCCGCATCCAGGTAGCGGAGTGAGTCTCCACCTAGAAGAAGTCTTACGCTTACTCGAGGTGTATGAGGATTTGGTGGGCGTGATGTATCCTTGTGTGGATATGGAAAGTGTTCGAGTGTATGCGCAGGACTACTATCGGTCTCATGGAATCATCACAACCAGTACCGATGACCTGCAAGATCAGAGCTCCGAGGATCAAGACTGGTTCTTTGCTCGGGACATTCAGGTGTTGAAGCTGCTGCTTGCCACCGCCCTGTTGGCCGAATCTCATGGCCGTAGCGAACTGGCTGCGCAGCTTGCAGACAGTGTGGAAGACCACTTTGCACCGCGATTCAAGGTGGCTGAGGTAGATATGAAGGAGATTCTGATCATGACCTTACTTGTGAGTTGATAGCCCCGGTGAGGACATTTGAGTGAACCCCCTGATGTCCCAAATCCCTTTTCTTAGTTACCGTCACATACTAAACTCGGTCTCAAGTCTATATTTCATTCCTATCGAGACGACGAAGTCATATCCTGGCGAATGACCCGTATTGCGACAAGCGCGTGCATGGAACTTGGTCTTCACCGTCAAGAGACATGGCGACAGACTGGTGGTGTCTTCCCAGGTGAACTGGCATGGAGGTGGGCCATGCGACTGTTCTGGTGCGTCTATGTCCTTGATCGGAAGTGGTCGTTTGGCAGTGGGCTGCCATTTGGCATGCAGGACACCGACATTGACACGAACATTCCCGAACCGGGACACTCCACGCCGTATCTGGCTTGCTTGATCTCGCATGCGAGACTGAGCACCAAGATCTGGGGTCTAGTGATGGAATGGCCAGAGCACTGCCCTTCCACGACGGCAGATCAATGCGCCCAGCTTGATGCTGAGGTACGACAATGGATTTGGTCCATTCCGCCCGAACTTCGCTTCAGTCCGACTTGGTCGTCCGCTGCAGATGCACAAGCCGAGCGGTCACCGCAGCAAGATCGTATGAGAATGTTGCAGGTCCTTCTCGCGCTGCAAGGAAATCAGCTTCGCATTCTCGTGTATCGACAAAATCTGCAAAGCAAGGAACGGATTGCTGGAGACCCGGCCGGTGCAATGATCGCGGTGGAGACGGCCAAGAACACAATTCACATGCTGGAAGATTACAGCAGCGAGTCGAATATCTACTTTGATCGACCGGAGCCATTCAACTACTTCTTGATCTCTGCCCTAGCTGCTCTTCTCTTAGCAGTGTCGCATGCTCCGAATCGCTTCAGCCATGTCTGCCGACCGGAATTCTACACAGCGATAAGACTCGTGCGTCGCTCTGCAACTCGTGCACGAACTTCTAGGCGGTTACACAAATTACTCAGACGTTTGAAGCATGTTCAGTTACCCAAAGGAAGTCTCGATCACCAGGCTGTTTCTCGCGTTCGTCAAGATGATTACAAAAATCCTGGGAGTCATGGCCCTGCAATTGAGCGGTCACGACTACCAGATCAAATGTCGTTGGTAGCTACAGCCACCCCTCGCTATGGATGGGATTCTGCGAGCGGACATTTGTTGGCAAGCAACTCGATTGCAACACCAAATCCGAACCTGACCCACGACCGCTCATCAGCTCTTTGGAACACTTCGCTTGGCACGATTGAAGACGGTTCCAGGGTGTGTGAAGATTTAAGCAGCTTCTTCGAGAACGCAGGTGATTACTTCTTCGATCCTCATTTGGCATTAAGCGTGCAGGCGTCGAGCACCGCAGATGCATCCCTGGTACGGGGAGTTGATATGGGATTCTTTTCGGTCCCCGCGAATCCACTGTCGCCCAGTCATGCGTTTGACAACCTGGATGCTGCTAATGAAGAGCTGACCCGGGCCATGGCAGGTCTTTTATGAAGACTCCGTGGCGGGTCGGTGCAACTGGCGCTCGAGAGCTGGGCGATGCATCAGCTGAACGAATTGGCCGAATATCTGCTGGCAATTTTGGTGTCGGGCCCAGGCTGTATGCCAGACACGCTGGCTATGACAGTACTGGTCAGTCCGAGCTCGGCTCTAGGGTGAACAAAGGCCATAATTCTCGTTGCTCTGTCCATCTCATCCATGAAGTATGTGTCGAAAGTCTCCAGGAATCTTGCGTGATCCACTCACGAGAACACAAGATCGATGGAGAAGTATATTACAGGTTGACCCAAGGAGAAATGCAGCAACGAACTGGCTACGATGGGGAACATCCTACGTCAGGATTGAGGGCCGTCATCGCAACCTACACTAGCGTCATATGACGTTAATTTGGAGCATTTCCATGAGAGAGCTTTGGAGCGGTTGAGACTGCAGTAAAACAGCCTCACGATAACTGGATGCAAGTTGAGCATTTCGCCTCTTCGCATGAGGCCGGTTTCTCCATGTTGCAGGAGTTTCTGCCTTGCTGTCGTGGAGCCCTTGCTTGCAAAGATGCATGAGAGGTTCTGAAATTCTGATCATACACTGTACCTTTCGGTACTTGGACTTGGTCTGAAATGTATCCTGATCAGTGAATGGTCACACGACCTGGATGCCATGGAAGGGGGAGACTCGGAGCGAGGTTATTCTGAACGTGATCATGGTTCTTTTTGTCTCGATACCATTCAATTGAGCGTGAGCATCATATCATCTCCTTATTTCGGCTGTCTGTCACAGAGTCTGTATACATTATGTATCCACAGAGGAAGTAGCAGCTCGATGGATGACGAGCGCCTCGGGCTCTATCGCAGTCTGCAAACATGTCCACCGACGATAGTCTTTAATATCTTTCTCTTCATACCCGACTGCTGCTCTCGAACACTTAAAACCGACGACCAGGGTGGCGATGGATGAAGAGTACCTACCTATTGCTTAAAAGAACTTGGAAGAAATTGATATTTCCGCAATTGTCCTGTGATCAAAACTCGGCAATCAATAGAACAATCCAAGTTTGTTTCCGAGTCGCGATTGATCCTTCGTCGGTGAAGAGGATGACTTTGGATCACCACCAGCTTCTGCGGTTAAACAACGCAAGGTTAACCCAACGAATCCACGCAACTTGTCATGCCCCTGCGCCAAGGGCACATACTTGACGAGTCATTTCACCACAACCGTACCACAGTCATTGTTTGCCGATCCCTCTCCAACAGTCCGAGGCAGTCACTGCACCAAGGTCAACATGCAGAGCGTGCCAATGTGCAAGAACGAGCCGAAAAAAAAAAACATAAGCCTCGCAAAGAAACCATCCGCGCCCTCGCTCAATCCTTACCTCGACCAACTCGAACAGTCGCAATCCCGCGCGGTTGCACCGCCCACTCCGCAAAGCAGCAAGGTGTATCCGATATCCACTCCGCGTACTGACCTAGGTAGTAGTACTAGGCAGCCGTCAACCTTGACAGGGGGCCGCGAACAAAAGAAGAAGTAACTAAGCCGTGAAGGCTTGGATTGACTAGATTGCAGGTATATGGGTGAGACTTGGCGGATTGATCTAATTATATACGGCGTCAACTTCCTTATCGAGTTGTTGTAGTGCTGGCAGCCTGGGTGGTCCTCTGGTAGTAGACAGTTCGCTTTGTTACAGTGTGTTTTTGCCTTTCATTTTGTTCAAATGCGTAAGATTGAACATTTGACTCCAGTACCAAAATAGACATGGAGAGAGATGCCAAGTTGCCCTCCTGAAGTATGTTCTTGTGTGCAGACATGGGTGAGCCAGAGCTGAAGATTCCCGTCTCCCCGTCTCGAGGCTGCCGCATTGAATAAGTGTTATGGTGGCACCCGCTGCAATAGTGAACGAGTCGACCTTTGATGAATTGTCATGCTTGGGTAGTAGATCACTAGGACTAGGTACGTAGATAGTAGGTACATAGGTAGTAGGTGGCTCTGTAGATTGCCTCAAGTGACCGCTAAATGACTGAATTTCCGACACAAGTGAACACAGCTCAAGCGTTGAGCAACGCAGCCACAATAAAAACACAGTATACTTTGCTTTTGCACAAGAACTCTGAAAAGCAGCCGTCAGACAGATGTGAAGGTACCTGAAATCTCGTTCCAAGTCAAACATTCTCCTCCCAGACTCCCAGACTCGCCCTTCCACTGTGACTAGTCAGGTATGATCGTGACTTTGATGATCGAACCGTTTTCCCACATGTCAAACCTACAGTACACCAGCTTGTCCATGACTCCATTCTGAAACAACGGGCCCCAGATTCCCAGCCCCTTTCCTCCACCCCACCTTCGTCGGTATGTAAGCTCTGCTTAGCTCCCAGCCTCACACAGCTTAGTAGCCTACAGCCTCATCATCTCATGTGCTTGAAATAGACGTGGCTGGGCGTGAATGGACAGCCTAGGCATCTCGTCAGTTTCATTGCTATGCACGACTATACGACTATACGGTAGTTGCTCATAACCAGTATAATCAGGATAATCCAATGAACTCATTAGATACAATGGATAGTGATACTGTCACCGTCCACTATTTCGAAGCGCACGGGGCGGCGCCGGTGATTCGCATCAGTCACAAGCGCTAAGGCCCCCATGTCTTCAACGGTGATCCGAGACTGCACTCCCACGCCCTCATACGAGACATGGGCTGGTGCTAGTGCTACTGTGCTACTAGTTACGGAGATGATTGTTGAGGGACCCTTGAACGGCCGTAACGACGTGAGAGCGCTAACCAAGTAAATGGACTATAATGGGAACCTCGAGTTCGTATTATCCTCTACTGTTTGATGGCTGGGGTTCACAGCGCTAGGCTGGGTCCATCACTATGTTCTATTGGACATGGTTTCAGATGAAATGCCTATATTCAGTGATTCACCGTGTTGCCGTAGTCAAATTGGTGAGTCTGGAAGAGAATCATGACTACTACAGTACCTATCTCGTATGTACTACAAGGTGCGGTAAAGGGAGATTTCATCTCGTATTCATTGGATACACTATAATTGTCTGTGTACATCAGACACGAGCCTTACCACCGTGGATTGGATTCCAAGTCATGCCTCGCTTAGCCACCGTACAACGTTTCCGTGGTGGTTGAGTGCTTCTCGAGCAGCCGGGCTGGACGAGCCGCTTAGATAAGAACCAACGGTGGAGCATTGAAGGAGGTCCTGCGAGTCTGCGACAGCACGTTTCACTTTACAAGTGCACTACTTTGACTCTGTACAGTCTGTCCTCTGTAGAGATCCGTATTGACATCGAGGAGTCAAGTGAAAGTGGAAGGACGCAAGGTCATCCCTTGTACGGGCTGGTCAGCGACCATCAGTTGTCACCCAGCGTCAGACGGCTCAGAGGACTTAGCCGACACGAATACGCAGAGGAGGGGATACGCGGCAACACAATTGGACACTTCAAAATTGCGTTCTGTACCTGGGACTGGGACTAGTGTAGCAATGAAGCGTTGGGCCCAAGCGCACCGACCAGGTCGAACAATTGTACCAAAGGAAGGCCGGACGAACGAAGATGTCGCGATTCGCGGATCTCCCCCCCCCCCAGGAAGTGTCCCCCCCTGAATGAAAAGGGTTCCACACCTTCACATTCCAGTCCGATTTCTTAAGGGGGGGGTCAGCCCGGCCAAGGCAAGCCCTGGTCAACGCCAGTCGGCACGAAGAAAAGACTGCCGTGTGAGTGTGAATGGAGGAGCTCCAGAGTCCAGAGTGTGAGACGTCAAAACAATAGGACTGCCCATCCTCATTTCCCCGGGTCTTGCTCTGGTAGCCGAACCCCCAGTTCAGGCAGCTAGCGTCGAAGAAGAAAAGCTCGCAGTGGCCTTGCGCTGGAAAAAAAAAGGGCCGGACGGACTGTCGATCCTGGGATCTTCAACATATCGTGCTGCACGACCTCCGTGATTATGCGGCGTTTTTTCTTGGACTTTTTGATCGGGTTGAAAACTTTTTGATGCACTCGCCGTGAGCCTTGGTTCGGGTACCCAGAAGGCTGACACTAGAGGATCATATCTGATCCCGATCCATCTTGGTCGGCAACCGGCCGTGCCGACGGGATCTTTTCCTGTGTAATGGGAGGTATGTATTCAAGATTTAAAAGGATTTGGAGCCATCAAATCTCGTACTGGACAGGCGACAGTGTAGGGAGAGTCCTACTGGACAGGAATCCGCAGCGTCTGACTCAATGATCAAATCCGACTTTCACCATTCAACAGAATCCCTCGAATAGCCGTAGATCCAGTCACACTCGAAGTCTTCAGTCATGACACGAAAAGGTTCCCTTGCGTCTGGACTCCCTGGCAACGAGATTCAATCTTGACTGCATCACTGCAGTACTGTATGAATTGCATGGTGTCTTGTGTACTGTGTAGCAGATCCATCCAAACACATATCATGCCAAGCTTACTACAAAAGTGTTTTCAGGATTCTAATTACTCACACCTCAAAATGGATCACATGTGATGTGCTGAACATGGGCTCTCGGAGACGATAGAACGATTAGACATCCGAATAGTGTGGATATGATCATATTTTTTTTGTTTTAATTTTTTTTTTTTTTTTCCACCTTCCCGCAAGCTGAAAGAGACGCGGCCGAGAAGAATCCACGGGACGGGTGAAAATCAGGTACCATCAATGATCGACTCCCATTGAGTCACGGTGGATATTTGTACTACGGAACAATGGAACACTAGTGATGAAAACTTTTTTGCACTTGTGTTCGTAATACGATACACGCATCGTCCAAAACAAGAGGTCGCGAGTCAATCCGTCCTTGGCACTTGGCAGTACAAAAGGTTGCTGTGGAATACGTTGTGAAAGCTAAATGTCTGGGATTCAGAGTGAATATGGATGATGAGGTAGATGACTGGTGAGTCGCTAAATGACTCTCCATATGACATCTGTGTAATCTCGTAATGGGTACTCTCTCTTATGACTAACTATAACGAGCGCTCCATGAGCCCATCTTCCTGGATGGAGGGCCTACATGTAGTAAGTAGTAAGTACCTGTCACAATGGCAGGCCAGCCCTGCCGACCAGATTTGCGGCTTTCTGGTTGGGTATCATCACACTGTGGCTGAGTTGTGCGCTCATCAAACTTGAATAAGAGAGTACCCGGCTTGATGATTACTCGCGGATAATGCCATCTCAGAGTATGCAGACTCTCGTGTGGCGGGACATACAACGCGACATGTCCATGTGCACGGTAGAGTAGTGGTGATTGAGCTATGCAGAAGTCGGAAGTCAATCACTATTCTCATTCGAGATCACAACAATGTACAGTTGTACACTGGTAGTCTGATACTGTAGGAGATCGATTCTTCATCGCTTCACGATAGTTTCACCGGGCGGATGGGTCCCAACGATGGGTAAAAAGAGTGGATCGGGTCCCATCCATTACTCCGTTGCTGGCACCCAAGCATTGCCCCGAAATCAACCTCGGATAAGAAAAAATCTGCAATGAAGATTCAGCGCAGTGCGCTCATCTCGGTATTGTTGACACGACCCCTTGAAAAGGACCAACGGGAGAACCATGGCGCGCAAGGTAAATCTCTTCTCATGTCCGGGTAAGTCTAGCGCGCAGGATCTCGGCCTTGGAGGTCAACCTTTACGGTACACGTCCTGGTCTCGAACTCCTCGGGCTGCTTGGACTTTCCGATAGCTGAAGCGGCTTACTTGACTGGGCAGCTGATTTGTGAATTAGGTGAGCCATGGACATGAATTGTGAGCTCGCTGGATTGTGGCTGATGATCGTGGAGAGGCATAAGGACCACTGCTGATAGGATGAGCACGGCACTTCTCAAAGTTCATAGCGATCCGTATTTGATCATGTACAAGTATCCATTTTGAAGGTTATGCGCATGATGGATGTTGTGCAGTAGATTTTGTGCACGAGTCAGCTCGGTGATCGCGCGTGCTGCTCTGCCCGATCGGCCTCCGTCCAGTCCGTTCCGTCGCATCCGCCCGGGCAGAGATCGACCCGGATGCCTATGATGGAGTCGAGGCTATGAAGCCCTGAAGGGAACACATGTGTGGATATATGACAGTGAAGATAAGTTTAAGACGGCTTTTCGGTTCAGTCTTTGTAATCTCGATGGAGACTCCGAGACAGAGAGTGCAGCAGTGTAGAATACAGATCATTCTTGTAGAGAATAAATCAATCAGAGTGTGATCATCAAGCATGCGTAGTCGGACTCTCACTAGAGTATAGACTAACTGATAAAGCATAGTAGTGACTCGTGAGTGCCCTTCTGGATCTGCATGATGATGTGATCTACACAAGTCACATCAAGTCACGGGGAACGTGAACGCACCCGCACCACGAGGTCAGCTTCCAGATGTGGTAATGGGAAGGAATTGGACAAACCAACGATCCTGTAGGGTACTATTGTCCATTGATACTCTTCCTGTTGGAGGGATATTGCTCAAGCAAACCTTGTCTAGTTATATCCAGCTTGATTCTATAGAGATAGAGACCACCTTAAGTCTTACAACCACAATTCGATTACAGCACTGGTCCTGAGTCCTGAGTCCTGACAAGCTATGCTGTCATAGAGTCGGTCCTCGGTAGTGGTCGGCTGTAGCAGGCTAGCTGCAGCAGCTGCTGCAGTAGCAGCTCACAGCCACAAAATCCTCGATGGAGCACAGTAGTGGTGTACAACAGTAGTACAACAGTACATGCTTTGACATCGTCAGAGCGCAGCGGCCAGAGATCGATACCTGAACGATGGATCGCAGTCATGGCGAGGTCACATCGGACAGCGACTAAGCCTCTTTTGTCTCGATTCCACGACCTGCACATCGTCATTCTGGCACAGTTTGTCCCCCCAGCAGGTCGTCAGGTACTCGGGTCGCCCAAGCTGAACGGTCGTAGCGTAGCGCCTTCGGGCAGACCTCGTGGATATGGCATCCCTTCATCATGAATCATTGCATCATGATGGCATGATCCGATTATGATGACCGGCTGGGCTGAAACGACTGAGAATTCGCCCCCAGACTGGAAAGTGTTCCCCTGTGACGCCATGGACTTGGCCTCGAAGGGGTCCCGGAACGCTGGGAACCCCGGCAATACCAATCTGACCGTCAGCTCCCCGATGAACTCACGATGAGCTGCCGCGCCAGGACCGTCTGGAGTTCCAGTATTCCCGTGTTCCAATACAGCGGATACGACTGGTACGATGGTACGATGGTACGATACGCCTCGGCGCCAATCCGTGCCACTGCCCGGCGTCCCGCGCTTCCCAAATTGAGCCCATCAGACAATAATCGAATAATCCCACGCAAAGTCCAGTTAGTCCAATTTGGGTCGATCGAAAAAGAGACCGTGACTGACTACGAGCCCACCGCCCACCGCCCACCCAGAGAACTCGTCCGAGAGTCCCACTCGCACTCCGCCAACTGCATCGTCGGCCCCGTCGGAATAATTACGGCTGACGCTCTCCCTCGCTCTCTCGACCTTCTTCACTTCGACTTTTCGCTGCCACCACTCCCTTCCTCCGTTGCCAAACCCCTTACCCTTCGTCGGTGCTGGTCGATCTCATCACAGCAGTCCAACTGTCCTCCTCCTCCTCCTCACCCCCCCCCCCGTTCTTCTGCATCGCCGGGCTCCGTCTCTAGCTGCACTCGCCAGCCGCCTTGCGTCCGCTCAGTCGACCCTAGGATCCTTCGCTTACGAGCGTCTGTCGCTGTTCTGAAAATATTGCTCATCCATGCTCATCCGCTTGACACCTTGACGTGCACCTCTGCCCCTCGCCTGTCGGAGTCGTATCCTCTCCGGTCGACTCCCTATACTATACCTCTGGCTCCGCGCATCGCGTCCTCTCTGATCAAGGTGCTCTTATCTCTCCTGCGGTCATCCCCCGTTTTGACCTGAGCGCGAGTGATCACTTTGGCAAGAACAACAAACCCCCACACCCTTGACCACGGTCTCCCCGCGGAGATCCTCGCTCGCACCCGACATGTCGACCTTTCCCTCGTGGAAAGACCGCTCGCAGAATCAGTTTGGCAAGCTCCAGATTCAGGTGCCATGGAAATCCTTTCAGATGCTCGTGCCTCATCGCATGCGACGCAAGATTCGCTCCAAATTGCGCAGTCGTCTCTCACCCACCTCCTCCATCTCCACCCTGCAGACCTCCTTTTCACCAGTCGACACGCTGCGATCGTTGCAATCGCATCGATGGACATTGTATGACTTTCAATACTTGCTCCTGCTCATTCTCGGCTTCTTCTCTTTGACCATTATCCAATCTCCCGGTCCACTGGCAAAGACGGCGATTGCGACTCTGCTACTCTGTTCCCTTTTGCTGCCCATCACTAGGCAATTTTTCCTGCCCTTTCTGCCCGTCGCTGGATGGCTCATCTTCTTCTACGCTTGCCAGTAAGTCAGCATTCCGTCGATTTCGTTCTCCCATCTCCAGCGCCTCTGCAAAATTGCCGGTTCGGTGCCGCCTTGGTCAACAATTCGGGCACCCCTTGGATGGCTTGATTCGCCTCTTTCATGACGGAAGAGGCGGTCGGGACACTTTTCCGGGGTTCTGGACAACCTCGGACGGTGCACGAGGCGGATAACAGAAAGTGTCTACGGGGGCCTCGCAATGCGTGCAAATTTACTAACACCTGCTTATCATAGATTCGTTCCCAGCGATTGGCGCCCGGCGATCTGGGTACGAGTGCTGCCTGCGTTGGAGAACATTCTCTACGGAGCCAACATCAGCAACATTCTGTCTGCCCATCAGAATGTCGTGCTGGACGTGCTAGCATGGATTCCTTATGGCCTCTGCCATTATGGAGCACCCTTCGTGGTTTCCATTCTTCTCTTCATCTTTGGCCCCCCCGGAACGACCCCCCTCTTTGCGCGGACTCTGGGATACATCAGTATGTTTGCCGTCACCGTGCAGCTGGTCTTCCCGTGCTCTCCCCCCTGGTATGAGAATCTGTACGGGCTTGCTCCGGCCGATTATTCCATGCAGGGCAACGCGGCTGGCTTGACTCGGATCGACAAGCTTCTTGGAATCGATCTGTACACCTCGGGATTCAAACAGTCTCCGGTCGTCTTCGGCGCCTTCCCCTCGCTTCATGCTGCGGATTCCACCTTGGCCGCGCTGTTCATGAGTCACGTCTTCCCCCGATTGAAGCCCCTGTGGGTCACCTACACTCTGTGGATGTGGTGGGCCACGATGTATCTGTCTCACCACTACGCGGTGGACTTGGTCTGTGGTGGTCTGCTTGCCACCGTGGCTTTCTATTTCGCCAAGACTCGATTCCTTCCGCGTGTCCAGGCCGATAAGACTTTCCGCTGGGATTACGACTATGTCGAGATCGGCGATGCCTCCCCTGAGTTCGGTTATGATCTCGCTAGTCTGGACGGTGATTTCAACGGAGACAGTGATGAGTGGACTGTGGGCTCTTCCTCGTCCGTGAGCTCCGGCAGCCTTAGTCCCGTGGATGATCACTATTCTTGGGAAAGTGAGACTCTAACCTCAAATCACGACCTTGAGGCTGGCCGTTAAGCTTGCTTACGTCTCCGCTTCTCGTTTCTTGCATCGCAATTCCTCGCTTTTTTTTTTCCTCCCTTGAGACACGGCGTTTACACCATGGATGATCAATATCGAGATCATTCCCATTTGCATCAAGCCCTTTCGACACTTTATTACTTTTTAATGATTCTTCATCGCGAGGTCCCACAGCATGGGCTTTCGAATGCCGCTGCGCTGCAACCTCATCTGCCCGGGGGGGTTTTTTCCCTCTTCGGCTGTACATCATTGTTGTCAATCGTTACGACGATGAAGTGTCCTTCCCGTTTATAATCTTAATACCCGCGATCGAGCTCGCTCGCCAGGTCAATCTTCTGCGAGTTCGACCTCGTCTGCCTCTTCGCTGCTGGACACCTTCGCTTGCATAGAGAAATGGCATCCGACTCGACGCTTTTGCTTCGTGGTCCTCCTCGTCGAGCCGGCTGGTCACTTTTGGCAACCCCATTCTCGCACATGTCTTTCGCTACGACTTCTTCTCCCCGATCGAACTGCATCTTTTATCCTTCTTCACAATCGGTCGGGTGTACACACACATTCTTATCATTCGTGTCAATCGCTTACACAAAAGGCGCCTGGAACTTTCGCATATACGGTCAACGGGAACTGGAAAATTAAGGTTTCGGCGCCTGGTTTTTGCACCATCACTCGCTGTGCATTAGAAGTCTGACCCTGAGTTGGACATTGGATTCTCTGGAGCACATAAGCTCCATTCTTTGAACACAATAGAAGGCGGAGCGCACGGTCGTGCCATCTATCTCCGGCACCACCCAAGGCCGGGCATCGATATTATCGCGGTACACGAGTTCTGCCAAAGCTCGATCATCAAGGCGTGCTCAATCTCTCGGCTTGGCCGTGTATGAGGTGGGCGGTCCGAGCGACTCGACTAGGAGAGGGTGGAATGAAACCTTTCGAAAGGACAGTTGCGTCCCGTGAAAAAGGTCTTCCAAAATCCACCCGCTACCTTTTTTTGTCCAGAAATCTGCACCCGCTCCGCCCAATTGCAGTCTTTTCACACTGCCACAAACGAATTAATGTTACGACCCCCTAATGTTGCGTTCCCTTCCCGCCCTTGCTTTTCTCCGGATTTGCGTGTTGGTGGTGATAGCTCTTTTGGCTCTGGTTGACACCTTGCTCGGCTGAGGGTTATCAAACTGAAGAGACCTTTTGCGACCAATGTGGCTTCGGGACTGGGAGCTCGGGCAATGGATATGATTACTTACATCATCCTTACCTCTTAGCATGAACTTATGAAATAATTCTATATCATTACATTAATCATTTTCCTTAATTGAACGATAGTGTAGTGTAGTTCTTTGAGGAGTCAGTCTCGTCAATAGTGTTCATTCGGATGTGAGCAAACGACCCTTTTTACACGTAGCCAGTACCCCCAGCCCTGGATCCCTGTTGTAGGGCTGGATAGAACCCTCGTCCTGACTGGCGCCAGTATGGCCTGCCACCAATGACTCTCCAATAACACGACATTATGTGATCAAGAATGTAACATACAAGGTCTGCGTTGAAACGACCAAATGAGACCGCCGCCCTGTACCCCCAAAACGCCCCTGTACAAGTCATGACAATTATGGATCCTATCTATGAACTTCCAGGTCGGAACTTTATTCGTCATCGAAGATCTGCACTCGGTCTGCATATTCACGAATGTTCGAGTAGTAGGTCTCTTCAATCTCGTCGCCTCGACCTCCGGCCACGCGGAGGATGAGGTCGTTTAGAGAGGACCGGCCGAGGATGTCGACATGGTCACCTATTTGTGTGCGAACAAGAACAATGTGAGCATTATATTTCCAGATAGCAAGTGGAGATGTTCCTTGGGGGCTTTTGAATTTCGACGTACCTGTGTTGGGTCCACCTCGAGGAGAAAAGCGATCTGGTTCGTGAGGCATTTCAAAGACTTTGATTTTCGACCCAGCGGGGTTATATCGTTTGATGCGCCAGCCCTTGGCACACATGTAACCTGTGCTGAGCAGGTTGACCGTCCCGTCGCCTTCGCCCATGACGACGCCGTGGTCGATCTTTTCGTTGATGGTCACGGTCGTGTCAATGCTGACGTTGAGATTCACCAGGGGGTTCAGATCCTCTTGGTAGAAGTAGCTCCGTTCCGTAGGTTTACCAACGCCATAGAAGCAATATATCTTCATGTTTGGCGCAAGTGGGAGACGGGCCTCGAGCGGGTTCAGCCATGTCCGCGGGTCCTTTTCATTCGCCTCCACCTCGCGCTTGGTGTGGGCAACTCCATGCGAGTAGCTACTCAGGACTTGCTCACGGTACCAGTCCTCACTTTGATCGAGCATGTACTGCAGACTCTCCGAGGTGGTGAGGTTGCGCCGAGTCCAAGATGAGTTGGTCTCCCGGAAATTGATCAGGTTACCGAAGCTCATCGCCTGCCCAGGTTGGTCATCGGGGGCCCAGGTGGCGTTGCCCCAGACGGCATCGCCGCCCTTGGGCAACATGCTGGAAATTCCAGGCATTGCCCGGAAGATCTCTGCACGCTCTTCCTTGGACAGGAATTTCTCCAGTCCATAGACCGCGAATGCATTCAGCTGCGCCGTATCTCGCATTTCGCCGGACAGGACGGCCGTCAAGCCTTTGACAGCGCCCAGCATGCACCCACTGACATTAATCCACGAGGCGATATGGCGGTCAACCCAGTCTTTGCCACCTTTGCCATGATCCTCGCTTTCCACCCACTTGAAAAAGTACAGCACGACTTGCGAGCCCATGCTGTGCGAGACCAGAGAGATTTTCTCGCCTCCAGTCTCGACCGCAGTCTCAATGTAGGATCTCAGTCTGCTGAAGTATTTATCACGAACTTCCAGATTCAGATAGGAAAGCCGCCAGTCATAGGCCGCCGTGAAGGCGTTGGTAGGATCATATCCGATGGTCGCCAAATTCTCGAGGATTTTGTTCCAGATCCAATATCCCGTAATAAAGAAGTCCGTCGCATCAAATCCCTGAGCGGCGCGCAGCTTGATGCCGGGTGGGTCAAGACCCGTCTTGCGATCCAGCATGATGTGGTGCTTCCATTCTGCTTTGTCCAGGACCAAAGCACGCATCATCGTCCAACTGCCCCAGAGCCGACGGCGGAAGTACTGGCGTGAGTTCTCCCTCGTTCCCCAGCTTTCGAGCCCTGTTGATATAACGCCCGGAATCATTACGACCGGGTGTTTGGCGCCAATCCCCTGCGACTGAAGATGTAGACCGACGGAAAATGAATCATAGTTGACTGCCTCGCGCTCGCGTTGCTGAATGTCAAAACGATCAGTACTCGACTTGGGGTATTTCCTGAACCAACCCAAAGAAAAGAAAAAGAAGATACGACCGAACGCAGCCACTTGAAGATCAAAAACTATCGACTCACAGAAAAGGCCTTCGCGTCGCGCACGATCCCTTGGGGCATCACATCGATCAGGGACTCCAAATTCAAGTCCATCAGCGATTCCAGGCTAATGACCTCCTGCTGATTTGCGAAGAACAGGGCGACCAAAACACCAAACAGTCCGCCGAGCACAAAGATGAACCCATTGCGACGCTTGCTTCGTGGTCGAATCACAAGCTGCTTGACTTTTGCACCCCCAAACTCTTCGCGTAGCTTATCTTCTTCAGTTTTGAGCCGGTTCAACTTGGGCCTGTGTTGCTCATCGCTCTTATCGCCTGATGCGGCGTCATCCTTGCCCGCGCGACGGCGCAGCATGTTGCGACCGCGAAAGAGAGGCCCGAACTATCACGGAGAGCTTTCACCAGAATCTCCAATGAGCCTGCTATGACGTTGAAGTGGGGAAGGAGGATATTCAGCCGACTCTTTGAGAATTCAACACAGAAGCGACAGTCACAAGACGGGTTGCCTGGAGAAGCAAGAAATTCGTACATGTGTGTGTAGTTGTGTACCTGCACCTCCCTTGGTGCAGGAACGTGGAACCGCGGGCGTCACATGGTAAAATCGGCAGCCCGACTTTGGGTACCTTTTCCTGGCGTCACTTAGACTTCCCACCTTTTCCTTGAAGTTCCGCTTCCGACTTGCACAGCTTCCGACCGCCGTGAGGAACGGACCACTTTGACTGGGGGGGGTTCACACTTCACAGAGACTAGAGTTACTCCGCCAGTTGCTTGCTCCACTCGATCGGAGCGCCCATCTCTTCCGCACAATCCACCCTCGCCGAAGCATCCCACACTTTGACCCAAGGTTGAACAAGCACTGTCACAGGACAACAGCTGGAATTGCCTACCAGTTCGAAGAAGCAGTGCTGCCCTCTCTCTCACACACAACATCATCGGCGCCTCCATCCGGCTGCAACCACTTCAGAAGGCTGCGAACATGAGTCAGAATGATCAGTCCGAGTTGCGCTACGTGCGGTATGACAGTGCGCGGGAGAACGAATTCGTCGCCGCCATGCGCCAATTGATCTCCAAAGACTTGTCGGAGCCATACAGCATCTACGTCTACCGTTACTTCCTCTACCAATGGGGAGATCTCTGTTTTCTTGCCATGGATGACAAGGACGAGATGGTAGGCGTCGTGGTCTCGAAGCTGGAGCAGCACCGTGGGGGGCCCCTCCGTGGGTATATTGCCATGTTGGCTGTCCGCGAGGAATATCGGGGTCGGGGTATTGCGACCAAATTAGTTCGCATGGCCATCGATGCCATGATCGAGAGGGATGCAGATGAGGTACGCATCTCGTTGATCGAATGAGCGAGGAAGCGAGACAATACATTGGCCCGGTTCAATGACTTACTGTGGAATATCCTATACAGATTGTTCTCGAAACCGAGATTACCAACACTGCTGCGATGAAGCTCTACGAAAGACTGGGCTTCTTGCGCAGCAAACGACTTCACCGGTACTACTTGAATGGCAACTCTGCCTACCGGCTCGTCCTCTACCTTCGAGAAGGAGTTGGCTCCATTCGAACCTCGTTCGACCCATATGGCCCGCCGTATCCGATAGAGCAGCACAGTACCTCCACTGCTGAAGGAAATGGTAGCTGAATGAATCGAATCGGCCACACGTCACGACGTGCAATTTGGTTCGGGCTCAGAGCGCGAGCTCAAATCTCGGCAGACAATGATCCGAGTGAATAGAGACGTCTGATCACCGTGCTCACTGGATGCTCCTTTTGCTTGCGTCACACGTCAGCCGAATTCGTCATCTCACGAATGAGGGAAAACCTGGAGCCGTCCAGAGTGGCGTGAATAGGGCTGGCTCGTTGCCTTTCGGTCCAGATCATCACGAGCAGCCCACTCGGTGGTCGGGGCTTTGATCACATGATCTAGATCTTTCTGACCTCAAGACATATGGCAAACATGACGATCATTGCACCAAGGCAGGCCACTCATCAGTAACACAGGATTACGGAACACGCCGTGCCCTCTTTTCATGTGCAAGAGAAGAGTTTTTATCACACTCAACGTCAAAGCCAACTTCAAGGGCCTGTTATTCCATGGACCAACCCCAGGAGTTGTCCTCGACGATGAATTCGGCGGGCTGATTGGAAGGCGACATGAGACCTGAACATCTGAGAGTGAAATATATGATATGTATGAAGTAGGCGATTCATCATCCTGTGAGGTCTGATCTGTTTAGAGCAAACTGAATCGAATCGAAGCTTGAGGCCATGGAGATTGGGCTTAGCGACACCGTATAGTTCAAAGTGAATGGCATGTTATTTTATGTGCTCCATTTGAAACCTAGCAGACTGATGTTCTAGCCTCTAAATAAGCATTGGTCCTAGCTTTGGAATTTTCGTCATCTGACAACAACCAGCTACTTTGGCAGGAAGCTTGACATCTGCAGATCTTTGTTCAATGATCACGTTCTGACTTGGACATGAAGATGACTTCAAACTTAGAGACAGGCCACGTGGTATGTCGAATCGCCAATGCATGTCATCTACGAAAGTCTGTTGATATGTCGGGTACCGAGTAACCTACTAATATCTGATCAAACTGATAGCAACAGAAACTGATCATGCCACATAGTTCTTTCCAGTAAACCGCAGGCTTGTCATATAAGACAATGTATGTGGACTACCTCTAGCGGGCTGAGATTGGATATTTTTTCAGGTAGAAAGAAAGGAAATATCTTTATTAGTAAAAGAATGATATGAGCTTCAGTAATGTGGCTGATGCTCTAGATGCCGGGGATATGTCTCGATATCCACACTCGTCGTCACATCAATGCCATCCACTTGACTGTCGGGATCATGGTGGGGACGGTAACCACTCTTTGCCGACGAGTATGATCTTCCATACCAATTGGACAGCTTGTGGATGTCTTTGTCGCTTAGCCTCTTGCGCTCGCTCCCACCTATTAGTCGGAGGAATGGTCGGAGAGAGGGAAGACAAGCTTTAGACGGATTAGTACAAAGAGATATACACGTATTGCAGGACATGAATGTAAAGACCGAGTATCGACTCACCGGACAAAATCCCAAGATTGGTCTCAACTGCAGTCCAGCTGGAAGGGCCGATGAAGACCCAGGTCACGTCCACAGAGGGCGTCTTGTATGCTTCCAGCATGACAATCAGGCGAACGATCGAGATGATACAAATACTGCGACTCATTAGCACACGACGACTTTGGACAAGTAGAAGTGCTAGGGTGATCGACACATACAAGCCTCCCATGATGAATGCGGCACTGAGAGCAAATTTCTGAATGGTGGTCTGATGAATCTTCCACACGTATGGCAGCGGTAGGATCAAAAGAGACCAGTCTGTGATAATGTTGGGGACTGCATTGCCGATGAAGAAGGAGTTGATGTTGACGCCGCAGTGCGCCTTGATCGAGTAGTCCCAAAGTCCTTGAATCGGTACACATTGGAAAACTGTTGTCAGGATCTGGCGAGGGGGGGGGGTGTGGAGATGGTCCTTCATTAGCATACATTGTCGTGGTATAACACATTGTATTCCGGTATATGGGCACTAGGTTGGAAGATGGTCCAAGGGAAACATACCACGCCAAGTCCCCAAGCAGTGGTGATTGTTGCAATAATATAGATGGGGACGCGAATGTTGGTGCTACTGAAGATGCGCCAAAAGAAGAGTAAGATGGAGTATTTCGTGAAGACAACCGATAATGTGTATAGAATTTCGCAGACGAAAAGGTTGATATAGAAATGTGAAACGCCGGGTAGTCCCCAGCGATAGATATGCGTGCCGACACCCCGATCTATCCAGATCATCATGTCGATAAAATTCCCCGTGGCAAATGCCTGGCATGAACAATCATTATCAGTCTTGAAGTGGATTTTGTTGGTGACTCCAGTAAAGGCATCTGTCAACATCCAGCAGACTCGCCAAAGAGTCGACACAATGGAGGGAATCCTCACCAGTGCAGCACAGATCAAATAATCATCCCACCATAGTCGAGTCTTGGAGACTCTTAGTCTGCAGAACAGGCGCAGAGCCACAGCCGATACGGCTAGACCAAAAGTTGTCGAATATGTCGCTCTTAACCCGCTTTGGTGGGATGCATCGAGGTCGATGCCTGGCGGCGGGGTTAGATCCATTGTGAAGTGAAAGAAACTGACGGAGACCAAGAGAGACTCGCAAGCCAGTCCATCGGTTGATTTGCAGAGTCTCTGAAGAGAACAAAGCAAACGACACCGGACCGTCGGAGGACTGGCGTGTTAATATGCTGACTACCCTTTGGCGATTACATCCGCTTTTGAGATCACTGACCAGCATGCCCGTGATTCACATTTGATCTTCCTGTCAATGCCCCCACCTTGCATACCGATCGCTACAACTCCGCCATGTGTGGTGAGAGTAATCGGCCGGTGATGTAAACGGGTGGTAGGTGGAAATGGGGGCCAATGCTGCAAGACACGCTGCACTACCATGAGCACCAGATTCTCTTTCTGGAAGCATATCCCTGTCTGGTGGAAATGAAACGACCCGAAAATGCGAGCTAGTACTCGACACGACCTTACAAGGAGGGGTCGCAGAGTCGCCCAATATGGGTTATATTGACCAGATTCATCCGCCTGTCAACATTGGATTCTGGATTCACCGTCGAAATCCTTCAGGGCCTTTGACCGCACCAGCAAGCTCAAATTAAATCACCATGACTACTGTTCTCGTTGTTCCTGGGGCCTGGCTCACCAAGGCCTTCTATGAGCCATTCCTCCAAGCACTCACCGAAGCTGGCTATGATGCTCAGTTCGCCGAGTATCCCTCTCTGGACCCCGAGGACCCAACCGCTTTCGATTGCCACGCTGACAGCAAGGCCATTGCCGCGGTGCTCCGGCCCCTCGTGGAGGAGGAAGGGAAAGACGTCCTGGTACTCATGCACTCGTACGCTGGCATGCCCGGCGCAGCAGCTGCAACCGGCCTGGCAAAGACACAGCGGGTGCAACAGGGCAAACGCGGTGGCGTCGTGGGATTGCTTTTTGTCGGCGCATTTGTCGTGCCAGAAGGTCTCAGCTGTGCCGGCCTCCAGGGCGGAAATCTGCCCCCGTGGATCTTGCTTGACCAGGTATGTATACCACTACTGTGCGCTGGTGCAGCATTACATCGCTTATAATGTCACTACACACGTGAAGACAAGACTCCCCCTTGCTTGCAGGATCAATCAGTGCTGACGCGGGACAAGCCCTCGGCGAATCTGAATCTGGCAGATGACCCGATCAACAACTTTGCCGCGGATGTCGAGGGGACTCTGGCCCAGTCCTTGACTGCACATTCGAAACCACATGCGACCCTGTCCTTCACCTCCCCCCAGCCCCATCCAGCCTGGATGGACGATGAATTCAAGGGACGCTTGGCATCTGTGGTTCTCACGGAAGACCGTGCCGTGCCGAAGGAGGCGCAACTCGGCATGATTGCAGCCACGCAGCAGCCGTGGATCGTCAAAGAGCTGCCGGCCAGTCATTGTGCACCTTTCCTGAATCGGATCGATGATACGGTGGCTCTGACACGGGAGATCCTTGACAAGATGCTGTAGATTGCAGATTGCACGGACCCTTCATTGTGAACCGGAGGATACAGGGGCAGGGCCTTAGCTCGCCGAAGGACTGCCTAAGTTTGACTATGAGTATGGACTATGCAGTGATGTACTACTAGTGCCTGTGAGACTGAACTACAGAGGAAATTCCTAAAGGGGTAGGGCCTGTACCCGAAGAGCACATGTTTAGCGGGTAAGAAGACAGGAAGATCCAAAACATCCAGTATCATCGCCTTGAATTGTCGTCGATCATGTGCATACATAGATGAGTAATCAGCGGCCCCCATCATGATGGAGGGAGAAATCTCACGTCTCTCGCGTCATGACAAAGTTTAATCCCATGCGATCTTCGGGCATCCATTCCAAATCCTCATCTTGCATCCCCCACTGCTGCAATGCAACTGCACTGACGTCGATCGTCCACCGTGTGTTGGTCTGCTGCTGAATCGTCTCCCACATGCGCAGAAACGAGTCCCGATTATGGTAATACATCATGCCCCAGGGGCGGATGTAGGCTCTTGCTTGTTTGCGTCCTTGCTGAAACCCCACGAGCATAGTGCCGGGCTTAGATAGCGCGACGATTCGCTGGTTGGCCGCAATCTGACCATCCCAGTCAAACAGATGCAGAAACTGCGACGCTAGGACCAAGTCTGTTTGGCCCATCAGCGGAGCAAATCGATCATCGTCATTCACGTCGGCCTCGAGAAAATTCGCGTGAATGAACGAGGCTTGCAACCGCCCCTCATCCCGAAATAGCTCAAAGCCCAGCCTCCATAGATGGGGCTCCAGATCCAGCGCCCACATGCGCTCCGTAGGTATGCCATGTGCGGCCAGTAATCGCAGATCCTGACCGAGTCCACACCCGAGATCTACGATTCGGCTCTCTGGCCGACGAGCAAATTCGAGGATCTGGGGGAATTGGGGAAAGGCTGCGATGCCCGGGAGCAGAAACATCCAAAGGCCGATACAGGGAAACTCTCCTAGCGGCCATGCTTGCTCACGCTGCAGAGAAGAGACTTTGCGGTCAGTGACGCATGGTGGGCTTGGGGTGAAGAGTGGGTGGGGTGGAAGTGAGCATCTTTAGGAGGGCTCGGTGTCTGACATGCGAACTCACAATTCGATGCAGGTGTGATTTCAATTCCTCGTCTGTCAGGCCGCTCCATTGGCGAAAGACAAATTGAATGCTGGGCTGCAAGCGAGGGCCGATCTCGGGCTGGAACCAGACCGAAGTGTCAATGCCAGTCATCTTCCTCGCGCAGAGATAGAGAATCTGGGCACATTGGTCCTTCTTGCAGGGTCGTTTGTGCTTGCCAGAGTGCTTTATGCGATACTGTTACCGCTTCAACTCACGGGTGGAGTGGGCGTTGAGACATCATCCCTGGACAAGCAACCATAGCTGATATGGGCAAACCAACCGTATCTGCATCCCATTGCATTAGTGTTCAGCCCCCAACTTCTGTTCGTGTCTGCGTCACTTCATCATTGAACAGAATATTTGTCTCGACACTAATGCTGGAAACAGAAGTACATTCCGAAATACATGACGAAGCGAAACGGGAAGTCTAACCAGGTAGGCCAAACATCAAATGGCCAAGATAGGGTACGGAGTACCGACTACAGACTAAGAGTCGGTATTACTATCGGTATCTAGTCTCATTATCTATTAGGTAGAGTACACAACTACCCGACGCGACTGTATTTGATCTTTCGAGCTGCTTGAGTACTGTAGCTCAGCCGTTCTAGTCCTATATCTGAAATGATTCGATGCTGGCAGTGTTCAGCTGTCGGAGCTGGGGTTTCCCAACTTGGAACAGATACTGTCCCCAGAGCCAGAAGGGAAGAGACGCGGAATGGAAGATGATCCAAGACCAATGCAAATTACAGAGTAGCATGCTCGTGCTCCTTTCGGCCAGCCAGTCACTAGTGCGAATCTAGAGTAAGCCACTTAGTCAGAACAAAAGTACTAACGTTAACTACTAACTAATTAAGATTATGAAAGACCTCGGCGTTCAGGTCACCCGCCAGCCAGTGATCGCCCATCAACGACTGTACGAAGGTGATGGACCAGGTAAAAGACGAGAATCAGTACTGCATTCACAGGAGACAAGCTCAGATGATGTCAACCATGCTGTCGGCCTCGAATGTAAAGTAACTGATCATCACGACTACAATCTGAGTCGTGTGGGCGGGTAAGCCACATGCAGTCGAGACTCCATAAATCGGCCCCCATGTGACATCTGCATTGAGAAAAAGTGACAAGCACCGCTGCACCACATGCATCTCCGCCAAGATTCCGCTTCCCTACAGGCTCGCCATAGGCCCTGTCGATAGCAGCTGGTTGATCCCGACCACCTCGCTTCCATACACAAGCTGCATGTACGCAAAGCTCTGCTCCTCCGGAAGATGTAAGCCAGCGGTACATTCGCGGATCACCGTCGTCCATAAGCCTCGCTGGAAGGCGCCACGAGTCACCGCGTCCACGCAAATGTCGGCAAACAGGCCCACCACCACAAATTGTTGGAAGTCAGCCGTGTAGCTGGCAAAGTCCGGCCCCAGGAAGGGATCGAAGTAGGCCTTTTTGTCAAAGACCCGCTCATGTGCTTGCGATTGCACGCAGTCGGCGATCTCGGCGCCCCAGCTCCCTTCTTGACACCACGCCCGCCGACGTTGCACTTGATTACGCTGTCGCCATGTCGCCGATTGGTATTTCTCGTCCCCGAGGAATCGCACCCAAGCGACTTCGATCCCTTCCCGTCGCGCCCACTCCACCGCTCGCGGGACGTTTTCCTTGACACGATTCATGACTCGTGGGTTCTTATATTGAGTCATGAAGTCGTTTTGGAAATCCACCACAAGCAGACACGTCTTGTTCCCGCGAGGGACCCACGACGGGCTGAACAGATCCCTAGCCATGGCGGACCCCTGCGGATCCCCGGGTTTAACAGGGAGATTCGGGCCGATAGTCTGCAGCACTGCATCCACAAACTCCTTCGTCCTGGTGGTGCCACCTTGATCTGGCGTTCGTATGTTTTTGGCATGCAGCTCGTCCAGACTCACGTCCATTTGGTGGTGGACCCCCGGGCAGCCCCCATGGCGCTCCAGTAGCGCGGCCGCCGCGCGAATGGTCGCGGAGGGATTCACCACACCTTTGTTGGTGATGTCGTCTGCGGAGCCATGCGCTGTCTGATACTCACTGAGGGCCCCACCAACGGCGGATGAGAGATAGACATTCTCGGCGCACGCCATCTCTTGCGCGCCGAAGCCAAAGCGATCCAGAAGCATTGTTTGCATGATGTCGGCATACTCATTGGCACAGATCCAGAGCTGTCGACCTTTGACTCCAAAGGCTAGCAGGTTTCGGTTCATGGTATCACCCTGCACAAACTTCACCTCCACGCCAAGGGAGTTTTGCCATTCCTTGGCCCAGGTGTAGAACAGCCCGTCGAAGAGGTGGAACTTGTATACCAACGTGACTGTTCTGATCTCGGTTTCATTGCCCCAAGTCTCACGAGCACGCGCAAGAGCGAATTGAAGAACTCGCTCGAAGACTTTCTTGTTGAAGTAAGTGGACCGTGAGACCGTCTCTTGAGCAGCATCAATCGTGTTCAATCCAGAGTAAAACCCTTGTGCTTGGTCTCGTATCATCAAGATCGATGTAGACGGATTCAGCTCGAAGTGTTCGACTTTGACGGCAAACAGCCGGTCTCGCACCATGTACAGCGCCTGCGCGCTGATAGATGTGCGAAAGATGGCGCATGCTCCACGGGCAACGACCTGGCGGCAATATTCTTCATAATGATCGGCATCTAGAAGCGTCTCTGAGCTCACGACATCGGTGTCGTTGATGGCCAACAGGGACGAGTATGAATGGTAAGTTCGTGGAGATGTGACGAATTGAATTTGTAGTTGGTATGGCGCTGCCAGTGCCACAATGACCTGTTGAAAGACGGCCAACAATTCAGGACCCGTGCCGTGGCCTACAGCCAATGCAACCAGAATAGAACGCATGATGGGATGATCGATGGGGAATACTAATCGAACGAAGAATATCCTTAGTGCTTTCGCACCGGCTCTACTTTTTATACATGTTGTCTGCCAGGATTCTGGCGTTGCAACTCGACGGGCCTCGAATCACGGTGAGCCCGATGCCGATGCCGCTGCAGACGCTATCGTGAGTGAAGACCGGGCAGTGAGGGGTTCAATTGAGCCACTTTCTCACTGATCGGCCAGTCGGACCCTTGCGATTTCCAGATTGTTGGAAAAAAAGTTGGGGGCGGTTCACTTAAGAGGCCTTTGGCGCTTTGGGATGTGTCTCAAAACTCGGCCATGGGCGAGATAGAGGAACGCCGGGCCCTCTTGAGTCCTTGATAGCTTTGAGCATGTCATGCGGCGTCACTCTCCAACCCCCTCCTCCCCCGCCGTAAAAACATCACTTTTCCTCGGTTTGAGGGAACCAATGCCCCATCCAGATTGCATTGCTTTGACATTGCATCAGATCAGTCCACCTTTTTGTCCACAATGTCTGAAACCATCGAGGCTGGATTCCATCTTGCTGACAGTAATGGTTACATGCTTGGTCGAGGACACAGTGCAGCCTGTCGTCTCAATCTCCAATTCTTCCTGTGGAAGGAATCTCTGAGATTCAACATCCACCCCTCCATCCCCATCAGCTCCAACCCTGTCATTGCAGATCTCGGCACTGGAACTGGCATTTGGCTGATCAATCTTTCACGCGAGCTTCCCACGGCCACGCTCGACGGCTACGATGTCGATTTGTCCAATAGTCCACCCAGGGAATGGCTTCCAGAACGCCTCCACCTTCACCATTGGGATCTTTTCACACCAGTCCCTGACCACATGGTTGGTAAATACGACGTAGTTCACCTCCGCCTCCTCATTCTCGTCGTGCAGAACAGCGATCCGACCCCGGTTATCCAAAATGTGGCCCGTCTGCTTAAGCCTGGGGGCTATGTCCAGTGGGACGACCTCAATTACCCCGGTACCCATATCAGAAGGGCCAATCCCTCGATGAAGGCCCCGGCGTTCGACCGTCTCCGCCAATTCGTCTATTCGAATGGACGCCACGATTGGGTGCTCAACTTGCCGGAACTGTTGGCGCAGAATGGGTTTACGGACACGCGACTGGAGCATTTTGATGACAGCATTGAGCTGTCTACGGCAAATGGAGAACAACATTTGGCGACAATGGATGAGTTTGTATTGTCATTGGAGAAGAAGAACATGATGGAGGATGCGCAGAATATTCGTCAATTGCTGAAGGATGTTGCCGTGGAGGCAGTGCACGGTGTAGCTTTGTCCATGCCGCGGGTTGTGGCTGTCGGAAGAAAAGCATGAAGATCATTCGAGATGACTATTGCATGTTCTCGCCACATGCCTGTATCTTAATGACACCAGGCGAAGCTCGTACTGATGCTTCCAGAATCGTTTATCGACTCGGTGAATATCATTGTTGCTCGTCTTTCCCTTTTCTTTTGGGGGAGGGTCCCTCGTTGCAAAATAACAGACACTGCATGAGAGACTTGGAAGCCTCCGTCTGTTCACAAGAACTTCTGCAACAATAGGCTGCATCCCTAAGGGCAAAAGCTGTCTCATGAGGTCATCTACGCGCTGCGTACAGGTCATTGTTTGAGTGACGTCGATATGCCATGCCGTCTGTTCCAATGCGCAGAACGGTTCCTGTGGAGAGTAAATGACTCGAAACACCAAGAGGTTGCGCCGGAGAATTAATCAGACAACTAAGTACTAGGGTATTTTCCACAAGTGATCTCCCATCGATTCACAGGAGCAAGAGCCGGCGACAAATTGAGCGCGTCTGCCACCATGTGAGGTAACACATATTCAGCTGCGCCATGGCGTCAACTGATTCGCCAGGGTTCCAATGTCACACACTGTGGCTGAATATACGCATCATATTGCGTAACGATTCAGATCATCAGTAGCGGAAACTGTTCACCATATCATCCAGCATTGTGTGTCCTGTTTCGTTGGTCGAACAGATGCCACGAACTTTTTTAATATAGACATCAAGTTTATGTGCAGCCCCTTACGTCATCGGCCGTGAAGGTTACTTAACTTTTGGGAGCTTGGATCTAGTGGAGATCAACATGATCGGAACAATAATAAGCTTACCAGACACCCTAGTTTGAGTGTTGATAATTCTCCGAGACCGTGAAGATCACCGGAGGGCTCGAATCTTTTGGGGGGGGGCATCATAATACACCCAGATCTTTTAACTCGATTCCGTCTTACGCTGCGACTGAATCTTGGAGAGATTTTTGACATCGAACGCCGGTTCCTTTCATCATTCGCCTAATTATATTGACCGACCATCATCATGCCTATCGACCCCGTCTCCAGCGGTGTTGGCTCCGCCAGCAAAGCCAGCGATACAGCGACCGGTACAGCAACCGGTGCGACCAATACAGCGAGCAGCGCAGCCAAATCCACCACCAAAAAGCCGATCAAGAAAGTTCAAAAGACCGCCAAACCCGTTACCAGCGACCCCGACATTCCCGGGAGATTTCCCAAGGAGAATGAACCTCGCAGGCCTGACCCACCTCCGCCCAATTTCAGCGCCGGTGGTATCTGGGCATCTATCAAAGCATGGTTCGCATCGTTTGTGCCGTGGGCCTTTGATTGGTTCGAGATCTTCGTCCAGGGCTTGATCAATAAGTACTTCCCGGCACCGAAGCAGGCCGCAATGTACGAGAAGATGCTGCAGCGTCCGATCGCTTCGACCTTTCTCATCTGTCAGATGATCTGTCTTGGGGTGCCGTTGCTGGTCTTCTTGCTGGGCGTGTTTTTGTTTGCGATCATTGCGGTGTTGCTGTGGATTGTGTTGGCGCTGCTGATCCTGGGACCGGTCTTGCTGGTGGCTAGTATGATGGGTGTTTCGCTTTGGGGTTGGGGCTGGGTGTTTTACGGGTTGATCAAGTTCCTGGACCGGAAATTCCTTGGTGGAGTGATCATGCGCACTTGGGCGTTGAATGCGAAGACCGAGGATGGCGAGAAGGAGAGCGAGAAAGAGGAGGCGGTCGGAGGAGATGGGGATGAGAAGAATGAACAATGAGAGGTGGATTGAGAATGGACAGCATCGGGAGTTGGGGCTACCGCTCAGATGCTGGTCAAGTGCTGTGTTGTCGTCCCCAACGCGAAGCCCGAATGCTACGATCGATTTGTCGCTTTACTCGTTGGGGGGGGGGGGAACTTGGCCCTTTGGAGCAGCATGCAACTCCCACGGCGTTCAATAACTTGGGACTCTCCGAGGCAACCCAGACATCCTATCTTCCTCACTTTCCATTCCCCTCCAGGCAGCCTTTGAGTCTTGCATATGAAAAGTCTTCTTCATGCTTCTTCCACACACGTATAGGGTGGGCAGCTGGCTGCAAAGACGAAGTTGGGCAGGAGAGGGAGTCTTGCAACCGAGCATGAGGAGGAAATTGAAGTTGTCAACAGTTTTTGGAGCGGGACTCCCGCAACGCCTGTGCGACTCTCGTCTCGAGACGCAGTTTCCTCCTCGCCGCGGAGTGAGAATGTTAGACGAAGCAGGCATCTTGCATTGAAAAAGTGCGCCTCTTCTCAGCTTGCACTTCCACATTTGAATGTGGTGCGTGTTCCGATGTCTTCTCCTCTCTGGTCGTGGAAGTTGAACGATCAGATATTGTGTCGACGAGTGATCATGGTCGTGGCAAACGTGCACGTCTCTCGAGAGGCCCATTCCGGGCTTGGCAGCTTAGCTTGAAAGTAAATGAAACACCGAATTGCCTCAAGCCGATTCACCCCCTGGGTTATCTGATCCACTCTTTCCGGCAGGTTCTATAAAGGTCCTGCCGGGTAAGCCTCTTGGATAGCCAGCGAGCATCAGTGCACATGACTCGGATGGGAAGCTAGAAGAAAACAATTGCCCAGCTATTTCCGAATACGAGATCTGCCGGCTCAGACTGTGTGCCTATCTAACTCGTGAATAGGTATCAACCTTTGGGCCAGTAGCGATGCCGAAAGGTGTTGTGCGGGCTTGTACATAGTTGTCTCGGTGCCACCAACGCTTGGACTGATCTACGAAAGCGCTTAGTACATGTATGTTTATGATGAGCAAAGACGGGCTTCAAAGTCATCGGGGTGAGGGAATCCAGATGCACGATGATCTGCGTCTGGTCGAGTGGAGGATATGCTTGAGGGGTTTGCTGAATATAAATTCATCGAATGACCGAGGAGACTGTAGTTCCAAAATTAGGTCTTCACATCATTGTGCTCAAAATTCGAGTTTTCCAACGCCTGCTATGCACCGTGGCTTGTGGCTTGCAGTGGATATGTTTCAAAAGACAATTTCGAGGCCGAATGCAGGTGGTTGCTATTTTGGCTGAGCGGCCCTTTGCATGTGCATCCATGTCTCTCGCGAGTCAACTTGTAGCTGCGTGGGATGACAACCCTGCGCTGGATGAGACGGCAGAGTCGAAAGGGACTCTGGACTGTTTGAAAGTGCCTATAATAAGTAGGTGAGTTGAGTAGACATGGAAGTGGACGCAATGGAGGTGAGTCGACAATCTTTGCTGCGTCGCACGGTAGTAAGCATTTTGCTGTTTAAAAGGCGCAGTGAGCTCGGGGGAGCGGGAAGAATCGATGTATGAGGGCAAGAATGCGCTGTGTTCAGATACGTTCTGGTGCCTCGTGAATTGGGACATCAAGTCTCTTTTCTCGGAGAGTCAAAAGATCCAGATCATGTGAGAGAGGGGCCAGAGCCGGTATGCTGGGTGGGATGCGCTGGGACGTACCTACAATACCTTGCTCTGAGCATGGATTTTGTTCACTGCTTATGATAATGGTTTGGCACGGAGAGATAGCACGCTCGACTCTCGAGGGGCTTCCCTTCCAGTACACTCTGCTGTCTAGGTTTGCCCACTTCATGCCTTCTTCTGATTTGCTTTTTCCGCTACTCCCCTCGAGCTCAGACAATCCTATTGATTGGGGTTGGTGGCTTGTCAGACTCAGACTACTCCAAATGTCCGAGAGGGACGTGAGGGGGCATAATCATAGACTCGGGACTTTCTCTGCCCGAGTGAGCGCTACCACATGCAGGTATGTTGTGCTGCTGCCAAGATCCCCCTGCACCTGTGAGACATACGAATCACTAGCGTCGAAGAAGCGTCGCACCTGTCACTGTGCCGGGCTCTGGCATGGAGTGCCGGATCAGCATGGCCATGCTCTTATGGCATGGAACTCGGATCGAAAACCTGGTCATGGTCGGGGACGTGCTCAGGGCGAGTTCGGGTATACTCACTCGTTACCGTATGAAGCTCCTTCCAAGTTACTTGGCAGTGGGCAGTTAGTAACTTAGTACTAACTGGGTACAAGGGGAGTACATTTGTACATGAAACTGCGATAATTCAATAGTTGTTGCCTAGCAAATCAGGCTCTGATTGACGACGATTCGTCTGCGTATGATTTCTTATCATCATCATCGACCTTTTTCTGATCCACTCGAGGCGGGTCTTGTCGATCTGACAAGCGTGGACCATTCGCAAGGCGTGCTGGCCCTGCTCGAACTCAACCTGAAACTGCCCGTCACTTCATCTGGTCGGCCTTGAGACCCCGTTCCCAGTCCATCGAGGAGGGGTTCGATGCGTATGCATACAGATGCAGACTATGCATATACAGGCTTCTAGGTAGTTCAGAGATGGACCTTGACTCGACTCGTTCACAATCCGGTATTTCCACCATTCACGTTACTATCTGGGGTGCCGCTGAGTGTACCTATATTTAGGTGTGTATACTGTATACTCGAAAGTTGTACCGGTACCAGCCTCCCAGGCGAGGTCAGCACCAGTATCTGTAGAAAAAAGGGTGCAAGGTTAGGACGGTAGAGATTCGATCTCACTGACGGACCTTTGACTGTACCCCCTCATTCTTTCATCTTCTTGTCAAAGACAGTAGGCATCCTGTGTACGATAGTACCTTTTTAGAATGACTGACTAGGCAGGTACCTTACTCAAGGACATTCCGTCCCACATGGAGGTCTCGTGGACACGGAAGACGAAAGTCTAACTCGGCCAAAAAGCCCTGTCTTGCACTGTATAGTGTATTGTACATGATTATATTTGCGACAATAAGCCGGGCCACACCGGATCTGATCTCTTCTTCTATGAGTAGCCCGGCTACTTACTAGGTAGTAGGTAGTTAGTAAGTAGTACCTACCAGCTAAGTATTACTAGACTGAATACTCTTCCTTCACCCCATTACATTACAGTCGAATCCCAACTCGTCTCACTTTCCTACTCCTGATTTATGAGACTGGAGAGGGGGGCGCAGATTCTCCACCGGCCCTGTTGTCATTTGAGGAGAGACAGAGTCAGTGCGGACTGCGGCCCCGTTTGCCTTTCCCCAGTCGTGCTTCCTCGGATGCAGGTACCAGTGGGCCGTGCAGAGCGTGAACGTTCAGAGCACCAACCAAGCGGTGAGTTGCTGCGAGATTTGGAGCGTGCATTGAAGACTGCCCGACACGAGAGAAAGAGAGAGAGAGGGAGAGAGGGAGAGACAGACAGACGGTACTACCACTCACGGTAGTCATTGTTCCAACTTTCACAACTCCGCTGGTGAATGTTGATAGCGTCTCATCTGTCATCTGGAAATAAGGAATGGGATGGGTGGCTAAAATTGAGGGACCGAACCTACCTATCCTGAATATGACGAGCCATGCACCCGAAAAAATGCATCTTGATCGGCTGACTCCCGGGTCACACTTGGCTTGATTGACATGATTGGTGATCAGCGGAGATGTGAAATGTAATACGCCGCGACACTCTGCAGGAACGAGACACTATGATTATGGACTCAAAGAGTATGGAGTACGTCCTGCATAGGATGAACCACTACCAGTACCTACTACCTAGTACCACTACCTAGTCAGTCGACCAACTTCATATGCGAGGCGGACTCGTTCGGACATGTGGATCATCAATTATCTACACAAGAGGAATCTCAGCAAGATCTATAATCTCGAGATAGTGATCTATCTGAAATCCGGATAATCACTTGATCGGCGCCAAGTATTGCGCAGCGCGCAATCAATTGCCCTCCGAACTTGCGCAATGCAAACCAATTTCCGACACCTATCAGATCAGGTAGTGTTTGACAAACTAACACACCTGCCAATGTATGGATGTACAGAGTACATCATGATCCATTCGTACTGTAGTACTGTAGGTGAGGTACGTGCTCGGTCGGATGCCTGACGCGCAACCATGAGTCATGTCATGTGTCCGGATCCCAAGGCAATGGAAGAACATGGGGTCGCAGCAATGGAACAGCTCCGGGGTTCATAACGGAGATTGAAAGTTAGTGTCGTAGAGTTCGCAGTGTATGGCCCCATCCAAGTCAATGCACAATTAAGTTTATCAAGCGCGGAAAGAGCGGCCAAGTGCTCCCGTGTGAACCTGGAAAGCGTGGCCAGTGGCCACTGTTCAGGTACCACTAGTACGTTGAGGCTTTGAGCGAGTATACTCAAGTCCATACAACTACCTAGATGAGATTCTCCTGGAAAAGATTACGGCCGCACCTCTTATCATTTTGCACTGCACCTTGGATATATCTATATGCGATTGGGACTGTGTGGACGACTTTTCACACAACCCGTAAACCAGACCTAGATTGACGACTCATTTTCATAGATCCGACTCTGAATTCTTGTACCCAACTGTCTACTGACTACGCAGTTGTCTCAGTCCTTCCATGACCCTGTAGGCCTGTACCACGATCGGGTTGGTTCCGTGGATGACTGGCTTGTCAAGTGGCAAACTTTCAACGGCAATCGAATCTCCGGGACTGGACTGGCTCAGGGGAAAGACGATCGGCATGAATGAATGGGGGGGGGGGGGGGGGGGGGGGAGGGGGTATGGGCGCAAAATCACTCCCATCCAACCTTGGAAGAGGTGAGGGCTTGAGCGATCGAATCATGAAGCCGCTAGTGTATGCACGTCTACAAATCTTATCACCTTCATACCTTTATGGGGGGGGGGGGGGCAGACACCGCAGCAGTGCAGAGGGGTACTCTATCCAGAGCAGTCTAGAGGCAAGTAGGCAAGAATGACGAATGGAGAGTTGGCATCGGAGTGGGACTGGGAGAAAAACTGTCAGGCTAGGGCTACAGTACTGGTCTGGTGAGGAGGAAGATTCATGGTGTTTATCGGTCGCGCAGCCTGGGGAGGAGAAACCGGTTCGAAGGTACACACGGTACCTGGCGTTGGCATCTAGCGGCGGACCCCCTTGCATGTGAAGGGGGAAAGAGGAAAAAGAGGTGGGAGATAGAAGGGTACGATTCATACCCTATACGCCGCATGAGATTTCTGTACGTGCCAACACAGTACACTGAACACTCTGTGGCTCTACTGTAGTACTCTACAGTCTACACCATTCATCTCCATCCTCACTTTTTGTGGCCTCTGTCGAACGATCGGAGGATGAGGACAGGGGTCAACGCTTCGACCATGGGTTGAGGAATTAGGAAAGACCACTTGTATCCACAAGGGGGTCAAAAAAAGAGGGAAAAAAAGGCCAGGGCCCACCCGAACACGGCAATTAGTACGAGAATGAGTAGAATCTTTCTGCTAGATATGTCATTGTCAGTTAGTCTCCGACTCTCAGGACTTGGGTTATTGTACTGTTCGTCTTTACATAGGCACAATTTACATGTCGGATGGTACTTGTTCAGATCCCGGGTTTTGAAGCAGTGGAGGACTCTGCCAGTCGAGTAAGAAGGTTCATATGTAGTCCTATTGTTGGTACTTGGTCGTGGTGCCCTACCCATCTCAGCATCCCTGATCTGTATTGATCAGAAGATTGAATGTACAGTGTACAAACGAAGACTATACTCTAATCTCTATCCTCTATAGACTGTAATCCTGGATGTCCTCCCCAGTCCTGGTTGGACTAGTCAATGCAAGCCAAATCGCATGAACCTCTCGATTAAGATTCTGCTGCTCATCCTTAACTGATCGATAAATGATCGGGTCCCCCTTTTCTGCTACTCCACCGATTGCCCACTCCCACCCGTTCTTCCTACTGTATGTTTCTTCAGATTTTTAGGGGGGGGTTTTTTTTTTTTTACTTTTTTCCTCTACAGTAGTTTCACTTTGGCTGACGCTCTCCTGGACGTGCTGTACAGTGTCGAGTCCACCAAGTCCGACTTGAATTCTTGAGTACCATACTCAGCCAGCAACCAAGACAGCGACCGAGGAGACTTCTCAGGATCGATTGGAAGTGTACAGATGTACAAACGTCCTGTCTAAAGAACCTACAAAAGTACACCACCACCCTACTATATTTATACAGCGCCAGTTTCACTTTTCCCGCCAATTCTCTCGAGACCGGTACCTGGTACCTTGCCTGATCACAGTGGGACAGATCTGAGGGAGTGACGGGACTGAGACGTCTCTCCATCCCATTCACCTTTTCTATCTCACACCCCCTTTGGCCCCTCTCTTTTCTCTCGCCTCTACTTTCCTCCTCCCCTCCACCTGTCCACCGATCAAGGTGTCTCTTACCTTCTTCATTACTTCAGTCAGTCAAGCGACCTGTTCATCTTGAGAATCCTGCCTTGGGACTTGATAACTTGTTTTGCTCCTTCGACAAGACGAATATCATTACCGGCCCTAACCCCACTCATCCCCCCCCCCCCCCCCCCCTGATCCCCTTCTTCGGGCCATTGTGTATATCGGCATATCCGCCCAGACCAATTTGTCTGGTCCCTGGCCCGCTCTTTTTCAGGCTCCGTTTTCCTCCTCCGCGCCAGAAAGTTCCCGCTTTGCCGACAGCCTGTCGACGCACTTCCTCACCCCTTGGTGGTGCTACGAGCGCGCGCGCCTTGCCGTCTCTTCGCTGGAATTCGCTCTTGTCAGTCTGCCTCTCTATCCAAGGCAGCCGTAATTGAACGGTCGATCAGTATAGATCCGCTGCCGATCCACCGGTGGTGTCCTTTCGTTCGGAGCTTTTCGCACCAGGTCGCCCTGCGGAGCGATTGATCGATTTGCACAACAGTCACTTCCCACTCTCCCATCATCTCGTCAATTTCACTCTACACGAGGCACATTCGGCGGGTCACACCATGTCCGTCGCGACCATGCTTCAACCAGCCTCGAGAATGTCTCGAGCCTCCTCCTCTTCATCTTCGTCATTTCAGCCCGTCGCGCGCCAGAACACCATGTCCTCGCACGACACGCGATCCATTCGCCAATCCAAGCGGATGTCCGTGACCGCACTCTACCTTTCCATGTCCGCAAAGGATCGCGATTTGGAAATATCAGATGACTTAGCTCGAGGTATGTGCCCATCGAGATACAGTCATCGACCAGGATAGAATGACTACAGTGAGCAATGCAGGAAAGAAAATTGACACCAGTCTACAGCCCAGAAATATCTTCGCGAACTCAAATCCAAGATCTCCTCGCAGTCCAAGAAAAACTTCGTCTTGGAGAAGGATGTGCGGTATCTGGACTCGCGCATTGCCCTGCTGATTCAGAATCGGATGGCGTTGGAAGAGGTAAGGACATTAATTTCCGTGCCATTCCCTGGACAACAGCCCCCCAACCCCGGGCGGAGTTTCCTCAGCTTCAATCCCTGGCCAGCTCGTTGATCAATCTGATGGTGGAACAGCAAAACGAAGTTGCGAGCCACTTGGACGACACCGCCGACCCAGCAGAGGGTTTCTTTCCGAACGACGAGCGAACGCAAAAGTACGGTAATCTGCTTTTTCTTCTCCAATCCGAACCACGTCACATCGCGCACCTCTGCCGATTAGTCTCCATGGCAGAAATCGATTCCCTCCTGCAAACGGTCATGTTCACCATTTATGGAAATCAATATGAGAGCCGCGAAGAGCATCTGCTGCTCACCATGTTCCAGTCTGTTCTCACCTACCAATTCGATAATACCCCCGAGCACTCCTCGCTTCTGCGCCAGAACACTCCCGTCTCCCGGATGATGACCACATACACGCGTCGTGGTCCGGGCCAAAGCTATCTCAAACAGATTCTGGCGGAGCGCATCAACTCGTTGATCGAACTGCAAGATGTGGACCTGGAGATCAACCCCCTAAAGGTCTACGAGAGCATGGTGAAGCAAATCGAAGAGGAGACGGGCTCGCTTCCAGACTATCTGGCTCGCTCGGTCACTGCAGAGGTTGCCGCCGAGAATGAACAGGTACAGGCCATTATTGCGCCTCGCCTGAAAATGTTGACGGACATTGCCAATGGATTCTTGACCACCATCATCGAATCGGTAGACGAGGCTCCATACGGCATCCGCTGGATTTGCAAACAGATTCGCAGCTTGTCACGTCGCAAGTATCCGGATGCGCAGGATCGAACCATCTGTACTCTGATCGGCGGTTTCTTCTTCCTTCGCTTCATCAACCCCGCAATCGTCACTCCTCGCTCGTATATGCTGATCGATGCCGTCCCCACCGATAAGCCGCGCCGGACTCTGACCCTAATTGCCAAAATGCTCCAAAACTTGGCCAACAAACCCTCCTACGCCAAGGAACCGTATATGGTCAGTCTGCAACCTTTCATCGAGGAGAACAAAGAGCGGGTGAACAAATTCCTCTTGGACCTCTGCGAAGTGCAGGATTTCTACGAGAGTCTGGAGATGGACAACTACGTGGCCCTCTCGAAGCGCGATCTCGAGCTGCAAATTACCTTGAACGAAATGTACGCCACGCACGCGCTGCTGGAAAAGCACAGTCTCGCATTGGCTCAGGACCAGAACTCCCATCTCTCTTTGCTGCTGCAGGAGCTAGGTGCGGCGCCTCCGCAAGTGCCCCGTAAGGAGAACCGTACCATCACAGTGCCTCTCTTCAGCCGATGGGAGACGGCTCTCGATGACCTGACGGCCGCGCTGGACATTACTCAAGAGGAAGTGTTCTTTATGGAAGCCAAGTCCACATTTGTCCAGATCCTGCGCTCCCTGCCTCCCAACTCTTCCGTGGCTCGCCGTCCCTTGCGCCTGGATCGGATCGCCGAAGCTGCTGCTACGCTTAAAAATGACGCGGTGATGGTCCGGAAGGGAATCCGGACCATGGAGCTACTGAGTCAATTGCAAGACATGGGCGTCATTGATCGCTCCGACGAGTTTAGTCTGCTCCGGGATGAGGTTGAGCAGGAGCTGGTGCATCTCGGCTCTCTCAAGCATCACGTCCTCGAAGAGACGCGCAAGCTGGAAGATGTGTTTGCAACCATTCGTGATCACAACGAGTATCTTGTTGGGCAGCTGGACACGTACAAGTCTTATCTTCATAATGTCCGCAGTCAATCCGAGGGCAAGAACCGAAAACAGCAAAAGCAACAGGAGCTGGGGCCATACAAGTTCACCCACCAGCAATTGGAAAAGGAGGGGGTCATTAGACGGAGTAACGTGCCGGAGAATCGACGGGCAAACATCTACTTCATGTTCAAGAGCCCGCTTCCCGGAACCTTTGTGATCAGCCTCCATTATAAGGGTGAGTCATTGTTTTCACAAAGCGCGTAAGTCAAAGTGGGGATTACTGACAGGATATCAGGTCGCGCTCGTGGTTTGCTCGAGCTGGATCTCAAGCTTGACGATCTCCTGGAGATGCAAAAGGACAACCTCGAGGACCTTGACCTGGAGTATGTCCAGTTCAACGTGACCAAAGTACTGGCCTTACTGAACAAACGATTTGCACGCAAGAAGGGATGGTGAATCAACCGTACCGACGATCATGCTTACGTCCCCTTCTTTGCCTCGAAAACACACGCATGTCCTCTGGGACACTAATGGTATACATCGTGGGGGTATTGAAGGACAGGGGGCATCATGATCCTACTGCATCCTCTCTGCAAGCCCTTTTCATCAATTTTTCCGTCAAGTACGTCCGTACTACGATCTCTCATCGGTATACAGCCATCACTGAGATATGTTGATATAACCGTCCGTCCACGGCCCACGAACCGAATGCGTGGGATTGATGCGCGTAGTCGGACTTGCGTGGGTAGCCGTCCCAGTTCAGAGTCTTTTATATCTCGGTCTGGGGCACAACCGGTGCTGGATTCCTGGCCACTGTCGTTCATTCTGACTGTGGAAATGAATCTTGACGGAATACAGCTCAGCTGATGGAAGATGAAAGGTCAGGGACTTCTGCTGGCTCAGATCCTTAGACCGATTCTTCTGAATGATCGAATGATCGCATGACAAGATATGTTTTCGATTGCTTTATTTCTCCTCGTACCCTTTCTCCCGCGTTCCAATGCTTGATTCTCATCTTCATCGTTTTGTCGAGTCACCATATTTGTGCGCACCTGATCTTAATGGCCTGTTATACCCAACGCAAGATGTCTATGTATCCCGACGCTGTCTCCCCCATGATGTATTGTCTGCTGCCCGTGTTTATTTCTTCGACCTCCCCCGCTCGGTCATGTCCCATTGATCGAAACCGTGGTTGACGATGCAAAGCTCCATTGAGACGGAGGTTCTGTCTCTTAATTATTTGACTCGTTTGTGCAGCAGGACCGTTCGTGTCCGACCGAGTCATATTACTTTCGTGACTTACCCTGGATATTGTAATATAATCAAACCTCTCTTGCTACGTGTTCCACGATAAGACTCTACTTAGTATCCCTGCCTCGGCTGGGATAATCCACCCATATATCGAGGTGCACCAGGTCCCTTGATCATCACAGATCCGGTCCCTGCTTCTTATTAGCCCACTGTCGAAGCACAATGTGCCTTTCTTCTCCTTCGTCTGGGCGCAGACAGCAAATTGATAGGTAGAACTTCCTCCTGACCAAGATATGAGACCAGCCGCGTTGATAGTAGTAAACTGTAGAGTTTCCCACTTCCGAACACTGACATCACCCCTAGCGCTACTTTCTATACGCTTTGACATCTATGGACCAGGAATGACGCGGGTCGTCAAATCTGCCCGTGGGCTTTCAGCCCCATCTTCATGAGCTCAGATTTGTTCTTAGACCGAGCAGAGGTTAGAACGTTGTGATATACCAAGAAGTAGCCGGGTAACTTAGCAGTCAGTACTCACTACTCAGTAGTGAGATTGCACATGGATCTCTTCTTCGGTCAATTGCGTCCTAGCGCCTCCTCGAGTGGATATCTTCCCGACACCGCCTCGTGTCTCCTGAGAACGTTCGGCACTCGCGGAGTCGCGGTACCTGGTCTTCAAATACACTGGTCCAGTTTTTGGAATTCGATCACTGCCCAGCTTGAACACGTTGCGCAGAGGTCATAGAGCGAGTCACGTTGATTGGCGGCTTGGAAATCCAACCCAGGCGACAATTCTTACTTCGTTACTGCTCAGTGCTGACTGTGATGTACTTCGCTCTACGCCGGTCTGTCGATCACCCGGTAGAACCCCATTAGCCCCAGAGTCTTCATCAGTGAAGTTGCCACCGTTCACCGTGCCCAATTGCAGCTGGAGCTGGAAAGGATGGGGAGCCATCGAGAAGGTCAATCAGAATGTCGACACGGACGACGATCTATATGAATGACGCCAAGATGCGCTTCGACTCGAATTAGGATGGATGTAGCGACCAAGCCACAGTAACAACAACCTTAGGCCGAGGATGGATTCGGTCATATGTACTAGAGAGGTGGCTTCACCTTCGGCCATGCGCTGATAGATATAGTCAGCGCGAGAATGACAGACGTATCTAAAGCAATTTGATCTGCAGAGTCAGTCGGGCAGTCTTTCGATCCAAAAAAAACGACTTCTGTGAGGCATCCTCAGCCATTGTTGTCATTGTTGTTATCGTCCCTCGACCGTAGTGGCCACCAGAGCAGTCCCGCCTCCCAAGCCACACTCCAACTCTGCTCCTTAAACTCTCCTCCCTCCTTTACTTTCCTCTACCCCTCCGAAAGACTCCCTGTCATTCTCCTTCTCGGTTTTTTTTTTCAGTCTCTTTCACCTCCTCTGTCCTTAGTGCAATTTGACTATTCTTTCCCTTTTTCTTCCATTTCTTCCCCCCTCCCCTACCCCCTCTTCCTAACATCCCCCCCTCATCGTCATCAACATGGCGGCCGCTACCGAGTCCAAGCTGCCCACCGATCCCAAGTACGATCACTACGACTTCCCGACCACTGCGCCGGAGCCGCAAAGTGGTCACCCTGGCCACACTACTCCGGAACAGGATGCGAAGGTGCATCAGTTGCGGACTATGCTCGAGCAGCAAGGCTTCACAGAGCGATTGGACACGCTGACTCTGCTGCGATTCTTGCGCGCCCGCAAGTTCAACGTTGAATTGGCCAAGGCTATGTATGTTGTTTTCCTTACCACCTCGACGTGACGTACTGTGGGGGAGATCGGGAGAGAAGAGAGGGAGAGAGAGAGACTGGAAGCCCTTTTTGGTGACCGCAAGTTTGCCGCGGGAGTTGGCGCATAGTCGCTCTTCTCTTCTTGTTCTCATCGCAAGCTGAAGCTGAACGTTAAACCGAGCGTGTATCTTTGAAGCTAACCGCAGGTGCGTCCTTATTATATAGGTTCATCAACTGTGAAGAGTGGCGCAAGAAGTTCGGCACGGATGATCTGCCTCGTACTTTTGAGTACCCCGAGAAGCCCGAGGTGTTCAAGTTCTACCCTCAGTACTATCACAAGACCGATAAGGTACGAGTTCTGCATCCATCTATCACTTGCCACTGCAATTCCAGCACTGCCAGCCCGCTGTCCCCACGGTTTTTGGGGGGAGTGAGAGAAACCCTGACTAACATGTATCATTTTTGCCAACTCTGCAGGATGGCCGTCCTGTGTATATCGAAAAGCTGGGCAAGATCGACTTGAATAAGATGTATGAGATCACCACCGCCGAGCGCATGCTGCAAAACCTGGTCTGTGAATACGAAAAGGTGGCCGACCCTCGCCTGCCCGCCTGCTCCCGTAAGGCCGGCAAGCTCCTCGAGACCTGCTGCACCATCATGGATCTCAAGGGTGTGGGTGTCACCAGCATCCCCTCTGTCTACGGCTACGTGCGCCAGGCCTCGGAGATCTCCCAAAACTACTACCCCGAGCGTCTCGGCAAGCTATACCTGATCAACGCCCCCTGGGGCTTCAGCAGTGTCTTCTCCGTGGTCAAGGGCTTCCTGGACCCCGTCACTGTGAACAAGATCCACGTCCTGGGCTCCGGATACAAGAAGGAGCTTCTCGCCCAGGTCCCTGCCGAGAACCTCCCCGAGGAGTTTGGCGGCACTTGCAAGTGCGCCGGTGGCTGTGAGCTTGCCGACCCCGGTCCTTGGCAAGAGTCTGAGTGGGTTCGCACACCTGCCTGGGCTAACCCGGCCCCCAAGAAGGAGGCGGAGGGTGCTGAGGCTGTGATCCAGAACGAGGACCCCGGTTACGTGAAGAAGGATGTTGAGGGTCAGGAAGGTGTGCAGACGACTACTGCATAAATTGTGGAGAAATAGCAAAGGGTGTGCACAAGCGATATCAAAGCAAAGCAAAGCAATCTATAGAGAAAGTGTCATACTTTTCTTTTTTCTTCTTCCTCTTTTTCAAATCAAAACTCATCTTCCGTTCTTCACAATCTCTGTACAAACTTCCAGCTACCTAGCTGGTCGGTCACCCGTCGCGATCACAAACATCTCAGCAGAGCATTCATGAATTATGCTTACCCAGTGTGTATCTGCAATCCTTCTATAAGAGACCCCCCGCTTTGCGCCGGATCAAATATATCTCAATCAGTCAATTATACAACATCGCTCCTTTCTAAGCTGACCAGGATGATTTTCGGGAATACTCCAACCTCGGAGGACCTGCTAACATCCGGGCCCATGCTCTTTGCCCAAGTGCACAGGCAGAGCTTAGTCTTACAACCTCCGGCTCCAGTCATGAATACAGTATCCGTGTCTACCGTTCAGAATGTAGTATGAAAGCCCTAGAAAGTCAAATATCAAATTGGTATCATAATCCTCGACATGCGAGGGTGTCAAAAAATAGAAACAATCATCATCAAAAAGAAGCCCAAACTCGCAATCCAAATGCCCTGGACAGTTTCAAGTATGAGGGGCACCTGAACAGATGGATTCCAAATGCCGCCATCGCCATGCTAAAGTGCATCGTGGGGTATGCAGAGGTCTGAGATGAGCCTGTTGTCCATTCCAGAGTCTGGCACTGTGTACCGCAGGAAAAAAAGAAGAGAGTCTGATCTGTGTGACAATCACATGTTCTCCACCACCTCGGCAGCTCTACCTGCTCTCTCGGCCTTTCCGACCGTCGTCGCCAGGGCATTTCCTTCTGAGCCCGGCTGTTCATCTGCTTCACCGTCCGCTTCACCCTGAAGACGCTGTAATGTTCGTAGGGCATTCTCATAGACCTCGGCGACGTCTCCATTACGCCAACGCTCGGCTTGTTCTTCCGTGCCTAGCGAAACGTCTAGTTTCCATGAGGGGTGGTTGCTGAGAGGTTCCCGATCAATGCGACGTCGTTTTGAGGCTCGGGATTCGGATGATTGATCGACTTCCATATCTTGAGTTTCTGTGGATTCTTTGTCGAGGGACTCTCGTTGTTGATCTTTGTCTTGTTCATGATCCTCATCACTTTCGTCTTCTGTCTTTGTTTCTTCATCGATCAAGCCAGCCAATTCTCTAGCGTAGGCCCTGGCCGCTCTTCGGGGGGCGTCGCGTCGTAATTGCGCGACACTGGTCGTGAGAGATTCCAATTGGGCGTACAGAGTACTGACGCGCGACGCGAGGTCCGAGTCAAACGGTTCATATTCAACCGTCTCGGGTGCCGTGAAAGCCGCAGGGAACGGGAACGCAGGCGATGTGGAATCAAGGCCATTGATACTGATTGACGAGGAGGCTGTGGTAAATGTTCGGGTGATGTACTATATGAATAGATAGATCACAATTGTGGCGTCAGCATTTGATTTTCTTTTTTTTTCTCCAGAAATTCCCACACGAGGTAAGGGGTGGAGGGGAAGAGGCAAGTTGATTGTCCTCCGTTGAAGCCTCGGCAGGAGAATGATGAGGACTTGTACTTGAGTCGAGGGGACGCCTACCTCGTCGACTAATTCGCGTACGCGCTCGCGCATGGGATCAGGTTTATCATCGTTTGTTGCGGAGGGCGGGAGATTGAGATCTATCTTTTGCCGGGACAGAGCGACCGTGTTGGCGTATAGATAGGTGAAATCGGCTGGCGATTGAAGTTCAACTTTGCGATAGTGAGGTGCAGCCATGATGATGGCTCTGAAGTCATGTGTGGTCTAATTGGAGCGGGTTGGATGACTTGTTATGTCGCGCGAGTGGTAGAGTTGTGTTGTAATCGCGGGAGATCTGATCGCTCAATTCGGTCAGTTGACTTACCCGACGCGTTTCACGAAGACGGAAGTGAGGAGGAGGAGGAGGAGTTGAATCAGGCTTGGCAAGGATCAGCCACCTTTTTTTTTGCGCTTTTGGCGAAGATTCCCGCCCGAGCTCCTCTTTTCTCCCCGCAAAAGCACTTCGTCATCGGGGCTGCGCCTCACACTCTAATTTCTGGACTCCTGGACTTGTCTCTCCTGGATCTTGTGGTCCTATTTTGTGTTTCTTTTTATTTCTGAATCTCTAACTTACTCGGCAAGCTTACTGGCTATAAGTGATCGGCTCTGATTGCATTACTTTTTCATTGCGTTTGATTCGTTTTTGCCTTGCTGTATCATTGTGAGCGCCAACAGTTTCCGGCGGATCGTCCAAACTTGTTCCGAGGACTACTCAGGGCTCCCAAGTGTGGCTGAGGCTTGAGTGATGCAATCAACTGTAGCACCTAGCTCATTGCGAACTTGTTCCTTCTCGGCCTCCAAGCACAAGCACAACACACCAGGAGCTTCGGCGGCCTCGATCAAGGTCCGCTGTGATTGACTTGGCCATCTCAAATCCACTCCCTCCTCCTCATCTCTATGGCCGACAGCAGCGGTATCACCCTCGTGGACAACACAGCCCCCGCGCAACAACCATCAAGCGGATCATCATCAAGACAACACTCCACCGTCGGCCGTCAGATCAGCTTAACCAAACACCTGAGTCGCACCGCCGTATCCGATCGTTTAGCAAGGAGGAAATACGCGAAATGGCAACCGGACAGACTGGGCTTGACCTCCGACTCGGAACGCTCCCCTAGCAGGGAAAGGTCTCGCTTGCGACGACCACTCTCCGCCTCAAGCTCGAGTGGGCCGACCAGTCGACAATCTTCACAGCAGAGGAATAGTAGCATTCCTGCTGCCAATACAGGTTTACCCGAACATGAAGGAGCCGGCTCGACGCACGTTCGCAACCGCACCACGACCGACCCAGCAGACCAGGCTAACAATGGCCTCGGCCAAACGACAACGATCACGTCCACCCCAACACAACGACCCCAAAAACACTCCGAGCTCGATATACTTTATGAGAATCAGCGAGGCTGGTTCTTCTTTGGTATCCCGCTCTACTCACACAGCTCTCTCCTCAATTTCGACCCGCCCGCATGGATGACACAAGATAAACGGGCGAGCGCCGTCAATATCACCAACGCGCAGGTCCCTGACCCAAGTTGGGAGTGGGCATGGCGGACATGGTACGTGGATATGTCGGGGGACGTGGATGAACAAGGTTGGCAGTATGCCTTTTCCTTCTCGACGTCCAAGTGGCACGGCACACACCCCTGGCTGCATTCGTTCGTGCGACGGCGGCGCTGGGTGCGACTGCGGACCAAGGCCTTCCAACCACGATGTCGCGGCAAATTGGGCTTTGAACAGGCGCATATGCTGAATGAGGACTATTTCACGATTCACTCCTCCAAACAGCTTGGCCGTGAACAGAGTCTTGCCGACTTGTCTCGAGTGGAGTCTGGGTTCTTGAGTCGGGCGGACACTAAATTGGGAGAACCTCAAGCCGACGAAGTGGTCGACATTCCCAGTCTACTTCGGGCCATGAGGATGACGTCCATCGATCGCGAGAGGATCGACGCACTGAAGAAGTTTATCAATGATGGTGGTGAGGAGCTATACTATTTGACAGACAAGGTTTGCTGCCACCCCGTCTTTGTTTCGCGTGACCTCTCTGCCTGCGGGGTCTACGTCCTGTGTTTTTGTTAATTTTTTTTTGCTGACCTGCTCCCCCCTTTACGTCACCTAGATGCTCGAGATCATGTCCATGTTCCTCTATCAAGTGTCTCGAGGGCAAGTCATCACGTATCTTAACAAGACCATCTACGATCTCAATCGGCAAATTTCAAATTCGAGTAGCGAGGACCGGGATCGGCTGGAACGAAAACGAGACAACCTGATTCGAGCCGTCGAAGCTGGGAAACAGCATGTCACTGGGCCGGACGTGGTGGCTGAGGATCAAAGTAACTCGGCCGCGCAGCTCCTGGATTTGACCCCGGCCTCGAGGCAGGACAGTCTCTTGACGAAGCGTGCCCAGTGCACGAATCAGCCCTTGAAGGTGACGCAGATGGGCGAGATTAAGGGGATCCCGAAGGAGGCACAGGTCGGGAGGGAAAATCATATATACCAGCCCATCCGTCAGCCCGTAGTAGACCGTTAGCAATGGAAAGCAGTATTTCAAGATCGTTCAATGTACCTCGACGCTTCCGACATCGCATAGAAACCGAGACCTGCCTACTTCTACTATAGTGGACATCTTGCACATTCACACAGAAAGAGAACGATGATGAAAAGGATTGAATTATTAAGTCATATTAGAATCAAAGGACATTATCGGAACGAAAAACATTACATCATAAACACAACGTCGGTCCACACGAACCAGAGATGAAAAGCATACACCATCATCTTCTTGTTCGACCGCCCGATAACCCCAAGACTCGCTTGTGCCTCAAGCTCATCACTTTGAAAGTCATCAATCAATCATCGACTCCCAATGACTCTTGTTCACACTGAGCGAGACTACCAACTGGAAAACTTCACGTGACATTACATCACCACCATCTCATACGTCATATCTCGTGATGGGAGATCCTCGAGACTGATCCAAAGACCCAGCTGGAAATAGATCATCTCGATGATCAGTCTCACAACCGCACGATGTCACAACAGTGCATTGTCACAGCTTTTCGATTCGAAAAGCCCCACGAGCCCAAGAGCTCCATTTAAACCTGAGCCATGTTGGGACGGCGGCGACTTCCACCGCCGGAGCCGAGCTTGGAGCCGGCAGAGCGAGACATGAGGATGGAGATGATCAGTGAGGCGAGGTAGCCCGCCCAGGCGAACCACAGGAACGCAGTGGAGGCTTGAGCCTCGCGACAGCGCTTCTCCATGTCGAACGAGCCGTTTGTGATGGAGTTGCTGGCGAGGTAGCCCTGCGGTAAAGGGTTCCGGTCAGCTTGTGGGTCTCGAGTCGGGGGGAGAATTCCTCATGAGAAGAGGAGAATGAGTAGAGGATCAACTTACAGCGTTGCTGCACGAGTGGACATGCAGGTAGGAAGGGAGTGCCACTGCGGCGCAGAAGAAGAAGATCATGTTGAGGGCATCGACGACAATCATGATGATGGGGCTAATGGCCCAGTCTGGGTTGAAAGAAGCCGGGAACAAGTAAAAGAGGGAGAACATGGAGAAGGCCACTACGAACATCGTGTAGTTGACTACAGATGGGTTTCCAGCCATGGCGGTATCGATCATGTTGCCCACAAGAGCCATGATGAGCAAAGTCCAAATGAACTATATAGTTCAGCGGAAGTTAGCGCCAGGGCCATGAACTGCGATGGAGTATACTATACACTTTACACTGTACACCGCATAGTGTATAGCGCATAGTATCTCAAAGTCGGAAGTGTAGTGCCACTAACCTGCCAGACCCGGAGGCCGGTCTGAACTATGTTGAGACCCATTTTGATAAATCAAATCGTCTCTTGGCAACTCAAATTTGGTGAAGAGTGAGTTAGGAATAGAAGAGCCTTTTAGGAGTAGTCGCACAAGTCGGATATAGGCTGCGACGACGGACGGCGGTAGAATAGGCCTGCAGCTAGATCGTTGCGACTGGAGAGAAAGAGAGAGAGGGATAGAGGGAGAGAGAGCTAATGTGAATAGAGTAACTACTTGTCAGAAGGTCTTGGGCCCCTGATTGCACATATAAGGGTCACGGATCAGTCGGAGTATGGTGATGACGATATGGACAGGGCCGTCGAGTATCGTTCCTACGTCATGCACCGATGCGCTCGGGAGCTGGCGGCACCCACACGAATCGGGGGCAATTAAGGAGGGTCAATGATCATCAGTGGAAAGGACAGAGCACAGAAGGAGAAGGGCGGGAAAAAAAAAAAGGGTTTACATTCGGCGAACCATAGATCGGTCACCAGTCGGCCTCATGTCGTGGGTCCTCGAATGCGTACAAGTGGTGCAGTATAAGGACTGTCGTGCAAGGACGGGTCCAGGACTGACTGGACCATTCCGTCTTTCGGGGTAACGAGTCATCGTCAGTCGCGATGCGACGATGCGCTGGGTTTTTGACGCAGCCAATGAGAAAGGTGGAGAAGCTGATCGGACGGGCCCGGCTCTAACCCAATGAATACTACAGTCATACAATTATGTCTGTATGGATGTAACATTGTGAAGAGGTGCAAATGTCATCTATATAGGAGTGTGCATCGCATGCATAGTGCATACAAAGCACGAGAATGTCAGTTAAGCACCCGCGGTTTCACCAGGTATTTCTGTCTGGTGCTGACTTCACCAGAGTTTGGAGCTTTCAGCTCTAAGCTTCCAAGCTTCTCGTCACTGACGAGTGACGATCACTGCAGAGTACGTGAGGTAGGAGATTTTTCCCCGTGTGGCAAAAGAGGGGCCGCAGCCATGTAGGAATGATGTAGTGTTGCTCAAAAAGCATTGCCGGTGGTGATCCGTGAATGATCTGGCGTGGGGCCCGGCTGGAGTTTATTTCGATCGGGTGCAGCAAAGACCATCCATCGGGCATTTCCTCAATCGAAGGCATAGGGCTGGAACGGGGCATGGATGGGGTACAGTATTGTACAGATCCGACGATGGTGTGGTGCTGCAGGGTGTAGTAACGAGAGTAGCGTAGCTGTCCCAAGCAGACTAGTCATTTCCATCTAGCATGATAAGGCTAGATCAATGAATATAGCGGAGTTGGCAGTCAGGAATCTGTCGGTCGCTGGATGTCACTGCAGGTGGATGCATATTGCTTCCGCATCGTCGCTCTAAGACTGTCGACCGGGCTAAGACGAGACAGGAATAGCTCAGAGAGATTGGACTAATCATAAATTGGGACTAAGGCTGTTGAGGGCTAATTATGTGTCAAATTTGAGAAGTAGTCTATATAACCAAATAGTTGAGGTTTCTGACAACGGTTCCATAACTCAGTTGGTTAGAGTGTGGTGCTAATAACGCCAAAGTCGAGGGTTCGACCCCCTCTGGGACCATTCATTTTTGTCTTTGTGTTTTTTTTTTCTGTCGTATTTTCATCTGCCTTTTTATTCACGCGCCGGCAATCGAATAAGACCTAATATATTGACGAGGTCGATTTCGGTGTGGTATTGCGGCATGACCTAGTCGTACAAACATTCGTTTCTTTTGTTTCGATGAAGAAAGAGCATTACAGCATTTTACAGTACTAGGTATATTATTCTGCTGTTTCTCACCGCTTGTTTCCTAACCGTGGTCGCGAAGATCTTCGCAATGTGAATAAAGAGGTCAGCCCTCCCCGGCTTGAACTCAGGACACGATTGGATGCAATATTCAACCTTAGGCAAAAATACGAGATTTAGTAGGAGATTTGACAAAACTAATTTCTGTCGATCTACATAGTCGATACACGTGCTAGTCGGACAAAGGAGTACTTGCAGAGTGAGTGGATAAAATTGTATTTTCGACTCGAACGAATGTAGGCGGTTGAGCGGAAATCAAAACCTGAAGTTACAGTATAATACAGGGTATCGGCACAGTACTAATAGCCGGTACATTAATTTCAAGCCTCATTAAAATACCAGTTATCAGCTACCACATCAGCAATCATGTAAGTACCTACGTCGGCTATTGATGACAATCCCCTCACGCTATAAACAGGTGGCTCTCTAAATTGACTTGATTAAATATATTCAGTGATAGGAGAACAGGAAAAAACAAAAAGGAATGGTCCCAGAGGGGGTCGAACCCTCGACTTTGGCGTTATTAGCACCACACTCTAACCAACTGAGTTATGGAACCGTTGTTGGAAGAGGATCCATTTACTTATATAATGCAACTTCTCTGCTACACTTCTTGGCTTTCCCCTTCCGTTTTAGCGCTCAGACCTTGCCGCTTTTTGCTCACTACTACTCTGAGCGTCCTCATAAAAGCGGCGGTCGGAGGATCCGCTTGCCTTCGGACCCGAGGAGCTGAGACACCATACTTGTATTGGCAATTTTACGCAGCGTCCTACACGTGACACTCACCCTCATTTTGTCTGCTTGAGGGTGTAAAGCGTAGAGTGTAGTCTGTGATACGAGAAGGTCTACAGAAGGAGTGAAGCCTTCATGTGTCGATAGTAGAGATGTAAATGAAGTGTGTTTCCCAGCTCTTCGGGTACTCAATCAAGGGCGAGGCTCGTAGAGGTTTGATCCCGCCAGTCATGATTCACGGGTAATGAGGAGGCCACTCGGCTCCGGATCCCGAATATATCTCACTCGCACGAGCGTGTACATTCCTGCATACTACCTAGAGATGAGATTGTGTGCCTCCAACCAACTCTGTAAACCTACTGCCCACGAATAAGTTCAGCCCCAACTCCACACGATATGGACAATTACAGGGGTGTCCTACGTTCACCGCAGCTATCACAAAGCAGGACAAGTACCACACGAAGAAAGAGAGCGATCCCCAAGCCCCAAGGTAGTTTACAAAGTCAAATCCCAGTGTCAATTCTTTTGGCTAGCGACCCACCCCCAGAGTCGTCTGTATAGCAGAGACTGACTGACCGGACGACGACGAATTACACATTCTCTCCAAAGCAGACATTATCATCAATGTTCAGATACGAATTTCACTACCGGAGATCGAACAAGTACTATTTCGGCTGGAATGGACTCTGCACGGAACCATATCTATATGTCGCAGAGCAACAAAGTCAGCGTGCCATCAATAGATCAGGAGATGTAGCCGATGATGAAAATCCATCAAAATAGAACAGACTCACCCCTGTGGACACTGACGCCCCAGCGCAACACTTCCACTTCGCATATAGCACACCTTCGCCTGCTGGCAAGCCGCAGAGTCGCAGGTAGGACTTTCGACACTGAGACGACCTTGCAGTTGATTCTGAAGTGTGACAAGACTGATCTCCTTCTCCATGGCCTCGGTCACCCGGTGCCAGAAGGTAGCGTTGAGAGGAGCATCCGGCTTCCAAGCGGCAGCAGGTCCATATGTATCGCGGGTCGAGTATTCAAAGCGATAGGTGGGACCAGTCCCACGCAGAGCCGAGTAGTCTGAGACATTGCTGTAGAAGGTATATGCCTCGTAAACATTAAAATCTCCAGTGTCAACCTCGTACAATCGAAAGCCACTATTCAAGTTGGTCAACGGTGTAACGCTTGGACCGATCCAGCCCGTGGCAAGAGCGGTGGACTCGTTTCGAACAGTGCCGTTATTGGCATAGTAGACCATGAATTGGTCCTCATGATTGTGACCGAAGAAAATGTTGGCAATGACATGCGGAGAGTAACGGTCTACGATCTGGTAAAAGAGGTTCGTGGGGTCTGGAATTGGATTGGATCCATCCCAGCCACTAGGGACATGGCCTACGAGCCACACTCGCTCCGCGACGTCCTCGGCTGCCTGAAGCTCCTCGATCACCCAGGAGAATATGCCAGAGTTATCCGGGTTGGTGGTATTGATCATATTTAGTAGATTGGACCGATACCAAAAGTCTGCGTGCGACTGATTAGCACGGGTGATAAACTGTCCCAGTCTGCCAGATAGTTTTTGATCTCGGAACAGTACCTGTATTAAAAGAGATGACACGTAGTCCAAAATGGGTCTTGATCGAATATCCCCCGTAATGCGTTCGCGCTTCTTCAGCCGTCTTATTACTGATCCAGCCCTCGTGTTGCCACAGACCGGCTAGATGCTGGTAATTCCACGACGACTGTTGGCCCAAACGTCCAGGAAGACTATGCGGAGCATCGATGTTCTCCGGACTGGAGTCATGATTACCTAGAGCCGCAAAGACAGGTCCGGACAGATACGTCTTGAACATGTGGAAGATACTTGTCTCGGTGTACTCGACGTACTCGCGCGACATTTGAGACTTCGGGTCATGTGAGATCAAATCGCCGGTATAAAGCGTCCACGCCAAGGACTCTTCCTCGTCACCTTGACCAGTGCCGGTCAATGGCCCCACAGCCTGAAGAGCAGCCAGGGCCAAATCATAGGGAGTGTCACATTTGAAGGCCCCGTACGCCGAAGCCGGAAAGGAAGCATAGTTCTCGTGGTCTCCATGATGGTTGTCTGCACGACAGCACAGCCCACTCGTGCAATTGGCTTCCGCACTGACAGCATATCGCGCATCGAGATGAAAGTCAGACATATGCAGCACTTTGACACGCTCTCCACTGGCCTTCGGAACTTGAGCGTTCGCTGGCTTTGGCTTGGGAAACAGACTGGACACATCCAGGGGCTGAGTCTCTGGTTGCTCACAGAAGTCGCTGCTGAGATAATGGCAGATGTATTGCCCATCGAGACCATCGACATTTGCGTAAGCTAGCACCTGTGTCCAGATTGCACCAAAGGCCTGCGGCGAGAAATTATCTTCACAGGCAGTCTCGGATTGATAGCCAAAGGCTTTGCAGATATTGATCAGAGCATCGGGTACGAGAAGTGGAGCATACTGAGCGGCCGGCTTTGCTACGATCAGTGCTCTTTTGCATTTCAAGCAGGGTGACCCAATCTCTCGAGAATTAATAATGCCCGCGACGTTCGCGATGACTCCGTCAACCAGCAATTGCTGTTCACGAGCTTCCAATTTTTCCTGCGGCAACGGAAAAGGCACTTCGTCCGAGCTTTTAGGGATGTTGTCTGGATTCGTCAGCTCATAAGGAAATGTAACATCCAAGACTGGATCGTAAATGATCGGCTGGGGCTCCCGAGTCGGCAGTGCGGGAGCTTCATAGTATGATCTACGGCATTGGTGAGTTACTGCCAAATGCCAGGTATCTTGAGATACCGGGGGGAGAAGGATGGCCTACCCAAATGCCGCGGTTGGGAAGCCTGGACCTGCAACATATGAGGCCAACCCGGGCATTGAGGATGCCATGGTACTGGGTAGCAGGTCTCCCAGCAATGCCTGAGCCATGAGCAAAAGTGAAGGAGCCACACGTTACTGACGGATCAGTATGAACCGTATTATTTGGATGAAGCATGTTGGCGGCTGGGGAATGGTGAGCTTCAAGGTGTTGTCGATGGCGCTCTCCGTTGAGGAGCCCACGTGGGGAAGAAGACGCAGGGGGTTGGGAACGGGGGACCCAGCTGAACATCGCCATAGGACGGAGACATGAACAGAGGATTCCGCTCGAGACAAACATGTCTCCAGCCCTGGAGACAAGCATATACTACTACAGTACCACTGGTCTCGATAGTGTAGTATCTTACTTAGATACCTTTCCCGTGATCTACCTGCAGCTATTCTGGGACCGGGGCATTGGCCTACGAGTGTTCTTCAAGAGCATCTCAATATCGGGTGGTAAAGTAGAGTAAAATCCATCCTTTATCGGAATGATTGCGAAACATCCACCAGCATGTCGCAGAAACAGCGCACGACTGAGAAAGGCTTCGCATCAACTCATTTCGAATCTTGATCAAACTTCAAGTACCGTTGGACATTAAACACACATACTATGCAATATACGCATTGGTCTCGATTGGGTTACGATTCACTTGAAACGGCCTCCGATTTAGGCAGCGGATCATTGATGTTCCACGGGACACGTGATCGATGGTATCGCGAAGGAAAAAAAAATCCCCCTTTCAGAGTGGAATAAGCGCGACTCAATTTCCGACTCTCATGTCCTCCTGAGATTTTTTTTTTGGAGTAGGAGCGGGGTCTCGCAGAGGGATGTCAGCATGGAGAAATACTGCAGACTCTCGATTTCTCACCTTGTCTTTAACATTTGCGACCGTGCAATTCTGCAATGACTGGAGATCTGACCTTGACGAAAGCATTCCACACCCAATCAGAACGGGTATTCTCAGGGTCACGAATGCAGACTGGGTCGAAGCAAAATATAGGAACCTGGGGAGAAAAAAGAGGTACAACGCGGGGCTTGTGGCCTAGTTGGTTAAGGCGTGGCTCTTATGTTATGGTCCGTAACACGGATGTGACATGATAATATTAGCTGAAATCGGGAGTTCGAGCCTCCCCTGGCCCACGTTTCTTTTTGTTGACTATATTCCCCCTTACCTTTCTACTCGTTCAATTTCTCGCTGAAAATGAAGAGCGCGGCTCCCATTACATTCACCATCACTCGAACAACCTAGACTGTATCAATTTCGCTCCCATGGAGGATGTGCTATTGTAGCTGATACTACTCTGTGCATGTAGATACGAAAAGAATGGAAACTCAAATAATTGCCCGCAACATCGGGACTTTCGCGCTCTCTCTCCCTCCCTCTCCCCACTCACCGTATAACTGACAGACAGCAAGGGCGTGCAAGTTCCCAAGTACCTAAGCGCCTGTCAGAGACCCTGATGACCGGTTTCCGGGGAATTCCTGTCGCTGATTTGACTCCTTGTACGTCCTTACATTGTTTCCCTTCCCTTTGCACTCCACTTCCTGGCGGGAGGGGCCTTGACCGAGGGATAGACCGCTCCAAGAACGAGCGAGGCATAAGAAGACCAATGGAATGTTGATCCAAGCTTATTTCCGCAGGAGGCAGCCATGGTATACTTGGACAGTAGACGCACTGTGACAGAAACCCGCAGGTTTGCCTTCATTGTTGTTGACGTATACTGGCCAGTTTTGGAAACGGTGAGCTCACGTCGAGCTTCAACGCTATGCGCCTTACCTGCCATGCAAGCTGTGGACTATTTCAAATGGCGATCAGGTAGACAGAGTGCATCTGTTGGGCAGGCTGTCGAGGAGTCGAGGGAATTATAAAAGGCCCTCAACCACCACGACCGGGTCTGACTTCCATCACGCAAAGCTCACATTCAAAACATCCATTCAATCCTCATCTTATCTTTCTTCTTCTTCAAGAAAAAATCCACACCCCCCTCAAATCGTAAACATGCAGACTCCCGTCATCATCCTTACCCTCGCTGCCATGGTCATGGCCAACTCCAACGCCGGCGTGTGCAAGAACGGCGAGACCGTCGTCTGCCAGGGCCAGGGCAACGGAGGCCTGATCACTCTGGGCAACGTCCTCCCCGGTGTTCTCGGCCAGAACTGCGCCGCTGGCGATGTCTACTGCTGCTCCACCGACAAGATCAACCAGGTAAGATTTGCGGAGACATAGGTGTGCACAACGTGGGGGCTTCATGCTAAGAAAGCGTCTTTTTGAATCAGATCGGTCTCGTCAACTTGGACCTGAATGCCCAGTGCAGTCTCAACCGCGTCCTGTAAGGACCGCCATAATGTCGCCGTTCTTGATGTTCGCCAGCACAGAGTTTCTTTCGAGTCTTGAGCAATGAACGCCTTGCCACGATGCTTGTCGATGCTTTCTGAGGGGTGATACTCTGCATGAAGACGTCTGCAAGTCACGATGACAGTTTCCTATGACAAATTGAGTGAAGACTTATGGGCATGGCGAGGCACGCTTGGTGCGAATTCCGTCACACTACTATATCATGAATTAAGTAGTCTAGAGACATGCAATATCAATGAACGACCTTGTTTACGGACTATTATATGTCATATGAGCAATTCATACTTGAAAGTCACGAGTCGTGCAACAACTCGCCTACATCTCTCTCATGACTTCGTAGTATGGCAGCCATAGACGGTGGATATACACTACCAACTTGCAATATGCCCTACGCGATGTGCACAGCGAACCTCCAACAGTTGATCGGCACTGGCGGTGGGCAGTGCACGGGTCCGTATCCAAGAAACTCACTAAGCGATTGTAATCGGATCAATAGCCGATTAGCCCACGAGTTATACAACAGCATGAGACCTTTTCATTCCATGCGTTAACGGGCTGTACAGTGTACAATGTCCATCGGTCATATTTGAACACAAACTCACATTGTACCTTACATACCTAAGTACCAACTATAGAGTGTATGTGATCCCAGAGGCATGCCGTAATGCCGTAATACGGGTGCGGGATCAACTGACTATATATACCGTTGCATGGCGAACCATTCTATCGAATGGTTTGGCATAGACCTTTTAGTCTAATGGTAATACCATGTGAGCAACGGTACGGGTGATTCCATGTAGACTGTAGAACACCCCACGAGACTCAATGCATACAGGTGAGCCTCTCAAGTCAAAAAAATCCACGGAATCTAAACCCGCGCCCATCCGCGAACCAACATCATGATGTCGACATGCGTCCCCCGAAAGTCGGGTACAAAGCCGAAGTACCTTGCCGATGAAGTCGGTATCGAACACGATAAAATACACAATGTCTTCTGACACCTCGGTACATTCGTCCATACACTCGAAATAAAAACATTTACAAAATCGACCTCGCGCCAGATGAACTCCAGCTCATAGCCCACCGCGCAGTCAGGTGTTCGGTCCAGAACGCCCCCTTTTTTTGTCCCCCTCTTGTTCCTCCGTGATTGGGTAGGTGAGAATAGAGTTGGGGCTCGGGTCGCATCCGGCCGATTTGGCTGGATGATGTCACTGGCTCGGCTCGGTACGTTTCGAGCTCAGCATGGAACAAGCCGATGGAGAATGGAACAGTACGGTTGCCCATAGACGAACAGGGTGATGATGTTTCAATATTACGTCGAACGCTGATCGGGTCGGACGGAATTCAAGATTCTTCTTTTGTAGAAGGGATTCACTGTGGATCATTTGGTTCGCGTGGGTAGTACCTAGAAGTTTCTCATAGGAAACAGGATTTTGATGTCTCTTATATATAGTCTAGACGTCGTAGGTCATATAACTAACGTCCAATCCCTTGCCACTTCTGACTCCAATATATCAGAGAAAACTGCTCATTTCCCTAAGCTTGCCATCAATCCTCGTTCAAAGTTCTTTCCCACATATCTCATCATGGGAATCCATCCACCCTCTGCCAAGGATGCCTTCGACGCGGACATCCGCGATCGCCACTTGATGTATGACTATGAAGCTCAAGACAGCGAAGGACGACCAGAGAAATGGCGATATGAGATGTGGTTCCAGAATGAAGACCGCATCAACTACGCGATTCACGGCGGTCCTATGGCGGGCCGCATCAACTATCAAACCGCCGACTATCAGTGCATTCGTCCTGGCGAGCTGTGGCAATGCAACTGGCTGGAGGAGACGGGTACCGTCTGCTCGCTGGTCTTCGACATCCCACGAAAGCACATCACCTCGTTGATTGCCTTTTCCAAGGGCCATTGGGAAAAGGCAGGAGATGCGCATGGTGATAAGAGAAACCAAGCAGACTTTGACCGATGGCGTGGTCTTGCCAAGTTGGGGACTCAGGCCGATCGAGTGATGCTGAGCGAGCAAGCCGATCTCGTGAAGGACTTCCGTGGGCCGGGCGACCTGAAACCCATCGACAACAGTATGCCTACCCTTTGAGTCAACAGCGTCACCCAATGTTGTTCGACCGGCAATAAGTGCCCACGGTCTCTCCCGACAGAGGGGCGGGGGCTCGTGTAAGATATTTGTGGAAAGAATTCATACACGATTGTACGTTTGCTTGAATTTCCCGGCCCTGGTCGAAAGATAGTTTTCATCACTCGTAACTTGCTGTGTAAGGATAAGGACGAGGTGAAACATTCTGCTGAGGTAGGGGGACCCACTCATGTCGGAGCACCGAGGCTGAGCAGAGTGATCCTGAGTCACGTTCATTGCTCATCACAGGCGGTGGACGTACAGTGGTAACCACGTCAACTGTCAACTGTACGCTTGCCTTGATGGCGCGTTGAGTCAAAGCGACTTTTGTCATGTCGTCGCGTGCTTGTTGGCGGTGGATCGATCATGGTCCCTTTGAGAATGTGACAGGAGAACCTTGCGGTGCCTGAAGACACACCAGCTCAATCTGAATGTCATCCGGAGACGCTGGAGGCGGACTGCCGTATGCCGGAGAACGAGCAATTATACCGACCGCGATTTGGGAGGCCTGCTGATCCGAGGTCATGCCATCGATGTACCACACCTTCCAGGGGTGCCACCATGAACCGGCGGGTTTGACCTGAGGGGGCTGAGAGGCTGGATATCTCTCTTTGACGAAAGCTGGCAGATAAACATGTTAGCTTCTATGGTCCGCGTAAACTGTCACAACCAAACGACCTGTTCATCCGGATGGAATGGCACGTAGAGCATCAAATTACATACTTGACACCGGAATGGACGCAACGTCAAAAATGGGGGCGCCACAATTGGGCATTCGGGGATGATCATGCATCATGTGGTTCAACGCAGCCTCCAGGGGCTTTGAATAAACCTCGCCGGACGAGATGAGGTTGAAGATGGCGTGTCGCAGGGCACTTTTGACATCACCTGAGCAGGACCGCCCCCAGACTCCATCGCAGCCGTTGGTGTTCCCGGAGGGGGTGCCTGTGAGATTGCCGATCCGCAAAGCCACCTCGGAGGTACGATTTGACGTCACCACGGCCATGTTGATTCCTTCATTACGGTATCGTAACCAAAAGCCGGCTTTGGTCATGGGGCCCCGGCCCTTTCCAGTGGACAATTCGTCAAAGCCGTAGTAGAAGGTGACGGGATCTGGGAACAGCGGCGAGAAATCCAGAGGCACTGCCGTTTGGGCGAGAGGGTCGATGCAGGCCGTTTCCCAGAAGGAGCACATCTGCGCCCAGCCGCCCGGGAGAAGAAGGAGTAACAGGAGCCCAAGATGACGCTGAAAGATTAAGCGGATGGCCATCATTGTGCTGGACCAAGGGTCAATCAATGCCCGGTCGCTTCTGAAGGTGACGAGATGAGAAGGTGGTAACACACAGCTCCGATGAGCTTTTACAGGACACACACGAGATGTGACGGAGGTCTCTGGCCAGACTCGCCTCGCATGCTCGACGGATCGCCCGGTTCAATATCGAGAATAGCTGTCCGGCAGGATAACAGGGCTGGATGGCGGGAATCAGGGGAAAGCTACCGAGGGCTCTCGTCGTCAGGGACCGGCCTCGACGAAATGGGTAATCGGTCTTGAGGCCGTCGGTCGGACGGACAGACCGAGCGATGTGGGAGATGTCGAGAGCAGAGAGGTAGGGGTAGAGGGGCGACGAAGAGGGAGAGGGAAGGAAAGAGAGCAGGAAGCGAGACAAATGCTGATTCGTGGGCACAATAGTGACAAGAGCAGTCTCGTGGTGGTGTAATCAAGTAGTGTTACCAAAGTCCCTGGGGACCGATTGTATGAGATTATGAGTAGTCCAGTCTCCAGGCGACCGACCAAACCCAAACCGGATTCCTCGCAGGACCCTGGGCCCTTTCAATCTTTCCGTGCGAGACAGAGATTGGTAGGCCCCCAAGCCCCCGGCGCTGTCGAGTGTAGACTAAACACGCCCCGCAGCGCTAAACGGGCAGGGCGTTTTGTTTTTGGCACCTTCGTCGCGGCAGGATCCTCTTTGGGGACCTTGGGAACCTTTGAGGGAATTCAATTGGAGGCCCTCAAGCGGGGAATGACGGGGCTCCGTTTCTCCCAAAGAGATCAGGAGAGGGAGAAGACTGAGGGAGAGTAGTGAGAGAGAGAGAGAGAAAGTCCGTGTGTGTGTGTAAGAGAGAGAGTCTGTGTGTGAGGGAGAGATAAGGTCCCTGTGGTCCCTGAAGGAGGAGCTGGTGGATGTCGAATGCAGCACGATCGGAGATAGCTTTCCCGTGTTGCTGACTTCTTGTAGGACCACCTTTGGCCGTGCAGACTTGCAGAGGCATTCACGCAGAGCCGATTCTGTATGCCTGAGCTCCCTGGGGAATTAATGAATGGGGGAGGACTCGGAGGAGGACCGGTGTCACCGTTATCTGTGCAGCAGACCATTCTTGAGATTCAACACACTCCAAGGGAGAACGTCTGGCACAGTTGAAGTTGCTCTGCGACCCGGTGGCATTGGTTGCAGATGCGTGGGGCACTGGACCGACTCCATCGGCGGTCGACGACTCACCGATGCGCAGGACTCTGCCGTGGACCGATGCCAAGGAGTTGAGGGGCTGTCTCGCAGCAACCGAGAGATTCCTGCAGACTGAAAGGGCGTGATCGCTGTTCCGGGTTTACGGGACTCATGTGTAGTTCAATTCATGAGTATTGACATTCTACCTGGTAAGCGCTGGGGGGATGGGAAGTGGATGATCCATTGAATCCCCAGGATAGCAGTGCAGAATGCCCTCACGTTACATAGTGGATCGTCGTACTGCATCCGATGGATATGATACCTGGTAGCAACTTGGGGAGGTGCGGATGCAGGCTTGGCACAAGACCATCGAGGCCAGATTCGGAGTCAAAGTTTCCAGAAATTGAAGTTCACAATCAATCAGGATCATAACTATTGTATGGTATGGAGTCCTACTGATGCTGCAACTCATCAGCGATCGGTGGAGAGCAGATGACAACTGGAGTCCCCTGATTGCTACTTTGTTAATTGAGTCCAGGATACCACAAGAGTGATCCAAGTCCATGTATAGTACGGATCCATGAAGTACAGTAGGTATGTGTACCTAGAGTTTCTCGGTAGGTCAGTAGTACAGTATCTTCAATCCTCAATAGGAGCTGGAGGATCTGTGGTACACTCACTACACTGGGCACTAGGTTAGTAGGAGTACTAAGGTAGTACTAGACTACTAGGTACTGGTAGAGCTCTATAGCCGGAACAGCATCCTTGTGCCATAACAGTAGTGCCCTGGTATGCATTGATGCAACCCTCATGTCCATCAGATCATCAATAGCAGACCCCCATCCCTGAATGCCGCAGCTGAGATGTTCTCCACTCAGCTGGGGTCAGTAGAAATTGGTCGAGACTGAAGGCTCCTGGCAGTCGTGACTCGTGAGTCCTCGGCGAAGCAGATCCCCTTGGCCTCAGGTTCGCCAGAGAGATGGTCAGGTAACGTACCCGAAGGCTGACTGCTAGTGCTCACTGCTGTAGTGCTCAGGGAGAGTCTGACCCCTTGAATATGTACTAATAGTCACAGTCATGTAGCATAATTGATTAGCAAAGAGCACATGAGCCTGTGGCTCCTATCACTTGAAACACAAGTGGAAGTCCAGGGGAGTCTGATGATCAATAATCACTCCTCTCCATACACTTCTCCACTCTCCATGAGTGATCGATTCAGTCCATCGGACAATCCATATTGGGGCTGTGATGTTTCGCTCTGATCGCTTATGTCCATTGTGCATGTATTATGTAGTCACTTGTATACTATATACTACACTGAGTAGTTATGAGTATTTACCTCCTTCCATCTGGTGGTTTTCCGACCAGACAACATTCGCTTGACACGCCTTATGAGAACTCTCAAAAAAGCGACCCTGAATGCCAGGCAGAACCGTGCGCTCCCAGTCGAAGAGAGTTCCAAAAGAGACGATCTCATACCCAGAATTGGGTGATGGAAGGTCTGTGTGTCAGGAATGGAGATAGCTGGATGTCATATCTGCGCCACCCAGACCATGTCATTGGACCTCTCCATTGGTTAATCCCCTCGTCCCGGTGGGCCGATGACATCGACGCACAATTCCAACCGTGCCAGGGAGACAGACGGGAGATGTCTCTGGACGGGGATCTCGAGAATGGGAAAACCCTTGTTGGGAACACTTGGGAAAGAGAAGGCTGGAGAAGGGAAGAAGAGAGACGAAGATGACTCTATGCTCGTGCGTTCTAATAACGGTATGTAGTATGTAGTATCATGTATGTGATAGTCAATTGTAGTTGTGTACAAGTCTAGGATACCGTCGTCCGGCCTACCTAATACTGCACCTGAGAAGGTACCCCCTATAGTTAGTTATGGCGTCAAATGACTAAAGGCTCATTACATAATATCGCAGTGACTGAGTTTCGAGTGCTAAAAACAGACTACAGAAAGTACAGAGTAGTAGGCTATCAGGCTGCTTTCATATCAAGATCAATCACATCATATCCATTGAAGCTTGTTGATCTCCTTCTGCACCTAATACTAGGTAGGTATCCCCTCGCGGGCTCCAGTCATCGACAGCATATCATTCAAATCCACAAACGAGCCCTGGATCAAATGAATGACAAGATTTGAATGTGACTCTCCCTCCAAAGCCAAAGCCAATTCTATTATCCCAAGATAGTGCAAGCCTCCACCGGAGGGTCAATCGTGGGACTCTTGAGGTTCCCCTTCCCAAACCAGAGTGTCACCCTTCCCAAACCAGAGTGTCACACACCTTCCAGCTCCATCCACTGCATCCAGGCACCCACAGATCGGCATAATGAAAGAGAGACGGAGAGCCGTCGGGCATGTGACTGGAAGAAGTTTTCTCCTTACTCAACTTTGCAGATCCAAACGCCAAGGTGCGATCCACAGTGAGATCTGCGGATATCGTCCTGTCGGCGAAGTACTGTACTGTACTCGTCTTGGAACAAGGAAGATATTCTCCTGGTAAGAAACTGGCAACAATCCCTTGATTAACTTGATACTCAATGTCAATCAGGTAAATGAATCTGGTCTGCAAAACTATCGTGACCTATACTCAATCCAAATTATGGATCAGGTAGGAGTTTATTGGACCTGCAGGTGGAGCTTCTCAAACGCAGAATACACCCAGCCGGCGAGGTCGGGACTAAGGGCAGTCTAGCAGGAACGCTGTACGCTGTACACTGTACAGGCCTACAGGCCCCTCGAACGTGCGGAACTGCAGACGCTAGAAAGTAGACAGTAGACTCTGGACTGTAGACAATCTGACGAGAGGATCCGTGGTTGACATTGACATGGAGATAACTTGAAAACCTACACGGCGTGCCTCCTTGTGCCTGTATGTACAATGCACCTCGAACTCGACCTCAGGGGCTCTATCTGTTCAGTTACCCCTATAGGATGTGCACCCACAGTGTCCATCTGCGGGCGCGATGTTCCAAAAATTCAACACCGAGTACAAGGCTGGGTCGGGCAAATTTTCTGTATGCACCCCCTCTATGTCTCTGCATTCGAGGCTCCTCCAGGCTAATTGGCCAGCTAGAAGGCTTGAGACCGGCCATTGTATGACTATAATACAAGCGTTCTCAACCGAACTGGAAGGGAAATCATGTCGGTACGAGCTTGAGTAAAGCTCACGTTGAATAATCAATAATGATTGATATATGCATGTGATCAATGTACAGATGGCACAATGAGCAGGGCTTTAGTCGCCCTCCTCCGTAGCCCTAATATACAGAAATGAAGTCAACAAGCTCCGTGCTGGGGGACCAGCTACACCATGGACTCCAACCTTGGAGTCCAATCAAGTGAAAGTCAACGAAATGAGGAACAAGGAAAAAAAGATCGTGGGAGAGTGTCAGTGAACAGTGTCCCGGTGCTCCAATAACGCCACGCTTGGAAATCGAAAATGCAAAAAGAAATAGGGATAACGCGCTCGTGCCACATGTTGAGGCAATGCGAAATGGCAAAGAGAAGTGGGGGAAAAAAAAAGAGATACAAGAAAGGAAGAGTAAACCTCAGGTGAAGAAATCAGTGAAGAGCGGCCGTGAGTAGAGGTCGAGGTCTCAATTATCGTCATCATCATTGTAGACGCGACCATTGCCCTGCATCCACACGCGTTTCCATGGTCCATCTGGCCCAAGAATGGCTTCGCGATCTTGACGCATGCCTTCAAGTACACCAACGATGCCACCATGGCGCAGTCGCTCTAGGACCACATTCATGCCCTGCTTGCTTTTCACAATCGCGTCCCGAGTCCTACTGACGCCGATCAATTCAATGGTCCGCTGAATGCCGGCGGTGGAGAGGGAAGAGAAAAATCCCTTCTTGGGCGCCTCTTCCTCCGAGTCCGACTGATCCGCAGAGTCTGCTTTTTTGCGTGTGAGCAACTTGCCCTGACCGAGGCGAGATAAGAACGTGACGGTTGTTCGCACGGTCGTCTGCTCCTTTTTATCGATTGAGAGACCGTCGAGAGTTTGCTCGCTCCCATCAGTCAGCTGGCGTTGGTATCGCTGCTTCTCCACGACACTCAAGATGCCTGTCCATTCCATGTTACGCGACTCGGTCTCCATCCAGCCCTCAATGGGATCCACGATGGTGGTCTCGAGGATGTAGCTCTGGCCAGAGCTGTCGGATCCACTCATTCCCTTGGGAAGAAGTTTGAGGATTCCGGAGGGCACTTTGGATTTTTTCAAGTGCAATCGAACGGTGTGCAGGCGTTGGGTTTGGGGATCGACATAACGATCGATCACGTCGGTCGTCAACACATGGCGCGAGTAGGGATTAGGATAGCGAAGGAAGTAGGCGAGAGAGACGGCAGGGAAGGAGTAGTCGTAGGTAAACACGTTCTCAAAGAATTTCATGATGGCGATGGCAAATTTGGTGATGATAACCCGGGAGACATCAGCTGACAGAATGGGGAAATCCTGAAGCTGGGCACTTTTGTTCGATCTGAGGGGGACTTTTTCGACCAGAGAACCCGGAGAAGCTGGAGGAAGGCCAGGCTGGTGTGGGGACTCTTCGGTGCCATGGTTATTCCGATAGTCAGCCTGTCACGTCTCACATGTCACATGTCCACCTGCCCTAAGTTATCTCTCCACCTCGCGTGATGTGGGAGTTGGGCATCCTTGCCTTTGATATTTCAATCAGGAATTAAGCACGAGGGGAATTGGGCTCGAGCTGCACAAACTAGCAACAGATTGGAGCAGGTGAATAAATCAACAACAATGAGGTATCAAAATGGGTATTGTTTGCAAATTCTGATCAATTTGGTCGTTTGACTTCCTCCGTTGCGTATAGACCCATGATGATGAGATGCGCCGAGACAGTGTTAGGCTTTCTAATATTCCCGTCTTCAATGGGTTATCTGAAATTGAGCTATACAGTGAGATCCAATTTGGAATTCTTTCTCAGTGAGACACGTGTGTATATTTACTTGGGCGACGTGACTGGAAGTAATTATAGCCCTACTTGTGATCGCATGTGAGAGCCATCAATGAGGTCTGCCACAGATTCCCTGACTTCCAAGCCCTCCACTCGATTCAGTGACTTGTCGTTGACTCCTGATCATATTGTCCGTGGACTGATACCCCCCAACTTAATGCTCCATGGCACCTTGGATAGACTAAGCTCCCTGAGGGCTATCAACCACCTAACATACCGTGAGACCTGCCAGGATCCATTCATGACCCTCCGTCCAGACTAAGCATCCAGGCTCGGGCGGCCAATCATTCACGATGCTGCGACCCAGGCGGGAGGACGAAAGCTTTGAGAAATTTAGCCGAGCTTCAATCGACAGGACTTTTGTGACTGGAATAGAGGGGCCTACAGATAATGAGACTAACTAGCTCTAGGGCGGGACAATATGTGGGAAGTGAGAATATCGAAATCAATATTTAATAGTTCTTGAAGAAAGTGGCAGGAGTAGTTCATTTTTTGTAAAAGCGAGTCACAAGGGTATGGTATGGTATAATGAAGACAAGGAAAAGAGGACATAAGGGAAATAGGAGGAAATTAAAATGCAAGAGGGGTAGTAATATCCGCCAGTGAAGATGGGGCTCAGAACAGCTCAAAAAAAGATAACCGTCTTGAGTAATCTTGAACAGGGAGAAGAAGAGAGAAAAAGAAAAAGGCCATCATCCAACACTCGACAGGGCCAACATGTTCAACATCAGGAGATTCACATCAAGTTTTTGAAACATTCATTCCCACCTTCTTCACACTTGATCTAGTGCTCGCCGAGGGTCTTTTGGTCCTCAGTGGAAGAAGCCATAGCAGCGGGAAGGCTGACAGGCTCTGGCATCTCCTTGCGCATACCGCGGATCTCCGGGCTAGTACGCTCAAAGTACTTGTGCATGTCACCGTGGAGGATGTTCTCATCAACGTCATCCAGATCGTAGAGAGTGGTCTCCTCACCGCGAGCAGCCATGGCGGCCTCCCACTCGGCGCGGAACTCCTCGACCTTCATCTGGTAGTCGAGATCAGCATCGTAGTGCTTACCCTTACCGGTCCAGCGCTCCCAAACGGACAAGTGCTTGGAGTGCACGGCGGGACCGTGGTAGTCGTGCTCGCGCCCCTCGCGGATGTATCGCCAGCGACGCTCCTGCTCACGCAGATCCAGACCGGTGGTATCGGGGAGGAAGAGCCAGGTGACCAAGACACCGAGGAGTCCGAACCAGGGCACAATGTAGAACTGCTGCTGGGTGGTAGTGTAGGAGCCAATAATGGCAATGATCAGGGCACCGAGCTTGCCGGCGGCAGCAGAGAGACCGTGAGCGGTACCGCGAATGGGGGTAGGGAAGCACTCGGCAGCGACGAGGAAGGTGATACAGTTAGGTCCGAACTGGTTGAAGAACGAACTCAGGTAGTACATCGCCTGGAACGAGTGGATGTGGGCAGGCTCGGTATAGTACTTGAAGTTGAAGGCGGGGACCACGAAGAGGATGAAGCACATCAGGAAACCGACGATCTGCATCCACTTGCGTCCATAGAGCTTAGTGTCCACGAACCAGGTCGCACAGTAGTAGCCCGCCAGACTGACACCGATATTGGCAAGATTCCAGAGCCAGTCGGTGATGACATTGTTGCTGTGGCCAGGGCTGATAACCTTGATGAAGTTACCCTGGAAGAGCTTGTTACCGTAGAAGAAGACATCGTTGGCGAACCAGCCACCGGCGGTAGCGATCAGACGCGGGGTGAAGTGGCGGAAAGTGAGCTTGAGAGACTCGGTATCGTAGCCAGTCACGGAGGACTTCTTCTTGTTGGCCTCCAGTTGCTTGCTGGCGGCGCGCATGTGGTAGGTACGGTAGTACACGAGCCAGGCGGTACCCACGGCCGGAATGGCAAACGACACACGGTAGGTCCACTGGGTAGTGGTGGCCGAGATGGGCAGGGAACCGGAGCCGGAGTGGAAGATCAACAGAAGCAGAATGAGAATAGCCTGGTTGGCGAACTGACCCCAACCCTGCATCATGAAGGCACCGACCACAGAGCGGCCACGGTGCAGACGATCCTGCGACGTGACAATCTTGCCGGAGCCGTAGCCATTCTCCATACCGATGGTGGCAGTCATGGGGTATTCACCACCAACACCGATGGAGTAGAAGAAGAGCGACCAGGCGTAGCAGATAATCCAACCATTTTCCGTGACACCCCAGGCAGCGACCAGCATGAGGAGACCCACAAACATGATGCCGGCATCCTGAATCAGACCCCAGCGACGACCGATACTAAATGACACAAGCGACGAGGGTTAGTGGATGGATTCTGAAGGTAGAGTGTGAGGAGCGGAGAACGAATTGAGAGACATACGCATCACCCAGATAACCGACGAGAATTTGACCAACAAAGATACCAACAACTTCCATATAGTTGACAGCAGCAATCCAGTTAGGGTCGCAAGTCTTGCCTGTCCAGCAGCTCTTGAAAGAGGCCTTGAACAGAGCGGAGTTGTTACCAATGGAAAAGAGGACGTAACTGTGACAGCGAAGAAATCACCGATTAGCAAATGGGGACCCTCTCATGTCTCTTATATAAGACCTCATCACTGTTTCCGGGGCAAGCTGAGAGAGCATGAACATACCCTTCGAGACCCAGACCGGCACCGGGAAGAACGAAGTTCTTGAAGTAGTGAGAGATGGGGGACAGAGGATCGTTCTTGAACTCGGTCCAGAGCCAGGAGAACTCCTTGCGGGCCTCAGTGCGATCCTGATCCATGCAGAATCGGATGCGCTGGCTCAGCGGCAGATCAGCCCAGTAGGTGCCGTCGGCGGCATAACAGTCCTTGGGGCGGATGACATCGTCGAAGGCGGCCTTCTCCTGGACCTCCATCTCGTCGAAGCGAAGAGCTTCCTTGTTGACAGAACCCATGGCTGACGGTAGTGAATGAACTTGGCACGGTTCAGAGACTACACTTGGACGTCAACTCTGATCGGAGAGCGAAGAGGCTTTGGTTCGAGCACGGCGACGAAGAAAAGAAAGATCGACGGTGAGCGGCACCAGAGATCTTATTTATGCTGTCCTGGACCGATCGTTGGTGTTCGGCTCGACAATGGTAGTCAGCGACAGACCATGGCAAGTAGGTCGGTATCCATTCGACTAACAAACGCCACCCTCGACGAAAGGAAATGCGCAGTCGGTCCAAGCGCACGACACGAAGAGTAGGTACGCCAAAGTATTGCGATGAGATTGCCCTATGACAGGCATTGAAGCACGCACGATATCCTACGCCAGTGGACCCCCCTGACCATCCGAATTTCACGACCACCGTCGCTCGTGGGGCTTCTCTGCATCTCGGGTGCACTGACCGAGGAGAATGACCGGATCCATCTGGCACGCGTGGGTGGAGCGCTCCATCGAGCCATCCCGAAGCCCAGAAAAAAAAGAACTTTGAACTCTGCCTGTCCAGTGAAACAAGTTTGCCGGGCCAGGCGATGTGAAAATTCAACTAGGGCCCCGACGAGCCCGTAGTCCGTACTCCGTCCAGCCGAGGGTGAACGAGCGCATGAACCCAACCGATCATTCCTGTCTATCCCGATGCTCTTGGTATTGGTAATCCTGTACAAAAGAACTTTAAAAAAAACAAAACGCAAATTAACCAAAAAACCAAATTTAAAACCAAAGGTGGGTGATGGAGGAAGCACCTTTCCTTTGGTGAGAGAGGAGACAAGCTACAACGCAATAAAGCATGGTTCCAGAAAGGGTTGCAAAGTTCACAATAGTCAAGCGAGGCTGCCGGTAGCAGGGCGCTCTCTCATTACGTGGGTCCTATTGGGTACGGGGTCTCATCCTTCCCCAGCAGTTGGGCTTTATGCCATCTCATTCGATGAGAGTGATGTGACTGTTGATTGCACCCAGCGCTCAACTGGATCTTCAGTTTCTGACCTGACCTCGAACTTGACGCTGGCCGTCGATATCACTGTCTTCTGCCGATTTGCCTCTTGTGGACGTGATAAGGGACGAGCAAGACTTGGCGACCCAGACAAGCCTTTGGTGCCGCAGCTGGGGTGATGGTTGTGGCAGGCTGGGCACTGCCTCGGCGTCGTCTGGGCATTGCTTGTCGCGTCTCACAGAAGAGCAGTTCATGTGTCATCATACCGAGAGCACCGAGAGCCCAGAGCAGTGCGGTAGCAGCGGTACAAGTGTATTAGTGTACAGCATACCGACAGTCTCCATCTACATGGATCCACCGGTGTCGCTTCCTCGGGGGTAGTTCCAATTTGCCTTGGGCTCGGCGTAAGAGTCTACAAGGGGACACGCCAAACGCTTTCTGCGAGGGAAAATACCTAACCATCGCATCCACGGTCATCAACCCCAAAAAATCAATCACGTCTGCTCTCGGCCCGTCACTTCGGGGCAATGAGCACATGCTCTCAATAGCCTCCATGCGCAAATGTCCCGCCGATTTAACCTTGTTACTGAAGCCAATCATGCAGCGAGCTGAGACCCCGTGCTCGGATACAGCCGTGTCATGGGTGGAGACCAGAAGCACTGCTACTCCACTGATCCACTCCACTCCACCGGGCTGAACCATCTGTACTTCCCTCCTCCCGCATTCTTCCACGCAAGACGTGGTGAGGTTGTTCTCGGGATCATCAGAGATGGGAACATCTTACTGGGCTCTAGCCCAATCAACTGCATATACTGGACCACGCCCCTACCACCTCCCGCTGGACCCCCGCGGAGCTGCGTCCAGTGTCCACTGGTCCAGTACAGTTGCCTACCGGTCACCTTTTCCCTTCTAGACCAACGACACCGAAACGATATGAGTCTGAGAAGTCTCAACGTGCATAACAGGCAATCGATGTATGGGCATAGAGGACGCCAAAGTACGTGTCACTGTAGACTGTAGAATGCATGAGGTGATGGCGTTGGCGCAGGGGAATCATCCTGCCCCTCCCATAACACCAACCCAGCATAGCGGTCATCGACTGCGCGGCTCTCTTCACGCCCCGAACCTTGAAGTGACTGATTACTTCCATGGCTGGATGAACCTCATGGTGGGTAAACGATCAGACTTGTGGTACAGTAGTTTAAAGATTGACCAGGCTTCGGAGAGGAGACATCTGAGTTTCCTTTTTCGAGTTGCTTGAGAGCGATCATTTGATAAAATGTGCCCCAGTCGAGGCCTCCGCTATCAAAATCAAATATTAGGTAGCTCCATAGGTGTTCATGGAGGACGTCCACGACTTCCAAAGCCTCCACGAGCACCACAGTCCACACCACATGCTCAAAAAGACTCGAGCGATTGAACGACACCAAAAGACCGCGAATAGCTCGGGGGACGCTTTCTCTGATCAGAGCCTTTGAAAAATGCGGGAATATTTCTCGTTTGACGATCAAGAACAAGCAACGTCGATGGTCGCTTGAGCCCTCGGAGTTGACTACTCCAATGATCCACGCATCCTATGTATGTAGTATGACTATGTAGTTATGTACTGATTTGATGTGGTTACAGGAACCAGTGATATAAACGTACACTCGTGTGGTAAGGTTGTGGGACCTCGAGCTCCAACTGAAGTGGAGGTGAGAAGGCGTTGGTCACACACACGTGTGGCGACAGACCACACCAGTCTGCAAAAAGTGTAGAGAGCTCCTCGCCTGTCACGGAGGCACACTGATCACGCCGCAGACGCTGATTGGAACAATGCATCCAGTTGGGAATAGGCGCCACTCGGATAGCACGATTCATGCCCAGTGGAAGCTAGAAGCCTTGTTGGAAGTAATGGAACGCTTGGAAAAAAGCTTAGCGCGTTGCCACGAGGTATGGAGGGTTCGTGGGACCTCGGAGTTAGGGCTCTACTTTCCTTTATCCTGCGTCATTCACTTTCTTTCAAGGTTGCCTGATTCGATGCCGCAGTACCCGCGAGTCTCTATTGTCCAGAGCATGTGCTGGTGGCGTGGCAGTCTGCAAAGGGTCATTGGGGATGTGTGAAACGGACTAATCTAATCGACAACCTTACGAGGTTTGAACGTGCAATTTTCCGCGATTAATGGCAACGAGAAAATGGATCATATTCGCTACGGTAATTGAGGATTTGCGACGCTTCCCTCTCGTTGCTTCTAAATGGATGGTATCGCTCATTGAAGATTTGTCACGTTTCTATCTCGTTGCGTCTAAAAGGTACCACGAGGGCCGTGCCCATCAACAGCCCCGATGTCCGAGATCCATCGTCCGTAGCGCGAGCGTGACTTTCCAACGGTGTTGAATGCAGCGCAAAGGGCTGATGGTTGCTGTTCGACGGTGCGGCATACCCCTGCTGAGTCAAGCTCAGTAGCGACACTGCTCGGACCGCACGCGTCGTAAGCCAATTGGACGGAAAGGAAACGAGACTGAGGGAACTTATACGTTGAGGTCTGATGTGAACAGGCCCGTCACGGAGATAGGTCGCGGCTCTTTCTATATTCTAGTGACTGGTGGTATACAGGTGAGATTGCTGATGTACAGAAGTGTTGGTACAAGAGTGAGATCAAGGTGATGGTCGGGACGATATTCAGAATCGTGAAATGGGATATATTATGCACAACGCTGAGAAAGCAGAAGAAGCAATAAGGGGCCGGAGAAGGAGGGGAGTAGGAGGCAGAGCACTGCTGACCATTCAAACCTGCCTCGTGGTTGGAATACCAATCGAGTTCTGCAGCATCCATGCCAAAGGCCATGGCTTGCCGCGCCATTCCTGATCCATGACGGCGGCAGCTTCCAGCATGAGAGGCAAGGGGAATTTGGGTCGAGAATTGGTTAGAACATCACGATTGACAAAGATCTTGGCAAGCTGGAGCTGGAGAGCTCGCTCAGGACCCAAGCTCTTGTAGCCGGACACCAAGTAGAGGAAGGGATTCTCATGGAATTCAGAGGGGAGTCTCTGGAGGTACTCCGGCTGGATTCTGAACCTGGCGCGTGAGTCACGGCGGATAACCACCTTTCCAGCACAGACATGCCAGATCTTGCGAATATCGTCCGAGGACGCTTCCAGAGAGGCATTACGGACAAGCGAGTCCAAAACAAGATTGCGCATGTCCTGGGTCACGAGATCCTGCAGACAAGCATAATGCCAGAGAACACGGCATATATTGTAGTGGAAGCCGTCAAACGCAATTGAAAAAAGCTTGGACATAGCTTCGCGATTGAGTTTGAAGCTCGATCGCTTCATGATCTTGAGCGTATGTTCCAAAGCGGTGAAAATGTCATCCGAGGTCATGTGCAAGACTTGCATGAGACAAGAACTGTTCATATCGAGACGGTATTTGTCACAGATGTCGAGCAACTCCTGCATCGCGGAGTAATTCTTGAGTCGGACAGTCACGTTCAACATCTGGCTCAATAGGGACGCAGTAAACCAGTCGGCCCCGTTCGTCTTGACCATGAGCTCGAAGAAGCTATAAACATCCTGACCCCCTTCCAAGTGCACGAAGAACGAGTCAGAAATGGTCAATTGCAAGGCGCTGCGTGTGGTGTTGATATCTTTCATATAACCCTTCTTTGCCATTTCCTTGATGATAGCAGCTTTGGACTTCTGGGTGAGCATGGCTTGCAGCAGTACCAACCAAGTGTCTGAATTGGGACTAATTCGACGCTTGGCCATAGCTTGCAGGAAAAATTCAAACATTCGACGATCCTGTCGCAAGGCCGCGGACCGCAACAGGACATTGTATGAATCTACCGTGGCTAGATACTCTGCAGCACCAAACACATCTCGGGCAATGTGAAGGAATTCGTACTTGTAGAGATATCGGAGGGCATTATTCAGAGCAGCGGTCGACAAGGACTTGCGGAGAGAGTCCCGTCGAAACAAACGACCAATATGCTCTGCCACTCGTCTTGGGAGAGGGATTGCAGTCGGGCCTTCCAGTCGAGCTGCTCTAACGGGATGCGTCATCTTCGCAGAAGTCAGATCCTCGATATGATCAGCGAAGTCTTTCACGGACGAGATTGTAGAGCTCTGCTCCATGACTTTCGTAATGTCGAGCGGTTGTTGATCGTCATGCGGTGTCGTCCACACTGCACGAACCAATGGTACGGGCCGCTTCAGCTTGCGAAGCTTCTGGGTCGAGGCAACGATAGGTACAGGGGGTTTTTGAATCTCGACAAGTGGATCCCCCTTTGCTTGTCGCTCTTGTTGTCGCTTGACCATTTCCTCAACTGCTTCCAGTGTACCTTCTGAGCCATGAAGAACCATCTTTCGATAGATACCATCACCCTTCTCTGCCGGTAACACTTGCACTAGACATCCATGACGGACGGGCAGATGCCACATATTCTCCTCGGCGGCTTTGCCTGGACTGGTCGCACCCGCCAGGAGGGCGACGGTTTCCTCGGGAACGAGCATCTCTTTGAACTTTGTACCCCTTCGATTGACACCTTTGACCTGACGTTGAATTGAGTTCAAAAGATCGCGCATGTCAAGCCATGTTTTTGAATCGGGGGGTATTCCCCCGCGATTCTCGTTGGCAAGAATGAATTCCCCGTACCGAATCTGCCTCCGATTGCGAGGCGATAAATTTCGTTCCCACAGATTCTTGGGTACACGGACGCGAGAGCCCGGTGTCATCGGCCATGGATCAGATTCGAGAAATTCTTGTCGCTTCGGCTTCTTGCCTGCTCGCTCGACGACGCGGCTGAGTTGAGATGAAGGCGGCGCTGGATGTTCCGGGCTGGATTGGGTGTGAATCAACGTTGGCGAACCTAATTTGACTTGTACATCGCTCCTCTGACCATCTTCGGTTTTTGTATCATCTGCAAGTTCATTGGGATCGGCCTCGATCCGACTTGAGGCTGTATGATGAGCGATCCCGCGAACTGAAAGATGGCGACTACCTTTGTTCCCGCCAGAATTTGTGTGCACCTTTGCGCTGCATGGGATTCGCGTTTCGAGTCGGAGGGGTGAAGTCCTTGGGACGGTAGAAAGAGGGCGTCTTCGGCGAACTGCCGAGGCAGCCCATCGGGGGTAGAGGAAGAGCAGAGGCTCATCGGGGCTAGCCGCGAGAGCATCCAAGGCGGCAGACAGAGGCCTTCTTAGACATGAGCAGCCACGCGAGAGCATGAGGAATGTAAACCCTCTAACTCGTTCCGGGCATGGAAAATTGAGGTGGTAGACGCGTCGGGATATCGGAGATACCATGCGCTTAGTTGCTTGCTCCAAAAATTGATGCGATGATTACAGTTTAGGCAGGCGGTGAGAACACGGCCCGACCCATTGGGACGGATATTGTTGCCTGAGGCCGGAGTATGCTTTCCGAGTCTGGGCTCTTGGCAGGTCGGTCCACTTCCATGTTTCGGCTTTCAGGCAAGATTGTTTCTCGCCCACCAGGGTTCAGGGCATGTTTCTTGACGGTCGCTTGTCGACATGTCTCAAACTGTGCTCAGGCTTTCTTTCATCACGGGACTTGTTATTGAACAGGCGCCTTGGTCAATATCTGGGGTGGACTCGTCTGGGCATGCTTGAATTGTACGACAAATTCAGACACAGGTACTCAGTCCGATTGACGGTACGGTACTGAGCCTGCTGTGAAACTGTGAATAGCAGCTATGGCTTTCGTTAGTATTGTATATAAAATCTGGATTACGAGAATACAACGGCAGTAGTACTACTCTCGATTATTTACTAGTGATTTCGTGCTGTTTTAACAGTTAGTACCTGTACGTACTTTCCGATTCTAAGCTTGATTCCGAGAGCGAGAGGTACTTGCTTAGTCGCGACAGGTACATCAACGCTTGTTGCCGGCGCCGCGAAACAAGATCTCACCATCATCGAGGTTCAAACCGGCCTGACTCATCTGTGCTAAAGCGGCCGTTTGGTTCCCTTTTCATTGCTCACATGCCGAACTGATCGACTCGCTTCCTCCCTACTCACCATATTCATGTCCGGATCTTTCACGATTAGGGCTCATTAGCGGGGCAGCTCCCTTATGCTCCACTAGAAGAATTTCTCCAGAAGCTCCCGCCCGTCATCTCCGAAACCCTCGGACAGCTACTTGCATCCTCCTGATTGTTCACGATTCTCCTTCAATCGTCTCGACCACCCCCCAACTACATCATTCAACATGCCCATTAGGTGAGGCGATGCAGATCAGACTAGATACGAATATCCTATACTAATATCTATACGATCTAGCTACCTGATTCTGTTGTCCCGACAGGGCAAAGTGGTACGTCCCTCGCCCCCTCGTCACCCACCCCGATCCCATCGACCGTCTTGAGATTTGCGCCCCCTCAACATTTGCTTACCCAATTCTTCCCTCATTCAGCGTCTCGCCAAATGGTTCACGACCCTGTCACCCAAGGAGAAAGCGAAGATCATCAAGGATGTGACTCAACTTGTGCTCTCACGTCGGACGCGGATGTGCAACTTTCTCGAATATAAAGGTACCCAACTTTCGCTTCGCGATCCTTGCAGTCCCCAGCGAGCAGTTTACTGACCGCAATCCTTTGCTTCCAGATTCCAAAGTTGTCTATCGCCGCTATGCATCCCTGTTCTTCATCGCCGGCTGCGCATCGACCGACAATGAATTGATCACCTTGGAAATCGTCCATCGCTACGTGGAACAGATGGACAAGTACTACGGAAACGTGTGCGAGTTGGACATTATCTTCAACTTCCAGAAAGCCTACTTTATCCTCGACGAGCTCTTACTTGCAGGCGAGATGCAAGAAAGCAGCAAGAAGAATGTGCTTCGATGCATCAGTCAGCAGGACAGCTTGGAAGACATGGAGGTAAGTTACTGACCGCATCCTCTCTTTATTGCCCTTCCACGCTTTCCCTTCGCGGTAGTTGGCGCAAACAACACGCGATCAACCTCCGTCGGCGCATGGCTATCATATGTCTCTCTCCCTCTCCCTCTCCCTCTCCCTTTCTCCCATGGGCCCTGTGCGGCTTTCTTTCCATCCCCAGGCGCAATCGGGCTAATGCTCCTCGCCCCCAGGTTGAGGAAGACGTGGTCACCAAGATCATGTAGCGATTCGCACCCACTATCTTCTTTTTGTTCTTCGTATACTTGGCAATTTGCTTTGGGGGTTGGGAGTTTGGTTTTGCTGTGACTTTCGACATGGCGTCGTTTCAGACATTTTCTTTTTCATCCGTGAAGCGTAGCGTCTTCCCTGCACTATTTCATTTACTAATCCTCCTTTCGTGGTGGGCTTGTCAGGACTCGGATGAGATGTCACGCAATCTGGACCGTGTGGGATTATGACATGTTATGAGGCAAGCTGAATCCGCCCGCTTTCGGACGCTTGGCTCAGACCACCTGTTGTCTGCCGCCGACCCTAGCCTTGGCCTGACTGGAATGAGAATGCCCCCCTCTGCCCTCCGACCGAGGCTCAGCAAGTCTTGCTTTCATTTCATCTTTGCTTCTTTACGTCTTTGATGCAGTCTACCAACAGCCGGATGAACGCTGGATCCTCCGGCCACTCATTCTACGCAGATTGCCCCACGAGATGTATGATCGCTGGGCACTGGGAGTTCTAATCCGAATCCGACCGGATCACCCAAGGTCTGGCCCGCCCGTGAGGTCACTGCGCCATTTCACTGGCCCCCCGGATCCCAACACGTGATTTCGATCGCAACTCATGCTCCCTCGTCCCCTCCCCCTGCCTTTTGGATCGGGTCAGGCAGATTGTATCGACCCTTCATTTCTCTAGTCCATCCGCCTGCGACGAGACACTTCTGGACTCTTCGAACATCCCCGGCTTCATCCTGAACTGAGTCGTGGAGGCACGCTCTTCCCCGGAATTCCCCTTATCTCTCTTTGTTACGGTTATCGCCGATCGGCCCCATATCCGTCTCCGGCGCGACCGCTCCTTGTGATCTCACCGTCACTTCATTGCGCCAGCGAGGTGACTGCGCATCCGGATCAATTTCAGCGCGTTCTTGAACCCGAAGCTCACGCTACATCGATTGATTGTCGTCGTGTCATTTTCCTACCTACAAGATGAAGGTTGGTTTTCGTCAATCCTCGATTGCCGTGGGGGTAGCCATGATACGGCTCATCACGCCATCGTCGATCTAACGTGACCATTAACGTGTCCATCCGAATGCTCAGTTCTTACCGCTCCCTGAATTTGAGGATATCACGAGTTCCTTGAATTTCGATACCGCAGACTGCCACATCACCGGAGGTTGCGACCTGTACACCACCAAGGCCGCCCGGTCCGACCGGAAACTGTACAATCACATCGAACAGTCGTTGGAGGCTCAATACGAATCCATCCTTCGCCTGTCGGCTTCTTTGTCTCCACCCAATGCCCATGATGCCGCCGAGACACTGAACCTGTCGCGATCAAGCCCGTTCGGCCCTCTGAGCGAGCACTCCAGCCGCCGTACGTTTGCCTACCTCATCGCCACGCTCAACGCGAGCCATTCAGACTACGACTTCTCGCACGTGCTAAGACCTACGGATTTTCGACGGGAGCGCCACCTCAAACGCGTGATGAACACAGTCAACTCCACATTGTTCAATCTTCGCCCTCGAGAGTCAATAGACATGTCTCCTTCATCACCGGGTACTCTTCCGGGCTCGTACAACTCCGGCTCGACCACGTGGGGCTCTCGGATGTGGCAGAGTATCGATGAGCACATGTCACTGAAAGAGTGCGCCCTCTACTCGTACTCTCCCGAAGAAGACCCTTCTGATGCCGATGATGGTGCGATTTGGAGCTTGCACTATTTCTTCTTCAATCCGCTACGTAAGCGAGTCTGCTATCTCTACCTTCGTGCGATCCCAATCTTGAGCCACACGCCTCCCGAAGATAACGAACTCATCTCAACTTCGATCGGCAAGCGCACGTTCGACGATGGGTACCTGACCCCAGATCTGAGCTCCAGCAAGCGAGCCCGGTACTGGTTTGGAGCCCATACAGAGTCATCGCTGCATCGCGCTGAAAACCTGGAAGATGACGATCAATATATCCACAGTGACGAGGAAAATCATTCCCGTCGGGGAAGCAGGGGTATGGTGCGGGCGATGAGTGAAGAGCTCGTGGAGATGATGGAAATTTGATGTGTGCCGTTCGTGATTCCCTTTTCTTCTTTCAATTGGCAATTCTGCTTTTTATCTAGTTCGCTTGTGTTTCACTTCGTTCAGATCCCGTTGATCGGCGATTCTCTTTTCATCAATTATCACTTTGCCTACGTTTGGCTTGTTTCTTTTTTTTCGGCTTGGGGCCTTGGGGCCACGAGACGTGAAGCACCGCGCCCTGGAGCTCTCCGGTTCCATTCTACAAGTGTCACGATGCGAGACGTGACCAGTAACGAAGATTGCCATTAGCCGTCTCCTGTGACTTGGGGATATGCCATTTTTCAATAGCTCTGAATAGTTTCTAATACCACCTTTGATTAAGCTTGTTTCACCCTCCTCTTAGGATTCAAAAATGTTTCCCTTGCTGGCATTGAATCGTGCAGGGTTGACTTGCAATGAACTACGCAAAAGAAAGTAGCGCCGCTCAGGAGAGCCTCTGCATGTCTTGCTGGTACTTGAGTTGGACCATTCGTTGAACGAAGCTGATACCCTTTGACGTTCATACCTTCCGACCAGCCGTGCTCCAGTATTGAATGTACTTCGGGGGTGGCCCGTGCGCCATGTATTGGGGAAAGCTGTCCGTTCTTCGTCCCAAGTCAACTTTCCCAAGACAGACTCACATCTGTTGCACTTCTTATTGAATACTGCATCATGGCTGACGAGGAAGAGCGCATCAAGGCCGAGAAGCTGGCCGCCGCTAAGAAAAGGGTGCGTCATATCTGCCGTCTACATAGTCATTGCGACTAATGGGCTGACACTCTTACAACATTCCAGGTGGCTCAGCTTCAGAAACAAAAGAAGAAGGCCAGTAAAAAAGCTTCGACCGCCCCAGACGCTGCCAAAGAGACAGAGAACACCAAAGAGTCAGAATCTACGCCAGATGCCTCGCCCGAAACAACCACCGAAGCTGCTCCCTCGGAGGCAAACCCCGCGGAGAAGAAGCCACAAGGAGAGACGCCCGCAGACATCGCGACCACAGAGCAACCCGCAGAGGACGCTTCTAAGAAAGTCTCAGACGACGAACAAGAATCTGGTGAATCACATACTGAGCCGATGCCGCCGGCTCCCACGTCACCTGAAGGCGAGACGGAATCACCACCTGCGCGCTTGGAGACAGATACCCCTCGAGCTGGGCACGCACGCCAACCCTCTCTATCGATTCAGTCAAAGCTTCGATCATCATCATTTCGAAAATCGTCGATATCTCAAGGGGGTCCATCACCACCTGCTCTGAAATCACCCCCGCATCCTTTGCCTCCTCTCACAGGAGATGGCGAGTCAGTTCACGAGGTCTTTCGGAAACAGTCAACGAAGATCGAGGAATTGGAGGCGGATCGAAGGAGGCTCGAAAAAGAGCTTTCGGATGCTACCGCTCGCTGGCGCAAGACGGAGGATCAACTTGAAGATCTGCGAGAGGCTAGTGTGGACGGGGCAGAGTTGAGGGAAAAGCTGAGACAGGCAGAGGAGAAGGTCGCGAGTATTGACGCATTGGTACGTTGGTCTTTAATATTGCACGTCTGATTTGGCGTATAACAGTTGACTGACAACCTCGGCAGAAAGAAGAGGTCGCATCACTCCAACGACAAAATTCACAGCTTCAATCTCGATCACATCGCAGCAATGCCAGCGTCTCAGTACCCCCACCTTCGCAATCTCCGCCAGCAGATCTCGTACGACAGTTGGAGTCCAAGTCCGCCACAATTGAGTCCATGGAGCTGGAGATATCGAATTTGCGCGCTCAAGTAACATCTTTTACATCCTCACATGATTCACACGAAACACAAGTTGCCGCTCTCGAAAGCAAGCTTGCGAAGGCGGAAGAGGCTCTTGAAAAATCTCATCGCGAACTCGATGACACCAAACAAGCATTGAATCGCGCTTCCGAAAAAGCCGTGAAGGAAGGCGTGGACAAGACATCGACCGAGACGTTGATTAAGTCCCTCGAGCGCGAAGTCGAGGAGCTGAAGAGTGAGAAAGCCGAAAGCGAGAAGAAAATCGAGACCTTGGAAAAGAAACTGCTGGCACTAGGGAATCTGCACAAAGAGTCCGAAACTCGGCATCAGACTCGCCTACGCGAGATTGAAAAGGCGGAAAAAGAGACTGCCATCTTACGAAAAAAGCTAGCGACAGTCGAAAGTGAAAATCTTCGTCTACATGAGGAACTTGATCGCATGCGTAAGCGCGATGCCGGTGGTACGGATGATGACGCACTCGATGAGCTTGAAGATGAAGAGCGCCAACGCCTAGAGCGTCGAATTCGTGAACTCGAAGGCGAGAACTTCGACTTGCGTCGCGGCGTTTGGCAAGAGAGACGCTCGGAGCTAGTTGGACAACAGCACGCGGACGATGAGTTGTCGGGCACTGGTGATCCTGGCGCCAACGCCTTCGATGATGTTGACCTGGTCGGTGGTCGACCTGACCACTCTCGGCGTCGAAGCATGGCCTTGCAGCAGCAGCAGCAACAACAACAGCAGCAGCAGCAGCATTCCTCGTTCACCGATGTAATATCCAGCGGCTTGGCCGCCTTTGCAGGTGGTAATCGTGCGCGATCGGGCTCGAGCAACCCACCGCGCCCGCATGGCCCTGCTACTCGTGGTAGTCTGGAGTTGCTCTCGGAGGAGAATCTGGAGGATGAGTTTGACGAGGCTGAGTTTGCCCGTGCCCAAGCTGAAGAGGAGGCACGCAAGAGAGTGGAGTGGGTTCGTGAGGTTAAACGCAAGTTACGTGACTGGCAGGGCTGGCGCTTGGATCTTGTGGATAGCCGCGCCGGTGCAGAGGGACCGGGGCTGGCCTTGGGTCAGATCTTTGAGGTTTAGATATGCGACTTTTTGGTTAATGGTTCGTCGTCATCGGTCAATGACAAGTATCACGATGTTCGAAATCGAGGTGGCGGGTCCGAAACGATGTACTTTGTAATTGACGCTAACCTATAACACGTTGCTGGTTGGTATTGCTTGTAGATCTCACACCCCGAATGATGCTGAAGATTCTACAGTGCGGGCTGTCCTTATCTCCATGCAGCCTGAGCATGGGAGCGAGGTTCGACAATATACTGAAAAGTTACAACGATTTAGCACCAGTCACGCGACATTCCAAGAGGCAATGGAATGCCCCTTAGGCACATGGAATCGAACAGTTTCAAGGCACTCGAAATGTAGATTGAATCTCAAATTGCAAAATCAAATCAAACTCCAGCTTAAATGGTCAGGATCTAGGACACATGCCAAACCGTATCACCCCCCTCAATCCGAGAAATGCTTTCCAGTCAAAACTCCCTCACTCTGTCTGCGTCTCTTCCCCATGAACTCGCCCACCCAGCCCGAGATCTGATAGACCCAGCCACCAGTGACCAGCACACCAGAAATGGTATTGATGACTCGAATCAAAAGGGTCAAGAATCCGGTCCGCTCTTCGCTGACTAGCAGCATGATCGGCTCGATGTTGTATTTGAAGAAGATGCCCGGGATCAAGTATGGGGTTTCCGGGATAGGTGTAGACTGGCTGGTCGCCGCGTATTGATTGGTGAAGATGGCATTGCGATTCTTTCGAACGGCGAGCGAGGATGGATCGCGTGTATAGGCGTCAAAGGCAGATCTACCCTTTGTATAAAGCGTTGGCACGACGGAGAGGAAGTACTGGAATTTCTGATAGTGGTTCTCGGTCTCGGCAATGGTCTTGTCGAGTGGATTCATCAAGTTAGGATAGTGTGGTCCGAAAGATAGCTCGGTGATCATGTGGGAGAAATTGAAAACTGGCGTCCGAAAAACTGTCAGTCAAAGTTCAAAGACGACAGAATTGACCAGAGAGCATGTCCGCCAAGTCAAAGAAGTGCGACACTGACCTTCATGCGACAGATGTTCGCCCAATTCACGATATCCATGTCCACGCGCGGTGATGTGAAAGTCACCCTGTACCTTGTTTCCTTCCAAGCTTCCATATATCCGGCAAGCATCCGCCTTCTCACCCCAGCGCATCCGGGGACCCTTGGGGAATTTCCGCCGAGGATTGCGTCGGACTTCGCCAATGACATGGTGTGCATGTGCGTCTGCTTCCTGCGCGCTGAGTCGATCGGCCTCCTCATGATTTAGAGTCTGATACTCATGCGAGCCGTGATTGCGCTTGTCCATCCACAACTTCCAGGACGTTTCTTCGCGCTGGAGGAGGTCACCGGCAAGGATGCGATCACCTGCAGCGTCTTGAATGTTGACACGGAGGGTGTCGCAAGGCATATGGATGACCATATCCAGATTCAGCTGGAGCTCATGAGAAACGCCCCGCTCGACACTGAATTGGTGTTGCTCCGTGCCACGCCACCATGTTCGCAGCTCGTTAAAGCTGAGGAGTGTACAAATTGCAAGGATCAGCACCGTCCATTGCCCACCGCGTGTGGTCGGTGTCGTGTATGACGCTTTGGTCTTGGCTAATAAGAAGAGACAAATTTTAGGTCAGTAAAGAGAGCACGTTCAATTGAGCGAACGAAAGAGACAAACTGCGCCCGCATGAGCGACGAACAATGATCACTTTGGGTTTCTGGTCCCTGTGCTGCGCTGGTGTTGCCGAGTATAGGATACAATCTGGGTAAACAAGACTTACGGAAGGCATCAAAGGTCTTCAGTCCAGACTGTGTACCCTTGTCCCCAAAGGCGTCCTCATCGAGACCTTTAGGCTCATACCCATTCATTTTCAATTCTATACGTGCGACAACGACATGAAGGGAGACAGTTGTCACCGAAGGTCAAGAAAGTTGGGGAATGCTTTGAGGTGTGGAGCCAGGAACTTAGATAAGGCGATGTGGCCAAGTAGCCCGATTGCCGCATGATCGGCCAGTTGGTGAGCAAATACCGGCCAGTAAACTACGTAACTTCCGGATATGCAGCATTTCCTTCAGAGACCACTACCGGTCCATTGACACTGAAGTCTTACAGGATGCATGATAAATCTAGAGTTTGAGTTGCGATTTTACAGCAACAATATTGCGATAGAGCTACTCAAAGCTGTTTCACAAGTCGAAAAAAATATACGCGTGAATGCAAAGCCAGACGAGCTTGTCCAAAAAAAAACGCCTCAGTTTGACCGGAGTGGCAGATGTCCTCCCGGGAATATGCAAAGATTGAATCGGGACAAAATGTACAATCGATTAAACTCAGGTATCAAACAGCCATGGGTCCAGGGGGAGATGCAAGGAGGGTCGTTAATAGCGAAAGACAAAGCGAATGTGAAGGAATTTGGAGGGCATGATTGTAATGACCGCCGAAAATGATCATATCAGGCCCCAGATGTAAATGCTATCATAGAACATAAAATGGGTATAGGATGCATGTCGTCTTTGCTTCATCCTCATGGGCTCACCTGAACCTGACCAACGTAAGATGATATGACAAACCGACATATGCAGATAAACAAGGCAATAAAAAAAACAGAGCAAGGAAAACACAAGGCAATTATTATTACAAGTTTGTGTGCAAGAAGGCAGAGGGATATCATGGTAGGTTATGGAGTGAGTGGAGGACGGCAAGAGACAGGGAAGATCAGAAGATGGAAGAAGCCTTCTCATTACCAAGATGAGAAGAATGAGTCCAGACCGGGGTCAAAACTGCTCATTTACTCCTCTACTAACTGTCAGGATGATTCTCGACACGCTTTAGCGGAGGTCCTCGACTTACCAGACTGGTGGCCGCCGCTGCCGTCGCGAGATCAGGCTTCCCGCTGATACTGCGTGCTGAGGCACGGGGCAAACCAGTGCCGGAGACAGCCGAGAGAGTCGAGCCTCGCTTAGCAGGGCTACCGGGCGGCAAACCAGTAACAGTCGAATGGCGTTTCCCATTCATACCCTTCACAGGGGAAGTCCCTGAAACATCGCGAGTACGAATATTCTTCAGACTTCCGCTTGGGGGTTCAGGGAGTGGACGCGCATTGGAGGCCGACACCCCACGCTTGGAGGGAGTCGTGGTGGCATAAACGCGCGGTCGCGCTGTGAGCTTGACGCCGGTGATGAATTCGTGCTTGAGAGCATCATGGGGCGTGAGCCGACGAGCGGGATCCCAGCGCAGACAGCGGGAAATGAAGTCAAGGAAAGCGTCATCATCACACTTAAGAACCTGCCGTAATTCCTTGGAGCTGGGGCGACGGCGACGGCCCTTGGACGAGACCGTGAGGCGTGGCTTGCCAAGAGAATCAAAGAAGAGCTTTTTGCGAGAACTTTTCTCGATCAGGTGCTTCTCGGGCGGACCGAAGACTTCCATAATGCAGGCGAGCTGTTCCTGTTCATTCTCACCAGGAAATATGGGATAGCCCGTAAGAAGCTCGGCTAGAATACAACCCAGACTCCACATATCGATAGGCATGCCATATGACATTCCCAGAATGACCTCAGGGGAGCGATAGAAGCGACTTTGAATGTAGGTGTAAACTTTCTCGTTCTCAAAACAGCTGGAGCCAAAGTCAATGACTCGGATTTCTGAGTTTAGTGGATGGACAAGTAGAATATTCTCCGGCTTGAGGTCGCAGTGAATGACCTTTTTAGCGTGCAGCAACACCAGGCTGCTGAGCATCTGCTTTGTGAACCGTCGGATGAGCTTGAGCGAGAATCCGCGGAAGTCGTGCGCTTTGATGAATTCATAGAGATTCATGCCCAGCAATTCCGTTGAGATACACAAGTGACCACGGAAGTAGAAACTTTGGTCAAAAGCAACAACGCTGTGTCGACGTTCCGAATCCCACTCTTTGAGCTTTTTGAGTAGATTCACTTCAATGAGAGCTTGCTGATGGAAGCGTTTCTTATTGCGAATAATCTTAACTGCGACCAGCGCACCGGTCTTGTGGTCAACGCAGCGCACGACTTGTCCAAAGCTTCCCTTTCCAAGAACATCAACTACCTCGTAACGATAGGCAAGATGGTCGCCAATGACGATGCTGTAATCGCCGCGGTCGTCATCGTAACCAAAGTTTGCAGTTGAAGAGTGTAGGTCTCCAACGTGTTTCTTCGCGTTTTGAGTACCACAAAAGAAGATATCACGATAGTCGATGATTTCACCGCGCTCAAAGATATTCAAATTGGCCATCTTGAGAGCATGGGCAGGGCCAACACGATCCTTGGGCTCGGCCTTGCGGCGCAACTCATCAAGCTGCTTCGCGGCAATTTCAAAGTCTTTTCGTTTCGCACCAAGACGCCTCATCTCTTCATCTGCAACGGCAATGTCCGCGTCAACACCCACATCCACGGATCGTGGATTAATGGCAGCGCTAGATCTGGCAGTGTTGATAATCCTATGGACGGGAGAAGCGTAGCTGCTTGCACGCACTTGTGAATGATCGCTACCAACAGACTCATTCGTAGTGCTGTGCTCGAGAACCAGACTACGGTCACTGCTGACACTTGGCTTTCGAGGCGACGTCTGCTTGGTGATACTTGACACAGAGGCTTGGCGACGAGGCTTCAAATAGGACGTTTTCGTGACGGGGCTGCTTGACTTCACAGCGGAGAGATTGTTCCACGTTGCTGAGGCTGGGAGCTTTGGAGGCGGCATATTGTCATATTTGGTGCGGTCTGTATCGATCTCGGACGTAAGCTGAGCCTTTGAGTTGCGTCGGAGCCGGGCAACATTTATTCGATCTTTAAGAGAAGCATTAGCCCCCACCGTGGTGGATTCAGATTCGGACGGCGTCGATATCTGGCTAAGAGTCTCAGAAGACGGGCTGAAGATAGCGCTCTGTGTCTGAGGACGGGGCCCATTGATCTTGTGGGCCTGCGAGACATGATTGGTATAATCTTCGCCAGCTTGCTGGTGAAGGGAGCTCAAGTCCGAGCTAGGCTTTGGCAGCGTGGACGAGGCATAAGGTGAGATATTGCGGGTTGCAATAGGCCCATCTGGTTGTCCGAATGTCCCAGTACTACTAGAGGTGCGCAGACCGCCGGATGAGATTGAGCTGAGACCAAAATGAGAGGTGCTGCTGCGAATTTGCGTAGCTGACACTTTTTCGTCATCTCCGCGTTGCCAGAAATTGGCCTTCGAAGCAGTCATGGGAGTGCTCGGAGTCTTGGAAAGGATCTGGTGAGAGGGGGTGTGAGTATTCCGTTCATCAGCTTCTCTGTCTCTCAGCGCCTCAATCTTAGTCGTCATTGGTGTTCCTAATGGTAGTAAATTGAGAGGGGGTAGTTTCAACGGCTGCAATCCCTTCCGTCCGAGCACCGTGGTGTTTCGCACCCGTGAATCAGGTGTTTTTGTAGCACGCCCGCGTAGGTCTTCCGCTTTTTTGTCGTTGATTTCAACAGCAGCTGTGTCATTATCCTGCGGAACAGCGGGGGCAACAAAGTCGGTTGTCAAGCTGGATTTCCGAGAAGTTGGAAATAAAGGCGCATCCAATTCACTCTTAGGAGACTCGTACGCCTTCGGGATAGCAGGGACAGGTGGTACTTCTTCGCCTTCCTTTGTTGACTGCTCCGTGCGGGGTTTGGGAGTTGGTAATCGTGAGGATGAGAAATTTTGAGACAGACGAGGTTGCAAGGAGTGGCTAGAATTCCGAATAGAATTGTAGCTGGTGGTAGATGATAATGACAAGCCGGAGCTATATGACTTGCGATTTGGATCAGGCGTCGTCCGGGTTGATGAAGGGGTAACGCTTTTTCTCGGAATCAAGGATGGAGATTGGTTTGTCGATACGGGCCTTGTGGGCAGAGGCTCCGTTTGCATGGGAGGCGTATGTGGCATAGGGGGAGCAGTCGGGGCGACGGACATGCGTTTCATTCGACGTGCGTCAGTCGGACTTATTGTTCGCGCCCCTAAACCAGTCGCATGTGGCATTGTGGACACGCGTTTGGAAGACGAGGAAGGTGTTGTATGTACAGCTGTACCTTCACCGACGGTCTCTACACCGTGAGTGTTCTTGACAGGTGTGCGGACTGCGTTTGTTGAAGACGATCGTGTATGATCTATAGTCTGAGTCGTGGTCAAAAATGTGCTTCGAGGCTCGCGGGGTGCTGGCTGGAAAGACTTTGCTTTGAGACTGCGCATTGCTGATGGGACCTTGCCTTCATCCCGTCCAAGGTCCATATTTTGAGTCCGTGTACGAAGGACATTATTCATGTCCAATCGCGAGGTGTCAACACTGGCCTTTCGAGCACTGAGACTAGCACGCCTCGCCGACGCGTTCGTGGGAGCGACGGCACCCGAGCTGATGGACTTGCGAGAACTGCGCGCACCCAGAGCGGCACCGGCAGCATTTTGAGCGAGGCTTTGGCGACGGTTTCGGTTACCGACAGAGACGCTCGGTGAGCTCGAGTTTGTCGGAGGCGGGCCGTTGAACCGATTGACCTCACTCTTGCGCCGGGATGCTGGACCCTTTGACCTTTCTGAGGCAGAGCTGTCATAGCTCTGGTGAATCCATGAAGTATCGATAGAAAGCTCGTTTGGCTTACTCGCCGACCCCGGCATGGGAAGATGATTCAGGCTTGGCTCAGCCATTATACTGTTGTGAAAGTCGTCAAAGCTGATGGGCGAAAGAAAATCGTCTCGCTCGGTCGCCGTGGCTTGCTGGCATGCGTCAACCTTGGCAAGGTTCCCGATACTGACGGAGCGATCATTCAGGCCCTTGGTCGAAGATTGCATGGAGCTCGGTGGAAAAGGTTCGGAATGAAAGTCGGTCGCAGGAAGTTTGCTACAAATCGAGGTCAGCTTGCTGCGGCTCCAATCTCCTTCGCTCGGCCTCTGGTGGGAAACCGAAAAAGGGGAAAGAGACTGGTCCAAGTATGTCCGGGTTTGGGCTCACCTCATGCGCGGAGATTCTTGGGGGCGAGGTCCTTGAGGGGCCCTGGGCCCTTTAATCGAAAGCCTTCTTCCACCTAGATCCCCTGAGCGCATGCCGGCGACGCCTCTTTGGGACTGTTGCTCAAAGTTGGTGGTATTCATGTGGAAGGTTGTTGATGCGGCTTTTTGCAGGCGTCTGCGGGCTGAGGAATCCACTAGGTTTTAGCATTAGCTATGTTGACCTGTTGTCGATGCGCGGAGGAGTCTTTGGTCCTTACATCCAGAGCTCGGATCGTCATATGTAGATGGGCTAGATGCGTGAGAGAGGGACGGCATTGTCGGAACTCGCGCTGCATTCTGTGCCGGCTTGGCCGGGAGTGCCCAGGAATCCATAATCAAAGCGTAAAAGGAAGAAGCTGGAGAATTGGACTATTTCGTGTCGAACTGGCCGCCCGCTACGGAAGACACGCAGGTGAAGTCAAATTCAACAACAAGAACATTCAGGAGAAAGCGGGCCTCTTCAACGATAAGGAGACCGAAAGAGCCGTTGGCGATGTTGCGCGACCCGTCGACAGGCGGTTATCGCTCCATTGTGAAAGCGAGATAGATGGATGAGGTGGCTGAAAAGCGAGGCCGGGGGAGGAGAGGGGGAAAAGTGCTTGGTGGGCTGTTCTCCTTTCGTCTTCGATCCTGCTGGGCAAATAATTTCGGCGTAGCTTTCCCAAACGTGTTGCTGGGGCAAGAGCACAAGGCGGTCGCGATGAAATAATTAAAAGAGGGTCCACCACCAGCCAAGCAACACCGAAAAAGACTTAGATTGACACTTGGTGAAATGATTTTGAGAAAGATTCCTAGCAAGGTCACCCGTGAATGAAGATCAAAGAGTACATGAAAATTACTTGAAAAGATTCGAGTCCAGGGAGCTGCAGCTCCCAAGCTGGTCCCGTCCGACTTCCGCTGGTTGCGATCAGTACTACGTCCTGCCGAATTAGTACGCTACCTTATTCTTGCCGTTCCTTTTGCCTGCGGCATGACCTATTGGTAGTGCGATGCTCGATACGGCTAATGATAGCGGCCATCCGGGAAGATGCACCGAGAGCCCTGAAATACCTCACTGAGCTTGCTGATATCGTATACAAGTATACATAGACAGTATGAAGCGAAGCCCGTTCATGGCAAGGAGGCAAGCTGTGACTGGAAGCGAATGCGGTACCTCAGGACCGACATGATCGTTATATCAACCTTGACTTTAACAGCCCTTCAGGGGATCTAAGATTGTAAGCGGATGGACCAGAGTTTTCGCAGAGCTTTAAGACAACCGATTCCTCCCTCGATATGAGTGCATATCAGACTAACAGGACGGCTTCCTTTGTACGTAAGGATAGAGACGCAATGAAATGTGGTATCCATCGAATCAACAGACTGCTAGTTACTGCCACCGATCATCTCATGTATCATGCTCCCTTATTTGGAAAGGGGAGCCTGGGCTCCTTCTCTTGAATGACCGCTATCGGCGACCGAAACCCTGAATGTTTTCCCCAGCTCAATTAGGTTAGCCACACGCAATTACGCCACCAATCACCGGAGGCTGTCAGTCGGCCACCTTTCCCCACAAAATGATAATATTACTGCCTGATTGAGCAGGCATCAACAAAAGCACATGCTCTCTGCATGTGCCGCTGCAACTGATGGGCCTTGTTCGGTTCCCCGAGTTTGATCACCTTGATCTTCTCGAGATCGCCTCCTACATCAGTCTGATCGCTAACCAGTATTGAGTATGATCAGTTGCCAGTCATCATGAGCCAGTTGACCTCCGAGATCCTCAAAACCCGTGATGATGCGGTGTCCATGCTCGGTATCAAGAGGCCGAGGCGACACAGAAGCGGCTCTGAGGACAGCACGCAGTCGCGGATGTCAACGCAATCAAAATTTTCAATACAAGACAGATTGTTCTCCAAGTAAATCAATCGGTCCCTCTTTCGATCTTATAGGCGCACATCGAATGTCTGACTGATGTGAATACAGGATTCTAGAGCAAGTGATCCCAGCTGAAGACGATGACGATGGGGCGGATTTAGACGACGATGCCTCGGTGGCATCGTCCCATCGACCGCCTTTCAGTTTACCGGCAATGTCTAACAATTTCCGAAGATTCAATGCAAGGTAAGTGAGCGAATGACCAAATCCAAATCAAACATTCCCGCAGCCAGACTAGAAAGATCAGGGCTAATTGACATCCTCAGAATTGGCGTAGTATTTCTGTTTCAAACCCAGGTTGAGCAGGTACTCAGCTGGGAAACCCCATCTCACACAATATCTCTCCTGTTTGTGTACTCATTCATCTGCTTGGATCCGCACCTGATCCTCATTCTACCGCTCGTGGTGTTTCTATTGTTCATCATGGTACCAGCGTTTGTTGCTCGTCATCCTCCGCCACCCTCTACATCCACTTCAAGCACCATCCCTTATTATTCCTACGATGGTCCCGCATTGGCGCCAGCAAAGACCATCAAGCCCGCCTCGGAGACCTCGAAAGATTTCTTCCGCAACATGCGAGATCTCCAGAACGTGATGGCAGATTTCTCGGACGCCCACGATGCGATCATCGGCATTTTTGCGCCTTTGACAAACTTCTCCAATGAGAAGTTGTCGTCAACCATCTTCCTCGGTGGAACGGTGGCCACGGCCGTGCTTTTTCTCATGGCGCATCTCTTGCCCCTCAAGTTGATCATGCTAGCCGTTGGGAACGCCGCTGTTCTCTCCATCAATCCGAGGATCCGAAGTATGGCTAAGGCGTTGATTTTCGATGTGTTAGGCGAGGGCCCAGAAGAAGACATCGGAAACGAGGGTGCGTTGGAGGGCCCAGCTGGATTTGTGGCATCCATCCCGCAGGATCCCTCTGCTGCTATGTCTGCGTTGGAAAAGCTGGCAGACATATCACTTGACACGGAACCAGAGGAGCGTGAAGTGGAGATTTTTGAGCTCCAGCATCGCGCTTTCGAGTCTGCCGAGCCGGGTTGGGAAACCTTCATCTTTAGTCCCCAGCCATATGACCCTCTGTCGCCAGCACGGATCGCAGGTGACCGGCCACGTGGATGTCGATTTTTCGATGACGTCCAGGCTCCATCAGGCTGGAAGTGGAAGGGCAAGAAATGGGAGCTTGACATGGACTGTCGAGAATGGGTAGTCGAGCGAATGATCACCGGCGTAGGGTTCGAGGTTCCCGAAGCGGACCCGAACGCGAGTGCTCTGATTGATGAGGTTGGAGGATGGGTATGGGATTTGCGCAAAGAGCAGTCGACGGGACGCGATGAGCCAGATCGTGGCGTCACTCCCTCAGAGTACGGCGATCTAGATCTATCGAGCACTGTCTCGAGGGCTACGAATGCAGTATCTTCCAAAGGCAAGCACCGAGCAAGGCCTACCAAAGATTGGGAAGAGGCTTCGTCGGCCCTCTACGGTGTGGGAGACTGGCGACGTCGGCGGTGGGTGCGCATTGTGCAGCGTGTGAACCTTCGTCCGGTCTCGGGCACAGGCACCGTTACATATTCCACACTACGTCAGGGTTAGGACACATGGACACCAGACATCACGGAAATGGACCCAAAGTCCTGTATTATGTAGACGGTGACGAATGTGACCCGAAGACCGAGCTCTCTACCAGTAAAACTTGGGAACACAGACCGATGTTCGGGATCTCTTGTGATTTTTTGCAAAAACATATATTCATGGTTGATTACATTTTGAGCACAGCCCACAGAGCCCAGTGTTAATAACATATGGGAGCTGAAGGTAGGGGGATCGAGAAGTATGAGAAAATCAACGCCAAACGCGCCTAATCCAGATGCTGAAATGATGTGCACTCGACAAAAAAGGACATTATGCCTGCTGGCTTTTCTTCCACTTGTTGATTCTCCTGCGAATATCGCCCTCTGATTGCTGCATAGGGTTCAACTTGCGATCCCGAGCCATGGCCGACAAATTGTCGCCATGCTTCTCAATCAGCCGTGAGATCCATTCGCCCTCACGTGTGCTCTGGTGGCGGGGCTTTTTGGCCTTCTCTCCGACGCCCTCCAAATCGGCCTGACGCTCCAACTGTTGCACCACCTTCGATGCGGGCATGGCCTTGATGGCGACGTCCTCGTTATCCGAAAGATCATTCAATGGATCGTTGAGCGGGTTTGCGCGTGGTCGCTTCTTGCCTGCGACTTCGATCTCGTCGACATCGTGGATGACTCGGAGAATTTTCCCGGTCTCGGGGTCGCGCTCGACCTTTGTCTCGCCGACATCAATATGCGTCGCTGCGTCGACGGCACTGCCGTTGATGTGGAGCGAGTTTGACTTTTCCTCGAGGTCGTTGCGTCCGGGTATACGTTCCTTGCCACCGGTGGGAGCATTTAACTTGTGCAGGAGACCGAGTCTTTTATAGTTTTGCGTAAGAGTCAAGTCACGGTCCCTGAGAACATTGATCGAGGTTTTTGTTAGCAACCCCGTGCTTTCTCCTCGAGATATCCGAGAGTGAACAAACCAATTCTGGGCGATAATTTGATTGCCCAGCACGTTAATTTTCTTGTTGCCATTCTTCAGGCGGTTGTTCTTGGCCTTGGCCTTGGAAAGACCAGAGCGCGCCTTTTTCTTTTGGAGGATCTTGCCCATATTGTATGACTGGAGGGGACGTTGCGCTTAAATTTAGGGAGAAGTTCACGGCTGTTGAATCAGAGGTTCCCATGTAAAGTAGTATCGGCGTTATCGAAACTTCTTTTTTTTTTTGAAAATGTTTGCAAACCTGCGCTCCATCCGCAACGGAAGTCTTGGCATGTTTGCTCCCAAGGGCTCTCCACCGATAAGATTAGGGGGAAAGGGAGGACAAACAACCACGGCGATAAGACTCGTCTTATCTATTTGCGGGCTGCTCTTTATCGATTGTTGTCCTCACCTATCTTCCTCTTGATTCAGTGTTGGCGTCAATGGCTCCACGATTGATGAATTCGTCTCGGACGGGGCTTGCGCTCCTTGCAGGATGCATTTTCTTCTCTGCTGTAGTAGCTGCGTCAGCTCATGTTGATGACTTGTCTGTTGGCGAGATTGAGGAGCAATTGCAGGTATAAGATGCCTACCATGTATCTTGGTGGATCGGACCCCGAGTCCACACCTTGAAAATGGACCGACAGTTGCTGACACCTGATTCCAGCGTTGTCCACTAGTCGAAGCTCTCAATGAGCATAAGAGAGCTTCGGCACCGGAAACGGCCAGTTTCACTGCGAGAATCTTCGCTGTCTTGTTCCCAGGAAGCCCAGCCGTGAATGCTCTGTTAGCCACTCTGTATATCTCTGGCCCTCCTAGTATGTCTAGACACCACCCTTGGGGCGACGAACCTTCTCGACCGAATGCTTCATTTGCTGGAAACTACCGATCGGATGTAAAGCTGACTGGTTCGATCAGACTTCCTTCTCGCATTATGCCCTCCGAACATCGATCCCTCTTCCCTGTCAGTCATGGTGGCCTTCGCTGTGGGTGGCCTGCTCGGCGATACGCTGTTCCATCTGCTTCCTGAGATTTTCTTGGGTGAAGCTTCTCCAGAGCATGTGAGCTTTGTCATGGTTGAGCCCAACAAGAATCCCCTTCTTGGATTAGGTATCATGGTTGGCTTCTTCACTTTTGTCGCAATGGACAAGACTCTCCGCATTGCTACCGGCGGCGAAGGCGGCCATGACCATACCCACGGCGACTCGCATGCCAGTAACGACCACAATGCAAGCACCACAAGCGCCCAACTCACCGGCACCACCAACAGCGAACTAAAGCAGCGCAAGTCCCCCAAGTCCGAGACCGAGCTCTCCGTGCAGGATTCCTCCGCAGAGAAAGATATCAATCCCAGTGTGAAACTGGGTGGTTATCTGAACCTGATCGCCGATTTCACCCACAACATCACCGATGGTCTTGCCCTGTCTTCGTCCTTCTACGCTTCTCCTACCATCGGCGCGACGACCACTGTGGCCGTGTTCTTCCACGAGATCCCTCACGAGGTGGGCGACTTTGCACTCCTCATCCAATCCGGCTTTTCAAAGCGCAAGGCCATGGGGGCTCAGTTTGTCACTGCGATCGGTGCCTTCCTGGGTACTTTTATCGGTATTGCGGTGCAGGAGTTCGGAGGCAACAGTGCAGTCTCCCAGGCCGCTGCGGGAGCGGGCATTTGGGGTACCAGTCTCCAATGGGGTGATATGCTGCTTCCATTTACCGCGGGTACATTCCTGTATGTTGGCACCGTTGCCGTCATTCCCGAGTTGCTCGAGACAGGTAAAGATAAGGGCGCCGAGGTGCGGAAGACCTTGACGCAATTCCTGGCCGTGGCCGTTGGTGCCGGCATCATGCTCTTGTAAGTATCGAGGAGGAAGAAGGGCTCTATCACAAAAACAAAGCAGACGTGACTAATTTGGGCATATAGGATCTCCTGGGATTGATCCTCTCAGACATGGGAATCTAACCGTGTTTGATCGAAAGCTGGACGAGGCAGACTGGAGCAAGGGGTTGGGCAATCAGGATAGTCACAGTGTTCAAGACTTGGAGATAGATTATGGCATTGGCGTCTGCAATGGAGGCAGTCCAGATCCGGCCAGGGGTTTGTGTCGTCTCCTCTTGTACCTAGCCCTCGCCCGACGGAATACTAGAATATACAGCGAGAGACATTAGACATCACTTGTATGACTGACGCAGAAATCAAGAGTCGCGTCACTTCCATAGCGCAAATGTGTGTCTTTTGTGCATGGTCAATCGATACCTTGGCTTCCAGAACCAACCTTAAACCGTCATCTATGATCTTGCAAGATGAGTTCATTTACCTACCATTGCACTCCAGACCTACGGTGTAAGGTAGCTTGACTGCATTTACTTGACTCGCAAGGAGACTTCGAGACCAGGGCCGAAGAATTTGAATTAAAGGTGTCGCTCGAAACACTCTGTCCTCACGTCATGAGTAGGACAACTTCGTATCCATGTTGTGGGGAAAGACATCATTACTCGAATCACAAGTCCAGCAGAGTAATCAGAAAGGTGACCTTCGGAGCCAATTGGGAAATGCCAGTCAAAACAAGTCTAAGCACAATGACAGTCCGATAGTTGAGACTGAAGACAAGCGCGTTCTAAAGTCAAAGAAGTTGATAAGAAATAAGACACGTCTCACGCTCAGCGTGAGTTGAATAAACCACGTTAGAACCAGCCTATTGATGTGGAAGCGAGGCGAAACAAGACGCAAATGGCAGAAATGAAACATGTCCAGAAAGCCCCCTAGGTACTAAGGGCCCTGGACTACTCGTTGTAATGGTATACCTGTAGAAAGAGAGAGAGCTAGTGTTAGTCAAACTAATAGCAACACTCTCGGGGATCGGGTGGCTGGAACATTAGAAACGTACAAAGTAGTCCGGCAAACCTGCAACCGTATATCCCAGACGTTTCGCCATCTTGGCAAACCCTTCCGTTTCAACGAGATGGTAAAAGGGAAAAGCCGGAAACATGGCCCCGTCGCGATGTACATCCGCCTTGACCATCAGTGCGGTTCCACCCACGCCATCGAGCTCGATCATGCGACGAGGATCCAACGAGTTCAGGTTGGCCAGGTAGGCCATCAGAGTGCGGTAGGTGGGTAGTTCGGCGTAGCCCTCGAGCAGGATCTCGTCGGGTCCCATCTGGGCGCCGAGGTTTTGCGCTTGATCACTATCGATCCACGAGTTATAGTCGTAGGGACGGACGTCCCATTTCTTGGCTTTGGTGTCGTAGTATCGCTGGTAGCAGTTGGGAACGATGACGGGCTGATTGTGCGACGTGAGATCTTGAATCAGTGAAGCGGGTGTTTCGACGATATCTCCGTCGAGCCAGAGCACCCAGGATGTACTCGGTCCGATGGTAGTGAAGAGGAGACTATTCCGGGCGCGACTCATGGATTCTCGTCGTTCCTTCTGTGACGACAATTGATGTCGGACTTTCTCATCCTGTGAATGCAAGGGCGGTTCGAAGTCCTGGCGAAGGATGGAGATGCTGGCGAAGCGGTTGTCAACGGGACCCGTTTGCGTGACTTGAATCGCTTGTTCCAGTGCGGAGACCGCCGCATTACCGTCCTTGGTTTTCGGCGCGATGAAGCCCAGTGAGATCAGTTCATGCGGGTAGTTCAATTGCACCAAGTTCTCCCAGTATTCTGGATAAAAGCGCGCCAAGGGAGTGAGAATGAGGATTCGCTCGCGATTGGCGAGCGCATTATTCGAGCTAGTCAGATTATTCAGGTTGTAGTGCACGACCGGAGGAGCTGCCCGTAGACCATCACTGCGAAGACGCTGGTCTTTCAAGAAAGGTTTTGTAGGGGGCGAGAGCGGATGCTCGGCTGCGTCGTCCTGGCGCTGTTGAGACGAAGTTGCGGATGCGGATGCGGAGACGGACGACGAGGACGGAGACAGCACGAAGATAATGAAGCCAAATGCAAGCACGGCGGCCAGCACAATGCTGATCGGACTCGTACGGCGCATGGAGCGTGCGACGGCCATGGCCGAGTCTGGAAATCGCAGCAGCTCTACGATTGAAAGCTTTTTGCTTCTTCGTCCACCCGAGTCAAAAGTGATGAAGCTGGTTGAAGGACAAGGTGACGATGCGGGTCAATCGCCCGAGGGAGCTCTGCAGTTGGAGAAGCCAATCACCATTCCCGTTGCGTCGTGGTCGGCCTCAGGCAAGATGGCGTGTTTTAGCGGACGATCTCGACGGTCTTGGCGGTAATCGAAGGAATGTGCTTGTGCTGCATGAGAGAGCCAAATCGACACTTGAGAGATCTTACAATGTCAGTGTCGACGACACAGTAGTTCCGTACGAGTCTCAATCAATCTATGTTGGGGCTGGAGTCGGGTGACTGATCCATGAGAACAAGGCTCACAGAGGGACCCTGTCTCTTTGCTGAGGCTGATGTGTGGAGATCTGGATTGGTTAGCCTTGGCGTGATAAGGTTGTCAACCGGAAAGAGTAAACGCCAGCAGGGAAGGCCGTGTCCCAGCTTGGGCGTTGCATGTGCGACTCCATTTCCTGTACCTTTTCTAATGCAGCCAGCCGATGCGCTATCTGGGAGTGGATTGGACCATCATTGCATGCTGGCTGATTCAGGCTTTGATTCAATGGTACACTGCAAGTACTGTTCTATCTTTCTTAAAACAGCCCTGTCCGACCTGATCATCGCGGCAAGTTGTACTGGCCGAATGCGGCGGCACGTCAACATTCCGTCTAGCCCCAATATGATGCGTGCACTTGACTGCCAAGGTTGGTTGCACAGACAATTGCTCACAATCGACTCATGCGAAGGGACTCGATCTGTACAGACGGGAATATCAACTGGACGCAGCGAAGAAAATTTCAGGTGAAGTAGGTGATTTTCAGGATGGTCATCTCCCTCTCCCACCCTTCCCGTGTGGTCTATAGAGGCGTAACTAATGGTATTTACTGTTTGTACAAAGCCATTGAGTGAAGAGGCATGGTCAAGTGGACACTCCCCCCACCTTTTTTTTCTTCCTCTCTCTCTCTCTCTCTCTCTCTCTCCATTCAATGCAACGTCCGCATCACGCCTTCAAATGCTACCAAGGCCATCGCGTTGGCCGGAAAAGCCCTCAAAAAGCAAGGCACAAACCCTCGCCAGTATCCCCTCATCCCACGCTCTCTCCAAACTGCTTGAGCCGCATCTCGCCAGCGGTGGAACTGTCGCTGTCCATCATTTAGGGATCCACCCATGGGATCGGTCATGAGCCGCTGCTTGACCACATCAGATGGGTAGGACGTGAGCCAAAACACCTGTGCGGAGATACCACCTGCCCAGAAATTGACCAGAGGCGCAGACATATTCGTATGATTTGTCATGTACCGCGTAAGGAGATCGTAGGACCCCCACCAGAAGAAAAAGAATGAACGGAAGAACATGGTTGCGAATAGACCGCGATAAACCCCTCGGATGCCGTGTGTTCGGAGCTGTGAACCCCCGGGGGAAGAGACTTGCGTTAGATGAACGTTCCGTCTTGCCAATACAAGTGCTTCGCCAAACGTGCGATATCCATGTACTTACAAGCTTGCGAAGACAGTCGATCGGCCCTGCGTACATGCGCTGTGACTTGTCGGCCGCATATTGGACTTGCAATCGGGCCTTGATGTGTTCGACCGGGGCGGCGATGAAACTGACCGTCGTACCGGCCATGATACCGGCGATTCCGTGACCGAAGGAAGGCAACGTTGCAAGATCGGTCTGATAGCTGGCAAAGGGCATCCATCGACGAAGTTCAGGTTTCGAGAAAACATTTTCAAGTAACAATCTCTTGTAGAATGTCAAGGACCCCAGCATTCTGCGAGCCGAAAAAAAAAGAGGCGATCGTTAGCACTTTGAGATCCCTCCCACAAATGGCCTGAAATCTATGTTCGTGCTCTTGGAGTAGAGGCTTCTCACTCACATAGAATCCATCATCATCCATCCGACCAGCGGAGGTGATGCACCCTTGTATAGTCCTCGGACACCTTCATTTCGAATCGTTTGCAACGTGCAGTCCAGCGGCCCTTTGAAATGTGCATCAGGACTCGTTTGTAATCGAACCTTGACAGTGTCGAATCTGTTTGAATACCATCATCAGTCAACAAAGCCCGGCTAATCTCCTAACGAGAGTGACGCGGAATTAACGTACGGATGACCAACTGCGCGAACATGAAGAGAACAGTCAGTCAATGCCAAAGTCGGAAGTAGTTTTAAGCTCGCATTGCGTCCACCGACAGAAAACTCCACAATCAACAGTAAACCCCCAAGCCAACAGATGTGCCAGTGAAAACGTTCAACTCACCACTCAACTTTGCGATTCCTGAAAAAACACCCGCCACAAATCCCTTATAATTCGACTTGTTCGATGCCGTCGACGCCGGTGTTATGGGCGCTTGATTCCCAGTCCCCCTTCCACTTCCACTTCCGCCCCTGCCTGTGCTCATACCCGTGCCCGTGCCATTCCCGCCGATTCCCGGGCCTTGAATGTTGTCGCACTGTGTCATAGCAGGTGCTGGCACCATGTTCAGAGGCGCCGGCGCCGATGTCATTGCAAATGAACTTGCGCGAGAAAGATGCCGACGCGTGCGTCAGCGGCGCCAGATCCAAGGCGGGAGAAAGGAAGCGTTTTCGCGTGTTCGGAGTCGCGCCGACCGGAGCTTAGCTTAAATCGAAAGTGTAGCTTTGTTGTGTAGGTGGATTTTTGGCGAAGTTTTTTTTGGAAAGGACGGTAGGATGCAAAGAGTCGGGGGGGGGGGGGGTAAAAATTGCTCGAATGGAAATCGGTCTAACTATGAGATATGCGGCGAGGTTCTTCCACTCCAGATTGATTCAAGGTAAATACTAAATTCTGTATCGGTTCCTATCGAGGGCGAGATCGGACAGGCTTGCAAATGATCCGCGCTCTTGAACGAGAGCCCCGCAGCCCGCAGTCCGCGCGAGCTTGTCGGAGCTCGGGGAGTGGTGGTTCTCCTCCGGGATCCGCTGCGGTGGACACCTTTCATTGTTCATGAGGCGGATCGATCGATCGAATGATGGAGTTGAGCTTGGTATTCAGATCCGGATTTGATCCTTTGAGATTTGGGTGAATCATCGGAGAGATGGATAGATGACCTGACTATCTTACCTTTCCCTGCTGGTAAGATCAGAGGCGGGTCATGTGCTACGAGACGTGACATGGGTGAACAATTCGAGACGATGGTCGGGAAGGGGTGACAATAGGAGGTACCGGGCACTGTACCTAGCCAGACGCACCCCGATCTTACGTTCCAACCATGCTGAGTGTGCTCAGCTCGGCAAGAGACATCTATACTAACTTACGCCCTAATCAATCTGCGTAGTCTGACAGACAAGTATGTAAATCTGGGACACTATGAAGAGGTGCGTAGAGGGAATCTCTATTCTAGGCGAGCAATCTTCACATTGCCACGGCCAACAAGATACATGAACGAGGCAGCAAAGATATCTATGACTGACAGAAACTCTGAGAACAAACTTATCTACGGAAATAACGCGCATGCAAGATGCATATGAAGAATGTCGAGAATTCAGACGGTTTCTAGGACTAAAGCTATGATCGCTGTACTGTGTGCCAGCGTTGGGGGTATAAAGATGCAGTTTGTGACGCAAAGATGGAGGGCAAAAAACAGAAACGCAAACTCCGCCTCATCACTGATCTGGATGATATATAAGGACCAGGCCTGGTGCTGGGACAGACTGAGATATGCAAAATCAGTGGATGAGCACACAGGACAACCCGACTCTTCTGGACCAGATAATCGAGCAAGGCGTAATGGCCTTGGATGTCATGGGGAAATCTGAGCTTCAGCGTGCATGAGGTTTCATGTGGAAAATTCAAGAGTGAGAATCTGCCAGTGACCATCCCATGTAAAAAAAAAATGGACAGGGACAAGGAACGAGAACGAGCAGAACTTGGTCGACTGCGGCACGTCGGGTTGCAGAATGCGGGAGGACGAGTTCATCACCGACCCTTGGCCGTCTGACGGCTTTTCTGTCGGGCCTTCTCGTTCTCCCGTGTGATCAATTTGTCCACCAGATCCGCAGATGGGCTAGAGTGCTGACCGACACCGTCACGGAGACCGTGGGGGGTCGTCCCGGAATGGCCGGCAGTCAAGTAATCGGCCGATTCGAGGGCGAGCGGGGTGACGGGCCCCGGACTCAGTAAGGGGTCCAGACGAGGTGCCGAGGGGCTTTGTGTGGCCGCATCCATGAGCGTTGTCCCGTACTGCCATTTCATGTTCATGTCGCGAGACCCGGACGATGTGCGATATGCTGGGTGCCGGGACTGGCGCGGAGAAGGGGGCTGGCCCGAGCTGGCATGGCTGGTGGGCTTCGATTGATAGACTGCTGGATGGAATCGGGGGAGACTGCCCAGAGAGAAACCAGGAATGGCCTTGGTGGGAGTGTTTTGACCCCGTGAGCGTGGAGGCTGTGGAGAGCTCGGACGACGAGGGGACATGGTTGGAGACGCAACCGGCGAATAAAATGGGGAGTGATCGGCACGCATGCTGGAATATCTGTGCGAATGATGTCGAGAGGAAGTAGAAGCCGCAGCGGCAAAAGGAGTAGGAGCAGCAGCAGTGGGAGCAGCAACAGTGGCGGCAGTAGGAGCCGAACGATGTCGGTTAGTCCGCGAGGAGGGCGGCGGAGAACGCAAATGTCGAGACCGTGCAGACAAGGAGGCACGCTCCCAATCTTCAATGTAATCGTCGTGATCAAAGCGACCGGTCAGCGGGGTCACGGGAAGATGATCGTCGTAATCGGATTCAATGCGGCGCCGAGGAATGGGAATGGGTCGCGTGGACGAGGCAGAGAGGGTGAGAGCATCAACCGGATCAAATGGTATGGACTCCGACCGTCGAGGCGGCGGACGAGAATGAGGAGAAGAAGACAGGTGAGTCGAGGTGGGAGGATTATATGCAGAAGAAGTAGCCGTCAAATCCCGAAGGGACGACAGCGACACGGGAGTGGGGTAGCCGTGTTTGAGGATCAGATGGTCTAAATGGTCCCGCGGCTGGGACGAGGACGAACGAGAGCGCGATCCGGAGAAGACGCCTAAAAGTGCAAGGGTGAATCGTGTCAGACAGCCGTTCCGTTGGGGGGAGAATTGGGTGGGAATGAGAGGTGACGGAATGTCACACGTGTTCCGTGGAAGAATGTAGCAGGACAAATTGGGATAGCAGGTGGAGGGGGAGATGAGCCAATGTCTCTGCAGTAGAGGGGCAGGCATGGAAGGAGGACTCCGTAGTCCAGAGTATGGACGTTGGCACAAGGGAACAAAGTACACTAGTACCCTCGCAAGTCGTACACAACCGAGTGGTATAGCATGCAGAGCAGGTGAGTGACTGGGACAAGGCCCTTGGGAAAGCACCCGACTGGGCTTTATCCACAGAACTGATTCCATCCATGCGCATGCACAGTCCCTCCAACTCGTCGGTAGACGAATGATATTCGCAGGACATGACAGGCATTGAAGCGCGGATGCATTCTGAGAAATTGGCAGGAACCATTGACAGAAACAAGAGGGTGAAGTCAAAGAGAAGAAGATAATCACTCCCAGATTCAGATCCAGTCATCTCGCGCCATATGCAAAAACCGAGAAACATGGACTAAGGTAGCTAGCGCACTTCTACTTACTGTCAGAATAGTCGGAATTGCTGCTCAATGACGAGGGATATCGGGAAGCGGAAGAAGACGAAGAGTATGAGAAAGGGGAGGTGGACTCCGACTTTAATTGTTTGCGACGCATGGTCTCGTGTGCTTTTCTCTGGGTGTCTCTGTTCCGTTGTCCTGTCCTCTCTTTCTTGCTTTTTCTTTTTGCCCACTGTCCTCTTGAAGAAGTTAGTCATTTGATCCATTTTTTCGGGTCGCTAATGCATCGTCGACTGTAGAGTCCTGCGGGGGGACTCCACCAGCCGCCTCAGCGGCATGTCGTCATTCGCAAGGGACACGGGAACGGTGTGGACTTGAGATGAGGAAAAATTGAGGAAATATGAGAACAGCCACCAGGGCCGGCACCAAATAGGGGAGGATCGTAATCGTGAAACCTCCCCCTTTGGCGGAGCCAGCAAGCCTCCGAAAAGAAAACAAGGCAAAGCTGCACCCCAAAAGGGGTCATGATCCAGTCCTCCCGTGAAGTCATCCGATGTGGATCGTCAAACGCGATGCACAAGAATCTTGAGGCTCCACTGGAGGCGCCCACCATGCCACGGTTCGCCGCGGATGGCATCGGTTGCAGAGCCAGTGAACATATGGCCAGGGGCTTCTTCGATCAGGGCAATGAAGCAAAAAGAGGTACCAGCCATGAACGGCCGGGTATTTGAATGATCATGGAATGTATCACAAGACTGGAAGTGTGGAAGACATCTAGGGAACTTGCTCCAGAGACAAAAAACAAACAGTGAAAATGGAAGCGAAAAAAAAAAAAAAAAAAAAAAAAAAGGAACTGACCGTTGAACGGGCCTGTCAGATCGGTGGTGATCCTCCTTCACAGTAGATCGATACCAAGGTATCCGCTCGGCAGGAATACCCGCTCCCTTCGATCCTCCACGGAGGTCGGAGGCACTCGGTGCTGCCTCGCGAGAGACTTGGTTTCAACTCCTGTTCGGTCGCAGCGAATGGCATACAGGAAGGATGACAGGTGGATGGAGTGCTATCGGTCCGCCGCAGTCGTGATCGCAAGGGTTGGGAATAGTTCTACTAGACAGTCCAATCGTATAGATCGGAGACTCGGTGGACCGGGGATGATTGCCAAATGTGAACAGGGTCAAATCTGTCTCGCGTTGAGGTGTGGCCTGGTGTTATTCAGAATCGAGCGAGCTCTCCGACGGTCGGATACTGGAACTTGCTGGATTGTAGTCGGGCCTGAAGCAACGTCATGTACTGAGGAGATCGAGGCATGAAGATAAGGAGGGCGAAAGAGAAAGAAAAAAGGGAGAAGGAAGTGAATAGAGGGAGGATGACGGTGAGTTTATAACTAAGAAAAGTAAGTAACTACTATAATGTAATATTGAGTCCGATCGTCCATGTGTCAGATATCGATACTATCAGTGGTTAGGTACCAGGTACTGGTGATGGTCATGCCCTTCTTTTGGACAGTACCGACCACAACCACCGTGCATCCCACTGTACACTTGTACAGGGTACAAGGTTGGAAGGTGCAAGTCAGAGGTAGCATACAGCGTGGGTCAGGCACCTGTGAAACAGGAACTCCCCCCCCCCCCCCCCCAGTCACTGGGAAGATGACTAGCGGAGGGATCTATTCCCGTCTTCGCCTCTCTCTGATCGAATACGAGTTGAGAGCGAGATCTAGCAGGACGCAGATTGGAGCTCCTATCGACACGCTGCCGGGATTCCTTTTGCACAAAGACATACTCCACGCGGCGTCGCCTGGTGACCACCGTGAAGTTGCCCGTTCCAAGGCATCGGCCGAGCGTGTGAGTGGTGCTTGCTATCACGTCCTTGAGATGGGATCATCCATGTCCTCCCGAGCTCCCCAATCGCGGGCAACGGGAGTGCGGGACCATCAGGGAATTCTTCAACCATCCTGTCTTCTGCAGCGATCACAACGGAAGACCAGGTACGATAGTCATGAGTGACCTGGATCATGCCTGGAACATCATCCAGGCTGTAGTGATCACGGCACCGTCTAGACGTCGTGGCCCGGGAGAAGGACAGACGTGTAGACGGAAGACATGCCATGGACACATGTAGCCTTCCTACCTAGACTTCGGACTGTTCCAGCTGCGTCGACGACACCATCAGCGTCTCTCCGTGGATGCGAATCCGAACAGAAAGCGTAGACAAACTCGCAATCGTCGCTCCAAAGAACCTTGTCTCCGATGGCGATTACCCCTTTGGGCCCTAGACTGCCACAGAACGGCACCGAGTACGCACAGGTCAACTCAAATGGACTCTCGGATGGAGTGTCTGGGACCAACGAGAGCCCCGGAGATAGACGGTAGCGCAGGCGATCAGCCGACCAGAGGGCAGTTCCCCATCCACCTTTCCAACTTCGTAAGCTTCAAGTAGGAGCTCACCCTCTTCCGCCCCTCCCCCGTAGAGTTAGACCCGTCCACCTTCCCTCCGATCCCCAAATCCGGATCGGCACCTATTAACATCCTCACGATCATCTGTGCGGTGCCTTTGAGTGGCTGAGATCGCTGACGAAGTCTCGAATGTCTTGTGTGACCGCTGCGAGGGTCGTTTGCTTCTCGATGGTTGCTTTTTTCGTGGTCTTTTTCTTCTTTTGTGCTGGGCTCTTTTTGACCTTTCCCTTGTGATTCGGCAGAGAGGGTTCTATCCCAGATCAAGAGAGTGGCGCAAGAATGGACTTGTCTCGGATGGGGGATGACTGCCTTGAGACGAGTGGAGGGTGACAAGGTGGAAGTTCTGAACCTTCCCGCGCCTTCAAGCCACACAGATTGCGGTCTGGCACGAGTCAGGAGGTACAGAGGCAGGAGACAGAGTCATGTCTTGAGGCTGCAATATTCTCCCTTTCTCACCCTCCAAAGGCAAGGCACAGTACAAGGCAGATGTTCAATTTACCTAATGATGGATCATGACTGATCATATTGAGCATCTTGATTCCGCCACTACGACCGGGCAGTAGAAGGGGGTTCAACTACGGTGTTTGGATCTGGCTCTGTACTCATCCACCTTTGAAGATGATGTGCATGATCTCGGCTGCATGTATTGATATACATGCGCATCCGTGGCCGAGAAGGTGTGGCAAGGATGGTCTTCATGGCGTGCATATCGATCCTGCGTCTGAGCGTCCCGTCCCTCTTCCCTCTTGCACCGTCCCCTCTCCAGACCCCTGCGTACTGCAGCGGGTATGCTCTTTTTGGTTACATGGGGAAAGCTTTGGCGGGTGTAACTACTCACTAGTAAGTTAGCTTCTAGCTACTAGCTAGTATCCACCACCTACTGAACGGCCAGTGGATTTGGTTTCCGACACACATCTATCTTCTTTGGGACCCCGGGATCATCGGGGGGATCTTTCCCCCCCCAATCAACAGATCTACCGGGGATTCTCTACAGACGTCCTCCCCTTTCAAGCGACACTAGTCGCGGCGAGAGGAGAGCTCAGATGCAACACACCATGCGAGCACTACCTGCAGTCATCTGTCGACCGAGTGACTCACGACTACCAGTTCTGCACTAGTCGAGACATCCAATATGACTCCACTGGCTTCTCGAGGGGCGAGGAAATGGTCACTTGGAAGATGGTGATAGCCAGCGTGATAGGGTGGTGGAAGAGGCTGAGCTTGGCAGAATGAGACATGGATACAGGAACCTGACGACCACGGCAGCAGACAGCAACTCTTGATTCGAAAGCCTGATCTGGATCACTGTCGAGGATTTCCTTGCTCTGATAGATCAGCTGAGAGCGTTCGGGGTAGCTTGGACGTCGTCCATGTCCACTGAGTGTGGAGTATGCAACGCGATTCTGCGGGTCTCCACTCCTCATTGAGAACTATGCCTCCAGTGGCCAAGGGATGCTGAAGAAACCTATCTTAGATGTAGTTGGGACTGCACTCTGTCGACTGTTCACGTCGATCGATGGCTGCAGCCATCCGTACGCTCCGAGGCCGACGGGAGCTTTCATACACTGCAACGGAAGTTCATGATCCAGACAGGCACCGAACCTAGTCGCACTCTTTTGCGACCGTCGTCGAACATCCTGCTGAGAAAATGTCGACTCGCGCCTCCTGATTACGTTTCATGGATGCCTCTCGTTGAACTTTCAAAACGTGAACAGTCATCAACCTGTGGGAATCGTCTCGTGAGCGACCTTTCTACACACACTTTGCTCGCGGTGCTTAATACGCGGAGCAGAGCCCTGAGGAAGCATTTCACAATTTAGCGGATGGTCTCAGAGCCGGACGGATGTCACATAGGATGAGCCACGGACTCAAAGTACGTGTGATGCCATGTGCTCGAACGGCAGCGGTTCAGAACCTCTTTACTCAAGTCATGCGCTCGGTGCTGTCCTTCGGCAAGGGCCAACGGAAGCGTTGTCCGGTCACTTTATGGGCTTCTGGGCTCGAGGGGGTCTGATAGGCAACGCTTTTATAGCAAAGTTCCAATGTCCTTCATCGGTAGTAGCACTTCAGAAAGAAATCGTGGGTCTTGTTGAGACATGGTGTATCGTTGCTGTACAAATGCGATCTGACGTTCTCATATCGTCACATTGGATCAGATCATGATGAACTCATATTCGGTGTGCTAAGCTAGGCAATGGCGGAAGGGCACCAGATCAGCGACAAAGAGGAGGCGAGATGGGATAACCCGGTTCACCTTGTGGTGTGCACCCAATAGTTCCAGTTGAGTTCATCTCCCGATCACCAGCTTCCAGACGTGCTGGAAAACCATCAACGTTTTCCCACCTCGGCCTGACCACGTACAGAGATGATGGCATTCCACAAGAATTCAGTCAACATCAACCTCAGGCAACAACACACCCTGTGCTGTCGCTGCGAACGTCCAAATGGCACCTGGTCATTCTCCCAGCTCGATCTGAATCACTGTCTGGGCAACGAAAACGGTCTGTACAAAGTGTTGCTGCTCGATCTTGGCACAGCAGGATTTAGCTTTAGAGGTATCCGGTTGAGTCGTGTAGATTAACAGATCCTTTACTTATGAATAGGCGCGTTTTTCTGGGGAGGGCACAGCTTCGCCCACAGCGCTACTGGCATTCGACTCTCGCTAGAGGGACCTGGAAAGGGGGCCTGGCTGCATGCGGAGTTGAACGACCATGATGGTGTGCATCAGTGTGCGTCGGTAGGTTTCGATGCGATATGGAGAATTTGTGGATGCCCACTTTCTGATTTGTCGAATGGATGGATCTTAGGTGAATCTTTCCGAGTGCGTCCAGAATCACAATGGAGTCTTGCGATTTAGTCCTCATGGACCAAGCATAACAACCTCTCATGCAGGTCCCGATCAAGTCCACAGCCACGCGGTGCCGAATGGCCAAAGCTACATGAAGAAGCCGTCGGAATCATATCGACCCAAAGCAAACTAGCCACCGCGTCCATATACAAAGAAAGGTGGTGCGCGTTCTCGCTGAGGTTGCGGAAACAAAATTATTCGAAGAGAAAGAGATCTATATTTATCACCGCGGCACACAGATAGCTTCTCTTCTTTTCCGTTCGTTCCCATCGAGGCTTGAGATATCAAAGCGACTCAAAATGAACCAGAAAAAAAAACAATCAAATACGAAAATCAAAGGATATTCACAATTCATCCAAGCTTCAGCATCTCCATGCTCAACCAACAACTGCGGTCCAGCCATTGTCGAGAGCAATACAAGCCCCGTTAATCACGCTGGACCCCTTGCCATAGGTCAAATTTGTACAGAATCCGGCAACCTCGTTCAGGTCGCACGCGGGGGCTTGAACGGCTTCGTAGACGGCATTCATTCTTTGGTAACCCTCCATATTCATGCCTGTCTTGAACACATCGGCAATGTTGGTTTGCATCGCACCCATCATCAAAGCGTTACAGCGAATGCCCTTGTTGCCATAGAACGCGGCTGTGTTCTTGGTCAGGCCCACGAGACCATGCTTACTGGCGGTATAGGCCGCACCTAAGTGTATTTGTTGATTAGCAAAGGATCTTTCGGTTCTGATGTCAAACAAGAACTGCCAGCAACATCATATGACGGGAACGAAATTGCAGCAAGCAGCAATTCAACATACCAGCAGCCCAACCAGCTTGACCCGCCACAGAAACGATATTGATGATGCGTCCATCAGGCTTTGTTTGCTGCAACATATTCTGTACCGCCATCTGGCTCAAGACCATCGGCGCCGTCAAATTGAGCGCAATGACTCGATCCCACTGTTCGAGGCTCACATCGCCCACGGGATCAAACTGGTCCATGATTCCTGCATTATTCACCAACACGTCGATCTTGCCGAAGTCTTGAATCAGTGAATCAAACAAGTTTTTCCGCTCCTCGGCCTGGGTGATGTCGGACTTGATGGCGCGGAAGGGGCCCTTCGGAGAGAGTTCCTTCGCAGTCTCTTGCAGTCGTTCCTCGTGAATATCGCAGATGACCACGTTGGCGCCCGCGTCGAGGAAATGCGTGGCGATAGCTTTGCCTAGGCCGCCTGCTCCACCTGTGACGAGACACGTCTTGCCTGCGAGAAGTTGTTCCGACATGGTGTTGAGTGTACAAGGAGGGCCAGGAATGTGTGAGGTGTCTGGAAGAGGTGCGGTGGGCCTTGGAAAGGTGAGCTCGCCGGTGATGGAAAGATCTTTTGCTGGATTTGATGATGGGCGATTGAAAGCCCGGGGCCGTTTAGTTTATATATGCTTCCACCTTCTCACGCTGGACCCGACCCCCTTTTGAGGTGGCCACGTTGACTGCGGGAACTTGGTTCTAAGTGCCCCCGACCAAAAGGTAGCTGGAGCTCTATACAAGCACCATTGCGTGCCCTCGGCCATTGGCCCTTCCGGGAGGTGGTCTGTTCATCTGTTGTCCGACCGTGTTGTCAGACGGGAAGAGAGTGTCAGACGGGAAGAGAGTGTCAGACTGGGGGGGGGGAAGGAGATACAAAGTGAATACTGGTTACACTATGGAACTACCTATGGATGATCTTCATGGTTACACTTTGGAAGAACCAAAGCAAAGTACCCAAGTGAATTGCCTCGACGAAACCATTGCCAGCACTGAACAGGAATTGGAAACTAGACAGTATTGAACAGACTAAACACCAATGCTTCATGATCACATGTAGAAACGCGACTTGGCGACCATACTGTACCTGAGTGTACATATGTACTGCCATTGACCAACGACTGCCATACAGGCAGAAACCACTCCTTACTCAGCCTGGTCTGGTCTCCTCCGGAAAGCAGGGGTTCCGGCCAAGCCCCAAGACAGCCCACTTGGCCATGCATGAAGCGTCGCAAAGGGCCCCGTCCGCCATCCACTGCCGACTGAATCGATCTCGAGTACCGTCCCGTCCCGTCCCCCCTTACTCCTCCCATTCCGGGCCAGGCTACAGGAGATAAGATCTGAGGCCGCACCACTCGATCACCTGCTCGGACGTTTCCCATCCGAAGCCCTAGACCCTATTTCCATATTGGTCAATGCTTCGTCCGTCGCTTCGGCCAGAGTCTGTCCGACTTCCGAGATCGGGGGAGATTAGTAGGCTAGTAGCTACTAGCCAGTGTCCACTGGAATAGCAGTAGTGAACTACTACTACTGTCGGACTGAGTCCTGACCCGGACTACTCCCCTCTTTCCGTGTGTGGTAGCTGTGAACAATCTTAATCCTCAAAAATGAGACCATCCTGCCAATTCATATCCTACTCTACTATTCTAGTGCAAAAAATAGAGTTGTGATGGCTGGAACCAGCAAGCTTTCTCAAACCACACGAATTGGATCTGCTATGGCGAATCACTTTTCGCCAGAGGGACTTTTCCCGGGTCGTCGTCATCTTGCTCTTTGCAAGATGTATAGGTTTTGAAAGGCTCGGTCCCGGAGGAAAGGGTACACTGTTCGTCGCTTCTGCATCATGAAATATGGTGCTATCAAATGCTCCTGTTAACTCGCAGTGTTCCTCATGTTGAGTCTGTGATCGAGGCTAGTCGACAAAGTTGACCCTCATGAATTCGAATCGGGGAACGAGGTCTGTGCCTAGTGCCTCCAACGGAAATACGATCTAGTATTCTAGTTTCCGTCTACGCGATGGTGGTGATAAGCCTGATTCATGAACTGCGCCAACCCCTAGACACTTGAATGCTCCTCAATCCGTCATCGCATGGAATTTGGATGAGACGGTTTGACAAGGCCGATCGCTGTGCTGGGGACCTCAAAAATCCCGAAACCTTCTTTTAGGAAGCAATGCGACTGATAGGCTGCAGTAGTGCTGCATAGATTCTTCTTTCTATTGCATCAACTACCTGATTCAATGATCGGCTCGGCTGCGCAATTAATCAGCTATCAAACCTCGTCGTGGATGGGCACGTTACCCCCGCAAAATGGCAGTTGAAGTGCCTATCAAGTTTCTGCACCAGCCAAAGAGGACCGACTAGTGTCTCGTGCTGTCGCGCAGACCTTCTCGATTGGGAAATCCGGGGAGCCTATCGTTCCTTATCTCTACGATAAGTAAGTAAATCTCAACTTTCTTCAATATCGGGAAGGTGTTGGAGATGGGGTTACTGCATTATGAATCAAGGCGACTTGATAATGAACCGCCTCGAGGACGAGGGTCAACGCCACCATCGGATTCTTCAATGCATGGAGACTGCGCTCAAGATGTCACAAGGGTGAACTTCTCTTCTCTTAGTTATATGATAACGCAGATACGACGCTGGTTGGAGCCATGGCAGAGAATCAGAAGAGGTTGGAGGTGTTTGGAGATATGACTGATGAGGACGGTCGTCTAGAAAATCTAGGTCATGAGCAAGGTACACACCATGTTCTGACTCAAGCTTCTTTGTGACAATTTGTTCTGGCTGTTCTTCAAGGCTGACTCTTAATCACTTCTCAGAGCTGAAGCGATCATTTGGTTTATTGTCTATGATCGGTTTCAGCTTCAGTGTTGTCACATCGTCAGTCACCTGTATTTTCCTTGAGCACGCCGCCAAGTGATACAGCTTCGGATCGCCCATTGTTACTAGATGGACCGCACTCAGTGGAGTCTTCATCGTCGGCGTGACATCAGGAGGTCCGCCGGTCATGATCTTCGCTTTCATCAGCGTCAGTCTACTTACCTTGGTCGTTGCCATTCCTATGGCAGAGATGTGCTCTATGTATCCTGTTGCCAAAGGTCAATACTCTTGAGTGGCTGCCCCGGCACCTCCTCGATTCGCTCGAGGTTTGTCGTACACCACTCTCATAGGTAAGATCGAGCATACCCACTCGATTTGCATTCTTCCATCCATTTCGAGGGATCGTCTAGAACCGTGTATAACTGTGGATTTTCCACGGTAGGCCTCCTCGCGATGGGCGCCACGAACAACTCCATCGCATCCAATTTCTTTCTTGGAATGGCAAATGTGGTCTACCCTGCATATATCATTGAGAGATGGCATACAGTCCTGTTAGCCTACTGTGTGGCATTCCTTTCTGCCGGCGTGAATCTTTGGGTCTCTTACCTGCTGCATAAGATCTCCAAGTTCATCTTGATCTGGAACGTGCCCTCCTTTGTCATCATCACAGTGACTCTGCTCGCCACGACCTCAACGATCACAAGCAGTCCGTATCGTTTGTGTTTCAAGACTTCCAAAGACACCGCGGGCCTTGGAACAGCCGTGACGGCGATCGTTGGCATCCTGCAGGCGTGTTTCGGCATGTGCTGCTACGATGGACCATCGCACATGACGGAGGAGATGAATTCGGCTACCACAGAGGCCCCCAAGACGATCATCCTTGCCGTGTGCCTTGGTACGGTCACTGGGTTTGCTTTCTCTCTCACTCTGTGCTTTTGCATCGGCGACATTGCCGCCACTGCACAGAGCAGTACTGGAGTTCCCGTCATTCAGATCATGGACGATTCCACGGGGAGCAAAGTTGCCACCTGTATTCTCGCCAGTTTGATTGCAGTGATCGTGACCGTCGCTGGAGTCAACATTCTTGCAGAGGGATCTCGGTCCACTTTTGCTTTTGCTCGTGACCACGGGCTGCCCTTTTCTCCCACTTGCAGCAAGGTGGAGAGAAAGAGCCAGGTCCCCGTGAACGCCGTCTTCCTTACCTTGGCAGTTCAACTGGCTCTGGGCGCCATCGAGTTTGGCACTGTCACTGGCTTGCCGACGGTCGTCTCAATTTCGACGGCGGGCTTCTGGAAGTACCACCTCTTCTTTCTTTGTCCTGCAAATCCCTATCCATCTATCCGCTATGGCTGATGCTAGCACGTGCTCATCATCTGCTCTTCTCCGCCAAAACAACATACAGATCTCTCTTACGCAATGGCTTTGTTCAGCCGCCTTGTCGGATACTTCACCGGCCACGTCACCACGCCCAAGGGCCCCTTTGCACTATTCACCCCAATATCGATCGGTCTCAACTGCATCGGACTGCTCTTCCTCCTATTCGCGTCCATCACGTTCAACTTCCCCAGTACTTCACCCGTCACCGAATCCATAATGAATTACACTAGTGCTGCAGTTGGTATCATTGGTCTCATCAGTATCATCGCCTGGTTCACGACTGGTCCGCGGAATTTTGCCGGGCCCCGGGACTCTGAGTTATTTGATGGGACAGAGCAGCACGATGCGGGATGTTCATGCTGCACAGGGCGCTGATGTGTATTCGGGGAGCGAGGGACGTAAGGGTCAATGAATCAGTGCCTATGTGCCTAACTGCCTGTCTGCCTATCTGCCCGATTGCGAGATTGAGGTTTGACCATTCGTCAGGGTGGTAGTGGTCGTCGTATTGGAATCTATGAGATCAACGCTGGAGTGGAGCTCCATCTTCAAGACGCATGTCAAGTGGACCATGAGAAAATACTCCCAGCACCTTTACGTAGTTCGTAAGACATAACAAACTGCTTGACTAGGTAAAATCAAGTAGCACGGAGTACGCACACCTTCCCAACCTGTTCCAGTGAGATTGGATTATCAAAAAGTCAAGGGTGGTATTACCCCCCTCGACTGACAGTCGAAGGCATCTCAGTTATAGTCTATGCTATACTACCATGTACGAGGTCAGACATCGTGATCCATCCGCATCACTCGATACTCGATAGTCGACAGTCTCGACAGTAGTGACCGGAATCACTGGATAAGTGGATTGTGATACTGACTTGTTCGTGTTGTGAATCTAGTAATCTACCTAGTTCGGGCTCCGGAGCTAAAAATGGGATGCTCCACCTTTGTATTAATAACTCAGTAACACTAGTTAGTTAACCAACTAATTACCAAATACTAGTTAGTTCCCTAACCACCAGTGAACCAGTGGACCAGTGGACAATCGACATACCCCGTCAAGCGCCACATCAAGTAGCGGTCTAGTCCTCCGACGATGCGGTAAGGTATGCCCAACTCAAGGGATCGACCAGTAGTAGTGACTCCCGTCGGTGCTACTTCGGCCGGGAGTAAGGTAGCAAGGCCCATAAGGCCCATAAGGCCCATACACCGTGGCCGGTCTCATTCTCTACCGATTTGAAAGTGGAGCTGGAGGCCCGGCCGCCGATGGGCTGGGGTCCTCCCCCGCAATACGCAGTAGGGCACACCGCAGTGACAGTCGCAGGGTCATACTCCGGTTCTACGGTGTACTTTGGACGTGGAACATTCGAGAGAAGTTACTCAGTGAGTCAGTAGTATCTTGGTAAGCGGTCAGCTGTCTTGGGCACCTTACTATTGATATCATGAGCTAGAGCCCCTCAGCCTACTAGTACCGAGTCTAGGTACCGACCAACTTACCATCTTTTAGTTATCTAGTACTACTACCTTCAACATTGACTATGCTTGCGGATCAACATTCAACGTTGTATAAAGTCAGGCTCACATTAATGATTGCTAAGGTCCAGGTTCTTGTCCATGGTAAGAGTGATGCTTCACTGCTGCACTCTTGAACCCTGCCCCCGATCATGGTCATAGACTTTCTACCGTCATTCGACTCAATTCCCCACCCTTGTGTATGCTTGTTCAAGTAAAAGTGTGCAGACTCTAGTGTTCAGTTCTACTGGAGAGAAAACGGATTTTAAGCGGTCAGATACTTACCTCAAGTGGGTAGTTACTACTACTATACTAGTAAGTAGTCTCTAGAAACCAACCAATCGGGGAGTCTTCACCCTCTCTCCCTTTCTCGAAAGTCTGAGTGCGTACTGCGTACTGCGTAGTACTTCTTTTTTTTATGTCTTTGTGGAAAGAAAATGAAAAAACCAACTCGGAAGCATGAGAATGGGAGAACCCCCGGTGAGAATGACGGTTCGCCTGTGATCGCCAGACGACCTCTGAGCCTCCGGGGAAAGAGGTCAGGGAAGAGGCCGCGGGGCCGGGGGGGCTTATTCCTTGCAGCCCTCCCAGCCCGTTCGCATCCCGCGTTCCTTTTGGTTCTAGTGTCGGTGAATGGGAAGCGAAAATTGGGAAGCACACACAGTAGTAGTGTAGTAGTATTAGTGCATTTATGGAGTGCTCGAACGGAAACTGGAAGGTAGTAGACGAGCTCGTGCGGAGACAAAAAAGATCTTATAAGCCTCCAGGACTCTACAATTGAAAGCTCCTGGGCGACTTCTTCAAACCACAAAACCCAAAGATCGGCTCGTGGCACTGATCGATTCCCATTTGCAAGACTCTCTAAAGCACTTTTGCTTCTAGTAGTCTCAAGAGGGCTCGCCGGCTACTCCATACCGAGGTCGGCATCACCTCTCTCAATCATGATTGTGTGGTTTCTCCTTGGAAGCACCCTGGCCGGTTGTCTGATCATTGCACTCTACCGACTCCTCGTCCACCCGCTCAAGAAAGTGCCCGGCCCCCGTCTGGCCGCGGTGACAGGCCTCTACGAAGTCTTCTGGATCGCATGGAGCTGCACCAGTTATGACGAGGAGATTGATCGAATGCATCAAATTTATGGTCAGTAGTGTTGCAATTCCTCGGTTGCGATTGCAATCGCAATGAGCGCAATTCGGGCCGGATGGCGGCAACTGACCACCAAGATGACCAGGCCCCATCGTTCGCATCAATCCCGATGAGATTCACATACAAGATGACTTCTATCAGTCCAAGGGTGCCGACGTGGCTTGCCACTCTTGGCACCTAGAGTCATACACGCCATCGTGGCAATGGCAGACCCCGGCGACCTTGGATCGTCTTCGACGATGGTCGTGGTGGAAGATTCGGAGCCCTCTGCATGCCGAGATGCTTGGATTTGTCCAGCACCTGGTTCAGAAGCATTTCCACTACAACGAGTCCCGCCGACGGGCGGCAACCGTCGCTTCGAGCTCCGGTAACGAGATCCTTGGCATTCGTCTTCTGTTGCGGTATGACCAATCCCCGGCAAGCGATCTTGAGGGGGGAACTGCGGCGAGGACAGTCCCCAGTTCAGTTCGCGGCCGATCACTTTCTATCGCCGTTCGCCATCCGGGCGAATGATGAGGATGGATGCGCGCGGTAACGACGCAGCTCGCGGGGACAAACAAATATTCTAGATCGCTAGAAGGTTCTGCCGCAAATCGGTAAGATCATCCTCTGCCCTCGTGATGGTGGTGCCGTGGTGTACCCTCGTCAACGGGGAAGAAAGCTATGGACATGTCCCGATCCAAATTACCTCGAAAGTGCTTTAGACTTTCCGTTACGAGAACAGTCCGGAGCAGCTGGACGGCTCAACAGCTCCAGAGTTTGGCCGGGTCTGATATTGCTGGCCAGATCTCGTCCTCAAGAACAGACCGAAGAGGCATTCGGTCCCAAGAAACTTTTTTGTTGGCTTTTGCCCATCACGAACAGCGACGAAAAGAGGGGGCGGCGCTTTAAGGTTGTCCAAGAGCGGGGGTCGACCAAAGTCCCATTTTGAACGAAACTTGAAAATCATCATTGTTCATGGACCGCCGTCAGACACACCAGATGCGCTAGTCGCGCACACAACCGCAGCCGTTGATCAACTTGAACTTGAGATGCAGGCGACAGTCCCCGACCCGGCGGCCGATTGCCTCGCCGGGAAAGCGCCGGTTGGTCACGTAGTTTGCACTCTGCATCAGCTGGGAAAGTCAATCCGGATTCGAAATATGTCGGGCAACCCTGTCTCGGGCGTACCGACGAGATCAAGTTCCATGAGCCGGAATTATTGGATCAAGGGAATGAGGCAAATGTCAAAATAATGATCCTGAGAGCGAGAGGAATCAAAGTGTGACGGAGATTGACGGTTGCAAGGTCGTCAAGAGAGAATTTCCTTTTCGGGGCCGTCAGCACTCAGTAGTCAGTAGCAACTTCAGTACTAAGTTAAGTAATGTTATTTTTTTCCCCTCCCATACTCCGACCTGGACTTCGCCTTCTTGGGGGTTCCTTTCCCTTTCGAGTGGCTTGATTGCGTTCCGCCGGTGGATCTGCCCGTCACTCAATTCCGCGCGCTCGTCGTGGAGGATCTCTGGACCACCTTAAAAGAGACCTCTGCCTCGATCCAATCCCGCAACACAACCGCGCAATCGCGCCATTGACCTATTTCGTCTTCATTCTTTTGTCGAGTCTTCTCCACCCAACACAATGGTATGTTGACAATTCTTGCATCGCTCACTGGCTTGGCTGCGGGGAGAGGGCACAGATAAGATGCAGCTGGCCAGCCACTGCCAGTGTCTTGGCAGCCCTGCGCGACAGCGAGTTCAACTGCCGAGTGCCTTGCCTCTACTGTCAGATGGGTCGGAGACGAAGAGATGGGAAAACGAACCGCATGGAGACAACTTCAAAGCTGACCTGGTTCTCCACATCGCTAGCCTCACGCCGATTCCTCCTATTTCTGGGGCAAGACCAAAGCCGAGGTCTATTCACAACTCCTGGACCAAGCTAAAGGTCTTCTCGACGGCCAACGCAATTGGGTAAGTGTGTGAATATGCGCGCGAGCTTTGGATGAGGATGGATGGGTATACAGACAACCCTCCCAATCATCTTCTCGATCTGCCACGCCCATATCTTCGATGCCGTGAATGGATCTTGCTGGATCAGTCAACCCCCCCGAATAGGCAATGCGAAGCTAACTCGGTGTCACCATTTCAGGTCAGGTGAGCACGCTCTACGCCATCCCTCCTTCGCACATGACCTCAGGATGTCCTCAAGACTATCATCACCTCCGAATTGCGCAGCAACTCGCTCCGCCTTGACTGACACGGCGAGCAAGACAATTCATTGAACTGGAAATTGACATTGATGGCTTTTCTTCGCATTGCGCTTTAGCAACCTGTCCAACATCTCTTCCCTTCTCTGGCACGCCTACGCCGCTCTTCCGTCCCCATCTTCGGCCGTCAACTGGACCGGTTTCTACATTCGTGATGACAAGTTCCCCGCCCTCGCCTCGCCCGTCTCCTCGCCTCCGCTGCCCGGCGCACCAGGATTCGGTGGTGTAACCATCTCAACGACTTACGCCCACCCCGAAGATCAAATCTTGTTGCTGGGTCCCTTCCACGGCAAGCCCGCCTGCCAGCAGATTCGCTTCGGAAAGGGGGTCTGTGGTACCGCTGCGGCCAACCAGAAGACGGTCATTGTCCCTGATGTGATGAAATTCCCGGGTCATATTGCCTGTGATGCCGATAGTCGGAGTGAAATTGTGGTCCCCATCATCATCCGTGGAGAGGTATGTATCTTTTCCTGCTTAAGGGCCGTGTTGTCTTTTCCTTTTGTGACTGTCAGCTGCTGTCCTTCGTTATCCATTCACTTTCTCGGCGCGATCGTCCAGAACATCAACAGTGCTCACTTCTATTTCTTTCTCTTCTTTAGACCGTTGCCATCATCGATATCGATTGCACACTCCCATCAGGCTTTGATGAGGAAGACCAGCAATATCTGGAGCAACTCGCCGAGCTCCTTGCCGAGAGCTGTGACTGGTGAACAACATCTGTCTGCAGAGCGCAAAGTATATGGTCGGGATTATATCTGTTCGACCGCGATCGCAAAGAACCAAGTGTCATGACCAGATGACTTCGACACGACTGTCTTGATGAAGAATAACGCCAGAAAAAAAAAGCACTTGACAAGGCTACCGATGGCGTCTTTATGTGTGGGAAACGCGTGATAAAAAGTTGTCTTTTCTTTTCATTTTCTTTTTCTTTCCTCTTTTGATTAGAGATTTCCTCCCTCGCTTCCGTTTCAGTGATCGCCCGTGGGAACGACGTGACTCTGGTGGATATGTGCCTGGGAAGTCTTTTCTCCAGGTCTCGACTGCATCTTCTATCTCCTCCTCATTATTGATTGAAAACCTTGCGGGTGTTTCCATACTGGAGTGACAAATTTGACATGGTTGGTACTGCTGGACTTTGCTCCCTTTTTTCTTCTAAGTGATGCTCAGCTGTAGACTGGTCTTTCTGACCTCTTGACACTTACCCACCGCATAGATTCAATTGCATGTCGATAAGGCGTGCACACTAGCCAAGCACACTCGAGTGAGTCTTTCCAGTTCAAGCAACGATAATCCATCAAGAACTGGAACACAGCAGTACGGGGAGGCTCCACGATCAAAGATAACTTCCGTATCACTGTCCCAGTGAGCGTGTACTCGAGTAGACTTTATAATGAGCCGGAAAAACAGCTTGATAGGTTTGACATTGAGCACGATTTTGGGAATGAGGCCATGCGATCTGCATTCTTCAATATAGAAAGGAAGGAATTTGTTCGGTGTGTGAAACCAGGCTTCGTCTCTTGCTAGCCTTAGGGGGGTAAGGGTGTAAGGGTGTAAAGACCATGTGGGGTTGTGCGTCCCCACGCCAGGTAGCGACTGTATGATGATTTCCCCCTCTATTCGAGCAACGAGAGGACTTTGTCCGGTCCCGGATCCAAGCCAAGTGTGTGCCTGGGAAAGAGCTAAAGGGAGGTAGGGGATAGTTGAATAGGGAAGAGAAATAGATAGAGAAAAGCAAAATGATGCATATCCGTTCATGGGAAAAGGAAAAAAAAGATACATGTATGTAATGACCGCTCAATAATTCTAGAACACCGATGGAATGATTCAATGTGGGGAAGAAAACAAGAGAAAGAAGGAAGAAGATGATGTTGCCGGAGAATGAGTTGCAGAATGTAGCAAATTTGGTCGCGGCAGCTTTGGGCCTCTGCTTGGAAGTTCAGAGACATGCGACTCCATATTTCATGTGTGGATGAGATTTGCAGCGCGAGGGCGGCGCAAGTGGCTGAGCAATGCATATGTACACTTTGACTGGAACAAATCACATATCACATGTTCAAGAGACTCATCTGGCGCCGCATTGGATTGGGCGAGACAGAGTCTCCGTCCTCACTGGGACCAAGTCCACTGTCTGTACCGGTGAGTCCAGCATCAGTGTCAATGTCCCAGTCATCTTCCGCGTCGGCCCCGTCTCCGCCATCCCAGCTTTTTTGCACAGCACCGCGTGTATTCCAACGAAGGGCTCGTTGAACGCTGGTGAACCACTCGCCGCTGTCAGAGACCACGGTCGGGAATGGGTACTGGCTGGCTTCGACGGTGACATAGTCGCCCTGTCGAAGCTCAACGCGGCCCTTGCCGTCAAAGGAGCAATAGGCTGTAGATCGAGAGGCATTGGGAACGGCAATGCGCAAGAGGTGGGAGTCGGAGAGAACCATGGGGCGGAAGGAGAGAGTATGAGGACAGATGGGAGTCAGAAGGATGCCAGGAATGGATGGGTGCATGAGCGAGCCGCCAGCGGACAAGGAATATGCAGTGGACCCAGTGGGAGTGGAAAAGATGCAACCGTCGGCTTGCACGACGGTCAGAAGCTCATTATCGGCGTACAGCTCGAGATTCGAGACATACGGGGACGGGCCTCGATCGATCACCAATTCGTTCAAGACCTCGAATTGCTCCCCTTCTTCTACAGCATCAGCTTCAGCTCCCTTACTTCGGTCTTTCCGAAAGACAGTGCATGTGAACCGCATGCGTAGATTGACCCGCATGCCAACATCGCCCATGACGGCATTGAGATGAGTCTTGTACTCGGCGAATTCAAAGTTGGTCAAGAAGCCGAGACTTCCTAGCGAGAAGCACAACACTGGCGGCACCACACGCTGGAACAACCAGGAGGTGAACAGAACAGTGCCGTCACCCCCGAGCGTCAGGACCAAGTCGAATTTTTCCGGGGATGTCCAGCAGAGATCGGGGGTCCAGAAACGGAGCATTTGAGCAAATCGCGGCTCCTTCTCAATGAGATCCGCGGCGTCAAATCGTTTTGAATTCCGCAATTTCGCATCGACGTATACATTGATCCCAAGATCGTTTCCATATCGCGGGGTTACCAGCAGCCACTCCGCCACTTGACGGGTCAGATGTACTAGACTATTGTCTCGTGCCTTGGTCACGATCATGATCGTTCTCACGGCGCGTTTGATGGGCCGACGCTGTAGTTGCTTAGAGACTTCACGAACACCCGTTGCCGTCTGCACCAGACGGGAATGCGACAACCACTCATCATCCGCGATCTCCTCCAGCACCTTCTTGATATTCACAGCGTCATCGAAACGCTGATGGAAATAACACGGAGTCTGGAGCATCAACCGCGCGGTCGAAGGGGATCGTTCCAAATATCCACTGATCTGTAGACTTGACAACGCATTTGATAGCTTTCGAGAGGAGGCGTTGCTACTTCGGCGCTCTCTCTCCTCTGATGACGTTGCGGAAGCTGCTGCTTCCGTCGTCGTCGTGTTCGTGGGTATGAGACTGGCCCAAGGATTGGTGAAGCCTGGATTGGAGCTGTTGCTGGGCAGACAGGGGCGCGAAGCCAAGGCTTTCATGATGGTCTGCCTGGGTATACAGTCTGTAGATAATGACCGAGGTCCGCCGATGGACTTTTGGTGGAAACGCCGAAGGTTCGAGGGTGCCAGCTGTACGCCCGCAGCTTCCTCGGTCGGTGGACCGCTCTTCAGAGCACAACACGTCGGATCGTCGACTGTCTGGGGAGCGGTTTCGTGCAAGGACATTTCGTGGTGTGTTTGCGATGGCTCTATGTGCAGAGCATAGTCGCGCAGGAGCGCCGCGCTGACGGTCGCCGAGCTCGTTCGAGACGGTCGAGGTGGGGCACTTGCGCTAGAGCTGGCCTCGGCCGTGACGGTGTTGACGGTGTTGACGGCAGGGAGATGGACGGACGAGGCAGGCTGTGTCACAGGCAAGTCGGGTTGGCGACCGTTCCTAGTCGACGATGCCATGAGATGAAACAGAATCGTCGTTCGTGGGAGAGAACGGTGATCTGGCAGGATGATAACGGGCAGCGAGGATGCAAAGACGTGGGAGTCGCGGAAGCACCGCTAACCAGCACGGAAGCCGGCTCGCGGACGTAACGGGGATTGCGGAAGGTCTAAAAAGTGATCAAACCGCGACGGGCGGGCCCCTTTCGCAATCCTGATAATATCAAGTTATCAATAACCCAGTTCTTGTCTGGTCATGCATGATTCGGTGGTCTGCATGTCAGACAGAGTAATCAGCACCTCCTTCGGATGAACTACCAGGCGCGCGACACTCATTGAGGAGAGACAAAGCCAGGTTGGATGTCATCTGTCCCGATCCTGGGAGCAATCGCTCGACGACCCAGTTTAGGAGAGTCGTGGAATTTCGAGCGAGTGCGGTACACTTACAGAAGATAGTTTCATCCGGCCGCCCAGTTCCACCAACATCGACCGTGGTTCTTCAGTGGCTTCCTCGTGTAGTGAGATTGCCGGCCGCAGTAACCTTCACGGTAGCTGATTAGCTGCGTAAGGACCGACTCGCCCAAGATTGGCATTTTCGAGAAGGTCGAAGCCCCAATAGGCATTCGTCGGATAAAGTCCCCAGTGGAGAGCCAGATAACTCAAATCAACACCGACTGGCAATGACGGGGGAATCGGCCTCATTCTGGGGCTGGAAACCCCCCCCCAGGAAATAGGACTGCCGTCGTCGTTGTTGTCGTGAAGTACCAAGTCGTGGCAGGTCAGGATCCAGATCGCGATCAGTTCACATCCCAACAACTGCATGCGGTAGCAGCTGTTCAAGCAATGACAGTACTGACTACTTAGCGTGCATAAGAAGGACGTGAATCATTTTACCACCCACATTCGCGAATGCCACAATAATTTTTCATTGCTTCGAGAGACCGAGGCTAGGAGCATTTGCAGGATTCAGCTTCGATGTCCAGCATCATGCTGCACATGCTACACTGGCCAGACAAGCATTGAGAGATCCTGCTGCACTGCAACGTAGCCGCCATTCGTGGAATAATGCCTGACTGAAGTGATCGTCGCCGTACGGGTACAGCCTCTATGCTGAGTGAAGTGACCACTAGATTCCTCAGACAAGTCCGTTGTAGAGACCTGGGCAAGGACCTTATTTACTGGTCTACGCTTAGGTACCAAGGGAGGAAATACGACCTTGACAGTGGTAAACAAGACTCAGTTCAGTTGTCTACCTTGGCGTTGGGTAATCTCAGGTGGAAGCTAGATGCTTCGCTAACTCACGTAAGTGCTTTTCCATTGAACGGTCTATTTGATGTCTATTTTTGGGTGCGTCGAGGATAAGCTGCACAAGGCCTCAATCGGATGATGCACCGCTCGTACATCGGGAGGCTTGAGCACGGCACTGTCCAAGCCAAATAGGAAACGATCGAGGTCTCAAACTGCCACCTCGGCGGACTCGGCGAGTCGACGTCTAGTCGTCACCTGATCTCTGTAACACCCATTCGCCCCTGTGTATGATGGCGACAAAGCCCGGAAGGCTTAACTCGAATCAGAAACGCCTCTTTGTAGCCCCATGTCCCAGTACTTTGCTCGTTTGTTGTTGGAAATAGTGAGACCGAGGAACGACTCTCCTTCCCCCCCCCCTCAGGAGTTCCATTGTCGCGGTGAACAAGGCAGTCAATGTTCCTCTGATCTCGAGCAAAGCCTGCCCGGTGCACCGTTGATATGGGAAATTCCCAGTTTCACTGGGGTTTCCGCACTTGACGTAATCCGATTTGTTTCATGAAGGCCTCAGATGCGGTCGCCGGACTCGTAGCCGAAGGGTGGTCAAGGCGTTCCAACATCAACCCTCTGTATGCTGGAGAGCCTCGGAATGTGATCGCCAGAGACAAATATTCACTCGGTGTCGATTTTCCACGCGTAATCGCGATACAAATGATTCTCCACAGTCTCACGGACAAAGCCCTCCGCAGTGCCGGAGTCGCCTTGGGCCTCCATGGCAATGTCTCCGTCTACTTCAGGCAAGTCGACGCCCCGACACAGGGCATGGGCACACTGCTGTACGGTCTTCCAGGTATCAAAGTCGAAGCGGCCCTGACTCTCATTCAGAAGGAGGTGGCCTTTGGAGGAAAAGGCCAGCACGTGCAAGGAGGAAGCTGCCTTGGCTTCCACAAGGGTGGGGTTGCTGATGATGACGTTGGATTTGGAGACGGCCACTAACGCGGTGGAATAGGTCATGGACATGGGCACGGCCCCAGAGAGCAAGGCGAGTAAGGAAGTGTGAAGTAATGAGGGCAGCAAGGTGAGGTACTGTCGCCATCCATTTAGTCAGTACATCACGTAGAGGTGGGCATCAGAATGCCGAGCCATCTGCTTACCGAATCTCCTCGCGCAATCGCACCACCACCGACGATGGCCAAAGTGATCACCACACCACGACGGGGGAAGCCTCGTTCGCGGCCCAGAATCAGCTTTTGGAGCATCGTCCGAATGATGCCTTCCACATATCGCTCCCCCACTCCGGCAGTAGTGTTTCCAGGCTTGATGAAAACTTCCACGGTCGCTTCCTCCGGCTTCAGAGCGTCGCGACGTCCGGGAAGCTCAACTGGGGCGTTGACCGAGCCTAGGATCTTGTAGCCTGTTGTGGGACACTTGAAGGAGGCCGAGCCATCGGCACGGCTCAGGTTGGAAAGGGACGCAGTTGGGCCGACCATCGTGGTGGAGAATGAGAGTTCGAGTGGGAAAGAAAGCCAAGGGGGATGTTTTCTTTGGCCGGAGTTCGATTATCGAGACGGAGAGCGAGTGTCTGTCTTGCTCGTGGTGCGTAGAGAGGATGGGGAAGCATATGGCCTAGCAGCGTCGTGAAAGAAGCTCTCGCGATTTTTCGTCGACCGCGGGCCCCACATGCGCTGATTGGCGGACAGATCGGAAACCACGAGAGTGTGAGACTGTGAGTTAGTTAGGACAGCCGTAACTTATTAAGTTCTAAGTGACTACTAGTAACTAGTTAACTTACTACCTGAGGTAAGAGTACGAACGAGGTTCATCTCTGTGGACATCTCTTTGTTTTGATTTGGATCATGTACAGAAACATTCAAGGAGTCGTTGATCTTGATCACCATGCGCTGAGCACGGAGTCTTTTGATGATCATCTTGGCAACGGATGTCAAATACTTTTCTTATCAGTGTCCTAGGACCAAGACTGAATGTACTCCAATATCCGACTGGCATCGATCTCACTCATATGGCCGAACATCCGACTGCCGGCAGAGCGACTACCGAGTCTGGACTTGTACATAATCATATGCGTTGGGGTCTCGTGATCTAGGGCCTCATAAGTCCTCTGCTGAACTACAGTACCTCTCGAACTGCAGGCGGCAGGGGTACCGTACCTGCCAGGAGGTACACTATCCAGGCCTGAGCGTGTTCGCCGTTTACTAGTAGCGGTGAATAGTAGGACGAAAAGAGACATTCACCCAGAATCCCATGGTCACACCCTCGCGATCCCGGTCCTGGAGCACGAAATTCATCTCGATCATATGTCTACGGTCTACCTGCTGTCAGAGTTGAGTCCTGCCTCAATAAGTCGAATCATGAGGCCTTCGCTTTGCCATCCATCCAGTATCCACAGGAGGAGGCCCGGAGTCTGTGACGCCGCCAAGGGCTTGGAAACGTGGCAATGCACGAGGCTAGCACCGCGTAATCTTGAGGACGCGTATGGTCTTTTTCCGGATAGCGTGAAATCATTCTGAATCATGTACCATTCATTCACTGGCCGCCTTTTCGCAAATGATGCATGTACCCAGATAGACCGGTCCCAAGTTTTGTGGGCAAGTTGAGAGTAAGTTATCCAGGAGTGATTGTATACCTACGTACTCACTTCACAACTACGTACCTCCTCCTAATGGAATAGAAAAAGCGTCAGACTGGTAGATAAGTACTATGCGTATGGTCATGATCGATAAGAATCAAGATGATCTCGTAGTAATATAGGAGTGACTACCAGTGGGTTCTAAAATTCCATCAAAGCTACTAACTAGTAGCACAAGGCACTTCGAGCTGTGGCAAGTGTCAATCGTTAGAAGGCGGATATAGGTCCCCGAAGTTATCCTGCAGGATGAGCCCCAAGTCAAGTCGCTTTAATTGATTTGGGAATGAGAGCCGACAGGAGCTGCAAGGTGATCAAAGTTCCAAGATGGACCGAGTCTTGGAAACTCCAGAATCCTGCGCCTCACCCCTTGACTTGGTATCCGACTGTACGTCTAATTAGCTAAGTCATGGGCAACCTGTGAAGTTCACCGTAGGTATCACCGTACTACTATAGTACTTTCCTACTACTGGACTCAGTAACTAGTGGACTCCAGACTGGGTGTCTTGAATCTTCCCTGGTATCTCTGCGAACGAAGCCACCTCTTCCACCAGCATCCGCCACCCAATCATGCTTTCTCCGCTCCGCTCGACCCTCAGATCGTGTGTTATCTTCCTGCAATCGATTCCTCCACGGGGGCGAATGGGCCGCTCGGCGTGAGAGTGTGTTGGATAGCCAAGCTTCCCGCCTCGCGCAGCCCCCAATGAGCTGGTGGTCTTCCCCAGGAGATGATGACAGGACCAAGTAAAGGTGTTGACCCCCCGCATGAGCGACGGTACAGCTCCCCTCACTTGCGAGTTGCATCGAACTCATTGGGTGAAGTCGGCAATGAAACCCAGAAGGGTACCAATATCCCTGCGAACCCTTTTCCCCTCCCCGGATCTTGAGATCCTCCTGGCGATAAGATTCTGATTGAGAATCAAGTGCATGACGATATAATCTGGACGGATTTCATCTCAGCATCAGACAAGGTTCCTTGGAAGCAAATCAACATTCTCCTTCTTTCCTCCCTCCATCACTCTCTGCTAGTCTCTATTCGCTTGGGCCTGCCGATCACCTCACTTTTCAAACGATACTTGAATGGGCATTGACACGCTTCCAGATGTCGAGGAATCGGCAGAGCCCTCTATATGTGCCCTAAAGGAGCCTAATTCAATCCAGCGGGAGCATTCGAAGGGACCCCTGGAGTTCTGTACCTCCCACGAGAAGGAAGTCGTTCTACCTGCCACTGGTGACAACGCACCAATTGACGGAGATCTAACTGCGACACCCGACCGCCGACATAGTTCAAGCGATACTCTTGTCCAAAGCCATCTTCTCGAGCCCACAGTAGTTGCTGAGCTTCTTCAAACAAGCCTGAGGTGAGCGGCTTTGAGCAATCACAAACGCGATATCGCGCGCTATTCATCTTTGATCTGACCATATTGCGTCTTCTTTCCCCAACAACAGCAATGGACTCTCTACCGTCGACGCCAGGGAACGCCTCCAGAGACATGGACCGAATGCCCTGCAAAAGATCAAGGGCGTCTCCGTCTGGGGGATACTGCTAAGACAAGTCTCCAACAGCTTGACTATCGTAAGTGTCGGGACAGATTCGAAAGTAGTACTTCCACCGGTTGTTGATAATGACCTCAGGTCCTGTTGATAACCATGGCCTTGTCCTTTGGTATCGATGATTACATTGAAGGGGGAGTGATCACTGCGGTGATCCTTTTGAACATCATTGTTGGGTAGGTGATCTCTGCCCTGATGTACGACTCGTGACCGGGGGTGAAGCTGACAGGATTCCATAGCTTCTTCCAAGACTATCGTGCGGAACAGACAATTCTCTCACTGCAACGCCTGTCTGCACCAGTTTGCAAAGCCATTCGAGATGGCCGGGTAAGCCCAGTCAAGGCGGAGTCCTTGGTGGTGGGTGATGTCGTCCAGCTCGCCGTGGGCGATATTGTTCCCGCAGACTTACGCTTATTTGAGGGAATGAACGCAAGCATGGATGAGGCACTCCTGACGGGCGAATCTCTACCGGTCCTGAAAACCCCATACGAGACCCTGCCTCGTGCCGATATCCCCATCGGGGATCGCACCAACATGGCATACTCCGGATGCAGCACGAGCCAAGGCCGTGCTACAGGAGTCGTCGTCGCGACGGGCATGAACACCGAGGTTGGCAAGATTGCACAGTTACTTCAAGCAAATGACACCGTGGACGACAAAAGCCGCGTTGCCTACTTCTGGCGGCGAGTCAAATTTTCGGCTATGAATATTCTAGGTCTCGTTGGTACGCCCCTGCAAGTAAAGCTGAGCAAATTCGCCTTGTTGCTGTTTGCCCTCGCCATTCTCCTGGCCATCATTGTCTTCTCAGTCAACCTGTGGCATGTTCAAGGCGAGGTGCTCATTTATGGCATCTGCGTGGCCGTCGCCGTGATTCCTGAATCCTTGATCGCAGTTCTTACAATTACAATCTCCGTAGGCACTAAAGCGATGGCTCGCGGCAATGTTATCGTTCGCAAGCTACAGTGCTTGGAAGCCGTCGGTGGGGTAACCAACATCTGCTCGGACAAAACTGGAACTTTGACACAGGGCAAAATGATAGCTCGCTCGGCATGGATTCCTGACGTGGGAGTCTTGGCAGTAAGCCAGACCACTGACCCATTTGACCCGACGAGTGGTGTTGTCCAACTTGACGCGATCGACTGGAGCTCCGAGTATGCGGTGGGTCAGCATCCGGCTCTACATACCTTCTTGTCGGCCATCTCGCTGTGCAATCTTTCAACAATTCACCACGAAAATGGTGTGTGGAGTGCGATTGGAGAGCCCACGGAGATAGCCCTGCACGTTCTTGCCATGCGCTTTGACTTCGGAAAGAACCAAGTTATCACGAAGCGAGGGCTTGAGCTGCACACTGAATATCCATTTGACTCTGCAATCAAGAAGATGACAGTTGTGTACAAAAACCGAGCCGAACAAGTCAACGAGATCTTCACGAAAGGGGCACCTGAGATTGTCATCCCGTTGCTGTCAATATCCGAGGATCAGCAGAGAGTCATTCAGGAGACCGCTGAACGAATGGCTGGAGACGGCCTCCGTGTTCTTTGTATAGCCTACAAAAAGGTACAGTTTCAGGACGAGCAACAAGTATCATCTCGTAGCGCCGCTGACTCTGATCTCGAGTTTGGGGGGCTTGTCGGCCTTTACGACCCACCTCGAAATGAGACTGCAGCGGCAGTACGCAAATGCCAGATGGCTGGCATTAAAGTCCACATGTTGACAGGCGACCATGTCAAGACTGCTGCAGCTATTGCCTCAGAAGTCGGCATTCTTGACCAAGTCACAGCACATGGAAAGTTCAAGCATCTGGTCATGGCCGCAGAGGAATTTGACAAAATGTCGGACCAAGAAATTGACCAGATCGAAGAATTACCTCTGGTCATCGCTCGCTGCAGTCCTGCTACGAAAGTCCGCATGGTTGAGGCAATGCATCGCCGTCAAGCATTCTGTGTCATGACTGGCGACGGAGTGAACGACTCGCCTGCCCTGAAACGAGCTGACGTAGGAATAGCCATGGGTAAGAATGGAAGTGACGTGGCCAAAGAGGCAGCCGACATGGTCCTTACAGATGATAACTTCTCGTCGATTGTGACGGCTGTCGAGGAAGGAAGACGTCTGTTTGATAATATCCAGAAGGTCCATTCTACCCCAGACCTGATGATGATGATGATGTCCTTTAGCTGACTATCATCTCTAGTTTTTGCTGCATCTCCTCATTTCCAACATTGCGCAAGTCGTTCTGCTCCTGATAGCCCTAGCATTCAAGGACGCGGGTGGCGACTCAGTCTTCCCATTGTCACCACTGGAAATCCTGTGGGCCAATCTGGTGACCTCGTCTTTCTTGGCTGTCGGCTTGGGCTTGGAAGAATCTCAGCCTGACATTATGTACCGCCCACCTCACGATCTTCGAGTCGGTGTTTTTACGACCGAACTGATTGTTGACAAGATGGTATATGGCACATTCATGGGCACGCTCTGTCTTGTGTCCTTTGTGTGCGTCATCTACGCCGTCGGTAGCGGCACCTCGGACCTGGGCAATGGGTGCAATGAGGGTTACAACTCGACGTGCGATGCGGTCTTTCGAGCGCGTGCTACTACTTATGCCACGCTGACTTTCCTCCTATTGGTGACTGCCTGGGAGGTCAAACATTTCTCACGATCGCTTTTCAACATGAATCCAGTCCGTTTTCCCAATCGATTCTCCATTTTCCCCACCGTTTGGCAGAATCGGTTCCTTTTTGGGGCTGTGATGGCAGGATTTGTGATTGCCTTCCCGGTAATCTATCTACCCGTGGTGAATGAGCTCGTCTTCAAGCACCATGCTATCGGTTGGGAGTGGGGAATCGTCTTTGGCTGCACAGCTGCGTATCTCGTCTGCGTGGAAAGTTGGAAGGCTATCAAGCGAGCGTTTGGCATCGGTAGTGGAAAGACTGCGATCATGACTTTGGAAGATGCTGAGGATCGTGCTGGTCTGAATACTTTGAGTCCGCTGTCGATGAGTGCCAATGCCAGTGTCGAACTGAAGTAGCCTGTCTCGCGGGTTGGGTGGAACTGGGAAGATCTCGAGCTATTCAACATATGCTTGTCGGATTGGGTCTTCGAAACGGAGTGGCCTACGTAACTCGGCTCCTCCCTGTGACTGGAGAACAGGACAGCACACCGCAAGAGTCATTCGTTTCCATCACTTGCACCTCTCCACATGTTCGTCATCTTGGTTTTTCGTGTATTGACGGTTTGTGATTACGAATTTACCAACAGAATCCCTCTCTTCAATTGCGTAGGGTGCGACGGCACATTGTTCAGACCCATAAAAGCGTCCGGCGAGACTGCAAGATCATCCATGCGGCATCGTTCTTCCAGCCAAGATCCCCGTTCAGTGGAGTTTTCTTGAATTTGGGAGTATGGCCTCCGAGATCAGTGTAGTGGGGACCAACACCATCAGATAAGATTACCGGAAGGCTTCCGCTTCGCTTCGCGACACAGCAGGTTGCCAGGTACATGATGTCCGTTAGCATGTCTTTCATGACGCTAGGACTGAGCGTGACGACCGCTGTGTGTGTTGAACAAATTGACGACTTAAAGACGAGATCTCAATCCCTTCCAAAGAGTACATTGAGTATTCAGAACCGAATGTCGGCGCCCTGGGTAGTGCAAGGGCATTCTTGTTCTGCCATTTCGCGACCACGACCGGACCAAACCTCTCCCCTTAATTACCAGTCTTCACGTGAGATCAGCTGAGTCATGAAAGAGCGGACCTCACTTAGTCCTTCAGGTAGTCCACTCCTCGGCACCGGACGGGGGTACGTCAGCCTGATACTGATTGTAGTTTGTACGGACTATTCAAAGCATTGCCTCAAAGGCTCCCCCCCCGGGATCGCTTCTCTCGTGATTATGTGATAACGTCATGATAATTTGGCCAAACGTAGATTATACGGTCTCCAGGCACCACTGCTGAGTCTTGACTACAGCAAGACTACAAGGGCACTGCAATTCAAAACACTTGGAGCTTTGGAAGTGCATCGGCTTCGCGGCTCCGTTCCGGGGCCGTGTATAGCTTGACCAATCATAATCACTACTTTCCAGACGCTCGTATAACCAAATATACGGCCCTTGCAATATGGGTTCCGTGTTTGCGATCGGGAGTGTTACCGATACGATACAGTCACGCTTTCTCTCTCGGCGCATCAGCCCGGAAGTGCCGCGAGCCGCGATCATACGACGCCGCAGAGTGGCTTCGTGACGAAGGAGAGAACTACGATCAGGCTTCAGCATTAACATTATCTCATCTTGGCGAGCGAATACCAGTGGACTGTGGACTCGGATTATTGGGCATCGTATAGGCAGTTCCTGACTCCCTACTACCATCCTGCTTTTGGAGAACAAGCCAATCAATACATCCTGCACTCCTCATTCAACGCTCTGCTCCTTCGCAGACTTTGAAGATCGCCGCCTGGCCGAAAAAGAAGGGCCAAGTGCGTGGGGAATCCACCTGATCTCCATAATTTGCCCAGCCCAAGCCAGGGCCAGCTTGTGATCGAGACAATCAGGCCAATCCATCGCTTGTCAGACTCAGTTGTACTTCGTTATTGAACGCGGACTTTGGACCCCAGATCTTGATTCCCCTTTTCCACCCTCCCCGAAGTTCTCGTACAAGTTTTGACTGCCCTTGCGAGCGTTTCCTCATCCTGCGAATTCCATCCTAATTACACTCTCTACAAGTAAGTACGCCTGTCATCCACGGTCCTCGAAGTTCCCTTGTCCTCGTCGTCTCTGCAGATTGGCCTTATTCGACATACTATCGTCTTCACTCATCTTTGCCCTGTAATTTGTGACAAACCTGCATTCTAACATTTCATATTGCATCAGCTTTGCTGTTTTGACAGGACAAATTCGACTGTGTTTTCATCCGCAATCCCGACTGTGAATGTCTTGATCTTGCGGTTGTCCACGGATGGACAACGACTTTGAATTGTTCTCTCCCCGCCGCCAATCTGGTGGGGATGAGTATTTAGGGATGGATCCTCATCCAGGAGATGCCAGTCAAGATTGGACCCAGTGGATGCGATGGGATGAACCGACATTCACAGACAATAATCTCAAGGATGCAAATTCATCATTGTCTGGATTCTTTCCGTCTCCACAGACAACCTCCAGCTCTCCGGATCAGATCAAGTCGATAATTTTCTCCCCCAACCTACCGCTTGGCCACATGGAGATGCCCCTTAGCGCACCAACTGGACCAAGTCAGATCCACACGAACGATTCTGCCAGGCCTACTTCGGTCCTAACTCAGGGACAGGGTGGCCAAGTTCCTCTGGTTTGCAGCGATGAAACGAACAGAAAGCGAAAGACGAGCAGTGACGACCTGCCAGTCCCCACAACGGGCCTAGTTCGATCAAATCAGAAGATGCCCGCAAAGAAGCGTGCGCATAATGTCATCGAGAAAAGATATCGAGCCAATCTCAATGAGAAAATCGCCGAGCTTCGCGACAGTGTGCCGAGTCTTCGGGCTTTGAAAAATGCTGCGGGTGATTCAAATGAAGATGAAGATGAACCTGATGGCAACACGCCTGCCAACAAGCTGAACAAGGCATCGATCCTATCGAAAGCAACAGAATACATCAAGCACTTAGAACTCAGGAACAGGCGGTTGGAAGACGAAAATACTGCTTTGAAAAACCGACTTCGCGAATCCGATAAAGCGGCTGACCAAGGGGTAACCTCGTGCGGATCCATTTCCTCTCCAAGCAATTACACGGCGTCTAGTGATCCTAGCACGTCGCCTAGTGTCTTTTCCAACCCTGAGGAACATCATGAAAGTACATCAACAACTTCACATCCTCCTGAGGGCCTGATTCAAGTACCGGATGCGTTCAAGCGCTTACGCGATGAGGGTGCCAAAAGTGGAGGTATTTTCTCGCAATCATATATGCAGTCCACCACGCGGTCCACAAGTCAGTCTGGGGACAGAGGATCGCGCCGAAAATCTCGGATGCCTAACAAGTATATGATCGGCGCACTAGCTGGTCTCATGGTCTTGGATGGCCTGGCATCCGACAAGTCAGACACGGAGCAAAAGGGATTGTTGTCGCTTCCGCTGAACTTGTTGAGTCGCCTGCGACTCCCCTATGTTGAATTCTACATGAAGAGTTTGTGGGCTTCTTGGCATACGCGAGCCGTCTTTCACGTGCTTGTCTTGGCTGGCCTCGTGGTAGGAAGTGCTTTTGTTGTTTTCGTGTATCTCTTCAACGCGCAGCCCGTGACCCAGCGTGGTCCTGATAAGACTGTCTCCGGAGGACAACACGCACCATTCGCATCTAGCGATTTTCGGCGACAGGCGTGGCTCACAAGCATGCAGCGCGTTGGCGTTCCACGTCACCGATTCTTCCGAGAATGGTACGTCGTCACCTCCAGATGCTTCGAGTACGTTCTTCGATGTCTCATGGGCTGGAAGTTGTATTCCTGGGCCACTGGCATCACGGAGGAGGACGAAAAGGGCCGTGTCAAGACATGGGACATCGCCATCGATGCTCAGCTCACAGGAGGTGACGTGGAAATCAGCAAAAGTCGTCTTGTACTGACCATCTTTGCGGCTGGAACATTGCCACGAAGTCCCATGCGGATGATGCTCAAGGCTATTCATATCCGTATCCTTTTGTGGCACGTGGGCCAGCCGGGATCATGGACTTCCCAAGTGTCCAATGATGCTGCACGCGCCTTGGCCAAATATCAGTGGGCTATTGCGCGGACAATAAACAACGCCCTACCTGCTGGCCATCCAGATCTGCTGCCTAGCCATCTGGCTGCTCTAGTCAACGTTGACTGCGAGGATATTATGATCGACAGTATTATTCAACGTGCTGCCAATTTAACTTGGAACAGACCTACGCAAGAGGGTGTTATCGACGATGAAGTTCTACTAGATGTCGTCGAAGAAGACCCTGCCATTCAGTGCTCCGTTGATGCCCTGGCAGCGTGGTGGTCCAGCCATCTCCTGCAGAACGCCCTACTCAAATATCTAGAGGCCAGCGAGGGGGCATCAATTTCCAAGAGAAGCCGCGACATTTTCAAGGAAAAGATTCGAATGGCCCTCGACGTGGCGCCCAAACTGTCTGCTGCATACACTCGCGCCCTTGTCATGAAGGCTGTTTTCTTTGACAACAATCGTACTGAGAATATCGGTGCAGTGCTTGCCACTTTGCCTCGAGAAAGCTTGAAATCTGGAATGAGTCATGCAGCCAATTTTGTTGATTCCTCGCTGCCAATCTCTGTCCGTGATGAGATTTCTCTTGCCGTTCGTTGCGCCATGATTTTAGCGCTCGTCACTCCTCGCAAACCAGGCGACAAACCTCTTCCCGAGTCCTTTAGCGTCCACAAAGCGATTCAATGGTTCAATAAGTTGCCCGTTGATCCTGTTGACCTGAGCTTGCTCGGATTTTCCGCTGTCTACCATCTTTTGCATTTCCTGGCCTCTGATGTGGACTATATCGCCTCGTCAGACTCTTCTGCCACGGCATCATCGGTGTCTGATCCGGAGTCCTCGGGCAACGATAGAAGAGTCAAGCCAACCTCTCATAAGCGCAAAGCCGCTGTTCAAGTAGCAGATTTTCCCAATCTGGCTCATGTCGCTGCGCAACTCATTTACTGGGCTCGAAATGCCTACAATCCAGCTTTTTATGGCTTCTCGTCGCGTCTCGTTGAGATCATCGTCAAGTCCTGCACAGAGCTTTGCACTCGTGCAGGCGTCAATGTGGAAGACTATCTACAGGCGATTCCAGAGCCGGTGCCAGCTCGAAAACGTCGTCAACGTCGCCGTCGACGTGAAACGCGTCGATTTTCCGAAACAGAGCTGAGCCCCAACGCGAGCGGGTCGCTTCTTGGCAAGCCCCTACGACGAGAAAGGTCCGCGAGTAACGACACCGGTTATGGCAGCTTGAGCCCTGGGGAGGAAGCAAAGCCTGACACAGGAACGCAATGAGATATCCTATCTGACCTCTTGATATTCTCTTTCGGTGTTATAGATCACATCATTGTCCTCGAACTACATTGAGATCCTCCTCAGGCGTGGATTGCCTGGGGGTTTGGACCTATCGAAAGGTTGAACGAGAACAGATACATGAACCTAGTCTGCTTTCGTGATTCTCCACCTATCCATTACCATGAATCTCTAGGATCATGCTCTGGGACTAGTAGGGCAGCTTTGCCAGTGATGTATCGCTAGGTGAACGGACACGAATACCACTTACTCAAAGAATCATGTACCGCTGCCCGTGATGATATGAAAACCCCAGTCAAGTCCCAGCCTAACCCATTTCATAGATGCCCTGTACACTGTATGAGCGCATGACATCTTATTGTTCGGAATGTTATCGTCGAGCTCACTGGACACTCGAGACTTGCCACAGCAGTCATCGCAATGAAATACAGAAGTGTGTCAACGGCGGTCTAGATCAGGCTATTGGCAACCCTGCAACCAGGGCCATTTCTTCCCACTCGCCTCAGGAGCAGACAATAGACTGAAGTGAAGAGTGGACGGCGCCCAGAATCCATGACTTATGATATAGGGTTATTCTTATCAAGCCGATCTGCCCAAAGATCGAGCCAGGTGCATCTTGGCTTAACAGATCATCGTCAGCTGTCACGCACGTGAATCTCGGCTGGGTTGAAGCTCTATCGTATAGACTATAGACTCTAGAACCTCTTCACGTAGACATCATAGAACATCATCACTCCAGAATCTCGAACCTGCAGCACTGGAACTTATGCCGTCATGTTTCGGGTCTCCACCAAAGCAACTTCGACGACTGTCCTCCCATTCTTCTTTTGCAACGTTACCGTTGCGTTGCAAATGTTCCCCACATCGATCTGTGGTCTACGTTTCTGGGGTCGTCCGCGCAAGGACTCGATGACTTTTGAACGAAAGTGACGTCGCAAACATCGTGTGATTGCTGTCCTTTATTTATGACATGTTCAACTTCTTGGGGATTATCACTTCACACCGACAACAACTGACTCGCTGATTGCGTGCCAATGGTGAACCTTCTGACACATTCACCTCAAGTCAGTGCGAGAACCCTTGGAATGTGGTGGTGGAGTCACACATTCCTTGGGTTACGTTACCTAAAACGGTAGCGCTTCGGAAGAGGCTGAAGTTTCCGCACTATCACCACATTTGAGTTGCCGAAGCCCGCTTCCGGATGTGCGTTAGAACAATGTCAATTCGGCCTTCGAAAAGATCATTTGGAACATAGACAAGAGTCTAGACCGGGGCGATTCATCTTGTTGAGGTTGGAGCCCGTTGAAGCAGACCTGCCATGGAGATGGATGCCAGACAGAACTCTGACACATTGGCTACGTCAACCGATTGAACCAGGCTGCCACCACAGGATATGTGGGCTAGCAGAGGCTATTCCACCAGTTGGACACCTTGATGAACGAGCTTCTCCAGAGACCGACTGCCTGTGTGCAATCGGATAAGCTTGATGATCCTCAGGCTCGTGGCTTCGGGCCGCTAGAGACCGCTTGAGTTTGACATGCCCTCAGGTCAAAGCTGCTTAGGGAGAGTCACCTCAAGCGGCTGGTTACATTGACTGGTACCTTTTTCCAGGGCTCGCTTCTAGAGAGTGTCTCGCGATAATAGCTGGGACACAATGACAAAATGACCAACATTTCCCTTCGTCTCCTGGATCTGCTAGATCTCCTGGATAAGCAAAGTTCGCTCTGTGCTCTGGGGGTCCATGACGGCATTCCTCACTGACATTTCTTCAAGTCTTTGTCGAACACCTCCACGTGGGATGAAGGGGAAACAAGTTTCAATCATCTGATGTAATAACCTCCAGCACTTGTCCTCGTGATTGTTGATCGGCCCTATATTTGAACGCACATAAGTCTACCAGTGAGCCACCTTCTCCTCGAGTCACATCAAGACGGCCTCAGTACGTAGTCGCGAGACAGAGGTACCCTTTGAGGGAACTTCGACTCACCTGTACTAGGTCAATCCAGTCACCAATCAGCCTACTTCGGGGTCTCATATACTTGATCATCATCATGGGTGTCGAGCTTCAAGGGAATGGGGTTGACGAGGCACCCATGAACCCGACATTGGCGGTCCCCTTGTACGCCATGGCGGGATTTGTTTCGATCTTGTTCTTTTGGCGAATGCTCATACGCATAGCACATCGACGTCGAAGGCTAAGAGCTCAACAAGAAACTGATCAAATACAACTTGCGGGAACTAATCAATTGACCTCACTATTGAAGAAGCATGTTTCCTATGCTCCTTTTTACGGCACCCGTCACAGCCGAGAGCTTCGTGTTGGCCGCCTGCACATGGGAACTCTTCCCTTGCGACTGGAGATGATACTCCTCATAATATACCTCGGTCTCAATCTGATCTTCATCTTTGTCATGGTGGACTGGTGGGAAGATTACTCGGAGAAGATGTATCAGCTCAAGTTTGCGGCCGGCCATTTGGCCGTGATGAACACGCCGGGTCTGGTATTGAGCGCTGGCCGCAACAACCCGCTAATACAATTGCTCGAGATCCCATTTGACACGTTCAATCTGATGCACCGCTGGGTCGGTCGCGTGATTGCCGCAAATGCAGTGGTCCATATGAGCGCGGTTCTGGCAAACCAAGGGTATTTGCGTAAGTTCACCTACTTCCCCTCCAGCCTCGGGATTGCGAGAACACCTTTCCTGACAACGTGGGCTTCTGACACTACTGCACAGACGGGAAAGAGTACATCGCCTACACAATTTGGCGCATGCCTTTCTACATCTATGGGTTGATCGCCGTCCTCGGTTTCGTCTTCATCGTCCTACAGTCATGGTCGCCGGTTCGTCATGCCTTTTATGAGCTTTTCCTGCACCTTCATATTGCTCTGGCGATTATGTCCTTCGTCGCGCTGTGGTATCACCTGAAGAATCTCTTGCAGCAACGCGTGTTATTAGGCACGCTGATTCTTTGGGGACTTGACGTGAGTCTTGTTTTATCCTCTTCCTTCCCGCAAAATGTCAATTTGCCGGCATAGCTGACCAATTCTCACAGCGCGCAAGTCGTCTTATAGTTCTTCTCTGGCGCAACCTTGGTAAACGGCCCACGAACGCCACCGTGGAACTCCTCCCTGGCTCTGTTGCCCGTGTCGATATCGAAGTCTGCCGAGCTTGGACATTCCGGCCTGGGCAATACCTCTACCTTTATCTTCCTTGTCTCGGCCTCTGGACTTCACACCCATTCACCGTTGCCTGGGCGTCTTCCGATTCGACACATTCTCTTGAAAAACGTGATTCTGAGGATTCCCTTGCTACCTTGGTCAATCGGTCAGATAGGCAGACCATGTCAATCCTGATCAAGAGCCAAGATGGCTTTACAAAGAAGCTACATCGGAAAGTTGAAGCCTCGTTTGATGGCAGGTTACAGGCTACTGCATTGGCCGAGGGGCCGTTCGGTAAGATGCTTCCCCCAAGATCCGCATTCTGTCCCGAGTGGCTTTGCATACGACGATGTTCTAATGCGCATTGGCTGGTCTCAGGTGGAATTCACTCTCTCGAGTCTTATGGCACTCTTCTGCTCGTGGCTGGCGGCATTGGCATCACCCATGCCGTGTCTTATCTGCGCAAGTTGATCGACGACCCTTCTAGCTCCCACAAAACAGCCACCCGCAGAATGCACCTCGTCTGGGTAGTCCGCAACATGAGTAAGTCTGATACCACGCATTATATGGGCCATTGCTGTCCCCCTTACCAATCGATCGCGATCTAATTCATCCCTCCATCAGGCCATCTCACGTGGATCCAACCATGGATGAACGAGATCTTTAACCACGACATGCTCAGTCGCACCACTCATCCTGGCGCCCAGGCCTCTGGCGAAAACCTCGGCGCCACCCTCTCGATCAGCATCTATGTCACCGGACACAAAGAAGACCTGGAAGACTACGTGCCCGGTTCCAAACCCACGTGGGTCTTTCACGCACCGAAACATATTCCGCTCACCATTGACCAAGAAAGACCGGATATGAAGACCTTGGTCCAGCGTGAGCAAAAGGATCAGGTTGGTGCGATGGCGGTTAGTGTTTGCGGGCCGGGAAGTCTTGGGGACAGTGTTCGGGATGCTGTTCGGGATATTCAGGGGGGAGAAGATCGTTGACCTTTACGAGGAGACGTTTTCATGGTGAAGGTTTGGATTGAGCATCTTTCCAAAACCTGCATAATGTTAATAAATAATCGTTCGAATTTGACGATTTCATATGAAGCTCGGTGAGTGTGGAATTGTGGATTCAGATTGTGGGTTGTTCTTTCGGGTGATCTTCGTCCGTCTCGTAACTTAAGAGGACTATCTATGCTAGCTATATGATGGGCTCCTGGAGACATGCCATACATACAAGGAAGTAGAACAAAACTGTAACTTTCCCATGGGATGCATTCCTCTGAGATCGAGCAGTCATGAACACTTCTATCCTGAGTGAAGCCCTGGACAATGACCGAGCCCGTAATACGCAAGTTGAGATGCTGAGTTCTGAGTAAGAACTCAGAAAACACATGCGAGCACGCACCTCTCATCGTCCCGCTTCAGGCCTCAGGCACTCTGGCCCAGAACCCACTGCACCAACTCAGCGATCGAGTCACTAACGCGCGTATTACGAGGGATCTCATGTCCCCCCTCGTGATCAAACGACCTCCTCTTCTCCGGCTCGCAGATCGCAGACAAGTGGACCCCCGCCGAGTACCGCGGATCCTTGGAACCATAAACATGCACCGTCGGAACCACCACTCGGAACGGACATTCAATCTCCCTCCGCAACTCCTCCTCCGATAACCCACCCGTCAACGCATCCAGCCCTGTCCACCGACTATTGCCTTGGCTCAGGATCGCCGCGTTCCCGGCCTGTTTGGCCAGGGCGTTGCGCGAGGCGATATCGCGCTGGCGCGCCCCGGCCATTACTTGGAATCCGAGTTCTTCGAGGACGGGCATCGAGGGGCCACCGCAGATAAAGATGGCTGATCTGAAGGGTGGTGGGAGATGGGGCGTTTCTTCCTGGTGGAGGAGTAGGGCTGCGGACCCGAGCACGCAGCCTTGGGAGAACATCAGGGCGGCGTCGTAGGGTCCATGTTGGGCGATGTGGCTGTTGAGTCGGGCGACCGCGGCTCGGACATCTTCGACGGTGTCGCCGGTCCACCATGAGTAGTAGGGCCCATCGTAGAAGAGGTCGATGCCGGGCGCGGCTGTGCTTTCAAAGGGTCCATCGAGAAAGTCGAATTCGATGGACTGGTCGGGTAGTTTGGCTCGGAATGAAGCTGGGAGGGGGGGAAGACAAGGATGACATGAATTAGGTAAAAAGCTCGGTTCTGATGCTATGTTTTGTGAGGGTTGCAAGGACATTGAAGATTGGGGAGAGGGATTTTGGAGAGAGGGGGGTAAAGAAGAAAGAAGCTCTAGAGGCAAAGCTCCAAGTCAGAGCGCTGCTCTTACACGTCTGAGATCGGAAGATGGCGCCGCTAGTGCCTTTTCCGTGAAGACAGAGAACCTTCATCCTGCAATGTTGGGGCTGACGGTCCCGTGATTCAAGTCGGGGGTTCGCAATCGGAGAATGTCACAGGATGTGTGTCAAGTTGTGCGATGTACAACTGTAGATGTGTGTGGTTGTGGATTGAAAGAAGGTTGGACCTGTCAGCTGAATTGATCGTCCACTTGCCCGTCAAGGGGGCAGGCCGTGGGCTGGTCTACATGCAGCTTATGCAGGTGGATGGACCCCATCAGTCATCTTCAAATCTGGTGGGGTTTTCTGGAAAGGCTCTTGATTCTTGCTTTTTCCTCGCATCAATTTGCATACTCATTACTCGATCTGGTAATTGAGAGCATGCAGACCACGCGAGTCAGTGATCCATGCTGTGATGTCAGATGTCGATTCAACAAGGGGTGAGAACGTGATACTTTCCGCCGCTGTATATACATGGATCACCAAAAATCAAGTCACGGCGTTCGGACTTCCAGATGAATCCCGACCCCGAGACACATGCAATTCTATCGTTCTCGCAAGAATCCATTCCGAAAGCCATGATCTGGCCCCAATGTGTCGTGCAGCTGGTGACGGACGGTTGCGGTCTCATACAAACCACGACTTCCGCATTGGGTAGTCCTTGCGAGCCACACGATGGCTCGGCCCGTCCAGGTCATGCTGCGTCGGCCACTTCCACTGTCTGATCCGGTCGTTACACGAAATAACACATCGAAGATGCATAGACGCATGAGCGAGCGCATGAGGCTCGCAAAACACCGGAAGTTGTTTTGCTTCATAAAGGCGAAGCCACAAGCGCACTCGTCATGTCGAGCTGTATATCTGAACATGTATAAAAGCGGACGTCGCCCTTCACACCCCGCCGTGTGACTGAAAACGTCGTGGGGGAAAAAAAAGAAATGAAAACCCAGAGCCCTGCCGGCGCCCTTCATTGTCGTGATGGCTGTGTCCCCAACGACGAATCTCGTCATCGAGCCTTTAACTATCATCGACAGGCTGTCTGTGATATGGAGATATCCTCTTTTCGGTTAGTCCTGCCCAGCTATCGTGATCCGCGTCACCCCGCCGGGAGCCCGCGGTCCAGACAAAATCACATGAGATTCGCGCACAAGATCCTGTGAAGCACTTCTGACGGCTCAGCACAGCGACTCGAATACTGTCCAACTTTGTCGCACTGAGCTTGTCCCATCAAGCGGTAGCCAGACTCCACTGGCGCCAGAGATTTTCTATCGCTCATCTGCAAGCGAACCTAGAAGTCTGGTCAGCGGCTCAATTAGCACAGTCTCGCAAGCTGCTCACTGGACATGCAATCGAGAGATACTGTCAGAGCCATGGCTTGGACCATGAGGCCATCCCTTTAGGTAAAAGCACATTTGGACGTGACGGCGCAGATCCCCACGATACACCCGTTCCTGTGCTTCATTTCGTGGCCTCTCCACAGCCACAGCCGGACGGACCGACGCTACTTTATTTCCATGGGGGTGGATTCCACAAGCCAATTGTAGCCAAAGCCCATATGCCCTTCGTGCTAAAATGCGCAGCAGCTTGCCATGCACGCCAAGTCGTTATGCTCGAATACTCACTGACACCGGAGCACCCGTTCCCCTGTCAATTGATTCAGGCCGTGGCAGCGCTCCGGTATCTGCTCCTGGACAAGGAGCTGTCAGTGGAAGACATGATCCTAGGAGGTGACAGCGCCGGCGGCCATCTGATTCTGAGCCTTCTGACACATCTAATCTCTCCATCGCCGTATGCCCCCTCGCTTGATCTCCAGGGTCGACAGTTGAAAGCAATCGTCCTCGTGTCCCCGTGGGCATCACTCAGCTGGCCCCAAGCCCAACAACTACCCTCCGCAAAGGGCGACTACTTGACCCGGACCGCGATCGAGCACTTCTATCTCATGGCCAAGGAGCCGACGGACGACATCTGGGCTCTGCAATGCGAGAAAGACAAACTGCTTTCTGTGTGGAAGCAACTATACCCGGGCCCACCCGCTGATTCAATCAGTCAAAAGCTGATTCTGGCTGTTGGCGATTTGGAGATTCTCTATGAATCATGCATGGACTTTGGGCAGGAAATTCTAGGTCTGGATGTGGTTCATGTGTGTGATCCGCAGGAGCTTGATCTGACGAGGCAATTGAATTATGTGCTTGCGGTCGCACCGGGGGAAGCACATGTCCAACCCGCCCTGGACTGCGCGGTTGGTTATGATAATGGGAACATGCTCCGATCTATACTGGGGTTTCTAGGTACTTGCTGAGAGCGTATCGTGGAACAAGGCGAAAGAGCACTTGCACCACCAGAGCACAGGCAATCCGTCATTGATTGAATACCCTGGTATGCCTCTCTTGCTTCCTGATCGATCGCCGCAAGGTTGACGCTAACCGTATGGCGAACACAAGCTCGAAAATCAACAATGCATCGAGGTCGGGCAGAGCTGTGCGGCCGAATTGTTTCACAAGCCGAAGAATGGGTGATTCTATGAATTGAATCCCTGTGACGTTGCACACATCCTCGGATCGAGAGGATCCAAAGGGGTTGATTACATGAGTCATGAGGAAATGATAGTCTGGAGACTAAGTTACCGAATGGGATTGCTTACGAATCGTCCGCAGAATCTTCAAGACGGGACCTCTGGCAGCTGCGGATGGGGCTTGGTCAGCCCGACTCAGCACTCTCTTTTCTGCCATTGACCTGGTGGGGTACTCGTGAGTCGTAGCAGCTTTCGCCGTGTAACTGTGGCTCACCGCCTTTGGTTGCTCACGTCCTCAGCCGAGGCACGTTTCAGGAATTCTTCTACTTCCAGTTTGAAAGCTGTCAATCTGTCCGCCGGGATAATGTCGTCCCGGTTGATGGAGACGATAGATCGTCCGTGTCCGGGCTGGATGGAGAATTGGAGATGCACCCAAAATTCATTGAAACAAGTCGGAGACGCCAGGCTTTTTCTCACGCCGAGATGGGACGATCGTGCAAGAGGAAGTAGGTACCTTCCTTTGGGGCAGCAAGTGGAAAGGACAGGGTCCTTCAGCAATCCCTCAACACCCTACCATTCATCTGACTTGCCCATCTCTTGGCCCAATTGAACTTTCAATTCTTCAAGCGTGGAAGATCGTTGATCTGATTTGGTGTGCAGCTTGGTGGAGCTTTTTTCCCAAAGAGAGACCCACTCGGTGACCATCGCCGTGGGGAACACAACTTCGTCATCACTCGGCGGGACAGCCGGAGAGAGTGAAAGCTCCTCTCTCCAACTTGAAATCTGGTGGAAGTCTGAGCGGCGATTTGTCAGAGTCTCGTTTCTCTTCCAAATGCTCTAATTCTGAGCACGTGGGCTCCATCGGTGACGCCTCGCAAGCTTTTTATTTAATCCATCCGTCGCTTGTGCCTTCTCGATCAATTCTCTTTCTGATTTCACTCTAATTCACGTACAAATTCCCTCATCATGTCTACCCAAAAAGCCGTTATTGTCGTCGAGCCCAAGAAGGAGGGTCTCGTTACCGACCGACCTATCCCCGCCTTGCGTGACGACTACGTTCTGGTCAAGAACGTCAGTGTTGGCTTGAACCCTACTGACTGGAAGCACGTTGCTTTCTTGTCCCCCCCGGGTGTCCTGGTCGGTTGCGACTTTGCCGGTGTCGTCGAGGAGGTCGGCAAGGATGTGAAGAAGCCCTGGAAGAAGGGTGACCGTATCTGCGGTTTCGCTCACGGTGGCAATGCTGTCCAGCCCGAGGATGGTGCCTTTGCCGAGTACATCGTCGCCAAGGGTGACGTCCAGATCAAGGTTCCCGATAACTTGACCTTCCAGGAGGCCGCCACCCTGGGTGTCGGCACCCTCACCGTTGGCCAGGCTCTTTACCAGAGCTTGAAGCTCGCTCTGCCCACCGAGCCCATCAAGGATCAGACCCCTATCCTCATCTACGGTGGCTCCAGTGCCACTGGTACCCTGGCCATTCAGTACGCCAAGCTGTCCGGCTACAAGGTCATTACCACCTGCTCCCCGCACAACTTCGACCTGGTTCGCAGCCTGGGTGCCGATTCCGTCTACGACTACAAGGATTCCGAATCGCCCGCCAAGATTCGTGAGGAGACCAACAACAAGCTCAAGCTTGTCCTCGACTGCATCTCCCTCGAGCCCAGCGCCAAGTTCTGCGAGCAGGCCATCTCCACCGAGGGTGGTGAATACAGCGCTCTGCTCTCCGTCAAGGTACCCCGCGACAATGTCAACAGCCGCTCGACTCTCGGTTACACTGCCATGGGCGAGGCCTTCAAGTTTGGCAACATGGACATTCCCGCCAAGCCAGAGGATCTGGCCCACGCCAAGATGTTCGTGCCCATTGCGGAGACTCTCTTGGCTGAGGGCAAGGTCAAGGTTCACCCTCCCAAGGTCGGCAAGGATGGCCTCAAGGGTGTCATTGAGGGTATGAAGTTGATGAAGGAGGACAAGGTCAGTGGTGAGAAGCTGGTCTACAACGTTTCCGAGACTCCTTGAACTGTATCAGGTACGAAGTTATGACCTACTTGAACGATAAAGATATCTATTTCTACCTTTTCACTTCCTCTCTTACGAGAATTACTCCCCGTACTCTTCGATGGTGCTATATTATAATTTTTGGAAACTCGGCTACCGACTCCTCGAACAAGCTTGTCAAAAGTAGAGTAGAGCCTCATTCCTGCCCTTGAATGATCCTCATCTTTCCTTGATCAACACTTCGTCTCGGCTGTTCCCTTGCTTCATTTTCGCTGTGCCGTATGTGACTGTCGACAGCCGAGCACAGTCGCAGAGGGAACATACCCATTGGAATGTATACATATCATCACATTGAAATTTGGTGGCTAGGAAGATCAGTCTCTCCATGCAACCGTTGCTACTCACAGTCTGCAAACGTAGCAAGCACACTGCCCCGCCACTATCCTTAAGGTGTTCCATTATCATCCGTTCCAAGCTAACATTTTAAGCCTTGTCTGGGCTTATTGCCTAATGTCTTTCCCCAGTCTTCAGTCTTGGTACATCCCTTTCGTTACGCTAATTTTTTAAAGCGAAGCATGGCTGACAGAGCCATCCATGATTCGTCACATTGCTAAGAGCTTCCATTCAATTCCTCGACAATTCTTGGTGTAGTCGGTGTAGGTGGCGCATTAATTCTTTTCCGGATAATTCATGACTCGACTCCAACTCATCAAAGACTTACTCACTACTCACGCCGCCACGCTCAGGCGTGACTTCTGACCTCAGGACCCACTGGATCGCTTTCGATTACCTTTATCGGCCCCACTTTACGCCTAAAGATGTAATGGATGTCATAGTTTGCGTCGTCAGTCATAGCTAGGCGGGGTACTTGATTCTTCCGGTCTGTTCCTGCTTTGAAATCAAATACTCTGAGAAAATGTATGTGGGAAGCACTTTAAATTTTATTATAGGTCTGTGTATAACTTTGGGACCGGAAGCAGAGAGGGTCTGATAGAGCTTCCATTTCACATTATTCTCACCGTCACTTTCATCTTCACACATAGACGAAGAAGCGCAAACCCACACAATGCCTTTCGAGTACAAACAGGTCCTGATCATCGGCGCCACCTCCGGCATTGGCGAAGCCCTGGCTGCCAAAGTCGTCGAGAATGGTACGCCGGTGATTATCACGGGTCGTCGCAAGGAGAATCTGGACGCGTTTGCGAAGAAGCATGATTCCGACAAGGTCAAAACCAAGGTGTTTGACATCACGCAGCTGGACAAGGTCGGTCCTTTTATCACCTCGCTCGTGAACAGCATCGAACCTACGTCCATGAGATGGAGAAATCAAATCCACCCGTCACACTCGGATGAAAGCTAACGTTCACGACCACCGCTCTCACGAGATAGATCCGCCAGTTCGCATCCGAGATTATCGCTGAGAATCCCAATCTCGACTGCATCCTCGTCAACTCGGGCATCCAACGCCCCTTCGATTTCTCCAAGCCCGACACCGTCGACATGGACGTCTTCGACACCGAACTCACCACAAACTACACCTCGGCCGTTCATCTCGCCAAAGCCTTCATCCCGCATCTCCAACAACAGTCGTCTCCGACCATGCTCGGCTTCACCACCTCCCAACTCGCTCTCGTCCCCATGATGCGCTGCCCCAACTACGGCGCCACCAAAGCCGCGCTGCACCATTTCATTCTGGCGCTGCGCACACAGCTCGAAGGCGGGCCGGGCAATATCAAGGTCATGGAGTTGTATCCGCCCGCCGTGCAGACTGAATTGCACGATACGAAGCATCAGCCGGATTTAAAGGATGGGCATTTGATCGGAATGCCGCTGGATGAGTTCACGGAGGAGGCGTGGGCGGCACTGTGTGAGGGGAAAGATCAGATCCCCGTGGGAAGTGCTAAGAACGCATTTGCCAATTTTGAGAACAACAGACAGGAGATGTATCAGCAGATGACGAAGATGTTGTCGCAGTTGCTTAAGAAGCATCTGCAGTGAGGGAAGAATGTTCGGGTTTAATTCGATGAAATAGATCTATGACTTGAGCGGGTTCGGACTGAATCCTCTTGAGAATACTGTTCATCTCATGTCTGTAGATGGAATTGCGGCTGTGAACATATTTTCATAGGGTTTCATTTTTACGAATAATAATTCCATTCCAAGGGACCTATACTCGGGATATGAAGAGCTGAAGAGATAGATACATTTACCGGGAGACGTTCTTGATATCCACTAACCGGACACGAGTCAAATCAGATACACGTGCGGGAAACTATTGCTGCTCCCAAGAGGCAAACTAGATCATGAAATGCAGTTCACATCCGCATCCGAGGATCCAAGTCACGGCCAAGGACCAGTAGACGTGTTGTTCTATAGGAAGCACTGCAAGCAACAAGTTCCATTGGGTCAGAATTAGATGCTGGAGTTGAGGACGCAGATACAGAAAATCATTTAGTGCTTGAACAGTCGGTTAGTCGAATCATTCTCATCATCGTAGCTCCTTTCGCTTAGTGCACGTACCTCGACATCCTCCCATTTCTCCCAGCCACGACCCTTCACAGCAGCAAGGTCACTCGCGGAAACCTGTTTGCCTGTGGTAAAGTAGCCAGCGTGGATCTTGGCATCGATCTCAACACGAGAATCGCTTGGTATCATTTCGTCGGGAATAGGGATTCGCTCCAGAATCTTGATGCCCGAGTCCACGATCGCATCATGCTTCATATTCGACATGGACAACATTCGGTCGATCTTCTTGACGCCCAGCCAGTGAAGAATGTCCGGCATCAGAGCTTGGAATCGCATCTACCAACGGACAGCGTCAGAAACTCTTCAATGATTGGTGAAGTGATCAAAGTCGAAAAAGACAACGGATGACTTACATCTCTCACACCAGCAATGTTTTCAGTTCGGGTGAAATATTTATCGGCGGTATCTCCGCCCCGTTTCCGCGCATTGTACACCAAATATTTGATCACCTCCCCAAGGGCACGGCCTTCCTTTCGGAAATAGATCACCACGCCACTTCCACCATTCTGCGCCTCGCGAATTGCTTCGCGAATACCAAAAGCGAGGTAGGGTCTGCATGTGCAAATATCAGACTGAAAAACGTCGCTACCATTACATTCATCGTGGATGCGTAGCGCCAGCTTGACCTTTTCGTCTGACACGCGCTCTGGGGGCCCAAAGATATAAACGGTCAGTCCGCCAATGGGAGGTAGGAAGACCTTCAAATCAGGACGAGTGATGAGCTCGGGGTAGCTGCCACCTGTATGCTCAAACAGGGCGCGACGAAGAGTACCCTCATCCACACCAAATCGATCGGCGACTCCAGGTAGATACCAAACCGGCTCAACGGCAACCTTTGTGACGCGCACCTCACCGGACGAATCTACCACGATTGAGCCGTCCACTTCAAGCTGCCCGTCCCGAACGGCATCTGCAATCTCGGCCAACTTCATGTTGGCCCGTGTCACGGCCATGGTAGGCCGAATGTCCCAGCCTGCCTCAAGCTCCTCTTTATATTGATTGACAATGTCATGGCCAAAAGGGTCCATGGACACAATCTTCGTCTTGTCTCCCCATGCCTGTTGCCAGGGGAAATTGAACGTGGGTTGGCTGTTGCGAAGATCGGGCCGGAAGTCCGCATCCAGCTCGCCCGCAGCAACGGCCAATGCATTGTAGATGCTATAGCTTCCACCATGAGCGCCGATCGCGTTTCGGCGCTTGACGAGGTTATTGCTGCGAGAAACTACCACCGGACCACGAGATTTGGCATCGGCAGCGCCCCATTCCAGCGGAACAGGATCAATCCCACTTTGACCGGGATAAGTAGTCAACTGCTGATGATCAGTCGGGGGTTTTCCTACGGAACTTGAATCCGATCAACATGCACCTCATACATACAATGATGTGTTTGCTATAATGCGACTTGGGCGATACAGACGAGGGGACGGTTGGCTCTGGCATTTTGGGGATGGATTCAGTCTCAAGCATGATTGAAGTCGAATTGTAATCGAATGGTCAGAGCTCCGTTGGGCTTCTTAAGAACAAAACGAACTGCACGAAGGTTTCAAAGGGTAGCAATGCAGCACGACGGGAGGGCAGGCCAGGTGACTTCCCCCGCACGTTATCAGCTTATCAGCAGCGTTTACAGAGCGGCGGTCACCTTCGCCGCGTTGTTATCTGCGAGGGTGGAATCTCCCTGCAGGTTATCACCTTCCTTGTTGCTTTCAATGGCTATCGTGGGTCCTCGTCTACGCAGACCAAGCCTGGAGAAAGAGAGACAATAGGCGTTATTGTTGTCCTCCCGGCACAGTCCCACCCGATGCTGCTATCTCATGGTTGCTATTATGGGGCCGCCCCAGAGAGACGATCCACTCCCCGCTGTGATCTTCGGCGTTCGGAGTTCAAGTGGATACCCTCGACGCTCTGCTCAGTCTGGCCGGAGTTGGGAACGCCGAAAGGCCATCTCCGCGATTTTCAAAGTAGTGTTGAGACATCTTACGCATTACAGCATGTTCACTTTTTGACAATGTCACGAGGTGGGAGAGTCCAGCACCCATATAAGCGTGACAACATTCATAGATCAAGCTATGAGGTAAGATAAGCACACTAGGAACGGTTGCATTATTAACTGCTAACCTGCCGGGAGTAGTGCTCGTCGAAGAAATGGGAAGCCAGCCTCGTGCGAGCCTTGCCGTCATGACAAGGTTAGGTGCGATCATGCCCTGCCGGTCTGCAGCCGATGTCAAGCTCGCGGGATATCTTCACGGTGTCTGTACCATCCAGCACCCATGACCCGAGCAAAAGCCAGGCGCGCGGACCCGGTGACAGAAGATGGCCCCCCCGAACGAGCTTTTCGAGCGAGGTATGTCCATGACTCTAGTCGCAGAAGAACCTCTGTTCAGGTTAGAAGTCGCGGCGCTCATCCAACATAGCAAGTCTAGCACGCCGGCTCAGGAGCCCGAGAAGGTGCTTAACACTCCGCCATCCATCAACTATATTCAGACTCCAGTCGCTGAACATAGAGGAAAGCCGATACTGGCAGGCTATTTCGGACCGACAAGCTTCGTGTCCCCACTCACAGACGATGTAGACCTTCTTGCTGCGGAGCAGGGGGAGTGTGAAGAGGAATTTACACAGCGCGTGTTGCCCGTGTACTGGACCGAGAAGGTGACCGAGATTGTCTCTAGTCTGGGAGACTTTTCCTTGATTGGGTCTCTACTCCATGAGTATTTTGATCTATGCCAGAGCGCTTCACTTCCAGCTCCATTGATTCTGAACACAATCGGCCCCTTGACAGCACTGTGCACAGAGCGCGCCCATCTTGAGGCCTCTGAAAACGGAGCTTTCTCGCTGACAGCTCGCATAATACAAAACACCGTCCAGCCGTTCACGGTTCCACCAGAGACTGTTGCAGGGACATTTCATCGCCTTTTCACAGGACCTGCAATCCGCCTTGAGATCATCGGAGTTATCTGCTCTGTGGCGGGTAGAGCGAGCAAAATGGGATTGGCCTCAGACAAGTCGAAAAGTCGATCATCCACTGTTGATCTTGCTCGCAGATTCATCGCGGCAAGCGACGCTGCTCTTCAAATATGCAAAATGCTCACTCCTCTGAACGATCTCTCAATATGGCTGGCACATGAAAACTTACTGTTGACGGATAATCTCAATTGGAGCTCCAGTAAGTTTCGAAAGCTAAGAGTCGGGTTGATGGCGCGTACAAGTACTGATTCCCACAGGCCCTAGATGCTGGAACCGGTTGGGCGAGCTTGCGACAGACATCTTTGCTTTGGGTATTCACAGAGAGAGTAGAAAGCATGATAAAGTTCCTCAATTCTTGATGGAAACGAGACGCAGAGTATTTGCGGCAGCCTACCAATTGGACAAAAGCGTTGCCACGTTTTTGGGTCGACCCACGAGAATCCCTCTTCGATATTCAGATTGCAGCATGCCGTTGGACTTGCCGGATGACGCATTTGTGTCTGATCAAGCTCAACTCAAGTATGGGTCGAGCGATCTAGATCCTGACAACTGGAATGTTCGTGGCGTATATCGGCGAGCATCTTGGTTGCGGGTGCGATTTATTGTTAGCACTTTCCGCGAAGAGATACTTGAGGTATCCCTGCAGAATATGACCCCGCATGTCGTGAATGTGCTCAAGTAAGCAACATGATTCACTCAATAGTCGGTTTCAGGTCGGTCAGGCTGACTGCTTTCAAGCGATATCTCTCGCCGCTCACGTCTCGCGTGGGAGGCACTACCCGCTCATCTACAATATACTCCGCAACGCTGGGATACGGATCATCCTCTTGCTGCGCGCATTATGCTCTCCGTGTCTTACTTGGCACATCTTTACAATGACTTACTCATTCAAAGACTACTGGCCGGGAGAGAAAACCCACGTGGCTCCCCCGCGCTATTGGCAGTGAGCTCGGAGATTCTGTCCTCAATCCTGGCGATGGACTCGCAGAGAGAGCAAATGGCCGGTCTCATTCGCAGAGATCTCATGTGGACAGTCAGTGATTCATCTCCACTTAGCACGAAGGTCTTTCGACCTTGGACTCGTTGTTCCGAATCGCGAGTAACTAATACGAATGCACATGTCTCACAGATCTTGCTATATGGCTTCCCAAGCGCGAGTCTACTCGTCAAGGCACTGCAGCACCAAAAAAGGACGGGTGAACCACTTCTATATGAAGGTTCCCGATCTGCCCTCATCCGCCAGCTCAGTGTATTCGTGTTCCACTTGGAGACGCTTGCCCGCCCAAATATCCCCAACTATGCGCTTTTCCAAAGAGCCGCCAAGATATTTTCCGAAATCATCGATGAGGTGCTTGAGCCACACAATTCCTACCCGGGCATTGAAGGCCACATGAATGATGCCTCGTTCCTCGAATTCGACCAGATACTGTCAGCGGATGGTCTTGACCTATTGGATTCCTTGGATTGCGGAGTTGCCTACAACCAGTGGCTTTTCTGAGAATCAATAATCTTGTTGCAGGGGATAACTTCATTAGGGATAATGTACATGTCTTGATTCAATATTAATACAGAGATCATCAAAATGCGCCGGTCGCAAGAAAGCATGAGGAGAGAGGGAAAGCGCAGTTGACTCGTGTGGCGTTTCCGTGAGTGTCTCAAATCTCGCGGACAGGGACAGCTGTAACACGGGACTCATCCTTGGGTTCCAAGGTCCGATCACTGTCAGAATCATGATCTTTGACCGGGGCCACTGTGAGATGTGCACCTTTCTCTGCATGATCCTCGCCGGGGTTCACATCGGTGGAGATCGACGGCGAAGACGAAGAAGCAGGGTGAGGAGGAAGGGTAGGGTCAGTAGCACCCGGGGCACCGGGCCCGCCTGGAGGAGCTTCCGAGGGCGGAGGATAAGATAGGGGAGCATCCTGAGATGGAGGCGTATACCGCATTACGGCCTCGTTCAAGAGCGCAGCCGACGGATCGGTGACCTTGAACATGTTTTTGAGCCAGAGACCAATCTTGGCTCCAAGGGACATTGCGTTCCATCTCTCCGTGAGCCATTCCTGTTGCTCGGGCGTCTTCTCAGGAACCCTTCTCCTCCACCGAGCCATGATGCAGAACAGGAGGGACCAGATGAAGATGAAACAGGTCGGAACACCGCGGCGACTCTTCCTGCCCACCATGGCACGTCTGAAGATCACCCAGCTTTCCCACAGGCTCATGATGAGCCAGAACCCAGTCCACGAGAAAACGACAATCAGAATCAATTGAAGGAACGAGACACCCCAGGTGTATTTGCAGTCACCATTGCAGCACCGCCCACCTCCTATCGCGTTGGTGGAGACGAACAGTGTCTCGGTGAAATCGTAACAATGTTCATATGTGCTATCTGTACCAGAAGTACCAGATGAACCAGTATAAATGCCCGTATTTGAGTCGCACCCTCTCCAGGAGTACGGATAACAGTCGAGACTGTAATAGTCGTATACGCCTGTAGGAACGGAGCTTGGATCTACCAGCGATTTGGTGACCGAGAAGTAACCGCCGGTCGCAGTCGATGTGACGATTGCGGTTGGGCTAGCGAACCCTTGAGCCTCCGTGGGTATATCGACATAGCAAGTCTTAGTCGTCGGAGTAGGTGCGTGTGTGAAGGAGCATGTCGTTGGTGGAGTGAAAGTCAGAACCATGTAATAAGTATTACTCTCATGGATTGGAGTGGCAGCAGAAGGCGCCACAACGAGGTCAACGGCCGTGACATCATCTTCAAAATCAGATACTGTCATTGTGCTCAAGACCACGGGGTTCGTTACTGTTGGCTTGACTGGAATGGCGGTGGTTACCGGCCATCCATAGTACGCGTCGGTCGTGGCCACGAGCTCGACATATTGAGTTCCGAACCACGGTGACGCACGAGACAGGGTAGCAAGGTTCAGCAGAGCGAGACAAGAGACTCCGCCAGTATTGAGCAACCTCATCTTGTAGGTCAACCCCGACAAGCTGGACCCGGACGGTCAGAAAAACGAAGAATTTACGTTTCAGCAAAAACGATTGAAAAGTCCGCCGAGTCAGAGAGACAGATAGGCTGGGTGTCTCCTCGCTTCTTATACAGTAGGAGTAAAACTTTTTCTTCCTGTTCCAGATAGAGCAGCCCTACGCTACGGTCAGGGTCAAATCTCATAAATCGAGACTAGCCAGATACAACCGGCGGACCTCCGAGGTGGCACCAACTGTTTCCCTCCCCCCTGCAAACTAAGATGACCAGCAGCTCCTAGGCTTCCTAGCATCCTATCTTCTCCCATCTCAATTCGTCCCTAGTCATAGCAACCCTGGCCATATCTCGTTAGTCCGGCTTTAGCTCCACCCTCAGGGTCTGTACTGTGAATTCTCTAGTGCTGGGGCAGCTTGGCTCGGTCAAGATTGCATTGCGTCCCGCTTTATTAATCGGAGACCGAAGGGGTTCTATAGGGTCGGTCTTAGTTTATGCCATGCCAAGACTCTGGGCGGACTGTGGCGGTCGCTTGGGCGGCGCTTGGCCTTAGCTTGCTTGACCGGTGTGACCTTGCTCATATTTGTGAGTCATAAGATTTGAGTGCGTACACAGAAGATAACTTGATACCAAGTCTGCTACCAGTCAGTGTAGGAGAGAATGATTGCTGTCTGGCCACACAGGAGTTGGTGATTCTTCCTGAACGCCATCCTGCATACACAATACTGTACTTCTTCAATTGAGATCTTTATCCATAGCGAATGTGAATCTTGTGATGTATAACACTTAAAAGGACAAGCCCGGCGCTTGCGATCGGCTCCCGCCCTCAATAGAGTTAGCGCAACCTGGAGATTCAGGTCCGCCAAGAACGGCCGGTTGATTCAGGAACCACCAGGGCTTAGAGTTCACCCGCATGGACGCAAATTACGGGGGTGGTCCCGCTCTCTCATACGGCATCACCCGAGGTTTCCCCTGATTCTCCTTGGCGTGTGCACGAATGAACCGAAAGCGAGCGAATGAATCCTATCGCATCTCTTGTTACGGACTCACGAGTCACAGGTCATCACCACGGAGAGACTCGCGACAGGACGGGTCATAGCCGATCTTCTAGTGTCGAATGAACGAACGAACCGAGTTGTTGTGGTCGGTGCCAGTGTCTTCTCTCCGTCCCATTGATGAAGAAACCCACGTTACATCTAATTTGTAGAACAGGAAGGCGAATGGTGGGATTAACATTCGATTGTTGAAATTTTTTTTTCAGATAGAGGCGCGTAGGCCCCCCCTCGTATCTGCAGGAACCGTAAAATCATCATTCAGATCAAATCACATGACATCAAGAACGTGTTTGACCCAGGGCAGCGTGCACCAACCCCATCATCTCTCACTGCTCAACGGCAAAACGTGCTTGCGCCCGAGTGTTCTTGATGGTCTTTTTGATCATCCGCTCGACCTCATCCCAGTCAGACGTGTCCAGGCGGTCGATATGGCACGAGAAGTGGTTCGAGATATCGTTCAGCCAGCCCCACTCTTCCCGGTTGGCCACAAAGGTGATGGCCACACCAATGCGACCGAAACGACCAGTACGACCAATCCGGTGAAGGTAGGTCTGGTAGTCAGGCTCACGGTGGCGGGAGCGAGGGTCAAAGACCACGGGCACGTCGTAGTTGACGACAAGGGAGACAGTGGAGACATCGATGCCACGAGCAAGCACATTGGTGGTGATGAGCACCTTGGCCTGGCCACTGCGGAAGGCATCAATGACGGCGTCACGCTGCGCGCCTTCGATGGCTCCAGTAAGCGAAGCCACAGTGTGTCCCTCTGCGGTCATGCGCTTTTCGATCTCGGCGGCCGCAGCACGTGTCTAAGGTTCACAGTACAGGTCAGTCAAATACTCCTAGGGACCATTCGCAACCTCGGGGAACAGTTACTTACTCCGACGAAGATGATAGACGAGCCAACCGTCAACAATCCATAAAGCTGAACAAGGTTGTTGTACTTCTCCTCCTCTGAATTGCAGTCCATGAAGAGCTGTTTGATACCATCGACAGTCAATTCCTCCTGGCGAAGGCTGATCTGATTGGCATTCAAGGCAAATTTCTCGGCATACAGGCGAACTTCGGTAGGGAATGTAGCAGAGAAGAGAACTACTTGAACAGTCTTAGGTAGCATGTTCTTGACACGAAGGCACTGGTCGGGCAGGCCCTGTCCTTCAAGCATGTTGTCGGCCTCGTCGAGCACAAGAACCCGGACTGCGGTGGGGTTGAGGACTCGTCGCTTGATCTGTTCGCCGACCGTGCCGGGGGTACCAACCACGACTGCAGCAGTGACGCGCTTGGGTCGCTGGGCGATTTCAACAGGAACGCTGATCTGAAGTTCCAGCCCCTCAAGGAAAGCACCCATATCATTGACGACACTGCCAATCTGACGAGCAAGCTCACGGGTAGGAGCCAGGATGATGGCCTGGGGAGTGTGACGCATCTCTTCGGTGGAGAGATCAATGCGGCTGAGAACGTTCAGGACAAAGGCGGCAGTCTTTCCAGTACCAGACTGAGACTGTCCAATAAAGTTCTTGGGAGGGTTGTGCATCAACAGGGGCAGGGCGCGCTCTTGGACTTTGGATGGCTTGCGGAACTTCATTGCGGCGAGACCTTTCAGGATACGAGGGTCACTAGATATGACTCGCAAGTCGTCAGTGATGCACGTCGACAGAGGACGTTGTTGAGTATGGACTCACAGGCCGAGGTCTTCAAAGCTCTTCACAGAGAACAGAGGATTGTTGGGATCAGCTTGGAGGTCGCTCAGCTTAACCTCGACATCGTAGTCGGTCTCCTGCAGACCGGAGCCCTGGGTCTTCTTGGAAGCTCCGTCCTCAACCAAAGAGCCCTCGGGAACCTCTGTACCATCAAGCAATTTGTTAGTTGGCATGTCAAATCTCGTCATGTTCGCAGCAAAGCGCAAGGCAGGACCGCTCTATCGCATCTGGCGTACACAACCATTCAAGCAAATGTTGGACACAAGATAGACACAGAGTGCGTGAAGGGAGAGTCGGCGCAATGTGCTCAGATGCGCTGCGCATAGGAATTTCAATACGTACCGGTAGTTGGAGCAGGCTGCGCAGCTTCTTCGGGCTTGGTGATGCGATCAGCCAGGGAACCGCCGGTCTCAGTGTTCTCGGAAGACATCTTGAAAGCTCAAACGAGTAACTTTATCGAGATATCGAGCAGATGATGTAAAAAACACAGGTAGCGAGAGCTATCAAGGTCGTGACTGCGGAGACGCAACTTGGTAACGAGGGGTGAGTGGCGGGGCAAGGAAATTTGAGGAAGAGGATGCGAGCGATTGAAGGGGACAATCGAGGCCTCTTGTACTCTGCCGCAGGGACGAGGTGTGTGCAGTCTGAGGTAGAGATCAACAACAGAACAAGGACAGCAGCCAAACAATTGAATCCCGAAAGTGGAAATCTAGAGGAAAACACGCGATGCGATTCTGACTCCTGCAATCCGCGGAAGCAAACAGCGGCGGAGCAGAAATGACGCCGAGCGGCGAGACGAGGGACCAAACTTAAGCTTGGCCTATTTAGGAAAGTTGGAAACGGTATGGTATCTGCCTGCGAAAGTTTAAAGCGGACCCAATGACGCCCGTGCTGACGGTCAATATCCTTGTATCGTATGGTTACAGGCACCCGCGAGGTTCCCCGCCTTCTCCCCAAGCTGGGCGTTGCGATCATCGTCACTCTGTCCTGATTGGCACTGAAGGCAAACAAAACACGACACATTTCTCTTCTGGGGATAAGAGGCTCGTCGTAGTCTAGAAATTGCCTTAAACAGGGACTACTGGTGCTGAATAGCATCTGCTCCAAAGCACCTCAGCTTCGCGCAATAGCTCATGCGTGATCGGATCGCGACCTCACCACGGCCATGGCGGCAGCTGACATTGCTCCCCAATTCGGGGCGGAGCTCAAGGTATGCTTGATGCACAAACTTCTGAACTCACAAACAAAGTCATTGATCTGAGACTCGGACATAGGACAATTTTAAACCGGTTAATGCTTGGGTCAGTTGCCCGCACCTTGCGCCGTCTTCCCCGCAGACCCCTCGTGTCGCTATCCCTCGTGCGGATTGGGAGCTAACACGGCTTTCGTCGCATAGGTATCTAATGGTATCGCGTGGCTCGATGAGATCCAGCAATTTTACCGTGAGCGCAGCGCCATTGAGAAGGAGTATGCGACCAAATTGAGCGGACTATGCCGGAAGTACCAAGACCGCAAATCGAAGAAGATCAGCTCCCTGAGCGTTGGCGATACCCCTACGTTGACCCCCGGGTCCCTCGAGAGCGCATCATTGACAACGTGGACAACGCAATTGAATGCCATAGAATCGCACGCGGCTGAACGGGACAAATATGCAACGGAGCTGGTGGGACATGTGGCCGAACCCTTGAAACAGGCCGCCGCTCAGTTCGAAGAGATCCGCAAGTCCCATGCAGACTACCACGCCAAACTCGAAAAAGAGCGTGATGCGGCCTATGGGGAGCTGAAGAAGGCAAAGGGCAAATACGATGGCGCATGCCAGGAAGTCGAATCGCGACGTAAAAAGACCGAGTCCTCATTTGATCATGGGAAAGTCAAAGCCCAGGCGGCATATCAACAGCAAATTCTCGAAATGAACAACTACAAGGTGAGGCTAGTGAGAAGATTGCAAAATATATTGTGCCGTCATACTAATTTTGATATGCAGAATCTTTACCTCATCCGTATCAATGTGACAAACAAGCTCAAGGAAAAGTTCTTCCACGAATACGTCCCCGATGTTCTGAATGTGAGCTTGATCCTTTGCTCTGACTCTGTATTCGCGGTCTTTCAGACTAGCTCTAACGCGTGAGAATCAGGGTTTGCAAGATCTCAATGAAATCAGGGTCAAGAAGCTGAATGCCCTGTGGTGTCTCGCAGCGCAGCTAGAGAAATCGTCTTTAACAAATAGCCTCAACCATTGCTCGAATCTGCTCACCGAGATCCCTCGCAATGACCCGCGCCTCGATTCTATGATGTTCCTCCAGCACAATGTATCTCAAATTCAAGAGCCTGCCAATATGGGCTTCGAACCCAGCCCTGTCTGGCACGACGACGCCTCCATCATCACAGACGAGGCAGCCAAAGTCTTCTTGCGCAATGTGCTGGGTAAAAGCAAGTCCCACGTCCGCGAGTTGCGGGTAGAGGCGGACAAGAAGCAACGCGAGGTGGAGAATAGTAAAAAGGCACGCGAGGCTATTCAGCAAGGGAAGGACAAGCGCAGCGAGGTAGAGGCAGTTCGAAGCATCTTCTACCTGCAGGAGGCTCTGCACGAGATTGAACGCAAGTGGGTGACGGCTGAGGTTGAGACGTCGACCATCATCTCCGTGGCAGGAGATCTCTCTCTCGGCGCCAAGAATCATAATTTCCGCTCGCAGACCTTCAAGATCCCCACCAATTGTGATCTCTGTGGTGAGAGGATCTGGGGATTATCCGCCAAGGGCTTTGATTGTCTGGACTGTGGCTACACGTGCCACAGCAAATGCCAGATGAAAGTCCCCGCCGAATGTCCCGGGGAACAAACCAAGGAAGAGAAGAAGAAGCTCAAGGTCATCCGGCAGGAACAGGCAGGTGCCGCACCGGCCGTAGACAATGGGTCTCCTCTTCAATCACACGCAAAACCATCTCTCACTCGGCAGAATACGATGAATTCGCTCAGCTCCGGATACGCTGCCAGCACGGCGCGTTCCATGTCGACCTTGAATGTTGGAGCCACCGCACCTACTGAGACTGGGCCGGACTCATCTCCAGCTCCCGCGCCGGCTGCCAAGTCCGCCGGTGGTGCGAAGCGAAACCGAGTCCTTGCTCCGCCCCCGACGACATACGTGAGTCCGTCGGCAGATACGGATACTCTTTCGCCTTTCAAATCCTCAGAACCCAGAGGAAAGATGGTCTACGCATTCCAAGCAACTGGAGCCGACGAGTTGACAGTACAAGAAGGAGACGACGTGAGCATTGTTGAGCCAGATGGTACGTTCAACCTTTTGCCCTTGCTCCATGCCCATCATCCAACTATTTTGTGGATTATCAAGCTAATCCAAACCCAGATGGCTCCGGCTGGATGCGCGTCCGCGTCGGCTCCCAGGAGGGCCTCGTTCCATCCTCATACGTCGAAGCCGCCCCGACACCATCCCCCGTGCCCTCCGCCAGCCCCGGCATGACCGATCGACCGGGCTCAACGTACTCCAATTCATCTGCCTCGCTAGCCGGCAGCGCCGCCACCAAGCGCGTAGGCCCAGCCGTGGCGCCCCGGCGCGGCGCCAAGAAGCTGCAGTACGTCGAGGCACTGTACGACTACGAAGCTCGAAGTGATGCGGAGTGGTCGATGACGGAGGGAGATCGATTTGTGCTGGTAAATAGAGATAGTGGAGATGGATGGGCAGATGTCGAGCGAGGTGGGACCACGAAGAGTGTTCCCGCCAACTACATCCAGGAAGTATAGGACCAAGTACGGTCAAAGGACCGCCTTGTTAGTTTCATCCCTGGATTTGACCCAAGACAGTGTACAAGTCTAATTCGGTGCATGGCAGCCTGGTACAGAGCACGAGGGCATAGCCGTCAGAATTTCCCTGCTTTTGTGTGTGTACATAGAAACTCTGTGATCTTGTCTCTTTTCCGTTGTTTGTTCGATTCGGCGGTGCTGTGAGCTTCCTCGGGCATCTAGTAGGAGACAGACGTTGAGTCGATGAGCGTCGAGGTGGAAGACATTGTCCCTGTCTGTGCTTCCAGTCTCCGGGCTGTCGGTGAACAATCTTCGGGCCATCAATGTACGCTATGTCAAGGAGATACTGAAGGATTTCGGTCGCCATGCATATTTTGGGAGTTCTCCTCCAGATGCCCCGTCGATGTGAATTCCGTGTTAAAATCCCAGGATCCTAAGTTTCCCGGACTCAAGACTTCAAGACGCAAAAACAACGGGGTGATGACACCCGCTCGTCGAACGGAAATGACATGTTTCAAGCTCATTTAATCTGGTTGTCATCGCTAGAGAACAGAATATGGAAGCACTTATGGACATGCAAGGGAGAAAGAAGGTGAAGAGGGGGGGGGGGGGATATTCGTGATCGTTCAGTCATAACATTAGCATCAAGGTCTGCCACATCGGCAGCACAGCCAATGTTATTGAGACACGGGGGGATAGTCTGTGTCGAGATGCTCAAACCCATTTTCCGGCGACCACATATACCTCGACCAATCCTCGACGGCAAATACTTCATCTGCCAGTCCTTCGGACAGATCCACGTCCAGATTCAAATCGTCCAGATATCCGAGCGTTTGCTCGTCCAGACGGAGCGATGGATCCAGAGGGAAATCAAAGGGATTGGCACCCTCCATGGGACTGAGCATGGGCATTGTCGCGACCAGTCCGGCGGAGACGGCCGCCGCCGAGGTGGTCGCGTCCAGCGAGTACATGGGATCAAAGATGGTTTCGCACATGGTGGTATGATCCAAAGTGGTGGGCTCCAAAGAAGAGGAGGAAGCTGCTGCTGGAGGACGAGCCATGGCTTCGGATGATCCAGCCCGACTCGTCATCTCGGGTGGAGAGACGGGGAGAGGCACACTGGCACCGGCCATGGAGGAAGAAGTCGAGGGCAACAGGTGAACGAGACTTTCGCCATACGATTCCGTACCGGAACCTGCGCCCGAACCCTCGGAACCGGACCACTCCCCAACACTGCTACCGCGGGTCTTGGGGCGACGAGACGAAGAAGCTTTCGAGCCGCGAATCGGAGGAGTCAGGCACGACGACGACACGGATGCCGCAGAGACCGACCCGGAACGCGAGACTGCGGCCGACGAGGGGGAAACTTCTGCACCGGAGACGGACGATGGACCGGCCTCTTTGTTGGCGCTTCGACACTTGCCCGAGGGTCGTGGCGCGATGGGGAGGAAGCCGTTGGAACTGGGGTGGCGTGGGTAAAGCCTGCCATGGCTTGCTTTCTAAGAAACCAAAAGAGTAACATCAGCACCATGCCATCTTGTGCCGCTTTTGAATCCTTTTGTTTCACATAGGTGCGTGTGTCTGTTTTATGCGTATCTGTATATAATTTGTCTGGATTTTCTTGTTCCACCCTCGATTTTGTCCCTTTCTCTTTTCCCCTCGATCCGGTCCATCTGTCAGGGTGACATCCGGAGTCAACGAAGTGGGAAGAAAGAAAAAAAAGATTGAGGGGGACAGGTTCAAAAAGCGGCCACTGGCTTCTTCTTCTCTTCTTCTTTTCCGCTCTCCCTTTGATGAGCAATTGCGTTACTTTTGAGGATGATGAGGATGGAGATTTCAGCTCCGCCTCGCGCTTGAGTCGCGCATGTTCCGACGGTGCCTCGCACGGAGTTGCGTGGCAGATGGCGCAGGTAGCAAAAGGACGGCCCTTGCGCTTGATCCGAATCAACGGTCGATCTGGAGGCGAGTGGTTAGAAAGGGAAACAAGCTGAAGAAGAATGCAGCAGGAGCTTGAGGTGATCAAGATCGTGGTAAAAATGGGGAAACAAAGGGAAATTTCAGAACTTTGGGAAGTGTCCAGACTTGAGCGTTCCAGCAACCTGACGCTTTGTGGCACAATAGCAAGAGTGACACCGCAGAGACCACACGTTGAGCAACCACCCAAGAGGATCTGAACACCGGAGACTGGACCACATTGAACACAACAGACATCCTCCGGGTCGTTATTATTCGACGGGGTGGCAAGGACTCCAATTTCAGACATACCATGATGTTTGCAACTGGACACTCGATGACCTCGAATGCAAGCTTCACAAGCCCACTTCTGACCGTCGATGAGCATCCCTTGTTAGAATGAAATGAAAGCAAAGGATGAGGTCGGGCTCGTGAGACTTTATACTACGCTTGAGGGAGGGGGGTGGAGCCCGCCATCAATCGGCTGAAACCGCCATGGGTCGAGGTTCTTTGGGTCACTCTTGAGTGTGAGGTATGGGGTGCTCTCGTTTTGGGAAGAGGAAATAAGGATTTGAAAATTTGGGCAACCTGGGAATTGCCGTTTTATTATTTTGTTCGGTCTCTTTTGGGATGTGAGGGAGAGGGGCAAAAGGGGACCGGTTGACCTCATTTGGGAAACGGGCGGATTGCTGGAAATTGAATGGTGCGACCCGTTTTGCTCACGTTGGAGGTTTTTAACTGCCACGAGGATTTTTTTTACCGCGGTAGGTAAGGTGATATAGTAGTGATGGGAACAATCGAAATACGAAAAATGGAATATATCTCTGAAATCAGAAATTTGAAAATCCAGAACTTGAAGAGAACAACAAAAGGCATCGACACTATTTGAGACGCGCTACTCACTGTGCTGCTAGAGTAGAAGCACTGTAGTTGAAGGTGTGGAGATGGATTCGTGATGACGCGCGAGCTATTACATAAGTACATAGCGTACTCGTAGTACGTAACTTAGCTTGTTAGCACTTATGTGGTAGTACTATGGGATGACAGGACATGCTGATAGCTCTACTAGTCCAGAACTCCAGAGATATGACCAACAATTCTCCAAATTGAGAAAGAGAAGCGAGGCAGAAACGCTCGTCAGACCTTGAATGTGCATCCATACGATGATATAGTGTTGGCCATAAAGTCATACGCAGGAAGGTGATCCTGCGCTGATTGCCCAAAGTACAAAGGCTTGACAAGAAGCAGATAGGTGGGAGGTAGTATGAACGCGCTGAAATTGGGGTCGAGCGTTGATTTGGGTACTTTGGAATGCCGGTGCATGCGGCGAGGATATGGCGCCTCGGTGCAGTTCAGAATTGGTTGAAGGTACGACGGTTGAAGAGGACATGGTACTTATGTATACTTTAGTATGTTAGTGAGGAATATGCATTACTCTCGTACTCACTACTCAGTACCTAGGTACCTACCAAGTCCTATTACCAGTGGTCCAGTACCAGTACGGTAGGTGGTCAGAACCAAGGAAGGAGGATGTGATGCGGGTGAATCAACTTCGGTGGTATTATCCTCCCTCCCAGCAACGGAGTGTGCCAGTGTGGCACTGTACCCTAGACCGTGGATCCTCCCAGGCTGCCTTTGCCCCCATTTCCCGCCCTGGTCGAAAGCGAAAAGCTTGGACCAGGCAAGAGTTTTTTTTTTTTTTTTCAAGGGTTTGGTCGGTTGACTAAAAGGTGCGTGATTGCGGGATTTCTGCAATTTCGAATTTATAATTTTGGGGTGGGAGTTCTCCTGGATGTATGTACTTTGTACATCAGTTAACTAAGGTACCTGCTATGTAGGTAGGAGTACCTTAGTCTTCACGGTGTCCCGTTTCAGCATAGACTCTCGTCACTGGGAAAAGGAGTTCAAGGAGGGCACGCTATGCCCTCATCTCGACCCTCTACTTCTCTGGGGACACATTCGCAATTAGGCTCCCCTCAAACCTCGATATGGACGTGGATGCGTGGGTCCGTAGCCAGGGTCCCGTGGGCACGGAGCACCACGCACAGTGCAGATGCTGGTGCCGGTGCCAGTTGGGAGGAGGAAAATTGCTATGATTGGGCTTCAGCGGAAAGCCTATGGGCAATAAGCTATTAGGGAACAAGATTGCATCTTAGGAAAAAAAGAAAAAACAAAAACCCCCGTTCAGTGGACTGAGTACAAGTAGTACCTGTAGTGCTTGCGATCATTTTCGACGGTCAACTCCTTCATCGTGTTTGTGTGAGGGATTTTCTTTGCTATAAAATTGTCAAATCGAAGTATTTCCCCACGCGGCTGGACTCCATTTTCTCTTGGACCAACTTGAGAGAAGCCGGGTTGCCCGTGCATGAAAGATCAGAACCTGAGGCCACCGCAGGCTCCAGTGCTGGACTGCTGGCCAAATAGCCGATGGGTGAGCGTGAATAGAAGATGCGATCGAAGGCAGCCCCGTCCATACTCGATCGTGGAACAAAGGTCCCGGAATAGATCATTGCTGAATCTAGCACCTCTGGAAGATGCATCATATCCGGCAACTTGGTTTGAAATGATCCCGGGTTGAAAGCGTTGACGACGACTGCCTGCCTACTAGTACGTACTGAAATGCGAGTACCTACTGGCAGTGGTCCTGTGGTGGTCGGACTCCTCCGGACTGCCAGATCGGTGCTAGAGCGCCAACGACTCTCACGAGGCCGACCGATAATGCCTCATACATCCGTCCATCTCCCATTGTCACGTTCAGCTTTTCCCAGCTCCAGCGGTTCCGAGGAGAACCACCGTGAGCACGCCGGTAGTCGTACCGACGCGGGCACTCGGTCCCGACCTGGTGACTGACTGGCTGTACCTGAGGGTCAGTCTTGACTTTGTCAGGAACCTCAGTACTGACGAAGTGACTAGTACCCCCGGGGCAATATCCCTGAAAAGAGGTCTGCCATCCTCTGCAGTCAGCATGAACCGGGCCACCCCATGGCGGTTGGGGAACAGTCATCAGAGTCGTACTTTGGACCTTTCCCCCTCTCTCTGGCCGTGCTTCGTGAGATGATCGTCCCTAGGGAAGCGATCTTTTGCCGACGCCATGCATTGACCTGCATGTAACATCCGGACAAAGGACGATGCACCTGGGAAGGTGGCTGTGCTCCGCAAGTCCCCAATCTCGTGGCGTCGATTGACCGCACCAGGCTCGCGGTGTCAGATCAAGCCATCGACGAGCCATCCACTGCCTCGTTTAGGCGTCAGTTGATTCTTCTTCTCTTTTTTTTTTTTCCACACAGGCGCAGTAGCCTCTGTAATCCCAAGATGGATCTTGCCTGTCTTTCACCAGCTCGAGTCCGATTCGATCGTCTGACTGGAGGCACCATTTCCAACTTCAGAGAATCTTGACTCTGCATTTGACTTGCGTAGCGTCCTCGAAGGATCAGCTCGGGCCATCCGTCCGCATCGTGGGGGTTCTCTTTCCCACCTGGGAAGCATCAAGATGCTCTATCGCGACGACGAGGTATTGATGCTCTATCCGTCGCGTACACGGGCACAGACGGATCATCGATCTGGCTTGTCCTGGTATATCGCGCCGTCCACGTGCCTTTGCCGCGGTCTGTGTCATTTTTGTTCTGTTCCCCTTTCCTGATCACCGACTTCGGTTGAATATCACAACGGACCATCTGGACACCGGAGCGAATGAAACTGCCGAAGCAAAATTAAGGAACATTAAGCTCAGCACCAGATTGGCCACAAGAAGAGGGTCGTCATTTCTTACAGTCCTTCGATTGGGGGGGGGGGGGCAGCGGTTCCAGGAGTAGCTTACGAGCTTTCCCGTGACTGAAGGTCCTTGGCCGATGTGGGGGGAAAGTCGAGGTCACCGAGGGACGGCCCCACTCGCATCCGTTCACTGACTCCCACAAGTCTCTCTTCAGTATGCGCCATTTTGAATACCTGAGGCATTTTTCTGTTCCAATTGCTGGTCAGGGCCAGCCTTGTTTCCTCACAACCTCTCTTCACCGTATTTTCTTCCCAGCCTATCCACTCGAGCATCGGAGAATTGGGTTGAGAAAGGATGGACCAAGAGTGTGAAAAACTGGAATCGGGAAAAAGCCATGAATCAGGCAGACAATGAATCCCCCCCCCCCCAGGTAAAATAGGAGGAAAAAAAAAAGACGGATTCTTAGTGCACGGCGGATGCAAACCAACGCAGCAAGACATGATCAGAGAGATCTGGAGGGGGCCATTTTCAGCTGTCAGCTTGGACAGACAAACATGTGCTTTCCATGAGAGAGAGAGAGAGAGAGAGAGAGAGAGAGAGAGAGAGAGAGAGAGAGACATCGGAGAGCGCAGAGTCCCGACCGTCTTTCCTCTTTCGCTGGCGGGTGTCATCACACGGTCGATAAGGTCCCGTCTTCGAAGGGGGTATCTGCGAGGACCATCTCCCAATACCTCCAGCATCGGTGCTCACAACCAAGCTGCAGTCGAAAGTCGGGTCATGTTGGTGGTCATCTTGTGTCACGTCAAACGCGACGAGGGATCTCTGAGCAGATCTGACTGAAATGACCGCCACTCCGAAACGAGCGAAAGATGTCGCGATCTTGTCCACAGGGGACCGAGGACGGTGCCTCTCGGGGCAAGAGGTCTTCCCTGAGATATCTACCAAATCCAACCTGATCGCATCCTCAATCGAATGTGTCGGAGGCCTCCGGTCAACACCATATGCTGTCACGGGATGATCCCAACACGGCCGAAGGCGCACGCGGCAAGGGATACTTGCTATGATCAAAGGGACTGAAGCAGCCAAGGTTGCTCTCCCGTTTCAAGGACTGGCTCTCAACTTCCTCATAATGGGGCCTGGCCAAGAGCCGAACGAGGTCATTCACTCTGTGTCGCATGTCTGCGGTCGTCTTTATCTTTATGGTGGGAGGAGAGAAAACGGTCCAAAAAGGACGCGGGTCAATCAATGTATACGTTTCGACATGATACCCGAAAGCGCAAGGAATCCGCGTCTCCCCAGGACTGCGTACAGGCTCCAACTCGCGAGAGTCTGGATCTTGTTCGTGGAGATATATTGCGCATTCTGTCCCGCCAGCGTCTTTCGAAGCTCTGAATGGCTGCCGGATATTCCCGCGATCTGGCTGTGGCTGACCGGGATTCATAGCGTCCGGCAATCAAGCTCTTCACCACGTCTCGGCTCCGATCTAGCTCTGCATCAGGACTCCTTTTCCGGCTGAGGGATGGGGTGTGTCTGGACGGGATAGATATTTTCAGCAGAGGTCTGATGCCTCCGAGTTGTTGCTGCATGGGTCATCTGATTGGGCGGCTTCGTTCGGCGTTGGCTGGATTGTTAACCTTGCTGTTCAAGCATCCGGGGCAGAGCACCGTTTCCTGGGGTCATCCATTCATGGTATGTAAGTGTACCAAGGTAACAAATGATGGTTGATCTCATGGCTCGGGCTTCATTTGACCGGGACTCAGGTTGAAGCTACGGTTCTTCCATACTAGAGTATCACAGGTTCCATGTAGTGAACAGAACTCAAAGACGTGCAATTCTTTCCCTTCACAAACATACTTTATCATTTTTGATATTCAGATAGTCTCCATGTTAGTCGGAAACCCAATCATCTTTCCTACAGTCCTGCCCTGGTAACATCGATTCAACCATACCTTCGTTCCGAATGCAGTCTGAACTCTTTTGTAAATGTCTGTCTCGAAAGGTATCAATTCGCAATCATCAATCATGTTCATGTACCTTCACATGGTACAATGAAGTAGCCAAGGTAAAACGCAAGTAAACAGAGCACCAGTCTAAACATGAAACCACACAGGTCGTAGCTATGTAATCTACAAACCCAAGACCACCAGCCCCTGACTTTCAATTCCTTCCGATCGACCCGCGCGACACAATAAGTGCGAGTAATCAAATAAGAGGTACCTAGGTAGTACTCAATTGGAGATTTTAGCGTCGAAGCGGGACCTCCATCTCACAGTATTATCTCCTCCGGCTGTCCCGTCTCGTGGTCATGAACTCCCACGCGTGCTCATTCCATTCTTGTTCGCACTTAGGAAAGACATCTATCTTGGTTTCCAACGTAGGTCCGCCAAGTCTCATGCTGGTAGCTTCTATGTTTTCTATTTTAGCATGCTGCTTTACCTTTTACTTCCATCTTCATGCAACCTTGGTACATCACGTGGAAAACGGCCTCAACCGAGAGGCTCCGTGCTCGTCCCGGTGTTTCTTGCTTGTATAAACTTGGGGAAGCTGGAGGTTTGGAAAATGGCGACGAACAGACGGGAATAGATAGGGTGAAGCTGTTCTCTGCAGTACTCGAGGTGATGCCTTCATTTGACCTACACTCTTCAACTCGCTAGGTGATCGCCTCGGACCTCAATACCTACCCGACTCACCAAATACAGCCTGGCTGGCCGATGTCGTGGCATGAATGGCTGTGGAACCTTGCCTCGAATTCGATTTCCGAGCTCACAAGCACAAGTTCAGGAGATCTTTTTGAATCATCGCGCGATAGGGAGATCACCACGGGAATTCGTAGAGCGGGTTGCTTTAAAGGAGACAACGTGGTTCAAGGGTAAACGAGAAGGCAAAAAGCGATGGGCGGCGCCGCGGCGCTGCCGCGCGTGAGTAAGGTACAACGATTGAATTAGGTATCTGCCGAATGGACTGACCGATCTATACAGCCTTGGTATCCGGATGCGCAAGCAAATACGGCATGGGTGCAATGGGAGCTACTAAGGGTAAGGTGGACCAAGTCTGGTCTTGATGGGGTTCAATGCCCGCTAGGTCACGCAGAGAGATACTCAGGTAGACACGCAGGAATCACCGACTTGAATACTTTATACCTGACTCGACCATACCGGAATTGAAATATCTCTCGAGATGAATGGAGCAAAGAGGACTTTTCAAAACAAATGATATGCATGTATTGAATGATAGCTTAGCTCATCTCGTCTCGTCTCCGAAGAAGGGACATCCACCGTCCCCATCTATAGTAGGTCGGGGGTATTCATTGTCCCATGGGCAATCGATCGTCTCCACCGTGTAAAGCCAGATCCCCAAATAATGTCTATCCGGCCAGCCGACAGACGCCGGCGGGCTATCTGTCAATGTGACTTTGGACTAAAGTTGTTTCTTCACTCGATGGTTAGGTGTACCAAATCAATATAGGTGGACACGTGGGACGTGCATTCATCCGTCTATCACTCGATCGGCAACAGACCTTCCCTGGAAACGGCGCTTTCCAGAGAATAAGCACGCACTCGCAACCATTCCACTAGACTTATAAGCTACAAATCTCTTGAGTTCATCATAGAAGGTAGGTAAGGTAGGTTAAGGCTCATCAATCACCTCGCCCTCTCCCGCAGTGCCGCAAGTCGCAAGTCGCAAGTCGCAAGTCGCCAGTCGCAAGCCGAAGCCGAGGCCCGACTGATTCAACCGCACGCGGAAAACGAGGAATGTTCGGGAAGACATGACGTTATCCGTCCTGATTCACTGAAGTACTTAGACTGTACTCTCTTGACCCAATACCACGTAGGTCATATATACGACTTGCGCGACATCTTGTTCTGTGCTCTTTCTACCCATTTTTTGTTCTTCAAACTTCTCCTCTCCTTTTTAAGCGCGGTATTTGTAGCATTTCATCTCATTCTTCCTTGAAGTATTCAGACAAGTAGGACGGGTGGATAGGGCGCCTAATTCCTTTCGTCTCGACTCGACTCAACACCACCGTGCAGTGCAGTGCAGATCGCACGTTTGGGGCGTGGTGTCATCGCTCCGTATTACTCTGAGAAAATTCCACGTCCACGCGACGAGCTGTTTGCCTTGTACTGCATTCGTCTCTCTCTCTATCCAGGCATAAGCCTCAATCAGCATGGCAATTCCACCTGCTCAAGTCCGAATCGTCGAGGTCGGACCCCGCGACGGTCTGCAGAATATTCCCGGCAAGATATCAACTTCGACCAAGATAGAGCTGATCCGACGGCTACGCGAGACCGGTCTCACCGCGATAGAACTCACCTCGGTGGTTTCTCCGCGGGCGGTCCCGCAATTGGCGGATTGTCGAGATCTGCTCGGACACTCGTTCGTGCAAGATCTGTTGTCGAGTCCAAGGCAGCCGTCTCCGGAGGCTGGCTTGATGCGATGGCCGGTCTTGGTGCCGAATGTAAAGGGGTTGGAAATTGCCGTGCAGAATGGCGTGAGGGAGGTCGCGGTCTTTATCAGTGCCACGGAGGGATTCAGTCAAGCGAATATCAAGTGTTCGGTGGAGGAAGGAATAGCGAGAGCAAGGGAGGTTACTCGTGTCGCTACTAAAGCCGGTCTCGCAGTGAGAGGGTCAGTCAAGCCCGGTGCAACACCTTGCACAGATTTTGGATGACACAATGATTCGGTTCCGCATATACTGACTCAATCAACACCAGATATGTATCGTGCATCTTTGAAGATCCCTACGATGGTCCAACACCCCATCACGCAGTCCTTCATGGTGTGAAATCCCTGCTAGACGCCGGATGTCACGAAGTCAGCCTCGGTGACACTCTCGGTGTTGGTTCTCCAGCCAATGTCCACTCTCTCCTCGAGTATCTGACAGGCCATGATATCCCTATCACCAGACTAGCCGGTCACTTCCATGACACATACGGCCAAGCAGTCGCCAATGTCTGGGAAGCGTATCGATACGGCGTACGCGTATTTGACAGCAGTGTCGCCGGGCTCGGCGGATGTCCGTATGCCCCCGGAGCAAAGGGGAATGTCGCCACAGAGGATGTGGTGTATATGTTCCAGAATGCGGGGATCAGTACGGGTGTCGATCTGACGAAATTGGCCGAAGCAGGCGAATGGGTCGCGAATGAGCTGGGGCAGACCAATTCGAGTCGAGTCGGCAGGGCCTTGTTGTGCAAGACTCGAATGTCGCAAGACAAGCCATCGCCGACGACGACGACCACGACGTCGAGTCTGAACGATGCTCTGGCGAAATTCACACCATGCACAATGTCAATCCCCGCACAGTTCTCCCTGAAATGGACCTTGATGTCTTCATCTTCCAAACCATCCATGGAAAACAATCGGTTCTCCACCGACAACGTCTCGCAAACTCTTCCTCCCAAGGATCCCGACCAGGAGAAAGCCGCACTGTCCTCGTCCCAGCCGCAGTCCACATCATCGGCACGAGCCTGGATCTCGCTGCGAAGACCGTCATGTAGCAGTGTTCGTGTGTGAGAGGAACACCCGAGATCGCCCGATATAGTTGACTCGACTGGCGAGAGCGGCGGTATTCCAGCGGGGAAGGGCCACCTATTCCATTAATCGACGAGAATCGCTGACCCTCTCTTCGCACTCGACGTCTGACTCGTGAAACCGGTCGATTTAACGGAGCACACACGACGCCGAGGACAAGGGCTAAGGGTAGACTCAGAAGCCCAGGCCCCCTCTGTTCTCGGGAGATTCCTCGGAATCACACTGTGTGTAAAGACACCGAGGAACACACTCTGATCATCACATCGAACATGCCCACGAATGACGCATAGCGTCACTGTTGTCACTGCGAAAGGAGAAAGCCACGGCATAAAAGAACAGCCGGCTATTACTGGCTCTCCCTCCAATACACCGGCGCAGAGAGTACTCAGACGAGGGAGTGCGTTATGAGCAACCGCACGTCAAACCGCAGAATGATACTGATGTGTCGAGGGATTCAACGCCAGCATGATACTTGAGGTGGTGGAGGAATCCAGGAGGCCTTCGGTCCTGAAAAGTACTGGGTGCTGAGACCCTATGGTGTACTAGTTTTCATACACTCTAGACTCAGGGTCCACGTTCGTCACATGTACCTAAATAGATCCATTATGAAGTCTTTACTAATTGTGTGGGTTGAGATCTACTTCCGGGACAGAAGGTTGCACGTGCCTGTGTCAGACATAACCTGCGCGGAACAGATTCGGCGCTGTCTCTTCAACGTCATCAAAATCTACACATACTTGACGGGGCAAGGTCATGCTTTGGCTTTCTCTGAAATAGAAATAATGCCTGATTCTTCACTTATGCCCTCGAGTCAAGAACTTAAGACCATGTAACTTAACAACGATGGGGAAATACGCCGGGGAAAAATGATCGAGAAAAAAAAAAGGGTCCGACGTCCACGTTATAAAAAAACAAGAAAAGACGAGTCAACACAAAAAGACAAGTCACAACATTCTGAGCAACCGCGCAAGGGTCAAGGATCCAAAAAAAGGTGGTTTGTTTTTACAGCAGAATGAAGCTGGCACCGAATAGGGTGGAGACGATGGTCACCAGGCTGACGGCAACGGGAGCCATGCTGACGGTGAAGGGCTTGACCAGACCCGAAGCAGCAGCGGAGGAAGTCTGACCAGCGGCACCGGAGGTGGTAGAGGCGGAGCTGGAACCGGAGCTGGAACCGGAGCTGCTGGATCCGTTGCCGGTAGAGTTGGAGCTGGAGGCGGTACCGGCCCACTGAGAGCCCTTGCCACTGAAGCCAACACCTTTACCGGCACCATCCTTGAGGTACTTCTCGGCAGGCTTGGGAATGGTGGGCAGAGAGCCGGTGGAATCGACATCCCAGTTGGGAGAGTTCTTCTTGGGGCATGGGTTGGCACCACCGGTCTTGTTGTAGTTGCCATCACCCTGAGGGTTGGCGGTCTTGTCCAGGGCAGACTTGAGAGCCTTGTAATCAGGGAGGGGGGTGACATCGCTGCCCTTGATGGTCACCAGACCGTAGTTGCTGTCCTCCTCGGAGTACTCGTAGACCAGACCACCGGAGTAGACACCGGTCATCTTGGTGCTATAGAGAGCGGCGACTTCCTGGAACTGACGCTTGTTGGTGTTGCAACCGTACTCGGAGAGGAAGAGGGGAATACCGTAGCCGGTGAAGTTCTTGACCTTCTGGTCCCAGCCGGAGGTCGTGAAACTGGAGGGATCGCACCAGGAGTAGTCGTTGAAGGCGAAGAAGTCGGAGCGCTCGTCGGCAGTACCGCAGTTCATGTACTCGGCCATTTCCAGGCGGTTGGTATCGACATCTGCGGCAGAGTAACCGACCGGGACTTGACGCAGCTTCTGCTCCTTGAGGTAGTTGCGCAGATCACGGGTGACGGCCTTGACGTAGGGGGCGGCCACAGAGGAGGGGCCATCGTTGATGACCTCGTTTCCGGAGAAGAAGGCGAGAGTGTTGTCGTAGCGGGAGAACATGTCGACGGTGGCGAAGATGTACTGAAGGTAGACATCATTGTACGAAGGGGCCGGGTTGGCACGGTTCAGGGAGTACTTGGGAGTGTTGACGTCGAGCACCAGGTAGATACCGGCATCAGCAAGAGCCTTCATACACTCGTCGTGATTGGCCGAGTTGTCGACCGAGTAGACACGAATGGTGTTGAGACCCAGGTCCTGGAAGTTCTTGATATCGCGCTTGCAGGATTCGGCATCGGCGATGGGATCGGCCAGCTTGGAGGAGCCACCGGGCTGATAGTCGACACCACGGATGTAGAATCGCTCGTTGCCCTTGAAGAAGGCGTTACCCTTGACGGTGATGGGGGTCACACCGCTGCCACGCTTGGCAACGTCGGAGGGGGCAGCCAGAACGAACTGAGCACCCAAGGAGAGGGCCACGGCCACGGAAGAAATTGCGCCCTTCATGATGTCTAGATTGGTGTCTTAAAAGGTCTTGAGGCGTAAAAGGAGGTGGGCAAGGATGCAATTGAAGACGAGGTGATGATGAAGAAGCACCTGGTGAGTGTGAACGAATGTCGATAAAGTGAAGGACGAAAGAGGTCAAGGTATCAAAAACCCAAACGAATGACGGGTTGAAGGGGGGGGGGGGGGGGGGGGATTGAGGAATGGGGGATGGGAAAGCAGAAAGAGGGAAAGAGCGAGTGGGAAGCAGAAATAGAAGGAGAAGGAGGAAGATCAAGAACGAAGGGATGGAAGGAAAGGGATGATGAGGTCAGGTGAAAAGCGGGCAGCTGATCAGTTAGCAGGTACCTCCGTGACCTCGCTGTTCCTTAGGTAGTTACTACTGTTGCGGACGTGGGCGTTGGATGCTTTGCAGCGTCTCAGCTTTCCCTATTTTGGACCCTTCAGAGTTGGAGAGAGGGTCTCTCCTCTCTCCTCTCCACCGGCCAGGGCGGCTGGAGACTCCGACCACCTTCGATAAGTCCCACCACCACACCACTCAGGAGTCCGGAGGCGGGAGGGACCAGTCCCTGACGCTCTTGGGTCTTCCGGGGCTTTGCGGGAGGTGAAGGACTCTGCCGCTTGCCATTTGCCATGACGGGGGCAGGGGACCCTCTTCGCCCAAGACCTTCCAAGACCTGATCTCAGCAGCACTGCCTCAGTGGCCGGTACCCACCGTCCACCCATCGCAATCACCACTTGAGACGGTCCCACGAGGCGACGAGCCCACCCAAGAGGGTCCTCGGTGGACTCCCACCGGCCCTGATCGGCTGGTGGCGTACAGTGGAGTCGCCGTTCAAACAGGCAAAGATGGGCCAGGCCCATCTTTGCCAGGGCATCACCACGGCCGGTTGGCACATCATCACAACAAGGAGAGTTTCTTGGAGAGTCTTGGGTCGCAGTCAATCATGGACCCAAGACTCATGGCGGACAATGGTTCCACCACCGAGACAGCATCGAGCGACACGGCAGAGTAGGGCATTAGGGCATTAGGGCAAAAGGGCAAAAGGGCAATAGGGCAATGGGCAGCACCGTGAACACGAGACCTTCCTTTAGTGGTCTCTCCTGAAGCAGAGTAGTTTGTCCAGAGATAGACTCAGAATGTATATCAGTGCGGCGAGGACGTGACGTCTTGCGCTCCCGCTCAACTATGCCGTCGTGGAATTATCCCCCAATCATCCAGTAGAAGAGGCAATGGGCATCGGGTGGAACGAAAAGCTCATGCTCGGCCGGGTTGAAAAGTCTTGAGCGATCGGCAAAGAGCCGCCAAGCCATCAACAATCACAACATGCAGGGGCCCCTCGAATTTCGATGGGCTCACCCAATCAATCTCGGTACGGTCCTGTCATAGAACTTTGGACCCTGTCTGGACCCTGTAATGACCCCGTAATTAACACCCAGGGAGGAGCCACCAAGGGTCATTGAGATCAATGAGAGAAGAATCTGCTCCGAGCTCATCTCCACATCAATCTACGATTGTATCGCAGCAGACAAAACCTTACTTCACGAAGTTCAGTCGAAATTCAGTCTTCAGTGTCGTATGGTAAGTGTCCAGGAAAGTTACCGTAGAACAGGTCGGCCGTGGAAATTGGTGGTTCAACAGCGCTCAGCTTCGGGTCACAGTCACACGCGAGAGGTATTTTTAGGAATCTGTCAATGTTTCATCGAAACTCTTTGATCATGGGGATCCATGCGCGGTTGATCAGAAAAATGTCCATCAGGACTCGCCCCACGGCGGCCGAAAAGCCAAACCGACAAGGAGGATCCTGATGATATTGTTGTCGATGGGCCGATCATCGTTTCGAGGACGCGTACTCTTCTGCAGTATTGACCATTTAACCATCGAGAATAGGATCGTCCATGCTGAGAGGTGGAGAGCCCGCTGATCATGATAGACGACTCTTTCTCTCTCTCTCTCTCTCTCTCTCTCTCTCTCTCTCTCTCTCTCTCTCTCTCTCCAAGCACAATACGTGAGATCATCCATGACCTCTTATCACATTGCTATTGACGTCTCCATCGAGTTGTGGGATTGGTGGAGGTTTGTCTTTCAACTGATGGAGACCGAGTCATGATTAGGAGCTACCTACCTCACTCGTACAGTATGTACCCATGTGACTGTAGTAGTTCATAGTTACGTACTGACCGTTGCGAGTGTCGAGAACTTGAATCCGCATCGGAAGATATACCGTGTGTGTCACGTGCGTCTTCCGGGACTGATCACCACTATGGGCGGTTTCACCAGTCTGTAGGTCCACAGCTAGGGAATCACACCGACCTGTGTCGTACAAGTTTGATCCCGTATACTACCTAAGTACCTGGGAGCCTACTCGACCCACGGTGCAGATTGTCCAAAAAGGCCATGACTGACTAACTTAAATGATCTGCGCTCAATGAACAATAGTTCAAAAGCAACGCTGATCTTTTGATTTGTTAGAGCATTGCCTCTCTCTCCAGCTGCTGGTTATGTTGCTCTCGTGTTGCTCATGACCGGTAGTCAAGTGCCCACCGGAGAGAGCTCCAAATTCGCCGCGTTTTCTTCTCTTCCATCTTATACTGCCGTTTCTCTTTCTTGAATCCCAGATGCAGATGCTCAGATGGAAAGCTAACGGATCTTCTGCACGTCCAATCATTTTGATCTTCCAGGCAGCACACTACTGCCAACAGTAGACACAGAGTCGGCTGCAACGCAGGTAAGTACTGATATCTTCGACTTCTCTATATCCTCAGCTAACATCACCTAACCTAGCCACCAACGACGCTAAAATTGGGGATCAAATATCCCTCTCGATGATATCAAGAAGTCTGTTTAGCTCTGCAACAAGAAGGCTGGATGTGTCCACGCTATCCTGAACGTTGCCGAATATAGATGCTTCCTTCGCTCCGAGGGTAATAGAGTGACTCTGACCACCTGGCAATACCATAGCTTCCACCTGGTGTGAACGACAAACAATATCTGCTTTGTTGCTGGGTTAGAAAACTTCATGGCGCCATTTATCCTTGTGAAGTGTTTGGGGAGGATCATGATCCCCAAACGGCTCCTGTTCGCGACACGATTGGGAGTCAAGACTCATGAGACGTTCTTCTTCTTGTTTCTCCCCATGTTTTATATTCCTTTTGCGAGTAGGTATGTCCTCAAAGCCCCCCCCAATTGCGGCCATCTCTTTGTCTTGGAACGCTTTCCAAACAGTCCGCGTTCTGCGCTACAATCGTGCCTTCAAAATCGGTCTCAATTTACTATCCAAGCCATACGTACCTCAATATATCACTTCAAACTTTGAGCGGTGCTGTAATAGTTCCCGCCCCACACAAATAGTCATTCTATTTACCCCCCTTCGGCACCAAAACAATAAGATGAAGCCAAGTATTAGTCCGGAGCATTTTCGACAAGACATGTCTTTTGTGAAGCTATGCCTGAGACTACATAGGTCACGAGCCGAAGAACTACTAGACTTGAGAAGGACGTCTTTGTGTAGGTAACAGTTTGGAGAAGACGAGCATACGGCAGATCCCCAGGTACACAAGGAGGCGCGTGAGACAGACAATTCAAAGGGAAGTTACCGGTTCACTGGAGAGTCTCAAGGCTTTCTCCGCGTCGTCACGTAGGCACAGAGCGAGCAGCTATACTAGACCATGGGAAATGCCGAACTGATGTTGCCCTCCTCGCCCTTTATCTTCTCTTTGCTACCCTCTTCCCTCCATCTTTCCTTTTCCCCAACCCCTTTCCGAACGCCTTCCAAATACCCACCGCTAGTTTCTCCTGTGGATCTTCAGTCACGTTCAAGCCTCTCTGAATATCCACACCAAGCTGACGAAGATGACTTCTGACCCTCCTAAGCGAAGCTTGTTAGCCGACCCAGCCTATCTGGAGATCATCGACAAGCTCTTTGCGTGCAATGTGGGAGAGTACATCAGTCTTCCACAGCTTGTCGTTGTCGGTGACCAGTCGAGTGGGAAAAGCTCGGTTCTTGAGGGTTTGACAAAACTTAGTTTTCCAAGAGACAGCGGCCTCTGTACTCGGTTTGCGACTCAAATTATCTTTCGGCGTGAAACGCATATGAGCAAGAGAGATATCGAAGTCTCCATCATTCCGTCCTCGGATCTTGAAGCAGCAGATGCAGACAAGTTAAGGGCGTGGAAAAGGTCTGGTGCGGAGGCTCTTGAGCAAAAGGATTTTGTATCCATGATGAAAGAAGTATTCTATCGTCTTCCGGTTGGGTTTCAAAAATTTTCTGACTGGCACTAGGTACACGAGCTGATGGGTCTCTCATCATCTCCAAACGATGGGAAGCCAACATTTTCCAACAGTGTTCTGCGTCTGCAAATTTCTGGTCCGGAAGAAGAGCATCTCAGCGTGATCGACGTACCTGGTATTTTCAAAAACACGACACCTGGATTGACCACAAAAGAGGATATTACCATGGTCCGAAACATGGTGCTTCGTTACATGGAAAATCCTCGATCAATTATGTTGACCGTTGTGCCGGCCAATGTCGACATTGCAACTCAGGAAATTGTCGAGTTGGCTAAAGAATACGACCCAACTGGGGAAAGAACGTTGGGGATCTTGACTAAGCCTGACCTGGTTGATAAAGGAGCTGAAAGCAGAATTATCTCTTTCCTCGAGAGCCAAGCGACGACGGTGAAGCTTGGTTGGATTGTAGTCCGAAATCCTGGGCAGCAGCAACTGGATAATCCTCAAACTGATCGCGATGCGGAGGAAAGGACGTTTTTCATGTCAAGTCCATGGAATCAGCTCCCGCCTGGGTGCTTCGGTATCAACGCACTTAGAGATCGTCTTCAGGAACTTCATTCTTCGATCACACGTCGTGAATTTCCGGCTGTAAGTACAACATCGAGAAGCCAAAATGATTGTTCTGACGCCGAGGACTCATGCACTGCTTGAAAGGTACGCATCGAGCTAGGCAAAAAGCTTGCATCTTCTCGCGATGCTCTTCAGACTCTGGGCAAAGAACGGGAAACCGCCGAGCAGCAGCGACAATTGTTGCTAGATGTCATTTCAAACTTCCAGCAAATCGTGCAACACGCACTGGCGGCCAATTATGGTTCCCTGAAAGCATTTGATGATCCCGATTTGCGACTGGCGACACTGATTGTCTCCAGGAACATATCTTTTGCGCAGGATTTTCTGACTCGGGGACATATTTATGCTTTTCAAACTGGTTGCTCTCAAGAGGACGTCTCACCTGATTCTGAGGCTCCCAATGAGAACGAAATTCTTGCTACCCCTCCAAGCCCCACGCCAGAATCAATTCAAGACAGCCTCAATCCTTCGGAGCCCGCGGCCCAGCCAACGTCAAACTCAACTCGCCAAACGGGCGGCTGTGAGGCTTTGCAAGATATACTTTCCGCCGACGAAGAGATCGAATGCTCGGTCATAAGTGGTATCAATTCTTGGATAAGCCAGTTGTACAGGGACTCGAAGGGGTTTGAAATTGGAACGTTCAATCATAATTTGCTATCAACCCTCATGAGAAGGCAGTCGGCTAAGTGGCCCGCTCTTGTCCACGGCTACGTTAGTGATATTATTGTTTACGTCCACACATTCCTTCAGAAGGCACTGCTGGCCTCATGTTCTGATAGGCAGCTGTCTACCAATGTTTTGTCCCTGATGATGGATGAGTTGGTCGAGAGATACCGTCGAGCAATCTCTGCGGCCGATTTCCTCCTTGATATTGAGAGAGCCGGTACTCCAATGACGCTTAATCATTATCTCAATGACAACCTCCAAAGAAGGTGAGTTTTTTCCTGAAAAAGAATCGAGCGCTCCCCGAAAAAGACTGATCGAACCATGTTCCACAGCCGACAGGAAAGACTACAAAAGGAGTTGTCCAATAAGGTTTTTACCTCCAAGCATCATGGCCCCGCGATCCAACTCAGTGATCTTCAACAACAGTCTCACATGAGCAACTCGGAGCATACCGTACAAGATATTCACGATATTTTGCGCGCCTACTACAAGGTCTCTTGCAAGCGGTTTATTGACAACATCTGTATGCAGGCGTCTGATCATCATCTCATTACTGGCCCGCGATCCCCTCTTCGCCTGTTCAATCCTTCCTGGGTCATCAGTCTTTCGGACAGTAGTCTTGAGAGGTTGGCTGGTGAATCTACAGCAACGAAGCGCAGAAGACTGCAGCTTCGGAAAGAAGTTCAAGACCTAGAGAACGGAAGAAGGGCTCTGATGGGTTAAAAGATGCTTGGGCGACTTGTAGTCTCTATGGCCTGCTGAAGATCTGTCCTGAAAATTGTTTTTCTAGCCGTCAGTATCAATTTGAAATGTCAATGTGAAATTATTTCGTCAATCGACCATGAAGAAACTTCAATTTTCGGCAAAGGCCATTTTTGACCAACGTCTTTTTTGAAAGACAAGTGATTTATTTACAGAACACAAAGAAATCTTCGGCTGATGAACCAAGCACCAGACTTGAGCTTCCTTCATTGCCTCCGTGTCTCGTGCAATACATCCTCGATATCATCTCGGAACATTGCACCTGTTCACTCACGATGGGTCTTACCTAAAGTATCGGTCCCATGAAGCCAATCAAAAAGCCCAATCGAGCCATAATTCAGATTGAAATTCTCATGATGCAGATCATGCATCCTTGCCTTATTGTGGAAGAAATCATATCCACTATGAACGGTGGCTGTATTGAAGAGTTCCCAGGCGAGATACGCCCAGAAGGTCAAGATATGGCTGTACAATAGCTGGGGAGGAAGCGAGATCGGGAGCGCGTTGGCAAAGATCTGCTCGACGGGATGCGCAAACTGAGCTGCTAGCGCAATAGGGGCGGTGAACTTGTGATGTTTCTTGTGGATTCGTCGGTAGAGAAATGGGACATGGAGCAGTCGGTGGCTATAGTAGAAGAGGGCCTCGCGTAGGACGAGGCTGATGGCGATATCACGGATAAATTCAGTGATTGTTGGTAAGGCGGTGGTGACTCGATAGGATGTCCCTGATCCCGATCGTTTGCTAAGATATATAAGAGCCAGATGCAGAGCTGACGAGAGGATCTGATTCTGGGTCACCACACTGAAACAACGCACGATGTCGCTGCGGGTGGGCTGTTTTGGAGCTGGTTGAATCTTGTGGTGCTGACTGAAGCGAGGTGCAAGAACGTCCAAGGAAAGATACAGCATGGATGGCAGCCAGAAAAACAGGATCTGAATCATGAACGTGCCTACGAACTCGATGCGCTGCGCAGAGTATGTGGCCACCGTCTCCGCCCAAAAGGCTGTCAGTGGCCCGAGGAATGGCCTGCCATATTCTTTAACGGCTTCCATTTCGGCGACGACGAAAAGTCCTCATGGAAGCTGTTGTCAATTCTTCTTCTTGCTGCGGGGAAGATGTGCTCCCAGCTATATGCAATTGAAGAAAGAAATACTTGTTCCACTTTCCCCGCGGTCAAGCGTTGCAAGTACGTTCGAGTCTTCAAAGTTAAATTGTGAAGCCTCGGTTCCCTTTCCCCCACAAAAAGGGTCCATGCGGCCTGCCCCGTCTTGGGGTTGGATCCGCCGCTACGAACCGGTTCCTACGATCGGGTCTCGGGACGAGATCTGCCATGTGACGACGCATTATCTACACATTCCACACAGTCGTGGCAACGAGATGAGTACACTGACGAGGTCCATATCAATGTACGTTTGCGATGCTGACAGAGATCAGGCCAGGTCACGGGTCAAAATGAGCTTCGGGCAAAGGAAGACAAAGACAACGCGACTCATAAACTTTGTCTGGTGCGAGCGTACAACCAAGAGTTGAGCAGTCGAACATAGTAGTCGAGCTTGTTTGGAGAAGGCTACTGATTAGTACGATGTCATGCAAAGAAAGGTCTCTGCAATAAGAATCCACTACTCACGAACCGATTCTGCGCCGCTATCGTGCGCTTGCATGAAGGTCAGCAGATATCACAACAGCCTCAACCACGCATGCTCGTTTGGCAGCCCTTCACTGCTTCGTAGGTACATGCTAAAACTGGACCTTGTGATCATCACACTGATTATCCATAAAGGACTATTATCCTGGAAAGACCCGGAGACCAGACTCTTTCGAGAACTCCGAAACACGGAGCCTGCTACTTACCTGGTTCTCGGACACTCAAGATGAAATACATCGACTATGCCATCTGTCTCCTTCTGGCCAATATCAGTGGCTATGGTACTGGCATCTCGATATGGAGACCATGACCAACTCCCGCTTGTTTCGATTCAAGAAAAATTTCCCAGTAGAATGCGAGGGAGTGTGTCCGAGTGGATCAAGATTGCCCGTGAATCACCTGACAGCCGACGGCGCAGGCCATTCTCCAACCCTCAACTAACCAACAGCAGGCTACAGAACCATTCAGTACCTCCTGTTCGCCGAGAACCCCGACGCACTACTGCCATCACCGATCATTCAAAGCCTTGAAAGTAGCATCCGGAAACGTGCCGCGTGTTACCAACGTGGACCTTGAGAATCGACTGAGAACAACCCTGGGCTTTGGAGCGGTCTGTGCTCCCAAGCCCCGAGATATAGGAGCACTATCTCGAACAACAATGACGTTGTCTTTGGGTCACTCCGCTCACCTAAGGCAGGTCCAGATGGATTACTGAACCAAGCTCTGAGGAGATGGCCATGAAATTTGACGATAAGCAATTGTTCCGGGGAGCAATTGGTTGGTATTTACGTGAAGAAGTTGACAAAGTAATGCCGCAGAAGTGGCTGACTGACACATCCATTGGGGGGGGGTTGCACTCTATCCTGCTCAGGGATGATCCAAGTCGCATTTGAAATCAGCACGATCATGTCCTATGTAGATAGAGAACCCTCCGGTCTGCCAACCCGTTGAACAACGCATTGTGCTCGTCGTCATTCTGCTGTAGCGGGTTCCAATTGTGCTTGAAGAATTCGGGATGATCCAGGCGGGAATCGACGCCGAATGCAATACGAAACCTGCATATTCCAGTTATTTCGGCACTCTTCTGGGCTCGAGCAACGATGCTGTGATATTTGCCGTCTCAATGTGCTCAGATTTTGCTCGATCACTCTCGCTTATATGAATTTAAATTCTTCGTACCTCTTAGAGCTGACAATCCGTTGACTAATTGCGGGCTGAAGACAAAATGAGACTCGGCTTTCGGGGCGCGCAGCTGGGAATCCTCTTCTGTATCTTCATCTCGATAGAGTTTTGTCTTGCACTTCAATCATCGCAAGCATGTCCCTGCGATCCGGATCAGATGAGCGTTCGAAGGGAATGGTGAGCGAAACTTGCCCTAGTGATCCGTGTCAAAGCATACAGAGCCAAATCTGATCCTCGCGCTGATCTCAAGGGGTGAGCTCTCTCCTGCCGAGAGAATTCACTACACGGATGCTGTCCGATGCTTGATGCGTCTCCCGCCCAAGTTGGCCGCTGTGGGCAGCTTTCCCGGTGTCCGAAGCCGATTCGACGACTTTGTCGCGTGCGAAAGCCTCAATGGAGAGAATAATGCCCGATGGACAACAGGCTGACTATGTTGCCATAGAACGCATATCAACTACACTCTGAACAGCCACTATAGTGGTCTATTCCTACCGTGGCATAGGCAATTTCTTTGGTTATTCGAGCAAGCCCTTCGAGACGAATGTAACTTCGAGGCGCATCTTCCGTACGTTCTTCTCATGTCTCATTGATCATGCCTTCGTGTGAAGTCCTTGATACTTACGGCTCGATGCAGCTACTGGAACTGGCCCCTCTGGGCAGGAAGACTTGCCGAAAGTCCTCTCTTTGACGGGAGCGACACATCGCTGTCTGGCGATGGGAGCTACAATCCCGCCGAGCAGGACATCTCCGGTGGAGACGTCACCCTTCCTCGAGGCTCCGGCGGAGGATGTGTCAAGGACGGGCCATTCAAGAACACGATTATCAATCTGGGCCCTTTCCCTCGAACCATCCTCTCTCTGACCGAGATCCCGGCTCCTCAATTTGACTACAACCCACGATGCTTGAACCGAAGCCTCAACAACTTCGTCTCTGCCCATCTCACCAATCAAGCCCATGTCGCCAGTCTTCTTGCAACTCCAGATATTGCCAGTTTCCAACTGACGCTGGACCATTGGCCAGCCAGCCCGAGCGGAGTGCTCGGTTTGCATGGTGGCGGACATTTGAGTCTTGGGTCAACCATGCAGGATCTGTTCTCTTCGCCGCAGGATCCGGCGTTTATGCTTCACCACGCGATGATCGATCGTCTGTGGGGTATCTGGCAGACTGCGGACGAGGAGCATCGGCGGTACGCGGTCAATGGGACAAATCGCATACTTAATCCCCCTTGGGTAGAGCCCGTGACTCTTGGGATGAAGATGGAATTTGGGATCTTGGGTGAAAAAAAAACAGTGGGCGAGGTGATGAGTCCATGGAACGGGGGAATGTGCTATCGGTATACCTGAGAAGAGATGAGCGAGCAAAATCCATGAAATCGCAGAGGCGTGAGATTGATGTGTATGAAGGATGATGTTGGGTTGCTCGAGTAATGCTCATGCATGGATGAATGCTGGTCGAAAATCCAGAGAGCATTGGTTGTATGCTTTGGAAACTTGGCAAGTGACTTCATATTATATAATTTTAATGTACACGCAGAATGTTTCACATTTACAATCCTAAACCCTCGATCATCTCACACCGGAAGGCAAACGAGACCAAAGACTGATTATGGTACGCACTATCATACAATCATCGATGTAGATTTGATCCCTCGTCAGCCTAGCCGAGCAATCTGAAACGTCAGCTGGAATCATTTGGACGATACTTTTGGAGGAGATAAAACTACCCGCGGAATTCCACAACTTGCATGCATCACTATCAATCTTCCGCAACTGCAGGTGCAGGTGCAGGTGGCCAGCCAAGGTATTCGCATGGAATGGTCGGCGTGGGTGCGGAGATGTAAGACAGTGGGTGGCTGGGATGAGATCCATTGGCCACCACTCCAAGAGGAGAAATTGCGTAAGCTCAGGGACTGGTCGAAGGCCGATGCGTTGGCAACTGGATGTAATTACGTGGAGTCGTAGATCTGTATCTCGCGGCATTTGCCTAGTGCAGTACACAATACATTCAACGAAGTATGCGACAGACCACCATTATAACATCAATTAAGCCTCCGCGACCAAGCGATGGGTCAGGGAGAGTCAATTTCTTGAAGTCAAGGAAGAGTAAGCAATTCGGCAGACAGAACCTCCAATCCAATCGCTCCATCCTAAGAACAGCTGGAGGTGCCTTGACGGTCGGCTATATGCAAACAGCCAGAATCACCGGCTAAGGGAAGGACTGCGTCGGTTCGTCCAATCAAAGTGGAACCTGGACGTCATCAGTAGCAGGCGCAATGAAACATTCAGTCGGATGGTAAAATCAGCAAAGTCAAAATAGCAGCCACGTAGGTTGGAAAAGCTCCACATGGTCTTCGCTTGCAAGTAAAATGGGCGTATATGGGACCTTCTTTGCTAATTCTATAATCTCAAATCAAGTGACTGTCAAATGCTACTGGGGTTACGACTTTCACATCGAAAACTGCCTTCTCATTATGTGGGCGTGTGAACTGTCCTGCTGTCCAGAATAAAAGGAGGGACTATCTACCCAACTGAGTATCCCAACTAGAGTTGAGGTAGCACAAGCTACATGCATTGAGAGAGCTTGAATTGTCAAGACTTTCAAGGGCACAGTGCTCTATAGAATAGCGTGCAGCTAGAGGGCCTAGTCAGTAGTTGCTTTACCCTGTGGTTGGAGAAAGTATCAAGTAAGGGGAAGGGAAAAAGAGAGGATTCTGTATGGAGGCTGCATAACCTGTGGTGTAAATTTAATATTAAACAGGGCCGCCCGGTGCGAATCACTCATTAGAATGGGAGAAAAGAAGCGATATCACCGTCTACAGACAGATATGAGGAGTACTCTCAAGAGGTCTAGAGCAAGGAGAGAAGTACTGAGTTGCTCACGGTCTGATTTGATGACTTCCATTCAAGAATTATTGGCAGTGTACATATACCATTCACTTACTACACCACGAGTCCTGCATCTCTCGATATCCCTCCTTAGGCCCAACAAGCGGTGAAGATTGTCCAATATACAACTTATTGTTTACCTTAACAGCCCTTTCGTCTCTCATTCTAGAATCTCATTCTGCGTCCTACATTAAGGAAATATGCCTTCTCTCCTCAGCCGAGCGATCAGTGTCCACGTACAGCGACCAGATATTGCAGTCACACACTGGGGGCAGATATGGTCAGTGCAACCGCAGCCGCACCTTAGCGGGTCTAACAATCCAATAGGTTTTGGATACTCACAGCTACCTTTGCCGTCGCTGGGATTCTGTTTCTGGCAGCGGCTCTCCTCACCCAAAGGAAAAGCCTGCCAATTTTCTACTATCTGTCAGCATTGGCGTGCTATGTCATCTCCATGGGCTACTTTGCCATGGCTGCGGATCTTGGCTGGGTCGCTGTGGAAGTAGAATTTGTGCGTGAGGGCTGGCACGCCAATCTAGGCAGCAATCCCACCCGCCAGGTATTCTGGGCTCGCTACGTATCGTGGTATGTTTACACTGAGAAACAACCTTCACAAAATCAGGGGCTGATGAACTGTTAGGCTTGTTGCTACACCATTATTGATGACCGAGCTTTTGCTGCTGGTGTCTGCTTCCATCGAGGTGATTCTGCTGGATGTATTCCTTATCCTGATTGTGATGGGGACTGGCTTTTTTGGGGCTATCATTCCCAGCACATACAAGTGGGCCTACTAGTACGCAAAACTTCTTGTTGTCACCATTTCCATTTAAGCTCTTGCTAACAACAAATGGACCAGTTTCTACGGGGCCATTGCATGCGCTGGGATAGCCTCCTTACTGGCTCACGGGCACCGGCTAGCGTCGCGGCATGGGAACTCAATGAAGCGGATGTACTTCCTTTGCAGCTTAGACATATCGATTCTATGGTGCGGCTATGGTATTGCCTGGGGGTTGAGTGAGGGGGGCAACGTTATCTCTCCCGATGGAGAGGCTCTCTTCTATGGAATGTTGGATTTAATTGGAGGCCCCGTGTATGGTATTCTCGTGGCACTGACCGCTTCTCAGTGTTTACGCGAGGCTGATGATAGTCTACAATGTTGAATTGCATTCCATGTTGACATTCTCGGGGATGTTGAGAGTCGCTGTATCCAGATTCGCTAGTGCTGCGTGCATGACGCCTGACTTGGGGAGGTCCCTAATAAATTCCAAATGCACTGGTAGGGAGCCGTGGATTCAACGAATTACACGACTAAGGTAAGACTATCTTTGAGGGGGCCTCATTTCAATTGTGGCCTCATTTCAATTGTGAGGCCGCACGGTGGTCGCACTTGTTAATACGATCCTTGATCCTGGAAAACAAATGTCCAGTCAAAATTATATGGCAAACTCATATACACGATAGAGTAAGACTTATCGGAAAGTCATCGACCAGGAAGTCTTTATTGTCTACAACTTTCGTATCAACCTTGGTAGATTGCTTGTAAACTTGACATTGCTCGACCCTGTAATCTTTCAACCAGCCTCCATGGGAAGCCAGCTGGTAGATACGAATTCACTGGACATCAATCACAAACGCACAATATATGAATGTAGTAGTAGATGGACTGATGTTGTAAGATTGCATGCTCATAGGTCAGTTCAGAATCAAACGAACCTTCGGCTGCCAATTATGTTGGTTGACTTCGATGCACTATTTACAATCCGTACAGGCCCCATCAGACCCAGTGTATGTAGAATTGTAGAGTGTTAAGAGTGTAGAGTTTCACGTATGACAACATGACTCCGATGAACCGAACATCATGCCGAGTCGGAGTGGGGCCTACCGTCGCTATTTTCAGCCTCGCCAGACTGAAACTGAACCAATGACGAGCGAAGGAATAGCAGGCCGGCTATTTAGCATTTACTAATTTACTAGTAGTACATAAACTAGTGGTTAGTACCTTACCTAGTACTTGGTACTCACAGTGTACACAAATCGAAATCCTCGGAACGTGCGATGAACAGAGATCAAAGCGGGATAATTCCTAGTGAGAATTCTCGGAGGCAACGCGATCTTTCTATGGCTGCAATCGATCATGGGGTGAAACCAGAGATCAATACACTTGGAGGAACGTGGTTGACGGACGAGCCACGAGGAATCTAGCAGGATTTCTTTTCCGTACCGATGAAGGTGGACTCTGAAGTCTGATCCTATTGTTCCTTTCAGTTTGCGGAATCTACTCCCTTGCAAAACCATGGGTACTGCGATCTTGTCTTGTAATGCGGAACCATAACCCTGATTGGACCTGAAGAGCAGAAACACTCGGGTTCCTAACCACGGATGCCGTCTGGTATGAAGGGGGCGCAGAGAATTTTCATCAGAATCCAGCAACAAACAGAAATCCAAATTAGGGGACCTGGAACCATTTCTTTCTTGTAGGCTTCAGAATTGATAGGACATGCGTAGAATCCATCAGCACAGCACCGAACGACAGGATCGTGGCGGACAGCCTATTCCATGTTGTGATATTCACGAAACTTCCCACAGGCTGACGTTGATCGCATCGCCTCGATATGTTCCCCACTCTCGAGTCCACTTGCGCCCTCGGAGCTCTTTCGTGGACGAATCCCGACGGCGGAAGAACGAGGCTTTACCCAGCCACCCGGCGAGCTCCCTCGGTGTAGCTTACCTAACTCGGCATCGAATTGAGGACGTACTACTAGTCTCTGTTGGCCGCCCATACATCACCGAGTAGTACTAATGTGAAGAATAGAAACCGTGCTCAAGATAAAGACAAAAGTACCCAATCTGCAATTTTACACGAGCACCGGTCATACGTGGGGAATGTGCGTCCATACCATCGAAAGCTTGACCAATTCGGTCGGCGAAGAAGACAATGTGTCTTTCTGGTAGGGACCTGATCCATGATTGCAGTAAGTTCGACATTTGATTGTGTACCTATCACTAGACCGTGGGTGTACATGGGATACTTGCTACATACTGTGCAAACCTCGGTGGGTAAGACAATAAAATGAAGAAATATCTAAATTTATCTCCATCGACCAAGCGATTCAGCATTGCCGCTCGCCAATGTCTCTGAGTTATGACTCGATGATTATTCATTCTTATTGTTCGTATCGTCATCACTTGTGGATTACTGGACTGTTTCGCTGCAGACCTGAATGAAAGTCCCACTTTGGGTATCAGTTGCCTTCCAGAGTGGTCACTAGTCACTGGTCAGCCCCGAAAACCGGGAAGCTGTCAAGCTCCATCGGATTGCCTCATCCGGTGGCTCCAGGGAACGGCTCTTGTTTTTTTTTTCTCTCGTGGCTCGCGTTTCCATTGCAGACGGTGTCCCTCGGTGCCTCTGCGCCTTGCTACAGTGCCTCATACTGCTTGATCCTATATGTAAGTTGTTTGTCCCTGTGTTACTTGGCTACATTTCCAGGTGGTTCCTGCGCTTACCCTTCTCTTGTACCCACTTTTCTGTATCTAGTACCTTGTCCCCCTCTCAACGGCATTTTCCCTCTTCGCCACCACCTTTCACTTGTCCTACCTACATCTTTCCTCATACCATCTTCAATCCTGTTCTCCCACCCCTTCTTAATTGCATCGCTGTTTAGTCAACATCCGGTGGACTCCCCGTTGCTCTCGGTACGACTTGGTCCCAATCACCAATCCGTCATCTTAGCGGATCACAGACATTGCTGCCAAAGATGTTTCGAATCCAGTGGCTTCAATACCTGACCGTGTCGCTATCGATCCTGTCGCTCGCGTTCGCGACAGATCCTCGACCGACTGACCGCGCAATGCTTCGTGAGTCTGAGTCACTCCAGGACGCTCTAGCCAAAATCAACGCGAACTCCCTCCACGAGGCGCTGCACGTCCTGTCTCGCAGATTTCAACATGGCATTTTCGAGACTGACATGAACGCCGCCGAAGCCATGCAAGCCGAGGACGAGAGAATCGCAACTCTGCTGAGTCTGGCCAAGCGTGACAGCAACTCGACCACTTCTCCCTTGCCGGTCACCACCTCAGAAGTGACCACTTCCCCAGAGCCCGTCACTTCGCCTGCCCCCATCACCACCGCAGTTCCTCCCACGGAATCTGCCACCACCACTGTCGCCCCAGTGACCACTTCGCACTCGACCACGCAGGTTGCCCCCGTCACCACGCAGTCGACGACTTCAATTGTGGAACCTACCACGGTCAAGCCCACCACGTCCTCCAGCTCGACCACGACCTCCTCCAGTTCCAGCTCCACTCACGACTCCACCACACAGGCAGCTCCCAGTACCACGTCGACAACCGCGCAAGCGCCTTCCTCCACGTCCACGTCGCAAGAGGCTCCTCGCACTACCTCTGAGACCAGCACGACGCAATCGACTCTCTCCACTACCACCAGTCGTGCTCCGTCGTCATCGTCCAACACCGCCGAAAGTACCGATAGTTCTTTCACAACGACTTTCAAGAGTACTTCCACCAAGCCCGACGGCAGTCTGGAAACCATCACCTCAACCGCGATTGTCCACGTGCGTCCAACAGGCGGATCTGGCTCTTCTCCTACGAAGACCGGCTCTGCCCCCGGCTTGCAGACTACCGGTGCTGCGTCCATCAACACCGTCAATCGTTCCTGGGAGGTGATGGCCATGGTCTGGGGCGCCCTGGTAGCTGTCATGGCACTGTAATCGGGGAAAATGTTCTTTGATTTCCCAATCGACTCCCTGTGGTCTTCAACCTTCTGGCCGCCGTCCCTTGATTGGAACGCTACCTTTTTCCGTCATCCAATCTCCACCACTTGCCCCCCCCTTTCAGAAAAGTTGGTTTTCTGATCTTACTTTGCATCGTGCATCATTTACATTCTGCAGCGTTTTCTCTCCTCCATGGCGACCTTTTGTCGTTCCCTCTACGATCCTTATGATACCTACTCATGTCTCTCCTTTTCCCATTCAGATTGGTTCTCTTATTCGGCGTTAGGGCATACCTGGGTTGGGGACCGGGCCATCTGGGTAATCTTGCTTCTTAGTCTTTTCTTACTGCGTATGAAACTGCGCGAGGTTCTGAAATGAAATTACAGATATTCGATGCGGAGTGGGCGAGTGACGAACATCTCATTTGCCCCAACCCTCGAAGATGCTTTCAATGTCCATGGCGTTCCTGCTCCTGCTCAATTGACCGGTGAACCTCCAACCCTCTCTCAAAAGCTCGTGTAGGATTTGATTCTTCATATTTATCCAAATCAGCCGTATATCGCCAAAACAAACAACAGGCTATGCACACACCCTGAAGTGAGCTACCGCTCATCAAGTCCGCTTCTGGTTGCACCGGGTAAACACATGCTTATATCATCTCATACATATACCGGCGGGGGGCACTGGCGGCAGGCCCGAGAACTTATACCCCGGATGGGGGTCGCCGTCTGCATTTCAACCAAATTTCTACTCAGTCTTCCCTTCCAATTCTGCTCAACCTCTCACCGACCCACAGCCGAATCACCCTGCCACCGTTCCTCCCCCGTCCAGTACCGCACCACACTCTCCCACGCGGGCAAATCGCCGTCCCGAAGCAGCGCCGCCACATCCACATTCAGCGGCGAGTCCGGTTGCGGATCGGTCAAGAGCTGATGGATTGCGGTCAGCGTGGAGGAAAGCGTGTAGACGGGACTCCAGTGTTCGGTAGTTAAGAGCGTCAGACAGATTTCGCCCGTCGTGAAGGAGATGTTGGGGTGGGATATCCTGGTGGTGAAGTGGATTGTGGGTGGCGCGAGAGGATAGTTGGGTGGGATGGAGATCCGGAGATGCCATAGGCCGCCTGAAGATTGGGGGTTTCAGTCAATGTGTTAGTCTTATCGTGAAGGTGCAGTGAACAGAGGCAAGAAACTGAGAGAGATGGAATGGATGTCGGCGCTTCGCGAGTTGGATGATATGCAAATGGATTGCCTTTTGAGATCTTCTCGTATCGCGTCGCAGACGCATCGCATACCTTCATAGGGTGTCCCATTGACGCCCTTCAGGACTGCCTCCCAGCGGAGGAGATCCTCGTCATCGACAGGACCGAGGTGTAAGAGGGCCTCGTTGGGCGATTTGGAGTATTCCTTCAACTCGCGGATCAAGCGCTGCGTCGTATTGGTGGAGGGTGCGGCCATTTCTGCCTCGGGAATGTATACTGCGTGTCCACCTTGCTGTGGATGGATCGTGGAAGAATGTGGCGGTCAATGAGGTCAGCCCAGGCTATCTAAAGTGCGACGAGACGATAGGTGTATATAGTGCCGGTCTGGTAGGGTGCGACCCAAAGCATATGCAGCACAACGCGAACGTGCAGAAGGTCAAGAGAGAAAGAGCCTCGGGCGAGCAAACCGAAGCTAAAAGAGTCGGAGTCGGTCCACTGCGATCGTCGCCGAGGCTGAGGGGGGAAGATTGGAGATCCAGCGGGAAACTTGGTCCCATCGGCCACCCCCCAGACCGCATCCACGGATCGGAGTCCACATGTGAATTTTCCCCGACGAGGCGTCAATCGATCTTCTTGCGATTGTCTTTTTCAAACCATTTCGCATCCATCAAACCTCCCGCCAAGTCTTCAAGATGCGCACTTCACGGGCATCCAAGGACACCGCCAGGGTCCTGCAGGCCCTGTCAACTCCGACTCGACGTCAGACTCGAAGCTCGGCGCTCGGTACGGGGGCGTTGAGCAGTTTCGCCTATAAGAGCGATCCCACCGTCAAGTTTGAGCAGATCTCAACGCTGGCCATGACATCGACTCCTCGGAGCGATGACGAATCGTCCCTTTCATCCGTACACACCGCCGACATTGAGGATGTGATTGACGACATTGCGCCTCCCTCGAAGCGTCGCAAACCCAACGTCGCCCCGAATAGCTCATCAGCCTCGCATCGCACTCCCCGCAAGGTCGTTGTGAAAAAGGAAGAGCAAGTCACTGGTTTTCCTACAACATCATTGAGGCGTCGTCGCAAGGTAGCCGTGAACAAGGAAGAAGAAGAGGAAGAAGAAGAAGCAGCGGTGGACAAGAAACCAGCACCCTCGTCAAAGACTCGGCGTATGCCGGCTCGAAAGACTCGCGACGCAGACGGAGAAGTTGTGGTTGAGCCACCCTCAAATTGGGAGACAATGTATAACATTGTCAAGAAGATGCGGGAGGACAATCCCACCGCGCCGGTGGATACTATGGGCTGTTCGGATCTATACTGGCGAGCCTCATCGCCGAGGGACCGTCGATTTCAGACTCTCATCGCATTGATGCTTTCATCTCAGACGAAAGACACTGTCACTGCTGTCGCGATGCAACGCCTACATACTGAGCTTTGTAACGACTTTCCTGATCGAAGTCACGCGGTCAAAAAGGAAGAGTCCGTGTCACCAAACAGGATCAAGATTAAGCCTGAATCCGACGAGACTGCCAACATTCTCGCCGTGCCTGAAAAGGACAGTGACCTTACATTGGAAAACATCATCGCCGTCTCCCCAACCCACCTGAACTCACTCATCGACAAAGTCGGCTTCCACAACAACAAAACCAAGTACATCAAAGCTGCCGCGCTCATTCTCCGCGACGAATATAACAGTGACATCCCATCGACCCCAGAGGGCCTCATGCGGCTGCCCGGCGTCGGCCCTAAGATGGCCTACCTCTGTATGAGTGCCGCATGGGGTAAACACGAAGGCATCGGCGTCGACGTGCATGTCCATCGCATCACGAATTTGTGGGGGTGGCATAAGACAAAGACGCCCGAGGAGACAAGGATTGCGCTGCAGTCGTGGTTACCCAGGGACAAGTGGCATGAAATCAATAAATTGCTGGTTGGATTGGGCCAGACTGCTTGTCAGCCGGTGAAGAGGAGGTGTGGGGAGTGTTATCTGGCAGGGACCAAGCTTTGCAAGAGCGAGATCAAGGGATTGAGTCCGGTCAAGCGAGAGATGGCATTGAAGTTGAGTCCCTCGCTTGATGAGCCAAAGATCAAGGTTGAGGCATTGCCTTGAGCATCAAGTTCTCCTGATCTTGAGTCTGATGGTTGTCCCTGATGATTATTTCCTTGTGTATATGTATTCCATGATCTCATAACTCTAGGATTCGTCGCATTTCCCTGTATCTTTGCAGTGGCTGCTGGCCTTTATTGGCCAAATAAATAGAAAGACATACAAGGTTGTCCGGAAAAAAAATCTGTGGTTTCAACTAACGTATGAATCGCTCACATATATCCTCGTCGAAAACTACCTCACGATCTAACAACTCAAAACTTGTACTTCAACGCGTCACGCGTATAAATCGGTTTCATGAAATAAATGCAGTCAAGACAACAGGTGGTCTGCCGACACACCAAGATTTAGAAAACACGATTTTCATCCATACTATATGGTCTGAAGGTTTGTTCATTGTACTATTTAATTCGTTCCGCGGCAGATGACGAAATGTGGATCCCGCCGCGGCGGGGATAGACAGAGCTTACCAACTTTTATCACCGAAGCATGTGGCCTTCTGCCTTGCATAAAACGATCAGGGCCCGTGTCTATAGAGCTTCAAGCAAGCCACATATCGTCGCGAACGAATCCATCCCAATTAACTTCCACTTTTCCAAGTGTTCCCTCATACCTCGAAAACCCAAAGCATACAAAGCCGCCGCGCTGAACCATGAGCGCCCCAACACCCATCTCCATCTCCGCATTCGCCGAGACCCAGCTCCAGCTCCTCCTCCAAGAGCACGAAGCCGAAGTCGCCTCCTCTTCCCTCGCATCCACCGCAGCGTCCGTCTCGCCGTCCACAAGACGAACTCTCCAAGCCACTGGCTACGCATTGACTGGTCTAGTCCTGTCTTCATGCCGTACAGGGTTGGGAGGTCGTGTCGTGGGCGAATTCACGCCCGATCCTGCGATTGCGCCTACAGGGTCGAATGGTGGTGATGCGCGGAATTTGGACGGACAGCTAAGACTGGGCTCGCATGGGATTCGGGTCGGTGACGTTGTTCGGGTGAATGATGTTTCTGCGGGGTCGGGAAAGAAGTTGGGGAAGGATAAGGATAAGGGCAAGGGTGGCAAGGATGGGGGGAAGGGAGGTCCGGAGGGTGTGGTTACGAGAGTGAGCGAGAAGGCGGTTTGGATTGCCTTTGGACAAAGAGGTGGTGGTGGTGGTGGTCGTTCGAAAGAGGACGATGAGGCGATTGAGGAGCTGTGGGGGAAGAAGCTTTGGGCGTGAGTGTGACCATGTGAGATGGGCATGATTTCAGGTCACTGATGGTTACGTTCTATGCTTCTCTAGGATCAAGCTTGCGAACGACGTGACGTATCGACGGTGCGTGTGGAACAGCTACTGACTTCTTATCTATCCCCGACGAATGCAAGACTGAGTGATACTAGAATGCGACAGACCATGGAAAAGATGGTCAAGATGACCGAAGGGGATCACACACACTTTATGCGCGTTGCATTCGGACACACGACCCCATTACAACCCGACTACGAGGGGACTGGAGACGTCCAATTCACCGATCCCACTTTAAACGACTCACAGAAGGATGCAATTCGATTCGCGCTGGCTGCCAGGGATATTGCTCTGATCCACGGTCCACCTGGCACTGGTAAAACCCACACGCTCATTGAATTGATCACACAGTTGATCCAGAAGAACAAGCGAATCCTGGTGTGTGGGCCCTCGAATATCTCGGTGGACAACATAGTCGAGCGTCTTGCGCTGAAAAAAGTGCCCGTGATCCGAATCGGCCATCCGGCCCGTCTACTCCCCTCAGTGATGGAGCACTCCCTGGAAGTGCTCACCCAAACCTCCGAAGCGGCAGGCATCGTGAAAGATGTTCGGAAAGAGATGGACGAGAAGCAGGCCAGCATTCGCAAAACGCGGACTGGTCGTGAGCGTCGGGCTATTTACGATGATCTGAAACTTCTACGGAAGGAATACCGAGAACGGGAATCCAAATGCGTTGACAATCTCGTCCGCGAGAGTAGCGTGGTTTTGGCAACTCTTCACGGCGCTGGTGGCCATCAGCTGAAGAATCAGAAATTTGATGTCGTGATTATTGACGAGGCCAGTCAAGCCCTTGAGGCTCAATGCTGGATTTCACTGCTTTCTGCGGAGAAGGTTGTCCTCGCAGGTGATCATCTACAATTGCCGCCAACCGTAAAGTCCTCCAAAATCAATACTCGAGATCGCGAGAGCAAAGGGTTGGCGCAACAGGATCTGGCAGAGTTTGGCAAGAAGGAGATCCTGCAGGGCGTCTCGCTGGAGCGAACCCTCTTTGATCGTCTGTTGGCTTTGCACGGGCCAGGGATCAAGCGGATGCTGACGACACAATATCGAATGCATGAAATGATCATGCGATTTCCTTCAGATGAATTGTACGACTCTAGACTGATTGCCGCCGACTCGGTCAAGAATCGATTACTGGCGGACTTGCCATACGAGGTCCACGGTACCGACGATACACAGGAGCCACTCGTGTTCTGGGATACACAGGGCGGCGACTTCCCTGAAAGAACCGAAGACTGTGATGTGGGAAAGAAGGAAGCGCTTTTGGGAGATAGCAAAAGCAATGAGATGGAAGCGCTGGTGGTCGCCCGTCATGTGGATCACCTGATCACAGCGGGAATTCGTCCAGAGGACATTGCCGTCATCACGCCTTACAATGGCCAACTTGCAGTGCTGTCCCAGATGTTGCGCGAGAAGTACCATGGCCTAGAAATAGGCAGCGTCGACGGCTTCCAAGGACGGGAAAAGGAAGCCGTGGTCGTGAGTCTCGTGCGAAGCAATCCCGAGCACGAGGTCGGCTTCCTAGGAGAGAAACGTCGATTGAATGGTACGTCAAATTGGTGCGGGAAACACCCCTCCATTGCTCTGTCGTCTTTCTGGATTTCCTATTGGTACCCCCATTTTTGCATCTTGTTTGAGATAGATGAAATCGGCTAACGGAGGTCCATCCGGGGCCGCATTCACTAGTGGCCATGACACGCCCCAGAAGGCATCTTTGTATCTGTGGAGACTCCGAGACTATCAGTCGGTAAGTGGGTGCGCTGTCTGTGCGTAAAGCCTTGAAAGCTTCGATGCTGACCCTTTTTGGATCTGCGGCGCATTGCAGGGGTAGTGAATTCCTCAATCATTGGATGAAGTACTTGGAGGAACATGCAGACTTGCGCTATCCCGATGCCGGCGATCTTCTCTGAGAGAGAAAGAATGAGGCAGGACCAGGACCGTTGACAGCGTCTCATCTCAGTCACAAGCTCCGTGACCTCTCACCAACACCTTGGCCATATCCTGTCGTGTTCCACGAGCCACTTTTCTTCTCGAGAAGCGGATACTGGACTGACTTTGAGACGTCGTCGAAGTCCCACCACTGCATTTGGGGGCGACAGGGCGGGGTACAAGACAATCTGCGGCAGATCTGAGACCGCCTCGTCCCGTGCGCGGTTCCCACCGACCCATCGCGACTGTAATCTTTGCGCTTGTTTACCCCGAGCGTGTATAGACGATGGAGTATGACTGTATGCGATACAGTGCTCGGATCGACAAACAGACAGGCAGGCATACAGGACAGTTGAGAAGCGGCAGCAATTGAGTTTGCAGCTCACAGTAGTCTGCGTGGAAGATCACCTCCACGCCCAACCATTCTGCAAGGGACGACTGGAAAAAGAAGCAGGCGGTGTAAAACGCGGACCCTTGATGATGGGCCGGCGGTCGTCTTCGGTATCTCAATTTTGCGTCAATTGAATGGCTCGATTCATGTTGGGTCGATGGTACGACGGCTTCCAAAGTCTATTCACGATCAAGGGTCCGAGTGAGTTCATCTCCGGCACTTGTACCTGTCGATCACCCGTAATAGGTTGGGAACACTAGGGAGGAGACCTTGTCAAGGGATGCGTCTCTGTTTGCTGTCAAGCCGCAACGGTTGGTAGTGAGTACGAACTGAGGAGGGCCGAGAGTGATGTACCCAGTGACCCGCAGCACAAACGGACGAAGGCTGGGTTGACCCAGTAGTAGGACGAGCCTACCAGGCAGACGGTGGTCCATGCATGTCGTCGGTATGTCTTCTGGCCAGGCTCGAGCGCAGATTTGCGTGAGCGTGACGAGAATGACGGCTCCGGCTCCGGACCATTCTTGAGATGTGTCTCTCGTCATTTGCGCCTTGTTGGTGGCATCATGGCATCATGGCATCATGGCATGATGCCATGATGCCATGTATGTAGTCGGATATCGGCACTGGTTTTTCAGCGACCGGGTTGAGAAGAGCTCTCCGTGATGTGCTATCTCCCCCGAAAAGGCAATTCAAGCTTCCGGCTCGGCGCTTGGGATCCTAGAACGGCGGTCTTACGTCCAAATTCCAGAAAAATCTCCTTCTCCGTTCAAACCGTGTGGCAGGCCTGAGCTGTGGTTGAGCTCTTCGCGACTCAGAATGGAGCCACGTTGGAAGGAAGACTCGAGCGGCAATGGATCCAGAAAGGTTGTAAGACTCGCTGGGGAGACTTGCAGGAACATCAGGCCAAAAGGAGCGACTACCTTACCTACCTGACAACAACTCCACATCTCCTGAACACTCGGGGAAATTGGCCATACACTAGCACACTACTACAGTTAACAGTAGTACTCCTAGGAACTACTGTGGTACACTACGAAAAACGCGGGCTGTGGGGCGGCACGTCGGCAGCCAAATCTGGAATCAAGCTCGAATTAGAAGCATCTTGAAACAGCCATGCCTCCTTCACGCCGCTCCACCGGCAAGGGCGGTCTCGGCTCGTGGACCTCCCCCCACCGGCAAGACCCAAGCTGCACGACTCGGCTACTGCCCGATTGGGACACTTTTCAGTACCTCAACGAGTAAGGACGGAAAGCGATCGTTTGACCAGCCGCGATCTGCCCCGACCCCTGGACTAGTCTGATTATGTCTGATAATCCGTGAGTCTGCTTCGCTCCGAGCGACGTGGGACGGGATAGTAGGCGACAAGCTAGCGGGCGAATCGACGGCTTCCATGATCCTTGCATCCGCACTGAAGAGTCAAGACAACCCAGGCATTGTTGTCTAAGACGACTGCAAACCTGAGCTGCAGAATCATCTCGGCGCCGCACATGCGACACTGGGAAATGCTTTCGAACAACGACCTCAGGCCATGACTAAGCCCGAGCGGCGGATCATCGTGATATACGGGAAGAGAAGGCAACGCTCTATCTCGGTCGTTGTTGTCTGACGATCGCCTTTTGACCGTATCAAGGCAGTCTTGTTCAAGGGATTGAAAGTTGGGTGCCACAGCGGGACAATTTGGATTAACTTCCCTACGGAGACTTCCGGTCCTGCCGTGATCCGTGGAACGTTGCTCGGAGAGGGTCTCTTACCCGGTTTCGTGATGACCCTCCTCACCTTGACTGTGATCCACGACGAGGGCATTGCCTGCCCTCGTCATCTTTGCTACCGTCACATACTTGGGTGGTTGGGCATTTGGAATCTTGCTTCGATACAGGGCTCACTCTGTAGTCTGTACTCTGTCGTGCATGTGAAGTTGGGTACACCTCCAGGGTCAAAAACAAAGTACAAACCATGACCGGCTACACTTGGCCGCTCGGGGCATCATCATCCAACCCTCCAGTGGGCCGGGATCAGTCATGGCATGTAAGCCGCGAGTCTCAAGTCATCGCACGGTCGCCGCATTGCAGTGTGCTCGAGACTAGAGTAGTACCTTAATTCACATGGGACTATTCACATGGGACCGCCTTGTTGTGGCAGGTCTGTTCGCTTACCCTTGCGTATCGCTCTTCGACGGAGGAGAGGAGTTTGGCGACCTATGTAGTTCGTCGAGTTCGTGATCGCTTCTGATTCGTGGTTCTGAACTGAGCTTGCGACATAGTCCAGACAACGTTCGTTCGGCCTCATTAATTAGTTTTCCTTAGATAATAATTAACAACCACGCTCGGTTCTGACGTGCCTCAAATGAGGTCTCAAAAAAGAGAATAGCAATTAAGAATCGCAGAGATCAAGAGACCAAAGACCCGAGTGTGGAGATGCAAAGTGCCATGGTCAAGTCCCGGAACAGGATGGTCCCGCCGCGCTTGTGCCTTAGCTTGCAGTTGGCATCGGTGGAACTGGTCTTCATGCTGGATAGACTAGAGGAGTAGTAGAGCCTGCTCCTTACAGGACTTCCTAGGAGCCTACTCATTGATTCTACTTGATTCGAGCCCAGACGACGTACCCGGTCAAATCTTCAAGCTACGCCTGTGCCCTCAGCTTTAATTGATCGGCTTGGACAGCAAGGTCGTTATCTCAACCTGACATGGTAGTATACCTTCGTAGTACGTAGCACCACGTCCACAAGCTACTCCTTTTGGAACCACCACGCCCGTAATACCGCCAACGGCGATATGAAATTGACTCTGTGATCCACAGCACGTCCGCTGGCGCACCCCCACTTGCATCAGTCCCGTGTGGTGCTTCCGAAGGTCCAGAACTCGCTGTACACAAAGGGTTTCTGAGGTCCCAACTGGGAACCTCTCTTCCTCGAGGGCAACCTCCGAAACGGATCTCCACCTCTCCAAAAAAGCTGCACGAGATCCCCCTCCCTTTTTATCCTTTTATCCTCTCCTCACCTCTTCGTCATGGTCTTTCGATTCTCCATTTCTCACCTTCTGTCTTCTTTTCCCCATTGACCTTCACCGTTCTTTCTTGCCCTTCGACTTGACTGGGTCGTCTCTTTCGCTTCTACATTGCACATTCTCTTCTGGCCCTTGCCCCTTACCACCCACCTTCTTTTCGAGATCCTCATTCATCTCCGCTTACCCACTTTCGCGCAACCGCCGCACGTTTACTCATTCCCGTTCCCGTGATCCTCAGGCAAACGCCAGTCCGTCATTCCAACCACGAGTCTCTTTCCGTGATTGAGTATCATGTTTCACCTCGACTTAGACGTGGTGAGGATTTCTCGTCTCATCTCCCATCCGTTTGTCAGGCTGCGCTTTTCTGCTGAGACTAACTCTGTTTGACAGCTCTTCGCCTTCGTTTCCCAGCTTTGATTCAGCCACCGGATTTCCTCTCGTCTCGATTGAGACACTTCCGCTGTGCGGTCCCGACTATATCAGTCTCAAGTGCTTCTCGGTCGATTTCGAGTTTTCAAAAAGCCGGACTTGTGTGATCTTCTCAACTCGATCTTTCATCTGACCATTCGCTCTATTGTTCCAAAGTTCGATTCTTACGCCACTTTGTCTCTCAAGATACATCCTCATTGCCCGCAACAACTCTTATCATTGTGATGAACTAGGCAGATCTCCTCCCGCTCTCAGCGTGTTCAGTCATCGTTCAATTACATGCTGAATCAAACTCGACGCTTTCCATTGTTGCAGTTACCTAAGCATGTCACAGTCACCTCCTCGTTCTATCACCAGCACCGGCAGCGAGTCAAACAACAGTACAAGATTACGATCATCTTCTGCCCAGGGCTATCACTCGGCATCCAATTCCAAGTCATTCTCATCGGAGGTAAATCCCTTCGACACCGCACTTCCCCCAATTACTCATGCACATCCCCCTGTCACGACGCACCGCCGGACGGGAAGTACCCTCAAAACAGTCATGCGCAAAATCTTCAACCGAAAGCGACAGAGTCAGGGAGAAGGCATGATAGTAGGTCCCGCCGAGACCTACTTCTCTTTGCAAGGAAATTCTCCGGAGCCGATCGTGGGCAAGTCCTTTTTGGCAGCGCCGTCCCCCCCGCCGTCCAAGTGCAACAGCCCCTTATCAGAGGCCAATCTTCAATTAGCCACGAATTGCCTGTCGCCCAACAGTCTAGTTAGTAGCTCTCTCGCGCCGGCAGGCCTGGCCCTACCACCGCGACGTGCATCTTTGCCGAGTGTGATATTCTCCGAGGACGAGTCACGTTACGGTGTGGCATCAGCGGTCTCAGACCCCCAAGAAAATCAGTCAGTCACTTCCGCACGGAAGAGTCAACATTCGGCGCTGAGACACCGGCGCCGCTCACGCAGCATTGGTGCCTTACGTTCCCCTACACGCGAACAACCAGGGTGTCCTTCCCCTTGGGTATCCCGGACCATATCATTCCCTCAGACAACGAAGGGTCCCAAATCCCCTCTTCCTAAACAAGAGATCCCCGTGACCGAACGGGCGCCTCGTCGTCCTTCGACAGGAACGACTTTCACGAGCCAGACCAAAGGCTCAGAGGCGCCAACGTCATCGTTCCCGGAAATCAATCCAGATCGGGTCAGCCTCCTCCCCAACATGGCCAACCTGGTCCGAGCCATGCAGCAAGACGACAGTCTCACTGTGGAACAGCGGCTGAACACAATCGAGGTGAAAATGATTGACCTCGAGTTCGCAATCGCACGAATGCAGACTTCCTCAACGTCCTCTACGCCAACGGTCGAAAAACACCCAGAGCGAGAGCGCAAACGAAGCACTCCTCGGCGCAGAGAGAAAGCATTGCCGCAAGTGCCGAAACAGTCCTCACGTTCCATCTCCAATAACCGTGATAAATCCAAAGTCCCAACGACTAGCACAACTGAGCCTAAAGGCCAACCCAAAAGCACCAGTCCCAACCGCACGGACACGGAAAAGCCGAACAAGCCCGAAATTTCTCGCGCAGACTTGTCTACCATTTCCGTCGACAACTTCAACGGTATCTCTATCGAGCAGTACAGTGCTCTGGTTACTCTGCTCCGTCGCGAGCAGACCGCCCGTCGAAACCTAGAGAGCCAGGTGTCTAGCCTCAAAAAGGACATTCGTCAAATGCAACGCGCCGCTCTGCACTCGATGGAGATGGGAGGTACCATGTATCCCATCTCAAATGCCGACTCTCAAGAGTTCCTTCGTTTTCGGCGGGCGCTAGACGGATCAGAGTGTGGTTCCCCCAGGCGGGCGAATGATGAGAAAGGGATGAACAGTGCCTATGAGACCGAGTCTGATTACGATCCCTATGGACCGCCGAAATGGGAGCGGGAGATGGATCGGGAAAAGGGCAGGGTACAAGAGCTGAAGCTCGGTCCACCCGGAAAGCGACTTGCCACGACTGCAATGGGTTGAAATATATTTTGAATCGAGTGGGTTTGATAAACATACTCTCATGATATTCAAAAACATTCTTACTTTCAGTCAATCATCTGATCTCCGAGACGTTCACAGTATGACTTGTAGTAAACGAGTATGATTCAATTGCACTTTTTTCAGTCGACGGGGTCTAGCGACCTATTATGCTGCCTTGACCTCCTTCAAAAAAATGATCGTTCGAGTTCGTTGACCAGAAACGCGCATGGCTTCCGGTGCGCAAATTCACTGTCTGCGCGCCATATTTCCCATCATGTAATCATTACCTAGTCTAGCCCTACGTGGTATGGGACCCGACCTCCATTGCGCATAGCGAGTTGAATCTCCGGCTTCTGCTCGGTGCTTCTTCATTACGTCCATAATCTGGGGCCTGTTTGTTCAAAGACCCAGATACGCCGTGTCAATTAGATCTGGTCCACACCACGAATCCCCTCTAATATCTCTCAGCCTGGCGCAAAGCCAAGTCTGGACGCGAACCAGACCACCAGCAACCAGTCAAGCTAGAAAAGAGGGGTTTAGAAACTTTAAGGAATCAAATCATGCGCAATACTACTTGTCGATCTTGAACGCGAATGACCGCTACGAGCGAAAAGCTCCGTCAGGGTCGAACTAATGGAGTTGAAGCCAGGGGTCTACGGAAAAGAGAAAAATGGGGGATCTCCTACTTTGATTTCCGAAAATTGGGCGAAGTGTTTATCGATCGCGTTTTCGACGCAAACTTCGTATGGCATTGCAGTGCGGTCAACGATTTTGAGTGTCGGCGCATTTTCAATTGCGCTTTCTCGGCGTGATGAATGGGGACGGTCGGATGGCGTCAACAGGCTCTTGAGCACAAAGGCAGAATTTAGGGGGTTTCTCGAAATCGTTCAACGATGGCGTAAGAGGCAAGCCGATGGATTCGTGTCTGGACGGCAGTCCGGTTTGCATTCGGATCGCTACATCTGAGGAGCTCGCATTGTTCCTAAAGTATACATTCACTTATATTGACCTTCTGTTTCGTATATCCCGCCACTCACCCCTGTCGACTCGGCTGATTCCTCTCGATTCCTCTGGTAGACCTGACGAAGAGCTTCAATGCCCGCAGGAGACTGTGCACGATGACTGAAAGCAGCAGCATCTGCATTCCATGCCGGAAGGCTATGAAGCGCTCGAGGGAGTGTTCGAAATGATTTGACGATGGCCTAGACGTCGGGGCCGGTTTCATCACTGATGTCAAGTGGCATGTACACAAAGGACGGTCAATGGGGATTAGTGTCGATAGGTATTCAGGTTGTCGAATAATAGAAGACAACGCTGTAGCCGATGGTCGAGCCTGTTTAGATACTTTCGAGATCAGGGACTGGGGGTAGGCGAAATGGACAGCAGATGCCTCTTGGCTGATGTTGTACATGGTTTCAAAGCACGATCTGTTTCCATCCAAGAGTCCTTGGATTGGCACGCAAGTTGGCCTGACCGTCTGGACGTCCAGAGATCTACTGGGGCTGTCTCTTGGCGCAGTCGAAGCTATGCCACGATGAGCTTCGGGCGGCGGGTTCGAGCCCGCTGGAGCCTACAGATTGCCTGTTAGCGCTGAATTGCACCATGATGTTCAGCGTCCCCGTCCACATGTGCTGAGCTAACTTTGCCAGTTGTGGTCAGCATTCCTGGTCGCCTAGGAAGTGAGAGGCCATTACGGAGCCAATATCCTGGAATCCCAATATAAAATACTGGGTCACGATCGCTTGATCAGGTTTCTCTTCGAACGAGGCTCAGGGTTTTTTGTCTTCGTTTTCTCTCTCTCACTCCACGCGTATTGGAACGCACCTCTATCCAGATTATTCGTGTTTACTGTCACCATGGGCAATCGTGTCCTCTCTTCAACACCGGAGCCAGAGCCAGTGCTCTTCCAAACAGATGAGAACATGCGGCAAGGCATTAGACGGTTCCAGGTCCGAATGACCGCTGCAAATGAAAGGTTTCTGCAGGACCAAATCAATGAGATCGAAAGGAAAGGCTTGGCCACTGAAAAAGCCAAGTTCGATTATTTGATCCGGAAATATCGAATTCACAACCTCGTCTGGGGAGATGAGAATGACGACAAGAATCCGACTCCTCTGCGAGAGCACGACGTTGTGATACCTGCGAATACTTTGTTCAAGGATATCGACATGTCAATGATTGAAAAGGGGCTGGTCTCCGATGTGCCAGTCCACGGAGTCATATACCCACCCTTATTAAAGACAGACCAGATGCGGCAGGTCTTTCTCGACACTATGCAGCGGGTATGCCAGAGTCAATCTGATTATTGCCCCGTCTGCAAGCGTGCGGGATGCGAATGTCACGAGGTTGATGAGAACGAGGACGGTGACGATGACGACGACGACGAAGAGCCCCCTATTCCCCCATGTACCGAACTGGCTTTATTTCTGAAGTATGCTGGTGGAGTTGAAGATGTCGACTTTCGCTATTCCTACATCCCACCCTTCATTCCTGGAGATGGTCACCTCAGTACATATTGGGTGCATGGTGAGAACCCAGACGAGGAAGCGAATCGTCTTCAAGAAAGACTGGAAATGTACCTGGAACAACAGAGCGTGGATCACGAGACCGATGCTTTCGGCGCTTTCGAGGTCCTGCAACTCTTGTTGGACGAGGATCTAGAGGTCAGAGCCGGGTTTGCGACTGGCATCACTTATAGGAAAGAATGGGGACATCCCATGTGGTGCAGTGCGTATGTCTACTGTCGAAAAAGTCCGGACAGTGGCGAGGTATCCTGCGAAGGTGATACCATCCCCGATGCGCCCAATATCGCCAATTGGGGATGGCGAGTGGTCATTTACGATGGTGATATGTCGAGCGCACGCCCATCAGCTCCTGCAGCGACTGTGATTAATGGTCGAAAAGCACGCTTTGACTCTATTTTGGAATTCCTCGATTGGTACGCCAGTTGGCCGGAATATCTGACTGAACGACAACTGCGAGCGTACTTGCGATTTGAAGGAGGGGGTGAAAATGGGTGTCACACTGACTGCGAATCAGACTGTGAGGAGTGTCCGTGAGAAGGCAGGCCCGCAACTGAGTGGACGTTCACTGAAAAATATATAAATCTTGTGAATGGCCAATGTCGGGTTACAGGAGTATTAGGTTGCAGATTTTCCCGATCTGGGAGGGTTGAAGGAGCTGATGCTCAAACCAACATTTGAGCTTGATATTTGGGGAGATGTAAACATGTCACTTCTGCTACCCTGCTGTCAGGTAACCCTAACACTGTCATGTTTGTCTCGATCACCTGATATCTCTGTGAAATTTATACATTGTTCATCAACTGCATTCTGTTTCGGTCCTCTCTCGCCGAGTCACCAGTGACGATCGCAAATACGAAATCTCAAGTTCATGACCCATGTTGGACAGAGGCATTCTCTCAGGCAAATACCGATGGGCTTGAATCTCGCTGATCTATCTCACATACTGATTGTGATTACTTATCGACCAGCACCAGGGCTGGCTGAAAGTCTAGCGCCTGTCAAGGGTTCAGACTAGTCAACCTCTAGAAGCGAATGCCGTCCCGCTCGAGCATCCGCTTTCTACTGCATGTTGCATGGTACTTTTCCCCTTCCAGAGACTCACAGACCCCCCCACACGAGCAGTATTCGTAAGACAAAGATCAAGCTAATGCAAGTCTGTCATATTACAGCAGGACCTCCGAGACTGGGCCGAAAGGGTCTGTCAAAAATATCAATTCTGCGGAATCGAGGCAACCCTTCTATTCTCACAATCTATGCAAAACAACCCACTCGATCCGAACCAACCTATGTGATCACTCAGCAAGGATATGGCCCCCTCGGACAAAACCTTCACGGTGACCATCGTCGGTGGAGGAATCGGTGGTCTTACTCTCGCAGTCGGCCTTTTACGACGTCAGGTCCCTGTTCAGATCTACGAAGCCGCCAGCGCTTTCACGGAAATCGGACTAGGCTTGTCTATTGGGCCGGCCGCGCATCGTGCGATGCCCCTGATTGATCCGCAAATTCGAGAGATTTACGATTCCTTGGTGACCACGCATGCGGATAGTCCCGGGTATGAAGAGTATCGACAGACCTGGTTCGAAATCGTGTGGGCGAGTGGGAGGAAAGAGGGAGAAGTGCTGATGGATCTCAAGGCCTTGCCCTCGGGACAGACCACGCTGCGACGAGCCAACTTTTTGGATGCACTGGTGGGACTGATTCCAAAGGAGATTGTGCATTTCAAAAAACGATTGGACCATTACACGGAGAACCAGGACGGTGTCGAACTGGTTTTTGATGATGGATCCGCTGTACAGGCCGATGTGGTCGTGGGTTGTGATGGAATCAAGTCTCGAGTCAAAGACTCCATGTTGTCGGCCGAGGAGTCGATGCTCACGCAGCCGAGGTATAGCGGGATGTACTGCTATCGAGCTGTTCTTGACATGGAAACGATGGTGAAGGCGGTCGGTGATCAACGTGCTCGAGTCTCGAGCATTTATATCGGCAAGGGAGCCTACGCGATTTCATATCCGATCATGAGAGCACAGAAAGTCAATACGGGACTTTATGTGCTTGACCCAACCTGGGACCATGATACCTGGGTTAAGCCTGTCACTCGGGAGAGAATGCAGCAAGATGCGACAAACATGGGCCGATTTGTACGGTCTTTAATCGAGGTCAGACATCAATTTCCACTTGGTCCCGAGGTTTCTCAAGCAATGTTGACAGGATATGTATGTTTATTGTTTGCGCTGACATTCACTCTTGAACAATCTCTAGCACATGCCCGATGCTTCACAGTGGGCTCTTTTTGAGCATCCTCCAATTTCCACATTCTGTCGCTCACGGGTTGCCATCATGGGAGATGCAGCCCACGCATCTACGCCGCACCAGGGTGCCGGCGCCGGCCAGGCCATCGAAGATGCCCATGTCTTGGCTGAGCTTCTCAGTGATGAGCGAGTAAAGACCGGTCAGGATGCCGTCGCTGCTTTCAAAGCGTATGACCATGTCCGTCGCCCACGGACCCAAAAAGTGGTCAGTAGCAGCAGGGAGGGTGCAGATTTCTTTTGTCTGTGCCTGGATGGAGTGGAAGACGATGAAGAGAGGTTGAAAGCGGCTCTTCAGTCTCGATTCCGATGGCTGTGGGATCTGGATATCCCGGAACAAGCCCAGCGAGCAAGGACTACCATGTACAGTGTTCTCGAGTCGTTGACGGACAACTCGCGTCCATGTAATCTCTAGAGTCGGGGCTTCTTCGCTAAATACATTCTCACGTCGATGTGATTGACTACTGCGGTCAGGGTATTTCCCGTATCTCACAAGCGGTGCGCTACCGATTCACCTTCAAACTCGTCAATGCTAGTCCGACCAGAGCTAAGCATCGTGGCCTTCTCGGAGGTCCCACCAATTAAGGCTAGTAGGAGGCACGACTTGCCAGACAAAAGATCGTCCGAAAGTCTCCCGTGAGTGACACGGCTCATAACTCTATACAAACCGCCCCCTCCCTCAGAACACATACCCCGCTCCAGGCGCCCCGCGACTGTTGGAGATACTCTATTCCTAGCAGCGAATTGATTGTTCTCTCTTTAAAAGTCAAATTAAGAGAAAGAAGCTGGGCTGAAATCAGCTGTGGCGTTGACAACCCTCTTGTTGTGGAGCTGCGCTGACACTCGGCTGAAAACACAGATAAAAACAATAATCCAAAATCACTATTTCGAGGACTTGGCCAGCTGACAACGTGGACCGGGGGATAGTAGACAATTTAAAGATAAATATGCCCCTTTCGTCGCTGGGTTCCCAATGCTTCCTCTTTCTTTTTCAAGACCTGAACTGAACAGTGCACGCCATCTTGTGTCCCGAGGGTAAAAATGGCCGAATTTACTATTTCCGATGATGTTCTTGCCAACATCAAAGACCAAGTCATCTTGATCACGGGTTAGTTGACGAAGTCTCCTTGGCCCCCGAGAAACCACAATACATCGAAACATCCAAACCCTAATCTTCGCAACCAGGTGGATCGTCTGGCATCGGTCGAGCGACCGCCCAAGTCTGTCTCGATCAAGGTGCCAAAGTGGTCATCGGAGACTTGAACCCTCCTCCATCCGACTCCAACTCCGACTTCCAAGAGACCGACCGCATCAAATTCATCCAAGTCGACGTGACCTCGTGGGAAAGTCTGCGCAATTTATTTGATCAGACGAACCAGCTCTTCGGTGGAATCGACCACGTCTTTGCCAACGCCGGCGTTGGCCCAACCACCGATTTCCTGGACGTGACCCTTAATGAAGCGGGTCACCTCGAGCCCCCTAATCTGCGCACGATCAACGTGAATCTCATCAGCGTCTTGTACACTATCAATCTGGCTTCGGCATACATGAAGCAGCTCGCTAGTCGTCGTCCAGTAAACAAGACCGGGAGTATTGTCCTGGCGGGCTCGGCGTCTTCATATCAAACCTTCACGGCGGGAGACTATACGATCGCCAAGCATGGCGTTGTCGGCATGGTTCGCGGGTTGATGGTCAAGATGGAGAACGAGGGTGAGATCCGACTGAATGCCATAGCTCCATCGTGGACGGACACGGGGATGATACCGGCGCAAGCGATTCGCGATCTGGGGGTTCCGGTGCAATCGGCCGCGACGGTGGCGAAAAGCGTGGCATTGTTGTTTGCGGATGAGAATCGGCATGGCGAGGTGATTTACAGTGCGGGGGGCCTGTATAAGGAAATCAATAAGGCGGAGGGAGGTTTGGTGTCCGCGGCGGAGGCTTTGAATTTCCCTAGCGATCACCCGGATGATGTTGTAAGGGTGATCTTCGGGCAACTCCCCAAGCCATGAGCTCAAAGCCATGAGCTGGAGGTGGTCGAGGTTGAGATTGGAACTTTTATCTTTCTGGTATTAAATGCACCGTTTCTCATCATCTGATAATACCAATGGAGGTCGTCGATTTACATTTCTCCCATTATCAGAGCTCGGGCGAGCCCTTCTTATATACTTTTATCGCATCTTATTGCTTGAGTCACCATGAACATGTACATGTACATGCCACATAGGGGCTGCACCAGCTGAATAGACAGAAGTGTGAAGCAGCCCGGGTCTTTTTGAACCCACGTTCTCATCTCCGCTCCGGGGGCTCGGGCAAATACTTTGCAGCTACGGACAACCCAGAAGCCAGCACGGCCAAAAATATCCATATAGCATACCCATGCACCAATTGCAAGTTCAGCTGCACAGCAAACAGACTCGAAAACAGCGCTGGACAAAACGCTCTTAATGTACTCACACCCGTCAATGCCATAGCATTCAAAAGTCCCAGAACCTGCGGCGAAGGAGACACATCATTTAGCGAGAGCTGGATTGCGGTGAAACTCATACTGACGCCGCAGCCAATGGCAAGCATGATCGGCGCCAATACCCAAAAGGCCTTGGTCGAGGCTTCGGTTCCGGCGCGTAGGAGGAGATTACCGACGACACAGGTCAGGAAGAAGAAGGGGTAGACGAGTGCGCAGAGACGAATCACACCCTTTGTGCCGATGCGGTGCTGTAGGGGAGGGAAGACCAGCAAGAGCCAACATGCTTGCGCAGCACCGTTCAGTCCCATCATCAGCGAGATTTGTAAAGGCGTGAATCCCCAGCCACCAAGGTCAATGCGGGTAAACCAGAAGACTGGGACGATGGCCGTGTAAGCAAACGCCAGGGTCATGATGTGGCCGTAGACGTAGAGAACCATGCCGACGCCGGGTGATTTGATCAGCTCCCGAGTCGTGAGAGTGTAACGGCGATTTGATGGGGTTTGCTGTCCGGCTTCTCCGTCTTCTGCCTCATTCGCGATGAGCGGCTCCTTTTTCAAAGTCTCTTCGATAAAGACTGCACTGATGATGGCGGCCATGCCACCAACGAGAGCCACCACTAAACTGGACAATGCATAGGGGTATTTCTCCAGGAACTTCACACCGCCAAAAACTCCGGGATACTGAGTGGCAGGCTCAGCTAGAGCTCCTCCCATCAATGGACCGAGGAAGATCCCCAAGTTCCCACTGAAAGCAAACCAGCTGAAAGCTCGCGCCTGGGTCTTGGACGTACTATGCTCGGCAACCATGGTGCGAATCGTCACAATGGTTCCAGCAAAGACGCCCGCAATGCATCGGAAGAGGATCATCTGCGGTATCGTCTTTGCGAAGCCGAACAGTCCTGTAGCAAGCGTGACCCCGAACAAGGAATACACCAAGACGGGCTTGCGGCCAATCCGATCCGCTGCTCGACCCCAATAGATCATCACAATGGCCTGTGTCAATGAGAACAATGATTCGATCAGACCGCTATAGAATCCAACGTCCGTGTCCTTGATTGAGCCATTCTCCTGGACCATTTGGTTCACATATGGGAAGATGGAGAAGAATGCCAACGGTTCAATTACCCGCGCAAAGCAGAGCAACAATACCTGAGTCTTCGGCAGTGGTCTATCCTCTGCGTGTGGCTCGTCCCCCTGCGACGCGTCAGTCTGAGAATCCAGCAAAGATCCATTGATCGTTCCGGATGTCTTCGTCCGGAGCAGAGCTGTGGTTTCGTCGACGACTTCATCTTCGTCGACGAGGCCAATTGCCGAGTTGGGCCCGGTGGGGGCCGCCTCATTCGGACACGAGTGCGGCGTATCCGTCTGCCGAGTATCGACGGGCATTGTCCGGGTCTCGTTGGTCCTTTTTCTCAGATAACCTTACAATCCCTGCTGGAGATTGAGCCCTCTGCACCTGAGTTCGATCGTCGATGCAACCGCTTACAGATCAAAGCACGTCTTCGGCGGAACCCAATTGCCAGAAATCTTCGATTGTATCTTCGCTTTCCATACCGCCTTGGCAAACGTCTGTCAGTCTTCCCACCTGAGGCATCAACCCAGCCCCATCTGGAGTAGCCCCACGAGCGCCGCATCGGCGTATATACTGTGTCAGTGTGTTTTCTCTCTTGTTTCATCTCGATGCTCATCATCCAAATATAGACGCACCTACTGATGGTGTCCCGTTTTTAAGTTTCCAGCCGGGACGGAAGACCCCTCCCCTTGATCGGTACCGAGAATATCTGTATCGAGCAGCCGTTGTCGGCCGAGTTCAAACCAGCGAGGGTTTCAGTTTCTAGACATGGAAAAGCCGATCAGCAAAACAATCATCGACTGGGACTTTGAACACTTTATACTGAATTTCGCTGACAGTAACATGGATCCGTATTCCCCCATAATTCCATAGATGATTGGCAGACATTCTTCAGGGCTATGGATGACTGGAACTCTGTATCTTCTACGTCCCTAAGCGAAGTGACACATAGGTCTCTTTTCTTTCCTGTCAAAGACTTCAACCATGTCAACGTGACGGGGTCGGCATAGCCCGGCGGACTCACAGACTTCATGCCCACCGAGACACTGCGTGGTGGGTTTACGTCCAGCACCCGCTACGTGTTGGTCTTGAGACCATGGGCAGAGATCGCCCTTGCCCAGTCTTTCAACGCAGAAATCTGTGGACCAAATTTGTGTTGAGTACTATTGTAGCCCAAACGAGAGAATTAGATTGTAGAAGATGGCTTTCACATGAGCCCAAAGAATATAAAGAAGAAGGAGAGACAGGTCAGGGTAACAAAATCAAAGATCAAAACATCAAAACATCAAACAAAGTGGTATCCGGTCACTGGTCAATCATTCCACCCTTCAGCTATCACCTCGATAGCTTTCACCTCCCAAAAAAACATACAGGAGCTCATCCCACAACAGCACAAGCAAAGAAAAAAGGATCAAGGAAGTTCCCCATATGAATGGTTATTTTCCCCAAGTCTGCCCTTAAATGGCAGCGAGAATATTCAGATCAACAGTCAGGTTGTTGGCAGCCAAGGCGTTGGAGAAATACGGCAGCTCCTGGCCGTTGTAGACGCTCGAGTTACCGGTGATAGTAAAGGGAGCGATACCGGTCTTGCCGTATTTGGCAGTCGAAGATGGCAGGACTAGGCCAAGCACTTTGGCGTAATTGACCTCAGCAGTCATTTCCAGGGTGTTGTTGCCTGGCTTGAGAATGAGATCGTTGATGTATGAGTAGCCCATCAATGTGCCGTCCTGGTATAGGTTCAGAGTCACGTTACCCTAGCACAGAGACATGTTAGTTTCGACCAAAATGGCAAGGCAAATGGGACGAGGACAGAGTCCATCTGCAAGTCTTAGTACAACAACGGGCTTTATCTTACCATAGTGATGGTCATCACCGTCGGATTGGGAATGTAGACAGTTCCACGCAAGTTATGGCCATTCTTGGGCGGATTCATGGTATGCACGTCGTAGACATTGAAGCCATCCAGCTTGTTCAAGCCTGGGATTCAAATGATCAGTCAATCCATCCAGACACGAAGACCAACGCAGCCCTTTTCTCTTTTTCTATTTTTTTGATGCAAGGAACTTACCCTTCATGGTGACAGTCTTATCATAGTTGACGGTGGTCTTGGGCAAGGAACCCTGTTGCAACTCAGGTTTACCCGAAATTTCCAGCTCAACATCCTTCTGCAGCATGACCGCCTTGGCAAAGTCGCCAAAAGCGTTGGCATTGCTGAGGTCGACAGTCTGGTCGAGATTGATCTTGACGCCGTCGCGGGAGGTGGTTTCGGGAACTTGGACAGAGGTGAAAGCATGGGCGGCTCCGACCAGCGAGACGGAGGCCAGGAAAGAGTAGATTTTAGGGTGGAATGAGCTCTGGGAGCCCAGAACTTGGGTCTGGATGAGGCGGAATGATTTGGGCGTAGGATCGTCGATGACCATGCTCGTGATGTTGAGTGTAGAGTCGTTGACTTGACTCTGGGCGATGTTGGGGTAGCCCACAAAGATTCTGGCAATATAATTAGCGATCAAGTCTTTGATAGCAAAGCTGCGACAATGACTTGACTAGGGTACAGGAAGAACTACGTTGGAAAATGTGATATCCAGGGTCAGGCGACCTTGAGCGTCGAGATGGAAGCACTTACACTGGCAACAGGATCACGAGGAAGACCACAATGAAGACGATCAAATGCACCCACCACCATTTCTTAAAATGCGCCTTCATCCGCGCCCCGAAGCTCGGCTTGGCTGTCATTGAGCTCCCCGTGGGGAACTCCATCGCCGTGACTTCGCCCTTGTCGGTCGACATTTTCTTGTCGTCCACCTGCCTGGGAAAGCCGACGTGTCAATCTTCGAGCGACGATATTCAAATTCTTGGTATCCTGAATCCCTCCGGTCAGCCTGGTGGTTGAGGAAGCGGGTCACCCTGTGAAACGAGCGACGCGAAAGCAAAAGGGAAGAAAGAAGGGAAGAAAGAAGGAAAGCATAGGGCCGATGGGATCGTACAAGAGTGAAAAGAGCACTAGTTTAGTGGCAACACGGTTCCAGAGACTAAAAGGTGATGATCGGAATAGTCCATGTAATCTGCCGACGTCTTTTGCCCCGTCTGCAGTGTTCAGTGTTCAAAGCTTTCCCAGTAGCCGATCAACCCGGGGGTCGCCATCCCGTGGAGGGTAGCATTTCCTTTTTATCAAAAGGCCAGGCCAACAGCCAGCAGCGGCGCGATGGAGACCCGATTCTGGAGTCGACACAGTCTTGGCTTTTGCCAATTGGGGGGAGGCTCCAGTAACGTGGATCTGACTAGTTGGTACTTGGTACAAGTTGGTAGTATGTATGCCATTTGACCTAGACCACCATTGTTATTCCACGCCCGAATCCAATGGGTTCTTTCTGCGGAACCGAGATTTGACATGGATGGGGGGGGGGCCATCCGACTCGCAGTACTGGAGCAGTTGGACTGTTGTGGCACAGTCGTTGAACTGCAGTCCTCCTGCGGTCTTGTGCTGCGTGGTCACTCGGAACCATCCCTCGGCGCAGATCTTCACATGTCATGCACCCACACCTACGCACCCTTGGGTACAGGGCAAATGAGATAAAATGGCGGAAAAGGCTCAAGAGGGAAGCAAGACCAAATGGGCATGAGAAGCTGGCCAATGGTGGGTCTGTCTCTTCCCCCGAAGAGAGTCCAAGCGGGATGGAGCAGGTAACCAAGTATGGCCGATGCAGGAAAGTCGCAGGAGTCGCAAGGGGAAACTAAATTAGTGTATGCGCCTCAAGTGGGGAGGGTCCGGCGCGGAGGAAAGACCATCTTTGACGATGGGCGCCGTCGTGCATGCAGCGAGCGGTGCTGGAACCAGGGTGATTGGATGTTCTCGAGAATGTAATTTGGGATGATATTCTGATCTTGCTGCCTTTTTCTTGAACTGCTGATTTGCTCGATGTCAGTCGGTAGGTGGGCATATATTGCAGTAGTACACCACTGGCACCAGGTAACCTGCGCGTGTGCGTCAGCAAGGTATACCTATTAAACCGTGCAAGACCGTTGACAACTGAGAAGTACTGTAGCAGGATATCCACTTTATTCGTGAGAAGTTTCTGCACATGATTGCCTCGGTCGCTCACTTTTCATGGTTCGCACTCGTTGTCACTTAGGAGGTCTTTTCCATCCTAGTTGACCAGTTTCCAAGGATTTCCTGGTCTACCACGTACGAAGGTTTCGGAGCGCGATTGCGGGGAAAGTCAAAATCCGGGTTGAACTGGATGCCAACCAGGGGTCTATGATATGTCAATGACTATGGAGTACGGAGTATGGAGTATGGAGTACGGAGTATGGACTCATCCGCATTTCCACCCTGTGGCTGATTTCCCGAAGGCGGGGGAGAGGCGACCAACTCGTGACGCAGACATAAAGTCTCCGGTCAACGTTAAAACGAGGGACCGAGGGATCTGATCTGCTGCTATTCATGTCCTTTGCAGGGATTTCATTCTTGTTGTGGTCCCCGTTGGTGGTAACTTGGCACGATGTGTCGTGAGCGACTCCTCCAGCCGAAGAATGAATGACTCGCAGCGGAATCGCGTGACCGCCCGTGTTGATAATCTCTTGCCCAACTGTAGTCAGACTCAGAGATACAATGCCATTAGTAGTTGGTAGTGACTACTTAGTACTTACTACCTAGTAGTAACTGGCTTTTTATTCAGGCACCATGTATTCATTGTATTGTAGGTCAAGACGCCAGACATAGCATCAGTTGTATAGGGACATACACTTTCTACTAGAACAATACAACATCTTCGATGCTCTATGAACGCCAAAGCTGCCCAGTGAGGACACTGGTACCGGTCAGTCTGACCGCGGTAGACATCCACATGGAAGAACCACTGCTAACTGCGCACGAGGCACCGTACCTGAGTGCCAGCTGCAGCTTGCATTGTCAGATCTGTACAGTGTACACTGTACAGTAGTAGTAGTATACGCTTTACAGTCTACACTCTCCAGTCCTCCGATATCTCATACCTAGCTACGCATTGATCACTGACATCTACATTCCTTCACTCCTGGCGACCATCCGTCACCCTCAACCTTGACAGACCGACCCTCCAAGACCCTGGCGAAATCGATCCAAGTCACACCTACCGTGGGATAGAAAGCCCGTAGCTCGAGGATCCCAGTAGGGACCGTGAAGCACACAGCACCCACGGGCAGTCTATACCTCGGTCCGCCTTCCCAAAGCTTAAAGATAGGCTCAGCTACAGATGCCAAGTTGCATGTGCAAGAGTTTCTCGAACGAGCGCCGCTACCCAGTGCCTGGTCCTAGTACCTAGTACCTACTAGTCCTATAGCAGTACTGACAGCAGTGCCTAGAACGAGTCAGCACGTCAGCACCTGTAGTGAGCACTAAGAGACAAGCGTGGAGGCAAAGAACGAGAAGAAACAGCCGTACGGACCCGGGCCCGTCGCCACCGACCGTCTAGCTTAGATCAAAAACACCACTGGCAGACTGGTAGAACCATCATGGTCCTCGTGAGATTCTACTGACTGTAGGGGGGTGGATATGCTCGGGATCCACCTTTGCAGGTCTGACAGGGATCGATCTGGACTTGCCACCAGAATGAACTGATTGAGAATGAGATGCATTTACCACACCTTGAAAGTCACCTACCTGGGGACTGAGCGACCGTTCTGGGATGACAGCTTGGAAGTACTCAGGACCTCTCCAGCACCCGGTCATGTGGCGCTGAGACTCACAATTTATCGTATCTCGTGTGTATTGTGTACTTGGTTTTTCCACGACTCACGCATGGCAACCCCACTGCGCTTACGCAGGTCGGCAATCAGAGCGTCCAACTTGACTTGGTCCTTCCACTGTCAAGTGTCAAAACGGACTCGGCCTGCGCTTGGGAGACGGATCTTCCTCGTTCCTAGTCCTACTGTCAGTGTCACTTGTCCCATGTCACACTTTGCATTTGAAGAACACGTCCTGCTCAATCTATCATTCTTTCCCCAGTCTGTCTTCCCCCATCGCTAAATGGTATTCTCCACTTCCTCTTGGTCGTCGCACCGACCATTCTGGGGTTTCGATGAAATGATTCAACTATGATCGATTGTCATTGGGCATGGACCATACAGCCGTCGGTGTACCCAATGTAGTTGTACCACTACCACCCAGTAGTGTACCGTGCAAACTGCAATGTGCATGGGGTGGAGCTCCGCCAAGGGCAACCGTCGGCGGCGAAGAGACAAAAACAACAAATGGGCGAGCAAGCATAGACCCATTGGAGTCTTTGCATGTCCTTGCAGACTAGCACAGTAGGTGTTTGGGAAACAGGGGACTGGCATTCGCTTGTCGGGAAGGGGAGGAGAAGTAGACGAGGGACGGGGCCAGAGATCGTTCCGGAGGTTGTTTGTTGTCCGACGGGAGCTTTGCTATTGTCACGGATAACTCGGTGGTCCTACGATCTGCCATGACTACCTTAGTACCTACTGCCTGACTGAGTCCTCCGTGTGTACTGTAGTAGGTATCTGGTATGTACAATTGTATATACATACATGAATCGGTCGGTATCCATTCGATTTGGGGATTATCTCTTCACGATGGCACGTTGTTAAGGTCTGCTTCTTTTTGCGAGGATTCCAATTTCTTCCCGTAGGCAAGTCCAGCAGATCGACAAGACGCTACAATTTTGAATTTACATCCTCGCCACGGACGCCTTTCTTTCTCGTCGCGCATCGCCCCAGATTTCTTACCTCGATACATGTACATATTACCATTAGGACTAGGAGTAGGCGGCACTCCAATCCAAAAGAAATTTGATTCTGCGGGAACAACCCTCACGACCATGTTCATACTCCAGGCTGGAAGTGAGAAGTTTGCCACCAAGTACTTAGATTACGAATTGCTGCATATTTGCTGAAATAACCACTTCAATCTAGTATCTACTCACTACTGTACGCAGCACCACCGCCGATCCAGAAAGAGATTGTCTAGCCCAAAGATCCACCATAAGAACACGCACGACTAAAAGTTCAAGTGACCGCCGAGTGATCCGATGATCCCAGCTGGAGTACTACCCCGAAATGCATGTCATGCCTGAACACTGCCATGCGTGTGCACACCGCATGCACATGACGATGTGCCGGAAGGTTCAGGTCGTCGGGTAGCCTATGATGAATCAAGACAGATTTCGCCACTTGGATATCCTCGATCCTGTGCAGGTAGCAGTATGTCATGTCCATGTCGCCAGATCTGACTTGAGTATCGCGCTAAGGATCCATCGGCGATCGAGGACGTTGGCCTCATTTCGGTTGGGAAGCCCCTACTTACCATCAGTACTGTCGGCTTTCCATAGTGGCATTCTAGAGTCTCTATATCAATCTACGTCAATGTAACGGTCAAGTAAACGGGGGAAAGATAGAGAAACGTAGTCTTCGTCCATTATAAGAGAGATGTGTCTCTCAAAAGGTATACTCTACTTATCGATTATAGATGAATGGATGGCCCGAGTTGAAAATTGAGAAAGTGTGCGGCCCAAGCAAATGAAAGGATGAAGATTTTTTTTCACGAAGGACTAGGTAATAGGTATATGCACACCGTGAAAACGACAAAAAAAAAAGAGATGAAATATACGACAAGGCTCAAACGATGTCTCGACTCGCGGGAAGGGTCCTCGCAATAAAATTTAGAAGAGCCGAAAGAATAGGGCCGAGAATGAAGAAAAATATTCATATGTGGAGTCGGAAAGAGCAGGTCCCAGGGAGTCGAGTATGATCAAGAGGATCCCAATCAACAGGTCTCGGAAATAGAAAAGTGACAAGATTGAAGGCCAAAATGGAAAAGTGAAAAGGGAAAAGAAGAGCAATGCCCTCAATTGGGTAAGGATGAAAGGGTTTTCAAAATATGTTGGGTATCCAGGATGAATCGAAAGAAAATAACTGTCGCTCCAAAACGTCGATGAGCTCGCACCCTAATCGTCGGTCTCGACGAGCGCTGCGCTGCAGAAAAGGATCCATAAAGATGGATGGAATGAATACAAAAGGTGAGAGCAGGCAAAAACAAAAAAAGAAGTGACAAGAAAGGAAAGGCGAAAGATGCGCATAAATCCGCCAATTGTGAAAAGAAAAGAAAATCAACCGGTCATCTCACAAGGAACGACTGAAGACTTGAAAAGTTTCCAGAAGAGACAAACAGCGCTGCGCAATACAAAGCATCAGATCAGAAAATAAAAAAACAGAAAATAATAGACCCGCGTATGCAGAGGGCCTGATTGTGGCGGCACAAAAGTCAAGTCGAATGATCGTGGGAAAAAGAAAAGCTAATACAGGGCTTTGGAAATTCCTGTACTAAGCTTCAGCGGCAGACTTTTTTTCGCTGGAACAAACCACGTGTGCGCGACTTGCTGCGTGGTTTCTTCTCGCTATTTGACTTTTTCTCACTGCTGACAGTGCGTCCACGAGAGCGTCCTCCACGGGCCTCATTATCGCCCATATACTTGGCTTTGTAGATCCTGTTCGACCGTTAGTATGAGAACAAGACCAGGGAACAGACATCAATTTCGTGCTTGAATCACGTCAGGAGCGGAAGACAAACCAGCTATTTCCGACCATGCTCATTCCTCGAGCCTCAGCCTCGCGATAGAAATGAGCGGCTTTTTTCAGATCCTTCTTGCAACCCACACCTTCGGCGTAACAGAACCCAGCTTCCGCCATGGCATCCGTATCACCCCATTGACCGGCAATCTCGAAGCATCGCAATGCGAGCGATTTATCCTGCTCGGTGCCCCATCCATTAAGGTGACTGACACCCAATTCATAGATGCTCAGGGCGAACTGGGTCTTGAAAGCCTTTTCAAGCTCCTTGGCTTGGGAAGCACCGGGGGCGTCGGGATTCGCTAGCATTTCCAGCCCGACAGAATCCACGGCTTTGCGCAGCCACCGCACGCCTTCCTGTTGATTGGCGCGCATACCCCAGCCATGGCGACAAGCCAGCGCATACAACAGCATTCCCCTCGGGCTGTTCTGCTTCGCTGCAATGCGCAAATGGTACGTCGATTCATTGAGCGAGCCCGCTTCGTGCAACTCAATACCCTTGGTGACGTGATCGTCCGCAGTCAAGGTGAGTGAGCTGGTCTTGCTGACCTGCGTCATCGCCGTTTGAGGGCGAAGGGTGCTAGCTGAGTCGGCCGAAGACACTGTCTCGTCCTTTTCACTCGTCTTGGGCCGAGCGGATTCGGTCGATGGTCGAGGAGGCGAAACGATCGCGGGCGATGGTGCGGCTCTCGGGGGGGACTCCGGGGCCTGGGCAGCGCCAGAGGACTGTGACGGGCCTGACACCGACACTGCCACCGGAGCTGCTGTAACCTCGTACATGGAATGGGGCTTGGGAGAATTCTCGACGCGAGTGTGAGAGGGAGGGGGCGTACGAGCGGAGCGTGGAATCTCCTCGGAATGTCGAGGCGGCGAATTCTCAAATAGAGGCTCCTGCCACTCAAAATGAGGGGTTTGCAATCCTGCAAAGACCACTGAATTGCGTGAGACGGCGCGGCCGCGTGGAAGATCGTATTTGGCGTAGGTATAGGTGGCTGATGAGGGCTGGTCTTCATCACCAGGGGATTTGGGCGTACCATCGGAGGCTATTGGAACTATTATGGGCGCCGGTTTGCCTGGACGGTGCAATTGCTGAGACTGACGGTCCCAACGCTGGTGCTGTGAGCCCATCGTCGGCGTCGTCGCGGGCTCGGAAGTGGCCGACGGGCCCGGTGCTGAGAGACTTGTACTTGAGCGACTTAGAGGTCGTGAGAAATTGAATGAAGGGCGAGGAAGATAGCTCGCGACAGAGGTCTCTGAGCTCAACGAGGGCGAGCGTGGATGAACCCGGAAGGGATAATTAGACATAGGCGAGTACGGCGCCGATACAGCGCTGCCCGACGAGAGTTTGCGCGGCTTTGAAAACGTCGAACCACCGTTTGAGCTACTGTAGTCATCATCGGAGCTTTCGGTGTTGAGCACTCGAGTCCTACTCGGCGGACGAGAACCGGGAGATACAGGCGGTGCCAGGTTGCGGGGAATCAGCAGTCGGCCTACTGAATCCGTGGACGACATGCGTGAATTGTTGGCCTCCGACTCTGGCGAGGCGCCATCTATCCCTGTTGCCAAGGAAGGGTCATGCTCGGGTGAATCTGCGCGAGGTATATCGAAACTCATTGCGCTCGACTGCACCATAATAGTGCGGGGAGTGTCCTGCTGTTCGTCCTCGTTCCCGTCCTGGTCCAACTCATCTTTCCCCTCCTCGTCTGGATCGCCGTCCTGACTGGGGTGTGAGATGGAACTGAAGCGGGGGTGTTCCGAGATGGGTCTGTACTTTGGCTCTTCAGGATCGGGGCGAGCTCTTAATGTCGGCTTTCGGGTCAGGGTGTCCACCTGAGAGTCGCTCGAGGGTGCGCGAAAGTATCCCGGTCGCGGGATGGAAAGCGATCGCGCGACGCTCGAGGGTGGTAATCGGCTCATGCGCCGATCTCGTCTGCGCGATTCATCCAGTTGTTTGGCGAGTAACCGGCCTTGTGCTGCGAAGGCATCTAGCGGTGATAGCGTGGGGGGACTTCCCCATCGTAGTGTTCGATGCGCGGAGATGGCAAGCCGCCCCGCAAAGTATCGTGAGAGGTGGAGCGGATGTCGCCCAAGTTCCTGCGGAACGACATGGAGATTTGTGGTGAAGAAAGAGGCAAGGGCGATTTGATTCGTTTCGTCGAGACGAGTTCGACCGAACGTCTGGTGCGGTGTTGGTTCTCCAAATCGTTGGCTCGTTCAGGTACGGCCTTCTCCACGTGGATCCGAGAATGGCCAGGGCAGGGTCAGGGTTGGTTGCGAAGACGAGGTTGAGTAACGTGAATCACCCGGAATCCGAAAGATCTGATTCATGCATGGGACCCATTGGGCGAAGCGAATGTCACCAGCCCTGGACTCTGCGTTCGTCACTCAGGAGCAGTTCCTGTCTCCGTTGAGGAATCGCCAAGAGGGGGGGGGGAGGGGGAGGCCAAGTCGAATTCGTTGGGCGGGGAAGGGCGACGAGGCCAAAGGAATGACAGCCCTGAAGAGACGACAGGGAGAGGCGGCAAGACAGTAGAGTCGACAACGACGACTTGCGCGGGTCGAGTCGCACAGGTGTCTTGAACAAGTATGGGATAATTTGCGAGTCGAATTCGCAGATGACCCCAAGGCACGATGACGAGAGCGCTTTGATTCTAGCGCAGAAGGGAAAGAGGGAGAGACACAAAGAAAGAGTGGCCGTGTTTACGAAGAGGGCAGCGAGAAAGAGGAGGCGAGCGGTAGGCAGAAAGTTAGAATCAGTCGAGGCCCTGACGATCCCCCGATGCACCAAAGAGGAGGCAGTCGCTGCGGGAGTCAGGTCATCATCATTCGATGGTCCCGTGCACTCCACAAGTTCCTCGTCGTAGTTGTGAGCCCCGAGTCTCTCTCTTTCTCTCTTTCTTTCTAATCAGGACTGCAATGGTCTCCACGCAGAGAAGGAGGGTAATCATCACCACACTACTACGACTACGAACATGACCACTACTGTTGTGCTGTGATTGATTCTCCTCAACTCCTCACGCCTCACGCCTCACATCCCAAATCGTGACCGGAAGTGATTTGGGGGTCCACTGGTCCATTTGACTAGTGTTTAGTGTCTAGTTGTCTAAAGTCCACTCAAGAGCGTCTCTGTCGGGGGTCGTAGTCCTGCTACTGTCCTGAACTCCTGATATCCAGGCCTCTACCCTGAGGTACTGTACTAGGTAGCTTCAAGGAGGATGCTTCCACCACTCAGTAGTATGTCAGTGAGTCACTCTACTCAGTAGTGGTACTGACACAATATCGTGATGACCACTATGACCGGTTATGAGCTTTTCCAGATACTTTGTCGAGTGAATTCCACGCTTTCGATTGATCTCTCCCCTTCTTGGTGTACATCCCAAGCGGTCGCCGTTGTTGTCTGGGCCCAGGAGTCTCTCATTCAGGGGTGGTTTGCCAAGATTCATGTCCTCTTGGGCCATTCCGGTTGGCTCTCGCTTATTGTTCCACCATCCGCTACGACTCCCCTCCAGTGTAGTGGATGTAGTGCTTCACTGCTTGGTGTGTCTTGGAGGAACACGCTCCTCCGAGGCTATCCCGATGCAACATGTTGCCTACAGGCTGAGAGGGCGGAATATGTTTTGCACTGTACCGAATGGCAAAGGTCAGTAGATTGCTGAATACTAGTGACTCTGACTTGAGTGACCAAGGTCCAACTGGGAGGGGAACCACTGAGCGGATGCGTAGAAGGGCGGACTGGGATGAAGACGAACTCGAATTCCACCTCGAGACTCGATAGAGTCGGTCCTCCATCAAGTTCAAGGCCCATCGAGCCAGTCAACAAAACCTTGAGTCTTGCCGACCAGTCTGGAGGCGCTGAGACATTTTTTTGCGGCGCGCCACCGATACGCATCACAGGTCCATAACTTGGCCACTGCGCAGCCATCTGTACCCATGGACGAGAGAGATCCAAATGCTCGCACTCTTGATGACCAGCTCCTCGCAGCACTTGCACTGAGGATGAGATAGACTGCATTTCGTGTCATATTCTGGGGACGGTGATCAAGTGGAGACGCTGGCTCGCACCTCCTATCTGCTCCGTCATTTCGAGCATGAAACGCAAGATCGGCATTCTTCTAGAATTCCATCGAGCCGCGCGCCGCGCAAGGGTCCCCTCGGCTCACGGCTCACGGCTCAGGGCTTGAAACTCTGTTTACTCAGGAGGAGACTAGGAGTAGTACTACGATAAAGTGTAGACTGGAGAGCGGCTACACTCTTGGAGTGTTGGCCGTTTATACTTTATAGTACAGTACTCAGTGTACTGGGTAATGGCCCAGTGAGTATGTACAAACTACAATAGCACATATTACATAGTAGTACACACGGGGTAGTGACTAACGGACTATATTCCAGACCAAGTGACGCTGAACAGCTTCACCACCTCAATGAAGCCGACCTTATTGCAGGGCAAGAGTTCCCTGTGACCGAGATGCCCGTCCATGCCTAAAGGAGCACCAATAACCGGGCACGATCGAAGAGATTCCAGGCCAGTACTGTACTCAGTGTACTGACTCCTGAGTACTTGACATCAGGAGTGGTACGTGTTCACTCACGTCACTTTCGCTGGACGCAGGAGCGAAAGCTCCAGGGCAGTGGTGCACCACTGAGTGCCGTCTACAATCCCATGTTGACAGGTTGGATACTCGACGCCTTCGTCATCACGTCAGATCTGACCCACGAGTGTGGCAGATCAGTCAACAACCGGTTCCAAGCACAGCAAGAGGTGATTGTGATGATTGACCACCGGGTCTTCCCCCTAGTCTACAACATCAGGCACATGGAGAATGCTTCTTCCAGAGCGCCTGTTTCTTTCCCGTCCATCCATCCTCGGCCCGCTTCCCACCGCGGGCGATGGGGCGGTTTCAAAAGGTTGTCCTCCTCGGGCGGGCAGAGCCAGTTGCAGTCCTCATCTCGATGGCAGTCTTGCCCCACGCGTCTCCTGAGTCCAAAGTATCCAGGCTGGCGTTGCTGAGGGCTCATGGGGCTGGCCCGCGTGGTCAATTGGCATGCTGGCCCGACGACAACTACCACTACTGTGATACGTCTGTCTTCTTCACGCTTGGATCTGTGATTGTTGTTCTTAATTTGGATTGCGACTGAGCAGTTAGCGCCGGATCCTGTCCGGAGACTCCTTCGGAGTTGAAGATGGTAGCAGGCAGTCTTGAGAAATTGGTCTCTCGGCTCTCCGGTGGCCAGTCAGAAACTGGTACCACTAACTATGTACTACTATACCGTTCGCTTCATCTCATCGAGCTTTTTTTTCCAAGTCCATATTGACATACACGCGTCAACTTGAGTCAACTCTCCAAGAATCTCGCAAAATGGAGCACAAGCATCTTTTCTTCCTCAGAACAGCTCATCTCCTCACGTGGAGGCTTGCCATCCTGCTTTCAACTCTGAAATAATTAGGCTTGCGCAACGGTCACTCTACATTCCTACTGTACTTGTTCTCAGTAAGAGAGGAATGGGAAGCGCAATGCACATCCCACCTTACTTATCATCATGGAGAAGGTACCTGATTCTGCCTCCTACCTAGACAGATTGTTTTTACTCTGGCTACAGTAGAATAGCACGTTTTATAGGTAGCCGTCAGGTCTTCTACCGAGGATTGCTCTGTTTGTTCCCCTGAATCATGTGTTTGCTGCTTAGAAATAGCGACCTCGGAGCAAAACAATCGAATGGTCCACGTACCACTAAAACTTCTATTTGATAAAAAAGAAGAAAAAAACCCTTTCCTTCCCTCTAACACGGTCGGTCCTTTGAGACGGAAATCAGACCCGATCGAGGTTACACCCGAGCGTGAGGCCCACGCCGACAGTGCAAAATGGATCGGACCTGCATTAGTCTCAATCGACTTGGCTGAAACGGTCGGCTTCAAGCGACCGTGAAAGGATGCAGTCGAGAATCGCCAAGACATCGGGTTGACACCAAAGTCAAAGAGATCTATCCCCAGAGCATGAATTTGGCAAGGATGTATGCCACATGCCACAAACCTCGAGTCCTGCCTCCCTGGAGCCCCATGTGACTATCACGATGGGTCCGCCAGGCAAAGTGTCTTCACGAGAAATGATCCGGAGAGTTCGAAAAGCTTATCCACCACGCCTCCGACACGGTGCATCTCGATCGAATCCTCTCTGCAAGATGGAATGTCCGGACTGGAGCGGCGCACAAAGGGTGGAACCAACCTAAACCGCATTGCACGGTAGCCACCGCGGCTTAGCTTCCCTTCAATCCACGGGAAACGGCGCTCTTTTGGGGGGCTTGCGAGGCATTCACGATGAGATGGTCGCCTGACCACTTCGTTTTTCTCCTTGTCTCTGTCTGTCCTCTCCCCCTCTCTCTCTCTTCTGCTCGTCGATGGTCGATCAACCGGCATATGATCACCTATATCAACCATTCATTCGCTCCTCATATTGCCGGAAGAGAATACTGACCATCGTTGTTGCTCGTGTATAGTTCTCGAGTGTGGTGGCATTGACTGCTCGAGGCTGATAAGACCGGGGCGGTGATCTAGACAGCTGAGCTTCAGAGCTGGTTCGCATTTTTGGGTTCCAGATCCGCCAAAGGCCTCGTCTACAGCCAGTCCATCCAGTGAAACATAATTTACAGGAGTAAAAGAGCACACTCGGATTGCGCACATCTCCTCCATCATGACCATCTCCTGGGCACGACTGTTCGGGGCCGATCCCAGCCTCGACAACTTGCATCGCTTCGAGACTTCATGGCTGCTCTCACCCATGGCCTTGGCCGGAGTGCGTGCCCTCACCACCCTGTACATCTTCACCACGATCTTTACCATCTGGGGTTGGTATGGATCGCACGATGACTCTTCTGCCATCGGCCAGTCCTTCAGCTACTTCACCTGGTTGACCTACTGGGGACTGGGCTTCTATCATCTCACGGCGACCATTCACACCGTACTCTATGCGCGTACAGGTCGGTCAGTGCTGCTTGATCGCTGGCCGCGTGTCTTTCGAGTCTTGCATGTTTTGTTCTATGCGACCATCACGACGTTCCCGTTCCTGGTCACGATCGTGTTCTGGGCGATCTTGTTCAAGGCACCTTTCTACAAGGAGATTTTCCCTGGATGGTCCAACGTGAGTAACACCTATCCTCACTTGCGTCAGAACATTCACCTCCACCCGCGTGATACTCCCAATCGATCTCCCAGGATCCGAGAATCCATGCGCACCTGCCGACGCCTCGATGCTCCACAGCTCTTAATGCTATCTGGATGTCTTCATTCACTAACAACCCTCCTAGATCTCCCAACATGGCCTAAATTCTCTCCACGCCCTGGTAGAAATCATCCTGCCCGCCACCGCACCTCACCCCTGGATGGCAATCCCCGTCCTCGTCCTCTTACTCCTCTTCTACCTCTGTGTCGCCTACATCACCCACGCCACAAGTGGCTTCTACACCTACTCCTTCCTCGACCCGGGCGTCGACGGCCACAAGAGCGGCCTCGTGACCGGCTACTGTTTCGGCATCCTCGTCGCCATCCTCATCCTGTTCCTGGTTTCGTGGGGCCTGATCCGTCTGCGCGTCTATCTGACCGGAGACAGGATCAAGCGTGCTGCGCGGGATCCCCTGCGCCATGGCCCGGGGGACTTTGACAATGCGACGAGATTGCGCGATGCATCGATGGAGATGAAGCAGGCTTCGGCGGTGTAAAATATGTGAGCTTGAACGTTGTGGGATCGAACAACAGATGATAACTCGCGATTGAGTCCAAGGGCGGGAGCTGTACTAGAATCTGGATGCGGGGTTGGGACGCCTCCTCCATCACTGGACCAAAAGCGTGGAATGCTGTCAGGCTAGTGAATTGTCAACCCTAAAATACCTTGCCCACCAGCTACCTGGGGCTACCCTAATATCAAGCTTTAATTTATGAGAGCTGCCCGCTCCTTGTCGAATCATCTTGACCCATCATGGATATCAGAGGGAAGATTTGCTGTATTATAAGGCTATAAAGGGTGGGGGTATAGGTAGTTCCAATCTGATAATGGGGGAACCGAAAGACTTTCCATGTGGGTAGATGGGAAGAAACACCCGCGTCTCTCTGCCTGGGGCTGAAAGAATGTCATGTAATCAAGAACAGCACAGCTGTCACATCCGTCACCGGCAGAGTGATCTCTCGGGTCGGTCTCACCACATTTCCATCTCGCGGTGGGAACTATAGGGCCGCATCACTTCGCGCTACGCTGACCCATCATCAAGCTCACCAGGCCGCTGGGTACCCAATCCCCGATGAGACTGTAAGAACGCGCGCCACGACCAACGTAGACAACAGCACTTTTATGGGCACGGCGCCCAAAAATATTCTTCGATGCCGGCTCCAGCGCATCCAGCACAGCATGATGGAGGACCCGCGCCGAGGATCCACGGATAGCAGCCGGTCCGGCGGAAGCAACCGGACGCTGTTCAACGCTGTTCAGATACCGGGAGCCATATAGCGCTCGCTGCTGCGCGTTCCACGCAAGCACCTCGGTCCCCGCGACCTGACTCTGTCCGGGTTTATATGAGGGGCCGAGATCAATATTGCCCAGCCGAAGCTCGACCACGTCAACGTTGCCTTTCTCAAGAAGAGCAAGTTCTTGGCGGAGCGAGGCTGCAAAGCCCGAAAGAGCCCGTACCGTTGTCACCTCCGGACCGGCAAACGGTGCGGAAAGGGACGAGGAGATGGAGGGATACGCAAAAATGAGCGCACTGCTATTGCTGCGGAGGGTCAACAGAGGGAGGAAGATCTGGGCAGTCAGGATTGGCGACAGAATGCGGGCATTCACGGTATCAGCCCACGATGACGCTGGTATCGTAGCGACAGGTCCAGCTGAGTAATTCGGTGAGGGGACAATGATGACACCGCTGAGCTGGCATGTGTGCGGTGCGACGCCGGGGACGGGATATTGAGGCTGTGTGATGAGGGCTCGGAGCTCGTGGAGTGAGGGATGCAGGTCAGATGAGTTCGATGCTGTCTAATAATTTGCAAGTGGTCAGAATCGCGATTCCCAAATTGGTGCATGGTGCGCAGAAACCGACCGTAGTCAAATCCAGCCACAGGGGCTTGATGTCCGCTCGGTGTTCAGATTGAACAACAATCTCTTCGTCGGCTGACGAGACCGTCACGTAGACAATATATCCTCGGCGCTCTAGGTCTGCTGCGATCGCTCTGGTCATAGGCTCGTGAGGTGATCCGGATACGACTGGTACATTGTGTCAGCAAGCCCGCGCCCCTGCTATCAACCTATGCATCGTTCTGTTCTTTGCTGTCTTACCCACAACCTCTTTCCGTGACCCGTTGCCTGCTCTCCTAGCCTTTCTGCGCTTGCCGTTCAACTTTTTACTTCCGTACAGCAAAACGCACCCAGTACCAACGAATGCGACAAGGGCCGAGCTCAGCGCACGGTGCCGAGTCACCCAATCCTGTATGCGGTCAGACAGACCCGTAGATGCAGCGCGTATCTCCCTCGTGCGGACAGCCGGTCGGACTGAAGCCGGAAGCCATCCTTGCTGGCCAAGTGTCTCTCGAATCACAACAGCGGCGCGGTCAAACTGGCGGTCGATAGAGTCGGCGACTTGCAACGAATATCGTCTTACGTCATGGGGTATAGACGCTAGCTGCGAGTCCACCAGGTGTCAGATATAGCTGGATACTTCTCAACTCTCCGATGAGGTCCTTAGTTACTCACGTAATCAAAGAAAAATTGGTCGTCGCTGGTCATCGTGATTTGGCTGGAATGCAGAGCAAATATCGATGAGTCGATAAGCTCAAAGCGGCCGATAAGTTGATAGATCCCCACTTTGCCGTCGCATCATGTGATCTACCTTGAATGTTATTGGAGACATCGCACGCGATAATCAGCCAAAATGAAACTACCACTTTGAACGATGTTTTCTTGGTGCTGGCAATAGATCATGATACACTCTGAGCATTGGAAGGCGTCCGAATCCGCAATTTCAAAGAGCTGAGTATTAGATTCATGCGAAAAAAAAGCGATGATGGACTGCTATTCCAGAAGTTAGTTCTCATAAAGTATGCGGATATGGGTACTCGGTGCCGCCCGCTGGCAAGATATATTACGTGGTGAATCCCGTCCTGGCAGTTTGGAGATAGTATTGTCGAATGCAATACCACCATTCAGGTACCTGTGTGGATGGATAGCACCAGAATTTAGAGTACAAAAAGTGGTATTATCCATGACCAGGTCAATGGTAAGGACGAACCTCATGAGCGATAAGTACCTACCTTACTTTTCAAAGTGTCTCCTATTTCATTAGTGCAAGTATATACATAGACTGTGTAGTGTCACGTGTGTACAAGTGAGAATCAGACAAGAACTCAGTTCAATCGATGATTTACTTCAACTCAGTCCCCCGTCTCTAACAGTGCATTTCTTACCTAAACAGTGTATTTCCAATTGCATGCGACCTGGAAATAGACCTTGGAATTGCCCGATCAGATGTACATATGCAGGTGGTTACTGACCCACATTGATGAGAGCCGCGATCTCTGCCTGAGGCTCAAGGCACTAGGCCTCACATACCAGCAAGGTCGATTTACGATCGTAGGCTCCAGCTCGCCACCGACATGCAGCCTGTCAAAGGCTTTCTTCAACTCTGACGGAAGCCTCTCAGATGTTTCTGTTGAAGTCTTCCCTCAAGGAGCGTTCCTTCCTTCCTGGAAGCTTCTTTTTCTAGCTTCATATAGCGCCCATAGATTTTCCCGTTCAGTAGGAAATCAAGGGTCTTTCTCGCTGCAGCTTCTCTTCCTGGCTTGCCATCAGTGTCTCACACCGCGTGCTTTGACAAGTCAGTCTGCTGACTTGTTGGAGTTGCAGATCTAGGTCATTCAAGTCATTCGAGGAATGCTGCTGCGTTGTGAATTCGGAACCTGAGCTTGCCTAGAGTACACTTTGGGTCCCTCGTTCATCGTCAACTTCCCGAACCTCGTTTCACATCTGCAAGATGCTCGAGTTGGATCCACTGATATCAGAATACCGCCATGAGAAAAAACGTCCGCGCGAGTCCGAGGCACTTTTCATCTTGCGCAAGGTCGCCTCCCTTGTCAAGCCGATCATGCGTCAGCGGTCATGGAGAGTTGGCGCTCTGTGCGAATTCTATCCTTCACAGAGAAATCTTTTAGGTCTGAATGTCAACCATGGTCAGAAAATATGTTTGAGGCTACGGTATTCCTCAGACCAGCGGCAATTCTTACCCATCGAGCAAGTTGTAGATACCATGCTACATGAGTGAGTGACCCTCGAAAATGCCGTGGCACCGCACTCCTTTCTAACCTCCTTTCCAAGGCTATGTCACATTGTACACGGGCCGCATGACAGAAAGTTTCATGCACTGTGGAATCAGCTTCGAGATGAGCACGAGGAGCTCGTCATGAAAGGCTATACAGGAGAGGGATTCTTATCCCAAGGCAAGCGCCTCGGTGGGAGTAGAATTCCTCTTGACGAAGCCCGTCGACGAGCACGTGCAGCTGCTGAGCAGCGGAAAGCTCTGGCCAAGAATTCTGGCAAAAGACTCGGTGGTGCACCGGTTCTGCGTGGCACAGATATGCGCAAGCTGCGTGCCGATGCAGCCCAACGTCGCCTCGAAGTCACGAATGGGTGCGCCTCGGGCACGGATCGAAGCGACGAGCTTGCCGAAGAAGCTTCACGGAATGGATTCAAAACCAAAGCAGAAGAGGATGATGCCAATGAGCAGGCAATATTGCAAGCCTTCATTGAACTAATCCAAGAGGAAGAAAGAGAGAAATACGGAAAGTCCTATATACCTCCTAGCCGTGAGAATCCCGCCGGTCCAAGAGAGAATGATCCTGCAGATCAGTCTGAGACAGGGACGTCTGATGACGAACTACGGCCGGCCCGTGATCCAGAGCAAGCCCTACCACAGCGCTCCGGTGCAGACAACATTTCCTATGATTCGCCGTGGACGTGTACGACTTGCACTCTAACGAATCCTCCTAGTTTTCTTTGCTGTGATGCGTGTGCCGCGGAAAGACCCCTGCCATCAACTACTACAACTACAACTGCGATTGCAGATACAGTGACCCAAAGCAAGGCAACTTCACACCCAGCCACGGCAACTCAAAACGCAAAGAAACGACCTTTGCAGGATGATCGCGACGAAGGCAAAGATGAAGGCACTGCAAAAGGAAACTTTGCTTTCAAAAACAGGACTCGGGCTATGGATTCCTTACTCTCAATCGAGAAGAACACGAGCAAGCGACCACTTGGCTGGCTATGCGATCGATGTGGGAGCTTTATGGAGACACACTGGTGGACTTGTTCCGCTTGTGGGAAATTGAAAGTGTCATCCTAATTGTATTCAGTTCGGCTGTACCCACTTTGTACTATATGATATAATGATACTATGATACTGCCTATCAATTAGACGCGGACTCACGAATTGACGAGTTCACTCTCCTTCTCCCTATACTGGACGTGCACACGATTCTTATATTTGGGCAATAAACCGCGCATTGACCACTGAGATTCATGAAATTGGAGGGCGTGGTCGGAATCTTGATACAGCTACTATAATATACGTTGCAGTCTGCCCCAACAACTTCGTAGACAAAGACTACGTACCCTCGAGCCAGTGATGAAAACTGCATCAAATACATCACATAGGAAATTGACTACACTCCGTATATGTAGAGTCAAATTCTAAAACTCGCAGTTACTGGACAGGAGAAGGAATTTGAAATGAGGTAGACAGTTAGACTACCATGTCGCTTCGTTCAGGGCTCCCTTTTGCATGCAATCAATTACAGCCGTTAATAATGCCGAGGCATGTATTGATTTCCCATTGTGGTCTCTGTACTCAGCCGTAGTAGTGACAATGACTAATCCGCACTAGCTCCACCAATTAATTTCGCCAATCCTCGCTTCCTTGACTCTTCTTCTTCTCCCGAGTGCCCTTTCTTTTTTCCCGAATACTCCAAGCAGTACGGATCATGACTGATAATGCTCAAGTCACTGACCTAAAGCTTCAAGCTCTGTCAAGGTACGTTTCACAATCACAATCGCATGTGTCACTGACGAAGACCGAAGCATGGGACAACTGGAAAAAGAAGATGAAAACTCGCACGTCAAGAAAAAGCTTCGATGATGAGACCTTATCAATGAACCGAATTTTTTTAGGAAGAGCCGGAAGAGGTATGGCAGTTAGGGCCCAAAGTGGTTACCGTCTGTCGTCGATGCTTATAATGGTTCGGCTGAAGAAGCTTTTGACACTCGCGATTCAGTTATCCTCTGCCGTGGTCTTCGGGCAAACTCTTGTCTCCGTTGGAAGGGATCAGCAACATGCTAACATTCTGTTGCTTTTCAGTGAATAAGTATACCGTTCGAGATAAACCAGCCTGAGCGAGTGTGTATAGGATAAGCGGGGGAATGCCCTTTTCGGTTCAAATAGATTCGAAATTTAGCATAAATGATGAATGAACAACCCTACTCTATTCCAATAAACACTGACAGAGACGTGGGTAATTCTGAATTAGAATGAGTTATATGTTCAGGCCATAATGCAGTATCATACATCCCATAATCTTGATCTCGAGACTCGCAAGGATATAGGACTTTTTGTGAAACGAAAGAAATATGCAAGAAACGACTTCCCAAAATGAAAAAATGACCACGGGGTGAACCAAAACGCCTATTGACATGCTCGAGAATATCGGCCAACTCAGGCAACATTCCGGAATTGACGCTTCTTGCCGGTGCCGCTGCTCTCTTGGACAGGTGTGAATGTCTCCTCGTCGACATAATCCTTTGTAGTATGCTCCCGAATTTGGTTGCCGATAATCTGCAAAGCGGACAGGTTGAAACCCATTTCATCCTTCTGGCGTGCCAGAACCTTCCGGAGAGAGACGCGAATGCTGTCAAGCATGGGTCGCATCAACTTGCTCGTCACAATCTGTCGATGATGTGTTTTAAGCATGAAGAAAAGCACACGGCAGGTAAGAGGCACGTTCCACTCGCGCTCCGCCCAGATGTTGAGGAAGGTGAAGAGCGAGGGTAGCTTGGAGAACGGCAGAACCAACAAGGCGTCTTGCAAGGCGGCAGCGGGGATCTTCTGCACAGTGTTCAACACATGCTGCTCTGCAGAAATGTTGCCCAGAGCGATGTAAGTTGGGTTGCGGTCGGGTGGCGCAGCACCGGCTTTGGGGTTTCTAGCCTGGACCTTTCGCCATTCACGCATGATTTCGAGGTCTTCCATGCCGAGATCGAGCGCCTCTATAATCTTCTCACCCGCCATGAGGGTGGTCGTGGTCTGCTTACCGGCATCTGCTGCCTCCGCCTTCTCACCATCCTCATTTTCTTCATCCCGTTCGAGTGAGGCAGTGAGAGTGCTGTCGTATGCCTCCTCCATTTCTTTCTCGCGTTCTTCCTCCAGGAAAAGCTCCTCATCGGTCTGCTTCCAAACACGAATGCTCTTGTCGTGGCTGGCGCTCACGATGAACTCGCCGTCGTGGCTGATGACCAGCGCCCAAATCTCTCCATGGTGTCCACTCAGTTTCTGAATCTGTTCAAACTTGTCTCCATCCCAGTACTTGATGATCTTGTCCTTGCTTGCACTGAAGAAGTTGTGACCATTCTGCTCCCGATTGGTCGGGACAAATGCGACTGCCATGACACTGTCCTCGTGGGCCAAGAATGCCTTATGACAATCACCAAAGTCAAGACCCCATAGTCGGACAGTCTTGTCGGCAGAGCACGTAACAATCATCTTGCTGTCGAAGGAGATATCCATGCTCAACACTGGAAGCTTATGACCGTAGAGATTGAGGAAGAGCTTCAAAGAGTCCACGAAGAACACCTTCACTGTGTTATCCAATAGAGACACGGCCAGCAGCCGTGAGTCGGGGGAGAAACGCAGGCTAAGAATGTCGTCGTTCACCTTGAGTGTCCTCGTATGTGCCAATTTCAGACGTGGCGTGGTGCGCTTTGTACCGGGAATCTCCTCTTGCACAACCTTGAATTCCCAGAACTTAGCAGTCTTATCCGCGCTGCCACTAACCATGGACTTGCCGTCGGGGTGAACATGAAGAGACCAGACTGGCCCGTCATGAGCCTTGATGGTGTCAAGCAGAGTTGAAGACGCGATATCGAACACTTCCAATTCACCATTTTTGTTACCCACCACCACAATCTTGTCACCCGGAAGGAACGCAGAGCAGAGAGCATAACCGCACTCCAGTGTTCGCAAACAAGTGCCAGTACGGATGTTCCAGACCTTGAGGCTACCATTAGAGGCCGAAGCAAGCATGCGATCCTCGGAGCTCAGCGCAACTGATCGAATATCTGCACGGTGGCCTGGAAGTTCAACGGCAAGAGTCCTGGTGTAATCGCCATCTTCCTCCTCCTTGTTCTTCTTCGCTGCCGTCACCAGAGTGTAGGACTCAAGCTGGTTGTTTGTCGTTGCGGCAAGGAGGTTGAGGCGACCGCTGATCTTTGTAGTCATCCAGTCGAAAGAGCGAACTTTGCCAGTAGTCCGCACAATGACATGAGGCACGAAAACCTCCGTAACCGGGGCCGCTGCAGGATCCTCGGAAATAACCTGCTCTGCCTCGGCACCGTCGTCCTTGCCCTCGCGTTTAGCCTCCTTTTCCTTTCTCCTCTTCATCTTGCGGGCGACGGCCTTTTGGACCTCGGTCTGGGAACGGATGCGCCAAACCTCCACGGCTCTTTCTGAGCCATGAAAACCTACGTAGTCCGCACGTGGGTGGAATCGAATCCCAGTAGTGCGATCTTTACCATTCCTGTAGAAGGTTCCTCGATCCGTGAGGATCCGCTGTCCTTCCTGAGCTACCTTTTCCCTTGAGACCTCGAGCATCACACCTTCGTTGATGGACCATACTTTCAACTCGCCGTCATTTCCAGCGGTGATGCAACCGCCTTGGTCTGGAGACAATCCGAGACTCCAGCATTCGCCATTTGTTTGCGCCACATGTGTTTCGATACAGTGTTGCGAGGCTAAATCCCAAACTTTGATCAGGGAGTCTTTGCCGGTGGTAAGGAGGAATCCAGCATGCTCGCTCAGGCCGGAAGCGTTCAGAAGGTCTTGGGACGGAAAAAGAAAGTTCAAAGAGGTGATCTGATCCGTATGTCCACGAAGTTTGAAAATTCCAACCTCGGCAATTAGATCCCAAAGAATGATGTCGGTATCCTTCGAGCCACTTGCCAAGCGTACACCGGCATTGTCGAAGGCAAGCTGGGTAACAGCAGATTTGTGGCCGTTAAAGGAGATGATGATTGTGCTCGTGCGGGAATCCCAGATTCGAATGCTGCCGTCTTCATATCTAATTTCAAGGTAGATACAATCAGTCAGCGTGTTCAATGCATGGGGGCGATTGATGTGACAAGTTTTACCCAACGGCGAACAAGTCCTCGTCTGTCTTGCTCTGAGTGACCACGGTCACTTGTGCCCTGCAGGCAGAGTCTCGCCAGCGACCAAGTAGTTCACCTTTTTTCACATCCCAGCATAAAACCTGTTCACTTGCACCAACGATTGCCCGACCGGCGCCTGTCTGACGAGCAGCGCCTGGAATTTGCTCATCCTTTGCCCAAATGGCATTGGACGTTGCTGAGGCAATGAGCCCAAAAGTCTCGGACTGCTCAAATTTTCTGTAGATTGAGCAAGATTAGACCATCGATCTCATCACACCTCTAAATGATCCACTTACAGGTACGATTTCACCATCGTCGCAGGGTTGTCGGGAAAAATTTTGGAGATTGGGATCTGCTATCGATAGCACAAAAATTATTACGGGCGGCGGCAGCGACCTATCCGGCTCCCCCACCGCCCATGACGATCGTATAGCTGCCTTCCCCAAACTACCCAGCCCACACGTTGTCGTGATCCTGCATTAAGCTGCATTGACTTGCCCATCATGCTTCTCCTAGACTATCAAAACGCACTGATTCAGTCTCTTCTTACAGAGCGCTTCTCTGGGTACTTTGCTCACTTCCCCTCCATGCGTGTCTCCTCACCTTTCCACTCATTGTGCACAATGGATACCCCGTCCCACCTAGCTGACGATTGCCCGCAGTGCTCCCCCCGTCTCCATTGACCAAGTGGTCTCCGATTTCGATGGAGTGACTTTTCACCTTTCCACCCCTGAGTCCAAGACGAAAATTCTTATTTCGATCAATGTCAAGTGTTTCAAGGAGCTTGTCCAGTATGGCGCCCAGGAAGTACTTGAGCGTGAATACGGTCCCTACATCGTCTCTCCCGAACCCGGCTACGACTTCTCGGTTCAGGTCGATCTTGAAAACTTGCCCGCGGAACAGGAAGCGAAAGATGAATTGATCATGAAACTCGCATTGCTTAAGCGCAATGCCATGGCTGCTCCCTTTGAGCGCGCGTTTGACGAGTTTGCGAAGCTTGAGGAGGAGGCTTCGCGCTATACATCCGAATCAGCACCGCAGGGCGTTCAGGAAGGCGGAGAAGTAATGGCAATTCACTACCGTGAGGAGGAGGCTATCTACATCAAGGCGAGCTACGACCGTGTGACTGTCATTTTCAGCACTGTGTTCCGGGAGGAAACAGACCGAATTTTTGGCAAGGTCTTCCTGCAGGTAACTATTATACTCCTCGTCCTTGCAAAGCATCTTGCCACCTCTCTTCCCGGCAAACATGTTCTTATTTTTTAAGGAATTTGTCGATGCGCGACGCCGAGTCGTTACATTGCAAAACGCTCCTCAGGTACTTTTCCGCAGCGATCCACCTCTTGAGCTGCAGGGCCTGCCAGGACATGAGAACGCGGTCAAGGGAGAGATGAGTTACGTCACTTTCGGTCAGTCTATTCTTGATGGACCCCTCGCTATTAAGATGGCGCACTAAGTGTTGGTTGAACAGTGCTATTCCCTCGACACCTGACGCCTCAGCGCCGTTATGAGAATATTTCCCACATCCAGACCTTCCGCGATTACTTTCACTACCACATCAAAGCATCCAAGGTGAGACAAGCTGATACGACTACATTGGAAAGCCACAACATTCGCCCTGACGCTGACACTAAACGACAGGCCTATATCCACACGCGCATGAGGAAGCGCACAGCTGATTTCCTGCAAGGTATGTGGTCTCTTGGGCTTGAAGTCAGCCTGTTATCTGACAATATTCAGTTCTCAACCGTGCTAGACCTGAGAATGAAGATCGGGAGCGTAAGACAGCGAGTGGGCGAACATTCCGTGTTCAAAACTAGAATCTTCGTTGACTATTGTGATATCACCCTGGAGGCGAGCGTTCATGACAGCAAAGCATTTCGATTCCATATTTTACTATTGTCTTTGAGTAAAAGTCTGAGGCAAGCCATGCCTGTGACAAATTTCCTTGTTTCAGAATGCCAAGCGGGAGATCGACTCTCTGCGAGGTCTAGTTGTATGATAGCCATGGGAAGGACGCGGGCTTGGTGCTACACTTCAGATACTCTATCACGCATGTGCACCTTCCTCTTTTGTATGTCTGTTCCTTCCCTACATGCACTCGCTGACCATTGTCATGAAAGCTGTCACCGCCATTGGCACACCAGGCAATATCAGTCACCACCCCGATGGCATCGTTCGCGCGTCGTTTGCTATCCTGGACGACATCATCTTCTTCAGCCTCGACGCGGGTCCGATAATCGTTTCATGCTCGAATTACGCACATCATACGCACCAGAAACCAAACGCACCTAAAACATACGCAAGAGAAACGTGTGAGCTCACAGCACTAAGATGAGATCCAGCTCCGGAAGATCAAGCTCCAAGAGCTTCTGGAGCGTCTCCTCTTGGAAGGCTCGGCTGAAGCGAAAGTACCGCAAGCAGTCAGCCATCAGTACTGATGAGGACTTTCATTCTGCACGTCCTTCTCCAGCCCTCGATCTTGTCAGGGTATCACAAGTCACCTTGAGGGAACAGAATGACAATCAAACTCAATACTCGTCTTCGTTGTATTCGAAAGATGACGATCCCAACCCCCCTGTTGGGCCTACCGGAAAGCCCTTCTTTACAGAGCACCCAGGTGTAGGATACCCATTTGGTCATAAGTCCTTGGACACTTTCTCCCATGTCAGACAACCGTTTTTTCAGGAATCGCAAGCTGCGGCTGGTACCATAAAAGCGCCGTGTCCCTGGGATGCTTCTGCATTCGCGGTTGGCTGCCATGAAGGGGGGCTAGCGTCTACACCAAACCTTCCTGGCTGTTCTGCAGGGGAAATATCTGCCCACAGTCTGCCAAAGTTGTCGCGACAGTTTTCATTCGAGAGATTGCTCTGGGTCTTCCCCAGGGTGTACGCAATGGCCAAGGTCGTGCAGGCCATGTGTCTGAGTTATGGCGCTGAGGTTCGCTCACAGTCCAGCCAATTTGGCCTCACATCATCTTTTGATATACTAACACTTTTCACTCAAAACAACTCGACGAGACCGAATTCAGTCTCACATTCTGGATCAAGCGCGCTGAAAAGGAGGTCCGAACTGGTGACCTCGCAACTTTGGTCGAGAATGTGAACAATCTCTTCTATGCACTCTATTCGCGAGTGACTCTCGAATTGGCTGGGATTGAACTTGTCACTCTCTACCAGGCTGAGCATCCACCAAGAAGTGTCCCTCCGGCGTACTCCCCACTGTCAACCCTCCCCGTCGCAGATCACATCCACAGACTCTTGCTCGCCTGCAAGGAAACTCTTGACAAGACCAATGTCTGTGGGTACGTTGACCAAGAGGTCGTCAGCATGTGGCAAGAGGTTCTGACTCAACGCTTGATCGTGAAGGGGCTTTATTCACCTTCCTACCCTGACAATGTCATCGGCTATCGGCAGTTCACTTACAACGTCCTATCTGACCATCAGTCAGAATACGTCACTAGATGGGTCAGTATGGTACCATTTTTCTATTCGATCCCGCCAAATATTCTGATCGCAATATCTGAAAAATGGTTTACCGTGGCTGACCGGACTACAATGCCCGATGACATTCCTGCGTCTGACCTGCCTTTCACCGATCTCAGGGTGGCAAACCCAGTGCTGTGGGAGAAGGACCTCGTGCTAGACTATCGCCTCGCAGCGTTGGCGAGTCTCGAAGGCAAGTCGATCGGGGATGTGCGACGCGAGAACCCAAGAAGTCGACTTTTGAACCTCGCGAAATGCCGCAAATGCATATGCCCATCAACTTGTGGATGTGCACGAGGCTGCACAATCGAAGTTGAGAAGCCCTGCATATGCTCTGAGCGGTACGTACGCCTCATCACTTCTCGTCTCTGCAAGAGCCCAGGTCGGTTCCAATTCAGCATTCGCACCACCACCGCAGCACGTGCATGCTGGCAAGGGCTTGCTATGCTTCGACGGGATGTATCCACCGAGACTCTCATGTTCGAGTGGAGCGAGACGTTCTCAGTCTTCGAGCTCGAGGTTCAGAAGGAGCGTTGGGGCAGGTCTTTGTGAATGGTACCCTTCAAGTGATCACCGCTGCGACTGTTTGGTGTAAGCGGGCATTTACAATGTGAGATCTCGGGTGGAGGTGACGTGTTTGACAGTTCGATTTCAGCATTAGCGGGCAAGGCATATCAATTACGCAATGATACCCAATATAATCCATACTCTAGCTTCTCCATAATCTATCTCCTCCACACACAGAGCAAAAACGCTGTTGTTCTTGACCTCTCCTCGCAGATGCGATGGTCATGGAAGTCCGGAAGATATAGTCACTTTCAACCTCAACAGCGACTTCGATGCGCCCTTAACACGTGACACATGGTTCTGAGGCAATGATGACTCTCTTCTTCACCACAAGCTTTTGACACTTTTTAAGATATCCCTTTTAGTACACGTCCGCCCAATTTCGTCCTGCGGGAAGCAGTCACAGCCGTGCATAAATTCGTAAATCAGACACCGTCACCCATCCGAGTGCTTATACTATCGAGCCACATCCGATTTCGCACGAAAATTTCGGGAACAAGGGAAGATCATCGGACCGCTTCCAATTTGCATGTGGCATGGAACACGAGAAGTTGTCAAGTTATATATCGCCATAAGATTTCGTATGATGAGGACACCTGGTGGAGCAGTAAATAGACATTTTGACGCAAGCTATGACTCGCGATACCATGTAGAGCACAGAACAGGTGTCGGTGTGGCAAGCCCGTGAGACTTCGCTATACCTCGAGCGGCTCCGGCGAAGCACAGCCAACAGTTTTCCTTCTACACTCCATGCCGCTCGTGTCTTGACACTCTCGCGCGCAGATTACCATCTCTCCACTAAGCCTCGTCGCTGAAAACCTTCTCTCTCCCTGTTCTTCCCTCGTGTAGGCCATGACTACTTGATCGTCTCAGAACCTCAACCATCCCTCAACTTGCTCCAAGTGGGTTTGCGGAGAGGCGTCGAGTTAGGGATGGTGATCACGGTCGGCAGCGTCCCACCTTCACATCTTTCATCCTTCCCAAGGCTGACTAGACGGTGGATCGTGGGGAACGTGACTGGGGCTTCGGTCTCAGGTCTCCTTTGTCGCAGAGCTTCTCGACTCTGCGACCCAATCCACCTAGCGCGAAGCCTGGTCCACCAACCGTCCAGACGGCTATTCCACACGGCTGTGTGGCCATCCTACGGTGTCACCACACCCAGTCCTGATCGGCAGCGCGCTGGACCTGCGCCATCGCCTTTTCGATTCGAGACCGGATATGCTTTCTGCGCCAAACGGCCGCCACGTCCATTTCCCCCGCCCTTCTTGTCGCCCCCTTCATCGTCCTTTTCCGATCCCTTGACCACGCATTCATTGAGCCAGGATAAGAGATTATCCGTACGGGGTGAACCCATTCGTGGCTTGACAAATGGAGACGACGCAATACTTGCTGCGGAAACTTTTTTGGGGGTAGACGATGGGGTTGGTGCGTGGGCGACAAAGCCTCATGGACATGCAGCGTAAGCCTACCCTCTTACACCGAGTGTGCGCGTTTGGATTGCTGCGATAGCTCTGACCCAGTTCCTTTAGACTATGGTCTCGTCTTCTCCTTCACTTCTGGTCTCTCGAGGTCGAGCGTTTCGTGTCTGAGAATGACACCGCACTGGATCCTATTCAATACCTGCAGACTGCTTACGAACAAACAATTCTTGCCACTGAAAAACCAACCAAATGGCTTGGCACCACAACCTCGGCTACAGCAATCTTACACTTCACTGGAGATGAGGGGAGCAGCCTGCAACCGCTCCTCTACGTGACCAACCTGGGCGATTGCAAGGTCTTGGTCATTCGGCCAAGTGAAGACAAAGTTATCTTTCGGACAGCGGAACAGTGGCATTGGTTCGATTGCCCAATGCAGTTGGGTACGAATAGTGTTGATACTCCGCGCAAGGATGCTGTCCTGTCAGAGGTTCCGCTTCAAGAGAATGATATCGTGCTTGTAGTGTCCGATGGGGTCATGGACAATCTTTGGGAGCACGAGGTACTAAAAATCGTCATGGACAGCACCAAGAAGTGGGACGAAAGTCGTTGCAAGAATCAGAATGTGTCTCCTACGTCTGACCTTGCGGATCCACGGATGGTGTATACCGCCAGGGAACTTCTCAATGCCGCCCTGAATATCGCTCGAGATCCATTCGCAGAGAGTCCGTTCATGGAAAAGGCGGTGGACGAGGGTCTTGCCATCGAAGGAGGTAGGAACCGGCTCTTTTGCACAACTGCACTGAGCCACGAAAGAAGCTGACTTGGAAACAGGCAAGATGGACGACATCTCCGTAGTGATCGCCTCCTGCCACAGACGGGCCGGGTGAAAGCACCTACGACCAATAGTCCAATCTCACGCCCCCTCAACCAACCATGCATATCTTGGATATGAACTCGGTCTATGAGGTACATCGACTAATTGGTTTCCTTCTACCGAGAGCGAACATGAACGATTGTTTTTGCAAACCGCGATCAGGTCAACCCACAGTCAAGTTCGGTCCATGACGTGGTGGCATTGAAGAGCCCTTATTCACCATGCCCTGTGCCTTGCATCAGGGATGCAACGGCCTGTTCCTCCGACGAATACTGTCAAACATATCGTGTTTCCACATGTGTTGTATATGAGCAAGTAACATCCGCGGAGCTGGCTCTCAACCACATAGTGATTCTACCGTATATCCCGGGATTCCGATCCATACTTGAATGGTAAGGATCATAATTCAGTGATGATATCATCGAGCTTATTAAGACATGGCGATGGAATTGTTATGAAAGCTACCGTTTAGCAAGGGTGCGCACACTTGGCTCAATTTGAGGTTGCCATCTACATATGACTACAATGCTATCCCGGAAAGTCCTGTCATTTGACTCACAGTTGACTCACAGTGACCGCTTGAAGCCGGGACATTTTCGCGTAAGATCTCGCGAGTCAATAGTTCAGTGTGTTATCGCATACGGATATGTTCATATTATCTCCTGATGTCGTGCTGAGACTTACTTCTGGAGACAATAAGTGCTTGCTTAGTTCTGATTTCCACTGCATTGAAATGCCTATATGGAGATAAGTGTAACTGAGGGCTTCATGCGAAAAGCTTGAGCTTCTCTTACAAATGAAGCCCAAAAAAAAACCTGGACAATGCAGAGTAGTCAATCGTCACAAATGACATGAACTAGTAGGTCGGTTCCATATTGTAGGTCTCGCGGGTTGGCTGAAGCCATCGGTCGGCTGTAGCAACTTAGCAAGCCTTCCCACATTCCGCTGTCCACACGCCCCGATCCGAAACACCGCTTGAAATGCCGCCCGGCAGAACAAAAAAAAAGTTTCATCGTAGCAGCGTCGCGGCAATATACACGCTCTGACGGAATCAAATTAAAGCCTACAAGAGCCTTTGTCCGACACAATGAGAGCGAAACGTTCAAAGAAGTACCGCAAGCTTATGCACCAGTATGAACTCACATTTGGGTTCCGTGAGCCATATCAAGTCCTGGGTAAGCTTCTCTCTGATCAATGCTTGCGAGCTTTATACTGACCCAGGAATGCCCAGTGGACTCGAATTTCCTGCAGCAGGTACACAATTTCAAGATGGACTTGATGCCTGCGTTAGAGAGGACAGTGCAGGGTCAGATCAAACCACGTAAGTTTTCAGCCAGGAACTCATTTGGAACTAAGCTGCGCTTTTCTTCTGTAAATGTCGGTCATTGGGGCCTACTAGAAACTAACCGCCTGCGATAGTCTTGACGAAATGCTCTCTGGCTGCCATCACTGCTGCACAGCCCATCAACCCAAAGACTGGAAAGCCGTTCCGTCCTTATCATCTTCCACCGCCAACAGTACTGCCCCTCCGACACTGCTCACACAACCCAGCCTCGGAGCCTATTGACGAGATCGAATGCCTCCTTTCGCTGCTTTCGCCCAATGCAGAGGCCAAGAAGAACAAGGAGCATTATATTCTAGCAACAGCCGACCCCGCAGTCAAAAAGTCAGACAACAATAATGATACGCAACAACGCAAGCGCAAGCGAGATGAGGAGCGACAAGAAGAACAAGCTTTGCGCCGTGCTCGCAACTTGCGCGTTCGTGCGCGCTCAATCCCCGGTGTGCCCATCATCTATGTGAAGCGTTCCGTCATGGTCCTGGAGCCTATGAGTACACCATCAGAGAATGTGCGTGAAGGCGTGGAGAGGGACAAGTTCCGCGTGGGCTTGCCCCAGCCGGAGTCGAAGCCAGAAGATGGGCAAGAAAGTGCGGCGAAGAAGAAGATCCCTGGGTTGAAAAAAGCAAAGGGACCGAACCCACTCAGTGTGAAGAAGCCCAAGAAGCGCGCAGCTGAGTCAACAGGGTCAAAGCCATCACAAAAGGGTGCTGCTACGGAGGCCTCAAGAGACAACAATCCCACTGAGCAGGCTGGTGGTGAAGAAGGCGATGCTCCTAAGACCAAGAGGAGACGGCGTCATCACAAGGGCGGAGCTCGTGAGGGAAACGAAGCTGGCCCTCACTCTACGGAGACTGCTCAGGCTATGGAGTTGGAGGCTTGAGCGGTGGGCTCTCTTCTCCGAGTGCGCTGGTTTACCTTGCATCAATACTTCTCAAACGATATCACCCCGGCATGGCGTTAGGGCATGTTTCATTCTTTGTCGAAAAGTTGATCACATATACGTATTCTCGTCACAAACCCAAGACGAATATCCAATCAATCCAAAACCTAACGACGTGGCTGCGAATGGCCGAATGAGCTTGTGCCTGTGAGTACGAGGCGGGTGGTAATGTCAGGTATACCGTAAACAATAACAGACGGGCTTCTACTACTTACCTAGGTAGGCAAGATTCTGTTAAGGTACCTCATTGAATGAAAGCCACTCAATCAAGTTCGTTGAGCTACTCCTGTCCTGTTGCTACCAGTGTGCAGCTCGAACCACCTGTTGCTACCAGACCACGCGAATATGACTCCACAAAGAGATTGATAGGTATATATACAGTCAATCTGTCGTATCATATAGAAATGACCTCCCCAATAAAGGACATCGTACAAGAACTTAGAGAAGAGAGGAAGATGACAGGCCACCATGGCAGCCTAAAAAAAGTGAAGCGCCAAACTCCTTCCCCATGAATAGATTTGTCTGTGAGATGCCCATTGCAAATCATTGCTTGGCACTATCTGGTGCACCCTCGGCGTTGGAGGCCTGACCTGGCTGACTGAAAGAGCGCTCTTTGGCCCAGATGTCCTCGATGCGTCGCCGCTTATCACGTGCATTGTCGCGGTTGTTCTTCGCCCGGTCATATCGTTCCATGGAGAGGCACTTGTTCACTTCGATCTTGATGTCATTGCAGTTTCCGAGAGCTTTCCACATAAAGCCACGGGCGTGACATTCATCGAGGGCTGTCATGATTTCCTCGCAGTCTGATATTGTGCATAGTCAGCAAAGCATCGTGATGGATTGCGGCGAATCGAGGAAGGTATAATGGAAGGTTGATGGTCTGTTTGAGCTGACTTACTGACGTTGTACGGAGTGTGAAGGTGAGAATGCATGATTTGGTTTGTATAGCTGTGTGCTGCAAGGCGAGAAATTGCGGGTTTGATTCGAGGCTCGAACTTTGATGTTCAGGTGAGATTAATCTTTACCTCGAAGAGCATTCCATATTCCGATGCGCCTCAATCGACCCACCCAAATCCCGACCTCCGGGGCGGTAAGAAACATTATCCAATTCTGCCGGGAAGATTCCCCACTCACCGATAAAAAAAAAATATACTCCGATAAAAAGAAAGAGAGTACATCGAAGTCCCCTCATCACAATCAGGTGTCATTCATAATGTCGTCAATGATTACGACCACAGCGTGGGTGCGACGGGGTGTCGCTGCCCAATTCCCCACCAAATATGAAATCGACGAGGACGAGATGAATCGCATTTCCAAGCTTGCTCGAATGCAACTAGAGGATGCGCAAGATGACCTGAGTGCCGCAAAGGCGGGCGAGACGAATGACGACGACGCCGACGATGCCGCCATGGAAGATGACTCGAAGGACAGTGATAGCATGGAAGAGGATGGTGCGAAGCAAAAAACAAAAGATGGAAACGAGACGAAAGCAATCACAGAGTAGGTTTCAGCGTTACAAAAGAACGAGCTGGGACACAGACTGATGCGCGGCTTGCAGTGACGACGATGTTCTGAAGGAATTCGACATGGATCACTACGACAGCGATGACGTGGATGAGTCTGGAGAGAAAGTGACTCGCTTCGGCAACGTACAGTCGCTTGCTTACCACCAGCCCAACGAGGCTGATCCCTACTTGGTTATTCCCGAGGACGAGGAGGATGAGGAGCGCGAGGAGCTTCAAATTCTGCCAACAGACAACCTGCTCCTTGCCGGAAAAGTCGAGGACGAAGTCGCCCACCTCGAGGTCTACGTCTATGAGGACCGTGCCGACAATCTCTACGTTCACCACGATATCATGCTCCCAGGTATTCCTCTCTGCGTGGAATGGCTAGACATCCCCGTCGGCAAGGGCAGCGAGGGACGTGAGGCAGGAAACTTTGTTGCCGTCGGCACAATGGAGCCCGACATTGAGATCTGGGACTTGGATGTGGTGGACAGCATGTACCCCAACGCCATTTTGGGACAAGGCGGGCAGGACACTACCGCACCCTCTTCGTCCAAAAAGAAGTCGAAGAAGAAGTCCAAGGCCAATGACGAGTACCACATCGACTCCGTGCTGGCTCTTGCCGCCAATCGCCAGCATCGGAACTTGTTGGCATCCGCCTCTGCAGACCGCACAGTCAAGCTGTGGGATCTGAACACCACGAGCTGCGCCAAGTCATACACACACCACACCGACAAGGTCTGCTCGCTCGACTGGCACCCCAAAGAGTCCACAATCCTTCTCAGTGGCTCTTATGATCGCACCGTGGTCGCTGCCGACATGCGTGCTCCTGATGCCAAGGCTCGCTGGGGAGTTGATACTGATGTTGAGAACGTGCGCTGGGACCCTCATGACCCTAACTACTTCTACGTCACCACTGACGGTGGTATGGTCTATCGCTATGATGTCCGCAACGTCCCCGCCTCTCCGGCCGAGTCCAAGCCCGTCTGGTCGCTGCAGGCCCACGATTCCTCCGTCTCGTCTTTTGACATCAACCGCAGTATCCCTGGATTCCTGGTGACCGGTTCAACGGACAAGGAGGTCAAGCTGTGGAACGTCGAGAACGACAAGCCCAGTCTCGTCGTCACTCGAAAGCTCGACGTCGGCAAGGTCTTCTCTACTGGCTTTGCTCCCGACCCGGAGGTGAGCTTCCGCCTAGCTGTCGCCGGCAGCAAGGGTATTGTCCAGATCTGGGATGCCTCCACCAACGGAGCTGTGCGCCGAACATTCGTGTCTCGTATGCCCGACTTGGCTGGAGACGTGCCCGAGCGCATCACCGGTGTGGGTGCGGACGATGACGACTCTGATGATGAGGAGGGCGCCGATGAGGGTGCTGATGGTGCCGCCGCTGGGCCTGACGGCTGGGAGTCCATGGATGAGGACTAACTGTATAGAGAAGGAGAGAGAAGGAGATGAGCCCGATGACGATGCCAGATACCCGTGAAGTTTTTAGTGTTGATGCAAGGCAGAATAAAATAGACACTAGCGAGTATACTCGTGTTTTGCCATACAATTTGCACACTGTCTCCCACTGCGGAGAATCGGCAAGTGAATGGTTAAAACCACGACAGTTTCATCCTCATTCAGTAGCGCAAGATCTCTAAAAAAAAAAAAACTAGACTCCCTCATTCTCAAATGATGTGTATCGTGAATTATTCTATATCCAACTCAGAAACGCTACGCCTATTTGCAGCACCCAAACGCCCATCCGTGGAACCGAGGGCCCTTACGCACTCTCTTTGGCATGCACAAGGGTGGTCAAATCCAGAAGGCGATTCGAGTAGCCCCATTCATTGTCATACCATGCCATTATTTTGAAGAACTGGAAGAGACTTGTCGTGAGCAAAGACGCAAATGTCTCTACATGATGGGAGAGACGCCTACCTGGGGGTTTAGTTCGGTGCACGCGGGAGCGTCAATGATCGCGCTGTATGGACTGCCGTTGTAATCATTACTGACAAGTTCTTCGTCCGTGACTTGCAAGACACCGGCCATATCGGATTTGGCAGCAAGCCGGAAAGCAGAGAGGATTTCATTGAGAGAAGTGGCCTTTTCCGTGCTGATGGTCAGGTCGATCATGGAGACGTTGGGCCTGATAGAATAGCCGATCAGCTTTGAAGTCCATGGTCCTAGGTAACCTGCAAGGTCATTTTGTTTTTGTCTTTGGAGGTAGTTGTACATACGTTGGAACGCGAATGGATACACCTGTCACTTTGCCTTTCAATTCGGGTAGGACAGCCGCAACCGCTTTGGCTGCGCCTGTGGTAGTAGGAATAATGTTGTTGAAGACACCGCGTCCTAAAAAGAGGTCAGTTGCTTGTCACTGTGAAGCTCATCCAAATCAGACTTTGGTATGGATCTTCTCTATGCTGCTTACCCAAACGACGATTCTTCTTGCTATATCCATCCAGCACCTGTTGAGATCGAGTGGCGGCGTGGATGGTAGTGAGAAAGCCCTGTGTGATACCAAAGGTCTCGTGCAGCACCTTCAAGACAGGAGTGACACAATTCGTCGTACAGCTCGCATTGGACACAACACGATACTCTTCATCCGACGTGTACGCATCCGTGTTCACGCCGTACACAAAGGTCGGCGAGTCTGAGCTCGGCGCAGAGATGAGCACTCGCTTCGCGCCACCGGATGTGATATGATCCATCGCGAGGTCACGTTTTGTAAATTTGCCGGTGCATTCGAGCACATAGTCGACGCCCAAAGCAGCCCAGTTGAGCTTTTTGAGGTCTCGCTCTGAGGTGAGTGCAATCTGTTTCCCGTCGATCGTGATGAGATTGTCGGATATGATTTGAATGTTGGTTCGTTCGTCGAGATTGCCCATGGAGGAGTCGTAACGGATCAGGTAAATGAGGTCTTCAACGGTCAAACATGTGTGATTGATGGCTGTGATCTGGATATCTGAGCGGACTAGGGCAGCACGGAGGACATTGCGTCCTAGATGTTTTCAATAAGAATAGTGTAAGTAGATTCGGTCGATCCAGGTATCAGTCTCATGCATCTTTCCACGTTACCCACCTATACGTCCGAATCCATTGATTCCAATCTTGCAGTTAGAAAGGCCCGAGACATGAGGGCTGGCGATGGGCATGTCGCTGATTGAAGGCGCCATGCTGGACCGAGATCTCACTGCTTGGTATGATTGATATAAATCTCAGCACAAACGTCACGGGCAAGTTACTGATCGCTCTTTCTTTTTGGCCACGAAACAAGCTTGACTATACAAAACCAATTTCTCTCCAGCACCAGAATGGCGGAACATGCGTCCCTTATAACACCTCCTCCCAAGACGGCTGCCATATTGCCCCTCTTGAAGCAGGCTTAGCTGTAGAAAGCACCATAACCCAACCACCCGATCCTTTCCGCATCCACTATCGCCGTGATCCTTCTCCTCGAATAAGACCAGCTAGCATCTAAGCAACCCCCGTCAATTCGGTCCGAGCATCCAACATCATCCCAATCGGCAACCCATCCTTCGCACCGAACTGCTCCTCCCCGCGGTTACGCTCATCGGGACTGCCGCCCTCATACTTCCCTCGTCCAATAGAAGAGGGTTCTACGGCACCAGAATATCCCGCGCCCACTAACCGACCGCCGTGGAGTCCTGCGCAATAGTGCCGATTATGACATTTCAAATGGAGAGCTGCAAAGGTCCAGGTCTTGATATGGCGGCTCGTGGGTGGTGGAGTAAACATCGGAGGCACGTTGACAGCTTCGGGGGTCATGGAAGTGCCGATATACGGAGGACTCGACCACACCGTGTGGGTCTTGGATAACTACTCATCAGCCATCACTGCCAACTGGATCTTCGGTTGTTGACAGTGTCCAAGCTATGCACTGTTACTCCTGCTGTAGTTGGCAATCAGCAAGAACACAGCCAGGACCCATCTCTTCGTATATAGACCGCGGAACCCACGATTCGTGTTCTACGGGTTCATCTCCGCAGTAACTTATGTGTTTCTATGGAAGCATTGACGCATTAAACGAGCAAAATATTGACCAAGATCATTAAAAATCTGAATACAAACCTGAAACTCAATTCACACCTCGCAGTCGCAATTGGAAGCCACTGGACCGATAATGAGTCTAGAGTCCACTAGGCAGTAGGCACTAGCAGGGGTACTTTGTAGTTGCAGAGTGGGAAGCCGAACCTCATCTGATGTCCGCCCGGTTGTCGGTACTTAAGTCTTGGATCATCCCAAGACCAAGTTCTCAACACATCGTCTGCATTGGGACAGCCAATCTGTTTGACGTCTTTCAAGGAATACGATGTAAGATGTATAGTACGGACATTATGTTTGGTACCGTTTTGATTTCTACCACCGGTGACGGCAGATACTCATTCTATGCACTTTGCTCAAGATAAACGAGGCCATCGTAAAAGTGTTTTGTTCATAGCGGGAACGTGGGACCGCTAGTTGGAAAACTTCGTCTTTACGACTGTCGTCATCAAAGTGATGGAGCTTCGGATCGGACAGAAACCTATTTGGTCGCAAGCTTTCCGATCTCAGCCACGACAGCCTCAGTGACCTCCTTGGTGGTTGCCTTTCCGCCCAAATCGCGGGTGAGGACGCCCTGTTCACACACGTTTTCGACGCAATCGAGCAGCTGCTTCGACGCATCCTGCTCGCCCAGCCACGCGAGCATCTCGGCTGCGGTCCAAAAGGTAGCGACAGGGTTGGAGATGCCCATCCCCGTAATGTCGAACGCAGAGCCATGAATAGGCTCAAACATACTCGGATACTCGCGGGTCGGGTCGAGATTGGACGTGGGTGCAATGCCAATGGATCCAGCCAACGACGCCGCCAAGTCCGAGAGAATGTCGGCATGCTACAATTGAAAGATGTCAGCTGATCAGGTTCGAAATCCTTCTGGGGTAATGTTCTTATCAATGAAAGGCTAGACGAGGGAGAGGGGGGGGGGGAGCGGGTGATTGACCAGATTAGATGCCACGATAGTGTCCAGACTCTCCGGCTTCAACACCATACGGGTTGTCATCGCATCGACCAACATCTTGTCCATGGTGACATCCGGGAACTCCTTCGCCACAGCTTGGGCAACTTCATCCCAGAGGACCATCCCGTTGCGCTGCGCATTGCTCTTGGTCACGACCGTCAAGAGCTTGCGGGGACGTTGCTGAGCGGTCTCAAAGGCAAATCGCATGATCCGTTCCACTCCATGACGAGAGAAGATCGCGACCTCGGTCGCTACCTCCCATGGCTTTCCCGTGTGCGAACGGCCGCCTTGTCCGGCGTATTCACCTTCGCTGTTTTCGCGAACAATGACCCAATCCAGGTCCCCTTGTTTGCAGTTGCGGAGCGGAGACTCGGTACCGCGGAATACACGGGTTGGTCGTACATTGGCATACTGTTGGAAGGTTTGGCAGATGGCCAGACGCAGACCCCAAAGCGAGATGTGATCGGGTACGTCTGATGATCACTCATGTAAGCACAACAGAGAATTAGAATCCTAGATCCGGCGGCCTGGCTAAGTGTGATTAAACTAACCTGGGGCGCCTACGGCACCAAAGAAGATAGCATCATGCTTTTTCAGTTCCTCAAGCCCCCCCTCGGGAATGTATTTCCCTGTCTTCTTGTACGTTTCGGAACTCCAGTCATAGTTTGTGAAATTGAGCTTGAAAGTTCCTAGAGTCTCGGTCAAGGCTTTCAGTACCGTGATCCCAGCACTGATGACCTCCGGACCGATACCATCGGCCGGGATGGACGCGATGCTGTACGTCTGGTTTGCAGATGTGATTGAGGGAGACATTGCGGGGCTCTGGGGTTGTTGGAGAAAGAGGATTTTCCACTTTCGACAAATGTGAAGTTAACTATTCGAACAATACTGGAAAAAGAACGCAGTATACGCAAAGTGCATGCGAATGAGCCTTTATATATCCACATCAATCCGATTTCTGGAAAGTGAGCACACGGTCGTGAAACCAATAGGACTGAGCTTACAACCCTTTTCGGAGGTATGAATGTCCGGGCGATCGAGCGGGAGGTTGTCGTGGAGAAGACCCACTCGGACAAAGACATGTCCGGGCGGGGAAGTATGAGCCTCCTCAGGTCGAGGGTTGCGGGATGTATGTGTATCGCCCGAGAATTCAAGAGGACCAGAAGTCATTGGATCAAGCCAATGGGAGTTGACTGATGAGCGGACAATAAGAATGACAACATTTATAAAGCAGAGTGACTGTCTGGGCCACTCTTCGTGCTCAGAAGGTCCTGCAGGTAATTGATCGCGCACGGTTCGGAAAGAATGTTTCTATTACCACAGATTCTCGTGGACCATCCATGGCCGATCAGCTACGCTCCAAGCATCCGTCATTGTGAATGAGAAAGGATCCGAAAATGCAAATGCTGAAGACCCAAAGTCCCCCGTGGCGAACAATTCGCTGTTATCGATCGGATCACCAACAAGCTGTCCTGCACCGTGGGCCGAATCCACCGTCTGGTCTTCACTGGCGAAGATTCTAGATTCATGCAAATCACGATTTTGAGGCGCTGACAGATTGCCCAAATCCTGGAGTGATCTCTGTGCGGAGAAACTGGAATATGCAGGAACAGAACGATATCTTCCAGGACGGGAGACGGTCTCTGTCTGATGGCCACGACAATCGCGAGACTCTGGCGCTTGGTCTGCCTTCTTAGCGAAAGTATGGGGGGTTCTTTCCTCGCTCCGGGGAGAGAAGTCTCGTGTCGATAAGCCCTGATTGACCCGACTCATATCACTTCGGAATTCCAGACCCTCAGATTCTTTGGAACTTCGGCAACTAGCAGCCTCAGAGTTTGCGGACAAGTTAGATTGCATGCTCTTGATGGCATCAATGCAGGTTTCTGGCCAGCTACTCCCGCGCAGCGAGAGATGCTCGAGGATCTGAATTGCGGTCCTGGCATACTTTGAAGCAATCGTGACAGAGATCTCACCCTCCCACGAGGCGTACATCAGAATGAGACAAGCAATCCATGTGATCCAGGTATAAGATGGCCAAGCGAGTGGAGCATCGAAAGCAGAAGAGAGGTGATTCTTCAATGCCAAAAGCAGAGAACGGGAGGATGCAATACATACCTGAAGAGCAAGTTTGTATTCCGGATTCGGTCTCTCTACAGCAAGCACGGGGCGATTCATCGATATGATTGCCTCGTGCCTCAAAACCTCTAATAGCAACTGGTGACATCGTCTCAAGGTTGAAGGCGTGCTGACTTGCGTATCTGCGCCATCTTCCGCTGAATACACGTCGTCATAGGCCTGGTTCCACCATTTAGCAATCTCTCCGTTCACACGGGAGACTTCTGCTGGAGTGGCATTGCTATGGTATATCGACTTGTTTCGGAGCTCCAGTATCAGCCCACGCACTTGGGCAAATCGGGCAAGATGAGAAAACAGAACCAAGCGTGGCTCGCGAACAACGTTCATGTCAGGATTGTCGTGTCTCTCGGCGTTTGGAAAGCACACATCAATATCATCGTCTCGAATTCCCAAAGGGATACCGAGGGCCTGAGATAAATATCGGTCTAGTGTATAGATGGACCAGAACAGACGGCTTCGAAGGTTGATCTCGTCAACAGTAAAACAAGTGAACCGGCTTGGACAGCGATGTAGACCCAAGTGGAACGCCGTGCGGATAATAACACCACCGAGCCGAGAGGCTGCGTTCAAGCGCAAGGATGAGACAAGCACTAGCTGAGCTGCGAATGCAGCCTGCAGAGTTTGAAGTGTTGTATGCTCTGACAAGAGACTATGACTTTCCGTCATCACATGAGTCACGTCTTTGAAAACAAGATCTGAGGGAACTGGCCCTCTTCGAGGAGATTCTAATCGACGTTGTCGGTTATCTGCGAGGGATATTGAGAGAATCGAGCGGATCACAACCATGTCAAGGCGATTGATAGACGCTGAACTGTGAAAAGCCAGCTGCTCCATAGTTTTCAAAACAGTTGGTCCGTGGAGACAAGGAAAACACGGATGCCAAATTTCAAAAAAGTCGCGAGTCCATGCTACCAAATCATCAAAACTGAATTTCACAGTGGGGTCCGGATTCACTTCGCGAGAACTCCAAAAACCACGCTCTCCAGTCAAAGTGAGGCCTTCACCTTGTAACTGATCGTCTTCACCAGGCACAGAGCTTTTTCCACGCTGTTGACTCTGCTGCACATTTGTCGATCGTCGAGCAAAGGCACTGTAGACATGGCGGATGAAATGAATCCCGCTGGAGCTACCTAAGAAAGTCGCGGTGCCAGTTTTCTTCGATTCTCTCATAACACCAACTTCACGAGGAGAGGGTCGTGATTCCTCCGCTGGAGACGTTCGCCGCCGTCGCTTCGTGGCGCTTGATTCATAGTGCCAGTCCAAGCCGCTCTCTTCCGTAAGTGATCGAGGAGAGGGCTGAGATGTCATAGTACGTGACACATTTCCAATACTCCAGACAGTCACTTTGACAACTTTTTCTCTCCTTGATGATTGAACTTGGCAAGAGTCGCCAGGTCGAATTTGAACAATATCAGCCAGTTCAGCAATCAGACAATGGGTGTCGCTGCTCTGGGTCACGTGATCTGGGAGTGTCTTTCTCCGGCCGCGCCAGCTACTGTGTTTGGACTACTCATAACGTCATGAGCATTTGAGCGCGAACGAAAAGAGGGCTGGGTGTTTTACTCGGGTTTGCATCATGTCGTCAGGTTTGGGTAAGTCTTTTCTTGGTGATTGGTACTCTCACAGAAATACACGGACAAAAGACGGAATCTCACAGAGATTCAAGGTTCAAGTGCCATATCATGTGAGCCTTGTAGACAGCGAAAATGTAAAGTCAGTATACGAGAGTGGATATTAGCACTATGCAATCGGGCACTGACAATTACTTTTAGTGCGATCGTGAATTGTAAGAGAGTTCGGAGCAAGCAACGCACGAGGCCATTGGATAGGATGGTCAGAAATTGACATCTATATCAGACCCGCCTGCAAACAGTGCTCCAGTCAGCCCTCAAGATGTGTATATCACGAAAGTGGCAAGCGGCACGTTTTCACTTTGACCGCAGGAATGATGGAGCGAGTCCAGGCCGCGCTTTTCTAACCTTTCCTTTAGGGGCCTGCCTCCTGGATACCTCAACCAGTTGGAACAGCGGCTGGCCGACACCGAGGCGGCGCTCTACGGCGCTCTAGTGACGTTGCGACAATATGGACTGACACCTACCACACCACACCCTTTTTCACAGCACAAATCGTCTCCCAAATCGAAAGCAGATCGTGTTCTAGAATGGCATAGGCTACCACTTCATGGGTGGTCAGACATGGAGCGTTGGATGGCAGGTGCATCGCCGCACTTTGACCCACGTGCACATCAGTCAGCTTCCGGACCTTCTTCAAAGAGGCCATCAGGTCAAGCACACATCACTCAGGGACTCTTGGAGAGTCAAGACAGCTGCAACCGTCTTGATTCTTGTCTCGATTCTAATCCTCGTGGGCCAGCCATTTCACACACGTGGATCGCTGATGAGCGTTTGTCACAAGAGATAGCTCCTCCCCATAGCCGAGCCCAAGCTCCACCCTCGTTGTCTCCAAGTACACAGTATTCGCAGACTGTACTGCATGAAAGTACTCCCGAGGTGCTCCGATCCATAAGAAGAAGTTCGGATCAAACTGCACCTTTCGACTTGTCCAGCGAAGGCGGGCGGGAGAACCTACGAAAGAATGAGCCGGTCACCCAAGCGCAATCTTTGTCTGAAGAGCGACCAGACATATACTTCTGAAGAAGCGTTCAACTGAATGGATGAACTGTTGTATGACATCAACCTTAATGTGGGCCAGTTGTCTGCGAGGCGCAGGCCATATCACCTGGGAATCTCCTCCTGAAATGACCGGTACCTGTCACATAAGGTATCTCGAATCTCCATGAGTGTCGTGATAGCGTTACGGCGGGCTTCGGAGAATGTATCTGATTGAATCATTTTGCGGCATCGGTGGGACCGGACCGGCGTGGAAATTCGGCATGATGAGAGCAATGACAGTCATACACGATAAGGAATATCTCTAGTGGGAATCACTGCCCAACTCGAGATAGAGTGACTGTAACAGTCGTGTGATCATGTGGTGACCTTGAAGCATGGCGCTTACTCAATCCTTTATCGGTCACGTACCAGGTCCTGGACTGCGATCACTCCAGTCATTTGTGAGCCCTTGCCACAAATACATAGCACCACCGTCAATTAAGCATTGCTTCGTACCAGACTCTCATCCGGTAGTAGTCTCTGGGCGCTAGCCATTGCACAACTCAAGTACAGTCAGTACTGTGGTAAGGGTAGTGTCACTAGTAGTAGTGTAACTGTGAACTGTGAAGTTCTGTACAGTAACAGGGGTCCCTTCATGACGATGGAGTCGGATGCGCCGTCTGAAGATGAAACCAAACGTCCCTATTTGGAGTTGATATCCGTGCGACCGTCGAATGGATTACGATCTCGAAGATTTGAGACAAGAAGCGGGGAAGGACTCTTCCCCGGCTGTTTCAGATTTCCGGCGTTCTGAAAGCATTGACACCACTAATGAACGCTCAAAGTGGGATAAATGGAACAACTACCTCACAGTCTCTTAAGAACTTGTATGTTCCGGATGATTTTTTTCTTTTTTTCTGGAAACGTATCATACTACTGAAAGGCTCTGCTCACTGTCTTTCAAGCATCGGAATTTTTTTAATATGCTACTGTGATGTTGTTCCGGTTGCATGTGCCAGTTGTAAAAGACCAGGGCAACAGGATAAGATATCTGAGCGACTAAGACTTTTTCGGAATAGTAGAGGGACTCGGACCCATCTCACAACGCACGTGGGGCGAGGCACCTGGCTTGTGCACTTGTCACTGAGAAGCAACTCTTATGGATGTATCCAATTTGATCGCCAGGGATAAAAGATAAAAGTGATATGCCTTCCTTGACCTTGATGTGACGTGACGTCTTAAAAACATGCCTACCTATTACTAATCGTGTTGACCTACCTAGTACCAACCTCCCGAGGACAGAGGTACCTCCTGCGTCAAGCACGGCAGAGCCAGGGTTGAGCGAACCCCCAAGGGTCATAGAGGACGGACTGGTGTTCATCAGGTGGCGCCACGGAGGTCCCTTCAGTCCCGTCTTGGGCACGGGACTGGCTCCCCGAAGTGGGAGTCCAGCGTTGCAGCAGTCGAGTTGTCCTCCGCAGCACCGACCGGCGGAGTATTCGACCCAATTGTGCGGCCAGATGATTCCTCAACCAGATTATTCGGCCGGATTACCACATCGACAGTTCACGTGGTGCTTGTCCCGGGTGGGTGAGCTGACCAGAGGTCATCATGGGCCCTGAGTCGCTTGATCTACGAGGGTATCACAGTACTATTGAGGAACGGTGCACTACTACTACACTCAGACACTGCCTATATGGCCTTTGCCATGCCATGTGAACACGAGAAAGGCCTGGAATCCTGTCTGGGATTTATGGTGGCGATCGAACGATCCACCGCACCACGAACGTCGTCGAGTATCGGGTCTAGCCGATGAAGAGAATCTCATTTGTTAGACGGGCCGTGATTCACAGACTCCGGTACTACAGCAGTACTACTGACTAAGTAGTACTTCGTCCATGGCTACATGGCTACTGTACAAGATACATGCGGATCAAACTGCAAATTGCAGGAAACGTCGGATTATTCGAGGATCCGATTATTCGAGTGTTCGAGAGCCCTAAAGGCAGAGAAGGTTCCTGGGGACTGAACCAAACCTTAAAGGATGAAAACCTTTATCGACCTCCTCTTGTCCCTTTGGATCGTCCGTCGCGGTTCCGAACAGTAGCGCATTTACCCATCCACTCCTTTCCCACTCCGACGCTGGCCCCTGATTGACGGGGATCTTCAAGGGAACGAGTCTGCGTCGCTGGTCTGACTGTCTGACTGGTGGAGATGGAGATGGAGATGGAAAAACTCACATCTGAGGAGTTTGGCTGAGAGGAACCAGACGGAGTCGACGGAGTGGAGTCGGGTGGGAACCCCCTCCGGGTTTCGATCGTTTCCTCCTTTAGGCGCCGAGTCCTTTTGGTAGCGGCCCAGCGGAGCCCAAGTACCAGTACCAGTACCAGTACCGTGCGGTCCCTAGACTCCCTGAGTCCGTACTAGTAGTCCCTACGGCCTACGGCCTACGGACCACATTATTACAGGAGTCCGTACACGTACAGTGCGGGTTCCGGGTACCAGGAGTCCACGACGGCTCCCAAAAGTCCAGAAAAACTCAAGCAAAGTCCAGACCACGCGATGTACCGCCGCCGCTGTTGGTTCGGTTCTGCTGGCGCCGGGACGATGTGCGCCCAGCACAGAGTTTGGCAACCCCCCGTCTGTGGTGTAAGGGACGTCTTGTCCTCACCCCCCTGCCTCTTGAAACTCGCCGCCCGCATCATCTTCTCTTCTTCCCTCCTCCATCCACGAGCCCTTCATTTCTCGGGAGTCCTTCATTCCTTCCTTCTTCAGTTCTCAATCAAAGAGAGTCTCAGCCGTCCGTGATCCGTGATCTGTGATCTGTGATCCCAGGCTCCTCTTTCCCTACTTTTTCGATCTTGATTGCCCTAGGGAGTGCGTCCTGGTTGTACGCCCCCATTCCTTCCCTTCCAGGCCTTGGATCCTCGACCGTGAAAGAGATCCCCTTGTCCATCTTGTCCAAGTCTGCGATTCGTTTTTGCTGTGCAAAAAGCCTCATATCCAGGCAAGACGACCAACCTTCCTTCCGAAATCTGTCTTCCAAGCAACACGTCGCTCGTCCATCTCCCAAAGGTCCCCATTACGTCCAAGTCTCGATCTGATATTCGGGAACCCACCGGGCCGTCATCCGCATTCCTCACCATCTCGCCACGCGTAGCGGAGACTGTCAGATCGGACCGCCGTACCTTTCATTCGGCTCTTGACGAAAGCTTCGAAGCTTCGACGCTCTACGAGCTCGCATTTATAGAGAATTGTGCATCGGACATCGACGCACTTCAACCGTTCATATACCTCCATTGATCGTTTGAGAAAGAATCACCAGACTCCGGTCAAGTCAACATGTCGACTCTGACTCGCGCGTTCACTAAACGGAGTAAGCGACCGGAGGTGTCCGCCCCCATGCCCTATCGCAAAGAAGGGCACATGCGGTTCAACTCGGGCTCCATCAAGCGCAGCAACATCTCAGGCCCCGTGCAGCTAATCTCCACGACCAACATGTTGGCATACGATGCGCCCGATATCCTACCCTCTACCTCTTCCTCATCTTCCTCGCTGCGATCGGGAGACGATTACGACACGGGATCCCCTCAGAGCTACTCCTCCTCCATCACCACTCCTGATGTATCGCCAAGTGACCCCTTCCCCGTGGCTGCCAATGCGGGATCCTATTTCCCCAAGCGCTCCGCGACTGTGACCAGCCAGCCTCGTTCGTCCAACACCTCGTTCTCGTCCAACGAAGCCCCTTTAGTTCCTCAGCGGGCCTTGTCTCACACGAAGCGGTCGCACCAAGAGTTGGCTCGCCAGCGCTCCCAGCACAGAATGTCGCCCCCGCCTTTGGCAGCCCCGCGCAGTAACCCGACCATCCGTGCCTCACAGGATGTCTTTTTTGCGGACAACCATCCATTCAGTAAGGAGCTGGCGCAAGTGAACGAGGTGGCCGAAGAGTTTGGCGCTACTCATATTATGGATGAGGAAGAACTTCTCCTGCAGCGCAAGGGGCTGAAAAAGTTTAGTGTGGAGGACTACCTCAGTGAGATCGAAAGTGTCTATGGGAGCGTGTTCGATGATCGCGTGGGGCCGGCCAGCGTGAGTGCGTGGCTGTGAGCGGGTAAATCTCCTTCCCAATTCTCGCACCTCATGTTACGACTTGTCGCGAAACTGGGCCTGACTTCACTCCGGTTGATCCGGGGGCCATCTGCGGCTCGATGACCAAACCATAATGCGGAGCATGACGACTGGGGCTGAAGAATCCCTGAGCGCTGCTTCTCGACGACCAACTCTGATTCCTTCTTTTACGACCCTCGATTATTCCCCCTCCTGTCTTGCGATGAGCCATTCCAGGGCTTCTTTTTTTTTTTTTTTTTTTTGGAGATGTTTGATTATTATTTTGTTACGATCGATCCTCTTCGTGACTCGTGTGTATCTACCTCTCGAGTGACTTGGGCCAGCGACCACGCGTTCGGTACTCTCCGATGCCAAATTGTGTGGAGTAGAGCGGGTGGTGATGAATCTCTATCTATTCCTTGAATTCCTATTCCTCATCGCTCGTGTCAAAGTACCCCCAAGATGACCCACCACTCACTCCATTTATTAAAGTAGTCATGATTTTTCACCTTAAGCCACGGGTTGGCTCAAATGAAATCTTTCTTGTCAGTACATTCAAATGCCACTTTAGTCATGTCATGCTTCATGAAGTGACGTGGGTACTCATGGTATTGGCGTATCTGGCATTGCCCTTTTGCATTGAACGAGGCTTCTCCGTCGCAAGTCGCGTCGGTCCAGGGGACAGACACGAGATGACGCGCCCAGTCGCTCGAGGAGGCCGGCTTTCCACACATCACATTGGTGAGCCAAACATTTCCGTATTAGGCTTAGCTCTACCTCCGCCGCCCACACTTTTACCATCTTACAATCTCTCCATCAACTTTTTCTCGGCGTTATCGCTATCAAACGTTCTTTCTTACCAAATTGATTCTCATACCTGGACTCAATCACCTCTTTGACGTATTCACTGGAATATCACACCCAAGACCAAGAGATTCGCATCCTCTTACTACTGCGTCAGCTGGGGCGCTCATCCATCACGGCTCCTCGTCGGCCTGGTCTCCGCAGCCCCACAAGGAGCGAGCGCATGGGAAATTTTTTTCGTTCCGGCAGAGTCAACTTGATCAGTCTGTTGAATCTCGACATACCACTATCCGCGCCCAAATCATCGCGCATTTGACCGAGTGAAAATCCTCCGATGGGTGCAGACAAGTTCCTGTGGTCGATCCTTTCAGATCTGTAGCCTAGACTTTTCCCGGATCCCAGGGTCCAGCAAGGTCGTGTGTCGAGTTGCCTCATAAGCTGGCTCCTGCCACCGTCTTTACATCCGCTCGTCTGTCTTGACTCTTGCGGACATTCGAGCCGTCCGCTTTTCTCATCCTGTTGCTCATAGAACACTTTTTCAGAACAATACATCGTCTGCGCTGTGCTTTGCGAAGACATCTCTGTCATGGCTCCCGTTGCCACCATGCCTCAGCCCTCGGCGCTTACCTCTCCTCCTCCCATGCCACCATCAGAGATGCAGCCATCTTCATCTCCCAAATCGATCCTCAAGAGCTCCAAGTCTGCCGGCTCGAAGCGCAAAATGTCCGACGTCGAAGATTGGCTAGGGGACCATCCCACCGTCGAGGACCTGCCTTTGGAAAAACGTGCTCGTGTGACCTTCAACCCCACGGTCGAGACGTACACTTGGGTGAAGTCGAACAAAACAGACTCCGACCTCATGAACGTGCAGATGATTTCTGAAGATGTCCGTCGAGCCATTCACCGTCACCGTCATCCCGTCACCAGCGAAGACAACGAAGGTTATGATCGAATCAAGGAGATGTTCACCGCCGATCCGAAGAAAGCTGAAGACACCGTCTATGCATACGATCTTCCCCAGCCAGCCACATTGATGAAATACTTGCTGGGTCTCCGTGCTCATGTGATTGACCTGGATCGCGGCTGCAGTAGCCTTGTCACTGCGGTTGTCGAAAGTGAGTGGCTCGGTCGGGATCTTGCCTATGTGAAGACTTTTATCGGTTTCCTTGAGCTCCTTGCTGTTGCACAAGGGACGTATATCAGCCCCGTCTTCAAGATGCTTGTCGGAAAGCTGGCTGCGATCCCTCGTGGTACCGGTACCTTGCCCGGACATGCGGCGGTGCCTGCTTCTGCAATCTACTCTCGTGTCCACATGGCCCTGCGGAGCATCATCAACAAAGTGCCAGCCGGCAGCGGAATGCTGTCTCAGGTGCTTTCCCATTCCTTTCCCTACGAGGCAGACTCTGCCCAATCCTTTGTGGCCTACACGCGCAATCTCATTCAGATTATCGGTTACGCCCCCGAGCTGCAGTCCGATATTCTCGCTCTCATCACCGAGAAACTTGTCAAAATTGACGTTCAAATCCAGGTCGACTTGGAAGAGTTTGAAGATGAGATTGGTGAGACCCTCCTCAATGGTGTCTCAGAAGATCCGGACGTGGAACACGACATTGATGATGCCGACGACGCTTCTGATGTCAGTGACGACGAGGTAGATGAGAACTCTCGAGTGGCTGAGATCAAGAGCAACATCCACAAAGTCGACGGCATGATTGACGTCCTGTTCTGGTTCTACAATTTGTCCTTCACGAAAGGGACCCTCGCCGACAAGCGAAATAGCTTGGATCTCATCATCAGCCACTTTCAAACCATCATTCTCCCCACTTACAAATCTCGCCATTCGCAATTCCTCCTGTTCCACTTTTCGCAACTACACCCAGATCTGCTCGCCAAAACGACGACCTGTTTTTCCGACCTGATTTTCGGCAAAGTTCAATCAGGCATCATCCGTCAATCTGCAGCAGCATACCTGGCCAGCTTTATTGCCCGAGGAGCTCACATTCCCAGTAGCGTGGTTCGCCAGACTTTCAACGAGATGGCTTCGCAATTGGTGGACATGCATGAGAAACATGATCCAGGTTGCCGCGGTCCGGATCTTCGTCGATACGGTGCCTTCTACGCCACTGCTCAAGCTGTTCTGTACATCTTCTGCTTCCGATGGCGAGACCTGACCACTGCCTCCATCGCAGGGGACAGCCCACAGGAAGTTGACGAGCTCGAGCCGAGCCAGATTGCGTTCCCGCCACACATCAAGGAGTCACTGAGCAAGGTGATCTACTCCCGTCTGAACCCGCTGAAGATCTGTTCGCCTGGAATTGTGAATGAGTTTGCCCGGATCGCTCATCACTTCCAACTGCTCTACGTTTATCCTCTCATCGAGAAGAATAAGCGTGTCCGCATCAGCGCTTTCCGGAGCATGTCTTCCGGCCAAATTCAGATGGGACGCGAGATCCGCGCCGGGGATCAGCAGGGGCATCAACTCGATGCATACTTCCCCTTTGATCCCTACCAGCTGCCCCGAAGCCGGCGCTGGTTGGAAGGGGACTATGTAGAATGGCGCGGCATTCCCGGGCTTGACAAAGGTGATGATGACTCGGACAGTGATGCGGAGAACGATGACTCCGGTGATGACGATGAGTCGGCGACAGATGAGGAGTGATTGATGCATCACGGTTTCATAGTTCATCGCTGCCTCACAAAACTCCGATTGTTTACGCTCATGTCTTTCTTCGCCTTCTCAAGGGGTTATGGGGCCAGTTTGGCGCTCCTTCAAATTCGGCGAGCGCAGTTCAAATTTCTTCAATCTCCATAGCGCGGCGTCTGGGGTCTGGAATGCATCAGCCTGATAATGAGACTGGTTAGGTGGTTCCATCTTCTGTTTTTTTGTTTTTTTTTCCATCATGCTGTTCGGAAATACTTGATACCATTCTATTATTCCCTTTGAATCGCTCTGATTTTTTATTGATTTCTTTTTTGGGATACGCGTATGGCTTCTAGACATATTACACTGGCGTGTTGTGTTTGCATCCTATCGAGGGTGTTCTGTCGATGAAGTTTGTCCAAAACGAGAGTGTCATCCACAGTAGAAGATTGTAGTCAACTTGCTCATTGCATGTTGACCTCTATGCTCCTCGAATGAGGGGCCAGTGCCCGCCACTACCAAGCAATGCTGTAAATGACACTCAAACTAGAACTCGACGATAGTCAAAGTCTCATATACACTCATATACCACCAATCTGCTCGATCAACTCCCGGGTCAATCCGCAACAACCAATATAATCGCGTCTCGTGACCTCATCACCGGCGCCTTTCATACCTACTCCAGTCGATGGAAACTTTGGAGGTATGTCGTGTCGTGCCAATGTTGCTTTGCGTATTGTCCGGGCTGGAACCCCCTTCCCTATAGGTCCTTGACCCGTGCCTCAACGGGACACTCATGGACTCTGTAATTGTGCAGATCCAAGGTTGGCACCTTGACAGGATTCTGCCAGATCTTGGAACCTTGCCACAAGTTCCTCATGAACCTACGAGGTGAGGTTCGTACCTACCTCAGCTTGTGTGTATTGTGCAGTCTTGTATGCCCGTCAGCACCTGCCACCTAGTACTTAGTACTTATGTACTACTTACTGTAGTTACTTACCCACCTAGGAGCGAATCCCCGAGTCGACAGCCGCTCTGACACGAAGAACTCACTATGTCCAAACCATGGACCCTGATGCTCTCTGAGTGAACGGCGTTCTTCGAAACAGAAACTACCAAACAGCGCAATCTGAAATGGATCCCTTGCCATCTGCTCGGGACAAGCCACATCCGTCGATATGACAGGTGAATAAACATCTTTGATACGCCACACGGCCACAGTCGAGTGATCCATAAGCGTGGACAGGTTTATGGCAGGGGTACGATGGAGACTTGGAGAGTTGCTAGAGTAGGTAAGGTAGGTACCTACCTGTACCTACTAGGTCTGGTACCATCTTCAAGCACCTACAGTGTAACAGTACGTCTTTTTGCGCTGTTATGGGGGACAGGGTGGTTTCCCCGTGGCGGACTCGTGTTTTCTGGGGTTGTTCCTTCCAAGTTCCTTGTTCCTTGTTCGTTGTTCCTTGTTCCTTGGTTCGATCTATTGTTCCCGTTCGATTTCTTCAGAATGCCGGGCATCTCCCGTCCTGGATCTTCTCGTGTACCTTTAGATGGGGGGGCCTAGCACTGGGCTATGGATGGCATATTGGCATAATCTTATTTATTTACATGACGCCTACCCGTGTGCTACATCAATAGGTAGAGTGTCCCGGACAGAAAATCGACCCAACAGGGCAGGACCTGGGAGTGTCTATGGTCTATACAGTATACGGGGTGGAAGGTACTGTAAGGTGCAGGGTTGCAGGTTGTAGTCATCCACGGGTTGACGGGAATCGTAGATCTCTACCTATTGAGACATATTATAAGGAACAACCTTGATCAGATTGCAAAGAGGTAGGTACCTTACCGTTGCGAGCCCACCACTCTCCCTAGCACGAATGCGTGGATTGCACTTGGGTGATTCAAAATTGTAGTGTTCTTGAAGCCATCTCCTCTTTGTCGGGTCTGGTACTACTGGAGCTTCTTGCTCATTCTGCCCTTGGAAAGGAGAGGAAATCTCCGCGGGAGAGAAATGAGGAATGACATCATGTCTACCTCATCTTCGGGATATGATCTGATCACTGGTACACTAAGCAGTCACTACCTACATAGCCAGTGACCACCAGCCACTACCCACTACCCACTACCCACTGGCCGGGTAGTGGTCCCCATCCTAGACCATGAGAATTGAGGCGCTGATTATACGGGGACTACAGCCCAGCAGGTTTAGGATGAAGGGTGACAGGGCTGTTATTGCTTGGGTTTCAATTTTGTTTTTATTTTTGTTTTTTTGGGGAGCTGCCCGGGAGGCTCCAGGACGGGACTGGACAGTAGACTGGACACTAAAAGACTGAACACTAAGAGACTGGACACTAAAAGACTAGACAGTGCCGATCTGACGGGCTGTCAGGCCAGCCAATGAGTTGTACAGTGGAATGCGCTACAAAAATGGATGTGGCAGTGTGGCTCAGTGCGTGAATCTTCAGGACCAGTCAAATTCACTTGGGATCAAATTGACCACATCATGGTCCTGCGGTATAATCTATACAGAGGATAGTGTATTCATACTGCGGGTCAGACGAAATAAAAGCTGGGTGCTGCTCTTCCGTATGTAACCAGAAACAATTGTCATCCAAATAATTTCATGAGTATGAGGTTGGGCTTTGTTCCAGAGAGAGATGGTGAAACCCCCCCCCCCGCAAAAGAAAAAAAACACGGGGTTTCCACAGGAAGATGAACTGGTGCGGGGAGAAGATCAATCACGCGACAGCCAACGCTTGCCTATGTCCCTAACGAGAATAACTTTCAAGATATCTCCTCGTTAGGTCACTCAGGGCTGGCCAGACCTATGATATAAGCGCATGCATCTGCCAGGGTCTTAGGCGCACGCAATACGTTCAAAGTTAAAAAGGCTAGGTCTCACTCAAAGTTGTAATGTCGAGGATATTCTGGGGTCATTGAGAAGGGAGGGGTCAGTTCAGAGTACAGGGCATGAGTGTTCCATCTCTGATTGCCGGACACGTGCCCGTAAATAATCGCCAAACACAGGGCAAAGGACGTTGCCAAATAGGAAAAATCCTCATAGCAAATCGAGTCACACGAGGGCCTGCAGGCGTTTTGATACAGGGCTGCCAAGTCCAGCCTGGGGGGGGGAAACATATGTACATGAGCTCTGCCAAAGGGAGCACGTCCCTTCGACAAGTTCAACCCGCTAACTAATATCACGAATATATACTCCCGGGAATGCCACACCCAAAAACGCTATGATCCAAGCCGGAGAACAGTCGATGCGAACGGAACAAAATACTTAGTAACAGGAGCCATTCACCGGTCGAAGATGGCCTTCATGTCAGCACAGGCGTCACGGTAGTGAATGTCCACGCTGCCTTGGTCCCTGAAGGGATTGGCGGATTTATCCCACGCGTGCTGCGCTTGAGCAATCATCATGGACCGCACCTTTTTACCCAACCCCTCCAGCCGTCGCACAAAAGTTTGCCCTTCCTTCATCAACATATCCCACTCACAAATGAACAAAAATACATCGTCGGGTAAGGCATCATGAAGAGCTTCATCAGATGCGCGCACTGGCGATGCATACGGAGACGACCGGTCCTCTATGTTGGGCAGGTATGCTTCATCGAAGAGATTCGTGAAGAACTTGGGTAATGTCTTGTTGGGCATGATGCTCATCGCACGGCGATGGTCACGGGACTCGAGGAAGTCTAGAATCGGATACCAGCAAAAGAGGGCCACGATCCGGAGCTCGTTGGTCTGATTCATCAATTGCTGGGTCGAGTCCGCCCGGCCCAATTGCTCCTTGATGGCGCTCACGATCCGACCCCGGAGTCGTAGAGGCACGGTGACGGCCAGATTGCCACCCGCTGAGAACCCGCTCAATGCCACGCGACTCACGTCCAACGCCAAATCCGAGGCGTTCGCAGCCAAGTAAAGCAGAGCCTCAACACCATCATCGACCGCGGTCGGGAATGGATGCTCTGGTGCGCGGCGATAACTCACGCTGGCGACAACAGCACCAACTTGCTCCACGACTGCGGCCGACCAGCGGCCATCGTCGGTCGCAGACCCCAGAGTGAATCCTCCACCATGGAAATTGACCGCGACGGGGTAGCGATGACCCTGGCGGCGCTGTTGATGATAATCCGGTGGGCAATAGAAATGGATCACTACACTAGTAGAGGTTTCTGAGTGAAGGGTGCGAGTGAACGTGGGCCGAGGAGGTCGAGGCGGCGCCAGTGTGTGCAGCACCATGCCGATACCCATGAGGAAGCGCCAGACCACGGCTTGGATGTAAAGCCACCAGCGCGAGGAAGCCATGATGAGTCCAATCCAGATGGCGGAGAGCAAGAGCGCGACGGGGAGAAACGTTTGGAAATCAATGTCTTGCCAGTCAAAGTTCTGCAAGGCTATCTTCTCCTCCGCGACAAAGAGGTAATGTTGGCTGAATGACGAAGAAGGGAAGCTATCTCGAGGCTTCGGGCAACTGCTATTCCACTGTCCGGGGCTCTGGCTCGGCTCAATCGGTTCCGTTAGCGAGGAATGGGGAAGGACACTGGCATTTGAGAGAGCACTTTGGATAGTAGTGGGCAGTGGGCAGTGGGCAGTGGGCAGTGGGCAGTGGGCAGCGTCCGGCAAGGTCCGGCGCCTTGAGTGACCTCCACAGGTTGAGTCCGGATCGTTGTCAAGGTCCTGGAATACCAGCTGCAGTGCCGCCTACGGTGGTGATGGGTAGTGGGTAATGGGTAGTGGGTAGTGGGTACTGTTGGGGTGGGACGCACCTCAAGCTGGGACGTTGCGTGGTTTGACAGGTATCAGACTTGCTAAAAGAATAGGATGTAAGAAGTTTGCCGGGATGAGATGACGTCCTGAACTCCTGATTCGAGGAACAACAATATACTGAAGAGGGACCCCCAGGTAAGTGGAAGTTATGTGAGAGGTGCAGTTCGGCAGAGTGTGTGGTCCCACGCCGTCAATCGCAGACTCGAAGGCGGAGAAGCCGGCTACGTTCCGTCTTGGCCTACGCCATGCGCAAGGCACAGATCCATCTCTAATCGTGCTGTGGATCTGTGTCAACTTGTCAAGGGTAGTGGCTCATGATATCAATCAGTGGACGATGGCTTACGAACAGTGATGTAGGTGATTGAACTGCACCTATAGAGTCTGACATTGTCTGAGGATTGATTCCCATGGATTCAAGTCCATGCGGTGTGTCATTCATTGCATGCTGTTCCTGAGCCTCGGTCGGGTCGTCCTGCAGAGTGGGCGAGGCACCCTCGATCAGATAAGGATACGAAGGTGCGGTATGGCTAATCTATCGCGATGGCATCCATAGTAGGAAAGTACCGACTCTGATGGACGTTGTTCTTGCATTGGCAATCTAATGGTATTAGGAGACAAGTCATTAAACTTGCGGAATACGCATGCCCGCACGTTGCTTGCATGCGCCGTGGCAGTGGCGGTAATCGCGTGGTGGTACCTCCCCGTCGGCGCTAACCTGACCCAGGGTTCGAGGTACATACCGAGGTTGCTCAGGCCGACGGATGATTGCATGACCTCAGCCACGGTCAGCGATCATTTCCAGCTCACCTTGTCCTGAGTCCTGACCACCAGAGAAGCAAGTCAGAATGCCCCGGACGCACGAGGAGAACACTCATCCGAGGTCCAGGACCACCGATGAGGCTGTCAGGCATTGATGCAATTGGGACAAGATAATTGCGGTCCACTGATTGACGGAACAGGGCCCCAGGAGAAGATCAACGCTTGTGACTGGGAAGCCACACTAACTCCATGACCATCATGGACGGGCTCTTTTCGGCCTTCGATTCGGCGATTCGCAGGATACAATACCATACCTACTTGACTGAACCAATTGACACGCCAGTCGCAGTCCGCATCACTGCCGGTAATTCTATGGCTCCATGCAATTATGGATGCCCTGTGGGAAGATAGTCTGCCATTGTGGTGATATGGTCGCTACAGAGAGACCTACACACACAAGCAAAAAAAAAAAAAAAAAAAAAAAACCACAAAACTACAAATCTACAAATCTACAAATCTACAAATCTACAAATCTACAAATCTACAAATCTACAAATCTACAAATCTACAAATCTACTCATCGCACTCTTGATCAACGAGAAAAGAACAGCAAATGATTGGAAAATCTTTCGGTCTATATCAAATAGAAATATCTCTGATCGTTGCGGCTGCCTGTCACGGTGTGGTATCCAGCTTACCGTAGGTTGTCCTCTAACAGTTATTCTTATTTCAGATCATGTAATATTTTTGCTGTATTGGATTGCAGTCAATCCGGCGACGAATCCGGAAATCCAGAAAGGTCCGTGATGATGTCATAACATGGTCTTTTGGGACGAGACCCCAGCGGAACACCCCGCCTCCGCCCAACTGTAACGGACCGAGTTTGGTTCGTACTGAGCTCCTCAACTGGTCTGACACCCCGCCTGATTTGGGTCGAGCGCGGGTGATTCATGAGTGTATGAGTCCAGTATCCTCGTATAGTATGTGTATTCATGACAGGTTTACTCCTCGAGTCCTCTTCCTACCTGTTGCGGTACGAAGTTACGAACTCATTCCCGTCGGCTGGTCCCTCGTCGCGACCACTTCTTTCATTTGGGCCCCGTGCAAGAACTGTCATTAAATGCCACCAGTGCCCCGCCGATAAACATTCCCCTCGACATCTTGTCTTTATCTAGTGTCTACTTTCCTTTCCCCTCCCCCTCCTCCTCCTCCTCCTCCTCCTTCTTCCGGTCTCCGGCACATCCTAGTCGCATCACCACATCACTTCTACACCCGCGACTTCACTGGTGCTTGACCGACCATATCTTGCGCCTTCTTGACCATCGCCGGACCTGACCTGACCAGAGGGAACGCGCCAAGTAGGTACTCAGTCAAAACTACTTCGTTGTGCAGCCCACTCCTTGACCAGAAGGTACGTCGAGCCTCCAGCGTTCTCCTCCGTCCGGCCCCGGTAGCGTGCCTCCCGAAGCAAAAGAAGGTTGCCGCTGGCAGCCTTGTCGAGCCTGTCATAAGCTTCCCGGGGATCCGTTGTTGCCCATGTCATTCCCCCCGCCGGCTCGTGCTGCCATCCGGTTCCAGGAAGCGCCTTCTACCACAGCCGTGGCACAATCCGCTCACCCGCCTGTCTGGGCGTGGTCCTGCGTTTCAGACGTTCCCGAAACGCCCGATTGCGGCGTCTTTCCTCAGAAGTCGTGGTGTACAGTCCGTGGCCAGATCAATTGGACCTGGCCCGCACCTTACCCCTTCGTCAGATCTCACTCGGGTCCCCAATTGATCGCTGCATCGTGCCCTACACCTTCCTCGCCTTGCCTCTCCTGCTTCGCCCAGTGCCCCTCTCACATGCCAATCTAGGAAATCAACCTCCCCCCCCCCCCAACACCCACCCACTGCCCGCCTGCTCACAGATCCTCCCGAGGCGGTTCTTGCCCACCATGTCCATCAAACGGGCGTTCACCAAAGCCATTCGGGGCAACACCGACAGTGACGACGCCTCGTCAGGCAGTCACGTTCGATCTCTCTCGCTGGGCCGCTCCAAAGCCCGAACATCGACCTCGCTCGATTCGCGAAAATCGCTCGATGGATCGCCCTCGGCTTCTCCTCGGCGCAGCATTCTGGGCACCTTCTTCCGTGACCGAGACTACATCTCCTCCTCAGAAGATCAGTCAGATGACTCCGCCGCGACGGGCAATCTGAGCAAGAACCAACAGAAGCGACTGGCACGCCAACAACGCCGCAACGAGCGGAGTCGCCTGAGTGAGGACCACGTGTCCGAGGCCGACCATCGTCGCAAGGAAGAAGAACTGGCCAAAGCAGCTGCAGAGGAGACCGCCGAGATGAAAGCGCGCTATGGCGAACTGCCGCTGATGCAATCGCAGAGTCGGCCACGCGAGCTGCGCACCGCGCTGGAGGATGTGACGCCCGCGCTGGAGGGCCAAGAGATCTTCTTCACCGCACGTCTACACGTCATTCGCCGCATGAGCGCAAAGTTGGTCTTCCTCGTCTTCCGCCAGCAGCTGATCACCTTCCAAGCCGTGCTGCATGAGCGGCCTGGCGTCTCGTCCATCGCCATGATCTCCTGGGTCGAACACCTGCGAGTGGGATCATTCCTGCGCGTGCGCGGCCGGGTGCAGAAGCCCGAAGTCCCTGTCCTGGGTTGCAGTATCCACGACGTGGAGCTTGCAATCGATTCCGTGCACCTGCTTGTCAAGCGAGAGGAGCCCGTCCCCTTTAGTGTGTACGAGGCCGAGATTCAGACCAACGAGGAGGACAAGGCCGAGGGTCGTCGCAGTCACATCCCGGATCGTACCCGCCTGAGCAACCGCCTCCTGGACCTACGCACCCCAACCTCCCAGTCCATCTTCCGCTTACAGTCCGCGACCTGCAACCTCTTCCGAGCTGCTCTGGATGAGCGAGGCTTTATCGAGATTCACACCCCCAAGCTCCAGGGCGCCGCCACCGAGTCCGGTGCGAGCGTGTTCCAGGTGAACTACTTCGGTCGCCCGGCATTCTTGGCCCAATCACCTCAGCTGGCCAAGCAGATGGCCATCGCGGCCGACTTTGGCCGTGTGTATGAAATCGGTGCGGTCTTCCGTGCGGAAAACTCCAACACTCATCGACATTTGACCGAATACACCGGTCTCGATATCGAGATGGCGATCGAAGAGCATTACCATGAAATGCTCGAAGTTCTCGATGCGACCATCAAGAATATCCTGAGTGGTATCTACGGCAAATACCGCCGCGAAATCGAAACCATCAAGCATCAGTTCCCATCGGATGATGTTGTGTGGCTGGAACAAACACCCATCATTCGCTTTTCGGACGGCATTCAGATGCTGAACGAGTCGGGCTGGCGCAACGAAGAGGGCGAGTTGCTTCCCCTCGACGAAGATCTTGCGACGAGAGACGAAATCCGTCTCGGTGAGTTGGTGAAGGAGAAGTTCGGCACCGACTACTACGTCCTCGACAAATTCCCCCGCGGCGCGCGTCCCTTCTACACCATGCCCGACCCCGAAGATGACAAGTACACGAATTCGTTCGACATGTTCATTCGAGGTCAAGAGATTGTCTCTGGTGGTCAGCGTATTCACGATGCCAACATGCTCGAGGAGAACATGCGCAACGTTGGCATCAACCCGGACGACATGGAGGAGTACATGGAGGCTTTCCGCTGGGGTGCCCCGCCTCACGCCGGCGCCGGTATCGGTCTCGAGCGCATGCTGATGCTCTTGCTCAAGGTGGGCAACATTCGACTCACCTCTCTCTTCCATCGCGATCCCAAGAGTCTCCCAGCCAAGCCACCAGTCTCGACGCTGCGTCATCCGGAAGCTTCCACCATCGAGCCGCCCTGGCTTGAGCGTTCCCGTTTTGCCGAGAATGAGAGCGAGCTACAGCCTTTGGAGAAGCTGATTGCCAACTACGGAGACGCCACTTCCACCTCTTGGTTCGATGAACGCTTTAAGATCTGGCGAGACATGATGACTGGTGCTGCCGTTTCCTACGTGCCCAGCAGCAGCAACTACGTGATCATCCCCGGAAACCCAGCCTGTGACCCGTCACAGTACACCCGAACCATCACGCAATTTCTGCAGTGGCTTCGCCGGGAGACCAAGTTCAAACCCATCTGGATCTTGTGCTCTCCAGAGATCGAGACCATTCTCGGTGAACGTCTCGGATGGCGTAGCTTGTCCTGCATTGCAGAGGAGCGGGTGGAGCCCTCCGCTAACCAAGCTGCCTCCGATGGAGAATTGGCTAAGAAATTGCGCCGTGCCGACAATGAAGGCATCAAGGTCGTCTCGCTGAACCAAGGCGAGCTGCCATCCGAGGAGATTCGCCAGAGCATCGACAAGCGCATCGCCGAGTGGCTCGCCAACCGTAAGGGCACTCAGGTCCACCTCTCTGAGATCCGTCCTTGGGTTGATCACGAGCATCGTTGGTACTTCTATGCTGTGGATAAAGAAGGCGCCATCTGTGCCTTTGTCGCGCTTGTGATGATCTCACCCGCCTGGGGCATGCAAGTCAAGTACAGCTTGGACTTCCCCAACTCCCCCAACGGTGCCATTGAATACATCCTCACTGAGGCGATTCAGACTGCCGGCAAACTTGGCGTCAAGGGTCTGACTTTTGGTGCCGGTGCTACCGGTCAGTTGACTCCCGGTCACAACCTGCACGGCGCCAAGATTCGAATGCTGGAGCGTACTTACGAGGCTCTTGCCAAGCAATTCCATCTCGTGCGGAAGAGCGAGTTCCGCGCCAAGCTCGGTGCGACTGAGGAGCCGCTTTACATCTCCTACCCGGCGCACGGTCTTGGCTCCAAGGGTATTCGTGCTATTCTCAATTTCTTTGAAGACTAGACGCACCCGCGCTCGGTTTCCCAATTCGCTTCGTTCTTGCCGACTCGAAAGAGATCATGAACTCATGGCATGTCATGACCGATTGATTTTTTTCTTTTCGATTCTTCCTCTCGACCTAATGATCGGGCGGAGACTCGACTTTGCGGCGCGAGACCTCTTTCATAGATTAGAGCGAGGGGTCCGTTGACAAAAGAGGAAGCTATGATCAAGGAAGTTCTCTCGAGTGAGTTCAGGCTCGTTTGACTTGTCATTGTATTTAGCTTGATCGCGGGCGTGTCCTGGCGCTCTTTTCTCATGGGCACTTGTTGCCTGGCTCCTTGTTGTTGATGGGTCTTCCCTTGTTGGCTTTTGACGTGTCGTATTTTGTTCCCTGGCTCGACATTGCTACGTTCAGTGTCTGGGTCGAATATTCCCCCTACTGTAATTGTCCATTGCATCTTTGCACGTCCACGCTTAATGAATACTATTTTTCGTACTTTACATGTGCACGGGCTCTAGAGGGTTGTTTCATGTCATTTCGCATCGTTTGAGAAATGTCCATGTATGCGGACTTCAGGAGGATGGATATTGCGCCATGGTCAGACCCGTAATAGATAGACAGGCCTCTATAGATATCGATGAGAAGCAAATCCCAATTGAAGAAGCAAACCTCCTGATGCTACTGGGGGGGGGGGGGGGGGGGGGGGCTTTCTCCCAATTAGGTTGTGGTCTGTTTTTCCGGCACCTTGCTGAATGGGCCAAATCCAATACTCATCCTGACGCACTGCAACAGTGATCCGTGTTGCTGCTCTCAAATGTCGTGACTCGCTTGTCACGAGCCTCAGTGACTATACTGGACCGGGTGCAAATGAAGTCAATATATACACAAGCAGCATGCTTATAAACACCCAATCCCCGTTACTGAAGAAATCACCCATCAAATCTCCTTCTTCTCCTTCTCCACCTCATCCCTCTCAGCCCTCGCGTCGTCAATCAACCGCCCCAGCTCCCTACCCACCCACTTCGCAACGACCACCGCCACAACACCCACCACTCCCATCCAAGCCGCCGTCGGCACCAGGGACCTTGGAAAGACGTTCATCAAGAACGGATCAAGAATGACATCCACCACCACAGGTGGGACTCGTTGCATCAACGCCTGATCTGGTGAGAAGTAATCCGCGGCAGCCTGGACGCGCAGAAATAAAATCGAGTCGTTGATGAGGGTGGTTTCTTGGGGACGTTGTTGGGTGAGAGGGGATGTTTCGACAGGTCTGTCGTCTATCGCTGCTGCTGCTGCTGCTGATGCTGCTAGTGCTGCGAGGTGGGAGGTTGAGTATTTGCTTAGGGAGGAGAGGAGAATTGGGTCATTCATTGCTTGGGAGAGGGTGTATGTGGTTAGAGTGAAGGATGTTGGTTGCTAAATGATTGTTAGTGAGAATCTTCCAAGCTGGCGATATGGAAACATGTTTGTGATCGTGATAGAGGGAGTGACACGAAGACCATCAGTGGACGATATCAAGGTACAACTGATTCATACACCACGAGGTTTCGAGAAGAGGTCCGTCTCATGGTTGGGGTATGGTCAAAGCAACGCCCCCGTCTCCGAGCGACGTGAGAAGAGGCGAGCAGTAGGGTATACATAGAGCAAAGTCGAGAGCAGGATGCGCAAATTGGAATAAGGGTGAATTACCGTCGCCAACCAACAGATGCGAGCTTCATATCGTTGCCCGGGAGTCAAATCCTCCAAGAAAAACCATGACTCAATCCCCTGCGGAATTTCGACCGTGGGGAATGAAGCATTCAAATAGGTCCGTACAACAGAATTCTGAGGCGAGAGGTGCATCATGCCCAGAGGATCCAAGTGCGGCGTATCAGGAGGGATCGCGACAGCGGGTGGGCCCAAGAAGATGGTCTTTTCAACATTGGCTTGGGCGACACTTGTGAAGAATGAGAGCAAGCTCAAAACTGTGGGAATACTGCGTTTCATAATTTGCAGAAATTGAGGCTTTTTGAGCCGACGCGTGTGGATTGCTTTTTGTCGACGAACCCCGTCTGATAATGGATGACTAGCAGATCACCGAAGGTCGAATACGCTCGGTGTTCTGAGTTTTGGTTTGTCGTCGCCTTATTCGCCAAGCACTGTGTGTGAGCCTGGCCGAAGCTCCAGTGACTGAAAATTCCCCTGTACTTTTGGTCAACTTTTGAAGATTTCCAAAGACGTTTCAATGGCATTCATAAAAAACACCATAAAGCTGGAGGTTACTTGCGGATGTGGATGTGGATGCCCGAGTCGACGGAAGCCTGAGGGATCGGGCCACAACAATAGAGCACAATCGTGTAATACGGAAACCCTCAAAAGTCTGGGACGTGTGCTTCTAAGCTCTGCACAATTTGGCGGTGAGAGCTCCCGTGCAGGACCGGAGCACCCTGGTCTTTGGTCATGATCAAGGACCTACATTAAGTTAGAGAGATGTATTCAATGACGAGGAAGCAAGTAAGAATGCATGTGGCTAGTTTGATACAAGCTCTCTAAGCCTCTGATGAGTGATTTCCATGGACAATGCCTTTTAGAAATTTCTTTCATGTTCATGATGGATTCAATTGTGATGCTGACTGTGTACATTTGCTGATCTGTCTGTTTGTTGATCCTGTCACATGACTTTCCACAAAAGGCGGTGACCCCCGGCCAAGTTGCCAGCCCGACCACCAATCAGAGCTCAGAACGCGACCCAACGAACGGATCAACAACGAACGTCCCCCCTCCCTCTGCCTGCGGGCTGCACAGACGTCCTCCACAACATTTCTGCTCTTCTTCTTCGACTCGACGAGAAGTGTGATTCCATTCTTCACCCATTCTTGGTGAGTCTGCCTCCCTTCCTATTTCCCCCCCCCCTCCCATCCCCTCTTCACCTGTCAGGCGTCTATCCCGTGAAGTCATCTTGCCCACGGAGATCTTGACTCGGACCGTATCAAAATTGGTCAACCGAGACCGTGCCACTAACACCCCCTGAATCGTGTCCCAGGTCCCGTGTTTGTTATTGGGTCCTTCCATCACCACCCCCTCCTCCTTCTTTTTCACATTTGCAAAAAAACACCCATTCGACACAATGAGAGAGATTATCAGCTTGAACGGTATGTATGGTCACGTTGACGGCGAATCCAACTTTCCATCTGCGTGGGTGATTAAATGGACCTGAGACGCGCTAACACATATGACCCTCTCTAGTCGGCCAGGCCGGTTGCCAGATTGCCAACTCCTGCTGGGAGGTGAGGCTTCCTCCGCCATTGACCTTGCGTGCTCGTGGGAACGATAAACGGACTAACTCGACCATTGTGTAGCTGTACTGTCTGGAGCATGGTATTCAGGTATGTTGCAAATTTCTAATTTCGACCTATTCTCGGCATCAGATACAGGAGGGGCGGCATGGCTCCCCCTGACCTTCGCATCCGGGAACTGAATTGTCATGGTCTAACACTCATCATAGCCCGATGGACACCTCACCGATGAGCGCAAGAAGGCCGATCCCGACCACGGCTTCAGCACCTTCTTCTCCGAGACCGGTACGTGAATCATTTCAACTCTCGACAAGGGACTGCGACCAGCACGAAAGGAAAAGCAGACCTTGGCTATCCTATGATGGTCGTTGCTCAATGATTCCTTGATGGAATTATGATGCCAGAGTTCCGGCCTCTGCTTGTTTCACGTCCCCGTTTCCCAGTCCTCCACCCGTAGAAGAGCATGGTGAAATCTTTGGCAACTTGCGATTCTAATACTTGGGTCTTTGTGCTTGGATAGGTGCCGGCCGTTACGTTCCTCGCACCATCTACTGCGATCTCGAGCCCAATGTTGTCGATGAGGTCCGCACCGGTACCTACCGTTCCCTTTTCCACCCCGAGCAGATGATCACTGGCAAGGAGGACGCCTCCAACAACTACGCCCGTGGTCACTACACCGTCGGTAAGGAGATGATCGACCAGGTCCTCGACAAGGTTCGCCGCATGGCCGATTCCTGCGCTGGTCTCCAGGGATTCCTGGTCTTCCACTCCTTCGGCGGTGGTACCGGTTCCGGTTTCGGTGCTCTGCTCATGGAGCGCCTCTCCGTCGACTACGGCAAGAAGTCCAAGCTGGAGTTCTGTGTCTACCCTGCCCCTCAGAACGCCACCTCCGTCGTTGAGCCCTACAATTCTATCCTTACCACTCACACTACCCTGGAGCACTCCGACTGCTCCTTCATGGTCGACAACGAGGCTATCTACGACATCTGCCGTCGTAACCTCGGCATTGAGCGCCCCGGTTACGAGAACCTGAACCGCCTGATCGCTCAGGTCGTCTCTTCCATCACCGCCTCGCTCCGTTTCGACGGTTCTCTGAACGTCGACCTGAACGAGTTCCAGACCAACCTGGTCCCGTACCCGCGTATTCACTTCCCCCTGGTTGCCTACTCCCCCGTCATCTCTGCCGCCAAGGCCGACCACGAGGCCAACAGCGTCACTGAGATCACCTCCAACTGCTTCGAGCCCAACAACCAGATGGTCAAGTGTGACCCCCGCAACGGCAAGTACATGGCCACCTGTCTGCTCTACCGTGGTGACGTCGTCCCCAAGGACGCTCACGCCGCCGTGGCCACCCTCAAGACCAAGCGTACCATCCAGTTCGTCGATTGGTGCCCTACTGGCTTCAAGCTCGGTATCTGCTACCAGCCCCCTGCTCAGGTCCCCAACGGCGACCTTGCCAACCTCAGCCGTGCCGTGTATGTATCCCTTCTTCTTTTCCTCGTAGCTTTCTCTTTCTGCCGATTCGGAAGTAAATTGACTAATTCTTCTCTGTCCAGCTGCATGCTGTCCAACACCACCGCCATCGCCGAGGCCTGGTCTGCTCTCGACCACAAGTTCGATCTCATGTACTCCAAGCGTGCCTTCGTTCACTGGTATGTTGGTGAGGGTATGGAGGAGGGTGAGTTCTCTGAGGCTCGTGAGGATCTCGCTGCTCTGGAGCGCGATTACGAGGAGGTTGCCAGCGACTCGCTGGAGGAGGAGGACTTGGAGCCCGAGTACTAAACAATCTCCTCTTCTTGATCAGCCACCGAAGGTCCGGATGTCTGGTTCCTTCGCCTGTCGGAAACAGATCTTCCTGGCACTGAGGGTTGGGTTTTTGTTAGCCTACATCTCCCGGACCTCCTTGCAAATAGAAGGGATTGTCTAGTTTTAGGTCCGATGATGCTTATTGGTTTTGTTGTTCGATATGTCTTTAATATCCCTGAAGCAGCGATAAGTCTTTTTTTTCCACTCGTTTTTCACCAGTTCTATGTTCCCTCTCCCGCTCTCTCTTTTACCACTGGCGTTTCTGCCTCCACCAAGCGTGTAATTACAAAAGTGAGACCCCTAGTCAAAGTCAATCTGAATGATGCTGCCCAGGCTGTGCGATATCTACTATTTGATATCTTTGCATCAGTAGTTCACACTTGGATCGGATTCCCTCATTCATTGCATTGGCCCCGGTCGTCGATCGGCTAGGGTTGATCTGACAAGTATTAAGGTTGGTCAGCGGGCATCGCGACCTGTGTCTGCCAGTCTGGAATGACTTGATAAGTTGATTCCCCATTGAACTTCTCGGGCGCCTTTTCAATGGGCTAGAACTACGGCCCAAGCGCTACTGCAATAGCTACTCAAGTGTCTAATTTCCTAAACGACATGGGTTCGTGCCATGATATGATTGCTGTTCTATCAAACCTGAACCGGGTGAGCCCTGGAGGAGGTAGACTACTGCTTCAGTGCTCCTGCATAGACACTGGAGTCTGGACAGGCGGGTATTACGAACGCTAAGACCGACTGACCGCCCTGGAAGGCAGCGCCTTTACGACATCGACCCCATCAGCTTCCCCGTTAAGAAGCTGTATTGCCCTCCCCTCAAACCTCAGTCTGACCTTGCGGTGGTCTATCAGTAGCATTGCCGAGTGCGCATGCTTTTATTTGGCCGCTGACCAGTGATCGTCAAACTTGCGCGTGTCTCTCCTCGGTGCCTGTAGCCCGTGGCTGAACTGACAGCTTCCCCATACATACGCCATTTACCCCCGAAAGCTCCGGAGAGCTCGCATATCACCCAAATACCGCAGAGCTGTTGCTCCCCACGACGTGTAATCATGGCTGATGCTCGTAAGTGAACCCACAATCTCATCAAATCAATTTCTTTGTCAAATTGGCTGTCTTATGGGTCAAATGCAACTCTGGCGTGTCCCCGAGACCTCCATCCCCATGTCACCCTCGTCATGGAGCCCACCCCCCCCCCCCCCCCCCTGCCCGGTGTTCAAGGCGCATGGTGCCTTTGCTCAAAGGCTTCTGAACCATCACATTTGATTGCTAACTGTCGACTTCGATATAGCACAACGGCACCCGAATCTAAATTTGACGCCGGAGGAGAAGCGCGTATTTTACCAGCTCTTCCAGGCTGCTGACACGACCAACCTCGGCGTGATCACTGGCGAGATTGCGGTGCCATTTTTCGAGAAGACACATCTGCCATCCAGTGTGCTTGGCGAGGTATGTGTTGCGCTGCCACCAAGATTGCGAAGTCAAGCTCACGATTTGGCGCAACGCCTCTACTAGATATGGCAGCTTGCAGACAAAGAGAACAGGGGTCTCTTGACTCCCTCTGGCTTCGGGATCGTCCTTCGGTTGATTGGACATGCACAAGCTGGGCGTGTGCCCTCCGATGAATTGGCTTTGCAGCGTGAGTGGATATCTTGAGATATTCGACACGGGACCTCCGTGGTCGAGTTCGAGCTTTCACGGAATCGTTTCGCTAAATGTCGGCCTTGCTTTAGCTGGACCGATTCCTCGATTTGACGGTATCGTTGTCGACAACACTCCAGCACCCAGTGAATCTGGAACTGCTAGTCCTCCGCCTGGTGCTGGTCCTCCAGTTCGTGTACCACCGTTGCAGCCAGAAGATGCTCACAAGTTCCTCTCGCTGTTTGAGAAGTCAGATACCCCCAATGGCATGATATCAGGTACGAGACATTCACCAAAAGCGATAGGCGTCCAAAGTAACCCGTTGAGGTACTGACAAATCAATGACAGGTGAAACCGCGAAACAGATCTTTGAGCGCGCGCGTTTACCCAATGAGGTCCTTGGTCGGATATGGAATCTCGCAGATACAAAACAGCGTGGTGCTCTTGACGCTACTGACTTCATCATCGCAATGCACCTTCTCACGTCCTACAAGGCCGGGACTCTTCGCGTCATTCCCCAAACTTTGCCTCCACCTTTGTACGAGGCTGCCGCTCGGCGAGGATCGGGGCGTGGTTCCTTTGGTGCGCGTGCGAACGTCCCCGCTGTCCCCAATATTCCCAAGCAATTCAGTGGTCCCCAGCGTGCTAGCACTCCTCTTAGCCCTAATAATACCGGCCGACTAGCGTTCGGTGGCCCAATTCCAGCTCAGCCTACAGGGGATTGGCTCATCAATCCCCAGGAGAAAGCACACTTTGACACTATCTTTGAGACGGTCGATACCGCCAAGCTGGGATCAATTACCGGTGACCAGGCTGTCGCCTTTTTCATGAAGGCTCAGCTTCCTGAGGAGGTGCTCGCGCAAATTTGGGATCTTGCGGATATTGATGCCGACGGTCAGCTCAACCATGATGAGTTTGCCGTGGCCATGTATCTGGTGCGGCTGCAGCGGAGTGGAAAGGAGCCTCTTCCCCAAGTGCTGCCACCAGCGCTCATCCCTCCGAAAATGCGCCGTCAAGCTCCACAGTCTGTTGCTGCTCAGCCGCAGGCTCCCATGCCTCCGCCTGCGCCTGCCCCTGTTCCACGGTCGGCTGCGGATGACTTGTTTGGCCTTGACTCTCCACCGCAGCCAGTTGCACAGACTCAATTCCCCCAATCCACTGGTGGCTCAAATACTGCGTTCCAGACACCTGGCTCCCCAGCTTCGCGAGGCTCGCCTCAAGTGCCGAATACCCAATTCAAGCCTTTTGTTCCGACATCAAGCTTTGGCCAGACTCTGCAACCCCAGATGACGGGGGCTTCTTCAGGGACACCAGCTCCCATCCGCTCGCCGCCTCCTCCTTCAGACGACCTGCTGGGGGATAATGACCCGGAGGAATCGAAGAAGCTTACTCAAGAAACCAGTGATCTTGCCAATCTTTCTAACCAGATAGGCTCTCTAGCCAAGGAGATGCATACTGTGCAGGGCAAGCGTACCTCAGCGGAACAGAGCATTACGCAAGCCTCTCAGCAGAAGCGGGACTTTGAGGCACGTCTAGCCCAAGCTCGCGCCATGTACGAGCAGGAAGTTGCAAACTTCAAGGCTCTTGAAGAGCGCCTTCGGGTCTCGAGAGCCGAGACTGCCAAATTGCAGCAAGAGTATGCGTTGATTGAAGGGAGCCGCCAGGACCTTCAGACTCAGTACAGTCAAGTGTCCAGCGCGCTCGCTACTGATCAGCAAGAGAATGCTAGCCTGAAGGAGAAGATCCGCCAGGCCAACGCCGAGGTTGCTCAATTGAAACCGGCTTTGGAAAAGGCTCGCTCAGACGCTCGCCAGCAAAAGGGCCTTGTTGCTATCAATAAAAAGCAGCTCGCCACTGTCGAGGGTGACCGTGATAAGATTCAAGGCGAGATCGACTCTTTGGCTAAAGAGACTCCTCGGCACACTGAATCTCCAACGCCTGTCAGCTCGGCTGCGGATGTCACCAGTCCTGCATTGTCCACTGCCAGTCAGAACACCAACCCCTTCTTCCGTCGTCCAACAACCGCCCCTTCGAGTGAGCGGGCAATGTCTCCTGAGACCACAACCGAGCAGCAAAAGGCATTCGATAACCTCTTCGGTCAGTCCATTGCGTCTCAATCTACTGGCGGTCCGCCTCCAACATCATTCCGTGCCGAGTCGCCGTTCGCAGCAAATGCGCCTGCCACTTCGAATGTTCCTACACCGTCTGCATCCCCGGTGCCTGCAGTCTCTGTCCCGGGGGCCTTCCCCGATGCTACGTTTGAAGGCCCATTTGCTGGTTCAGCCGGTCACCTTGCACCAGGCTTCCCTCAATCAAGCGACCATCAATCTGTGACTTCGTCCACCGTGGTTTCGCCGCCCGCCAGTCGTTTTGGTGGTCCTGATACTACGGGAATCGCGACTCCTTCTCAGGACGCCAGTGATCGGGCCGGGACACCATCGATTGCCGAGTCCAGTGACTACAGCCGAGCTCCCCCTTCTGCGTCGGAAGACACGCCCGCTCGTTCGCCATTTGATGAACCGGGTGCTGCTGCTGGGGGCGTGAAGCAAACTCCCTCTTCAATCTCCCCTAATGTCACTGGAAATCAGGAACCCACTAAGGACTTGTCCTTTGATGAGCTATTTGGCAGCAAGGCACACAAGAGATCCGAGTCCCAGAAAGAAAATGACTTTGAAGAGGCTTTTGCTTCCATGTCGCAGAAGTCGGGCGAGAAACCTAGCGGGCCAGCCGCCGCTGCCGCCTCGACTTCTGAATTCCCCCCGATCCAGGAGCTGGACCATGACGAAGAGGACGATGAAAGCTCAGATGACGAGGGTGGCCTTGGCTTTGACGATAACTTTAACCCTGCTTCTCCCTCAAGCCCGCATGCGGAGAAGAAGCTTGACGCAATTGATGCCGCTCAATTGGCCTCGTTCCCAACACCTGGATCCGCCCCTCCTCCAGCGGCTGATGCTCAGCTCAGTCCGCCTCATTACGAAGATAGTACGGCTGGGGAGACAAGCAATTTGCCAGCCGAGTACAAAGACCTGTTGCCTGAGCGCGCAGATCCCACGACTGCGCCGGATGCGCCTCATTCAGTTCAATCTAGCAGCGGCGAGCCCATAATCCCTGATGAGTCTCAGCAAAAATCTGGGCCTGAGGTCGGGGCACCTGTGACTGGTGGCGCAAAGGTCGGCGGACCTGATTTCGACGCGGCTTTTGCTGGACTCAATCTCGCACCCGCTAAGGAAATTGACGATGATGACGAAGACGATGAAGCTGATGCTATTCACCATAAGGAAGCCAATGACTTTGACTTCTCGTTCGACTCGCCGGCCCAGACTCATCATGGAGCTTCTTCCAGCGGCGATGTCGCTCACGCCGGATCGTCGAACTTCTTCTCGTTTGATGACCATACTTCGACTGCGCCCGTTCACGCAACGACCACAAATGCTACTACCTCCAACGAAGGTAACGGCAAGGAGGCTGGACACGATTGGGATGCCCTCTTTGCCCCACTCGAAGGCGCCAAGGCCGCTCCAGAGGAATCTGACGGCAACGCGAACACGAAGGCACCTGGCTGGGCCCTCGGAACTGAAACTGGAGAAGATGACCTTCTCTTGCAGCGACTGACGGGCATGGGGTTCCCTCGTGAGGACTCACTTGCAGCTTTGGAGAAGTTCGATTACAACATTGACAAGGTGAGCCACTCTTTGTTAAAAGCTGCTACTGGGGAGACTCTCGCGAGAAGCATGACTGACATATAACAGGCTGTCGACTACTTGACCTCCAAGGCTTGATGTAGTGGCTCTCGATTCCGACTTCCATCATTCTATTTCTGCACATATTATCCAAATATATTTTCCTTTTGTCTTGTTGATCCCCATTGGCGATATTTACAATCTCTCTCCTTTCCCCTTTGCTTCTCCGTCTCCTTTTCCTTTTTTTACTCTCAATTAATTGCTACGATCAATTGGCCGATTTCGCGGCGCGGTTCTACTGTGAGCCTGCTCTCTCTGTCTAGAACGTCCTTGGTTCCTAAATGTTCTCCTCCGAAGAGGCACCTGCAGTCAGCATCATGTACCTCTGGCTAAATGCATCTTCAGTAGCCCGCTGTGTAGTTAGTCGCACTTCCAGCTATACTATACCTCACAAATGTACAAGTGGAATTCACACGAAGCCCGCCGTCATTGTTTCCTATTTCTAGAATTTATCGCCGATTGCATCGTATAGTCAAATCCAGAAGGCCTGTATAAAGCCAATTCTATGCTGGTGCATGGCGGGCATCGGGCTGGTTGACTTCGAGTCGGGTCGTAGTCGAAGGCCAGGATTACATAATCGTTAGGAACGTCATCACCTGAGCGGCATTCGAGAAAAGTCGACTTGATAATAGGAGACATGAAAATTGAACAATTATTTCGATGATATTTGCGGCAGTGGACTTACAACAGATTTTGTCTATTATCACTCTTTGTGAGCTATCAACTCGACAACTTTCTGACGGCATTGTGAGGCTGTCGTGAATACTGTGTTCTCCCACAGCAACGCCTCTTGCGCCTCAGGCTATTCACAATGAACGTCGAGATCCCCGGGTTCTACTATGGTGAGTATTAAAAGCAGTGTGGATCGTCCAAACGAGTGTTTCTTTGAACCACGATGATCAAAAAAATGCCTCCTGACCTCTTCACCAACTAATCAACATAGATCCTGAAAAGAAAAAATACTTCAAAATTCAGGCCAACCATGTCGCACCACCTGGTGCCCAGTACTCGAAAGAGTCTGTCAAGCGAAAGCGTAATGAGCACCAGGCAAGTCTTGCTGGTTTCCAACCAAGGTCACCGATGGCCAAATACGCGGTGCTCGCGGCTAACATTTTACAGGAGCAAGAGAAGCGGGCCAAAGTAAACCAGCGACTGGAGCGCGAAACTGTCCGCAAGCCTAGCCTTCTTCATCACCCACTCATGGCTGTTGAGCGGGAGCTCGGATCCAGGTGGTCCTCAACGGCCGTGATGAAGGAACGACAGGCTCGGGTGTACGTGAGTCAGTTGAAACGGCGGAAACTGCACAAGTTTGAGCCCTGGCCCAGTCCGTTTAATATTCGACATGTGCTGCGGAATCCGCGTTCGGGGGCGCTGATTACTAGTACGTGAAATCATGGAGTCCCTTGATCCGAGACGGCCTGACTAATTGTTCCTCACTGTCGATGAAGCCGGCTTGCAAGGAAGCCAATCTTCCGTCTCGTATGCTTTTTATCCCCTCCTGCTTTGCTGCATTCCGTCGCGTTGCTGATGGATCCAAGTATCTGCTTCCCAGACAATGATGGAGACAAATGGACATATCACCGGACGATGGAACGAATCCTTCTGAGAGAGAGTTACAGGGTAAAAGATACTCGATGACCTTACAGTGGCTGAGCCTCGAGACTGAAATATTGATCGGCAGATATCCTCAATCTCGCTCAGCCATACTGGGTATCTCTTGTTTGTTATCCCATCTAGTATTTGGTACTACGATACTCCAATACTACGTGAGGCGCTAACAGTCGCGTCACAGAGCGACATTGGACAGTGGACCGGATGGAGACTCCTTCTTGGCCCCAAGGCTTCTTCCAAACCCCGATGAAGGTGGTGATTATCGCTGGCCATCTGAATGTACGTTGCTTGGACTCACTATTCTTTTCCCCATTTAGTCGGGCCACGGACATTACAACTAACATGCTCTCTCTCACATCAGTCCATCATCCATTGAAAATACATCTTCCTCAAACCCTCTGGTGCTCTGCCGCATGTCCAGTTGGTGACAAGGCCCTCTTCGCCATCGGCACGTCCGACGGGTTGCATACCCTCGAGGGTCTAACGAGCATGTGGACTGTCTCGCAGAAACCATTCAGAAAAGACGACAGTAACGGCGCGCGAGGGTTCCGTCGACACGGCAATTCCTCGCATGCTAGTGTACAAGCCGTTGAATGGATCTCTCCAGACGTGGTCGTGTCAGGCCTGCGCAACTCGAATGTGTTTCTTTACGACGTACGTAACGGCGAGAGTTCATTACGATTGCAGCATTCCCAATCAGTCACCAAGATTCGAAAGGCAGATCCTTGGCGGATTGTCGTTGGAGGTCATAATACGGTATGTGATGGGTATCTCTTCAAATTACGCACATCCTCTCATCCAGCTCACGCTCCTTCCATGCAGGTGGAAATGTACGATCTTCGCTACGTGGCCAAATGTCTACACTCGAAACCAAAGCCCATGTCTGGCTCACACAACTCCACTCGTCCATATCTCTCCTTCAAAGACTTTACACCAGAAGAGATCCCCGACTTAGACGTGAGCTCTGAGTTGGGACTATTAGCTTGCGGTAAAATTTATACCCTCCCTTTCTCCCTCCTTCACAATACCTCTCTCGTCCAATATGTTTCTAACGCCAGATGCGACAACAGCCTCGCATGACAGAAAAGTGCGCCTATTCTCCCTTCAGACAGGCGAACTGGTCCCATCATCTTTCTCAGATTTCCAATACAAAAGGCCTATCACGAGCATGTGCTTCGAAACAGCCGGTGAGCTCATGAATTCGCATGGACCCCAGACGCCTAGTTTGCTGGTATGTTCGCAAGGGTCTGTGGATCAGTGGGTCTGGTGATAGGGCTCTTATTTTTATTTTTTCATTTTTCTCTCTGGGTGGTGTTATGCATGATTTGGGCTTTTACTTGCATTTGCTTTATCATGTCGAGGCGTGCAGCAGATGTTTGGTTTTGGGATACCCTTGGCGTGTGAAAATTGTCTTTGCTGTTTTCGTATGTTGACATGGAAGGCGATTGGTAGCTGCGATATCTTGCTTCGACATAAACGATGCATCTTTCTGCCGGTCTATGATACGTAAGCTCTAGCTTTATGTATACCACATTGACAACCACACAGCAGCATGATGAAATTCGCAAAACTCCAATAAGCATCCACCTTGAAGCCCAAGTCAAACCACTGACCCGTATTCGAACGCCAGTGAGATTTCAAAAATCCAACAGTTCCATCAATCCAGACCACCAGCAAGCCACTCGCCGACTTCGACACCAATACCCTTGGCCAGCTCTCCAATCCAGTCTCCCGAAACATTCACACACCATTTCTCTCCAGCATCCGCACTGGTATTCCCCGGTCCCGTACTCGCAAAACCAACATGTCCAGAGGCGGGGACAACGAGACGCAGACGGCGAAGAGTCGCCAATTCCGCATAAATCTGATCAGCCACAGCAGGCGTGTTGATCGGGTTCTCGGGCGGATTGGGGTCCACAGCGTGATAGATTGCCAGTAGACGCTCGAGGGGAAACGGACGAGCTGATAGAATGGTGGACGGGCCCGTGATACCTGCAGCACCACACACGGCTGATGTGGTGGCTGACGATGTTGCAAAGGCCGAGGAAAGTGTGGATTTGGTGATTCGCGTCTTGGTGCGCTTGCCTTTGCGTGGGGTCGATGGGTCGTCAGCTGCAGCGGCCCGGTCCTCGGCCTGAGCTTGGGAGAGGACTTTGAGCCGTCGGCGATGATGAGCGCGCTTGTTTCGGGCAGATAGTGAGCTTGACGAGAATTTGGAGAAAAAGATGGTATCTAAGCGCTGCGGGGTGTGAGAGGCCAGATAGGCCGATGTGAGGATTAACGTAGAGAAGTAAGGTAGATGAGGGAGAGCGGACGCAGCCGCTGATATCGTTGAGGGCTTTTGCAGGGTGAGACTTGACGCAGGAGCCGAGACCGAGGGTGAAGCATCCTCGGTGACGATTCGATGCACTAATGCGGCTTCTCCCTGGTGACGGAAAAGAGCTCTGTTCCTGACCAGCAGCCTTGTAAAGTCCCATTCAGCGTTGCCACCGGGGGGAGCTTCGCCTTGGACCACAGGCGCCACAAATGAAGACCAGAGTCGTTGACAAATTGATCGATATGTTGGAATCGAGCCGGCCGTTGGACCGACAAGGGTGTCGTAAACTGTGGCCACAAAGTGTGGGTAAACCCGCGTCGTAACGTCGTCTGGCAGGTTTTCAATGACAGGCGTCGGGAACGACAACATGATGTCAATTGCCTCTTTGCGGGTATATGGTGGAAAGTGAATATGTGGAACCGCGGCATTCTGTAGGAAAAGTGGTCGAGGTGAAGAGCTCAAAACGAGGACGACTGAAAGCGAAGGGACCTGTGAAGAAGGCAACGGGTAAAAATGCAGGTAAGCAATTGGTCACTTTCAAGAATCGGATGGTGCAGCTTCTGTTCAAAACGTACAATGTCTCCCAGGCGCGCCAGTGCGGATAAGAGCGTCGGAGGCGCCTCTCGCTGTCGATCAATCTCATCCAGCACCAAGACAAATTTCCCGCGTTTGTTCTCATCTCGCGCCGCAAGACACTCCTCAAGAAGGACAGCAAGCATGCTGACATGCTCACAACGGCCTTTTCCATATTGCTCCCATTTGTCTCTCTGACCGAGCGCGTCAAGCGTGTTCCAGAGAATTTTGGTGAGTAGGTGTCGCGCCGTGATACATTCGGAGCTGCGGACAAAGGCGTGCGGCACCTCCAGTGTTTGGAGCACCCCACGAAGAATGGTGCTTTTGCAAGTCGCAGACACACCATGTACCACCAGCGTTGGAGCACTAGGGATGCGCGGCTATATCACAAATGGCGTGTGAGTAAGACTGGTCCCAGAGCCAACTATATACCCGATGACATTCGGATGCGGAGATAACTCAAGGGTCTCCGCAAACTGTTGACTTACATGCAGTAAACTTGCAAGCTGCTTCGCCTGTGATTGACGGCAGGGCCATTGCGCGCTCAGTGAGCGAGCCACATCTGCCGGCTGCATCAGGGTCCGTGAATTACACGTCTCGAGCCACAGACCCGCGAGCTCAGAAACGAATCGACTTTCCAATGTTGCCCCGATGAAGTGCCTGTCCAGTCACCTGGGCCATGCAACGTGTCACGTGACTATGTATGTGCCGCCAACTTGGAAGCGCCCGAGGACCTTTTTGCATTATTATGTGTTTAGCTATTCGTGTTGCGTAGAAACTCTGCAGCGGAGTAACAAAAAAAAATTGAACTGAAAGCATTGATTTGGTCGTGAGGCATGGTTTAGTTCTCAACTTGTTTGTACGAATACAGATGCTAGAGAGGAAAAATATGGAAAGTTACACCAAGTCGTTTGAATACCATTGCTTGAAATCTGTCAGAACTTCATTCCGATTGTGGTGAGAATTCGAGCCAAAATACAGGGGAAAAGGGGTCAGGATCGAAGGCGAATACATTGGAAGCATGCAAATTGGGAAAGAACAGGGTGGAAAAGAAGGGCATTTGACTGAAGTGACCAAGCCTAACTAAAACCAAAACAGTCGAAAGCCTCGATATCCAGCTAAGGATACTGAACCTTCAATTGTCATGTAGGGAGGTCATGTAAAGCTTGAAAACCAGCAAAAGCAAGTCCAGAAAAAGTACACAAATAACGAAGGGAATCAACGGCCAAAAGAAAAAGAAAGAAAAAGCAAAAAAGGGGAAAGATGGGAAGCAGAAAGGGGGAATTGGGAAACGGGGAAAAACATGATGGAGATGCTTAAAGGTACAAGATGATCTGAGGCGCTGATTGTACCATGCAAGCTGCACTGGGGCAAATGATGTGCGGGGTGTGCCACGCGTGCGAAAATTGCCTGGAGAAAAGCGAAATCATGACGCATTGCTACATGCATGGTGGAGGAACGGAGATTCTCCGAAGTCGAAGGAATAGCGCCAAATGCAAGGTAGCCTGGGCACATTGACAGCGTCGAATGGTAAATCCGTTTAAATCATCAAAAATTCGTGGCTTCGTGGTTGTTGTCGGGGTCGAATATGGGTACAGGGTGATTTGTGCCAGTAGGGAGCACTGGCCTGGCATGACTGGTACGTCGGACTTTAGTAGTAAGCGGCGTACATTTGATTGGAACTGCTGCGTCCACTGACGTTTGGAAGAGGCGCGCCCAAGCCTGCGGTGCGCTCAACGGTACCTCCATGTGTAGCTTCAGGCGCAGCAGGGGCGTAGCCATGTCCACCCGCTGCGGCCGTGCCGGCAGCCATTTGCGGGGCGCCAGTGGGATTGGCGGCCGCATAGCCGGAGAAGTGCCTGGAGGCCATGTTCGCGGCCTGGGCGGACGGAGTCACTTCGTTCGGTGTCACCTGTCCGCTTCCCTGAGTGCTTGATCGGCCAGAGCCCTCCGCTGCCAGGATCTTGCCGGCGATTCGGCGCCCATGGGGGGTCTGGCGGATCGACGGCAAAATCGGGCGAATGGCGTCGACGATGCATTGGCGTGTCTCGGCGTCAGAAAAGTCCATCGCGGTCTGAACGACGTAGTTGGCGAAGGAGTCGCGCAGCATCGCTTCCAGCTCATTGCCCGAAAGAATCTCCTCAATCATGGCTCGGCGAGTGTCGCTATCCGCAGTTCGAAGACACTTCTCGATCACATTTGAGCTGAACTTCTGTTTGGACAGCTCGGGGATGTTGTTCGCGAACACGCGGCACAGAGGAGTGGTGAAGCACGGCTCGGCAAGATCCAAGATGTACTGAACTACGTAATTACCGAACGGGTCCTGCACGAGAGTGAATGAGTGCGCGGTGACCTGCGCAATCAATCGAGCCTTCTGCTCCCCAGACGCATGATCGATGCACCGTTGAAGAACGCAGCAGCCGTGGCGATGAGTACCAACAACAACACAGTGCGTCCCAACAGCCTCGTAGATGAATTCAGCTTCCTCCGCATTCAGACGGTTGAGACATTTTTGAATGACGTGATTACCGTTCAGGTCCTTGACCAAATCGACGACATGGTCTTTCAGGGCAGCAATCACAGTCTGTGTCTGCTGGGGGGTAGAAATAAACTCAATCATCTTCTGAAGGGCTCGGGTACCATGCTGATTGAGTGCGATTCTAACAAGCTGTGGGGCAGCATTGTTGATCAAGGCTGTACGCTGGTCGTCGTTCGAATACTCGAGCAATTTCTGGCACAGGTAGTTACCGAAGGGATCTATAGACGGCGGCGGAAGGTGACCGGGTTAGCGAGTCAGGAGTAGGCAGGGAAGTAAGCTGAAGAGGACGTGATTATCAGACGTACCAGTCATAAGCTCGGTCACGTGCATGTAGGTCTCGTTGAAGATGAGCTGCACATGCTCAGGATTGCGTTCCTCCAGTTTGCGTTGCAAGTAACGACAACCGTGCTGGTCCTTGCACAGGTTGTACAACTCACCCTCGTAATGCTCGAGGGGATAATTTCCGTATCGAGTTGCCTGCCCAGCATCACTGTCAAGCTGGCGACGCGAAGCAGGGACAGCGCGAGTCACAGTATCATTGTATCGATACGTAGTTGGCGCATAGATCTGACCGGGGTAGGCCCCGTAGGCAGCAGTCTGACCAAACGCGGCGAGCTGGTTGGTAGACTGCATGGGCTGGGCAGTGTACTGTCCATAGCCGAACATCGGGGTGAAACCAAGCCCGGCAGGGACCATGGCCTGTGCCATACCGTGGCCGGGAACGACAGCTGTCAACTGGGGACCGAAAGGCACGGCGCTCGCTTGCAAAGTGGTTGGAGCTGACATATGGTCATTGCTGGTCTCGGACTTCAGATTCTTCGCGGCTTGCGACCCAACGGTAGCAGAGTGGCCTTGGTGACCAGGGCTGTAGAAGGACTCAAGGGTTCTTTTACGTGGAATCACTGGCGCATCGAAGCCTCCCTTGACCGTTGGCAGGTCATTGGTGGAGTACGAACCCTGCGGCGCGGCGGGGCGAGGTGACGAGAGCGCAGCGAGGGCTGCAGGCGAGGATTGCCCAATCGGGTAGGGAACGTTCGCGCCGCCCCCTTCCAGTGAAATGTGACGGGCATGAGCTACGCTGCTACGGTCCCCAGGAGGAGAAGTAGTCGTCATATCAAAGCGCATGTTGCCAATGAAGTCTTGCGGCATGCTGGGCATGCTCTGGTGACTCAGGCGGTGGCGGCTATGATGAGCAAAACTCTCACCACTGGGGTTAGCACGAGTCATGACGAATTCCCGGGGCTCAGCGGATGTAGCCAGCTATGGATGTAGATTGGTTAGATGCGTCGGCACAGCTGTTCCATGGAGTTGAACTCACCAAGTTGGAACCTGTCTCTCGAGTCAGCGCGGGGTACGGATCATCACTCGGCTCCGTCATCTTGATGTATCCTTTGATATCAGGGGTGGACAGGCGTTCGTCGTCTCTCAGAACCTGCAAGTGGTGATCTTCGCTCGGGAACAGATGCTTCGTAGCAGCGAAAGAATCCACACCAGAGCTGGGTTTATACCCCGGCATGGTGGAAGACTGTCGAGAGGTGGTGCTGAAGTTATTGCTTGGAAGTGAGTATCGATGTAATCTAAGAAGAGTGCGAAAGTGAGGAGTCAGAAAGGAATTTGGAGGAAGAAAGTTTCCAAGAGAGGAATCGTGAAATAAATAGTCAGTGGTGTATCATGTGCCCATGCAATGTACGCGTCAAGGGCAGACACGCAGATATTGTTTGTGTATTTGGAATCAGATGGACTCCTCGAGAAGATGGGAGGGTGAGATGAACAGCCTGGGACAAAAGGGAACAAGCTGGGATGCATGACCCCGGGGGAAGGGGAGCGATCTGGGACGCGTAACCCAAGGCAATCAAAGCAAACGGGGGTGCAATGGCTTACGATGGTCCTGGACGAAAGGGACCGCTATCGATAGCAATCTCTTCCTTCTCTGAATTTCGACGGGAACCGGGCAGCGAGTGGCCAGCAAAGCGGTCAACGGTCTGGTGATTTGGCTGGGAAAGAGCCTGAGGGGACGTGACTTGTGAAGAGGGAGCGAACGCTGAGAAGAAACCTGGGGAAGAGGTCACGCTCGACGAGGCGAACCGTCCGGGGCGAGCAATGGAAGAAGCGAGAGACTCCGAGTGCTCTGGAGGGGTCCTTGGTTCACTGACTGGCCCGGAAAGCCCAGCTTTGGCCAAATCCCGGGCAAGCTGATCCATCTCGATCTTCTCCTTCTCATGTTGCATGTCTAGAAGCTTCATGTCTTCTTCGAAACGGCGTTTCTGCTGCCTCATATATTCAATGTGCTGGCGTTTTTTCTCGAACTAGCGAAGGTCAGAGGACGATCCTATTTTCTGTATACGACACAACAACCATGACTGATTTGATATATGCAAAGGCCTTGTAAGCACAACAAACATGATCTTGAGCCACAATATCTTAGTATATGCTTGAGGTCAAGATCCACTCGCGTGCTGCAGGTCTTCTCAGTTTCACGGGCAAGGGACATAGGCTCAAAGAGCCGCAAAGATCAACGCGTCTCGGACGTCAGAAAGCATGAGGCGTACTGAGTCGCGAGTCTGCCTCCACAGCGAAGCACCTATTTTCAGAAGATGGGGTGAACCAGATTGTCCAAAGCCAGTGTCAATTGGGACACTCTCAGCATGTCTGGTGCAGAGGACCGATCTCGGCAGCTATGGTACTGCCGGGTCACCAGTATGTGAGACGTGTCATATAGGACAAGCATATGTCTTCCAATCATTCACGCAGCAAATTCATGACATATTGGATCGTCCATCGCAACGGCAATGGGCTTCAGACCCGCTGTGCGATTGAGACAGGGCTTCCCAGCCAGTGCAAGGCGGAGCATCGGACCAGAAAGCAGAAACGGAACCTGGGAGCAGAAGCAGGGGTGGCACTCACTGAAGAGAGCAGATCAAGGTGATCTGGCATCTGTGCAGGGCCAGAACTGAGATAGTTCCATGATGATGACAATTTGCTGGAATCCGTGGTGAATCGGCGCTGTAAGTTACCTCTTACGTCTGCCGATGGTCGCGAAAACCCCGAGCCAAAGTTGGAATGACCGGGGGAGAGCGAAGTATATCCTGGAAAGACCGACTCCGACGGCGGAGAGCGAGGAGACGGAAACCGAAGCTCATCGAGGCGTTCACTCAGCCCATGTTTGAAGGCCATGGTAGGCAACGGTGTGGAAAGTTCCAACTGTGTAGAAGAGCAAGCAGATTCAGTCAGCATCGCGGATCACTCAGTATGAATGTCTTTCAGATTGTGCCGCTCAATCTGTCTCAAGGGCCTCTTTCCAACCAGAAAGATCCAGTCCGCAACCACCGTCACAGCGCCGGACAAGCCCTTTAGATAGCGTCTTCTGCCTGCAGCAGCAATGACAGGACCAAGGCTAGGGCTCAGTGTGATGTGTGATGGCTGGCACGGACTGGCAGGCTGGCGGTGAGCGTGTTCGTTGAGGAAGGGTCTCGGCTCACGCAAGGGGAGTCGAGAGGGGTTGAGGGGTCTGAATGATCGACTGGCGAGGGATATCGGAGGACACGAGAGTGCAGGTCTTACACGATGAACGCCTCGAGGGCCAAAGACAGACACCAAGTGATCCAACAGACAGACCAGAATCGCACAAAACGACCGTCGAGGGGGTCATCGAAGGAGGGGGAGGAGGCGAGAATCGTTGGGCTGCAAAAGTCGGCCGCGGTGTGTTCCTGGCGGAGTGCGGAGATCAGCCGCAGGCCTCTCTCCCTGTGTGGGACCGGAGCTTGAACCTACCTCGTTCTCTCCTTTGGCGAGTGGCGAAAGGCGAAAATGGGGGGGTCAGAGGGGATGCAAAATCACCGAGAGTCGTCGGAGTGGTCTACAGTATCCACAGTCCACACACTATACAGAAAAAGAAACAGCCAACACGGTGTTGAACAAAAACGAAAAGCGGCGCCGAGAGGAAAGAGAAAGGGGGGGCGGAGAGATTAGATTGGACCCAAAAGGCTAAAGCTGCGTTGATGATGGATCGGGTGAATAATGGCGGCAAGCGGGGAGACCTGATCAACCCTATTCGGCAATTGCCATACACAAGTGATTCCCTTTTTTTCCCCTCTGGAGTCGACGGATCGTCTTTTACTGAGGTTGTCAATCGGTGGAGGGCGATATTGGCCAGTGTTGGTGAGTCTGATATTGTGAGTCTCCGACTTATGGCTTGGTTGGTCGCTCCGCCGCTGAATTGGGACGGGCGGACCTTTGTTTGAAGATCAATCAATCGCTTCCAGAGGAGGGCTGGCAAAGTAGTACTGAATATGGACTATTCTGTAGTCATTCTATGGAGTTTCAGTCCTTTCACACACAGAAGGGACTCTGACGTGCTCTCCAATCACGCCTTAAGCCTACAGCACAGCCGGCCAACTCGCCACGGCCCTGGGGTGAAGGGCGATGCGGTCATGGAGCCGTATGGCGGCACCTGATGAAGCATGGGTTCTCGTCTGGTGAGGTCCCGGGGGTCTTTGTCTGCTTCCTGTGCACAGGGTCAAGATTCTAACGGTTACTGCAGCTGGATGGGTCCGTCCTCTACTGCTGTCGGAAGCTGATCGGAGGCATCCAACGAGGCAGTTTGATTGGAGTAGTTCCGCCTTGTACAACAAAGCGGTGCTCACCACCTCCCTGACCCTGGCCGGGATGTGAGATTAGCTTCATCATTGGGGGTTTGCCCATTTACAGTCTCTGTACTGGAATTTGATAGAATCGGAGATGGCCCTACGCAGGGCATGTTATGCCGCAAGGAAAGAGCTGCTCCTGGCTTGAGGCGAGAGGGTTGTAGAGTAAGACTAGGAGTGGCGGGCAGTACTGGAGTATAGTAGGCTCACGCCGTAAAGTATAGTAGAGGGTAACCTTAGTGAGTAAGTAATAAATATACTACCGTTATAGCTTCCATGGAATTTTAGGCGGCTGTGAGAGTGTTGAACGAGGGGATTAGTACATGGGAAATACCTCACTCCTTCTGAAGAGCCGCGATGCTGAAAGATACAGCCCTCGATTGCGTGTGGATATTTACTGTGCTTGCTGAAAACTGCGTTTCCATGAAGTTATGAACTACTACCGGGACCGGGGAAACTCGATACAAGTATTTAGATCCTCCGGTCCTTCACCACCCCAGACGGGATCCAAGAAAAGCACAGATCTAAATGTGATAACATCTCGTGATGAGGATCATAGCGAGACAATAAAATTTGAACACCATTAGAACCAGAAACTCAGTCATTCACCAGTGGGATCGACAACGTCGTCAGAATGTGTTGTCACCAGCCCTGCCGGGTGGTAGACGAGGTGGCCAGTACGATTACACCAGCCAGCCTCGACTCGAGTCCGGTCGAAGTATGACTCAAAGCAGACGACGACCGCTAGTGATTGCTAGGTCGCCCCGTCACCCCGTGTGTGCTGCAGTAGTGCACCACTGCACTTCAATGCTGCAAGTACAGTAAGAGTTTCACTCTTTGCACGCCCAAGTGGAGACCCACGGGAGTGTGACAAATGTAAGACGGTGTTGACCAACAAGAACGACGATGCAGAGATCACGGCGGATCACTTTCTTTTTAGTCGTGGTTAGTCTTGTCAGACGGCTACCCAGTGAACGAACCAACGCCCGGGGTAGAGAGAGAGCCTGAGTTCTAGATCGAGTGCGATCAAAGGGCGCGCTTAGAACACACTCAAATGCTCCACTGCTCCATAACCTCGTACCTATACACACTTACATACCACACTAGCACACACTCACACAGGAGTGAGTCAGTGACAGCACTTATGTAGGTGGGTAAGGTAGGTATGTATATAAATACATGTATTAATTACATACTAAGTACTAAAGTAGTAAGAGGTAGTATAGGTACGTTAGTTACTGGTAAGTTATAACTAGTAGGTATTGTCTCTGAAAACATGTACTAGATCTGTAGATCATAACTTCCACTGAGATTTGACATGAACTGAATTTGCTGTCTTACTCTCAAACATCGGAGGTCCCCTGTGTAACCTCGTATCCGTTCTGTTGAAACTGCTTACCGTGACTAGGAGGGGGTTCAAGTCGATCAGGTAATATTATGTTGCCGAAGCAGTTTCGTTAAAGTATGCCACGTCCTCCCGGTCCATTGACGTGTCACGTGTGAGCCACTAGTGCATGACTACCTGACTAAGGTAGGTAATAGGAGTATACAGTGCCCACCAGATTATTGTTCAATCCACTTTTGACACCAAACCGCTTATGATCTTGCTAAATTTGTAATGTATTAACAGTACGTTGATCTTATCGTATGCAGTCGCACTTATATAGCTCGTTTGATGATTTATACGGGAGTCACGTATTTGTAATATGTAAGTAATATTGATTCCACGCCACTGAAGTGCAATAAGGTTAGAACAATTAAACGGTGGGCACTATATACCAATTCGAACCTTCACGGATTCTCACACAGATCATGTTATAAAGCACTAGACAATTCGTCTATGAGCATCTCATAGTCCTTTGTCGTCTACCTGAATCAACTCTTTCATAGTCCAGATGTGTTCAGTTCCATGAGACTGAAGAGTGAAGACAACCTGGAGGCCTGGACAGTGGTGGAGCTGCGCCCGTGGAGACTCGCTTCCGCAGCTCTCAGTACATGAGTACAGTCGTTGGCGTGAAAGGTCAAGCCAAGCGGACGTGGATTGCCACACAGACAGGACCTAACCATGGATTGCTAATCCCCTGTTCATGACCAGGGTCGCCGAACAAGCGGTCGGGTGCTCCTCTGATCTCCCAGGGGAAAATAACAAAGACAACCCATTACAACTGGTCTTGGACCCTTCGACGGCCGACAAGCTCCTCCGATACTCTGCGGTACACTCATCGAAGCAAGAATACGGTAGTAGTGCGGTAGAAAGTCCACATTGGAGCGTCCGACAGGCTGGAACCTTCGGATTTCTCGCCAACTGATGGTCCATTACATATGAGAACCCTCCTCCACTTGAGTCAGACAAGCGGTGAAAGCAAGGCCAGTTATCCATGCTAAGCGTGGCGCTTGGAGCTCCCCGATCCGCCGAATGACGAGCATAACTTCAGGTGGAGATACTGCAGGATAACCCCTCGTTGTTCGCTTTTGCTTCTGTGCTTCTACAGTACCCTCAACAGCGGAACTCGAGTCCAGCTAAGAGAAGAGCAGCCACAACCAATCACTGTCGTTGTTCTGTATGTGATTTTTCCATTGCGAGGCAAGAGCCCCTCTATTCTAATCGCTTAGAATGTTTCAAGTCCTAATGCACAGTTGATGAGTGTGTGGACTGTGGACTGTGGAGAACGTTCAATCTTTATCTTGCAAGCAATCGGTTGGGTACAATATGGGAATACTTAGGGCTGTCGGGCCCAGTGCTCCGGCTTTGGCTTTCCTAACACTCATGCAGTTGACACCTAACAGACATCAGACACACGCCATGCATCGAGACCGAATGCTAGAAATGGCTGTCTGTCGGCCTAAAGACATGGCTAGCTTTGAACTTCTCGGTGACTTACTTAGTGGGATATTCGTCCATCCTGGAACACGATCAGTTAGTCGTGTTGAGTGAGTCAAGTGACTGCCTCAATAATGTGTACTGGCCATAGCGCAGATTGTAGTACTGTACAATGCCCGGTCCTCGTATGGCCACCATTTCCAAAGTAGTTCCAGCTACTTCCGGGGAGAAAAGTTCACCGATTCTGTTGAGGCACTGGAGCTTGGTAGTTTTGCTTGGCTATTCCGCTTTGACCGATCGTGTTCTCTTTCGGGGATGACGATCGTAGAGCTGCACGTTAATCACCGGGGCCGTGGAGGAAGTGACAGGTCTCAGACCGGATGGCCCGAACAGTGCATACTTCGGGGTTAAAGCCCAGAAAGGAGCGCAGGGATGCAGCCATATTGAAATGTGGCGGCACGAATTGGAAGCATACCACGTGAGGGAGTTCTGAAAAGCGACCGAGTCGATAGACTCGATACAAGTCCAACCAAGTTGTTTGTTCCAAGATCGAAACGCCACGACTTGAACTGATACGTTGTACTGAAGGACCTACCTGACTGGTTGACCTCGAGGGCCAATATATCCGATTGATCACACACGATGAGAACGCACGGTAAGTTTCTACAAGTATCTAGGTGCCTGTAACTTATCAGCAATAATGGCAGGTGGACGGGACTCGATGGCCCTCTGGCCAATAGTTTGGAAAAAGGATGGATCGACAAAATATCGAAGGACGCCCCATAATCGCTGTGCTGACATCAAGATCGTATAAAGCATGAAGTATCGTTATCTTGCGGCCGCAAACGGTCGAGAGACTGAGGTAGGGTAGGTATTTTCTTCAATCCATGCTACCATATGGCCGTTCATCAGTCAATTCCAGACACGCCCCTGTGAGCTGATCGATTCCAATAGTGCGCATGTTGCCAGGTCTGGTAACCAGGTGAGGCCACGCATCCACGATTCAAGCACAAGTAAGGCAAAGCAAATTTTGAATCAGTCAAGGCCATCTCTCGAAACATACCTTATTCGTGAGATTGATTGTCTGACTTTCTTCAGAATTCCAAACACGTATATGACCTCATGTGGCTAATGCTTGTTGGCAATGACTTCCCTAGTTACATAATCAAGAGTTGCGGCACGACGCCGACGCTCCTCTTATTTTTAGAGATTTCACTGCAGATTTTCGCAAATCCTAGACGACCAAATACTATTGAAGTGCCAAGCACTGACTCGCGTAGAAATACCTCGGCGCAGCCATCGAACATCTACAGGACTATCAGTTGCGTCGGTTGCCGCTTGGTCGAAGCGATAAGGCTTTCGCGGTGGGCTTGTCGCCTCAGGCAACATAAGTGGGCACCCTGTTACCGCTTCGGGGTGATAGCTGATCGATTAGCAAAGCAATCTCCAAATTTCTCCCCGTCCCGTCGGCTTTCCCCTCCACCAGCATCAAATTGATTAAAAGCTGAGTGGCTTACTCGACGTCCTTGACGAACTGAGAGAGTCGTAAATTCACAGGCCTCATATCTCAGTCAGTCAACGACTATGCCACCCGCACGCAGGCGGCCACAGGCCCCGCCAACGGCCAAACCGAGGCGGTCCTCAGAGGTAGCAAAACTTTTTTTTCCACTCCGTCAAACTGCGCTAGATGTGAAATAGCAGCATGCTAAATGAAGATTGATTGCACGACAATAGGCTACTCCGAATGCGCCTAATTCAACAGCACAGCGAAAGCGCTCTTCTATCGCCAAAGAATCCCACCTGCCCGCCGCTGAGACTGAAAATGGAGAAGCCGATGTCGAGGCTGACGCAAATAAGCCCGAAATGACGGAAGAGGAGGGATCCAGTTACAAACACAAGGATCCCTTTGATGCACTCCTGGAGCCCTTCTATTACAACAAATCGCTCACAGACCCGATTGACACGGCTAGGGACAAGTGGAACCTGTTGCCGGCGTTTCTGAAGGTGAAGGGTCTTGTGAAACAGCACATCGACTCATACAACTACTTTGTCGAAGTACAGCTCAAGAAAATCGTCGAGTCCAGCTCTACTATTCGCAGCGATGTGGACCATCAGTTTTACATCAAGTTTACGGACATTTATGTCGGATCTCCGCGACGTGCAGACGAGACCCAAGACGCGGGCATTGACTTTCAGTCGGACGTCACTCCTCAGGAGTGTCGCCTCCGAGACACCACTTACGCCGCGCCCATCTTGGTCGACTTTGAGTATGTTCGTGGCCGGCAACGCGTCATCCGTCGCGGAGTCTCCATTGGCCGTATGCCGATCATGCTGCGAAGCTCTAAATGCGTTCTGGCGAACAAGACACCTGCACAGATGACAGTCTTGAACGAGTGTCCCCTGGACCCTGGTGGTTATTTTGTCGTGAATGGAACCGAGAAGGTCATTCTCGTACAGGAACAGCTGAGCAAGAATCGAATCATCGTCGAGACGGACCCCAAGAAAGAGATAGTTCAAGCTTCAGTCACCAGTTCTTCCAACGAGCGCAAGTCCAAGAGTTACATTGTTCTCAAGAAGGATCGCCTTTACGTCAAACACAATGTGTTAAGTGATGACATTCCCATTGTGGTGTTACTCAAAGCCATGGGCATCCACACCGACAAAGAAATTTTACAGCTGGTCGCCGGATCAGACAGCCTGTATCAGGACGACTTTGCCATCAACTTTGAAGAAGCGTTCAATCTTGGCATTTTCACGCAACAGCAGGCTTTGGATTGGATCGGAGCTCGCATCAAGATCAACCGCAAGACTGGTGCATACCGGCGCACTCATGTGCAGGAGGCGGTTGAGGCTATCGCATCCGTCATTATTTCCCACATCGAAGTCAAGGACATGAACTTCCGTCCAAAGGCCATCTACGTGGCCCACATGGCTCGTCGTGTCCTGATGGCGAAGAATGATCCAGCTCTGGTCGATGATCGCGACTACTTGGGTAACAAGCGCCTGGAGTTGGCTGGTCAATTACTGGCACTTCTCTTCGAAGATTTGTTCAAAAAGTTCTGTTTCGATATCAAGATGAACATTGACAAGGTCCTCAACAAGCGCAATCGAGCGGAGCAATTCGACGCGTGGAGTGTTGTCAGTATGCACGGAAATCACATCACGCAGGGCATGAATCGGGCAATTTCCACAGGCAACTGGAGTCTGAAGCGTTTCCGCATGGAACGTGCTGGTGTGACCCACGTTCTTAGCCGACTCAGCTATATCGCTGCGCTTGGTATGATGACCCGAATTAGCAGTCAATTCGAGAAGACCCGTAAGGTCTCCGGTCCTCGTGCCTTGCAGCCGTCACAGTTTGGTATGCTTTGTCCTGCAGATACACCTGAAGGTGAAGCTTGCGGTCTGGTCAAAAACTTGGCTCTTATGACACATATCACCACCAACGACGAGGAAGGCCCCGTGAGAAATTTAATTTTCATGCTCGGGGCCGAAGATATCTCAACCGTCAGTGGAATGCAAATTTACGCCCCGGGGAGCTACAGTATCTCCATTAATGGTACACCAACGGCCTTGACACGACGACCCAAATACTTCCTCAATGCCTTCCGTCGACTTCGTCGGATGGGTCGAATTTCAGAATTTGTCAGTATCTACATCAATCACCACCAGCGTGCCGTCCACCTTGCGACCGACGACGGCCGGATTTGCAGACCTCTCATCATCGTTGAGAATGGGAAGTCACGCGTCCGACGGCACCACCTGCAGAAATTAAGAGACGGCAGGATGCAATTCGATGATTTTCTTGCACAAGGTCTTGTCGAATATCTTGACGTGAACGAAGAGAACGATTCGTATATTTCAATTTACGAAAAAGATATCAACGAGGCCCATACTCATCTCGAAATCGAACCTTTCACGGTCTTGGGTGCCGTAGCTGGCCTCATTCCCTACCCTCACCACAACCAGTCACCTCGTAACACTTACCAATGTGCCATGGGTAAACAAGCGATTGGAGCGATTGCCTCGAACCAATTCCAGCGAATTGACTCCATTCTCTATCTCATGGTCTATCCTCAGAAACCGATGGTCAAGTCGCGAACGATTGAGCTGGTCAAATACGACCAACTGCCCGCCGGTCAGAACGCAACTGTTGCTGTTATGAGTTACTCCGGATATGATATTGAGGATGCTCTTGTTTTGAACAAGGGTTCCGTAGACCGCGGATTCGGTCGATGCCAGGTCTACAAGAAATACGTCACAAATCTCAAGAGTTATCCCAACGGATTGAAGGATCGACTTAACCCACCAGAGTTTGAGAACGATGCCCCTATTCGTAAGCACGCTCTTCTGGAGAGCGACGGTCTTGCTGCAGTGGGTGAAGAGGTGAAGAGTGGCGAGGTCTACATCAACAAGGTGACCCCGGACTCAGCTCATACGACAGGCTTGGGCGGTGATTCAAACAAGCCGCTCACCTGGCAAGCAACACCCATGACATACAAACTGCCCGACCCAGCATACATCGACAAAGTCATGGTGTCGGCCACAGAAGGTGAGACACAGCTGCTCAAGGTCCTGACACGGCAGACTCGTCGCCCCGAAGTTGGTGACAAGTTCTCCTCTCGTCACGGACAGAAGGGTGTGGTTGGTATTATTGCTGACCAGGTGGACATGCCGTTCACTGATTCTGGCATCAACCCTGATATCATCATGAACCCCCACGGTTTCCCTTCGCGAATGACAGTCGGCAAAATGTTGGAGCTGGTCGCTGGCAAGGCCGGTGTCCTATCTGGCCAGCACGGTTACGGTACCTGTTTTGGCGGCAGTCCTGTTCAGGAGATGTCGCAAATCTTGATTGATCACGGCTTCAGTTATGGTGGCAAAGACATGCTCACCTCCGGTATTACAGGCGAGCCCTTGCCTTTCTACGTCTTCACTGGTCCTATCTATTACCAGAAGCTCAAGCACATGGTGCAGGATAAGATGCACTCGCGGGCTCGTGGTCCCAAGGCTACATTAACCCGGCAGCCCACGGAGGGACGTTCGCGTGACGGTGGTCTCCGTCTCGGTGAGATGGAACGTGACTGTCTTATTGCCTACGGAACCAGTCAGCTTCTATTAGAGCGTCTGATGATCTCTTCTGATGTTCACGAAGTCGACATCTGTGAGAAGTGCGGCTTCATGGGCTACCTCAATTGGTGTCCCGGGTGCAAGTCATCTCGGTCTGTCGTGAAGATGACCATCCCTTACGCCGCGAAACTTCTAATCCAGGAGCTGATGAGTATGAACGTTGCTGCTCGCCTCAAGCTTGATGACGAGTTCCCTGAGATGAAGGGCTGTTAAATAAGACAACAATCTTTGGCTTTGGGTTCCCGACTGAAGTTTTGTATAACGTTGCAAACCACAGGCGCATGGAGGAGGTTCTTTTTTCAATGTGTACACATATTCCCATGCGAAACGGCATAGCGCGGCGATTCGAAGATTTAAACACTCTATTGGCTTCAAACAAAGTATCTTGTAAAGCTTCACATCTAGCCTTGGACGCGTATTAGAGCCAGAAAGTTGAAACCGGTAACCGACGCACGCGAGCAATTGAGTCCAATCACAGCGTGCCCTTCTCGTCCACGCCATTGCAGCTTCTTCCAAGCTTTCGCCGTCTCAGAGCTCCAAGATTGGCGATTCAAATGCGACCTGCTGGTACTTTGTGAACTCGATAAGCTCGCTCAAGAACTCGTATCTTAGCTTCAAAGCCTCATCCAACGACATTGGCATGGCGTCTTTCTTGTCACGGTTGTCCAGAGCAATGGCAACCATTGCCGCCTTCTTATCCTCCTCGTCCCCTCGGATGTCAAGAGTCCAGTCAAGCCGCTGAGGCGGGCAATTAGCTGTCGAGATGATCCGGATGTTGGGATCGATCAGGAAGAAGACCAATGCACGGGCATGTCCAGCCCTCGATTTGTCTTTGAGCTCGTAGTGGGTGAATCGATATTGAACAGTGCTAGGAAATATGACCGAGCGACCTACCCTGCATTTGATAGATCCTGGACGTTGTATTGCCGGTTCGCCATTGCAGAGACCAAAGACTTGCTTCAACCAGATGAAGTCTTGAGGATCGTGTTCGACCTCGCTTAGTGCGACTCTTTCGACATGGCTCCGAAACTCGATGACAGGATCTTCGAGGTTATCATTTTCGAACATGATGTATGCGGAGGTACATATATGTTCGTTCTGCGAATTTCCCACCGTCAGTTTTGCAAGCCTGAGTCTCCTTTCCGGAAGGACGGGTTCTTTCCATGTACCCACCATTTGCCCATCAAGGTGCCAGTCCGATTGCCAGTAGGGCTCGCCCGGGTTGAGATCAATACTGATGATTCTTGTGATGACTTGAAGTCCACGATTTCCGTAGTCATCATTCAAGGACACTTCCCGCTCTATGCGAACCGCGCTCGGCAAGTCCGCAGGAAGCTTGCCTGCTAGACCGTGCGGCACAGCCCAAGGTATAAAGGTGCCCACATCAGGCTGAACAGCTTCGAAATTCTCACCTCTCCACGTTTCATATCGTTGTTCAAACTCACTTTGTGTTTCTTTGGGCTTGATTTGCGGCTCGGAATGACGAACATTCTCAGAGATGGGATGGTATTCAGCTTTGCGATACTCGATTCTTGCACGAGAGTGGAGGGGATCTTTGAGCGGTGTCATGGCCATGTTCAACTGCGGAATGATACAGTTAAATGCATCCTCAATGAGCTTATAAATATGGCGATGTTTCTCCGGATGCAGATTGTTGATATATGAAACAAAATGCCAACGACTGTCTTCTCCAAGCTCGAGGTCTGCTGGCAACATTTGAAAGTTACGACTGTAAGGCCGCACTTGAATATCTTCTCTTGCCGCTACTCGCCAGGCCATGTCCTCTCGGGTCAGCCCAGACTCTCTAGGCACACCAATGACCTCGCCCTGACCAGCGAAAGTCAAGGCCTCATCCAATTTCAGGATTCGGTCCGGCAGTATTCGAGTCTTGCCGTACACAAGTGGGTAGAGTGCCACTGCCAGAAGGTCTCGTTGCCTCCCCAAAATACCTGGGTGGAAGAATTGAAGCTCGGGCTCAGAGTAATCCAGTTCTCTGACATCAATTCGCAATCTCTCAAGGAGTGACTGGAGCATGACCGAGTCGGATTTGGTAATGGAACCGTTATATAAACCGACAGCTTGACTCATAGCGTAGACCATGGCTTTGAATTTGAGTTCATCAATAATCCAATTTGCCATGTTCGGGGTGATGTCAGCTCCACTATCCAAGGCCTTCTCTTTCCAGCTGTCAGCAGTACGTGGGTCATTAATCTAATTGCAATGAGCAAGTCAGTTCGTCATTTACAGTGACAGATAGCCAGCCTTGAAGCAGAAAGGCTCGTGTATGACCATACCTTTTCCCACCATTCAGGTATATCGGTCAAGTCTTCCATCACCCGCATCATCCCAATTTCACGCAACGTCTGAGCCGGTAGTCTGGGATGAATCAGTACTGGTTCCATCATCAACAGAGTCAAAAGCATTCCGTACTCCGTATAGCCGTTTTCGATGTCCCGATCGTCCAGAGCGGACGGAAACATGCTTCGGCTTTCAACACCGTATATGTTTTTCTCTGTGGGCGAAAAGTCCAGGGGGCGGCCATATCCAGGCAATAGAAGCCGACTCCCTTTGCTTTTCCTGTCCTTGAAGAAGATGTCGCCGTTGACACTGTGTTGGAACATGGTGCTGGTTGTGATTGACCGAGATTTTGAAAGCCAGAATTGTGAGCAAGTCACTATTGATTCCGAAGGCAACAAGTGGGGGGAAAGGATCACCTCGTCTGCCCAAGCCTGCTTGGGAGCAAAAACAATCAGGTACAAGGTTGAATTTCTCGGGGTAAGGGCGTAGAGAAAAGTGAGGGATTGGCAGAGATGTTCGATCGTCGATGAGAGGAGAGCTGGAAAACAGCACGAGCCTCGTCGAGGGAAAGTAGTTTGTCATCTCTCAACTGATTCCGCCATCAATGATGTATCACTTTCGTCGTCATGTCTACTTCTACCGACATCCGACTACGTCAAGGCCCGAAGACTGTTGGTTGGGCAAGGGAGCGGGTTTCAGCTCCGGTGGATGGAGTCAACTAACTCCAGGGTTTAAAGAAGAAACCGCAAAGAAGACTCCAGGGTCTCCACACTAGAAGATCACTTGGACGTGAGTTGCACATGATTTGCAGTTCGAGGAGAACGGCACAGTCCAAGCCAAGCCCGAACAGAAGCTCAACGCTGGTAAAATTCGAGAATATTTCATTGCGGCAACACTCTACTCACATCCGGCATAGATCGAGCAGGTCTCTCAGAGTTGATCTGCCAGACAACGTCCAAGTGTACTTTTTTTGCTTCGAATTAGCATCGTGAGTGGCCAAAGCGTCAGGGGAGTATAACTCTAGTTTCGCCACTGTGCCAGATGCCAGCCAGAGCGCAACAACTTTGTCCTAGCGCACCCATCCAAGCTCCCGACATGACGCTGTCGATTCAGAGAACAGCAGAATGGTGGAGAATGGGTACCGAAACCCGTCGCAGTTGCTCGATTATCATCCATTATGCTCAAATGCCTGTCATTGCTTAGGCTTCTTCAGTTGCAAATGCTCCCGAATTATGGACCAGTATCTTTCGGGCTGCACTCGCATGTGGCCTACATGAGGCGTTCCGTGGAATCTCTCGCGATGGACTGTCCAACCGCAAGCCTCCGAATCTGACGCGTGTCTCTCAATATCTCGCCAGTCCACGAGCTCGTCAGTACTAGAGTAGATATAGCACCGAGTGAGTGTTCCCTCTGCATTTGCAGGCTGAACAAGGTTTTGATCATTGATCTCCTCCCGGGCAACTTTTATTGCATTGGGAATCCGGAAACTTGTCTGATAGAGCTTGATGACGGCGAGCATCATCAACAAGATGCCCTTACTCAACCAGCGCAAGATCCAGAATCGGGGCATTGCAAAGGAGAATGCTTTCATTGCAGCTATTATACTCGCAGTGCCGGGCGCGCTATCAATGACCATGGATGAGATCGGAAGTGGTCTCCCTGTAGCCTGACGATAGGCTTTAAGCAGATGTGTAGTCCGGAATAAACCTCCGTTGGAGAAGATATGCATAAACACGGGACAGTCGGGGGTCACGGAACTGCGGAGAGCTGCGATCGCGGGCCCCAGTCGAGCCTGCTGCGCTCTAGCTGTTGCATGGAGGAAGAAATCATTGGATGCGCTGCGCAGGAATATGATTCGCGCGGATGGAACTATGCGAGTATATTCAACGACGTATTTGGATAGTGCACGAGCGGGCGCATCCATCCAGAATGCAAGGAGGATCACCGGCTGACCATCATTGGGAGCAGTGCCCGATTTCGGATCATGCATGTAGACCGAAGGGCCAAGTTGAACAAAAAGCGCCAGGGGATCACCCACCAAACTCTCTGAAGCGCTTGTTACCAACATATTTGGGTGATGTATATGGAAGAAGTAAGAAGGGGATAAATCGAGTGGCGAGACTAGTCGTATTCCCGTCCGCGCTAAAGTAGTCGGCAACCAGTACATCCAGTCCTATCATTTGCTAGGGAATTGCCTGAAGGCAGTGTGTGTGTACTTTTTCTCAATATGTCAAATAGACTCAGATTGACTTATCGCAGAGTCTGGATTAACTACAAGCTTAATGGTTCGAGCCTACAGCAAGATAGCATGCCTACGCTTTGACTCGCCAGTTAGGGGCATGTATGCCCCTCGGAAAAAACGGGCTAGATACAGCAATGGAAGCTTTTCATCTCGACTAGTATCGAGGTTTGTGAATTCATCAATATATCGTAAAGACCCGGAAACGCCCAATCCTCGCTATGCCAGCGCAAATAAACCCTCGACCACGCGTTCTAGAGCGTCTCCTTTGCGATGTTTTCGTATTTCGTGTTCCAAAAAGGAATGGTAAAGATAGAAAAATTCAAGACACACACATTTACCGCTTTCTGCGACCAAGTGTACGGCCGCTTGATTTGCCTGCCTGACTGTCGACTTCACTGCCCGAAGTTGGGGTCATGGTTCCCTCATCCTTCTTCTTCCCACGCAGGGTTTGTCCAATTCCTTGGAATTTAGGTTGATCTTCAGGAACTAACCGTCCGTTCTCATCCCGGCGCTTTGGTGGCTTGATGGCGTATCCAAAGAACAGCTGATTCGGGGGTAGTCGCAAAGGTTGAGGGCCATTTGTCCTACGAGTTGGGGGAGGCCTTTGGGGATTTGCAGTGCCTGGAGTGGGAGTGCTAGCCTGTGGAGTTGGTGCCTTGCTGCCCTTCTTGGCATTCAATCGTTGACCTTCGGACAAGAAATTAGAGGACACAGCTTTGGCGCCAGATGCGGCAGCTGTCGACTCCGGTGCAATGGCTGCATAGTTGATCGACTGTGCCATGGTACCCTGATGATGTAGCAGCCCTCCGGCAGGCAGTTTTCCTTTCTTGACAACACTTCCCGGTGTACTAGCTCCACTAGTTCGTTGTGGCTCCTCATATCCCACCGGCGCGGCAAAATCAACTTCCAGATCGGTCTCGAGAACAGATATCGCGTTTTTGCTTCCCGATGGCTTGGTCTCCAATACTGCCATCTCATAGACTTGGTCATTGTATGCAAAGGTGAAGACGTCCCCTTTCGTTAAGCAGGAGAAATTGCGGAAGGCGTTCTCCAAAACGGCCTTGGGATCGCTGATGTCAAGAAACGCCGTTGATTGCGCTTGAAGCTTGATGAATTGGCCCGGGGAAGGTCGGTCGACTTGATTTGTAGCAAATCACCCGGCTCCAAAAGTAAGGTTTGCATAAGCTGGAAGACGCAGATGGTTGTCAGCACCCGTCGCTTTGGCTGGGAGAAACTACGGAGCTTACCCAGAATGGTAGATAGATCTTTCCCTCTTCGGCAATGAACTCCAGAACACCAGCATGTGTCATTCTCTCCTTGGCACCATTGTGAAGCTCAAAAAGCATCGGGTATGTGATATGGAGTCGAGTAAGCTTGTCCAAAGCACTTGGCGGCATGATGACTTTGCCACCATGGTTGACGTTCTCTCGCTCAGGACCGGGAAGCATGGCAACGGGATAGCACCGATAGTATTCATCGAAGCGACGGGGAGCTGCACCTGGCCGCATCATACTGCCACCGAGGACGCCCTCCATGGGGTCGTCCGGCCAATAACCAGGTCGAAACTGGGAACAGTTAGGCGGTGCGCGAATCAATAATCACATATATATAATTTTTTTGAGCTCACCATGATTCAAGGGAAAGATCTCAAGCTGGTCACCTCGTCAAGGTGGGGGACGGGTGCGTTGGCAATATCAGAGGATCAGTAAAGGATCAAGCTCTTGCAGTTGGCTAGTCACAGCTTAGCCAAAGCCGCGGATGAGTGACGCAAGTTGGCTCCGCGCTAATTTTCCGTTCCGTTCCGTCCCCAGGCGGAGCTGCAAACCAAACGACAAACACCTGGAGCTTGCCCAGACTCGGCGCATTCATTCCACGAACAACTTTGACAGGAAGCGCCTCGACGTTGTCATGGCCAGCACTCAACCTCGTCCGAAACGAGCAGGAGAGGAGTTCACGCGAACCCATCATGCACAAGATGACGACACAAGCCCGGACAGCAAGAAGCCTCGTTTCGACCTCCGTAATCCTTCCGCGCTTGCGCCTGATACACTCGACGAAGATCAATTTCTAGACGCAGACGAGATTGGAAAAAGAGGACAAAAAGTGCGCAGAAAGGCAGTCAATATCGACGGCTACGATTCAGACAGTGAGAACGAGGGGTTTTCGGCGCGCATCGAAAAGAAGTCCGAACAGAAGCGTCGACAGCATGACGCCGAGGACGATGATATGTTCGCGGAGTTACAGGATGACTTTGGTGAGGAGGAAATCGACGCGGATGAAGCATTGCGAAAGAACAAAAAGAACGTCCGTTTCTTGCGCGACGACGAGATCGAAGGCCAAGATGTGACCTCCAAAGGCGGAAAGGCTATGCATGCAGACTTGAGCAAAGGTCCCGATGAAATCGACGTTGACGAAGATGAGCAAAGTGAGAGCGATGTCGCGGAGGAAGAGCGCGCAAAGATCGACGAAGAAATCGACGAGGAGCTAGGTGCAGGCGCCAAAAAGAAAAACGCTCCATTGCTGGATGCCTTCAACATGAGGACGGAGCAAGAGGAGGGTCGTTTTGATGACCAGGGCAACTACGTTCGTAAAGCCGTCGACCCAGATGCTGTCTACGATACTTGGCTAGATGGTCTGTCTAAGAAGGACATTCGAAAAGCAAAGGAAGCCGCCGAGAAGCGCGAGGAAGAGAGAAAGGAGCAGGACCGCATCAACGAAAATATTCTCACAGCGGACGCCCTGAAAACAATAATCACACATCTTGAACGCGGTGAAACGATACTGGAGGCTTTGGCTCGACTCGGAAAGGGCCTGCAGCGAAAGCCCAAGTGGCAGAACAAGAAAAAGAAAATGAAGAACGTGGCCTCAGAAGATGCTGAAATGACGGAAGCAAACCCCGATGATGAACTCCGTAGAACAGCAATCGATGCTGTCACAGGAGCAGCCGACATTCTTATGGGCCGGGGTCAGCCCGAAATTTATGACACCGAGCGAGAGCTTTTGACACGGCAATATCGCAACGAAACCGGTGACGATTGGGTAGAGCCACCGGTGACATCGAAGGATGGCCCGTCAGAGGCCAACGCGACGATGTGGGAATTTCGATGGGCTGACGCTCGCGACGGTGGAAATCCCCATGGTCCGTACGACACTGCTACTATGGAATCCTGGAAGGACGCTGGCTATTTTGGAGAAGGTGTGGAATTTCGCCGGGTGGGAGACACCCAACAATGGAGTCAGTCACCAAATTTTGTTTGATGAAGTGAGGCTGTTAGAACAAGCTTCAACTTGATATGACGAACACGAATGAAACCGCACGAAGCGCCAAGCCTATCATACATCAGAAGATGTGGAACAAAGAAAGAAGCAAATAAACAATCAAGCGCCGGATCCTGCACATGTCTCTTGTATCGCTCAACCAATTGCGTAGATCTGCCTGGATGAAACCAAGGTCAGAGTGGAGCGTCCGATATCATTAAATTAGGAAATTTCCATGGCATCGCCGTTGCTAGGAGCTGAGAAATTGACAGCGCCGTGATCGCCAATGAACCGTTGCTCGTACTGATTCACGAATTTCACACTCCGTCCGGGATCGTAGAAGAGTTTGAAGCTGCGCTGGACGTCCTCAATACTGACCTCCTTCGCTTTGCGCTTCTGACTTAACAAATGCGAGGTAGTGATGATGTTGCTCGCATAACGAAGGTTTGACTCCTGCCCGATCTTCGTCAAGAGCGCGAGTGCATCCGGTGAGACGTCGATTTCCTCTTCCTGAGCACGGATTGCCAGAATCTGACGGATTTCGTCGGCCGAGTAAGGTTGTGTGCTCACAATGACAACGCGATCAAGGAAGTCAAGAGGAAGACCATGAGGAGATGTGTATGTGGTGCCGCGAATCTTGGCCTGGCCGCGATTGCTTGCCATGATAACGATGGGGGCAAGCTCTGCCTCGAGCGCACGGTTAATGTACGAGAAACATTCAATATCCAACATGTGGACCTCGTCGATGAACAAGACACCGGGAATGATCTCGGCTTTGCCTTCTTCTTTCCACTCGGCAACCTTTGTGTTGATTTGATCCCGGACCTCACTGCGGATCTCGCCAGTGTCTCCGGAGAAGAGAGCCAAAAAGCCTTGCGAGCGTGAATTGATCACATCAATCTCGTGCAAGCTGACAGTGTGAACAATCTCCTTGCGAACTTGCAGCTCACCCTCAGGGCATTGGACAAACTTGGTGTCGGCACCCATAGCATCGTAGTCGCGTGAGCGAGCGTACGAACGACCGAGTTTAGTGATCTTACCAGACGACTTGTCGATCGAGATGACATCGCCTGCCATCACACGCTCTTTGGTCATGGAGTCAATCATCTTAGTTCCCATGTCGTAAATCGTTTCCATGTCGGTGGTTTTGATCGTGAGCTTTCCTTGTTTATTGCCCTAGGCTTGTCAGCGCGTGCTCACACTCGATCGGAACTTTTTAATTCTTATAGCCTCACTCACACCAGTGACACTGCGATCGATTTGGATCTCAACAACTTCGCCCTCAATGATTTCGCTCTCCTCTTTGATTCTCACGCCAATTGACTTTCGGAAGGCCTGCGTAAGAGCTTCGGTTTTCGACATCTCCATTGAGAAAATCTCCGACGATGCCAGCATTGTAAATGGTACATCAGACCCAAGCGACTGAGCCATACCCATCGCAATAGCAGTTTTACCAGTGCTAGGGGGTCCTGCGATCAACATCGCGCGACCTGCAATCTTGCCCTCCTTGACCATCTGAAGAATGACAGCTGCAGCTTTGCGCGCTTTCTCTTGCCCAACAAGTCCCTGAGAGACACCGCGAGGTTGTAGAGAATCGGCATCGACACCAAGACCGCGAATGTGTGAATGGGCCGCAATAAGATTGAGACCGCGGAGCTCCTTGCTTTCCGCGACGGTGGAAATTGGCTGATGAAAGGCTCATCCGTCAGCGTACGTATACATGTGTGAGATAGTGCGAGACTTACCACAGCCATTGTGAAATACTTTGTTGCGAATGTGCCTTCGCTGAATCTGTCGGTATAACTGGAATCCAAAAACGTAACAGAGCTCCTCCGAAGAATTGAGCCACCGCCGCGCGGAACCTTCGCCCCTCACCGCCCGGCAATTATCTCTCAAAGAAAAGGTTCTTGCCTGGCCAGTCGATTTGACATTCAATACAGTACGAGCTAGAGACCTCTGACCGAATATTCTCGGGTGTGTTCATCAGTCAGACGATTTGAGAAAATCTGCGCTGTTTCGGCTGGTTCGCTTCAATCTTGCTTGGCTGAATTTCACGTCGAATATCTAGCGGCTTCACGCACACTGCAAGTCGCGGTAGTATCGTGAGCTCAGCTCATCTGAGACTGGCTGCTAGGCCTCGAAAACTGCGCGAACTTGGGACCTTTGCTGTGGGAGAAGAAACGTACCTTCTACACATGGAAAATCCCTGAGGTACCCGGTAGAGAAGAAAATGAAGCCAGTGGACACACCTCCAGGACCAAGTTTTTGCTCTCCATAATGGATAATGCTTCGACTTATTCAGGACACTCAAACCAAACGTCAAGTGCCAAGTCCTGTCAAGGAGATCCTCGATTACGCCGCGCGACTCAGAGACCGTCCATGAATGCCTTTCACAGCCCATTCGCATCGCAGGTTGCGACTCCAGCAGAAACGCCCAATACGTCTCTTGCCTCCGACTGCGCCGGACAGAACACCGATCAAGCCCAGTCTCTGGGGCGTATGAAAAATAGCGAATGGACTTCGGCCCCTGGAGCTCTGCGCGATTGCACTTTACAGCCAAACTCCCTGGCGTCAATCTTTCTGGAGCTTTCAGGTCTTGCTGCTACAAAAGCCCTACACGAGAGAGAAAAGGAGGCATTACTGGAGGAGAACGTCTCCATCAAACGGCGCCTTGAAAAGGCACAATCCAGGGACGCATTCCCAATCATAATCGAGAATGCGCAGGCCGAGGAAGCCAATTCGAAGTTCAAGTTGCGAAAAGTGCAATCTAAGATAGACGAAGCAGAGACGGCGCGACGAACCGTCGCGGTCTCTCTGAATGAGTCTTTACGCGAGCTCTCTTCCAACAAACCAGGATCAGACTCCAGCTTAGCTCTCGTCTCTCATGTTGCTCCTGACGAGGAGAACAGGGTCGCGATGCTCGAGGCAGAGAATCGAAGAATTAAGGCCGAGTTACAGGAAATAAAAGATCAGATGCTGCAACAACGTCTGAAGACAGACGCCGCGTCGCCAGCTTCCATCTCGAAGCTTGAAAAGTCCGTTGAAAATCAGGTCGTGAGTAACCAAATGATCAACAAAAAGTTGCGAAGACTAGAAGAATGGAGAGAGAACATGGAGGGCGGAAACGAAAGACATGGCATGACATTGTCAGGACACTCTATGAATCTCGACTCGCTCCAACATGACGTGAAAGCGGCCGACGGAAAGGCCGTTGAGGCACATAGGCGCGCGGAGGCGTTGGGTGATCGCCTCACTGTCATTCAACGCGAAATTACGTCCCTACGAACCTCGATCGATCTTTACTCTCCTTCTCGCCAAGATTTTGAGAAGACCATGAAAGCCGCGGAGTCAATTCTACAGCAAGTTCCAGACATTACCGCGAAAATTCAAGCGTTGGACTCTCGATTCATGGCATTCAAGCAAAGCCATGATGGTAAGATTCATCAGCTTGCAAGCGATATTCGCACGGAAGAGGTCGCGGCCAGAAACTCTCAGAGCAACGCTGCCTCAAAAGGTCGTCTTCCTGATGATGTCAAGAACGCCGTCGAGAACCTTGAAACCAGCCATAAATCATTACGGAATACCGTGAATAAGCTGCTCTTGGACATGCCGCAAGTGCACAAGTGTCTGGCTATGCAGGAGTCCATAGTTGCCGCTGTGCGCTCTTTGGAAAATCGATACTCCAACATCAATTCCGAAAACTTGGTGAAGAACATGGCCTCTGCCATGACAGAGATGTATCCTTGTATGCCGCAAGCCTTGGAACAGCTTCATCAGCTCAAATCTTATTGTACTCAGGAGATATCTGCACTCAGGGCCAATGAAAAGAGACTCCACGCGTCAGTCGATTCGAGATTCGAGCAGGCTCAGACGGGCCTCGATGCCAAGCTCCTCCATCTTCAGAAAAGTGTCAATCAGCTCAGCGATAGTCTCAAAGAGCAACTTGAAGACACCTGGGAGTTCAAGAACAAGTTTCAGACCCACGCGGACGCTTTTTCTGAACTCGCCGAATTGATTCCGGAAGCCCAGGGGCAAGCGGAGAAGATGAATGAAGCTTTGACGAACTTTGGCAAAATTTCTCAACAGGTTCTTAAATTCGAGGAATACGTGGCGAATGAGGAGGCCAAAAACGAGACACTTGACCAACTATCGGAAAAGCTACAAGCATTATCACAGAGTGTCAACTCTTCAATGTCGAATCACATGAATGACAGCGCCCGTCTCTCCGATCAAATCGATCATCTGACCGCCAACTATGAAAATCTCGAGGCCAGTCTCAAGGCACAACATGAAATCATCAGCGTCGAGCAAGGCAAGCGCATGGCCGAGTCTTCGCGGATTGACCATATATGGAAACAAATCAAGCTTGAAATTGAGAATCGGAAGGAGCCCGATCAAGTTTCCGAATTGTCCATGAAGCTGGAGTCTCTTGTATCCAACGTGCGCTCTTTGCAGACGAGACTGGACAATGAGATGAAGGTAATCATTGAGCGCTTGGAACACTCGGCATCTGCCGGTGAACTTGGCGCGTTCAAGAACGACGCACTTGCTCGGTTTGAGAAATTGGCAGCGATACTTTCCGCGACATGCAGCGATCCATCGTCCCCAGGGGAGCAACAGACAACTAGCCCACCATCGGGCCGGTTGCTGATTTCGAACGGCGACGGCATTGATTATCGGATTCTCGGCAGTGCGGCTCGGAACAGTGAGCGGGAGCAATGGTCAGGCTCTCCTGTTCCGCCTCCCCCACGTGCAGAGGTTGGTGACTATGAATCTGTTAGCTCAGATGACGTTATGGAACAGGAGGAAGTGTGTCCCTCATCCCCCTCTGCAAGCGGGAACAACGCCTCTGTGAGGAAAGCAGCCGTGGATATGCCAATAGCAATGCGGATCTCAGAAGAAGGTCGGGCATGGTTCAGAAAGGATCCCCATAGCCCTACTTCAAATGGATCGCCATCTCCCAAGACATTCAAATCCGAGCCCAAATCGTCAGCACTCGCTGGCGAGAATGCTGTATGGCGCGCTGAATCTGGTCCGTCCAGAAAACGTCCTCGTCGTAACACCCTTTCAGATGACGGACATCGGTCTGGGACATCTTCGACTTTCCGCCCATGGAAAGGCGTGGGTGCCTCAAACGAGAGCGAGGCTGCAAGGTTGAAGAAGCAAAGGAAGAAGGAGAAAAGAGAACGCAAAGAGCAGCGAAGAAGACAGAAAGCTTTGACAAAATGATTGATCGACGACCACTTCTTTTTGTCGGCGCGTCGATTCGGGTTCTTTGAGAAGCGTGTTTGTTATTTCTATGTTATCCTCGGGCGCCTTATACCCACAGCGTTGCTGTATCAACACATGTTTATTTTACAAATACATATGAGAACCAGAAGTTATGTCTACCTCGTATTGGTACTTACCGTGTTCTTGGGAGGGTAGCATTTCACTTAGGACGATCTGATGAATTTGAGCACCGCTACACGAATCATTAACACCGCGTCTGGCTTGATCTGCTATGAACGCTGAAACATACCTTGTCGGAATCCCTCTGGGTTCTCTGAGATTAGCCAATGTCCCGCCTCCACATCGGCAATTTGCGCGTTCGGGAAGAACTGCTTGATTGCAGGCATGGTCTTGTCCGAGACATAGCGGGATCTTGTGCCTCGGACAAACAACGTAGGACCGTCATATCGCTTCCCCTCGGATGCGGAGAACGGGAAATCCGCCATGTTATCGAGAGCGTCACCGATGACGGACAAAGGCACACGGAACTTGAGAATGTTGTCATCCGAGCGAACGAGATTCGTCAACAGGAACTGACGTATTGGAAGAGACTGAGAGTTTCCAACGTCAACGCTTTCTGGTCGATGTTGAGCCTAGTTACCCTGAATTTGGTCTTACCTCCTCGTATTCTTTCAAGATTTTGTCTGCATCTGATTGCTTGGAGACTTTTGCCTCCTCTACCTTTTGCATGCCACGGACATACTTGGGAAAGTCGCTCTTCAGAGCAGCGTTGACAGGGGCATTGTCAACGGAAATCAGCGCGGAGACGCGCTCTGGAGATTGAAGTGCCACCGTCATGACGACCTTTGCGCCCCTATTGCACCTCTAGAGTCAGATGTAGGACAAAAGGTGGTTCAGGGGGACGAAAGTACACCGGCAAAAGGACGACTGCACCACATTCGTGATGTTCATACTGTTTGATCAGGTACTTTTCGCTTGTGAGAACTTACATAGAGTGGCCAATCAGTACGGATTTCTCAAGTTTCTGTTGGTCCATGAACTCTTGCACATCTTCGGCCATGGCACTATAGTTGTGCTCCGGTGCATGGAACGAATCTCCATGATTTCGCAAGTCCTAACACATGGTCCATTAGCATCTTGCGCTTTGCCCGCTGGGTCGCTTTGCAAACTCTAGCCAGGTAACCGCAAGCCGGGTCATACCAAATTGTAGATGCGACATTTCAAGTCGCGAGCAAGAGCCCTGTACATGATGATCGTAAGCACTGTGTCGTTCTGTATCTGCATCCCAGGAGTCATTTACTTGCTGATCGTTCGGTTGTTCTGCTTGGAACCAAACAGTCCATGGAGAAAGACGATCGGATCCCGTTGAACCGCCTCGTTTTCAGGGCCAAATACTTGGAAAGCCAATTCTCTGCGGGAGACGCGAGCTGTGGAAAAGGCACGCAGGCCGATAGGAGCGTAAAAAGATATACGGTTGAGCATCATTCTGCCGAGGGCGTTGCACCGCTTCTTAAAGACAACAATCGCTCGATCTGTACAATTATAGACCCATCTCTTGTTGACGCTATCGGTTGGGATCCTCAAGTTGTGATAATCGTGATTGGTGCCTCGTCAACCTGAGGCCTCCACACGGGGCTTAGGTGACTAAGGATGTTTATACCTCCACTGGTCTTGTCCAATAATGCGTCGATTAGCAGGTTCCCAAAGGTACGGGTCGCGTACGAGATCACGTGATCGCTTGGGTCATGTTTATTCCCCGTGGAAGATGTCAGTGACGTCATCCCCAGAGGACCCCATGGAGAATTCAGGCACATCTCCGAGCCCGCATCGCCTGTTGTAGAAGGCTCGAGCTCCTTATGGACATAAGAGAACGTCGGAAATAAGAAGGTTGGTCATATGACCACAGCACCATCTCTTCGTCCCCTTTGTTGCCTTAAGAACTGCAGGTGGACAATTTTGTCGATAGTCAATGCAATACATTCGTCACTTGAATGATTGTTCCCGCAGGATGGACATTTACGGTTGCTGTGATAAAAGAAATTGCAAGGTGAGGGGAAACTGGAACGGGTTGATGAGATGACGCTTTCTACTGCATCTCCAGTTGGTCCGAAGAAATTGTGATGACATCGAGGATGACAAATACACTATAAGTACTAAGGTACCATAAGTATCCACGGCACCTTAACTATGATCTCCTTCCTCCTGGTGTGAGAGTAACTTGCCCTTGGTGACAGAAAGCTGGGTAGCTCCAATTGTTTTCGAGCCTCATTATCGAAAAGTTAGATCATCTTATCATATCTGTTGTTGTCATTCTTGCCATCGCGATAAGAGGATGTCGTCCCACGTAGAGCCTTACACTATCTCCGTACCGGAGGCGGATCTCGACGACCTCAAACAGCGCCTTCAGTTGGCAAAATTCCCGTCTCAGCTGGAGTGTGCATCACCAGAACAGGACTCATGGGAGTTCGGCGTACCGAGCAGCGAAATACAGCGGATCGTCAAGTACTGGAAAGACGGCTATGACTGGCGAAAGGCCGAAGCCCATCTCAATGAACTGCCACAATACCACACGGACATAGAAGTCGACGGCTTTGGCGCTTTGGACATTCACTGTGAGTTTATCCACTTGATATTGAGAATAAAAAAAAAGCGTTCTTGCACTTTTGGCCAACGCTCGCAGTTATCCACCAGACCAGCTCAAAGGAGGGCGCCATTCCTCTGCTTTTCAGCCATGGATGTGAGTCGATTTCTCCTCGCTGTCAAACGCGCAAAGTTACTAAACAAAGCAAAAGGGCCGGGATCGTTCATCGAAGTGACGAAACTTCTGCCTCACTTTGGTGGCTCGGGAGACTATCCCGCATTCACCATCGTCGCCCCGTCATTGCCGAATTTTGGATTTTCTTCCGGTGTAACTCGGCGTGGTTTCGGTCTGAAACAGTACGCCGAAACATGCCACAAGCTCATGTTGAAGCTCGGATACAGTCGATATGGTGAGATTTCGCTTTCATCTCTGCAATTTGACGGACGGCGTTGTTCACCACCGTCTTCTACAGTGACCCAAGGTGGAGATTGGGGCTACGCGATTACCCGGGCCATGGGCCTTCTCTACCCCGAAAGCTGCAAGGCTTCTCACATCAACATGGTGGTGACAGAACCTCCGAGCTGGTACAACAGCCCCGGCTTGGCTTTGAAGCACGCCCTGACACCTTATACCAAAAGAGAACAGGCAGGATTAGAGCGATCCCAATGGTTCCGTCGAGAAGGGTACGGATACAACTTTCTGCAAAGTACAAAGCCGCAGACGATCGGAACAGCACTGGCAGACAGTCCGGTCGCGCTACTTACGTGGATTCTGGAGAAGCTCCACGACTGGACAGACTCTTATCCCTGGACAGATGATGAGATTCTTACTTGGATCTCAATCTATTGGTTCTCCAAAGCCGGACCCGAGGCCAGTGTCCGAATCTACTATGAAGCAGCACACCCTGAACCTGTCCATGGAGTTCCGTATGAGCAGTTCAAGACATACATCCCTGGTGTCAAGCTGGGGGTCGGCCATTTCCCCCGAGAAATCTCGATAGTGCCGTCGACGTGGGCTTCGGCCTTGGGTCCTGTGGTGCAACAGACCGAGCACGACAAGGGAGGCCATTTTGCAGCCTGGGAAGTTCCCGAAGCGATCGTTGAGGATTTGCGGGCAATGTTTGGGAAAAACGGTCCCTGCTACGGACTTCTTTAAAAGGCGTCGGGTCAGTTGTTTTCTGGGGAAGAACGTCTAAGTATGCAAATCGCGCCAAAAATACCATCAACCGTAATTACTAGATGAGCGGTGGCCTACAGGTTGGGTGCAAGCACCGAGGAGCACGAATACATGTAGGTTATGGGCTTGTCGTGTTCACTCCCATATTCAAGGGGCATACTCCATCATTCGATAGGCATTCGTTCACAAATCAGGGTCTAGTTTGATGGAGATGGGGAGCGAAGTTCATGTCAAGTTTCTAGGCTCAATGACTATCGGATAGTAGTTCGCTAATCAATGTTCCTTCCAATAATCAGCTGGCTCCAGCGCTGTGTCTTCTTTCGAGAATATGACGAGACTGAATTGAATTAAGGCTTCACTGCGTCCCTTGCTTGGACTACTTCAATTAATTCAGCTGTCCACTTCCAACGCTTTGAGGATAGGCGGGCCAAGATTACTTCTCGCGAATAGAATGCAGCGTCGCAAGATGACAAACATATCTGCGCCACGCTATGGCGCTGAGAACTAGCCCAGCTCCACCCAACCCTTGCTGAGTCGACTGTGCTGTTGACGATCGGGTTGCCATATCTACCAAACTGTAGAGGCTTGCGCCACGGACGTCGGACAAAAACAAGTCTTCAAGTTCCATTGTTACTAGCCTGATTTCTCTCGTGAGTGATCAACTTCCCTCATCCATACTTGATCAATTCATGCAAAACAACTCCCGAGCGACAGATCCGATCGAAAAAAAAAACAAGAACAATGATGTGCAAGGACCGCACGGAAAATGCCATGGACCACATGGGAGAAATAGACTATACAATATACATAATTGATCAGCAGTAACTTCCCATTCTGTAATTCAAAAAAAGCTCTTTCAAGTCCGTGCAGTCGTTGACTGACGGCGTTCAGCTTCCCAGGTTGGCAATGGGCCGCGAGAGGGGGGATCCTTTTCTGATACGTCTCCGGATGCTTCAACTTGTCTTCCATTTGGTGCCGTGATATACCTGCTACGGTCATATTAGCCGAATCCATGCAATATTGTACCATTAAGTATTATTCTTGCGCCTGTCATGTCCACCCTCGGAAACATCTTTGAGTGCTGACTGTGTATGATCTGCGATCGAACCCACCCGGCCTGAACCCGGATTCCTGGTCACTGCTTCGAAGTAGCTTGCAGTTTGCCTGGTCGCCAAGGACCAGGCAAAGCCACAAATGGGGGACTATGACAACCCTACCACCATGCCAGTGATTGTTTTATCAGCATGTTCTTTTCCATCCCGTACTTTTGCGAGGATTTCACACCTCGGGGTAATCGGAGGGGTTCCGCCTCATGAGTGTATTTGCTCACAGTCCGGATTTCCATCAAAGCCAAGTCCCTTGCGGAGATTATGAAGCACTCGGCAAATATTCAAGTGCCTTGCGATTGGAAATTGGACTACACATGGGTGGCGTACTCGACACTCCCACTCAATGCACTGTGGACGGAGTCCTGAGAATGCGACGAGCGGCTTCTCCGAGCTCCTTCTCTGATTTAATCTCCTCATCTCTCCCGCGTCTTCAGAGCAGATTCGCTCAAATTCAACTTCCTATCAGCATGCAAGTCGATCCAAATCAAAACAAACCAGTATATGTGCATAGTCAGATTGTTCGCCACGGCGAGCTAGGCTGCTGATACATGTAACTACCGAATGTGACGTATCGACAAGGTGCAGGCGGACGGTTCCACCACAATTCTTGAACATCCCCTGTACGAACCGCAATAGAAGAAAGAAAAGTTTGATAAGTAGCCCAAGGTCAATGTGCACAAACATCAAGTCTGCAGTACAAGCTAAAGTTTTTTTTTCTTTCCCACAAAGTTTGTCTTTTTGACTTTCCTCATCTGCGAAATCCATCCCACTGGGTGCCAATCTATCTTTCCGGCCGGCCTGTTCGCCAATATAACAGAGGTCCTGAAATGACACGTCCAGAGCACTACCTCAAATTCGTTCTTGAGTCTTTCGTATAAGACTTTCTGCCTGGGACTTGCTTAGATCACGCTCAAGTGATTCCAAATACTCCAGTGGGGACAATTCCAAATCATTCTTTGATCACGTTCTCCTCGTTGCTGCGATAGTGACTCTGTGGCCATGTCCTCATCAACGCAATCCACCGGTCATACCTGGACCGAGGGCGACTTTGAACATCCGAATCAGGGAATTCGTCATCGCCTGATTGTGGCTCTTGTCTTTGCTTTCACATTACCTACTCTCGCTGTCGGCCTGCGCCTTTGGGCCCGAAGAATTACCGGGAGTAGGTTATTCCTGGACGACTATTTGATCATTGCTGCATTAGTAAGATACCGCCAATCATGGGGCCATCTCGCAAATACCCTAATCGTATCTGCTGCAGATATTCAAGTATGGATGTTCGACAGGCTCTGCCGTTTGTGAGTTGCAACCTTTGTTCGAATCTGCTCTCAGATCAATGACGAAGCTAACTGAAAGTGATAAGTGCTGTCAAATGGCTTGGGCTCACACATCCAGACTGTCCCCAAAAGTAATCTGGAGACATTCTTCAAGGTAAGTTTACACAGCTGCTCCTCCTATTCCGGGACACCCACCAATGGCATCGGTAATTGACTCAGTCTTTCCTTAGGTTGGCTGGGCAAATCCATTTGTATACACTACGAATGTGATGTTGATCAAACTGTCCATTTTGGCTCTGTACCGACGACTATTCTCAACCAAACTCATGGCGTTCGGCGTTTACACTATGAGTATCTTCGTCGTCCTGTGGACGGTCAGCATCTGTGTTGCCGCCACTTTGAACTGCATTCCAGTGGCTAGATTCTGGGATCGTTCGCTTGCCGGGGCTTGCATTGACCCTGACAAGTTCTACTACGGGGCGCAGATCCCCAATATTGTCTCTGATGTCATCCTACTGCTCATGCCACAGGGGTTGGTATGGTCGCTGCCTGTGGCCAAATCTCAGAGGTTGCTCCTTTCATGTGTGTTCATGGTGGGCGGACTGTATGTGCACTATTCTTGAATTGGTCTGTGGTGGGAAAACATTGCTGACCCCATCACCTGAGTTAGGGCTTTGATTTTCGACATTGTCCGTTTAGTAGCCATGCTCAACTTGACAAAACAAGGCGATGATATTACTTGTAAGTTCCTGCGAAGCTCTTCATACCACCCTGTCTCCATCATTGCCATCTTCTAACAAATGTCGAAGACAATCAAATGCCCGTCGTGATGTGGACGTGCACCGAAGCCGGCGTCGGTATCATCGCCGCATGCTTACCAAACCTTCGTCCGTTGTTCTCAACCAAAGGTAAAGGCTTCTGGTCCGTACTACGGTCTTCCCGCCGCGGTTCACGCGGCTCATCTAAGGGGTATTTGAAGAGCGGGAACAGCGCGACCACGAATTCTAGCGGAGGGCGAAGCTCCGTCAAGGGTCCGGTCGATTCTTGTGTCGCAGAAGAGGGAATCGAGATCCACAGCTATAGCAAGATTGTTGGGGAATCGGGAAAATAATGATTTTTGGTGGAGTAGTGGAACTGGCCGATCAACGGTAATCCATGGAGAGGGTTGGCTCAAACAAGGAGTCGGTGGAAATAGCTCCAGCTGGACCGTGAAGGCGACACCCGCGTCGCCTCAGTATATATTCGCCTTGTGTCCTTCATTGACCTAATCTTAATATGCCCATAACCACGAGAATCATCCTTGTACATGTAGACGTACATTTTATTTGCCTTTGACAACAACCACCTTTCGAAGGTCAATGATCGACGTGGGACCTAGGTATCCATTCGTCAACTCCAATGATCAAGGTCTATCAGACAGTGTCAAATGCTTGCAACTAGCTACTCCACATCGAGCATGAGAGTGATGGAATCAGCTCAGCGTCCCATACTCATGGATGGCGCCGCATGCTTTGACTCGGTCATCTTCAAGAAATAGCCACCTGTAAGGCTCTTCACGGGATTTATTCAAGATCACTAGCAGTAAAATTTGATTACTCTAATAATCTCAAACCTTTGAATCCATATCCGCATCGTGGACATTCACCCATAATGAAGTTTATCTTTGCAGGGAGTCAACCGGATGATGTCATTGTCCATCCAACAAGCAATCCGGAAACAAGCCGGATACTGCAATGAGAACGCACACTTCCCCTTCAAAAGTACATAAGGCAAGCGTTCGCGATGGGCGCAATGATAGACGAGGTATGGATGTCTTGCAAATAAGATTCCTGCTTCAGGTTCTCCTAATTCACTGACTTCCAGCAGCCTCGGACCGCAGTTTAGATCAGAGTCCGAGCGCTAACGGAGATAAATCTTAGATCCGCATACCTCCACGCTGGACCGCGCCCCGGCGGCACAACAACATGCTGAAGATTGAAGACATCACGGACCTAATACTTCCATGGCCCGACCGTAATTACGTAGATTGATTTGGGAGTGATAAGTGCCTCAACCGCTCGGAACTCAATGTCTCCGGACTATTTTAGAGACATTCAACAACACATTTCTTGAACGCATTATCGTCTTTCAGCTGCGCGACCTCGTCTCAACTAGCCAAACATGGCTCACAATCGTATCAAGAACGTTGCCATCGTCGGTGTAGGTCTCTAGGTCCTCAGCCTTATTCGCTCGAACGTTTCCTTACTTGAGGATGATCGATTACACACACATAAAGTCTAACGTTCGGTACCTAGGCGACGGGTCACTGCGGTCAATACATGACGCAAGCCATTCTTGACGCCGGAAAACACACGTTGACGGCTCTGACTCGGGCTGAAAGCGAAGCTCAAATTCCATCTGGAGTGATTCGCAAAGTCATCGATTACAACAAGGCAGAGACCATCACTGAAGCTCTCAGAGGTCAAGATGCCTTGATCATCACCTTGCCAGGCCTTGTCCCCTTTGAGACCGAGGTGGCTCTGATGAAAGGCGCAAACGAGGCAGGCGTCCGCTGGATTTTGAATGACTGGGGTGTGGACAGCGTGAACGAAAAATTAGTTGAAGATGTTTCCGCTTTTGAGAAGAAAGGTGAGTGGGTGATGGAATGGCCGCGGCGGCCATGTAATTGAACCAGTTGGGCATTTGGTTAGCACTAACTGAGATTTTACTGCTACAGTGAATGTACGCAAGGTCTTTCAAGAGCTGGATGACTGCAACTATATCAGCTTATCGACTGGTTTCTGGTATGAATGGAGCTTGTCATCCGCTATGGCATTCGGAATCGACTTACTCAATCACTCTGCTACATTATTTGACGAGGGAGAGACTCGAATCACCGTTTCTACATGGCCCCAGGTACGAATTCCCAAGATGAAACCCTCTGATGGCTCACAGTTTGACAGTCTTCACAGGTCGGTCGGGCAGTCGCAGGTATTCTGAGTCTACCAATCAATGCTGAGGGCTCTGGAAGCTGTTTGGAAGACCTAAAGAACAAAGTCTTATACCTGCGGTCTTTCACCGTCAATCAGCAAGAGATGCTCGAGTCTGCATGTCGAGTGACGGGAACGAAGAGGGAGGATTGGAAGATCACTAGAGAGCCGTCCAGCAAACGGTATGAGGAGAGCAAACGCCAGATGCAGGAAGGGAATTTCGAAGGATTTGTGAAGATGATGTACACCCGAGTTTTCTACCCCGATGGCTGTGGAAATGTCGATCACAAGGGAACGGTGAACAAGCTTCTCGCTCTCCCGGAAGAGGATCTTGATGCGGCCACAATGGCGGCTCTGGAAAGAGCAAAAGCTCAAGCCTGAGCGATGATATCACGGCATGAATGATGATAAGTAGTCAAATTATCGATCGCGAAAACCGAAATCTCGTGTCTTGAATAGGAGGTTCACATGTACATGACTTGCCAACAGAATATATACGGAAAGGCAACGCTCCTTAATCCATTCAAATCACCCGAAACTTGGGAACAAAGTCGCCCATTTCTTCCTATCAAGCCCAGAGCGCCAGCTCAAACGACATTTCAGATTTGATCTCCATGAAAGAACGTCAAGATGACAGATCAAATTTGTCAAGTTAAAGTCCATCTTCAAAGAAGCCGAGTGATTCTTCAATTGCAACAATAGCTGGAAACTGAGCCTCCTCCTCGCCCCTATCTTTGTTTCGTATCTTCTTTCGGTGACAGGTCCATCAGCATTCTCGTCTGGCCAGTCATGCCAATGATTTGAGTACGGCCGATCGACCACTTTACCTAAGGCCTCGGCAACATACTTGTCTTGCAACCAGTGAAGGTTCCACGCTACCTTTTCAACTAGAGCACCAAAGGACATGAGTCCAGATCCTCGACTCTGCATTTTCTGAACCCAAAAGCGTGCCAGAGGCTCGGGATATGACTGTACGCTTAGGTGAGGCTTGTGAAGACTGGTAATTGTCTCTTCCAGCGTCGTGAGCGCCACTGTTGTCATCATCCTGGAAGGCAGGTATGGTTGTCCTTTACGAGCTCACGCAACAGTCTGGGCTTGAGAGCTTGCGCTGACGGTGTCGGGCTAGGTTGGGAGTAGAAAAGCGGACAGGAGTCTCCTAATGATTCGGCAGGCGCCAGAAGCGCGAGGTTGTACTCTGAGTGAGAGAGCGAAGCAGAATAATACTCGCGCCAGACAAAAGGGGGTAAAGGATCAAAGTGAGTATGGCAGAATTTCAAAGTCGGAGAATGAAGGAAATTCACCTTCAAGTACCACATTGCACTGGTAGATACCAGCTATAATCTGTGAGAGGTGTTCTATCTAATTGAGCTCCTCAGTAGCGCCCAATCTCGCAACGCGCTAGTTCTTACTGTTTCATTTGGTAACAGGAGAGTGGAATGATTTTCAACGCGTCGTCTGGGGATGAGAATTGATAGCATGGATGCTACTAGTCCCGAGCGTTGTTGCTCTTTGGTTTGAGGGGATTTTGGGAGAGCGGAAGTTTGAGGTCGAAAGGAAATTTGTGTGTTCTGAACCCTCATTCTCCTTTCGATCTATGCTTGAGCCAGTAGCGAGAACGATTCTTGTAGCAGCGCGACAAATTGTTCGAATGGCATGTGATACTGCTGTCTCACCGCAGTCCATCGCCTCGATAGAATATTTCCTCGCTCGTTAATCTCACCCTCATCCATCTCTCACATCGTGCAGCTGCATCTCCTGTTGTTGTATCCCATCACAAATTTTCGTCCATAATTAAAGCAGACTTGTGTCCCCAATGACCTCGACTTGTCCTTTCTGTTGGTTCAGTTCATGCTTGACACCGACCGATCGTGCCAGAGGAAGGGTTCGGGTCTACTTGGCTCAGATCTGAATATATTGACCTTAACTCAGTACGAAATTCTGTACTGTAAGCAAACCACCAAAGTCTTGGTGTAAGCAGTACTCGAAGTCCTCTCTGCCAAGTGAAATCCCTAGGGTGACCCCTCATGAGGGTCAAAAAATGCAATGGCAAGATAGTGTCGTTAAGGTCCCGTTCGGGGACTAGCTCAGAACAGGCAGTTTTGTCCAGCCATGTGAGGCGCTCTCGCTCTTCGACATTCTATGGAACGTTTTATTTTACCCAGAGACCATGTTACTAGGTTTCTTGAATCTATCGTAACCCGCAGTTTGCATGGCATTGGCAACGGTCGTCTAAAGCAGCGACAGAGAGATCATTCACAAGTGAGTAGGTGTTCCAGCATGGATCCCCCAGACTGGCGAGCAATGTTCGGATAGGCCTATCTACGTCAAATTTTATCAGACAAGATTCTTGGGCAGCAAATTGCCCAGGCTCCTCACTTGCCGTTTACGTTGACACTCGGACCGGAAGAAAAGGTGGGAAGTGAGCAGTGGTGTTTGAACACCATGATGCGCCATTGATTACTAGTACACATCACTGAGAAATATCGACTAGTCTTCCAAAAGAGGCGGGACCTTTTCGCATAGGTACTCAACAATCGCATCCGGTCCTCGCTCGACCTGCAGACCTGTGGGAATGGCATGCAACTTGATACCCGGCACGATTGATCGAGCAATCTCATGGATCCGCTTAGCCTCTTCATCGGTCCACATGGATGCACTGAACTGGTGAGGTTGTTAGTATCAAGTTCATTCGAGCCGGAAAGCCCGGCCATGGGCACCGGAGGGCCGAGTGACTCGGATAATCCGAGAAGCGTGGGTGCCAAGACTCACAAGCACCTCGGGCTGATGTTGCTTGACCTTGGTCTCCACCTCGTCGATGGCTGACAAAAAAATTTAGCTTTGTTGAACAGATCCAGGAGTTGAAGAAGCAAAGTGCATCACAATTTGGGGGGGGGGGCTCACATTCGCAGTTGTCCACGTGGATGATTGTATATCGGTCTTTGAGATTCTCTGCGACGCGCCCGATCAAGCGCTTGGCCCGCTCGGGTGCCGTATTGACAGTGACTAGATGGAAGGGACCTTTGGGAGACGCCATTGTGAGTGGAAAAGAGAGCAAAAAGTAAATGTTGCAAAGGAAGTGTGTTGAAGTCTCATGTGGCGAGACGGAGGCTATTTGATTGTCGCAAAGTCAAGCGCATCAACTGACAACAATGCTGGACACGGGTCCTCCGAACCGCTTGAAGAGCCTCTCCACAAGTGTTCCACCGGTTGTCCACGTCGGAACCATCCACCTTTTCTATTTTTGAGGTCATATTTGTGGGAGCTGGCCCCGCACAGTCTCGGCTTTTCTCACACTGCGATGAACGGCTCAAGTACCGAGCTCCGACAGCGGCATGCCTCCGTCGTGGGGTATCGTGGGGGGTAACTAGAAATACTCTTCCATATCACCACCGGATATCTTCGCCCAAGTCAAGTGAGCCCAATTGATTCTGAAACATATAACCAGAATGTCTACGATCGCTTCAACATTCTCGCGTACGTTTGACCTTCGAAATTTTGCAATGTGGCATCATTAATGGAGCTAATGATTGCTCTCAGGTTTGGTGCGATTCGTGCCCAAGTCCAACCCATCGAAGATCTTGATCGGCGAGCCTGTAGATGCTGCACTGGACGTCGGACGGGCTGTCTATCAGGGCAAAGAGGTGTTTGTTCGCCCATTCTCGGGCTCATCAGTGCTCGAGCCCGGACAAGCCACGGGCACGACTGAGACCATCGAACGGATTCTTTCCCCTTTGTCACAAAAAGAAGTCGGATCCATTCGATGTGTTGGTCTGAATGTGAGTGATATTTACACTCTCGTCCCTACGTTTTGACACTAAAGCGTCAGAGACACCACTCTAACACATGGACATAGTATGTCTCTCACGCCAAAGAAATGTCACTTGACATTCCAACGGTGCCCACACTTTTCATCAAACCATCGACATCACTAGCCGACCCATTTCCTGCCCCAACAGTACTGCCAAAGATCACCCAACAAGATGGTACGGGTGACTACGAGTCAGAAATGGTCATTGTTATTGGCAGAGATGCCAAAGATGTGCCTGAATCCGAGGCGCTCGACTATGTTCTGGGCTACACAGCGGCAAATGACGTGTCCAGCCGTACGAGTCAGATGAACCAAAGCCAGTGGTGCTTTTCGAAGGGCTTCGATGGCTCCTGTCCCATCGGTGAGATCTTCGTGACTGAATGCGATACGCTGCACTTGACTAACCTCGGTACTCTCAGGCCCGACTTTGGTGTCTGCTGCTCTGATGCCAGATGCTACCAAATTTCATATTCGCGGTCTGAAAAGCGGCCGTGTCATGCAAGACTGCCCTTTAACGTATGTTTGGTCGAATTGCTCATCCAATTTATCCTGTCATTGTTGACTGTGTCTTCATCTGCAATATTGCGTATACTGACAAATGATCCCGCCTTTTTATAGTGATCTAATCTTCAATGTTCCCCAGCTCGTCAGCTTCCTATCTCAGGGGACTACGTTGCCGGCGGGTACGATCATCCTCACTGGAACCCCGCCCGGCGTCGGAGCTGCAAAGAGTCCAAAAGAGTTCATCAAAGCCGGTGATGAATTTGCCGTTGAGCTGCTTCCCCACGTTGGCACTCTGATCAACAAGATTGAGCATCAATGAAGTTGATCGTGGAACACTCGGTATCTTGTGGGCTATAAGTCCAACTCGGCTAGTGTGTCCAAGGCATTCATCTCTTTCTTGCTGTGTTAGTAGTAATAGGTGGCTACTTGGCCCTCGTGTGTACAAGGCGCACTGTATCTCCATGGGTGCTTATTATCAGATGGCAAATTATAGCGGGCGGAAGAGCCCTGAGCCATGCACGTTCTGTCTATGATTTCGAATCCATCCGAAAAGGGTTTTCCGACATGACAATTTAGCGTAGATGACAATTATTCTTTGAGCTGATAAGATCAGCAACTCCACTCAATACCCTCGAATAATCCTAGAACCTGACTACCTTGAGTCCGTACCCGCAGATTCACATCTATAGTATTAAAAAGGCTGGAAATAAAAACCCCAGTGGGCCCCTGATCACATTTCACAAATTACTGAATGTGGGAGGACAGGAGCAAAAGCGGAAGGGATAAGATCTTACCCGCATTCGGAGCAGACTTTTGCCGATCCATTGATTTTGGAACAGAGGGACTACATCCAAACATCTTACAACAGATGAAAGAGATACAGGGATTTGTCAAGATACTATCAGAATGCTATAGTCTAGTGACTCTGCAGGTATCACACGCCACGGGGAGAGGTGAATACTTGATGAGCATTCCACTAACGAACAGCTGCCATGTACATTAACGCCTATTAAAGGCCATACCATGATATAGCTCAATGGATGCTCTGTCATACAGGAGTGGTAGGGCTTATCTATAGCAACAAAGAGACAGCTCAACCTTGGGCTTTGAATGAAAACAAGTCGTCTGTGCTTAGAGCCACCAGTTCTAACGCTTCTACCCCACAAAAGCCTCCCCACATTCTTCTCTCCTCAACTCTTTTCTCATCTGATCGAGAGCAAGCAATATATCGTACGGCGAGATTCACGTTATGATCGAGTCAGTCTCGTCGCCTGATTCCGTTATAGGAGTCAGAAAGAAAGCGTGTCGTGTCTGTCACAAGCGATTCTCAAAAGCTGAACATCTCCGAGTAAGCCTTACGTCCGTTGAGGGACCGATTTGTGAGGAAGACTTCATTGATTGAGAGCAGTATCTGGATCAAGCAATGAACTTTACTGACTATTCTATGCTGTACTAGAGACATGAGAGGTGCCGTGAGTACTCTAAAATGCTTTTTATGTACTCCGACGTTGAAATTATGGGGGCCTCCTCATCATTATCTCAACTGCTGAGAAGAAAAAAAACTAGGCCGGTTTCAGTCCTGGCACACAAATTCCGAGGCTAACAACGTCTACTCAATATATTCAATAGATACTGGCTCAAAGCCCTTCGCGTGTGGAGATTGCGGACGAGCGTTCGCAAGACAGGACGCTCTAACCCGCCATGAAAAGCTACACAGGCGTAATGGACACGCAAACCATGATCCCTCGACGTCCTCGTTACCAACTCCTTCCGCGTCACTGGACTTGAAATCTTCATGTTACGCCAATGCATCGACCTCTTCCGACCGGATAGCAGCGACATCAAGATCAAGGGACCCAGGCGTCGAGTCTGAAGCTGAGACGCACCAGGATGTGCGCAATGATATATCCGATTTTGACTTTGATCTTATTTGGCCAGATACGGAGAATCTGTTCCAAAGCATTGTGGCCGCTGATGAATTAGACCATTGGAAAATGCTCTCCGGGACATTGCCCTTTCCACTCATCGCACAAGATATCAATGGCGCGAGTCCGGGATTCCCTGTTTCGTTTCACGAGCGAGACTCACCAGTTGGTGCAATCCCGCATGGCGGCGGTCATAGGGCTGTGCAAGATGTCACTGAGCTAGTTGCAAACTCCGTGAGTCAAACTTTCTCACGTACCACTTTGATCACCTCATAGCTGGCCAGGTTGATTCGCTAACTTGAAGCGTCTAGTCTTCGTGTATCACAGCGGCTGTCAAGGCAACGTCAATTACTTCGGTCTTTCTCGACGAGTGCCTACACATGTTCTTTGTGCGATTCGTGCCTACCTTTCCAGTGTTGCACAAGTCAACCTTTGTTTTTCGAGATTGCACTCATCCTCTCCTCCTGAACGCTATCGCGATCGGTTCCCTTTACCTGGGTCCTTCTGACTCTATTGCCAAGGGAGAGACCCTATGGCGGCTGGCTCATACAGCTGTTGCAACTTCTTGGCAATCCCTCATCACTCACATTGGCCCTTACGACCCATGCCAGGGCGTCCAATTGGTGCTCGCTGCATTACTGGGCCAGGTCTACGGGGCACTATCAAAGAACCGTGCCATCAGAACCACCAGCCAGATACTCCGACCTCTTGGGTTTTTCTGGGCACGCCATTGTGGTATGTATGATTGCAAAAGATACTCATCGATAGATCTGCCACAGCCGGAAGCCTCACCAGAGGAGAAAGAGGTACAATGGCGCACGTGGGCAGCTTGTGAGATTCAACAACGTGCCTTGCTGGCCCATTATGTTCTCGATGGACTTTTGGCACAGATGACCGGGAACGAGTCGTCTGCCCGTCACGTATTCAATCCCCTGAGACTTCCAAGCAGCGAAGCGGCCTTTGACGCAAATACTGCTGACGAGTGGGTGGCCCATATGCGCCTCCAAGGTCAAGAACACTCCTCCTTCCAAGACGTCTTTCGCTTGCTGTTCTCACAGGGCGGCAATTCAAGGCCACTCGACTTTCCATTCTCATCGTTCGCACTTCGCGTAATTCTTGAGGGTCTCCAATCCCTGGTTCCCGAGGGAAATGAGCACGGTGGCGTGTTCGGTATTCCCACTCGATCAGATGTACGCCGCGCACTGGTCCGGGTCCATGAGACCATCTCAATGTGCATTCAATTTTCCGCAGCCGAGAGACTCGAGATACTTCTCAGATGGCATACAGTCTGTCTTGACACCATGATCAATTCTACAACCTTGTCCCGCAACATCTGCGATCAGTGGAAGGTTCCCCAGCATGTCTGGGGAAGCTGCCTAAGCGTCGATTTTCCCTTTGATCTGTCAAGTTGGGCTCGTACCGAGGACGCTCGTCGGGCGGTTCTCCACGCCGTGGCCATCCAAGATATCGTTGAACAACTTCCAAGGGGAAGAGCTCACGTTATCCATATGCCTAGCTCCTTGTTTGCAGCAGCGACTATCTACATGGCCTTTTCGCTAGCTGGTATGGCCACGCTGAATCTTCCTCGTACGGTCGTATGGCAAGATTCTCTTGTCACTCGTGCAGAACTCAATCTTGACCGTGATGACATACCCCGTGTGTCTGGATCTGAGACCCGACGATTTGTGGAGCATGGGCCAGGGATCCCGTCACTCGGATGCAGCCGGCGAAATCTTTTATATGAGTTGAATTCAATGCAGAAGCTGTTCCGCTGTCTCTCTTCACAATGGGGCATCGCACATGACATGGAAAGTGTTGTTGCACATTGGATTCAACTTTGTCACTAGATCTGATTTGGTAGCTGAGAGCTGGATCATGAAGTGACCATGACCCTGATTCTTGCGCAAATGTAATATAGAATGGAATATCAATCCCCATCATTCGAAGACCAATTACTTGAATTCCAAGAGTGTGATCGAAAAATAGATCAATTGCATCAATTGAGTGGCCATTTAGCAGGAGGGCTCGCGCAAAACTAATTGCCTCCTGTTGATGTGGTTGTCCTGAATTTCCCAACTCCAAATGCTGTGACCTTGGTATTGGTCAAGTCGGTGGTTTTGCAAACATGGACTCGGACCTGTCTATACACGCATCTCTGCTTGAGACTGGACGACTCCAATGGCCATAAGAGGTTCGAATGGGCAAGCTCGTCGGATATGATGAGAACATGTCCTTCACGTGATCCAGCCTGACAGCCCACAATTGAACCGACTCACCGCCTCGGCGTCCGCCGGCAGTAATCGCACGTGTTTGCTCCGCTCAGCAGGCGCGGTCCAAGGTCGGTCGTCTTTAAATAGAAGCATGAAAGGATTATGTCCTCCTAAGCTTGGGATCGCGGCTACACACTTCTTCTACAAACGAAGAATGTTCCTCCGCACCATGCTGGAGTCCTCAAAGTGCAGCCTTGACATGCGCTTCATGCTATAGACACATGCTACCCTTTCCATACCATTTCATTGGAGCTAGCGGCTCCAAAGCTCCGAAATAGTCGAACCAATCGCGACCAGGGTTCATGTCACACATTCCCAGACATGTCGGTCTCTTATTCAAGAGACACCGCTTTAGGGCCAGCTGGCACTTCACGCTCGTCGAAACAGCAGCATCACCTTGCAGGCGAGGGGTTTGTTCATTCAACCACAGAAACTGTGCAATCCCCCAGTGGCCGAGGCAAACAGCTCACAGCCAGGGAGAGCGCCGCTCTAGTCGGTCTATGCAACTCTATGTCACCAGAGGGATGTTTCACGGCGAAGACCAAAAAATTCTGGAAAGCCGTATCCGAAGCATTTGAGCAACAAACCGGACGTCTTTACTCCTGGCAATCATGTCGCCGACGAATGATAAAGTGGGAAACCCCAACCGACGGCGCAAGTCAACCAACAGTGCCAGCAACCGGTCTCATTGAGTCTTCAAATGCGGGCTCCCATGCTGAATCGTCTGTAGTGGAGGAAGGTCACTCTGCGGACGAAGATGGATCAGACTCAGACTTGCCGTTCACTCCTAAAGTGAGACGTGACCTCCACACTCATCTGAACCAGGAGAACAGTGTCTTGCGAACGAATGTCGTGGAACTGGTCAATAACGGACTTGAGACATTCGAAACTCAACTTCAGCTGTATGTGGCCGCCATTACCACTGATCCAGATGACCGGCTCAGGATAAATCTGACATATACCCACTTCCGAGACCAAATGAGGGAGGTCGTGAACAAGTATGAGAAAGGACGACGATAGTCCCATGCAGGATCAATCCGCACCATATCAGAAAGAAAAAAGCACAGGCCATCTTAGGGAGAGACCATCCCCTACCAAAGGGCAGCGGAGCTTCGACCCAAATGATATCAAGTTTTCTGTGCAGTAGCTTATGCCTCGCGATTTTCGCACTTTTACCAATCAACACCTCAACCACTACATTCCCGTTCCGGCGCCTGAAAAACGCAAACGCTTTGATTATAAATCAAAAACGACAGCTAAATACATTGCAAAAGAAGTAATTCAGAGCCCTTGCCTTTAGAAAAAAAAATCAAAATAAAGACGAAAGGATAACCAATTGCAATATGCGAATGCTTAAGAAATTCAAGTTTTGACTGAAGAACTGCAATAACTTTCTCTTGGCCACGCAATCGCAATGGAACATGCAAATGCTCGAGAACTGCGAGCTCCAACTGAACAAATACGACAACCCCTCTCTGCTCCTGAACTCAAAGCCAAAATTCGTCTGCCTTAGCAACTCAAGCTTCAAGCGACGGAGTGCAACGGCATACGTCTTGCTCATGCATTCGATAAATCATGCAAATGCCCGAAGAAGCTAGGTCAAAATCGACGAGCCATATCAGCTTCCTGTTTTTGAGCAAAAGCTGTTTCCAGTGATCAAAAATAGCAATGGAAATGTTGCCAGCATATTCGCCTTGAAAAGGTCTGTTCAGAGATCATTGATGGATCTCCAATAGGGACCATGCCAAAAGAAACTGCTATTATCGCCACTGTGGGCATCTGCATCAACCGCGGCATTCGTTGATCTCTTCTTGATAGCCCGGCTGCTACCAGAAATGCCATAATCGGTCCCGCTGACATCATCGCTGTCACCATCGCTGTCACTATCAATATCACTATCGCTGTCACCATCGCTGTTGTTAGCGCTGGCATCGCACATGCTCGCAGTTCCATGTGAATCTGTATCTGTAGTCGCGCTTTCAGTGACAGGCGGAGGCGATTTGTATTTGGAAAACCGGCTTATCGGCGCCATTTCACACTCTCCCTCCTGCTTGGCATTTGGTGTGAACCTGACCTTCTTGCATGGATATGTGCCAAGAAGGAAAATCTCGTCATCGATGTCGGAGTCAGTAACGGACTGAAACTTAATGGCCATCTTTCTCGTGCGGGTTCTCCGAGTAATTCGCTCGTTGTTGACTGTGGGTTCATTGAGCAGCGAGTCATTCTCAGAAGTGTCGCTCTCAAAGTCCAGAGATGCCGTGCTTGGGACATATTCCTCTTTGTCTGAATCAGCTCGCAATTTTTCCCGTCTGCTTTTCGATGGCTTGCCTGATGAGGACAAGCCCTTGGTAGCAGCAGATGCCTTGCGGGTCTTCTTTCGACCGGTTGGTTGCTGCTGGAAAGTACTCTCGCCTCCAGTGGCGCGAAGCTTCTGAGCTTCTCTCCGCCAGGCTCGAAACTTCCATTCCATTGTGTCGTGCTTGGCGCCCCGGCCGTACATTTGAGCCATCGCTCCATAATCGAGCTATGTTTGCAATGGCGTGTCAGCGCAATTAACGGGACCTTCCGTAAAGTCGGGTATGACTGCTTACCCTCAGGGTCGGGTGTGCTGCAAGGATCGAGATGATGACATCCTCAAGATTGTCGATACGCATTTTGTCTGTTACGAAATCGCAATTGCTAACGTAAAGACAGGGGAATGCAGATAAACTCGACGGTCACAGTGAAAGCGATTGTCAATGTGAAGGTCTTGTTACTTTTTCTGAACGTCAAGCTCGTATTGCCTAAGGTGGCGTGGACTTGAAGTAATTGCGAGCAATTCACGAGCAATGAGTGATGAAGACAGACTGTGGGATTATGTCCCCAAGGTGGTGTGAACGTGAGGGTGTTGCGAGCGATTTGCAAGTAACTCGTGATGTAGCCCGCGTTAGAACGTAATATAGACCTAGTTAGAACGTGAGGGGTCAACGCGCGCGATTTGCAGCGATTTGCGAGTAACTCGTGATGTAGATCGAGTGGGAACGTGAGAGGTCAACGCGAGCGATTTGCGGCGATTCGTCGCAACTAGCAGCGGCTCGCTGCAATTTATGGGCAATTTGCGAGCGTTTAGCAACAGGGACAGAGGGGTGGAGTGTGTAAAGTGGCGAACTATCGCTGACGACTGCTCTCGCGAGTCTGTGGTAAGCCTGTTAGGCCCTGTCGTGTCCTGCTGCGTGCTACAGCGCTCTTTTGTGTGCTGCTGTGACTTTTTGACAAACTCGATAGTGTGAAGTGTCAGCGCGGTGCCACCGTAGAGGCGTAGTCCGGCTACTCGGTATCGACGAAACGGCGTAGATGTTTCCGGAAAGGTGTGAAACCAAAGGCGTGTTAACCTTGATCAAAGTGTCAGCGTAAAAGGGTACAAACTCAAGTTTGCGTAGACTCGGTCCTGCCTTATAGCGGCCAATGTACTATCATATGTCATCAGGCGCTGTATAAGTGCATCTGGTGGGGAAGGCGAGAGGAGGAGGGAAGAAGTCTGGTGGGCCCGAAGATTTATATACCTGGGCGCTGACGGCAAAAGTATCCCCCAACATAGGCGTTCGTATGCCCGTTTAAACGGCGTCGGCGACGCCGTTGCAATGGTCCTCGTTTCGGCTCAATCCGAGGTAAAAACGCCATTTGGGCGCCGCGCAGGGGGAGTATAAATTTTCTTCATCCGCCATCAACCTTCCTTCCTTTCTACTTCCCCAAAGCAAGTTTATGACAACTTTGGTTTGACAAACTGGCTGCTTTTATATTGACTCAATCTGAGAACTTGGTAAGTTCAACACACATCTGCACGGCAGAATTACCTGAATTAGTGGTTGCGTTCTCCAGTTCCGGAAATCGTTTCTCTCTTTGCACCCTCGCGCCATTATACTATGGAGTCGTGAACTGCATTGTCCATTTGCAATATCCAGCTGTGGCAGCATTGAGTTTTTACAAGTTCGAACTTTTGCAACTTGAGCAACTTGAAATTATTCTTAAATCACAGAACTGGACTGTTCCTTTGCAGCTCCGAATCGTTGTTTTGTCGAGTCGCAAACCCGGTGATTTCTTCACAATAACGAGCTGTTGCAGTGTCGGAATATTGCAATTTTGGGCTTTTCTTTTCTTTGCAAGTTCGAATTATCACATACTCGAGTGGCACGACTGTTTGTTCCATTGCCCCCTCGAGTCACTGACTCAAATCGCAACTGCAATTGATATATTGCGAGTACGCGAGGTTGCAACTTGAATTTCCTTGAGTCATCGCATGCTGGATTTGAGATACGGTTTTGTTTTTTGGTCTCTAGTTGGAGATATTTCAAGCTGTTGCGATCTCGAGTTGTTACAAATTTGGCTTGCTGAATATTCGAGTCGCAGAGCTGGTTGACTTCTTGCACTCTGGAGCTGATGGACGTCCGAGTCAAACCACCAGTTGGGTTGTCGTGCTTTCGTGTCATTGCATGTTCGTGTCAAGAACCTGTTTGGCCGATCTCACTTTCCCCTTCTTGCACATTGAAGCCACACAACTGCTTCGATTTTCATGATATGACGGTGGATCTCCGCTCACTGAAATAACTTCCTCACAGGCAACAGAACCGATCACAAGGTTCAACGCAAGCGCTTGAGGCGTTGCGCATCAGGCGCATCTCACGTTTACATCCCTCCTGCCCAAATTGCCACGGTCAATTAACCTTGAACCTCATATACAAAGAATCCACTACAAAGATGCATTGGACAGCCGCCGCCGATCAGATTGTAAGAGCTCAATTTGTCTCGCTTCAGGATATCCTAATACCAGCTAACGTCCTTGCCATTGAACAGCTCCTTATCAAGCTTCTCGAAACCCACCCCATGGTTATCGACAATGCCGCGATCGCCGCAGCATGGCGTAAGTGAACTGTGATATTGGCAATTTAGCACAGCGACAGTCACTCTTTGCTTACAGCAGTGATTTTTCGCTCACATGGGAGTTGTCTCAACTGACAGACAACAGCTGTAGGGTTCCCATATGGGGAGGAAGAGGCCCCAACCGCAAAGGCTATTCAAGATCGCATTTCCAAAATTCGCGTTGCAACCAGAAAGCCTGGTGGCTTTGACTTCAGCAAGCTGGTCGCTCCCGCCCGATCGAGTAAGGACGAAGTCACTAAGATTGTTGCTCATCCACGAACGCGCAAGCAAACCCTCAGTGCTGCGGACCACAAGGTGAAAGTCGAGGATACCGGCGACGACTTCCTCTTCCGACCTCATAAAACAATGACGACCGACCAGCTGAGAATGAAGCTTGAGGATACTGGCGATAATATTCTGAGTCAACTTCCAGAGGAGGTCTCGGTCGAGGCCAAGGACATCTCCAGGTCCATGAAGTCTTTGGGGAACGACCAGACTGACGACGAGGGCGGCCTTTAAATGATTCCGATGCGCGCCAGCAACGGGTTGTGGGAGAGGGGGACTTGACCATATTGGTGCAAGTGTTTCTTCAACGCAGATATGAATTGCTCGGCAGTTGCTTCGGTTTATTCTTCAATGCTCTGCTGTGTTCCATCGCCCGAGGTTGGCTCTGAGTGGGCCTTGGGCCGCAATCCATTCTGCTGCTTATTCAGTCTGCTCCCTGCTCATAGTTGCAGTCATTTTGCGCTTTGTCGTGCTAATTTCTCTTGCGTCTATTCGGAAGATGAGGTGTCCCTGTTTTGAGGAAGATGTCATTTAGGGGTCAATCCAGCTTGAGCCTCGATTTTGCTTGGGGGAGGGCATTAGGGTTTGCTAGTGATACATTTGGCTTCAGATTTTCTTTTCCCAAAAAACCAGTCCGCGTTCTTTGGCTTGCTCTCAGGAGCATTTGTGATGTCTTTTCTTTCTTTTTTTTTTTTTTGGTTTCATGGTCTGAGATTGAATGTTGATGAAATTCTAGTTTTGGTTTCTTGAAATTTTGCTTGAAGTTCTGGTCTATGTCGGCGTTGTGGCAGATTTGCATTTTTTTGGTTCTTTTGCTTCATCTTTGAAAAAGTTGCCAGTTAACAAAAAATGCAAGTTCTGAGTTTTTTTTTTAAGCGTGCTCTGAGTTGCCGAGTAAAAAGGAAATTGATTGGGAGTTGCTTTTTCAACGGTTTCCCAGTCATTCAATGTTCGCCATCTCGGCAGCTTTTCAACAGGAGTGGTCATGCTTCCTGTCTCCTGGATATCGGCTTCGCCCAGGAGACGCTGAGGTAGAGGTACTACTTTAGTACTTATAATGGAGTTGATGTGGCATGTAGGTGAGTATGATTGATGTGATATTGTTCACGAGTGTGTGCACTATCGACTTCATATTCAACCGGGGGAACTCATTGACCTGGATTGATACCCCCATATACCCCCATATACCCCCATATACCCCCATATACCCCCATATACCCCCATATGAATAATGATACTCTTATTCGAAAATTCCAAGCCCTATCTGCACAGTAACCATACATCAAGATGTGGTATGAGTCTGAAGACATCAAACCAGTAATGAAGGGAGGCACCTCCGTTTAAATTCAAGTTTGGCTCTTAGAATATCTACATCAATGAGTCATGCTAGGCTAGTGTCCCCATCTGCATGGTAATCGAGGAGAAAATTCCAAGTGCATAAGCCAAATGAGGTCTTTTGGGGTTGTGAGAATACGTTGTGAGATACTTCTCGATTCTGTTCATGATTGCTGCCGTGTACCTATGTCAAAATGAGTGTATCAAGATGAGCAAGTCAAATTGGGCATATTGTATGGGGCATATCGAAGGAAAACGAGATTCAAAAAAGAAGATCAAAGCAATTGACCAAGGCAGAAAGAAGAAAACAGTTGCCACGCACTTCCAGTCCCATGCCAAGCCTCTTCCCAAAAAAAGGGACGTTTGTGTCCACTAGCGCGCCCTCTTTCAAGAATTTCATCCCATAGTGAGGCCGAGAAACACACTTCAATCTTGAATAGAATCAATGCCACATTGTATGACCAGGTTGGGACTGAGCAGAGTCAATGAGCCCTCATTCTGATCATAAGTGTCTTCCATATCACCATCAGTTTCCCAATGGGTACCGCCGCGGTGAGGCAATGTCAGCACCGCTTGCAATAAGATCTGCTTCTCTGCTGTTCTAGCTGAAGGAGGTCCGCTGGCTCGAATTATGATCCTCATCCGGAGATTCTGGTGCCTCTCGGAAATGGCGCTTGCGGGTTCGGTTGATCTGTGGAGGACGTCTCTCTATCTCTTCTTCGATGGGCTTGAAGAGCGGCAAATCATCCTGAAACCTACGCTTACGCGGAATCGGAGCAGCTTTAGATGGCTGCTCATCAGCTGGGCTCTGATCTTGGGTGACAACCTTGCGGCTGGGACGTCTGCGAGCATAGTTTATGCGACTGTAGCCCCATCTGCGCCTGGCTTTGCCTTTGGCCACACTGGCGTCTCGCGCAGCATGCGACTTGAGTAGAACTTCACGCTGTTCTCGCCGCTGGTCGGAAGCTTTCTTGGTGAGATTCCGCAAATGCTGCATGATTGCTTCAGGCGTGCAGGCTTCAAACTCATTAGTCACAAAGCCTTAGCAAGATGAGACGTAAAGGATCATACCTTTACCCAGAATTTCTGCGGCTGATTCCCAATCGAATTTGGAGCCACAAGTCTCCCATATTGCTACTAAGAGCTGTTTGCAGTTTCAAGTCAGCAAAGACATTGCTGTATACGTCTTTCTTGCATCGCTAACCTTGGTGTCCCATTCGGCGGTCCACACGATCACCATTGTGATTGCCTAAATGGCGTCTTCTTCTTTGCTGACTTGTTCGCCGAGGTAATCACGCTCCAACCTGGTCATATGTTATATGAATCTCTGGTTCGATCGTGACAGTGAGACGAAGTCTACTGATAACCGTAGCTTGACGTGAAACCTGACTGAGCGTGGTGTCAGAGAATCGTGGCTCAGAGAAGCGAGATGAGACGACACGCGGTGTCAGACAAATGTGAGGTCAGAGAAGCAGAATGGTAGAGAAGTGAGGTTCGCCGAAGCACGATGTCAGAGACGCGTAGTACCAGATAAGTGCGCTTCAAGGCGGAACTTTGTCAGCTTGATGCCAATTTGAGTATTCATCGAGGACGTGTGAATTGGCGAGGTTTCCACGAAAGAAGACCTTCGAATAAGCGCGGCTGTGAAGAAGTGCAATTTGAGAAGGCGGAGGTTTGATATCTCGATGTCTATTCGAGTATTACTTGGCGGCGTGAGACTAAGCTAGGTTCCACGAAGCACAATTTTGAATAGGCGCACCTGTGGAGAAGTGCAATTTTGAAGAAAGGCGGTTCGAGAAGGTAAAAGTGATCATGATTTTTTGATGCATATTTACGTGATTCTCGAGCGAGTGGAACTCACGCGAGGTCCCATGAAGGGCGGTTTCGAACAAGTGCATTCCAAAGATGTCATTTCAGCTTGAGCCAGGCTCTGTGTATGACTATCCTTGTGGCCGTACAATCCTTCATAGCATTCAGCCATTTGTGCCCAATGAACTTGGCTCGTGATTCCGTGCTTGACTTGATGGCATATGCATGATGTGTTGAAAAAGACAGACCTATCAACAATGCGCAACTTGGTATCGAGATGAAAGGACAAGGCTGACGTGGAAAAAAGGCACCGTCCCTGTGTCCATGTGTGTCGACCCTGTTGACCATCTCCTTGAGGGGCATCCACGTATGGCCACAAGCTACCGTTACGGCATTATTTGATAATAAATCCCTTGTATAAATCGACTCGAATACTGCAGTGTCCCCTTGTCTGAGCGTTCGATCCAAGTGAACACCAGATCATGAAACAGTCTCCGACCGGGGTTCTGACTCGAATGTGCGGATGTTTGATGTCACCATGGCCCGGTTCATTCACCTCGGAGGCCATTCTGTTTTCAGGGTCATATTTGAATTTGCCATAACCAGCGTTGGGAAAGGAGAGGGCTCCAAACTTTGTGTGATACATGCTAGGCGTTCGGATCCAAAAAGAAATGACCCGCCCTTGCCGTGTCCGAAGCCATGAATGAGCCATGCTCTGCAAAGTCATTGATAGTCTCATCAATGAATGTGCCACTTTCGTACTATGAGATGGGACCATAGGATGGTGGTGTTACGGAAGCCCATGGCCCACTCACAAATTGAGGATCTGAGTTCGAGGCTCGAGAAGGACCGCTTGATGTGGCATTCTGACCTTGATGGGAATGGTTATATTGATCCAGTTGGGTGTTGTTAGTGCTTTGCCGAGCCAACTTTCTATTATTGGAGTCATGCTGCGCATGTGCCGGCAGATAATGTCTCAAGCTGGCTTGCAAAACCGGGTTTTGATATCCATGAGCGCTTTCTTGTCCCCGGATCGAAGCAGAAAGGGATGCAGCGTCGAGATTTGGCACGGCGGGTTCCGCTACGCGATTGGTGCTCATCTCATGTTGAACTGAATCAGACGGCTGCTGCGACGAGTAATGAAACGGGGACTGAGTAAAGGGCTGTCTTGTGGGGTCTTCTGGAGCCGGAAATTGATGGAATGCAGGCCCATCCAATCCCTGAGAATCCCTGGCACTGAGACAGTGCGCACTTCCCGAAAGTGAATTTTGAAGCAGGTGTATATGATGGTGGTTGTTTGCGACGTTGCTTTTCAGTGTCGGGTAAAAAGGCGCCGTCTGATATCCTGCCACCGCTCCCACCTGATATGGATCAGGAACTTGGTGTACTCGAGGAGGCTGCGCGAGAAACGAAGATTCGAATGGCAACCCAGCCTCATGATCAACTGCGAGATATTGCTGTCCACCCTGCCCCGCTGACTGTGTCCACTCCAGCCCAGTCAAGCTTTTTTCACGATGTGACCTTGTATGGTATGAAGGGAGTGTAAGTGGGATGCTTTCTGGCATCGACGCAAATTGTCTCTCGTCGAATCTCACGTTGCTATAGTTCCTCGGTGATAGGTCGCTGGTGGGTTTATCGGGATATGCATGAGATGGCATGTAATGATCGAAAGTGGTGTGCTGTGAGCCCTGTAGCCCATTTTGCTCCCATTTATAGCCACCAAAAGCCGGGGCCGTATTTGCGGCGATCTGAGGAAGACTCTAACTCGCAATTAGCGATGTGAGCCAGCGTTGACCACCATGAGAATGACGCACAGCCGCTTGGTTCCTATGACTCGGCGGAACTTCTTGACCATGGAGCGGATAACCTTGCAGCTCGTTGATCTTCGAGGCCCGGGCTGTTGTGTTTGCCTGGTCATGATTTTGATTGCCTAGCTGTCCATTCGAGTCGGAGCTTGCGAAGCTCTACTCAACCATCAGTGCCACCCTGGTGACCCTCATGTGACCAAGATGAGAAGTTTCTCGTACGATATTGTTCGCCGGATCCGACACGGGTTTCACTAGATATTCCATCGAGGTTTGAACAACGGTCGGGCATTGGTTACGATCAGCGGTTTGACCGGGAGGTGCTTGTGACGGGCCCGCTCCGATATCCCCTGGCGTTGAAGACGGGGTCATTATAACCGGCTCGGTGGGAATCTCCCACTGAGATTTTCCAGTCGCTCGCTGGACATAATACCATTGACGGCCGACGCCTTCCCATTGCGGAAGCCTGTGCATCCGTACAAACGAGTCAGCGAGAGATCCCCCTCGATCAGCAAAGACACTACACTTACCAGCCCTCAGGTAGTCGTGGCGGAGGCGAAGACGGGCCTGCCGTATCTGCCGGAACATCTTCGCCCATTCTTGTCTTTTCAGTTGAATGTTGAGAATCTTCTTGAATATGGAACTAGTAGAATCAGAAAGACAGCCCAGGGAAAGAGCTCATCCCTGGATCCTCTTGGCGGGGCCGAAAGTCTTGGCTTGGCGATCACGTCGGGGCGGTTGGGTCGATGTGATGCCCGACAACCATCAGAGTCTAGTGTTTACCACTTCGGCTGCCCACTACCAATTGACAAGTGAGTGGACTGTGTGTAGGCAATGTATTCAATCAATTGTTGAAAAAGACATACTATCATACATTCAAGGCAACGAGAAGAGGTTCAAATTTTCCTTTCGAATGTCAGTTAACCTCATTCGACGTGCAAATGAATGAGCCCGGAAGAAAGTTCCGCCAGACTTATCAACCGTTGCCCAACAAACTTGTAACAGGCCGTGTAATACTTCACCCTTAGGCCCAATCCAAATATCAGAATTAGGGAATGCCATCTCACCAAGGTGCATAAGGCTACTAGGGGTCTAAGAATAATCCACCCCCCGCGACCTCGCGCGCATCACCACGCATGTCGCTCGGCGGGTTCCCAGTCATCGCCAGTCCAGTCTTCGTCCCCACTTAGTTCATCATCGAGAAAGTCTGTCTCCTTGAATTGCGTATCAGTGGGTCGCTGATTGTCAATGCGAATATTGACTACATCGCACATGCCCTGCCGGATGTGTTCGTGGCCTTGCGGATGGGGTGGATGCGATGCCGAATACCTACGTTGGGCCAGACGACTGCTTTGGCGCTTGGATGCCGCTGAACTTTCACAGTCACCAGGTTTTTGTTGAACCGTTACATTGTTACCAGCTGGTTGAGATGGTTTGAGGGTGCGTTTTCGCAGAGAACGACGATTAGGGTCGGGCGGCGCACTGTATCGTTGAAAAGTGGACTCGAGGTTTCGAATCCACTTCTCGCGAAAATTGGCTCGGTCCCGCCAGCTTAGCTTCACCATCGCTGTAATGGTGAGCCGCCGCAGGTCAGGCATGTTCGGCCCCGCATCGACCAATGACACAAAGAAAGACTCTGCGGTGGATCCAGTGAGTCTCCTTAGCTGCAAAAGTTCGATTTCCTGAAGCGCGCCTGGCCAGGTCGGTTTTTCTTGCTCAGCAAGTAGAACATCAAAATGAGGTTCGGTATCGTGGTAGCTCGACCAGTCGCGGATTGAAATATCCATCCTGAAAGTCTGTAGATTCGGGCAATAATGAGCAAGATTGGTGGCGAACGACATATTGAGGTGACGGTTGTGGCGGAGATTGAGCTCTTGAAGGCCTTGGCCGCAGGCCTTTAGACAAGCATCCATACAGGACGAGAAAACAGAATCGCAATTAGTGATTGTCAGAGACCGAAGGGTCTTTGGCAACCCCGACATCATCTTTCCGTCGACACAAGGACATTCGATAAGTTCCAAGGTCTGGAGGTGCTGAAGTTGATTCACCACTCTAGAAACAGGATCGACTCCGTCAGGTACATCTACCGGAGATGAAACGCCGATATGGAGTAGTCGGAGATGCTTGAGTTGCTGGAAGGACGCTCGCTGGTGTTTCTCAAACATGTAGGGCAGAATATCCTGGCTGTCCATAAAGCGGCCATTCCAGTCCCAATGACGAAGAGTTGTGCCACTTTCATCCATCGCATGGAACAAGGATTCCGGATATTGCCATTTTGACAGTCTCACATGGTAATGAGGGAGTCCGATAGTGTGGTCGTCCTTGTGGAACAGGCGGATGGACTTCACTTCTGGCACTAAAGCGATAAGTTCCGACAAATTGAACCATCCTAGACGCGGGCCACCTTTGTATAGCAGCACTGACTCTGCCTCCACGTGGAGCTCCTTGACCTTCACAGGATAGTTGATTACTGTCGATGTCTGTGGACGGGACAAGAGAGACAGAAGACCGAAGCTCTTTGAGGGTGGGACCAATGGTGGCGCATGGAAAAGTGCAGCGAGGGCGGGCTCTAAAAAGCTTCGGCAGAGAAGTCCGACATCCAAGAGCCATTTCACTGACTTGCTTCGCTGCATGGCTTGCTCGTCAACAATTGGATGGGATGCCCTCAAAAAGATATCGAACAGAACTTGGTATGGAAGAGTTGACCACGGTGGTATGACTCCTGGCATGATTAACTCATTTTCATTTGCTGAGGGCCGTCCGCGTTTCTTTGGAGGCTTGGTGATGCCTTTGTTGCCTGTGCTTTTGCGTTCTGCAGTCGCCCTTCGTTTGGATCGAGTCGCGTTGGAAGGTCCACTGCCCTCAGCATGTCGGGTGGCGACTGTGGGAGGGCCATTCGAGCTCGTCTCTCTCACTGCACGTCTGGGCAATGTGCGTCGATACTGTGACAACTGGACTAGTTGCTCGCCAACTTCCTCATTTGGATCGCTTTCGAAAGATGAGAGACTGGAATCCGTGTCTGACGTCTCTTCACGGTAAACTCGCCGTTTCCCAGTAGCAGTTCGCGGACGAAGAGAGATTTGTTGGTTCGTGGGTGGTTGTACGCTCAGATTTTGAGATGGCCCAATTTCTTCTTCGGAAGAGCTATCTTCATGATACGTTTGGATCCTAGCACGCGTGGACCGAACGGGTCGAGTGGGCCTCGCCTGCCGCGCACCTCGAGTATCTGACATTGCTGCTCTTCTTAGATGGCATGGGTGCAGAGTCCGGCATTCATTCTCTTGTCATTAAAAGGAGCCAGAACTGGGCGTGCATGAGATAGAAAAGGCAGCCTGCTTAGGAAAATTTTCTGCACTCCCTGCATGGCTGATGGAATCATAGAGAGCGATGGCAGGAGCGATCGACGTTATCGATAAGCCAAGCTGCCAGGCTCCACCAAGCCAGACTGAGACCGGACTAGCGCAGTCTCCTCCCGTGATCTTACTAGGCATCCCACCCCCGCCCTCAGGCAATCACGCTATACTGGACTAGTCTCACTAACACATGGCCAAAATTAGAACACAGCTTCGAGCTAAGATGTCACTCCAGCCACCCCGAGGGGACAGTGTCCTCGAAGGGTTTCGTTTCGTCTCTGGTTCGATTTCACTCTTTTCGCCCTCAATCACGGCGTTGAGACCATATCTCCACACTCATCTGGGTACAGGAAATGCCCTTCTAGCTTCTCTATCCAACCCGAGACAGCCTCGGAGCTACTAGAAGTGTGGATCTGCTCCGCAAAAGCTCAACATCTGGCCAGACACTCATCAACCCTCAAGACAGTCTATGGAGAGTTCTTTTCCGGTCATGATTGACTCGGTTGAGCGAGCCCATCAACGAAGTATTTCGAACCCGCAGGCAGTCGTTCAGCAATATGCTCGATATCCAGCAGGCCTGGAGACAACTCTTCAAAGCGCATCCTCTCTTGAAAGCGCCCGAAGCCAGGTAGATATTCACAGATCACCGCCTCTCCATCGCAAAGGTACACCAAGAAGTATTCAGCCTTCTCCACGAGGCATGCGATCTGTGTTACCCACGTCTTCGACTGGACGAGGTGGCCCGTCAATGTCCCCGCCTCTTTTTGACGTCTTCCGTCAGTCCCCTATGAAAGATACGACGGATCAAGCAGAGTCCAGATATTTACCTTCTCGGGAAGTCAGTGATGATACCATTGACGATGCTTATGTCACGTTCATTCTATACTGCAATCCAAACGTTCCATCATCTGTTGACACTTCTGAGCTTCGAAAGACATTCCGTTCTCCGCCTCGAAGTGATGGCAAAAGCTTTAGTGTATTCACGCTGTATCAGCTCATCCGGAAGCTTGACAACAAAGAGCTCAAAACATGGGTTCAACTCGCAATGGAACTGGGTGTGGAACCTCCTTCTCAAGAGAAGAAGCAAAGTACTCAAAAGGTACAACAGTACGCGGTTCGACTGAAGGTATGTCTGTTTCCTGCTTTATCCATTACTGGGTTTTCTTTGACTTTTGTCCTTGCCTGCAGCGATGGATGCGTGCAATGCACGTGGACGCTTTTTTTGAATTCTGCTTAGGCCACCCCCATGTCTACTACACTCAGCTACCGCCCAGTGGACCGTTTGTGAGCGAGTCTCGCGATGGCGTACCACTGGAGGAAGACCTCGCTTTGCGGGCATTGGTGCCCCAGTGGAAACCAAAACGTGGACGAAAGCGGGCGGACGAGCGAGAGCAGGACGATGAAAAATCCACAAAAAGACCTCAGTTAGATACGTCGGCAGCTGGGCTACAACCTCGTGCATTTCCCAGTCACTCCGTGCAGTTTCCTCAGAGCGCCATACCTTTCAGTGCTTATCCCGCTGACGAAGACGCCTGGATGACTGCCTCCTCTACCTTCGCACAACAAACCTCGACGGAAAATCATGGTCAAGACCTAGGCTGGAGGCTTCCGGAGCGTGAGACTTCCCCAGCAGGGTATCCACAATCAGCCATCATACCAAGAAGTAATCAGTCTTCAGAAGCTTTCATACTAGCAGAGCCACGATCTGCGGTCACTCCGTCTTCTGCAGACAAGAGTCGTGCCCGACGCCGGCACGGACCCGCGGTATCATCTGCATGGCCGAGCAGCAATGGCTCAATAAATGGGAAAGGTCGGGGACGGCCGCCTAGCAAGGCCTTGAATTCTGGATCATTTTCCACGTTTCAGGTCAATGCTAGCAGAGATGCGTCACAGACTCCGCAGCCATACACCGCACAAGTTCCGACATTCACTGCGACTCAAGATGGAGCAAACGGTCGGCTCCACGCGAGTATTAATCAGACAGGGACCCCCACACCAGTCCCTCCAGTCAGGCCAGGCAAACTGCAGCTTCAAGTTCCTCGCCATGAGGGTGCTCCAGTACGACTGGCGACGCCCCCGACGTTGCTTGTCAATGGTGTCAATGGTTCTATCGTCTCACAAGACCATGGGGTGAGTCCTGGTCAGGCATACCAAGTACCCGACCGGTCGGATTCGATGAGTGGACCTACAATATCGGAGAAAAGGCAACCTGATCAATATGCTTCCTTTGACCATCTTGTTCTGGCTTTATCGAGTGAGCTCGCAAAACAAACTGTGGAATCCACTGTTGCGGGACGACCCACCCGTCCCGTTACTCCACAAGAAGCGCGAATCTTGGCATCCGCTCTCGTTACACAAGGGAGGAATCTTTACTCAAAAGTTCTAGGATCTATGACGTTGAATTTCTTGACTTTCCAGCTTGGAGTTGGTCAAAGAGCAGGAGCACCTGTTTGTTGTCGACGCACAATCACTGCTACCGCTGAACGTACACTGAGTCATTCCAACGGATACAATCGCCCCGAAGTGGCATCGTTTCAAGGGATAACGCGTTATGTGGTCCAGATGGAGTATGATTCATTGTCGCGGGTGACAATGGAGGTCACTCTCGCAGACCAAGACACAGGCGTTTTGTCATTGCAAGACTCCGGTCGAGACGCGTTGCCCTCGCGCAACTCACACGACCTTGAAGTTCCCAATGACCTCGGAGATACCGAATTTGACGATCACGAACTTGATCAACCACTGCCTGATGGCTCATGGAAACAACAATACATGAGACTACGCGCCCAAATGCAACGCAAGGAGAAATCTCTTTCTCAATATAAACGAAAAATTGTCGAGTCCGTGATGGCAGACATTTGAGCCGAGTTTGAGCATATTTGCATGGTGCTTCAGTCTTGCTAGATTTTGCATATGTCTTGTCTTTGAGCGTTTTCATTTTCCTCGACTGCAATATGATACCCCTTTATGGTTTTTGAAATTGTTTACTCGCCAAAGCTATTCCAGATCAACCTCAGAACCTCAAGCAGTACTTATTCATAAAGTGCAATGTCCGTAACATATGCTTCGAACTGTCAGCTCCGGTCAGGTAGATATATCGGTCTCGCACATTCATTGCCTCAGTCATGTGGATGTGATGATCCTTGGGGCTTCAAAACGAGATTCCGTTTCGAGTAGCCCGTAGTAATATGCAGACCTGTACCGACAATGTACAAATGAGAAAGTAAAAGTGAATAAACTACCTACTGAATGCTCGGCTTTCTAAAGCTAGGTTCAAAACGGACGTCGTCGCAAAGAAACTTGCAAAGAAAATCAAGACGTGAAAATCAGCCAGGCCATCCATACGCCGCACTGAGTCCGAGTGATATGCCACAGTCCTGAACAACGAAATTTACTCTTCCTTGTCGTTTGTCACGAACCCCTTGTCCTCTTTGATGATCTTGGATGATTGCGCAGCTCGCTTGCGCTTCTTGGAAGGAGATGGTGTAAGGCTTGTGCTTCCACCGTCAGACGGCTCCTCGGCGGAGGGATCCTGCTTGCGCTTGAACGCAGTGGTCAAACCGTAGGAACTCATCAGCCGCTCGAAACGCTTCTGACTAGGCGATGTTAGCCGTGTAGCTCTAGAAATGTGGGCGCCGGTCAACATACGCTGCTCCCTTGGTCGAGATGCACATGTCTTTATAGAATGCGTCCCAATCGATCTGCAATTCGAGACAACGGTTAGCATCATTTGAAAAGCGAGCATTTTCAACTAAAAGCCACAAGTGCAGAGTGTGAACCCGCTGAGCCTGCGGTGAAAATGAGACGTTATGTACTTTATCCAGGCGTGCTGCTTCGGTGTGCTTGATCAAATTGATCATGAACCAGGCGTTATCCTTGCTCAGGTCTTTGGGCTCGGTGAGTCCCGCGCACGCCTTCGAGGGGCCAGCTTTCTTAGAAGCCATGGTGTTATCGCGGTTCGCTGATCGGGGATCAAACTTGTCGTGTGCTCGCGGTAAAAGGTGACTTATCGTGATCTTCGTTGGTGTATACCACAAGTGAGAACGGGGCGAGGTGAGAGTGACGTTTCAAGAGAATATATAATCCTTTGTGACTGGGCGTGGACATCGGCTTGCGGAATTATCCGATATCTGCTCGTGGGTCCTTCGAGTCTGGAATAGAAGGTATAACCTGTGTTTTAAACAAAAGGAAGCTCATGGAAGAGTGATATTTGAGAGGACTTGCCTAATCGATGTTTGGCTTTAGGCTCATCGCAGCTGCATACCTCGTAGGAAAGCGGCCCTTGATCTCGAAATGAACAGGTCTTTCTCGGGTATTTTCACACGCATCATGCAGACAAAACGCCCACGGATGTGGAAGCTCATTGATGGGAACTGCCTTGAGAAAACCAAGAACATTGATTCCCTCCAAAGGAAGACCAGTCTTCAGTACCATCCCACTATGCTCTCAGTCTCTTTCGGGGTTAAGAGGCTCGATCATCTCGACACGACCATGAATTTTGATTATTTACAGCATGCTTTTCTTTCTCTGAAACGTATGTGAACCATCAATGCCCGTCTGCTTAGGTAGAGACAATTTCCATGTCCGCTCACAGGTTTACTCGAAGATCACAACCTTGCTTTCACTTCCAATGAAGATCTCTTTACCCTCCAAATGGAGAGGGTAGACCAATCTATCTTCTGATTGGGCTTAGGACTCAACACATAGTGTATTCTTCTGCCGTTTTTGCTTGTTGTGCGCAAGTACCGAGGAATTAGGTAGAACCAGGCTCGGTTTTTTCCTACTTGACTGTCAGGGCAGCATCACAGATCTGTATTCAAGGCGAACATATTTCAACAGTCTTCTAGTCCGTTTATTTTCCCAAACTTCTGGAATTCGACGAACATCAACCTCATCTCTCATCATAAGGGAAGTGCACAAACAAAGCAACACATGCGGCGAGACTGTACGTTCTCACGGCGGCCGATTATGAAATGATCCAACGCCCTTCGCTGGTGAGGTGTCGGATTTTTTGTGTACGCCGGCCGTCAATTTGGCTGGAGAATGCTACCTCCGACAAACGATCTCACTAGAACATGTCACCAGGCTCCGTATCTCTCTGAGGCTCGGCAGCTGGGCGCTTTCTCTTCTTTGAGGCGCGGTTAAATTTCGGAGTCCCGTGATTATTTGCTTCTGGCGTGTCCGAGTCTTTGTCCCTCTTTGTGTAGTTCAGTGTCAAGCCATAAGAGTTCAGCAGACGCTTGTATCTGTTATAGCTAGGATTGTCGGTTAGCACGTGCGTTTGAATCGAGCGACGGGCTTCACTTACGATGCGCATTCATTCTTGAAGCCCATTTTCTCACTGAATTCGTTCCAGTTGATCTAGTTGAAATGGGGTCGTCAATATGAGTTCCATCAAAGAGATCAGTAGCGAGAGATTTGAGCACCGCTTGACGAATGTCAAAATGGCGAAACCGTCTGAAATGCCCATATGACTCACCTTGTCAAGTTTGCGACTCGGAGTGCTCATAATACAATTGATGAGAAACCAAGTGGTATCTTTTATGGGGTCTTTTTCATTGTTATTTGCGGACATCGTTGGATGTTCTTGGGCTCTGGTGTGAGGACGCCTCGTGTATGGAACGGTTGGTTGAAAGCTAATTGACAAGAAAGATGCTTGACAATGACTATTGCTTCGACGCTGACTTTTTGGAGAGAAGTCGATGATGGAGGTTGCGAAGCAAGTTCTTGGACTGCTAAAACCCTGGAGGATGGGCAATCAAAAGACAAGCGGAAGATAGACTGGAGATGGCCTTGTAGTCTTGGAAGTTACCGTAGAACACCCGGGACTACTCCGAAAATGAAACGAAAGTTCATGTTCAACCCACCCTAGATCTCTCGAACATGGTGTCTTAACATCTCACATGCTTCTGATTAGTTTCCCGTGGGTCGAGGCAACTAGACAGCCCAAGTCGCCTGCTCAGCGTGTGCCTAAGGAGACAGGGGCGCGCCTTGTACCATTTTAATAGAGCTATGCAGTGGTGTTAAATCTGTTGAAGATTCATTCTGGGAGATGTGCCTGAAGGCTGGCTTAGCCTGCCTTATTGCTAGGTGACATGTGCTCCGATTGTCCCAAAGTTATTGGTGTCATGTGATTCATACTATTAATATTTGCCCCGTCGCGACTTAGAATCTAGTATATATACGAAGTGTTCAATTCTGTGCTATAACAATAGCTTGTCCTTTGGATCATTCAAAACGTGCCCAATGCCTTATTGCTATGGAAGATGAAACTACCTAATTGTAAGAAGCCGTGAATGCAACAAGACTGCATTCGGCCTGGCCTTAGCCACAAAATTGCGAACGGGTAAGCTCCAGGGTATGATGAATCGCTATCAAAAGCCTGATTCTAGGCACTATCAGTATGAGTGTCTCAGAGAACATTATATTGTACTTCAGCGATGAGTAGCGGCTTACCATGAGCATCTCTTCCAAGATTTAAGTGTGGCTGGCGCTTTCAGCTTAGCCCCGAGGTGTGGGAGGGAGACCAAGGGCGACACCTCCGTCCTCGTCGCTGTCCTCCAGGTTGGGCGCATTAAGAGTCATGTCACCCGGGCCCTGTTCGTCACTCAGAAGAGGGCCATCGAGAAGGTCATCGTCCTTCTCTTCGGTCTCGGGCTCACACGTCTCCGGTTTCTCGCCATGCTGGGTGTCGGCGTGGATATCAGCCTTGGTCTTGCTTCCACGTTTGCGATGAGTCTTCTGTACTCGGTTGGGGCTGGTCTTGGTGCCAGGCTTGGCCTTTGCGTGTTGATTTTATTTAGAACGTGAAAGTTCGAGACGCAGAAAATGAGAAATCAAACACGAGGGATGTATGTCGGGAAAGATTGAAACAGGTGAAACCAGAACGAGAATATGCGCATAGAACTTACGTCGCCACGTGGGTAGCTGAACTCAATGTGCAGGTTGTACTTCTTGCGCATTGCACTGAATCGATTGCCAGCCGACTTCGCATTGCTGTAGCCGAGTGCCTTGGCAACCGCGCCGGCATCCACCTGAGAGATATTGAAATAAGCACTGGACACCTCACTTCACAATTGGGGAAGTCACCTTCTTCGTTTCCAAATCTAAGCATCGAAGGCACATCGCTAGGAATGCGTTCTCTTGCTGCTCTGCAAGGTCAGATGTATAGCCTTGCAGCTTGGCGTTGCCCTTTGCAGGGGAGCTCTGAGTAGGCTTGGAAGGCATCGTGATATGCAAGTAAGAATTCCTAGTGGATGAAATCTGGATCTTGAGAAGGATGTAAGGTGAAGAATTATTTTGTGAGGTAGAAGCGAAACGCGTCTATTTATAGGAATGGCGAGACACTTGTGTCATGGTCTATCAAACATTTGGCAAGTGAGAGAGCGCGTAAAAGTTTGCTTTTTGCGCGTCAGTCATAACACGATCAGCTCGCGCCCACCTTGACAAACATTTTGCAGGTAATAGAGAACGTGAATGGGGTGTTTGCTCCAATGGGCCTTGGTCAAATCAATATTGCAGTACGTCCACCGCCCTAGCTACAGTGTCCAGTAAGGTAGGAAGTAGACATGAGTCTTCACTGTATACACTAAGATAGCCGTCTTAAAGTCTACTAAATAAGAGCTAATCGCGTTCTTAGTTCCCATACACTCGGCAAGTAAGGGAATACCCAGATCAGGTTGATTAGTACTAAGTGCCTCAGTGAATTGGAGACCACGTTTCAGTCAAGCTTCTTTCTGGCTTGAGATGAGTGAGAGACATTGGTAAAAGGGTTCAATACTCAGGGCGTGGTGGGCAGATCAAGGTTGTGTTCATCTACAAGACTTCACGCTGCATTGTTTTGAAGCACTTTTCACACCATCATGTAGAATGATGTTGAGGTAAGCCAAGCAGAACGTATGATCCTGACGAGTGTTCCCGCTCCGAGTGAGCGTATAATCATAAAGATTGCCATCGCACCTTTCACAGAATACGACAGAAGCGGACCTTGAAGAGTATACATCTGATTCAGTTGTCTTGGGTTTGTAGGCTTGATCGTCTCATATAGGGTGATGAGAGATCATATTGAGTATCTCGGGTCTTATGAACCTTTTTTCGTAGTAAATTGCCCTGTATTTCGTCTTTATCACCGAACTCACACCCACAAAGTACTAAGTGACTGGTACATTGAAAGAGGAATGCTCTTCTCCAAGAGCTAAGTAGGAAATCTATACGTAAGTCACAACCTAATAATCTTGATCTTATGACTTTTATTCATTTCATGACTGAACTACTCATTAACACTGACCAAGACACAATGACAGTCACCAACCCGGGCTTCTTGCTACCGTCAACTATCTTCGCGATATTTTTGGTCCGCTGGCTGTTATCTCATTCCATGTCCTTCGTGCGGCCTGTCAGTATTGTTACTCAGAGTACGATTCCCGTCAGGCACCATGGATTATACATGTGCAACCAAGAACACAACCTGCACCCTTTTCGTGATTGGTAGGTAGACTTTTGTTCTTGAATTTCATTGAATTGTCAATGAGGAAAGTCTGGGTTGAATTGAGTAATTTTGCTTTGCGCCCAAAAGAACTGGAACCTTGACCCTGGTTACCCTCTCAGTGTTAGTGCCGATAATGGTCCATTGAGCTCGGGTTTACAATGCCTTCCATATATAGTGTGCGATCACTCTTTTGCCTCGACACCCAACCATGAGACGTGCATTCTATTGCTTCAATGGGACAAAGAAATAACAAGACAATGACTTTTACATCCTGATTTGAAATAGGTAAGACACATCCATTTCCGTGCGCAAAATTCAGCAAACTCGTGCCAATTTGAGATAGGCATCAGAGCCAAACCTAGACCTTCAACACCGCGAGATCTGTTGGCGCGGAGAATTCCATGCCAGGCACTCAGTCAGTAGCATCACTTGAAATCTCGACGATCTCCACCCGATCGTCCTGCTCTTGTTTGATGTGGACCCCACACAGTTCCAGTGCGGTCCGATAAGAAAGTTCATCCTCCCACGAATCATGGGGTAACGATTTCAAGCACAAGACCTGGACATTGTTGAGTTCCGACAGCTGAGTTCGAATGTCATTCAAAGCCGGGTTCTGCGCGTTATTGGATTCCGACATCTGAGTTCGAATGTCATTCAAAGCCGGGTTCTGCGCGTTATTGCATTGCGACATCTGGGTTCGAATGTCATTCAAAGCAAGGTTCTGCGACATTGAGAATGGCGGATATGGTGAGCAGTCCATCTGGATTTCCAATGCATGCATTTGGTTGGTTGAGGTCGAGGGATAGTGGTTCGGAGGGAACCCAAGCTGCAGCTCGCCTGCACATGACTGGCTTGGGGCTTCAAAGGCTGGGAGACCCGAGTTTGGCGTATGGTGAATGGCTGGCATGGCATTTGTGAATGAATAGAGTGACGGCTGGGACATGTTGGTGACGTTCAAAGTATCTGAAGTCGCAGAAGGACCCTGGCTGTCGAACTCGTTTTTAATATTCGGAATCGACCACACACCAGAGTCTAACATCTCAGATTTCACTCTGATCTCGCTCTCCGGTAAAACAGGAACTTGTTCTTGTTTGAGATTGACATCTTTGGCCAGCTTTTTTGCCATTCTACGCTTGATTGATCTCTCCGAGGGACCATCCATTTGGGATTTGAACCGAGAGAATCGCATGCGAGCAGCATGACCGTTGGAGATTTCAAGGTCGGCGGCGACTCGATTCCAATCAATCTGTGACGTGAAAAGAATGGGAACGAAGACAATTCAGTAAGAGGCAAGACGAAGTAAGCACTCGAGGTGATTTTCACTTACCTCCTTCAAGCTGACTTGCTTGATGATCGCATAGAGAAACTTCGGGGTTGGACCCTCCGTGTCCAAGACCTTGCTTCTTTGGACCATGCTGATGTTATAACCCTTCTGTTTGAGTCACTCGATGCCCGAGACAAGTGGAACAGAGAATCTAACTGAGACAGACAACCGCCGTTCGCCAATGTTTGGGATGCTGGAAGGTTGGAACTATGCTGGAGTTGTGAGACACTGATTGATACTGGGTTCTTGAATGCCTGGATCAGACTGAAGTTTGAAATGGACAGTGCAAGTTCTGCTTGGTTTATATCCCTTTCGGTGCCAGTATTCTGACAAACGCTCATTCGCCGACGAGCACTGTTATGAGGTAGGGAAGGCAGGGACCCTTGCGCAGGCAATCTAGACAAATGTCCTTCAAAGATCAGCATGATAGACCACTGCCTCCGACAGGATGCTTGATCTTTTGCTTTCAAATGAGCGTTCGCTCCAGACCAGACTTTGGATTCTGCTTTCAGATTAAGTCGCCTTTCATATGAGTCTGTAAGTCCACTGTGCGGAGTGTAGTTGATTTTGGAAGTATCCTTAGAGGCGGTAAGAAAAGAGTACAGAGCTCTTTTCCCACTCGGGAGCCCCGCTGTCAGATAGCCCTCGTTATCTTCAAAGGCTATCTTTCAGAAGCCGATGGCGCTGGGATGTTGACACAAACAGTTCGCCTATGCGTCATAAATGTGCATGGCCAGGCGGCGTGCGTGTTCTTTCTAGAGAGTCGCGTCGGAAGCTGATCGTCCGGCAGATGCGACGCTTCATTTCGATAATACTGACGGCGCACTTTTGCCAGTTCATACTTGTTTCAATGACAGAATACTTTTCCCTATCCTGCATCTTCATAGTGCCGAGCATGAAAGAAAAGGATGGGAAAGAGCAGGCATAAGCATTGTAGAACTTGTTGAGCATACGATACATACTCTGACGAATGAGCAATTTTGATGATCAAGTCGTACAAAGGCGACGTAATTTGATGGAAGGAAAAGCCAACCATCTATTGTGACTCGTGAAAACTGGAGGATTGCTTCGGCAACTGGCGATGTTGGAAAGCCATGTGGTTAGGTTTGACTTCCTCCTCATGGCGGACCGCGACCGAAAGCCCCACTGGGTTGTCCTCCTGTACCCCCTTGGATTCTTCTCGGCTCCCTCAGTCCTCTCGCCTGCTGATAAATGAAATCGGCATCACAAGATAGTGACTCAAAGTTAAGCTTCTCTGGAACAAGGCTTGTGGTTGTGGCTTCATTATGCTGGTGGCGATCGGAGCGTGCTATTTTGACACTGTTCTCACGTACGTCCTTTCTCTCTGAACTCCACCTGCACGACTTCCTACGAGTTGACTTCAGAGCAGAAGCAAACACACTTTGCTGATCAAATGAGGCTCAGAACTTCACACTATCCAGCAGAAGACGAGAAGTTGCGGGCATCCAGTGTGACTCGTCGACGAGGAGGTAATTGTCCAAACACATTGGAAGTACTGGGCCAACTGGTCTCGGAAGATGACATAGAGCACGAGTTTCCCCTTGAGCTTATCACAGTACTACCGGCGCGGTCGTCGCAAGCATCACAAAGGATCATCTCTGAGTTCAGCCCACGTGTCGGCCTTGAGAATTGCGTCTATCGAGAGGACCACAAAGAGCCAGCTTCGTGCTACATCATCCGAAGCAAAGCCACTGGTAGCCGAACGATTGTCAACTACAACAATCTTCCCGAGGCCACTCAGGAAGAACTTATTGAAAGAATTGACTTGCTGAGTCCGAGAGCTTCATGGTTCCATTTTGAAGGCCGAATGCCTGACTTGACCCTAAAATCCATACGTTACATACGCAAGCACTTACCAGCCACCAAAATAAGTGTGGAGATGGAACGGCCCGGTCGGCCAGGTCTTCAGGCACTGGCCCAAGAGGCTGATGTTGTGTTCTACGCGAGATCATGGGCTCTGGTTAGTCGTATTGCGTGAGGGTGATGTGAAGCTCGAGACATGAATTGACGCAATAGGCCCCCAGGGCGCTGGACATTCTACGGCGGAGGAATGCTTGCATGCCGAAGCTGCTTTGACACCCACAGCGTATGTGTACAATGGAACCGCAAAGACATGTTGTTATATTGAACTTCCTTCCAGGTCCTTGCTGTGTTGCACCTCGGGCGAAGAAGGCGCAAGTGCGCTGCAGCCCAGCGATGGTACCTTTGCACATGCGCCTGCTCATACTACGGAGAACTTTCAAGTCGTCGAGTGAGATCTTCCGAGCAAACCTTGACTGTGAAATCCTAACTGACCAACATTAGTCCAATTGGTGCAGGCGATACGTTCATTGCTGGCATGCTTTATTCGCTAGCTCGCAGAGATCCAGACTGGGATCTTACTCAAAAGCTCGCGTTTGCGAATCGCCTCGCAGGGACGAAGGTTTCCCAAGAGGGATTTTCGGGGTTGTATCGTGTACTGGCATCTATCGTGTGATTGCTTTGACCTGCAAGGGAAGAGCAAGATCACTCATAGATCGTTCCCATCTTCCACTTCTTGTTATGGAAATGCCTGCAGACTGACGGCCATCCGAACTTCACTGAACGCCAAGGCCGGGCGGAGGTGTGGAGTTCGATAAGCTGGAGTCGGGTTGCGGGCGCTTGATAAGATAAGGACACTTCACGTGATGCTGCGTCGAAATTCTAATTCAACTGTATGGGCGGTCAACTCCAAAAAATATTCTGCCATTAGTTTTTCACGGAAGCTTCAATTTAGAACTTTACCTTTTGCGTAACAAGCACAAGCACAAGCACTTACAATCATGGCTGCCGTTTACAAGACAGTATCCAAGAAGAAGGCTCGTCAGGAGGTTGAAGACTCAGACGAGGGTTCTGATGTCTCCATGAACGAGTTCCTTGAAGACGCCGACGATACTACCGACAGCGAAGATGAGCAAGACGACGTGGAGGACCGAATTGCTGAGGCCAGGAAGCAGCTTGCGGCCGGACTCATGCCCAAGACCCGAGTTCTTATTCTGACGTCTCGAGGTGTCTCCCACCGGTCAGTGTCGTCAATGGCGAGGCATTTGTGCAGAGAATTCGAATCGTACTGACCTATCATCTCCAGCCACCGACACTTGATGGCCGATCTCTGCGCACTCCTCCCCCATACCCACAAAGAGACCAAGCTTGACACCAAGAAGAAGACTGCTGGATACAACCTTTTGCTGAACTCTCTCGCCGACCTGCACTCATGCAACATGATTTTCTTCCTCGAAGCCCGCAAGAACGGTCAAGACCTATACCTTTGGTTGTCGCGTCCCCCTAATGGCCCCACAATTAAGTTCCACTTGAACAACTTGCATACGATGGGTGAGCTTGGTGCTGGCTTTGCGGGAAATTGTCTGAAGGGTGGACGTGGCATTGTCGTCTTCGACCGATCATTCGACGAGCAAGGTCCCGACATGAGCGCCCCTGGCGCTGAATACCGTGGTCTGATTCGCGAGATGCTGCGCGGTATTTTTTGCGTCCCTAAGCGTGGCGTCAAGGGTATGAAGCCGTTTGTTGACCGAATCATCGGCATATTCGGAGTGGATGGCAAAATTTGGGTTCGCGTGTACGAGATCCGTGAGTCCGAGGCTGGCAAGAAGAAGGAGGGTGAGGAGACGGCCAAGCCTGCGCTGAAGGGCAAGGACGGCCAGCCTGAGGTCTCTCTGGTTGAGATCGGTCCCCGCTTCGTCTTGACCCCTATCGTTATTTTGGAGGGCAGCTTCGGCGGTCCGGTCATCTACGAGAACAAGCAATACGTCAGCCCCAACCAAGTCCGTCGTGAGGCTCGCTTGGGCAAGGCTGGTCGTTATGCCCAGCGTCGGGAAGTGCAGACCGACCGCGTGTTCAAGCGCGCCGATCTGGGTCTCTCTGACAACTCATCGCGCAAGCCCGATGCGCTGGAGACGAGAAACCTGTTCGGTTAAATGGGCTTGGATCATTCATCATTTCTTGTGGAAGCTTGATTACTGTATATCCGGGTGACGATATCATTCATGGTCTGCTTGGGCGTCTGGGCAAATATCTTGTAACGTTGGTTAACTGTTATTTAAAAGCATTTTCTATCTTGTTTCCCCTCTGCACTCAATCTAATGATTGCTCAACATCAACGACATCGCCGTATGCTCCTTTGTCCTGCCTTCGCTCTATGCGGAAGTTAGAATGCACACCAAATGTCTCTACAGGGTTGTAATGGCCGGGGCTGGCCTCATACCGTCTTCTCTTCCGTGGGCTGTGGGCTTCTTTCACAGTGGCCCCTGGTCTCCAACGGCTGCAGCCCATTGATAGGTAAGCCAGTCCCCCGCCAGTGGAGCTGCAAGTGGGCCCGAAACATCGTGGGAAGCTTTACCGGGGACAGCAATATTCGTGGAAAGAGACAGGGGCTCAGGAAAACAAGTAGACAAAAAGATCGTGAAGTCTAACCGTGAGCTTATACAGAGGCCTTAGAAAAAATATCATGTACCTGCACTCCGGCATATATTGCTGAATCATAGTCGCATTACCTTCATACAAATATCACGGGAAGCCACTGTGACGCCCAACCCCTATCCACTATTCAAAGTACTGAGGACTTTAAGAAGACCCACGGAGCGCACAGAGCGGGAAGTAAGCTTCAGAAAAAAAGGGTATGCTTGAATTCCAGCGAAAGCAACCCAGGGGAAAGAACGCATTCAGAAGGGGAGAATGAAGAAGGAAATGAGGACATGAGAAAAAAATAGGGAGGAAAAGAGGTGAAGGTCGAGGAAAAAAGGCGAACATGAGTGACGGCAGATGATCACAGCAAAAGGACGAGAAGCCAGCTTTGCCTGGCATCATCAGCTGTCCTTTTCCCAGCATGTTTTATCGAGAGCAGATTCTACCAGCCCATTATCTTGGCCTTGAATAACAGCTTCCATCACAAGTCATGGCCACTTCAGAGTCACATTGCAAAAAAGAAGAGTCGTTGCAGTCTGGGGTCGGCCCTTTAGCAGCAGCCCTGCTTCTGCTCGTTGGGCTGCGGGGTAAAGTCGATAGTACGACCCACAGGTGGGTTTGCGCTCGCCTCGCCAGGCTCCAGAGCCTTGCTGGAAACAATGCGGTAGATTTCTAAGACACAGACAATATTAGCTTATCGGCCAGACGCGAGGTTTTGCGAAGGATGTGGATGTTGTCTGACCTGTGAGAATGTTCTGGAAGGCAAGTTCGACGTTGCTAGCATCAAGGGCGGATGTCTCAATGAAGGAAAGATTGTTTTCGCCTATTTATGCACAGATTAGAGTCTTGTATGCGTGTATACTCAGTGGCGATCGAGGCGATGGTGGCACGTACTGGCGAATTGCTTGGCCTCCTCGGTGGGAACTGCCCGAAGGTGTCGCAAATCGCTCTTGTTCCCGACAAGCATGATCACAATGTTGGAGTCGGCGTGGTCACGCAGTTCCTTCAGCCAGCGGTTGACGTTGTCGTAAGTCTGGTGCTTGCTGATATCGTAAACGAGGAGCGCGCCAACTGCGCCGCGATAATAGGCCGACGTGATAGCACGGTAGCGCTCCTGACCAGCAGTATCCCAAATCTGTGCCTTGATGGTCTTGGAGTCAACCTGGATGGAGCGGGTTGCAAACTCTACTCCGATGGTGGACTTGGAGTCCAGGTTGAACTCGTTGCGGGTGAAACGACTCAGCAGGTTGGATTTACCAACACCTGAGTCTCCGATCAGGACCACTTTTTGCAAATGTCAGTAAAGTTGCCAAGGAGAGTGCATTTGGGTGGACATTCAAGGTTGTCGACACAAGCATGGGTCAAAAAGCGGGAAAGGAGGGACGAGGCAAGAAGGTTTCCGAGCAAGGCGACATTACCTTTGAAGAGGAACTGGTCTCATGTTAGAAATGACCGATGTCAAAGACGTCCAGGAAGGTTTGCACTTACATCATACTCGTCGTTGGCCATTTTGAAATTCAAGTAACCAAAAAGCTTGGAGGGTGGGTGTAAAACAGAAGGGCAGGATCGGTGTGGAGGCAAGCTATTGTTGGCGACAGGAGAGGGATGATGTCCCTAGGCGGAGTTGACTCCTGAGTGTCAATGTCACGTGCGCTATCTGCCGCGCAGCGAGTCCAGCTGGACCGCTGGCTGTCTCAACACAAGCAAAAGCCGATCGAGGGAATTGGACGAAATACACAGTGTGTAAGCCACACCTTGGGGCTAGATTTTTGAAAGTCATGGATACTTGAAACACTACTAGTACCATAACGCCATTAGAGGCTCATCTCCTCAGTGGCTAGTGGCACTGGCTACTGGCCTGGTACTGCTACCACATATGTCAAGGTGTCTATGACTCTATATAGTACCATCTACAGTCACATGATCAATGTTGAATCAGATCGCGGGCTGCTTCTCTACAGTTTACAGTGTAGACTGTACACAGTGCCGCCCGGCAAAATAATGTCCAACATGTTCTTCTCTTCAGATCGAGAACTCCTGCTCAGTGGTCTATGCTTCCACGTGTGGATTGACATGGTCTGAGCATGATTGAAACTCTCTCAACATATATCACCACTTTTAGGCACCTAGTCTATCAACTTGTTTCTCATCAACTCCGCTTCTGCTGGAAATATTTGGAAGCGCTCCACAATTGTCCAATGAAGAAGTTGATCTGGAAGAACACGGTGATTGTGACCCTAACCCTACCTAGGAATCTTCACTTTGGACAGCCCCGACCCGACTACAAATCCGTCTTGTGGCCAAGTACATGTTTCGAGAATGCGATATGTAATGCTGCAGCTCATTCAGAAATCTGCTAGGCATCATCACGAAGTCGGCCCGGCTTATGGAGACGGACAGGTGGAAGTGCCCTGAGGCGGGAGTGAGCAGATGGAAGGTACCAATGTAGTTATATCTTTAAGTAAGATGGTGCCTACATCGGGACCACAGCCTTAGCGTCACCTGGAAACATCCGTAGATTGATTCGATAATGTACCAGTCAACCGGGTCTCGGATCTATAAATCTGTGAAGATCCGGCGATCCATGAGCGCACCCATTTTTATGCTTCAAAATCATGTACTAAGCTCAAAGGAGCTAAGGTCTGATGAGCAATTCAACGTGATGACTGAACTCCTTGAGTCTGTATTCCCGCTCGGGGCGCGCTCAGTTCAAAATGTTAGCCCTACCTACTACTGTGACTGAGTCCTGACAGAACACATGCCGAGCGATAAAATCACGTGACATCCAGCAGCCATTCTTCGAAGCCGCTCCAATATCTGCCTGACCGATCTAGCTAGAACTCCCGCCAGGCCAATGTGTCCTTGAGCTGTAAGTTACTCCAGGGTTTTCCATTCGCCTCACGGTATAGCTGACAGCTTGGACTGTTGCCTAACCCTGTGAGGGTGAAGATACCACTGAACATTCAGTGCTTCATTGGTCAAGTAGAATTGCCACAGTAGGGCCAGGTCGGCTCCTTCGGCACATTGATTGATTTCACTGAAGGAGCATGCCACGGGCCCTTCAGGAAACAGTCCAGCAACAGCAGTCATCAAGAAGAACCTCAAGGGGCGTTCATCGGAACATCTTCTTCACGCCTCAAGAGGGGACACAAGTGAATCTATAGGTCCTCGGCAAATTTCCAGTGGACAAACTCACCTACGAGGTAGGATACCATCGATTCTCGGCCAGGTCATATTTTGTCGGTAGGGCAACGGATCATCCTTCGTCTGAGCTGCACTCGCAAAGAAGCCTACTACAATCCTAGTATGAGCCCCTTAGTTAACGATGAGAGTCAAATGAGTCATGACTAATATAAGTACTTTGTCTAGCTTGGTATAATTTCCTGACTTACAATTTGTGATTAGACATTACAAAAGCCCGTGACGGGCCGCCGATCAAAGCCTGAGCCCGTCTTAGTAAAGCCTGAGCCCGGCCCGCGGGCTGCTAAGAACGGGCTTTACTTAATCTAAGGATATATAGATCTTTTAAAGTATAGAATCTAAGACTAGATATCTAATTATACTATAATCTTTTTATAAAAATAGTCTAAGTCCTAAGAATAGCCTATAATACTTACTTTAATTTTGCTAAGAAGCCCGCGGGCCGCCGATTAAAGCCTGAGCCTGGCCTACGGGCCTGACTTAAAGCCCGACCCCGTCTTGGTAAAGCCTGAGCCCGGCCCGCGGGCTCTATAGGCTTTTGTAATGTCTAGAGCTAGAAAAAGCTCGATATATTCCATCGATGGACAAGGACTTGGAAATAAAGATATAGGATTTCAAACCGAGGATAATTGATGAGATACAGCTACGATAGGAGATGCAGCTGCAAAATCAGAGGAGAGGTTGAGGTTCTGTCTTAGTAGGCTATGGACTACGGTGAGCGGCAGAATGATGAATCACATGCCATACAAACAACCAGCACGGTCGAGCGTTAGAAGTTCGGCAGTGTGGATGCCTCCGCTGGGCGAGGGCAGCCATTTGCCAATCGAAAACGTACATCCCGACCGGGGGATAGCTTTTCCGTGGTATCGCGTATTGACTGCAGAAGATTGTGCAATGAGTTTTGTCGATTTGCGGACCTGGTCATGTGAATTACGATCAATTCTCACACAGACGTCCAAAGTCCATCGCAAGAGCCCGCGAGGGTCAATCCCTACGTAGACATCCCCATTGAGTGAAGCAACCAGGACTGATCAAACATAAACTGGGTTCTGCCCGCCGAACAACAGCAAACAAACACGAGGGCGGCCGTGCACGGGATTTTTCTTTCAGCGTGACCCACCCTCGAATATTTAAGCGTTGGAGGACCTCCTACGTGATATGAATGTTCTAAGCTTTTAAATGACTGGGTACTCCATTTCACCTGGTATACCTGTCTTCTGCTTTGGGTTCAACTAGGGCAGGCTCTCATGCTGCCTGTGTCGCAGTTATGGGTGGCGACTCGATCATGAGAGATGCCGATGATCTCTCAGACGTCGATTCTCTAGCCTCCACGGCTCCAAGCGAAACCCAGTCAGAATATGAGGTAGAAGAAGTTCTAGCGGAGCGCATGGGTAGCCATGGAGAGAAGGAATATCTGCTGAAGTGGGGCGGTTATCCTCTCGAGCGAGCTTCTTGGGAGCCACCTGAGTGTTTTCTGTCGATGCAGGAAGTGCTCAAGGCATACCAAGACAAATGCCAAAGGGTCCAAGCGGGAACGGAATCTCCATTCGATGTCGATGCATGGCAGAGAGGCATAGATGCCCATGAGCGGGAGACAGAGAGGCGCAAAAAGGCTCGCCGAGTCAAGCGTCTGGCGAGAGCTGCCCAGAAGAAGGGCAAGAGGAAAGGCAAACCTCTGTCTCGTCCATCAACGTCCGAGTCACGCGAGTCTTCCCCAGACGTGCCTTTGTGCCAAACAAGCCGCTATTCGTCGCCAGACGTACCGCTGATGAAATCAGGAACCGTGACTCGCACTTCTCGTCCACGGTCTGGTTCGAACATGTCTGCTCTTTTTGTTCCTACAGAGTGTTCTGAGCTAGTAGAGCCTCAGGGCGTTGGCTTCGATGGCTTTACGAGCCATCATTCTTCCGAGCAGATGTCTATCTCTAAGGGTAGCGATTCCCTAGAGCCCGTGTCCGTCACTGCCCCACTAGAGAACCCTACTGCTTTGGGGCCCACGAGCTCAGTAGCTCCATTGCCAACAGACCCTCCCATGCTGAAGTCTACCGATCATCCACCGGGTTCTACTGTGGCCATCAAGCCTAGTCAGCCGACTCACCAACCCTCAGACGCTGAAAAAGACGTGCAAGATACTGTTGTGCAAGATCTCGCCGATGCTAACGCCATGCCCAACGGCGCCGGATCTACCGCCGCCGCTAAGACCGTACTTAAGGATTCACAGCCTCGAAAAGCAGGTCCTACTCCGACCACAACTTCTGTTGTTCAGGAGCCTACGGCCAGTCCTCTCAATACAGCATTGAGTTCCAAAAAATCAGGCCCTCGCCAACCCGAGATCGGTCAATTGAATCTGAAGAAACCTTCTGAATTCTCTCCTCGCAAAGCGGCCGGGGTCCCTGTCCCATTTGCTACAATGACTGCATCGGATGCCACTCGACGAAACTCTCAAGGTCTCGCGAAAGTTCCAACCGCGCCAAAGGCTCTCGCCGCTATGGCGGGAGTCAAGAACGCTCCAACCGCGCCAAAGGCTCTCGCCGCTATGGCGGGAGTCAAGAATGCTCCAACCGCGCCAAGGGCTCTCGCCCGTTTTCATACCTCGTTCTCGTCAAACCTGGACCCTATATCCAGCTCCGTTCAGGGACCTTGTCGGTCAGTCTCAGACAGATACCGGCCCAGGTCACCTGACGCTACTACCGAGCCTTTCAGAGGCGATTGCTACAGACCAGGCAGCGAATTTCGTCGAAGTCCACCTTGGCAGCCTGGCCATCGTGACAGATCTCCTCCATCAAGGCCCCTGTCTCGATCACGCTCTCGCTCTCGCTCTCGCTCTCGCTCTCGCTCCCCCCTACATCGTCAATGGTCACCCACCACACGTCGTCGTTCTCCAGCACCTCGACGTGTATACGATTCCTTTCGTCCATCTGCTCATTCCCCATTTATCACTGTTACTCGTCCCAAACCATCGGCATTTAGACCTGCCGATCCCGGGAAAAAACCACCAGAGTCGGCGTCGGAGGTTGCGGCCCCAGCATCTGCACCCGAGCCAGCCCAAATCCAAAAACCAGAGATGTCTGTCAAGGATCAGATCATGAGGATGCCGCGAGGCATACGAAAACCGGGGGCTCGCTTATTTCAATCGCCCTACTTCGCGAACCCAGGTGAGATCCTGGCACATATCTTTTTTGGGCCCGAGAGGCATCGGATAGGCCCTGTTCGATTGTGTGGGCTCACATCGGAGGAGAAGAAAGAATTGCTCGCGAAAAAGGACGCCCACGGCCGAATCGCTAGGGTAGAAATGTGGTTTAGAGACACTTACACGCGGGATCAGTATGACAAGCTCTGCAAAGTGGAGAGCGACGCCGGCGGTGTCAACAGGGTCATCCGCACTTGCTGGATGGAAGGTTTCGAGGACAGTAATCCGGAGATTTTCCATATGTCGGAATGTCTCTTTCATGAAAACATCGTCGGTACCTACTACCCGCCCGGTCTCAACGGATATGCCTGGGTCGCATATTCGCCAAAATCTTCAGACTTCAAGCATCTTGCCCTTGGATATCCTGATATTGATCCCGGGGTCCCAATACATCTGGCGGTGCGCACGCCATTACCACCCTTGGAGGCGCTGAAAGATATTGCTAGGAAAGAGGCCCCAAGGCTATCTGAGACGACTTTGGTACGCCGTGATGTAGATTCACAACTTAACAAGATAACCGAGAGCCTTCGCAGTTCGCCTGCGGTCAATCTCTCCCTTCAGAGTTCCGTGGAAAGCTCGAGACCTGATCCCCCACTCGACGGACGATTATCCGGACAGAAAGAGGTTGAAGTGCCTAATGCGCCTTTACTCGCAAGCACAGTTGCGCCTACACGTTCTGTTAATGTTTCCGCAGATCCTCGCCTGAAGCGGCTACCGCCCACGTCTCTGAGGACTCAAAATTTACGCACAGGACTAGCACAGGCACAGTCTGCAGGGGCCGGGCCCATGCCGGCCAGCGGGGACGCCCCTTTGGTAGATACGTTGGAGTCACCAGCAGGCAGCAAATCGGCTATTCTACCACCCTCGTCCGCGCCGCAATCGATTCTGGATACGTACTTCGAGCAAAATCTTGAAATTCAATTCAAGGAGCTCTCCCGTGTCAGTGAGAGACATGATGGATCCCGGGCAGACATGTTCTATCTTCACATGCCGGAAAACGAAGCAGACGGACCCGATCATCTGCTTCTGAAAGGGTGGCTTGAGATGAACGGGGCGATGGTATGGAGCGATTGGGCGAAGTTTGTGAAAAACGCCAAGTATGGCGTGGTTCTGGTATGTACACGAGGTATCGTCGTGCGTTAAGTGGTTGACTAACACTCGTCGAGTTCCACGAAACCTTCGGCAAATTCCACACGCTGCGCCCGCATATCCGGACTGTACAATCTACACCGACTATCGCTTTCTGGGTTTACCGTACTTCGAGGCCGCTCGACCACCCCGATACACGCCACTGCCAGCCAGGGGCCTTCTTCCAACGCATCTTCATCCGTGGTGGCGTGTACCTACTCACCGAGGACGTCATGGATGATCTGAAGCAAGCCATCGTGCTTTTCAGCACGTTCCAAAACTTCCAGCGGAAGGATCCGGGGATTTGGAAGGTCGCCTGTTGGCCGAATTTGCTGGAACGACTTGCGCAAATAGCTGCCGATCCGAGTCGATCCCAGAATGAGTTAAAACTGTAAGAGACATTCAAACTACGGTGGATGAGTTTTGAGTATATAAGTGGTTGAATTTACTCTAACAACATCTTTTCAGGCTTGATATTGTCGAGTACTTTATCAACACTATTAACTCTATCGGTCAGCAACCCTTTACAGCCGACAGTCTAGATGCGAGAAACCTGGACCGCCCGACGAACAACGTCCTATCACTTTCCGTAGCCGGATATGGCGATTCAAAGCGTCAGCCGTCATCAGGGTCACTCCGTGACCTCACTCCTGCCCAACACAAGGCGGATCATCTCGCCGAGTACTTCGCAGGATGGACTCTTGAGAACGTCGTCCACTTCCGCAAAGCCTACATAATCACCAACTGCAAGAGCGAGGCCTTGATCAAACGATGGAGTTCTTGGGGCCACGTCAACGTTTCTAGTATGGAGGCTTTCCTGGACAAGTACAAGATACACAACGTTGACAGTGAGGTGGAACGCATCGTCGATCGAATGAGCAAGTCTGGTAGACTTACTATGTCGGTTCCCTTGAACATGGGGTCTGATAGAATCCCAGCGGATCTGTCTTCTCCTAGCCAAACGCCGCAAACACCCCACACGGCGGGCTTACCGACTCCGCGAGAACCACGCGCGGACGCTTCCAATGGCACAATGCCAGATGGATGGAAACCTCCTGCCCTTCAGAACGCCACGGGCTTTGCTGGCCCATATCGTTAAATGAGATTCCTCCTTCTTTACCCTTGATTTTCCTGCAATCTTAAGTCTCGAACAGGGCGTTTCATTCTACAAGCGAGCGGGCTCATCACGATTTTCTGATACCTCAATGTCTGAATTAATGTCAGATACGACTTTTATGTATTCCTAATGTATGCAAGCTTGTGACGAGGGTCGAGACTCTTTTGCCTTGAATAATTTGGCATAGTATGGGCTTATTTTCGTGTTTATGATAGTACTCGACGCTCCAGATTCAGCAGCCGCGCAGTGCTAATTTCCACTATCAACACCAGATCGAACTTGCGCTCGAAGTCTCTCCATAAAGGAGGTATTTGAGGACTTCCTTGAAGGTGATTGTAAACACCACAAATATGATTTGAAGAATCAAGATGGTGATCCAGGGGCTAATAAACCAAATGAATTGAAGATACGTTCCATCATTTACAGTTGCTTCTAAATATCGGCCTCCATGATGCTGCGAACCTACCAGCGGACATGGCGTCTACTCTTTCCCGGCCGACAGACGGGTGTTATTGTCCTCCAGTATTCCAGTCTTCCTGCATTCTACTGTAGAGTGTACAGGCAGTAAGGTATTCATTCCGCTCTTGTAAGAAAAAGAGAAAAACAATACCAGAACGCGGCCATTAACATCTTCTGCGCCCCCTATTTCCACGATCCACCTCATTCTTTGCGGTCTCCATATGCTCGTTCCGTCTGTGGCAACTTCTATATATGCCAATCGGGCATCTTCCAGCTCGACTCGGGAGTAGTCTACGGCCTATACCCCCTCGTGACTATAGCCCCCAGACTAGAAATACCAATATGGTGTTTCTAGGGACCGCTGCGCACTCTAGGACTCTGATTTGCCTATAGTCTTTTTTTTCGCGATTATTAGAAGTTCATTCCGACCCCTGGTGAGTGTGAGATACATGATGATAGATAGTATTTTTTTTCTAGCTTCCGAGACTCGAACTGTATCATTGAATTTTAGTTCCCCTGCCGGAGCTGGTGAAAAAGTGGGAGAGACCGAGAAATGTCAGCAAAAGAGTAACAGAGCAAGGAATGGCTTCAGAGTGAAGATCGGTCGCTCCTTCCATCGTGCTCACATTGCTTCTGAACAACTTCCAATTCTAGGTATATGTAGTTGTGAACGGTGTTCTTGTGATTGGTACCGAGCAAGCTTCTTAGGAAGAACCAGGAACTGAACTCAAAGTGCATATATTACTACAGTTCGCTTGTCTCTCATTACATAACCGTCTTGACATAGGCGGGCACCGGGCTCAATTGTTGCGGTCATGACGATGTGAGAACCTACAGATAATAGCACAAGGAAAAAAAATATCAATCATGATGCTGATCATTAATAATGCTATCGGCGACATTCCGAACAAGATGCGTATTTCCAGCAAGCCCGCCTCCTGGTTTATCCCGTTGCGCGCTTGCGATATTCCTGGAAGTTTGCGGCATGGTGGACGTCTTCAGGGCCATTCACCGCCTTGGCCTTACTCTCTTTCTTCTTGCCACGACTTGTCTTTTCCTCCCACTCGCTTTCCTCGGCAGAGATCATGGCATGAAATTTCCCACCTTGGCCGCGAGCAAGATAGACAGGTTGCTCCTTGCGATCAGCTACTGCTTCTGTCACAAGGACAAATTTGACGCTAGAGCCGGGTGCCTCAAACATGGCATCACTCAATATGGTTTCCATCTCTGTTCGAAGAGCGCGAGCACCAGTACCCATCTTGAAGGCGTTGGCTGCAATTTTGTGCAAAGCCGGTGTCGTAAATCGAAGCTCGATACCCGAGAGAGAGAATAGCGTTGTGTATTGCGCCATGAGAGAGTTTCGAGGCTCGGTGAGAATTCGGAGGAGAAGTGGCTGCGTTAAGGTGGAGAGGGCAGCGTTGACTGGGATCCGGCCAATCAACTCAGGTATGAAGCCGTAGCTTTGCAGGTCTGCAGGTGTAAGAAGGTCAAGAGCATTAAAATATGTGGGATCGGTGCTTTGAGCACTGGGCGAGGCGGAGTTGAAAAAAGGCAGATGTGTCTTGTACAGTGCCTCTTCTTCGGACCCTGGCCGAATCGGCTGCGGCTCGTCCGACGCTGCATCGGATGTTCCTGGGAGACCGCTCGAAATTGAAGACCCACGCACTGGCTGTCCAAACCCTATGGATCCTCTGGAGATTCGATCCATCACTACTTTGTGAAGGCCCACGAAAGCACCTGAAAATATGAAGAGAATATTCTCTGTTCGCACATTATAGACCTCGCCCTTGGCCGCTGGGGTATTGTTATGCGGGTGGAAGGGCGTCGAACCGAGGGGGCTATTCGATGGGTAAGAGTTCGGCGGGCTGTTTGATCGAGGGTTCTTCTCTGCTTTGGCTTGAACCTGCACCGTTGTCCCTTCAATGATCTTCAGGAGAGCCTGTTGGACGCCTTCCCCGCCAACATCCTTGCCGTGGCTCACTTTCGCCGCCGCAATCTTGTCCACCTCATCGAGAACGATGATGCCTCTCTCGGCTTGTTCCACGTCGTAGTTTGCGGCCGCTAGTAGTCGGTGAACGCACGTTTCGGCATCCTCGCCAATGTAACCGGCTTGCGTAAATGGTGTGCAGTCTGAAATACTGAATGGGACGGATAACACACGGGCAAGCGTCTTCGCCATAAGCGTCTTTCCTACGCCCGAGGGGCCGAGGAGCAAGATATTAGATTTCTCGAGTTGTAATGGCGATGTATCGACCAGATCCCTTTGCTCTAGTAGGCTGTTCTGGTGCGGTTTCTGATTGTTCGAGGTGCCAACTGTCCGTTGTTGACCGGGATATTCATCTATCGAACCATTGCTGATAGTCAGTCTTGTGTTGTTCTTCTTGCCTCTCTGCCGAATACTACAGCATGAGTAAATGGATGGACGTGACTCACCTTCCAAGGGATGGCTCTCCAAGGCTTCTCTTCGTTGTTTCTTGGCCAGTAGTTCTTCCGCCTCCTCCTCTCGACGCCGAATCTCCTGCACTCGCTGATAGTGATTGAAGACCGCTACACTGAGAACCTTCTTCGCGCGATCTTGGCCGACAACATACTGATCCAGATACTGCTTCAAAACTTTGGGAGTGATGCGCGGGGCGCCAAAGGCTGGTGTGGATCCTAAAGGACCTGTTGTTGGCAATCCTGTCTCATAGCTGCCCGTGAAAGGTTGGGTTGTGAAATCTGATCGATGGAATTGGGATGAGGTTGGAAAGGTCGAGGATGAGGAGAGCATGCGCGGTTGGGGAACTGACACCGGACTCGGCCGACATCGGACATGGCCAACTGGTCGGATAGCCCCTTGATGGCGGCGTAGTCCCCGTGCTGGAGCCAGGAGGCACTGACGCTGGAATGACTGCCACTGCATGGCGCAAAGACAGCGCCAGCTGGTGAGGAAATCAGTGAGAGAGAAGGAGATGGAATGAGGAGATGGTGCGGAGGGGATCGTTCAGATACGGAGCTTTCCCCGCAGCACGAGATACGGCAAGGAATGGGGGTGGACCCACCCGCATTCGACACGATCGGGCTGGTGAACTTGTCGCTGAGGATGCAAGGATACAGTCAGATATGCTAGATTCTAGGTTCCTCGATTTGGCAGGAAAATGGACAATAATATCATAGATTCCTTGGATTGATTGAATGATGACTGAGTATTGGAAACAGTCTGGCTTTAGGACATCTATAAATTAAAAGGTTTCAGACGTCCGCGGTTAAGACCCTGGGAAGATAAAGGCACCAGTGGATAAAGTTACTACGAAGGGACATGAATATACCATCCACTAAAGTGGATGCTATCTAATTCTTATTTCTATCCGGTCAAGCTCGGATAGTATGAATTGTGAGACCAGTATCTTATCTGGTGCTGTCGTCACGCCTATATACAGTAGGTAGCCAAGTCCATCATTATGCCCTAAGAATCGTTCTCTTCTGGCAAACGGCGCAACTAGCCAGAGATAGCCCCGATGCAGGTACATGATTAACATCGTCGAGGTCACCAACAACGACAAGCATTGGCCTGTAAGATTTACTATCGACCGTCGTGATCAAACCCTTGTTAAGGTTCTGCAGACTGCACCTTTGCAAGCCACTCGGAGTCACTCAAGTCGGTTAAATGTGGGTTTAAAGGCACTGTTGGCTTTGGCTGGGCGACTGAGTGCTTTCACGAGCTATAACTATGATGCGAAAAACGAGCTCCGTCAATACAACAAGCACAGATCAGAGTACGAGAATCCTCGAATCTGAATCGCTTGGGATGTGCCTGTGAATTTTCCTCCAGGGGCTATTTTCCACCGGTTGGGGAAGATCTCAAGATATTCACATTGATGGCACGGTCCACCAGTCTACCCATCTTCCCATAATATACCATGCTAACTGCAATCACATCTCCTTTTTCCGTTCTCCAACATTACTCCGTAGCAGATCGGGGCAAGACACAACATGGATGATTGGCTTGTCAGAGAGTGGCTGATCTAGATAGAGACTAGTACATCCTAAACCTTCTAGTTTGAGACCATAAGCACAGCCGAATGGAGGCCTAATTTTTTCTGCTTACCACTGTAAGATGCGCTGAGCTAGCTGGTGCCCATACTCAAATGAAGAAAACGTGCGCCCCAAAAACCTAGCGCGACCTTGCCAATGCCGAAACTATCAATGCGATATACTCATTGCTTACCACAGCTGTCGATGTAGGGAGAGCAGGGGGCCAAGGACAAAAGTGTGAGGGCATAAGCTTGGGCTATAAAGAGAGAGCTTCAGTCTCATTCGCAGTGAAATTTTCTTCACAGAGTCACCCCAAAGCTTTCAGTCATGATCGGCCCCCTCTTACTGCCACTGCTTTTCACTGCAGTAATCGGGTCTCCCCATCACAATGAGTGTCGTTGTCGGCCCACTGACAGATGCTGGCCATCCACCAAGGAGTGGACAGCGTTGAACAAGACCCTCAATGGGAACTTGGCTGCAGTGCGGCCAGCTGCGTTCGTCTGTCACGTCCCTGATTATAATGCCGAGGCGTGTCAAGTTGTCAAAGATTCATGGTCAAACTCCGTCTGGCGCTCCTCACAGGCAGGGGCAATCCAATGGGAAAATTGGGAAGCTTGGCCGGAGCGCGACCAGTCATGCTACGTCGAGTCTCCCGAGGATAGTGTCTGTCAGCAAGGTCGCATCTCGCTGTTCTCAGCAAATGTGCAAAACGCAAAGGATATTCAACATGCCGTCCGGTTTGCAGGTAACCACAACCTGCGACTTGTCATCAAGAATAGCGGACATGACTTTTTGGGACGCTCAGCGGCGCCCGAGTCTCTGCAAATTCTGACACATAGTATGACGGACATTGAGATGCTGGACAACTTCATTCCCAAAGGTGGGAAAAAAAGCGAAGGCACTGCAATGAGAATTGGCGCCGGTGTGCAACTGCCTGAGATGTACGTTGCAGCTGCCAAGCAGGGCCGCGCTATCGTGGCTGGCGCTGCCCATACAGTCGGTGCAGCGGGCGGATACATTCAAGGAGGCGGCCATTCTCCCTTTGGGCAGTGGAAAGGCCTGGCATCCGATAATGCATTGGAGTTTGAAGTGGTCGTGGCCGATGTAAGTCCCTTTGACCGGCAGAACCTCCGAAAGAAACCCCGTATCAAGCCTGGTCCAGTAGCTGACAAACGGAATCAGGGATCGCTGGTCACTGCGAATGCGTACCAAAATAGGGACCTGTTTTGGGCATTGAGAGGTGGCGGTGGTGGAACCTTTGGGGTCGTGACTCGTGTTACCATCCGAACATTTGAAGACGTCCCAGTTGTCGCATACAACTTTAACATGACGACTGCGGGTGGTGATCCCCGTTTCTGGGACGTTTTCGCAGAGTGGCATTCGGCGCTTCCTTCAATCAATGACGGCGGAGGCTCGGGTTATTACTATGGGTTTCCAAATCTGCCTTTGAGCGCAACCGAGAGCGTATCCACGATATTTGCGTTGTTGTTCTTCACCGAGAAAACTAGCGTCGCCGAAGTCGATGCGCTGTTCCAGCCACTCGCCTCCAAGCTGCGTCAGATGGGCAATGTGCAGGTCGTGAACGAGTCTATTGCGTTCCCATCTATTATTTCGACCGTTTCCACCTTGATCCTCGGTGGCTCGGCTGATAGCACGGGCCGGACCTCGATGTTGGCTTCTCGACTCTATTCGAAAGACCTCATGTTGACCCCCAATGGGCCTCAGCGGCTGGCGAACGCGATCAAGAGTATCAAGTGGGATCCTGGACATGAGTTCATCGGCCACGTCGTGGCCGGGGGCGCTGTTGCTAGAAACGGGGAGACGATTGACAGTGCCGTCAACCCAGCCTGGCGCAGGACTATCTCGCATCTGCTGTTTGCGAGATCATGGAAGGCCGCTGAGACAACGCCCGCTCAGCAGGCGGCGATCATAAGGAACATGACCGATGTAGAGATACCGATCCTTCGTTCCGTGGAAGGAGAGGATCAGATGGGAGCGTATCTGAACGAGGCCAACGGGTATGAGCCAGACTTTCAGGCCTCGTTCTGGGGTCGCAACTACCCGCGTTTGTATCGCATCAAGCAAAAGTGGGATCCTGAGGGGCTTTTCATCACCCGCAAGGGAGTCGGTAGTGAGGATTGGGATGACGCGGGCCTGTGCCGTAGGGGACACTAGAAGGTTGGGACTCTGCACGGGGGTAAGGCTGGAAGATGCAGCCTCGATTACGGGTCTTGGGTGAAAGATGAACTGTTGATACACACTCCCACTTGCTATTATACATGACCATTCGACTGTCCCAAAGATCATTATTATTGCAGCCCCATGATCCTTCGGAACCCTGCATTGTTGACGATGAAACTGGATCCACGTGACTCCACGCCTGTGCCCCTGAGCTTCTCTAGCTTATCACCATGAACCGCCAATCCAGCCAAAAACTCTGCCAGAGGCGCAGTTGGGCTGTGCATTCCTTTGTAAAAAGTCCTGATCGGTGGTCCCAACAGATGCTCCCCGAACTGCTTGAGAACAGACCCTTGTGGTATCCACGGCAGAATCGCTTGGTGGCCGCTCGGGTCGACATATGCCGGGCGGACAATCAGGGCTTTGAACCGGGGATTTTGGGCTTCCATCTCAGCCAGAGCTGACTCTGTCTCTCCCTTGACCCGTCCAAAGAGTGCTGTGAAGAGTCCCGGCTTGCTTGTAGCGCCCTCACCAGACACGAAGACAAATTTGAAATCTTCTGAATCATGTAATTTGAGCTGCTGAAACGCTTCGGCTGCTTGCAGTGTCATGTCCTTGGTGATATGAATGTATTCGCTAGTGGCCAGAAATCATCATTTCAGCATCCGCAACAGAGTCCATTGCATGTTTCAGATTTGAGCATCCTTTTTTTTTTGCAGGTAGGAATAGGTACAGCAGTAAACTCACTCTTTGGATACTGCAGTTTGACTGATCCCAAGCGCCCATACACAACCTTGCGCCCCATGCAAGCGTTCTTTCAAGGATGTGTCATAGTTCTTGAAGTCATGCAGAATCACTTGAATACGATCATCCGTGTTGTTCTCTAACATAGGAACAGGCCGACGAGTGAGAATTGAGATCTTGGAGATGTCCGTTCGGGCTCTCAGCGCCACGAGGGCTGCCGAGCCCACGAGGCCGGTCGCACCAGTCAAAATAACGTGCATATTAGAGAGGGCTTCAATGATTGATATCTGAGTCAGAAACAATGGAACAGTAGGAATGATTTGTTGGGATTGCTTCTGAAATGTAACCCGGCACTTCTAAGGCGAAAGGTCTGGATAGTATTTATTTACAAAGAGCTATTAGGCTTCTGTTGCGCTCTGTCTCGCTGACACTGTCATCAAGGCGGCGCTTTTAGATTTAATTCCGTTGATTCTAACGGCTGGTCTAGCTCGATTCAGGTCAAGTGCGTGGTTTCCAATTGTCCAGATGTTCAGGGATCCGGACTTTGGTGGGTTATCTAAAGCGCTTATCGCCATTAACACCGAGCCCTTGCCGCTAAGCGGGAGTGAGATATGCTGCGACACAGCGGCATCCCTACTACCTTCGTGGTATACATCCATTAAATGTCTGGTAAAATGGAGCTAAGCTATGTGACTGGGTACAGGATCGTGTGGATCATGGATAGGTTTGAAGAGTAACCTTAAGGTTAGCGACCATTACTGCTTAGTGAACCCATATAGTCACAATATCAACTTACGTGGAACGACATACGAGATCTGTCTATACGAGTAGCTCCATATCAACATTGTCTGGCTTACTCACACAACTCGGAACCCAACTCATCATCCTACCGATGAAAAAAAATGTAAGTATGAAAATATCGAGAAAGTGGCAATGTCAGTCATGGATTGGTAAAATGATCGCATTGCACAATGCTCAGGGTGGAGAGCCTCTGGGCATGCGGGTTCCCTGCGGGTATTATACGGCTAATCATATACAGGTAGAAGACCTGAGGGACATAATGCGCGCAACAAAGATCTCACTTCTAGCTATCAGTGGCAGCTATGGGAGTCATCGTTCACTTCGCTGAGTTGTGATCGGCAAGAACCCGCTTTTCTCGGTCCACGACAGGCAACCGACTACATCACGCGTGACGAGAGCCTTGGGCTTCGAAGCCGAACGGAATATTTATGCAGGCAGAACTGAAATTCGACGGGGGTATCATTTGGAATCGCCAAGGGGGGGGGGGGGGCGCAAGTGGAGAGGAGAGAGGAAAGAAAAGCGTCAATCGATCTTATTTGTTGGATTTAAAGACAGGTTGTTGTTCCATTGTCTGCGAGATGAAGTTGCGGAGCGCAGACCAGCGATTGGTGGTTGAAGCAGATTCTGGCGCAACTTCTGTAGAAGAAGGCTGGATGGTGGCCAATTGAGCCATGTTCTTTGCGAATCGATCCCGTTCCACCTTCTCCAACTTCTCACGTCGCTTCATGGCGCCGGGTTTATGACGAATGGTTGTTTGTTTGATAACATTGACTTGACTAGTAGCGTTGTCCTGGCCGGCCTCTGGCAGCGCATCGGCGAGCGACTCGAGGTTAGCGACCAGCTTCTTGGATGGGCGACGCTTCTTGGGTGTTTTGGAATTTTTGGCAATCTTGGACATCAGGGTTGCATGCTTGATTTGGCGCTTGTCTTTCTTGCTTGTGCGAAAATCATTGCCAAAGGCGCTTGCCTTGACTGGAGCTGACCGCGTTGTCTTGGCCTTCATCTTTGTTGGTGGTGACGAGGAGTGATTCTGTGAATGTCGGCAGTATAAGTTTGGAGTGTCCGAAGATAGCAGTGCAGTGCATGTGAGAGAGAGCGACACACAAATTTGCGGCGAGCCTCTGCCCGTGCTTTGCCGCCTTGGCCCGTGACCTCGCGTGACTCGAGACTCGACCGAGTCAATCGTTTGGTTGTGCCTTCGGTGAAGCCCCACCGGACGAGGGGTCTTCATCTGGCCCGTTGATCTGTTGAGCGGTCCATCAATTATAACTGACTACAAGTACTAACTTACTAAGTACTAAGTACTAGTTAACTACTAGGTAGTTAGTTACAGTTAGTTAGTAGGTAGTCCACTACACTACTACACAGTACACTCTACTCTCTAGCACTCTACTGTCCACAGGAGTGCCTAATCCATATAACTTTCACTTAGGCATTACTTCTAATGAATTACCCTACGTACATTCACACCTTCCAATATGACTGTTGTCTTCTGACTCTAGCTCGTTGAATCTACAATCTAGTATCTACAACTGCAAGGCCGTCGATCATGGATAGTAAGGTAGTATTCCATTCTAGGGTAACGGCGATAGATAAAGCACGCTAAGGTTCATCCTCCCATAAGAAAAGCATACATACTCCGACGGAGAGCAAGTCTCTGTTGAACTCCCCCTATCGGTCGCACGTGTAAATGTCGATCAGACAGGTATGAACAGATAGCCCATAGACAGATTCCTTTTTGATAAAGGAATTGTCCACGTCAATTGGATTGATCAGACATTATTGTCCACTGAGCTCCTCGATTTCGGCGGGAATTTGCCTCCATGTGACGTGACCCTGATAAACCTTCCCGAGCCCGGTCCACCTCGTATCCTCTTTGTCATCCTCTGAGCGAGTGGAATAAAGACACTTTCTCGATTTCGGTCTGACATCAGTGCATCACTGTCCAACTGTCAACACACCAAGCTGCTGGTCTCCGAACCTGTTCGGGCCCCGCCCTGTCACATCCATTCCCGACAAATTTATACCACCACCACCACCACCACTCCCGCCCCTTGTGGATGTTCTTTCCCAAATACCCTCCGTTTCGGACCTGCTTTCCTGGCCAGTCTCTTTCCAAATTTTTGCCTCGGTTGCCTCTGGCCACTCGGACCCAAACCACAAGCTGTTCACTCCGGCTGTCCCCGTCGGCGTCTCTAGCGTGCTTTAAATCCGCTTCCTCTTCCGATCCAGTCGCCGCACGCAGATCATTTTCTTCCGAGCCGCCGTTCAAGATGGGATCTCTCGGCCCGTATCAGCGCAAGCACAAGGTGTCCGTGGTAGGCTCCGGTAATTGGTAAGTCATCGAAAGGATCAACATACACAACGCTTCCCACCTACCAGTCCGCCCCGGGCTGGTCTTCTCCGACACGAGCTTGGGCTTGCAATCTTCATGGTCGATGGTCTAAATAACCTCACTCGTACAGGGGTACCGCCATCGCCAAGATTGTCGCCGAAAATGCAGCAGAGAACTCCGATGTCTTTGACAAACAAGTGGAGATGTGGGTGTTCGAAGAGAAGGTTGAGATTGGAAAGGATTCGCCGCATTACGATGCCAGTGTTTCGGGCCCTCAAAACTTGACCGACGTGATCAATCGCGTTCACGAAAACATCAAGTATCTCCCCGGAGTCTCGCTGCCCACTAACTTGCACGCCAACCCGTCGATTGAAGACGCTGTCAAGGACGCCACTATCCTCGTGTTCAACCTTCCTCACCAATTCATCCTGAAAACCTGCCAGCAAATCCAGGGCAAGATCTTGCCGTACGCGCGTGGCATCTCCTGCATCAAGGGTGTTGATGTCAGCGAGGAAGGAGTCAGCCTGTTCTCCGAGAGGATCGGCAAGACTCTGGGTATCTATTGCGGTGCCCTCTCCGGTGCGAACATCGCCAACGAGGTCGCTCGGGAGAAGTGGTCGGAGACCTCGATCGCGTACGATCCCCCACACATGGACTCGAAAGCGGCCACTCCTCAGCGTTCTCCAACCTCATCCCAGGTCGATCTCGTGCAATTCCAGCACCGGGACACAAGTGGTGAGATCTCCAAGGTGAAGCTTCAAGCTCTGCCGTCTGACTATCCACCCATCAACCACGACATCCTCAAGACGCTCTTCCACCGTCCGTACTTCCACGTCCGAGTCGTCAACGACGTTGCCGGTGTTTCCATCAGTGGTGCGTTGAAGAACGTGGTGGCGATCGCTGCGGGATGGGTGGAGGGAATGGGATGGGGTGATAACGCGAAGGCTGCAGTGATGCGCGTGGGTCTCATGGAGATGGTCCGATTTGGGGACAAATTCTTTGGTGCCACCATCGACCAGCGTACCTTCACCGAGGAAAGTGCGGGCGTTGCGGATCTGATCACGAGTTGCAGTGGTGGCCGTAACCACCGTTGTGCCAAATTGAGTGTCGAGCGTAACCAGCCCATCGAGGAGATCGAGCAATCCGAGCTCAACGGACAGAAGCTGCAGGGCACCTTGACCGCCGTCGAGGTCAACAGCTTCCTGAAGAAGCAAGGCCTGGAAGAAGATTTCCCCTTGTTCACTGCCGTCTACCGTACGTTCTTGGCTCTTTGGTCTGTCATTCACGGTTCATTCTTGACTGACACTTTCTTCAGGTATTCTCAAGGGTCAAATGAAGGTTGCGGAGATTCCTTCCTACATCGAGCGGTAAAGACACCAGTCCGGTCCTACATCACTTTTTTCTTGCCTCCTAGCCGTGACATTAATTCTCCGATTGTGTTTTCTCTACAGCCCTCCTACCTCTCGCGCCCCGACTTCCACTTCCACTTCTGCCCCCGAGTCAAATGAGGGTTGCGATGATGCCCGACAAACCCATGCGCGACTTTAACATCTCTTTGGGGCTCGGCTGATGATCAGGCCTTTCTTGTTGCTGCGCTATTTACTATTTGTACATATCCACTATGAGCATTGAACTTCTAGCCAATGGACTCTTCGTAAGACATCATCTTCAGGATCTCATAGTAAAGGGAGGGAAAGAAAGAGAAGAAAAACAAAATTAACCAGACAACTTGTTCGGCGTGAAATGTCGGTTCTTGTTACGGTCTAGACCTTGACCGCCAGGGACCAGGGGAATCGACTTGTCTTGATCCTGCTGGTCTGACTGGGGACCATGACTCCTTTCCATCCAGGGTCGACCCAATGGACGGTCTGAGGTCCAAGCCTGATTTTGCGCGGTTGCGGTCTAGCCACACGGCGCTAAGAATATCCTGCCAAGGTGTGTGCCGGCATCCCCGTAAATGATGTCACTCTCGGCCTGGAGAGCTGGTCCGTCGGCGTGGGGATCGGTCAGCGTGTCTCCGCACTCTAGGTTGTTTTCTTTTTTTCCAACCTCACTTCTTCAGTCCTCCCTCGCAGCCAATTCTTTCAGGGCATCTCACTCGCTTGGAAAGGTTCTGCAGCTTTCTCAGCTTTAGAAAACTAGATAGTTTCGAGCTGTCGAAGTCTGCACGAGTCTTCCTCAATTCCTTCCCATCTCATTCTCCCCCGCAATTGCTCCGTGCGCCGATCACCATGGGGCCCTCACGTCAAGTGTATCTGCTTCCATTGAAGGACGATGGCTCTCCAGATGTCCCCGGTGGATACGTCTATCTTCCTTCTCCGGGTGATGAGGGTTACGTGCTTCGTTTCATCATCGAGGGAACCAGCTCAATCTGTCGACAAGGTAGCCTCTGGGTCAACATCCCAGCGGAGGGGAAGGCATTTGAGCGAAGCTCGTTCCGCGAGTTCAGGTACCATTACTCCTCTGTCCCTGTCAAGTCGATTTCTCGAGACCATTGGCAGCGTGAGGTCCGTTCGCTGAACTGAAATAGTTTAAAGCCCGATTTCAATCGCAACATTCAGATCGATGTACCGATCTCGAGTGCAGGCGCATTTGCCTACTATACGACTTTCACCCCGCTTCCGGAGTTCTCCGTAGAAGCCGTGCCCACGCCAAAGCCTACACAGACTCCTGTTCACTACATCGATGTATCGCCGAAACTGACCCTCCAGGGGAAGCATTTGCCTCTCAATGCGCTCTCCATTTTCTCACTGATCTCCAAGTTCATGGGAGCCTATCCTGGAGATTGGGATAAGCATTTGCATGGCATTAGCCAGCGAAACTATAATATGGTCCACTTCACACCTCTCATGCAACGCGGCGACTCTAATTCCCCCTACAGTATCTATGACCAACTGACCTTTGACTCTGCCTTCTTCCCTAATGGCGAGAAAGACATTGCGTCGCTCGTGTCACGCATGGAGAAGGAATACGGTCTGTTGACGCTGACTGATGTTGTCTGGAATCACACAGCCAACAACAGTGCTTGGCTGGAGGAGCATCCGGAGGCCGGCTATAGTGTGGAAACTGCTCCCTGGCTGGAGTCGGCGCTGGAGCTGGATACTGCGCTATTGAAGTTCGGTGAGGACCTGGAGAGTCTGGGTCTTCCGACTGAGTTCAAGTCTGCGGAAGACTTGGTGAAGGTCATGAATGTTCTGCGTAAGAATGTCATCGATGGGATCCGGCTGTGGGAATTCTATGCACTCGATGTGGAGGCCAACAAAAAGAAGATTCTGGACGCTTGGAAGGGCGAGAGAATCGCCCCCGCGGCTATCCGGCACATCGACCTCAGCAAGTTCGGTCAACTCACACCCAAGGAGCAAGCCCAACTAGTGCGCGACCACGGCATCCCTGCTTCAATGCAGGTCTATGGGCGATTCGGCCGTTCCGTGGACGCCAAGTTTGGCGCCGCTGTCCTGACGGTGCTGCACGGGGATTATAACCAGGATTCGTCTGCCGCCGAGGCATCCATCTCTACCCTTCTTGATGCGGTCAACTTGCCGCTCTACGAGGAATTCGACAAGGATGTTGCGGATATCATGGACCAGCTTTACAACCGCATCAAGTATCTCCGCGTCGACGACCACGGACCCAAGCTGGGCCCTGTGACCAAGGAGAATCCTCTGATAGAGACATACTTCACGCGTCTTCCTCTCAACGAAGTTACGAAGAAACACAGCCCCAAGGCACTCGCTCTGGTAAACAATGGCTGGATCTGGAATGCCGATGCAATGCGTGATAACGCTGGACCTGACTCCAAAGCCTACCTTCGCCGCGAGGTCATCGTGTGGGGCGATTGCGTGAAGCTTCGTTATGGTCAATCGCCAAAGGACAACCCCTTCCTCTGGGATTTCATGACCAAGTACACCCAGTTGATGGCCAAGTACTTCAGCGGTTTCCGCATTGACAACTGCCACTCTACCCCACTGGTTGTTGCGGAGTACCTATTGGACAAAGCGCGCGAGGTGCGCCCGAACTTGACCGTCTTCGCAGAGCTATTCACGGGTTCCGAAGAGGCTGATTACGTCTTCGTCAAGCGCCTTGGAATCAACGCCTTGATTCGTGAGGCTATGCAGGCTTGGAGCACTGCTGAGCTCAGCCGGCTGGTTCATCGTCACGGTGGACGCCCGATTGGAAGCTTCGACGTGGATCTGCCATCGGCTGGCAGCAGTCATGCCATTGCATCTGCAGAGTCTGGAGTGGCTTCGGAAGAGATCACGCACATCCGCCCATCCCCAGTCCAGGCCCTGTTCATGGACTGTACTCATGACAATGAGGTTCCTGCCCAGAAACGTGATGCCCGTGACACCCTGCCCAACGCTGCACTCGTCGCCATGTGTGCCTCGGCCATTGGAAGTGTCATGGGCTACGATGAGCTCTACCCACAACTCATTGAGCTTGTTCACGAGAAGCGACAGTACACCTCGCCATTCTCCGGTGATCAGAAACTCGAAGTCGGTGCTGGAGAAGGTGGCATCGGCGGCGTGAAGAGGCTCCTCAATGACCTCCACACAATGATGGGTGTGGAGGGTTACGACGAGACCCATATTCATCATGACGGAGAATACATTACCGTTCATCGGGTGCACCCCAAGACAAGAAAGGGTATTTTCCTGATTGCCCACACGGCTTTCCCCGGTCATGAGAGCGGTGCTGTTTTGGCCCCAACTCACATCGCCGGTACCCAGGCCAAGCACATTGGATCTTGGGTCCTCGAGGTCGACAGCAGTCCTGAGATGAAATCAAAGGTTGGCGGCGACGACAAGTACCTCAAGGGTCTTCCTAGTCGCGTGCGTGACATTGATGCGACAAATATTGATAGCGATGGAAAAGATGTCACCATCTCCGCAACACGTGGTCTTGTTCCCGGGTCGATCGCTCTCTTCGAAACGTGGATTCCTGGTGCCGAGCACGTCAGCGGTTTGGACAACTTCCTTTCAGCGGGTGCTGACGAGGCCTTTGCCGGCCTGAGCCTAGTTGATCTGAACTTTGCGCTTTACCGTTGCGATGCCGAGGAGAGGGACTTCTCCAATGGCGAGGATGGTGTTTACAACATTCCCAAGCACGGCTCCCTGGTTTACGCAGGTCTCCAAGGATGGTGGAGTGTTCTCGAAGACATTATCAAGTACAACCAACTTGGCCACGCGCTTTGTGACCACCTCCGTGAGGGCCAGTGGGCCTTGGACTACATTGTCGGGCGTATGGAGAAGACTGCCCGCAAAGAGACCTTCTCTACCCTTCAAAAGCCCGCCGCATGGTTGCGTGAGAAATTCGACGCTGTCCGTGGCTTGCCTAACTTCTTGCTTCCTCGGTACTTTGCTATCATCCTGCAAGTGGCCTACAATGCTGCATGGAAGGCAGGTATTCATCACTTCAGTGACAATGTTCGCCACGGTCAAGAGTTCATCCATCAATTGGCTATGGTCAGCGTCCAACAAACCGGCTACGTCAACTCGGCTTCCTTGTGGCCCACCAAGCAAGTACCTAGCCTGGCGGCGGGTCTACCTCATTTTGCCGTTGACTGGGCGAGATGCTGGGGTCGCGATGTCTTTATCTCCATTCGTGGTCTCTTTTTGTGCACTGGACGTTTCGATGACGCCAAGGAGCACATTCTTGCGTTCGCGAGCGTACTCAAGCACGGCATGATTCCCAACCTTCTGAGCAGTGGCAAGTTGCCTCGATACAACTCTCGCGACTCCGTCTGGTTCTTCCTGCAAGCCATTCAAGACTATACCCAGATGGCTCCGAACGGCAAGAGCCTCTTGCAGGAAAAGGTGCCTCGCCGATTCTTGCCATATGACGATACCTGGTTCCCCTTCGATGACCCCCGAGCCTACTCCAAATCCCCCACCGTTCTCGAGGTAATTCAGGAAGTCTTCCAGCGACACGCAGAGGGTATGTCTTTCCGTGAATACAACGCAGGACCCGATCTCGATTGCCAGATGAAGCCCGAGGGATTCCAGATCGATATCAAGGTCGATTGGGAGACTGGCATCATTTTCGGTGGAAGCCAGGACAATTGCGGTACTTGGCAAGATAAGATGGGAGAGAGTGAGAAGGCAGGTAGCAAGGGTGTTCCCGGTACCCCTCGCGATGGAGCTGCTATTGAGATTACCGGTCTTCTCTACAGCGCGCTGAACTGGGTCTCGAAGTTGCACGAGTCCAAGGCCTACCCTCACTCGGGTGTTGACCTGGGCAATGGAAAGTCCGTCACTTTCAAGGAGTGGTCTCAGAAGATCAAGGCCAATTTTGAGCGTTGCTACTATGTGCCACTGGACGCCAAGGATGACGCTCAATACGACGTCGACGCCAATGTGGTCAACCGCCGTGGAATTTACAAGGACCTTTACCGATCTGGCAAACCTTTCGAGGATTACCAGCTTCGCGGCAATTACCCCATTGCCATGACCGTGGCTCCTGAGCTGTTCACCCCAGAAAAGGCTCTGAAGGCGCTTTCCATTGGCGACTCGGCTATCTTGGGTCCTGTCGGCGTGGCCACCTTGGATCCTTCCGACCTCAACTACCGTCCTTATTACAACAATTCGGAGGACTTCAGCGACTTCTCAACTTCCAAGGGTCGTAACTACCACCAAGGTCCTGAATGGGTCTGGCAACGAGGATACTTCCTCCGAGCCTTGCTTCACTTCGATCTCCTCCGTCGCAAGACTGGCGAGGAGCGGACCGAATCCTTCCAGCAAGTCACTCGCCGACTCGATGGATGTAAGAAGGCTCTGCGGGAAAGCCCATGGAAGGGTTTGACCGAGTTGACCAACAAGAATGGCGAACATTGTGAAGATTCGGTAAGTCATTACCCATCGATCGCTCGGAAGAGGCTCGAGAATGATTGCTAACAGAGACTTTTTCCTCCCTCAATAGTCGCCGACACAGTCATGGTCCGCCGGTTGCCTGCTCGACCTTTACTACGATGCCGCTCAACTTTCCTAGGTTACGAAAGGAAGGTGTCTAGACTATATTTTGCATACCCTGAAGCGTCTACCCTAATGGATCTTCCTCTTTGCTTCATGTTCGTTTCGAGATTAACTTAAACCCATAATACACCATCAGCCCGTTTCGACTAAACACACTGTCCTGATTTTTCTCGTAATATTCACAAGACTCGGGCATCTTTCGACGCGTTTGCTTAAAACTGACATACCAGCATTCGCTGCATACCAACAGTCTCTGACTGACGCGTGGGCCTACGTCGGAATAGCAAGAGACCAGGTTTAACACCGACGTTCTTCCATCGCTCGCCGCTACTAACTTACCTGGTGGGGACAAGTCCGAGCAGCAATGTAGATTTAGCCATCAGGGACGCGATACTTTCCCATGGCAGGCACGTACCTGGGTAGCCCTGCTCATCGTACGCAAGCGAGTTCGCCTTGAAGCCGTTCAGCGAATCGATCTCCATGTCCCGGCCCAGTGCTAGGTAACTGCCGCCTGACCGGGCTGGCTACTGGACCAAGATCTCACAAAGTTGAGTTACACTTTCCACTACCTCATGCTACCATTCCAGTGAGAAAGATGTGACTGGGTGGAAGGAATCAGCTGCCATATCTGCAAAGTAAGTATGTTTCTAGAACTTCTTTTTCAACCACGTGCGAGATCTCGCCTCGCACCGATCACGAATTCCATACCAAGTTAGAATCCGACGAGTAGACACGAGGCCAATTTGGCCACATTCCTATCGTACCAGTCATCGTCGTCAATCACCATGTGGAAAGTATCGCCCCTCGTGTGGGCTGCGGTCATGGAATGGAAGAAGGGATTTGAAATGTCAAGAAGAGGTATGGCCTGGAATTTTCCGCTTTAGGCAGGTGCTCTTGAGGGAGTCTGCGTTCCATTTTTCTTTGCAGAGACATCTTGAAGATATTCTACCGTTAGAAGCTTCCCCAGATGGTGAGCAAACTAGAATGGTCAGTCTCTTGTGCCACATGATCGGTTGACATTGGCCTCAAGCTCTCGGATTCTATAATACATACGGCGAGTTTCCTTGTAAGTTGTGATAGATGAGACGCGTATTAGGGGGGACTTGTTTCAATGTCCTACAATGGTAATCGCGAGATTAAGATTGCTCTCACTTAGTTGATTCCTTTCTGAGAAGACTCTTAAGTCTGTTTTATGGGCGAGAAAGGTTGATGTTTCGAGAAAAATTGAGTGAAGAGCAATGTCTTCCATCCATTCATGTCACGTGTCCGGTTGGCTGTCATTCCGAAAGCGGAGATTCTCTCACTACGTACTCCATCTGCTCCTTCCTCTGGCCATGCAGACACTGTTCAATCAGTCTCACCCTCGCGGTGGCGGTGGTCATTCGGGTCTGCCGCCTTTTTCTGTCAAGCCCGGCAGATGTTCAGAATGTCGGGCATTCAGCCATGATCCATGATGTCTAGCATTCCGAACGGGCTGACTGGGGAAGCAAAGAGACCCACACGAGAGACGCACGGCCATAGACTCTAAATCACGCCGATTGATCTCCGCGCATTCTCCGGCCTTACAGATCCGTCCGACCTTGCGCAACAACTTCAATGATGTTGAGGCTCCTTGTCCAAAGAACCCGAACTTTTCAATCGCTGAATCGAAGCTAGGTGTTCTGAAATTTGAGATGATCCTTGGGATCCTTGGGACTGAGATCAAGGAGTCCTCTCCTTGTTGGGTGGTGTCTAACCAAACCAGCACCCCCTTTCTTTTCTCACTCATCACACGTTCCTTCTGCCGACTGAACTGCATTCGGCTATTGGAGGATGCCACATTCTTCGTGGCCGCGGTCTCACCATAGCCTCTGGCTATGGAATGTGCATGAATCATCACAACTGGAACGAGCCACTCTCGATGCGAGAGTCGCACTGTCCTAGTCACCAAACCCAGGCCCCGGCTTGCCGCTGACGGAACCCGTGCCCTGAAGTCTAGCGTTGCCTTGTTTCCCTCCCACGCTTGACGTTGCTCAATTAGGATGATCCGTGCGTGGCAGGCTTCCACGATACCATTCCCCATTTGCCATAGACAGTGGCTGCTGGCTCGCTTAAACGTCGGAATCCGTCAGAGCCAGGCGCTTCACGGAGATTTCGCAGTTTTCGGCTGATTCGATCCACCGCCGCGAGTGTTCTCCGTGTTCCAAAGTCGCGGCTGGAACGAGCACGCCGACATCAATTTTACCCATGATCCAAGACTTGATTGGGGTCCTGCCAATAACGTGGCCGTGGCCCTTATGTCTCGCAATACATATGTTTTGGTGTACTGTTGGTGTATCAAGAGGACGTCAGGCTGCAATAGTGGATAAGGGTGAAGATTCAGCTAGACTCCGAACTATACGCTTCCCGAAACTCATGCAGTAGAACAAACCCTTGCCTCGTTGCTCATTTCCCACTTCGCCCTCGGTTACGAGCAATCACATTTGCTTTGTTTTGGGATTCGAAGTCTTATTTCAATGGCAAAGTAGCCGCTTCTGCGCCGGCTCGGAGCTCCGCAATCTTCCTCGTTCGTGTCGATAGACTCGATACTACCTCGCATTGAAATACTGAATCATCACTTACCGACACATACTTTTGTGGCCCACAGTTGAAGCTGCCAACACTCAAGTACCTCAACCCATCTCTCAACCTGCCTTGACATATCTGACAATTACCCGTTCCGGTCTCATTCAGTCCGTAGAGTGATACTTGTCTGTCATCCATTTCAAGCATACTACTACTGGGAAGCCGACCGCAGGCCGTTGAGCTATCCCAATAACGGCTTGTTCGATCGACATCGGACAAGTGGAGCCGTGTCCCAATCACACTGTTCCCTCGCAAGTCTAATTCTTTTGGCAGCCGGTTTGTCCGGACTGAAGAACGCATTGGGCTTGAAGCCGGTCGGTATTGGCTATCTTGCTCTAGTTCCATGCAACGAAGAGTGTCAAGGTCTTGGAAGCGCGACCCTATTGTCCGGCTGCGCGTCTGTCCAGCTCGCACATGAATTCGACACACCAATATATGGAGCCTGTCCAACCGTTTCTCATTTATGCTGAGCACCTGGAAGATCTTCGACGTTGTGTCGAAATGCCGTCTCTGAGATACCCAAGTGACAGTGGATCGGGGCAATTGAGGAACTTTGGATCGAACAAGACCTTTAGTGCACATGGAACTATCGTCACTGCTGCTGCGACGCTCGACAAATGTTTGATAAGCCAGCTGTCCTGTGCACAAATTCCGGACCATGGCCTTGTGAATTCCGCTCGAGATAGGAGGGCATCGAATCACTCTCATATTTCAAAATCTTCCCCGGCTAATACTGCGCCAGTGGAAATTCTCCATCAAATTTTCTTTATGCTTTCGCCTCACGATTTTGACAATGCTCGGCGTACCTGTTCACAGTGGATGACGGCGAGTCTCAACCGCAGGTTGTTGGAGAACATGCTCAAAGACGCCGGCTGGTGGGATGCATTTTTGCGTGACGTGAGAGACCCTCGCGAGGGTTGTCTCTCAGCATACCACGAGAGCCATGTTTGGAAAATGAGCAGACGCCTTGCGACCGAATGTCTGTTGTCAGGGCAAAGGACAGCTGTGAGCAGATCGCGGTTTCATAGATCTGCGGTCATCGATTTCTCGAATCTCCCCCGGGGCAGCTTCAAGACACGAAGAATTAGTCCTAGGCATGTCATTTCAAGTGATATCGCGAGAAGCCATCTCGATGCACGTTCGACTTTCAAGGTGGGCAACTGCAACAATCATGTCCTGGTGACAGCTGGTTGCACTATCTACTTATATCGTCTGCTGCACGGGCGAAAAGGCCTCTCTCTATCGCCCAAAACGAAGTCCCAAGATCTTGAGCTAATATCACGAATTGAATGCCCCAGTGAGGTTCTCCTGGCTACCATGGACACGAGACCTTCCCATATTGCTGTAGCTGCGCTGTTACAAAACCGATGTTCCATGATCTGCACCGTGGACTCTTCTGCTGGATCAGAAGCAACGAACCACCGCGAATGTAAGCCCGCCGAGCGACGACAAGCACACTCAGCGACCCGATTTTTCAGCAACCTCTGTTCTGAGGATCATCCACCACGCACTGTCGCACTGCTGCCCGGCCGGCAGTGTGTCGCCTTTGGCTGTGCAGGAGGCGTCGAAATACACTGGCTCGACGAGAAGACAGGCGGGACTCAATGCAGACGACTCCCCATGTCGCAACCGTCTGAGATTCTGCATTTCCTTCCAAGCTCCAATGATGATCCTGCGGAGTTTCGACTCATCTCATCCCTGGCTGGTCCGGGTCCTCATGAGTGCAGTTGCCGCCAATCACCCGTGCCCGACCATTCGCAAACATGTCCCTTTCGCATTCTGTCCAACAAGAATCTCCTCGGTGGCCGCACTCAATACAGCACGTCATCTCTGAGCCTGGTCCGGGCCACTCACTGCCATAATTACCGTACCGTGCCCATCAACGATGGACTACATATGATCTTCGTGGATCCTCGTACAGGAAATTTATCCATTGGATCAAATTCGCCTATCGGTGGTCCGGCGAGTTTAACACGAGGATTTGTGTGTGTCCCTCCCTTGACAAATGATCCCAATAACAATGTGAAGGAAGGCATTTCGCCCGCAGCATTCGCTGTCGGCTCAGATCTGGACTGGGGTCTCCGTGTTGTCGCCGCATATCAAGATCGCCTGATCTTGTATTCGATTCCAGCCGATATATACAATGTCATTCGAAAGGAGCGTGAGCGTCAGAACGGAGACTTCATGGGAGACGGTGTGATCCCGCATAGCTGGCTGACCGACTCTGAGAGAATACACAAGCATTGCGACAACCTTGTCCGCGACCAGAACTGCGATTTGGAGGTTGCCTTAAGCGTCAGCTATCCGTCAACATCGATGGTATGGCCGTTTAAAGTCTACGGCAAGGAAATCGGTCGCGTTGACGATGTGGTCGAAGTCGCTTTGCAAACTTCGAACGGAGGCGCCCGAGCCTGGGCCTTTGCTGCGTCCGGACAGGCGCATGTATTCGATATTGATACGGTCTCTACCACAGCGAAGCTTATGTCTCGAGCGCCGGTCAGTACGTGCGTGGTCAACTCCAAAGGCGAAATCGTGCCCTCTGCTGTGCAGGCTTGTGCCCCTTCTGGGACCCAGACGCAACCACAACTAAAGACTCGTAAACGGAAACGCACAGAGCCGCATAACACTTGGACCGGTCAATCCGCAAAAGCTCGCTTTGCTTCTGGGGCGACCTTGACAAGCGCAGGAACCGCAGACCACCCGTCTCCGGCCTCGATGCATCCTCAAGATACGTCCACGAAACGATCCTCGTTCGCGGCATGCATTTTTGATTTCAAGATTCCGGATCTGAGTCTCAGTGATGGTGTATGGGTTGTATGAAAGCAGTGAAACGCACACTGCGAAACTCGCCCGCTTGTCACCGAATCGGGTTGTCCCTAACGTGTGACGGAAGTACAGTCGCTGGATGGTACATGGATGGATTCTCTCCTGGCAAGATACATCCTTGATGAATGCGAAATGGATCATGTATACGGTTCTCCCACATCTTGAATGAACATGTACATAGTTTAATGGCTATTGTGCGATGCTGTATCCTACACAATGACATCTTCAAATGCACGATTACCTACAAAGACTCCTGAGTTCGTGGGATGTAAGAGACGCACAGCAAGGGCAAAACGAGAAACTCGGATTTGTAGACCTCGGGCTTGATGAAAATTTGTTCTTTGCGAGAATTAAAATTTAAACTTTTTGGTATCTCAACTGCACATTATTCCTCATGATAGTGTGCCGGTCGTGAGGCGGGCTCCATAACACCGAGTCTTATCACTGACCGAGAATGAAGCTCCGGAGTTTAATTATGAGAGAACTCTAAGCGCTACCATTGAGTCTCTCTCTCCGGGCGCGTACGGCCTGGGCCAAAGTCTCCAATGTCGTCTCAGTGTCCTCCCAGTTAATGCAGGCATCAGTGATGCTGACTCCGTATTTTAGGCCGGCCTTGCCCTCAGCCGGGACTTTCTGGTTACCTACAGAGACAATCGAGTCAGCCACTCAAACATATTCTTATCCTTCAGCTAGAGCGGAAGTGCCAACTCACCCTCGTTGATGTTGCTCTCGATCATGACACCCATAATGGCGGTTTCACCAGCAGAGATCTGCTCGCTGAGGATCTTGGCAACCTTGGGCTGGTTCTTGTGGTTCTTCTCCGAGTTACCGTGGCTGCAATCCACCATCAAACGAGGCACAACTCCCTTGGCCTCCAGCTTAGTCTTTGCTTCCTTGATGCTAGCCGCGTCGTAGTTGGGGCCCTTCTTGCCACCGCGGAGAATGACGAAGCAATCCGGGTTACCAACAGTTCCAACAATAGCAGCAACACCTGGCTTGGTGACTGACAGGAAATGATGGGGATGTTGAACAGCCCCAATAGCATCAATCGCGACGTCAAGGGAGCCGTCAGTGCCGTTCTTGAAGCCGACAGGGAACGAGAGACCGGAGGCCAGCTCACGGTGAACTTGAGATTCGGTGGTCCGAGCACCGACTGCACCGACCGAGAGACAATCGGAGAAGAACTGAGGAGAGATAGTGTCGAGCATTTCGCTGGCAATGGGCATGCCCTTGTTTGTCAGGTCGACGAAGAGCTGCCGCGACACACGAAGACCCTTGTTGATCTGGAAGCTGTTGTCGATATCTGGATCGTTGATCAAACCCTTCCAACCGACGGTCGTTCGGGGCTTCTCGAGGTATGCGCGCATAACAATCAAGAGATCATCGGCGTATTTCTCTTTCATCTTCAGCAATCGGTCGCAGTATTCCAAAGCCATTTCCGGGTCGTGGATCGAGCAAGGGCCGATGACGACCATGAGACGTTGCCTTTCAGCATCGGTACCGTGTACGATCGCAACAGCTTCCTGGCGTCCATTCAACACACTTTGGCGCGACTTTTCCGTCAAGGCGATCTCATGCTGAAGTAGGTTAGGGGGCGTAAGAGGGTTGTAACCGCGAACTATAATACAAGTGACGTGAGTAAGATAGGTCCATTGGCCGAGGAAATGGCTGCATCTTACTTCGTGAATCTTCCAGGTTGTTGTGATCCCCCACATTAGGGTTTTCAATGAAGAACTATCATATTGTTCATGTCAATCCTGCGATGATGATCATGAATCGCGAGGAGGGGTCACCTTACCGACATGGCGGGGGTGGGGTGAGATGGAAGGATGAATTCCAACTGAAAAAAAAAAAAAAGAAAAAAGGAATTGAGAGATCCCAGTCGATGAACAATATTTGGGACAGGCAAAGTGAATGGGAATGATGCTTGACGAAACCGTAATGAAAATCGCAAGATAAACAAGATTGAGTTTCGAGAAAGAGTTTTGAGAAGACAATTGTCGAATACCAAAGTATGAGTCAGTCTTGAGTACGTAGCTGACACGTGATTTTCGGTGAGGAATGCGCCAGTCTGCCGTTGACATCAGACACAGCCCAAACCTAAAAATCTTGAGCGGAGTATGAGCCGACCTGTTCGAGAATAGCCTGTTCTAATCATGTGTCATATTCAAAGCGCTGGTGGCGCGTTAAGATTGCATCCGCCTAAGAAACACGATTTCCTCCCTTTGACGAGGTGTTCTGGAGGAGTCGGCAATCTAGCTCTTCGAGATCTTGCCTAAGATCTCGACAAATCTGAGCGTGCTGTTCATTGATACGGGACACTTGCTGCTGCATGATCTCGATTCTCGCCTGCTGTGCTCGGGCAAGGTCATTTAGAATCTGCTGACATCCTTGTCGATAACTCTGTAGCACGCTTTGCATGGTCTCATGCTCTGTTGCAAGCTGGGTCGCAAGTTGCTATGATGTACAATCAGAATCTTGTCAGGAAGGCGACTTTCTAACGCACAACTCACCCGGTTGGTCTCCGATAATAGACTCTGAGCATTGTCTTGAGCTGCCTGTAATTTCAAGACCCAGTCTGTCCCACTGTGTAGGACCTTGCGCGTAGTCTGTCCTGATGCAGAATCTGTGACCCCGATCAATGAAGAGTCCCTGTGACAAGTGAAGCCTTGTGTCATGAGGGAAGTGCCTCTTTTGTGGGTGTCTTCAGAATCCTTGTCGGGGCTGAGCTTGAGAACGGGAGCATCACGGAGGAGAAGCGCTTCCTGTTCATCATATTCGCCATCGTTGGAGTCATCCTTTTGCGTGCAACGCTCTGAACTGTATCGTTTCTTTTTAGCGTCTACATTTGTCCTCACGGATCCTTTCGAGCCCGGCGTAAGTTCTGTGGGATCAAATCCATACTCCATGAACATGTCTCTGTGGAATTTCGAGGAAATCCTCCTTGGGTAATCGGCACTGTCCAAGTCGTAGCAATCAGACTTTCGAGCAGAATCACATGCATTGGAGCTCGGGTCAGAGACTCGCATGCTGGCTACATGAATGGGCGCGATTTCCTGAGAACAAAGCGCAGCCTCTGTGCATTCCCGAGGACGAAGTCGTGGGCTACCGTTATGGTCTACGATGCTTTCCATTGCAATTGCCCTGGTGCTTTGACAGTAAGCTCCCACCAACAGTGACTGCTGAGACTTCGAAATATTTCCACGATCACTGGTCAAATCAATTGTTGATTGTGGCCTGCCAGGTAGTTTTAATCTCGTGCTTTGTGTAAGAGCGCAAGGCATGATTCGGGAGGCTGATGCAGGTTCCGGGTGTTGCTTGCTTGGGACTCGTCGAGAGAGCTCGGCCGGACGCGCGATCAATTTGCACGACACATCTGTCATATCGAGACAGTCATTCGGCGTTGCCGTCGATTGAATGGCATCCTTTCCCCCGAGCTTCTGCTCCAACTCACCCTCGTTTCCCACCGTGTCTCGAGGTCTTCTCAAATTTGGGCTAAGGGAGCTCGAATTGAGTGTTGCGGTAGACACATGCTTATGTGAGCTCCTGTGATAGGCGGAGATTCTGTCTTGCTTGCAAGTGACACTATGCTCACTATTGGAAGAAGACGCATGATTCTCAGTGCTCCAGGACGATAGCGTTTGATACGTTGCAACTTGGCCTTGAGGAACTGCCCCAGTGCGGAAGCTTTGTTCGACCACTGGTTGGTCCAGTGACTCTGTTTGGAGGACAGAGATTGGATCTTGTAGTTGAAGTGACTGAGCTTGACAAATGGCATCCTTGAGTTTCTGTCCGACTGCACTGCCTGGTCCATGTAACCGTGGCCCTTCCGTTTTCTGTGACCTTTCTAAGACCCAGTCGCCACCTCCAGGGTCTGATGGACCAGACAGAACAGAGCGATTGCTTGAAAGTTTCAAAAGATCGGCTGGTTCACTTCTGACCCGGTGGCTGTTCTCATCTGGAACGAGGACAGGAAACGAGGCGACCATGTTCGCGATGGACTCACTCGTGAATGCGCCATGCAGCTGCTCTTCTTGCAACTCCAAAGCTGCATGGGCAGCCTTGCCATTTTCAGAGGAGCCATTGCTTCTGAAGACAAAGCTAGAGCCGCGAGTAGCCTTGGGTGAGCCGCTCTGCGTCTTATTTTTGGGACGTTTCTTCTGACCTGGGTGAACATTGGGTGCACATCGTTTCCTGACTGTGCTTTTTTGGGGGACCCTCTGAAGAGAGATTTCCTGCCTGGGTGCCTCCTGATGATCCTCGCGAGATTCGTCATCGTCAGTTGGGCGTAAGTCCTCGTTCCAGTCAACCTCATGGCCTGGCCGAGACATGGATTTCTGATGAATGCAAGCGTTCGATCGAGCCGAGTCAGTCTGCACCTGCCTCGAGGATTGAGACATTCGCAGAATAAGACGGCGGATTTTGCGATTATAGGGCCGATTGGTCTGGAGGCCTGACTGAGCTTGCAGAGCAGCGCCAGAGGTCCTCTGGCTATTCGCACTTACCGAGTCTCCAGTGACTTGAGGCGAAGCTGGATTGACATCTTCTTTGAAAGCGCTCATGAGGGGTGCGGTACTTCCAGGAGCCGGCTTGAGTGCAGCATCCGTGTTTCTGGTGTGGATGGTTGTCAAAGAATCATCTTCAACATCATGGCATGAGGGCAGGTTGGGATCCTGCCGATGAAGTACCTGATCTGTGTTCTGGCAATTGCTTTCGGGCGGCTTCTCGACCTCTGTAATCAAAGTCTCCTTGTCGACCTGCTTTTCAGACTCCGGGCTCGGACCATGAGGCATCGCACTCGACATTTGACATGAGAGCGTTTGTCGGTCCTTTTCTCGTATCACGCTGATTGGATCAAGATTGAAAAGCACTGTCGACACCGTTGTAGACATTGTGTCTGTCTGGTGCTCAATGAAGGACATGGCTTCTGTCATTTTGATGTCAATGCAGTCTTGGTACATCAACACGAGTGTCAGCGTAAAGTGCGAGTTTCGGCGCGGGGTCACGTTACACCCAGGCGTGAAGCAGCTGCTTCAAGAGGAAGGAGCGACATGTCCTTCCTGTCTCCAGTTCCTTTTTCCTTGGTATTTTAGGCACTGCTACTCCTCCGAAGGCACTTTATGTGCTGGGTTCCAGCTGTCTAGGGATCAGTATCTTCATACAAATCCATTCAAGTTGTTATTCCACCATGTAGCATGACCGTCGATCGTTTTCTCTCGGGCTTGTTCCGCTCGAGTAAAGGACCAAACAAGGCTGCCACCGGTAAGCCAGATGGCGGATTGGATACAACTGGTTGACGTGCTATGACAGCAGGAAATGAGACTGATCGACGGTGAATTCGCTGAGTTCGACGGAAGAAGAGCATCTCAACACATCTTGATGGTACACATCCTCTCTGCTCTTTGTGTCGAGGCTGTTCATTCAGCTGAGGAAAAATTCGCCTACAGCCCGTCAGAGCCTGCGAGAAACCTTAGGCGGAAAGACAGAACTTCAGAAGGCAGTGATCCGTCATTTGGGGTCACTCGAAACAAGTCATGGATATCAGGCGAGGTAAAGTTGTAAACACGCGAGAAAGCACAGTGGAGTGTGTGCTTCGATTATTCCCGTCTTGGTTGGCTTTGAAAAGCTGCAGATTTCAACTTCTGATGAGTCTGTACTGTGTAGTCACTAGTCACTAGTCACTAGGTGAATATGGGACTTTGAAAATAGATATCGAAGATGCCCCTCGGTTGTGCAACCACAAGACCTTCGTGAAGTAATGCAGTGATAGACTCTTGTGGTAACGTTCTACTTATAGTACCCAGCCAAGGTAGGCAATTGCTCCGCTCCCATACTATCCATCATCTGCGGGACCCACTGCTCGGACGTTAGAGCAACCACCAAGAAGCTCACAGTTAAGATCGCATAGAGCTCCATCTCAAGTATTTGACTAGTAGCTCAGTACTGAGTACACATTACAAACTAAGAAGTAGTACACGTCAGCAAAAAAGAATAGTAGCAGTACCTTTGTCACAACTAATATAGAATCATAGCAAAAGCTTGTATCAGGTACAGTAACCAAGCACAGTGGAACCCGAGTGGATGGTGGACCAGACTCCAAGTTGGTACGTTGGAAGCCCGGGCTGCGGCTATTATTAATCGCGGAATCCGGGGAGACATACAGCCCGAGCTTACTGCCAATCTCCCAGAGGCGGACGGAGCTTACGATGCCGACGTTTAGTCCGTGCCTGGTCGACGGTCTGCTAAATTACAGGATCTTCGTCGTCCGGTGACTTGAGACAACATCCTCTATCTCATTATATCTTGCGCACCGCGCCCCGAAATTCCTTGTTAGCTTGCAGAAATTTCTCGAATCTATACATATTCTGTCTGCAAAGGCAAAACTCCCCTTAGAGATGAGTTCAGGCCACCTCCCCTGGGCGGGTGATGACGACGCAGCTTCGGGAGACGCTTCTCGTCGCTTCAACGCCATCGAGCCTCTGAACCGGTTGCAAGCTGCCGTACCGCTAGGAAACCACCAATCTAACAGCTTTGATGCTGAGAGCCTTCCCAAAACGACGTCAGACCGGCGGCGAGCCTCTATCATCTCGACATCTCTCGACGGCGATGTGCACCTATCAGAAAAGGTCGCTGAACAACAAGAGGGCGGACATGCTCTGACCGGCACATCCGCCGAGGGCGAGACTGTTCTGTATCTAGCATATGGCTCCAACCTCGCATCTCAGACCTTCCGGGGCATGCGTGGTATTAAGCCATTGTCGGAGATTCCTGTGCTAATACCGGAGCTTCGCTTGACCTTCGACCTACCGGGTATCCCTTACGCCGAGCCATGTTTCGCCGGCACACAGTATCGGGATCCCGACCTACCGAACAGTACAGAGCCCCAATCTCACCACGACAATACGTCATCGGACATTGAGGATGACTTTGTCTCGGAAAAGGCACCGCTTCTGGTCCGAACACAAGAGATGCAAATGGCGGAAGCGAGCAGGAATCGATGGCACAAGCCTCTGATTGGAGTAGTGTATGAGGTCACCTTGGCCGACTATGCCAAGATTATCGCAACGGAGGGTGGTGGCCGCGGTTATCGAGATGTTGTGATCAACTGTCACCCCTTCGCCGAGGGCTTCAAGCCTACAGATCCTGTTCCCGATCATCCCGACACTCTGCCCTTCAAAGCCCACACGCTCCTGTCACCAAGCGCAGATGATGCTCGAAAAAAGACAGAGGCGGCCAAACGTGGTCAGTCCTCCGCGGCCGTGTGCACAGCATCATCGTCCAATACTTCCATCTTCAGTGACTTTGGGCCGCACATGCGTCCCGACCCAGAATATGCACAGCCGTCTGCGCGCTATCTTAACCTTCTGGTCACTGGTGCTGCTGAACATGATCTCCCAGTCACATATCGAGAATACCTTTCTCAAATCCATACATATAGCATCACCACTGTCCGCCAAAAGATTGGAAAAGCTGTCTTTGTTGGTCTGTGGGGTCCCCCCATTTTGACTCTTCTGGCATTTTCAAAAAGATTCGCTGGTCCTGACGGAAGGAGTCCATCATGGCTGGTGAACTTGTCTAACATCTTGTTTGCTGCGATGTGGTTCACCTATGACTATTTCTTCAAGCCAGTTTTTGGGGAGGGCGAGCGGACGCTAGGTGATGTCTCTTCTTCTTGAGATACCGGGGTCCGAGCCTGGAAGAGTATTGTATATTCCAACTGAGACACTACTGGTGAGTACGTATGGAGAACAGAGGAACATAATACAATTTACACCTTTAAGATTCTGCTCGACGTCCTCGTAGTGCAATATTGCAAGTCATGTAGGCTTGATCTCAAAGCGGTCAATATCAGGAGGCGCGAACAGTAGCCAGATATTCAACTGAGCGGGGATTTTTCGCTCCCCGGGGGATATTGACAAAGGAGATTAGATTCAGTTGACTCCCTGAGCACACGGTTTTCGGGACGGGAAAAAAAAGAGTTATATCTAGGATACAGATACAGGTGTGCTGAGAGCGTTCTAACAAAACAAAGGGAGAAAGAGCGCCCCCCGGGACACAAGAACAAAGTGAAAGAGATCTTTCCGAGGCAAAGACCGGACGGGCAAGAATACACAGCATGGCCAAAAAGTCACACGGCCTCGCCAGCCTTTCCCATTTTCCAACTCATACAAGTTTCGTAACCATCACACTTAGCGGCGAGGAGCGATGGGAGGGCTGTACACGATCTTTCGCGACTTGATGGGGGCCCACTTGTAGCGCTTGACCCAGATGCTGATCGCGAAGAGGCCGGTCAACAGGGTGATAGCCTTGACACCCATCTTCTTGCGTTCATCCATCTCGGGCTCAGCAGCCCAGTTGAGGAACTCAACAACATCCTTGGCCATCTGGGAGGTGGTGGCAGGGGTACCATCCTCGTACTCGACAACTCCGTCGTAAAGAACACGGCCCATGGCAATACCTTAGGTGATTGTCAGAGGAGAGACTAAAAAAGCATGGAGGACCGATTGAGTGTGATATACTTACCGGTACCGGGGAAGTAGGGGTTGAAGTTCATGCCCTCGGCGACACTGGCACCCGCAGGGGGGTCATCAGGGTAACCGGTCAGCAGGTTGAAAACGTAGTCACAGCCACCGTGACGACCCTTGATGATCAAGCTGAGATCCGGGGGAAGAGCACCGCCGTTGGCGGCACGGGCGGCCTCGTCGTTCTTGTAGGGAGCGGGGATGTAGTCGGACAGCTTGCCGGGGCGCTTCTCGATCTCTCCCTGGTCGTTGGGCTCGGTGTCGTACTCGTTCTCCTCGGCCATGGCCTTCATCTCGTCGACGGTGTGCATGACACCGACGAACGAGCGCCAGGGCACACGAGTGAGGGAGTGGCAGCTGGCGCAAACTTCACGGTAGACCTGGAAACCACGACGGAGGCTGTACAGATGCATGACCACGTTAGTTGCATTTCGTCATTACTATGCGGCGGAGGTCAGCCGAGGAGGACTCACGCGGCGTGATCGAAGGTCTTGTTGAAGCGCTGGTGAACCCAGGGGTAGTGAGTGGCGTGCAAACTGGATAGAGAAAGGATTGTCAGCTATATGTCGAGGCGCATAAATCGGGCAGCACGATCCGGGCTCCTTGGTGTGAGACAGAAGTCGTGTAGGTCTTGGTACGATTGAAAAAGATGAACATAACTCACCCTTCCTCAGCAGGTGTCATGGCAAAGGCCTCTTGACCATAGAGATGGTAATACCAGGCGGCGGAACCGGCAGCCGCGGCGGTAGCGAGCGAGGCAGTGAGGGTGAGGTAGAAGGGGGAGCTGGCGGCATCGGCACCAGCGGCGGTGGATGAAGCACGCTGCATGGAACGAATCTTCGAGTCAGTACCATCTTCGAGATCACATGCGTTGAGGCAATTGCCATTCTCGGCGCAATCCCACGATCCGGCTGGAATGAATGAATGCGTACCGTGGACTTGCCGACAGGCTGGCGAGCAAAGGCCCGGGCGGCCACGCGTGGAAGGGAACGGCCCAGCATGACGAAGATGATCCCTCCGATCAATTGACGATGGATAGGAAAGGGTGAGGTTCGCTTCGAGCGAGACGAGAGGGGGGGGGGTGGGACGGAGTGGGTGCACAGAAGAGGTGCTGTCAAGAGTTGTAAGATGAGGTTGACGGTCAAGTTTCTCGCTGGGGGCAGGATTGGGTAAAACCCTGGCTGTGATTGGCTACGCTTGGGCGGCCCAGCTCAGTTCGGTGAAAACCGGCTCCGTTGTGGCCTGAAGGTTGAGGCATCCAATTCATCACGTGCTCATCGAGCCACAATCTCGGCTTTGAGGTTCAGCTTACCTCTGATTGGGCGATCTATTGGATGGAACTCAGCTTCACTACTGGTACCTTCTCTGAAGTTCACTGTGCTTGTATTTAGTAAAAATGATCGGAGCGAATGTTTCACAACCGTCCACGGTAACAGTCAATTTCAACTTCATAGCTAGTATCTGTATTCCATATACATGCCTTCTGGATGAAGCTTGAATTGTCAAGGATCGTGTCAAGAGGATGTCTACTTCGGGTTGCGCGTATCGCTTCCAGAGAATGAGCCTGTATGTAGTTGCCTATGGAACCGATATGCACGCCTCATCTTAGACAGTTGTCGGCACCTGCTTAGCCCATGATTAAGCAAAAAAGACACTGGAAACCTTGGGACCTCTTCAATCCCGGCTGATGCCGTGGCTTGGATGTCCGTACTCACTACTCGGTAGGAGTCGAGAGCCGACAAAACCAAAAACAGTGAGCGACGCAGGGATCGAACCTGCAATCTCTTGAGCCGAAATCAAGCGCCTTACCATTAGGCCAGCCGCCCTCGATGACTAATGATGGGCTAAAGTAAAATATCTAGCAGTACAACTGTAGCTAGGACAAAAGCCGAAGGGCAAGTGGACTCGTGGAGTATCTTCATTCAAGCTCGGTCGCGTACAGCTCTCTCGGTCATCGCAGTAGATAAGTAGTTGACTCATTGAATGTTGAAGGTTGACCTCGGCGCTACCTGCACTAATAGCTCCGGAATATTACGAGACTACTCTATGTGAGTTTTCTGGTCCAAAATGAGACTTTCAGCTCCTAGAGCTCATCGGCGTCAGCTTTCTGGATTACACGGGCGTGAGACTCTCGCAAGAAGGAACGTTACGAAGTCTCCTTTCCATCGCCGTCGCCATGGACCAGGCATCTAAAAGAGATTTTTCAGCAAGCATCATATAGTCACATTAAACCAATATCTTTCACGGAGGGCGGCTGGCCTAATGGTAAGGCGCTTGATTTCGGCTCAAGAGATTGCAGGTTCGATCCCTGCGTCGCTCATTCTTTTTGGTTTTGTCGGCTCTCGACTCCTACTGAGTGCGGACATGTTGGTGCGTGAGAGAGAGTCTACCATCCCAAGACATCTGTTCAACTTTTTCAAGTCTTAATATGTGTGGTACCAGCAGTATGGCTTTCACATTGCAACGGCTCAAATCAGGTATCTACCACTCGTTTAATCGGGCTGAGGATTGGTGTATGTCAACTTGTGAAGTCATTGACACACGAACGTGGCGCGGTAAGTACCTAGGTGGGACCGACCGCCGAGGAACACTTGCTTCCAATCCAGTGTCCCAACATCAGGTCAATAGATATCTTTCCTATAGAGTCATAGTCTGTCGGGCAACCTCTCGAATTGATTTGAATTTCTGCCTCTCTACTTAGAGTATCGCTAGGTGGTGTGAAGGTGAGATGCTGATATTCATCCATGGAATGAATTTAGTGAGGCATGCAAGCTACCTAGGTTCCGAGCAGCTGTGAAATATACACATGTTACTCTCCATCCAGTTGGGCTTGGAAATAATGTCCATCCATGAGATGGTATGTTGCTGATGAATGCTTCAGTTCTGCAAAAAGTAGCTACCCACTGATGCGCTGGCATTCCACTCATTTCATTTATTCTCATCAGAATTTGACATCAATTGCCGAAACTTGGGAAGTTCGCTGAAGATTTCTGTCGTAGATTCCGGGGACTCAAATCAGGAGGATCGCCGTATGGAAGGGGATCCACGGCGACCCAGAAAACCCGACAGCCGTCAAAAATATGGGGTTGAAGTCACGGTTGTGGAGGTTGTTTTCGGCCATTCCAGCCATCTCGGCCGATACCTACCTCATCTTCCTTAAGCAGATACCTGAATCTTTTTTTTTTCATTATTATTATTATTATTAATAAAATTTTTATAGAAAAAGCACCTAATATAAGCGACTCCTTTGACCTGATGAGCACTGACTCATTCTCTCAAGTTTATAAGTTCAAAGATACATTATCCTTTCTTCACCTCACACCACGGGCTGACAACAAATACCATACCCTTCCTGGATCCCTTCTATACATCCTGCCAAAATCTCTGAAGCTCCCACGGCAATTGTTCGTGAGGCAAGAGAGAAGTATGTCAGTATGCAATCAAACGCGACCAGACTCTGGCAACCAGGGGCATGCAGAACAGGCACATTTGCCGAAACATGACCGTGGTTGGCGTCGAATCATTCGCAACTTTACACCCGCGTAAGTGTACACATACTTTGATTGAATTTGTGTTCTTCCTTTGTTTTGTGGCGAAGGCAGCTTCTTACTCTTCCGGAACATAGTTGGTTTTCAGTCAACATGGGAACAGGCATTGTTTCCATTCTCTTGAACACGCTACCGTACAATGCCCGATGGTTATACTACCTCTCAATCATCGTCTTCGTGTTGAACGTGGTTCTGTTCACGATGATACTTGCGACCACTCTGCTTCGATATGTGCTCTACCCGGAAATTTTCAGAGTTATGCTCAATCACCCAGTACAATCCCTGTTCCTCGGAACATTTCCAATGGGTCTTGCGACACTGATAAACATGTTTTGCTTCGTCTGTGTTCCATCATGGGGAACAGGGGCTGCCTATTTCATCTGGGCCATCTGGATATTCGACGCGGTGGTCTCAATTCTTGTTGCAATTGGAATTCCATTCCTCCTGTAAGTCACATCCGTCCAGGCCAACTCGGTTGAATATTCTTGTCGTTGACCTGGAGCCAATGATACCTGGAGCCAATGATACCTGGAGCCAATGATAACTAATGCGATGTGCAGGACGACAAACAAAAGCTCCTCAGACCTCTCATCTATGACCGCAGCAGTGCTTCTTCCAATAGTTTCATGTGTCGTCGCGGCTGCTTCTGGTGCTATTGTCGCCGAGGTCTTGCCAAATGCGCAGCTGGCATTGGCTACCATTTTGGCTAGCTACGTCCTCTGGGGAATCGGTGTCCCTTTTGCATTCATGGTCATTTGCGTCTACCTGCAACGCCTCATTTTCCACAAACTACCACCCAAAGCCATGCTCGTCAGTGTCTTTCTGCCCCTCGGGCCTTTGGGTCAGGGCGGGTTTGGGTAAGTCTGCTTGTGCTCGACAAGTCCAACTTCCCCCCCCCCCCGAGCTTCTGATTCTGACTCTTTCCCTGCGCCAGGATTCAACGACTCGGCAAGGTCTCCCAGAAGGTCTTCCCACAAACCAACACCTTTGGCCCCAATACTGGCGATATCTTCTACAGCGTGGGCTCCATGATCGGACTTTTGATGTGGGCATTCGGTCTCGTGTGGCTCACTTTCGCCATTGCCACCTTACTGGTCACGAAAAAGTTCCCCTTCAACATGGGCTGGTGGGCACTGACTTTCCCACTGGGCGTCTTCACGACTTGCACGTGTACCCTTGGGCGCGATCTGCCGTCGCAATTCTTCTCCGTTCTTGGCACGGTAAGTGCATATTCCCAGGATGTGGAATACGATACGTTCCTTGGCAGACATCGGTGTGTCTAACATTTCAAACGACAGATATTTTCAGTCGCTGTTGCCCTATTGTGGCTGCTGGTCAGCTTTCACACAGTGAAAGGTGTTGTCCGCGGCGATATCTTCGTTGCTCCGTGTCTCAAGGATCTTCGAGTCAGCGAGCCTCACACCGGCGAAAAAGCGTGATTCAAGCAGCATAGTGACGTCGGGTGTACTTAATTTTTGTACTTCAGCACCTGTGAGCACAATTGCATTGTACTATAGGCATTTACAATAGAATATCGGCAGAATGACATATAATGGAACCCCCCTTCTAGAATGATTAGGGCCAATTTTGGATTGGCACTACAGGCACAAATTGGTCATTTGGACTCAAGTGACTCCGGTGATTCTCTGTGGTAAAGTAATATACATCAGCATACCCTCACTTCGTTGTTTGTGCAGCCAAGGCTGCTCATGCACGCAAGGGACGGTAGGGTTAATCGCCGATTGCGTGTCCCAGGGATTGATGCTTGCCTCCCGAGTCCCAAGAGTATGTTGGCTACATGTAGAGGACTGATCGTTTATGCGCATGAGAATGTGATAGAAGAGAATAGAATCAGCTTCATTTCACGCAGAGGGCTCAGTGTCAATGTACAGATAATGACATTTTCTCACTGTATTCGGATTTCATGTAGCATGATGCGAGATTGGGCGCTAATTGAAGTAAAGTCGTAGTCTTGAAAACGGTCGGGCGTGGTTGCCTTGCGGCCTCGCCGGAGTTTGACAGGTCAAGGCACGAACGCTCGTTCCTCGAAGTAAACCTCTCCGACTCAAAATCTCGCTATGCACGGCGACTGCCCGACGCTATGGCCAGGACCAAGAGAACCGGACTGGTCTCACTAGCTTGCACCGAATGTCGGAAACAGCACCTCAAATGCGATGCGCAAAAACCAACTTGCTCGCGATGCGCTCAGCATGGATATCTCTGTCAGTACCTCCCCTCGCGGAGAGGTGGGTATCGCAAACCCCGAATGAGCTCCGATAGCCATGCACCACTGGCCAGCGCCGCCGGTGACCTCAGTGCGACACCATCACAAGATCTTGGCCCAGGAATTTCAGGGGGTATGCAGCCTGATTATCGGTCTCCCCTTACCCTGCCATTACAGCGTCCTGAACAGCCGGACCTGGAGAGCACTCCCGGACCGCGTGCGAGTGCGACAAGGCCCTTCACTTGGTCAACGATCACTCCGAGGCTACGTTTAAACCAAGAACCGTTTCAATCTAACAGGGATCCATGGTCTCAGGATGACCGGTCGCTACGTCTCTACTATGAGAACTTCCACATTGCCCATCCAATTCTGGCGCCCAGTGCTGTCTATTACGACCAGGAATACCCCCGTTTCCTGCAAATGGTGGTCAACTTTGTCGGATCTCATTATCTCCCATCCAGCCCCGGTCAGGAAGAGAGAGAAAAGGTACTGGCTGAGTTGACGTGTCATGCCGATCGATCACCATGTATGGTTCAAGCCTGGCTCATCTACTCGATCGCGATCTACGCCCGAGGAGAATGGGTGGAAGCGCAGGATGCACTCTCGCGCGGCATAGCTATCGCTTTGAACATTGGCATGAACCGCCGTGAGTTCGCCACAAGTGTGCATCCCGAGAACAGCATCGAGGCAGAGAGCCTGCGCAGAACCTGGTGGGAGTTGTATGTCACAGATATTCTGATTGCCGCTCCGTCCAAAAGCAACACCTTCTTATGCAGTACAATGACTCCGGAGGTAGGCTTGCCGTGTGAAGAATCGGTCTACACAGGCACCTGCCCAATTCCGCCATCCAAAAAGATTCTCGACTTCAAACGACGGGTTTTTGCGCCCGAAGAGACTGTATTCTCTTCCTTTAGTTATCGCATTGAGGCCACCGACATCCTCTGCAGAGCACTCGTGCTAAGTAGGCTTAAGGACTACCACCGAGATCATCTGCAGGCGGTCGAAAATGCTCTGGTCAGCTGGATCAATCATTTGCCTGCAAGAAAGCTAGATATTGTCGACTCCTATGGCAATATCGATGAGATGATGTTCCAAGCGCATGTCACGATTGCATATGCAACTATGCTTCTCCATCTGCCGCGCAGTGATCTTCAGCCTGTTCTTTCCCAAACCGACGAGAAGTTCTGGCCTGTCGCTTCTCGTCATCTGGCCTCTACACTGAATCGCCCGGTGCACAGTATCAAAGCCACAGAAGCCTCGCGGCGAATCTCAGATGCTATTTCCCTTTGCCCGAATGTCCTCAAACACTCGCCGTTTGTCATCCCTGCCTTGGCGCTCTGTGGCATGATCCAACTAGCGACTTCGGTCAAGCATACCGAAGAGTGCTTTGACCATCACTACAATCGAGTCACGCTGATTCTCGGGTGTCTGAAGAGCACGAAAAGAATATGGGGCCTCGCAGATGCCGCATACAACCATCTACGCACATCTGCAGCAGATGCCTTGTCAGACTCAATGGAACGGTGGTGCACTGAGCCGCTTCGTAAATTCTTTCCCGCAGACGCAAGTCCTACCAGTACGGATCGTACAGCAGCCCAGTCGGCTCGACCCATCACTGCCATCTCTGACGGCCAAGATATGGCCTTCCAGCCAATGCTTCCGAGCTTTGTTGATCCAACTTGCTACAATGATTCGTTCTTTACCACAATCCCGGATTTTGAGATTGGTTAAAGACGGCGAGAGGAGCCTCATGATACCATGACAAGAGGCCCTGTATCAGAGCGTGTTCAAGCAGATATATAGGTGACTATGAACTTATGAAGTATCAGTCACTACCCAGGTGATCTGTTGGCCTACCTTCTTATTTTCTCAACATCCTCAGTATCCCTGGAGTAGATAATGCCTCTACATAGCGGAGTACGCGATACAGTGTAATAAAGGCATGGCCAGCTTCCAGGCTCGATCAGAATGCGATTCCTCCCGAGGGTATGATGGTGTCAATTATCTTGATCCAAGCTATTTCTACCATCAAGATTAGATCGTCTCTCATGTGTAAATTTCAATTTTCATTACCTTAGAATAATCCAAATGTGGGTGGTACGGTACAGCCACGAGGAGCGTGTGATAACCAAGTCGGACCTTATCTCGGAGTTCGGTGGAGCGACATACGCATCATGTGCAGTCGCCGACTGTCTGCTCCGGTCCCGGTCGGCGATTGCACGATACTTATCATCACGCATATTTCACAACCTCAACAACCATCATTTTTAACATTCAATATCAAGTGATACAGAGTACTATTCTGATATTTGCAAGCAAGCCTTTTGTGATCAGTGCCTGTATCTCCAATTGGACCATCCACTCGTCAACATGCTTCCTCTTATGATCCCCTTTTCGCCTACGTCCAACAAGATGGACAAAGGATCTCCGAGAGCTCGCGGACAAATGAAGAAACGATATCGTTTGAACGAGCTGATTAAGGACATCAAGGAACATCTGGGATACGCAGGTGGCATCTCCTCCGATGATGTTGACTCGGACTACTTGAAGTCTTTGTTGGTGAAGTACGTCTCCGATCCAAGCGACTGGATTCAGTATTTCAACAACGACCGTAGTAAGAACTACACACGAAATGCCATCGAGAACATCAACCACAAGGCGAACATTGTGAGTGATCTGACTTCAAGCAACCCCGAGCGATGTGAATTTTTCACTGACGATCGAAGCTCCTCCTTGTGTGGAACCCCGGAAAGGGCTCGCCAATCCATGACCATGCAAACGCGCACTGCATCATGAAAGTGCTTGCCGGAGAACTCCATGAGACTGTCTACAAGAACCCCAATCATCAGCCTGGAGACCATGAGCCTCTCGAAGTCAAATCGTCGACCACATACGCTATGAATGAGGTGACCTACATCTCCGATGATATTGGTCTCCACCGAGTTCACAACCCCAGTAGTGATCAGATCGCTGTCTCGCTCCATTGTGAGTCTATTCATACCATGAAATCTTCTGCATCAACTGAGAGCTAACCACATGACTGCTGGTCCAGTGTACACACCCCCCAACGCTGCAGATTATGGTTACCATATTTTTGATGAAGCGACGGGCTCAGCCAGCCACGTTCCGCAGGCGCGTTCACACCTGAAGCCGCAGGAAAATTAACGGCGACAATCATAAGACCGTGATGGGGGTGGGTCTCTGCACAAGCGTGTTCAGTTTGCCAGCCACCCCCGAAAGATCCCAATCGCTTTGTTGATGCTTTAGCCCTTGACTTTTTGAGATATCCCCATTTGCATGCCCTGACAAGCCTTTCAGAAGAGGCAAATCAAACTTGAACTTCGAGACTTTCACCCGACATCTGGTAAGACTAGTCCGAGTATTCGTAACTGAACAGAATTGATAAGATTTGACAATCCGAAGAAGTGTATATTCTTTTCTATCCTCTTCATTTTCATCTGCAGCCTCGGTTGACCGTCTTTCGTTGCGGTCAACACTCAACAGTACTACTACTCGGGAGTTGGGATACTGCCCCTCTTCGGCTAAGCGGTGTCCCCAGGATTATGTGGACCGTGCAGGTTGTAGCAGCCAAAGGGCCCCCGACCCTGGGCTCCGAAGCTCCGAAGCTTCGGCACCGCTGTGAGCTTATGCAGTCCCGGTGACATTCGCTTAGTCTCGAGGCTCTGCAAAGGCGTCTAGATTGCGAAACAAATTGAGACATTCTGACGCATCTGTCTGGCCGCTCGCAGGAGAGGGAATTCGCTTCTCGAGCTTGCGATTTACGGGTCTACCCCGCAGCGTACTAGTTTGGCCATGAAGATTGACAGAAATTCATGATGTCAAGCGGCAAGAAAGGCACAACGCCAGTACAGCCGCGCAGAGATGTGCTGGCTTCGCTTCGGATGGCCTCGATGGAGGATATTTCACGGGCCTCACTGCCCGCTGGTACGGGGCGCTTACTTTACAGTCATTGGGACACTGTGCTGATTCGCTCATTTCATTTAGAGATCATGACTTCTGTACTGGACTACTTGGATCCTGTCGACCTCATCCGCGTGGCGCGCTCGAGCAAACTTCTGCATGAAATGGCATACGACGATACACGATGGGTACAACTTTTGAAACGCATTGGGTGTTGGAACGAGGCGGATGCTCGGAAACACATTGAGGCATCCTATGGAACAATCGCCAATCCTCATCTTGGAGACGACGAGATCATGACTGGGCAAGCAAGCGGTACCATACCGTCTATACTCATTGAGAGTGCCCCGGACTCCGAGGTGCAGCAGAAGCTGTCCGATGGATTCGACAAAATTGACTTGGTCAATACGAGCTTGCCATCGGGATCAGGAGCCACAGATGAGGATGACCCAGATCTTACGATACTGAGTACCGCCAAGTCTATACGGGGCGAGGCACGACATCAATATGGCAGAATACATGGTGCGCTCGCGCCATTTTACAACGACATAGCACAGAAAGGTCCCTCGATGGACAGGCTTGTCTTCGCACGATATAAAGATCCCCAATCCCGGGCACAGATGTTGTCGCAGCTAGCGGCATTTGCCAGGTCCGACTTGACTGATGGCTGTGAAGACCGGACAGATCGCCTTCAACGGACGGTGGCCTTGTTCGAGACGGCGGCTTTGGAGGAGTTCCGGAATGCGTACGAAGCTGAAGACATTGGTGGGAATATGCGAAAGTATGCTTACGTGCTTTGGACATTGAATGGCGGCCAAGCGGCCGTTGATGCCTTTGTACGCCACAACCATTTGATGGCTCGGCGAAGCGAGCTAGGCACCGTGGCGGACTGCATCGATGCATCGGGCAAAATAAAACTACAGCACACGCAAGCTTTCTTTACGAGACTAAGTGTGGCCTTCAATGAAGAGATCGCTATTTTGAATCAAGCATTTCCTCTGGAACTGGACGTTGCCTCGCCATTTTTAAGAAAAGTGGGACAGGATGTGCTCTATCCATTTCTCACAGCTATCTTTGACGAGCTGCACCGCAGCAACATGGAGTCCTATCTTACTGCTGTTTCAGTCACGTTTGTGCAGTGTCTCAATCTGTCCGAATCTCTTTTGCCCATTCGAAGTGCCGGCGAAGAAAGCGAACTCTCCTTTGATCCTGTCGTCATCCAGATTTTTGAGCCTCATATTGATCTATACCTTGCGGAGGAACTCGACTTCTTCCGAAAAGGATGTGAAGCTGCGATCGACGATTGGGACCGACAACTCTCCGAGCAAGCCGCATCTGCCGAGTCGTTCCTCATGTCCAATATCAACCGCCAGGCGGACAAGCGAGATTTTCTGACCTCGTTCAAGAAGGTGATTATGATGCCTGTGAATATTTTGCCTGGATTTTCGGGTAACAAAGCCGCGAGCGGTGGCCCTTCGGCTAATGCCGAAGCAAATGGAGCCGCTGAAACCGCGGTCAAGTCGTCTAATAGATTTTCTACCATCGCTTCACCAGCGACACCGACATTGGAGGAGGCGCCCACTACGGAGCTGGCCGCCAAGGCGGCCATCATGAAGACCAAGATGGAGGGCATCAAATCCCTCTTCAGCATTGAGATTGCCTTGAATCTCGTGCACTCGGCCAAATCGAGTCTAGAGCGAGCCGCTCAATTCGTACGCTTGGGCGGCGAGTACGAACAGGCCGCAAAGCGTCAATGCGAGGCCATCTTTGTCGCTCTTCTTCGTTTGCTGGGCTACCGTCATGTCATTGTTGGATTTGACAAAGCTGTTGATCATCTCTCAAATTATCGGCCCCGGGAGCAGGACGAACGTGATTCATCAGGGGTTGAGCCTTTGGTCACTTTTCTGGAGCTGGTCAATGTGGGCGACCTGATCTTGCAGATGGTTGATGTGTTCTATGAGCAAGAACTGATTGCGACGAGGTTGACGGACCGGCAAGACTTCCTCGATCCGGCTGTCAAGGAAAAGAAAAAGTTCGAACAGATGCTCGACGAACGTGTTGCTGCAGGCCTCAACAAGGGCATTGACGTTCTCATGGAGGAAGTGGATTATATTCTCGCGACGCGGCAGCTCGCAACTGACTTCAACCCTGGTGTATCTGCAGATCCTCATCGGCAGACAATGGACGTGGGGGTGAGCCAAGCAGCCGCCGCCGTGGTCGATGTGGTGTCATCGCACACACAAATGTTGGTTGGTAGTACCGACAAGAGCACACTGGATGTGTTCAATCAAGAAGTTGGCCTGCGCCTGTTCACTGCGCTCTGCAAACATCTGAAGCGGCAGCGAATCAGTATCGAGGGCTCCCTCAAACTGATCAGGTACGTATCAGATGAGAAATCCGCCATTCCCCCCCCCCCCCCACCCCACCCCATGGCTCGGCTCTAGCCACAATACTGACTTGAATGTAGTGACATGAACCATTACTTCAAGTTCATCCAAACCCTTCGGAACAACGAGCTCCTGGTCTATTTCAAAGCCTTTCGGGAACTGGCTCAAATCTATCTGATCGATCCGTCAGACGCCAAGGAATTGGCGACCATCATCGCCGACGCCGATCGATTTTATGGCATATGGCGGGTTGAAGAAGTTTCTGAATTTGCCGAGCGCCGAGTCGACTGGTATCAGGTCAAAGGAGATGTAGAGCGAGCCATGTATGGCGCTGGCTGTCGTCTGATGTAGATAGATTATACTTTATCATTTTCAAGATACCCTCGAATTGCATAGCGGTTGATTTGATGTACGAGGCTCAAGATTTTAGCCCTCGATTGTCCATTGACACCTACTTCAGGCTGATGCATGCCAATAGTCCTGAGTCAGCTGGGGATGCCACACTGCGAAGGTTGTTCGCTACACCGCAAAGGCTAGATTGAAAGGACTAGGCCTACGTCGGCCAAGACATTGATGAGACGTGTAATAAATGCTCGGATGGCCGATCCTGACAATTCATTTTTGTTGCAGCACAAAGGCTTTGAATCGTCATTCCTGCAGTATGATGTAGTAGTAGTATAAGCGCTGTCCCGATGGCTTATTCCAGAGATAGACAACCAAGTAATTCCTGAACTTTCATCCAGAACAAAACAGACTCGCTCGTACATGGCACGATAGGGCGATGCAGTCTCACGATCTTGAATTTCGAGAGCACATTCGCAGGAAAGTCGCCCAAGCCGGAAAGTCTCAACATCAAGCTGCACCTGACGTCAGAGCGGAGTTGTGGCGGCTGTACTGAGACATCTTTCTCACACATTATTAAACCCGGCGAGGCCTCCACGGCAAGTTTTGTTTAGTAGTACTTATTCGAGTTATCATGATCAGCTGAGTTAAAAGGTAAGTAAATACAACATCTCCTTGTCCAACGGTGTTCGCTCGGGTAGGGCCCATTGATCGCCATGTGGCGTGAGGAATGTAGCGATCAATAATGGGCCGAATCCACGGGCGACTACTTACTGCAACTGAACCAAATATTCCCAAAGTTCCAGTAGTACCAAACTCCATGCGATCAAAACATGGGATATCAAACCATGGTTGTCATGTTCTTTTGGCACCAAACGATAGTCTGACATGTTATTCTGAAATAGAGACTAGTCGCTAGCGATCAACAGCAGGATCCATTTCGATTCACAATTCTTGAGATCGTGGATTGATTGGGCTCCTCCTCCATCGGTGCTGTGCTGCATTGCGATTACGTCCAGCCCTAAAAGAAGAGAAACCCCCTCCTTCGGCATTGTTGGAAGCCCCTTCAGGAACACCTATTACTCGCAGCATCCGGCTTGAGATTTCAGAAGAAGCTGGAAGTCGAGACATTATTCTGGACGTAGCTCTCTTGACAAAGGTCCCAAAATCCGCCTGCATATCACAGAAATATGCCTGCAGTTTTGCAAAGAAATTGTACATATTGGACTCTGCTCCAGACCCTACTGATCCTCACCTATGTCTGGAGCAACGCCAATGCCATGCCCGAAGCCGACGCCGTCACCGTATACAACACAGTGCAACGGACCTCTGTCGTTGAGGCAACACCGACAGCTCCAATGCCTGCATCGTACACGTCACTTGACGACTTCAAAGACACCATGTTGAAAACAACGAACAACTACCGGAAAATTTACCAAGCAGATTCTCTATCCTGGAATGATGAGCTCGCGGACTACTCACGCAAATGGGCGAAGGGATGCCTTTGGAAACACTCGGTACGTAGAAAGACAATTTGCTGCCTTCCAATCTCGGCTGTCCACTTCAGTAGAAAACCACTACATGGGAGTCGAGAGATTGACTCGTGAGAACTTGATGCTAACGCAGCTTCAATGTGAAGGACGGACAATATGGCGAAAATCTTGCATTTGGCTATCCAAACACATCTGCCGCGGTAGATGCGTGGGCCGACGAGGTCAAATTGTACAATTTCAACAAGCCCACCGGCTTCTCTGAGAAAACTGGCCACTTCACGCAGCTCGTTTGGCAATCGACGACGGAAGTGGGCTGTGCAGCTATCAATTGCGGATTTGACAAGAACAAGAGGTCCATTCGGGATGATGCATTCAACACTGACGATGTGAAGATGGACGACCACCGGATTCGGCCACGAGAGGCCGATGGTACAACACGCGCGCAAGGCTGGTATGTGGTCTGTGAATATAAACCGCCGGGAAATATTGTCGGCGACAACAACAAATACTTCAAGGAGAACGTCAAGCCTGCGAATGGGTCAACGAGTCCGTCCTCATCAACGAGCGCCTCTGGAAGTCAAGAGACAGGCGGAGCAATGGCGTGGACTGCAACCAGCACACGGTCACTACTCTGGTCTACTGTGGTGGCGATCACGACTGTCATGATCGGGACGAACCTTTACAGCTGACCACAGCAGTTTGAATATAATGACTATATTACGCCTTCAATGAACTTCTAAGCGAGAGATCACATGGTTTGTTGCGTTCGTAGGCATTCCTCATACTTATCCACATTGCACATCAAGAGCTTGTGTCGGACGTGCAGCTCAACCTAATTGATTTTTGAGAGTCCCCGATCATCAGCACAAAACCACGGCTGGATCATAAAAAAAACAAACATGGGGCACGTAGAAAAGCCGGGCCCCAAAGGCACTGGACGCCGGTGACAACAAAAGAAGAAAGAAATCTCAAACGAGACACATTATTTGCGGAAAGAGGAGGGGCGTAGAGACGAGACAATTGGATTTATCAACCGATGACCTCTTCGGTCTCTTCGACAATCTCTTCGACAATCTCCTCCACAACCGTGTCGCCTTCCTGCTGGTTGACAGCAACAGCATCCTTGGCCCGCTTGGGAGAGTCGGCATCCTCGGGCAAACCGAACGCCTCGCGCTCCTCGGCCTGGATCTCCTTCTCCCGACGCATCCAAGCAAGCCACTCGCTGAGCACGCGCTTGCGCTGCTCGACGACGGCGGTATTGGCAATGTCCACCGCATATCGGTCCTCTTCATCGAACTCCTTCGAGTATTCGCGCAGGTTCTTGCGGACCTGCTTCTGTTCCTCCTTGCTAAGGAGGGTAGGGGGGCGCGGGCGCCAGAGGAACTGCTTGAACTTCTCGGTGGGGTTTTCGGACAGAGTTTGGCCGGAGAAAGTGTGCAGGTTCCAGCCGTTCTCCATCTGTAATCTTCGTGTTAGCTATTGTTGCATCGTGGGAGGTCAATAAAGTGTAATAATTCTTACCGAGTGAGTCCAAACACTGGCACTGCTGACCACGTAACGACCTGTGGGGTCCCACTCAATATCGGTGACGCCGTAGTGCTCCACAGTCTTCATCAATTGAAGGTTGGCTGCCAGATCCTTCTCGGCCTCGTTCTTCTCACCCTCGAAATCCATATCCCAGAAGTCAAGGTCAAAGTTGGTCTGGGAGTGAACAGTTGCGACAACCACGAAGCGGCCCTTGGGGGACCAGTAGATGCCATTGCTCGTCTTCTTCTCGACGGTGCGAACGAGCTTGAAGTTGCCCGCAGTGTTGCCCTTCTTCTCGGGGGCGAAGAAAGACACTGAAGTCTTGGGGAGGACCGCGGCACCGCTGGGAGCCTCGCCGGTTGTGATGACGACGAAACGAGAGCCGTTGGGCTCCCAAGAGAAGTTAATGACGGTGTCCTTCAAGCTATCCACGACCTCGACTGGGACACCCTTCTCGCGGACACGGAAAATTTCCAAGTTGGTGGCCATAGACTTCTTAGACTTAGAGTGACGGTCAACCTTGACGCACACGTAGGCACCCTGGGATTGCCAGTGCAACTTGACGTCAGACACGTTGAAGAGATTACGAGTGCGCACAATCTCTTTGGAAGGAACGCTCATCATAGCAACACGAGCAGGGTTGCTGCCAATCTCAGGGGTCCAAAAGCAGAGAAGCTGTTCGTATTGCTTCACACCCTCACGGGTAACAATGGCGGGTGACCACTCAAAGTCGTTGACTCCCTCGACCTTCACCGACGTACGACCGAGCAGGTTCATGTTAGGCACCTCGTAGATTGAGATAGACTGGCCTTGGAGCATGCGCGCACAGTACTTCTCATCAGCAGACCACTTGAAAGCGGGCCACTGCACCTTCTTCTTGGGCTGAACATCACCTTCAACAGCCGGGCCACCGGCGAGATCGTGAGACACAAATGAGCGTAGAGGCTTGCCAGACTCGATGTCCCAGACAATGATGTTCTTGCCATCCTCCTCGAAGGTCAGGACGGGTTGTCCTTCTTCGACCTGAATTGGGCGCGATGACCATGTTGTGAGATAGCCTTCCAGAGGGGAGAATTCAACGAGTTGTACGAATGGGTGAGGGAACTGTTTCTGCTTGGAGAAGGAGGCGCCGCCCCAGAGCTGGACACCTTGAGGATGAACGGAGGCGAGGAAGGTACCCTTCGGGGACCACTGAACGAAGAGTTGTGTCCAGTGGGCGCGGTCGACCACATTCTCGGGCGGGTTGGACTTGTTGTTCCAGAAGACGCCGACCTTGTCACCGCGGTACAGAGCGAACTGATCACGAGCATGGGCATCGGCCATCCAGGAGCGAAGGTGTTCCCTCTCCTTGAAAGGCTCCAACTCGGGAGCATGGTATTCCTCCTCGATACGACCCTCGCGACCATATCGCTCAATGTCCATCAACTTGTTGACCGCAAGAGTGTGCTTCTTGTCGAGAGGAACACCGTGCAGCTGCTTCACGGCGGCAATAGCTTGTTCGGGCGTCTCGAACTCAACGAAGGCGTATCTAAAGAAAGAATCCACGTCCAGTTAATAATCGCTCCATTCCGCTCATGTCAGGTTTTATCCAATGCCATATAGCCGATACGCACCCTTCAGACATGCCCTTGTCGTTGAGTGGCATGAAAACAGCATCCTCGGAGGTGCGGCCCACCGTGTTGAGTTTTCTCAACAAGAACTTGACGAGTTTCTGGCGGCTTTCTTCGGGCACAACAGGGAGGCCATCGACGACGACGAAAGTATCCAGACCCTCCTCCATCTTGACTTCGAACTGCTCCTTGAGATCTGCCGCGCACACTTAATGTTAGGAGGGGCACATGCCACAGACCGGTCGGTTATTTTGGCCTTTAAGGCTGGAAACCTACCAGAGAAGTCAATCTCCTCCTCCTCCTCCTCGTGGAAGTCCTGCTCGGACAGGGTATCGAAGCTGGGCGCCATGATTGCGTGACTGGAGGCGACAGCCGTGATGGTTCAAATCAAATTCGCTGACTTGGATGTGAGGATTTTCGGCCAGAAACAAAACTGGCCGCCAAGCGGGTTCTTTGTGCGGCGCGGACCTTGCTGACTCAGCCACCAAGAATCGAGTCCCGGACAGGCTCAGTGGGTGGGTCGCTCCTTCCCTTTTAGTTGCATGTCTGAAGTATACCAAAAAAAAAGACTGGGATGCAAGTAATCTTCATCTTCCAACTGACATCAGTCAATCAACTTTGTCCTGAACTGCTATCCTACAGGTTTTGTGAGCTTGAAAGTCCGCAAAACTATCAAACAGCCTTCAAGTCTTTGATAATGACACAAGCTCAACATGTCTACCATATCTCGGCAGTCCACACTTGACTCCTTCTTGACACTGACAGCGAGGGACAGCACACGACGGACTGGAACGAGAAAGCCCACGAATACAGCCACGAGCGCTGCGTCCCAGGACATTATCTGCGCTCTTAGTGAGTCGCGAGGAGTCTCATCAACGGTAGGAATAGCTTTCGTGAACCTTGCGACAGCTGAAGTGGTCTTGTGCCAAATATGTGATAGCCAGACCTTTGTCAAGACAGTGACCAAAATTGGGATTTTCGAACCTAGCGAGATACTGTTCATGCGAACCGCTCAAGGAACCAAGCTTCGCTACATCATCGAAGAAAATCTTCCCACTCCTGTTCTCGCATTCGCGGATCGCAGGAGCTGGTCTGACAGATCCGGTCTGGAGTATCTTGATCGTCTTGGATTCCCAGATGAAGTGAACTCCCTTCGGGTGACACTCGAAAGAAACTATTTTGCTGCGTGCAGCTTTGCAGCGGTTAGTTGACCAGTATTATCAATGCATGAAGCTGTCCTGCAATGATCTTGACTAGTTTTAGGCTTTGAAGTATATTGAGGTCGAACTCGAGAAAGTATTCGCGGCACACTCCTTGAGAATTCGATTTGAGCCTTCAGAAGGATCCATGATTGTTGATCTGAGCACTATCGTGTCTCTTGAGCTGATCCAAAACTCCCGAACCACTAAATCCAAAGATAGCTTGTATGGATTGCTGAACGCAACCACAACGCCGATGGGTGGCAGACTGCTCCGAGCCAACATACTCCAACCTTCTACGGACCGGGTCAAGTTGACTGCGAGATACAACGCAGTTGAAGATTTGTCGTCCAAGGAAGACATGTTTGTATCTGTGCGCCAAGCCTTAAAAGGGTTTGTTGATGCAGACAGGGTGCTGACGTCGGTGCGAATTCCAATCCAGGCAGAATTTCATTCGTTTGCTTACATGAATATCGCCAAATAGATTATCCTCGTACCGACCAGGCGAACGGCACAATATATTGAGCAGTCGGTCAACTACGTGATCATGCTGAAAACGTTCGTTTCTGCGATCAGGAAGATCTATGTGGCACTGGGACCAGCGCAAAGTGAAATACTGACCACTATCCGAGAGGCAAGTCGGCATTTGATAATTGGTGAACTTGATGTCTGATATGTCGTATTCTAGCTTTGTCACCCTGCTGGTCATCGAAATGTGGAAGAGCTGATTGCGAAAACACTAAACGAAAACATCACGTATCAAAGCAAGCCTTTGGACTTGCGAAACCAACGAATTTATTGCGTCAAGGTGGGATCTTAAGCTGCCAGAGAAGAAGTGTGCTTTCGCAAAGAAGACTGATAACAGAGAACAGGCAGGCGTAAGTAGTCTTTTGGATGTTGCGAGACAGATTTACAAAGAAGCCAATGCGGATGCAGCAGAGTTGGTCACAAGTCTAGCGGGTCAGTCGCGCCCTCTTTGTTGACGAGTAACTCCACTGACTTCATATAGAAAATTTGGACCTGCGACTGGACCTGAAATACGACACGGCTCGTCAGTACTACATCTGTCTTCCAGCAGGAAGGGTGGAGTCATTACCGGATGTCTTCATTAATGTCTATCGCAAGAAGAATCGTATCGAATGCCAGACATTGGACTTGGTCAAGTTGAACCAGAAAATTGCAGATGCTCACATCGAGGTGATCAATATGAGCGATCAAACGATCCAGACGCTCCTCGTGGACGTTTGTGCGGATGTGGCAAGCTTGTTCCGTACCAGCGAAGCAATAGCGATGTTAGACATGCTGGCAGCCTTTGCTCAAATCGCGACAAGCTATAACTATGTCCGCCCAGAGTTGACAGCGACCCTGACATTAAAAGCGGGCCGGCACCCGATTCGTGAAAGAATCCATTCCAGCTCATTTGTCCCAAACGATGCGTGCGCCACTTCGCAAACCCGCTTCCAGATTATTACCGGATGTAATATGAGTGGGAAGTCGACTTATATTCGATCGATTGCACTGATGGCTGTGATGGCGCATATCGGTTGTTTTGTACCGGCTCAGTACGCGTCTTTCCCGATCACACATCAGCTATTTGCACGATTCGCCACCAGCGACGATCTTGATGCCAATGTTTCCACATTTGCTGCAGAAATGCGCGAGATGGCTTTCATCCTTCGACACATTCAGCCGGGTGCGATGGTTTTCATTGATGAGCTCGGTCGTGGCACAAGTACAACGGACGGTCTTGCAATTGCCATTGCCATCAGTGAAGCGCTCCTCGCGAGCAATTCTTGGGTCTGGTTTGCTACACACTTTCATGACCTTGCCCGTATCTTGTCCGAAAGAAGTGGCGTGATCAATCTTCATCTCGTGGCCGATATCACTCCATATGCAAACAAACTGACCATGTTGTACCAGATTGCCGAAGGGCCGGTCCCAGATCGAAGGTATGGTCTTCAGCTTGCCAAGCTGGTAGACCTTCCGCCAAAAGTCTTGGAGACAGCCGGTCGTATCTCACAGTCGATGGATCGACTGACGGAGCGTCGAAGCAGCTCTTCGCGTGCTGTTATCTTGGCCCGAAAGCGAAAATTGCTTCTGGGTCTTCGGGAAGAGCTCATTATGGCTCATAATGGATTCATGGACAACGTATCCCTACGAAACCACCTTATCGATCTTCAACAGCGCTTTATCTTGAACTTGGCTAGCCTTGAGAAAGATGTAGAATCACAGACTGAGGGTATGTGCGAGCCTCGAGAGACGACTAGCACTCGAGAGAACACCTTGGGGGCCTCTGGCTGTGCAGAAGTCCACTCAGATATAGAGATTGACGACTGTCGACCATCTTCAAGAACCGCAGCTGATTCTGATTCCTTGCTGCTCGATTCCGACCATTCTGATTCTCAAGGCCCGGGTTCCACTTGAATCAGCTGAAATCACTGATCATCTGCTCATAGTTTCGAAGTCCTTCTTCTAGTGTTCGATCTCCCTACGTTTCTATTACTTTTGTGCAGCGGTTCCTCAAGACATGAGCTAGGGTGCAGTCGTTACATTTTCAAGAGGCTCACCTGTATGCATCTATTGGTTAGAACGCAGCCGGACTGCACTGCCCCGGTCATCACAACACTTTGAGCTTGCTTTGTACTCCGTCCACGTTACTCGTCATTTCTCATCAGATAAATGGATCAATGGAGGGCGTTTGAATTAGCGGAAAAGCCTAATTCAACCATGCCGAGGGTGGAGACATGGAAGATGGTGTCATGGGCTGCAGTTTCATCAACAAGCAATCAGTTTTACCTTCAGAAACGGCGTTACTCTCGTGGCGTGCGGATTCAATTATGACATATATACACGCCGGAAAGGAATCAATCCCACTCAAGAAAGATCACAACACAAACATTTCTTTTATTCTACCCATGCATTTTTTGAACGCTCACTAAGTCATCAGAAACAAAACGAATAGAGGACAGGAAGATCATCCAAAGTGGAAGAGGGTTTGCTTGCCCTTCTTCTTCTTGCCCTTTTTCCCATCGCTAGGATCGTCGTCCATGTCCTCCAATGGCTCGGACGGGGACGTCATACCCGAAGAGGGATTGGAACCACCCCAGGCGTTGGCCGGGGGAGCCTTCTGTTCATCCCATCGTACGTACCCACGAGTTTTGCCGGGCATCAGAACGTTTGGCTTGGCAGCCACAGGCAAGGCGGGGAACGAATCAGCGCTAGCACCGGGACGGGCTGAATTGCTTGATGTAGCTGGAGCGGAGCGAGGTATGGGGTTCGTGTAGGATGGACGACTGATTGACGAGGGAGGCGCAGCAGCAGCCCAGGGAGTTGATGAAGCAGCGTTGTTACGGCGAGATGAGCTCCCAACGGCTGCAGAGAGAGGAGGGAATGGGTTGGCGGACGAGGATGAATTGGCACCACTGCGGCCAACAGCAGAACGTGATGATTGCGCTGTAGATGACTTCAGACGCAATACACGGCTGCCACCTGTACTCACGGTGCCCGGTGACATGCCAGGTAAGAGGCCCCCAGGACCCGGTAGGGCAGGGTAGTCCTCGTTGATAGCTCGCCAGTCGTTCCATGCCTGGAGCAAGCTGGATCGCTTGCTATCATCCTCGTAAATCTCCGCCAGTTCTTTGATAAGCTTACCCAACTCGGAGCTAGACGTGTCGAAGAGAGAGAAGAATGCGTCGATGAGCCCTGTCGCACTGATAGACGATGAACGGAAGTCAGAGACTCTCTTTCGGAACTCGGCCAACTTTGTGGCATCGTTGTGGAGGAGGTTTGAGGCACGCTCGACGACTGCAGCGTGCCGCAGGCGACGAGCTTGGTCTTGTGGACTCAGTGGCTCGGAGCTGGCTGCGATGCTGAGACTCTCCAGCTCAGCCGTTGGGGGTGGACGAGATCGCGAGGCTGGGTTTGGTGTGGCTGCGGCGGACCGGGAAGGTGCTTGCACTGTCTGCGTGTCATTTCGACTGAGCTGTCCACCGAAACTGCGCGTCGTCACTGATTGAGCACTCTGAATAGCTTGTTGTCGCTGGAAGGCTTGTTCCGCGCGGCCCAACGGCTGAGCACTGGATACTGGCAAGGGCTCAGCATTTGGATCCCGCCCACGACCGGCCCCGCGTCGCTGACGCTGAGGTTGGTATGGGGTTCGAATGTCGAATTCGGCGAGATCGACCATCCGCGCATCTCGACGAACATCCTTGGATACTCCATTAGGATGAGCCTCGATTTGATGCGCCTTCAAATCCATCTGCGACTCAAAGACCATGAATTTCTTCTCCAAACATTCCTTGTCAAGGCACAAGAAATGATCCTTCTGAAAATGGCTCTCCAGAGCATTGTAATCAATGTAGTACTGCTGTTGACGGTGGGACGCGCGTCGGTCACAAATGTGACACCGTTCGTGCTTGTCTCGGCAGTGAGTGTAGAGTTCGTCGTCGCCGTAGAATCGAATCCGACAGAAGCCGCACTCGGGATGGCCTTTGAAGCCACTCTGGTCGATGGAACCAGGCTTGTGATCACCATGCTTTTCATGTTTTCGCAGTTCGGCCATGGTGAAAAGTGTATGTTCATGGGTGAACACTTTTTTGTTTCGCGTGCAGAGATCACTATCACACATCTCATTAGCTGGCTAGCCTATTGACGAGGCGAACTTGTTGAGAACAACACTGGCCCGTAGTACGCATAAAGAAAATGTCCATGACTTACCACATCACCCTCCCGTGCTTGCTCTTGACATGACGGTGTAGATCTGGCCAGCCAAGACAGGCGACATCGCAGTCCTTATCTGGGCAGTTGTATCGAAGCAACAAGACTGTGTCCTCAAAGATCTCATCTTTCTCGTACAGAATGCCCAAATTCTCATCTGTTCGAGCAAAGTCTTTCTGATCGAAATCTTCAAATCGGCGGACAGGATCGTCGGTGAAGACAACAAATGCGGATTCAGTCTATCCGTGGTAAGGATCGTGTTAAAAGTCTTTGCGACAAAGCCACAGATCTGCGTCCTCGGAAAGCTTCTTAGCACTTACTCGACAGTGTGCGCAGCCCTTATTTTTGTACAAAGCACGTAGGCGGAGCGCACAAATATGACATGTGCGATGGTTGCAGGGTGACACGGACGTGTGCTCGACAGTCGATGCACAAATGAAACAAATTTCACCATCATCGGCGTCATCGGTAGCGGCGGGAACGTCTTTCGCGTTCTCGACAGCCGCGGTCGGCGCAGCTTGAGAGTCCGAGTCGTTAACACCATTTTGTTGCTGATCTCTGCCCTGAGCTCCAGCACCTCCTCGTCCACGACCACCGCGTCCACCTCGTGCGCCGCGACCGCGGGGGTTGCCCCCTCTGGCGGCGCCATCTGCAGTGTCGTGGGGTTTATCAGAACGACCAGGAGGATGGGTCCCTCCGCGGCCACGACGACGGCCACTGCCACGCCCTGGGGCTGAGGCTGGTGCAGGAGTAGCGGAGGTATTGTCAGCCATAGCAAGAAGCCGTGTGCTTTGTTTCAAAGCTACGGATCCTTCCTTTCACAAAGGTAGTGAGCAGTGAGCACTGTGACGGTCCAGAGAATACCTGACAGATCCTGGTGGGGGAAGAAGACGGGGGAAATTCCACTGCCCGCGGCCGTGATTTGGCTGACTGATCATCACCGCGGCACGGCGCGTCCCTCAGTACAACCAGGATGGATTTGGTGGTCTTTACATTGGCGAGGATCCGAGCCAGCGAACAATAAAGTGTTTCAATGAGCTGAAAGCTCTTCTAATTGTGGAAGAATTCGTGAGTGCCAAGCTGCAAGTTGAGCTAAATCATAAATGGTCAGGACCGCAAGTCACTTCGAGTACCTTGAGCAACTAAGTATTGCCCAGGAGTTGTGTCACTGTCAACTGTCAATGCATTTGTCCAGTAGGTCCACGCACTAAGGTTCCTGGAGAAAAAGCTGGCGATTGCATAGCCATTTAAGTTAGTCCTAGGCACTAGGTAGTCACTGCTTAGCTTAGTCTAGGAAAATTCGTAACCATGAGAGCTATCTACATGTCTCGCATCTTCTCTCTGCAGGAGATGTTGGCGTTGAAAACGCATGGGTGCCCAGATGCCCGCAATCTCCTTGGTCACGATCTCTAAGCCAAAGTCATGCACAAAATCTACATATGCAATTCCGCATCTTATGCCTTTGCGAACGAATTGAAGACACACAAATTTTCGCAATAGGAGGCCTCAAATACAGGAGAAATCTGCTAATGGTTCCATTTCTCGAGTGCTGCATCAACTCCCGCCAGATGCCAGTAAAAGAACAGTAATCAATCAAACGAAGGAACTACTGATGCGCCATAACGCGATTCGAAGAAAGTCACTGAAAGTAAAGCTGCAAGGCCGGCATCCCTATGCAAGAAGGAACCACGAAAAGGACTCAAATGTACTGTGTGACCAAATGAGGAAGGTGCCTGGCTGGAACAAAAGCTGGCGACTGTTCTACAATAGTGGCCAGAGTTCACGTACAAACCACTGTTCACTATTCTTCAGGGTTGTACAAGTTCTGGTTGAGAATCTTAGTCATGGTGAACATGTGGACTCGGTCCTGCTTGAACACAGCCCGCATGGCGTCGTCACAGCGAATTTGACGACGATCACTTGGGTCCTGGAGCTCATTCTCCCGGATGTATTGCCAGACCCGTTTGACTGTCTGTGGGCGCGAAAGCTGGCTTGGGTATTAGCACAGGGCAATTTGGAAGAGTAAAGGACCGTCATGAGATACCGTTGTTTCGCCTAATAATGCGGATAGCGGAGGTGATAGATTCAAGGGTTTCTAATGGGGGAAAATGTGAGCCAGGCATCGAATTCGGGAATGTAAGAAAGGGCACGGGTAATACAACGTACGTGAAATCCACCTGACCGATTGACCTCCTTCTTAGAATCTGGACCGGAATCAACATCCGAGTCATCCTCGGCCTTTACACGTTTTGATGTCTTTGGCTTGCTCTTCTTCTTAGGTGGAGCGGCGCGTCTCGTGCCTGCACCTCTTGTTTGCCGTGCTCGCATGTTTTCCTCCGCTTGGAGCCTGGCCGCGAATGCAGCGTCGGCATCGACATCCGTATCGACTTTTTGTTTCTTGGCGACAGGCGGCGCACTTGTGGGTTCAGGAGCATCCTCGCTATCTGTCTGCCGCTTCACAGGCGAGGTAGAGGGAGGGGGCGAGGGCACAGAACTCGCATGTGCTTGGCCATTTGTTGTCTGTGTCTCCTCGGGTGATTGACCACCATTGTTACCAGCAAAGATATCGAAGCGTTCCATAATCAGTTGTTTGATTTCAGCCTAGCCATTGTTAGTAATCAACGAGGATCACCCACAATGTGTTTGATTTGCTGGCATCATGTCGACGGCGTGCGCTCAAGCAACAGCTGCACGGGATGCGCCCACCTTCTGCGGAGTGAGATCATAGCCAATGACTTCCTGAAGCCCTTTCCGGATCCGTTTCTCAGAGATTGTGTTCAGATCACTCTTTGCGAGGATCGAGTCGATGATCCGGGAGTATTCATCGCGCTTCTCCGATGACACTGTGAGACCATGTTAGAAATCACAATCGGAAGCTTGCCGGCATGTTTGGTCTGCGACGGAGGCTAACAGCGGTCGTGCTCCGAGGTCACGTACGCGACATGATGGCTGTTCTGCACAGTTGAAGTTTGTCTTGTGGATGATGCTCGATGACCAGTCGTATAATGCAGATAATGGCAGAAGCAACGGCACCCTTGAAGACTCGGTCGCGAGTTCGATGTCGATGCTGTCAGACGGCGCTTTCGTGCAGGATCAGGCAGGTATAGTCGCACTGGCGCTTGAGGACGGCGGGGGACAACGATGAGGCCGAGAGCATGTACGTTGAACGAAATGCACAACGGGAGGCGAGCCAATCAAGCAATTGAGTCGAGTATAAAATCACAAGCTCCAAGTATCAACTTTGTCCAGATCTCAAGCTCATAGCAGACCCCGCGTCGGCAGTAACTCCGAAAGCAACTGCTCACGCTAGCTGCGATGTGACGCGCGCCTGGGGAAGATGCTGACTCAGCTATACAACTGGGCCCGACCGTCACGGGCTCAAATGTGGACGGGACGGGCACTGGTGCCGGTCGGGGCTGGCCAGGAAAGACCCGAAGCGCCAACCTCCAAAGTCACGGGATACAGGCCTCAGGCAACAAGGTCCAGATACAGCACGGCGCGGGCCATGCTTATCGGCGTCCACGCTGCCGATAAGAAACATCAATCCACCCCCACTTTCCCCGTCGCACATCCATCCCGTCTTCATCTACCAGCCAAAACCGCCAACGGCCAATCATGGATACCAGAATGACTCGGTCCATGTCAAAGCGGAGACAAGAAGATGCGGAATCTCCTGCTCTTTCGGATTTCAAACGTCGGCAGACTGATTGGCCTGCTCCATCCCTGTCCTCCGGGCCGAGTATCTCCTCAGTTGAGCACGCAAGTCAAAACACATGGGAGGAGCTGAAGGCACTGGCGTTCAAGCGCATTAACGAGTATAAGTGTTACGGGCGCGAGTATGAAGACAAACTTGAAAACGTTCTTACTGAAGCACTGCAATGGTTACCAGAAGGCGGTCGCGATGCGCTCGCTCAAGATATCATTGACGTCCGGGGGGATGATCAAATGCTTTACGATGTTTTTGCGAATTTCCGTACTGCCGTTATGGAGGCTAGTGAGTATTTTTGTTACCTGACCCTGCCAATTGTTCCTAAGTTTACTGACCAAATCATCTACTACTAGTTAAATCCGTGAGCAAGGAGCCTGTTACGCCGTCACCTCACCATAAGCGTCAGAAAAGCATCGATAGGGTCGCGGCTAGGCTACCAGAACCCCTAAGCCGCTCAGATGACTGGGTCCGGGATTGTCGCGAGCGGGATGGTAATCACTGTGTTATTTCGTACCCCTTTGAACACGAGATGCCACAGGAGAGGCATCTCCCGAGAGCAAATAATCAAGGGCAACAACGAGATTATCTTGAAGTTCATCATATCATACCATTCTCTTTGGGAGGCTTTAACAAAAAGGTACCAAGAAGACTCGGTTTCTTCCGGGTTCAATTCTCAATTTGTTAATATTAACAGGATGATCATGATACCGCGATCAAGTGGTCTTCGATTTACACCGCATTCCCGAAGACCAAGGCGATTGCAGCCTCAAAGATCAACACCTTGGAAAATGGCATAACCCTTCGCCAAGAGCTACACAGAGCCTTTCAGCGTTTCCTGATTGCGCTTCGACCGACGGTAAGATCAATGATTGATCCACGGTCATCCATGCTTTCGACTAACCATGGTCTAAAGGGAATTCCTAACTGTTACGAAATTAAAAAATGGCAACCAGACGAGCATGAATTAGCGCTTCGATTACTTTTCAATTATCAATTACCGGCTGGTGCTATAGTAACCCTTCGACAGGCGGTCGGGCACGCGGATAAGCCACTTCCAAGTACTGATCTCCTCGATATGCACTGGCGCGTTTGCGAGATTTTCCATGCATCCGGAATGGCCGAAGAAGTAAAGTTGGTGGAACAACGATGGTTCAAGCTCAAGCACGATTTATGTGGTCGTTCCTTGCCGGAGGACGGATCATTGAACCTTGAGGAGGTGCTACACGTAGCCTTTGCTGACCATATCCAGGTTTAGTGTTCTAATCTTCCCGGTCGTAAAACACATAGCCATATCTCATTATTGCTCTCATTTAGTATCATGTATTTTTGTTGTTGCCATTCGACATCATTCATCAAAATCATCCTGAATCGTTGTAGTAAATCTAATAAACTCCCAAGTACTGATCTCCTCGAGATGCACTAGCGCCTTTACGAGAATTTTCATGCTTCTGGACTAGCCGAAGAAGTAAAGTTGATGGAATAGCGATGGTCACAGCTTATCTACGAAACATGTCGTCGTTCCTACTCAGAGGCCGGTTCATTGAATCTGATGCAGGGAGAAGGTGGTCCACATGGGCAAGCCGATGTGCCGCAGTGCATCCAGCATTATTGTGCAGCAGATGCGCAACCACAGGAAGCAAGCCCCACTACCTGCTGATAAGTGCTGATAAGCCACGATAAGGGCTGATAAGCCCGGCTGGGCGTCCTTGTCTATTTAGTAGTTAGCGATCAGATATCCGGGGGCCTCCAATCGATAAGATAAGCTGCCCAAATCAAAATTTCTTCCATCATCAACCTCCAAATCACCAATCATGGCGACCCTTCTCCCTCCCCCTAGCAAGCGTCAAAAGCTTGCTCAGGCTGAAAAGGCCAGAGAACAGCAAGAGATTCAGAGTATTCCCACTGATTTGGGCAGTATTCGTGTCCAATTTTTCGACCAAGCCACCGGAAATGCTACCGGTCCTGCGGTTTCGGTGCCTGTTGCCGACGCCAACATCAAGAATCTCGAGACGCTATTGAACACCTTGCAAGGCAATGTAAGTAACGTGGCGAGCATACGAAGAGGTTATTGAGTCCTCGACTAATATCCAGTTGTAGGAAGATGATGATCGAGTGCCATATCGGTTTACATACCAATCCGACAAGAAAGACGGACAGACCATTGACATTCTCGCGGACTTGTATCACTCACTTCTGCAACCCGGGATCAAAACCACCGAAGACACGGTCCCTCTATTCTTCACTCCGCAAGCCGTTTTCCGAGTCAAGGCCGTCTCACGATGCGCGGCTTCCATTGCCGGTCACGGCGAGGCCATCCTTGCAACACAATTTTCACCCGTCAACTCGTCGACAATGGTGTCTGGAAGTGGGGACTCTACCGCTCGTATCTGGGATTGCGACACAGGCACCCCTCTGCACACCCTGAAAGGACACACCAGCTGGGTGCTGGCGGTGGCCTATTCGCCCAACGGCGCCATGATCGCAACGGGCAGCATGGACAATTCTGTGCGCTTTTGGGATGCGAAGAAGGGCGAGGCGCTTGGTGCGCCGGTCAAGGGCCACTCCAAGTGGATTACCAGTCTGGCTTGGGAACCGTATCACCTGCAGGAATCCGGACGGCCGCGTCTCGCGTCGGCCTCGAAGGACTCGACCGTGCGAATTTGGGACGTGGTCTCCAAGCGCATCGAGCATGTGCTCACCGGCCACAAGGGATCTGTTACCTGCGTTCGATGGGGCGGTACTGGTCAGATCTACACCGCTTCGCACGACAAGACCATCAAGATTTGGAACCCGAAGGATGGCACCCTGATCCAGACCCTGGCAGCCCATGCGCACCGTGTGAACCACCTGGCGCTGTCCACCGACTTTGCTCTCCGCACGGCCTATCACGATCACACTGGTCAGACGCCGGCGACGGAGACCGAGAGAGTCGCGGCTGCTCGCAAGCGATTCGAAGACGCAGCGACCGTCAACAACAAGATTGTGGAACGTCTGGTGTCAGCCAGTGACGATTTCACCATGTATCTATGGGATCCGTCGACTTCCAACAAGCCCGTTGCGCGGATGCTTGGTCATCAGAAGGAGGTCAACCATGTGACTTTTTCTCCGGACATGGCCTATATTGCATCCGCAGGATTCGACAATCACGTCAAGTTGTGGAATGGTCGCGATGGAAAGTACGTCAATTCATTTTCCCCCCTTGAGCACGTATTTGAGGCCCTACATCTTACCATTTTCGATGTGCTAATCGGTGCTTATCAACACAGATTCATCACTACTTTCCGCGGCCACGTCGGTGCGGTGTATCAGTGCTGTTTCTCGGCTGACTCCCGGATGCTGGTCTCTTCGTCCAAGGATACCACCTTGAAGGTCTGGGATGTGCGGACGGGCAAGTTGGCCACCGACTTGCCGGGACACCAAGATGAGGTGTTTGCCGTGGACTGGAGTCCGGATGGACAAAAAGTGGGGAGTGGTGGTAAGGACAAGGCGATTCGAATCTGGCGGAACTAGGAGGTGTTGCGCGTACCAAAAAAAAAAAAAAAAAAAGAACAAAGTTATAGAGTCTCGTCTTGTATAGAAAAAGATACCCATTTCTGATTTCCTTCGTTACTTTGAATGTTTCGACCATGGTCAAGAAAAAGACATCAAGGCATGGATGCTGATGGTAACTAGTCCTGTCTCGGTAGATGAATGCGCGCCGTGTCTCGGTACTTGTCCCATGGTTTGAGGACTGTCCCAGAACTTTGACTCGAGCCCTATATCCATCCGTGCGGGATGGCATTTACGATATACGGTACTGTGATTTGTGATAATCTTGAAGATCCATCCAGTCTCTTTACGGGGGGGGAAGAATTGATCGCAATAGCAAAGGAATGTATTAGTCTATTATAAGACAAGTTTGAGTAATAGGTCAACTATTATCATCTCAAGGGGAACGAACAAGGGCCCCCAGTAATGAACCAAAAGTCACAGACGCTCATGCAGAATTTGAAGGAATGGTTGCGCGGTACGGCCTTCCTTTCCAATGATTGCGGTCACAAGAATGGCAAAAGCAATGCCCTACCAAGTACGATGTACCAAGTAGGTTACAGGACTCCGCCACATGTTTCTCCTTTCCGAATCCCATCAAGAAGACCTTGGAAAGCACCCGCTTAAGAGTACTGCCAAGCAGGGGCAGCATCGGTGTACGGGATGCCGCGGGCCGAGAAGCCCAAGCAGTCGTCCTTGTTGCCGGAGGGAACCTTGAGGTTGTCGACGGGGGCAAAGACCTGGTAGCGGTTGTCGGAGGTAGGGCAGGCCAAGAGACCGTCGCCCTTGAAGAGCCAGTAAGTGACATCGGCCTGAGTCTCGAAGGTGAAGCCGCCCTGCACGGAACCAGCGGGCATGGAGGCAGAGTGGGCCTGAGTGAAGCTCACGGCACCGGTGGGATCGACGTAGATCTGCTGGCCGCCGGGGACTTCGACGTCGAGGGCGTTGCCGCTGGGAGCGATGGCGGTCTGGGTGCCCGGGGGGCAATCCTTGACGATCTCGCTGGGGCAGTAGGACGAGGTGCTGCCGCCGAGGTAGAACTTCTGGCCGGAGGCGTTCAGGGTGGCATATTGGATGGGGGAGCCGGAGCGGATGGCAGTGATGCCGTAGGCAGTGGTGGAGGAAGAGGTCTGGCTGGTGGGAGCGGCGGCGGCCAGCAGGGGGGAGGGCGAGGGCGGCAACAAAGGTCTTCATATTGACAAGGTGGATTGAGTTCTCTCGAGGATAGAGAAGGGTTGGATGTGAGGGCTTTGTGGAAGAGGAGAAGGTTTGCGATTGTGAGTGTGGTTGTGATGATTGGAATGAATGAGCATCTAGGGGGGAGGGCATGGAGGTTCTCTTTATACTTCGGACCCTGGGAAGCGCGGGCCTGGTGAGGTCGAGAGAGATGATCATCCTCGGATCGTCCACTCTTGTGCCCTACTCTAGTCGATAATGATGTTTCGTCTGGTGAATTTCCTCCGCAATCCGAGGGAGTCGGTGGATGTGCCGGTGGTGGTGGTGGACCCACGGTCGAGGAGAAGTTGGATTTGGCTGTGGTTCCGAGAATAGAAAATGGGGGCAATTGAGGGCAGACGTTGGAACAGCAACGGAAGGCTGAGAGGCTAATTGTTTTCCCTCGAGGCACGTAGTCTCCCTCGAGGCACGTAGTCAACCCGCTCCCTTCTCAGCTTACCAATTGTCACCGCATCGATCGATTCCATCGTGTTGTCTTTCTTTTTCTTTTCTTTTTCTTTTCTTTTTCTTTTCTTTTTCTTTTCTTTTTCTTTTCTTTTTCTTTTTTTGGCCGTTTCCTTTTCTCTCCTTTTTGTTGGTCTCTTCTCCCCGGCCGGTGGAGTTGCCGAGTGGCGACGGGATGGGAGAGACAACAGTGTCCCCAGTGGGAGTATCTGTGAGACATTTGAGGAGAACCGACCGTTCTTCACGAAGTCACGACTGCGTTTCGGTTGAAAAAATGGATATGATGCAACGTTGAACTAGTGTCGCTGCGGAAGAATGAGCTCTGCCAGTGCCCACGATACTATTCTTGTCGCTTTGGATGCTGTTTCCGAGGCCCTTGACTGGCGGGGAAACCCCCCCCCCCCCCCCCCCCCCCCCATGCGAGAGAGAGACCATGAGGCCCAAGACACGACTCTCATCCACCGGTGATATTCTCTTCTGACCAGGCAAAGCCATCGGAATCCTGTCATCATTTCCTGTTCGCCTTGTCTTGGATGTGTTGTTTGCTCCACCAGACGTGGATAGCCTGTGCTCCGGGAGTACTTTTTGTTTTCTTTTTCTGTACTTGTACTGTGCATAGCTGAGACTTGCTTCGTTGATCTGAATAGCCTAGCAGGATAATAGCCTCCCAGCGAATGGACGCCTCTTCTTCCGAGCTCCCCTTCAAGCCCCTTCTCCAAGAATCGAACCGAGAGAAAAGAAAAGAAAAAAAAAAAAAAAAGAAGCAGAACCAGACACAACACCATCGAGTGCCTCTTCGTCATCGAACCCAACCCCCATGGTAGCCCATCTTCCGTGCGATCATGTTTCACTCTCCTCACCACATTCCTCGATGTGCGGCGCAAGCCGGCGGGAGGCACCAGTTGACAGTCTCCACCGGGCAAGCCACGATGCCGAGAAGATCTGCACTCCCAGGCGCCCAACTGGGCACTAAGCCAGATCCGTCCATGTCTCAGTTGCCGTGCGGTGGGCCTCATTCCGCCGACGGAGGCAGACGAAGAATACCCCGGATGAGATGACTTTGAGTACGGGACTCAGGGACTTACTTTTCTCACGGTCCTCAGGAGTACTGAGTCAGTACTACTACTCGGTCACTTGGTAGGACGAGGTACTTATGGAGTTCCCTTCGGACACGTTGCCTGGTCCTCTGGGGTCCGGGGGGATCAAGGGGATCAAGGCTATGCGCACTCGAAGCGAAAGTGATGTAAGTCGTAAGTACGACTAAACTAACTAACGTTGACTTGGTAGTACTGACCACGGTACTGAGCAGTAAGTAGGAGGTAAGACTACCTGGGAGCAAGTTGAGTAAGTAGGAGGTAAGACTACTACCTCGACTGAATAAGCTACTAGAGCCGGAGTCCGAGTTCGATCTGGCTTCACAGTACCATCTTCACGACTCATGACCCGCGCGACTCTCATGGTCACGGAGAGGATTGAAGACTTGAAGCGAAACACGTAGAGAGCTGCGCAGAAAGTGATGACGATCACCATCATGATCACTCTTTCTCGATAGTACCATACCATCATACTAGGCAACTGACAATCAGACTGTCCCAATGTTCCAACCGTTCGGCCCACGAACCGGTGGAGTCGAGCTCAGGAGGTGATCAACGGGCATCACCAACAGACTCTGCCATGGGATCCCATGGCAGAGTACACCCACATACCCGACTGCCCCTCCGCCCGATGATGCCATCTGCCAGATGGTCTTCAATTAAAGTTGGCCCGACCCGAGTCATCGTTTGGGTGCTGGCCTGCGTGGCACGTTTCGACACTGGAGCAGTGGAGCCCCTCAGTCAAGGTCTCAGTTGCCCGTGAAGAACTCCAAAGAAACACCCCCCCCTGGACCTTGGGACGGCCCCCTAGAGTGTGTGTTCCCCATCGCGGTAGTGGAGATGCTTACCGCATCTCGCAACTAGGAATGCAGATCGTCGCCCTCGTCTTTCGATCGGATTCGGCGGAACAGCTTCCTGTTGTGTTTTCTCGGTTGCTCACACTACTAACTACAGGACCACCGTCCTCTACAGTCTTACTTCTCATTCTAGCGCAATCAACCCCATCTTGCAGTGGGTGCAGGCCATTGACTTCATGCTCTTGCTCCCTCGGTGCGACCTTCTCATCCGTTTCGAGCATCCACCCGACAGGATCGTGCAGAGTGCCCTTCCTCAGCCGACCGACGGGAGCAACAAGTGAGCCACACAGTTTGTCTCAACATTTGACGAGTCCGCTTGTTTTTGAGGTTCCACCCGCTGCAGACTGGCCACCGCAAAGAACCTCATCAAGCACCGGAAGAGAAACATCATAGACTTGGTCTTGTCGAGTTCACATCCATCCATCCATCCATCCATCCATCCATCCATCACGAGAGGGGGAGAAACATAAATCATGTCCTAGTCCGACTGTTCAACCCGAGGTGGGCTCCACAGGCACTGTAGTCGATGCAGCCAGGCAGGGAATTTCTCCATTCGGAATGCCAGTATAGCGGACGGATCCAAAGTCTGGTGGAATCATGTATTTCACACAAGGTATCCTACTACGTGAGCGCTCACCTCGAGCCATAATTAGCTACTGGCGATGTTGGACCTTCCGATCCCATAATATTCTTGATCTGTCTCTATTGATCTGTGCAGATGCACTAACATGAGTATACAAATAAATTGTGCGTGCTTATTTATTTTTTTTCTTCTTTATTCAAACGTCCACCTTTTTCAAGACTAAAGAGGCTCCAGGGACATTCTATTTCCATTCCATAATACTAGATCAGTATGACGAGCACAAACGGTATCTGAATATGAACTTGGTGAATATATATTCGTGCCTCAATCCATTCAATCGAGCGATCAACCTTGATCTTCCGAGACGAAAACCCATCAGGTGGATGATATATCCGACGTTGTTCTCCAGGGACGGGAGGACGTCTCGGGTAACTTAGTTCCAGAGAGGATGCCTTACCCGTAGGTGGCAGTTGACCATCAAACGCACTGGCTTCTGAGGTAAAACTACTTCCAAGACTGAATGATCACTTCCCAACCTTACCACCTCATCTTGAGGGCAACCTACGTCCTACATATCCTTGATTTTACCTCCTGCGGGAAGGTTCCACCCAGAGTAACTCGGTTGTAAGATTGAAGACTGTTTTAAACCATCATTGAATTGCACGCTTAGCTATGGAACTACCTATACCATTACCCACCCGCCTGTCTGCATTTTGCAATACTCCCCGTGTACACCATACTCTAGAGACTTCTCCTCGGACAATGGAACCTGCGTGTCTCACCACCTACCGCACATCACATCCACAACCTCCTCCATTTCGGCCTTTGCTTGGGTCTCAAAAGCCCCTGAACGCTTCGAGAAGTCGTTGCTCAATCAGTCTGAAAGAGATTCTACGCTCAAAGTACCAGCCAAGTGTCCTTTGAAAAGGATCACCGTCTTTTCCAAGAAGATGGATGCTTTCCTCCCATGTGAAACATGCATACGTCTTTTGTGCCCGGCCGGCTCAAGGGGAGACTAAGTGACGACTAGCTTCCCTGTGGGATATATTGATGTCTCAGCTCCGGATGTTGTTGGTGGGTAGACGGCATCTCGCGGCGGCCCCAGGGGGGGGGGGGGGGGGGGGTGCTCACCTTGAATACATACCGGATTCTACCTAACGAAATCTGGAGGTGCGGAGACGGGGCTTGACCAAGGTCCAGAAGTATCGTGCATTGCCTTCATTAGCACTGAATAAATTCAGCAAATATATCCTTGAGAAGACTAACAATACGCCAGGTGCAGCTCATATGTAAGAGGTTTCACTCGAATCCTACCTAGAACTGGATGATGATGATGATGATGATAATGAAGGTACGCCCATGAAACGACCTCAAATACAATCGGCATAGGTCCTGGATCGTACCAGTATACCCTGCAGAATTCCTCGCCTGCGCATACAGAATGCAGCACGTCAACCCGGTCAGAGTATCCGGCCGAGGCGTGGTGGAAACCTCTCGTCTACAGGACTAGTCATTTTCCAAACCTGCTTGTCAAAAAAACCGCGGGTTGACCGCCCAGTGTCCCACGTTGCAGATGAGCCTACCTGGCCAGTGGAAGCCCCTGCGCCTATTGTAAATGCCTTGTATGACCACATGGTGTGTGATCTACTACTGCCTGAACGGGTAGCTCTGCAAGGAGAAGGGAGTTTCGAATTTCAAAGAGGCACGACCTCGACTCCCGAAACCCTTCGCAATGGTCATCAGGTACTTTACGGTTGTAGATATAAACAAGTATGGCAAGACCAGAGGTGGATCAGAAAGCGATACATGAGGACAATCCATCGAATGATCAATAATATATACGAGCAGGGATTTGCGCATCCTTGGTATCAACGTGCGTGATTCAACCTCTTCCAAGAGAAAAGGTCTCACGAATCGAAAAAAAAAAAAAATTATACAAGCTTCTCACAGCCAAGGTGAACTCCCTGCGCCAGTCCGTGTAGCCATACCAAAACAACACAAAAGGATTTGCAAGAGAAGCAAGAACAAAACACCAAGACCAACGATGAAAGGTACCAGGACAAGCAGGCCACCAATAACACCGTATCGAAAGCCAACACGCCGCCTATTTTGACCCACCACCCAAAGTCTTTGAAAACCGCCAGCCCAGAGCGAAGAAAAGGAAAAAAAAAAATCAAAATCGAGAAGCAACAGAGACGAGAAAGAACGAAACGTGGATCCATGTTACCGTCAATCGTCACACACGCATACGAGCCATGTGTTCTGACATTCAGGAGAGAGGTCTGAGGCAGTGAGCGTGCCGAGGATCTTGGCCGCACCCGAGCGAGGGAGGCCCACCTGTGCCCCGGGGTACATTGATCGAGTGGAAGAATGTTCTCCCTCCGCCCGAACGGTGTCGTCTCCTTCTCCTCCACCTCTCGTCTGAAGTTGAACCTGCTCAGTCTCATCATTTCATTGATGAACGTACTTTCCTCGCTCAGAAATCGTCACCATCATCGTCATCCCCGTCTCCTCCACGACCCCGTGGTCCCTTCACACCATCTTTGCGGATAGGGATCTTGATACCCTGGAGAGCGAAGCACTTGCTTAATTGAGTGCTTTCAATGACACCGGGGAACTTCTTTGCCGAGAAGACCTGGAACGGCTCGCTGAACACCGAGGCAAGAACCGGGGCGGATCCATGGTTGATTACGGGTGCACCGTTGGTGCTCTCGAGAGATTGTGTACCAACGTTGACGAAGCTCATCTTCAATCTGTCGAACAAGTTAGCTAGATGCAAAAAGCCAACTGAACGACGCACCGCCTTCTTCACGTTGAGCCTTACCGGAAAGTGCCTTCGGTTCGGACACTCAGATCCTGGAGGATGAACCAGACTCCAATCTTGTTGTCCGGATCCGTCAATCGGAAGGCGCTGGCGCTCAGACTGCCAATTAGATTTCTGGTGAACATGCCACCCTGGCCGCCGGCCATGGGAGGCGCAGGGGACATAGCTCCAGGCATTTGCCCTCCTTGAGGATAGCCATATGGTGGATAACCGACTGTTTGACCATATGGGTTTTGGTACATCTGCTGTTGCCCATAATAGTTGTTCATCGGTGGATATCCGACGGGTTGTCCATACCCACCCTGGCCGTAGCCAGGATAGGTTGGGGACATGTTCTGCGGAGGAGGTGGATACGAGGAGGACATAGCCGTAGAGATGGAAGGAGAGGTAGCGGAGTGCTTGACCAGGTTCACTTCATTCGTGCCATCCGCGTTCCAGAGATCGACGGTCAAAACGTAGAATGAGGTGTCGATTTCGCTAGATGAGAACAAAAAAAAAGCCAAGGTCAGCAGCAGGTAATGACGACTTGCACCCCGACAGCGGTCCGGGTAAGAAAAAGAAAAGGAGCAGGGACCATACTTGATATCGATCTCCTTCTCTGTGTGTTCATCGCGCACGATTAATCGAATACAGGGTGGCGGGGTAATCGGTCGTCGGTCCTAGTGGGCGTTGAATGGCAAAGTCAGACTTCGGTACTAACCGAACGCGTGATGTCCTTTGCGTCGCATGCGCCGAGTTGACCACTCACCTTGTCACCAAAGCCACACATGCGAGCTCGAATGGGTTGTTGAACGACCTGGAGAGACCAGATGCGACCCTCGTGGCATGTTGAAATCGGCGCCAGATGGTCGGAAGTTCGCATGGGACCTGGACCTGGCGTAGAGTAGGCGGCCGAGGGACCAGGCATCCGGTCCATGGAGAGCGGTGGTGGTGGTGGTGGAGGCACCGGGTGAGCCCTTTCTTGATCTAAAGCATACATGGTTCGCGTTCAAAGAGGAACCGAGGACAAACGGGCGTACACAAGTCGGAGAAAAAAAAGAAACAGCGGACAACTTGTCTCAGCTGAAACACAGTGATCCGAATGAAAGATGAATTTGGTCCAGAGGAGAATCTGTGGATGTGAAAGCAAAAGCGGCGGGGTTGGGTTTCAATTTGACATACGACCCCGCGGAATCTAGACGTCACAATTGAAGCATTGACTCCAGACGGGAGCTTAAACGGACGCGAGGGATCCTATTTGCGCACGATCGGAGACCAAGGATCGCGTGCTTCTATCAGGGCGGATCGCTCAATCGGCCCTAGGCACTGATTCGGCGTAGATGGAGGAGATAGGCGGCGAACTGCAAGTCAGCCGCAACGGGGGATTGAAGATGATGGCGGGGAACGCAGAGCAATGTGGCGATGACGATCCCGATCGCGAAAGGGTTAGGACGAGCAGGTGAAAATTCGACTGAGAGGAAGGAAAGGATGGTCGGTGCCCCAGGCCAAACCAGCGGAAAGCAGCGCGGGAGTGGCGACTCAAGAACCGAGAACCACGCTGTCGGTACGGGGTTGTGCTGGTCGAGTTGGGATGGCAATCGTGGAGGGACGAGGCTGAGCGGAGGGGGAAAAGACACTGCGCACTTAAAGCGGAAATGGTGCGGGCGCACAGGGTTGGGCGACGAAGCGTCCCAGAGGCGGGGGACGGTTTGGCAGAATGTGTGGTGATGGAGTTGATTCAACAATACCTGCAATGGCTCAAATATTAGCATTCACGTAGAGGCCCTTAGGGATCGCACCCGCCGGTCGCAACCCGCTCAAGATCCAGTACGGGTTGTGGTTGAGCCATGATCCGTAAGCAGGATATGCGGGAGATGGGCTGGCCATCCACGGATCAATCGTCCACATATGCTGGTCCGACTCACACGAGCGTTGCAGGATTCGCGACTGACCGAATTGACCGTTCTGCAGGTTCAGAGTCGAGACCGAAGGGTGCAGTGAAGAGCACAGGAAACTGGGGGCCTTGACATTCAAGAGATGAAAAGGAAAGAGTCCGGGGGAAAGTACGAGAGGCAGGAGGCGGGCAGAAGTGGGAGGAGCAGAGGTGACGTTCTCGAGGGACCGAAATTGAATGACCGGAAGTGTAAAGAAGAGCCCCCTCCAAAAGGAGAGGACTGCAAAAAGACTAAAAAAGAACAGGCGCCTGTTCAGCCACGACCTCGCTCGGGTTTCCTCGGTATCGCTTTGACTGGAGAGCCGACTCTTGGATCTCCGACGAGGTGCAATCGATCGTCTTTACTTTGGTTGCGCTGTTTGATCTGCAGCAGGTTGGCGTATTGATCTATGCGGATTACCGAGCGCCTTGGTTTATCTGCTCTCTCTCTCTCTCTCTTCCCCCTTCTCCTTCTCCTTCTTTTCCCTCCACACACAATTTACCATTCTCTCCGTATTCTATGCATCTCTGCCTTAAAAACTGCAAGTGACCCAACCACTGACCCACTCGAGGTCGCCCCTTCTGCTTCCTCACAGGCTGTCAGATGTTCAGAACTGCACAGCCGACAAATCACAGGATCGTATAGAAGAAAAGAGAAGAAGGATCCGCGCTGCCGGCGCAGGAACCTCGATCCAGCCGGTCGGGTCTCTGTGTCGAGGGGACGAATGAGGACCCTCTCACCGTCGGTCGAGATGCGCTCCGCCCTCGAGCAATTAGGAGTCCATGCGTCGCTTGCCAGATGGGAGAAGATGACCCCTCTGCGCTGGGTTCTGGGCAGAATGCGGCGATGGACGATGGACGATGGACGATGAACTATGGCGTGGTCACTCGACCAGAAATGACAGTCACCGTTGAGGCGTCTGTTGGGCTTGGCTGAAAGGTCGCCCCAAGATGGACGCTTTGGGGATTTCCATGTTGCATGAACCGTTTGCGGAAGTCAGCTCTGGGGGAAAGAATGCGGTCTTCGGCAGAGAAAGAGGGCCTTTGCGCGCGGACGATCCGCACCCGTTGATTGGAGTATCTCCGGAAACATCGAGCTCCATCGCCTTTTGACGGCCCCCAGTGCGGCCAGTCACAGCCACCGGATGCTGCTTTGCCAGCCTGCATTGTGAAACTGAGGGCAACGCCATCAAACTATCATGTTGTTTGCAGCGTCTCGACGCGAGAGCAAGGCGCTCACGAGTGCGGCAAGTAGTCGAGATTCGATCCCACGGTCTACCCGAGCCGGTCGGTAATTTGATATGCCCTCCGAGGGAAATACCCTATCCGCCGACCGTGCAGTTTGCAGGTTGCACTATGCCGCGAGTCAGTCGCAGCTGACTCGTGGAGACTGCGAATGCGATCAAGTCAGCGTCCCGAAGAAGTCGAGGTGAATTGACACTTTGGGATTCGCAATGGGGCAGGAATCTCACTGGAAGTTTAGCTTACCGGGTCTTTGGTCAAAATCCTCAGCTTCCCATCGGACGGGACATGTGACAAAAGCACATGACCACATCCAGTGCGATTGATGCTCAGCAAGGCAAAGACTCCCCAGGTAATGTTGGAACTTGATTCGTAATGGGAGCGACAAGTGTAGGTCATCAGCCACTGTAGCCTGTCATTGTCCAAGCCTTTTCATATATCCAGGTGCAGTCAACCGGTGAGGCCCTACACAGTACACAGTACACACTACATGTACACACTACACACGACACCAGTACACAGTGCTACACCCTGCACACTACACACGACGCACCAGATGGAGGTTGAGTGCAATTCACGTCGCTTCGAGGCCTTCTCCATCTATAAAGAGGAAGATTTCATCTTTTTTATGGATCAAACGGAAAGTCTCCGATGAATCAAATTGGAGAAATGAAACAGGTGAGATCTTCATCCCATCTCTGCTAGCCTCAGTGGATCAACCGAGTACCCGCGAATCGAGATACAGATCATAAAATCACAATCATGCGGAGACAACTGATTGAATCCAGAAAGCTGACCGATGTTGCAACACAGTATAGAATTGTGTATGAGCTCTTAGCCTTAACTCAAGCGATGAGTGGTGTTCTCAGCGGCCGTCAACATCAGCATCCTCTTCACCGCATGGGATGCATGGCAGATGATCGCTGATGAGCCGGCCAAAGTAGTTTACTCGCTGCATCTCCCGCTCGCGCTCAAGCCGACGTCAGCTGCAGTCAACAACTTATGATGACGTCGAGTCATTATGATGACTGATCTTGTCGAGCCCGTAGGGTCAGCCATCCATGTGAGCCGTGATGTGTAAGACGATCGCCCTGGATGATGCACGAGGTTCTGTGATGCGTGGGCGTGACCGATTCACAAGATGAGGTCAGGCGCACCACCTGGTCTATGCGCCGGTGATTCATCCGGCTTCCTTAACAAAGACGGTACGCCCATCTGAAGCTTACTTGTCACTAGTGGCACCGACGCTTGATGCTGACCGTCAACCGGCATGTTGGATATTTGCGGGACGATAAACCACCCTATATCCTGATGCCAGATGGGTGGCAGCAACTACATCATAGCTGCTGGGTCTGAATAAGGAGTATCACTTCGAGGAAATATTGTACTTTCACCGGAGATCATCCACCGCCCTAGCCTCGAGGAACGATCTGCAGGCCGTGCCCCCGAAGATCGTCTCGGGATATCACTGGCTTCTTGCGGGGACTCAAGACAATTCATACCTGAAATTGACCACACTTAGCCTAGCATCAGTTTGGCCATAGTCATCAAGTCTCACGCGACGAGGAGCACGCCAAGAAGGTTGCGCTATGCTCATAACCAGCCGGTCTGCTTGGCCCACCCCCGCAATTATGCAGCAAGTACACTCGCTGCCTGCCTCTGCAGTCGAGCTACTGCATCCAAGCGCCGAGAGGGGTCATCAATGATGCCATTGTCACTTGTTCTCGATCATGACTCTTCATGATTTACATGAGCAGTATCTCTCGGTGTTATGCTATATGGAGGACGGTTCGGCACGCGAGCATTCCTGGGCCATTGCGAGGGATATTGCTACCCCTTACTTCATAGTCGAGTGGTTGCTTTCCGCAGGTTCTCTGCTCCGGTCTATTCAAATACACAGCCGCAGTCAAGGAGATTCTTTGAACTGGTCGAGAAATCGATTCGGCCTCTCCAACATGTTGTGGGATCGTGCTTTCAAAGCACTTGCAGTGGTAGCGTCATGCTGTGCATCGGTAGCAGATGCCATCACGTACACTCCGCTGAAGCCTCCTTCATACCCACTGGCGGTAAGAAGTCCATATCTGTCAGGTCAGAACTCACTCTTTGCATCTTCCTTTGATCTTTCCGTGTCGAGGGTCGTGGTGAAGGAAAGCGAGCTGATCCGGAATCACAACAGCATGGATTCCCGGCAACGATGTCGCGTCTCTTCCCTCGCACAATGCTCAGTTTTGGGAAGGGAACAAGCTGATATGGTCGGTCATTGCGCGCGTCGACGGAGTTGCATATAATTTGTTTGGCGTGGCTTTCCCCCCGAATGGAACACAATCTGCGGTGGTCACCGAGGCAGTCTACACGTCTTCTCACACCATCTTCACCGTGACGGCTGGCTCGCGCAATTTCACTCTGGACTTTTTCTCCCCAGTCTCACCCAAGAACTACTTGCGGCAATCATTGCCGTTCTCCTACCTGACAGTGACCGTGGCAGCGGGAGACTCAAGCTCCGTGCAAATCTACTCTGATATCGATGCCAGCTGGACGGGCCAGCCCGGACACGCCCGCTGGAGTTTTTCACGAAATGCATCTACGAGTGTCTATGAGATTCAAGCGGTCAACACGGCAACTTTCTCAGAAAACAATCAGGGACAGGCTCTGTGGGGCAGTGCCGTATACGCGTCTCGTCCAACGGACTCCTCGTTACTCTCGAGTGCATCTGGCCCATCTCTCAGCACCCGCGAGTCGTTCATCAACGGCGGCAGCTTGACTGACACACAGGACGAGTGGAGCTCGACAGGCGTGGTAGCTTTTGCCCACGATCTGGGAACCACCACGGATGCGTCAGCCGTGACTTTTGCGATAGGCCATGCCCGAAAGGAATCTATCGATTTCCTTGGTCAGACGCAGACGGGCTACTATCGTGCGAGGTATCCCGAGGTGGTGGGAGCGGTCTCGCATTTCTTGGACGACTATGAAGACGCCAATGCAGAATCCGTCAAATTTGACCAATTGATCCAAGACACGGGAGTTTACAGCTATGGGAACAAGGACTACTCGGACATTCTGGCTCTCTCAGTGCGACAAGTCTACGGAGGTATCGAACTGACCATCCCTTCCGAGTCGTTGGATGTGAAGGAGGTTCGTGCCTTTATCAAGGAGATATCAAGTGATGGAAACATCAACACCGTCGATGTGATTTACGCAACTTTCCCCATCTTCTACGTGTTGAGCCCCGAGTTTCTGAAGCTCCTTCTCACACCGGTCTTTGAGTACATGGGATCTAGTGCCTACACGAAGCTATATGCGGTGCATGAGCTCGGTGCAAACTACCCCAACGCGACGGGTCACCCGGCGAATGGAGAAGAGATGCCCATTGAGGAAAGCGGCAATATGATCATCCTCACCTATGCCTATCAAATCGCCACGGGTAAAACCGACTTGGCCGAGACATACTCGGCTCAGTTGAAACAGTTCGCCGACTACCTGTTTCAGAATGGACTCTATCCGGCCTCTCAGCTCTCCTTGAACGATGCCCTCGGTGCACTGGCCAACCAGACTAATTTGGCCGTCAAGGCTGCCGTTGGTCTTGCCACATACGGCGCTCTGTCAGGACAAAGTAACTATACCGCCGCCGGCAAAGACTTTGCAGGCAAGATCTGGACCGATCACCTTGGGACCGATGTGAATGGCACCCACTTTCTGATTCAGTACGGGGAGGAGCCCTGGTTCCTCGTGTATAATCACTATCCGGATCTGCTGTTCAACCTCGACACTTTTCCGGGAGAAGCCTATAATGCCACAGCCCAGTTCTATCCGACAGTACGCAAAACCGACGGCGTGCCTCTCGACGGGGCCATCAGCTGGGGGCAAACCAATTGGCAATCGTTTGTCGCTGCCACTGTTCGCGGGCCCACCCGAAACTTGTTCATTGATGACCTACATAGGTATATCTCGAATGGACTCAACTCGGCGCCGTTCTCCGATCGATACTGGGTCGAGGCTGGGAATGGCTTTTCGGCGGGACAGGAGTATGCCTTCCGGGCACGACCCACGCTAGGCAGCCATTTTGCGCTGGCAGCTTTGACGGGCGCTGATATTCTTTTCTCGGAGTGAGCTGATTTGTATACCCCGATGCTGTTCTCGCCTGAATGTGGCGGTATTCTTGCAATTCTTGTGCATCTGATGGACTCGCACTATTCGTGTCTGGCCTGTACTCCAGGGGAATCGAGGTTGGAGCAGAGCACATAGCAGGGCAAAGTTCCTCTCGGAGGCATAATGCAGAGATGTTCGAACAAGTGTTTTGATCGAAGTAGCAGCGTACATCTTAGGGAATCGAGTCGCGACGATTCGGTTTCCTTGGACCGCATCACCTCAACGAACACCCAACCAACGGTCGCCTCGTCCTCGGCGATGGCATGGACGTCTGATTTGAGATGTGCCTCCATAGAGACATCGGTGAAGCCTACCATGGAAGTCCTGTAGAACTTGGGTCCCGTCCATCTTTTTGGAGCGTTCCTACTTTGAGCACAATGCATGGTGAGAAGGTTGCTTCCAAGGGTCGGTGATGGCCCAAAGAGGTGAAAGCAGAAAATCTGGCGGGGTGTCGTATGGATGCCAGTATGTCAGCACAAGGAGCCGGACCTCTGGACGGACTCGCTCGCTAGAGTTGTTTGTTGACTCGCTTGGTCAGTGATTTCGGACCCTTGATCCGAAACCGGATCTAGTCATGTGGGTGCGTCTAGAGAATGAAATGCATGGTTATGGCAGTGTGCAATTGCATTGTGCATGGTGTATTATTCCTCCGTGGTGTATTATTCCTCCAAGGTCTATTATGAATTCCACGGTCTATTATGAAACATTTTCAAGGAGTCAAGGGTCAAGGGTCACGTCGGCATCTGACAAGACCATGATACTTCCATAGTCTCTTAATCGACCATGAATATGGTATCGGTAGAAGGAGGCTTTGAAGAAGCACACGATCCAGAAAGACCGTTATAACCTACCTAGATAGTAGACGTTTACGGTCCCAGCCTAGAATGTCGATAGGAGGTAGTGGTACAGATCAAGTAGTTGGAACCTTGCTGTGCGTGTAACTGAATTGTGTATGGAATATTCACTTGGGATTGCCGAACGTCCACAACTCTAAAATAAGTGATATGATTAGGGTGGGGGATAATTCCCATCATCTTACCTAGGTTGTGTCGTGCTTCATCAAGTTTAACCTTGTCCTGGCTGATCTCTCTTATAGAATCTTCTTATATCTGCTGTTGAGTGATAGAAGGCCCAAGACATGAATTCTGCTCAGAACACGGACTACTCGGGGTGTGTTGCACCTCGAGCGGGATCACGTGCGCTCTTGTTGAGTATCAGCTGTGAAACGCTACGTTCCGCGTCATCTGACCCTAAGCCCGACTTGGCCAGCACTTAGGGCTCTCGGGTATTCATTCCGCTGGTGTGACGCTTGTGATGCTGGATGATTGCCAGATCAATCATGGGTTGGGATCATTTCTTAGGTGCGCCCGTGATTGATTTGGCAATTATGTACATTTGTACAGTATAAAATGAGAATTATCCCATAGTCGTACTCCCCGAACGTGGGTTGTCTTTTTGCGATGCATCAGAACAAGTTGCTTCCACGAGCGGACTGCTCTCTACATGCTGAATGTTTTCCACTTTCCAAGTTGATGATCTGAAGGTGTACTTATATAAGCGAAATCAATACAACTAACATACCTAAGTTACCCCCAACGAAAGTCCAAGGATGAGACCATCGCGCAGATCAACACCCTACATGGACCGATCCTTCAATCCGGGACAGCACAATGATAGGTATTTTGGCATATTATTGTGTCACCCCCGTTTATCTCCACCTGGCCGGGAGAGAGAAGAAGGCAAATGCCACGTCTATCCCGATTAGGAAAACGCATGGCTCTCGGGTCCCGCCCGTGGGAATCTTGGCTCGGCAATCTGCATCGCTGTGGGCTTCCGTAAGTGAGATCAGTTCACAGTTTCACACCGAGAATAATATGTACATTCGTCTATTGGCTCTATTCTCTATTGACTCTATTCTCTATTGGCTCTATTCTCTATTGACTCTATTCTCTATTGACTCTATTCTCTATTGACTCTATTCCCTATTGACTCTATTCTCTATTGACTCTATTCTCTATTGACTCTATTCTCTATTGACTCTATTCTCTATTGACTCTATTCTGTCTATTGCGCAATCATTCTCGAATGAATGCTCAGTTTAGTCCCTTGTCTGGAAGCTTTCCTAATTAGGCACCCGTTTTCTTGAAGGTGCCACTAGTACTACCGTCTTCGGTCTGTTGCACTAAGTAAGTAGTACTTACTAGAAATATACCCTTTTGCGAGCCTCGTCAAGTGATTGTCGAGTAGGAAGTCAACAGCAGGAACATAAGTATGTAATTCCAGTAAAGGACCGTCATCCGGATGAAAGGGAGTCATTATGTCATTCCCGATCAGTGAGAAGTTGAGAAATCTCCTTCTCCTCTGCGGAATCGATGCATTTACCGCTTTAGGGGTCTGCAGGGATCAAATCACCATCTAGAACGAACAGCTCATCTTTAAAGGAAAACCCTAGCGCTCATATGATTTGACATTGAAATCTAGGCTGAAAGAAAGTCAGATAGTATTTATAGTATTTCGTATTTTTTTATACACCCATAGTACAAACTTTTGTTGTTAACAAGTTGATACAGCGGTCGATCAATACAGCTTGAACTGGAAATCTCAATAAAGTTATGAATCTCTCCCGAGGGTGATAGTCGACACGCTAGCCTGAATAGAGTAAAAGTACTTGTAGCGTGACTCGACAGATAAGTTAGTTGTCCATGCTACAGGCTCTAGCCTCTACTAATGAGTATGAGTTCGAGTCCCACTCAGGTACCGACGGCGGGTGAACTCTCGCAGCTCTAACTGTAATGATCGACTTCATTATCAAGCATCCAGATGGAAACTCTGCCCGCCTCTGACCCGGAGGAGCCGAGGTGCAGCTCTCTGCCGAAACTCGAAATTGGGGAGAAAGGAGGAATGTACCTGACTGTACTCGGTAGTCGATTACCACCATCCACATTCCACATAGTACCTACCCGTTACATACTACTACTAGTTGGCTTGTAGTAACTACTAGGTACCTATCCAATATCCACATGTCCAGATCCACACGTCCCGTCATCGCCGATTGCCAAGTCCTGCCTTCATTTTCCCTTCGCGGGCAATCGTCGAGTGGTCCGTGTCGCGTTTGTGCCCAAAAAGGGAAACACGCCAAAGTCAAATCAGGATACGGTGCGCATTGGGGGGGGGGGGGAGAAGGTGACAGGAGGGGACCACGGTGACCACGGTGAACTCGGTGACCATGATGGAAAGAGGCAGCATATCCCTACGATGCGTGGCAGATCAGAGGGTTTCATCTGCGACTTTGCCTCTCCGACGCTGTACTAAGAAACCAAACCGATTATCCCCAGTCGGGTCAGTGCCTGGGATGTGATATCACTCCTCCAACGCATGTGCTCCGGTTCCTCTGCCTGCGCTCTTGACCGCATACAGGGTCGGAAAACCCCCCGGCCACGCCAAACTACACGATCGATGCAGTCACCAAATTGGGCCAATTTGGAATCATCCGCATACTCTCCCACTCCCGTCAGCCCTTTACCTCCTCAGCCGGTGTCGATCTTCTCTTTCTTCCTCTCTCTTTTCAACTTGTTTACAGTCATCCGCCAGATCGACGTGATTGACGTCCCACTTTCCTCCCCGACGTGGAACAAATGTCACGCCTGAAGAGGAATGCTGCATCGACGCTGCCCATCATCGAGGAATCGTGAATTCGTTCGCATTGTTTGATGATCTGTCAGTAGAACACGCTGCGTACATTTCAAAGTGTCGATCTTGGACATAAACAGAACAATACACAAAAGAGAGGCTAGATAGACGCCTTTGTCCTGAGAGGAAGAGAGAGAGAGAGAGAGAGAGAGAGAGAGAGAGAGAGAGAGACCAACGGGTGGCATCATCTGTTCTACAACGCTCTCTTCGTATTCTTCTTCCCCCTGTTCCCTCTGTTTCCTCTGAATCACACCAGATTAAACCCCTGCCTTTTCTCTGTTCTGCTCCTCTGTCTACGATCCAGGCCGGCCTGACACTAGACGCTGGAAATCCTCAGTCTGAGAGAAGGCTACAAACAGAATCTTTCTGGAATAGCCCGTCGACCATTTACTTTGAAGACGATTGAGTGCGCCGTCGATTCTCAGGTGTTCGCTCGCCTGTGAAACCGATGGATATAAAGCCATTAGCAGTCCCAGCAGTCTCCAATCATCCACCCACCGCCAGCTCAGACATGTCAGTGTCCACGTCCAACATATCACTCACGATGACGGAGTTTCTGCCTCCATCGTATCGGCCCGCTGTGACGGCTTCTCAGGCCGAGCGGTTCGCAATGAACAGAGTGCCCGGGATACACCGAAAATCACCGGAAGCCTTGCACTTGGATGATCTGGAGCTGATGATGCACTGGTCCACCAAAACCTATCGCTCCATGGCCCGCGATCATGCAGCCGAAAACTTGTGGCAAATCACTATTCCCCAACTCGCCTTGCAATTCTCCAATCTTCAACATGGTCTAATGGCGCTGGCCGCCCTGCAACTGGCTCGAGAGAGACCCAATCCCGACCACCAGGGGAAATATCTCGTCGCGGCACGGGAGCACTATCGCATTGCTCTTGCTGGCATTCCACTCGACTCGACAGAGGATTTAACCTTGGTGCAATGCAACGCCGTGTTCGCATTGTGTGCGGTTCTCCTCTCCTACACATTCGCCCATGGACTGATGCGTCCGCTCCGGAGTGCGGCGCAGGACAGAAGCCGGCCCCAGTACCTGGACGAATATCATGAAATCTCAACCATCTCACGCTGGATCGTGGGGATCATGATGCAGATCATCGACCGCGTCGCTCAAGGCGAACTCCACCCTCTCGTCAAACCAGACCACTCAAGACCGCGAATGCCAGATATCTCTCAACTTCTCATCCTCGCATTGCGACAACGTAACGCTCGAGAAGCCAAGTACAGCCCCACCCACGAGAGGGAGGTCTACGACCAGACGCTCGACCAGCTCCAGCTCTGTCTGAATCGCCTCATGAGCGGCAGCGAGCCGAGAGACTTTGCCTTTTGTTGGTCCTCTCGCACGCCTGCACGATTCCACGATCTCGTCCAGCACCGGGCACCGTTTGCCCTGGTCATATTCGCGCATTATGCAGTGGTCCTGCATCATCTCCATGGGCTGTGGTGGATCGGAGATTGGGGCACTCGGATCTTGAATGAGATTGTCGAAACGGTCGACCCAGAGTGGTGGGAAGTGATGCGATGGCCTATCGATGCAACGGGATGTGTATTGCCAGAGGCATGATAAGCGCGTGCACTTTGTCCACTCCCCCTCCTTCATGTCCTGTTCTGGTCGCTTCTTGGGTCCTGGGGACCTGTCTCATTGGAAATGATTCTACGATGTCCATCGCATAGTCTCCAGTCGCTTGACACGCTGAAGCTTCTGCAACTGACCATCATAGCGAGCCCTCGTACTGTTGTTTTTTGTTTTTTGTTTTTCTTTTTCGTGTTTGTTTCTTTGCCTCTGCATGGCTTTCTTCGGAACGCTTCTGAATCATCTAGTACAGCCGAAGAGAGCTGATACGTCACTCATGATAGAAAAACCAACACCTTGTCCGAATAACGAACCTGTATCCAAATTTAATGACACCTGTCTGTTACGAAATGGTCAAAGACCCATTCCACACGAGGAATAAGCCAACAGATCTCCTGCCCTGACGTGACGTGACACCCGGCTCCCAAACAGAAGACAAGACGCAAGACTTCACATACGCATAGACTTCGTTTCTCCGTTTGGGGAAGCAAAACAAAAAAACAGCCATACCCTTGAGATTGCAGTCAGCGTCTCGATTCCGTAAATAAAAGAAACCAACCGTCTCGGTGGAAGCCTCCCATGTCGTCGACTAATCCCTTTTCGTCCCGCCGACTTCTCACTTGATACTAACTCGCGGATCTGCTGTCAACTCGGCCTTTGCAACGTAGTGTAACACGCAACCGTCAAAGATAGCCAACCAAAAGCGAGAGATAAGGGAAAAGTGACAAGGACAAGGGTAACATGACAAAATAGAAAACAAAAAGTAACAACTGAAGTGTCTAAACGGAACACTCCCCCCCCCCCCCCCCCCCAAAAAAGCAAAGAATAGTGCGATGGCCCAAAGATAAGATAACCAACTAGACAGCTCCCCCCCCCCGCGCTCGATCGTACAGATAGGATTTCATCGATTACGTTCTTGCGTCGACAGCATGAACCTTCTCAATTCTCATTAAACTGCTGTCTCTTCGAATTCGACGGGGATTTCCCTTCGTCGTGAGGTGATTTGAAAATAAAAAAATGAAACAAGAGGCCCTCTTTCACGGAGAACCACCATCCTTGACGCCAAGACTCCCCCCGGATATCCATGACCGATTAACCGGATCACATCCCCTACCTTTTAGGAAGCAGGCGATCCATGACGTTCTTCTTGCCGCTTGAGTTCTATCTCCTTGAGACGATCTCGTGATTGTGTGCGCACGCGAACCAGCTCGGCCTCCTCCTTTCGCGCCGACTGTTCCTCCTCCGGCGTGGGAATGTAGGCATTCGCGGCGCCACCTGAATGTCATTGCGCAAACCAAGAACGTGTCAGCAAATACCAGAGAATAGCAGCGGACTAGCATCGACCAGATGCATAAGACGACAAAACAGCCAGGGCGCAAAGTGAACTCAGCCATGGAGAGAAAAGGACCAGACCTTTACTCTCCCGGGGAAAAAAAAAAAAAAAAAAAAAAAAAAAACATACCTCGGCCCGTATGATGCGGGAATTGCTCCGCGCGCAATGGCGGCGACTCGACATCTTGACTTTCGCGCGCAAGCTCTGGATGCTGCGGATCGTTCTGAACCATATTTCCGGATCCTCCTCGACCGGTCGTGTACACTTCTTGCTTGATTGTCGGTGTGACCAGATCCTTGGGCGTGGTGGATCGTTGAGGCGGCGCAATGTTCCCTGTTCACCCGAGAGGCCCAAGGTGACCGGCGCGTTAGCTTTGATCTACCCAATTTCATTGTTGCTTGCTCGAGCCCAAGTGCAAGCTCAAGCTCAAGCTTAAGCTCGAGTGTTGCGCCAATGCGCAGTACGCGGGAGATATCTCCCTCCGCATGAACAACGGACGGACGTACCTGCGCCTCCTCGTCCATAGGAGATATTGCGAGTCAAGTTGGGACCACTCATTTTGTCGCACCTCGGTCAGAAGCCAAGTCGACTTTGAACAACTTCAAGCGATTGGGTGTGGAGGTATCAGGAGACACTTTTTGGAGAACCAGAAAGAAAAGTCGAGAGACGGTGATCGCGGCGGTGGATGATGCGATGGTGGGGGGGGGGGGGGAGCAAAAAACCGGGGAAATTTGGATTGCGCCCAACAAGCAACTCAACCTATTTGAAGATCTTCGAGAATTCGAACCGATTTCTCAGGAAAGAAACCAGGTGAATCACCGGAAATCGGATTCAAGACGATAAGCGCGACAACAGTCTCACACTCTTTTCTTTGAACAAAAAAAGTTCGGTCGGTGTTTGGGGGGGGGGGCAAAGGGGAATTCCAACGTCACTCTTTTGTTGGGTTTCGTCAGTCTCGTGCTGAAAGCTCTTCCGCGCCAAGCACAGATGAAGTCATGGGACCTGGCCGCTTTGGGCCAGAGACAATGCCACACGCCTCCATGGGTTTCCTCACTGTGGATATTGATCACGCGGCGACAGGAGACTTCTCGGTTGATCGGAGGGCTCTTTTTTTTTTTGCTTTCAGAGGCATTGTGCCTTGCGCTCATCGATGTCAATGTGTCCAGCTAAAGTGAGCTGTGAACAGGGCAGACTCAATCCAGTCCCGATGACTCGGTCAACCTACCCGAGAGTTCACCCGGTCTATTACACACGTGTGGACAGAAGAAACCTCGCATGTACTGATTGATATTGATGACAACTATCTAAGCTATGGGAACCATAAACCGATCACAAGAAAACCGATGGTCAAGACCTTACACAGACCAATGTCTACATACAAACCCATGGATACCACGCTCGCCATGCTCCCAAAAACCCAAAGAAACAAAACAAAAGCTCCGCTGCCGAGTCGCAGAAACAAAGGGGAATAAAAAAATAGACAAAACAAAAGACGGCACATAAAGCCACCATACATTAACGCACATATAGAAAACATCACAACATCCTCAATGACAGAGGGCATCGCGCCAGCTGAGAGATCGGTTCAATTAAACAAACGCCAACTCGCCACTACTAGCCATGGGTAGACCCCGGGAGCTGGCGCTATGCGGAGGAGGGGGCTCAAGTCCAGTAGCAGTAGCGAGCTTCTGGGAGGATGCTTTGCGTGAGAGATGCTCGGCCGGATCAGAGATCATGGAAGAACTGGCGGGCATGATCGAGTGTCGATGCGTGCGCGGAACAGACACGTCTGTCGGGTGGGAATCCGATCCCATATGGCGAGCACTGGCCAGACTGTTCTCACTCCAGAACCGAGGCAGTGGGGAGATGGCCCCCGGTAATCTTGTGCTAGACTGAGTTGACTCTGGCTGTTGCCGACACCCTCGGCGAGAGGGAACAGACTAGTGGGATATGCGAGAGGTTGATATTGAGACACCCGATTATCGTCGCCATACTCGGATGCGGACATTGCAGTAGAATAGGGTCGACCACGAATGCTTTGTCGATACTCATCACTGAACGTGGAAATCGAGACGGTATCGGCCCGGCTGCGCTGACTACGGGTTCGATCCAGAGCGCGCAGCGCCGACGAGGGCCGACGACTGATCTGTGCGGAGAACAGCGGATTCGACGAGTTGCGGTGTTTGGCGCGACTGTGGACAAACGCCTCCAGAGAGTCGGCCTCGGAGACGGGAGATTCATCACGCTCGACGGCACGAATCGTCGTAGACTTTGTTTTCTCCGGGATACTCTCAACCATGCTATACCGAACACATCCTGTACCCACGGCAGGTCGAACATACCCTGGCATAACAGGTCCCATCGTACCGTCCTCGGTCATCAAGGACACTTTGGTATTTTGCCATGACATTCGCACAAAACCGTGGCCTGGAGGTCCAAACCCTCCAGCGCCATGTCCAGCGCCACTCATTCTCACCGGCAGACCTGCGGCGACCGTGGAGATGCCGCTAGAGCGCCTGGAAAATCGCTTTGACCGAGATGACTGCATCGACTCCCGCTTCATAGCTCGCGCTTGAATGGGTTTCAGCGGCTCGCGACGGGAACGCGCGCTGGTACGTCGACGCATGCCCTGTGGACTCGCAGTGAAAGACAAGCGTTGATTGGGCTTCCGAGCAGGAGACTTGTCGACGACCGACTTGTTCTCATCAATGGGTGGGTCGCGAAGTGGCACAAATGCACTTCGCTTTGGTGATCGAGGGGGAGGACTAGGTTCAGGGATGAACATCAGACTTTCCACTGGTGGATCAAAAGGAGTCACATTCCATGCAGGACCGAGCTCGAGTCGGGGGAGGTCAGATGGAGGCGAAATAGGGCTCTTCTCCCAGTCTTCGGGAGGATCATCCTGCGAATGTCTTTCCGCCACACCGGGCTCGCAGTTAGGGAGATTGGGACGTGCCGGGCGGGGAGGAGCGGCTTTCGCCTCTTTGTCGTCCTTGCCATCTTCAACGGTCGTGGTCGACTTTCTTCTGCGACGCCAGCAACAAAACAGGATGATACAACTGAGTATCACAGCGACCGGAATGACCACGGAGACGGCGATGATGCCTGCCTTTTGCGTCGAAGGACTGGGGGTCTCTGGTATCGTACCTGTCCCAGTCCCCGATGGAGGCTGAACTGGCGATAGCACATGGATTTCAAAGTCACGTTGACTCTTCACAGACCCCTGATACGCCTGCAAGTGAATCTTCAATGTTTTGGGCTGAGTTTCCGACGGCACGTGTCCGTGAATCGTCTTGCTAGAGGGATCGTAGCGGAGCCACGAAGGATCATCGCCGAGGTCGACGTCGAGCTGGACAGAATCGTCGGTCAGGACTGACTGATTGAAGACGTAGGAAAAGTCTTGTCCGATGAAGGCCTCGCAGCCCAAGACCGTGTCGACGAAAAGCTCCAGAAACTCCAGACGGACCAAAATCTTGGCCTCATCGTGATAAATGTCTGTCGCAGTGATTGTGATGTTCTGATTCACAGCGGATCTTGGCGGGGTGCCAATTAGCGAAATTGATTGTTTGTCTAGAGTTAACCAGTCCGGGACTGCGGCGTCGACCAGAACAATGTTCTCGCGGGCAATCGGTGACCAATCGAGTGTCATGTATTTCTCATAGGAGGGACTGTGAAATGCCTCCCCTCTTTTCAGGTTAAAAATTTGCACGGTCTCGTTGAAAGCTAGCATATGCGGACCGATGGAAAGCTCGAACGTCTGGTTCACTGCGCTGTATCCGGCCACATCTGAGGCGACCAGCTGAAACGTGAAGAACTGAGGGCCAGATCCGGGAAAGGACGGTGTGTTTCCAGCAAAGCTGAGCGATGCCGCGTCGAAAGTAATCCATGACGGGAGAGGCGCATTGTTTGGTGAGGTGCCGTAATAGATCGTGGAAGGATGAGTATTGTGGAACGTGGCAGGGTCGAACTGAATATGGAATGGTTGTCCGGGATGTAAATTCAGCGTCGCAGGGTAAGACACAGGACCATACGCCCGCAGTTGAGACACAAGGGAGGTACCGATAGTCGGGCCTGCGTCGGACGTCACGATCAAAGTCACATTCATGCTAGCCGAGTCGGACCCGGTGGAGGCTACCAATTCGAATGATTCTGCACCGCTGCCATGTGAATCAGGCGTGCCTGACAGGGTCCGGCTAGCGCTGTCGACATGAAGCCATGATGGACCGTCCTTGAGCGAGTACTTGGTCGATGAATCAGCGTGAGAGAAAGTGTTTTCTGAAAAGACAAATTGAAACGGTTGAGAGATCCGCGCAACCGGTGGCAGCTGGGAATTAATGGGGTAATTGGCGACCAGTGCTGCGGCATGAGATATGGCAGCTAACGCCAGGCTGACGAGGAGGACGATGATCGATGCCATTGCTCGTTGTCTAAACGCCCCAATGCCGACTCTCAGTGAGATCGTGGCTCTCACGAGCAACCACTATTGGAGCGCGGCAAGATCTCTTCAGAACGGAAATGTGAACGCTGGTGCCGAGCAGCTAGGTCCTGAGAGTCAGAAAGACGAAGTGAAAGTTTGGTGCAAGACTTGACTGGAGATGGGTAGAGTGGTCCAGATGATAGAGACGTAGTTTGCCGATAGTCCATCGTCTAACACGCGATCTCCCTGGCACTCGTTCCCAGGAGACAGGGACTGACTCGCTCAGGGCGAGCCCTGTGGTATAAGCCATGCCTGGATATGCCCAACTTCACTGAAGTATGTAGCGGGGTGACAGTCGAGAATGAGAGCGCGGGAACGCGTCGGGGCGTAGATCGAGATGCTCACGTCCAGGTTCTGGTGGAACCCCCTGGGCGCCGGGCTTGTTAGCAAGGGATGGGCCACGCTCCTATGCTCGTCAAGGAGCCGCACATAAGAACGCCTGTCCAGTCTCCTTCGGGATCGTTGAAACGGTGCATCTGGTTTGCCTTTTACAAAGGAGCCACCAATGGAGGGAGGAGAGAGGGAGCGGAGGGAGGGTCCTGAAGAGATGGTCCTGGCTAGAAGGGCACCTTCGTAGACGGGGATTGTGGAATCCTCCGTGTTGAAGGAGTCGACCTCGTGGTACCCCAAGTCTACCCTCACGTTCACGGATCGTGTTCCAAATCTAGGACCATCTTGATGCCAGTCCGACCAGGAGCATAGTAATCAGGGATCGTTTCCCGCTCCTCGAATCCACATCGGCGATAGAGAGACCGCGCGGGCTCCCTGGCCTCGTCCACCCACAGGTGAATTTGCTGGCACCCCTCCTTTCGTAGGCGCTGTTGAATGTAGAGCATGAGGTCGCGACCGACGCCCTGGCGACGATAGGCCTCTATGACGCAGACCTTGTGTAAAAGGGCGACGCCCTTTTGGCGCACGTAGACGGCATATGCTACCAGATCCCGTCGCGACGAGACACCAGCCGCAACGCGAGTTGTGTACAACACCCGCGTATTAGGCTTTTTCTTCCACAGCTCTTCACCAAATGCAAAAGCTTCATTGGTGGGGAAGGTCTTTTTTTCGGATCGGGCTATCTGGGCAAGAATTTCCAGCGCCTCGTCCCTTTTCAAGGAATGAATATCCGAGTGGTTCCAGGTGCGTGACATTCTTGCCTCTTGACCATCGGTGTCGATGATCGCAGATGGAATCTGACTTGAGTAGCGTCCACAGGAAAGTCTTCGACTAGACTTTCACCACTCAAGAGTATTTGAAATCCCGAGTTTAAAGCAGAATACCGTTCGGGGTCGATAATGTGAAAAGAGGAAAGTGAAGTGAGTGAATGGGCGTTTGTTCATGACTGCTGCCTGGAGATTCAGGCCTGACACGCCGCTGCCAGGTAGGCAGGAGCCAAATTCAGAAAGGTATACGCAGCAAGTACGCTAGCCTTGGTTGAAGCTGTACCTTTGATGAACTGTACAAGAGCATGTCTACTGAGATACAAGATATGAACCACAGGCTATATGTGTAAAGTGAGCCAGTCAGTATGACTGTTGGAGCCGAGTCGACGCACTGCATGTTCTGCAGTCGTCAAGCTTGAACCAGCATGCCCCGAAGTCTGATACTCACCGGTGACTGTCTTCATCACGAAGGTGGAAGCAGGATTCGTTCAGAGCCTCTGCTGCGAGAATCTACTTTGCTGCCAGGACCCAAGGCAGTAATTGAGACTCTGGCCCTGGGCTTATCAACAGCCGGGCTGGGCTCAATTGATTTATTCTTGGCGACATTGGGGTATCACTTCCACAATACAGCCAATACGACGGCTGTAAAGTTCCAGTCGACGCGGATCCGCTTTACAGATAATTTCCCTTGGAAAAGCGCGACCCGTAATCACTGGCTTTACTGACAATCTCGCGCCGTTGTTTGCCTGTGATCTTGGACCCCAGAGCCATATCCTTTTCGCGATCAAAGGCACGTGCACTAGGATCGTCTTCTTCTTCCTTCCGCGACATCCTTTCCTTATCAAGGGGTACATTCTTCCCTTTGATTTCCTGCAAGTGCAAAAGATAGTTAGCGAGGGAACCCTCTCTCTCTCTCTCTCTCTCTCTCTCTCTCTCCGATCGAGCCCGGATGTACTTGGTAAATTGGCACGCACATTGTACTGTTTGATTCGATCTTCCATCTCCTTCGCTCGAGCCGCATCTTTGGTGGTGGAAGGGCGTTGTTCAGGTCGATTGGGAGCCGGGCCGACGCCCATAACTTGGTCTTGGAGACGTCGCATTCTCTCCTCTGGCGATTCAACCCAAGCCGCATCTAGTTGCTTTGATCCAGGGGCGCGGGCCGATTTTCCAGTTTGAAATTTGCGATTCCGTAGCTGTGTTGGATCGATTTTGGAAGCCCAGTCACTTGAACTCGGCGGTTGCAACATCCACTCATCTCGTTGGGTGTCTTTTGTCTGAGTCTCGGATTTTTGCGAGGACGCGTGGGTGGTGACAACTGGTGCTGGTTGTGCGCCGCCAAGGGAGGGGGAAGACCAGGCCCGAAATCATCGTCGCTGTCGCTGTCACTGTTGCTTTCCGAAGCCGGGGCTCGATCACCGTCGTCGCGTGGATTTGACGCGGCCTGTGGTGGGGGCATCGCGGGGCCGATCACCCTTTTCTTCGTGGAGGGCTCATCGTGCCCAGCCTCATTGTCGAGTTTTCTCTTTTCGGAGGTGTCCATTGCAAATGGTGTTACGGCATCAATTTGAGCAAAAGAAAGAAAGGCCAGGAAGAGTGGTGGCAGAAAAGGTGTATGCGATAAGATAACCCGGCGACTTTGACCACGGCGTGGTTGGATCATTTGATGTCATGGGATTGACCGCCCGCAAGTCAAAGCATCAAGTACCTTTTTAGACTTTCTTCAGTACGGTACAGTCGAGACCGTGGACCTGATATGTGTAAGCGGATATCCTAAGCTAAAAAACTCCGCGGATCACAAGGATTGCCATCTTTCATCTGGGGCAATTGATCTAGGTGCTATGGTTTGAGGGCTATGGTGTCTCTATAGGCTCCTGTGATTTGTACCTGACAGCCTGCTGCTACCTTATGTTATCACCGCATAAGGTTCGATTGAGTCCCGCTGAATAAATTAGTCGGGCAGCGCACATGACTAAGCTTAAATTCGATTCCGCGAAGTAATTTGATCTGCAATCTAATCGATCTTCATTCTTCAATGGGGATCAAATTCTGGAATAGGCTGGCCTGATTCACATATCATTTGAATATCCTTTGTCAAACTTAGCTCCCCTTCTTTTCTGCTTTCTTGATCTCCCCCTTATATCCATCCAATATGGTCTATTACTTTACATCTAACGTGGTCTCCCCCTCCGCGTTCATCTATGTCGGCAAGGACAAGTTTGAAAGTATGCGCCTCCAAGAAATCCGGGAATGGATTGCTCATGCACTACGAGCCTAACAATCGCACCCTTTGCGGACAGATGAGGACTTGATCAAATTCGGCTTGGACCATGACGTCTGGTATGTACAGCGGATTGATTCCATGTCGTGGATCTTTGGCTATTCAGTGTGCTAATGCGCCCTCGCGACAACTCCAGGGTCCGTCGTCCACACGCTTTCTCTCCGAAATCCTCCGTGTCAATGCCGCTGATGTCCGCCTGCGTAGTTCCACGTTGATAACCTGTCGAGTGCGCACGTCTATTTGCGCATGCGTGAGGGCGAGACATGGGATAACATCCCCGAGCCTCTGCTTGAAGATTGCGCGCAATTGACCAAAGCGAATTCGATCGAGGGTGCGTTGCATCTCCAGCACACAATGGTTGTCGATGGGTCCTTCCGATTCGACTAAGCGAGTGTACAAAAGCTTCAACTTAAGCTTACCGTTTTGTTTTTCTTCTCTCAATTGTTTGCAGGAAATAAAAAGGACAACGTGACCATCATCTACACGCCCTGGTCCAACCTTCAAAAAGACGGATCCATGGCCACCGGCCAAGTCTCATTCCACAACCCCAAGCTCGTGAAAAAGGTGCTTGTGCGGGTGCGCGAGAATCCCATCGTCAATCGTCTGAACAAGACCCGCGTCGAGAAATTCCCCGACCTCCGTGCCGAAAAGGAAGAGTACTCGAAGAAGAAGAGTCGCGATGAACGCAAGACCCGCGAGCAGCAGCAGATCAAAGAGAAGCAGGAGAAGAGAGAGCGCGAACAGCTCAAGTGGCAGAAGGATCATGCCTATGATGATATGTTTTCTGCGGATAATATTGAGGCGAGCAGCAATCAGGATCGGGATCCCGACTTTTTGGACGATTTCATGTGAGGACCTGGCCTGGATGCAGGATTATGTATACCACAGGCCCACCTAGAGGCGAATCATGGAAAAAGTCCTACTCTTTTTGCATTTTGACAAATTTTCTGATTAGATATTTGACATTGGTCCGGTTCCCCCATCGTCTGGACGTGATATATGTATGTATACACTCGACACGTTCGATGAAGGTCAGGAAAAGACCATTTTGGTATATACACATCAATTGAGTCTCCACCGGTTCTCCCCTAATGACGCAGTACAACACCCAAAGCATCGCCCAATGCCATGCCCACCCTTTACTCGTCCCAGATGACGCTGCTAAGACCTTCAGCAGTACCCGGCTGAGCAGTCTCACCCACCTGCAAAGAAGCAATCTTCTCGCCCAAATTGCCGGTCTTGGGATCCCTTCGGACAATGCCCACCGTTGACGAGGCCTGGTTACCGATCGCCACCAGATCACCTGCGCGGTTGATCACAAACGTACGGGGCACCTTGCCAAAAGCGGACGTCTTTTCTCGTACCTCGACAGTTCCTGTACGTGGCGACCGGTTCAGGGTCACCATACTGTCACTGGGGGCAAACCCCTGGTCAGAACGAATGGACACGTATAGGGCATCACCGATCAACCGGATCTCCGCGGGTGTGGCACCCTGGGGCATCACGCCGTTTGTGTAGGGCACCATGGTCTGAATCTTCTCAAAGGACAGGCAGCCGGAGCGTGCATAGGCGACGTTGAACACATCCACGGTGCCGCCAATCTCGTTGGCCAAGTACATCATCGTCTTGCCTACAGATTGAGTCTGGCGGGAGGAAGAGCCACGGCCAGCGTGAGCCCGCACGGGGCTTGCCTTGCCGTCCGTTCCATCGGACCAGAAGACGCCATGACGCGGGCCACTCCCGTAGGTGATGTTGACAGGAGGACACTCCTGTAGCTTTCCGGATTCGCCACTAATGGAGTAGACGCGCAGGAGGTCGGCACCCAGATCGGGACTCAGGACGAACGAACCGGTCGGGTCCAGGAAGACCTCGTGCGGGTGAGGAGTGTCTTGTTGCGCGACGGCTCCAGGCCGAGTCAACTTGAAGTGGAATTCCTGAAGCGCTGGATCGTTATCATGGAGAGGGAGAGAGAATGTGGAGACCGCAGCTCCTTCGCTGTCGAGGCGTTAGTTGATTGCATTTATTTGTTGTTTCTCTTTCACATGAGACGGCCAGGGATGATAGCCCCAAGTAGGGGGGGGGGGGGGGGGGGAGAGAGAGAGAGAGAGAGAGAGAGAGAGAGAGGAGAAAAATATACTGAGCCCACGGGCAACTTACTAGTGTGCAATGGCCAGGTACTTGTCACCTTGATCATCTTCATAGATGACGCTATTGACACCACCGCCCACGGTATCCGTCTTGGCAAACTGCTGCAACGAGCCATCTCGCCCGGCGTGATACGCCCACAATGAACCATGCGTACTGGGATCGGTGGTGCCCGCTTCATCCGAGCAATAGACGGTCTGGGTCTCTGGATCAAAGGTTAACCAGCTGGGCATGGTGCCGCAGGTCTTGGTGGTGTCGGTCAAGGAGAGACTCTTGCCATCGAAGGCGAGGGAGTACAGGTTGCCATTGTAATGGGTGGCCCATAGACGAGAGGTGGAGTGATGTTTAAGAGAGGTTGCGCCGGTGAGGGCGAGCAGCGACAGGAGGGTGGAGGTTTGGGTGAGACGCATGGCGAGGGAATAAGAGGACGGGAAGAGACCGTTACGTCAACAATATACTATAGGTATGTGAGGGAAATTCACTTTTACAACAAGAAGAAGAAGAAGAAGAAGAAGAAGAAGAAGAAGAAGAAGAAGAAACAACAAGAAAATAGTTCAATACGCCTCAATCGGTCCTAGGTAGATAGGAAGGGGCTATAGACATCATATGTAAGTCCTCGCTAGAATCAGTAATGTCACTAACCCCAAACAATTCATCTGCGAAACAATCATGATTAAGGCGCGGCGGTCCATCCTGACAGCGCGTGTAAGTATTTTCCCTGCAGAAAGTCGACATGTGGAGTCGTGGCTGTGTCGTCAGTAAAGTGGTCAGTACTTGGCGGGGATGCAAAAAGGATGCAGATGCAAGAGTCACGACGACGGGACCAGTCAAGACCAACGACGTGGGATGATCGACTGAATGAGGTTGCAGCGCTGGTCGGACATTCTCCCATCAGGGCAAGGGCATCGTCTCGTATAATGCAGGGAGAGAAGTGCATTCAGCATTGCACAGTCGTCAACAAACACATGGAGTCATGGACCGGTGGTGTTGCGTGGAGGATCAGGAATGGATCGACGTGGGGGTTTTCTGCTCCGGGCAGCTTCCAGTGGAGTCCAACACGGGGGAAGCAGAGTCGAGAGTCGAGAGTCGAGACAAGAGGATGGAACCGAGGAGATGAGAACACCTGAAGAAGGAGACCCTCGACCGGAATGGTATCCCCGGAGAGGCAATGCCGACAATGTGCCGAAGAGGCAGTCCGCCAAGCCCAGGGATGATCATTTTGCTGTCCATGCATGACGAAAACTTAGCAAGGCGTCATTGGAAATGAGCCCCTACTCCAGGACTGAAATGATTCTAACCACCCTGGCAACCTTCTGAGTCCAGTGTTGACTCATTGAGGATAGTCAGCATCCCCAGATTCCCCACTGTCTTTCAGCACGTTACCCGTAGTGCTCACTTATGAGCCCTTTTTGTCTTCACGGCTTCAAGATGGAAAGGATGATCATCCCCGATAGGTTCGAGAGGATTCTTTTCTTTTGCCCCCTCTAGCTTGTGCGTTTTCTCTGACGTTCAGTGGCACTTTCCCTCAAGCCCTCAACTGTAAAAACACCCCTCTTCTTCAAGTTCCATGCCTGTTGCGGATGAAATGTATAGTAGTCTTTGTGTCAATCAGTAACTACCTCAGTACTCTTCGAGTACAAGTAGATTTGTTTCTACAAGGTGTACGTCAGATCCGACCGATTGAATACAATCAAGAGGAAGCATGAAGCTGGGAGATAGTAGATACTGAATACTAGATAGTTAGTGAGTGATACTAGTACTTGACTTCCAAGGTTATTACGCGCCGATATTGTTTCCTCTAAAGCGCCCTTCGCACGTCCGCTGGCCCCGAGGGAATGTTTGTTGACGGCGAAGCGCCGCCCAGGATGACGTCGAAACGGCCCGGTGCCTGATCTATCGGCTTCAAATGCGCTGGCGATGATCGAATTAACAACCAGCAGTTGTTGACCACAATCGAAAAAGTGGACGGGAGTCTTCGTAGATGCCGTAAGGTATCCTTCCCCTCAAAGCATGTAGCTCAAGGCACGTGACAACAGTTTCAATCAATTGAATTGACCATCAGTCCCCCTACATGGGAGTAGTAGTAGGTCCTAGGCAGTAGGCACCAGGCACTAGGCATTCATACTCACAGCAGTATTATATTTCCTCCAGCAAAGCAACATTGAAGTCGACCTGAATCCTTCGCTCTATAAAGGTGACGACGGTGCGACACGGTCCGAAAACATACACCGGGCCAAACGATTTCACAGTGGATCAAACCAGTGGTCAACAGAACCCCAATCTCACTCACAAATAAACATAACAAAAGGGTCCAGCAGTCGTACTCATGATATCCCGCATGGCAATCGACCCGCGCTTCACATATCCGACATTCACATGCGTATCGAGCGTCGTGTTCGGGGAAACAGGATCATTCAAGAACGTCCCCGTGCCTCGAATCGCGAATTCGCGATTCGCCAGGTCCATATATTGCCACATCCACCACAAACGATCAATCATGGCATGGTGATTCCAGAACCCCGGATCTCCCGGGTTGGCATCGGCATCACGGCCGGGATCGCCGCCCATCGCGAGGTGACCACCTCCATGGACACCGAGAAGGCCACTACCCGGTGCGCCCTGAGCGGTGGTCTCAAAGGCCCAGATATCAGAACTGGTTTGCAGGAGTTGCAGAGTGGCGGTATAGTTGTTGTTCTCCCGGAGGATCGAGGTGGTCAGGTCTCGTTTCATGCAGCGCGGATTGTAGTCGAGGGGATTTGACATTCGGGTCAGGTTTCCCCCGGGTATGTACAGGGAGGATGGTCCCATGGAGAGAGAATAATTGACAAACGGTCCGCTGGTCACGCATCCACCCCCGGTACCTGGGGGAAGGACCAGCGGAGGTACGTCTGTGTCGCCTAGAGGGATAGCCAGATCAGGTTGGTTGGGGACGACAGCGCCGTTGCCGGAGAGTGAAGTGTCACTGCCATCAAAAAGAGGCGACGCTTCCATTGAGTAAACATCAGCGCCCCAGTTCCAGTATCTGACGGGGGAGATTCCAGGTGAGTGGGAACGTCTCTTGTGTAAGTTGTGATATAGCATACTAAGACATGGTGTCACGTACGGCAGATCCCCATTGAACCCACACTCATTCTTCAGAGCCTCTTCGAAGGTGAAGATGAAGTATCGATGCCACGCGAGAAATGTCCCCTACACGAAAATCAGCACCCTCCAAAGTAAACCCCGGTACTGAGAACGTGCTTCCAAATCACAAAAGGCGCAAAAGAAGAAAAGTATAAGACGTACTGTTCGATGTATATGCCAGGTCTGATTGATATGCGTAGCCACAAAGTCATCATACCGAGTCTTTGCTCCGGCGGCCATTGCCGCGGGTGTCTGTGGTGGGAGTCGTTGTAAGCACAGAATCGCATCGATGTAGTCTTTTCTTTCGCCGCGCGTGAGAGCTCTCCAGTCTCGTCGCACCCGCATGGTTTCTAGGGTACAGCTGGGTTGGTCGGTCTCGCCTAGTAGACGGCGCTCGAGACCGTCGAGAGTGAGATCGAGAGCAGATTGCCCTAGTCGGTGCAGCTCGTAGGCTGCATTCTTATCTTCACCCAAAGCAAGATTGATGCTGTTACTCGTCGGCTGCGGTGTGGGAAACCCGCAGGCCTGCAACCACAGACACGATAACAACCCGAGCAGAAAGGCGTCCATTTGGCGGCTTCGCAGAGGGGGCCTTTTTTATTGGGACCACAGCTTGTGTGCTCTTTTTCCCGAGCAGAGGGTGCTTCCCACAAGATTGAGTATGGGCTGCGATGCAGTATTTGTATCGTGCATTCAGCCCTCTGGTCCTGCGATGGTCTCCCACCATTTCTCACCTCACCCTCCTTCTTCCAGTAAAGGACAAGACACCCGCCCAGATATGTCGCATCCAGGAACTCGTCTCATGAGGCTGATTGTCGCACTCTGATACGAGTCTTACATAGTCTGTGAGACCCTGCCACCTCGTGGTCCGATGTTCTTCAGCGTTCGTGACAGGGGTTGGGTTGCTTCCAAACGACAAATCCATGTGTCAAAGCACGACTTCGGCACGAACTGCAGGGTACTTGAACGAGGATGATTCCCTGCAGGTTCCGTTCGATTGGTTAAAAAAAGTAGAGAATCTCAAAGTGCTACCCTACCACTGGATTCTCTTCGGAGTCGACCTGATGGGTGATGATCTGAAACTCTTGCGATCCAGAATGCCGGCACATGGGTATCGAGAGACGTCAGCAGTTCCTAGGGCCGAATGGGAAGAGAAAGAAAAAATCGCGACGGAGTGTGATATCATCACACAACACTGAGTCTGGCTGAGATCGTGAGACTCTTCGTATGACTTGTGTAAAGGGCGATCACCATACAACAGGGATACTCGAGACGGGCTCTCTCCAACCAGCTGAACGTGTGCCGGATACCAACCAGTAGGGTAGGGGAGGTAGCAAGCGGCCAGGGTTGACTGGAATATCGCGCCACTGCTGGGACATTACCAGCTTATGAGCCATTTTCGCGGCTATCTGTCGTTACCAGATGCTCTTTTGCAAAGGTTCTGGATTTCCCCGGTTGAGCCGTAATTATGCGAACAAGTTCATCACATATCACATGGGTGCGTGAATATTTCCTCTAGTGCACTATTCGACTCGGAACAAACCTGCAGGATGGTGTGTCTAACCCCCTCCAGCACGATCAGAGAGGTCACTGTTCAGTATCTGACTGTACTATACAAGTCCCCAGTACCTTTGTAGCCTGACGTTGGTAGCCTGACGTTGGATACGCGTGTGATGTGCTGAAACATAACTCTCTCCCCCTCCCGGGGGGCATCTCTCACTGCTCAGCATCGAGCAGATCCGAGAGCTTATCCAGATACGCCAAAGGTTGGACCGACCCCGACACAAATTCTTCTTTGGAACTGACTCCTGTCAACACACCGAGGGTACCACCCAATTGACCCTCGATTCCGAATCGAATATCCGTGTTGACCCGATCACCCACCATGCACGCTCTACTTCGATCGAAGTGGAACTTGCCCTCGATCGCATCCATCATCGCCTGACTGGGCTTGCCCAGGGCCACGGGATCTCGGCCCAGCATCATGATCAATGGGGCGCTCATTGACCCAGCACCGGGGAAGAGCGTGCCCGAGTTGGGGAGTGTAGAATCGACATTCGTGGCCAGGAACACGGCGCCACGCTTCACGTAGTGGTAGGCAAGTGCAAGCTTGAAGTAGTTGAGGTGGAAATCCAGTCCGACGAGAACAACACCCACCTCGGGGTCCAAGATGGAAGGGTCTCCCGCGGCGATGTGCTTGTAATCTTCAGGCTGGATGTCACGGCGATAGGCAGGGTCTGTCCCACCGATGAAAGGGACGCTTTCCGAGCGCAACTCTTGCTCAATGCCCGACTCGCCGATCACGTAAACCTTGCGCTGGTTTTCGGGTAGTTGAAGGATGCGCGAGATATAGATAGCGGAACTGTAGGAGGAGGAGAAGATTTCTTCCTGTCGAACCGTAAGCTGACGTGCACTCATTTCTTTTTGCAATCACAATGAAATCGTTTGGTAATAGGCATGTACTTACCACATTGCTGGGAATTCCCAAACTCTCGAGCTTTTTCAAATAGTCGGCGCGGGACTTTGTGCTGTTATTCGTGACAAAAACGACTTGCTTCCCTGCAGATGCGCGTGAGACCGACATTCAACCGGGGGACACCTGGAGACCGGAGACCAGAGCAGACGCACCATTCTTTCGCAGTAATTCTAGCGTATCCACGGTTCCAGGAAAGACATGATCTCCCGACCAGAGTACACCTGGGGAAAAGTGTGAGCTTGCCGCCGACAAGACTCGAGCAGATCCGTCCAGAGCCCAATCTCAGATCGCAAATCTCGGTATTGTAGGGAAGGACACGGATATTGCGGAGAGAATGCGCAATCGAACATACCGTCGCAGTCGAAGAGAAAGACCTGTCGGTGAAAACTGGTTAATGAATAGGCCCCGAGCAAAGATCGCTTTCTTCTGAGGTGAAGGTGAACCAACATCAAATTTGTCCAAGAACTCGCGCAGGCCAGCTTTGTCCCCAGTCAAGTAGCGCGGGGTTGTCGTGGACGCGGGGTGTGCTTCGGTCATAGTGAGAAGCAGGGAGCGTTGAATCAATGGCGGTGGAAAAACGAAGACAAGAGTGCCAGTGTATGTTCAAGGGAAGAAGCAGGAGTCGAAGATGGGTTTTACCTATATTGACAGTCAGGGTGAAGGGGAAGAGTATGTACAACTGATGCGGAGTCTCGAGCCAGTCGAGTCTCCCCGAAGAGACTCGTCGGTGACTGTCCGAGGGGAGACCGAATGGCGGCGTGGGGCATCCACCCTTCCTACACCCCTACAGTCGTACTATCCTCTCAACCTTCTTGCCGGAGCAATTGCTTAGTTTCATTCCCCACCCCCCCTTGTACGTCATAGACAAACTGGAATTTGACTATATGTGAAGGAAAGTCACAGTCATCATACTTGACATAAGCCATTTGATGAACATTGAGCTTTTGGTAGAAGCTAAGGTACCTTAATCATAAGGAAATGGTACTTCCAGTGACAACAATCCGCGGGACCACTCATCTCAAACGCCATCCATAAAAGGGGATACCCAGACTCCTGACAACAGGACGAGAGGAAGGAAAAAAAAGAAAAGAAAAAACTCCCCTGACACACTATTTACAGATCCACCGAGAGAATTCGCCAATTTGCATGAAAAGAAAAGAGGGAGAGAAAGAGAACCAAGGCGTCAGAGGAACCAGGTCCCGTCAAGGGTCCGAGAGTCTTGATTAAGCCGCGAGATCGCCAAACCCGCCGTTAATACCGAAAAATTGGAACCTGGATTAAAGTCAGTTGATTTTCACACACTCTGTCAAAGCAGAGATAATGGCGCTGATGGAGGCACATACCAGTCTTCTACATTCAGCGTCGTTGGCGCAGTCGGTCCACTACGCGAGCTCGTGCTCCAGTTGTCGTCCTGACTGGTAGCATCCATCGTCCCGGCATTCAAGGTCCCGTCCATGTTTTGCATGGGCCATGGCTGACCATCCATGCTGAACATCTGCTGTGGCCCTCCGGGTCCCGTCCCCATGGACCCCGGCAAGCCGGACATCATCTGAGGACTACCCTGAGGGACGGACATGTTGCGATTGGGTACAGCGTGAGGCACATTGCCCATCATAGAACGCTGATTGATGTTCGAGTTCTGAGGCATCTGCGACGGCACGTGCATGTGAGGGTCGACGGATGCAGGCGGTGGTGGGGAGGTCAGCTCCGGGAAGATGGCGGTGCCGTCAGGGAACAACTGGTCGGGTTGGAAATTCTCCCAGAGCGAAGGCGAGAGATTAGGCGAGGTGCGAGTGACGAGGAAGAAGTCGGGAGGGGTAGCAGGTAGAGAGAATTGCGCATTGAAAGGGGTGGTTGGGCGAGTGTTGGTCCGCGATTGAGATGGGCCCATGATGGGATCTAGAGGCCCTCGGTGATTTCCAGGTGACATCTGACTCAGCGGCGGCTGGTTGATCTCACGCGACGGCGTCACAGCGGGCGTCTGCGGACGTGAGCGTTCGTACGAGACTGGAGGTGTCGGACCGCCATTGGGGAGACCCAGATCCATGTCGTCGAACTTCCTCTTAGGAGGCATTGGCTTGGGGGCCTTGGCTGGGGGAGGAGCGGCCTCATGGGGTCGGCGTTGGTGTCGCTTTCCAGCGGCTTTTTGCAATCTTTCCTCGAGTACCTTGTTGCCCAAGATGGATTCGAAAAGGGTGTTGACCATCTTTGCCACAAGCCAGACCTTGGAGACCTCTTTTAGAGCCGACATGCATACATTGATACGCTCCTGGCAGGTAGCCACAATGGATGGGACTGAGGATCGCATCTGATAGACGTGCATGATCAGGGCAGAGAACAAGCTGTAGACACTGTAGGTTTATTAGATTGGCAGTCAGTACATGTCTCTTCATCTGAAGGAGCCAGACACAGCAAGGGACGTTCACGTACATGAAAGCTGGGGTGTAGCGAATCTCGTTGTGCGCTTGAAGGGCCTCGATGATGGAAGTCATCATACCGGCTGCCTGGAAAGCAATGGTGCGTGAGGGATAGGCCATCTCTTCGACACGGTAGCTGTTGGGTGCCGAAGAGGCAGGGGGCATGTGAGCTCGATGCAGCAGACACAACGTCGTGCTGTAGAGGTAAAACCCACAAATGTCAGCATCCTCATTCATTCACAAAATAGCTGCGCTCGGCATGATCGGACACTCACTAGTAGTTGGAATGAAGCAGGGCTGCCCAGAAATGATGACGAGACCGTTGCCAGCAAACCTCCTTGGGACAGTTCTGCAGCCAGTCGGCCAGCGCCATATCGGAGTGTGTAAGATCCATTGCGTTCATTCGCCGTGACTTGGATGCAACCGAGTATTGCTGCGACAGTACGAGACCCATGATCTCGCACAGTTTGACGTACTGTAGAAAGAACTGCACGTGCACCGGATCGGGACCGTAGTCTGCGGGGGCGTCCAGTTCATCCTCGATGAAGTCGTCTTCGGTCAACATCTCCACGTCGGAATCATCAGTATTGATACCAATGGGACGTCCGAGAGCCACGGCTACTGAGCGGTCCCGTGTGAAGAGCGTCCACCAGATCCGCTTCCACAGACGCTTGTCGGGTTTGTTCAACTGCGAGGTCTCGACACTGCGATGCATGCCCGAGCCCTGAGCCACCACCATCGCCACTCGCGTCCAGTAGAAGACATTCTTAGTTACATCTTCGGGGCCCTCCCAGTACCAACCCAACAGCACCAGCGCCTGCACAATGGTGACCCGGTCATCCTCGTAGTTGGCATCGTACAGAGCTTTGGCTCGCTTGTAGAATGTCATGGCAGCAGGGGTTGTCGACCCATTGGCGTCCATCAATTGCGGATTGGTGCAGACTCGAGAGCCGGCCAGGAGGATGGCCTGGAGCAAGAGCAGCGACGGGGGGTTTTTGGGGTCACGGTATTGGCGCAAGAAACGGCTGCGATTGATGATGGGCACGATGGGAGCGACCCACTTGAAGTATGCGTCGACCAACTCGTCACAAAGCGGTTTGGGTGGGAGGAGGAAGGCACCCCGTTGATGCAGGATATCGATCTCGAGGTTGTCCAAGTCGGTAAGGCGCGCACGCGACCCGCGAATGTTGGGCGGCAGAGGATAGTGAACGACATCGGTGGTGCCGTGGCGGTCCTGGACCAAAAGGGAGAGATTCGACGACTCTCCCAAGTAGGCCACACGGCCGGCTTCCTTGATCGGGGCGCGAGCGAATTTGGGTTTCATGAACTGGGCGTAGGTATTATCTGTGGACGCTCGCTGAGCGGCTTCTGATTCGGTGAGGCTAGTGATGGGCATGCCCGAAGTTGCCATCCGTTCTTTGCGCCATCCAAACGACCCATCGTCCCTGTCTTCTGAGCTGGAATCGCCGAGCTTTCGATCGGTGTCCGGGTTGGTGGGATCTTCCGAGTTCTCGGGTCGATATTGCGTCGCCGTCGCGTCGGGCAGTGAGGGGGCCGTATTGTAGGGTGGAGGACTGTCGCCATATCGGCTCTCATCTTTCGCCTTGGTCGAGTTCTTCTTTCGTTTTGGGGTTGGAATCTTGCACTCGATGGAAAAGGCGACACAGTTTGTGCAGGGGACTCCGAGACTGGCAGCGTCACAGCGGACCTGGGGGTTGGTGGGTGAGTTTAGGTCCGACCAGGTGGTGATCGAGACACTTGCGACCGAGTGGAAAGGGTCTTACCTTGCGTGAATGGCATGTCTAAATCATCAAAATGATTTCTGTCGGTTAGCCAAAAAAAGTTTGACCCTCAATGATCACATCGAATCCACGAGCTTGCGCAGATTCGGTCATCCTGGGATAAGGTGGACGGGCTGGCGATAAGAGCTGTGTGGCACCCACAAAGGGCCGAGGCACACTCCCAGCCGAGGCTGCCCCCCAATTCCAAGCGCACCAAATCGCGTCGGGCCTCGACACAAAAGGGACGTACCTCGCACGCGCGGGATGCACGTTGTCTAGAAGTGAGATCCAATCCGTTAGCCTGCAGATTCCATGGTGAAGACCCTCTGCATATGATATTGTGGACGCCTGTCCGTCACAATGGCAGGCTGGAAAACCCTGACTTGTGACTTCTGCTGTTGTACTGTGCCACCCGCCCCCCAAGTATGATTCCTCGAGGTTCCCCCGGAATGGCACCCGGTTCTTGAGCCTCGGATCTGAAGATAGAAGGCACCATCACGACAGAATCACATTTGCTTACCTTCTGAAGCTCAGTGGTTGGCCTCCTGGACCGTTGCGCACTGTGATTCCGGAGGTCCCTGTTGAACCCGTTGCGCTCGGGGCGGGACTGGCCTGGTCGGGCGCAGGCAGTTCCGTGCGGGATTCGGTCGCGGTACTCATGGCGCGCAGTCTCCTCGCGGGAGATGCTTTGTTCTCAGGATAACCCGGGCGATGGAGAGGGATGCAGAGAGGAGGTAAGTAACAGATTTGGAGTGGACGATCGATGGGGTGTTTCGAGGTGGTGCTAACGATGGTGGAGGTGGGTCGGTGCGGTGATCATGTAATAATTAAGGACACGACGGGAGGACAGGAACCGCCCGGAGGCCAATTGGAGAAAGTGAAAAGGGGCCTTCGACGGTTTTTCTACGATCGGGCGCATACTCCTGGAGTTATATAAACTTACGAAGTGGTCCTTGTACATCGATCGTTGATTTTGAGATACGGTCTTGTTCTATTCATGAGCGGTCACGAGATGATTGGTTTATACTTGATTTGAGGGAGACGACAACTCTCACTAAGCACCGCGTCGCGCCGACAGAGGCTCTCTCGACTTCTCATGACAGAGGTTTCCAATGGGACCTCCATTTAGCTGGAAGATCATTCTGGGGGAGCCGCAGTGCCAAAGTCGACGTGGCAAGAAACCCGGGTCGGCCTCCCGATGTGACTGGACGCTGCATCAGCCACCGTCGGGCAGTGTGGATGGGGAAATGTCGGTGGTCGTCGGTGGTCGTCGGTGCGCATCCCAGTATTCCAGTTAGGGTGGCCTGGGAGTAATGGTGCCCATTTTGAAGATAGACGGTGCGAACAACCCCAGACTATGCCTCATGAGCTCTTCGTAAAAGTGATGAGGTCACTGTCCGTAATATTGATCGCGAGCTTCATTCGCGAGACGTGATGGTCCGGTACAGAACGATGGCCTCGCCATAAGACTTACGCTGTACGTGCGGGCTGTCTCTCCTCATGGCTGCGAGAGCAGTGACATATGGGTCAGAGGTAGGGTTAGAGTTTCTGGGCCTCCATGATCGATCACGAATGTGGTTCGTGCGACCCCCGAAATTGCCCGTAGAGTGCTCTCAAACGAGAAGAGCTCGGATGGTCGGGAGTCGGAATGGAGGTTTAGACGGGAGACATGAGAATTCAGGGTACCTTAGTAGTAGACTCGGCCACTGACGTGTGTATAGCTAGTCATATACTACAATCTCACACCCTTCTGCCTTTCTGAGCGAGCCTCGCTAGACCGTTTTAACCGGGCAACATGGGACTGAGTAACGAGTCAGTGACAGAATGGCACACTCTTCTGCTGCGTTGATCAAGATCTCTACAAACATCTTCTCCCAATCCGAGCTGCCGGTCCTTGACAGCAGGCCAGAGAAAACAGTTCGCACCTTCACCAAGCCTTAGATCTAGAGCAGGCGATGACAGTCCCCACGCGGAGCGAGTAACTTGAACTTCAGCCACCCACGCATACTCCACCCTGGGGAAAGATGGGGTCTTTGCATTCGGCTTGTTGAGACTCGAGACCGGTTTCCATTGCCTGGAGTTCCCTCTTCATGGCGTTCACGTGTCAATGCACGTCAAGAATTCACCGTTCGGCCCACATCCGCGCACTTCCTCGGTCCGCCCGAGCATGCAATAAGCCACAATGTTTACAAAGGTAGACTTGAACTTAACAGTGAGACCACCATACAGGGTATCAAGGTTGTTGGGGCGGAGAATTAGGATTTAGTGTTCGTTCCAGTCTTTAGGCCTACATGATCAGTTGTTTCCAAGGTATGTAAACAAAGCCCTGGTCGGAGGAGGATTTCCTGGGAAAACATACCTGCAATTTGATTCAAAGCCCCAGAGCTCGGACCTCCGAGCCTATCTGGGAGAGGTCAGGGGCAGAAGTGAAGTACAGGAAAGACGCGGAGCTATCAAAGTTAAAGAAACCGATAGTTACTTCCACGGGACGTTATGGCAGCAGTACACATTAGACACACTTTTCGCCGGGCGGCTTAGGAGAGTAGTACTACTACAACCGTCAGATGAGCAGATGGATATGGGGATGTATTCAATTGCATGAGTCAGAGAGCATCTCACTTGGATCTCCACTATGCACGTGACCGAGCGGTCCTTTCGTCCTACCTAGTACCTTACTACCTACATACTAGTGTACACCTGTACATTCTCAACTGCACTTCGCCAAGCTAAAGAATCTCCATTGACATGGTTTGTGTTTCTCTCCCCTCTCAGTTCTAAATACTTTTCTTTCAAAGAGACCTCCCGTTTCGCGTCCCAAACTACCAGCTTTCCTGATTTTCTTAGGCTCCCACCCTCACTAGCTCGTCAGAACCTTAAGCACCTTGAGCATTTCCAACTTTTCCACCATTTCTGAATGGATCTTGTCGCAAGCCCTTCCCTCAGTGCCATCTCGGAATACAGCAGGTCATCTGCCATGTGACCCCAGCGCCGTCAGCGTCCAGTCTATATGGTTGAGATCCCTCGGTAGCGAACTTCCGCTCTGCCTCTTCGATAGTATGAGCATCGATACCTGGTCGGAAGAGTCGATATGGTTCAATGTACACCACCTCTAGCACCAATGAGTTTTCTTTAATCAATATACGCAGAATCCACATAATCACCAATCAGTCTATACGGGGATGAGAGACTCCTTATAAGACTAAGAACCTGCGGTTGGTTGCAATGAAGTTTCCTAGTAATGAATATTCCTAAGCACCTAAGGGTGACGCAAATACTAGTATTAATCCCCAAGAAAAGCGCTAATAGGACTCGTAGATCGAAGGTTATAGATGAATCAGCTCTGGCTTATTGGCGAGCCTAGGAGGCTTGGCCCCAGGAGGAGGAAGAGGTAGAGGAACCGTGGTTACAGATTTGACATAAATCTCTCGTTACGTCTCCAAAAGGGGGTCGAGAGAATCGAGACAGTCTCTGTATATGGTATGATGGCCTCGAGGAACTCGGAGTTGAGGGAGGCAATAACAGATTGGTAAACGCCTTTCCTCAAGAACAGCTAGAAGATATCCCACGGCAGAGTATCAACTTCCCATGTATGCTTTAAGCCAATGTCCCGGAAATTCAACCAAACGGCGCGTCGGGACCGGAGAGAGATAGCTGCCGCAATAGCAGGCTTGCCGCAAACTACGGTATGATCACTAAAAACAATGACTTCTCCTGGTGCTAATAGGTATCATGCATGTAGGCTCGCCATGATGGACTGCAAAACCTGTCAATGACATTCTGCCAGTCAAGTTGCTCGTGTTTGCTAATCTATGATAGAATGCAGTCACTAATAGTAGGTGTATCCACACGATGTGAGAGAGGGATGAGGGTAAGATTGACTGGCGACGGGAGGAGAGATTCTATCTAGTCTACGGAGTACGGACTGCGCCTAGACGATGGTGAAACTCTGGTTTCGCATGCCATACGAAAACACATGACTCTAGAGTCCTCACAAAAAAGGTGATATCTTACATACAAAGTCCCACTGACTGGGCAAGTGAATAACATCACGCAGGACAATTTAGGTATTTTTCTAGAAGACATAAAATGTGAAGGCGGTAACCTTAGCACGTTGGCTATACAGTATACACTGATTACGAAACGGCTAATGAATGCCGCCTTTGAACATCAGAGGGAGTATCAATCGTTCTTCAGCTATAGAGTGGACCTACTTACTGGTGGTCACTTCCACCGTGTTGGGCCAAAAAAAAGTGCCAATTCTGATTTGATCACAGGCGCGGATTATATAGAATGGTGGATCCTGCCTGCCTTAAGGTGATTGGGCCGTGTCGAGGTACCCCAGCAACGTGCATATATTCATATACCAATTGACCCTTTGGCACGTAAGCATTAAATAAAGACCGCTAAAGGTCAAAAGTCACGGCACAAGCTAACTTGAGTAGGTTTGTGCTCTGTAGCGTATCTCGCGGACCCCTTAGCGGACCGGACACACGGGTGAATCCAGTTCCAAGGAGGACCGCCCCCGCTTGAAGAGGTATAGCGTACCCATTAGTCGTATAGTTCCGATAGGTTCTATCTGCGAAGGATTCTGTGCTCTCGTCATCATCCCTCACTATGGATAATGCTGTGGCGGTGACTATTCTGATAACGGTGTTCTATTCTTATCTTAATCAAGCTCGCTGACCTATGTTCACTGGCCACATGGATACTTATTGCGACGTCCATGGCTCCATGCTGACCTACTTAAGCAAAGGTGGGTACTTAAGTGGAAACATTCTTTCTCACACGTGGGGCCTGTTCCCCTCAGCGCATCCAGTAAGTCCCGGAGATGGCGAAATAAAACCAAGACGGTCCCGCCACGGCAAACCGGATTCAAAGCTTGTTCCACTTCACCCACACCACAAGTACAGTTACAGCATTGTATAGTATCAATGAATTTCCAGGATGTCATGGCCACGAGTGGCTTCGCAACCTATGCCTTGCGTCATCCTCTAGAGGGTCTATCGAGCTTCGGGCCGACACTGAGTGAAGCGACGTTCGGCTTGCTCGGAGCCTCGTTTAAGCCCGAGCGGGACATTGCTGGCATTGAAGGGAAGACTATCTTAGTCACTGGAGGTACGTGGGATTGCAACCCCGACGTTCACAACTAAATGAGAAACCCAGCAGCTGACATACTGATATATCAATCTTGCTACAGGCAATGCAGGTATCGGTCAAGAAACAATTCTCCAACTCGCAAAGCACCGCCCTGGACGAATCTATCTTGCCGCACGGACAGAGAGCAAGGCCCAAGCAGCCATTGAGTCCATCAAGAAGCAGATCTCCTCTCCCGTCGACATCCGCTACATTCCACTTGATCTATGCTCATTCAAATCCATCCGTGCGGGTGCAGAGAGATTTCAGTCTGACAGTGATCGATTGGACATTCTCATCCTCAATGCCGGCACGATGGGCAACCCACCCCAGAAGACCGAGGACGGATTTGAGATTCAATTCGGTACCAATCATGTTGGCCACTTCCTTCTCACCAAACTGCTCATGCCAACATTGCAAAAGACCGCTGCCGATCTGAAGGCAAAGGGCCAGGAGCCCGACGTGCGTGTGGTTACGGTCGCTTCTGTCGCTCACGTGCTGAGTCCTCAGACCCTGGAAGGCATGACCTCAACCCAGTCTCTTTTGGCAGCCAGCACTTGGACTCGCTATGGGGCCTCCAAAGCCGCGAATATTCTGTTTGCCTCTGAGCTCGCCCGTCGATACCCAGAGATTCTGTCCGTCGCTGTTCATCCTGGTGCTGTGAATAGTGACCTGTACTCGCATGCCAAGGCCGCCAGTGCCGCAATGGAGCGTGGTGTCACATATGCTGGATCACTCTTCTTCCGCAAGGTCACCAGCGGTGCACTTAATTCTCTCTGGGCTGCTACAACAGCGAGAACAAATGTGACCAACGGTGCTTATTACACCCCAGTCGGATTTCGCAGTGGAGGCAGTGCCTTTGTACAGAATGACGACGTTGCCAAGAAGTTGTGGGAGTGGACCGAGGCACAGATCGCCGAGCGTAATTGAGAAGGAATTCCTTCTGGGGACACCAGTCTCCTCTGGAGACATCCGTTATCACAGGGATTACCATTCTCGTGATGACGTACCATTTGTGGGATCTACTGCAAAGAAATTGTCACATTTTCACAATCAATGTACAGTACATTTGGGAGAGTGATATTCGAGCATCAATGTGAAATTCAACACTTAAGTATTCGAAGAAATCATCTTCAAAGTGATGGAAGCTGAATGTGACCAGTGTCAGTGGGTTATATAGCTACTATAGAGGGGAATGCTCAAGGCAGTCTGATCTCACCAGACAGGTCGAGTCATAGAGGAACCAAACCACAACCACCAGCACGCACGTCTAGAGATCTCCCAGCCCGACCGTACAACACCTATCCGTAGGATGCCCAGAGGCACAGATGAAGATCAAAAGAAGTGTGTCATTGCAATGTGAAGGGAACCTGACTGTAAAGACTGTACTGAACTCCCATAAAGCCGTTCAATCCTCTGGTTGCTTGTTGACCTTCGGTTCTCCCCCTTGGGTGGTCAAGTTGATTGACTCCCTCTCGTCATGTCCAAACAGCCTCTCCCGACCGTAAGGCCACCATCAGGCACACGCACCTCAGCAGACTACCTGCTCTATGTACATGCAACCGGATTCCCTACTACACTACTTATATGGACATGCGATGTTGACGGACTTTGTTCCACCCGGCCATTCAGCTGCCCGGGCAGACCACTCACTACAGTGATATAAACCAATCGGATGATTATTACATTGGGCTGAGAAACACGGGCGACCTCGATCAGGGTCCGCGGTAGAACAGCAAATCCTAGAAAGTGTATGAAAGCTCAGTACTTCCACACAGAGGAAGACTGCGCAACATTTTGATGGGTCCAAGTTTGACGGGACTCGCCAGCTCCGGGAAGTGATTTCCTGGTAACCCACCAGTCCGGGCTACCAGCTAAGACTTCCTCTCACTTGATGACACCACACAGTCTGCCAAGTAGGTTGTATTTTTCAGTGTAATGATTTGGTAGCAGTCTCGCTACCTTTCAAGCAACCGATTCAGCTGCCAGAATTCAATCTTTTGTTATTGCTAGGCTCTTCGTTAAACTTGCGTGCTGTTTACAATTCACAATGACTGAAAATACGAATCACCTGAAAGCCCAACTGTATCATTTGCGTGGTTCGAAAAGCTGAAGAGGTTCGACCGGTCCAAAGACACTGTGAGACTCGAAGAGAGGGTCGGGCCTCATCCAAGTATTGGCGGCAGTGGGTATTGCTTGAGCTTGACATGGGCAGCTCACGGTCGGGTCGCTCACAGATTGTTCAAAATGGCTTGTCAAGCCAGAGGTTGGGAGAGACCAATGTGAGGAGGAGAACCCGGGCGTATTTTGTGAAGCCTGCTCCGGCGAGACAACCACGATAATCTGAGACTGAGGACAGGCAGTGCTAAGTGACTTGAGGATCTGCGGCAAAGCATGTTCTGGTCATGCCCGTCAGTCATCACTCAGAGTCTGGCCGCTTCCTTTGCGATCAATCAACAGCATTAGCGAGGAACAGAAAAAGAAAACTCTCACCATTGACAGTATAGTATAATGGCGAGTTACTTGAGGCTATGGCGCTCGGGCTCGGCATGAGACAGGAGTTTTCGAGGCTTTGTCCATCCGGCATGGCTTGCCAACTGGCACACGTCTCAAAAACCGAGCTGGTTCTTTGAGTTGCCAAGGGATTTGACCCCGGTGTGCATCGCCCCTCCTCGCCCGACGAAGGACCTGGTATCAATGATATTATCGAAGAATCCCACGCTGATGTTGAGGGCGCAAAGTGTGATGTACTATCACTCCACACAGGCCAAAATTGTGATTCACAGTCAAAGGGTGGTCCGGCGAGGAGGGATGAGTCTGATAACGGTGAAGTGACATTACTGGGAGTCCACTCATTACTCCCCAGTGCAAAACTGTTGTTGCTTGTAGGAAGAGGCGGCGAATAGAGCTGATCCCAACCATTAAGCACTGCGGCTGCCCTCAATTCATTTGCAACGACTCGCTCTTGAAGCTTTGCAATTCGGTCTCGAATCTTTCGACCTGTTCGAGGTATTCGTATCATCTTCAACTTATGAATCCAAGCCAGATCAGACTCACGATGATTTCTTTGTGAGACTCGATTTTGAAGTCTTCGTCTCTCTAGGGGATCTTGTTCCTGTCCAACGGAAACACTACTGTCCCGTCGCTCGGCACCTCTTTTGGTTTTCATATTGAATGAGGAGAGTTTATAGTAATCAGACACTCTATGTTGTATGTCAAAACCAAGAGAAAGTTGGATATCACGTCTGTAATGAAGAGAGAAAGAGGCAGCCGAGTCTGAATGCTCGTTTCGGAAGTCAGTGTACACCAGACAAGCGGTTATAAACTCATCATACCGTGGCGGAAGTGCCTGTGGAAGTGACGAGCGTGTTCCATCTTTCCCACCTTGCTGTAACACATTGCCGTGCAACGAGTGTCCCAGAATCGAGAAAGACAGGGTCTATAGGCTCATGTTTGAGGAAAGAAATCTCCTTCCAATAAATTATCTCCGGTTCGTAAGCTTCGGAATTAAGGCAAAGTTGCTCATGTGATCATAAGGTCAAAAAGGCTGGCAGGTCCAGAGCGGAGGGGTCTTCACCAAGGAATCGATTACGAGGGCTCGTGTGAACGAGAACGACTTTCGATTTTGATCGACTACAACAAGGTGATTCGACGTCATGAAACGGGGTAAGCAACCTGACCCTAGGTATTCCTTCATTCTAGCGGAGACCAGCGGTCTTTGGAGGGGCGTAACACACCAGGAGGATGTGGTTGCAGATAGGAGGCTGAGTAAAATTAGAGCAACTTCCCATCCGGGCCTGGAAGCCGTTCAGCGTGGCAAGATATTGGTAATGCTGTGCGACATTCATCCCAGAAACTTCGCTCAGCTCAAACCTGGGCTCATCATACACCCAGTGAGACCCCGACCACAATCCCCAGGGTAGATGTCTCGGCTTTATCTCAATGCCCACTACCTTGACGCCGAGAGAGCCTACGATGGCACATGCTCATATCAGCTTAGGATCTGTGTTCACCCTAGTGCATGGATGCATTGAGGTAACCGAGACAAAGTATGAAGCCATCTAAATGGGGGCTGAAAAGTTGCGTAGGTTGCGCCCTGACCTAGTCACCTAGTCTGTGAGCTTTGGAATAAGTAATCATGCCATTTCTCTCAATTCAGACCCCATAGTACAAGGCTGTGGTATGAGTCCACTGACGAACAAGTTGCAGAATCAATGGCTGGTACATTTGAAGATGGTAGTCGATTCCCAGCCGGTCAGCGAGAGTCAAGTTGGAACAGCCTTGGGTGATCGCCGGTCCCAAGGTCTTGGGCTGCGTAATATCCTTACCAGATCTAGCCCTTGTGCCTTGTGAAGCGGTGTGAGCAGTCGAGCGCAAAGTATCCGTGAGGTTCTTGTTCAACGTTGGACAAGACCTCACTATCTCCTTCCAGATCTGGCAGGCACAGACGACCTCGACAGCCTCGGTTCTGTTCCACCTGGTGCCATGTGGCATAGGCCGGGTCTCAGGTGCAAAGGCATTGATTGGATCTTGGACAAAAATCTCACAAGTATTTATTTTCGGAGACGCCGGGCTTGGGGACATTTCTGATCAGGACCACCGGAGAGACAGAAACGTTGTACGAGTATGTCTTGGAGGGCCTAGTGGGTAAGATCGTCGTCTCTGATGCAAAGTAACGGAATTCGTGGTCTTGGGTTGTCACTGCTTGAGTGGAACGCACAGATGGAGTAAGAGACAAAGGCTAATGAGGACCTTTCCAAAGCATGACAGGGGTCCAGACGTATGAGAAAGCGACTCCGGCAACTTTGACACACGGGTATCTGAGACTTAAGTCCCTGGGTAAGTTGACCGATGGAGACGGACAAGGTGTACATCCAGAGCTTGAAATTCTCAAAGATGATGGTGCACTCCCACTGAGTTGACCAAGCGTAAGTTTGATCAGTCCACAAGCTGAATATGTCCAGAAAAGCGGTGGAGTGATACAGTGACGTTCCATAAGTTTTTAACCCCCTGCTGACCCACTTTTCTTACCGCCTACTAGGTTAGCCTACCGCCTACCCTATACGCGCTACTAGAGAACACGCTAAAACCAGCGCGTCGCGAGACAGCTACTATTTTACGCAAAATTTCCCACGTAGATAGATTTATACTAATCCTACACACATCTACATATATTCTACACGCTCTACTATCTACTGTATTGATATGGCTCGATCGAAGGAGCTTACACCTACGCTACGCGCGCGTATATACGAACTACATGCAATCAACTGGGGCTATAAGCGCATTTATAAGCGTTACCCCTAGATTCCTCTCTCAACAATTCGATATACGATCATTAAAGAGCGAGAAAGACAAGATAGTATCTCGAAGCCACGCAAAGGCCGGCCAAAGAAGCTCACTGAGGCCGACAAAGACCGAATTATCCAGGTTATTCATAAGAACCCTCGCGTTACACAGGAAGATCTACTTACTAAGGTCGACCATAAAGTGAAATATACCTTAATTCGACGACTACTCAACGCTAAGAATATACGCAAATAGCGCTGTAGCTAGCGACCTTACCTTAAAGAAATTTACGCGGTAAAACGACTTCAATAGGCTCTCAAATATCGCTTATTTACACCTGATGATTAGGCCCGTGTTTATTGGTCTAATGAATATACTATTAAGCGAGGAATTAGTGTACGTCGTGAATAGACTTTTATACGCCCTCGGGACCAAGCACGCGAGGGTCAATACCAGGGTTTACCACAGCGTAGAAAGTAGGTTAAGCAGATATTCTAGGCTGCTTTCTCGGCCTCGCGTCGTACGGGCTTAATACCTCTATTTAGCAATCCTAAGTCAGAGCGTAGCGGTGTCAATCGTTTCGTTATCGAGGAATTATATCGCCAGGTTCTACCTACGTTACTACCTACTGAAGATAGGATTTTTATATACGATAACGTACCTACGTATACTACGTACGTTATGCGCGATACTTTAGCAGATATAGAGATCGAGGTGATAGTTTAGCCGCCTTATTCGCCTAACCTTAACCCAATTGAGAACCTATAGGCCCTATTAAAGGCAGAAATCTATAAGATTCGGCCTAATCTTCTGCATATGAAGAACAACGATGAGACTAAGCGAATCTTGGTCGAAACTGCGCAAATTATATAGCAAAACATTGATATACAGCACCTAGAACACCTTTCAGAGACTATGCCTAACAGGGTTAAAGCAATCATTGAATCGCAGGGATAGTATACGCCATATTAGGGCATATAGGGGTACGTTAGCTAGTTATTTGGTAGAATTATCAATATTATGGAGTTTTGGTGGAGGTTTTGCGACCGGCAGTATATTATGTAATTAAGGGTGTGTGGGGCAGGGGGTTAAAAACTTATGGAACATGACTGTAGATAAAGTGACAGCGTTTCGGTCCCTAAGCTGGGCGATAAAAGAAAAGGGACTCAACGAGATCAAACCAGAGTGTTCTGGTCACTGGGTAGTATCGGAATGAGCATGGATGAGTTGTCTCCTCATAGCCCAAATCGAAAAGCAAAGGAAGCCTCGGGGTTTGCGATTATAGGCAGATCTGCATGCTCGAGCATTGTACTATCATCAAGTCGACCGCCCATTGTACCGCCTATTTTTATGGTGTAATATAGGGACCTGTGATTTACTAGATCTGGTTAGTTTTGCCGTTCCCGGCCTAGCGCCCCAATACACCGTCTTGTCACCTCTCCCTCCATCGCCCCGACATAAAAGAGCCAACCTCTCCCTTCGACTTCTTTTCTCGTCCTTTTCCCTTTCTTCCACTCCTCTATCTTGCACTCATCCCGGCCCCCTTTCTCTCCTATCCGCCCCCACTGACAACTGCGCCTTGGCTTTCAGCCCGACGCACTGCCCCTTTCAATTTGGCGGAGATGCCGCGCGATCCGACGCTCAGCTCGTTCTCCCCCATGGAATGGAGCAGTCGCCCAGGAGTCGAATCACTGGGATGATCAGCCCGCAGCCGCATTTGTGCGATTTCATGTCGAGACTCCTCCTTCCCAACGAGTGTGACTGCCCATCATGCTACGAAGCCATCTAGGTCTCCCTCTGATAGTGCGCCTTGCTCGTCTCTGAACCCGCTGCCCTCCTTCGTATCTGCAATGTGCCGGTATGCCTTCGATGCCCCATGCCCCGCTCCGTCCGCCCCATCTGAGGTTACATTGCACAGCCCTCGGTGTCGCAGATCTACTCTCGGCTGCTTGTTTCCAAACGGCTCTTGCAACCTCAGTTGTCGTCATCATCGGTCTCTCCGGTCCCTCCACACCCAGTCGATGAATATTCGAGAGCACAACCCGGTGATGTAGGCCAATAGCGAAAATACCGCACGCCCCTGACCTCTATATCAATACCACACTTACGGCCAATGCCAGCATTACGCTCAAGATGAGGAATCTTGGCCCCCGGCCCGCTGACTCGCACGTCAATCGGTCGGCCGATCTTGCGCGCGTCGAAGAACATTCGAGCATCGCTCTTTCTGGACAATCGCCCATGGGGTAGTGGCTACTCTGCGCACCACCTGTGACTTCCTCGCTATGTGGGAAAGTGGGAGGCTCTACATCATCGGTCTTATTTGGGGATTCCACGGGGCGACCATCCGCAGTAATCGCAATTAGTAGATCAAAATTCTCCCCTGATATGCAGCGGAGAACCTTATCAGTTGGGGTTTGGGGCTGTTAACAAGGCCTGAAGCGGGTTCAGCACATGGAACTTAAGGCTATTGTCATTGGCTATATCTTTCACCACCCAAAGCTGTTGCGAAGAAGTGTTGAGAGCCTCATTTCCATAGGCTGATAAAAGACAAGAGTGTCCATTATTCGCCCAAGGCGATCGGGCTTGGAACGGTCCGAACCCGGAACCTGTGTGAGGTGCACGCATTAGCGTAAAACAACACTACTCCGTACATTCCTACGGATGCGTTGTTGTGGCTGGAAGATATCGAGGGTTTGGGTGGCTCCCGTTACGTCCACTGCGAATATTTTGAGACCATTTCGCGCAAGGGCGAATCAGTATTTCGGGGACCGTTGAATAGGGGCCTTCCGGTAAAAGGTCAAGTGGGGAAGCAGGGCCTGAGCGGGTTCGATACCGTGTAGTTATTTTGAATCTGAGACCAAAAATGCCTTATCTCGGAGTAAAGATCGGACTCTGGGGATAAAAGCCTTGAGCCGCATCCTCCCAAGTTGCATTATACGGAGAAACCTCTCGTATGTCTCTGTCCAGAATGTGAAACTTCCAAAGCTTGTGTGATCAATTGATTGAAATTGGCATTATCTGGACCAAAAGTACTGGACCTAGCCAATATAACAATTCTGGAGAGCGCATTCTCACTGGTTCAAGATTGTCTAGGACAGTCTCTCAAAGGTTTCTTGACCTTTCTCGTCCAGATTTGGGTACTGTCGTACATTACGCATATCCGTCCAGAATGCCTTTGCATTTTCGTGCGCCTCGCCATGTACCTGCAATCGCTCTCGGAGTAACTTTTTCCATTCCACATCCATGTCTGTAAATCCAAAAGAGGCCGAAACATACTCATACCAAATAGGGAAGAAGGCAGCGTATTCCCAGTCAAGTATGCCGACAACCTTTCCGTCCTGGACCATGATGTTGCCCAAGTTGAGATCGCAATGAGTCAGCACGTAGGGTTCACACTTCGGTAGGCGCTTCTTCAAGTTCTCCAAAACTTGCTGAGGGAGGTGGCGAAGGTGAAGGGCCAGAGCATCCCAGAGCTCTTGGTCAGAGTGAAACGGTCCACGGGCCTCAAGATCGAAAAATAATAAGCCTGGATAGCATGGGCTTTGATCGACACACTGAATAGAGGTTGACGTGACGGATCGAAGCCGCTTTCTCACTTTCACGACTTGGTCCGCGACATCTATTTTTTGGGGCTCTGATAGAGAAGTCCATGCCTCCTCGAGCGTCTGACCACCGATGCGTTCGTTCAAAACGAAGTACCGCCCATCTCGATCAACCCAGTCACGTAAGACCTTCGGGATAGGAATGTCGGTATGGGTCGCTAAATAGTTCAATGTTTTAACTTCAACTTTTGCTTTTGGACCCTCGTCGGGCCGGTCTTTCAGAATCACATCTGATCCGATGGACCACACACCCCGTGTAGATGCGCCGTAAAAGAGTTTGATGTGGCTTGTATAATGGCACCGCTTTTCTTTGTCATGTGTCCATCCGCATGCGACACAACTTTTCTCGAGCAGTTCACCCATTGTGGATGGTTTCAGGAGGTCAATTTGTTACAAGCGATGATCTGACTGAGGATTGGAAGAAAGTTGAAATTTTTTTTCTCCAAGCGGAGAGCCCCTCGCTCATATTTCAAGAGACTGACCGCCACTCAACTACAGTAGCGCCAGATCCCTCTCCTCTCTCGGGGGCCTATGGCATTTCGCCTTGCGAACAGCGGTGGACTCTGCATAGTATACATCAGTATATAGGTGTTAATTATCAGACCGGGTTCTTTTGTTTCAGTCTCGTTCGGTTTCCGAAGACCTTGGAGGGTAGCCCATCCAGAATACGAAGCGGGCAGTCATGAGAGCGAGGGCCCGTATGAGTATGTATTACTACTATCCACAGCAACGTTATACCAGTGCTGTCCGTAACCGTTCGTCAGATTCGCCTCATTGATTACCTTAGTCTTGGTATGCTTGATCCGTTAGATCCCTGCTAAACATCATTTCTTTTGACCAACGACAGCCCATCGTGCTTTATTGTGCCTTCTCAATAGATGCTGGGGCTTTGCCCTTGCGAGGGAAATCTTCCCATCATAAGGACTACATAGAAACATGAAATGAACATGGAGGTCGAGAAGACTTTACATGGAGGTCGAGAAGTCCTCTCGCAAATCTGCGCAAATTTCAAGAGCGGAGAACAGAGCACATAATGCCCATAGGAGGGATGCTTTGATCTAGTATATACGGGCCACCCATGTCAGGTACTTGGAATAGCAAGGCCCTCGAAGATTCACACAGTTTACCGACAGCTGTCGGACAGCAAGGCAAGTCGCTCATACCCTGAGGCCTGGAGGTGGTGTTGTGATTATGTCATTGAAGCCGGGGTCACTGGCCCCCAACCCACGGCGACAGTGTAACCTATCGCATCCGCAGAATTCCAGATCTCACATCTCAGCCTCACCATCACACAGTTCTCTACATCGTCCTCAACTTCACTGAAGTCTTCAGGATGGGAGGCTTTGTGACTATTCTCGGGACTGCGCTCCCATTTCATATTTTGTCATATGGCACACTCCTTGGAACGGAGCTGTATCAGGTGAGTACTTCTGCTGTGTGCTTTGCCATTCTATTGCGTGCTCGTAGCCGTGATTCCAGTTCCCGAGCTGACAACGTCTATCACAGAGCTTTGTCAACACCAAAGTCTGCTTTCAAGAATTACCAATGCGCGAGTTCTTGATCTTGCAGAGACGAGTATTTCCCGTCTACTTCAAACTGCAAGTAGGTCTGGCCATGTTGACCGCTGCAACTCATCCCTCTCGCTCGATACTGTCACTGGCGCGTGACCCCTGGGGTGCTGTCCCACTGGCAGTCGTCATCGGAATGGGGACTTTGAATTGGCTGGTTTACGGTCCTCGAACCACACAATGTGCGTTTGTGCGCCGTGCTCTGGGTCAGTAACTGTTCACTTGCGTCTTTGCGACACCCTGGTATATGGTAAAGCTAAAGAGGCAGTTAGATCGTGAAGAGGGTCAAGCCGGCGCTGGTGTCAACGATAAGAAAGTCTCTCAAGCCAAGCGAAACTTCACCTTCAACCATGCTATGTGTATTCACCTGAATGCCATCGCCCTCGTTGCGACAGTTTGTTATGGGATGTCACTTGCAAGCCGACTTGAAGTGAAGGTCTAGCCGTGGAGGCACCGTTGTTGGAAGAGCCTCCGTACATGGTGCTTCTCTAGATCAAAGCTCTCGAGAGCTGACGGGCTCGATATCATTGAGCGAGAAAGCGTTGACTCAAAGAATCACTTTATCAGTCAAATCATGTCATTGAAAACAATGGGAGTAGTTTGAGCCTGTCTCTCGTTCTCTATTGCGCGCACGATTAGAGGCAAGTCTGCTTGGTCCGGTGTGGTAGTCTCAGTGTGTGAGACTTTGTCTACCTTCTAGAAATTCGACGCTCAGGCACAATGCTCACGTGCGGAGTTCAGATGCGCTCGGTAAGTCCCCGACTAGAATCAAGCACGACCCGCTCAGGGCCGGCAATCGCATGTGCCTCTTCGTCAGCAGGTTCACCTGCTGTCCTGCTCGGGTCAGCAATACCCCGAGCTGCCTCGGGGTTACCCCACGTCCATACTCCCACGATCGGTTCAAAAGGTGACGAGCTCGCTGGTCTCAGGTTCAAGAAAAAAACAAACTAAAATTCAACTTCTGCTTCGCTTTTGGGTTTCTCCTTACACGCGATTCACCTCCGCTGTATTCTGTTCGACTCCAACAATTACTCGTCGTCCGTCATAATGGGTTCCGTCAAGGGTTCCGTGAAGGAGTTTCCCCGCATCAAGGAGATCCGCACGTTTGTGATCGACGGAGTCGGCTCTGGGGGTGATTATCACAATGTATGAGATTCAATTTACTTATGTACCGCGGCTAGGATGCGAAACTTCTCGCTCACGGTTTCCTTCATACAGGTCAAGGGTGGTCACTGGCTCATCGACAGTAACATCTCCACGCCAATGACCAAATGGGCAGAGTATCGTGGCTCACGGACTTCGTGGGGTATCAATGTGCTGGGTTCCTTTTGTGTGGAAATTGAAGCCACAGATGGAACAAAGGGATTTGCAACTGGATTCGGTGGCCCTCCTGCTTGTTGGTTGGTCCATCAGCACTTTGAGCGCTTCCTCATCGGCGCAGGTCCGTTATCCATCTAGTATTTATCAAGGCAAGAAGTCATCAAAGCTAATCTCATGTATCGATAGACCCCCGAGACACGAACAACCTTTTTGAGAAGATGTACCGAGCTTCAATGTTCTATGGTCGCAAGGGTCTACCAGTGGCCGTCATTTCAGTAATTGATCTGGCGCTGTGGGATCTTCAAGGCAAGATTCGCAACGAGCCAGTATACAAGATGATTGGCGGTGCTACTCGAGAACGCTTACACTTTTACTGCACTGGTCCACAACCCGGCTCGGCCAAAGCAGCAGGATTCATCGGCGCAAAGGTCGCACTGCCTCATGGGCCTGATGAGGGAACGGAAGGCCTGCTGAAGAACGTCGAATATCTGCGCATGCAGCGAGAAAGCGTTGGCCCGGACTTCCCTCTCCGCGTCGACTGCTACATGTCCCTGACTGTTCCCTACACTATTCAACTAGTCAAACGCTGCGAGGCGCTTGGTTTGGACATTGATTGGTGGGAGGAGTGTTTGTCCCCTGATGACTTTGATGGTCACGCTCTCCTGAAGCGCGCTCATCCCACCGTCAAGTTTACCACTGGTGAGCACGAGTACTCCCGCTACGGCTTCCGCAAACTTGTTGAAGGGCGAAATCTGGACATCATCCAACCAGACGTCATGTGGGTTGGAGGTCTGACCGAGCTTCTGAAAGTTTCGGCTCTGGCTGCTGCATACGACATTCCCGTCGTGCCTCATGCTTCGGGACCTTACTCATATCACTATGTGGTCTCTCAGTCCAACTGCCCCTTCCAAGAATACCTGGCCAATTCGGCCGATGGCAAGACCGTCGAGCCTGTCTTTGGCAACCTGTTCACCAATGAACCTATCCCAGTGAATGGCTTCCTCGATGTGTCTGTCTTGGACAAGCCCGGATTTGGTCTGGAGCTCAATCCATCTGCGCCCCTAATCCCGGCCTCTGCCCTTCTCAATCCCTCACCTCAGAAGAGCCTGCGCGCACCTGGAGAGGAGAGTCAAAATGGCGTTCAGAGCCCCTGATCATACCTCAACTGGTCTATTTTTCTTAGTGTCGATTCTCAACCAGGCAAAAATCCGTGTAGTGGATTTGGTATACTTTCATGTGATATTAGAGCGCCCGGCTCTTAGGAAGATATCTTGATAGAAACAAACTCCCGTACAATGTTCACCCGACGCCTCCATTAGAGTACTAAATGCTTCCTTCTGTATCCGTGGTCTCCCCGCCTTCAAAAGGCTCAATTCAGTCTCAAGCTGATTTTAAGAAAGTCAATTGAGCATGAGCAAAGGAGGTAGTACCCGGTCACTCTGGCTTTACGGATGGCGCGAGAATAATCAATCTTCGCCTGACGTGCGTCCGACTCACACACTTTAATGCTCATATACTTATCCAGACAAGGTGTGAGCATGGTGTCCGCATGATCTGCTTCAATAATTCTCCCCTCTTCACACATCGAGCGGGTGAGAAAGTGGTCTCCGAGTCGATTGATGAGCAGAGCGGCCGAATTAAGCAGGAATGTCGCCGAAGCCTCTGGTCTCGATGCGACGCGCGACTTTGCCCCTCGTTCTTGGGGTGGACTCCACACGTTACCCCACGCTCGGGGTAACATCAACACGAAAGCCGAGGTCTGATTTGGGCGGAGCATTTGATGTCCGTACACGAGATTGAGTGGGGTGTAAGAATTGATTGCGTTGGTTTACTGCTGAACGACTATTCACATTCTCTTTTCCACATAGCGCTCTGTCCCTTTTGGTCAACTCCTTATTTCTCAGCGAAGTGCGATTATTTGACGATCCCGGTCTCTCTCAGCGCAGCTATCGATCGATTGAAGGCTGAAGTCGATATGCCCCTTCCTCAATTACTCGTCGGCAAGGTCGCAGCCATCACTGGTGGATTGACAGGAATCGGACGTGTATGTGAGCTCTCCAGCCCAGCGCTGCAAGACGGGGAATGCGTGTTTTTTTTTTCCATGCACATCCCTGGCTCATCATTCTTCTCCTAGGCAATCGCCCTGGAATATCTTCGCCATGGTGCCAAAGTCGCCATCAGTCGCCTAGGAGGGCCGAAGGAAGATGGAATCCTAAAAGACCTGATCCAGGAGGTCAATCAGATCGAGGAGGGTGCCGACCAGACGAGGTTCATCACTGTGACCGGGGATATATCACAACCTGAAACGGGCAGAGACTTTGTTGCAAAGACCGTCGAGGCATTTGGCCGATTGGATGTTTTTGTTAGCAATGCTGGTATCTGTCAATTTGCCAATTTCCTAGAGTGAGTCAGACCGTTTCCCACCGGGAGTGAAAGAAAGGCGAGTCCTTACTGACGAGAGGTTTCTCGCACGATTTGTAGGCTTGAAGCTTCGCTCTTCAATCAAACCGTGTCCACCAATCTCTCCGGCGCATTTTTCGCGACCCAAGCAGCGGCACGACAGATGGCTCAGTCGCAGTCACCATCCGGAGGCTCTATAATTGGTATTAGCTCGATCTCAGCTCTTGTCGGCGGTGGCGAGCAGACTCACTACACGCCTACCAAAGCCGGCGTATTGAGTCTCATGCAGTCGTGCGCTGTTGCCTTGGGCAAATATGGGATTCGATGCAACGCTTTACTCCCCGGTACAATCCGAACACAATTGAATGATGCGGATCTAGCGGATCCTGAAAAGAAAAAATATATGGAAGGTCGAATCCCTCTTGGGCGGTTGGGACAGCCTCCGGATTTGGCTGGGCCGGCTGTCTTTTTGGCATGCGATGAACTGAGTGGTTATGTGGTGAGTTTGAAACGCAAGTAACCCCTTGAGGATTGATGCGTATTGACTAATATATGCGAGCGATTAGACCGGAGCACAGTTACTGGTTGATGGTGGTCTTTTTGTCAATTTGCAATGAGGCCTCATGCAGTGTACGAGGATAAATTTATTTCAGAAAGCACTGCATAGGCAACCTAGGTAGGACCGCCTGTTTGACAGAAGCAAAAAGTGCATCGAATGAATCTCTATAGGTGGCCCACCACTCGTAACAATTTGTGTTGTAAAGCAGCTCAGCTTCCAGGTCGAATCCTCGATTGCAGCATGCCCAAAATTCGTACCCCAAAAAATCCGAGAGTAGTCGTTCAGGTACAAAAGCCAAACGGGCAGCTCTCGGTTCAAGAAAAGGCAGTGTTCAAAGGCAAAGAGTATTGTATTCTGTTATCCCATCACCATGAAAGTAGGTAGAAAGGATAAAGTTATATTCCCTGGCCAGATTGACCGGATGAAATTGCTGATGAATGATTCACATTTTCTAGGGATGTATGCGACTCGATATCAGACTCTGGCTTTTCTTTCCCTCCCTTGGTTCTTTTCCGCAACACTTACGACAATATCCATTTGACTTTCATCCATGGATGCCCACCCTGGAATGTCTAGGTAGGTAGGAAGTGATGACCCGAACACGTTCGGGACTCTCACTGGCCGATCTGTACATGAGCACAATCACCGAGAGAATCATTCATTCAATAAGCAGGTGCTCAGGCAATTCGTTGAGCAGCCAACTCCTTCACCGCTAGCTATGCGGACACTCCTGGTCGATGCGCAGGTGAGATCACATCCCCCCATTTGCAACGTTGAGCAATCGTATAGATGCCCCCGCTTATTGTGAGAAGCTGCAGCCGATCAAGTCAAAGACCCCGCACGCGGCAGAAAGTATATACCACACTTCTCTCGCACTCATTTCCGAGCTGAGATGGAATGATCTGCAAAGCAAGGGGGCCTTAAGCTCCTGATCCGCCACTCGAACCCTGGAACCTACCTGGAAGCTAACAACATCATTAATTGAGCTACCACTTGCCCAGAGCGGCTGTACCTTTCCTAGGTTTGTCCGAGTTCCCGTTACTTTCGACTGCCAGTGTTGAAATCAATATTTCTCGAATCTGATCTCAAGCTGCAACTATCATGTCTCTGCCAGAAGTCCAAGAACCCCCATACCCCCTGCATGACTCCGTGAAGCATCTACTGGATCCCGAATATGTCGACTTTTACAACCAACACCTCATCGACAAGCAGCAGGTCCACTTGCAACCGGTCGCTGCATCGCGTACCAGCGGTGTGCTAATACCGGGTGCAGGACCGATGCTGCAAGTGGGCAAGACGCACGATCTGCTGGTCCCCCGCCAGGCCACCCAAGGCCCTGCGGTGCCAATCCGAGTCTTTACGCCCCCAGGCCAGGCCCCCCGCCAGCGGGTGGCCTGTGATGTTATACTTTCATGGAGGTGGCTGGGTGTTGGGCAACATCAACACGGAGAACGTGGTCTGCTCGAATTTATGTGTCCGAGGAAACTGCGTCGTGGTCACGGTGGATTATCGGTAAGAGTATGCCTGGCCCCAACAAGCGGTGACACGGAGTTCCTAACAACATTGTCATCATTCTTGGATAGTCTAGCTCCAGAAGATCCGTTCCCCGCTGCCGTCCATGATTGCTGGGAGGCCCTCCTCTGGCTGGTCCAGCAGGGGCCCTCGGCCATCGCAATTGACGCCTCGAAAATGGCAACGGGCGGCTCCTCGGCCGGTGGAAATCTCGCAGCCGTCATGACCCACAAGGCTCTGACGCTTTCACCTCCTGTGCACTTCCAGGCCCAACTGCTCTCGGTCCCAGTCACCGATAATACGGCGACGATGGCCAATAATGACTCTTATCGTCGTTATGAACGCGCGCCTGCTCTTCCTGCAGCGAAAATGATCTGGTACCGAAACCACTATCTTCCTGAGGAGAAGGACCGTACCAATCCCGAGGCTAGCCCGCTGTTTTACGATGGGGACTGGTCCCAGCTTCCTCCTGCGTTAGTGATGGTTGGCGAGTTGGATGTGCTCCGACAAGAAGGCGAGCAGTATGCCGAGAAGCTGACGAAAGCGGGAGTCTCGGTGAACCTACAAGTGATGAAGGGAATGCCGCATCCCTTTTTGGCAATGGACGGCGTGCTCAAGGAGGGGAAACGATGCATTACATTGATGTGTGATGCGTTGCAAGATGCTTTTTGGAAATAGGAGTGCAGATTCATATTATGAAGAGATTGCTGTGGAACGGACTCATGGCGGAATCGGCGATCCATATACATTCTACGAAGGAGGACAAATGCATCATTTCAACTGGAAACCGTTCCTTCGATGAGCTTGGTCCTTCTTTCACTTGGCCGTACGCGAGACGAGATGCTTCAGATGGCGCTTTAGGGCACCAGTGAAGACAACAGACGGAGGAGTTCAGACTACTGAATTACAGCATCGCCGTATGAACGGATGAGACAGAGAGGCATGTTCATAAACACGAGTGGCGTCAAGAAAGCATCTCCAATCAGTCGAAAAACATATAATATTCATCTCAATCCAATCCCTTGAAAACGTCCTCAAATCGCTTCTCATTAAACACCACCTCCGGCTTCAACCCGGCAAACTTCCAAACTCCATCAACCTTGCGGTAATAGTGCTCGTTGTAAGCATGGCCGTGGCCTCGAAGCTTGACATCCTTCAGCCCATCGTTGGTATAGACTTGATGTGCGGCACGTAGCTGATGATGACCGATCACTTCGGTGTCTGAGACTTTCTCCCACCAGGTCTGGCCGAGAAGATGCTGCGTCTTGACGGTAGGGTCACCCAGGAATCCGGGGTGCGACATCATGGCCAGGTATTCCTCGGCGGGCATATCGTCCCACCGTTTGAGACCGATTCTTGTGTAGTCGACCTGGATTGAAATGGTAGAAATGTCAAAGTTGATAAACAAAGAAAGGACGGGCCAAACACAGAGGTGCGAGTCGTGGGGATTTCAACATACCGTCAACGTTGGGGCGATAATAGTACGAAGGCGCTCCCAGTCCTGAAGCAAAGTAAATAACGAGGGTCTTGTGGGCAAAGTCTCAGACTTGGAATCCTTGCAACTTACCTTGTGATCATAGCAGTCAGCCCAGTCAAAGACGAGCTTAGACAGCATCAAATAGTCTATCTTATTGTCAATCCTGATTCATGCTTCGTATTTCGGGTCCTCCTAGATCTTCGAGATTCCTCACCTTGGAAGCTGATGTCCAAGTTGGGCTCAGAGTTGATCTTCACGGCGGGAGACATGTTGAAGGGACTGAGCGAGGTGTATTTTGGTAGAATGTGGGATATTCGGAATTGACCCAACCCATATACCTGATATCGGATGACCTCCAGAGGAGGACCATTAGCATCATGCTTGGCTGATCCACGCCAAGGGGCCGCAGCTATCCACATCCGTATTTCCACGAGGGTCAGAAATAACGCGCCCGAACAGCTCCATGCAAGAAGACTGGATGCGGTCGAGCCCGAGAGTTCAGAGCAGGCGCCCAGTCTATCCTGAGATGCGAGTTGTTTTCGTCCGCATGCGGTAATAGTGAAAGAGCGGGGTGAGATTGTCACGCCTCAAGGGGGGTTCGTGCGTTACATGCTCCCCACGAGATATTTTGGTAGACATACTACTACTTGGACATGGTAATGACTCAAGATCAGCCATAGTGTGCCTAATTCCATTTTTGTTGGCCAGGATGAGAATAGAGCGTCGCGGTGAACGTCGGGAAGCAGGTGGTTGAGTGTGCCCTAAGTAACACTGCACTGTGAGCTATGAGCAGTATGCTTTCCCATTCTCCCGCTTGGGTGCACAGCGTATGTGGTGATGTTTTTTGAAACCAAGATAGGCCGTAGAGCATTATCAATCTTGAACTTCATTTAGTTATTGTCGTTTCTTGGCTGATTAAGCATGCCATCAACGCCCGACTCCCTCACCTCGGATGGCCACTTTTTATCTACAACGTCATCCGATGTTATTGACTTTCCGAACCCAAAGCCGCGGTCCATCTCTCACGCTTCAATAACATTTCATGAGGGGATAAAGCTTGGTGCAGCTTGGGAAAGCCCAGGAGTTGACGAGAAAGCTGCACTTTTTTGAGGTGGAAAAACTGGGAACAAGGATCCATTGATTACACTGGATCAAAATTCATGAATCGTGCTAACAAGGTAACGAGATCGCAGACTAGTCACGATTAAACTGTCTCAAAGCTCGCCATGCAAGGGTCGACGCACAAACCCACAATTCGATCTGACACGTCCGACGCATCCCGTCAGAGCTAAGATATGCCGCCCACGCACTGACTTGGATGGGCACATTCCCGACTCCCAAACTCTTCCGAATGCGGCACTGAAACCAGCCTGAGATACTTGCACGGGTCCTGCCATCCATGTGGCTTGGCACACACGGACACGTTTTCAACTGTTTGCGGGTTCAAGGCAAGCAGCGTCGGAAGTTGTAACGCGTGCAATAGCCTTTGACTATGTTTGCCAATGACTCAAATAAATAGGCTTTGGTCCCTCCAGCAAGAAGAACGGCCTGTAGTCTGCCTGTCCAAGCTCAACGACCTTTGATACCCCATACCACAACGTTGACTTCTTCTTCTTTTTCTTCTTCTTCGTCTCTCTCCTCCCCACCTCTATTTTCAATCTCTTTGAATCATGGTCATGGCTAATCCCAACGGCGCTACCGCCGAGCTTGCCGGCAAGATTGCTCTTGTCACCGGAGGAAGCCGAGGAATCGGATCTGGCATTGCCCTGGAGTTGGCCAAGAAGGGAGCCTCCGTCGCCATCAACTTTGCCCGCGACCCGACCTCAGCAGAGAAAACGGTCAATGAGATCAAGAGTCTGGGCGTGCAAGCGGCGGCCTTCCAAGCAGACTTGACCAAGCTCGAGGCGATCCAGAAGCTCTTCCACGACGTGGTGTCACACTTTGGTCAGATCGATATTGTGGTGTCCAACTCGGGTACGGAGAAGTTTGTTTCTCTGTCCGACACTACTATCGAGGACTTCAACGAGGTCTTCGACTTGAATACGCGTGCACAGTTTTTCGTCGCCAAGAATGCCTACGACCACATCCAGCCCGGTGGACGGGTCATTCTTATGTCCTCCATTGCCGCCGGTGTGGGTGTTCCCGGACACTCCCTGTACGCCGGCAGCAAGAGTGCCATTGAAGGTTTCACGCGCTGCTTTGCTGCCGACTTTGGCAAGAAGCGCTGCACTGTTAATGCCATTGCCCCCGCCGGGGTCAAGAGTGACATGTGGGTGAAGAACTCGTGGCGCTACGCTTCCGGTTGCGACCAAAACTCCTCGCTTGAGGAGATTGAACAGGCCCTGGCCAATGGAAGCCCCTTGAAGCGATGCGCTGTTCCAGCGGATATCGGCCGCGTGGTGGCCTTCATTGCCAGTCCCGCAGGAGAATGGATCAACGGTGAGTGTGGAATGCTTCAACCTGGGACGGGAAAACGACGAGTCTCGTGTTGAGTTACTGACGTGATTGGACTCGGCAGGCCAAATCATCCCCCTGAACGGTGGTGCGAACATTTAGAGTGGCTATGGTGATAAAAGGCGTACCTAATGGTCGACGGATTGGACTCATTGCATTGAAATTCCTTGTATAGAACAAACCAGCTGGACATTCGGAGGTTCGAAGTGATTGGCTTTTTCCCCCCACCTCCAAAACTGTCTCTCCTTGCATATCCCGGCATTGCGTAGCTGCCCAACGCTGGGTCCAGAACGTAGAGAAGCTCACCAAATAGACTGAGCGCAGCCGATAAAATGCAATTGGAAAGCATGTCATTAGCCTAGTGAACTATAAGTTGCGAGCACTCTGATCGAACGTGGAAGGGAGAGTCTTGTCTGACATATTGTTGACACGGCGGTGTGATCAGCGTTGTCAAGTCTCTGTGTGGATGCAGAAAGAAACTTTTATTATTGCGGATGATTGCCCAGACCATGAGACATTTTTTACATGGTTGGGCCCAATATTCAATTGGTAGGTATCGTAAATTCATGAGTCTCATTTCAAACGGATTTGCAGTACGGGTATATAGTCAAGATGATCAAAAGATCATACCATCAGACGGAACAACGAGGACGGATAAAGGTCGATCTCGACCAGAATCACCACTGAGAGGATCAGAGTTACCAAGATCAACTGCGCCAACCCGAATCGATTAGTCGTTGATGACACAAAGTCAGGAACACACAGATGCGACCGTCGAATCGGTCGACGAGTGAACTAACCAGTGCCAGTAAAATGCCAACCGAATTCAACTCCCACCCCCCGCGTGCACCTTGCCCCGGGAGATGGCACTTTGCTGTCGCCAGAACCTAAAAGCCCCAATGCAAGCGACGATGATGGCGACCAGGTGACAAGCAACCGCCAGTGGAACGCCCACATCATAGAATCGAAGACGGGGGTGATGAGTCGCTTGAGGCCGTTGTAGACGAAACAACTGTGATATTAGGACACCTTGCATTGCGACGACCACCGAGGTCCGCATGTACGCAAGGAAGGTTCTTTCAAGTGCTGGTATCACCACAGAAGAAATTTAGCTCCTGACGTCCTTGAGGCTCCCCCAAGGTTCATAAAGAGATGATGCGGTTGCACAACGTACCCAAATGATCACGATTGGATTTCTGAGGTACAATGATGGCAACCTGGTGTGTCCAGAATCGATGTACCACTTTCCAGGCACCTTTGCGGTCTGGCGGCGGACGTTGCGCACTCGACCGTGAGACGGTCCTGGTTGTGACTCGGTATTCTTCTCCCGAAGAGGCCGATGCCGAGGAATAATTCAATTGCTCATCGTCCTCGCGCGTCTGGATCTGTTGTAGCTCCCACGCCTCCGTGTCCGTGGGAGCACTTGGGTATCCGCCCGGATGGCGGGATGCGCAATCGGGGATCACCACCGGCTCAGAAGATCCCACCATGACAGGTTATGAGGGCTGGAAGCAGCAGAGGCATTGAAAGTCTCCCCCGTGTGCTTACCCCGACACTAGTAACTGTGTTTCTTCTTGGAGCAGTGCCTGTCTTCGTTGCTCCTCCCTGCACGTTGCTGCGCCGCTCAGAGTGAAGTCGAAGGACCAGAGGACTCAAGTTGGGGGTCACAGATACGGGAATGTTCTGGCGAGGATGCTACTAGTGTTGGAGCTGGCAGTGATCTCACGGTATCTGTATCTGTGCGAGTCGTACGAGATACAAGCTCTGAGAAAGGTGGCAAATCTGCCAATTGCGTTCTTGAATTCGGTAGGAATCCTCGAGTGACGGTCAGGCCTGAGTTGCAAACCAAGCATATGACCTGGCCGAGGATGCAAAGCGCACCCAGAATTTCCGGGGATCGCCCGGAAAGTGGACATCGGCAACTGACTACCCCGAGAGGTCGGCGATCAAGAATCGGGGACTTCCATACTGAACCTTGACATCTTGCCATCACCAGCACTCAGGACACGGATAGAGGATGTTCTTGCTGTGCTCTTTCGTTTCCATACTTCCGTCTGCAGCGAATTCCAATTCGTCGCAGGGGCAGTTAAGCTTAAATTACGGTCTCATCAAGGATTATCCAATTCCTCATTCCAAAGGAGATCCAGGGTCCGCATGCGACCAATAGGCAATCGCCGAACGCGGATGGCATCATTTGCGGAGCGTATGGCGAAAGCCCCCTGCTTGGACACGTGGATTTGCAAACCCGGTGTCTCGACCATCAACGTACAACGTCGTTGCCGAAAAGCAACCTCTCTCCATAGGCTTATACGCTCTCAGTCTATGTACGCTCGGCATCTCGACATGTCGGGGGTACTGACGATAAGATTCTTCGACAGTAGCATAGCCAGAGGTCAATACCGTCGTGAAACTGCGTGCTCGGGCGGCATGAGCAGTGACAACGAGACCCTTAATTGTGGACCCAGAGCAGATCAGAGCCGCCTGCAGAGAAGGGACACAGCACTAGACAAATCGTGAAGTGTTCCATAGGCGTCGAAGGGTTGAGACTTCCAACAACAGCGTAAACATGCGTCGTGGGCTTGCAGCATGTGGCTGGCCCAAAGCATGTGACAGTGAAGCCTGAGACCCGAGACCTGAGACCTGAGGCCGCAGTTGTGTTTCCTATTCAGGACTAGCCTTGCGACAACTTATCGGCGTCGCTGTGGCGCCGCGGCGTATCACCGAGCCCGTGAGGACCATTATTTTCCTTGGTGTCCTTTTTGGCCTTGTTTGTGCCGTTATGATGCGGCCTCAGCCTAGGACCGTGTTTGGGAAGCATCCCTCCTGGATTACACTACCCTGCCGGTCTCTTCCACAATATACCATCCGCGGACCGTCCAGTGCTCGATTCCAAAGCTCCGAATCTGACGGTCCATTCACCTCCTCCGATCCATCGAGCGAACATGCGCCTCGTCGTCGGCGTCGATTCAAGAAAGCGTCACAATCGAAAAGAATCACTCTGGATGTGGACTCACTCGGACAACCCGGCGAGATTGTGGTCGTCCCACCAAAGCCTCCACGCACCTTGAAATCCAAGCTACGAGAAGCGCAAAACATCACCACGGAAGATGCTCAGCCGGTCACCCTGAGCTCCATGCTGGAGGATTTGGAGGAGGAATATACGCCATTGACGTCTACTGAGATCCAGGGGCGAATTGAAAAGGAAAGGGAAACCGCCAACTGCACCGGCAAACTCTCCGCACATGAGTGGGAAGCCACACGAAGTCGTCTCGCCTCGTCGTTCACCTACAATCAATTATCGGAGTATGTCGAGGACCATCAAGCCCACGGGAAACAAGGGTTCAGGGATCCAGATGCCTGGAGACCCGGTACTTCAGCCTTCACACAGACATATTCGGGCCACGCGACCGGGCCGTCAAGACGTGTTGCATCGTCCCATGATCTAAAGGGCAAAGCTTTGCTGGCGGAGCGGATCCTTCGTGATTGCTGGGACTTTTCGATTGTGGAGGAGGTTGGTCAAATAGATCTCCGCCTGTCACCTTCACAAGTCAGTCTGTTACTGAAGGCAGAGCACTTCTCCTTCGATGAGATAGCGACTCTGCACGAATCCAGTATCGATGTGACCAGCTTTCTCGGCCTGGTGAGAATCACCGGCCGTCAAGATTCATGCGAGTCGATGAGTGAAATCATTCGCGACGCGATCGCCCGCATACGAGAGGACAGCATTGCAATCGATCCAGCCGCCTTCCGAGCCGTGATGACTCACTCTGTTTCCCAACGCCTGTTCGACTTTATCAGTGAGACATACGGCATTTCATTTGATACCGATGACTCGCAGGTACCCAAGAAAATTCTATATCTGGCTGAAAATAGAGAAGGTGCAGAAAATGCACGTCGAGCTCTGAACCTCGCTCTGCGCGAGGTAACTCCATCCTCAATCCCCTTCTCTACCTATTTCTCCGCCTCGGACACCGCAAATACATACAATCATACCCCTGAAGACAGCGTGCCTTGGCTGGATCAGCAAAGGCAATGGTTCCGGTGGGCTATGCCTTCCACTCAATCAACAGAGTCAAGCAGCGATGCGACGGATCTGTTTGACAATCATCAAACTCGACTGTCAGATCACCTACTGAAACTCTTGCGTAAGACATCGGCGCCAAAAGTGGCATCAAGTGGCACACTTAATGTACACGAGTCCATAACGGCATCGGTGGGACACTGCCTGTTCGGTCGCAAGCAGTCAGCCGAAAACGTATCTATGAATCCCGCTCAACTGGGCAAGCTCTCACTACCACGAACATTTTCCACCGACATCCCCCGAGTGATCAACTACTTGACCTCCCTCCGACCGATCACTCCAGTCGTTGGTAATCAGCTGCACACGCTGCGGTTGACCCCGTCCTTTGAACACGCGCATACTGCTCCAATCCTGGAGGTCACCATCCTTTCAAAGTTGGGAACGAAATTGGATACGACCGAGGACGCATTTGAGGTGCAAAAGCTCAGAGTCATTCTTGCATCCAACGAAGTCGATTACCTTCTTCCTGAGAATGGACTCGACCTGCGCTTCCATCGCACGCTTTACCATGAAATCACGAGTGAATTCGTGGCCGACAATTCTGATCTGCAAGAGCTTGTGAACGGGATCAAGTCCTGTCTCCGCGGCACTTTCGGGACAGCTTCTCTACACTTGAGCCCATCCGACGACTCGGTCCCTCTCCCGGCATTTTGTCATTTAGCCCTCCCCCGGAGGATCCTCGCCAAGTCCGAGCAATCATCATCAACGGACGAGGAAAGCGCACCCCTCCAAGTCGAGTACATTTTCCCCCCAATTCACAACATCCGCCGCGCAGGCGTTCAATTGTACGAGCTTGCCGATCGTCAACTCAGCTACAGTTACCAGGAGACCGGTCCGGTGCTCCCCGGGCGAGTTGTCAACGTCTCGCTTGGCATGGAGCTGGCCAATACACCACGGGTTACGGATATCACCGAGGCTCAGGACCACGTTGCTTTGGAAAAAGACTTTCACTCGTTTTACAACACGGCTTGTCGGATGGCGTTTGATATCCACAGATTGAAGCTATCGGGCACGGATGACGGTATTTTTGAACCGAGTCCCATGTTCAGGTAGAGTTTCCCTTTTCTCCTTGGTATGATACGTGTTGCATGTCATGCAAACTAGACAAGGGAAAGGGAAAAAAAGGAGCGGAACGAACGCATATTATGTATTATAATTCAACCATTATCTCAATATCACGAAAAATAAGATTCATTCGTCGAACGATGCGCTCAAGTCTACAGCAACACATCATAGTATTGGACCTGCTATCGATATTTTAGGAATGCATTCCATCCAGCCGAGCTTGTATCGTCTTCTCATCAAAGCGGCCACCTTCTCCCACATAATTCCGGAGAACCTCCAGGGACATGAGACGCCGAGGCGCTCTTCGACCAGTCATCAATTCAAACTGGGCGATACCCTGTTCAATCACATTTTCCAACCCGTCAGACAGAACCCACGGTCGATTGTTGTCGCTTCGAATGCGGCGCATCTGTTTGAGTAAGGGAGTTTCTAGGGGTTTGTAAGATAACTGAACTCTCGGCTGTTAGTTCGCCTGTTTCCTCAATTGGGTCGAATGTGTATACTGGTGGGTGGAAGGAAGAATGTGCTTACTTCGATGACCACGCCTCCTGTTGGGCTGCCGAGCCATTGCATGGGCATTTCAAAGTTGGCTGGCGGTTGGTCTCCGTCTGGATCGGCAGGGACACATGAGGCGATGATACTGGGGGCAGAAGCCTCGTCTGGCCAGTCATCCTGAAGTGAATGTAGGACTCGCACCACCTCTGCTGACGCCGACGCTGACTGAGGCTGAGGTGCAGCAGCCCACGAATTGAAATGGCGAGCAACCTCCTCGGCGCGCGAAAGCGTGCGATTGTAAATGAAAATCTTGCGACAACCCAAGCGAAGCATAGCGTAGATGGCCGACCGCGCCATGCCACCCGCTCCAATGATCAAACCGGTGGTTTTGGCACTGATCGCATTCCGTGGAGATAAATGTCGAGCAATGCAGGTCATGATGCCGACCCAGTCCGTGTTCTCCCCGTACCAACCCAGCACCGGGCCTGCTTGATTGCGCCGATTAGCTTGCTCCGGGAGAGGGTACATGACCCCGTCGGCTGTGCCTCGGAGCGGCATGACGGTATTTATTGCACCGATCGCTTCTGCGTGTCGACTCTTGGCAGCCAACTTGTGATACATCTCCACTCGCCAGGGCTGAACCACACTACAGCCGCCAAAACTTGACTCCTGACGCAGCTGATCTAGCAGCGCCAGAGAGGGCGACTCTGGAATAGTGTACACGTGGCCCAGTCCGCAGTGCCGGTGGGCTGCGTTGTGCATTGCGGGAGACAGACTGTAGGACACATTTGCACCGAGAATGCAAAATTTCAGTGGATCGAGCACGTAGCTCTGCACCAGCGCCCGCACTGCATCTCGCGATGTTATTAGTGCGTCCCGTTCATTTTCCGCTGCTCGAACGATTGCTGGATGCGTCACACTTGTAAGAATGGAGTTGAATACCTGTGAGGTTCGGCCCAGTCGCCCAATATTGTACGCAATTAGGGGTGGGTGATGGCCCGGTAATGATCGAATCATGTTGGCAAACTCGTGCACACCCGAATTCTCCTCTCGAGAAGTCCCAACTCGAAGCAGACGCACCAGCTGACAGCCCAGCTTTTCGGCATCGCGATACATAGTGATACACCCCTCATCTTGCCAGGTGACGCGGCTTGAAGCAGCAAATACATGCTGACCAATAATCTTGGTTTGGCCGCGGCATTGGATGAGACGGGTCACATCGGCTCGACTTTCGCTCAGGTCCACGACCAGATATTCAACCGCAAGCCGCAATGCATGGTCCAAAACATCAAAGTAGGTCGCGGTTGAACCATTGCCCTTCGCCGCGTCGAGGGAAGCCGTATCTACGGAGAGAATAATCGGTGTTTGCGCGTTGCGACGAAGAGTAGACACCTGCTGGCTGATTGTATTCAACAGGTCCGGCTCCCAGATATCCACACAGAGCTCAATCGCATCGCCACCCGACTCCAATTCGGGCAAGTTCACCCGGTCAGAACGGAGATCTGAGGACCACACAAGAATGCTGTGGGTATAGGGTCGTTGTTCGGGGGGCGTTTCCAGGAGAACAAAGGGCGAGTCGTAGCTTGATTGATCAGTGCCAGGGCCGGTGATGAACCGAACAAAGCGCGTAAAGTCTTCCTTGACATCCTGCAATTTGAAAGCATACGCGGCGGATTGAGGATCAGGGCTTCCATCCTCGGCGACGATCCGTGTGCGATCCTCGAGGTTGTAAAATTCGAAATTGGAGCAATCGCGATGCAATGGATCCCCTTCCTGTAGACGTCGTACCGATTGATCATCGAGACCGAGAAGTTTCTGGATTTGATGAATGTCGCGAACGAGATGCACCACAGGATTTGTCGTAGCTATGCGCCGAAGATGATCTTGCACGGGGCGCGTGAGACTTCCCAACCCACATTCGATCACACAGCCCGTGCGGTGGGTTTCAAGCATCAAGCTCACCACTTCAATATCTCGTTGCTGGAACGCCTGGCTGCCCCTTGTCTTGAGGTATTCTTGTCTCGTCAGGCCTGTGACTTCCTTGAAGTAGTGGTCCTCAGTAATGAACCGTCGCTTAAGTGCAGTTGCAGCTACGAATCCGAGAGACCGTTTCCCAGATCCCCGAATCCCCACGAGTATCAATGAGGCACCGGGAGTGAACTGGCGTGTCGCCATTCGATCTCGATGGACTCCAGTGCCGGGCGTTCCCGTTTCCCGGCCTGAAATCGATTCCGCTCCAGGCAAACTGGAGTCGAGAGGGTCGTGAACGTGTGACTTCATGTCCAGCATGACAGGCGGTATAGATGGAGTGTTGGTAATTGTATTTTACAGGCGACCGGTAAGTGCCATGGCGAGATACTCAGGGATCTGCGCTTCGGTCCATCAAGGAAAGTATACCGCGACCTGGACGGCTGATGATGGTGATGAAAGCACAGGGCATGCGTGAAGGGGGTCGCTAATCTGAACTGCGCGAAGACGTGCGCAAAGGATTCCTCAAAGGTCGCTGCGATCGCCGTTATAGAGTGCAATTAGCCCAGCCGAGGCGCGATGGCAGGGCGTGGGACTGAGAAATGTTGAATATATGTGAGGGGAAGATCGTTCGCTGGCGCAAAAGGTCGGCGGGTGTTGTCAGGGTCCAGGCGACTCCGCGGAGCCGTCTCGACAGGAGACTGATTTCGGATAAGAAATGCCCGGCAGCAGGTTAGTAAAGTGATGCCGAATCTGGATGTTTTTGGCCATGAGAAGGTTTCACAAGCAATTGGCCTAATCTTGCAGCCACTCTGTTGTTGCGTGCTGCTTGCTGCGTGCTTGTCTCGGAGGTCCAGAGTAACGCTGATCTTTCAGAGCCGACGGCAGAAACCTTATCCCCTCCCGACCGGAAGATGCGCCCGGCAGTTGCTTCATCCCGATGTGTGAGGTATCCACGTTTGGTAGGAAGGCATGCTTCCATATGGACCTAGGAGCCAAATTTCTAGGAATGAGATATGATGACCTCTAAAGATGAGCTATGTGTCCCAGATTTATGTCCATGGCCTCGAACCTCCACAGGGTCCTATGGGCCTTGATAAATCCATGTAACTGTACACTGTACACCCGGCACGATCGAGGGAGATCAGCTCATCCGGGATTCCTCCTGTTGTCTTGGCTATTTCAGCCTCGATCAAGTCTCCTTGAACTCATAAGGGCCCTGGCGATCTTGCACTTCCACCTGAATACGACCTTCCTCAATCTCTTGACCATCGACCTCGATCGAGGCATGCATCATATCACCCGCCTTGACCTGGCCCACGCCCTTGGGAGTTCCCGTCAACACAATGTCACCCTTTTCCAGCGTCATGATACGTGAGATGTGAGCCAATTGCTGGGGGATACGGTAGAGCATCAGACCAGTCGAATCGGCCTGTTTCTCTGTCTCATTGACGCGCAGTCGCAGGAAGGCGTCGTGGGGGTTGGGGAGGCGAGACTTGGGAATGACCTGGGAGATGGGCATGAATGTATCGAATCCTTTGGCAATGGACCAGGGCAGACCCTTTTTCTTGGCCTCGTCTTGTACGTTGCGCCCAGTCATGTCAATGGCGAGGACGTAGCCTGCATCATGGGGTGGTCGTGGTCAGTAAGAGAGACTCTGCAGGCCGCAGACGTGGAGGACAGGTAGAGGGGGATTTCTCGCGGTTGGACATCGATGGAGTGGAAGTACTGACTCTCAATGGCATCCAGGGCGCCCTGTTCATCCTGTGGATCCAGATCTCGGACAGTCTTCCCCATCACCAACCCCAATTCCACTTCATAGTGTAAATTTACTCCTTTGGGGCGGAGAACAGGACCGCTGTTGGGGGGCAGGATAGAGGAAGAGGGCTTCAGGAAGAAGAACGGTTGCTTGGGAGCGGTGTTGTTCAGCTCGGCAATGTGATCGCTGTGATGTTGACCGTCAGTTCACTGATATTGAGGAGGTAAGATACGACAAGTGTCGTCAGAACTCAGAGAGCGAAGATTGGGGATCGAGCGTACGCGTAGTTTCGGCCGATACACATCACTTTGCGACAATTAGCACGAAGAGACGCCATGAGGACGACTGATTGATGGTCCGGAGCTGAACCCGATGGACAAGAAGCGAGGACGCGACGGAGCCAAGCTGCAAATAAGTACAGAGACGAATCTTCGGTGACCAGTCAATTGTCGAATTCACGGAAATACGAGGGCGATCGTCGGGCCAATCTGCAGGTGATGAATCTGACGAGAACACTACTGGGGACAGTGGGGAGGTTGCGGGACGACAGTCGGTCTTGAGTCTTCAGCTCCCCAAATGGCGAATTGCGGAGAACGCGCCGACGGCCGGGTCGGGCGGAGCCGCAATGGAGAGATCCTTTGGAGTTCCGTCCTTCGCTCGTCATTCATCAGGTACAGGCTTGCACCAGTCCACTACTTACTGTGACCTAGTCCTTAGTTACTAAGTGAGGTAGTACCTACGAGGTAGCAGGTCCTCGGTATTGATTATCACGTATTTATTTTCCTGAAAAAGCCGCAGTGTTGGAGCCCTGCTGAGCTGTCTCTGGTTGTAAGAGTGATGGTTGATTCAGAGTCGACATGGTGAGTCCGAAGATCGGATCAGTGTCCTCTAAACCCGCATTGAGGCGGACTGGCAGATCAACAGAGAGTCTCCAAGAGAGACTGTGGAGTGGACCACTCGATTAGTACGGTAGGGAACTAGTAGACTAGGATGAACTACCTGGCGGTGGTCGGCGACACATTCGCTTAGTCCTTGTCTCCTCGAATGGAGACACACTGGCTCCAGTCGGAGAAGCATGGATGCGTCAGCATACCACTTGACAGGATTGGTCGATAGTCGTATGCTGTCTACCTACCCAGGTAGAATTCACGAGAGATTTGCCAAGTGGAATCATGAATGGTGTATTACGGTTGGATTGTTCCGAGTCGTGTCTCTGGCCGATGACTGATAAGCCAGTGCCCCTTCTGACTCAGTGGCACCACTACAACTTTAGAATTGGTACCACTACAGTAGTAGTTCACTAGGCCCTAAGGTACTTTGTTATCGTCATCGTGTCCCCTTCTCGGGCGGTTCCTCCTTGATAACACGACTCCAATCGCAACACTCTTGCATACCCCAAATCTTCTCCAATGGCTTCCTCGGCGGGGCTTCGAGACTCCGTCGACCTTCCTCTCTGAGCTTGAGACCACACACAGTATCGTTCCTAACGGCCGATGAAAAGACCAGGAGCATGGTGACGACCACTGACTTTCCCCGATGGCGGAGGCAGAAGATCAGCATCCATTCAGGCTACAGTAGGTGGCACAGAAGTCCAACACTATGTTACTTCCATTTCATGCTTGAAACGGCATACCCCCATATACTTCCAACCTCGGCCGAGTGATCGGGCGCCCGCTATTTCCCGTCTCCAAGAGGGGGGGGGATATTAAGACAGATAAAAGGCTGGGCGTTCGTCCTACATCAGCGAAGCCACTCATCCCGTTGCGGCTCAGTAAGACACATTTATCCCTCGCGCCCTTTAGCCTCGAGGCCGTCGCCCTCAGTGTTCGCCTCAGTCCGCGCAGGCTGTTGCTGAAGAACCCATACACACCTGGACCTGCAACCCCACGGCCCAGCCAACCAGGGACCCAACCCCGCGTCGCATCCATATAGTATACAGCCCTGACCTCCTCATTCTCTCCTCCGCCAATCCCAGCAGTATGCCTCTCAACTCCAGAGCCGTCTATGGCCGTGAGAATGCCGCCTTTGTACCCTTTGCCAGTCGACGCAGTACCGTTCATAGTACAAATGGCATGGTCTCATGCACCCAACCACTGGCTGCTGCGGCAGGCCAAAAGATTTTGAGCCAAGGAGGAAATGCTGCAGTATGTTGAAGACCACAATCCGACCTCTCGTCCTCACGGTAAATCAATTGCACTGCAAAGACGCTTGCAAGACAGTCGTTCACCAAGGCTCATGAGTTTCATGTAGGATGCAGCCGTCGCCGTGGGTAAGTGAGGCCCTCGACTTCGGAGGGCAACAATTGCGCAACGCCATAGACAAATCTCTAACCAATCTCACGTTTGATTAGCGGCCGGTCTGAATATGACTGAACCTGGATCCACCGGCATTGGTGGTGATATGTTCTGTCTCTTCTACGATGCCAAAACAAAGAAAGTGCATTCTTTGAATGGTTCGGGTCGATACCCCGGGGCGGCCTCCTTGAAGAAAGTACGGGAAAAGCTCAATCTGGCTCCGGGGGCCCCCGGAGAGATTCCCATGCTGAGTGCACTGGCAACCACTGTCCCCGGTGCCGCTGCAGGATGGGTGGATACCGTCGAGAAGTTTGGCAGCGGCAAGTTGTCACTTGAACAGATTCTTCAGCCAGCAATTGAGCTAGGTGAGAAGGGATTTCCCGTGTCCGAGCTGTCATCCCACGGTGTAAGTTCACAGATGCATGAATCGCATAATCGGTGGCATATGGTCTGACGTATTCCCTCCACAGTGGCAAGCAAGCGAGGGGGACATTCGTAATGCATCTCCCAACTTCCGAGAGATGTTGAAAGATGACCCATCGGCCAAAGACGGTGTCCGAGCACCCCGCCCTGGAGAGATCATGAAGAACCCTACGCTGGCGAAGACGTTCCGTACACTTGCCGCCGAGGGGAAGAAGGGGTTTTACCATGGTCGGATTGCCAAAGCCATTGTCAAGGTGGTGGAGGACCTGGGAGGCCTGATGACGCTGGACGATCTTGCGTACCATGCCGAAGTGGGTACACAAGAGACGGAAGCCATCTCTCTCGAATTCACAGGTCAAGATATCGTTGCCAAGACGAATAGGGGTACGGACGGTGATGCGGACCAGGGAGTGAAAGTGTGGGAACATCCCCCGAACGGTCAGGGCATTGTTGCTTTGATGGCACTGGGAATTATGGAGGAGTTGGAACGTCTGAACAAGATTCCCCTATTTACCGAGGCGCAGCACAACTCGGCTGAGTATCTGCACGCGGTGATCGAGTCTCTCCGCATCGCGTTTGCCGACGCTGCCTGGTGGGTGACGGACCCAGACGCCGAGAAAGTCCCGGCCAAGGGTCTTTTAGATCGAGAATATCTCGCTGAGCGCGCCAAGCTCTTCTCTCCGGATCGGGCAGCCGATATTATGGATCACGGTAGCCCTGCACACAATCATTGCGACACTGTCTTCTTTGCCGTGACCGACCGCGACGGCAACGGAATCTCTTTCATTAACAGTAACTACGCAGGCTTTGGTACATCCATCATTCCCGCCGGCTGTGGGTTTACCCTCCAGAATCGAGGTGCCAACTTCTCGCTGGAGGCGGGACACCCCAATGCACTTGCGCCTCGTAAGCGTCCATACCACACCATCATCCCTGCTTTGATCACCAATGTGTCAGATGGATCATTACATTCCGTGTACGGTGTGATGGGTGGCTTCATGCAACCTCAAGGACATGTTCAAGTACTTCTGAATATGCTGGCATTTGGATATCATCCTCAGGCGGCGCTGGATTCTCCTCGTATTTGCATTGCCGCTCCTACCTCTGAAACTACGGACCGCACCATTTATGTCGAGGAAGGAATCAGCGAAGAAGCAGTGAATGGCCTTCGAAAGCTCGGTCATCATGTGGAGGTATTGACCGAGTGGAAGCGAGGGATGTTTGGTCGTGGACAAGTCATCCGTCTTCACTACGATGAGGGCGCCCTGGTGCACAGCGCGGGAAGTGATCTGAGAGGCGATGGTCTAGCTTTCCCACTCCTCTGATACCATCTCATCAAATCTGGCGAAGTATCTTTGATCTTACCAAATGAAGTAGCCAATTGAAAGATGCAAAGACTTTACGCACCGCGGTGCTGCATTGCAAGTGTCATTTTAGTACTACTGCACATTTCTGACCACAAAACTTGCCAACAAAGGGACAGGATGTAAGTTACTTCGTCTCGGATGTCCAACTAGCCGGTAGTGTCCATGGATTTGTGCCGTGGCAATGAATTTGCGACGGTGACCCGGCATCCAAGCGATCTTCTACAACTCGGTGTATCTTCCCTGCCTCTTGCAGCTCTCACGTGCGGCGTTGGTGATCGAATGCCTGTCACATGACCAGGAGATACAGCAGAATAGCACCCTTCAAGTCACAGGCCAAGGCTCGACAAGTGACCATGGGCCTCTACTGGTCGCTCTCGAGCGGAAAATTGGTATTTGATACTCTGTGCGTATGTGTGGTTGGAAAAGAGAGGGACACAGGTCTGGTCTCTGACGTATTTCCCCAGGCAGGGTCGGAGCTCATTTCCGTGCTACGAACACCAGCCGTGCTCTGTCACCAATACTAATGAAGCCCCAAGGAACCATATCCATGGCGAACAGGGAGACCTAGACCTCCACTATATTCCATCGGAGTTCATTTGCGGGACGCAGAGATGGCAATAGTCCCCAGATCACTCCACACTCCGCATACGCATGTGATGCTCTGCTGCGGGGAGGGAATATCCCCAGGCATCATGACGCCTCTTCTTGTCATGATGCGCCGGATATGGACTCCATACTCGAAATTCACCCGAGGTGGTTGACCACTTGTTCGTTCTACTGTCTGACAGGTGTATCCCGAACCAATTGGAACTCTGGATGGCGGTTGACACGTCCGTGAATCGACGACAGCTTCCCTCGGAAATCGCGAGGGAGGTGAAGTACTTAAGAACTGCGTCTTTCGCCGTCTCCTCTGGTGGTACTCAGCGTTTCTTACGGTTCGAATATGGTGAAACTCTTCCAGATAGGGGTGCATCTATTCATACCTCATCCCAAAGCTCGCTAATTCAGCTCTACGTTGATCATCTACATTGCGTCTTCTTGAACTGTTCGAAGGTACAACAACAGGAGCTCCTGATCAATCGTCAACATGTCTCAGGCCATTCTCGGCGTCGGTGACAGCGACCTCGAGAAACAAGACGGTTCCGAGAGCCATTCCCGTGCACATGGGCGGGCTCCCCGGGAGACTCAGGAAAAGGAAGAGCGTGCCAATGGCGCGGGCGGCGTTCCGGGAAGTTTCACTCAGGGCACCACTGGAGGCATCGCTGATGGAGTCGGTGATGGCGTTCCTGATGGAGGTGCTCCTGGGACCATCGACCCATCCGGACGCAAAGAACTGAAGGAGTGGGAGTGCTACGAGGCATTGGGCTATTCCTTTCCCACGTGGAAGAAATGGGCGGTTATTTCAGTGATCTTTTGCGTGCAGGTCTCGATGAATTGGAACGCCAGTTTCTACGCCAGCAGCATTGGGCTGTATGCCAAGCACTTCAACGTCTCGGAGCAGGCGGCACGAACTGGCCAAATGAGCTTTCTGATCGCATATGCCTTTGGCTGTGAATTCTGGGCTCCGTTCAGCGAGGAATTTGGTCGATGGCCCATTATGCAGCTCAGCTTGTTCCTGGTCAATATCTGGCAGATTCCATGTGCATTGGCTCCTAATTTCGGAACTATTGTCGTCTGTCGTACACTCGGAGGTCTTTCCTCTGCGGGTGGCTCAGTCACTCTCGGCATGGTCGCGGACATGTGGGAGCCCGAAGTCCAGCAGTGGGCAGTGGCCTATGTGGTATTGTCCTCCGTGGCGGGCTCAGTGATTGCCCCTATTGTCGGCGGCTTTGTTGCGACCTACCTGGAATGGAGGTGGAATTTTTGGATCCAATTGATTCTCGGAGGCTTCGTGCAGTTACTTCACCTGCCGGTCCCTGAGACTCGATGCAGTATCTTGATTACCCGAGAGGCAAAGCGTCGTCGCAAGCGAGGAGATATGGTCTGGAGCGGCGACGAGCTGAAGAAGAAGCGACTCTCTTTCCGCTACCTTTTCATGGTCTGGATTCGCCCATTCCTGATGTTCGTTCGCGAGCCTATCGTACTGTGTCTGTCTCTGTTGAGTGGATTCAGTGACGCCTTGATCTTCACCTTTTTGCAGTCGTACACCCCGGTCTACCAACAGTGGGGATTCAGCACGATCCAGATTGGATTGGCGTTTGTTCCGTGAGTTGCACCCAGGACTTTGGCTCTGAAGACTTGCACATGATTTGTTGTCTAATCTGCTCTCGCAAATTAGGATTCTGGTCGGATATGGCCTTGCCTATGTTTCTTTCCTGCCTTGGATCGATCATCATTGCAAAGTTCAGGAGCGGGATCCAGATGGACTCGTGCCGGAGGCTCGACTTCATTGGCTACTATGGGGTATGAACACAATCGTGTCTACACAGAGTCTGAATTAATCTAACAAGCTTCTCAGTGGCTCCGTTGTTATCCCTTGGTCTATTTGGATTTACCTGGACAAGTCTGGGTCCGCCTCATGTTCATTGGATCGCTCCCATGATCTTCTCCTGCTTGATTGCCATTGCGAATGTGAGTGTTTCCTGATCCAAGGGCTGTCAAAGAGGGCTGTTCGGGATTGCCGAGATCTAACTTTTGCTTCTTGTCGCAGTTCTCAATATACATGGCAACTATAGACTACATGATCGCCGCTTACGGTCCGTATTCAGCCTCTGCAACAGGTGGAAACGGATTCGCTCGTGACTTTCTCGCCGGAGTCGCAGCAATGTATTCAGTACCCAGTAAGTTGGGATTCCCCCAAAAACCCATGGTTCGTCACAACACTGCTAACGCCTCTTTAACCGCTAGTGTACGAAAACATGGGCACAACCCTTCGCCTCGAATGGCCATCGCTCTTCCTCGCATGTATGGCAATCATCTTCACCATTCCCATCTACGTATTCTACTGGTTCGGTCCACAGATTCGCGAAATGTCACCATTTGCGCAGACCCTTGCGGCCGATCGAAAGAGAGCCGGACGTCGAGTGTCGCACTGTGGTTCGGGCGATCCCGATCCGGTGCAGAGATATCTTTCGGGCTCGTCGGCCTCTGCATCTGGCTGTTAGATGGTGAGCTTTGAATTGAGTCGTCATTGCCCACACTCAGAGAGAATGGTAGTGGATTGTGTGGGGATGAATTGGGATGCACGGGGCGGATGAATATGGGGTATGTCGTGGGAGATCCGCAGAGACGGGAACGAGTTTGGTCGGACGTTGATTGTCAGATTGTGATTGTGTATACATCTCCATGGTGTATCATGTTAGGTGTTACACAAGTGGCCATGAAAGGACAGACGCCATTAGACCTAGATATAATGCAAGTCTTTTGCTTTTTTTTTTCAATTTCTTTTCCTAGTTTATGATATGCAAGACCAGCCCTGCAAAGCATGTCTAGCAAGTAAAATTCATATCAATCTCGATCTAGAATACCTCGTAGAATGGTCTTCACCAAGGGCCCACCCCGGTCATATGTCACCAACGCCGTGTGTTGATCCAACGCAAAAACGCCCGGCCAGAAACTAGACTCCGGGGAAACCAAGTACGCCTCGCTCCAAGAGATGCGCCCATTCTGAGGAGGATCTGCAAAAATGGCCTTGATAGAAGCGTGTTGGACCCAGTCTACTTGCTGCGAATCATCGTCCGTCATGAACACCACCGCCAGAGACCCGTCTGCAAATGCCGAGATCTGGGGCGCTCCAGCATTATGTTCCGGACGGGGACGAAACACTTCCTGGCGATCTTGCCAGGATGCGCCGTCGTCGTACGAGACGAGTGCTTCGATACTAAAGGGTCCGTATCGAGTGGTTTCAAAGACCATGATCAGAACCTCACGGCCGTTGTCAAAGGTGGTCGCGATACCGTTCATCCCATCTCGAAGGGGCTCCTCCCTCCCGTACAAGCAGACGGGTCCACTCCAGGAACTGCCCAGGTCATGGGAGACCACCAGCATTGTACACTGGTTGTTGTGCGCATATTCAAGCGAATACGTTAATTGGACTTCGCCTTCGCGGCCAATGCGCATGAACGGCTCCCAGATACCCCAAGGAGGAGACTTCTCCGCGGCTTGAGAAGCGTAATGCCAGGTGCGACCTCCATCTGTGGATCTGCAAACGGTGATTCGGAAATGCGTGAAGCCCTCGGGTCCCTTATCGTGGTTGCGGAAAGCTGCCAGCACAGTCCCGGGAATGACTTCGAGGAGGAAGAGATTGTCAATCTCTCCAGTGGCCCGGGTCACTTCTGCATACTCATGAAACGTGCGTCCTCCATCCGTGCTGCGAGCAATGCGAAGCGCATTTTGACCGTCGGGGAACTGAGTAACGGACGACAGCAAAGAGCCATCAGCAAGGCGAGTCAGGCGAGGATAGGTGCCATTGTTGGGTCCGGATGTAAGTGGACGCTCGTCGTCTTGAATCTGCACTTGCACCCTTTCTCTAGATGGTTGATGCGTTACTACTCCTGGCGGCAAGCTTTGGTCCTGCGGGCTTCCAGCATGCTGATTCATGCCCAAGGCATTCAATACCTTCTGTTTGAAGTGACCGGGCATCTCGACTTTCGATCCGCGGGGAGGTGATGTTTACTTGATTTTAATCAATATCTGCGTTACACCGAGCAACAGTTCCATGCCAGAAACGGGCCTACTCGTTGGAGTGTAGATTTTTCCGATTGGTGATTCTGATGTATCGTTGACACTCAGGATGACGGCCTCATTTCGCTGGCTGACTAGACCGGAGTGTCAATCCCGTGTTATGGTGACGTCATCGTTCAAGCGTTCATGGGCACCTTTCGCGTGGGGTCGTTCGTCCTCTTCCACCTGCGTAAACCGCTCGCTGTCAGGACGCGACCGAAAGACCGAGGCACCGTCTTGGATGGCAATCTCCGGCAGTCATTATCGTGAAGCAAGGGAACTTGCAGTCAGATGTAAAAGAAGGCCGGGGCTTTTTTGTCCGATAGCTGTACCGATCGTATCCGATCATCATTCATAGGACGATTAGGATCTAAGACTGGCGGGAGTCCAGACTACTAGCGCTTATTATTGTCTAAATGTGTAGTCGGCAAGCTAGATGCAATATCGCGTACCCGGCCTAAATGCACGGAGCACGTTAGTTTTCGTCCGGCCACGACTTGATAGTCCAGCCAGGCTTCTGGAGGAAGAACTGGTGCCAAATGCCGCTCACCGTCGGTTTCTTTGGAAGACCGATATGTGCGATTGGCCCGATCGCAGTATCGGCCGATGGCGATGAACGAGAGACCCTTGCTCCAGATTTCGAGAGTGGTCAATGTTAACCCCCTCAGCAATGAGTGGATGATGGCTGCGTTTCCAAAAACCGACGTCGAGGGAAGCTCAAAGTCAGTCTGGTCGAGTGTCACGAGTGCGAGTGGAGATAAACCCGTCGGCCGTGCCATCGGACTTAAGCAGCGGAATAAACCACGACCCCAGCCTGCGCCAAACTCGGGAATGTATAACCGAGCATCGCCGACGAAGATTGTGGGACGTATAAGTATGTAGCCAGGTCTCGCATGGGAGAATAGAGGAAGAGCACTCTTAACACAAGCACATTCCCTGTATCAGCCAAATCAGAGGCTGGGGACAACATACCTCCATAAGTTCCTACCCAGTGCCCACACGCTCTGAATTGTCGTCGTCATTGTCAGCCTTCTGTACTTTCTCTCAAAGTTTCAGACATCACGCTCAAACTCGATTCAAAGCACTTCCAATCTCACACAATGGCCTTCCTGTACTCTCAGCTCTTCGTGCGACCGCCTTATCCCACTCAGTCGTTTGAAGGTCAAACAGTGCTGGTGACGGGCTCCAACGTGGGTCTCGGCTTCGAAGCTGCTCGTCATATCGCCCGTCTGGGCGCGGCCCGAGTCATTCTCGGGGTCCGCAACGTTTCCGCCGGAGAAAAGGCCAAGGAGCAGATCGAGGCTTCCACGGGCCGGTCGGGAGTCTGTGAGGTCTGGGAGGTGGATTTGGCCTCCAACAAGTCCACGATTGCCTTTGGCGATCGCATCAATCAGCTTCCGCGACTCGATGCTGCTATTCTGAACGCGGCCGTGGCGACGGAACAATTCGACCTGGTAGAGGATTACGAGCGAACCATCACCATCAACGTAATCAATACGCTGCTGATGGGCCTCATGATCCTGCCCCGGCTGAAGGCCACTGGCAAGGAGTTCCCCACAACCCAGCCACGCTTGGAGTTCGTGGTGAGCGAAGTGCACGCGTGGGTAAACTTCACCGAGTGGAAGGAGAGCGACACGCCGATGAAGGTCGTCTCCGATCCCACCAAGGCGAAGATGACCGAACGATATATGCTGTCCAAGTTGCTCGAAGTGTTGCTGGTGCAAGAAGTCGCCAGTCGGACTCGGGCTTCGGATGTGGTCATCACCATGGTGAACCCGGGCCTGTGTCACTCAGCGCTCAATCGTGAACGAAACTGGCAGTTGGCGATGTTGAAAACGGTCCTGGCTCGCACTACCGAGATTGGATCTCGCACACTGGTCGCGGGTATCTCAACAGGTGTTGAGGGTCATGGCTCCTACATGTGTGATTCCCAGGTCTGCAATACTGCGCTGTCTCCATTTGTGCGCAGCGATGAGGGAAGAGCGGCTCGTCTCACGTTGTGGAAGGAACTCACGATGATTCTGGAGCAAGTGCGACCTGGTATCCTTGACAACCTCCAGTGAAGGTCTCGAAGGTACGGTGGTGACCTGTTGTTGGCAGGGCAAAAAGCACGATGGTGGAAAGCGGAGTGTGAAGTTAAGGCGTCCAGGACGGACATGGTGTCCTATGCACAGTCTACTCGGTATTTCTACTTCCCTTTGAAATAAGGATCTCGCATGTACAGCAATTGGTAATCAAATACCTAATGGTTGACTTTCAACCTACTAATGACTACTCAGCACTCAGATTACTGGTGGAACTACCTACCTATCTACCTGCCGTCTATTGCCTACTTACTGTATAAACTCGATGTCTGTCAGAAATAATGATTGACCTTGCATGAGACTGGATAAAAGCCATGAAACCCAACTACCTAAAAAAGTAGGCATGTCCAATGTAAGTCAATGCTGCTCCAGAGGACAAGGGAAAGACAGGGCGGGGCGCTCATCATGACTTGGAACTGAATGGTAGATCCAGATCAGCTACTCGCAATGATATCACGGCGGCATTTGTAGACATACGATGGACCATGATATGGCATAAGCATGTACTTCGCAATGCACAGATTTATATAATATCTAAATTTTACGACATTTAATGAATTCATGCTATCACTGTCACCGAGACTGTACACAAGCATGAAGGCTGCTCTCAAAGTCTTTTCTGCTCGCAGTTCATTTGTCCTGGGTCTTTCTGATCAGGTTTTTGTCTACCATATAGTACAAAGGGCAGTATCGATGCCATAATTGGCCACCTTCGAGCCAGCGTCTCAGCAAAGGCGAGACACAAGAAACTAGCACCAGAGGACAAGAGTCTCAGGTTTTCTTGGTATGGACTTTGAAGGGAACATCCTGATTAGACGTTGCCGAGAGAGAAGCCTCTGCATCAATCTCTCTTCATCCCTTTGCCATTTCCCGTCCTCTTCGCGGGTAGTTCTTTTTCGAAACCCCAAGAACAGCTCAGCTTGCTTCATGACAGTCGATCAACATTTGGATTCAGTCAAGAGACACTGGAAGATATTGGTGTGCTCCGGTCTTGCTTCGAACCTGTCCCAAGTAACCGAGCCTCCATGTCCTGGACTCAGAGGATAGAGTTAATGCCGACGCGCAAGTAGGCGGAATTGCAGTCGAAGGTCTCGACGGTCAAAACAGAGACTTTTTATCATGCGACCGGTGGCCCATGATCAGTCCGAGTTCGTCCAATGTTCCATAGTCTTGCACGCGGGAATAGGTACTTCTGACTGTGTATCGCGATACATGCAAACCCATGAGACCAGTTGGGTACGGCGAGGTGTTGAGAGATGCAGGGAATTCGATGCACCACAGAAGGGTCTAAATTTTCAGTGGCAGTACCAGACCCCTTCATCGGTTGTACGTCCAGGACTGAGCAGAATTGGGGATGAACGCGCCCTGCAAGTCTCGGAAATCATGCATGTCCTGTTCCCTCTGGGCGTGATCAGCTTGACCCGCTCCAATGGTGAATCCAGCGCTGGTATCCACGGGTAGCCAGTTGAGGGTACGACGTGTGGTGCCATCGGGCATCTCCAACGTGGCAGAGCTGTCTTCTTCCTCCCATTGAGAAAGGGCCGGTTGAGCAGACAGGTACGACAGCTCCGGGAGTGCTCCGTGACTTGAAGACAAATCGAGAGACCGGGACTGCTGCGTATCTTCGCCGTCTCGGTCGGCTTCCCATGAACCCATGGACGCATTGCTTGTATCGGGTGTGCCGCAGGGGTCGGAAAGTGGGGAGCCAGGGACGCCGGTGAAAGGTCTCGTTGTTGGTGCGGTGGGAGTCATGAAGAGGGCTCGTTGAGTAGCCATGAGCGAATTCCAGCGCTGACGCTCAACGTCGGGCGCAGAGCTTCCGTTGTATACTCTTTGATTCCACAATGAGTTGGAACCACCACTGGCGTGAGAAAGTCAGAGTCTGATCCATGACCGATCATAAGGGTAATGATCTCGATGACTGACGGACGAGAGTTGCAAAACGTACCTTGGGTCCTCAAGATCATTCCATTTACCCCCGGAGGAGTGGATGGTCAGGCCCGCATCCACCCAGGACTGTGGGTAACGCTGTGGTTCACTGGTCTTCGGGTATTCCGGTTGTGCAGTCCAGGCCATTGGAGGGTCTATCCATTCCTGGGGATTCTCGACAAAGGCTGAAGTGTAGTCTTGCGACGTTGTCATGAAGCCCGGATACAATTCGTGGTCGACCATCATGGGTTCATGCAATTTTTCGATATCCTGCCGTTGAAAGTCGGTTATGCACCAAGGTTCGAGCTCATACACTGATGCCATGATCAAGGCAACGAGCTAACAAGTCACCGTGAGTGATAGGGAGGGCTCTGAATTCGCTGAACGACAACGTATATTGGGTCTGTAGTTGATCAAGAGGCTTTGTGGTTCTTCAAGGTCAATTAACTTCTTAGGGTGGAGAAGCAATGTCTTTCTTCAGTATTGTAGATGGATGTGGTAAGTGTTAGGTTTGAGATTGTGTGGTCCAGGAAAAAGCAAATCTGGTTCTTTTTTCTTCTCTGCAGAAATCAACGACTCTTTCAAGTTGCATGACAGTTCCGAGCCTTATATTAAGTAGAAAAACAAGGGTGTCAGGTCGGCTCCCCCCAGATTCCGGTCCAGGATCCAAAAACTGAAGTGACGGGGGATCACCCACGGATCTGGACTAGTGTCAAAAGAGGAAATTGCGGAGAAACCCTTTTTGCAAGCGACCCCAGAGTTCAGAGAACAACGGGGAACTTTTTCAAGTTCGAACGCGAACAAAGGCTCGAGACCGTTGGCAGCAAAAGGCCCATCACGGTCGCGCAGAGTGTCACGCATGAGGGCGGGCGACATGTGCAATCATGTGGATGCGACCTGCCCTGGGGAAACTCTACTGCCACCAATGAGCCATGTTTGACTCAATTCGCGAGGAAGGCTTCACTGCCTGATTCGTAAATTAACCGAGTCGGTTTTGGCGTTTGGCACGATGGCCTCGTTCTGGCGGAGACGTGGAGGGCATCTGGCAATGTTCGGTTGGTGACTCGCTGTTGACTTCCAAAGCTTTCCCCGGATTACGAGCAACGGATCGAACCGAACCCGACATTTGGCAGTGGACGCACCAATCGGGGCATTCCTAGCCAGAATGTGCTCGGCAATGAGGATACTCAATTAACCGAGTTTGCTCCTTTTCCCCGCAAACCCCCAAAAGCAGACTAAACAATCAAAGGCGGAATGCCCAAAACAGGACCGACAAACAGGAACAGGTTACCATCAGGACCATCTCATGACCACACCCAGCACGACCCTAGTTGAGTGGACCATCTGTCGCTCCAGCAGCCAACGAGGGGGGACCATACCGATCCAAATCTCACCATATGGGGGCAGCAGTACATCACCTGCGACGGTGTTGCGGGGAAGGAACAGCCGTTGATCAGCGCTCCCATGTTACGGAAATGGTCAATGAGCCGTGGAAGCCATGGACGTTTCGAAGAAGGCTGGGAGTCTACTCCATGGCTTGTCCAAATGATGAGAAGAAAGGACCTTAACTCGGTACTACTGGAGGCAAACCAGACAAGCCGAACGATTTTGAGATCATGCACGGATGAGCCTTGAAGATCATCCCCTGTGTCTGGTTTCCTTTGTCTAGTTGATTGCCAAAGATCTCAATCGTAAGCACACTAATGACCAATCCCATGACCAGGGATATATGGCTGGTTTGCCCCCTTCAATCCACTCGATCTCTCATATACACAGAGACGAGCAAGGACGATTTCCGAGCCGACCCTTGTCCATAACACAATCCTTGTCCTTCATACCCCGTTCTATTCCCAAAGACCATGGGCCCAGCTGGGTCCAGTCTCACTCGCGAAGAGGCGCTCGGGGCCTGTCGATCAGATCTTGAGGCCGCAACCATGGGGATCACTCTACAGTCTACGCGCGCCACGAGGTCGTACCGTAATACTATCGCCCCGGGCGGGACTGCAACTGGCATTAGGCGAGTCAATGCCGAACGCCACGGTATAGTCATTGCTGGGACACGAGCCCGAGACCCCACGCCCTTTTCGGCCGTGAATAAGTGTGTGAGAGGCTGAGAGCAGGAGGAAACTGCGGCCTCAGCCCTTTCTGCGCCCTCCTCGTTCCCCCTATGAGGTACCATGCCCGCTACTGACGACTGATTATTGGTAATGACCGATCGATCACGGAGGCCAAGCATGCTTCTTTTTTCGAGTCGGCCCCTGGCCCTTTTTCTTCTTCATCATAAGCTTTTCGTGGAATTTCCCATGAATCCCTCAGCAGTTTCAGGTCAAAGCCATGTCTTCATTTCTCTTTTTTTATGACAAACGGTTCGCCAGTCTCAGTGAAGGATCTCTGCTTCACGCTCGAAGGAATCTGATGTCTCGTGCGACGAGCGGAGTACTTCCGGGCGAGCCCAAGTACCTTAATCTCGTCCTCTTTTCACTAGACTCACAATGAGAGTCTCGACTTTTGCATCGGCTGGGCAACACGGTCAGGTAATCTCACTTGATGAAATCAGGACTCAGGACTCAGGACTGAGTGGGTCCTCTACTCCGGTTGGGATGTTCGTATTCCCGAAGAAAGGGCGCCCCCAGTCACGAAAGGTGACAACAGATGATGGAGCGACCGCTTCGAGGAGATTGGACCAAGTGTCAAGCCACTTTGACATCAATACAGCATCGTGATTAATGTAGCAGGGGAAAGATCTTTCTACATCTTTGAAGTGGCGAGCACACATCTTGGAATGCTCGAATTGGACAAGTCCAATGCGGAGGTGGCCAAATATGTTCTCGTGATCACCCTCTAACAGAGCTCTCCGGGGAGCGCAGCGAGTCGATCATTCTCTTCCTGGCACAGACGTGGCTGATGATGCGCATTCGAGGAGCCGTTTTTGAGGCGGCGAAGACGCGCCTTCACTTCAAATAGACGTGGTCGGAGTTTACCACCGAGGTCCTGACGAACCCACTTTCGGACCTTGTGCTAGAATTACTCAGGTCAGGTCGAAGCACGGTAAAACACTGTAGATGGATCATTGCGACAGGCAAAACAGACGTGGTGGTTCTCAAATGCGCTTAAACACGTGGGTTTCCATCGAACAATCGGTGGATGATGGGCTTGCAAGTCCACAAGATCCCAGACTCCCAGTTGTTCTCTATTGACATCTTCCACGTCTCTGCGCACATGAAATCCATCGAGCCAGCCCTGCGCACAACATTGCTGAAGTAAGAACGGAGCAAAAGCCCGCAACTTGCCTCTTCCTCAAGTCCGGTAGCCCGCAGTCGATGACTGCCCAAGGAGCTTCTTTCTGGGGTATCAGATCACCTACTGCACCCCGGATCCCTGCAGAATCTTTGCATCATTCGGCACCTGCAGGAAATCAGAGCGGCAGGTCGACTCTTTTGCGGGGGAAAGACTTGTAGGACGAGTCAGATCCTTGATGATTGGCTTGGGATAGATAGGTCCACTATCCGCGCACAAAGAGCTGCCTACTATCAGATGGCGCAAGACTAGCGTCAAGTCAGCATTGCTAAAAGGTTCTATTCAAGGCAGGAAGACGGGAGCACACTCAGCACAGTAGCGGACTAAACACGGGCGGTAGGTAGCAGTGGGCTAAAGTTGGGTCAAAAAGAGGACGTCTTGAATGAAAGCTATAGAATTTTGCGGCCTTCATTATGAAGCACCATAGCTCAGACCCCGACTTGAAGGAGCTTCTGAGCTTCAAGACATGCGCCATCAAGGGCCGTGCCATGATCGAACATCAAGATCACCGTCGAGGACGCTATCACCCGAATGGACGTTCCCGAGGATTGTCTCACGATGACCTTCTGATGAGTAGGATGTGCATATATTATTCGACCAACTGGTTGATTCGTACCTATCCCTCAAGTGTTAAATCGGTTAGAATATGATCTGCGTTTCCTACTCGGTTTTGACCGTGATCTGCTGCAACAGGACATTTAATGGAATGCCAAACTTCCATTACGTCCACTTGACTAGCCGCCCTGGGTCTTAACCCAGCGGGACCAGCACATCAAAGTCCAGCTGAAGGAGTACATACTAACTACTACATACGGTACCCACATTCAATTTGGTATACACACGGGTCTCAAATGGTACGGTCTTGACAGAGAGAAAAGCAATGAAAATACCGATGTACCTCCGGCATTCTGGACCCTGCCTTTCACGCGTGCTTTATCATTGCCCGATATTCGCTGCGAACAGGGATCTTTTCAGAAAGAGACTGCGTTGGAGAGAGCACCAAATCAACGACTCGGAAAGATACGAAAGAGAGTTATCTGCACGTGATTCAAAGAATAAAACCCTTGGTGAACTGGGTGGTTGTTGACGCAACAAGAGTAAGGTTTGACACGTCACCGCGCTCTTAGGTACAACCTACATATCAGCGCGCATCTCCCCACTCTCCTATGCACACCCGCCCCCCTCTCTCTCTCTTTCTCCCCCCCCCTACATTTTGGCCCGCTTCTGAGCTCTCAGTTCTCTGACATGATTGTTGATAAAGTAACGACTCAGTACTTCCTCAGAGAGGAAATTAGACCCACGCTGTGTCCCAATGCACAGCTCCTTTCCGGCACCACACAGACATTCGAATGGCCGCGGACTGATGAACTCGGTCGAAGGGTAAAACCAAGTCAACTCATCTCCAACACGCAAGTCTCGATCTTGGACGACCCGCAGCTCGCCCGATACACCGTTGGGATACTCGCCACGAGAGTCAGGTGCAAAGACCTCCAGCTCCACCGTAGGAGCACAGGAGTGATTCATATACACGAGCGCAGAGTTGAACTCGGCATGGCTAGACTTGCTGGTCTGAAACGATGACCAGGTACTTTCGGGTACAGAAATCTGAGTCCTCACATAGCAGAGATGCGACCCTCGAGGTGCGTTGACCCGAGATACGGTGGATAACTGGCCCTCCGGTGTTCTTTTGTATTCCATCAGATCCTGCAGCTCGTTTTGCTCCAGAGGAAAAGCTGGCGCCGCCGGAAGGGCCATCAGAGTGGGATCAGTGAGCTTGGCCTGGCCGTGCTCTTCGGCCACTTCTGACACCGTCTGCGTAAGAGTTTGCGAGCCCATGATTGCAGGTCGAGATGAAGCAAACAAATCGCGAACTCGGGTGTCAAATGAACTTTTCGGTATATGCGCGGGCTGAGTGAGTGAAAGGCTGTGCAAGCCGAGATAAGCTGACTTCAAAGCCAGGATTTCCTCCTGATCTTATAATCGTGTCTGGTTCGTTTCATTCTAAGCTTGGGACCTTAATGAAGGCACGTCTACCCCTCTCGCACTGTCCATGCTCTGGCTTCCACGTAGCTCCTCACTGCTGCAAGAATAGAATCTCGAAATGCGGCGCAGCTGAGGGACGCATTGGGTGCAGGCCTTTTGCATTCGGAAGCATTGCGCTGCTGGTCAAGTCGAATCAACTGGCCCCGTTACACTTGCTTGCAGCTTCTGAACGAAGCTCATGCATAACTCGAGGCGATCCAAGCGCTTTCTCGAGAGATCCCCTATGGATCATGATACACACATGGAGGTCTTTTCCGCTTTCGCGACTGATCACAGCATTGGCATTGGGCGGGCATATTTCTGACCGCGGATTTTTTCAAGACGCGTGCGAATATCTCCGGGACCTGTGAGCTGCAGCAGTAGTATAAACTTGCATTCAATGACGATGGAGACTGTCGGCTTGACACGACGCGCGAATTTGACCGCTCATTACGGGTCTCGCCGTTGCAACAAGCACAATGATCCATCTAACCGTCAATGATCAACAACTTCGAGAACACGTAAGCTCTGACAGCAACCATGACAGCTTCCACCATGGCCAGGCCAAGCACTAGTATCCGTTATTGCAAGATACCCCGTGTCTGCAGGTGGTATCACTGCATCAGCCTAGATGATCAATATTTCCCTCCTGCGGCTGTGCCTAGGTTGCCCCAAGCGTGTAGATGTGAACTATCAAAAGAGAATCGCCGTGGCACATGCATGGCGTCCGCACAATGACATCAACAATCTCGGAAAACCTCGGTGACCTAGGTGAGGATAGAGGATTTCGTCTCACAGTGAAACGAATCCTCATCGCCTCGCCCCCATCAGTTTGAATTCGAATTGATCTAGAGAATTTTCATGCAATGAACACACAACTTCACACGCATCCCCCGCGATCAATTCCGTTTCCCAGTTTTTAATGGCCCTATCTTTACCTACAATCGGGAGAAGCAACCTGCTTCGTATCAGCGTTGATCGTCCCTGTCAGCTGGATTGCTCAGAACAGGTAGCACTCGAGGTTGACTTCCAGCTAATGATAGTCGTCGCTAGACGCTCTTTGAGTGGGCTGGAATCGATCCGCGAAAACGCTTATCGGTGGCAGTATGAGATGACCAGACTACTGTGTGAAAATTCCTGTGAGGATCCGAGAGGCGACATCGACTAGCTTTGGCTTCCCACTAAGTTGGTAGTCCTGTGTTGATCTCAGTATTGCGGCGCCCCCGCATTCAACACGAACCGAAGCCGAGGTCAACTGGACGGGTAGTCGTATGTCAAGAGTCTACTGCGTCTTAACCACTGTATTATTCAACGTGCAGGACTTTTATGGATATCGAGTTCACCTGAGAAAGACACAAACTATCAGTGCAAACTGCAAACACGGCTTTGAAAATTTGTGTCAACAATCTCTCACTTATCGATTCCTCTGTTGACTAACGCCCATTCTTCCCAAAGTCGCCGATTCCAAGATGATGTTTGATCCGCCCCCCGTTGAGCTTCCTAGCTCATATGGAACTGTTGCCACAACCGGTCATGTCAAAGTCTCTCATCATCCAGCTGGAGCTTCATCCGTGACTCCTGTCATCATCGTGACATTGAATCGCCCCACGAAAAACAATGCGTTCACGTCGCAAATGGTGCAAGATTTCGAAAAGCTCTACGCAATGTTCGACGTCGATGAACGTGTGAAGGTGATCGTCTTGACAGGTGCTGGCAGAACCTTTTGTGCCGGAGCAGACCTGGAACTTGGATTCAGCAGCACTCAAGAGCGTCCAGCAGAGCATCGCGATGGGTGGGTACCCTCAAGTTCTTCGTAACGTGCTTGCCATATCGAATGCGCTCACTCACACTCCATAGTGGTGGTCGGGTAGCACTAGCGATCCATCGCTGCCGCAAGCCCACGATTGCGGCAATGCAAGGGTCTGCCGTTGGAGTGGGCATGACCATGACACTCCCAGCGATTATACGGTGAGATCCTGTCTGTCTCTACTCAATTGGTCGGGTTTGAAAGGCGGACCAGCTGAAATATTACACTTCAGCGTTGCCTACGAAAAAGGCAAGTATGGCTTCGTGTTCGGTCGCCGCGGTATCGTCATGGAGTCCTGCTCTTCCTATTTTCTCCCCCGTCTTGTCGGGTTCAGCAATGCTAGCTACCTAGTGAGCATCGGCGCAGTGTTCCCACCCAGCTCCAAACACTTTGGCGACTTGTTCAATGAAGTTATCGCAGAGTCTTCTCAGGTGCTGCCTCGAGCGCTTGAGATAGCCTCCGAGATAGCAGAGAATGTCAGTCCAACATCCCAATATCTTAACCGGGCATTGATGTGGCGGAACCCGGGGACGCCAGAGGAGGCTCACTTGTTGGAATCCGCTGTGATCTGCCAAATTTTTGGAACGGCGTACGTTTTCCTTCCTTATTTTCTCCGTTTTTGTGGCCCCCATCCCATCTCAGGATTCAACGAAGCTGGAATTGATAATGAAAATAGGGACCAGAATGAAGGAGTCAGCTCCTTTTTTGAGAAGCGAAAGCCTACATTCAGTGCTAACCTGGATGACAATCCGCCGAGTAATGTGCCCTGGTGGACTGAAGTTGACACTGGAAGAAACCCCAAGGCAAAGAAGCAGCTATCCAAGCTATGAGATCTGTAAATATACACAGGACTGTTGGGTTGCCGTATTCTCCAATGGTAGTTTCAGCCAAAGTGTACGGGGATTGTGGCCTACAGAAAGCGAGCAGAGGAGTGAAAATTGGTATAAGCTCATTTCAGCTGAAATCAGTCCCCAGAATTGCCGAGACGCTAATGATATGACCATAACACCCGCATCCGGCATAGTCGAATGAAAGAACAAGAGAGACCCAAGAAAGCGATCAAATCAGTCCACAACTTGGTAATGCAGTCAGATTGAATGTAGTTGACACGACACAAACGATGAGGGAAAGGAACACGGGAGAAAGGACCGCTAAATGGAATCAGCTCAGTCAAAGACCATTTCACGCGATGAAATTTCGGCGCTTGCGGTTGTACGCGCGTTGGTCCTTCAGCCACTGGCGATAGCCCTGTACACTTCCAATTTTCTCGCCGTAGTAGTCGGGAACGGGGTTCGCAATTGAATTGGTCGAGGGATCAACACGGAAGCGTCTAATGCGATCGAAGAATTCCTTTTCTTTCTGTGGGAGAACAGCACAATTAGCTCATTCTTCTTTGCAAGGTCATCAATGCAGGACATAAAGAACATCATCAAAGTATCTTACAGTTGCCACAGAAGGCTTGTATCGGCGGTAAACCAAGCCCCAAACACCATTGCCGACGGCAGGACCCATCAACCATCCAACAGCACCGCAAGCTGCGGTTGCCAACCCGAGAACAACGAAAGGGTCGAGACCCATCACCTGAGTGCCGAGAGCTTCCAAGTCCTGAGCGGCAAGGACCTGAACACCAACAGAAGTAGAGACGAGAGATGTGATGATTGAGGATGCAAGAGAATAGCGACGGCGCGAAGCACGGAGTTTGAAGAATGAATCCCAGTCGAGCTTGGCTTCACTGTTGTTTGGCGACTTTGTGGACTGCGCACGGCGCTCAGAAGGACGGGCGACGCAGCGCGAGGAAGGTCGAACATTATGAGACTGAAAGATCTGGCTTGGGATGCTAGATGACGCCCGGACGAGAGACGAGTTGAGTCGGGTCAGTTGCGCCGATGCTCCCTGTGCGGTAATTCTGGCCACGGCATTAGGGCGAGCAAGTGTGGTCGCCATCGACAGACCGATACGGCTGGCAGAGAGGGATGGAATAGACATTTTGGCGAGATTGAGGCGTCCTATACGGTGACTTGAAATCCGTACTGAAGCGCGGGAAAAAACAAGGTTGATTGAGCTCCGAACATGACCTCAACTTCCGTGAAGCACCTCCCGCCTTCGCGGACGGGTTGACATTAGGTAAGCGAGCCTAGATCCCGTCCGTCCCGCCCGGTCGGTCACCTATGGGTGCAGCTCCCGTCGACACTGGACGACAACTACCAGACCAGGCAATACATGTATGTGGAAGATTCGCGGCTGCTGGGCTTGACATGTGATCAATATGACTGGAAGAGCTACGTCTGCATACAGGGAATAAAACCTCATAAAATAAAGGAGGATCAAAAGGAGGGGTAGGAGCTGGAGGAGATGAAAGAAGCGGTTCGAGTTGAGAAGAAAATGGAGAAGAGATATGTTTATATGCCCTAATCTGTATGTACAGCCGGGAAAGGAAAACCTCGGATTTTGCTATATTGGAAGTCCCATTGATGTTGGAACCTAACCTGTGGAATAAGGGAACTTTGGGCCGCATTCTCAAACCTTGACTTGAAGAGATTGATCACGTCCGCTTGCGATGACCAGAGAATCGCTGAGGAACAAAAACTTCCAAGTTCCTACAGTACCAGGTAGTTGTGCTGCAATTCGAGCTACTCTTGTGGTTGTTATTGTCCTCTGTATCCCCTCCAATTCCGCTTAGCCGGCGTCTACAGCGTGGACAACGCGAGGTGGGCATTCCACACGCTGTCCACTGCACTTGCAGCTCGACCGGAAGCCCGTGGTAGATGGATACTTACCTATTCTGTATGCATTCGACCTACAATCATGAGCTTTATACAAATGCCCAATGAAATGCATGGACATCCTACATGTTGACAACGGAGACAGCTATCGGGCTAGATTTCAATCATTTCAAATCTACTCCATTACTCCATAGAGTCGAGGGTGGCCCTCAAAACCATAAGCTCCAATGCGAATGCTTCGTCTATCATGAAATGCACGTATACTTACAGCAATTATCAATCAAGCAGGCAGCTTCTCTCCGCTATTAAGCTTCCCCACACCGGCCACAGTCAACATAAATACAGGCCACTGCCGTGCGCCCTGGAATTGCCCATTTTAATACAAACCAAAGAGGCCGTTCAGAATAGAAAAGAAAATCCACCGGCGGATAATTCATCACGTCGGCGACCAAAATGCCCCTGCGGTCTTGACTGCCCGAGTAGGTGCCATGCATGACATCACGAACCACACAATTCACGTAGTACTCACAATCGAGGTTGAAAATGAGCTGGGATGCTGTGTGGGAACCTGCCTCATGTCTCAAGCACGGAATCTCGTCTGTAGTTGCACCGATCGTGGACGAACGGCGTTCAAAGCCTTTCGTTCTTCCTAATGTCACCAGGTCGAGATTGCGCAGGAAAGGGAGTGCCAAATCCATTGATACGACCATAAAGCCACTTCAGAGTCACTGTGCTCATGGCCATAACGACGGCGCTCAGTGAAAATAAGCCAGCACGGCCAGTTGTGGAAAGTTGCTCGAAAATTGGGTACGGGTACCTGGCCTAGTCAGCAACCCTTCAAGTACCAGTGAGAAAACCCAGGCCAAACAAACCATCCATTGTACAAGAAACAACGCTCAATCCAGACCCAATAACCAAAGGCAATCGCACTGGAGAGGCCCAGGGATGGCAACGCAGAGATGGTCCAGGGTGGCGAGAAGAAAAGCAAATCCAGCAGCATTACAATAGAGGGGACCGCATGGAAGCCGAGATCTGTAAATACCTATCAGCTGGATACCTAATGCCTCAACCGATCCCGCGCAGCAATCGGTAAAGCGCTCAGTAATTTCTTCCACCTACCAGCATGCAATGGGATTACAGCCCAGTCAGGAACCACCAGACGCTCATCAATCTGCAAAATGCATGTCAGCTACGAGACTTCCTGACGGAGTGACGGGCCATTCCCATGCTCTTACCAAACGTAAGCCCCAGTACAGGACACTTATCAGTACCTCCATGGGAGCACTGCATATCAACAACAAATTCTTGATCAGAAACAGTCGTCGCGATAAAGTCAAATCCGCAAGCAGAGCAACCAAAAAGGTGACTGTAGAGAGAGTGAGGCCAATGACTGTCAGATACTGAAAGTGCCAGCCATATGCCTCATTTCTAATAAGAAAGAATCAGCCCGAGTTTCACTTTTTAAGTGAGCAGTCCCGACTTACGCGCGATTAGGATTCTCATGCATGCTAATTCGACGATGTCATCGTCAGCCGCACCGTCTCAAACGGAATTTGTTTGGTGTAATTGTGACACTGAACGTACTACTTGAAAGACCATATGAAGCTCGCTAAACCGCTGATCTTTCCATCACGACATCGAAATTAGACCAGTATCAAAGACATTCGACTTGAATAGAGTTGGTAAGTCTTACATGGATAAAAGCAGACAACCCCCGAGAGGGACTCGGGAGTCGCTGGAGCGGATGCTGGAAAAAATTTGAAGCACCCATCTTTTATGGAGGATGTACGAAGAGTGAAGCCACAGGATCTACAATACTCCCACGCTAGGCGCGGGAGAACATGGACGATTATTTAAGGGAGGCCCGAGGGATGGATCTCGATTAGATCGAAACTACAAGAAGCAAGGGCCAAGACTAGGTACAAGCAAGGCACCGCCATGACGCACATGACAAGGCCCGGGCAGCTGTCCGTACTCCGTAGGACTGCCCGGCCCGTGCACTTGGCTGGACACTGATCCACTGTCGGGCCAGAATGTTTTTCCGCTTGCCGGCTGATTCAGCCTCATCGTTCCGCTGCTTCCCCACACTTTCCCACGCGAGTCTCATTCGGCACGGCTTATTGTATGAGATAGACCTGGCGCTTAGTCGCATCAAATCCCTGTCCAAGTTACTACGACAGAGGCGAATCTCAATTTCAGATTGCCGTTACTCAACTGGCATCGAGTCATCAGTTCCTTGTCACGGTCAAAGAGACAGTTGGTGATCCCCGGACCAGACGCATTCTCCTTGTCTACTTAGTCCCCGCAGATAAGGACTTGGACCCCTGCCATAAGGCCTGCAGCAAGGCGGTTTATTGTGTCCACACGTTTGCGAACACCCACCCAATGTCGACGGGTCTGTCTCATCTTTGCCGGCGCATGCTTGAATACCGTTTCATCGGGGTCAGCAGATTTCATTTCAGAATTGGTGTAATCACTGATAGGCCGCTTTGACTGGGCTGAATCCAGCTCGTCTGCTTCAAACGGCATCAGGGAAGGAGTCCAACAAGATTTGTCAATGAGATATCTTGTGCTCAGCCTAACCGCATCATTGAAGTAACTTGAATCCAGCTCAGCAGCGAGACACTCGAGGCAGTGCAATGCCTCGCCCTCGACGGCCTGGAGCCCCGGAGCCTAAACGCAGAAGCCGGAATGGATGCTGGTAAGTGTGATAACGGCGTCTACTATCGACTTCGCTGGTAGCTAAAACTTCGATTAGGCCCTGTAAAGCCCGCAAAGTGAAATGGTAATACATTCACATGCCTTTTTTTTTTTAGTGACTCGTTGACCAAATTTGTTCCAGCGGTGAGGAAAAGCCGTCTTGTTTGAATTGTCAACGACAAGACGAACACTGCGATTACAGTTTCCGGCTTAATTGGAGCGGCCGCTCAAAACGTCCGTCAATTGACTCTTCGTTCGCGACTTCCAATGGACTCAGAACCCCCCTCGTAGAGTTTTCGGGGGTCGTACGATTTGATGCTGCCGACGCAGGCGATCGCTCAGCACCTGGGTTGTCAGGGAGGAGGGTGCCTCCAGATGGTTTCATCAACTTCAAGCCCGGGGATTTCGGATCTTTGGAAGACGCCTCACCAAGCAGCAACACGACACTCGGGACTTTGGACACCTCGACGCCTCAATCCTCTTCCGGCATCGGATTGTCTCCATCTCAAAGCGACGACCCGGCTAAAGCGTCATCACAAGGCCGTCCGCCTAGCACATCGGGTCTGTTTGGACTTGGGCGGCCACGTTCATCGAAACATGAAATTTGCAGTCCATCCGCTTCATCTGCTGATGAGAGGGCGGATTTCCAGTCTTTACCTGCATTTGTGTTTTCCTCCAATCCGATTTCTCAGCCAATTTCTTTCCTTCGTGACTCATCAGGTACGGGTCAGCATTCAGAACTTCTATCACATTCCAGGGAGGTCAATCGGCAGCATATTGACACAAGAGCCGCACCTCATGAGGACCATGGACTGAGTTTTCTGCTGAACGATATCGATGAGCCCACACCCACTTTACACCTCAATACTTCGTCGGGCCATGATGCGACTGCTACAGGAACTGTTGCGATACGGTCTTTGTCATTCGGCAATAGAAATCTTAGAGACCGGTTGTCTTCCACAATGACTCCGTCGGACAGAGATTCTAGACCTTCGCTTGACAAGAGCGAGGACTCAAAAAATAACGAAGAATCCATTGCCGCCCGACACAAATGGCATGCATATCTCACCAGCGTGACTGACAATTATGGTTTCGACAACGGCCGTCCAGACCGTGATTTGACCCTCAACAATGACCATGCTGCAATTGACATCAACTCTGCGATTGAGGGAGCGTCACCGGCTTCTCAGTACAGCAATTCTCTCGCTGTCAGAAAGCCCAATTATAGCGGATACTACGCCTCTCCAGTGGCCATAAACATTCCGCGTTATCTTTCTCCTCTTCCTCAATCCCTTTTGAAAAATCCGATCAACCTATTGTATTTTCATCACTTTGTTGACCACACATCGAAGATGCTTGTCCCACATGATTGCGAGAAGAATCCCTTCTTATCTGTCCTCCCATCAAGTAAGTAGCATGACCGGTGGTCCTCTGTTGTTGGATGCGCTAAAAAACCCGGTGGGCTGATCAAATTCTAGTGGCGGTTGCTGATCCAAATCTCCTGAATTTGGTCCTTGCCTATTCCGCGAGTCACCGAGCGCGTTATCTTGGGCATCCAGAACCAGCTAATCGGATCGCACATTGGGTGAGCGATGTATTTCCGACGTTGCGGGTTGCTTTGGAAGCATCGAAAGAGGACATCACGGATAGTCATTTAGCTACTGCTATTCTGCTATTATCGTTGAAGATTGTCTCTCCTGCGACGTTCGAGGTGCCAATTCCCTGGCAAAGCCATCTCAAGCTGGCTCGAGACTTGTTCATAGCCAGGAGCGATCGCCTGGCAAAGCCTGGAAATCAAATCGGCGCCTTCTTTGCACGCTGGCTGGGGTACATCGATACCATGGGTGCACTTTCTTGCCGCCAGGTAGGCCCACCATTGATGATGTATCACCATGTCCTCGCGGAAAGTTGTCGCCCGCAGAACTACGACGAACACTGCGTCGATTGCTTTACAGGATTTAGCCCCCGAACTGGATTTTTCTTGCTTCGGCTTGCTCAACTTGTTCAGCAGTGTGACAATGATCGCTTTGACGAGTTCGGAAATTTCAATCGAGACTGGCACCCCTCGGCAGATATGGTTATGGAGGCAGATGCGTTGCTTAGCGATTTCGATGACCTCGGCGAGTTGGTCCATGCTGATCCTACACATCATGTAGGGGCCGAGGCCGACGACATGATGTCTACAGAGCGAGCGTTTCGCTGTGCTGGCCTAGTTCACCTCCACCGGCGCGTGCTTGAGTCTTCGCCCGACTCATTCCCTGTGCAGGATGCTCTTCGTAGGCTTATCTCTGCCCTGGACCGCATGGGGCTCGGTACCTCCACTGAGGTCTGCTCTCTTTTACCCCTATTTACCGCTGGGTGTGAATCACGGGATTCGGCGCAGCGTATGAAAGTGCTGGACCGACTATTAGAGCTCGAAAAATCAGGACTGAAACAGGTACGTGATCAATAAATCTAACATGTTTCGATTACTCATTGGGATTACGTTCCTTCGACCAGATGCAAAATGCTCGCAGATTGATGCAACATTGTTGGGAGAAAGAGCTGTTGTGGATTGCTTTGGCAGATGGACAGTTTTTAGGATGAAATCACGGTGGGAGAGCCGTATGAGATCGAGAAATAACAGGCAGACTGTGCATCAAGCCTGATGAGTCTTCGTTACATCAATTGCGACGAACCTATATACACTATAAGGAAGAATATATGGGTAGGGTCGGCCTGGCCTCACTTATCTCTCACATCACTTCAGTCTTATCTCACGTGTGCACTGTTTCTGGCTGGTCTTCTCTTACAGTTCGTTCCGTCAAGTTGAATGCCTCGTTATATTAACTGCTCATTGATCAGCGTTCAGGAAGGGCCCAAGCAGCGCGGTATTAACAGCTCGAAGAGCGGCACGCCGGACAAGTCGAGATGCCATTATAAAGCGACCTCGAGACTCATCTTATAACTTTCCCCCTCCAAACACCCTGTTGATCATAAACGATTTGCGAAATTGAATTTGAATAAGCAGCACGCGCTAAGACGCTCCGCAACTTTAAAAGGTTCGTTGATTCCATTCCATACTTTCCTTCCTCATCGCCTCGTCGCTCAAGACTCATCCGCGGAAAATTGAAGTCTGATAAATCTGGATACGCAGCACAAGCTGACGGAGCCTGGAGGACGACAGTGTGATACGGCCATCAAAGGTGATTCAATACCTCTTCGTGATCTGCTTTCCCGACAACTCATCGCCCTTGAATTGTTGATGAAAGGTCAAAGTTCAATAGATAACATCGGCTGATCAGATCTGCGTTTAGAACCGGTCTGTCGACGCCCAACTACAGTTTTTTTTTTTTTCATGGGAATCTGATCCTGACTTGAGTGCGACAAGGCTCAAGTGTGATTGACAGACCGAGCTAACACAGGAGCGAAGTGCGCTTCCAGAAGAGGGCTATATACAGTCTTCACCGTCCTCCTCCATTGGCGCCTCACTGGATCATATCACTGATCCCGGCTTGTGTGCAAGAGTCTGCTCGCAACTTGCTCTGTCCTTCAACTCGGTCAGTCACCTGTTTCGTTTCTCCGCACTTTAAGTACGACCTGCGATCTCATGTTCCTTCCTCCCGCAACTTTTTGGTCTTTATATAACCATTACCGCCTGGAGTCTCTGCAAGATCAACTGGCTGGAGCATACTTTGCTGTTTGCCCCCTCATGTCTCTCACCTTGAGGTGTCCTCTCACCTTGAAGTGACTCCCTTGATTCCACTGTATCAGTCTCACTTTACTTTCATATCGTGCTCATTGAGACCTATCACCAACATGTCTGGTCTTTCTCTGCTGGTGTCGTCTGATGCTGCTGCTTAGTTCTGACTGATGGTGTCTTCACGATCGATACTCTCTGTCTTTTGCTGTTTCAATCCGTTTCCTCTTCGACTCTGCTTCATTGAACGCTCCTCGTTATTCGACTTGGTTGCTTTTCGAGATCTTCACCATTTCAGGAATTCCTACTTTCTCGATATATTTTTACTCAAATTCCCCATTGCATACACTGATCCAAATCAAAATCACAGAGATGGCGACTTCCGGCCTGCTCATTGACGTGGAAGTGACGAGTGAATTCCCTCCGCTGCCGTTGCCCTTGAGACATCCCGCACAAACAGGGCTTCTCGACGAGCTGGAGACTCTGGATATCCCGTTCCTCCAGCCCACTAGGTATGTTTCTGTGATTCCACAATTGTCTGACGGCACCGCCATCGCGCCGAAATACAGGCCAGGAACTTTAGCTGGAGCCGCACACCTTTATTTACCTGCTTAGGATGAAGCGAAACACATCTAATAGTCGCGCGCACAGGGTATTGCTTGCTTCCGCCGGGAAAAGCCACGTCGAACCATTGATTCGCCAGGTAAGACTTTCTCCTTGAAGCGAGGTATAGAAAGAGGGCAAGGGCTGACCATGAATCATTTGCGCCACAGGGATCACCTCTTGGCTTCGAGGAAGCGCCTTCTGGGGCAGCCAACCACGTCGGGCAAGTTGATGTACCTGAGAGTGGACCATCACTTGCAGTTGACCTTCGACGAGACGAGGTCAGCCGTGTCAAAACTGCGCCGCCTTTGGTGTCTGACAAAGTCAGCAAGGCCAATCAAGTCTTCGAATCCGTGACCAAGCCTTTCTGCCCGTCACACGTCGAGCTGAACTGGGTCATGAAGTCCAAGCCGTTCCATATTCGCGAGGAGGCTGCGGTCAGAAAGTACATCAAGGGAAAACCAGAACTTCTCTTCGATGGCTCGGACAAAAATAACCCTTTTTTCAAGTGGGGTGTCCGATACATCCCGCCTCCGTCTCAGGGTCCCCTGTGCAGGACAGTAGTCATCAGTGGGATCCCCAAGACGGCTTCACTGGACCAGGTCTTGGCCCGAGTTCGGGGTGGGATGGTATTCTCGGCCTCCCTCTTAGACACCACGACGATCAACGGGGGTTTATCGGCGATGATCGTTTTTGTCCAGGTGCAGGGGGTGCTGGGCTTCTTGCGTCGGGTCGAGCGTGATGGTCTTTTCATCGGGCTCGCCCCTGTGCAAGTGCGTCTGATTTCTACCCCGACTTTCCCGATGAGTCCCGAAATGTCAAAGGATGTGCTTTCGGGGGGCAATACTCGATGTCTCATCATCGTAGCCAAGTCAGCCAAGCTGGCGCTCAAGACCGAGACATATCGCATCCTCAGGAAGACACATCTCGCTGCATTGGTCGAGGGACTGAGTGATGTCGTTCCCAGCTCAACGATTATTGTTCGATTCTTCTCGATCCCAGCGGCTGTAATGGCGAATACGCGGCTCGTCAATGACTCAAAATTCAGCAGGGCTGTTCGAATTAGGCCAGCTGCGGACCCTTGTGCGCAGGGCAACTGACTTTCCGTTTCGAGCCGGGCTTAGTCCTCTCGGGCCTTTCTTGTACATTCGGGTTCAACAGGCGGTGATGGTTTCTGATTCGCGAGAAGTCATTTTTTCTTTTTCGTTCGCTACATTGTCTCGTCATCTCTTTCATTCGCATGTGACTACTCGTTGCTATTCTACGGAACTGGTTTGAAGTGGGTTTCAGTTTGCGTTCAACTTATTGATACCCTTGTCGCATCGAGCGGCCGCAACTGTACACAAGTTGCACGAGCGCCACCCAGGGCGGCCCCGTCTTGGTATCTGCGGGGTGTATCGAGACAGGGAGAGGGCTTTGAGTGGGGGGCTGGTACTGTTTGCAAGTCATCTGCCGGTATCGATTTGAGAGGTATTGAGCTTGGATTCGCTCTACCTGATAGGCCGTGAGAATGCAGTACCTGCAGTCGAATTCAAGTATGGCATTCCCTCACTCCATGAGTTGATGTAATGGGCGAGGCAAATTTCAGTCATGTGTAGAGTAAATAGGTTTCTCGTTGATTCTTGCTGGATTCCATGAGTAGACGGCACAAGTGAGATGTTATTGCCCAATGGGCCTTTGCTGTATCTGATCTCGATATCTTCCGGACACTCATCTTGGCCAATCTTGGAAATATCTGCCGCAGATTGCTTTTCAATTTATTCATACTTAAAGGCTGTCCGGTTATCGGTTGAAATCAGCGCAGTCCACCGACCGGGGTGGTCATAAGGTTGCTGGTGAATTCATCCCTGCAATCTACAGGGTTTTCGATGGACTTTTAGCTTCCTCGGCAGCGTCCAAGTGACATATTTCATCATGTATTCAGGACACTGGAATGGTCATTCTTGTGAGTTCTCGTACGGTATGGAAGCTTAGCATCGGGCTTCAACGTAGGCAAATATCCACCAGAATGGAAAAAAAGCCAGCGATCAATAAATCCCAAAGAGGCCGGCATCTCACCTACACCTACACCTACACGTTTGGGTACCCGCGTTCGGGCAAGTTTGAAGCGTTTTTGCACGGGCCGAACAAACTTCGCCGGAGACGGGCCGGGATTGAACCATTGCTCTTCTATTTCTTGCCCAGTAACCTAATACGAGTCGGAGTTTCTATTCGGGCACTGGTGATCTTAGACCAAATCCTGGGATACTGGAAGAAGGTGACCCTAATGCGTTTATATGACCGGATGGGACCTGCTTGACGGGAATATACCTGGAGATGTCCTGTTCAGAACTGCAATATCTTTCTATACTATGTTACATTTGAGAACGTCACACAAACTCCGTCAAATCAGGTTCGCATTTATCCCTCAGGAAACGCTACTGGGTTGGATTCTTGTAGACTGACAGCTCTGACCGGCCCGTGGATCCGAGCTCATGAACAGGATGGGAATCAGCTTCACGATATATCACCTGTGGTCCCTTGAGATCCTGGGCGCTCTGTTCTGTTCGGCCCTTTCGCCGGCCCCACCAGTATCCCGCTCCGAGCATTGCAAATGCCAAAATGCCCAAAGGAACACCCACACCAACCCCAATGGCAATTTTGTTTGATGATGGCGATGAAGAAGAGGAAGAGGAGGTGGTGGAAGAGGAAGGAGAGGAAGACAATGGCGATGAAGCGGCTGTCTCACTAGATGCTGCATCTGTAGCTGTGGTCGCAGCACCAGCAGTAGCGGCCATGGTCTTGGTCTCAGTCGCGGTCACTGTTGTGCCGAGATTGATGAGACTGGGTTTGAGGGTAAATGCCTTATCGCAGCAGCTGGTGGATGTTCCGCAGCAGTACTTGGTGCCCGAGTCACTGGGACACAGGATGATTTGAGAGCCGACACTGGAGTCGCCGCCATTCTGGTTGAGTAATCTCGTTAGTCAATTTGTATATGTCAATGACAGCGCCTCGGTGGTGAGGCACCAGGGTCTCTTGTTTCGATCACGAGAAGAAAAGATGCAGTGAAATGATGGTATTTTCTCAAGATCAAGTCCAAGGTGGTCGCTTACAGAGCTATCACACAGGTCTTTGGGGAGACAATTAGAACTTTTCCAGGTCTCGTCTGTGCAATAGTTTCGATAATAGGTGTTCCGGTCTGGCCAATAGCAAAGTCCATTACTTTGACACATATCAGGGTTGGTGCTGTTCATTCGACAACACATGGACTCAATGCCATCGAAGCCAACACATGGTAGGAAGCGCGAGTCTGCGACTGTGCCATCTGGAGCATAGCACGTTCTGAAGGCAACGCTGGATGGCGTTTGTATCAAGAGTAGGAAGACTCCAAAGATGGGTGGCCGTTTAGGAGACATGATTGATATCGTCGCGTGGTTGGCACCGCGCGAACTCTTGCGAAGGATTGGCAAGAGTTCGGGAATTTTTTTGGGGTTACAGAATGAGCTTCAGCAAGGGAGAGAGAGGAGAGAGAGAAAGGCAAAACAGTTTTTCATCCATGGACAGTCCCTCATGTCAGCGACGACGCCCCCTAGGCCCATCTTAGAAATGGGGCTTTCAGCTTTGGGGGCCGAATTCGAAAGATCGGACCGGGCATAGCGGATTTGGTCAACGATACGGCGTCGAGGCTCCTTGGCACCTGCGAGCCTCAACCTCGCGACACTAACCCTAAACTGCAGAAGTCGCGCCTTGGCCTTTTGGAGGTCATGTCGTTGCAGGGATTGATAAACAGAGGAGCCACAGAACTGGCTGACAGCTTCTCGATTCTGCTGGTGAAAAAAACTCAGAGGGTATCTCTGAGCTTTTAACAGCTCCTCGCTGTTCATTAACCTATCGATGGGTCGGTCAACGATCAGCAAGGTTTGCGTGTTGTCGGGTTTATCAGTAGCCTCCATCATCTCCGACATTCGACCCACCCACGGGCCACGACCCTTTTTTGTCTGTGGGTTATGAGTTGCAGCCCCAGATGACCACAGACCACGGCGACAATACTTTGACTTCGTAGTGCCCACGGTTCACGTGACATGAGAGCGGGTTTCCCATCGGTCCATGCCTTTCCCTCTGCGGGTTGCAAGTGTTTTTGTAATAGTTCCAGGCGCCCCGAATCGTCCATGCCCTCGACCGGACTTGAATGTTTTCGAGGGCATTAATTGAGTTGGCCGCCCCGCCGAGTCTGACTCGCAGCGCTTGGCAGTTTTCTCCACCCGCCTCGGCGTCTCCCTGAAACGAGGTCAGCGTGTGTGGCCGCGAAGTCGAGGCCTCGACGAGTCCACACTCGCAAGTGAAGCCTGACCCAGGGAGAAATGGCAGGTCAAGGTTCCGTCGTGTGCGCCTGCACGTGTCCATTCCTTTTGACAAGGTGGATAATATTGAACATGTTCCCCGGGGGGAGGGGGGGGAATAGTCAAACAATCTCAATAGACCGGCTGCGCATGCTTGACACGGTGAGGGCGGTGCTCCCGATCGCTCTATTCCAACCTGGCGGGCAGCCCGGTTCATGGCACGGAGGTCCACCAGGTGGAGGGAGTCTCTTTTGAACATGAGCGAAGAAGCTGACTTTCAAGATCAGAAGTGATGGCAGAATGGAACGATTCTTGTTGCATCCAGGGCACATCAGCGAAGTCCACCCTACCGTCTGGGATGGTAAGCGAACAGCCAGACTGGAAACGTAATCCTAGAAGGCGAGATTCATGGTGTCATCGTCCATTATGCAAAGTATGCATAGCATACCAGTGTCTGGCCAGTCAGTGCTCCCTAATGCTTCGGAAGATCGCGCATGTGTGATCTTGGAGACGGCTGTTCCAGGGCGAACAACATCATCTCCATTTATCCTGCCAATACTTCCGGGGTCTGGTGGAGACTATTGCAGACCAAAGGATTCAGAAGACGTCGATGATCATTTCCAGAAAGAGTGATGGTTTCCTGGTCACAGCTCATGGTGACCACCGTTTGGTCACGGCGGTGACAGTGTGCTGTGGCAGCCATTCTGCCCCAAATGCGGAGAAAGCCCTTCTTCAGGTGGTCTACCGGCATTCTTCAAGCCCGCCAAGTAGGCTTTTGCGGGGGAACCCGTGAAGAATCCATTCTTCTTTCTCCACCTCCACCCTTTTTGACTCGCTGGAACCAATTTAGCCAACGTCGCAGACCCATTTTAGCCATTTGCACGCGGTTTAGCCATCAATCATACAACCCACCACCTTTTTTTTAGCCAATTTCACGAACTGCCTGTCGTTGGTCTAATGAGCATGGAGACTGAGAGCTCCCGACATACCTCAGACTCGGTGGGGGGCAAATGTCAAGCCAGTACTGCGTTTAGCCACCAACCGTCACGACCGGCCTCATGATGGGGAGGGGGAAAAACGGATAAATTCTCGGTCGATGGGCTATAAAGTCCAGATGTACAGCCGTGAGTGAGCATTTCTTCTTCTCAACAGCACATCGTGAGCTTCTTTCAAAATCATCAATTCTCCATCTTGTTCAATCGCCATGAAGGTTTTCGCGACCATGGCCGGCCTTTTGGCCGCGGCTGTCGCCGCCCCCTCCAGTGAGCACAAGCTCGTGGCGCGCCGCAATGGTATCGACTATGTTCAGAACTACAATAGCAACCTGGGTGCCTTCAGCTACAACGAGGGCGCTGGTCAATTCTCCATGTACTGGGATCAAGGTGTCAACGGTGACTTTGTCGTTGGTCTGGGTTGGCGCACTGGGTCTAAGGAGTAAGTGACCCCCCCCCCCCAACCAGGAAGATGGGTCAATCCAGCTATCTGGTTCCTTATGCTGAATACATTGTCCTTCGTCCCTTCATCAATACTGCGTCAAGAAGTCCAACTGACCGATCTAGACCCATCACCTATTCCGCCACCTACTCTGCTGCCAACTCTGGCTCGTACCTCGCCGTGTATGGCTGGATCAACTCCCCACAGGCCGAGTACTATGTTGTTGAGAACTACGGTACCTACAACCCCTGCAGTCAGGCTCAGAGCCTAGGCACCCTGACCTCCGACGGAGGTACCTACCAGGTTTGCACCGACACCCGCTACAACCAACCTTCCATCACTGGCACCAGCACCTTCACCCAGTACTTCTCCGTCCGTCAGAACAAGCGCTCTTCTGGAACGGTCACGGTCAACAACCACTTCAACTTCTGGGCCCAGCACGGGTTCGGTAACAGCAACTTCAACTACCAGGTCATGGCGGTTGAGGCTTTCAACGGCAATGGTCACGCCTCCGTCCAGGTCTCTGGTTAAGGGGTGGTGGGAGAAAGGATTTGAATCGGGGATGATGTGATCTGTGTGAGATCTGGCGATTGGGATTGTCTCGAGCTGTCAATGTATTGAACTCGATTTTGGCTGCTTTGCCTATCAGTCTAGACAAACCAATTGAAGCGTCCTTGTCAAACCATCTCATTTTCGTTCCAGACGAACGATATGTAATCATTCATCCAATGTTGACGATCGTGCTCAACCTCACAAGAAGAAGTGACTTGGAAATGACAGAAACATCCTGTTGTCATCATATGAGATGGGAGCCCTCTTTGACCTCCCGTCGAAGTCATATCATCACTCAGCCATCCTATGCGATCTGCCAGATGCATGGTTGTTGCTCGCTTGCTTTGATTTCCATATCAATAATGACGTGTCAAAATGCTCCCGGATAAAATCTAACCCTAGCTTAATCGATGAATGACCTGGGTGAACAGGCTCCTTCATTGGACCATTGGTCGTCCGTCCTTTCTTGAACCTGGAACGCATTCACCGAGGATCAGATAAGCTACTATTCGTATCCACGTTTCCAAGATCGAACCCCAAGTTTCCGAATACGGCAGCACGGGCCAGTGATTGAGAGAACCCCGTCGCCAACTCTTTCTAGATCGCAGTGTGAAGACTGTCAATCATTCAGAAAGCCCGGTGCAACAGTGCACATTTGCCGTCAAAAACTCCCGACAGTACACAGGTAACACGCCCGCGGGAGGATGTTCGTGCTCGACTCGGGGTTGAGTTGCCATAGTGCTAGCCCATGGACATGTACTTCTCCTGTGCAGCCCAACCTAACCAATCCAACCACTGTTAAACGGGGAAGTTGGGACTCCGGTCTCGGTATTTCCCCGCGCTGGTCGCTGATCCTCTCTCCAGTCCGCAGTCTGCGATGCCGATCGCTTCCATCTGGGAGGGGGGGGTGGCGGCGGCTCATAGTGATAATGGCCCCTTACCCTTGCTTCCTTACCCCCTCATAGGAGTTCAAGGAAGGCAGTTTGTGTGGAGAGACGTCACACGTTGCCCGCATCTGACAAATCAAGGTGAGATGGCGCGACAAGCCTTTTATGTCGCACATATCGTGCAAGGATTCCGTCTCCCTCTCCACCCACTCTCCTCAATCTAGCTTATGCAACCCTTGGTGAAAGTCTCTTTTTTTCACTGTAGGTGCAACGTGTGTGCTTGGAGTTCCAAATTGATCAGCTTGTTGTTGCATGGGTTTCTAGAACAACAGGGAATTCGACGATCAGTTGGCTGATCACAGGAATAATTCACCTTTTCTGTACTAACTTCACAAAGAGAGCTGGCTCGGTTCCTGGGAGTATCGATTTCCCGTGCGCATTTTCAGACATAACGAGACTTTCGTCTGCTTTTGCGACTTGAAGCCCCCTCTCGTATTCATTATGGAGGAAAAGCCGGAGGCAGTCAGTCTCGCAGACAGCGAACGGCATGTCAGCCATCCACTGCCGAAGAAACTTGCTGGAATTGATAACCCTGATGCAGGGTTGAATGACGAGGAACGGGCGGCTATTGTATGTCTTGTTGCAAGAGGACAAGGCCTTCCACTCTGGCTAGAAACCATGTGGCAGCACTGGATCAAAAATCTGATATAATATGCCATGTAGGACCGCAAGCTTCTCTGGAAACTCGACCTCCGTCTTGTCCCTTGGCTGAGCCTGCTATACTTGATCTCCTTCCTTGATCGGTAAGTAGAGCCTGAAGTGCCTTTCATCTTCGCATCAAATGGCACAACATTCATGTCTTGTCTACCATAGGACCAACATCGGTAATGCCAAGATTGACGGCCTGGCCAAGGATCTGGGACTGTCTCCCGATCAATATAACGCAACCTTGACGATCTTTTTCGTCTCTTATTCGGTCTTTGAGCCGCTGACCAATATCCTGCTGAAGCGCTTACGGCCGAGTATTTTCATCCCGAGCATCATGCTCGCATGGGTATGTGGTTTGGTCTTCTTCTCAAGGGCCGATGAATTGAAAGCTGGACCAACTACGCTTTGCATAACACTGACGAAGCGATTGCGATAGGGTATATGCATGACTTGCATGGGACTCGTCAAGAACTACTCGGGTCTGATGGCAGTCAGATGGTTCCTTGGACTCAGCGAGGCCGGTTTGTTCCCGGGAGTTGGTTATTTCCTCTCCTGCTGGTACCGTCGATCTGAATTTGGCGTCCGAATGGCCATTTTCTTTTCAGCAGCCGCATTGGCTGGATCATTCGGGGGTCTACTCGCAGCCGCTATTGCCAAGATGGACGGCATTGGAGGGAAACCAGGATGGGCGTGGATTTTCATTCTCGAGGGTCTTCTAACCATTGTGGTTGGAGTGGTCTCTTTTTGGATGGTGTATGATTTCCCTAATGAGGCGACGTTCCTGTCACCGGATGATCGTGCTCGGGTGCTGCGCCGACTGGCAGCAGACCAACAGTCGAGCGCGGAACATGAAGAGTTCAAAATGTCGTACTTTTGGGCCAGCGTGAAGGACTGGAAAACTTGGCTTGGCGCAATTATATATATGGGGGCAGATGGGTCGCTGTACGCATTCTCATTGTTTGTGCCGACGATTATCAACGAATTAGTGAGTGTTCATTCGTTGACTGGACTAACGAGAATGTTTCATATGCTGACCATTGTCCAGGGTACGAAATAGGTGCAATTGGGAAAGACGTAGAGTATTTTCTAATCTGCTAACCGGGGCTATCATCTCACAGGCTATAGTTCAATCCGTGCTCAATTGCTCAGCGTACCACCCTATGCCGCAGCCGCCATTGTCACCATCCTGACTGGGTTCGTTGCGGATCGCACACGTCAACGTGGACTGTGCAACATTGCAACCTCATTGCTCGGTATTCTGGGGTTCTGCATGCTCCTGGGATGCGAATCTGCCGGGGCGCGGTATGCAGGTGTCTTTTTTGGCGCCATGGGTATATATCCGGCCATTTCGAACACCATTTCCTGGGCCAGTAACAACATTGAAGGTATGGGAACAGCTCAATCCACAGGGACCTGACATTGTGCGAAGTTTTGTCGTGTGCGGCAGCTGACATGGGGACTCGCAATTGCAGGTGTGTACAAGCGCGGTGTCTCCCTGGGCTTCATCATTGGTTGGGGTAACTTGAACGGGATCGTATCCTCCAACATTTATCGCGACAAGGACAAGCCTCGTTTCTATCCAGGGCATGGGGTGGTCCTGGGTTACTTGGTGCTGTTCCTTTTTGGTGGATCGGTGTTGCAATACTGGCTGTTGCGGCGGGAGAACTCAAAGCGTCGTCGCGGTGAGCGAGACTCCTGGATTGAGGGCTTGGATCCCAGTCAAGTTGAACTGTTGGGCGATAAACGACCTGACTTTATGTACACGCTGTGAGGATTGACAGGTAGCAGGTCGATCATGTCAATGGGATACGTTCAGGTGGTGATTAGAATCTGTGGATCGTAAGGACGTATGCGAATCATTGTTCCAGAGTCAGGAGCTTGCACCGGCCGTATCGAGCCCAATGTCGCTGTAACCAAGCCAAAGCTGGTGGTTCCTCGATCGCATCCGGGCGTTGGAGGAGTGAATTGAGCTCCGAGTTGGACGTCTGATCGACCGTTGAGTAGAGCCCAGGCATGATTTCAAGCGCAAGTGAGTCCACCCCTATCTCACTCAAGCTCTTTCGTATCGATTGACAATGTCCTGATTCTTTTTGGGACCCTTGACCACATGACGGCTGGCCCAGCTCACTACCTCGCCCGTTTTCGATAGAATCCGAAAGGCATACGCCGTGCGATACATATCATTGATACAAAGATGATTGCCCTGAGCTGTCAAGACTGTAGTCTCAGTGTCGTCGAGTGCGCTGTTGGGTGGAGTGGGAGGAGTGACCAACTCCTCGTCATCCTTATTCCCTTCATCCAGCGTGCTTTGACCCAAGTCCTCTGCGAGTGGACCATCCGGTTGATTGGAGTTATTCCCCTGGCGTATATCGTTTGGAAAATCAAAGTTGTGAAAAAGGTAATCCGCCTCCTCGGGTCCCGGCGTAACCTTGACGAACCAGACACTGATTCGCCCTGCATCTACCGACTCTCGCCAGATGTACTTTTTCGTCCATCGCAGACCCGGTAGCGCAGCGCCTCCCGTGACTGCCGAAGGGATCTCGCCTTCTTCGCTGTAGAGCCAATCGCGCTCGGTGGTCGCGGGCAACAGGGTAAAGGTCGCTGTGCCGCGCAACTCCCCGTTCAGGTCAAGGGGGTTGTCGCTGCGCAAGGTGCGGATAAGCGTCCATCGGAAGCTACCGAGTGAGCTGAGTAATGGAAGAAGCTGGCGTGAGGGAGCCATGATAAGAGGGGGTTCTCTCTCTGGCCTGGATGCCGATGGGGGTTTTGGAGTCTGGCTTTGATCCCTTGTCATTAACGGGCTGCCAACGACTCAAGAGTCAACAGTGACCTGAACACACACGGAGCACGTGGGGTTCACTCTGGCCCCACGGCGGGGGTCCCGGGAGGTTGAAGTGTGGCTGTGGGGTGTGGCTAGTGAGTAGTGTTGACGAGCCCGGCTTGTGCTTAAGGTTCACAATTGGCCTTCTCTATCTTACATATCACCATAGTAGTAGTCACTAGTCAGTAACTACTGTTGTTGAGATAGCTTAGTGGTCCAGCGCGTCACACCAGCGTGGTACACGCCTACGCACACCACCACCAGTAGTTTAGATAGTACCTCTTACTAGATACAATCTTACCATCCCTTTCTCCCCTCTTTTGATCAGTGCTACGTTTTCGGTAGCTCCCTAATAAATGTATTACATAGTACACACACAGTACATACAACATGACTTGCAGAACTCTCCGTTCCTTATGGGTTAGCCGAAGCATATTCATGCATGGACAGCTAATGCACTGTGCGCTGTAAAGCGTACCGAAGCACATCCGCGACTACCTGCTGTAAGTTCTAATCTTATCGAATTGGCACCTCAACGGACATGCCTCCGGAGAGTATCGATCGACAACGCACTGTACGACTTTATTTGTCATTGATCCCTTGTCTGGAATTTCCAATCAGCTTACTGGACCTAGTATCGTGGCTATGTACGGGTCAATGCGAAGTTCTGTGGGGTGTGGACTCAACTGTAGGTACGTCCTTCACCTGACGCATCAAGAGCAGGCAACCGGGCCTGACAACGTTAACAGGAGCAGTCCCGCATATATTTGGCTGACCGATTTGCAACTTGCAACACACCAAGGGGAGGCGCCAAATCAATCCCTATTAAGGGATCTCACTGTGATCAAGCCTGGCGTTGGTTCAGGGTCAGTACATCGAGGCGCTGCCCCCGATTGCCTTTCGAGGCTCGCGCCTGGGAAATCTGACGACGGTCTGAGCTTAAAGTCTTGGCCAGAGTAAGCCACGACGGCCGAGGGACCAGTCATATCGATATGTAGTGTTCACGGCACAGTGAGCGGCCTTCCCCATGCACAGGCTGGCGATGAGCTGGCTTGGAAGGGTCTCCGGATGGTCCGGATCTGCGGGCACGTACAGTACAGTACTTACTACAAGGACACCGATCCAGTGCGTTCCGTTCAGCTGATTTTCAACTGCTACCTTACCAACACTATTCGTAATGTCACATAGTGGTAGTCTGTCGCCCGGCATTTGCTCTGAATCGGGCAAAATGTTCCATAAGTGACCATTATTTTCGAGAGCGAGGAAACCGCTGTTTTGATCAAACGGCCGGTCCTAGAAGGGATATGACTTGATCATTTTACACAGTTCGCGTATGCCTTTATTAGGTGTCTGCGCTTGGACCTTTTCCTATGCACTTACCCTGAAAACCTACACCTATGCCTACTTGCCTAGTATGTCAAGGAGGTCAAGGGGTCCATTGGGTCCATTACCTGTGCTTGGAATGGCCCGGCTCGGCCAATGCGTGAAGTTGTTTCTCGACGGGAAATGCAGGCGTCAGTAAATTCGATACCATCATGTAAACTCAGTCGGGCCAGCACTGACCCAAAACAACTGTACGACCATGTTTGCAGAGAAAATCCTTTCCTGAGATTGTTGTCCCTGTGATGATGAGTCGTCTCAATGACCTGAACCCCTTGTTCTTGCCGTTGACCTGAACCCGTTTCTCTATGACAGGCTCCATGTGCTCGTAATCTCTCCAAAGCGATTGGGTCAGAATCACAGAGCATTGAATAGTCCATTGACCCTGATAGGAAAGGATGCGCTTCAGACTCGGGTATTATGTGGGTCCTGCAAGAACAATAATGATGGGTATGCTTTTCGCTGCCGAACCTAAGGAGGTCATGATCGATTTCCGGGGCAACGAGCGTATGGTCGTGTACACTGTACAGTGCACACTGTACACTTGTAGAGTAGTCACTTGTCAGTACTGTAGTCAGGAAGATCTAGATGGCGATGGAGGAATCGGAAGCTTGGTGATGAGTCGTCAGCAATTGGTAAGCCACATTGATATTCGAATCGAAGACCTCCAATTCATTGACGCTCAGTCTGGATCGTTCCGGATGTATACTAGTACGGTAGCGAGGCAAAAGCGGAAGATTGGGGCTGGACCAACGACGAGTCGTCGTATTCGTGTGCTGCAAGGCCAGGGCACAGCCTCTCTGCGTTCTCTGGGGAAATGACCCTGGAGATTTGCACTTCATTGATGATGCCAAATAGTGGACCACTGGACAATCAATAGCCAGGTACGGCATGACGCTACGCTTCCTGAGGATCGCGCGATCGAGCATTTAATCGATGCGATCTCATTGGCAGTAGCTTAGTCCCGCGATGCAGAGATGGGGCTCGGGGCTTCGGCTACGGGGCAGCACCACCATGACCGTTCCAGTCCAGGTAGGCTTCACGACCGAGCCCTGCTCCATTGGCGGCGGATGAATGGTTCCTGAAGTTGATGAACCCCGGGGTCCAAAGGGCTCAGTCAGCGTGGAAACTGTGAGGAGCTTGGCGGGGCCCCACTCGGTATCGGCTGGTATGGCCAAGTATATCGTTAGCCTGGTTACGGTATTTTACCAGGTCTACTTCAATTCAGTCCGTCTCGGTCGCTGCTTCCCCAATGCACGGTACATGGTCCAGATAGCCATCTCAATGACTTTCCCAATATAGTAATGACCTCAAAGTCTTTTGTGGAGCAACTACTGTAACTTCATTTTTGGAAGTTTCCAATTTTCATTATTAACGGGAGCCGAGGAGGAACTGACCGAGTTGGGTATCCACCAACACCCTCATCGAGATTCCGTTTGTCGCGAAGTACTTAAGTCAGACAAATGTCCCAATCTCTTCAGTAGAATTAATCCCAAATATTTCCTGACTCACCCCTGCTCCCCGTCTACTCGGTCCTTCGATCAACTTGGAACGATGCGATTCACCTCTGCCATCCTGGCGGCTGCCGCTGCCGGCTCCGCTCTCGCCCAGCGTCCGTCCAACACATCCATCTGCGACTACTACACCACCGCGCTGTTGAAGGAGAACAATGCCACCAACCAATACACTCTTTTGACCCTCGTCGTCAACACTGCGGTGATTGGAAACTACACTCAGCCCAACGTTGGCGTCAGCGTGCCCGGTATCCTGAACCCTAACGGCACCTACAATGGCACCAAGGTCAACTTGGTTCCCTACTTCAACGGTGGTCTGGCCTCGACCAACGATAACGGAAAGGCCGTTGCTCGAAACTTCCTCGATGGCGGTGGTGCGGCTCCTCTGATGAAGAACATGCCTGCCGACGACATGAAGTCGAACCAATAGTGCGTGATAATCCTTGTCGCCGCAGAATGTCCCACCCATGTCAAAGACGGGGACCGTGGACAGTGACACTGACTGAAGAATACAGTTTCCTGATGACCCACTTGTATGAGTTCTTTGGGAGCCTTCTCGGCTGCTCCCAATATGGTATGAAGGGTTTCCCTGAATACTCTGGCGATGCCAGCATGTACAAGGTTCACAAGTAAGTTATCCGGCAGGACTTGACGGTATTTACCTTGTCCTCCAAGCTCACACCTTCTCTCAGGTACATGGTGCTCGACCCTTATCAGATGGGTTACTTCATCGAGCAAGTTGCCCTGTCTGCTGCCTCCTTCGGAGTTGCCGAGTCGGACATCATGGCCGTTGGCCAGGCCCTCGGCTCCCTCTTCAACTACCGCTGCGAACCCGAGAAGACCGTCATCAAGGCCCAGGGCCCTCAGTGGCAGAGTATCTGCACTGACCAGTCCTGCCCCTTGGCCGATAATGCCACTTGCTCGGCTTACGAGATGGTTCCCCAGCCCGCTGTTGCCAATGCCACTCTTGCCATGGGTGAGGGTCGCAACGCTTCCATGTCTGGATCCGCAACTCCTACCATGTCTGGTTCCATGACCGGCACTGCGAGCCCATCCGCAAGTGCTTCCTTCAACGCCGCTGCCATTGTTGCTCCCGGGCTCACTGGTGTAGCCGCTGCTATCGTCGCAGCTTTCGCTCTGTAAATCTTGCGTACTGGGAGTGTCTATACTAATGTGTCGATGAGCTTGAAAAAGCTACTCGGACTTGATTCCACCTTTGACAAGTCAACGAGGCCCACGTTGTCAAATTATTTACCATTCTATTATAACCCCCTTCCCAAGGGGCACCACTTAATTGAGAGCTTTTTTACACCCTATCGACTGTCGACTTTGACTTGCAAATCTTGGTGTAGTCTTCAACGCTGTCAAAAGCAAAGGTTTTTATGTATCAAAATTCGTACCCCAGCCATGGATGGTTGTGAGTTCAAAGTGATAGGTAGCCTGATTGTGGCACGAAGATTCTGTCTCTCTTTGATTTCATGTTCACTCCAACGTTCCATGATTCCACCAAACCAAAGCCAGAAGCATCATCTGCATTCTTCTAAATCATTCTATTTTTTGGGGGTGTGCAGCTCAGAGAATTCCTTCCAGTTCTTCCATCCAACGTACATCTCTCGACAGTGCCACACGTCCCATACCTATGGCAAGTGAGCCTATTCTTGTCGCATACATTACCTAGAAGTTGCCGAGCCATCTTATACGTAAACAACTCCCAAGGTTATTGCTGGACATTGTTTCTTCATCTCATGATGCCAAGCTCGACCCAGTCCATGTCTTGGATTGTTCCATTCTCCGGGTGAACGAGTCGATTCAGCTGACATTGCCACCAGAACAAACAATAGTGGAATCTCTTCCACCCCGTAAAAAAGTGAACAGGAGGTGACATCGACATCTCTCGACCTCTGCTGGTTCAGTATCTGGAGAAGTCCTTCTCTTGGGTATGGTCTATGAGCGTGATCGCTTGTGCAAGAAGGTATATGCACATAATCTCAGCGAGGTCTGCGAAGGTATGTGGATCCATCCTCTACGGATCTCTCCGGACCACGGTTCATACCACCAGACGGGCAACGTTGTTACCTTGGACTTTGACTACGTGGTACCCAACAGGCAAAAGCCGCTGCACAGCCAGTCTATTGAAACCTTGAAACCTGAAGATTCGGGGACTAAGGAGCAGCATGAGGTCGTGCGGGCGATAGCGCCAAGCAAATCATGTACGTCATGACCTAGCGTACTGAGTTAATTCGCACCACGTTCACTGATCTAGTGCCATGTCTCCTTGGCAGAATAGAAACCAGCAGCAACTTGTCTCGCTTACTCGAGATTGGATCAGAGTGGAGTATTTTGTCAGTCACAGGTCCCAACCGGAAGTTACAGTATTTGCTCGATGGGCCATCAGTACCTGGTTACTAAATAGGTAAACAAGGGTGACTGATCGAGATGAGAGTGCGGCAGTGCGCTAGGCACGCGCCGCATGACGTCACTGATCACTGGTCACTGGTCCTACTCAAGGGACGCAGACGGGGTACCTCCAACTCCGTGGCACTTGCAGTCGAATTCAAAAGCACAGAGACGAGTTATGGGTGAGCGTTATGCAACTGGTAAATCTCAAAGTAGTGCGCGCGAGGCTCAAAGCGAGGAAACTCCATCCCAGACATTCCAGACTGGTGTCAAGTCGCAAACAAGTTGAGCATGTCCAAATTTTAATTCCCACTGATTGAGTGATGATCCTCGTCTTCAACATGGGGGGGTGGGGCGGGGGGGGGGTCCTCCTTCGGGGTTTGACCTGTGCAGGCCGCAAATGGGCATCCGGGGACCTGTGGAATGCACCTTCGAGATGCTGTGGTAAAGTGTAGAAAGCGATTGGTTCTTGAGAGACAATCTGTCGATTAGGTTTTGGCTCGAGCGGAGCGAGTCACACCCGATTGGGTACGTGGATCTATCAATCCACTTCTGACCCACAGAACACCCTTTGGTCACCTCCATCAATACCGGTTGAATACGGTACCGCTCGAAATACACCAACCCGTCTTGTAGAGCTTTGAAAGTTTTCGTTTACACATCCTGCCTGATCGGTCCCTGTTTCCCTGGTCAGGAACACCTGCAGGCGTTTGACTATGCCCAATCGGAAGAACAAGCTGGACAACCCTCGCAGGGAAGTCCCATTCCGGGAGTTCCTAAGCTGACGCAAAATCAAGCCGGAGTGATAGGATCCCAAATCTGACTCGTTCCATTGGCCTTCCTGACTCGGAGCAAGAGCATCTTGTAAGTTGCGGGAGGCTAGTGGGGGACACAGGACCGAGCTACTATCCAGGTTCACCACTACCCCCCATAGCACCTCCATCCCGCCCCAAGTGGGCGATAGTCGAGCCACGAAGCGGGACCACCACACAGCATAGAAGATCGAGAGATTACTGTACTACTACTTTGGATTCCGGTCCAGCCGAAATAGGCCCCTGACTGACACCCACGGAACCCATGAGGTGATCATCTCAATTTGGCATGCGGTTCGCAGAACAACAATTTAATCCCCTTTTGGACCTATGCCGAGTGCGTTGGAATCAGGAGAAGCGGGCATAGCCTCGGAAAGCACCTAGTAAATTGGGTGTGGGCACTGGGCACTGGGCACTGGGCAGTCTATCCATGCTCGTTACAACCGAACTATAAGGGCGGAAAGGATCCTCTGCGTCCGACCACCGCTTTGCGTCCTTGCAAGCACCTTCTCGCATTGTCCGATATGTCAGAGCCATCAATATCCACGCTCGAACGAAAGAAGATCTTGAAGACATTGTTCATCTCACTGCTTCTGGACTTGGTACGTTGCCTTTATCGTGAGCGCAGTCTGTGTATCCGCGCCGTGGCTTGGTCTGTTCATGCTGACGACAAAACAATGGCTGTGGGATTAGATCTCTTTCACCTTCATTCTCCCTCTCTTTCCATCGGTACTCGGGTATTACAGATCTAAGGATGATTCGCCCACCAGCCTCCTCAACAGCGTCTTTCACTACCTGAACGCTTATAAAAATGCCTTTTCGCGGCCCATCGACTCCCGTTACGACATCATCCTCCTCGGTGGAGCCTTTGGCTCGCTCTTTTCTCTGCTCCAGGCAATCGCGGCGCCATTTATCGGTAGATTGTCCGACATTTATGGCCGTCGACGCGCGATGCTATTCTCCATGGCGGGTAACATTCTCAGCGTCGGACTCTGGGTAGGTGCGACTGACTTTCGCACCTTCCTTGCCAGTCGCGTCGTTGGAGGATTGACGGAGGGCAACGTCCAGTTGGCCAATGCGATCGTGTCCGACATCAGTGACGAGACCCAGCGTGGATCTGCAATGGCCCTCGTGGGCGCCTGTTTCAGTATCGCATTCACATTTGGGCCCATTCTCGGTGCCGCTCTCGCCACGATTGAAATGGTCGCCTCGAACAAATTCGCCGTTGCGGCAGGAGTGTCGTTGCTCCTTGTCGTGGTGGAGACTGTGTACATTTACTTTGCGCTACCCGAGACTCATCCTCGGCTTCGAGATGTGCCAGTTGCCCTATCACCCGACTCCCCGGGAGAGACGAAATCGACAAGCAAGGTCAATGGAGCGACTTCCTATATTGATACGACAAAGCCGATAAGCAACGGGCGTCCCCAGTCACCAGCAATGGGGCGCAGGACCACCCAAAACTCCATGACAACCTTGAAACTTCTTCACTTCCTGTTCTTGGTCTCCTTTTCTGGGCTGGAATTCTCACTCCCTTTTGTGACGGCCGCATCCTACGGCGAGCGCCTCCAGCATAGCAGCCCCTCGGCCCTGAATGGTCGTCTTCTGTCCATGATGGGATTGATAGCATCACTCCTACAGGGCACCATCGTTCGACGTCTGCCACCACTCGTGGTAGTCAGAGCAGGAGTGGTCACGTGTGCCATTTCCTTCTTTGTCCTTGCGCGTGCGAGCTCCATTACGGGTCTGTACAGTGCCGGCGCACTACTCGCTGTGACTTCGGCGACCGTAGTGACGGGCATCAACAGTTTGGGCAGCTTGGAGGCTCAAGAAGTGGAGCGTGGCGCCGCGCTTGGCCAGCTGCGTAGCTGGGGTCAAGTCGGTCGAGCCTTGGGGCCTTTATTGTTCTGTACCCTCTTCTGGTGGGCCGGTCGAGAGGTTGCATATATCACTGGGGGGACGTTGATGGTCGGCGTGGGTGTGATTGTTTTTACCATGCTCCAGTCTCCAAAAGCGGGGAAGGGCATGGTTCATGTATCATGACTTTTGAGGTGCAATCTGGTTGCACGACTACTTTTTCACAGTCGAGGGTCGCACCATGATCAACAGACATGTGCAATGTTGAAGTTCCGGTCGGTACATACTACATATGCCGACATCATGTACCGTGTTTCTGACAACACGCTTGAATGTGTGTACCTTTGCAACAATCAGCCTCGTAGACGGTGTGGATATTGATTCCCATCTCTGTGCTCCCATCCCTATCCGCTGTAGGATCAAGCTAGGACAACGTCTACCCTCAATCAAGATTCGACTTTTCACCGTCGCCGCCTCCTGGGGGATTGTTATTGTTGAGATAGCTTGGTGGTCAGGCGTGTCACCAGCGTGGTGCGCGCCCACGCACACCACCTTCGTAGCTTAGATAGGCACCTCTCACCAGATGCAATCTCACCATTCCCTTTCTCCCCTCTTTTGGGTCTGCTACGTTCTCCCAGTAGCCTCCAATAGATTATGAGCCCTGCTTAGCGCACAAAAAGTGAGGTTATTCACATTTCCTTACTGCCTAGGCACAACTTGTATAATAACCTCTTTTTCCATCGTTTTTCGGCGCGTTTTGCGCCTTCTATAGAGTATAGACTTCGCACCTCTTTACAACTTGACGATCCCTACGCATCGAATCGTCGCTAAAGTCCCTCCTTCGGCTTTAACGCTATTCAAAAATATATAAAATCCTTCCGGCTTCTACGCTATTTTCAGAGCTCTTACGCTCTTTACCTACGTAGCGGCACATCGCCGTAGTAGGTATACCTACGTAGCGGTACTTCGCCGCAGTAGGACTACTATATAATATACCTTCGTTATCGTGGACCTTATACCTTCCGGCTCTTACGCTCCTTAACTACGTAGCGGTATATCGCCGTAGTAGGTATTACCTACGTAGCGGTACTTCGTCGTAGTAGGATTAATATATTTGTTGAGATAGCTTGGTGGTTTAGCGCGTCTTACTAGCGTGGTGCGCGCCTATATATACTACCTTTATAGCTTAGATAGGTACCTCTTACCAGATGTAATCTTAATATTCCTTTCTCCCCTCTTTTGGGTCTGCTACGATCTCCCTATAGCCTCTAATAGGTTATAAGCCCTACTTAGCGCACAAAAAGTAAGGTTATTTATATTTCCTTACTGCCTAGGTATAACTTATATAATAACCTCTTTTTCTATCGTTTTTCGGCGCGTTTTATGTCTTCTATAGAGTATAGACTTTGTACCTCTTTACGACTTAACGATCCCTACGTATCGAATACGGCTACCGAAGCTATCGTATCGAATTATCGCTAAAGTCCCTTCTTCCGGCTTCTACGCTATTTTCAGAGCTCTAACGCTCTTTACCTATATAGCGGTACTTCGCTATAGTAGGCTTACTATATAATATACCTTCGTTATTATAGACCTTATATCTTCCGGCTCTTACGCTTCTTACCTATATAGCGGTACTTCGTTATAGTAGGATTAATATATTTATATATATTTAATATAGTTTCCGATCTCGAGGCTTATAAGGTAGCTAAAACCTTCGCCGAATTAGTCCCTATACTTAAGGGAAGAGCTAACTTCGAGAAATAGAAATAGGGGCTTTAATTTATTATAGATAGCCTAGACGAAGATCTATGGTCTATTATTATAGGTAAACTAATATACCCTATTTAAGAGCCTCGTGATACTCCTATAGAGGAAGCTATCTAAAACGTCCTTTTCGCTTAACTTAGACGAGAATCTACCGAAGAGGAATTTAATAAATAGATTAATAAGAATATAACTTAACTAAATAACCGATTTCACTAGTTTCGCCGGAAATATACGCTTACGAAATACCTAATCTATTATATACTTAGCGATTTAGCTCGTAGCTTTATACGCGATTATAAAGATTCTTATAAAATCTTCCTTTATATTAGTAATATATATAGTACTAGTAATTATACTACTTTAAGCTATAAGCTATTATCTTTAATTAAGCTTATATATACTAGTAGTAATCTATATAATTTTATTACTAAATAGTAAGCTACTTTAGATCTTACGAATTTAGCTATTCTAAATACCCCGTTACTACCTAAATAGGCTCTAGCTTATTTTAAGCTTATAATTAACGGCTACTAAAGCGTAAAAGGTTTCTTAAATATATATAAACCTCTAACTAATCCGGATAGTATACTTAACTATATTTTCGGTAAATTTATTAAATATAAGTCGAATAAAAAGTCTGTAAATATAGCGATTATAGCTATTTCTATCTTAAAAGATACGAAATCTACGTAAAATAGCGATCGAGGTAGAGATAGAGATAGAGGCTAAGGAGATAGAGGCCGCGGTAGAGGCTCCGGACGAGGTCGTAGCTAAAGTTAAAATAACTAGGATAATAATAATTAGCTATCGTATTATTATATCTACTATAGGCGTTTAATAGCTTATATTAGTAAGTAGTACTTCTTTAACCCTAAATCTAAGGGTATCTCTTAAGACGGAGTTAATATAGCTATAGCTAGTACTTCTAATTTAAAAAAGGATTTAAATTCGAAGGAGAAATCTAAAAATAAGATTTTAACGAGCTTCGCCGAAATAAGCTTATTAGCTATTAATATTATAGCTATATTAATAGATAATAACGAATAGTATACTTAGATAGTAGACTCTAGTATATTAGTATATATAATACCTTATTATATAAATTTTATTAATTTTACGCTACTTATTACCGATATAAAGCTTCTAAATAGTTATTAAGTATAGACTAAAGGATATAGTAATATTATCCTAAACTTTTTAAATAGAAATAATATTTCTAAGCTTAAGCTACTTAGAGTCTAGTATATTCCTTCTTTTAATATAAATCTTATTTCCTTATAGTAACTTACGAAGGATTCTAGTATTAAGACTCGATTTAATAAGATATATAGCTCCCTATATAGGGGGGAAGAGCTTATCGTTATAGTAAAGTAAGAGAATAGTTAATATTAGGTTCGTACCTATAATAGTAATAGCCTTATTAATATATTTAGAGCTCTATCTATTTAACTATCCTATATATTTAGTAGTAGCTATATACCCGCTATAGATTCTGTTATAGCTTCTTAAATCGGTAAGATTTAACCTATTTTAATAGACCTAGCTTATCGTAGAGTCTATTACGCTGGCGAGCAGAAGATAAAGCGTATACCTAAATATACCGAAGGAATTAATATTAAAAAGGGATCTAGTATTAAGTACTCTTATCCTTCTTATATTCTTAGTAAAGGCTATACCTTATCTTTTAGACGGAGTAAGCGTATTAAGACTATACTAGCGTAGAAGCTTTATATTAATATTTAGGGTCCTATCTCTATCGTAGGCGTTAGAGGTAATCGTTATTTTATAATAGTTACCGATAATACTACTCGCTTCTATTAGGTCTTCCTATTAAAAGCGAAAAGCGAAATTACTAATAAAATTTGTATATTAGTAACCTATTTTTTAACGTAATTTAACTATAAAGTTAAGATAATTTTAGGCGATAATATATAAGAATATATTAAAATCGCTACTTTTTATAAAGAAAATAGTATTATTTAGGATCTTATTCCTTCCTATATACCTTAGCTTAACGGTATTACAGAGATTAGGAATCGTTAGCTTATTAAGCCGCTAATCGCTATATTAGCTAAAAATTAGCTTCCTAAATATCTATAGGGCGAGCTACTTTTAGATATTAATTATATAATAAACCGTCTCTAGTAGTCTACTATTAATATAACTCTATATAAAGCTTTCTATAGTAAAAAGCTAGATATTTTAAATCTATATATACTTAGCTACTAGGCTTAGTATCTAATTCTAAAGGAACGTAGGGTAGATAAGCTTTCTCTATATATAGCCGAAGTAAGACTAGTAGGCTATAGTACTAATAGATATCGACTCTATAATATTTATTTAAAGAAGATCGTAGTCTCTTATAATATAGTCTTTAATAAGAATATAACGAAGGATCTATCTAAGCCTATATACGATCTCGATATAAAGCTAAAGTTAGTTCCTATATAATCTATAGCTAATTAACGCTATTATATACTATCGGATTTCCTACCGGCTAATAGCGATTAACTAATTTAGCTAGATTTAGCTAATAGTCCTAATAAGCTAGTACTACTAGTAACTCTATCTTCTTATATTCTAATAGGAGATCTACTATTATCTAAGCGGTCTAATATACTACTTTCTTTATTTAAATACGAAGTCTAACTTAAAAAGCTTTATAAATAGATTAAGTAGAGATTCACCTATAAATAGAATAAATATATCGACGATAGCCCTTAAACTATAGAGGATAGTTCCGAAACTGTCGAGGGTAGTCCTAGAAATATCGACGATAATCTTTAAACTATAGAGGGTAGTTCTAAAACTATCGAGGCTAATCCTGAAACTATCGAGAGTAGTTCTTAAACTATACCTAAGATAGGTCTTCGGCGTTCCTTATAAGTCCGTAAGAAGACTTAAGCGGCTATCGAGTTAGAGGAATATTTACGTTTTCTTAAGTATTTAAATATAGCTCTAGCTAATTATATTAAATACGCTACTTTTTTAATTCGTAGTATAACTATAGACTTATAACTACTTCTAAAGCTTTTATATTAAGCTTTAGCTTAGTTAACGCTATATAAACTAGATAGCTAGTAGGATATAATATAAAATTATAGTAAGGATAAATAGACTAAATAGATTAAAGCGGTAGATAAGGAAATATAGAAGTAGCTAAAAAACGGTACTTAGCGCGTATATAATCTTCCTACTAAAGATACTAAAAAGACGCTTCTTCCGCTTTAATAGGTCTTTTATATTAAGGACGATAGGACCTATAAAGCGCGTCTTATTATAAAAGGGTTTAAGTAACGCGAAGGAATCGATTATCTTGATATTTATATAAGTATAGCTAAAGCTTTAAGCTTCAAAATATTCTATATAATCGCTACGTATTTCGGCTAGTAGATATATTATATTAACTTTATTATAGCGTTTCTTAATATAGAGCTTCTTAAAGAAATCTATATTTAACTTCCTAATAGTTTTAAATAGCCTAGAAAATACGGCCTCCTTTTAAAAACCTTATACGGTCTAAAATAGAGTCCTCGCGAATAGTATAATACTATTTATAGGGCTCTTATAGCTCTTAGGTTTAGTCGTTTATAAGCTAATTATTCGGTCTTTATATATTTAAAGCGTAAGCTTTACCTTCTTATATATATTAATAATATACTAATTATTACGCCTTTAGATATATCTCTTATATAGCTTAAGGACTATATTCGAAAATCCTTTAATATTACTAATAATAGTACCGTTACGCGATTCCTTACGATTAATATTATTTAATCTATAGATAGTAAAGTTATACTTTCTTAGCTCGCCTATATTCGTAAAGTCCTCGCGAAATTTAACCTATAAGATATATATATAGTCCCTACGCTATTTTATAATAAGGAGATCCTATAACTATATAAGGATACTACGACTCTAGCGGAAGTTAAAGCTTACCGTAAGATAGTAGGCTTACTTATTTAGCTAATAGTTAATACGCGACTAGATATTATATTCGTAGTTATAAAGCTTATAAGATATACGTATAACCCCTCCGCGAAGTATATAACTATATTAAAGTATATCTTTCGATATCTTAAGGGTTCTGAAACGCTTACTATTATATATTCCTACTTACTAGACCCCCTCTTTGGATTCGTTAATATAGATTAGGCTAGTAAATATACGGATAGTAGTATATTAACCTCCGGCTTCCTTTTTAAGCTTACGAATAGTATAGTTACTTAGGCTTATAAAAAGTAAATATACGTTACTCTTTCCTCTACAGAAAGTAAGTATATAGCTATATCTTTAGCTGTCTAAGAGGTATTATAGCTATAGCTTTTCCTTAAGGAACTTGATATAGAGTCCCTTTTACAACTTCCTACTATAATCTACGAGGATAACTAAGGCGCTATTTATCTTACTAAAAGCTATGATTTATACTAACGAACGAAGTATATTAACGTTAAATACTATTATATTAGAGACTAAGTCTCTAGGGGGGTATACAAATTCGTTAAAATCTCTACTACAGAGTAGGCCGCAGATAGCTTTACTAAGCCGCTATAGCGAGTCTAATTCGAGAGGTTCCTATATCTTTTGGGCATGAAAAAGCTCTGATTCAACGGCTATTTAACGGTTTTTTAATAGCCTTTATAGCGAGCTTAATTCTAAGGGTTTAAACACCTTTTTGAGCTCAAAAAAGCTACATTAAGGCGTTATTAATATATTTGTATGATCACTTTTCATGTTTTGAGTGAGATTGGTGGATCGAGGTCCAGGGGGTGTTGAGATAGCTTGGTGGTCAGGCGTGTCACCAGCGTGGTGCGCGCCTACGTACACCACCTTCGTAGCTTAGATAGGCACCTCTCACCAGATGCAATCTCACCATTCCCTTTCTCCCCTCTTTTGGGTCTGCTACGTTCTCCCAGTAGCCTCCAATAGTTATATCTGATCTGTTGACAGCTCAGAGTACATGGGTATATCAGCCCTGGCCGGTGTCTTTTTGATGCATTCACCGCGCCAAGACCGGTCTGCCATGTGGCAGAATATTCGTTCCCTCCAAAGATTGCTTTTGAGGGCGGTGAGGTGTACAGTCTTGAGTCTCCTGCCTTCACCAGGTCATGTGGCGGTTAGTTGGAGAGGGAGCCCGGGTGACAGGTGGGGAGCTCATCCTTCCAATTGACCCAGTACTTTCCCCTCCTTACCTATCCAAAGCAACTCATTCACTTGAGCAAGCACACCGACGATCTCGAAGCCGTAGAATGAAACCACAGTCCCGGTGCGCAGAGTGCAGAGTGCAGAGTGCAACACAAGAATAAGCTCGGATTTTGAAGCCCTGAATGGAGCTGTGGACGCAGCCTGAATGGTGGAATTGCACTGATGACCCAAAATTGCAGCTTTCATCCACTCGACAAGCGGCCCATCCGGTCCACATGGTTCCGTTTTACGGGCTCCCCGCGGCCAATTTCTGCAGCGAGTCGAAACTCCGTCGGTGGAGATGTCCACTCTATTCGATTCAGGCACGGGGCCCTGGACAAGTCTCGAGTATTTCGTGTAACCACGGGCGCACAAGATTCGCGCCTGGAGTCGTGGTGACGAGAGCCGGGTGGTCATCTCAACTGGACAATCCGATCTTGATCCTGCTGCTCCCAGGCAGTGCTGGTTGTGTCTGACAGGAATATCAAGCTCAAGTTTGTCGATATACTCTGCATGTACGGAAAGTTCCTGCCGAGATCTGATCTGTGGACCACTTCGCACTTAGTGACTTTGGGACTGGACTGGAGATGGACTCGAAACTTCCGAGGACCGTCCCTGACATGGTGGGTGCCCAGGCCCCTCAGGTGCCGCTCAGGTACCACTCCATCGCCGGTCCAGCCCTGTGTGCATCCGGTGTGTCTGTCGCATCGGGCCCAATCACGGGGCCAAGTGACGCCCGTTGCATTTCCCTTTTCCTCTCGATTCCTTCCAGACTTTTGCTGCTGACCAGAGGACGATTGATTCCAGGCCTGGTCTCGACTCTGGCAGTTTGCAAGTCTGCATTGGACACCGTCGTCGACCTCTACCCTCTCCACCTACACCTCGTGAACCACCTTTGTTCGCTTCTCTCCAAGGCGTTGCCCTCTACACTCAACTTCCCCACACACTCATTTCTTTTTTCTCGCAAACGCACTTCCCCTCCAGCTTTGCCTTTATCTCGAGTGCCGACTACCAAGGCACACACTCTGCTCTCGTGATCTTTCGTCGGCCCAGTTTCAAGAGACGGGCGGGCATTTGCTTTCGCGCTCGAGCACGCGCTTTTTCTGTCTCTCGTCCTCTTCGGTTGGCCGCATTCAATATCTTCGGTTCGGTCGAAGCCGTCCCTGATTCTCTCGATCTTGTTTGCCGATACGCAGATGGATTGCCCATGCTAAACGCGGCCCGTTATTTCCCCTCTTTTCGGTCCACACCGCAGACATTCCCAACAACGCCGCTGAGTGACTGTCGTCACGAGTGTCTCGTAGGTCAAGACCGGAACCTGGGAGGATTTCTCGATTCTTCGGTGCAATTCGGGCAAGACCGCACGCCACACTCGCAACGCTTCCTCACGATTCCCCCCGCCCCCCGCCACGAGATTTTCGACAGGAACGTCCTTGTTCCGAGCCCTGTATCCACTGTCATTCGGCATCTGCCCGCGGTCCTTTCCACCGGCTTGAGCCATGTTCCTGACGATCACTCGAGCCCATGGGCTGGGCCTTCTCCTTGTCGCCTTGTATGCCTCCGCCACGGCCGCTGCCAACATCCTCCCCGCAGCGGCCTCGGCCTCCTTTCCCGAGTGTGGCCTATCCTGTACCCCCCTCACGCAAGCGCAAGCCAGCTGTGAGAGCGGTGCACAAGCGACCTGGGTCTCGTGTTTCTGTCAATCCGCTCTCCTGCCGACGTTGAAGACCTCCGGCAGTCTCTGCACGTCCTGCACTGCACCGGCCGACCAAGCGCTTCTGTCGACCTGGTACAACGCCTACTGCAACTCTAATGGCCAGAACACCGGCAATACTAGCCCGAGTACGGACACAGCATCGACCACAGCCGCAGTCGCTTCTCCGACTGCGTCGTCGAGTAATAGCATATCGAACCACGCCTCGACGAGCGAGGTCCAGCCCTCTTGGTAAGTGCCACCTAGTGCCTCGATTCCCACGAAAGCGCTTTACCACATTCTCTTGGCGACAACTCACCACAAGACTCTTTCCTTTCCCCCTCCACGTGTCGCACTTGAATTCACCTCGGATCTATTCTCAACTGGCGCTAACATGGGCATCCTCTTCTTCTATGATACAGGTGGAGTACTCACTACAAGTGGGTCATCATGCTGATCGTCCTCGCGATTGGCTTCGGTGCTATTGCCGCCGTGGGAGCTTATCTCAAACGCCGTCACGATGCTAAGAGGGCTAACCTTTACCATACCGGTGGGCCCATGGACAGCAGCTCCGGCGTCCTGGAGGGCAACCCTTACTCCCCATCGAACTCGGAGACAGTGACGACCGTCAAACCCGCCTGGGCTGCGCCCGCGGGCCACGATACCTCGCAATCCCTGGCGAGTAGCTCTCGCACAGAGATCACCACCACACGCGGGGGTAGTACCTTACCTCCGGGGAGCCGCACGCGTCTGCCGAAACCATCTCAGCCTAACGGTAATATTGAGATCCATCAACGCCCGTTACGATGAGCCAATTTGAACCATTTTTACACCCGACAAGCTTCTTCATGACTTGCCTTCTCATCCAAAATTTTGTCATATGATTTTTCGTCCAGTCTCCCTGCGAATCTCTCGTCATTTGAATCTGCAAACCGCTTGCCTTATCGTACTCATCGACACTTTCACGCTCGGACTTGATGATTTATATTGGAAGGATGGTTGCTCTCGAAGATTGGTCTCGAAGATTGGCCTCATCACCCCCACGGCGGTGGCCATGGGAATCTTGCGGCCATTCTGCCTGCTTCCGGCGCAACACCACTTCGGTAATGGTGGACGCAGAAATAGACTGTGATTCTGAGCTTGATCGCCATTCTCTTCGATATTGAAGGAATTCGAATTCCTCCTGTCGTGTAGACATACCCTACCTCGGGAGCTTCTCGTCAGTGAAGCATGATCGGTCTTGTCTCGGGCTCAAGACTTGCACATAAATAGCAGTACATTCAATACACTGCGGGTCTGGTACTCGCAAAATATCATCTCCCGTTCGAGGAGAATCACTCTCACTGAACCAAATTACGACTCTTAAGGAGATCACCTTCTCGCTTGAACAGGTTTCCCGGCAATATAGATTTTAGAGCCCAGACAAATATTGTGGGTCACCTGGATTGCGTTGTCTATGGTTCTCCAGTCAGCTCGTCCCTCCAGCTGTTTGTATGATTGTATCATTGCGCCCGGCATGAAAGCAACTGCCGATTTTAGTGCCCAGAATCTTCAGAAAATCCATCGTTTATTTCGATAGTCTAGTTATGGACCAGTTCGGAATCCTCTATCAGTAGAAATTCTCGTGCAGTCAACTTAAGGGACTATTCTCAGTTCCAACCTAGTCATTGGAAGTAGTTCATAAATAGAAGCGTTCTGTCAGGGATGGCTCTGATTCTTTCGGCTTGGAGGGTATATCCATGCGCCGTCAAACCTATGCTGGTGAGTCAGTGGAGATGGAACCGCGTCCCCGTCCGGCGCGCATGGATGACGTTGGACGATCTCACTGATTCCATTCCAGATACCTTCTATATACGTGTCAATGAGAGAGTTTGATGTGGTACCAAAAGGTTCCGAATCAGACTGCAACATGAGATGATTCCCCTTCGTCAAAGGAGGCCCCCGTCCAGATAAAGGAATTCCAAATCTATAGGACACATCATTTGATACAGTGCCATGCATGAGAATTTCCAAGGACCTTCCTTATTCGGGTGGGAGCTGAATCGTTTGATCGTCAAGAATAGTTGATTGTATATTTATTTTGCTTTAGACATCCCAATTCATTCATGTTGGAATTATCTCAATCACAAGACTCATCACCATGTCATATCAGTCATATTACATACGGTCCCGACGACGGGGGGCGGCGCGAATAATGTTGTCCACCCGCAGAAGAAGCTAGATTGGAAGAAAGTTAGGAATTTGTCAAGACAAACGATGAGTTGCGTCTACTGCAAAACAAGGAATAATAACATACCTCGGCGGCCTCGGATGCCGATGATACAACAGCCTTCTTCAACTTGTAGGCCTCCACGACGCCAAGCTCACGCATGTCGGCAATACCGCCACCAGGCGTCAACAGGTCCAACCCTGAGCTGGTCATGCCATTGTTGATGGCCTGGCGAAGACGAGTCACTAGGTCGCTAGAGTCCAGACCGGCGTTGTCGGCCAGGATCGTGGGCAGTTGCTTCAGGGCGTGTGCGAAGGAGTCGACGGCCAATTGCTTCTTACCAGTGGTGTTTTGAGCGGCCTGCTCCACTGCCTTGGACATCACCATTTCCGCGCAGCCTCCACCCAGAGTGACCCGAGGATCCTTGACAGTCTGCGACAAGACAGCGAGAGCGTCGTGCAGAGAGCGCTCAGCCTCATCGAGAAGTTGCTCAGTGGCACCACGAAGCACAATCGTACAGGCCTGACCAGCTGAGACACCGGAGAACTTGATCAGGGTATCTTCACCGATGATGACCTCCTCAATCAAATCACATGAGCCCAGCTTGACCTGATCGGGGTGGTCAAAGGTGGAAGCGATCTCGCCGCCAGTCACGAGAGCGAGTCGCTCGATACCGTCAAAGTCGGCGTGTTCAATGGACATGATACCAGCCTCGGTGAAGAGCTGCTCGGGCCAGTTGTAGATCAATTGTCGGTTGACGAAGCAGTTGATTCCGTGAGACTTGATACGCTCCACCTTGGCGCGCATCTTCTCACGCTCTGCCTTCTCCAGCTCGGCCAGCTTGCCTGTGGACTCGACCTTGACACGGGCACCGAAAATCTTGACCTTGTCCGTGTCCATCGCAGTGTTGGCCACGAGAATCTTGGCGTTCTCCAAGCGCTTGGGTTGGTTGACACCGATCTTCTTATCGAGAATGAATCCCTCATCCAGATATGAGTCGTTCAGCTTGCCACCGGCCTTCTTGATAATCTGGATGTGGCTCAGATCGGTAGAGCCCTTCAAACGCAGGACAGCTTCACAGGCCAGACGAGCAAAGTGATCGCGGTCTTGCGCCAGAACCTTGGAACTGAGAGTGGTACGAGCAATGGAATGCAGGTCCTTGCGGAAGGCCTCCGGGTCCTTGCTGCGGTCGACGGCGGTCTTCTCAAGAGCTGATAGAGCCGCACGGCTGGCTATCCGATAACCATCAATGATGGTCTGTGGGTGAATCTTGGCGTTGACCAGCTTCTCGGCTTCGCGAAGCAACTCAGCAGCCAGGACGGTGACAGAGGTGGTACCATCGCCGACCTCGTCGTCCTGAACCTTGGAAATGTTAACCAGCACCTTTGCCGCGGCGTTGTCCAAGGCAATCGACTTGAGAATTGTGGCTCCGTCGTTCGTCACGAGAATATCGCCGGTAGAACTGTATTCACAGATAGATTGTTAGATTCAGACTTTCCCTCTTCAACGAACAGGCCCCGCCAAAAATCGCCGAGTGCAACCCCACTACGTACGCAGATTGCAGAATTTTGTCCATTCCCTTGGGACCCAAAGTACTTTTCACCAGATCGCCGACAGCGATGGCTCCAACAAAGGCCGATAGACGGGCATTTTCACCTTTCTCCTCGGTGACATCGTCGGCAAAGATCTGTGTGGGATTGGCAAAAGACGCCTGCTCACGGTGGACAATTAGTACATGAAATCTTCAATGTTGGTAAAAGCGTTCGCAATATGAGCATACCATGATGATCAGCTAAGAACGAGCAAGCGGTCTTGTGATCTTGAAGAACAGGATATCGTCGACTGCCAAAAGATGCAGCTTCGTCAACAGTGGGGGGAATTCTACAGCGAGAAAGGAGAAAAGTTGAGTGGTCCGAGCTTCTGCCCGAATGTCCACCCACCGCCCGCTGTTGATGCGAGGATTCGAAGCTCTCTTGCGCCCGGCGGCTGATTGCACTTGTGGACTCAGAAGATCCTCGTGAGTGTAGATACTTGCGGACAGTGTCGCCATAATGGCTAGCTCGGATGAAACTCAGGTCCAAGCGACAAACAAACGTCCCCATTCCGAAGTGGACGCCGCCGACAATGGTACGTGCATTTTCCCTCATCTTCTCTCCATTGTCTTCCCCGGTCGCAATGTCGACTCTCTCCGCAAAGCGCATTTCGACTAAGTAATACGCATGATCGATGTTACAGGCGACGATTCCTCTTCCGATGACGATTTCGGTCCCGCGCTGCCGTCCGAGGTAGCACCGAAGAAGAAAAGGCGTAAGCTGCCTTTCGAAAAGGTGTACATCGGAGCATTGCCCGCCTCGTCGCGCTACTCGAAATCCCTCATGCACAAGGACCAGTTGTCCTTTGTGACCGTGACGCCATTTACCGATTTTGTCATCACAAGCTCTGTGGATGGAGTGGTCAAGTTTTGGAAGAAGATGGTGGATGGAATCGAGTTTGTCAAAGAGTTCCGAGCCCATCCAGGTGAAATTCGAAGCGTCAATGTCAGTGCCGACGGACGAAGCTTTGCGACGGCGGGCACGGATAAGACGCTCAAGATCTTCGATGTGATTACCTTTGGTAGGGTTGATGCGATATCGGGGACTTGTAACTTCCAGACCGTTCGATTGCTGACTCGCTTATAGATCTATTAGCTATGTACACGCTCGACTTCGTACCACGATGTGTATGCTGGGTTCACCGACGAGGTGCATCTCTACCGCTGCTCGCAGTGACGGACGAGTCTAGCAATACCTTCAAAGTGTTCGACGGCCGGGGTGAAAACCCACAGCCCCTACATACGGTGACCTCAGTACACCGTTCACCGATCGTCTCTATAGCGTTCAACAATGCCTTCGATTGTGTTATTTCAAGTGACGAATCTGGAATGGTGGAATACTGGCGTGCGGGAGATGGATCTTTCGAGAAACCCGACAATGTATTTGAGCTCAAGTCCTCAACCAACCTCTTCGCTTTCAAAAAGGCCAAATCTGTCGCCACGGCAATTACCATCTCGCCGTCTGGTGAGCAATTTGCCACTGTTTCCTTCCCTGATCGTCAAGTTCGTGTTTTCGGGTTTGCGACAGGGAAACTGCATCGCACATACGACGAGTCAATCACTACGATCATGGAGATGCAGCAAGCGGGTACCGCACCCTATCAATTGGAAGAGGTCGAATTTGGACGCCGACTCGCAGTCGAACGAGAATTAGAGGGCGAGGCGACTCGCAGCAAGGTGAATGTGTCCTTTGATGAATCAGGTCACTTCTTGCTGTACGGGTCCCTGTACGGCATCAAATGTATCAATACATACACCAACCGCGTGGTCCGAATCTACGGTCGAGAGGAACCTTTCCGAGCCCTGAACCTGGCGCTGTACCAGGGTCAACCCCAGAAGAAGGGGGTGGTGACCGTATCCATGGCGGCGAGTAGCAATCCGCTCCTCCAGGAAGCCGAAGAACGTGACGCCATTCTCGTGAGCACTGGATTTGCCAAAGTCCGTTTCTATCTATTCACCAACGAGACGGAGATCTCGAAGAACAGCCGTGACGTGCAAAACGAGAAACCCACTCAAGTAGCTGGTGCTTCAGACGCGGGGACCAATAAACACCAAGAGACCGGGACGGCGGCGGTCTTGCACACCACCATGGGCGACATTCATTTGCGTCTGTATCCCACTGCAGCGCCACGAACGGTGGAAAACTTCGTCACTCATGCCCGCCATGGCTACTACAACAACACTATCTTCCACCGGGTGATTCGCAAGTTCATGATCCAAGGCGGTGATCCCCAAGGAGATGGCACGGGAGGCGAATCTATTTGGGGCGGAGAATTCGCCGATGAATTCTCGACCCTCAAGCACGATAAACCCTACACATTATCTATGGCGAATGCTGGACCAAACACCAACGGAAGTCAATTCTTCATCACCACGGAAAAGACGCCTTGGCTAGACAACAAACATACCGTCTTTGGACGAGCCGTGGCGGGCCTGGATGTGGTTCACAAGATCGAAAATGTCAAGACGTATAAGGAGAAACCCGAGGTGGACATTAAGATTGTCAGCATTAGCATTTCATGATCGGCGAGGCCACAAGCAATGATAAGAGAGGTTTCTGGGCCATGTCAATGGGCTAACTCCCCTCCTCCTGTCTAATCTCTTGATATGCTTTGACCTGTAAGCTACTCGCTTCTGTCGAGAATTGATCTGACATTGTTGTCGATCAACCAGCCCAATCGAGACAAGACGGGAGTGCCCGTAAATAAATAATTGCAATATCAGGTCAATCATAAGGAGGCGGTCATCAGGCCCTCAACGTTCTGCAATACGAGTGACATGACGGTATGGGCGCATGACGACCCAGTATTTACACTAGTATCCTCCGTCGTGATATGGACGAGCGGATGTGGGTAATGGTTCTTCCTTTCTCACGCCCGTCAAGAATATCAACTTTCAGGCCGAGTAAGGTAGATCGATCAAGTGATCTGCGGTGGCTCGTCGGCGGAAATGCGTCCTGACTCTTGACACGGTTGATTTGGTGGCCGTGAGTCCGTAGAAGCTGGCACAACGGCCGCGTTGGGAGGTGATTGTCGATCATGACGATGACTCCCGACCATTGAACACCTTGGCAGGGTCTTCATGGGTGGTTAGTCACCCGCAACAGAACATCGGCGTGACTTCCACGACCAGAACCCGGGAATGCTGCGGGACCGATCCGAAGAATGCGGGCAGAGAACCCCTCGCTGGAAGTCTGAGCCTCGATCCAAAGGGTGATGAATCATGATCGCGAGGTGCCATGGCTATGGCCATGGCCATGTCACCTCCCGTGGGATCACGGAATCCTCTTCCAATGGCACATAGTTCGAGTCGCTCATTAGCGGATTACTATACTCGGTAGGTCAAACACCGAGACCAGCGGCGGTACACCCGGGTGTCCTACTACTCACTGGCGGTTGCCCTCTAGTGAGCTTGAAGACACCGATGATGCAGTAGCAGCAGTACTGGTCGATGTCACTTAGTGTATCTCGAACACCTTGGAAGATCTCACCTCCGGTGTGGTGGCTGATTAGTCACCAGGCACCAAGCAACTTGAAATCAATTCGTGCGACCGTGCGACCGTCCCGCAATACCTGACTGGAGTCACTGGACCCGTTTATTTTTAGGACCCCTCAGGTCAACCCCGACGGAATCTTCATCAGTGAAGGTGGTTCTGTCATTTCCAGGGAAGTCCTCAGGTACTGTAGAGTGTAAATCATCAAGTAGGACTCAGCTACAGTAAAGGAACTCAGGTGCCAAGGACAGGGCACCTGACAGGCTGACACCTTCGTCCTGTGACATTGGAACTGCCGCTGCTTTCCGCAAGGAGAGATGCATATTCCATAATCAATAGTACATAGTCATACAACTCCGTGAAAGAGCACCAGTAGGTAGAGATTTCAACTTTGAAGTCATCATGATTCTATTTAGAGCGTATATAAGTTCTCCCTTGTTTTAAACTTCAGGCAGAAGCAGAATGAGCTCGTGGTGACAGCAGAAGAATCATCAGAGATCAAGGAGGCACTGTGAGTGTGGCACGGTCCCCGGCTCAGCCACGGGCTCTTCACGCGCAAAATGAGAGATGGACCGAAAGCACGAGTACGGCTACTTCTTTAGTGAATGACAATGAGATGATTTCTTGATCGCACTCTCCGACTGACGACCCCCCTAAAGAGAAGCAGATTCAACCCGTCATTGCAATTTCCTTAGATCAATTTTTCCTCTGCAATTCGGGTTCAGTCGGACCGTTTTCCCCCTGGTGCCTCCTATAATATAGTTAACCAGTTAGCAAGGTACCTAGTAAGTACTACACTACTAAGAGTAAGAGTACTAACGGTAGTTAGGTAACGTTCGTTAGTGTTAGGTAGTAGTTACTTTTTAACTACTCCGGACTCAGTACTACCGAGTCAGTAGGACTGAGTCCTGAAGTCCTGACACGGCGCTTCTGCTCCTCCACGCCGCCACAGCCCGCCCAGCCCACACAGTCTCTGGCGTCCACCATCCGCAACCTGCTTCTCTCTTCCTCTTACGCCGCCTCTGATCTGATCCGCCTCCCGCCTCGGTCACTTCTTTCTCTTCGTACGCTCGTTCCGGTCTTTACGCCCTCACCTCCAGTTCTCGCGGTGCTCCCCTCCATCGATTTATCCACATCGCCGCCCCTCTCGTCAGATCAAACGACCCGATCGTTCCTTGGACTCCCGCTTGATCGATTCGTACCGACTGGCCCGCCTGGTCCGCTTCCCCTGGCATTTCTATTTCTATTTCTGGCTCTCAACGCCGTTCGGATTACCCTTTGGGATTGCGCACTCAAGCTCATTCCTTCGATGCCGCATTTCCCACAGATTGACACCCTCTAACTCTTCATGATCTGCTCACGCTGGCTAGCCACCCTGCTGGGTGGCTCGCTCGCCATCCAGGGCACCCTGGCGGCGGTCACGGTCCAAGTGGACGATGAAAGTGAGTCTTGATCGGCCCCGTTGGGCTTCTCTTCTTCTGCGCCAGCAAAGTGGCTCACCATCGGTGCATCCAGACTCCCTTAAAACTGCCGCCAAGACGGTCGCATCAGACATGATGGACTTTTACAATTCCCGTGACTCGAAAGATATTCCCGGTAAATTCGACGGCACTTGGTGGGAAGGTGGCTCCATGTTCATGACACTCATTCAGTATTGGTGGTTGACTGGGGATTCGCAGTTCAATGCGGCCATCCAGGCGGGCATGTACTGGCAAAAGGGTGACGACGACTTCTTCCCAAGCAACTACAGTCAGTACTTGGGCAACGACGATCAAGTCTTCTGGGGTCTGGCCGCGATCACCGCGGCCGAGGTGAATTTCCCCGAGTTGTCGGGCCAGCCATCCTGGGTATCACTCGCGCAGGGTGTCTTCAACACCCAGGTGCCTCGCTGGGACACTAGCAGCTGCCACGGTGGGATGCGCTGGCAGATCTGGCCCTACCAAAGTGGTTACCTCACCAAGAACGCCATCTCCAACGGTGGTCTCTTCCAATTGGCGGCGCGTCTCGCCCTCTACACCAAGAACGCGACATATGCCGAATGGGCCGAGCGCATCTGGGACTGGAGTGCCACCACGCCCTTGCTGAAGCAGAAGAACTGGAATATTGCCGACTCCACCACCTGCGAGACTCAGTGTACTGACCATGGCGATTGGCAATGGACCTATAATTACGCTACTTTCATTACCGGTGCTGGGTACATGCACAACTACGTAAGTATCGTGTCCTTGCTCCCTTCGATAACCCTACCTCGGCTTGACGGGCCATCCCGAGTTCGACCGCTGACATTTCTTGCTTCTCTCAGACCAACGGAACCGCCACGAAATGGAAAGAGGGCGTCCAAGGATTGCTCGGCTCCTCCGAGCAATTCTATCCCACACAGGGCTACAACAATGCGGGAGGCAACGTCTTGTCCGAAATCACTTGTGAACCGATCGACAAGTGTGATCGCAATCAGAAAACCTTTAAGGCCTATTTCTCGAATTGGCTAGCTTTGATCACCACCATTGTGCCGGGCACATCGGACCTGATCATGCCCAAGCTGCGAACCTCGGCGCAGGCCGCCGTGGAAACTTGTACTGGAGGCTCCAACGGCAATCTCTGCGGCACCAAGTGGTACAGCCGACAGACTGACCCCGCCAATGAACTCGCTTTGGAGCAGGAGATGTCAGTGTTGGGAGTGCTGAACGCCAACCTGATCCGATTCAAGAACCAAGCTCCTCTGTCGGCGGACAACGGTGGTACCTCGAAAAGTAACCCGAATGCTGGTACCAACAGCACGAACCAGCAAGCGCCCATTATGAATCAGGTCACGACGGGTGATCGTGCCGGTGCTGGCATCCTCACCTTTGTCTTCGTGACCGGCTGGGCAGTGGCGGTGACTTGGATGATCCGGGGCGGTTAGCTGCGCCCCGGTCTCTTTTGTTTTATTCCCTTGCCTTTTCAATGTGTGGTGTCCTGGTGTCCTCGTGTCAATTTGGCCTCCTTAGAGGGGGAAGCTGCAACGTTGATTCCCCCTTTTTTGTTTTGCCCTTTTTTTCTCCTGTTCTGATATTCTTTCTCTTGGGATCCCCCGGACCGTCGCTGTACCTCTTTATTCCCGCATGGTGGCTTCTTTTCTGTAACTACTATCCATCTGGGCCCAGATTTCCATTGATCTATTTCCCACATTTGCCCCGATCCGAGCTCGCCGGGCTTTCTCAGAGTGCCGCGGGTCTTTCTACCTCCTCTTTCGGTCCTCCTAGATTAAGAAAACAGGATGCTACTCCCTTCTTGAGGGTACAGCAAAGATCTACTGACGATAGTATCATTGACATTGCTTGTTCCTTTCGCTGATCTTCCACCCTTAGTCGTTCCAGACAAATCGTTCCGCTACCCTGTCATCCACCATGTCTGATGATTGAGTCCTCTTCAACCGTAGTTCTTAATGAACAATATCCATGGGGAAATTCAAATCCACCCGACTGATGGGGCATGTGCCCTGCAGCTGGAGGCTCCGCCGGACACATACTCGGTACATACTGGAGGTTGAGATGGAGTCATAGTACTGTGTAGCTAGCTAGGTCTCAACGGTGGCGGGCTTCAGCTCTGATCAGATGGAAAGTGCAAAGGTCTCCAATTCTGAAAAGCGTACCTGGAGGAAAAGCATGGATATACATATCCTCGGACTTCAATGGACATTGATCGAATGTTTTCATCCCGTCGTATGGATGAGGTGGGTGACATCTGCACACTTAGATCGCTCATTATGCTACGACAGCCTCAGCTTTGAACCTTACGCCCCGACAATTGTACTAAAGGTTGACAGTCTGAATGCCTCATGCCGAATCGGTTGGCTGAAGCCCGAGTCTTGTTGGCTGATATCTTGATGTGACACAAAACGCAAAATTACCCATACCGGGTTGATACACCACGGATGCCCGTTGAATCGTTAGGCTTCCACTTTTTCTTGAAGTTTCGTCTAGTGGGGCTCGTCAAGCAGGACTCATTGGTCTCGGTGTAGCATGTAATTGACCCCTGTCGGGTCCTCGGCCTCCACAGTCCAGTACTCCAGTGGTCCACACTCCACAGTCCACACTCAGTGACTCTACAGCCACCGAATCGTCTCGTCTCGCCGGGTGTATCGTCACTATTGTTACCGTTCTCGGACACCAATACACTGAGCACTCATACACTGAGTAGTGAATACTCAATACAGCACGGATGGATTAAATGAACTGAATTCTGGACTCACTGACTCAGCAGCCCACCGACGCTCGACGGGACTGTCACTGCAGTCTTCCAGCGCCCAAAGAAGGATAGTCCGCCCTTGGGCCCGGGCTGGAGTCATCAGTCGCACCATTGCCTTAGCCTCTCCGGTCTAGTGCCTCCAGCTTTCGCTTCCTCCCTTTTCTACACATTCTTTCATCTTCTGTCTTCCCATTTCTCAGCTCATCTGTCACTCTTGATCGGCCGTCCCCATTCGAGGCGACAACCTACCTCCCATCTGTCGCTAGCTTGTACATCAACCCACCCCCCTCCACTCCAAGCGATCATCTTCACCCTCTCCGAGACCCCGTCTCCTAAACATCACATCATCCCACTCCGCTGGCGGTGGGGGAATGATCCACGAGCCGAATTCTCGGTTCGATCCACAATAGACGTCCCGACATCCACGCACACGACCTTCATCGCCTCGACCAAACGACCCTGAAGACCATCCAATTCTGCTCCTCCTCTAGCCCATGATCAGGCTGCCATCTTCGCCCTCGTCTCGACCACCTGCAATTCCTCGCACGGAGCTGACGTTTCCACAATGAGGTGGCGGCTGCCGGGCGCCTGTTTGACCCTCCCCGCCAGCGTCGCTCTGATAGTCCTGCCGATCTTGGTTGCTCCGCAGCAGCAGTCAGATTCCTATGATTTCTCCATCCCCCGAGCTTCGGTGCCCTCGGCGCCGGTCGAAGGAGATGCAAATCACCCCAGCGCGGTCACTGTAGCCGCTCCTCCCATCGTGAAATCCAACGATGCGAGCGCCCTAGCAACCCTGGCTCTGGCGGGCTCCGGCCGCGCCGTTCGAGCCCCTCCCGTCCGGGCTAGCAGTACCGCTGCTGGTCTGGCTTCGCAGCTCCACGCGCGGTCCCTTCAGGACTGGGAGGTCGAGGATTTTGTGCTGCTGGCGACCGTCGACGGAACTATTCACGCCCGAGACCGTAAGACGGGCGCCTCTCGCTGGGCTCTTGAGGTGCCCAGCAGTCCTTTGGTCGAAAGCATCTACCACCGCGCAAACCGCTCGAGCTTTGATGACACTCAGCCCGAGGATGACTTTTTGTGGATAGTGGAGCCCAGTCAAGACGGCAGCTTATATGTCTACAGCCCAGGCCCTGATGCGGGCTTGCAGAAACTCGGCCTCACTGTGAAACAGTTGGTCGACCAGACGCCGTATTCTGGATTTCAACCCGCCGTGACGTACACCGCACGAAAGGAGACCACCTTGTACACCATCGACGCTCGGACGGGTAGTATCATCCGTGTGTTCAGCTCACGTGGCCCCTTCACGACTGGCCAGGAATGTCGAAAGGTGGACGGCCTCGATGCCGACAGCGACGAATGCGAGACCACATCTGGTACTTTGGTGCTAGGTCGGGTGGAATATGCCGTGGCAATTCAAAATACTGAGACAGGAGATCAGATTTGCACGTTGAAGTATTTCGAGTGGGCCCCAAATAACAGAGACATGGATCTCCAAAGCCAGTATTACCGCACAATGGACCAAAGCCACATTTACAGCATGCACGACGGCGTCGTGTTGGGCTTCGACCATTCTCGTATGGATCGACCTCGCTACACCCAACGTTTCCCGTCTCCAGTCGCTCGTGTCTTCGACGTTGTACGACCGACGAACAAGCATGCGCCAGATGTATCTGTTCCTCTGGTCTTGCTGTCTCAGCCTTTGCAACCGCCTGATCCAGACTATGGTACCCTGGATGGTCGAGACACGCGGGTATTTATCGACTCCACGAATGCAGGAGGGTGGTACGCCTTGTCTGAGGAAACATACCCTCTCGTGACTGGACGAGCTCCAATGGCTCAGTGCTATGATAAAGACTTCTTCCGCAAGGGTCAGCCACTCATGAGCCTGACGCCAAGTCAGCAACGCGATGCACTTTCTGGTGTTCACTCTCTGACCGGGCCCCGTGTCACTGCGTCGATTCCTCGGCTGGGCAGCTCTTCGACAACTGCGATCCCGAACGACGTGCCTAGGGAAGTCCCAAGGACGCCATCGGAGCTGGCTCTACCTCCCGCTCTTCGAAACAGTGCCATCATCCGCAAAAGTTGGGACAACGCGCTCGATATTGTAGTCACCCTGGTATTGCTGTTCATCGGCACCTTCATCTATTTCAACTCGCATCACATTCGCGACCTCGCCAAGCAGAAATTGGACATTAAGAACATGATCAGCTCCAACGACAAATCGTCTCTATCGGCACCTCCCACACCTCTTGTGAGTCGAGCACCGGATCTCAAACAACCGTCTACCCCGAACCCTCGAGTGCCCGATGTCACTGTCGATGTTGAGCTGCCCAGAAGCGAAACAGATGGGGATTCGACTCCGCGAGCGTCTCGTGACAGCAGCGTGCCCGCGCATTCCACACCTCGTGTGCAGATCAGGAACCCTCACGGGGCCCTGATGACCTTGAGGCGGACGATGGTACCCAGGATCCTGACAAGCCTAAGAAGAAACCTCGCAAGCGTGGCACACGTGGTGGTAAATCCCATCGTAAGGGCAAAAAGCCAGGCAACGACGGCGAGGCTGCTCTAGCTGACCGAGTCGTCGAGCAAGTCAACAATATGGCTCCACAATCCCGTCTAGAGCCGGACGTGCAAATGGCTCGGACCGTGTCAAACGAGATCGTTGAGATGGACGGAGTAATTCGAATCGGTCGATTGGAGGTCTTCACGGATGTTGTCCTTGGACATGGTAGCCATGGTACCGTGGTCTACCGAGGCCGCTTCGACGGCCGTAACGTAGCTGTGAAGCGGATGCTTGTGGAATTTTATGACATCGCATCGCACGAGGTTGGCCTACTACAAGAGAGCGACGATCATCACAATGTCATCCGCTATTTCTGCCGTGAGCAGGCCGCCGGGTTCTTGTACATTGGTCTAGAGCTCTGTCCAGGATCGCTACAAGACGTCATTGAACGACCCTCCCAGCTCCCCGAGCTAGTTCAAGGTGGCCTCGACCTGCCAGATGTTCTGAAACAAATCACTCAAGGAGTCCGTTACTTGCACTCCCTCAAGATCGTTCATCGCGATTTGAAACCCCAGAACATCTTGGTGGCCATGTCTCGTGGTCGATCCGCTTCACGATCTCTGCGGTTACTTATCTCCGATTTCGGTCTCTGCAAGAAGCTTGAGGACAATCAGAGTTCTTTTCGGGCTACTACTGCACACGCCGCTGGCACGTCCGGATGGCGGGCGCCCGAGTTGTTGGTGGACGATGACAATATGCCCATGAGCTCCGAGTCACAGCATACCGAGTCATCAGAACCGGCCGTTGTCGACCCGCAGACGAATCGCCGAGCCACTCGTGCTATTGACATCTTCTCGTTGGGCTGCGTCTTTTATTATGTCCTCACCCGTGGCAGCCACCCCTTCGACAAGAACGGAAAGTTCATGCGAGAGGCGAACATTGTCAAAGGTCAATTTGATCTGGAGGAGCTGAATCGGCTCGGCGATTACGCCTTCGAGGCGGACGATTTGATTAGGTCAATGTTGTCCCTTGATCCTCGCCAGCGGTATGTATTTCAGTCAACTCCAGGAGTGCTATTTTTGTTTGCTTCGGCTCCCTGACTTGCTATTCAATTTATTTAGTCCCGATGCCAGCCATGTGCTCATGCATCCCTTCTTCTGGCCTCCTTCCGATCGCCTGAGTTTCCTTTGTGACGTATCTGACCATTTCGAGTTTGAGCCCCGTGATCCTCCCTCTGATGATCTGCTTTGCTTGGAATCCGTTGCTGAGCAGGTCATGGGTCCCGAAATGGACTTCTTGCGGTTGCTTCCTCGCGACTTCAAGGAGAATTTGGGTAAACAGCGCAAATACACTGGAGGGAGGATGTTGGATCTTCTGCGTGCGTTGCGCAACAAGCGCAACCACTACAATGATATGCCTGAAAGCCTCAAGGCCCACATTGGTGGCCTGCCGGAGGGCTACCTCAACTTCTGGACGGTGCGCTTTCCAAGCCTACTCATGAGTTGTCATTGGGTCATTACGGAGCTGGGACTTGAGAAGATCGATCGTTTCCAGCGATACTTTACACCTCCTGAGTGATGGGCGCTAGGGGAGATATTCGATGAGATGAAATGTAGTGAGTGAGTTGTCGTGCGAGGTCACTGATTCATTTTGCAAGATTCCAACATAGTCGTCAGGATAGGTTAATATAAAAATGTTTTCTTGTCCATCTGCCTCCAGATTTCTCTTTCTCCAGATGAGTTGATCGGATCCTCCATGGTCGTGCCTTTTACTTCGGCCGTGGTGTGAGAGGGCAGACAGACACCTTTCATGCCAGATGACAATGTCGACTACAGTGTGCAGCCTGACTTTATCTCCCTTTGTTTGTTCGTTTGCCTATTCCTGAGTTACATTGGTTGGACGTTCCAGGCAGTTGTTTACTCTCAGCCTGCGTTTGTAGGCTTCTGTCGAGGAACGGTGTCTTTCCCTCTACTCATCATGCTGCCTAGATGTTTGTCACTTCAAAATATCAGGATCCGGAACTTTCCTTCACTTCAATTCTGCCTCTCTTTCCTCTCTTTTTCATGACTCTCTATTTCATCTCTTCTGCTCTTCCTCGTCCGTTTCCGTTTCCACCACCCTAACGGTTACGAGCCTTCCCTTCGTCTCTCTCGTCTCCTTTCTCTCCCCTGTCTCCTGTTCCTTGTCTTCCTCTTTCTTGTCTCTTTCTTTCCCTTTTTCTCTTTCCTTCTCCTATCTTTTCTTTCCGTTCCTTTCCTCTCTCTCTTTCCTCTTCTCTCACCCCCCCCCCCCCCTTCTCCCTGGTCTCTCTAAAAGAAGAGAACCATATCTACCTCCCTTCCTTTCCCTGCTGGTGATTCACTTATAGTAAAATCACCATGCATTCGCAACTCATCCTTCGGTTGACCGTAGAGGTCGCCTCTGGGGATAGCTGGTCCGCCTCTCACAGTCCCTCGCAAGCCGCAGTAGACGGCCGAGGAAGAGGCCAGGATAACAGCGATGCAGAGGGCACCCGTGCCATGCTGATAGTTGTCAAAGATCCTGAAACCATGTCAGTCCAGCAGTTGACCGTGATGATTCAAGACCAGTGGAAAGATGTTTGGCCCCTCGAGGGGTGAGTTTTTAATTCCCTACTGATTCAAACGCAGATAGAACCTGAATTTTCGCTGACTAGAATATCATATAGGCCTTTATGTGTCGGCCGACTGATCAACAAGGCTTTTCCCCACGCGCGCTTCTCCCTGCGCTCCACAGTCGCCGACGTCTGGCTCGACCGAGGCCGTGCAGCCCTCGAAGGATTCGACCAGCGCGGCACTGTAACGGTTATTCCGGAGGCCACCGTCCCTTCCGTCATCCTTTGTCGCTGCCAAGGGGCTACTGCTCCTCTGGTTGAAGTAGTTGAAGGCACCTCTCGACCGGCCAAGCGCAAACTTATTGAGGAGATTTGCGAGTCGACCACCCCCACCGACGCAATGGAGGGGATCACCAAAATCGACCAGGCGCAGCCAAGAACGCCAGAGCAAGGCGCCAAACGACGCAGACTGTCCGGTAGCACTGGCGGCGATTCGTCGTCGAAATCATGCGAGACCCAAGTGTTCTCAACGAAGACGATCACCCCGTGCTGTTACGGCGCTATGCGGGTGCCTTCATTCGCTTGTCCTTCTGGACACAGACGCAACACCAGTACGGTGTCTGGTGGCTCTTCTACAAGGGGCCTTGGGCTTGGAATCACTGCCAGCCCGGGCTACCGAAGACAGCTTCAGAGTCTTCGTCCGTCAACCGGTGAAGGCCTGGGGTCACAATTCTTGCCGCCGCCTCCCCGACCACGGTTCTCATCGCCCTTTCGCTTCCGTGAGGGGATGCCCTCACAGCCCCCCGATGACGCGCCTTCCTTTGGCCAACGACAACTTCAAGCGCGCTTGAGCACCTCATCGGCCCCGGAACGTGCCTTGGCTCAAAACCACGACGCCGAACCACCTCGGCAGGAGATCTCAGATGACGAGATGACGTCCCCCCCCAAGCCTGTCTCAAAGACTTCGTCGTCCACACCATCCTTCAAATGGTCGTCACTTCTCCCTGAGCTTCGTGGCATTGAACGGCAGCAAAAGGCCACGTTCACCAAGCAGGCGCGCGTCACTCTGAACGAGATGCTCCAAATCTCCAAAGAGCTGACCAAGATCGAGGGCGAGACTGGTCGGGATCCCGCCCAGCGGAAGAGGCTGTTGAGCGCCATGCGCAAGCGGCTTGATCGACGCCGAGACAAAGTCCGGAAGATGAAGGCCGAAGGCAGCCTGCTTGTCCCCGAGATTCCCAACCTTGAGGACCCTGCTATCGAGAATGGGGATCTCCAACCCCCTCAGAAGAATGAGCCCATGAAAGCGGGCCTGTTACCGAAGGGTGGTGCAAAGATCAAGATCCCTACTTCTCCGGCCGGCCGCTCGCCAGCTACGGCCTCTCACCACGGCTCTGATTGCAAGGACGAGCCCAAGGATGTGACTCCCGAGAGCACCGGTGTCATGGTGTGCATCAATGGTGACTGTACGGACGTCATCTCAACCGCCACCAAGGATACCACTCGAGAAGCTCAGTCCACCGGCAGCTCCACGATCGCCGACAGACTCCCTGAGAGTTTCACTTCCGGTGAAGAAATCTTGACCGAAAGCGAAGGGAGCGACATTGCGCACCATGCCAAGTTGACAAAGACCAAGCGACCTCCTTCTTCCCTCGAAATCCGGATCACCAGGGAAAAGAGCCTGAAGTCGGATGCGTCCTTTCACAAGTTGACCCGCTCAGCAAGGTCCTCCTCGAAACTGCCGACTGGGGATTGTTTCAGCAGGCGACTCAACGGGTAAGCTGCTCTACCCCAATAGTTCTCCTTTGCTATCTGGCCTGCGAAACTAACTTGACTGGCAATCACAGACATGTCAACAAGCCTTACCTCCGCAGTGCGGCAGCCGCACGAGGTGCTAAATCGGAGAAAGCGGCATTGCCGACACTTCTCAGGGCATCGGAGTCGCCCAAAAAGGCTCCGAGAAGAGATGAAAGGACAAGGTCATCGCGGCGAGTCTCGTAATATAAACTACGAGCACGGATGACTACGAGGAAGGTTGCACGGCGGGGCAAAGTGACCGAGGGCCAGTGGCTGGCGTAGGAGCTTGGTCCAGAGCTGGGGGGACTCTGTACGGACGAGGACGCGGAATGAAGCTCGGGGTGTCAATGATCTATAGTTGACACCACACATGAGGACGATGCATACCCTAGACCCCGATATTTGAGCGAAACCAAAGGATCTGGACCAGACGAAGTGGAATGGGGCACTTTCCGTCGCAAAGAATCGGAATTCTTGATCTCGTTCCCTTTCTGAAACACTTGGTTCGATGGGACAGTCTCACCGTTCGATATAAGTGGGGGGCAGGAGACCATCAGCATTGAATAGTTCCAGGCTATCGGATAGCTCTTGACAAAATATAGCCCAATGCACTCTTGTGGACTGAGCCATCCGCCGATTCAAGTACGAGTCAGCGCCAAGTGGAAGGTAGACAGTCTCGAAAAGAGCCCGGCAATCATAGGTCGATTGTAGGAGCCATGCACGCTGTATCTGCCCATTCCAGCCCCGACTGGGCAGTACTGCATGAGACAAGATCGATATCCTGTCCGGGGGGGGGGGGGTGCCTTGCACAAGAAGTCAGTGTACCCTGAATCAGCGAGGGTCACCGCTGTTTCCTCAAACTTACTCATGCCCTTCCGCTAAGTAACGAAGCACTCTTACCTTAATCATGCAGTGGGAGGGCTCCAAACTCTAACCAAAAGTAGGTATAAATCGACGGGTCGTGCCCCTCATGTCCCCGCAACGTCCACTGCGTCACGTCGATCACTTCGTCCATCTTTCTTGCCCTTCTTTGCAACCAGCTCAATTTGCCTTAAAATATTCGCACCGCCATCACACGTGCTCTATTTTCATCATGTTCCCGCCCCCTCCAGCAGCGCTCGATTGGCAAGACATTGGATTCAAAGTCCGGGATGGTACGTGATTATTACATGATTGAAGCACCCCGCCCCTCCAAGTCGCGGGCCAAACGTGCAAAGAAAGCCATAACATACCGAACAATTTGGCTGACCGAAATCTCCCACCATCCGCCCGACAGTCAATGGCCATGTGGAATGCCATTACTCGCAGTCTGGCAATGGTCAATGGTCCGCTCCACGATTCGTTCGCTCCCCCTACCTCTCGATTCACGGCATGGCCCCCGGCCTCAACTACGGCCAACAAGTCTACGAGGGTCTAAAGGCGTTTCGCCACGCCGAGAACAGCAAGATCACCATCTTTCGACCCGACCGCAATGCCAAGCGCATGCAGCATTCCGCCGAGGTGGTCTCGATCCCTCCGGTGCCCGAGAGCCTCTTCCTAGACTGCGTGCGACTTGCCGTCGGAGCGAATGCTGAGTTTGTCCCTCCATTCGAGTCCGGTGCCGCCATGTACGTCCGTCCATTGTTGTTTGGATCCTCGGCTCAACTGGGGTTGACACCCCCCGACGGATATACATTGGCAGTGTTTGTGATGCCGACGGGAGTTTACCACGGAGCGAGTGCGGTGGACGCGCTGATCCTGGAGGACTTTGATCGTTCGGCTCCTCATGGCACGGGTAATGCCAAGGTGGGAGGCAATTATGCACCTGTCCTCCGCCACAGTGATCGCGCTCGGCGGGACGGGTTTGGCATCACTTTGCACCTAGATAGCGCCACACGAAGCGAGATCGACGAGTTTTCCACGTCCGCCTTTATTGGCGTCAAGCGCACGGGCGATAGAGTGACCGTTGTGCTGCCGGATAGTCGAAACGCCATCGACTCTGTCACGGCTGGATCGGTGGGAGATATTGCCCGTCACTTGGGGTACGAGGTCGAGAAGCGCCAGGTGCGATACGAGGAGCTGAGTCAGTTCGACGAGGTGATCGCTGCGGGTACAGCGGCTGCTCTCGTGCCAATTCGGAGTATCACGATGCGCTCTGAAGGGGATAAGTTTGGGTATAACTGTGGCGAGCAGGCGCAAGGCGGCGAGGTTTGTGTGAAATTGTTGCAGACCCTGCGTGGCATCCAGTCCGGCTCCATTGCCGATCCCCAGGGATGGAATTACGAGGTGACGGCTCCGCCTAAGGAATGGATGGAGGAGGGAAATGAGGAGAAGATTGATCAGCGTGGAACGACGGTGCCATGAAGTAGGCGTGGAAAGAGACTAAATATAATCCAACACAACACCGAGTGTTGATGAAGTGAGCAATTGTGAGCAATCCAATGAAGTCAAAGTCAGAGAAATTTATGCTTCATTTTCCGAACAGAGGTCGCTATCCGATACTGGTTCTACTTGAAATTAGCTGGTCATTTGAGAGACGATGCGAATTATTCATTCAATCGATGCAATCTGGCGGTGCATATCTTGTATCGCACACTGTGCCCGTCTTGGGCTATTATGTCGTTGAATCTCTCGACAGGAAGTTCATAGCACAAGAATTACAGTACAGCAGCTCGCAACAAAAGCATCAACCGGGACATAAGTCAAACCGTCGCTGCTTCGGGCCTGATCACGGTGATGCATATGGCGAATGAATAGAGCTTTCTCGGTACCAAGGGAAACTATATAGGCGACGGGGATTCGGACGTTGGGCAACCGGCGGATGAGGCGGTGTTTCCTGCGACGACGGCAGCGAATTGACATCCCGCGCGCTGGATGGGATATCTTCGTAATGGTCGGTCTGAGCGGGCTGAGCAATCGCCACCAATCTCCCAAGAATCGCATACTCGAGCTTGAGTTTGATGCTGTAGACGACAGGTTTGAAGAGGACCTGCACGGCATAGAAACCGATGTACTCAATCAGGACGACCGCGATGTCCAGGAACAATATGAGTATGTTGATGGTGAGCAGGGTGTGCAGGATGCCCGAGGACCGACCCTGCGGTCGAAGCTTGAGCAGTTTGACCGTTTCCCAGATGTAGATACCGGAGATGATCAGTTCCTGAATGCAGAACCCGACCAGTTGAATGCGCTCCATGATGCCGTATCCGCGAGTCCAAGGGCCGACGGGGGTGGCGATCGTGCCGTACAGGAGCACTGTCGTGGGGACATGCAAGAGGACGGCATCGACCACGATCATGCACAGGACTCCCCAGATGATTCGATAATTGTGCACGACCAGGTGCAGACGGGACCACAGGACGAGGGATTGACCGGTCACCATGCCATACCAACTCAGGGACATGAGTGTGACGCAAAAGTAGGGGTTCGCCCCGGTCGGATAGAACAGCAGGACGGCGCCTAGACAGTGCGTGATGATACATAGAGATGCCACCAGCAAGCTCCAGAAGTAACAGCCATGTCGACGCTTGAAGGACATGAAGCATATCACGGTGAGCTCGATAGCATTGTACCAGGCCACCGCGGCAAAGGCCGCGAAGACCTGTGTGCGCGCGGGCGCCGTCGGGGAGTTTGGCTTCAGCAGCGCGGCCGTGAAGCCGGAGGCATTAGAAGACATGGGTGAAGAGGATACATTGCTCCCAAGATTGATGACTATGAAAGTAATCGAAGACGGCGAGTGAATAGGGAAGAGGAGACATCGCCGAGTCACCAAGAGCCAACGTATGAATGTAGTGACCTCAGAAGGTCTTGGCAATAACCATCTGACAGATAGCCGGTGGTTGAGGTAAGGTCCAGGTAAGGGGCCCGGGTGGGTGACAGGAGATTAAAGATAGATACCGAAGGATCAGGAGATCCATTCATCCCATTTTCCATGAAAGAAAGGGTGAGTGGCTCAACTTAGATACGATGGCGATGGCGATGGCGACGGTTTGCCGGGTGAGTGGCTGGCGTGGTCGACCAAAACAATACCGTTGGAAAACGTCACCCTTGCGCAGGGCGCCACCGAAGTTCAATAGACACTCTCGACTCAAGTGAATTGATTTGCTACGGGGTGAGCGATTGCCATGGAGATTGACACCCGGTGGCTGGACCTAGATAGACCGTGGGGGTGGGCGAAAAGGATTGAAGAGCTGGAAGGATGAGAGTCTTGGAGTGGGAGGCGTTTCTCAAAGTTCGGTCTGGATACATGGCGAACTTTGTTACGCTGGAGTCTGGAGGAGAGCAACCAAAATTGGAAGAATGTTGACCCAGGGCAATGGCACTCTATGTCCAACGAAAGATTGAGAAAGGGAACTCTCATCTGGTAACTTACTAGGTAGAGGGTAGAAAGAAGTGGAATATTAGGTTGGAAAGATCAAGAGTCGACTCATCCTACACGCCTCATTCCACCCGATATAGATGGGAGTGGGGATCATCATTACTAGTATAGGTATCCAGTTACCAGCTCGAGGTAGGTAGGTACACAGCCCTTTCACTCAAGGTCGGTTCATCATGCCCGAAGAAGATTGGTACATGTACATTAGACGCGACCATACGCGATCCGTATTTCATCTAGATCTCGGAAGAACATGAGCCAGTTGAAGTTGACCTGCACCTCATTTCTCCCAGAGATAAGGGATCTCGGATTTTGAAACATGTATAGGTTCATTTCAAGTGACAGGCTGCGTTCGCACCTCGCCTGTGGCTCGAGCTTCCAGCTTCAGCGTTGGTTGAAGGGAGCTCTCCAACTGTCGCCCCCGGGCTGAGCCTCGATCGCGATCCAAGGAGGGTGGGGGCTAGATCGATCGTCTATGATGGATCCGTGGATATTCTTACGGCCAGCATCCCGTTGACTGAACCAAAGTACAGGGGAATCGCCTCATCCGGAGGTCACTAGTCTGGTGCTGGGTGGCTACCAAGGCGACGGGCGTACTGTGCGGGAGCCAGGAGGGAGAGCTATGTTTGACATCAGGTGCGGTTTGGGAAGGACACATTAGGTTCGGTAAAATCAATCAAGCTTAATCAACCTGGGTCATGACTGTACGGGCGAGTCATGCAGTAGATTAGAAACGATTAGCAGTTGGACGTAAAACTAGGTACATTGTGCCGTCGAGCAGCCACTTCATTTAATTCAATCGTCGTCAAAAAACTTGACTATGCAATGACTGAATGAATGGACTACCTTAGTAGTACCGCGAGAAGGTACTACATGGCATCCATACCTATCTGATGATCTATACTTACAGAGGTAGGTGCAGCTGTAGTATGTGTGAGAGGGATGAGATTGACTAGCGAGGAGACGGTCTATCTAGGTAGGCTATGGACTGCGGTGAGACGGCAGTATCACATGCCATACAAATAAATGATTACAAATTGGAGTGGAACGAGAAGTTGCTTCTCATATAAGTGCTGGGAGTTTTATTTCGGTGCTCTGATCAGCTGGTAGCATGTGGTATTATCATACCTCCTTACATTCAAAGCATCGAGCATTGGAAGTAGGTGCTCTGGCAAGATCCCGCAGCATCACTATGTGGTTTGTCCTGGACCCAAATGGAACCACGCTAAGTATTGAGTATTAGTACTAGCCTACTAGGTAACAGAAGTTTCAATCTGCTGTAAGCACATGAGATGAGACTTGATTCAGATCTCGGTAGGTCTAGGACCACACCGCAAGGTTGTAGCTCATAGTAATATATGGAAGTCATATATAACTAGAGAGACCTACTACAGTAAGCAGGTTCAGTTATGATCACATGAACTCATGTCACATGTCTCACGTCATATGCGTCGGTCTCCCTTACGATAACCTGGGATGGGTCTGCTTTACATAGATGATGTCTAACAATATTTCTTGAATCCAGACGAGCGAAGCATCGATCCTCTAGTGATGTGTTCTATCACCGAGAGCGGGACGCTTGGCCACGCTATCAGGTGGAAATCTGCGAACTTTCTTCTTCGGCATCAAGATTCGTGGATGACATACCTTTAAGGTATAGTGCTGCAGAGTCCGGGCCTCTTCGCCATACGATTTCTTCAAGTTAAAAGCTTGACTCTTCTGCCCACGGGATGCACTCACACCAGGTATCTGCTCAAAGGCTCACCCGAAGAGATCTCTTTCAACCGGACAGTCGAAACAGATATCTAGCGGCAGTTTGACTGTCTGCTTATTCACCCAGGATGGAGGGAGGGGGTTCGAGGACACGGATTTGGGGATTGGACTGTGAGAAGTGGGCATTCTAGTGGTCCGAGAAGCACCGTCGTGGAGATGGAGTCAGAGAGCATGGTGACTGGAAGTCGCGACCTACCTACGTGCGGCCAGTCTGGACTTTAGGTGAAGTTGCAATTGCTGCTTGTGTGTCGATTCTCCTGCTCATCATCATGGTCGACCATTTGAGCCAACTCCGGCCCCAACAGAAAACCTACTCCACTGTAATCTTCCAATAAGCATGATTCTCTCACGCTCGATATTATATTTGGTCGAGATCTCGAGAATGAGTTACTCTGCGGTGGAGCCTTTGGCTGATGCGGTTGAATTGCATACTGAACTACCTCCTCCTGAATTAAAGGCAGTGCTCCGCCCTCCCGCAACTGAATCTCCGATCTTGTGACGTCAGGATCTCCGATCGACGCGATCGAGGAACAGCGACGCGTTCATCTCATGCCAATCCTGAACCGAAGAAAAATAATGGAATTAGTAAAAAGCTGTGACACTCCGCAAGGGGGATATCAGTGGCAGCGGGTCTAGGAAAAAACCAGTCTCCCACGAATTACGGACGGAACGCGTGCGATGCGTTCTTCGCGACTTCTCCTTGTTCAACCTTCCCATCGCCTACTCGCCACACAAGTGACCTCCAGCTTGCGCTTCACTTCGCCTAACCAGCGCGTAAACATTGATGCTTTAACCATAAGAACATTTTACCGTCTCACCCCACCCATTGCTCCTTTTCCTCCGTCGATGGCCCAGAAGCGCAAAATGACCAAATCCAGCGGCTCCAAATCCTCCCCGCCGGCTCGAGAGGCCAAGAAAAGCAAGGCCATGGATCTGCATCAACCGCACCCGAAAGCCAAGGAGACCGAGGAGTTTGGCATTGTCCAGCGTGAATTCTACCCTCCTGAAATGAGCAATGAACGTTGCATGGCCTACAATGACGGTACGCTGGAACGACCCATTGACCTGCTGCAGAGGACCTGCAAGGAAACGGCCGAGACAAGACAGGCAGTGAAGCCGGGCAACGCCGTTGTCCACTGGTTCAAGACCGACTTGCGAATGCAGGACAATCGGGCGCTGCACGCCGCCGCGGAAATCGCTAAGCAACACCAGATTCCCTTGCTTGGAGTCTACATTATCTCCCCGGAGGATTGGGCGGCACATGTGACAAGTCCAGCCCGTGTCGACTTTACGCTGCGGTCTTTGCGTCAGCTTCAGGGTGACCTGGCCCAGCTGGACATTCCTCTCTATGTGGAGACACAGGAGAGGCGCAAGAACATTCCGAATCGTATCCTTGAACTCTGCCAGCAGTGGGGTGCCAACCATCTTCGGGCGAACATCGAGTATGAGGTGGACGAGTTACGGCGCGAGGCCAAGGTTGTTCGTCTGTGTGCCAAGAACAACATTGACTTCACCCCTCTGCACGATACCTGTGTAGTGACCCCGGGAGTCCTTTGGACAGGGAGCGGCAAACAGTATGCAGTGTTTACACCCTGGTTCAAAGGGTGGCTAGCCTATCTCAAAGAGAACCCCGATCTTCTCGAGCTCTCGGAGAACCCGCAGCCCAATCCCACCCGCGCTCGCAAGGAGTTTGGCAAATTGTTCGACTGCGAGATTCCAGCAGCCCCGAAGAACAAAACAGTGACCGAGGAGGAAGCCAAGCGGTTCTCAAAGCTCTTCCCCGCTGGTGAGCATGAGGGCCGCAAGCGATTGGAGAAGTTCCTCGCAGACAAATGCCCTGACTATGCGCGGGACCGGAGCATGTTGACCGGCGAGCCCACCTCGGTCCTTAGTCCCTACTTTGCCTCGGGCGTTCTCAGTGCGCGTACGGCGGTGGCGATGGCTAAGAAAGACAACAAGAATCAACTGGACCGAAACAGTCAGGGACACATGCACTGGATCAGCGAGGTGGCTTGGCGCGACTTTTATCGCCATGTGCTGGTACACTGGCCTTTCATCGGGTAGGTAGTGCTGCTTTCTGACCCAGCGCCTTCTCTCTGTGTCTCCCTTCATTCTTCTTCCCCGTCCACCGTTTCTGCCTGGCCGAAGCTCCGTGCCCGAGAGTCTTGCGATAACAGATAGACTAATTTTTCTCCATAGGATGAACAAGTGTTTCAAGGTTGAAGCCACAAACATCGAATGGGAATACGACAAAGAGCAGTTCCAGACCTGGTGTGACGGCAGGACCGGCTACCCCATCGTCGATGCAGCCATGCGACAACTTAAACATTCCGCCTGGTTGTCAAACCGAGCACGCATGATCGTGGCATCCTTTTTGTCCAAGGATATGCTGATCGACTGGCGTCGCGGAGAGCGTCACTTTATGGAATACTTGGTTGACGGCGATTTCTCGTCGAATCATGGCGGATGGGGATTCGGCGCCAGCACTGGTGTTGATCCTCAACCCTACTTCCGTATTTTCAACCCTCTTCTGCAAAGTGAGAAATTTGATCCGGAGGGGGAGTATATACGTGAGTGGGTACCCGAGCTACGTGATGTTCAGGGTAAAGCCATCCACGACCCGTACCATCGCGGAGCAGGCCCTACTGCCCAGAAAAACGGGTATCCCAAGCAGATTGTCGACCATTCGGCCAGTCGCAGTCGGGCTCTAGCCCGATACAAGGAAGCTTTACAGAAGTGAAGCGTCCAGCCTCGCCGCCCCCCCCCCCCCCTCCCTCTGTGTCAATTGTTCAGAGCTTCACATCATCGCGAAGTCCGACCACCGGTCTGTCCGCTGATATTAATTCTGGGATTGGCAGGATTGGCTCCCAAAGTCCACATATGTACGTCTGTAGCATTTGATGCTCACTACTTAGTACTTACAATTCAGTATTCAGTACACTACTCAGTACTCAGCTACCGGGCCACAGGCGGACCCGAAGTTCTCACGGCGGCGTAGGCTCCCATCCGAGCAGACGGGCCCGAGGGTCACGAGGTGTGGACACGACTCGAGTCCCGTGGACAAACAGATCTTTTTGATCAGCGCGTCGGCAGCCGCGATTGTTGCCCAGCGACTTTTGTACTTTGAGATTACTCGATGCTCGACACATAATGTCACCAGGTAGAAGGTACTCTCACTTTGAACTCATTGCGGTGAACTCACCTTCACAGCAAGGCTACCATGATCGTACAGAGGTAGTAGGTACTACTGTAGGTACATACTCATACACTTACAGTAAGTTAGCCAGTGCGGTACCATTACCCACTTCAGTACCAAAGTCGATCTCCCTCCGAAAGCGGTCGCTGGAACCCACCGAATGACCCTCTCCACGTCGGCTCTTTGGCACGCCTGTGCGTCCCCCCGCGTTCTGCTCAACCACAACCCTCTGCATATCCGGCATCGATCCCCACTCAAAACTTTTCTTTCTTGCGGATCTCAATAAGAAAGTTTAAGCGATTAGGCTCTCATCTGTCGTCTCGCCTCAAGCTCCACCACACCTTCGCTTCCTGACGTTCCCCCTCCTCCAGTTTCTTCCCCCTCTCCAAGTTACACGGCTTCCGTCGTCGTTGCTTCGAGAGATCAATTCTTCCCCACGGGGGACTGCTCTGTCCTTTTCCGCCAATAGTCGTCGACTTCCGGGCGCATGCAGAATCTCCGATCTTCCCCTCGCCTCGTTTCCGCAGTCTGATCTTCTCATTCTCCAGCTTCCAACCGCGATCCTGCGTCCTCGCCAATGCCAGTTTGAGACATCACTGCCCATGGAGTCCCAACTGGGGGAGCCTGAGATAATTCCCTCGGGCGGACCTGGTCCAGTTGACCTTCCAAATGGAAAGCGCCGCTGGCGGCGCAACCGAGTGGCATGCGATGCCTGCCACGTTCGTCGAGTGCGATGCGACCGCGCATTTCCCTGCTCTCGATGTTTACGAAGTGATACCAGCTGCGAATTTACACGTGAGCGGCGCAAGCGCGGGCGGATTGCTCGTGCGAAGCTCATCAATAACTCCAACCGAACAGCTCTCGTCGAGGAGGAGGAGGAGGAGGAGGAGGAGATCAGCGCGCATTCGCAATTTCCGCCAAGAAAGGATTCCCAGGAGCATAAACTAGCACCTCACGACCTGTTACCGCGTCGGCTACAGAGCTCTCCCGAGTCCCTTTCCAACCAGCAGTCACCTCAAACAAACGCGATCAGTCTCTCTGCGGCCAGCGTGGACGGTGGCCCACCAGCCGTTGCAGACGGCTCACGGCCCCAGCAGCCCACGTTGGCTGCCAGGCCCGCACCGGCCGCCCGACAGGAGGGCAATTCTACGGAAGAATGGCTGTCGAATGCAAATCTCTCGCCTGAGTCATACGATATACTGGGAGGAATCAATGGAGCCGACGGGCCCTTACCGCGACTGTGGGATATCTGGACCTCCGGTGATCAGGCGGGACCGCACCCGCAGAGACGACCGACGCAGATCTCTCCGGTACCTGCACCAGCACATGCGGCGCCAGGCGCATCAACGAGCACCAAGCGGCCGGGGCTGAAGTATCCCGTTCTGGAGCCCGTGATGCCCTATCTGGAGTCAAACCTCCCACGCCGCTTGGTGTGTGATCTTCTCGAACTGTACTTTACTAGCTCCTTCTCCACACACATGCATCCCGTCTGTCATCACATCCACTGTTATGTTTTACGAAAGGCATCTTTTCTCAGCTCGGACCGTCCGCGACCAAGCAGTCCGGCTTTGCTGGCCAGTATGCTGTGGGTGGCGGCGGTGGACGATCGGGCCTTTTCCCTCTCCATCTCGCCTCTCCAACGGCGGAAGATCTGCCAGTTCTTGTGTGCGTTGACAATTCGGCTGTTGCGACCTTTGATCCATGTGTCCTTCAAGGACCAGGAACCCACTGAGAATATCAACGGGACGCAAGACTATTCTGCATCAGCTGCACATCACCCGTTCCAAGGTTCCGGTGACGACAAGGGCCTGGTAGGCCCAGCAGGATGTTTGGACGACGTAATTACCTACATACATGTGGCGTCTATTATCTCCTCGAGTGAGCAGAAAGCAGCGAGTATGCGATGGTGAGTTCAGCCTGATCCGAGTACGGATTCACATTGGTTGCATCACCTTGATCTACCCCTCGCGACTAACACACCCGCGCACAATCTAGGTGGCACGCGGCTTTCACGATGGCTCGAGAGCTCAAGTTGAATCAAGAAATTGAGGTAATGCCCAATATTGACAACCAAACGGATGGGTCCAGTCCTTCCTTTGGCTACCCGTTGGGTGGCTGGGCGAGTTCGCCGGAAGGCCCTGTGTTTGACTACTCGAATCCCTCCCGTCCAAGCTTGAACTGTGTATGCGAGGATGCTCACAATCCACGAAGTAACCAGCCTATGACGGAGGAGCATCGCGAGGAACGGCGGCGAACGTGGTGGTTATTGTATATTATGGACCGCCATCTAGCACTCTGTTACAATCGGCCGCTGGCACTTCTGGATGCGGAAAGCGAAGACTTGCTTCTGCCACTCGACGAAGCTGCTTGGCAAGCGGGCAACATACACACGAACAGCCCTCGTGCCGATGGGCCCCAGTGCGTCCGATCCGGGAGCCTGAATAAACGGCGCGTGTTTCCCAACTTCATCTGTCACGACCCGTCCATTTTAGGGTTCTTCTTACCATTGATGACCATCACGGGTGAACTGATCGATTTGAACCAAGCCCGAAACCACCCGACGCTTGGCCTTCGCCTGCAAGGGAAGGAAGCCTGGGAGATGCATGTCTCCGAGGTCCTCCGCCAACTGGAGGTTTATAAAGCGAGCCTCACCACCTTTGCCACCAGTGACCCGGACCCTGCCTTCTTGAATCAGTATGCGGGGACGGATCCGCAGTCCGATGCCTCCTTGTCGCAAGCGTACTCGTGGCATCGCCAGACCGTGATTGCGTACTCCTCTTACCTCGTCCACGTCTTACATATCCTCCTCGTCGGCAAATGGGACCCAGTCTCTCTGATCGAGGACAAGGACTTTTGGACCTCCTCTCCAGCATTTGCTTCCACCATTTCACACGCCCTGGAGGCGGCCGATGCTGTTCAGCAAATTCTTCGATTTGACCCGGACATCAGTTTCATGCCCTACTTTTTCGGCATTCAGCTCCTGCAAGGCAGTTTTCTGCTGCTTCTGATTGTGGAGCGGCTGCAAAAGGAAGCCGGTGATGGGATTCTCAACGCGTGCGAAACGATGATCCGGGCCACTGAATCTTGTGTAGTCACCCTCAATACCGAGTATCAGCGCAGCTTCCGCCAAGTTATGCGAAGTGCGGTCGCCCAGGCGCGCGGTCGACCTGTCAATCCGAGCGAGATTAGACACCGTCGTAAGGCCGTGTTGGCGTTATATCGATGGACAAGGAAGGGAACCGGCCTTGCACTCTAGGATGTACCAATATACTAATGCTCCCGAAATCGGAGTGTGCGGCAATTCTGTCGGTATTTTGAACGCCTCATATGTTGGCTTGATGAATCTTATTTTATTTTCTAGATCAGTTTTTGTGCTTTCGCAGTGACTCACCGAACAGACCCCGTGGTTGTTACTTAGGTATGAACATACTAGCCAGACTCGTATATAATTTGAGTTTGCCCACGACTAGGGAATCCTTTTGATCTGCGTGGGTTCAGCTGTACATATTCCTCATTACCAAGGACCGTATTCAGTAGCATTCACATGTGAGGGAAGTACTTCATTACCGTTTGCCTGATTCGAATTCTCTTCCACCTCTCCTTATTACTGCAAAGTGCAAGCTACAGCGTGGCTGACATGTAGCTGGAAGCCCTGGATCAACCAGGAAGTTCAGTATTCGCTCTGACCCAAGATCTTCTCCTTCATGAGTATCACATATCCCACATACTAGCCATCGGCCAAGGTCTATCCGCTGCCGCTGCACCCATGGTGCCAAGAGTCCTACTAACGTTACCAGCTCGGCAAACTCGCCTGGTGCATCTGAGCAAGCTCCAACACTCAAGAATCACATTCACTAGTCGTCAGCGCCAGGTTCAGTCACGGTATCGACGAGGCGCGGGATCCTCTACTAGCGTCTTGCTGAGTTGGATGACCACACAACTGTAAAGCATGATCAAAAGAGAGTCAGCGTGGAATTGCTTGTGAAATGCTGCAATAACCAATGGCATTCAGACGATCCATGGAGGAACTTGCGAATGAAGAAATCAATCACAAGATGTTCTGCAAAACTGTAGCAGGACGGTTGATCTTTCTATAAGAGGGGAAATCGTGCCTCTTTTGTTACCGCTTCGCATCAACCTTGTGCCTTGCATACTCGCCGGGAAATGTTAATTTGGAATCAGCGAGAATCAGAGAATCAGAAAAGCTTTTTAGCTCGAGAACGTAAGCCTGGTGCCTCCATCAGCCGTTGGCTTGATGGCCATTCTCGGCCTCGGGAAATCCGGCCCAGCATCAAACTCGCCCAGCGCTTCATGCTCACCTACGCCGCCAAACTTTCTGTTCATCATCACTGACGACCAAGACCGTCAATTGGGCTCCTTGCCCTACATGCCTTTGGTGAGAAAAACATCTAGGCCGCAGAGAAATCACCTTTCGCAGCTATTTGCGGCAACGGCGTCATGTTGTCCATCCAGTATCAGTTTACGGACTGGTTGTCAATCTCACAGCACAAACGTCACCGATGTGTACCCGCCCGAGGTAAGATCTCCTCCCCCCTCCTTGAGTATTGATTGGGTTAGACGCAGGACTCATTACGAAGCTTGGCGATTTAAATGAACTGGAGGCTACCCAAAGTTTGTGGACCGTGGCTTCAAGGAAGATTTCCTGCCCGTATAACTGCAGCAAGCGGGCTGTGATATTTTCTATACTGAAAGCTTAAGCTCATGAATTTGCACACCATGGAGAACTACCACAGTCCCCATGTTAACGATTTCAACAGCTCCGACTTTCTGCTGGATCCATGCACTTACTCGTATCTCATTTCAACATATCAGCGGTATCAAGAGGACCCGGTGAGCTATGAAGATCGACACCGATTACCACGTGGCAAGGCCTGTGGTTTCGAAGAGGACATTCGTGTACCTCTGATCGTTCGAGGCCCAGGAGTCCCTGCAGGCAAATAACAAGCAGTTGTGACAACACGTATTGATTTGGCTCCTGCCATTTCCAACTTGACGGGGATTCCACCCCGTGAGGATGTCGACGGAGTCACACTTCCTGTTACATTTGGAGCACGAGTCTCCCGTCATGAGCATGTCACCGTGGAGTTCTGGGGACGAGGTCGAGGGAAAGGCATATACAGTATACACTATACGGTGGTATCGGTCATTTTGGTTAGGCTACAGTGTCAATCTAGCCGGCTAGGGCCTTGTTCTACTCTTTGACGGCTCGTCTGGCTATATCGGTACCAGGACTCACAGGTAGCCACGTAGGTTCTTAAGGAGATCCCCCCACGCTGAACATTGCATACAAGGTTATTCAAATTCTCTCCGATAATCACAATCTTTATTACTCTGTATGGTGTACTAACGAGCACGAACTTTATGATCTGTCGATACGTGGTGTAATTAAATGCACAGGCTCAAGCACCGGACTGACGAGAGCGATAGACCGATTCCTACCAGATGCACAATGTGTACCCAACCAAAAAACTGAGACACGCATGGCCGATCCTCGGGCGTCCAGTTGATGAATAGATCGAGTGACTCGACGGTTGAATCCTTGTGTCAAAGTCCTGCCAGGGAAAGATTTGTACTGTACTATCGGACGTCCTTCATGCAGACTGGCAAGGGAAGAGTCTTCAGGGTGCATTGAACAAAAAGCACGACCTTTTCTATGCAACTCAGCTAGCTGTATGATTCACACGGTGCGGGCTTGGTTACTTGGAACAGTCGGAAGGTCCTCAGACGGCCCTTCTCACCCGCTATGGTGTTAGTTGGGATGCGTGGGTATGAGAATGTTGGGCGTGTGAGACCTTTAGCCCAACTTTCACGATACAAGCTTTGGGTAATTTCCTATTTGACTGAAGAATTCTGGCGTCTTTTAGAGTGAACAAAATGCCTAGACTATGGTTTTTCCTGATGCCGATGACTCGACTCCGTTCTCTGCCCTTAATTTCATAAGACCGTTCCCTTTTAGTATCCGAGGAACCCTTCCAGAGGTGTATGCTCTTGTCTCTCGCTTGGAAAACCTTCGGGTCTCCCATCTTCAGAAATGGTCCATGAGGATAAGAGTCAAAGGAACGGTGAAAATCCAGAACCGGCCGAGCCGCCCGGTTCTGTGCAAGCTAGAGCACGTGCCCAGGCACGAGTCAACGACGCCTGCTGCCGGAATTCTCCATCAAACCAAGATTCACTTGCCGTTGCGATCGATTCACCCGGACGACACACTCGCTCCTCTTCAACGGTTCTCCACATGATCCAGGTCTCAAATGTGGGTCATTGGTGGAAAATCACCTCCCCGGTGTGTTTCCATGAAGCCTAACCCACTTGGCAAAAGCTTCATCGACGCGGAGAAACACCCGAAAAGGGGAGCCAGCTAGCCCGTGATTGACGGAAATCTCTTTCTAGATCATCTTGCAACTACCCCGGATTTGGCTTCTCCACGCTTCTGCAGATGGGGTTGTTGATCATCCTGCGAGATGACTTTCAGGTCGGAGGACACTGTGCAGGATGTAGCAAGCCTCTCATTTAGCCATCTAGGTTGATTTTCGCGGCTGGGTACGCGTGTATCAGGGTTATAAATGAGCTTTCTTCCCTTCCAAAATAGGGAGTTGAAATAGCAGGCCTCGAACTTGCTGCTCATCGACTTTCGTGAACTCATACAATCTACCAAAAAGTGACCTACGGTCATGATGAGAGCCTCGCTATGCATTGTGTTCGCGGCGCTGTCCATTGCGGCCCAGGCTCTGCCAGGTCTCTCGAACAACGTTGAGGATAAACGCGAGGTCTGTGCCGGTGTGTCCGCTCGGACAGTTCCTGCACGCAATGCCGTGATAGTCGACAATAGCGCCAAGCCATTTCCAGGTTCGCACGCTACAGTGCAAGCGGGCGTCAATGCTTTGAGCAAGACAACCACCGATCCGCAGACATTGTTCATCTTCCCAGGCACATACACTGAGCAAGTGTATATTCCGCGACTCTCTTCGAATCTCACGGTGCAGGGGTATACCTGCAATGCCAAGAGCTATCAACACAACACGGCGACCATCACGTATAACCTTGCTTTGATCAACACCACAAGCGATGACTTGACAGCGACTCTGCGCCAATGGAATCCCAACACCAAGATCTACAATCTGAACATTGTGAACACATTCGGTCACATTCCGAAGAATGGTCAAAACCTTGCCGTGTCAGCAGAAACTGGAGGTCAGGGCTACTACGGCTGCCAGCTGATCGGGTACCAGGATACACTGCTCGCAGAAACTGGTACGTGAAAATATAATGAGTGAATGTTGAACGACCGTCGGATTGGCGTAGGTTGACTAATGCCGAGACCACAACAGGCACTCAACTCTACGCAAAAAGTCTCATCGTTGGGGCTGTCGATTTCATCTTCGGACAAAATGCACTTGCATGGCTCGAGAATATCGACATCCGGACGATTGCAGCAGGGTGCATCACGGCTTCTGGCCGCAGTACCGCGGATAATCCGTCCTGGTATGTGATCAGTCGCTCTACGATCACGGGCATCAACGACACTATCCCCGCGGGCACAAACTACCTGGGCCGACCATGGCGTTCTTTCGCCCGTGTGGTTTTTCAGAACTCTTTCCTCGGTAATATCATCGCCCCGGCGGGCTGGGAACAATGGTCCAAAAGTACTCCCAATATCGAAAACGTAACATTTGCGGAATACAACAACCGAGGTCCGGGCTCGTTGAAAGAAGAAGGACCGCGTGCCGCTTTCAGCGAACAGCTGTCTGATCCAATCTCCATTCGATCAATTCTTGGCGAAACATTTGAAGACGAATGGTGGATTGATACCGACTACCTGGAACCGAGCGACCTGAAGGTCCACAAGACTCATCCAAGCTCCTCCACAAATTCGCAAAGTACCATAGCCTCTCATACCGAGCCAGCCTCAACTCTACCAGTCAGCTCGACTTCACCAACTTCTGTGATCACGAAGGCAGTACCAGCAAGTGTGCCCCCAAGCCTCACAGTCTCGGCATCCACAAGTCCGTCGACGACGCCAGGGTCACCTTGCACTTGCACTGAATATGCACAGATCGCATCAGCCGTGAAGTCGTGTACTGAAATTGTGCTGTCCAACATAGCCGTCCCACAAGGATCCGCTATTGATTTATCTGGGCTTAAAACCGGCTCGACTGTACGATTCGATGGACTCACGACCTTCGCATTCACCAACTCCTCAAGCTTCGATCCTATCCTGATCGGCGGAAATGGGATCACGGTGACCGCGAGCCCTGGTGCCATCATTGATGGGAATGGTCAAGCCTATTGGGATGGGCAAGGCTCCAACGGGGGCGTCCCCAAGCCTGACCATTTCATTGCGGTGAAAAAGGTCACCGGCCACTCGGTGATCGAAAAGCTGCATATCCGAAACTGGCCGGTTCATCTTTTCACAATCAACGGCTGCTCAGACCTTGTCTTCCAGGATCTTGTTCTGGATAACACTGCGGGCAACGCACCCAATGCCAGAAGTGGGGGCCTTCCAGCCGCTCACAATTCAGATGGATTCGACGTCAGTAGTTCAAGCAATATTCTCATCCAGCGCAATGTTGTGTACAACCAAGATGACTGTGTCGCTATCACTAGTGGCAATAACATGACGGTTTCGCAGCTGGAGTGTCATGGTGGACACGGGCTTTCGATTGGATCAGTCGGATTGAAGTCAAACAACAATGTTACAAACATCAAGGTACGTATATTCCTCGGAGGCAAGGGTTGAGAGCTTTCCAAGTCCAATTTATAGCCCGAGACAGTGCTGTGAAGCTCCGATCCATTACCCTTGGTGACCTCAAGGTTGTTGCTTACTAACTCCGTGCCTGCGTGAATGAACAGTTCGTCGACTCTTCCGTGTATGATTCTTCGAACGGCTGTCGCATCAAAACCAACTATAACGCAACTGGCTACGTCGCCAACATCACCTACTCGAACATCCTTCTAAGTGGGATCTCCACTTACGGCATCGATGTTCAGCAAGACTACCTGAACGGCGGACCAACTGGAAATCCGTCCAATGGGGTCTTGATCGAGGGCCTTGTGTTTGAGAATGTCACTGGGACTGCCACGTCAACTGCGCAAGATTACTATATATTGTGTGGCGATGGGTCATGTTCTGATTTTGTTTTCAATGACGTGTCTATCACGGGCGGCTCTGTGGCCAACAGTTGCAACTTTCCAGCAAGTGGATGCCCGTCTTGATTTTAAAGACGATGGGTACATGTGGTTTTGACAATATTACTCGTCCTGACGATGCTTCTTGAAGCTCTTGGTTGTCCGACCGCGGCTTCCAATTGGGGAAAAATATAAAAAAAAGCAAGTGGTATGAGGATGACGGGACGGCTTGCAGCTACCTTTCCGGCTTGTTGGCGAGCCTACATGCAGTTGAGATCCTTGTAGATACTGACCAAGGTCTGGGAGATGGGTGGCCATTTGCATTACTTTTCGGTCAACCCATGGTGAGGACACCCCACACACCCTCTCCCAATCCTGATATTTGTATGTAGCATCGCCCAAGAAAAGCCCTCTTGTTTGAGGTTGACATGGAAAATAGTCGAGTGGTGTTACATAAGTATTTGAAATCCAGGGCAACTTAGGCGGTGTTGTGTTTGAATCATTTACTCCGAATTGTTCGAGCATGGGATTTTATCGGTCCAGCGCAGGCCAACGGCAGCACGTTAGGTACAATTTCCCAATCTAAGCAACCTCATCATCCTCTTTCTTCCCTTGTTTAGCTGCGCGTACTAGTTGTTGTTGCCAAAAGACACAGGGGACCATGCACAAGATCGTAAAGTCCCTGTACAACCCCCAACCGTGAGCTAAGATATCGGGCTGATATCTCCGCATGGAAGGATAAATGGCCTCTTGCAAGCTCATAGGCTTGATATAGCGGCAAAGAATGGACTGTAGGACTTAAGCAGCTGCATGTAGACATAAATATATATCATACACCAAGCATGCGTGAAAGAAGCCTGATCGGCCTCCCTACCTAATATTTTTGTTCGTATGACATGTGATTCTGCCGCTCACCACAGTCCATAGCTTAGGTAGAAACCCCCCCCCCCCCCCCCAACAGCAATCTCACTCCTCATTCCTCTCACACATCGATACTGCTGCCCCTACCGTAGCCGTATCTTATCGATTTATTTTCAGGAAGATGGAATGATGTCGAAGTATAGTCACATCCATGATTTGAAGGAGAACTTGTAAAGTGCTGCCCCATCTCACTCAACACCTATCTATTATAACCACGTCACTTGCTCTATCAGTAAGTACAAGTATGAAATTTTCCCTGATCTCCTCTTTAGCCAACCGCCTGTTTCCTGTTCTACGCACCATTCTCATCTCAATTCCGAGACTTTGGGCCGTATCACTCCGCAATGACAATCAAGACCATTGAAGACGCAGCAAAAGCGCTCCAAGGACAGACATATGTCATTCCACGCTTTCTGTTTCTCTTTGGCAACATATCATCCCCATTACATGGGGTTATGCATGTCTGCGGCAATCTGTGAATGACTTCTTGGCGCAGTAAGTAGTCAATTTGAGACTCCATCGGACTCGAGCTTCTGAACTTCAATTCATTAGAATGTATCCGAATGAGAAGAGCGAAAAAATGGTTGAAAAGCTACGTCGGTCTGATTTCGCATTGCTGGCTTGTTTATGGTGGCCACATGTTGATTTGAACACTCTGCGCCTGCTGTCCTATCTTGCACTGTGATACCTGTTATGGGACGATGAACTGGAGTCGAGGTATCCTGATGTCGAAGGCGATGGGAATGTTGCCGAAACATTCCGTATGCACACAAGAGCAGCTATGTTCATAAGCATTGAGATTAGCGAAGGGAATCGGAAGACGCTCGAGCATGCTCCACACCTCGTCCAGCTATTTTGCCCACTAGGAAGCGGAATCAAATCACGAATCAGTGAGGGTGAGTGCTCAGGCAGCGCAAGTCTTCCAGTCCCAGAGATTTTGATTCGCGATGGTTTGGTATCACTAACTCTCTCATATCTCATGGCTAAGACAATCGAGTTCTTCTGCTTCAGATGATCGACAAGATCCCGGAGGATTCCAAGAAGGAGCAACACTTTATGGTTGCAGAAAGAGTTCCTTCGATAGAGCAGTTCTAGGAGTTTCACACTGGGACCAATTTGATGGAGACTTTGTACCCCATCACTTCGTGAGTCTCAAGCTTCTTACAGTATGACCCGAGAGAATCTTGTGCTAATGGTTTATAAGGCTGACCACAGAGATTGAACTGTCAACAAACGAGATGAGACCCCCTCTGCTGCGAGCGTACCGGGAGCAAATCAACAAGACAATTGCAATGTGAGACTGAATTTGGGTCGAACCTTTGAAGACAGGTTTCGCTAAGCTTAAAATTGTCCAGAACGAACGACATCCTATCTTTCAAAAAGGAAATTGTATGCCAGACCATCTCGCTTTCATACACGCTCTGATTCAGTTCAATAGGAAAAGAAGAAAACCTCGAACCTCGTCTTTCTTATTTATTTCGAGTTGGGTAATCTTCAAAAAGCTATCGACTCGACTGTGAAGAAGCAGTGAATGAATCGTGGCGTCTCAAGGCCAAAGTCCTTGCCCTCACTGAGGAACATTTACATCGTTTCGTCGAAGCGTGGGACTTTTACGCGATTGGATTTCTCCACTGGAGGTGCGAGGGTCGTGGGAACCTACCTTACTTCTATGGCCTGGACGTGAAAGCTCACCTGGCTGACCAACTTTCCAGTCTTGTTACCCCTCGCTATGGCCTGGACGCATTCCTTCAGGAAGACGGCACGTTTATTGTGTCTCTCAATGACAATTTCTCATGAAAGGAGAGTACAACCCAAGGCGCAGTTCTGAGGGAATTGTGAGCCAATACGGGGATTCATTATTCATGTCAATTAGTATTGTTGATTCAGTCGAGCTTCATTGTTTCAATTGTCGGTCTTTTATTTTTGTGTCATTCCGTCTTTGCGATTCAGCTTATGAAGAGCCTTCGCTCCTGATTTTGCCAAAGATCCCCTCTAACAGTAAATTTGTACACGTTGAAGTTTAGAAATTCGATGTATAGCGTTGAGTAGCTGGGTGCGGGTTCCCGTCTGCAAGACCGTCAGACGTCCCCGGCGAATAGTCCATAGTGATACAGGTCGAAGAGAGACCAACCATATATTCAGCCCAACCGAGACAGGCACTGCTTTAAGTCGGATGAATATCGAATTCAGAACTGGGTCTGAAGAACTGAATGTTCAGCCCGCAGCCTGAGGTGAATATTTACCAGACTCGCCCGAACTGATTTACATATCCGGCCAGCTAGTTAAATATGGAAGTGGTACAAGATTTCCTGTTTGCGGGGGGAATATTGAAAAGCTTCATGGAAAGCAAAGTAACACGTGCAATTTGGGGACGCAAGATACTTTCAAGTGATAAAAACATATTTGCATAGAGTCGTCGAATCATGTTCGGCTATTATACTTACAAGGTGAAGATGGCAAATCATAGCTTCGGAGCGATCACAAGCACATCGATAAGTGTTTGGAAAGATCCTTCACTTTGTGTGCTTGAGCGATGTCAGAGATTGTGACTTGGTGGGATAGTTTGATCTCAGGAAAGTGTCCGAGGACTGCTGATAGGGCCCGGGACATGGGACTTTATTCCTTTCAGAGCCCATTACAGCCCAAGTGCCTCGCGTCTGCTCTTGCTGGATAGATCCAAATAAGGTGCCTCCCCGAGAGAGGCAACACGGTCACCAGCCCGCGCCTCAGCGTAATCGTAGGTGGCACAGTGCCACATGCTGCGATTGTCCCAGACGGCCAAGTCATTCTTTCGCCACTTGAAGCGGACTTGAGCGTCGTGGTTCTGAGTCACGAGATTGAAGAGATAGGCGAGGAGCATGTCTGACTCATCTTTTGTCACACCGTTGATGCGCTTGGTGAAGCCCTTGTTCACGTACACCGATTTCCACCCAGTCACGGCTAGTATGATCTTTGATCAGCCCTCGTCACGTAGCAGCATTGAAGAGCGTATGGATAGGACAGTGAAACTCACGATTCGTTCGAATGACGGGATGAACTGCCTGGAGATTTTCACCGAGGTTCAATGGAGAACCGCGGGCCTCCTTTCTAATGGGGTTGCCGAGACGTCTCGCCTCATCGTGGAAAAAATTGGCGTCATGTGTCGCAGTCAGCCCTTCCAGGAAGGTCTGCATACTAGGAGACAAGCGATCATAGATTTCGTAGCCCGACGCCCACAGCTATTGAGTGTCAACAAAACTATTTGCACTAGTTTCTGCTACCATTGGGGACCGGAAGTCCTGGGACGTGTGCAACATACCGTGTCGCCACCGGTTGGTGGGAGCGTGTGAATCTTCAGCATTGCATAGTCGGAAGGAACCGCTTCAAAAGAGATATCGGTATGCCAGCCAGCACTGGCAAAGCGACTGACGTCGCTGAGCTGGTGAGTGAGACCGCCTCCTTTCTTTTGCTTTTCGCTGCTGATGACACTGATCTGGTCGCCCAGCTCACTGCCCTCTTCTGTCAAGGGATGAACATGGAGACCTGACGACTCGGGCTGTTGGTTGGAGTCAGTATTCACTTGTAGCTGACACAGTCAATTTATTTTCTCTGAGATTGTCACGTACACATCCAGCAATGTCGGTCAAGCGCAGGCAGAACTGCTTCATCTGTTCCGGCGTCACCTCTTGATCGCGAAGGAAGACCACTCCTCGCTGAGAGACTAGTACCAGAATTGGAATTAGCATCTACACTAGAGATGAGATAAGTCTGATGTGTCTTACTGGTGCATGCGAGATCCCGAATGACCGAATCGTCCGCAGAAAGTAGCTCCGTCACCTGGAGGCCTTTAAACTCACGACCAATGACCGGGGTCACGTCCGCATAAGTGTACTTCTCCAAGGAGCCCGAGTACACCAAGGGCTTCAGGCAGCGCGTCTGTGCTTTCGGGTTGCCGCCGCGGATGTTGTCTCCGGCGGCGCTTGGCGTGTCTACCTGAGCGGACGGCATTGCTATTATCAGGTTCAAGAAAGAGTAGCAGTGGAAGAAGTTCAGAGATGATCAAGTGGCAAGAGGACGATGTTGTTTGGCCCGTTGCTAGCTGGGCGAGTCTCGAATATTTTGATGATGTCGGATCTTCGTCTTTGATCCAGTTAGTGTCGTGATTGACGCTTGCCTTGTTCTGTGGCAGTCATCGCTGGGCATCTGCTTCGCATTTATCCACTCTCCAACGTCGTCTGCTGCCCCGCGTTAGGACGACGAAAGCCGATGCTGCCGAGATGCCCCCCGAGTGCACAGGAGCCGCGCTGCTGGGGTGACCCCACCGAGTCAGTCGCCCACCACGTTTCCTTGGTTGATTCGGGGGAAGCCAATGGAGAGGTGCCGGAGAAAATTTCGGAGTCAATCTCGGCGAAGCTTTTGAGCTGGTCCCAGTTGATCACATCGGGTAGGGAAGTCTCAGCCGAGGCTAAGGGGCGCCCAAAAGCGCCCGAAGAGTTGTCCAGGCCCTGACGACGAAGGCGTCGCCAGGTCTGGGTCGCGGGTGATACCCGTCCCACATCGTTGCCCGGGGTAGGGCAATCACAGTACAATCAATTACCATGCACTTCCCGAGACGGTGATGTTCGCAACCTTTTCGAATTCAGGTACGAACCGGGTATCCAGTGATTCACTGACTAGTGTATACTGATAGAGTCACTCATCGAGTTACATACAGGCTGCCTGGCCCATCTAGGCACTGGGCAGATCCTGTACATTGTACACACTACAATCGCTGTACAGCTACAGCATGGTTGTGGCTTTCTCGGGTCTGTCGCTTGTCACGCAATCAAGGCGTTGATGGCGCGAGGCCACGGGATATGGAATTACTCCTGCAATGGGTTGAGGATGGATCTTGTTTAAAGGGCCTGGGAAGCCGTAACAGTGTTCATACATAAGGTAGAGTATCTTAAGGTCTTTCCTAGAGCAGCCAGTTGCTCCCCCTATTTGAGACGATCTGGGAGTTCCACCGACCACAATCTTGAAGAGGTGAACAGACATCCTCCAAGAGTCCCAACCATCTAACCATCCGTCGACCCAAACCTTTCCGTGCCATACGCAACACAACTACGATACCAGCGGGGCTAGAATACGGACCAAATACCATCGGTAACGATACTGCGGTCTCACCCGCCAGGGCAGGTCAGGCGCGGGTAGCTACCCCCACAGTCTGGGGCCCCGGATTTCCAATCGATTGGAGCGATCAACAAGACAAAAGGTCAGCAGGTCACGAATCCGAGTCGTGTCCGGAGCCTTGGCTTGGCGAGGGCGAAAAGTCGCCTTTGTATCCAAGGCAAACGTCCTGCTCCGAAGGGTTCCCGCCCCGCTGCAACTCAGTCTGGCTTAGCACCATCCAGAGTACTGGGAACAAAAAGGCTTCACGTTCCCGCGGCGGATAAGGGGACAAAGCTCCAAAACACTGAATCTGTTACTTGCACCCGCCTTTTGAAAGTTGTGCGGTCAAGCATTGACTGTGAAGGAATCAACTGAATACCACGCCCGTTCTAGAGGATTGACGATCCGTAATGGACAAGAATTCAATCACACACGTCTCGGACGTGACAAATGATCCGAACGACCCGCCAGAGGCATCCAAAGTCCAAGTCGGACGAGAAAGGCTCTCCAATCGCCTGCCACCCCATGAGTCTTATGAAGGCCGTCATCGATGGGACCCGGAGATGACGTGGACCCCGGAAGAAGAGCGCAAAGTGGTCAGAAAGACGGACGTTTATCTCCTGTCATGTATATGTGTCATGGTACGTTTTATATTGCTACACATACGCAGTCGAGGTGACAATGTCGAGCACAGACAGTATGATGATCACAATACCTGTAAACCCCCGAAGCTAACATTTGCTCATCTTTATAGTTCTTCGGACTTCAGTTGGATCGAGGGAACCTTTCCAATGCACTGGCTGATGACCTGCTCAAGGATTTGAACCTATCCAGCAATGATTATAATAATGTGAGAAATAACTTGACACTAGGCGGATCTGAGATGGTTACTCACAAATCGTCAACAGGGAACTACAATTCAACTATTGTGCTTTTTGGGAGCTGAGTTCCCCGTTCAGATGATTACCAAGCGTTTGGGCTTCAAGAAAGTTTTGCCCACAATGATGATGCTTTGGGGTATTGTTTGTATGTCTATTCTCCCCTCCCCCAGTAGCGACGAGACCTAACGCTGACGATGATCGGAACAAAGCATGGGCGCAAGCATGGATGACCAACCGTTCCACCTTTTACGTGACGAGAGCACTGATCGGCCTGTTCGAAGGCGGCTTCATTCCTGGTAAGTTAACGATTGGCAAGCGAAGTTTCATGCTAGGAGAAGACTGACCGATGTCTCTTTTCCAGGTGTTGTTCTCTTCTCAACATATTTCTACACTTCCACAGAGCTTTCAACGCGACTTGCGCTGTTTTGGTCCACTCTGAATATTGCCCGTGTCATCTCAGCCCTGCTGGCAGCAGGTATTCTGAAGATGCGAGGCATCGGGGGACATCCAGGATGGTTTTGGCTCTTCCTCTTGGAGGGTCTTCTGACCTGCATTATTGCCCTCGTGGTAAGTGATAATCAAGTTCTCTCGTGAAATTGACATAGTCCATTCAAGAGTGATACATGATACTGATGGTCCTTCCAACTTAGGCATTCCTTTGGCTACCTGCGAGCCCAACCTCGACCAAGGGAGTCATTTGGCGTAAGCCCTGGTATACCGAGCGTGAAGAAGCGATCATGGTCAATGTAAGCTTCAAGGCTTCGGCTCTGGGTTCTCGGGTTACCGTGGATATTGGTCATGTTCTAACAAAACCTTGTCAGCGTATTCTTCGTGACGACCCGGCCAAGGGTCTCACTGCCATCAAGGAGCCGGTTCGTTGGAGTGACATCAAGGAAGCCTGGATGGACAAGTCCATGTGGGGACTGTACCTCATTGGACTAGTGGCATATATACCTGCCACACCAGTGCAGGGCTATCTGACCCTCACTCTGCGGCGCATTGGCTTTTCGACTTTTGACTCCAACATGTTGACAGTTCCGTCAGCTGTGCTTCAGATTTTCACCATGCTGGCAATAGCCTATAGTAGCAACTATTTCAACGACCGGGCTTTTCATGTGATCATCGGAGAGGCCTGGGTTCTGCCTCTTCTCGTCGGCATGCTGACCCTCCCCGATGGTGGTCGTGACTGGTCCCGATTCACGCTGGTGACCCTCGTCTCAGGCTGTGAGTGCAAAACCCTTTCAATCTTTGAACTTCTTCAAATTTATTACTGACTGTGCCTCTTCTCTTAGATCCATATTTCCACCCCATTGTTTCATCATGGATCTCGGAGAACAGCTTCGATGTCAAAAAGCGAGCCATCACCGCGGCCACATACAACGTGATCGTGCAGGTTGGATCCCTGATTGGCTCGCAGATCTATCGCGCCGAAGATGCGCCATACTATCATCGGGGCAATGCTGTGCTGGTGGCTCTCTGTGCCCTCTCGTTGGTAATTGTGTTCGCTCAACGTGAATTTTTGCGACACCTCAATCGCAGGAAAGCCGCGGCCTGGAATGCCATGACGCTGGAGGAGCAGGCTTCGTATCAAAGCGACGTGACAGCTCGTGAGGAAGACGGAAACAAGCGGTTGGATTTCCGGTTTTCCTATTAGTCAAGATTCCGGCTGGAGTCAAGTGGAAAGATAATATGTACCACAGCGAATTTTCGTTCGTAATTTTCGCTTAAGGTTGATACTTTTAATGTATCGCGGATGGCCCGTGGAATATGGAAACATATGTAAATAATGTTCAATGTATGTTCAATACAGCAATAGACTCGAGACGGCCTGAAAGAGACATACATACAGTACCCGCCCGGTATGGTCTCTGTAATTACCTCAGCCTTGTCATGGTATAAACACTTAGAAGGTTCCTCGTGAATATCCTGATTCGTAGGGAACAAGACACGTATAAGTGTCAAGCAGTATGTGCCTGGCACCTGCTGAATGATGGAAAACTGAATACAACTAGCGGACGGTCCCTTTCAGGGGCTCATGATGTCTTAGCACGCCATCAGAGCATCACATCACATTCTGGAGCCGAAGATACTTCTGACTCCTACAAACCCCGTTCTCCCGATACTCTGTTTCAATCATCCAGTGTCCCGGACCAAGTGAACGTTCGATGGACTATCCGCAGTTCTGCACTCTGCAGCCCGCGTTAGACCACTCAAGCTAAACCCAATCGGCACTAGCTCCACCGGCAGTGTTCCCGGGGCCATCGACCTTTCCCCAGAAAAAGAGCAAGACCCCCCTCTCCATCTGGTCTTCCCCGCATGCAGCTAGAGTCCGATGGAACAATGCCGCAATCCACAAGGAAAATCAGTAAATGGGCCTGTGATGCGTGCAAGCTGCGCAAGGTCAAATGCTCGAGTGAAACGCCATGTCAGGGCTGCATCAGTGCCGGCATTCCATGCACTTTCAACAAGCGCCCGTTGGCGCGAGGCCCGAGAAGCCTACGGGCCAAAACGATTCATCGGATCAACGCGAGTCAGCAGCAACATGAGCTGCGACGAGAAGAGAACACTTATACAGAGAGTTCCAATGTAGATGAGGACCCGACAAATCACCCAACGTCAGGCAGGATATCATCGACACCCTCGCCATCCCATACAGAGATTCCGAGCTCCACTACGTCTGATCCACCAGCTTCCACACCAGAACGACACACAAGGTAAGCGGCCCGCAGTGATGGCTAGTGCGGCGCGGCTACTCTAGAGTCGCCATCTGGAGAACCTGATCATCAATCTTTTCTGACAAGTACTACAGTAATGAGCCATGCCGAGTATCAACATCATCATTAGTCCTGCAACTTTGTGTCTATCGACTGCGTTTGTTTCCAGTATGGCCCATCGTGGACGTGGAAGAGATCATGGGATATCTCCATCGTGACCCGGACAACACCGATGCGTATGCCTTGGCAAACGCACTTGGGGCGGCAACTATCGCCCAGCTGAAGCTTGACAGCCCTGAGACCGGAAACATGGCATTGGCGGCTTCGATGGAGGCAGAATGCCAGAGCGCCATCGAACTACTTCGCCGAAGGCAGCGAAGTGAGGAATTAACTACCAACTCTATTCGCGTATCATTTTTTCTACACGTCTACCATGAGAACAGCGCACCGGGAGGGACACGGTCTTTACTTTACCTACGAGAAGCAATCAGTATGGCCCAGATCATGGGCTTACATCGTGAAGCAAGCTACTCATCTTTGACAAGCCGCGAGCAGCGAATGCGACAGCGAATTATGTCTCTGCTTTTTGTGACTGAAAGGTGAGTCGAGCATACCACAGCGTTTCTTCAACGTGAAGTGTCATCGCCATCTGTCCATCTACGGCTTGTCTTCTCAGCCCAGCAGCTCACTATTCATTCTTGTGACAGAGGAGTAGCAATGCTTCACAAGTTGCCCGTCATCCTGCAATTCAACAGCCGATTCGCCAATCTCGACGAGTGCGATGATGAGACCCACGTCCTGCCGGCTTTCAAGAAGCTGGTTACCCTCTTTGCGTTGATTGACCAGTCGGGCGTGTTTGATTCGCTTCACAATTCGGATGAAGTTCAGGCAGGGGACAGCTTATACAACATCAATCGAAGCACATTCAGCAGTCTCCAAAGCCAGTTGCGAGAAGCTGCGTTCCAATTGCGCGAGACGAACGATATCCAAATGGCAGATATATGGGTAACAACCCAGTGGATGCAAGCGATGTTGTGGAGAGCGTCAATGAGCAGAAGGTTTGCATCACTCGACTTGCCTCAACAGCAAATCTCGAATCTTTCGCACCCAATACAGATTGCGAAAGACTTTTTAGAAGCAATATCCCGGCTTCCCAGCTCCGCACTCGAGGCTCACGGTCCTGCGATGGTATGTCATCAAGCCTTGTTGATCCCCAGATTTGTCAAGATCATTGACGTTTCGTTTGATTTCCACAGGAATACAAAATCTTTGAAATTGCCAAAGCTGTGACCGACTCTGTGGCAACGGGGCTCAACGATCCGATGATCTCGATAGAACTTTCGAGAGACGTTCTTCATCGGCTACAGAACAAGCTAGCCTCATTCCGGGGCGGCAACAAAAATCTTCTCTCTCTGCTTCATGCTCGTATCTCTGCGGCGCTACTTGACTCGAACCAACGGCCTTACAACGGCTCCATGTCTTACGAAGGCTTTCCCACATCATTCTATCGCCAAGGAAGGGCTCTTCTGCAGTCAGACCCTAGAAATCAGTCTATGGCCTTTGGGGGGCCTTTGGGCGACACCGGAAATTGGACCATTGGAACTACACAAAAGATCTCCATTGCGTCCACTGATAATGTGCCCCCATTCCAATGTCTACCCGGGGATTTTGACTTGGCGGAAGCGCTGCAGGCTCCGAACCAGAATACAATTCTCTCTAATGCTCTTGCGGACCTTGACACTACCCGGGCTATGGAGCTTCTGTTCGCTAATAGTGCCATGTGGGATTCCGTTGAGACATGGGATTTCCAGATGCCAGACCGAGAGGTGGCGGAATGTATATAATTGTAATTTATACCAATTTCTATGATCCTGAAGATGGGACTCTGATGTATCATGAAGCATGAAATCGCATATTGCAGGCAGTTACGGGACCACAGATCACCCATTTATGCTTTCACTAGGAGGGAAATAGCCTCAAACGGCTCAAGCGATAGTGCATCGCTGGAAACACTTGACAACGATCTTCCGGTGGTGGTGACAAGTATTTCCTTGGCACCGGACGGCAAGCCGGTCCAGTCAATATGCTCGGGGGAGAAGTTGCACACCACCAGCACCTGTCCTTGCGGGCTGTTGCGTGTATACGCGAAAACATTATCGTTTTCTTGGTCCACCAGGTCGAATCGTCCATACACAACAATGTCTTTATATTGTTTGCGCATGTCCAGGACAGTTCGCCAGCAGTTGAAGACCGAGTTGGGATCGTCCAGTTGAGCCGCGGCATTTATGACGGTGTAGTTTGGATTCACAGACATCCAGGGCTTGTCAGCGGAGGTAAAACCGCTGTTCTTGCTAGAGTCCCACTGGACTGGGGTGCGTGCATTATCTCGAGACTTCTTTTGGTACTCTCGAAGAAACATTTCTTGCGTTTCTCGGTCGGCGTTCTGACCTTTGAGCCTGTGAGACTGTCAGTACACTTCCTACAGCCAAAGAACGGGAGAGTGAGTGATTCCTCGAACACGAACCTCCAATGATTCAGGCAGTCAATATCCTGATACTCTTCCAACGGCCAGTCGGTCGGTACGTTATGCATTCCAATCTCTTGGCCTTGGTAGATGAACGGTGTGCCAGCTTGAAATCCGAGGAAGACGGCGATCAATTTGGCGCTCTGCTCACGGTGCTCGGGGCTGTCGCTGGCAAACCGGCTCACGGCCCGTGGTTGATCGTGATTTTCAAGATAAAGAGCGTTCCAGCCATTGTTTTGATACATGAATTGCTGCCACTTGTCGACCGTCTCTTTGAAGTCTGCAAGGGACCATTGACCTGGAGTGAATTTCCCGTTGGGGCCATGATCAATGTCCATCCTGAGCTTGTCAGCATCATCGCTTTTGATCACGTTTCGTTGTAGCACTCACAGCTCGAAGTGGAAGATCATGTTGAACTCCTTGCGCCCTTGCTGAACACTTTTGATGATATCCTTGGGGTCATGAACACAAGGCATTTCGCCGACACTGAAGGCGTTGTATTCTTCCAGTATGCTGCCCAGCTCTTGCAAGTATTCGTGTAGGCGGGGCCCACATGCATAGTACTCGCAACCGGGGAAGAAATCGCTTGTCGAGTCTAGGAACCTCTGGTCCTTGCTGACAAAGTTGATCACATCAAATCGGAAGCCATCGATTCCACGATCGAGCCAAAAGCGCATTGTGTCCTGCACTTCTTGACGAACGGCTGGGTTCTCCCAGTTCAGGTCTGGTTGTTCTTTGCCGTAAAGGTGCAGGTAGTACTCTTCGGTGGTTTCATCCCACGTCCAAGCATTGCCTAGCAGGATCGTATCGGGGTGAGCTAAAAACCTTCGTCGGTGGGGAATGGATCTGACCAGCTGGACTTGTTTCCGGACTTTAGCGTGAAATTCTTCACTCACCCTGGAAATGACTCTGCCAATTATTTGGTGGCTGACGATTGCCCCCGGCGTCGACACGGGCGGGCTTCCAAATGTACCAGTCCCGATATTTGTTCTGCTTGGAGCTTCGAGACTGCTTGAACCACTCATGTTGATCACTGGTGTGATTCATGACTAGGTCCATTACCAGTTTCATGTCTCGCTCGTGTAGCCGGTCTCTCAACACGTCCACGTCGTCAATTGAGCCATACTGTGGGTCAATCACGCGGTAGTTGCTGATGTCATAGCCCTGAAACATGCCAGTCTGTTAGTTACGGAAATCAAACAGAGCGCGACGAGCAACATCGGCCAGAAAAGGATTGCCGTGCACTTTGAACGGGAGACGCACCATATCGACTTGAGGGCTTTCAAAGATGGGTGACAACCAGACCGTATCGACACCCAATCGTTTCAGGTAATCGACCTTGGAAATGACGCCCTTAAGATCGCCTGTTCCTGATCCAGTTGAGTCCTTGAACGATGCTGGCCATATTTGATATACAGAAGATTCCTTCCACGCGGTGCGTTGCGGTTCAACCGCGGCGACCTGAACGTGGTGTGGTGACATGGTTCCGGCGGAAGTCGAGCAAAGAAATGAGCGTTTTCCGTACTTTTTTGCCGTGGTGAGATTTGGATAAGTCAATTTATGATTCTTCAAAGCCTGATGTCGAAAGGATGGGTAGTTGTGCGAAGGTCAAGTCTCCCTCGAACTAAGAGTCGAAGACTTGATCAAGCAAGTCAGGTTGGAGCAAGTGATGAGCAGCTCAAATACACGGTCTCTTGCCGAGCCCAGATAAAACGGACCTCGAGTGGGGATCGAAAATCAAGTTCCACCTGAAGCTCTGAAGATTGGTCCATCTTGACTTTTCTCCAAATCGCGCACACGTCAGAATTGGCTTCGAGTTTGTGTTAAGTCCGAGAATTACTCCGATGAGGAGGCTTACCCCGTGAAAGTACAAAATCCGGGGAAGAGGTCGAACAACAAAAGCTGCTCGAGCTGGCTCGGGTACCTCTCGGAAGCTCCCAATAAGGTCACCAATCACTGGGCGAATAGATTACAAGGGGGGGGGGGAGGGAAGCTCTACCGTGTCGCCGATTGAGTCGCCGATCGCCTTCGCCGAACGAGTCGCCGACTGAGTATAGAAGAGATGGATTGCGGTCGTACAAAAGGCGAGCGCCAGTCACGAGTACTTGCGTACTCCCTCAAAATGTTTATCATTACTCTTTGCCTCGCATCACTCAAAAACTGCATGGATAGCAGGTACTGACAGTTTTTTTCTCGGGCGTTGACAGCTACCACGTGAACCACTTCGGTGCCTGTGCTACGTCAAGGGTATCAGCCCATTCTTAAGTCCTTTAGCACCTCAAAACAAAATCAACACGGAGAATTCTAGTCACTACCGAAAATAAGTGCGATCCGGATTCTTTGCGGAGTCTCAACACTACAGGTGATTCTGTCGACAGCTGGCAGCAGGGCAGGTATCTCAGTATGCCGCCGAATCACACAGTTCCCAGCCAGTTTCTAGCACGATTTGAGTACATTTGTCGGTTGACAACGCGAACTCGCCCTACACGATGCTTTTATCAGCGGACAGCGCAACCGAACCTGCTGAGAAGGGGTCTTCATTCCCAAGCCGGACCGAAACATAAATCCAACGTACATTGGGCGACCCTTGCGAGTAGGAGCGCCGTTCTCGTTGGACTCGCCGCTGGATCACTCCAACTATTTCATGAGACACCGGTCGATCGCAATCAACAGAAGACCGTGGACACAAAAGTCAAAACATTCCGTTTGGCTGAAGTGAGGCAACACGATGGATCGTCCCAAAACCCATGGGTGATTAGAGGCACATCTGTCTACGACATCACCGACTGGGTTGCCGCCCATCCCGGAGGAGACGTGATTTTGACAGCTGCCGGAGGAAGTATCGAGCCTTTCTGGGACATTTTCACCATTCACAAACGACCGGATGTGTATGAGATCCTGGAAGAGTATAAAATCGGCACGGTGGATGAAGCTGATTTAGAGGACGGGCGTGTTCCCCAAGGGGCGATCGTGGACCCCTTCCAGAACGATCCCGCACGCGACCCCCAACTGATCACTCACACTGCATGTCCACGAAATGCAGAGACACCACAGTCCGCGCTGAAAGATTTTATCACCCCGAATGAGCTATTTTATGTTCGCAATCACTTCTGGGTCCCCGACGTCAAAGGAGAAGACCACGAGATCACCATTGAGATGGTCGACGGGACGGAGCGAAAGTACACGGTCAAGGAGCTGAAGGAGCGCTTCCCCCAACACAAGATCACAACGACTCTGCAATGTGCGGGCAATCGCCGCAGGTCCATGACGGATGCCGCCGGTGCCACGAAGGGTCTGCAGTGGAAAGTGGGTGCCATTTCAACTGCGGAGTGGGAGGGCGTCAGGTTGGTTGACGTTCTCGCTGACGCAGGGTTGAGTCCCAAAGACTTGCCCGAAGATGCCCAACATGTCCAGTTTTCGGCGATGGAGGCATACGGAGCGTCCATCCCTATACGCAAGGCAATCGATCCATGGGGGGACGTCCTCTTGGCCTTCTCCATGAATGGAGCAGAGTTGCCCCGTGACCATGGCTACCCGGTGCGAGTCGTTGTCCCGGGTACAGTGGCTGCCCGTAGCGTCAAGTGGCTCTCTCAGATCACCATCTCTCCCGATGAATCGCCCACACAGTGGCAGCAGCGCGACTACAAAAGTTTCTGCCCGAGCGATGTCAAGAACCCTCCTTGGGAACGGGCTCGGTCCATCCAGGAGATGCCAGTGACCTCTGCTATCACTCACGTGGAGACTCCTCGAGGTCCTGAGGGCGAGAGGCAAACCATCTCCGCTGAAGGCTATGCCTATTCTGGAGGGGGGGCGCGAGATCATCCGTGTGGATGTCAGCGTTGACGGTGGTCAGACCTGGCATGAGGCCGAGTTGCTGGACAATCAGGCCCAGGCCAAAGGCAGCCGGGCTTGGTGCTGGAAGAGGTGGCGTTATCAGGGACCGACACCAGCGGAGTGTTCGGGGTCGCCCGAGGGCAAGACGAGGCTGGTGGTGAAGGCGACAGACGAGGCTTATAACACGCAACCCCAGACACATGAGAGCATCTTCAATGCGAGGGGTAACTTGGCGACGGCCTGGGATCAGGCGGAGGTTCCTACGTGATCGGGCCGGGCATGGTCTATGGTGGACGAGGGTTTTGTGTCTTTGGCGTAACCGATCATCCACGAGATTTATTCTGTTTCTACAATCGGTTCATTGAGCGGGCGTTGTCATCTCTGGCCCATTTTCATCGCCCTGTGGTTGATTTAGCATGATGGAATCTGTCATACCTAAGATCTCATGTTCTTTCTTCCTGCTCCCTTGTCATGATCTTTTGAATTCGAGGTGCACATGTGTGGTAATACCAACTCATCCACGCCACGTCTTCTTTGGCAGGCTCCGCCGTAGGCTAACGTAACGTCCCTTATCATCACGTGTGTCTTATATCACCGATTGTCTTGCCGGGCATCGTGCCTCGGGATGGTTGGAAGAAAAGGTCTTTGGGTCAGGACGGGTCCAGATTCAGAGAACATCTTACAGTCTTATGTATGTGGATTTTACAGAGAGATACAGTAGAGCAATGACACGTACATAAAATGTCTGAGAGGATGCTGCTGTAGAACCTTTTCTGTCATGACTGGGGTATGTACATAGAATTTCTCTCGTCTGGACCGGCCTCGCCGACAAGGTCTCCCTTTGCTATCATTATCGGGGTCTCTCCCCACTCGCCCCGCCAGATCTACTGTAGTCACGCGCAACACACATACCTTATAGTATCTCCATACCGATTAAATAACAAAGCTCATGGAATGATAGATCATTTTGGCCCCTTGGTATGGCGTATGTAATTGTGTTGTATGTAGTTTTCACGGGTCTGCAGTTCTGCACTCGGGCTGCCTTCCTCCGCCGCCAACCGAAGCCCGCAGAATCATGGCGCATTCTTGAAAAGGGCACAGCCGGACATTGTACACAATCCTCGGCCCAAACCTTTCACTGGCCCTCGATCGACCATCCTGCTCATCGGCATTGAAAGAAACCGTCGGTCCGCTCCGATGCAGCATCACCTTCGGAATCCGATACACAGCATGACAGTACACCGGTACAGCGCGTGCCTTGAGCCTGCACCCTTGTACCTCAAACGACGAATTCCTCTCATGAACCCCCACCCTTTCCACCCCGCCCCACCCCCGCAGATGACTCCAATTCGACTCGCACACTGTTGTCACAACCCCAACTCCAACCCCCACCTTCCACCGTCTCCCAGGTGAGGCCGGGCAACTCGAACCAACTCGACTGATGCCATTCTGGTCTTCCAACGATCCACCCAATCCAGTGGATGAATCCACAAGTGCTCTTACTTCCCAAGAGATAACTTAAGTGTGCATTTAGAAAGGAGAAATGAGTCCAGTACCGTGAAATGGTGGGGGGCCATGCTGCCAGAATCTCCGAGAATTTCCCCGGACCGCGGTCGGGTGCAGCCATATTGGCAGCTTCATCGGCAAGCGGTTTCAACTGACTCAACGTGGCTTTAATTCAATTATCGGTACCTTTTTCTCTTGGAAGAAAAGAGGAAAAACTCATTGGACTTCTTCTTACACTGAACCTCCTTCTTCCCTCTTCAACTTCAGCTCGATTCCTCTCTTCGACTTGCGCGTCTTTCCTGATAACTCCCAAGTACCTTGAATCAACATATTCACTCAGCTGTGACAATTTGAGCAACAATGGCGTGGGCAGAACCTAGGAACACGGGGATGAGGTATCGCAGACTGGGAAACTCGGGTCTCCATGTCTCCGTCCTCGGTCTGGGAGGATGGCTCACGTACGTTCCACGCAGCCCAGGTTCAAGCTCGCTCCCTAGGAAGCGACCGTGGTCATGTCAGGCGCTAACAAGACTTGCTCTAGTTTCGGTGGACATGTCGATAATGGTTCGTACAAGATGCGCAATTCAAGAAAAAAAAAATAGACCCGATCTGATTCGAAGATTAGAAAAGACAATTGCGTGTATGAAGCAGGCTTATGACTGTGGCATCAATTTCTTCGACACCGCCGAGAGGTTTGTTCTCCCTTTTTTTCATGTCATTCGGCTTTTCGAGCCATTCTGACCAGTTGAATCAGTTACGCGGATGGTCAATCCGAAATCGCCATGGGACAGGCCATCGAGCAGCTGGGATGGAAGCGCAATGATATTGTCATCAGCACCAAACTTAACTGGGGTGGCGCTAACGGCGAAGTCTTAATCAATAACCATGGACTCTCCCGCAAACACATCGTGGAAGGTCTGCGGTCATCGTTGAAACGTCTCAATCTCGAGTACGTGGATATTGTCTACGCTCATCGACCGGACCGATTGACCCCCATGGAGGAGACGGTGCGCGCTTTCAATCATGTCATTGAGCGTGGATGGGCATTCTACTGGGGTACCTCCGAGTGGTCGGCGGACGAAATTGCCGAAGCCTGCGGTATTGCCCGCGAGCTGCGTCTGATACCCCCCGTTGTGGAGCAGCCTCAATATAATCTGTTGGCCCGTGAGCGCGTCGAGGGCGAGTATCAGCGTCTTTACAGCCGCTTCGGTCTCGGCTTGACGGTCTTCAGCCCCATCAAGATGGGTCTTCTCAGTGGAAAGTATAATGATTCACCGGACCAACCTCCTGCCGGATCCCGATTCGCAGTGAGCAACGACAAGTTCAGCAACATGGTGCGCGAGTCGATGTATGGCAATGATGAGTGGAAGCAGTCCATCGCCAAGGTCATTAAGCTCAAGGTATGTGTGAACAGCAGTTCATGGTCCGCATCGACTGGCCATTTCAACAAAGGGATGCCGATTTTCATGGCCCGTGGCCCCATTTACTGGCAAACGCTGACATTCGATCCCTATCTTCCAGCCCATTGCCGAGCAACTCGGTGTCACACAGTCCCAGCTGGCCTTGGCCTGGTGTCTCAAGAACGAGCATGTGTCTTCAGTCATTACCGGTGCTTCCAACCCCCAACAGATCGTCGAGAATGTCCAGGCTCTGAAGGCTCTTGACAAGATGACCCCCGAAGTGATGGAGAGCATTGATGATGTTGTCGGCAAGATTGATCTTGCTCCTGCCAGACAAGACTGAGGACCAGATCATACTTGGAATTGCGCCATAGAGTCGAGATGTAAGAATTAATGAACTCAATCTCACCAAAATTTACCTCCATGCAATCGGAATGGGTCTCAGCCAAGATCATGTTTCCGCTGTTCGAGAGCGCTTGTGAGTAGCTACGCGGTCTGTGGTCTTTTTGCGACTCGGTATGAGTCAGATGAAGACCATGAACTGGCAAGCGGGCACCTGGGGACATTTGACTCGTTCTCAAGCCTTGCGTGATGGGGATTGCGGTACAAAGCATGATGCAACTCTTCATACAAGAAAATTCCAGGTGCAGCAGGGCTGCCAGTCAAGGTATTGTACAGGTGCCCGGTGGGTATTTCGAATAACTGTACAGGGCGGGGGATTCCAGAGAGAATAGTCAACTTCAGCGTATATAATCTTACCCGATCGATCGACTGGCTCGCGTTGTCTGTGGCGAATTCCAGTCCCGGGTAGTCGCAGCACATATTGTCGACTAGTCGTCGTGGTCATACGCGAAGGGCAACAGAGTCTTATTGGGTATCGACTGCAACTTTCCGTCTTTCGACACGATCACCTTGATCTGAAGTTGTAGATCCCATAGTACCTGCCGACAACGACCACATGAACTCAAAATTCGGCCTTCGTCGTCAGCTTTGCCACGAACAGCAACGATGCTCATCAGCTGAGGGGCGTTGGCGGCCGTGGCATTCCCCAGCACCCCAGCTTGGCACAGGGACCACCCGCGAAATGAAAAAATATTGACTCCTGAAAAGGTTCGACCATCTGCTGAGATCGCTGCGGAGGCAACGCTGTGGATACCAGAGGGTGGGATCGAATCGATGGTCGCCCTTAGCGGTGTCAACGAGTTCAAGCTCCGCGGGTGTCAGATCCATTTCTGCGGGCACGCCGGGTAGTGCCTCCAGCTTAGATTAGATTTATGGGTCGGAGTTGAGTATCGGGGACAAGCGATGGGAAGAGGCCGGACAACCGGTCGGGCGGTCTATGAAGGCAGATTTCGTAGATGATGTAAATTTGAAGGTCTGTAGGTTTATGATGTCTAGTTTCAATGAGTTGGTGGAAAACGCCCATTCTTGTCGTGATGATGAACAGTCTCAACCAACATGAAGACTCCTGCCTAATATCATTGAAGAAGATGCAATATATGGAGTCGCGTTTGAGACTCCACTTCCAGTTTATTCAGATCACATGATTATCCACCGATGCCGTGTCGGGCAATGTAACGAATTCATCAGGATATATTTCTCGGCTTCATCCAGACGGGACGAGGCCCGCGCAAGGCAAGGCCACATGTCGTCCATTCCCACCCTGCTACGTAGGTGTTCCCTTCCCCAAAGTTGAAATTTGCCTTTACGATTACTGCAGCACATTGCTATACTGAATGGTTCAATTTAAAGCAACGCCGGAAGATTTCTGCTTTAGCCGAGCGAGTAAGAAAGATCATGAAACAGGTAGGTGAGGTCGGCACACACACTCGGTGCATGACTCTTCCAATCCATGGATGGTATCTGATGATTAAAATTAGGTGTAAGGTTGTTCCTTCGAGTTTCCTGCTTCCATTGAATGGCCGAACTGCGACTGCCCACAACCAAAGACGACCACCTCCCGACTTTCCCCTTGCACATGGATTTTTGACTCTGGGGAGACCAACTGTATAAAAGAAATGACAAGTTTCGCAATGATCATGTGGTATCTCTCCGCAATGAGGCCACAGCACGCTGTCTTTCAATATCCCCACGAGAGAACCAATGACCGTGGAAGCCATAGGGCACTCTCTGAGGAAGCAAGATTCGTGTAACAACCGTTTCCATGTCAAGAGCGTCAATCACCCACAGTTCACTGCGGGCATTTAATGGACAGCTCCGATCGTGATGGAGTTGAGATTCATCGAACATGAAGGCCAGTAGAAATCCATCGTCCTCGCGCGTGGCATGTTGACGCGGGACGAAAGACGCTTCTTGAGTATACCACCCCTTTGGAGCCTGGAATACCTGGATCGGATCGTCCACTATCTTGCTGGCGATGACTTCATCTATATTCCGTGTATCGACACATCCCACGATTGGGGCTGTCGATGTCTCCCGGCCTTTTTGAATTAACCTCTGCACGTCCATTTTGACAAGACAATTGACTTTAACACCCTGTCCAATACTCGCGCTCGATTTCGAGTCCGTAGTGGAACACCCGTACACGAAGCGCGCATCTCTCATCTCGTAATTCGGTGACACTGTTGGGAATTCAAACGGAATGGCGGACAGGGCCCACTCGTGCATGATCTGGTTATTGATGGAATCGGAAATGTTGAAGGAGTAGTAGTAGAGCCTGCATGCATCGTGTCCTTGTTCAAGAAGCTCTGCGCCCACTGAGTTTGAAGATGACGAGGAGGTATAAAGCACCGCGGGTGTCGTGGTGCGACAGGCTAGCATGTTCACCACTCTTGCACTTTCTTTGGAATAGGGAGAGGTTTCTACCTCGTCCCAAGTATTGGCGGTATGGAAGATGAGACATGCGTCGGTCTCATACCATCGTATGTTCTGTGGCTGAAATCTCGGGAAGATTCCAAACCGGGATGGCGAATGTCGGTTGTACTGCACCGGAGGCTTGCCCTTGATTGTGTTCAATGGATTCAAGGATAGGGGGAGGTCTAGAATAATGGTATGTGATCCAGATACGCCAAAGTCGTGCATGAGCTTGGGGCTCGCGATCCCCGGAATGGGCTGGTTGATCAATTTTGTTTGGGACAGCGGAGCTTTTTCACTGCCGTGGTCTGAATCAGGGAGAACTGAGTACCAGACAAAGGGTGGGAGGAAAGAGGATTGAAAGGTGACCATTTGCTGACTATCGGGATCGACCTTGGGCTTTGAGGCCATTAGCAAGTGATTCCGATGTTTCACCCAACATCATCCATATGCACTCACATGAGATGTTGTCCAATTCTTTAAGAACGCCAAAGGCCCCCTGCCGCCGATGACTTCTTCGAACGAAGAGTGCGTCTCGGGCTCACCTTCCGCTGATGCACCATTGAACCAGCCGACCGTTTGCAGAGTAGGTAGGAGTACTCTGAGCGGCGGACCGCTTTGACAGTGGGCGAGTGCTCTTCCATCGTGGAAAGAGAGGGATGTGTTTGCAACGCTGAGATTACGAATGGCTGGCACCATGGGGCTGATGTGCGACCAAAGAACCAAGACCGCACATCGCATCAACTCGCACAAGAAGGCAAAGATTGAGATATACGGGTCGAGCATAACACTCAAGCTCAGCACCATGGGCGAACAGACCGAAGGCATGGATTTGGCGGCAAGGTATACGTCGGTCAGGAGGTACTGATTGACAAACTGAGGCTGCAGCTTGCTGTCGTGGTCGTCTGTTTGGTTGAAGTAAACCCCAGAGAGCATGCCATCTCCATCCCACCAGTGCGAGCGCTCTGTCTCCCTGGGCATCTGCTGGGGGTTGCCGCCATTTCGTACATATTGGCCGCCCGCGAGCTCCTCAGGAATCTTGCCCGTATAGGGACAAGACGTCAGTTCCCGTTGGCGCTGTATCGGTTCGAAATTTCCGCTCAAGAACCAGGGGGTCATGTTGTGGGTAGAAATTCAGGACGTTCCATCAAGAGAGAAAGCTCGTGAGTCTGGTCACTGATGAGCGAGTTCAGCCAAAAACTTTCTTATGATATGTTGTTCCGTCTGAAGAGCTCGGTCTTTTGAGGAAGTGAACATGAAAGACCTGAGATCCACCCTGCGTAGAGGCAACCCGTGTTTGATCAGATGGAAATGGCCTTGGGCCAATACTCTGGGCCGCCCTTACATCATTGCTCGGTCGGTTCATGTGGACAACAGAGAGACAGGGTCAAGCGTGATTTTTGGATAGTAGGCTAGCAAGTCCCCAGAGGTTCAATTTCAACATGGGATTGGAGGCCGAATAGCCGCTCAACGCGCTGCTCGTTAGTCTGATCCCTCGATGGCAGCGAGTCACAGGATCAAAATGATCGTGGTCCAAGCCGCCATGTACATTCACTCATTGCAAAGCAAGATCGTCATCATCGGTGACCGGACTTGATCTCGCTTGACCGTGTTAGCATGTTCATCAACGGGGAATTACTCATGTAGATGCTGTCATGGTGGTTTGGATAGTACTCCTCTACTATGATGACGTCAGGTGAGCCGGCCGTGGCCGCGGTCTGATCGAAACCGATCGCCGCGATCTGGAACAGATGGACGCGGAGATGGAGGACAAAGGGTGAGAAACTTGCTTTCGACACGAGTCATCTTTTTCACTCCAGCTTTCACCAGGGGAGCGGAAAGACGGCATCCCGGCACTTACGCATAAGGAAGTGGTCCGGTGGACGGTAGACTCTACGCTGTTAGCGACGAGCATCGGAGATCTGTATTGCAAGTGATGGCAAGAGGCGTTGTGCTGGGTCAGATTGACTGCCAGTTTTCCTTCCTCTCGATCAAGTACTGCTATAGTGTGAAATTTCATCACGTCGAAGGCACTGTTAGAATCGAGGATTGTTTGGCGTGACAAGAGATATTCTGTGAGGCTATCTAGGGGTAATGAAAACATGCCCGCCCAAATACTAGACAGACTTCAGGCACCTACTCCCGCAGAACAAGTGTGAATCCTCACAGGTTGTTCAACTGCCTCCAGGCAGTAGTATCTTAGTAATAATGTAGTAGTCACGTCGTTGTCGTTGATGTGGTAGTAGTGTCCCTCTCCTTTGGCGCGCTCTGTCGAGCTAAGCTTGTACCTCGATCGTACACTATGTGGCAAAGTCGCGACCGAGTGTTCCGGGCCCGGTCGAATCCATCAACATCTGCTTTTTGCGTCGTGATCAGGTCTGAGTTCAGGGAAGACAGGGCAGACAAGTGTCAAGTCCCCGTCGACCCGCTCTGAACTCTGAGCTCGGTGTCGATGCCCACCTTTGTCGATCCACGACCCAAATTTCGAGCGTTGCGGATGGCGTCGGATCCAGATCGGCTACCTGATCCGAGATCCGCTATTGGACACAAGTGGGTGGTAAAGCTTGGCTGTCGAGCTTATAGATTCAAGATTCTAGCCCGATCCCTTCTGATAGTGGAGGGATAGCAGTGCGCTCAGCCGGTTCCGATCTGGATTTGATCGAGCTGCCTGAGCGACTTGCACGTTCTTCCCAACATCATCGGGCCCGATGACTGTCACCCGAGCGAGACAGCCTGGTTCGTGAAGGTTGGCAGTCCTCCGAAATTTCCATCGTCCAGCGCGGGAAGTGGCTCTGCCCGAGAACAGACAGGCTGAGACACGCCCTGGAGAGAGGGAGGAAAAGTAACCTGTTGTAAACACGGTTTCAAGCAACAATATGTTGTGTGCCCTGGTATGTAGCTTGCCTTCACAAAGATTTCCAATCTGGTTTGAAACAAAGTAGGCCGCCGATACTGCACCGCAGGTAGATCATTTCTGGACATTCCCGCTTATCTACGTCCAACGGCTACTTCTGGATGATCAGTTGTAAGGAGATTCACTGTGCTCGACAACGAATCATCGAGATTGAAATCTTCCAATCCATAGCACCCACGTGTAGTCGTGGAGCAACTCGAAGACTGCGATGTGTCTCTTCCATCGACCGGAAATCCAGAACCGACGTCAGGGCAAGCGCAATCGGTTCATATCAGGAACCCGGTTCTCCGAGGGGATTGGGGATTGCGATTCAGGTTGACAGCACCATGAACGTCATCAACCAAACATTCGCCCTTGATTGACACCGCAGCCGTTCAACCCGATCCCAGAACTAGCCAGCGTATCTGTCAAGGGCAGGTGTAATCTTGACGTCAAGGGGAAACTCCCACCCAGCAACTGCTGGACCCTGCTGCATGCGCAACTTGAAACCCGATGGAAGGGACAATCATGCACATCGGACAATCGACTATCAACCACAGCGGCACTCTACGTCACAGTTTGAATTCTTGTCAGAGTAGAGTCAACGTTTCCAGATTGAGAATGGGAAGATAACCTGCAGCTCGCTAACAGCTCGCTCATGTGGACACCACCAAACCTTAGGTTGTATGGATCCCATGTTGCCGGCCCGCGATGGCAATTTGACAAATTGACTGGAGATTCAGTAATGTGTGGGTGGATCCATGTAGAAGATCGATGGCAGCATGGTTCCGTGGGGAAGGGATGCATCCAGATTTCGAGGTGCCGGAAATCCCTTGGGAGGACAGTGACGTTCCACACGGATCAGATGGGCTCGCGACGATTGAATTTCACTGTGCGATGCTTTTAAATCTCTCTCGTACCCGCGAAACTGGTGCCAATTCATTCAACACAATCCCTTTCCATCCGCCGTTGAACAGCGACTTTCTCTGCCCATCACAAACACAAGGTGCACCATGGAAAACACTCTCCAACAAAAGAACAATGTGTTCAATGCCCAGCCACCGGATATTCCCATCAATATCACCACTCATGGCAGTGATTGGTACTGGGCAGTGTGCGCAGTCATGTTTCTGTCCACTTTTTGCTTCTTCGGATTGATGTTGAGAGTGCCACGAACCAAGCGTTTGTTCCACTATATCACAGGGTTGATCACCTTCGTCGCGGGTGTCGCCTACTTCACCATGGCCTCCAACCTGGGAGCGGTGGCAATTCCTGTTGAATTCCAGCGCTCAAGCGGGCTTGTTTCCGGATTTTCACGTGAGATCTTTTACGCACGTTACATCGACTGGTAAGCTTCGAATTTACACCTTTTGATCTCAAGGTGATAGGGTCGGTCTAAGCTAAGATTTCGCCATCAGGTTCATCACCACGCCTCTGATTCTGACGGATATCCTGTTGACATGTGGTCTTCCATGGCCCACCATCTTGTTTGCCGTGGTGTTGGACGAGATCATGGTAGTCACCGGTCTCATTGGGGCTCTGGTGAAGAGCCAGTACAAATGGGGCTACTTCACCATTGGCTGTGTCGCGTACTTCATGGTCGCCTATGTCATTATCGGGGTTGGAATGTCGCACGCCAAAGTAATCGGACAAGATGTGAACCGACTGTTTATCATGGTCTCCGTTTGGACTCTTATTATGTGGACCCTCTATCCTGTCTCTTGGGGTTTATGCGAGGGAGGCAATGTCATCTCTCCGGATTCCGAGGCCGTCTTTTATGGAGTCCTCGATTTGCTCGCTAAGCCAGTCTTTGGCGGAATTCTGCTCTGGGGTCACAGCAAGATTGACCCCGCCAGACTGGGGCTGCGCATCAGCGACGTCGGTAGCACCACCGACCGCGGATTCGCCGATGTCGATAAACCTGCCCCAGGTCCACTGAGAGATGGTCCAGTTCCCACCTCGAGCAATGCCCATGATGCCTGAGCGGTCAAATGTGCTTCCTGGCAAGGTTCACCGGAATATTTGTTGCGTCTGGTGCAATCAGTCTTAACGGTGTACAGCGAACGGCTACATGGATTCCTGTAAAGGTTCTCGGGACGAAGTCCCTTCTTCAATTGCCCTTTTTGGTTAGAAGACACCTCTAATGTTTTTGACTATGTCTCTTTAAGTCGTGCTGCGCCGTTTTGTTGTGGTCATATTCCAATGTGGAAAGTGTCACGAGTACTATGCTGTGTTATTGGTGACTTTGTACGGCGTGAAATTGTTGTGATAATCTTGCGAATATGTTATGACATACACAATAATCCGATGTTGATTTGAATCTTCCAAAGCCATCTTCCAGATTCTCTTCTAAACTCGAATTAGCAACAACTCCGCACGAAGATCAGTAACATATTTGTGCACGAGGTAGCCAAACACAGTCGCAGTAGAAAAGAAAAACTACAAAGGTTGCGGAGTATGCATACCCATCCAGACGCTCAGTTTCATTTGGTGCAAAATACCCGTGCCAAGCACCTCGGCCACGCCAGGGTTCTAACAAGCTTTTTCACAGAGAATACCCCATTTGGGCTTTCCCAACGCCAGTATCCCCTCTTTGAGTGAAGAAGAGAGAGGAATGAAAATGTGTATAGGTACTCACGCGCCAATACACTGGTCGACGGCTCGCCTCGGCATCAAATCCTCGGAACAGTTGACGTGATCATGGCAACATGGATCATAGTCACTTTTTCGGCAGATCGAAGGGCCAGATAGATCGCAGAACACTCTCCGTTTGAATTGGCTCGTCATCGCCCGGGCTTCGCGTTATGGGTACGCCTTGCAGCATTCCCCTGAGCATTTCCTGGCTTTGCCCTCTCGCGGTATCCCAATTCTCCTGAGGAATCCAGCCATCAGTCGCGCAGTCTAAGAGACTGACCAGCGGCTTTTACATCTCGTACCTTAGCGCCCGAACGGAGACGAACGGTGAGACCTCCCGGTGTATATCACTGAGCAAGAAGTCCAAGAGCGCTAAATATAACTGCTATCGCGCCCGACGGCCAGGACACGAGGTAAATATCATTGAATCGGGGTACTCGAATTGAGTAAACATTCTAGGCACAGTGCTGCTGGAAGCCTCTCCCATGTCCTGAGAAGCGATTGAGGCTTGGGCCGTGAAGTTTAAGAATGCGTCTATCAGCGGATCAGCGCCACATCTGGGTTCTTGACACCAGAATGTGGATGCGAGGTTATTTAGTAGCGCGAGGATAATATCCATGGTTGGGGTTTGGAGGTGACGCCGGATCGCTGATATTACGCCTAGGATTGCTGGATAGGAGGGTCTTCCCATAACTGTCGTGACGCCGTTTGCAAAGCTCTGTTCGACACAACATCCCCGGCGACGAACAGCCGATCATCACTAGGTCCTGATCCTTGGTTCGTCTGAGACTAGAAAGAAATGCGTTGATTGTCACCAAGGAGGCGGCAAGACTCAGTGGCACCCTTCCCCTGTTGCGCCTGTTAGGAATTGGAGCGGTGCGGTGACTGGAGGGGTCAAGATCTGGAGTGTAGGACTTTAGTAATTCCTACCAGTGGAGTGTAAAACACGAAGGTTAGGTAGGCTCAAGATTTCTCTGACTAACGAGGTTTCTCCCCCAGAGGGGAGGGAGGTTCTAGGGACCAATATTTACTACTAGAACTAGTCGTAGAGGGTACACGCCTGAGCGTAGGGTAATACCTAGATTCTTTACGAATCCCCCACGTTTTGACCCAGACTAATTTCATGTTGATCCATCAACTCCCGGCTCCGAGGCTTAAATGCTTTGCGCCAGCTCTCAAGGCTGCTAATCATGGTATCAGTCTAGCGGTCTTGATATCGCTATCGGAGCTGCTGACTGAAATGATCCTCTTTCATGCTTCTTCTGCCATTGTTGAGACCGTTTGGTATGGCAGAGGGGTCTTTCACCATTGAAAAAGACTGTTGCCTATCTTCTCCCGGCTGAATCATGGTCCGAAGTTTGGTTAGTTTTCACCATCTTGATCATTGGTATCCTCAAATTCTGTCCTCGTCCCTCATGATGGTTATGTGGTTTGCTTGGAGCTTGGATGTCCCCGACCATTTACTTGATTTTGCTTGACGGACCTGTATATAGAGTCGCTTTACTGACTGTGTTGCTGCCGTCGCCCCTACGTATGAGAAACCCAAGGCAAACGTCTTGCATCGTCCGCCACGCAATTCCGAAAAGATTCGATTCATCGATCGAAAGCTGATGTTCTATTCATAGGCAATGGTAAATGGTTCAGTCCCATGGCAATCCGCGTTCGTTGCTTGTCCATCTTCCAGCACGTACCTGCATGCAACAGGATATCTCAGATCCTGCACCTGTTCCCCGCCACTGTGTTCTGGCTAGGCATTGCTGTCATCTGGCTTTATATTCCTAGTTTGCAGGATGCTTTCGGTACGTCTACAATTCCTGCGGAGCATTACGACTTTATACCTGCTGTACTGGTCCTTGGGCGGTTGTCTCTCGATGAAGGCCGAAGAGCAGTAGTTTGTCGTTGGCCTGATAGACCGTTAGCCACAACGGCTTTGTGAAAGTTCGTGCGCCATGGTCAACCTTGCAGGTCTGCAATCGGATGGACGGCAGGGAACGTAGCCGAGGTGCGGCCATGCAATCGGCTATCCATTCTTAGAAGTATTCCTAGGGCGAGACTTCCTCCTCCTCGGAAGGAACTGCGGAGTGAAGCAACTGCGATAATTAATCCGTTGACTACCAGCGCAATCCTTCATGTTCTACGCCGACTGTGATAATAGCGGGCAGCAGGAAAGCATCGAATGGATACTGGAGATAGTGGGGAGTAGGCTAAATCACGTGGTTTTACTAAAGTCACATGATTTTACCCCAGGCAGGAATCAATCAGCGGCCGCACATCCAGCCGGAGGTGAAATTTAGCACCTGGGAACATAGTTATTTGACTGCAGGATCTTACGAAGGAATAGCCAGAAAGGTGAAAACACTCGACGTTGACTACGAGAAGAGAAGAGGAGGAAGAAGGAAGCTAAGCTAGACTACTGAGGTTGGTAGTCCTAGGTGGCAAGGGCGTAGCCTAGGCAGTATAGCAGGCCTCACCATCAAACAATAGTTAGGAGGCGTTGTAAGATAAAAGACATGTGACCCAGGTCAGGTGGTTTTACCCGAAGATGACCACACAAAACACAGCCAATCAGATCGTGGAATTTCCGACGGAAGTCCAGCGTCGCTTCGCTCCGCAATGATCTACCCCCGCCCTTGTTTAGACAAGTTGTTTTTGCTGCCACTAAGCACTAAAGCTCTCAGGTTTCCATAACCCCAAATCAAATCAACCGCTACAGGTGGTCTCAATATCTTTAGAAGAAAGGAGGGATTATTGATAGATCAGAACCCAGGCCCGCTTTTCCCTAAAGAATACATCATAATTTGGACTGTGCTTTGGGACCCACGACAGTTAGGGAAAGACAAGAATCAAGGTGCGCCTTCCAGCCACTTGAGACCGAAGATCGTACTTCTGGTATAGCGTCCAGCCAGTCTTCAGAGATGCGCGTTTCATCCTCAGACCATCGGGCGACCTCTTCCTCGAGCCACACCGCTGTCTCCTTGCATACGCGAGAGACATTCTCGAAGGGAAGTTGGTGCCCTGTGTCAGGGATTGTGATCTCTTTCACCCGGTTAATCTTCCAGCCACCACTGCCACCGATGCTTGTCCCAGTTCGCGTCAACTTCTCTTTGCGGAGATCCGGTGTTGAAACGGGGCTACGATCGCCAAATAGATAGAGTACACCTGGGCGGACGTGCCGTAACAAATTCCACATCAAGATGGGCTCATAGCGATAGAAGGGGTACGTTGCATGTGCGGGGCCAATGATGTCGGCGTGGAAGCAAGGATCATGCATGCTGAGGGCAGTGGGATCGTGTTTCGGGCTCAAGGGCCTTTAGGGTTTAGGGTTTATTAGGGTTAGGGTTTAGGGTTTTTTTTAGGGTTTAGGGTTTAGGGTTTAGGGTTTTTAGGGTTAGGGTT